TTTGTCTATTAGAGTGTTAGATCAATAACTTGGGCATTGAGTACATTGGGTACGTTGACATAGAAAGACTTACCAATAGACGACTGCAACATGTTGAAAGTATAATAGTGAACAAATGTGAGGGAAAGTGTTTATGAATAGTGTGGTATGGGAAATAGTTATCGATCATGGTTGATAGCAGTAGATGATAGTAGATGATAGTAGATGATAGTAGATGATAGTAAATGATAGTAGATGATAGTAGATGGTAACAGATTATAGTCGATAAAAGTAGATGCTAGTAGATGGTAGTAAATGATAGTATATGGTCTTGGTGATTATTCTAGAGGTGAAGAATAAAAAAGAAAAAATTTGAGAAAAGTGAATGGTAAAAGAAAAGAAATAAAAATCAAAAAGACGGGGGAAATCACTTTTATTTATACCTCCTTACAATTGTCTTCACTAAAAATAAAACTTCTTTTTATGGAAATCTTTTTAATAAATTAAAAAACCAATATATCATTGATCTTGTAGTGGTTTTTTTAACTATCCATACTTGTCACATGCTAATATATTTCTTAGAAAGCTAGCCTAGTATTATAAATGTTCATACTCTTCATTGAAGTATAAGTCTTATGCTATTTATAAACATTCTAAAATTATATTGAATATTATTTTTAAAAATGAATAATAATAATAAAAATAAATAGATTTTAGAATGAGAAAAAAACACAACTACTTACGGTCAAACTTAAATGCAAATTGTAAAAGGGAATCATGGACAAGTATTTGGAAGGTGGCTAGCCCATGTTGGTGATGAGGATCAAAATTAGGGTTAGGATTAGGGTTGTGGTTGTGGTTGTGGTTGTAGCTAAATTTTAATGTAACCACTGGAAAGCCTGTCTCCCAAAGGTTTTTTCTTTTTATCTTTTTTCTTTCGTTAAATCACTATATTTTTTTACTCTGATTCATTCATACTAATTGATTTTGATCCTTATATATATATATATATTTATTTATAAATTTATTGAAGTTTTAAATATAATGCCATTAACAGTCTGAACAACTTTTTTTCTCACCCTGCTATAACTGTCTATTTTCCTAGTATTTCTTTCATTTGGCATCAAAATTTACATTAACAACTTCCCCAAATATGACTTAATTACAGCTCTTAAGGACTATGAATTTTACAATATAAACTCTACGTCATTCCATTAATTAATTTTGTAACTTTTTTCACTGATCTAATATCTTTATACTAACAACTCATTCCTTTTTCTCCTTTCTTGCTAATCCACAAGTACAAAGCAGAAGAATTTACTTTATTATATTGGTATGTTTGAGTATTTTTAGGATCTTTATTAATCAAAAATTAATCTTTTTTTTTTGAAGGACTCATTTATTAGAAATTGAAACCTTTTAACTTTTGATAAATTTGAGATTATTTTGAGAAAAACAAAACCAACTATGATTGAAAATTGTTAGTTATCTTAAAAACTATATAGTTTTTAATATTTATATTTGGTTCCACACCATTTTTCTATAATCTGATGATTCATGAAAATATTGGTACATAGTATATATTTTATAAAATTAACGGTCAAACTGTAAGGTCTAGAGGAATTTTAGTATATATTTTTTGAACTGATGTTTTACCTGTGTCTATCCACATACCAACTTATTTTTGCCTTAAACACCTATACATTTATCATATGAGATCAATTATAGTTTCAGATGTTTCAATTGAAGAACCAAATTATTTCTGATAACATTAATGGAACCATAATCCGTATTTTTTATTTTGGATATATAAAAATACATTTTTGGACAGTTTTAAAAACAGTTTCAGTAAAAAGGTATCCTAGGTTACCTCAATGTTTTTACTATGGAAATTTTAAAAAATTATTGGCTCCTTCTTCTTGTATATTTTAGAAGAAATGTTAAACAATGAAATTAGTTAGTAGTCTTTTCCCTATTAACTGTAATTTCTTGAGGTTTAATAGTGACAGCAATAATACCGTACCTCGAAAATGTTCGGGGATATGCAAAATTCACATAAGTTAAGAGAATCTTGGAATTATTTATTTGGAGTTGTTGGAGATGTTGGAGATGTTGGAGATGCAATGTTGAAGCCAATATTTAAAGTTTATTATGAAAATGAAAAGATATATAGTATAAACAAGAAGGATAGCGCAGATTCTAATGTTATATAATTCTATAACCTTTGAATAAAAAAATAAACAATTTTGAGTTGTTGAAGTTGCAAATATTGTTATTAAATAAAATATTATAACATAAAAATAAAACTAATATTGTCAATGTTAATAATATAACCTTTAACTCCTTGAATAGTAACAGTTTTTGGTTTTAAACAAGAAATTTTTTTGATGTTTTTTTAACATTGAATCGGAGTTAATATAGATATATATATATTTGCAATCATCAAATTTTTAATTTTTTATTTATACATTATTTTAATTTAAATACTGAAAATTTTGTTATTTAACTAGACAATTCCTCCATGGTTTTGTCAGTATTGAGACTCCTTTGAAAGTGAATTAAAAACCATAAAGATCTCGCGACTTGGATGTCATCACTAAAAATTAATGTGTCACATCTATGATTGTGTAAGACCCGCTAAAATCTGGTAATTAATTTTAATAATTTTTTAGCTTTGAAAAAGAATACCGGTAAGATCAACATTTTATTATATTCCAAGTGTTTATTTATGAAAGAACCAAATTGTGGAATACATTTTTCAAATTATACGATAAAAGCTGTGTCATTTATTTTATTTTTTTAAAGAAACCCTTCCTTAAGACTTGTGCACCGGCTTGTCGAGGCGCGGAAACAATGAAAAAGTGTCAGTAAGCAAACTAGGTTTCAGTGATGTCTCTAAAAGATCGACTACTGTTAATGGCCATTTCATTAAAAATATATTTAAATATAAGAAATTTCATTTTTAGTGAAATTCTCATATTTGTAATTAAAAAAAACAACGCTGGTAAATGAAAAAATTAATATTTCATCAAATAAATTACTTTATTACATTTGTCGAATTATAGATTGATATGACCATTTATTTATCTTATTTAAATAAAATTTGAATGTGCTAATACTGTAAAAGAAAAAATAAAAATAAAGCTTAAACACACTGGAATAACTGCTTCTTATGTATACTGGAAACTTTGAAACAATTTAGATAAACTTTTATCACCGGTATTTCAGCTCAATGGACAATTGTACAACATTAAAAAAATCCTACGTATGCCATATTTAAGTACTGACAGTTATTTTTATTTTTATGTGAGAAAATAAAATAATAAAAATGAAAAAAAAAAATTTGAACAATTGTGGAGTTTCTGATAAAAAATCATACCATAAAAACCGCCATTTAGTTTTGTAATTGGAAATGTTAAAATCAATAATGCTATTATTAAAGATCAAAGCTTAATAGAAAGGTGGGATTATATTTTATCATTAAACTGAGGATTAGGCTGATCAACTGATAAAAGAAGGTACATGATTTTTTTTATTCTTATTTTATCTTATAGAATTATTTTTAGAGAAGATTCCAATTGAAAGGAAAAGTATTTTTTTTCTATTATTACTAGAAAAATGTACAGAAAATCAAAAGCTCAGACTTAGAAGGGAAAAAAATAATTATCTGATTTATACTTCTTTGTTCATAACTTGAAAAAAAAAAAAAAAAGAAAGCTTTGGTTAAAACCCTAAAAAAAAGCCAAGTTCTATCTATTTTTAAAAGACACTCAAAGTTAATGAGGCTACTTCATTAATAATCACATTATCTACAGCTAAATATAAGAATTTTATCAATACCAATTAGTTTAGCAATTACCTCTTAAGGAAAACGGCAAAATAATCCTCTAATAAAGGCTTACGCCCCACGTTTTAAAACGGCTTGCACATACCTGTTGATAATCAAGTCCTGACATGAGGGAAAGATGGAAAGAAAATAAAAGGCGGGATGTACATTTTTTGGAGAGTATAGAAAATGAAAAAAAGAGAGGTGAGATGAAAAAAGAGTGGAGAAAACGCCAAAAGTAATCCACACTGATATGCAAAAATGGGGGATTTTTCTTTCAGAGTAGAGTGAAGTAATTTATATTAAAGAAGGATCCTTAGATTGGAAGTCATTGTATTGTTTTCTTTAAATTTATTGATTGGATGTTAAATCCAATATTTGGATTTGAGTCAAAAAAAAAAAAAAAAAAAAAAAAGCCATCATCTGTGAGGGAGGTGTTTTTTCCTGTCCTTTTAAGCTTTTTTGTCAGGGTCCTGACAAGTTTGAGGAAGGGGGGAAGCTGTGCGAAAACTTTCGTATAAACGGGTTATGAATAAAATAAAAGAAAAATGGGAAAAAAATGGGGAAAAAAAAGTAATTAAACTATTTTCATAAAAATTAGAATAAAAAGAAAAATATATTTTATGAAAGGGTCATGACACATTAATTACACTCAGTTAGGAAAAAGCGTTGGTTGACAAACTAACCAGTAATTCATAGTTTATGATATTGGATTTTTGAATACTAGTACACTAGCAATCACTTCAAAGACTATTAGAGGTAGAGAAAGAAGATGATGAAAAAAAATGAAAAAAAAAAAACAAGATATTTTTCTATGACGTTAGTTTTTTTTTTTTTTTTTTTTTGAATTGAAGAAAAGTCCAAAAATGAATAAACTTTTTTTTTCTATTTTCTATCTTCTTTATTGTTTTTAAAACAGCAAGTCAAAGACAATTCTTCAACAGCCTTGAACCTTTTTTTTTTTTAGTAGTAGTCTTCTATGGCTTCTGGTCTTGTTCTTGGAATATATTCTTTTGTTTCTTTGAGTTTTTTTATTTTTTTTTATTTTTATTTTTTGTACAAACAAAAAAGAGAATGTTAAAAAATAATTAAAAAAAAATGTGCCCAGATTTAAAATGATTGAAGAGATCAAAATCCACTTATGATTAAGATTTTGTATAATTTTTTTTTTGTTTGTTTGTTTGCCATTTATTATCAAAAAAAATTGATTTTTTTTTTCAAGTATAAAAGAAATGCAATTTCCTCAGTTGTATTTCAATTCTTCTTTTTCCTTTCTTCTCTTTATTAAAATCAATTTCATTCTTTTTTTTAATTTTTTTTTCCCACATTTTTATTTCATTCGTTGAACTTTTTTTTTCATTAATTCCTATATTATTTTTTATTTTTTTTTGGAAACAACCGAACAAACAAACAAAAGAAATATAAATCCAAAATCCAACCAAAATGAAATTCTCACATTCAATAATCCTCTTCACGGTTGCCGCAATCTCCGCAGCCCCAGTTGCTATGCCCAAAGCTGCTGATGCCTTTTCTTACGCCTCCTCTTCTGCCGGTGGTGCTTCCTCTTTTGCCGGTTCCGGTTCTGGTTCTGGTTCTGGTTCTGGTTCTGGCTCTGGCTCTGGCTCTGGTTCTGGTTCTGGTTCTGGTTCTAGTTCAGGCTCTGGCTCAGGGGGGACCTATGTTATTGTCAGCGGGACTCCTGGGTCCACTGCCACTTCCACAACTTCTGGAAGTGACGGCCAAACAGTTCAAATTTCAAATGGTAATAGTGGTGCAAGCGCCTCAACCTCAGGACAAAATGGAGCAGGTATTGCTGCAGTTTCTGGAGACGGAGGGTCCGGAGGAATTAGTTATACTAAGGGCTCAGGTGTGACTTATTATCAAAGCTCAGGAAATGGAGTGAGCGTTTCTGCAAGCTCTTAAGGAGATGTTTAATAAATAAAATAAAAAAAAAAAAAAAAAAAAAAAAGAGTGGAGAAATAAGGAAGAAGAGCGTGTGTAGACGTGGGGGAGAGGAACACAAAGTCTGGGGTAAAAGTCTGTTATAGACAAGGAGATGGAGTGCACAGGGGAAAATGTTAATTATTTTTTTTATTTATATTTTTTTTTTCTAATACATATCTATAGTTTATACGCAAATGATTTTTTTTTTTTTATATTTAATGAAAAAAAAAAAAAATACAAGATCTATATATTCGGCGAATTGAGTTTGAAAAGATAGAACGCCAGTCATGTGTGTCTGAAACGAATAGACCGGCTCAGACAAAAGTTTCCACTAAGGATTTCAGGTCTTCCCGGAGTGATTATCATTTATAGATCTTAAAAGTTTCACTTTTTATTGCTTCTATATAAGTTTCTCTTTATTTCTTTTTCTTTTTCTTTTTCTTTTTTTAGTTCTATAGCAGCATCACTATAAATCCTCTCAACACTTTATTTAAAAGCGTGCTCAGTGCGACACAAGGGACACGAATCTGTGTTGCCGCTCTTAAACCAGCGCGATAAACACAAGCCGTGGAACTTATTGTGACACGTAGCACACTCTCGTGTAGGCAAAGACTTGTCTTCCTGCAGAATCGTATAGCAGATTGCACACTCGGTGAAACCAGCAAAGTACATTCCAACGTTCCGCTTAAAAAGTTCAATGGCAGTCGCAATAGTGCCCGTATGATTGAGCAGCATTGTTTGTGAAAACAGAATCCAAGCGCGCCACTGGCGCTCAGGAACACCAAGACGCTGGAGACCCTCGAACCGCACGTCCTGGAGCGGGTACTCGTCTGGGAAAACAAAAGCAGCTTCAATGGCCTCAGATTCAAAAAGAAGTTGTAACGTGATTGTCTTGTTGTTACGGGAAACTGAAATCTCAGTGCCCTCGAGTACTCCGTCCTCATCGTCATCACCACGCGCCTTGAGTTGTTCAGTGTATTTGCGTACACCGGCAACTTCTGTTTTAATGAGCAAAGGTGAGATGTAAGTTCCAATAACATTTTTGGCATCTTTCTTGAGACCATGAGACAACCGCGTGTTGAACCATGTTTTGCACACAAAGCCGGAATGGTTCAAAGCTTGGAACAAAATGTGCCAGAGCAAAAGGCGAGAGCGGTTAGCAGAGATTTGCACATGGACATCAAAAGTGGTAATATCCCAAGATTTTTCAGGTCCACGCTGGAGGGAACCCAGGTTTTGTGCTACAAAGCCAAGCAGTGCCAGAACGCTTTCGCTTTCAGCAAGTTGTTCGAGGAATAATTTGCAGAGAGAGAAAACGGACTCGTCAAAGTATTGGAAAATGATGTACCATGCAAAGAGGTATTGGCGTGCGTCTTTAGAGTCCAATGAAATAGTCTTGCGAGAAGAAAGACCAAAGGGAAGAGTGGCAAGAGAGAGTAACTCAATTGGAAGCAGGTTTGCTTCAATTTCCTCAGGAGTGGGTCGCGGGATAGTGGCAAAAGCCAAAGCGCGGTCCTTTTGGAGTGCACGCACACGCATTGATACAACAACAAGACCAAGCTGCTGTAAGTTGGGATTGGCACTTGCAAACATGGGGTAAAACGCAGAAGCTTCAACGGCATCTCCGGCCAGAGTTTTCGAAAGTCTTGAGGATTGGCGCTCAGTTTGGATAGTGACAAATTCTAACAAAGGCTGTGAAAACTCCAGATCGAGTGAATCAAGGGATCTGTTGCGCTGTTCATTTTCGTAGAAAACAGTAATGGTATCCAAAAACAAAGTGTATGCGGATTCCATGTTTTCGTCAATATCACTCGACTCAATCTCACTGTAAACACTCATAAAGGCATTTGCCAGTGCAAAAGAAGAACCTAAAATGGCGTGTGCATAATAAGTCTCGTCTTCATCTTCGGAGCCCACATTGGCAGAAGCCGCAGTGATGGCTGCGCCAATAAACTCGCTGACAGGACCCCAAAAGGATTCTGTGGGGAGTTCGCTGGCAGGGAAACTGGAAGCCAAAGCAACAAGAAGACGACCAAGTTGGATGACAAATGGAGCATACTCAGAATCGTAAACGTCGTCAAAAAGCGTAGCAGCGCGAGTGATAAGATTAGTGAGTTTGAATGCAGGCACACCGACATTGGGTGTATTTCCAGAAGGAGTATAAAGAGCTAAAGCAAGCAAGGAAAGATTGTAAATGCCACGCTTCTCGTGCATCTGTGCAGTGGGTCCCGTGATAAGATCACCGACGAGGTTGTTGCGGAGAACAACAAATGATTTCGATACAAGTTCAGAAGAGCTGTTTGCAAGGGCCTGGAGGAGAGCCAAAACGCCGAGTTTATTTTTAATAGTCATTGGGACAAGCTTTTTGAGCAGCGTGGGGTCAATCGTAGGCTCACGCGTCAGCGTGGTGGCAAGGAAAGATTCCAAAACAACATAAGCGTAAAAGGCGTGAGCATCGTCACCGGCAGCTTCAGTCCAAAGAGACTTGATGACAAGCAACAGAGGTCCAAGATCTTCCTTAGTGGGCTTGGGCGAAATAACGTCGAGGAGCGTTTCAATGTCAATTTGGGACTCAACGGAGTTCTTGAATTGATCAGCGTCCTTTAAGACTGCAGGAATAACATCTACAAGGCCTGTAGACGGGAGAGTGAGAGCGCTGTAGATTCTCAACACAGCATCAGCCAAATACACACCATGGGTGGTAGCTTGCTGGACTGTCGGGGCAGCTTTTGCGTAAAGTTCCGGGAAAGTATTAACCAGACTAGAAGCAAAAGTTGCCATGTTGACCAGTTTAGTAAGATCCGCAACGCTGGCAAGTTGATTAGAAATAGCGCCCTCATCAAGCTGCAAAATCGCGCCGCTAAATGTTTGTGAAATACGTAGCTTGGCATGGACACCTGTTGCTAGAATAGGCGCAAGTGCATCATTGTCCCAGGACTCTTGCGGGAACAAGAGCCCCTCAAATGCACTAAGAGCCAATGTTTCTGGAGCTTGTTCAACAAGCCCAGCAGCACGCTGGACCACGATACCGAGATCAAGACCCGGTGCTGCAACGGCTTCTGTTCGCAGATCGGCAGCCACTTTGAGGAGTACCTCACTCGACATGGCATAGTCTGGAGCAGACACAAACGAGAAAAAGTCAAGCTGTGCAATAAGTGACTCGATGGTAGTTGAGTTTTCTGTGGCAGACTGGGTATCAGTTTCTGCCAGGCGCCACAATCGAGCGAGAGTGGCCTTACCCTGAGTGGATTGAGCATAGTCGAGCATGAATGGCGCATCGGCGCGACGCAGGTCTGTCAGGGAAGTAATGATTTTTGTGCATAATTTCGGGTTACTTTGTTCCTGTTCGAAATCAATGAGTCTGCTGACAAGTGCATCGACAAGAGCGTGAGCCTCGGCTGAGGTGCTGATTTTATCATGGGCCAGTACAACAGTGGAGATTGTTTCAAGAGCAAGTGATTCATGAGAAGCTGGATTCTGGATCCAAGCTAAAAGGGCTGTGGAAACAGCTGAAGCCAACTCGGCACATGAAGAGTCTAAAGAAGATAGGGAATCGTGGAAAGAAAAGATGCAAGTTGCTGCACGGTAAAATTCTGGAGTAGGAGCATGAGAAAGGGCGACAAGGCGAGAGCTGGCTAAAGATGGGGAAACATTGATATGGGCTGTAGTAAGGGCTGCACGAATGACGGGGACTTGGTCATCTGCAGAAGCCTCAGCAAAGCCTGTGGTGAAAAATGTATTTGCGAGAACCTCTAGGTCCGTTTGCAAGCTTGATGCAAGCAAATCCGGGAACTGTTTAAGAAGAGGTTCGAGGGCTTTGCTATTTGACTTGAGAAGAGTAGTTGCGTAATCAACAATAATTGAATTAAGATCCGACGATTCCTGTGAAGCAAGACCAATGAGGTAGCCAGAAATTGATTGACGAACCTGTTCCGAGGCATCCTTAGATGATTGGACGGATTTCTTGAGTTGCTCGAGAACAACATCTTGCCATGTTTTGAATAAAGAATTAGCAATCCGCTGGGCTACGGGGATAATGGTATGTGGGACTGCTGTAGATGCAGAAGTAACGGTAGATAGAGCTTGGTTAAAAGCAGTCAAAGAATCCTTAACTGCTTGTTTTCGTTGGTCTGGGAAATATTCAGAATGTGTTACTTTTTCAACAAGTGCAAAGTAAAATGACCATGCGTGAGCTGCTGGTGATTGCTCATCTGCGGGAGTTCCACGAAGAGCTGCTTTTGGTGGAGAATAAAGAGGCAGAGTAAGAACAGCAGTCTTGACTGCATTGAGTAGAGCTTCACTGGATTGAAGCGCAATGGGGGAGTCTGATTGCAAAAATGGGGAAAATGGATCTGGGATTTGAAAGAGCAAGGCCATGAATGTGTGCCAAAATTGTGGAGAAGGTGCCGACTTTTCAGTGACTTTTTTAATATATTTAGCGAGGTATGAGACGCCAGCCTTTGAACTAAGTTTAGACTCATCTTTAGACTTTTTCTTATCTGAAGAATAGGCCCAAATAGTCGGGTATATTTGGGTAAGACCCAAAAGAGCTTGCATGATTTCTGTTGGCGAAAAGGATGATGAAGTTTCAGGGGAATCGTTTAATGGTTTTTTGATAAAAGCCGAAAAGATGTCTTTTTGTCGGTCAACGAGAACGTCAATCGGGATCCCCTTGATAATTTTAGGCAATGCATTGAGAACTGCACGACCAGCAATGGGTCCCGAGGAATCTACGAGTTTCCAGAATGCACTATCGCTGACCAATTGAAGAAATGTATCGTTAGCATCGCCTGTGAGAAAATCGTGGCGGTCTACTAGAGCAGCTATTGCATAAATTGCTCCACGAACAGCACGTTCGCGTTTGCTTCGGGCGTCTTCCAAAGTGACGAATCGTGTATCTGAAAGGGATTCTGTGGATTGATGGAGAAGAATGTCTTGTGCGTAAGCCAGGATAGATGCCCCAGCATATGGTCCGAAAAAGGCGTCTTGTTTGCCACCTGCTACTGGGAATAATGCATCTAGAGCCGCACGAGCTTCTGCTGCGGCAGCACGATCTGTATCATGGAGAGAGATTGCCCAAGTTCCTGCAGAGATTCTGAGGAGTTTAGCGACGGTTGTTTTATATTTTTTAAGGTCGGAGCTTGAGTCAGGTTTAAGAGCGGCGGCAAAGAGAAGGTGGTGGATGCGGTGGGTTGTTGCTCTGATTGCTGGGGATACATCGAGAGCAAGTTTTGCGTGGATCTGGGTCCATGATGCTAATAGTTCAAGAGAAGGTTTTGAGGAAGCCTTGATGGCAGTGGCTAAATCTGAGAGAGCTCGTTCGCGGGTAATTGCATCTCGTTTCAGGAGGCTCTTGAAGAGAACTGGAATTTGGGGATCCTGCTCGTGTGCTAATAATGCAGGATCTGGGAGGTCTGCAAAGTATGCTGGAGATGCCTGTATATCAGCAATTGAGACAGGAGTTCCGTTCAATGATCTGAATGATAATTAATACACGAGAAAAAAAAAATTTTTAAATATATTAATATAGACTTTACCTATTCATTATATTGATGATGATGGGATTCTAAAATACGGATGGTTGATGGTCGAGGATCAAGTTGGTGGTGGAGCCAAAATAGTTAATTTCTTATGTAAAAAAAAAAAAATTTTTTATTTTAATTTTTTTTTTTTTTTTGTTTTTTTCAAATTAATTACCCGGTTTACATTAAAAAAATATTTAAGTTACTTAAAAATAACATTAACAATAAAATTAACAATATCAATAAAAAAAAGAAAGAAAGAAAGAAAGAAAGAAAAAAAAAAAGGAAAAAAACCACGTTACTTAAAAAAAAAAAAAAAAAAATTAATAATAAATTTAAGCAACGGACTTGAAGCTCATAAAGAGCATATCGTAGCCGTCAAATTCGTAAAGAATACGGTCGGTACGCTTGTAACCCTCGAGGGCTACAGCAGAAAGAGAGAAAAGAGACGACTTTGCGAGAAGCGAAGGTCTGCGTTGGCCATGTTCGACAAAAACAGACTTCTTTTTAGCCTCAAAAAGAGTCAAGGAGAATTTGCCTGGGCGGAAGATTTTTACAACGTTTTCAAGAACACGGACGTTAGTAGTGCCAACCTTGCCAGCAGGGATGTTTGATTCAAACGAGGCATAAGAAAAGCCCTGTTCAGGAGTGACGTGAATAGTAAAGTAGTTTGCACCACTGTCTTGCTTATCGTCAGTTCCCACAAGGGCATTGCAAGAGTAGCCACAAGGAGCAAAGCCAAACGAATCAATTGTTTGACGAACAACTTGGCCAGTGGCCTGGTTTAAGGCCGGATAAATATGGTCAATACGGGCATGGTGTGTGACGAGGGCACCGAGATCATGACCTGGATCATGGGGATTAGAGGAAGAAGAGGAGGAAGAGGAGGAGGACTTAATGCTGCTCTTAGAGTCCAAGTCGCTATCATTTTCGTCAAGGCTTGAAGAACTCTCTACATCAGACATGCCACAAAGGTCATCGCTCAAGAGGTGTTCAGCGCCCGGGATGCGCTTAGTGAAGAATTGAGAAGCGGCCTTATTGTCGAGGTCTGTCATGAGGATTTCAAGGGTTTCGTCTTCTGCAGAATCTTCTGCGTACATGTCATCATGGTGATTAGGGTGGGTATAGGCAGGGTCAGTAGTGTAAAGATGCCAGTGATCGCTGCGGCTATTCCCAACTAGGTAGGAGGAGCCGTTTTCAAAGTAAGAGTCAAGGAACTCGACCTCATCATCCCAAGAGCGATGAGGGTGGAGTTGCATTTCCGGGAACATGAAACTTTTACGAGAGTAAAAGACGCGGTATGGTTGGAAATTGGAGGAGGGTGCGAGACCGGCAGCGGCAGCGATTTCCAAGATGCGGGGGATACCAATGAGGGTAGTAGTAGTTCCGCAAGTTTTAAGAATGAGTTTATGAGGGAAGACAAACATGCTTGATTCAGAGAGGAGGAATGCGTCCATGTGAGAGGTAGAAACAGTTGAGAGGACCTTGCATTTGACGATATCAAGCATGGATTCCCAGGTAGCTCTATCGATTGAGCGAAGACCCTGGGGGTTAGCAGAAGAGATGAGTTCCTGAGTAGGAGCAAACCATATTTCAAGGAGTTTTTCAGGGCCCTCAAAGGCGTTTGTCGAGTCTAGCTGGACGGAGAGGTCGTGGTTGACGAACTTGGGGGGGTAGTTAGTAGGCGAGTCGAGGATCATAGGTAAGAGCAGCAGAGTGGGTCGTGTTATCTGGGTCTAATATCAAGTTAGTAATTGAAAGATTACAATAGTCATGTTATATGATTGGTATAGAATTCAAAAAAAAAAGAATTAAATGGGATAAGATTGAATACGTACTTAGCGAGGCGGACAAATCGTCGGAGCAGGTCTTGGGCCATACGAGGAAACAAAGGTCTTTAAAATGTGATAGAACCAAACTTAGGGCAGTGAGATGCAATTTCCTAGACACTTGAAAGGAAACAACAACACCCTATATTCAGTGGGGGAAGAAAGGAAAAGTAAAAAGTATTTAGGGGTGGGGAGAAAGAGAAAGAAATAAGAATGAAATAAAATATAAAGAATTCAATGAAGGATATTTTAAATAAATAAATGAATAGAAATGGATGATTTAAAAATAAAGAAAGGAAAGAAGAAAAAAGATGAGGGGATTTTTTTTTTTTTTTTCTAATCTAAATAGTTAAAAATAAAATATAAAAAAAAAAAATTTTCAATTAACAATAAAATATAAAATATAAAATAAAAAGAAAAGAGCAATTAAAAGCTTTTTTATTTTATTTTTATTTTTATTTTAATTTTAATTTCCTGAATGGTCTTTTAAATAAAAAATAAAAAAATTTCCTTTCAAGATGAGTTTGTTGATGATAATTTTGGTGATAATTTTGGTGGTGGTGATGCAAATTTTTCAGGTTTACAAAAAAAAAAAAAAAAAAAAAAAAAAAAATTTCTCTGCTGAGGTGGGAAGAAAAAAAAAAAAAAAAAAAAAAAAAAAAAAAAGAAGGAAATTTTTTCTGGGGGAGAAAAAAAAAAAAAAAACTTTTTTTGTGTGTATAAAAATTTATATTTATAAAAAAAAAGTTTATGGTTGAGGGGGACCGGTGTAGACAATTTTAGTATATGTGTATGTGTGTGTAGTTATAATTATTATTATTATTATTATTATTATTATTATTATTATTATTATTATTATTATTATTATTATTATTAATTATATAAAATAATTATTTTTTATTTTTTTAATATAAAATTTTGAAAAAAAAAAAAAAAAAAAAAAACTGCAGTGGTTTTTTTAAAATTTAATTTTTTTTTTTTTTTAATTTTTTTAATTTAATTTTTTTTTATTTTTTTTATTTTTTTTATTTTTTTATAGGTATACATCACAGTACACTCCAGCACAGTCTGGTGGGAACTGAAAGGGTTTGGGTTAGGGCGCCACTTTAACAAGGGCAGCAATGAAAAAAAATAATTAAAAATAATTAAAAATAATTAAAAATGTCACGTGTATAGTTGCGTGGCAAAGTTAATGCAACGGTGTGTTACAAAAGAATAATGTAATAAAAAAGTGACTCATTATTAAGTAATTATCTTGTAATTAAAATATTTTATTTAAAATTTAAATTTAGTTTAATTTAATTAAATTAATTAATTTAATTTAATTTGATTTAATTTGATTTAATTTGTAACATAATAATAACAATACAATATATTTTGTAACATATTTTGTAACACCCAGATATCCACTTAAAAAAATAAAATAAAATAAAATAAAATAAAATAAAATAAAATAAAATAAACACCTTCTGATGCCTAACTATTCCTTCCTGCCTCCCCTTAAAAAAAGAAAAATAAATAAATAAAATAAAATAAAATAAATAAAAAAGGCCCTGCGCATGCACTTTTGACAGGTAACCGTTTTGGCAACCGTTAAGCTAACACTTACCCGGTATCTTTTGGGGGGGGTTTTTTTTTTTATTTTTTTTTTATTTTTTTTTTTTTTACATGCTTTCTCTCTTCACTTTTTCTCAACACACACATGTTATCTTTATTTTTTTTTTAACTACCAGGTAACTTTGTTATCTATTCTTTTGTTATTTCCCTCTAACATTAATAATATTTTTTATTATTATTTTTATTATTATTATTATTATTATTATTAACAGTTATATAATAACATCAATTTTTTTTTTTTTTTTTTTTTTTTTTTTTTTTTTCCTCCCGCCTGCCAATATAAAACCGCACACACACTTAAAAAAAAAAAAAAAAAAAAAACCCTTCCCCCCCCATTACCACCACCACCATAACCACAATTACCACTACAATTACCACCATCATCACCACTTCAATCATCATCATCACATTTACCATATTCACCATATATATATATATATATATATATATATATTCACTAAATTCACCATATTCAATACATACAACATATATATAAATAAATTAGCACTCAATTTTCCACACCTATCCTAATAGTCTACACTCAATCAATGCCTGGAAACGTCCGACCGACCGCCTTATACTGGGACCCGGACGCTCCGGTCAACTCCTATAAATATACAGCCCTCAATGCTGCTGCTGCTGCTGCTGCTGCTACTGCTGCTGCTACTTCTGTTGCAACCACTACTACTACTGCTACTACTACTACTAGTGCAACCGATAGCGTTGTAGATAAACCTCCTCCATCACTAGCAAACTCGGCTCCAGAAGCTCTGGCAGCTCCGGCAACTCCGAAACCTCCGACATCTACAACAGCTTTAGCTTCATCTCTATCTCAAACTATACAAACATCTCAGATAGATACAGAAAAACTCACAAATAATAACACATCCACTACTACCATCATCTCTCCGGCTCATATATACTCAACCCTCCCAGCAGAAAAAATCATCTCGGGCCCACCACCTATTTCAACTAATCAAAATATAATCAACTCCCATGGTCACAATAACAACTCTCACTATAGCCCATCTTCCTCATCCTCCTCATCCTCCTCCTCCTCCTCTTCTAAAGCCCTCTCAAATACTGCAGCAATGCTCGACCGTTGTGATGCCGTCTACGTCTATTCAAAACCAAAAGATCTTTGCGCCCAACTTTATACCATCTGCACCCGTCTCTCGGCCGCTGCCGTTGCTGCATCCGGCCCAGAACCAGAGTCAGCCTCTTCACCTGACTTTGCCCACTCATTTGATCGGGCTCATTCCCCAGCAGCCAAAACTCTTTTCGAGGATACCCCTCCTCTTTTGCTCTTTCTCGCCCATGATGCCCCCGCTGCACATCTCCCTCTTATCCGCTATGCCTGCTTTCTAGCTTCCCATGTCCCAGCAGTAGTCACTGTTCTTTACCCTGAATGCCCGGCTTCCCCATCAAGCCTCCCAGATGTTGGTGGATACTCTGGGAACGACAGACGTAACCCTAACGCCGTGCGCGGGGCCGTCCCTAATGCCGTTTTCCATGCTCTACGCTCCTGCGGTGTGGCTGCCTTTGGGCCTCCCACAATATCTCCTCCAGTGCTCGACCTAGTTTTTTCTAAAGCTGAGGCTTTGCGCAAAATGACGGGTGTTGTTTTGGACCGCCTTAAACGTGCAGCCGAGGTTCGCATTGCCAAGGAAATGGACCCGAGCTACTCCAACATTTACTTTGATAAGAGCACGTGCCGGCCCGTGTGCATGGCTGCGACCCCGGAGGAGCGCGACCATGAAAGAGAGGTTTTTTCAAAAGTTTGTCCGAGACCACTTTTTGGTACGGCCTATGATTATTATGTGTTAAACTTTTTGTGTGACTTAGAGCTTTATCACACTAGGTATCTATTACGCTCAGACACTCCACACACCTCTCGGGCACTTTTTGAAGATGATGGCACTGTGGCAGAAGATTCTCCTGCAGATGATAATGGCTCGTTTAACAACTTTGCCGAAGAAGACTACCCTTCTATATTCCATTTGTCTCCAGCACGCATTGCATATGTTAAGGAACTTGTTGGGAACTGGGACTTTGAGGCACATACCCTAACTTATAATGATTTACTGTTTGCTGCGTTTGTAATGTTTAAGCATGTTTTCAACATGCGTGGTCCAGCATCTTCGCCATGCTCTTCATCCATTGATGGGCTCATTATTCCAGATGCCCAACTGTTTAAGTTTTTGCTGGTAGTGCGTGATTCGTATTACCCAACAAATCCTTACCATAACTTTCGACACGCAATCGATGTGCTCCAGGCGAGCTTCCACTTTATGTTGCGGTTATCATCGATTCCCGAATATCCTGGGTCTGAAAAGAGTGAGCGCACGCAAGTAGCTATTCTTAATCCATTGGAGGCTTTGACAATGTTAATCATTGCAATTGGACATGATGTGGGACACCCTGGAATGACAAATGCATTTTTGACGCATGCAAAGGCCCCCGTGGCTACGGCATTTGGCTATAAGTCTGTGCTAGAATCGTATCATGGGGCTGCGTTTTCACGGATTTTACAGTTGCATTGGCCTGCAACTCAAGAACAACCGGTATGTCGGTTGATTATGCAGTCGGTGCATGCGACAGATATGGGGCTTCACTTTGATTATATGTCGAAGGCTGAGGAAGCTCGTGGGATTGTGGAGAAGTATGGCAAGGTAGAGGCGTACATTGAAGAGATGGATGGAAGTAAGATGGATACGGAGGAAGAGGTTACATTAAGGAGGTTGGAGAAGTTAAGGTTCCAAACACTTGTTTGTTGTTTGTTGATCAAGTGTGCTGATATTTCGAATGTGACTCGTGGGCTTAAGGTATCTTCAAGATGGGGGGTTGTTTTAAGCAAAGAGTTTGGGCAAGTTGATGCGTTAGAGATTTTGTTAGGACTTAAACCTGATAAACCTCATGTGGAGAAGACACCTGAGGGGAAACCATTTGCATCATTGGGACCACCAGTTCCAATGGAGAGTGATGGAGAGGGATTCCATATACCTGTTTTAGCATTGGCTAAAGGTCAATTGTTTTTCATCAATACGTTTGCGCGGCCCTTATTTGAGTTGGTAGCGCACATGTTCCCAAGTTTGGGATATACGATGGACATTTTACAGAGCAATTGCGAGTACTGGCAAGGAAGGGTTGCTAGTTTGTCTTGATCTCTTTTTTTTTTTATTATTATTTTTTTTATTTTTACTTTTTATTCATTTTTTTATATTTTTTATTATTATTATTATTTTTTTTTTTTTTTTTTTGGATTTAATAGTAGAAAGAATGAGTTTTTTTATTTTATTTTTTTTTAGGTATAATAATATAATAATTAGGGATTTCTTTTTTTTTTTTTTTTTTACATATATTTAACATATATATATATATATATATATTTGAAATATATATTTGAAATAAAAAAAAATTAAACAGCAAGCTTGGACTCTTCCTTCTTGTTGATATGGTGCTCGAGACCAGAAAGAGCCTTTGCAACGGTAACCTTGACAAACTTTTCAGTTTGTTGAGGAGCTCTACCGACAAAAGTTGAAGGATTAAGAAGAGTTTCAAGGTGAGCATGGACAGGCTCAAAGTAAGCATCCTTCTTGACACGATCAATAAGATCATTATCACCACCTTGTTGTTTAACAACGGCAGCAGCTTGGTGAGACAAGACACGGATTTTTTCATGACATTCTTGGCGATCACCTCCCTTTTCAACCATAGCCATGATAATATTTTCAGTTGCCATAAAGGGGAGTTCAGCAGAAATACGGCGTTCAATAACTTTAGGATAAACAACAAGACCAGAAACAATGTTAAGAAGAGTAGATAAAACAATATCAGCAGTCAAAAAGGCAGAGGGTAGAGAGACACGACGAATTGCAGAATCATCAAGAGTACGTTCAAACCATTGGATAGAAGCGGTAGAAGTGGCATCTTGGAAAAGAGATTGAAGGTGACGGGAAAGAGAGCAAACACGTTCGGAACGCATGGGGTTACGTTTGTAAGCCATTGCAGAGGAACCAATTTGGGTAGATTCAAAGGGTTCTTCAATTTCCTTAAGGTTTGCGAGTAAACGGATATCAGTAGCAAATTTATGAGCAGAGACACCGAGGGAAGCGAGAGGAGCCAAGACATCGACATCAATTTTACGAGAGTAAGTTTGGCCAGTGACAGGGTAAGCATAGTCAAATCCTAAAAGTTCAACAACACGGTCATCGAGGGCCTCGACTTTATCATGTTGACCATGGAAGAGGGCCAAGAAGGAACCTTGAGTACCGGTTGTACCTTTAACACCACGAAGACCGAGATCGTTACGAGCACGAACGATATTGCGAAGATCCCAGAGAAGTTCTTGGATCCAAAGGGTAGCACGTTTCCCTACAGTAGTAAGTTGAGCAGGTTGGAAATGAGTCCAACCAAGAACCGGCATATCCTTATATTTGATTGCAAAGTCAGAGAGACGATCAATGACATTGACAAGTTTAGGGATAAGGATATCGAAACCATCTCTAAGGAAGATAAGGTCAGCATTATCAGTTACAAAACAAGAGGTAGCACCTAGATGGATAATTCCAGCAGCTGCTGGGCAAGTTTCACCAAAGACATGGACATGGGACATGACATCATGACGGACAATGGCTTCTTGTTTAGTTGCAGCTTCGATTTCTTCATCAGAGATATCAATGTGAGATTTCATTTGGTCAATGGCATCTTGAGAGATTGCAGTGATACCTAATTCCTTTTCAGCAATGGCCAAGTTAAGCCAAAGTTTACGCCAAGTTGAGTATCTATTACGGAGTGAGAAGAGTTCCGACATTTCCTTTGAGGCGTATCTTGAGGAAAGTGGAGTTTGGTATTTATCGTAGGTAGACATTTTTCTTTTTTTTGTTAGTTAGTTAGTTTGGTTAATTTGATGGATGGGGTAAATAATAATAATAAGAAAAAAAAAAATATATATATATATATATAAAGAAGAAGGGGAAGGTAGAGAAGACTTTAAATAGAATTTTTTTTTTTTTTTTAGAAAGAAAGAAAGAAAGAAAGAAAGAAAGAAAATTTTCAATGTTGGTGGACCAAAAGGGGTAGCAAATGGGCGAACGTGAAGGACTTACAAAAAAAAAAAAAAATAAAAAAAATAAAAAAAATAAAAAAAATAAAATTTAAATTTAAATTTAAATTTAAATAAAAAAAAAAAATAAAGTATGGGGTGATTAAATAGCAGTTATATATAAAAAAAGTTTAATTATTTATTAAAAATACTGGGTAAGTTTAAAGTTATTTAAATATATTATTATAATAACTTATATATTATATAAATGAAAAATAAATGAAAATAAACCGGGACAAACACCCGGAGTAGTGGCTGCTGCTTGCTAATTTAAATAATTAACCCTTTTAGTTTGGTTTGGGTGGGCGGCAAGACAAGTAAGCAGCAAACACTAACAAAAAAAAAAAAAAGAAAAAAAAAAGACGACTACAGTGTACTACAACTACAACTACAACTACAACTACAACTACAACTACAACTACAACTATATATAATTAAATTATATACTACAGTGGAACTGAGGCTGCGGCTGCAGTGATGGAGGAGAAGAAGAAGAAGAAGAAGAAGGAAAAAGGAAGAACAGCGGGGGGATCGGCAGTGACAAGAAGAAGCGATTTTTTACCGATAAGTTTTCGTGGCATAAAAAAATGAAAAAATGAAAAATTGAATGTATTGTGAAATGGAAATTTTATATTTTATTTTATTTTATTTTATTTTATTTTATTTAATATTTTATATTTTATATTTTATATTTTATATTTTATTTTATTTTATTTTATTTTATATTTTATATTTTATATTTTATTTATTTATATAATTTGTTAGACGGAAAAATTTCAAAAGAATTTTTTTTATGATGTGGTATTTTTTTTTTTTTTTGTGGAGAAGGACATATATATATATATATAAGAGAAATTAAAATATATAATTGATATAATAAAAAAAAGAAGAAATCCAAGTCAATTGAATTGAAATTGAAATTGAAATTGAAATTGAAATTGAAATTGAAATTGAAATTGAAATTGAAATTTATAAAATATAAAAATAAAATAAAAATGAAAGAATGGCGTAAATTTTCCTTTTTTATTATAATAATAATAATTATCTCTCCACAATATGTTTTTTTTTTTTTTTTAATATAAATATAAATATAAATATAAATATAAATATAAATATAAATATAAATAATAATAATAATAGTAGTACATACATACATACATACAAAACTCAATTTTTTTTTTGTTTTTTTTTGATTCCCCCACCCAATAAAAGCTTCTCTCCATTCACCCCTCCTCTTCTTCCTCCCTTTGGCCAGACCATTAAAAATAATAAATAAATAAATAAATAAAATAATAATAATTATATTTAAAAGTATAAATACCTCTGATTTTTCCCACAAAGTTTTTTTTTTTTTTTTTTTTTTTTTTTTTTTTTAAATAACCCTTCTTACTTTATATACTACATCTTTCTTTTTTTTTTAAAAAAAAAAAAACCTTCCTTCCCTTTTTGTGTATTTTATTATCACAATCCCCAATTCCCCTTTCTAACTACTCTCTTATATATATACATATACTCATTTAAAAATGGTTAAAGCTGTTGTTGCTGGTGCTGCTGGTGGTATTGGCCAGCCCCTCTCTCTTCTCCTCAAACTCTCCCCCTACGTCACTGACCTCGCTCTCTACGATGTCGTCAACTCTCCCGGTGTCGCCGCTGACCTTTCCCACATCTCTACCGAAGGTGAAGTCAAGGGTTACCTCCCAGCCGATGGTGGCCTCGAAAAGGCTCTCACTGGTGCTGACATTGTCGTCATCCCCGCAGGTATCCCCCGTAAGCCTGGTATGACCCGTGACGATCTCTTTAAGATCAATGCTGGCATTGTCCGTGACCTCATTGAAGGTGTCGCAAAATACTCCCCCAAGGCCTTTGTCCTCATCATTTCAAACCCTGTCAACTCTACCGTCCCCATTGCCGCTGAAGTCCTTAAGAAGGCTGGTGTCTTTGACCCAAAGAAACTCTTTGGTGTTACCACCCTCGATGTTGTTCGTGCCCAAACTTTTGTCTCCACCGTTGTTGGTGACAAGAACCCCGCCAAGTACAATGTCCCAGTCATTGGTGGCCACTCTGGTGAAACCATTGTCCCCCTCATCTCCCTCTCAGAACCCAAGGCTGATGTCCCTGAAGATAAGCTCGCTGAGCTCGTCAAGCGTATCCAGTTTGGCGGTGACGAGGTTGTCCAGGCTAAGAATGGCGCTGGTTCCGCCACCCTCTCAATGGCCTACGCTGGTTTCCGTTTCGCTGAAGCTGTCCTCAAGGGTGCTGCTGGTGAGAAGAATATCATTGAGCCTTCCTTTGTCTTCCTTGAGGGCATTGAGGGTGCTGAGGAGATTAAGAAGGCTGTTGGTGTTGACTTTTTCTCTGTTCCTGTTGAACTTGGTGTAAGTATTATTATTGTTTTTATTTTCGATCCTACTTGATTCTTTGGTTTTATTATATATACTAACTTTTTTTTTTTTTTTTTTTTTATAGCCCGGCGGTGCCACCAAGCTCTTCAACCCTCTGGAGAAGATCACTTCTTACGAAAAGGGTCTTGTCGATGTCGCCATTGAGGGTCTTTCTGGCAACATCACCAAGGGCGTGGAGTTCATCACCAAGGCCTCCGAGTCCAAGTAAGTGTACATAGCTACGTAACGAGTAACGAGTAATGAATGAACAAGCCTAATAACGTGCTTTAGAATTTGAGTAGATTTTGAGAAAGAAAAAGAAAAAGAAGAAGAAGAAAATTGTAAGTATCACAAGTATTTCTGTAATAATTGAATTGAAATTGAATTAATAAATTATTGAAATTGAATGAATGGCTTGTTGAAATTGTTGTTAGGAAACCTTTTGAGGGGACTTCGACAGCTGGCAGCTGCGGGGGAGGGGGGATGGGGCCAAAAAAAAAAAAAAGGAGAGGCTTTTGAAAATTACCCCAGATCACGTGCCATGGAATTTGCCAGCACCTTCTAAAGCAGGGTAACATATGTGTATATAAATGGGGCCACCTGCTACCTTTTTGTTTATTTTTTTTATTTTTTTATTTTATTTTATTTTTCATTTTGGTAAAAAAAAAAAATTAATTAAAAAAAAATCATCACCACCACCACCATTCCCCTTTAGAAACAAAATCAAGAATTTCTTACCAAATCTACTTTTTGACAACTTACAAATACTCAACTACCACCACCAAAACAAATCCAAATCAACACAAACTAATTCCAAATTAATTAATCCAAACCAAATTCACTATCAAAAACAAAACAAAACAAAATAAAATAAAAGAAAAAATGGTTTACGATGCTGGCGACTCATTCATCTCTGATGATGAAGAAGAACTCTGTCCTCTTTGCGTAGAGGAAATGGACATTTCAGATAAAAACTTCAAACCTTGTCCCTGCGGATACCAAGTCTGTCAGTTCTGCTACAATAATATTCGTCAAAACCCTCAACTTAACGGCCGTTGTCCTGCTTGTCGTCGTCCTTACGATGATGCTACTGTCGAGTACAAGGCCATTTCCCAAGAAGAATGGAAAAAGGAACATGACAAACAGTCACGCCGAGAACGAGACCGTAAACAACGTCAGAGAGAGAAGAAGGAATCAGAACAACAAACCTCTCGTAAACATCTCTCAGGTATGCGTGTCATTCAGAAAAACCTTGTCTATGTTATTGGGCTCAACCCAAGTATCCCTACTGAGGAACTTCACAATACCCTCCGTACAGACCAGTTCTTTGGCCAATATGGTAAAATCCAAAAAATCGTCATCAATAGGCGTAACAATGCAAATGGTAACCCGGGTATTGGTGTCTATGTTACTTTTGCTCGCAAGGAAGATGCAGCTAAATGCATAGCTGCTGTTGATGGCTCTCTCAATGATGGCAAGTACCTCCGTGCTGCTTATGGCACTACAAAGTATTGCTCTTCATACCTTCGTGGCCAATCGTGTCCAAACCCAAATTGCATGTTTTTACACGAGCCTGGGGAAGAAGCAGATTCTTATACTCGTAAAGACTTGTCTACCTTTCAAGTCTCAACAAGTAATACAGGATCATCTGGAAGATCCGGAAGCAACGCTTCTAGTAGTAACAGCGGAATTCCTAAACAAGTCCCCAAACAAGTGGCCCATTCTTCAACAAATAGACCTCCAGACTCGGTTGTGTCTTCATCTCCACCAGCAGGAGCAACAACGTCAGCATCAGCAGCAGCAGCGGCTGCAGCAACAGCTCATGACCACGATTTCCATCTCCCTCCTACTGTCTCGTGGGCTACTAAAGCTTCCCCAAGTACTCCACAGGCAAAACTCCACACAGCATCTCTTGCATCCTACCCGCCACTACCGGTGTCTTCTGCCCACGCTGCTGCACCCATTGCTGCTACTGATTCATCTTTATCTTTATCTTCTACAAATTCCAAGAAACGTGAGGCCACACCACCTGTGTTTGAAGAAGATGAGACTCATGAAGAGATTGCCATTGAGGAAGTAGAATCTGAAGAAGCAGAGGCTGATGAAGAAAGACAAGATCAAAATGGACAAGAACAAGAAGAGGAAGAAGATCGAGAAGACAAAGAGGATGAAGAAGAAGACGAAGAAGACGAAGAAGATTATTTGCCTTGCCCTGAGCCTCGTACACCAGATGTGGCTGTCACTTATATGCACGATTCCCTTGTTGCTCTTGCTGACCCATCTGCTTACACTTATGCTTTTAGCGGTGAAGTTGTAAGTGAACACAGACTTACCCAGGCATTCCCCTTGTTTTCATATACCCAGGAAACAACAAAAGAGTCTAAGGGTGAGGTCAAGGAAGACCCAGTTGCTGAATATTATTCTGAAATGGAGGAATACATGTTCAAGCCTAATGCTACTGCGCAGAAATTTAGAGCCAGTATTGGGTTTTTGGATGCTGCTCGTCAACAACAATTTGAATTGCAGTTGCAGCAACAACAACAACAGCAGTTGGCTTTGCAGCGTCAACTTGAACAACAACAACAGCAGCAACAGCAGCAGCAGCAGCAACAACAACAACAACAGCAACAGCAGCAGCAGCAACAACAACAACAACAGCAGCAGCAACAACAGCAGCTACAACAGCAGCAGCAATTTGGTTTTGATTTGGCCAAAACTGCGACACCACCTCCCCCTGGATTGTTTGCTTCACCTGCACAGGCCAATTACGCCAACCTGGCTGGTGTGCCTGTGGTCCCTACAACTTCAGCTACCAGCAACAATAGTCAGGAACTTTTGGCTCACCTAATGAAGGGCAGCAAATAATCAGGTTAACATGGAGGAAAAAAATGAAAAAAAAAATTTTTTTTTGATGACAAAAATTGTAGTTTATTTAAAAAAAAAAAAAAAAAAAAAGAATCTATATTTATTTATTTACTTTCGTAGCGACGAGACAAGGTACGCAATTTGGACTGGTATGCATCCAGATCCAAATAAGTCCCGCGGAACCAGCGGGTGCCCGACATTTGGTCAAACTGATTACGGGCATGTAGAATGCGACGGTTAAGGAACAACATACAAGTATTTTCGCGCATCTTGACTTCAATACGATGGGTAGGATCATTAATGTATTCTTCAAACAATGCAATACCACGGCGCAAAGCATCAGCTTGATCTGAAGTAAATGAACCAGAGACAAGGGAATCGAGTGGGCCTTGGAAGGGAGGTGAGTAATTGACAGTAGTCAATGCAGGGAGAGGTCCAGAGGGTGAGTCAATAGTAGCACCAGAAGGATCTTCTACAACCATAGGACGTTGTTTGTAGTAATGTTCACCTGCATTATCATAATGGAAAGTAAGAGGAACTGTTTTTAAAGCATTATATGCATCTTTGTCGGTAAGATAAACATGATGAGCGGCAGCAAAGGAATCAGCGAAAAGAGATTCTCCACCAACAGTTGAGTTGCGTACAATATGAAGTAATTGAACACCAGGAGGTGACTCGTAATAAAGTAAATCCATATGCAATGGCAAATATACTGAAGTATAAGCTACATTAGTAGCCTCAGGAACTGAAACAACGTTCCATGATTTGCCATAAAATGTTTCCTTAATATACCCACCAATACGTTTCCCAATTTCTTCCACAAGTACCTTGCATCCATCTGCAATATCAAAGGGCGGGCTCCCTGGATTAGTACCATTAATAACATCCTCCTGATCTGGAATATTTTCCACAAAAACTAACCCAACCTCATGTAATCCCTTGACTGCTCGGTACACATCATGATCATGATACATGTAATCAAAATAGTCAACACGAGGGATATCAGCTACTGAAACTCCTTCTGGGCGTGAGCTTAATGTATCCCAGGAAACATATGGCCGATTAGTAGCACGGAAATTGCGTGCAGCATCACGGCCACGATACCGGGCCAGAAATGTGCTTGGGAAAAGTGATGTGTGACCGTCAGCCCACGATACTAGTAAAGCGTCATGTTTATGAGGGTCATGGTATCTTGTAGCTTGTTCATGAAGTGGAAGAAGGTTATCTAAGGAAGAGATTTTAGATTTTGAAGAAGAGGAAGAAGTTGTTGTAGTAGTAGTAGTTCCGTCGACTACGGTTACTGAGGAGATTGTAGTTGCAGCTTCAGATAGTGCACCTGTGGAAAAAGTTTTCTGTGAACTTGAAGGATCCAGTGCTCCTCGAAGACCAGCGGTTGGACATGCATCACGAAGGAAAAGTGCAGGGAAAGTTGTAGAAAAAGGAATAGAGGAATGTGTATCACCAGGAGCACCCGATGCAGGAAGTCCAGAGATTGTGACTGAGTGAGGGTCAGAGGCCACAATATGGAGAGCTCTTTTTTTGATGGAAGTGGAAGAAGAGGAGGCAGCTGTGAAGACAGCTGATGCAAGTTTATGATAGCGAGCTGCTGGTTTGGATAATTGAGAGAGCATATGGGGTAGAATATATATATATATATTTTTTTTATATTACAAGTGAGAGAGTTAGAAAATATTATTTTAATAATAAGATTAATAAAAGAAGAGAGAAAGAGAAATAAAAAAAAAAAAAAGAAAAAAAAGGGGGTAGGAATTGGATGTTTATATCTAAGAGGAAATGAAGAAGAAAGGGAAAAGAAAGAAAAAAAAAAATAGGAAGGGAAGGGTATAATTGGAATAATGTCCGTTGAAATATGGAGAATTGAAAAGGTTTAAATTGAGATGAGACCACTTTTTTTTTTTTTTTTTTTTACTTTGTAAGTTAATTAGAAAAAAAAAAAAAAAAAAATACGATGAGATGAAAAAGATCGGAGGAATCAGGACAGAATTTATTTAATTCTAATTAGAATTGGTTTTTTTTTTTCAAAATATATATATATATATATCTATATAACGGTTTAGTTTCTATTACGTGTGTAAAAAGAGTGCTACAGGTTTATATCTGGATATGCTTTTTTTTTTTTTTTTTTTTTTTTTTGCAATATATATATAACTGGGGTAATACCCGTTGATCCGTGAAAATAAAAAAAAAAAAATCCAACTAGCATTTGAATTTAATTTTTATTTCATATTTTTATACTTTTTTTTTTATTGCCGAATTTCCATTATAATTCTACAAACAAACAAACAAACAAACAAATAGTTAAATTGAGTTTTTCCGGGGGGGACCAAAAGGGGATTTTTTTTTTTTTTTTTTTTTTTTCTTTTGTTTGTTTATTTATAAAATTTGGCCTCTCTCCCACCCGACTCCCCCCCAGGTTCTTTAAGCAACTCCACTAATCCCTTAATAAACTATACAATAAACATTCGGAAACATCAAAAAAAAAAAAAAACTCAACCGGACTTATAAGAAAATAAAGAAGGAAGGAAGAAAGGAAGTAGGGAGTTCTCAAGAGTATACAAATTATTTTTTTTTTTCTTCTTCTTTTTGGATGGATTAATGTTTTGTGGGGGGTTTATTTATTTAATTTATTTTCCTTTTTAGTTTGGGTTCTCCACAATTGGATTTGATTGGTTGAAATCTTTTTTTCCTAGAAGAGTTTAAAATATAATTAATTTTTTTTTAAATTATTACCCCGGATTTTTAATTTTTAATTTTTAATTTTTTTTTTTTTTTTAAATTCAATCAATTAATCACGATACTTTTTATTTATTTTTTTTCTTTATTTTATTTTATTTTATTTATTTTATTTTTTTTTCATCTGTAAACAACTTTAATTTATAATTCTCCCCACAATTATTATTTTTTTTTATTATTTTAATTCCTTCAAAGTGGCGTGAAAAAAAAAAATAATAAAAGGCACCCGAAATTTATTTACCATAAATTTATATAAAAAAGTTTACAAAAATTTGAAGTAATTTTCCGAAAAAATTAAAAAAAAAAGGAAAATTATAACTTAAGCATAAAAAAATGTTTGTTTATTTGTTTGTTTTTATTCAAGGGTTATAGAATTATATAACATCAGCATCTGCGCTATCCTTTTTGTCCATACTATATATCTTTTCATTTTCATAATAAACTTTTACATAAAAAATTTCCTTTTTAGGAAATTTAGATCAATGTCAAAATATTTCTTATAGCAAAAAAAGGTTAAATTTTCAAGAATTGGAGGCTCGATGGTTTAGTGGTATAATTCTCGCTTAGGGTTATCTAAGCAATTTGCGAGAGGTCCCGGGTTCAATTCCCGGTTGAGCCCAATATCTTATTTTTTCTTGTCTTTTAAAAACAAAATTTTTCATTGATTTTTCATTGTTCAAACAAATTTTTTTTTTTTTTTTTTCACAACTTTTTTCATTTTTTTTTTTTTTTTTTCACTTGCAACAAACTTTTGTGTGGAATGTCGATTTTTTTTTTTTTTTTTTTGAAATGTCAACAATATCATCTTTTTTGGGAAACCATATTCTATATACCGGAGTATATTACATACTGTGACTGTTTTTCATATTTATTACCTAATCATACAGAAATTATACAACGCGTCAACAAAAAGTTTTTATACGCGTCTTATTTTAATAAAATTTAACAAAATCTTTCTACGCGTTGTTTTCGTGATACTTATTACAACATTACAATATATTACACTTTCTATTATAATTTTTTTTTTGTGTTAAAATTTTTTTTTTTTTTTTTTTCACTCACACCCTCTCACGGTTCTCAGGACTCTCCCTCTTTTCCCTCTTTTTTTTTTTTTTTTTCCCCTTTTCCCCCCCTTCTACCCATACCGTCCTAGTCACACGTCACACCAGCAGCAAAAATGGAAAACGAACAGGGAGTTCTCGTAAGTTTTTTTTTATTTTATTTTATTTTACTTTTGATAACTATTGGAGCAGTTCTGAAATACCCTCCCTCATTCTTCTTAAATGAAGTGTAAAAAAGAATAAAGAAAAAAAATAAGAATGAACAAAGTTAGTTAACTCATATTATTTACAGGTCGAGCTTTACATTCCTCGCAAGTGCGATGCCACCAACCGCATCATCAAGGCCAAGGACCACGCCTCAGTTCAAATCAACATTGCCGATGTTGACGAGTCTGGCCGCGCCATTGCTGGCAAGAACACCACCTACTCCATCTGCGGCTACATTCGCTCCAAGGCCGAGTCTGATGACTCTCTCAACAGACTTGCCCAGCAGGACGGTCTCCTCAAGAATGTCTTTTCTTACAGACGATAAAGGGTTGATGTGTGTATTATAAAAAAAAATAAAAAAAAATACTTGTAATGATTGCTTGAACAAATTAAGGTGTCCTTTTTCTTTTTTTTCTTTCTATTCATTTCTTGTGTATTTATATTTTACATTTCTAGATTATATTTGAGCTGATTTGCAAGATCTCTAGCTAGCCCAGGCTCTAGCTGATACTCAAGCCGGTCCAACATTGCTTGTACTTGGTTTCGTGCTTTTCTAAGCTGCGTAGACTTGCCACTGCAACAGTCTAAAATGCTCTGTACCAAGTGGTGTACTGCCGCACGCACATGCTTATGAATCTCGCAACCTTGGCTTTGGCCATTATCTAAAAACAAAAGCTGCTCCAGAGTTTGGGCCATGACCAAGTGCTGTGCCCGCACAGAACTTAGTGCATGTCGATTCTTCCCACAAAGCCACCGCATCCATGGAGCCCACACGGCTTCCACCGCATTCTGGGCAAAATGGACTACAAGAACATTGGCCAATACCCCGGCTTCAAATACTTGCACTGATGGGGTTTCCAAAACTGCTCGTTGGGCTACTTGTTGCGCATGCACAAGCTGTAACAGCCACCCGAATGCAGTGTCGTAGATTGCAAGCGCACGCGTAGGAATCACACCTTGAAGCACGGGTGGAGGGGTATAAACCATACGCAGAAATTGGGTGGCTTTTAAATCATATTGTGCGCTTGCACGCGCAACTTTGCCTGTAACAAGATCTCCTCGCAACCCAATGTTGATAAACTGGTCACTGGGAAGTATTCTCTTTACTGCACTTGAAACAATTTCAGATAATGCTGAATGAATACGTGCAGGACCTGGAGGCCAATACTCAAGAGTCTTGCTACACAAGCCTAACGCGCCTGGATCTGTTCCAAATACTTGTTCACGCAAATCATTCAATAACAGACCAGATCCTAATAGTACCACTTCACGTACCACTTTCATATGTGCACTCAAGTCCGTTTCACCACTAAACACGGCCTGCCATGTAAACTCGTGCAACAACGCGGCCTGCGCACGCAACACAGGGCCTACAGACCGCATTGTGACTACATGCAACTGCATTTCCAACTCCGCAGCCGCCGCAGCCGCCACAGCAGTACCAGCAGCAGCAGAAACTGGTTGTGAGCTGGACCCAAACACAGTCGCATAAAAGGTCTCATCTGCCGGACGTGCGGGTGCTGGTGGTGCGTCCATGGCTTTCAACAAGTCTGTTACTGAGTTTTCTTGAGTTTCTGCAACATATTCGTGCATCGAGGTATCTTGTTGTTCTACCCCCTCCCTAATTGCAGCTGTGACTCGACTCACATAATCTTCAATGGCACGCGACTGGACAGCCACTTCTGAAACTGACCGCATCCAATGAAGTCTGATGGGAACTACGGTGTGTAATCGAAGCAGCGCGGCTTGTGTTTGGGGATCATCGGCTGCGTGCCGTTCCAACAACACTAGACAATTGGCACAGTCTGCACACATTTGTGCCAGTTCTTGTGACACAAACCTGGGCACTTTTGTTTCGTTGACGCCATAGAGCCGTATCCTTAAAGCCTCTGGTGTTCCTACAGGGTTAAATGCTGAGATTGTCTTATCGTAGTAAGCACTTGTTTGCATTTCTTGGTCTTCCTCCAGCTCAAGAAACGTGTCGGGATCATTAACTCCAAGTAATAGCGAGTGATTAGGATCAAGACCAATGTAGGGCTCTAACGAGGTAAGCCATTGCTCGACCGTGCGTACAAGCATCCGTGTAAAGAGTGATGGAAGTAATAATCCACCCACGGTATCTGAAACAGCAGTACCTTCGAGATGTACACACTTGGCATATAATGCATTGAGTAGTTTCCAAGGAGCAGGAAGTCGTGCTAGGATTAAAGCACGAGATAAATCTGCGCATCCTAAAAGTTGTGCAGTCATATTAATGACCGCCACAGGCCCACGTACTAACCCATCAGCAGCCAGTAGTGCATCTGTGGGGGTCCCTGACAGAATGTGAGCCTCTAGGGCTGATAAGACACCTGCAATGCTGCTTGCGAGTGCAACAAGTACAGGGCCTGCTCTTGGTGAGGTATCATTATTTTTATTTCCTGCACACTGGAAAATAACATGACACGAGTATCGCAGTCGCAAGAATCGTGCACCGGCATCCAGGGCTTCTTTTACCAAGTGAGCCACTGCAGCTGCTGAAACACCAGGAACCGTGTACTGTTGCGTCAGGGTCTCGCTAAATACTTGTCTTGTCGTATCGTACCGAAACAACTCAGATTGGCGGCCACAAACTGCTCCTGCAACACACCTCAGAACGTACTCTGGAGGAAGAGCTTTTGCGCAAAGACTTGAGGGATCACTCTGACCAACTCTCAACTGTAGAACTGAGCCAATAGTCTGTGCACGGGATTGTGGAGTGTCTAGGAGGTATCTTTGCGAGGTATTTGGGAGTCCTTCAAAAGTAGACCATGACACTGGAGGTTTACATGGTTTATTTCCTTCTTTTCCTTCTTCTTCTTCTTCTTTTTCTTCTTCTTCAAAAAGACGGGTATAATCAACATGATTGTAATTATTGTTGAAGCTGCGCTTTTGTGTGGGGGTTTGTGGCCAAATGTCTGGACTAAATTCCATTGCAGGTCGGTTCGCCACAAACTCCTCGAGTGTCGGGACATCAATACCATATTGAGCTAGGACCGCAGGGTCGTAGAACAATGAGTCTGCTGCATTAAACCGGAGATCTAATTCAAACAAAGATGTTGTTTAATGTTAAGCCCTTTTTTTGGGGGTTTTTTTTTTTTTTTCTTTAATGAAAGACAATAAATAAATAAGATTGTAAAGTCAACAACAATATTTACGTACCTTCAGGGGGATGTGGGGGGTTTCCAAATAATGACGAGCTTTGTTCGACTACCCGACCGAGTTCCGGTACCATTGGCGGCACCACAAACAAACCAGGTCCTTGGCCAGCTTGCCTGCCGGAACTACGAGCCATTTTATTTTTATTTTTATCTTTTTTCGGCGCTCGTTGTTTGTTTTTTTTAAAGTATTATGTCTTTTGATAACTTGCTGAATAAAAAAAAAAAAAAAAAAAAAAAGCGCTCCTTAATTGTTAATTTCACGTCTTAGTCAGCCAGCCAACCAAAATTATCCAGCCAAAAATAAGTCAAGCTTAACTCTTAACAAAAAAAAAAAAAAGGCCCACTTACAAAACCATCCTTTTTTTTTTTTTTTTTATCCCATTACCACCAAATAATAATAAAAAATCACAAAAATTCTACATCTCTTCAAACTGGCCAGCAAGTCCTCAACTGACCTCAAAATCAATACATCATATCTAAATCACTCATTATGAATTCTGCTTCGGTGTTTTCCACTGGTTCTTCAGGTTCTGCTCAACAGCAGCAGCAGCAGCAGCAGCAGCAGCAGCAGCAACAGCAGCAACAGCAGCAACAACAACAACAACAACAGCAGCAGCACCATTTCAATATTTCTACAACCACTTTTGCCAGTAACAACCCATTCATTGCTCTTTCTTCAAAACCCTCTTCTCCAGTCCCAGGCTCTCCAGTCATTGGGTCGCCGTTGTCACCTCCATCGCCGCTTGCAGAGTCGCCTGTTTTTGGGTCTCCTTTGAACTCTCCAGACTTTCTCGCAGCTGGCGTCATTACTCAGCACAACAGTTTTAACGACCCACCGAGTCCCAGCGCTGCTGCGGCCACAGCTTCTGCCTCTACTGGTTTATTTTCTCAAGATGAACAGCAGCAGCAACAGCAGGGTACAGCTTCCTTGCAAGGACCATTGCTTACACCTCGTCAACAGTATCAAGCCTCGAGAAAACAAAACTACTCGCATGCAGACATTTCGCGCATTAGTGAGACCACTGCAACTGCACACTTGGCTGCACCGCAGAGCTCTTTGAGTACTCAGCAGCAGCAACAGCAACAGCAACAGCAGCAACAACAGCAACAGCAGTACTTTCCAAAACAGTCTCCAATTTTCAGACAACCAGTTTATACTGCAGATCCTGTGGAACCATTTGTAAAGGAAGACCGATCGACTACTCTACCGTCATTCTCTCAACAACAACAGCAACAACAGCAGCAGCAACAGCAACAACAACAGCCTCGGCATCATAGTGTGGCAGTTCCAAGTCATACATTTTTGTCATCATCATCATCTTCGTCGTCGTCCTCTTCTCATTTCCCTCAAAAACTTAAAAACTTTTTCAAGTTTTCTTCGTTATCCTCCTCTTCATCCTCAATAGCCAACCATTCGTCTACAAATCTCCACGATAACACCACTGGACCTAATAACAATACCCAGGTACAACAACAACTACAACAACAACAACAACCGCCTCAACAACAACAGCAGCAATTGCCTTTACCTTCCTCGAATAACCATCATCAACGACGCCGGTCTTCAAACAATGGCCTCAAGAGTGCTCCACTTTCTCCCAATATCCCACCCATCTATGCCGAGGCTCCACCACCGCTTCACGCCGATTTCCCAGATGCAGACCAACAACAACAGTCACCAGCCACATCGGCCCATTCTCCTTTTGGCCATAGCAACAGCTCGGGCCCTAGCAAGGCTTCATCTCCCTCCGCTGACGTCACAAGCTTCCCACAATCTTCCACAGATACCACCCCTTTGGTCTCGCCCATGGCTCCATCTTCAGGTTCCCCATTGCCCTTCTTCCCTCCAGTCCAGCAACAACAGAACAAGCATTCCCAATCAAGCTCTTCATTGTCTCTTCGTACCCGTAAACTTTTGCGTCTTCGCTCTCCTTCAAGTCCTGCGGCTGTTCCAGAAACTTTGATTCATGAAAATACTCGTGGTGCTACACAATCCCAAGCACATTCACCAGCTCCTCAATCATCGTCTTCCTCGACCCCTTCGCCTATTACTGGTCCTACAAATGAGCCTCTATCTCCTTCTTTGGTTACTCAACCGGCTTCATTGGGTGCGCCTGGCAGTAGTGGCAATTCTGCCCCTTCAGAAAATGGTTACCACGCAACAACAACTACAGTAGCTGCAACAGCGGCTTACACCGGCACAGGGATATTTCACGCATTTCAACACTCTAAACCCTCGAGACCTAATAGCGCCGCCGAACAACAACCACTTTTCGAGGAAAAATCTACAAACTCTCCAACTCCTTTTGATGAAACCGCTGAGACTCCTGAAAATTATCTCCCACCTCCTCCCAAGGGCCTCTTTTCTCGCCAGATTCGTCGCGTCGCTTCTGCCCCCAATGGAATTAAAAATATGCTCACTGGCACTCCAGCCACAGCTTCTTCTTCCTTTTCTCCTTCTTCTCAAACTACTACTCCAAGTGTTAACAACACTAGCACAGCCTCAAGCTCGGCTACAGCTACTATCCCCAATTCTCCTGTAAATACTGGTACTCACACACCTACTGGATCTGGGTCTGTAACTCCTATCAATCGTGCACGTTCGTCTTCTGTCGATCCTACAACCCCTGATATTCTTGTTGGAATTAGTGAAGTTGACATTACTGACCAAGCAGGGAAACTACCTCAAACTCCCATTAATGAAACTGTCATTTTGGAAAGCCAAGTTTATGTCCAGGGTGTCAATGTGCCCCACTCAAAGTCTGCAAGCAACATTTCCTCTGCTCACCAAACACCTATCTCCACACCTATTCGTTCTCGCGCAAACTCAAAGACATACTCGCGTAACTACTCTAGTAGTTCCATCAAAGTCCGCAGTGTTGAGGTTGGGCCTGGAAACTTTGAAAAAATTAAGCTCCTTGGCCAGGGTGATGTTGGAAAGGTCTATCTTGTGCGTGAAGTCAAAACCAATAAGCTTTATGCCATGAAAGTTCTTAGCAAGAAGGAAATGATTAAACGCAAGAAAATTAAACGTGTACTTGCCGAGCAAGACATTTTGGCTCGTGCAAACCACCCTTTCATTGTCACACTCCACCACTCATTCCAGTCTGAAAACTACCTCTACTTGTGCATGGAATACTGTATGGGTGGTGAGTTTTTCCGTGCTCTTCAGGCACGCCAACACAAGAGCATTTGCGAAAATGATGCTCGTTTTTACGCAGCTGAAGTCACTGCTGCTCTTGAATACCTCCATCTCATGGGTTTCATTTATCGAGACTTAAAACCTGAAAATATCCTTCTCCACCAGTCGGGCCATATTATGCTTTCGGATTTTGATCTTTCAAAACAATCTGACAATATTGCAGCCCCTACCATTGTCAACTCAAGTAAGAGCGGCTCTTCGTTTTCAAACTCATTGGCCATTGATACCAAAGCATGCATTGCAGATTTCAGAACAAACTCATTTGTCGGAACTGAGGAGTACATTGCCCCTGAAGTCATTCGTGGTAATGGCCACACTAGTGCTGTGGACTGGTGGACACTTGGCATTCTTCTTTACGAGATGCTCTATGGTGTGACTCCATTTAAGGGCGCCAACCGTAATGTTACATTTGCTAAGATTCTTAAGCAAGATGTTGTGTTCCTCGATGGAAACGGATACCAGTCCATTAGCAGCAATTGTAAGTCTATCATTCGCAAGCTACTCATCAAGGATGAAAACAAGCGACTGGGCTCTAAAGCTGGTGCATCTGACGTTAAGGCCCACCCGTTTTTTAAGAATACCCAATGGGCACTGCTTCGCAACCAAACACCACCCATTATCCCTCAAATCTCTCGAAACCATCACCAGGAACACAATGGTGAGTCTGCTGCCGCTGGATCGTCTCATAATGACAATGGTAATGGCAATGATGCTGATGATGATGGGCTTAACGGTAGCGCCTATCTCGATGGAAATAACGGCCGCTTGAACAACCAATATAGCTGCGGTGTTACTGGCGAGGACGACCCCTTCTCTAATTTCAATTCCATTACGCTGCATCATGATGGCGTTGACGATGACGAGGAGTACTACTCAAGTGACATGCAGGAAAATGGACCACCGGAAATCGAGTACCCACTACATGAAGGTGCCCCGCCACCTACGCATCCAAACCATGGGCTCATGGCATCGTTGCACCCACATCATGCTGATGCCAATGGTAGCTCTGGAAGTAATCACACTAACGGGTCTGCTGGAACTAGTGCTGCATCCTCTCGACATAATTCTGCAGGTGGTCAAGGTGGATCTACTGGTAGCAGTCATTACTACAAACATTTTGGAATTAAAAGATGAAACAAAATTAAAATAAATTGCACTGGATAAAAAAAATGGAGTGGGATTAAGTAAAGATAATATGTCACAGACTTATTTCCGTGATCCACACACTCTCACGTTTGTATTTTATATATTTTTTACAAGTTTTTTTTTTTTTTTTTTTTAGAAATATAAATCAAAAAGTTGTCAAGAAATAAAAGAAATAGAGTTTAAAATTAAAATTAAAGCATGAAAAAATGAGCATGGAAACTTTGATATTTCTAAACAATGGCATATAATACTACTACCTACCTCATTATATTATATCTATGAATTTTTATAAAAAAAGTAAAAAAAAATAGCTGGGCTCAACCGGGAATTGAACCCGGGACCTCTCGCAAATTGCTTAGTTGACCCTAAGCGAGAATTATACCACTAAACCATCGAGCCTAACAAATTCGTTAGTGAACACAAACTGTTGAAGCTAGATATAATGCCTGGTGTTGATATGTGTATTTTCAATAAACAAGTTCAATGTTTGGGGGGGAAAGGGCTGGATGGTGTAAAGGGTAACACGTTCGCTCAATAGCGGAAGATACTGGGTTCGATTCCCAGAATACCCCCTTTTCCTGAGGATGTGTACGGGAGTATACACCTAGACTGAAAACCATAGGCTACCCTGGTTACAGGAATGCCGACTCTTCCGTACAGTCTAAATAGCCTGCAGGTGATTGCGGGCCGTATCTCTGGCGGAAGAGATTAAGAAATACATGGGCGTCCGTGAAGATAAGTGGAAATGGGTTGGGAAGGTTTTGGGACCGACAGACTGGTTCTCCCTGTTCCTCGTAAGCTGGCATCAGGGCCCATCTTCCGGGCTACCGGAGACGCACAGAACAGAAACCACCCGTACTAAAAAGGTACAAATGAAAACCGGCAAGTCACATAGTCAGACAATAAAAGGATAGCGCAGATGCTGATGTTATATAGTTCTATAACCCTTGAATAAAAACAAACAAACAAACAAACAAGTTCAATGTTTAAAAGCTTTAAAATTAACCAAATAAATTGAATGCCAAGCTAAAGCTCTTAAGGACATTGTAAAAAAAATGAATGGTATGATGCCATATATATATTTGATAGGGATGATGAAGAGAATACTACCATTAATTCCGATACCAATTTTAATAGAGAAATTAATAATAGCATGGATCATAATACAGATGACAGTGATAACGGGGATATCAACGCTAACGCAAATGTCAATAAAAACGCAAGCAGCAACAATATTGTGAGAATGGACAAAAAAAAAGTAAGATGTAAAATTAAAATTCAATGAAAAAGGGTTCAAAAGAACAACAGAATTAGAAAATGGTTGGGTGAATGAATTCCGTCCAAATTCCAAGAAATAGTCAAAAGTATCAAAATAAGAGTTAGGGGGTAAGGTGTAAGCCAACAAAAATGATAAAATTGAAGGACAGAAAGCACAAGGATTGATTCACCACAACACATAATCAAAAACAGGTCGAATCACACTTTCATCAATGGTAAACGTGGCTCCTCTGGTAAACCAAGAGGTGGTCAATATGCAGGGTCAAGGTCAGCACTCCTTGATTATTCTGCGACCAACCATCAAAACATTGAGTGATTGAAAGCACAATGGGTCGATTTACCGCAACACAACATAATCGTAAAACACGTTGAATCACACTTTCATCAATGGTAAACGTGGTTCCTCTAATAATCCAAGAGGTGGTCAATATGCAGAGTCAAGGTCGGCACTCCTTGATTGTTCTGCGACCAACCATCAAAACATTGAATAACTGAAAGCACAATAGGTCGATATAATAACGTTGTAAATGGTGCTGAGGTGGTGGTAGTGAGGTGATGGTAGTGAAGTAGTGGTAGTGAGGTAGTGGTAGTGTGGTAGTGTGGTAGTGTGTGAGTGTGTGAGTGTGTGAGTGTGTGAGTGTGTGAGTGTGTGAGTGTGTGAGTGTGTGAGTGTGTGAGTGTGTGGGCGTCGGTTGGTTGAAGTGGTAGTTGAAGTGGTAGTTGAAGTGGTGGTTGAAATGGTAGTTGAAGTGGTAGATGCAGGCTGTCAGAAACAATGTTCACCAGTTCCATTAGTTTATTCAAGATTTATCCACAATGTTGGATGTATGATGATTAACAACAGATAAATAAAGTCACTTTGATTAAGGTGTCGGTAAAGAACCCTTTGGAGGAGAACCATGACTGTATACCTTTGAGGTTGGGTGAATCGCATGTAAATCTAAAAGAGAGTTAGATCAATGACCAAGTATTAGGTATATTGGAATAAGTAGACTTACCAAAAGACGACTGCAACAATAACGAAATCAATTGTAGTAAAGAATGACAGTATAGCCTTAAGGTTGAGTGAGTTGCGTGTTTGTCTAGTAAAGGGTTAGATCAATGACCTAAGTATTGGATGCATTTGAATAAATACACTTACCAAAAGACGACTGCAGCATGTTGAAACTAATAAATAAAAAAAATATGAACAATAGTGTTTATGAATATCGAATGGGATAGTAAATAATAGATCATAATTGATAATAGTGATAATAGTGACAATAATGATTCGTGGTTGCAAATAGTAAATTATTGTTGGTAATAGCAAATTATAGTTAATAGTGGAAGATGGTGATATAGTTGTAAAAGTGTCGGTTAAAAAAAAAAAAAATAAAAAAAATAAAATTATTTAAAAGTGATAGGAGGAATGAATGGGAATTGAAAAGAAAAGAAACTCAAAAAGGCAGGGAAGCGGCCCTGTATTAATGACTCCATAGGTCATTATTATTATTATCAAATGTGAGTTCTTCATGTCGGAGTTTCACAACCGAATAACATAATTATGGGAGAATCAATAGAGAAAAGCAAGAACGACAATCTTCAATTGATCTGAGACCAACCATCAAAACATTGAGTGACTGAAAGCACAATAGGGTGATTCACCACCATACAATATAATCGACAAACAGGCTGCATCACACTTTCATCAATGGTAAACGTGGTTCATCTGGTAAACCAAGAGGTGGTCAATATGCAAGGTCAAGGTCAGCACTCCTTGATTATTCTGCGACCAACTATCAAAGCATTGAATAACAAAGAACATAATAGGTTGATATAATGGTGTTGTAAATGTTTGTGTGAGTGTGTGAGTGTGTGGGCGTCGGTTAGTTGAGGTGGTAGTTGAAGTGGTAGTTGAAGTGGTAGTTGTAGCGGTAGATGCATGTTGTCAGAAACAATGTTCACCAGTTCCATTAGTTTATTCAAGATTTGTCCACAACGTTAGATGTATCATCATTAACAACTGATAGAAAAAGTCACTTTGATTAAGGTGTCGGTAATGAAACCTTTTGAGGAGAACCATGACTGTATACCTTTGAGGTTGGGTGAATCGCATGTAAATCTAAAAGAGAGTTAGTTCAATGACCTAAGTATTAGGTATATTGGAATAAGTAGACTTACCAAAAGACGATTGCAACAACAACGAAATCAATTGTGGTAAAAAATGACAGTATAGCCTTGAGGTTGAGTGAGTCGCATGTTTGTCTAATAAAGGGTTAGATCAATGACCTAAGTATTGGATGCATTTGAATAAGTAGACGTACCAAAGAAAGACTGCAGCATGTTGAAAGTAATAATTTAAAAAAATGTGGACGATAGAGTTTATGAATATCTTATGGGATATTAAATAATAGATCATAATTGATAAAAGTGATAATAGTGATAATCATAATTCCTGGTTGCAAATAGTGGTATATTGTTGGTAATAGTAAATTATAGTTGATAGTTGTGGATGTTGACATAATAGTTAAGGTGTAAGTTAAAAATGGGAAATAAAAATAATAAAAAAATAAAAACATAGAAAAATAAAAAATAAAATAAAAAATAAAAAAATAAAAAAATAAAAAAATAAAAAAATAAAAAATAAAAAAAAAATAAGTGTTAGGAAGAACGAATGAAAGTTGAAAAGAAAAAGAATCAAAAAGGCAGGAGGACGGCCTTTTATTTATGACTCCATAGTTCATTATTATTATCAAATATGACTTCTTCTTATTGGAATCTCTCAACCGAATAACATAATTATGAGGTGGTCAATAGGGAAGGGTATGAACGACACACTTTAATATATTTGCCCCCAACCATCAAAACATTGAATAACTGAAAGCACAATGGGTCGATTCACCACAACACAACTTAATCGACAAAGGGGCTGACTCACACTTTCATCAATGGTAAACGTGGTTCCTCTGGTAATCCAAGAGGTGGTCAATATGCAGGGTCAAGGTCGGCACTCCTTGATTATTCTGCGACCAACCATCAAAACATTGAATAACTAAAAGCACAATAGGTCGATATAATAACGTTGTAAATGGTGCTGAGGTGGTGGTAGTGAGGTGATGGTAGTGAGGTAGTGGTAGTGAGGTAGTGGTAGTGAGGTAGTGGTAGTGAGGTAGTGGTAGTGAGGTAGTGGTAGTGAGGTAGTGGTAGTGAGGTAGTGGTAGTGAGGTAGTAGTTGAAGTAGTAGTTGAAATCGTCGATGAATTTGAAGTCGTCACATCTGAATAACCATAATTATAAGTCCCTCGAATATACCTTGGATGAGATATTACGTTTGGGACATTCTGTGGTATATTCATATTGATCATCTCGTTTTACAAAGGAACCTATGTTAACTAACGCTGATCATTTAACATTGGCCTCGAGCCCATCGTGTATTTTTTCTAGTTGAGAGTTAGATTAAGAACCTAAATATTAGATGCGTTGGTATATGAAAACTTACAAAAAGTAGGATTTAACAATAAAGGAATAAATGATGGCTTGATATGACTATATATCTCCGAGGTTAAGTCTAGGGGGTGTTTGTCTATTAGAGTGTTAGATCAATAACTTGGGCATTGAGTACATTGGGTACGTTGACATAGAAAGACTTACCAATAGACGACTGCAACATGTTGAAAGTATAATAGTGAACAAATGTGAGGGAAAGTGTTTATGAATAGTGTGGTATGGGAAATAGTTATCGATCATGGTTGATAGCAGTAGATGATAGTAGATGATAGTAGATGATAGTAGATGATAGTAGATGATAGTAGATGATAGTAGATGATAGTAAATGATAGTAGATGATAGTAGATGGTAACAGATTATAGTCGATAAAAGTAGATGCTAGTAGATGGTAGTAAATGATAGTATATGGTCTTGGTGATTATTCTAGAGGTGAAGAATAAAAAAGAAAAAATTTGAGAAAAGTGAATGGTAAAAGAAAAGAAATAAAAATCAAAAAGACGGGGGAAATCACTTTTATTTATACCTCCTTACAATTGTCTTCACTAAAAATAAAACTTCTTTTTATGGAAATCTTTTTAATAAATTAAAAAACCAATATATCATTGATCTTGTAGTGGTTTTTTTAACTATCCATACTTGTCACATGCTAATATATTTCTTAGAAAGCTAGCCTAGTATTATAAATGTTCATACTCTTCATTGAAGTATAAGTCTTATGCTATTTATAAACATTCTAAAATTATATTGAATATTATTTTTAAAAATGAATAATAATAATAAAAATAAATAGATTTTAGAATGAGAAAAAACACAACTACTTACGGTCAAACTTAAATGCCAATTGTAAAAGGGAATCATGGACAAGTATTTGGAAGGTGGCTAGTCCAGGTTGGTGATGAGGATCAAAATTAGGGTTATAATCCTCAATTAGGATTAGGGTGACCACCCACCGGTACTCAATTTTATTTACTGAGAATTACATAATCAGAAATCTTTCTGAAAACCATGAGATCGAGAAAAAGTCTGAATAAAAATTTTTCAATATGTATTTTCGGGTGTTAAACGAACTATAAGATGTGCTATCAACAAAAAGAGAAATTTATTAGGATTATTAAAACGATAAAATGATACTATTTGGTATATAGCTAGGACAGGATAATATTAATTCCGGACCATCTTTGTTCAGAGTAGCGTTTTGTATTTTTTTAAATATTAAAATTTCCTAAAATAAAAGTAAATACTAAAATAAAAGATTTCTGAAATTTTATAAATTTTATCAAAATTTTTTTATACAATCTATGATACTTTTTTAATTTAATATAATTTAATTTAATTTAATTTTTTTTTGTTCCTTATTTTGTTGATGTGTTGTGGGGTCTTTCATGTATTTTAGTATAGGGGGATCCAAGATTTTTCCCGCATTTTGTGTGTGAATGTGCTGCTTGTCAGTGGTTTGCCTTTATTAAATGCTAATTTGTACACAAAATGCGGGAAAAATCTTGGATCCCCCTATACTAAAATACACACAGAGAATATTACGTAACACATAGTAAATCCAACTTGCTTTCTTTCTTAAAAGAGAACCGATAAAAATGGTGTAAACTTTTAATATTCCACAAGGGCAAGGGTTGTATGACTTTTCTAAACCACCTTTTTTCTTATTTTCTATATTTTCAAAGTCCAATTTTTACAGAAAATGGTGCAAAATCTTAAGCAAAACTTGAATTTTTGTTATAATCTTTTAATGATTAAAGATTTCACAAGAGAAAAAGAGATTTAATCTACCAAGTGTGTACAAAAAGGAATTTTATTTAAAAGTCCATTTTTTCTATTAACAGTCTAGAGATTTTACAAAGGTTGCATATTTACAAGCGTTAAATTAACTAAAAGGTGTAGTATTTACATAGAAAAGAGGTTTTTGAGATTATATACTTTATTTTATATATTATAATCCCTATGGAAATTTTTCTATAGTGTACTGGCAATCTGGCCGAGTTGGTCTAAGGCGTAGGATTAAGGTTCCTATCTCTTCGGAGGCGAGGGTTCGAATCCCTCGGTTGTCATATTTTCTCTTTTTTTTATGTGCTCTTTAATAAAATATGTTCTTTTCAATCCATTGGTGTGGTTGATTTGGACAATAATATTGCTTTTATTCTCGGGGTTATGATGGTGTGGTGGTTTTAAAATTAGGTTAATTAAATTCATTTACTTTTATTGTTAGGTTAAACTTTAATTTTTTTCCTCTAAGGTAACATGTTTTCACTGTCTTCGAAAAACAATTTTTTTCTTCTTTATTTTTTTTTTTAATAATCCAAACTTAAAAAATAATAATTAAATAAAAACATTAATAAAAGTTAAATTTTGATTTTAAATATTAGATGTTGTTCTGTTGAATTATTTTAGTGTGATAAACATTTGAAAAATACTATATCACTTCAAAATAATCAGCAATCTCGTTATCAAAAAATAATGAATGGCCTTGGCCAATTTTATAAGAATATATATATATATATATAAATTTGAAGTTTATGTATAATTATGGTAACCAATTATATCAAAGCTCTGTTGCAGCTTAAGATGTTTCCATTATTGATTTTCGCCAGATCATATTAAACAATAAACCGCTTTATCACCTCATATTACTAATTGTCTACTTTAAATCAATTAATCATGCTTTTTTTTTATTTAATGTAATGATGGTTGGTTGCAGAATTTTCAACGAATGCAACTATTACCTTGCTTTCTATGATTTTATCTTGAGTTACAAAAACAAATAAGTCTATCGTTCAAACAATAAAATATTTTATTGAAAGCATGATTCCAGCTTCTGCCAATGGCATACCTAGTTTTCCTTTGACTACTCTTTTATAACTTTTATGGTTCAGTTTTGGATTGAATTATTTTTAAACCTTGGGGTTACTTTTTTTGCATCTATTTATTTCTTTACCAGCGTTAAAATTAAGAATATTAAATTCCAACCATTGTCATGCCCAAATAGAAATTTTTCTATTAATTTAATTAATAGAAAAATTAAATATAATATTTAAATATAATTTTTAATTCCATCTATAAAGAATACTCACTGCCTTATTTTCACTATTTAAAAAAAAATGACTGATTACTATATATATAAGCATTTTTATTGTTTTCTGGTTTTACCCTTTTGACCTCAAATTGCTTTGTATTAAAATTGTTAATGGGAATAACCATTTTATATCTTTTTATTTTTCAGGAACCAACAGACAATCTTCTTAAAAAAAATTCCAAATCTTAATGCAAAATTATAAAAAGTTTTGTTAAGCCCTACGGGGGGCTCGAACCCCCAACCTTGAGATAACCTAAAGTAAGAGTCTCACGCTCTACCGATTGAGCTAGCAAGGCATTTAACCTTACAAGAAATAAGGTTAAAGTGCTTTAGAAAAGAGACAATAAAAAAGTATTAAATAGAAAGAGGGGAAAGAGAGGGAAAGGAAACAAACAAACAAACAAACAAACAAACAAGAGAGGGAAAGGGCACTGGGTTCGATTCCCAGAATACCCCCTTTTCCTGAGGATGTGTACGGGAGTATACACCTAGACTGAAAACCATAGGCTACCCTGGTTACAGGAATGCCGACTCTTCCGTACAGTCTAAATAGCCTGCAGGTGATTGCGGGCCGTATCTCTGACGGAAGAGATTAAGAAATACATGGGCGTCTGTGAAGATAAGTGGAAATGGGTTGGGAAGGTTTTGGGACCAACAGACTGGTTCTCCCTGTTCCTCGTAAGCTGGCATCAGGGCCCATCTTCCGGGCTACCGGAGACGCACAGAACAGAAACCACCCGTACTAAAAAGGTACAAATGAAAACCGGCAAGTCACATAGTCAGACAATAAAAGGATAGCGCAGATGCTGATGTTATATAGTTCTATAACCCTTGAATAAAAACAAACAAACAAACAATTGAAGGATATTCTTGGATTGCAAGAAAATTTATGCTTTATCTCTGCTTGGAAGGATTAATAAATATAATTACAGCGTTGATAAAGACAGGTGGAGATAAGTTGGGAAGGTTTGTTCTTTGACTCCCTGTTCCTTGGAAGCTGGCATCAGGACTTATTTTAGGGCCTTTGAAGATTCAATGTTGAAATCAAATTCAAATTTTATTGTAAAAAAATTCATATAGTAGGAGCAAAAAGGAAAGGTCTGATACTTATATAATATAAATTTCAATATTACATTTTCACGCATCTATGTTATAATCTTAAAAATGAAAAAAAGATGACGAAAAACAGCATTTCTCTATTAAATTATTGACTCTATAAAAACTAATGTACATTTTTTTTTTCCAAGTTAATTTTAATTTCTTTTTAATCATTAAAAATATGCAACAACAGCCTGGTTTGTCAGTTCCCGAGGTTCAATATTCCATGGCAATTTTACAAGGCTATCATCGGGATTATTAAGGGCTTTACCAGCCTCCACTGCAGCCACACTGGTACTTGACGTGCCAATTGTGATGTGGGCATGTGTATTAAGAGTGTAAATGTGTGGGGTATCATCCTTTTCGGCGTTTTTGGAAATAATGTTTACCTCAATACCCATGAGGTTAGGTGTCCAATACAAATTCTTTAAAGCAACATCGGCAGTCAACGATCCAAGCTCAATAAATGGTGGTGCTATTGTTTTCTTGGTAACTACTGTAAAGCCGTTAGCATCAGTGGTTGGGTTTTTAGATGCTGATGTTTCCTTATCCTTCTTTTCTTCAAGGACCGTATCCAGCACGGTTTTTAGTGCTTCAAAATATTTTTTAGCTGACTCATCGGTAGACCCGGGCCCGCCCTGAGTTTTGTGTACAAGGGTGACGTGAAACTCTGTTTGCACGCGATTGTTTTTTTGTAAAAGCTTCCACACAGTCTGATCGGCATCAGGGTTTACCTCAAACAGTCGGTTAATTAGGTGAATCATATTTTGTTCGACAGTAGTCTCAGGACTATTTGCTGGAGCTTTTTCGAGACTGAGCTGGCCCATGGCGGTTTCCAGGGATTTTGGGGGTGTCGTTAAGGTTGAGCTGGTATTTGGAGGCACGATGTTGATTGCAAAGTAGCGAGGCTTTTTTTTTTTCTTCTCCATCTTTTTTTGATCAACATTAGCACGATTTTGGTCAAAGATTCCGACCTTATCAGGGATATATGTAAGAGAGTAATTGAAGGCATCATCAAGCTGAGCTGCAGTTGGGAGCTCTGGAACAATATCAGGATACTTCTCGTGGAGAGTTTTAACAATTTTTTCAAGATTTATGCGAGAAGAGTCTGTACCACTTGTTTCAAGGTCAATCACCAAGTCAAAATTGGAGTCAGGCTCGGTAAAAGGCTCAACAGGCTCAAAGCGGTTTATAAATCCTTTCATAATCATCATAACCTTGTTTTTGTCGTCACTAGCAGCAGAAATACTCTGGTGGTTGTCGCCGCGGTTAAAAACACGTTTAGAAGTTAAATCCCAAAGGTCTTTGTTTTCAGAACCCTGGCTATAGTTTCCTCTAAAGTTGAGACAAACGAAAACGTTTCGAGTGCCCATATTTTTAAAGTTGTTCATGTCTGTAAAGATTTGGGCGCGCTCACGGCGTTGGTGATTGTTGCGGTCAGCAATAACCACATTGGAAGAATAACGAACGGCTTCCATGCACATTTTGGCAAAATGGGTAGGCTTTGGCCTTTTAACGATGTCGTCATTTTGGACATGCCCCCAAGTGGGAAAGAGTTTCCGGAGAGCCACAGCAACTGTGGTTTTGCCGCAGCCAATAGTGGAGACAGGAACGAGAATATATTTTGGTTTGAGAGTTTGGCAAATGTTCTGGTTCATTTCTTCATCCTCGTGAACCATGGCGGAGCCCGTCATACCGATGTTATCAAGAAACATTTGCCGGACCTTTATTATGTTATGGTTGTTAAGGTAGCTATCGCGCAGAGCCTCATCATTAGATAAAAGGGGTATAACAAAATCGAGGTACTTTTTTGTGTAGTAAATGTGTTTATTGATGCGGATTTCGAATCGTGCTTTGCCGCCCAGATAAGCGCGCGTTACTTCGCGCCATTGTCGATACATGAGATAAGGTTCTTCAAACTTATACTTAAAAAAATAGTCAGAATAAATTTCGGGGTGAAGCTCATCAAGCTGGGCTTTTGTGCGGATGACAAAGCCTTCGACTTCTTTATTGTTCCAGCAACCGGTTTCTGCACAAGTTTCTAAAAATGTTTGAAGTTCATCTGCTGTATTTATGGTCAAGTATGGGGTCGGAATAAACCCAAATTGTTTGGCAAAGCTTTCTACTGCAGAAAATGGGTATGTTGTGAATTTATCAATATTGAGATTAAGGCCGTGGAGATAAATTCCTGCGTGATCTGGTGGGTATGCTAAAACGTGTTCTTCGAAAGTGTCATCACAAAGTTCGCCAATAGCTGTGACGTTTAATTGGTGCAGAAGTTTTGCAAAATCCGTCTCTTTAATATTTTTAGAAGCAAGATGTTTGCGGACCCACTTCTGGCCAACAAATGAGTGGTTTCGTTCGTCTGGAGAATCTTCGCGGGGGCCCGTAGATTGTTTGCTAGTTACGATAAGGGTTCCGTCGGCAAGACCTGAAATGAAAATAATGCAGCCGTTTTCTTTTGAAGTGACTTCGTAAGGGCCCTTTGTAGAAGACTTGATCCAGTCCCAATTTAGAAAAGAGAGTTCGTTAAGGTTGAAAAACTTATTGTATCCGCGAATAACAATTGATTCGTGCTGTGGAGACCCTGGTTCAATGAAGCTAAAAAGACCGCGAGCGTTTGATGGTAAAGTGATTTTCTCGTTATCGTAATCCCACTCGTTAAACCGCCAACCGGCAATAGAAAGTGATGGGTTTGTCCAGAGAGGAAATTCTCTGCGTCTTGCTTTGCCTCGTTTAGAATCCTGTGCTGCTGCCTTATAAAGGTCTGAAAAAAGTTGTGATTCGGGCCTGCCAATGTCAGTAGGAGTTATGACATCAAAAGGTAGCTCAAAAATATGAACTTTAGAAGGCATTTTATATGTAAAAAAATGATAAATATCGTTTATTTGTAAGAATATTAGGTTGAGCTATATTACGGTAAAGCGGTTGTTGCCTGACTTAGGATGACTCTAAATAGGCCAAGTTGGTGATCTGTGCCTGAAAAAAATTGATGGTTAAGAGCTTGTTACAACTTTCAGGTAGATGTTACATTTTTATTTTATCGGTGTGTTACAATTTTCTTGGTATATCCAGTCCTTGCGAATATTTAAGCCTGTAAGATTTTCCATAGTGTATAGCCAATCACAAGAAAATTGCGTTTGCAGTTGTGTTCAACAGCCAATGGCGGCCAGCACCACCTCTGCCCAAAAAAAAAAAACTTCCTGCTCTCTCTCACTGCTGGCCTTCACGCCTTTTTTGTGCAAACCTTCCCTTTTAACATCACCACCACCTCCTTTCCCATCGTCACCACCACCTCCTCCAGCTTCAACAATGTCTCAAGTCTTCAAGCGCGGTCTTTCCACCCTCATTCCTCCCAAGATTGCCTCCAGTGCCGTAAGTCGACAATCAATTACACGCATGGTTTTTCGACTTTTTCTTTTCTTTGGACAAGTTTAAACAGCCGACCATTTACGAAATGTGAAAATATCAAATCATATTCAATGCATTAAAATGAAGTTATAAGCCACAACTGAATTTCAACAATAGAAGTATTAAGAAATAAGATATAATATATTTATAAATTGATTCAATTCGGATATTCCAGCCAATTCATACGTTACAATATAACTTAATCGGGGATTGTTTACAACTCGACGATTTCAAATTTATTTTTTCATTGTTTACAACTTGTCCAAACTAAAAGAAAAAAAATTATATAAACCTGCGGCTTTATATTTTATTTGATATATCCTTCATTATAACTGACCGCTTTTCTTTTTTTTTATAGAACATTGGTGCTGCCCCCAACGCTAAGAGAATGGTTAACGTTGTTAACTTTTACAAGGCTCTTCCCCGTGGTGAGGCTCCTGCTCCCCAGAAGTCCTCTGGCATCATTGGCTGGTACAAGGCCAAGTACTTCGACAAGGGCTCTTCTGCTCCCCTTCTCCACCTCATCATTGCTGGATTCCTCTTCGGCTATGCCAATGATTACCACTTCCACCTTTCCCACGAGCACGAGCACTAAATATTGACGTAACTTGTTAGATTTTTTCCCTCCATTATTTTTAATACATTGTGATACCTATTCAAAATAAATTTTACAAACTGAAAAAAAAAAATCATTGTAGGAAATTTCTGGTTTATTAAAATGTTGAAAAGGTAGCTAAGAAATCGTGGGGTAATTATGTCCATTACACAAATATCAATGGATTTAAATAATTTCAATATTGAAATTTCCTTTTTTTCATCAAAAATAAACAATCTATTCAAAAACTAAAAAACCGACAAAAATAATAAAATAATAAAATAAATATAAATAAAACAAAATATTTTTAGACAAGTTTGTTCAAAACCTTGACTTTAGCGGTCCAGCCACCCTTCTTAGTATCTTCATCTTCATCCTCCATAACTGACTCAACAGGTGAGGCACCTTCATCAATGACATCAGCAAAGCCCTCAGCGACTTCAATTTCTTCAGGCATAGGCTGGCTCCACTTGTCCTTGAGACGGTTCTCAGGGGGTGGGAAGGCCCAGCAAAGTCCATAGTAGGTAATCATGGCAACTCCAAAACCACCAAAGAAGTTGAGATCGTAGACACGGATAGCAGCAATGGGGACATCGCGACCAGTGGCACCGGCAAAACCAACGACGTTGATGAGAATACCGCAGATGTAGGCAGTGTAAGCCTTCCAAGAGACACCGTACTTGTACATATAGGTACTGCCAGTTTCAAAAGAGTAAAGGTCTTTGACAATAAGGTGACCCTTGCGAACCAAAAAGTAGTCGGAAACGATGACACCGGCAATAGAAGAAAGGAAGACAGAGTAAGCAGAAAGGTAAGTGGTGAACTTGTTTGAGGACTCAAAGAGTTTCCAAGGGCACATGGCGAAACCAATAGCAGCGCAAATGTAACCACCACGGCGGATATTGATGAAACGGGGGAGAAGGGCAGTCATATCGGTACCTGCCGAGATAGAGTTTGCAGAAATGTTAGTACCAAGCTGAGCAAGGCAGAAGACGGCAGCAATGAAGAAAACACCACATCTAGGGCCACTGCGACCACTTTCCAAAAAGGTGTGCAAAACGTCGAGGGGAGACCAAAGGGTTTCGCCAACAAGAACGGTTGAGGCGGAGGAGACGATGACACCAATGAAGGAAGTGATGGCAAAACCAAGAGGAATGGTGATGAGCTGGGAAGCAACAGCATCGCTGCGCTTCTTAGCAAAGCGGGTGAAATCTGGGGCATTGACGATAAGGGTAGCAAAGTTTGAAATGCAGCCCATGAGAGAGTTGACAAAAGCCCAAGCAAAGGTAGATCCATAAAGAGTTCTCTTTTGGTGGACAACGGGGCCGATACCACCGGCGCGCTTGATGGTCCAAATGAGGAAGCCAATGCCGGCAAAGGGAACGAGGATAGACTTGACAGTGAAAAGGTGACGAATCTTGTGGACAGGGAACCAAATGGCAGGGAGAGAACCCAGACAGAAGAGGAAGAAGCACATAAACTCAAAGGTGGTTGTACCAGAGCCCTCGAGGTGGTTGGGAATGTTTTTAGCCTGGGGCCAAATGGCGAGAATCATGAGCTGGACACATTCAGAACCAAGCCAAGCCTGGACACCGTACCAGATGCAAGCCATGGCAGCACGATTAATGACGGGCCAGTAAGAGCCAAAGACACCAAAGGAAGAACGAGAAGCGACAGGGAAAGAGATATGGTAAACACTACCGATGCGACCCATGAGGACGACGAAGAAGGCAGCAATGGTGTAACCGACCCAGACAGAGATCCAGACGTGCCACCAAGTCATACCTGCAGCGACACCGGTGGAAGCAATCTGCCAGGTATTAATGTTGAAAGAATCGGCGATCCAGAAAGATACAAAGTTAAACCACTGCCACTGGCGGCGTTCAGGTTCAACTGGGAGCAAGTCGTGGTTTTCCAGAAAGAGTTGTTTGTTTGAAAGACCAGGTTCATGGTCTGTTTCAATCTTCTTGAGAAAGTTGTGGAATTTTTCTTTAAAGTTGCCCATTTTGGAGGATATTTGTAGAGGTTGTTGTTGATGTTGTTGAAGATGTTGTTGATGATGGGAAGGTTGATAGAGCAAAGGAGTGTATGGAGAAGATGATGTAGAAGAAGAAGAAGAAGTGGAAGGATAGGAAGAGTCAAAATCGAAGGAAACCATTGTGTTTATATAAGTTTTCAGGAAAACAGAGAAAAGAAAAAAAAATTATAAAGACTAAATCATATGAGAGCAAGTGAAATTTTCAATATAGATTAGAGTTATACAAAAAAAAGAAGGTAAAAAAAAAATCAACTTGTTTTTTTTTTTTTTTTCTTATAGACATAAACCCGTAGTAGGAAAGAATTCCATCGCCATATGCAGAAGTCTCAAAGCGGTCACCAGCTACTACCATCAATAATAACAAGTAAAAATAGTTTTCGGCCAGCAGTCTGTTATCAGCGTAAGCCTAATTAGATAATGCCGTATCTAAAGTTAGCCGGGCCGGTAGGCGCCTATGGGAGGTCCAGTAGGTGTCTGATGGCGAATGCAAGATGGCTATTTTTTAGTAAAGTACAAACAACAACCTTCAATGACGATGGTGAAGATGGCTAGGGATGGTAGTTGTGGTGGGTTTTTTTTTGTGGCGATTCAAATTCAAAAAGGCTGATGGAGGAGGGGTTGGTTTTTTGTTTGTTCATATTATTTTTATTAGTCAATAAGGTTTCTTTATCATGATAAACTCAAGGTTATCATGATAACGCTCTTATACATAATTAGGACCTGTTAGAACCAACCAGCCTACAACACCTATATTTTGGAGTATTTCTTTTTTTTTTTTCTACTTATACACAGAAACTCAAGTCATGAAACAATAGAAACTTCACGCATTGTTGATTTACCATAGTTTTCGTAAAATAAGAATTGCTTTTTGTACAAGTTCATATAACGTTTACAGATCCATCTTCACGATGACAAACTATGGGCCTTAACACCTTATTCTATGGCATTTACTATTGTATAAAAAAACAAAATGAAAATGAAAATAAAAAAAAAATCTCTTGAACTCAAAAAAAAAAAAAACTGGATTTAATGCCCTACGGGCATTTAAAGTGTTAACTGTAGGTAGTTATAGAAATATTGTGTTGAAAAACTATATACAAAACAATGATATCAAAAATAAAAAAAGACCATAATAGACTTTAAGAAGAAGAAAAGCTCTATGTTAGCGGAAAAAAGATAAGTTAAGTAAGACTATCCGAACATTATCAATGAATCAATAAAAAAATAGCTTAAGCTAGAGTGGGGGATAACAAAAGAGTAGCATTGTTTATTGAAACGTGAATTAAAAAAAAAAGTGTAGTAGTTTCTGGTAATTAATTATAATTAAGCCCACAGAGTATTTATAATTTTGTACCCAAAATGAGTATATTTTTCTGACAATAGCAGTTACACCATGGTAGTAGACAGTAACATCAACACTACTAGCACTTTAATAGCTGATGCCAAAAAAAAGTTCCCTTTTAGGAGCTGGCAGGAAAACACAACGGCTTAACAAAAAAAAAAATAAATAAAATTGAATATTTTTGCCGGCAGATTTTAATTTGGGAGGGTTTAGAAAAATTAAACAAAAAAAAAAAATATGAAAATCTTATGAAACACTCAATTTTTTTTTTTCAAATTTCAAATTTTTTCACAAATGTTCTTTTTTTTTTCTCTTTTTCTCGGGAAAGTTTTTTTTTTCATTTGATTCAATTAAAGAGCAAAAAAAATAAAATAAAGTCTTCGATACGAAGCTGCCAAAAAAAAAAAAGATCTGCTGCTTTTTTATTTTTTGTAAATCTCCTTATTGGCCTCTTCATTTAGTTGTTTCAATAATTGATCACTCGATCAAGATTTTTAAAAATTTATTGAAGGGTAGGGTAGAGTAGAGTAGAGTATTATTATAGTAGAGTAGAGTAACCAAGTAGTAGTGAATTCCCCCTCCTCCTCTTCCTTATTAGGTCCGAGCGGCGGGAGAGCTATGGTGGCCCTCCATTTTATTTTATTTTTTACGGGTCGAAGACCGGTGCACAGAGTGTGTGTGTGTGTGTGTGTGTGTGTGTGCGTAAGAAGAAAGAAAGAACACATGGAAGAAAGGCTTGAGCAGTGTGTATTTGTTTAGGTAGAATATTGTGGTGATGGTGGTGGTGGTAGTCCTAGTGGCCCTTACCGTTCAATATTTTTTTTTTTTTTTTTTTTTTTTTTTTACACATTAATTGATCACTCGATCAAATACTATTGCCTATTATGGAAACTAGTTTGCTCCCCACGCTCGTCTTCTCCACCACTCACATAATTTGATCACTCGATCAAAACACCACAAACACTCAAAAATACCCCTCCAACTGAGCATTTGAAGAGCAACAAAAGCCCGCATTGACTCAATTCAATATTCATCGATATGAAGATGCTAAAAAAGAAAAATATTTTCTTTGAAGCTCTTGATAAAGTGTTTTCAGGCGGGAAAATGAGCCGATTTTTTTTGTCCCCGAAAACCATGAAGCAAAAAAAAAAAAAAAAAAATTAAAAAAATTAAAAAAATTAAAAAAATTAAAAAAATTAAAAAAAAAAATAAAGTCATATCTTTATTCTTAAAGTTGCTTTTTTATTTTAAAAGGAAAAAAAAAAATTACATCCACTCTGACCTTGCCCATCGGTCTATGCTGTCAATCTCACAGAAAAAACGCATGGCTGAGGTTTAAGTCTTACCACTAATACTCAATAGTAGACACCAAAAGAAAATCAAAATGCTTTGGATAGAGTGGTTCCTTTTGCTTTTGCTTTTTTTTTTTTCAATTCATTTAATGATGTACCATGAAAAGTAAAAAAGAAACACTCCTATACATGTGCGCATATGGAAACCCATACACTCTCTTTCAAAAAGCCTTCATGCATATAATTATAATAATAAGACATGTTGGCTTACATACACACTCGCGCGCGCTTTCTCTCACACACCAACACACATTGACTTTTTTTTTTTCTTAAGCTTACCAAAACCACCATTTATTTGATCACTCGATCAAACTTGCAGACCTCTCCTTGAATTTACTTCAAGTCCCTCTTTTCAATGCTCCAACATATCAAAATGCTCGCAATTTCTATGCCTATTTCTCCATTTTGCCCGAAAAACCCACTTTTTACCCCTACGGGCTCCTGATAACAAAGAGATACCAGAAAAAGAAAAAAAGAAAAAAAAAAAGAAAAAAAAAAAGAAAAAAGAGAACCGTAAAACTATATCTATCTTTCTAGTTATTATTACTAAAAATAAATAATACCGCCGGTTTTCGTCTCCTCTGGTATTATGGAGCCGCGAGAAATAAAATTTATCTTAATATTAAATAAAAAAAATAAAGATAAACGATAACAATAGTTATCAAAAGTAGCTTATTTTTCTTTCTATCTATCTTCTAGGTTTATTTTCATTTTTTTTACTGTCCTACAAATCCATGTTCACAAAGTCAACAATTTTAAGGTCTGTGTGTGTGTGTGTATGGATATGTGTGTGTGCGTGTGTATGGATATATATGGCCCAAAAGTCGTTATTTCAATCTCTATTTTACAATATATGTATATAATCCTACTATATCTGTGACAGGCCCTCCCAAAAAAAAATTAAAAATAAATAAATAAATAAAAATAAAACCTCCTAAGACCCTCTTCACCAGCCTTATTCTACTTACAGAATTAAAGCTTACTTTCCTCTCCCTCCAAGAACTACACTTGTTCTACACACACACACAGTCCCAATAAAGGAAACCAGGAACAATGTCAAACCCTGGATTTTACAACGAAAAAATATAAACTACCCTTATGGCTCGTTACTAGTCAAGAATGGTAAAGCGAGAGAGAGGGAAGGGTGATAGTTCTGTTTAATAATATTTGTGGGGTTAAACCGATTATTCATAGAGATGAGCTCGTTTTCTTTTGATGATAAATTGAAAAAAAAAAAAATTAACAACAATAGCCCTATTCCCAATATTGATTATATGATCCAAAAACGTTCTCTCCACCAAAGATCACTCTTTTTCTCTATATGCCCAGAGTTTTTGTAGAAGAGGTCCCTTAATCCTCTTAGAATCTTAAAAGTATATATATATAAGGATCTTTCGTCCATGTTTTGACTTCAATTTTTTGCTTGTCAAACACCAAAGTGGTGTTTGTTTGTCTCTCTTTCCCATACAATTCACTCTGTAAAAAGACCAATTCCCACACACTCACATATACACACGCATATTAACGCAAAGTCCTCTTTTTCGCTCTCCCCTTTCTTAAATAAATACTCTTATATCCAGTTAAGCCAATGACACACCTCCCTTTTTTTTCTCGGACTTAATTCGGCAGTTCAACCCTTTGGTCTTTACCTTTCTTTATTCACATTTATTCATACAAAGGCCCTCTCCAGCTCTCCCATCTAATTCGCCTGATACGAAAATAAGAAAGAAACATTACTCTTTCCGAACAATCACCTATATTCTCACCTACCAGCTTTTCATTTCAACTTGTTATTTGTAAATACATATTATCATGGCTTATTTCTCTTGTTTTTTTTTATTTTATTCTATTTGCTTGGAAATACAATATTTTCATCCTGAGCAAAGTCTTTCATTCTCAGCTTAGTCTATGGAAACCTAATTCATTTAAAAAAAAATTTTTTTGTATTAGTTAGGCAAGTGAGACAGTCCCACTTCTTTGCCCAATCTCTATAAGGCTGATATTTTTGTCTCTAATTTTTAGGCAGAGATGACTTTTTTGAATCTCCATTGGCCAAAATTCTTACTAGCCGCCAGCCGCGCATCTTAGCATTTTTGGTGCCCGTCGGGGACGTTTTTTGTGTTACAACACGGGTTTGCTAAATTTTTCAAAATCTTTTTCACTTTTGAATTTCTTGTAATAAATGACTTCATAACATGTATTTCCAATTTTGGTTGCACAAGTATAAACTCAAAATTATTGTAAAAAAAAATCTTTTGAACTTTACAAAAGTTAGTCCTTGAGTATCCTAGCTCCGGGAAGCTCACGTAAATCCACGGCTCAGTAATTTGTAAAATTTTTTTTAATCTTAGATAGTGTCAAATCAAAAGTAACTTTTGTATTCTTAAAAAAAATAAAGAAAAAAAAAAAAACTATAACAAGTTCTGATATCAATTGCGAACAATAGAAATATAGAAATATAGAATAATAGAATAATAGAATTTTTTTTCTACGAAAACATGCCCGAGATTTAATTAAAAGGCCTGAATTGAATTATTATCCAAAAATTCTAGAATTAAAGCAAAAATATTATTATTTTAGATTCATTTTTTTTTATCTTCATTAACCCTATTATTACCTCTATAAATCACATTTAATGCTGTCCCTCGTTCTTATTTTGTTCTTTTTTGCTTTCAATTGAAAAAAACAAAATCCTTTACAACCACGTACTACCAAAATAACATGCTTTTTTTTCTCTCTTTCTCTCTCATCTCATGATAAAATTCTTTCTCTTCTTTCCAATCACCTCATCTTATTTTTTTCAATCCATTCATTTCCCCTTTTCCACTAATCATGCTATCCTTATCGATTCTGGAATCTAAAAAATAAAAAACCCAGTTGTCTTTCTTTTTTAAATAATTATCTTCTCTTTTTCCTCAATATTAAAACCATACCCGAGGGCTAGTTAGCTCATTATACTCGTATCTCCACATTATTCCTTTTTTACCCCTCTTTACTTTACTTTGCTTTACTTCCATTCAATCTTTATTTTTCTGAACATTCGGGCAAAAAATAATATCAAAATTTTTTAATTATTTAACAGTCATATGTCCAATAATAATAAATTGTTTTTTAAAATCAATTTAAAGGTAAAAAATATATATTTTTTAACGTCAAGACATTCCACAATTAGAAAAAAAATAAAAACTATTGAATAATGATAATTTTATGAAATAAAATGCTGGAATTTTTTTTATTTAAATATCACATCAACGGAATAAAATTTGCCCATATTTCTCATTTTTTTTTTAAAAAGAAAACTCCCTACCAACACTTTTTCTTTTCCTTTCTATAGTAGAATTGAAAGATTGAAAAAATATATATAATATTTATTATTACAATTCTTTTTTTTTGTTTAAACACAAGAATTACATTTCATTAAATTTTCAACTAATTTATTTCAAATGATTTTGCTATTATTAAGACATACAATCAAATAATTTCTATTTTATTTTTTGAACAACCTTGAAGTCACCAGTAAGTTAAAGAAAATTCCTTTTTAAAAGATTTTTATTTCGATTTGATGTAAAATTACTATTTATTTAAGGTATTTATAAGAAATTTCTTACTTTTAGATATATCTTTCTTAACTCCATATGGGTCCATAAGCCAATTTGCTTTTATACATTTCCATGACTGGTTTCATTCTTTTTTCTTAACATTGCCATTCTTCTTTTTTTGAATTTATTTTTCATTGACAATTGATTTTCTTAATAACACTTTTTAAAAAATTTCTCTTCTACCGTTAAAAAAAATAGGACATTTCACGGGCTAGATTTTCGACCTGACCCTGCCAGTTTTGTTGAAGAAACGGACAAAAAGGCTAAGCTGTGGCGTATTTTGGTTCACGCCGCACCTTATGAAGGCTTACCCAATTTCCTACTTCAGAAATAGTTTATAAAACGTAGCCGTGCGGCTCTATTTTTTTTTTTTTTTTGAATTTTTGTCATGCACCAACCTGAATGTTTTTTTGGTTGACGAAATTTCTACACAGACTAGTTTTAAGATATCTAGAAATTTATCAAAAACTTCTAAACGGCATTTTCTACTTCAAAAGTTGCCAAGTAAAAAAAAATGAAATGATAATGATAAAAACAACTATATTTATCAATCAAAAAAAACTTATCATGCTTAAGTTTCATTTCATTTGAAATTCATTCTTCTTATGCTTATGTAATATAAGTTGAAGAATTCTCAGCTTGTAAGCATTCCCAACCATGATCGATTGACAAAAAAAAAATCTCTCCAAAATCTACACCAGCACACAAGAACTTTCATAGCTGGGATAAGAGACTATGAAAAATTAATAAGTTTTGTAATTTGTTTTAAAGTACAGCAATAATAAACTAAAAATTGTTAGACTATGTAATTGCGTTTAAAATAATCATGAATGACATTAATAGTGCCTTTGACAATCAAAATTCGACAAGCTAAGAAAAAACAAATTTGCTCGCTCATGGCACCATTGAGTAGATAATCAGCTTCGTTATAAGACACAGCAAATCTTTTGTCACAATTGAACTTGTTTACAAAGCCTGTCCAACAATCAAAAGCATTCCTTAATGCTCTTCGCTCTTCCTCATTCTCGTTAATATATATAAGGCTAGCCTTTATCTAAAGTTATTTGAGGAACCAGACATCTAATTCGTCAGATTGGTAGCCGTTGTTACAATCTATTGCTACACCCACAACTCAGAGTCACCGCCTTACTTGACCAGACCCTTGACGCCTGCATTGAATTGGCAAGTTCAGCACACACCGAGATAGACTTAGGTGACAAACTATTTCATTCAGTTCAGCAAGAAAACCCCAAACCCTCATAACCTCATGAGATTGATCATCATTTCCAATCAACCTGATCCTAGAGAACTACAAGAGGGGGTCGAGGGCTTTAGAGTCATTCTGAATCGCAGACTCACTTTCAAGCCTCACACAGTACTATAGAAAGAGCAAGCCACCCGAGTTTTCAATTTCATCACCTGTTTAGGGAGACAACACACGAGCTCACCGACATTACGTTTAAACTACTCTATAAGTCATGTATCTGTTGGAATATATGTCATGGTACTATCGTGTATTTCAACATTATCCCATAATATTTTTTTTTTCCATTACACTCTTTACATTGTTACATTATTCACTAGCAACCACTAGCCCATTCTCATTGGAGTTACAATAATTGTTACAAGTAAGGTTTTCTATTGCTAAAGAAAATTTGACACCATGCTCTTTTAAAATTTCTTTCATTACAGAAACCTTTCTTGTTTTCTTTCTCTTCTTTTTCTCGCTACTCTAAATTTTCGCAAAACTGTTTATATTAAATACTCTTTCAGCTTTCAGCTTTCAGCTTTCAGCTTTCAGCTTATCAATCGTATTTACTTATTAACTCTTGCTTTTAGTCTTTTCCCGCTATGTCTTATCATGGAAACACTATAGGACTCAATGAAGGTTCCTCATCCTTCGAGTCAGCCAGCACTATTCTTTATCCTACGTTTAGCGATCTATCTGTTAATCTTCAAATGGAACTTGCCAAGAGTTCTGGTTACACTGTCAGACAACTAATCATTGCCAATATCCCAGTTTGCTTCGAAGCATGTGAGATTGAATTGAAAGCCATCGAAGAACTGACTGCTTCTCTTAGAAAGTCAAACTTTAAAGCCAGCCCTCCTTCATCTCAAAAGGTTAGGAGCTCCTTAGACACTCCCCTAGGTACAAATTCCAGTCACTTTCTTTACAAAACTGAATTGGAATTTTAGAAAGAAGATCTTATTATACAAATTGGCAGCTGTGGACGAAGGTTTTGGAACAATTATATCTATAAACCGATTGCTGGTCCTAAGGCCATTCAACTTGGCTATGTTTTCAAGTTTGAGAAGGCTCTTGATGAACTACTCAGAGTTTATATTAATAAAACTACGCCTCCGGTTAACCTCGCTGCGGCTCAGAAGGCCTGGGTGGACACCACGCCCAATATTCTAAAAGTTATATCTCAAAATGCGGAGTTGGCGCGGGAACGCGCCGAAGGTGTCCGGTATATACCGGGCAAAAGAATGGCCCCTATGGATCCCGAAAAGTTAGACACTGTTGAGCTGGGGGAATCACTCACATTTTTTCAACGTCTTAATCAAATTGCTTTGCACGTATCCCCAAATCCCGAGTTCAACATTGTGTTTGCAATGACGCAAGCTCTCTCAGTAGGTATTTCAAGTCCTAATTTTTTCGACGGACTTACCAGCGGTGAAGTTAAGACCGAAGTACGGTCAGTCCTTAATGAAGCTTCCAAGTGGGCCTCCTTAATGGAGGGGTACTTTTACAACAATCCAGGTGGCTCGTTTCATCGCGACATTCTCTTAACTGTGCTTAATAATGACAAAGTGTCAGCAGCTGCTCGTGAAGATCCTGAGAGTCATCTTTGAGGGGTTAACAAGTTTGTCGACATTTTTGCTTCAAGATCTGGAGAATGGAGCCCCAGTGATTCAATTGAAATCCCAGCACTAATTGATGCCAACGCTAGAGCTTTTGTCAAAGTTCGCAAACTTATTGACCCGCCGTTAAAAGTCGTGTCAAAGCCTGATACTAAAAAAAGATTCCAAGCAGGACGCCCACTCTACAACTGAGAATAATCCAAAGCACAATACTATTCTTTATCCTACGTTTGGCGATCTATCTGTTAATCGTCAAATGGAACTTGCCAACATCCCAGTTTGCTCCGAATCATGTGATGTTGAATTGAAAGTCATCGAAGAACTGACTGCTTCTCTTAGAATGTCAAACTTTAAAGCCAGCCCTCCTTCATCTCAAAAGTATCATACCCATTTTATCATTTAGATTAGAGTAGGATTATAGGAGTGAAATTCCAGAAACATCAAAAGAATGGGAGACACTATCCGGCTAATACAAAACATTGCTATACAAAGATTGCTAGGTACATTCTTCACCACCCCAATCCCAATTCTTCAAAGAAAATTCAGAATCTTTTCTCTTCACCTCAAGCTTGAAGACCTAGCCTGAAGAGACACTCACTGACTCTACGACCCCTCAAGAATTTATAAAGGTAGCCAAACTAAATCCCAGTTCTTAACAAACAGCAGGGCAAAAAATGCTAATAAGAGACTGGTCAAAATAAATTTCATAATCAGGGTTGACTGAACAAAAATCTGTGTGATTCTCTCTTATAGACGCAGCACTATTACCCAATGACAGCATAAACACGCAATTGCGATAACAAAAGCTTTGAACCGATCCCACCAACTCTTTTACTGAAGCACATACTAAAACAACAAACAACGACGTAGAAATTGACAACGAGACATTGCAAACCCAGAAACTAATGAAAGGCCCCAGAAACATCCAACCTGGTGTCATAAATCTAACTGAGAACTAGCTGTGAAAAGTTAGCCAAATAAAATTGTTTTTGGGCGGACTAAAAACAAAGAAGACAAATGCCTAATATGTGAATCGGAACCAGAAATGCCCTGACATATCTTAACAGTATGCTCATGCTATCATTTTATACCAGATTCCCCCGCTCTGGAAACCATCTTCACCTTTTCACGAAAGACTCTTATTATATAATCTCTAAGATTATCCCGACTACAAGACTTACCATGATAGGTTTTCTTAGATGCTGATTTCCCGTTGGGATTTTCTTCTCATCTAAAGACTCTATATTGACAGAGTTTTTGCAGAAAAAAAATCTATATATTTAAAGTAATATCAGCATTTAAAGCTGGCATAATAAAACTTGAAAATGATCTGTTTTTTGTAATTTATTTTGTAGAACCATAGAAATAAGGCCAAAATATATGGTTTCATTTAAGATAATAAGCATTTCTAAAAAAACTAAAATTGCTTAGTTTATTTTTAAAAAAAAAAACATACAACTCAGTATAATACCAATACTATTATTAATATTAACATGATTTAATTCCAATATTGTTCTAAAAATCATATTTTTAACCATAGTTATGGCTCTGTTATGACGTTTAATCTACTTACTAATAAAAGTTTAAGTGCAACAGTAATTATTTTAACCCTAACCCACAGAAACCCTTAATTTCAAACCTTCTATCTCACTACCACCTTATAATTTTAACGTCCCTTCGATTGTTTTTAAATCAATGCAAACCGGGTTTATCCTTAAACTTTCAACTTTCAAATAGACAACCTAGTTCGCTCTATTTTTTTTACTAAATAATATGGGAGTCTTTTTTATATTTGGTAACTTGAGTACATAATTGACTTATATTATCTTTGACACATTGCATAATGGCCCACGAGCCTCGGTTTGGCACTGAATGGCCTGATTATCTGCCTTATGAAAATCTACTTAGTATTTCAGAATATCTCTCTTCTTCGCAACTTGTAATTTTGAGCCAGGTTTCCACTTGTTTTAGAAACCGTTTCAAGCCCATAAGCTGGCGCAACGTTATGGTTTTAAACCACCATAACAAAAATATTGTGAAACAAAACTTAGTCCCAAACTATGTCAAATATCGCCTTATACCTCTTGATGCATTTTTAAAAATTAAAAGATATTCCTGGATTAATACTGATTTTATTTACTTTTTAATGTTTGATCTTTGCTTGTTTTATTCCGCGGATAAATCTTTTTTAAATTTCACTTTCTTGCCATCACTATTTCCAAACGTTGATAAAGTTTTTATTAAAAATGGTCTACGATATAAAAAGTTTCCTTCTGAAGATGCTCACATCTATATAGACCACCCTAATAACCTTTTAAGCTCCTCTTTTTTTGCATTTATACAATCTGAGCTTTATTTATCACTAATGAGAAATTATCCTTCAAAGAAATCCCCATTTGATTTCAGCGTTGAAGTTAATATTTATAATTACGCGAATTTCTTTGGTAAATTAAATTTTATTCAGAATGTTAAAAATCTTAATCTCGATTTCCCTGAATTGATTAATGAAAATTTTATTCCTCCGACAGAACTGATTCTTCCCAATGTTGAGTTTTTGGGAATCCACCATAGCAATGATTTAATTTTAGGCTACATTGTTGACCAACTTCCTAAATGGCCCAAGCTTCAAGAAATTGAATCATCAATTTGGCTAAGCGTGAGTGAGATGTCGATCATCATTGAAAATAGACTTCGACATTTTCAAAGGCTACCACAATTATCTATATTTAAGTTATTTATTTGTTTTGAAAATTTTTTAAACTCTTTTCAAGATGAAGATTTTCAAATAAGATTAAGCTCTTCTCGGAATGAATTTTTTGAAATTAGACCAAATTCACCTCATCCCACATTTTTTTTCCCCCAGTTAACCCATCTTGAAACTGAAGTTACTTTACTAGATTTAGATGTTTCACCTAAATGCTTTATCCAGGCTTCAAATCTCAAGCATATTAGATTTTCAGCCAATACCTTTCTTAATTCTTCTTCTCTCTTGGGATTGAACATAGCTTCAGTCACTTCTTTAAATCTTGATACCGGAACAACAAAGCACGAAAAATTTGAGAATAACAGATTAATATTGGCCTTGGAACATATCGGAGAATTTAAAAACTTGAAACGGTTAATTGTTCATTATAGTGGATTAAAAAATAGGAAACTTCCTCACGCATTCTTTTATCCCCAATTCTGTCAGCTCCGGAATTATTATAAAGATAACCAATCGTTAGCCCCATTGGAACTTATCACCGATCTTGCTGAATCTGGAACTGTTGGCATCCTTGATTTCAACCAACACAAAGGAAATAACTATAAACATTTAAGAACACTTTTCTATAAGGTTTTTTCGAACTCTTTGGATACAGACCATGATATTACCTCTTTTGTATCTCAATTTAAACAATCATATTTTTCGGACGCGGTTCTTTCTTTTGAAATTGTCACCTTCATTATAGATTTGGCCCTTTTGGAAACACTGACAAATCAACTTTTCAAGTTACAATCGATAAAATACCTTGCAATAAACTTTGACAGCGCAGGGTTTGTGTCTCCTGGTCTTCAGCGCCTTATTAGCCACCACAGCACTATTGAACAGATTCTTCTAAATGTACATCTAGTTGATGTTGACTATGACATGAATGGAAGTATTATAAAAGATCCCGGATATTACTGTTTGCCTCTAGATCCTACTCAAGAAAATATGTCCGTGGCTTTATCAGATGTTGATTCTGATGATTATGATTTACCCGAACGTCTTCCTCGACTTGGTGCTCAAGTTTTAATTGATTTAAAGGGGAAGCATAAACTTCACCCCAACGACGAAACAACCTACTCTTCGTTTCCTATCAACAATCCCAATGCAATTGAATGTTTAAATAAGTCTGACAAAAGCCATCTTTTTGTTTTGCCGCAAAACATGAACTCGATGACTAATTATGGCGAATTTGTTGATTTTGGAAAACTGTCAGGATGGTTATAAAAAAACCATTTGTGTAGAAAAAATAAAGGTTTAAAATACGTTTAATTTATTATTATGCTACTGATTTTAATATATGTATATAAATAAATGAAAAAATTACTCATTAGAAATTGTCTCTGGTTAACTACTAAATGAAAAGGGCTGTGCTCTGTTATAACCTTTGAAATAAATAATAGAAAGAGGTACTTTAAACATGTTTAACATTATTATTTTGTGTGAATCTTAAAGGTCTTTAAATTTCTGAAATTGGAGAATCTGTAGCTAAAATCAGCCGTTAGAAACCATCAATTATTTTTAAAACTTGAGAATTTCAAATTTGAATATTAAATAGAGAAAAAAATAAATAGTTTTCACATTAAAAAACAATTGAAAATTTGCTATTGTGCAATTAAATGCAATTAAAAAAAAAAAACAAAACTTAAAAATCAAGCCGAAAATCAAGCTAAAAATTAAACAAATAAAAATCTTTAAAAATTGTTCGACGGCAACATCAAAAGATTTAACGACTTTATTCCATAATCTGATACACCGCAAACAGCAACAATCTTTTCCCCATCACGAACCAAGACATCTTCGAAGCTTCCAAAAACACCTGTAGTAATGCTGAAGTTCCCATACCATGGACTACATCTACTATCAGTAACAATGGCTAGCCCTGTGATTCCAACCTCCGAAACAGCAATCTTAAACCCCAAAAAAATTTCCGTAGGTTTAAATTCAAAAATAAATGGGAAACCATCAGGAGTACCAAGGGTATGAAATGATCTAATAATTTGATTTTTGTTGGTGATATGGTGATGGAATACCAGTGAGGTAATGCTTTTATGGTTGACAAAAATAACAATTTTTGTGAGATTTGGGAAAACCCAAGCCAAATCCAATCGTTTATAAATGTTTTCAAAGTATGCCTTTGAATTTTTCTCATATAACGACAAATCATATTTGGATTTTAAGCGGAAGTCACTAAGTAAGGTTAAAAAGTTCCTTGCAGCCCATTCATTTTTATTAAAACGTTTAAAAAGATCGAGTTGTGGCTGAAAGATAATTAGATAGTTGCTATTGTCAATTTTACATTTAATCATAGATTTATAAGTCAATCCTGTTAGAGATTGAAGTTTCTGTATGTCCAAATGATTTAAAATAAACAAAGCCAAAAAGTTTTCTTTTTTATTGTTATTATCATCATCCTCACCATCGTCGCTGATTTCGTCATTATCTGTATCATCTTCGTCATCTTCTTTAGGTTTGCTATAGTCATCATTCATAACAACAGAGGGTTCACCCAACGAAGACCGAGCATGCTGAAAGTCTCTTAGGAAAACCATTTGAGAGTAAGTTTTGTTATTGATTGATGCAAACATATTGCGAAAAATATTATACGTTGTTGTTGATATTGATCTTTTGAATGGACCTTGTAAACAAAGATCAAAAACAAAATGGCAAGCTACCGAGGTTCGCCACAGCATTTTTGAAATATCTCAAAGAGATAGATTTCAAAGGTTTATCTGGATGTTAAAGATCATTGTGTTGAAAGAGAAAAAAAAAAGAGATCTGCTTTTTTTTTTTATTTTTTTTATTAATTTGTATGCCGAGAGATAAGTGCTTGAAGTTGTTATCGGAGGAGATAAAGGGTTAGGGTTTATGAAAATCCCATTGAAGACAGTCCGTGATGATCCAAAAAACACAATACTTGCCATATCCACAATTGCAAATTTTCTGCGAGCTTTATAAATAAATTTATTTGTCTTTTATTATATTTGGTGCCTCAGAATTAGAGGATGGATAATGTAAGTTTTTAGGCAGTGATATGTCTAATACCGCAACAAATTGGTATTATTAAAAAGCTGGTTAAAGTTTAACTGTTGTATTCTTTTTACAAAAATGCATATTGGGATCTTTAAATAAAACATTTTCTTTTTTACTAGTAAGTATATATATGTTCACAAATAAATAAATAAAAATGATTGATAACTTAACCAGTTAGCAAGCTTACAAGGCCTTCAACTATCGTACCTATCACATCACCAATATCCCCAAAATCCATATCTGGAACACTATCTACCATGATATCGCCCAAATCACCAACATCAATGTCTGGAACACTATCTCCAATGATATCGCCCAAATCACCAACATCCACGTCTGGAACACTATTTCCGATGACATCGCTCAAATCAGGAACATTTGTTAAATCAGGACCATTTATCAAATCAGTGCTATTAATCACATCCGGACTACCATCAAAGTCGTTAATATCTATTCCATTATTATCGGTATCAACCAAATCACCGTTGTCAATATTACTGTAATCGCGTTCATCATTGTTATCAAAATAATCATTGTTGTTATTGTCAATATCGTCCAAATCATCATTGTCACTGTTAGAGTAACCGCCTTCATTATCATTATCAAAATTATCACTGTTGCTATTGTCAATATCGGTGTAAACATCATCATCATCATCATCATCATCATCATCATCATCATCATCATTATTATCTGCAGTCTTAATAGTCTCATCATCATCTTTTTTATTACTACCATGATATCTCCTAGCTCTTCGAGAACCCATTCTGAGAGATCTTATTAATGATCCATTTGAAAAATCAATTTTTTTGATATTTGCTTCAACTGTGAGATTCTTAGATGAAGAGTTTTCTTTATGGTGATTATTATGTTGTTGATGTTCAGGGCCATGGTTATGATGTTGATGATTCTCATTATTACCAAGTACCTGTTCCTGTTTTTGTTTCTGATACTCATGATTATGATGCTTATGAGTATGGTGATCACCACTACCATGATCTTGACTGAGAGCATTTTCAATAATGTTTTTGTTAAGCTTTGGTCTAACAATTAAGTCAAAATGTTCAATAACAGTTCCAACTGCCACTTTAAGTGCAAGCAGCTCTAAATTATTCAAACAAACTTCTCTTTGTCGGCCCGAAGTTGACTCACCAAAACTAGGACTAGGTTTTAAGTTAGTTAAAATGGTGAGCTGTTGAAGATAATCATCTTCCAAAAACCGGAAACCAGTGATATATATCCCCTTGTTAAATTTTAGCACAAAATTAGTCTTTTCATTATTACCAACTGAAAATGTTTCTTTATCTTTGATTTTGGGAGGTTCACCAGAAGATATAAATTCAAGTCCATTTATATTTTCCCCATGATTAATAATGATACTTTGCAGTCTAGGCGGTACAATGACCACTTCATAATCACCATTATATTTGGGATTGATATTTGTGCAGTAACCGACAATTTCTTTTCTTCCACGACCGAAAGTACTGATATAGACTTCTAAATCATCCAACGAGGTTGGATCCAGGTGCAATGTGTCAGACATTTTTTTTTTTTGTTAAAAATATAGAATGAAATTAGGAGATGATTAAAAAAAAATATGAGAATTGTTAATAGGTAGTCGAATAAAGCCAAGATTTTTTTAGGTATTTTTATTTTTCAAATAAAAGATGGAGAAATTTTCAGCTTTTATGCTTGAAAAATTTAGGCTTAGCCTCTTGAAAGATATAAGTGAAAGTGGCACCATTTGTAAATTCACGTGAATCTTTTGTTTATACGAAAAGATAAGATTTCATTTAATTTAATTGGTGTCGAAAATAACCGGTCAATTGATTTTTTTTTTTTTGGGAATATTCCTTTTGGTCTCATCGTATATGTGAAATTAATTTGGGGGTTTATTTATTTTTTTTTTCTCCTAATAAGTATTGCATATCAGCTTGTAAATAGGCATATATAGATCAAGTTAATTATCTTAAAATTTAAACTTTACAAACCCTCAATTATTTATAAAAAAAAATTACTTTTATTTCAATATGCTGTCTTAAATACTTATCATGGTCTATATTTAAAAAATTATGATTTGAGCCAAGTATGATTTATGAAAATAGACCACCGATAACATCAATGACCGAGGAAATTATACCATCATCATCGTCATCAATACAACTAAAATCACTACCATCATCATCATCATCACCACCATAATTGTAATTATTGTCGTCACTTTTATCATTACTGTTACTATTGTCGTCACTATCACTATCTTCATTGCTGTTGGACCCATTATCACTATCACTATCACTATCACTATCACTATCACTATCACTATTGTCACTATTGTCACTAATGTCACTATTGTCACTATTGTCACTATTTTCATTGTTACTATCATTTTCGTCTTCATTTTTTGTGGTTAAAATTTGATCATCATTATTTTTGTCATCATCTTTTTTAGAATGACCTTTACGTATCGTTCTTGGATGGGAACCCGTTCGGAGAGACCTAAGCAATGATCCATGCGAGAAATCAACCTTTTTAACGTTAACTTTAAATTTAACATTTTCAGATGAAGATGGGGTTTTTTGATGCTTATGAGTATTGTGATATTCTCGACCCTGGCCTTGATCTTGATCTTGATTTTGATTTTGATTTTGATTTTGATTTTGATTTTGATTTTGATTTTGATTTTGATTTTGATTTTGATCGTCATCGTCATCATCATCTTCTTCGTCATCTTGTTCGAAAAATTTATCTCTTTCTCCAATTATTCTTGGTCTGACAATCAGGTCAAAATGCTCAATAACATTACTGACAGCCACTCTTAATCCAAGTAGTTCTAAATTACTCAAGACAAACTCCTTTGGTTGGCCCAAGGTTGATTCACCAAAAACAGGACTGGAACAGATGTTAGTTGAGATGACAATTCGTTGTAAACGTTCTTCACTTTCCAAAAACCGAAAGCCATTAATGTATTGCCCTTTTTCAATTCCCAATATTATGTGTTGTTTTCCGGCTTTACCAATAGAAAATGTTTCATTATCCTTAATCTCTGGTGTTTTTTTTTTGGAGATAAACTCAATTCCATCCACATTTGTCCCATAATAAATAACAATGTAATTTAATTTAGGCGGTATAATGACTGTTTTAAAATTTCCATTATACTTAGGATTGATATTTGTGCAATAACCAATGATATCGGTTTTCCCTCGACCAAATGTGCTGACGTACGGTATCAAATCAGTTAACGAGGTTGGATCTAAATAAAAGGTTGTAGACATTGCTTATCATGAAAAAAATGAAAAAAAAATGAAAAAAAAATATGAAGAAATAATAATAAAGTCGAAAAATTTAAGTGTATTTTTTTTTTTTTGTTAATGAAAGTTAAGAAAAATTAATTATTTTCGAGGGTTTGAAAAAAATTGAAAAAAAATGGGGTAATGCCTTAAGGCTTTTATGATTGATGGTTTAGCCTCTTGAACAATTTAAACCAAGGTGGTACCATTTTTAAATTCACGTGACTTAATATATTTGGTTATATAAAAAAAAAAAAAAGATAAAGAAGTTTTTGAATAGATTTCACCAGAAAAACCAAAGAAGAATTCCAATATTTTTTTTGGAGACACTGTTGAAATTGAAATATTTAAATATTTTATATAGAATAGTCAAACTCCTTTGATTTCTTCTTTACTCAAAATCTTTTGATATTATATGACAGGTTTAAGGGTTTTGAATGAGAGGTGGATGTTTTTTGCAACGCTAGTAATGGAACATACCAGTTGATATCATGACTTTTTTCTTCGCTATAGTCTGCATATATTTAACCATTTCAAAAAATTTTTCATCATGAGTCCAGCTAGTATTCACGCCTCTCTTTCTGAGTCCTATCTGCCCACAAACAAACTCACACTATGGGAGTTAAGCAAGAAACACAATATATTTTACACCACCTTACAAAGACGAGTCGAAAATGGCACTCAATCAGCCGAAGAAGCCCATATTACCACCCAAAACTTCACACCTCAGCAAGAAAGCTATTCTTGAGGCTTATGTTGTTTATATGGTCCAAAAAAATATGCTTCGACCTGGTTCTTATATCCAAAAATTGACTGAAATATTTTCATGTGATGCTAATTCGGCGAAATTAACTCCTTCACGCACCTGGCTACGCTCCTTTGTGCGATGATCACACTTCCTAGAACAGGCCAAACACTCCCATATTGATATTTCTAAAGATAGGAAGTCGATGATGAAGCACAGCCTGAAGCCAAGTCTCCCTCTACTCTCATAGATCACTATAGGTCTCTCAGTTGTACACTGAGGAACCTCAAGAACCCTGTGGCGGTCGAGCATCTGAAAGGAGATCTATAAGGTAGCTACCAAGGCTCAAGCGAACTGGGCTATTGACAGCTTCAGGATTGCCCGGCTTGAAAAACAATTAGAAGAGTTGAGAGCGTAATCAAAAATGACTTGGAAGCGTGTACGAAATCTCAACAGGGACAGTGCCATTAGCAAGAAGTGATTTAGGTTTAACTGAAACACTTCGAGGAGCTAGAAAGGCAGTTACTACTGTTGAGGTAGAGTATATTGAAAATATTTTACAGGATAACAGCTACAAGTTGCCTATATTTTCAGTTCAAATGACCTTCTCTCATACAAAATAATATTAGTCTACGAGATAACTCCAAACTTACGATCTACTTGCAAGCACCAAGAATTGTGTCGTTAGTACAGCCCCTCCCTCCTCTTATAGTTGCTTATTAAAATTTGCTAGCATCACGTCTTGCCATCCAGTAATTAAGGGAATGGTTTCAGTTTGGTTTTTTTTTTATTAGTCTGGAATTATCAAGTATCACAACTAGTGAAAATTTCGAATGTATGGCTTCTTGAATGAATATGAAGTATATGAACAAGAAGCAACATGCGTTAAAACAATGCCACATTGGAAAGACTTTGGAGTTCCTAATTAGTAACTCTTTATAAAGAATTGATTAATATTTTTTGTTTTCATTGAAACATCGTTTATTAAGATTACACTGAGAACTATCTAACCTCTCATTTCACCTAATCCTTAGCCATGACAACCTTTTAATTGAAAATGAACCTTCAAATAATTTCAATTCATTATATATATGTAGTAATATATTTAAATCCAGCCATTAAAGCTCGAGTCAGTTATTGAATTCTCTAGAAGCCTCATTGGATTCTGTTTTTTAGAATAATACCCAAGATTATGAAACTTAGGATTAAACTCATTTTGATAAAGAAAATTTTTAAAGCATCTTTTTTGCTCAACATCGATAAGTGCTTGAAGAGTTGACTCTCGAGTAATATCTAAAAAGGTTGTCCCGATATGGGTTTCTGAACCTCCATAACACAAGTGGGGCGTTATAAAGACTGATAAATCACTGATATATATATATTGAACTTCTGGTAACAATGAATAAATGAAATTTTCAACCTTACTTTTACATAAAGGGAAAAGACGAGAAAAAGATGAAGAATGAGCTATTAAACTTTTAGCATCGCTAAGTTGAAAGTTGCTTTGTTGTTGGTAAATGCGGTTTTCATTGTATGAAAATAAAATTTGCTTCATTGAAGGGTGGACCATACAAATAAGCTGAAGATATGGTGAAATATAAAAGTTGTCTTTTATATTAAGTTGAAGAAACTGAACAGTATCCATATCTAAAATAACTTGAAATATAGCTTCATTTATTCCGACTGCATGTAAATAATCAGAAAAATCTCTGGTTTTAGAGTCATAAAATGAATCCAAAGCTTCATAATATCGATAAGGACTAATCATAAGATTCTCAAAAGCATTAAACAATGGACAAAACGTATCAATTTTTAATTTCGAAGCTATTTTTTTAAATTCATTTTTCAAATCAGTATTTAATTGTTTTTTAATGAGTAAACCATGTTTTAAAACAAGGTCACGCAAAGAAATGCAACATTGTTCAGCAAATTCATAGAATATATTAAAGTCTTCAACCTTTTCAATGGTTTTAACTTGAGTATGAAAATGCAAATTAGTTTCATAAGATTGATTTGAGAAAAAAAGTTGGACTCGAGTCAAATTTTTGAAATTTGGATGGTATCTGGTAAAATATACCATAATGTTTTCATTTATGTAAAGCGTTAGTGAAGTGATATTTTGTGAAAGAAAAAACACTAAATATTTTGGTTGAGAATAATTTAATTTATAAGAATTGTTTCCTTCATAAGATAAATGGAAAGTGGCATTGGGAAAATTAATTTTAGAACAAAAAGCTGTCGAGCAATGAAAGTTATCTCTTTCCAATAATACTAAGGAAGTTACCTGATTAATAGTAATTGGATCAAATATATTTAATGAGATATACTCTTGATTTTTAGGGAAAAACTCAAAAGCTAGCTTTAGTTGACATGTTTCTAAATTTAGAGGCAAGGCCAATAGTGATTGAATATGATTAGGATGACAAAATAAATGTTCTTCAAATAACTCATAATCAAAATTCACGCACACAAAAAAATTTAAAATAATAGTTTTTAATTTTGGCCATTTTATATGTTGGTTTAATAGGGACTCTAATGAATTTGAATAATCTATATCTAAGTGTATTTTCATCAACTCTAGATTATAAAAAGTGAGGTTTTGTGGGATATCGAAATCATTTTGATTATCTCCAAATGAAATTTCAAGAGTTTTGAGAGTATAATAAAGTAAATAACAGTGTTTCCAAAAAATATTTTGGGTGTCCTGGTATTGAACAATGTTTAGAACACCTGGGAAATTATAGATTTGACAAAGTTTAACCAACGATTTGTGTGCATGTGATTTTAAAATAGGAATTGGAGATAATGTACTTTTGAAATCAAGAGAATGCCAAGAAAAAATTGCTTTAAGATTAGGGAAATATCTTGTAGTAAAATCTTCTTGCCATCCATATGAATAATCAAAAAGAATAATATTGTTAACATAGTTAGTTTTTAACCAAGGATGGATTTCTGGTTGGAAAAATACTTGAGAAGTAACAATGGGAAATTTATAACAACGGTAATATTCAATTGGTATTTTTTTTTGGTTTTTTGATTTATAAGAAAGAGAATACAAAGGTATTGGGTTAACATCACGAAAGTCGACAATTAATGTTTTCCAAAATGTAGGAGAGAGACATTCTCTGATATAAGAGCTAGTTTGAAGAAAGCTTCTGCGATCTTCAGCAACTAAATAAGATAGAATTTCTTCTAAAATTTCAGTTGGCAAAGATTTAAAAATCATCGATAGTGAGGGTTTACCAAAAAAAAAAAAAAAAAAAAAAAAATTGGTTGTAGTGCAGAGAATACAGAGTATCACATTTTTTTTTATTCGTGTAGACTTAATTAAGTTAATATTATTCTAAACCTCCATGAAACCCCAACCCTATTACTTTATTCGTCTTATCAATTCCATTTATTTAATTTTTTTTTTTTTTCAGGTTTATATATAAAGAAACTTTCTGGACTTAAAATCTTGGACGATTTTTTAAAAAATAAAAAAAAAAAAAGTTCAGTTGATCAATCTTCTGAAAAGCCTACTAATTTATTTTTTAAAACTAAGAAAATTTCTAAGCTTAAGAAAAAAAAAAATACTGTGCAAACTTAACATCGATATAAAAATTTTAAGATTCTAAAAAAATCTTAAGTTTAGACATACTATAAATTTCAGGTTTGTTGGTTTTATTGTGAGAGCCATTCTAGTGACATTTTTCAAAACATTAGTTTTGAAAGAAGAACCCGGAGAACAGCACGGAGACCTAGGAGTAAACACCAGGGCAAGGGGCTAGAAATATAAAGTTGGCGGAGCTTTTCACGGAGCTGGTGAAATGAAATTTTAGGAACGGTTTGGAAGTATTAAACTATATATATATATATATATATATTTAAAGCACGTGTGCCGCACGGGTCTCTTTAAGAAACCTTGACCGATAGTAAAGAAGTGATAAGTTACAGTCTAAAAAAACCCGGCAATTATGCGTTGACAGATTAATGTCAGAGTCAAAGTCAGAGTCAGAGTCTGAATTCAAAATATTATTACAATTTAAAAAAAAAGAAAAAGAAAAAAAATAGACAATTTCAATGATTGTTAGGGATAGTGAATGAAGATTTGAAGGTTGATTGAAATAGAAAAGAAAAAAAAAATTGTAAATTTGGCCGGGACCGGGACATTAATTAAAAATAAATTACTAACCGATAATTCTGAATCCTATCGGTATATTTGTAAACTGTTTTTTTTTTTTTTTTTTTTTTTTTTTTTTTTTTTTTAAAAAAGAATGATATTTATGATTATTATTAAAAAAAATTTTTTTTTTTTTTTATAATCCGGAGTGGTCCCGGTATATTCTTTTTTTTTTATGTCGGGTTGCATTGTTTGCTTTTTCTGTAAAATATAAACATAGGCACCAGTGCCGGTGGTCAACCGGGAAAAAATATATATATATATATAAATATCTTTTTCTGGGGTAAAACAATGTGGGGTCTATAGTTTTTATTAATTCGGTTTTATATATATATATATATATATAAATTTTTAAAAAGCCCGAAAGTATTCCGAGTAAGACCTTTTTTTTTTTTAAAGGGGGTGGTTCATTAGTCCATAAAAGTCTAATGTTCATTATCACTTTAAATAGTCCTTTTAATTTAATTTAATTCGGTCTTTTGTGTCATGGAACCGTTACTTGTTACTTTTGATGTCCCGGTCTCTGCTCAAAATTATTATTTTTTTTTTTAAAGCAACCATTTCAGCGAGTCAAAAAAAAAAAAAAATAAATAAATAAAAAAAAAGAAAAACGTCAACCAAAGATATGATAAAAATTTATATGATTTATCTGATTTATCTGATTTATTTCTATATATATCAATATTTAAATACTTCTAATATTAGAATTCATCAAAAGTTTTAAATGAAATTAGTATTTCCAATATTGTTTATTTACAGTGATTATTTGAGAAACAAGACTCAGTAATTCCTTTAACTGAATCCTGGCACTTGCGATATTTTTATGAAGCTGTTTCGGGTAATTACCCGATAATTAGTTATATATAACTAATTATTCATGGTGGTTATTATAATGTTGGTTAAGTTAACACACAAAAAGAGAGTGTGTATTGCAGTTTTAATTCTAAATGATGATTAAGCCACATTTATAATATATCTTTTAGACTCTCGAAGTTTTGATTAGTTATCACCACTGCTGGATTAGCACTTCAACCTAATTAGAATCAACTTTCTGTTACTTTAATTTACAGTCAATGGCAGTTAATGACAGTCAATGACAGATCATATACACATTAAATATTACCACTTATGAGTGTCACTCGTCCATTTCATCGTATTTGGGATCAATGGCACCAAGAAACATCTTAACTAGCCAAGTTTCATAGGTAAGTTCAGTACCTAAACTTTCCATTTCCTCCTTTTCAATTTCATAATTAGATGTGCAATCTACCATACCTCCCACTTCTGGATCAACATCCAGCTTGGCCAAAAAATCGCGTGCAGGTATATCATTACCTACCTGTGCAAACTGTAAACCAAGAGCACCAGAGCCATATTTTGTTTTAGAAAGATCTGATTTAGCATTTTTAATAGTTTTTTCAAGAATTAATGGATTTTCACCAGTAGGGACACCGTCAGTGATTATAATGACCAATACTGGTTTTTTCAATTTTTTTTCACGAGCAGGTTTAAGGACCAAAGGCTCGAGTACTTTTGTTTTAAGATTTGAGCCAAGGGGAGTGAGACCCTTGAAATTTACCGAGGAAACAAGTTTTTTTACTTCGTTTTCATTGCGAATACTATTACCTTGGATAGAGCTATTTATGAAGCGAACCTCAATACCATTATCATCAAAGAGAGATGAAATATATGCTGTATGAGAAATAACGTTATTTAGATCGGTAGTACGTTGTCCATTTTCTTCAAGAACCATGGAGCCTGAATCATCAGCAAAAATAATGATATCGTAAAGAGCAAGACGAGTAAGCTCAATGGCTATATCCATATCAAGGTTCCAATTCTCTGAAACTTGCTCAATTTTTTTTCCAAAAGAGTTTGCAATTTCTATAATTTTTTCATGATTATAGAATTCTTGTAGCTCTCTTTCTTCAACAGCCTTTTTTAAGTTATTGTAATAAAGTTTGATTCTGTTTCTTGGGATTTTATATTGAAATATCATTGCTTTAATGCTTTATTTGATAAATGTAGAGTAATATATGAGAAGTATTTAATGGATGTTTTAAGTGGTCCAAAGGTAAGAAAGGGAGAAATAAAAAAAAATAAAAAATAAAAAATAAAAAAAAGATAAGTATTGAGAAGAAGAAGAAGAAGAAGAAAAAAAAAAAAATCTTTTATCTACTTATGTAAGATAAAAAAAATTAAACAATATATTAGAAACAATTTACTTTTATTTAAAAAAAACCGTTTTATAAAATTTAAAATATATTTTATAACAAAAAAAAAAAGAATCTTTTGACTAAATTTTTTAACTGATATATTTGAAAGATATATTCGAGTATATAGGTGGCGAAAAAAAAAATAAAATAAAAATGACTGGGGGAACTTTAAGTTAAGCATTAAAATACTTTAAGTATTCTGAACAGTGGGCGTATTGTAATTACTATTTTCTATTTGTATAATGACAATTACTGTTTACAATAAATGTTATTTATACAATGACATCAGACAAGAAAAAAAAAAAGTATTTTAACCATTAATATCTTTCTCTTACCTCTATTACTATATTCCTTTTATTTTATTTTTAATTTTAATTTTTTTTTTATATCTACATTCTCCAAATACCAAAATCGCGTTCTTCCAATTCTTTCTTATTTCTGCGACCGCCACGTGATGCTTCCAGTGCAAGACCTAAGTATTTACGGGTATCCTGAGGTCTGATAACACCATCATCCCACAGCCGTGCGGAACCAAATCGTACCAAAGATTCTGATTCAATACGTTCACGAAGAGCTGCAGTATCACGGGCCTTAGAACCTACAGTTTCCATAACACTGGCAAGTTGCTCTGCACCCATAACAGCAGTGCGTGAGTTGGGCCAGGTGAAAAGGAAACGGGGTTCATATGCACGGCCACACATACCATAATTGCCTGCACCGTACGAGTTACCAATAACAACAGTAAATCTTTCAACGCCAGACCCAACAACAGCAGTGACAAGTTTGGCACCATTTTTGGCAATACCTCCACGCTCTGCGTCGGAGCCCACCATAAAACCGGAAATATTTTGTAAGAAAACTAGGGGGATATCACGTTTCTTGCAGAGTTGAATGAAATGGGCACCTTTAAGAGAAGACTCACTAAAGAGAGGACCATTGTTTGCAAGAATGCCAACTGGGTGACCGTAGATTTTGGCCCAGCCAGTTACCAGAGTAGGACCATATTCCTTTTTGAATTCACTAAAACGTGAGCCATCGACAATGCGTCCAATGACTTCACGGACATCATAGGCTACACGGAGGTTTGTACCAACAATACCACCGAGTTCCTCTGGGCTGTAGATGGGCTCATCAAAAAGCGGGGCAGTAGGATCTGAGGAGGCGTTGGGTGAGATGCCCTGCGAGGCTGTCGGTAAATCAGTGAGGGCTTGCGCCGTGCCTGGGGATTGAGCCAGGGCTGGGGTTTTAGGGTAATTGAGGTTAGCAACGGAACGACGGAGAGTGGCAATACCTTCCTCTTCGGTATCGACGAGGTAATCAACTACACCAGAGACTGAGGCATGCATTTCACCACCGCCGAGATCTTCCTTAGAAACTTCTTCACCTGTGGCAGCTTTGACAAGTGGTGGGCCTGCAAGAAAGATATGGCCACCCCCACGGACAATAATAGTTTCGTCAGACATTGCTGGAACATAGGCACCACCTGCAGTGCAAGGACCAAGGACCAAGGAAAGTTGAGGGATACCTTGAGAGGACATTTTAGATTGCTGGAAGAAGATGCGACCAAAGTGGTTGTGAGATGGGAAAACATCAGCTTGATGAGGTAGGTTAGCACCTCCAGAGTCGACGAGATATAAGCATGGTAGACAGTTTTCAGCAGCGATTTCCTGTGCTCGTAAGTGTTTGCGAACAGTGATGGGGTAGTAAGTACCACCTTTGACAGTGGAATCATTTGCAACAATTACACACTTGACACCTTCAACCACACCAATACCGGTGATGATACCACCAGCTGGTACAGTTTCACCATCGTAGAGTTTATGACCAGCAAGCATGGAGAATTCGAGAAAGGAAGTTCCAGGGTCAATTAAGGAAGCAATGCGATCACGGGGGAGTAATTTTTTACGAGCAATATGTTTTTCACGGACTTTTTCAGGGATGTAAACTTCAGGGTCTGAAACAGCTTGGTGATCTTTTTCAAGGTCTGCAATAAGAGCATCCATTGCAGCTGCGCGTTCTTTAAACTCTGGGCTGGCAGTGTCGACTTTGGATTGAATTGTTTGAAGATCAGCAGTTTGAACGGGAGATGCAAATGCATTATAACTTCGAGAGAGGATAGTTGAGCGGGACCAAGACCGGACAGCTGATCTGGTTGCAGTGCTTGCTAATGATCGGGACAGTCTTGAGATCATTTTAGGGTATATAAATGTTTAACAAGATATAGAAAAGAAAAGAAAAGAAAAGAAAAGAAAAGAAAAGAAAAGAAAAGAAAAGAAAAGAAAAGAAAATTTGATTGATTAGTTTAGAAGTATAATATATAAATTGAATAAAAGAAGAAAAATAAAAAGAAGAATAGGAAAAAAAAATAAAAAAAAAAAAATTTCAGGATGACCGACTGCTTTTATAGCTGGACCAAATGTGTGTGTGTGGGGTATGTACGGGTGGGTGCCGCTAACAACCGGTGTATCTTTATATATATATATATAAATATAAATATAAATGTGTGTTTATGTGTGGTTATTTTTTCCTTCTTCTTCATATGGCCTTTTTTTTAGCAAAAAGAAATTCCCCGCAGAACCGGCCGGGACGACGGAGCACCTACGGCAACGAACCTATAGATTTTGAAATCCGGCAGATCAACGGCGGTAACTTTGGTTTCCTTTTAAGGTTTATTTAATAAATCTTTTTTTTATTTTTATTTTTTATTTTTTATTTTTTATTTTTTATTTTTTATTTTTTACTTTTTACTTTTGGTGATTCTTTCTTTTCGGCGGGGATAGGGGGAATATCTAAAAACATTTTTTTTTGTCGGCACAGCTCTTTTTTTTTTTTATAAATTAGTTGGATCCCGACATTGATAATAACAACAACGGTTACTACTACAACTATATTTCCCGGTGGCCACGACGGATACCGCAGGTCTTGTGAATCCGGGAAAAACCACGGAGATTTTTTTTTTTTATGAGTGAGTGAGTGAGTGAGTGAGTGAGTGAGTGAGTGAGTGAGTGAGTGAGTGATTGATTGATTGATTGTTTGATTGATTTATTTATTTATTTATTTATTTATTTATTTATTGAAGAAAGTTTTTTTTTTATTTCTTCCTCCCCCCCCACATAAGCATCTCTTGTGAGTGGAGAGAAAAAATAAAAAAAAATGAAAAAAAATGCGGGGTGAAAAGACCCGGTCACGTGATCGGTCACTACACGAGTTCCGAACGGCTGATTTCCCCACTTTTTTTTTTTTTTTTTTTTTTTTTCACACACACATAGACATTTTATTTATTTCTTTCTTTCTTTCTTTCTTTCAGCCCCGCCCCGCCTTGCCCTCCTCACCCCCACATTCGGGACAGACCCCGGAGCCACAGTGAGAGAGGCTGGAGAAACAAAAAATAAAAAATAAAAAATAAAAAATTCAAAACCCTTCTGACAAAAGATATAAAAGCAGACCATTAGACGTTCTCAGAAAAAAAAAAAAAAAAAAAAAAAAAGTAATTCTTATAATACAATAATAATCAATTTTTCATTAAAATACAATATTCTTCATTTAAATTTTTATTTTTATTTTTATTTTTAATTCTATCAGTTATCTATAAAAAATTCCAATAAATAATGATCAGATCTCTCAGACCTACATTTCTCAAACATTCTTGGTCTAAATTTCCAACAACAAGAGCTGCAATCCTCTATGCTCGTGGTTATGCCACTGCAACACCTGAAGAAGTTGAGGAACTTCGTCAAGCTACTGTCGACTTTTGTAAAGCAGAAATTACCCCAGCCGTGGCTCACCAAACAGATCTTGAAAATAATTTCCCTAACCAATTATGGAAGAAAATGGGTGATGCCGGACTTCTCGGAATTACCGCTGCTGAAGAATACGGTGGATTAAAAGCTGGATACATGGCTCATCTTGTCGTCATGGAAGAACTTTCACGTGCTTCAGGTTCAATTGGTCTTTCTTATGTTGCTCACTCTAACCTCTGCATTAATCAACTTTCTCGTTATGTAACCCCAGAACAAGGCAAAAAATATCTACCAGATCTTATTGCTGGTAATAAAATTGGTGCTTTGGCCATGTCTGAAGCTGGTGCTGGTTCCGATGTTGTTTCTATGAAACTCACTGCTAAACCAACTGATGATGGTTCTGGTTATATTCTAAATGGTACAAAACTTTGGATTACAAACGGTCCTGATGCTGACACTCTGGTAGTCTATGCCAAAACTGACCCCACTAAAGGTCCAAAGGGTATTACAACATTCATTATTGAAAAAACAATGCCTGGATTCTCTGTCTCTCGTAAACTTGATAAACTTGGTATGCGCGGCTCAAACACTGGTGAACTTGTTTTTGATAATGTCTTTGTCCCTAAAGAAAATATTCTTGGTCAACTCAACAGGGGTGTTTATGTTCTCATGACTGGTCTTGATTACGAACGTTTACTTCTCTGTGGTGGTCCTCTTGGTCTTATGCGTGCTGCTCTTGATGAAACTCTTCCATATGTCCACCAACGAACCCAATTTGATCAACCAATTGCCCACTTCCAACTTATCCAAGGGAAAATGGCTGACATGTATACAAAATTTGCTTCTTCAAGAGCTTATGCATATGAAGCTGCACGTGCTGCTGATGCCGGTGTTCTCACAGCCCGTGACTCAGCTGGTGCCCTGCTCTATTCTGCTGAACGTGCTACTGAAGTTTGTCTTGACGCTATTCAATGTATGGGTGGTATGGGCTATGTCAATGAAACTTCGGTAGGAAGACTTCTTCGTGACGCAAAACTCTATGAAATTGGTGGTGGTACCAGCGAAATCCGTCGCATGGTCATTGGAAGAAGTTTTAACAAGGAATACGCTCAATAATTAAAATAAACATATATATATATATATATTTAAAAAAAAAACTAAAAGTATATAAAGAATAAAAAAAAAAAACAACCAAAAATTACTATCCAAAATAAAAAACAACAAAATCAAAAAACAAAATCAAAAAATCAAAAAAACAAAATCAAAAAAATCAAGATAAAGGAGCACTATTAGGCCCCGTTCTCAAACTAGTCATCCGGTGTTGCTGCTGTTGTTGTTGTTGTTGTAGTGGCTGCGGTGTTAACAACCGCGCACTTTCGCTTCCGTCAATTGACCGTTGCGACCGGTGACGCAATGTTGCAGGAACACTGCTATATCGAGTCGACGCAGCTCGCGACGATGATGATCCTCCACGTAATGCAGATCCGGAAACTCCATTCAGTTCCGGTGCAACTGTATGCCGAATAGTAGACATCCGACTCACAGATCGGTGCGGGGAGTTAAGCGCATAACTCGGTGTTCTCACCCGCTCCCGTGTCGTCCGCACATCAGGAGTCTGTTCAAAATATTCTTCAATCACACTCTCAGCAGTATCCTCAAACTCAGCTGCAGAAGCAGCCTCAGCCTCCTTCGTAACCTCAACAGACCGCTGCAATAAATATTTCAACGATGTGTACCAAATATTATGACGCTGGCGAGTTGGACATGTAACCTTAATGGTTCGTTCAGGCGACTCAATCACCAAACTGCGATGGTAAATACCAGGTGGCAGTGGGTTATGATCCTCAACTGACCGCACACTTGTAATAGCAACTGACTTACTCTTACCATTTGATCGTGTCTCAAGAGCAGGATTATCGTTGCTCCAGTACAATGTCATGGTATAAGGATGCACCCAGAAATATCTCTGGTGACGGTTATCTGAAATACCACTCATACCCAGACGACGAGTATACTTGTGCAAATATTCACCTATGACAACTTGAGTAATGTATTGAATCATGCCACGATCAGAAAGTGTGTTGTGGCTGTGAATAGACAATGCACTAACATTCATAATGCTTGCCGCGACGGGACTTGGTTCAGGTCCAGCAGCACTGGCGCTAACTGCATTTACTGCAGCCACTGTATGTGGCCTTCTGATAACAGTACCAGTACTTTCAGGAATATCCACCAACATACTTGATATACCCTCGGATCCGAGAGTCTTCACCTGCTGCTCAACCGGTCCGCGCTTAGTGTTCAATGTGTTTAACGACTCGTCTCTATGAATTGCCTTGAAAGTATCCTCAGTTGGCGTATTCTCCGCAGATGACTGCTGATCATCAACAACAGCAGATTGCCAGCCCTCATCCGTCGGCGTAGATGTGTTAAACTGAGTGGACACACTGCGAATAACAGGTGCTCCCTTAACTTCCCGCAATAACGGTCCTTCTCCTTCACCATTGCCAGTGGGCGTCGCAATACCACCTTCTCCACGGCCTTCCTTCAAAGCCTGATACTCGGCCCCACTCACCGCAACAAAACCAAGCTTCTCGGCATAAAACCGAATATTATCTCTATTAACAGCTTCATTTCCTGTCCGAGCTCTAAGCTCCCTGTAAAGTGGCAATGGCACTTGTACAAATCCAGGCTTAAGCTCTGCAACCATTGCTTCCGTCTTCTTCTTATCTTCCTTAACCTTCATCAATATTTCATATTCTTGTGTCGAAATAATAGACATTCCAAGACGTTGGGCTGAAGTTCTGAGTGCTGCTTCTTGTTGAGGAGCAGTATTCAATTTCTTATAATCACGATCATTCAACAAGTGTAAGCCAAGACGATTTGCTTGGGCTTCAATTTCTTCAGTAGAAAGCTGTAAGTTTTTCTTTTCTTTTTCAGAAACCAAAGTATAACCGCGCTTGGCTGCAAGAGCACTAATTTCTTCTGTAGTAAGAGCCTTTTGAGTAGGCACTGGAACAGAAACTTTAACTGCAGAAGTAACAGGCACCTCTTTCGTAGCCCCCAAAACAGGAACAGGAATGGGCACAGGAACTGCAGTCGTCTTTGATCCTTGATGACTCTTAAGTTTGCTGTAATCTTCCTTTTCAACCAGCACAAACCCGAGTGCTTCAGCTTGTTTCTCCAATGAATCAGCCTTAAGATCTTCAACCTGGCGTTCAAGATCATCCACCCGAACTTGACTCAAGCGAATAGCACGAGTGCTAGCAATCTTAGTCTCAGAAATAATTCTAGTTGCCTCAGCTTGAGCTTCTTCTGCAGCAGCCTTGGCCACTTCAATCGCCTTGATGGCTTCAGCCTGACTCTGTGCAACTGCCTTAGCTGTCTCCGCATTCTTCTCCTCTAATGCACGAGCAACGTTTGCCCGAGACTCCTCAAGCGACTTAGTTTCAAGCTTACTAAGCTCAAGAGCTTTGAGAGCCTCAGATGCATTATTTTGAATACTTTGCATCTCCACATTACTCAATATAACAAGCCCAAGACTCTTAGCTGCAAGCTCAACTTGTTCCTTAGCTTGATTAGCAGCTTCGACATCCTCCTCAGTAACAGGAGCATCAGAAAGATAGCTGTGTCTCTTAAGATCTTCAGGAGTCTCAAATGCATCATGGAAAAGTGGAGTACTAGAGCGTTTAAGAACCTGTGAGTTGCGTTTGGCTTCAGTGGCTTCCATTTCTTCATATGCTTCAGTCTTAGTTGCAACAACAGGCGGCTTGGTAATAAGTTTTTGGTATTCTGCAATTGGAACAGCAACAAAATCACTGCTCTCATCAACCTTAGTAGGCATAACTGCCAAATCAAGTTTCTTTGCCAGCATAACAATATCGTCCTTAGAAGGAGACTCAACAATCTTTCTAAGAGAAGAAAGATACTCCGTAGGAACGGTTTCAACGGTAATGTCCTCATCTGTAGAAACAGGCTTAAGCAACTTAGATGCCGACATGGACCTCGGCATCTTATTTGTAGGAGTACCAGGTCTAGAACGTGTAACTAAGTCGTCCAAGCTTGATGATTCGGCAAGCAGAGCACCAGCTGCAGCACCTGCAACACCTGCAACACCAGCAATAGCTGATGAAGATCCAGCAGAAGGATTGCGCTTCAATAGCACCTTGTATTCATCAGCAGGAATAGCAACAAGTCCAAATTCCTTGGCAGTACGTAAAACATCACGGCGAGTAGGCTTGTACTCCTTTTGATTATCAACGAGTCGTTTGTACTCATCAGAAGCAACAGGGACATAGCCAAGAGAACGCATGGATTCAATAACCTTTTCACCATGTGCACTTGACTCAGAGGCTGATGATTGTCGAATAATGTCTTCAAAGTGTTCCTTGCGCGCAAGAACAGAACCAACCTTACGGTCAGATTGAGAAGATGCCTCACTCAAACTACCCTTACGCTCATTTATAGTGGAATAAAGCTCTTTGGTAATCAACACAAGTCCAAGCTTAGAAGCTAAAGTCTCCAAATCAGTCTTAGAAGGCTCCCGCAGCGACTTTTGCAGATTTTCGTACTCCTGGGATGTGACACCTGCAAGGCCAAGACGCTTGTTTTGTTGCAAAATAAAGTCTAAATCAGGCTCATTAAGATTTTTCTCCATAACCTCAAACTCATCATTTGGCACAGCGATGTAGCCAACAGCCTTGCTGAGTTCATTAAGCTCGACAGTAGTAGGCTTAGAAAGCTTACGTTTCCATTCGTCGACTTCATCTTGCGGCACCGACAACAGTTTGAATCGAGACAAACCGTCTTCAAGCTCACTAAGAGTGGGCTCATTGGCTTTGCGCTCAAGTTCACTAAGTTCCTCAGAAGGAATAAGAGACAGGTTGTGCTTAGATGTAACACGCTCCAAGTCTTCTTGTGTGGGATCATCTGCACGCCGCTTAAGAGAAGAAAGAGTGTCGACAGGAATAACGGCACAGCCAAAGCTGACTGCAAGCTTGTCAAGATCCTCTTTGTTAGGATTGTGTGCTGTACGCTTCAACTCTTCTAATTGTGATGATGGAATAACGGCAAAGTTATTTGTCTTTCCAAGTGATTCGAGTTCTTCACGGGTAGGTGCCTTGAGATTGGAGTTCAACACACTAAGTTGAGAGTTGGAAATTAGAGTAGCATCAAGCTTGGATGATTGTTCTTCCAGGTATTCCAAAGTAGGGTTCTTGAGAAGTTCACTTTCCTTTTTAAGAACCAAAGTAAATCCAAGATCTTCGGCCGATTTAGTGACATCAGATAAGGTAGGTGTAGCGTTTGCCTTGGCAGCAAGAGTATCATAATCAGCCTTCTTGACCAAGATAGAGTCGTGTTTATCAGCATGACTCTCCAAATCCCTAAAGTCAGGTTCATTCGCCTTTTTCTCAAGCGAAGTTAATGCAGAAATGCCAATAATAGAAAGACCAAGTTTAGAAGCATGAGACTTTACTGTGCCTTCATCAGGATTCTCGGCGGCATCCTTGAGTTTACTGTACTCCTCCTTAGAAATAACTTGGTGTCCAGCAGCATCAGCGTGCTCTGAAAGCTGAGATATAGAAGGACTGTTAGCCTTAGCTTCCAAATTCTTATACTCCTCTTCAGGAACAACCTTGTGACCAAATGCAGCAGCATGACCAGTAACTATTTCAACAGATGGATTGTTGGCCTTGTTATGAAGCTCATCATATTCTGCGGCAGAAAGAAGCTTGTGGTCCATATTTTTAGCATGAACAGCCAAGTCATCGAAAGTGGGAGAATTGGCCTTGGCATGGATTGCATCGTAATCTTCAACAGAAACAATCTTATGACCTTGGGTCTCGGCATGAGATGTCAAATGCTCAATAGTAGGAGCAGTAGCCTTAGAATGAATGTCATTGTACTCATCAGCAGGAACAACCTTATGGCCTTGCGACTCGGCTTGAGCTGCCAAATGTTCAATGCTAGGAGCAGTGGCTTTGGCATGAATTTCATCAAATACAGCAACAGGCACAATCTTGTGGCCTTGAGTCTCAGCGTGAGAAGAAAGATCCTCAAGAGTAGGAGCAGTAGCTTTAGCGTGAATTGCATTGTATTCCTCAACCGGTACAATTTTATGACCTTGCGATTCAGCGTGAGCAGCAAGATGTTCAAGAGAGGGAGATGTAGCTCTGGCATGAATGTCATTGTATTCCTCAACAGGAACAATCTTATGGCCCTGAGTTTCAGCATGAGATGCCAAATGTTCAAGAGTAGGTGCCGTCGCCTTAGCATTAATTTCTTCAAACGTAGCAACAGGCACGACCTTATGGCCATGAGCCTCTGCATGAGAAGAAAGATCCTCAATAGTGGGGGCCGTTGCTTTAGTATGAAGGGCGTTGTACTCCTCAATAGGTACAACCTTGTGACCCTGAGTCTCTGCGTGAGATGCTAAATGCTCAATTGTGGGAGTAGTGGCCTTAGCTTGAATGTCATTATACTCTTCAACAGGAACGATCTTGTGTCTCTTAGTTTCAGCGTGAGTAGCAAGATGTTCAAGAGAAGGAGATGTAGCTCTGGCATGGATGTCATTGTACTCTTCAACAGGAACAACCTTATGGCCCTGGGTCTCAGCATGAGATGCCAGGTGTTCAAGAGTGGGAGCTGTAGCCTTAGAATAAATTGCCTCGTACTCCTCAACAGGAACAATCTTGTGACCTTGAGACCCTGCATGAGAAGTCAAGTGTTCAATGGAAGGAGCAGTAGCCTTAGCGTGAATTTCATTGTACTCTTCAATAGAAATAACCTTGTGACCTTGAGTTTCAGCATGAGAAGTCAAGTGTTCTAAAGTAGGAGAAGTGGCTCTGGCATGAATTTCATTGTACTCATCAGCAGGAACCACTTTGTGACCAAGTTTTTCTGCGTGCTCAGTGATATGGTCAACAGTAGGTTCCTTAGCAAGACCTTCAATATGTTCAAAGTCTTCCTTGGGAACAACAAAAAGGCCAAGTTTCTTACCGGCTCGTTCCAGATCAGCCCTGGTTGGCTCATCAGCACGAGTCTTAAGATCTTGAAGACTTTCAATCGAAATCAAAGAATAGTTGAGACCCTGTGCAAGAGATTCAACTTCTTCCTTGGAAGGAGTATTAGCCTTTCTCTCAAGCTCAGAAAGATGAGCAGACGAGACAACAGCCAAATCACTAGCAGCGCCAAGCTCTTCAAGTTCCTCACGAGTAGGCTTTTGAAGATGCTCATTAAGGACAGTAAGACTAGAATTGGGGATAATGGTAGCATCCAGTTTCGAAGATTGTTGCTGCAAGAATTCAAATGTAGGCTTGTCAAGAAGTTTAGCATCGTCGTTTGGAACCAAAACAAAGCCAAGAGATTTAGCATACTCATCAACCGATTCCTTTTCAGGTTTCTCAACCTTTGATTTCAGGTCTTCGTATTCAGATTTTTTAACAATAACAGAGTCGTGAGAAGCAGCAAATTTGGTAATGGAGTCAAAGTCAGGATTTTCAGCCTTCTTCTGGAGCTCAGCCAAAGAAGCAGTAGCAAGGACAGCAAGACCAAGCTTGGAAGCCTTGGACTTGACGTCATCTTCCTTGGGATTTTCAGCAGTCTCCTTAAGTTGATTGTAACTATCTTGAGAAACAACAACATGACCTTGAGAAGCAGCACAATCTGAGATGTGAGAAATAGAAGGCTCATTTGCCTTAAGCGAGATTTCCTTGTACTCGGCTTCAGGAACAAAGGCATATCCTTCAGCATGGGCTTTGCTAGTTAAGTATTCAACAGATGGATGCTCAAGTTGAGCGTTGAGAGAATCAAAATTTTTCTGAGAAACAACAGTGTAACCAAGAGTAAAAGAGTCTTTCTTGAGATCTTCCACCGTAGGATGATTGATGCGCTTTTCCATAGATTCAAGCTTCGAGGTAGCAAGAAGAGTAAGACCAAGTTTGGCAGCAAATGCCTCGACCTCCATTTGTTCTGGCTCAGTAGCGGTCTTTTTAATTGAATTGAAATCCTTGACAGGAATGACGACAGCATCATGCTGTTTGGCAAATCCTTCAACAGTCGCAAAAGTTGGTGACTCAGCACGTTTATGAAGAACTTCAAGCTCACCTACAGGAATAGTAGCAAGACCAAGCTTGGAAGCATTACCCTTAATATCTGCAGCAGTAGGAGAGTCGGCACGCTGTTTAAGAGTTTCAAGCGCAGACTTGCCAATAATAGCAGATCCTAAAGCACCAGCAAAAAGAGAAATCTCAGTCAGTGACGGCTTTTCAGACTTGCGCTTAAGGTCATTGTGCTCATCTTTAGTAAGAGGAATAAGATCGTAGCTCTTGGCTTGTGAAAGAACAGTTTCTCTAGAGGGATTCTTGAGACTTTCAAGAGCATCTACAGATACTGCAGTTTTACCATAGGTAGAAAGCTTCTCTTCAAGAACCGCAACAGAGGGATTCTGTAACTCCTTGAAATCAACAGTAGGAACGACAACAAGACCATGAGATGTGGCTTGCTTTTCAATTTCTTCAGCTGTTGGGCTGTAAGGCTTCTTGAGATCATCATATTCGCTCTGCTCAACAGTGACAAGACCGTAACGTTTGGCAAGAGTAGTAACTTCAGGGGCAGTCGGTGCAGGCGGGCTACGCAGAGCCTTTAACTCTTCCAAAGATATGACATCATGACCGTCCTTTTTAGCAAGAGTAGTAATTTCTTCCAAAGTAGGAGGTTTGGGGTTTTGCAAAAGAGCAAGGGCACTGGTAGAAAGAGTTGCAAGACCAAGAGAAGCAGCAGCAGACTTAACAAAATCTTCGTCAATAGGTCGGTTAGCAGCCTCACGAATTGATTCATACTGACCAACAGGAACAGCAATAAGGCCGTGCTCTTCGACAGCTTGTGAGGCCTCTTCTTTAGATGGCTTGCGTCTTAGCTCAACTAGCTCATCATTGGGCAAGAGGGCAAAGCCTAAAGTAGCAGCCTTAGAAATAAGTTCATCCTTTGTGGGAGATTCGGCTTCACGTTTCAAAATTTCGATATCCTTCGTTTCAATGAGGCTGTAATTAAGCTCTGCGGCCATCTTTCGAAGCTCATCGCTAGTGGGGTTGTGGGCTAAGTGCTTGAGTTCATTGTACTCCTCAGTAGGAACAGCACTGAGATTCAGCTTAGAAGCCTTTTCGATAATGCGCTCCTTAGATGGCGAGTTGGCATCAGTAGACAAGGTTTCAAACTCTTCCTTAGGAACAACAACAAGGTTAAGATCAGATGCTTTAGCCTTAAGCTCTTCTTGAGTAGGAGACTTGGATGCTCTAACAAGTTCATTGTGTGCAGCAGAAGTAATAGCAACGTAGTTCAAAGACGAAGCAAGAGTAGCAAGCTCTTCAGTGGTAGGTTTTGAAGACTTGCGGTTAAGCTCATCCAAATCTCTGGAAGGAATGGTGGAAAGACCATGAGCGGCAGCCTTGGAATTGATATGCTCAAGAGATGGTTCATTTGCTTCAGAAACAAGCTTGTCATAAACAGCAGAAGTTATAGCAACAAGTCCAGCAGTTTTAGCGACCTTCTCAATATGACCTGCAGAAGGTTTTTCGGAAAGCTCGCGCAAAGCATTGTAGTCTTTCTCAGAAACAATAATACTGTCAAGAGACTTGGCCTTAGCAGCAAGCTCTTCAACAGTGGGTGTTTCAGCAGACCGAACAAGCTCCTCATATTTACCGTCTTCCACCACAGTAAGACCTAAGGTAGAAGCAGCGGCAGCAACTTCCTCCTTGGCTGGCTTAGTGGTCTTACGGACAAGATCTTCATATTTGTCACTCTCAACTGCAACCAGACCAAGGGCTTGAGCCTTAGACTCAATCTCAGAAACAGTTAAGGGTCGAGTGAGCTCTTCAAACTCGGATACTGGGCAAACATGGAGATTATGCTTCAAAGCATACTTAGCAACGTCCGCAGATGAAGGATCTTCAAGAGACTTGAGTTTAGAGGTAGCTAACACAGAAAACCCAATGGAAGCAGCTCTCTTGGAAATTTCTTCTTCCGTAGGGTTGTCCACCGACCGTATAAGTTCGTTATGATCAGACTCAGGAATGGCAATGAGATTAAATGACTTGGCAGCATCAATAACTTCATCCTGAGAAGGCTGGTTGGCTTTGCGGACAATTTCATCATACTCAGAAACAGAAACAGCCGTAAGATGAGCCTTGTCAGCAGCAGCCTTAATTTCATCAGAAGAAGGCTCGTTCGCACGACGCAAAAGATTGTCGTACTCAGAAGTATCAACAGCAATGAGACTAAGATTTTTAGCCTTAGAGAAAATTTCATCCTTAGTAGGTTCATTTGCTTGACGAGTAAGGGAAGCATACTCTTCTTTAGGAATAACAATATTGTCAAGTAGAGAAGCCTTGGAATTTAAGAATTCAAGAGAGGGTGATTCTGCAGTCTCGTAAAGGGTCTTAAGCTTTTCTGAAGGAAGCAAAGTATAGTTTTGGCTTTCAGCCTTAGCTTTAAGTTCTTCAATGGTTGGGGAGTTAGCTTGTCGTAACAGAGAAGTATGACCAGCAACGGTAAGAGGAACAAGACCAAGAACCTTAGCTTTTTCAGAAATTTCTTCTTGAGTAGGGTCTTCAGCCTTGCGCAGCAATTTTACGTACTCGTCCTTAGGAACAAGCTGGAGATTCTTGGACTCTGCACGAGCTGTTAATTCTTCTTCCGTGGGCTCCTCAACAGAATGAACCAACTTGGTGTGTTCGGCTTCAGACAAAGTAACAAACCCAAGAGCTTTGGCCTTTTCAGAAATTTCTTCCTTTGTAAGAGCTCGAGTTAGCTCTTTGTGATTATCTTTATGAAGAGCAACGTAACCAAGAGCCTCAGCCTTTTCAGAAAGTTCCTCAGGTGTAGGCTCATGGGCAGCTCTTAGAAGAGACTTATGGTCGTCGACAGGAAGGGCAACAAGGCCTAGTTTCTCGGCCTTAGTCGAAATTTCCTCATGAGTGGGCTCATTAACAGCACGCAGAGTAGCTTCGTGATCGTCCTTAGGAATGGCTACATAGCCAAGAGATTTAGCCTTTTCAGAAAGTTCCTCAGGTGTAGGCTCATGGGCAGCTCTTAGAAGAGACTTATGGTCGTCGACAGGAAGAGCAATTAAACCAAGCTTCTCAGCCTTAGTCAAAATTTCCTCATGTGTAGGCTCGTTAACAGCACGCAGAGTAGCTTCGTGGTCGTCCTTAGAAATGGCTACATAGCCAAGAGATTTAGCCTTTTCTGCAAGTTCTTCGGGTGTGGGCTCGTGGGCAGCTCTTAGAAGAGACTTATGGTCGTCGACAGGAAGAGCAACAAGGCCTAGTTTCTCGGCCTTAGTCGAAATTTCCTCATGAGTGGGCTCATTAACAGCACGCAGAGTAGCTTCGTGATCGTCCTTAGGAATGGCTACATAGCCAAGAGATTTAGCCTTTTCTGCAAGTTCTTCGGGTGTGGGCTCGTGGGCAGCTCTTAGAAGAGACTTATGGTCGTCGACAGGAAGAGCAACAAGGCCTAGTTTCTCGGCCTTAGTCAAAATTTCCTCATGAGTGGGTTCATTAACAGCACGCAGAGTAGCTTCGTGATCGTCCTTGGGAACAGCAACATAACCAAGGGTCTTTGCCTTTTCAGCAAGCTCTTCAGGTGTAGGCTCATGAACAGCGCGGAGAAGTGACTTGTGGTCATCGACAGGAAGAGCTATTAAACCAAGCTTCTCAGCCTTAGTCAAAATTTCCTCATGTGTAGGATCATTGGCAGCCCGAACAGTAGCTTCGTGGTCATCCTTAGGAAGGGCTACATAGCCAAGAGACTTAGCCTTTTCAGCAAGCTCTTCAGGAGTAGGCTCATGGGCGGCTCTTAAGAGCGACTGATGGTCGTCAACGGGCAAAGCCACTAGACCAAGATTCTTAGCCTTTGATAAAATTTCTTCATGAGTAGGTGTATGAGCAGCACGTAGCACCTCCTCATGTTCATCCTTATTAAGAACCACATAACCCAGTGACTGCGCCTTTTCTGAAAGCTCCTCGTGAGTAGGCTCGTGTGCAGCGCGGAAAAGAGACTTGAGTTCATCAGCAGGTAGTGCAGCCAAACCTAAATCCTCAGCCTTCTTGGTAATTTCTTCATGTGTTGGCTCGTGAAGCTCACGCAGTAACGACTTGTGTTCATCTGCATGCAGGGCAACAAGGCCGAGACCTTCAGCCTTTTGGGTGATCTCTTCGTGTGTGGGCTTGTGTGCAACACGCAAAACTTCTTCATGATGCTCTTGAGGGATAGCAACATATCCAAGAGCCTTAGCCTTTTCAGCAAGCTCTTCAGGCGTAGGCTCATGGGCGGCCCGCAGAATCGACTTGTGATCATCATCAGGAAGAATAACAAAGCCGAGATGCTTGGCCTTAGAAGCTAGTTCTTCTGTGGTGGGTTCATTTGCAGTACGTTTGATAGATTCGAATTCTTCTTGAGGAACAGTGACAAGACCTAAAGACTGGGCCTTGAAAGAAATTTCATCAGGAGTAGGCTTTTGTGCTTCACGTAGAACATCGTCGTATTTGTCCTCATCAATGAGAACAAGCTTATTTTTAGCAGCGTACTCTTTTACCAGATCTTGTGTGGGATTGGAAGCAGCATGAACCAATTCATCATGGGAGGATTTAGAGACTGTAACCAAGCCTAGAGCTTCAGCTTGTTTAACAAGCTCTTCCTTAGCAAGAGGTTCTTCTGACTTTTGAACAATCGATTTATATTCCGGTTCTTGCAGAGTTACCAAGCCAAGTTTGGCAGCATTTTCCTTAATGAATGACTCGCTGGGAGACTGGGAAACGTTTAACAGGTTATCGTATTCTTTTTCAGAAAGGACACGAAGACCCTTCTTTTCGGCAAGCTTGGTAAGTTCTTCACTAGTAGGCTCAGGAGCGGAAGCAACTGTCGGGATAGGAATAGGTACAGGAACTGAAACAGGTTTAAATGACGGAAGAGAAGATTCGAGAGACTGAGACTTTAAAAGAGCGCTATGGTCATCTTCAGACAGAACAACAAAGCCCAATGACTTAGCAGAGGCCTGGAGATCTTCAACTGTGAGAGAGGTAGCAATTGCAGCGGTAGCAGGAGTGGAGGTATTTGTGTGGGTTTCCTTTGTAAGTTCTTCGTACTCTTCGATTGGAAGAGTGACAAGACCGTGATCAGATGCAAGCTTTTCAATTTCCTCCACAGACATAAACTCAGATGCCAAGCTATCACCCTTAGCAAATGAACCCATGCCACTTTCTTGAGCAAAAGCGCTAAGATGGGAAGCAGCGGCAGAAATATCGTTTTCAGAGCCAAAATCCTTAGACCGGGCAAAAAGACCCTGAGGAGTACTGGCACTACGTGAAAAGTGATTGCGAGCAGCGGCGCCAAATATGGACTTGGTGCCAGCCATGTCATAAAAGTCATCTTCGTCTTCTTCTTCATCTTCATCGTCCTCGTTGTGGAGGTTAACAGAAGGGAAAAAGGAGCCACCAGTAGTATGTCTTCTGTGACCAACTTTGTCCTCTTCAGTTTCAGTCATTTCGCCGGAGTCGTGCGTTTCGCGACTAGTGTTGTAGTCATCATCTTCAGTAGTGGGGGTTTTATCGGTAGTCGACTGGAAAATATCAGATATTGAATGGTTAGTGTTTTCTTCGTTTTCTTCCCAGCCTTCTTCCGAAGAGCCAAAACTAAAACGCTTATTTGTTGGTTCTCCAAAAGTAGCCGTAAAAGATGGGTTGAGTGATCGAGCAAGGCCACCACGGGCAGCCGTGCGCTGACGTTTGGGATTATTGGTACTGCTTCCCTTAAAACCAGCAAAAATGCTGCTTCGGTTGCTTTGTGTGCCGCCGCTTACAGAAACTCCTTCAGATTCGCTCTGTTGTGCATCGGAAATTTGTCGCTTGAGCTCAAGCTTTTCAGCCTTTTCACGTGCTAGGTTGCTACGCAAGGTAGCAATGATTTTATGGGCATGTTGAAGAGAATCTTTGACTGTTTCAGATTCAAGAGCAGCAGTACTTGATTGAGTATGGTTAGGAGAGTTAAAACTGTCTAATAGGACTTGGTCATCTCCAATGAAAGAATCATCATCAGTATCATCGTCATCAAAAGCGCCTTCACCACCAGACTGGCGGCGTCGGTTTATGATATCATTTGAAATTGAAAGCTGGCGAGACTGGGAATGAACTTGAGTATTTAAAAGAGAAACTTCCTCTTTTAGCTCTGCGAGCTGTTGTTGCAGCAAAGTGTTTTCTGACATTAGCTGGTCGTTGTCAAGCTTAAAAGTAGTAATTGTAGATTCTTTAGAGGCACGTAATTTTTCAAGCTCTTTGACAAGCTCCGACTCCTTTTCTTTCATGGTATCAATAATGTCAAGTTGTTTGCTTTTATCAGTCTGGAGCTTACCTCTTTCCGTGGCAGTCATGGATAAAGCATTATTTGATTTTTTAATTAGTTCTCTAAGATCTCGAATTCGAACTTCAAGGTTCCAATTTTCTTCTTTAAGTTTTTCTAGAAAAGTTAGAATGGGAAAAAGTTTAAAAACCTTATTAACATACGATCTTCAGTAGAAATTGATGATAGTTGCGAAGTGAGAGTATGATTCTGAGATTTTAATTGTTCTTGTTCTTGTTCAAGATTGCGAATGAGAGACTCTCGTTGCTGAAGCTGGGCATTTAACCGTCTGCATTCTTGAAGAATATTTTCGCCAATAGATGAAACAAAGTTAATATCTTCAGTTTTGGAAGAAGTATTTCTACTGCGGCGATGTCGCACAGGAGGTGCATATTGCTCGTTGGAAACAGGCGTCTAAAAATTGTTAAAATTAAAAAAAAAATAAAAAAATAAAAAAATAAAAAAAGACAACGTACTAAAGAGTCAGATTGGTCATGGGGTCTGATAGAAGTAGACTCCTCCATAAGTTGGTCAGATTGTCTTGAAAGGTATGCTATTCGCTGTTGAAGCTTTTTAGATTGAAGACGCTGTTCTTCATCAAACGCGTCTTGAAGCGAAGTTGTAGATGAATCTTTGAGGGAATCTAAGTGGAGCTGAAGTTCGTGTTCAGTGCTAAGAAGAGTTTCACCCAAAACGGCTGTGCGCTCTATACGACCATGAACTTTGCGGAGCTGGTCGCGAAAGACGGTGACATCTGGGGATGATGTTGTGGAGAGGTCATCTGTGCTGCCAGTCAACTGGTCGCTCAGACTTCTTCCGGCGCCTCCGGCAAAGAGGTGGTCGGAAGGATTGGACATGCTACTAGGAACAGTGAAATAGTGGTTGTAAAAGCAAGAATATTTGTAAAAATTATTTTAGTTAAAGTAGTATCAAAAGATCTGCACTACTAGAACACTGCTTTGATAGCGATGGATGTGTATAATTAGTTAACTTGGATTGGGTTGGTTGGTAAGAATAATGAATATTGGTGGTGGTGAAGAATTTTTTAATCTTTTATTTTTTTTTTTTTGACTGTTGGGAATTGTCACCCCATTGAGTTATTGTGAGAGCTCCTAAACAACAACAAAAATTTCAGGAGAGACCCCATAAACAATTATGTAATCAGATTATTTGTCGTCACTGAAGGAAAGCCGCCGCCGTTGCTGTTTTTGTGATCAGTTGGAATGTAAATAAAAAAAATGAAATAAAAAGAAATAAAACGGCTTGGATTTTTATGGAAAAAAAAGAGTACGTGATCTTATTAAAAGTTTAGGAGATATTAAAGTATATCGACATGCAAGTTTAAAGGCAGTTTTAGTAGTGGTTTATGCAAAAAAAAAAAAAAGATAAATCGGCTTTTGACTGCACAAATAGAACCAAAAATTTACGAGACTTTTTAAATCATATAATTATCATTATCATCGTCAAAATCATATCAACATGGTATTTAATTTATTCCATAGATTCATCTCCATCCTTATCCTGCTTATTGGTAGACTCCTCATTCTTCTCACTCTTTTCTTTTTCGCCCTGGTAAATACCATTGAGATAGCCTACAACACCTTCACCTTGATAAGGAAAATCAAGTTCACTTGCAAGAACTTGTCCCAAACCACCTTGACGCAAGACTCCTGAAAGTGACTCCACGCCCTGAGCAAACTGTGAGGATCGAATGACACGGATCAGTTCATCCTTGGTTTTGGTAATTTCCTCAGGCATCTGGTCAAAAAGAGGCTTGAGCTGTTCTTCATTAGCCTTTTCAACGTATGAAATAAAATCACTTGTTGAAAAGGCATTTGAAATTGAAAGAATTGGGAAGTCCCCAGAAGAAGAGGAAGAAGCTTCGGAATTACCACTTCGCTGTTTAACTTGTTCGGCAACAGATTTGACAAATGAATCCCATTGGGGTCCAGAAGTAAATGATGAGGTTCTAAGAATGGTGCAATTGATTAATACATGGTGACAATGAAAGAAAAAAAAAATGAAAATGTATAAAGTACAAAAAAATGAAGGATGAAAAAAAAAACATTCAATTAAAAAAACATCAATTGAATAATTTTTTTTTTTGTAAAGTCATTAATCATAATCTTAAAAGTTTTTTTTTCCTTTCTTCTTTTCATGGAAGGATAAGAAAAAAAAATAAATAAAAAGACTTACGCATTGTGATCGCTGCTATCTTCTGATTTCGATGTTGGTGCGGCGCCTGAAGAGTCTGCGGTGGCAGAACTAGTGGTAGTAGCACCTGCGTCGTCCTGCTCCATGTCCTCATCTTCGTCTTCTTCTTCCTCCTCATCTTCGGTCAGAATCTTCTGAAAAGTCGATAATATCAGTTTGTCTTCCGATGATAGTGTAGCTGGGTTCTTGTCTTTGGCATCAGTGCGAGCCTGCATCCAGAAAAACTCGCGCTTATCAGAGCTTTGGAACTTGAGTGCAAACACACGGCCATTGGTCTTGGAGCGACAGTGGACCCATTCTGCATCACCAGGAATCAAAAGGAGTGGCTCGCGAGATGTAACGGTCTCTGGTGGCTCAAAGCCGTCGCGGGGCTCCCATGCAAACGAGTAGTAAGGCTCCTGAGGGTCTTTGCTCACCGTGATGCGACCGGGACCTGGGCGCGGAGTGACAGTTTTGGTGGCCTCATCGTAGGTGGCGTAACCGGCCGCAAAGTTCAGGATTGTTTCAAAAGCCATTAGAAGAGTATGTATATATGTATTAAAAAGTGTAGTTTAAGAAGATTAGATTGAGAATGGGTTCGCTGGCTTCGAATGAGTGGTGGTGATAGAAGAGAGAAAAAGGAGGGTCTGTTGGGCTTACGAGTGGCAAAATGGCAGGTTTGGAGGTTGAAGAAAAAAAAAATAGGTTTGGTGGTTACCCGGCCTTTTGGGTGGCTTTACATACCAAAATGATTTCCTTGTATAAGGGCTTTTCTCTCCACATTTTATCAACATCTTCATAAGCTACTTTTCAACAGTATTAAACACACTTATTATCAATCACAATGGCATTTCCTCCTGAAGATATCATTCCAATCGTCACCCGAATCTCCGATATTCTAAAGGAGCGTAAGCAGACATTGAGTATATCTGAATCGGTAAGTGATATGAATCTTTAGAGACCATTTTTTTGTCTATAAAATTCGCGTCTAACGCGTCAACTTTAAACTCTAGGCCTGTGGTGGGCTCATTTCATCCTACATTGTCTCTGTTCCTGGTGCATCTTCCTGCTATCTCGGAAGTACCTTGACCTACTCACTTAAGTCTCGGCTGAAGCTTAGTGGATGGTCTGAGGAAGATATCCAGTCCTATACGTATGTTATTGTTTTTTAGTCTAATATGATGTGTGGACTTAATTATTGGTGGTGGTGATGGTAATAATAATGGCGTTATTAATAGCCGTTTTGAAAATTCTTACGATGGGCTTTTCATCATCTTTTTTTTTTTTTTTTTTTTTTTGGGTTCCTAAATTTTTTTTCTTTTTTCATTTAAAATTCTAACTCTTAGATTTTTATTTGATATAGCGGCCCAAGTGAAGATGTAGCACTTAGACTTGCCCGTAATCTCAAATACGAGCTCGGTAGCACATACACACTCAGTGAGACTGGCTGGGCCGGACCCACGGGAGTTGACGGGGCCTCAAGTGAAGGTGTAGGCACCGTTTACCTGGCCATTGTGGGACCAACGGGCCAGCCGAAGAAAACTCATAAGGATCTTCGTTCTTTTTCCTCGTTCAATGCTCATGACCGTGCGGGAAACATGGCTGAATTCGCTAAACTGGCTCTGGAATTCCTGCTGGATTATCTTCTTGAACAGGAAACTACTTCAGCTTAATATTAAAAAAAAATTACTAAATAAAAAAAAATAAAAACTTTGTTGCAAAAAAAAAGTTATGGTGGTGTTGTTAGTGGTGGTGCAGTTTTGGATGGTCTATATACTAGTATGGATAGTCTGGACCATACTGGAAAGCTTAACAGTACTAAACGCATACCCACTCCACCTATCAGCTTTAGTGCTACTATGATCTTTTAAATTATTTTCTCTTAGTTTTTTTTTTTTAAACTACCACAATCCTTTTTTTCCTTTATAAAACTTTCCTTTCTCTCTTTAACTTCTCACATTTACCCCCTAAATAATCAACTATCCCGTTAAAACAGTCCTGATAACACGTCTTTCATCACCTTCTTCTATTAGAAAAAATGTCAAGTTCTGCCTTTTTGGTAGAACAACCGGCTGCTCCATCTCCTCCAGTTGCATCTATAGACCCTTCTGCTGTAGCATCTGGAAAATCTCTCCCGGAATGGTCCGCTCTCTCTAGAATCGGCCGTGGAGTCGTCATCGCAAAACACGCTGCATCGCCCACTCGCAAAAACGACCTCTCGCTTAACCTTGGAGATGAAGTTTATGTCTTTGAAACCCACATCTCCAAGAAGTGGTACCGCGGCTATGTCGTGTCACCACCCTCTGCCCACTCTGCCTTCAACCAGCCGCTCCCTCGTGGTACTAAAATCAATAACGCAGCCCTGAAAGAGCTTGAACCAAACGTCCGGATTGGCATCTTCCCTGCCCCCCTTGTCCATATTCATGAATACTTTGACCTTTCAGCTTCGGATGCTAAAAGTTCGCTTGCTGACCTTGCAAAAGAGCGCTTTTCTACTCTTGGTGGCTCCAATCTCGGTACATCTGACTACGATCTCGAGGCTTTTATTTCCGGTGGAGCTGCAATTTCGCAGCTTTCGCTCAAGTCAAAACCTCCCCCAATCCCTTCCATCCGTCTTGGTAATGAAGCTCCAACTATTCCCGGTGAGCCTCTTGTTGATGATATTGTTTCCATCATTAACGAATGGTACAATACTTATGTCTACCATCACTATCTCTTTGGCAACTATGAACTCGTTAACACCATCAATGGCATTATCCAAGAGCTCTACATGATTCGCCGAAAACTCATCTATGGCCTCCTTACCTCTAATGAACGAATTCTTGCTCGCAAGAAAGTTGTTTGGCAAATTTCTCGTGTCGTCAATATTCTCAATAGAGGTCACGTTGTAAGAGATGCTAAGACAGGTGATATTATGGCCGGTAAAGAGGGTCCAGTTAAGCTCGCCCAGCAGCAAATTTTAATTGCCCTGGCTCCTAACTACCCCGACCACTCGCTTATTGGTGACTCGTATCCAGAAGCTAAAAACCCCAAGCACATAATGGTCGACTTTAAATCTTGTGTTGGTCAGGGTTACGGTCACGGTCTTACTGTTTACTTCCAGCTCCGCACTAAATCTGCACGCTTAACCGAACCCTTTTCCATCAAGGTTAAACCTCACATGCTGGTGTCGGATCTTTCCGCTGTGCTCTTTAGAGATTTGCCGCTTTATATCACCCGTGGTGACGTTATTCTCAACGCTGAGCTTTATGAAGATGTTTCTCTCCGCTCAAAAACACCTACTCCACTTGCCATCGTCATTGGTAAACCTTCCTTTACTAGTTCTAACAAGCCACATAAAAAGCACGGCCGTCGTGGTGTTGCTTCAGGTGCGGCCGATGTCTCTCGTTTGTTCCGTTTGGAGGACAAGGGCGAAACTCCATTCACTATTAGAATGTACGCCAGTTACTTTGCCAACGAAGAACCTAATAAAGAGAATAGAGGTTGGGGCGAGTTGTTTGAACGTATTGTTAGAGGCCGTCCTCGTGGTGTTGCAGTCACTCCCCGTGCAGAACAAGTTGTTTGTACTGTCAAGGAGTTTGAAGCACCCACTGTCAAGAATATTGAGCACCTCCAAAACAAGAACTCTCATGATGCGATTGGCATGGCCCGTTCGCTTCACGTTACTTCTTTGAATGGCGAACGCAATGATGTTTATTTGACTCTAGGCACCATTTCGCTTACCCACATTGATGCCACCATTCCAGACTACTTGCTTGTCTCAATGACATCTTCCTCCGGCAAGGCTCTCTTTTCCAACTCTTCCAACTCCAGCTCCTACCACACTTGGGACTCCTTGGCCACCTATAACAATGAAGTTGTTGGCGAAATGATTAAGATCACGGATTTTGAAAAGAGTGAGATTATCACCTTTGATTTGTACGTTGGTGGTGAATACATTGCTCAGACCAGCTTTCCTCTATGGCATGGCACTAAGGTTTGGTCCGGCCACAAGACTATTTCTTTTGTCCGCGATGGTGATAACACTGTTGCCACACTTAAAATTTCTGTTGACTTTGTTGGCAATGTTTACAATACTGACGTTGCCATTGAAAAGATTCTCCACTGGCGTATGGTTTACGACTCACATGGAGCTGACGAGTTGATTTTAGCCTTGAAAAAGTTTAAGACTATTGACAGTAAAGAATTTGTTAAGGTAAGTTTAATCTTAGTTCCTTTTTTTTTTTCTAATTTCTTTTTTTCTAACTTTTTTTTAGCGATTCCATGGTATTCTTGATTCTCTTTTGGAACTTCTTACAACGTTCCTGAAGTCTGATCAGAGTGAACTTTTGTTGAGCATTTTTCATGCTATTATTTATACTCTTGAAAAGATTACAAACAAAAATAAGGATTACATTTATCTTATTAATGATTACCTGTCCAATCACCTTAACTTCACTGGCTTGGTTGATCTCATTATTCTTAGTGAACAGGCACTTCAAATCGACACTTCTTCTGGCAGAGATCATGACATTATTATCAAAATGTTTAAGATCTCTGAGTATCTTTCTCAAATTGTTGCCACCTCTGCAACTATTGCTTCTGGCCGAGGTCGCGAAGCTCAGCAAATGATCATTTCTACCACTCGCAAAAACTTAAAGCGTTTCACTGAAACTATTAAACAGGTCTTGGTTCGTCAGGATCCCCAATTCCTTGAACTCCAAATGATCATTGTGCAAAACATCTTTTATTGGTATTCTAACTTACGCACCTTTGTTCCTCCAGATGACGAGCTCCAGATGATTATTGAATTGACTGATTCCATCAGAAGCGACAATGACAAGATCAACACTCAACGTCTTTTGCTTATTAAGAAAATTTCTTCTTCTTGGCATTACCAGCAGAGCAAATATCGCCCTCATATTACGGCATACACTATCAAGTGGACTTTGCCCTTTTGGCTTGACAACCGTGAGTTCACACAAGAGCGCAAAGATCAGATTCGTCTTTTATCGGGTATTTTTGCTACACAGTTCCACACTCTTTGGCCAGTGCGACTTAAAGAAATTGATGTTTGCAAGCGATACGGCCAACTTCTTCCTGTTGGTGCAAAAATTTATAATGAGCTTTTAAATCAGTTTGAAGGCTCCACTGACAACAGAAGTCGTAAGGTGTTTTCGCCGCTTTTCCCTGATTCCTATCCCTTTGAATCGCGGCCTATTGATTCGCTTGTCCACAATTCCGTTTTTGATGAAACATTAATTGAGCTGGGTATCGTGCTTACACTTATCGTCAACATTTCGTATAATAACGGCCAGCAAATCATTGACAATTCTTTGTCCACGACCCAGTACAGTGACCTTGCTTTTAACATTATTCATGCCTGCAATGCCATGCTTCACTCTGTGTCGTTCCCCAAGCTCTGGATTTCTCTTTTTGCTGTCCACCATGAAACTGTTTTAGGCTGTCTTGGTTATCTTAGTGTTCTTATGAAGTCCCACTTCATCCCATTACCCGAACATGCGGAAGAATTTAACTCAGGCCTTTGGTTTTCATTCTTGTCTTGCTTGCTCCAGCTTGCTGGTTCCGAAGCCATTGCAGTAGAACACTTGCCTGTTCAAAAGCGCAAAGCGGTGTGGAGAATTTCTGGTGATATTCGTGGCCGTGCTGCAGAGCTTCTCAACTCCATGTGGGATGCTATTGGATGGCGTTCTACACATGAAGATGCTACACGCTTTGATCTTTCTGTCTTTGGTGGCTTCCAGGTACAAATGTTTGGTGGTGAAACAAGTTTGGTTCGTGATGTTTTGAACCTTTGTCTTGTTCGTCATACTGGAGCTCAAAAAGTGGCTATTCACATTCTTCACTCAATGATTGTTAGTGAGTGGACTCTTAACGAGGACTTGACTGTTATCCAAAGAGAAATTATTTCTAGTTTGGATGATATTTTCCAGTCTCGTGGTTTCTTGCCAGAAGAGCAGGAAAAATCTTCCTTTTCGTCACTCCTACGTGCTTCCTTTTACAGCATTGACCGCGAAGACGTGGCTTACCCATACATCAATTCTTTGCTTGATGATGTTGAAGAGTTTTTGGACCTCTTGCTTGATCTCTACAATGTTCCTCCTGGAGATGCTTACAATGACGACCGTATTTTCCATGCTCTCAATGTGCTCAACTTTTTGAAGGTTGTTGAACGTGTTGAAATATTTTCACGCTATGTCAATGATATTGCTGAATGGAACCGGTCAAGAATGAATTACACTCAAGCCGGTCTTGCCCTCAAGCTTCTTGCCACGGCCTATGAGTGGTCATATGACCAGCAGCTTCCAGCTGCAGAATATCCCAATTTCCCCGCACAATCTGGGTTCGAGCGAAAGGAAGAGATTTACGAAGATATCATCCAGTGCTTCTCACAGGGTAAAGCTTTTGAAAATGCCATTGAGGCTACCAAAGAGCTGGCATACGCTTACGAGAATGTTTCTTATGACTTTAAGAAGCTTGCCAATACGACGAGAATTCTGGCTAAGCTCTACGACAATATTGATACTGTGGAACGTCTTGCTCCTCAGTATTTCCGTGTTGCTTACATTGGCTCTGGGTTCCCGCGCTCGTTGCGTAACCGCATGTTTATCTTTGAAGGTAACGCTTGGGAGAAGCTTGGAAGTATTCATGAGCGTCTGCACAAGACATATCCTGGCGCCACTATTGTCTCAAACGAGTCACAGGCTAAGACTGAAGGCCAGTATTTATTTGTGAGCACTGTTGAGCCTGATCCAGAGGCCAAGATGGAGCTCAAGTACAGCAAGGTGAAGCCTACTCCTGGTGCCAAGGAGTATAAGTACCGTCTTAACCTCAAGCGTTTTTCGTACTCGCGCCCTCTTCCTGGTAATACATCACCTCTTGACTTATGGATCGAAAAGACTACATATGAGACTTATCAAAGTTTCCCCACTATTGTGAAGCGCAGCGAAGTCAAGAATGTTACTATTGTCAAGCTCTCGCCATTGGAGAATGCTCTTGATATGCTGCAGGCCAAGACAAGTGACCTTACTGACTTGGAAACAACCTTGAATTCCAACAAGAAGGGCGATCAAAGCAGCAGTGTTTCGCGTCTGGACCTTGTTTTGTCTGGAGCTGTTGACTCTCCCGTTAATGGTGGTATTCAGCTGTACCGCGCATTTTTGGAAGATGAAGGCCTACGTGCTGATCCTAAGAGTGCAGGCCTTGTTGCCTCTCTTGAGAGTGCGTTTTTGAAGTATGCCTCGGCCATTCAGCGTTGCCTTGTGATCCATGGTCGCGTTGTCCCGCCGACACTCAAACCCTTGCATCTGAGTCTTGTGGAGCTGTTCCACCGCAACTTTGCTCCTGAGCTGACTACATTGAATGAGGGCATTTCCTACCTTGATCAGTTCCGTAGCGGCAGTTTGACACGTCGGGTATCGCTTAGCGCTGGATTGAATCTTAACAAGACTAATTCTATGCTGAGCTCTGGCAATCGTAATGGCATGATTGATCCCTACGGGTCCCATGATAACAGTAATACTGTGGCTAATGGAATGCGCGGTCTTGGTATTGGTGTTACCGAGGCTGATTTGGATGACGACGAGTCTAAGGCTAACTTGGATAACTTGCTGGGAAATGCAATTGCTGCTTCTGACATTTTGATTAAGGGGTCTGACTCGCGTGGCGGAGACAATGCCAGTTTGTCAAGCGATGGAAGCAAACGATCCACAATGTTGATGAAGCATATTACACGTCAGGATCCCTCTAACCGTCAGATTTTCAATTAAGGAATTGAGTAGCTACTCAATAGGGTATATTTTTTTATATATTTGTTTATGTTTATATTTTTTTTAAGATGTATGAATTTCGAGTTTATTATTGTTGAATTTTTGAATACTTTTTGTGAGTATTTTTTTGTGAATATTTGAATACATGGAAAAACTTGAAATTTGGAGAGATTAAAAAAAAATCCAGGCCGGGTAATTACCCTGCTTAGAATGGAATGTGCGTGATTGGCCCAGCCACCGTTATGCGGAAGTATGTTTGCGGAAACTTGTGTGTGTTTGTGTATCTATGTATGTATGTGTATGTGTATATTTTTGGGGGGTGATGGCTGCCAATCGACACTCGGCCTTTTTGACTAAACATTTTTTTGTCACTACCACCACCAAAATAAAAAAAAATTTGTACTCAGTGTCTCCCCTCCCAAAAAATCCTTTTATCCCTCTCTCTTTTCCACTATCACAACAACTCTTCTCCAAAAAAAAACACTCAAGGTCTATTCACCAAGCCTTAATTCGTCATCCATTACCAGTCCATTTTTTTGTCACAATGTTGAGAAACACCTTCATCAGATCCATGGCTAGAGCTTCCGCCGCTTCTGCCTTCAGACCCGTTGCTCGTCCCCAGATGATGATGCCTGCTGCCATGTGGGCCATCCGATCATACTCTTCCGCTAACGGTCTCACCCGTGAAGTCGTCGAGAAGAGAATTGTCGACGTTTTGGCTTCTTTCGACAAGGTAAGTTTTATTTTATTTGTTGATTGCTTCTAGAGATCTTGTTTATGTGAAAATATTTAATGAAAAATGTATGACTAACTTTTAATTTTTACATAGATTGCCGACCCTGCTAAGGTACTTATTAATACTTATTAATTAAACACAACAAAAATCCGGGGATATTCTTGAAGGTTGAGAAATTATCAATGCTTTTATTGATAATTGAATATCTTGATTTGATACTCCTATACAAATATACCTCTTGTTTGATGACCATGTCGGCTAACAGTTCTATCTTGTTATAGATTACCCCCACTGCCACCTTTAGCAAGGACCTTGACTTGGACAGTCTCGACACTGTTGAGATTCTGGTTGCCATTGAGGAAGAGTTCAACATTGAGATTCCTGAGTATGTTTTCTGAAAAATTTTATTGTCTTGAATTTATTGTTAACTGTATTTTTTTCTAGTGCCACTGCTGATGAGATCAAGTCTGTTGACCAGGCTGTTGAGTACATCCTTGCTCAATCTGAAGGTAAGTCATCAACCTTGCAAACTTCTTATGACTAATGGCGATAACTAACATGATATCTAGCTTCCTAAATTTCCCTCTCGTTTGATAATGTCCCCCAACCATAATGATCAACCCTATACACTTAAAGAAAAAATAAAACTTTTGTAATGATAATTCCTTTTTTTTTCTCATTTTCTTTCCTTCTTTCTTTTGGGACCCGGTTCATAATGACAATCAATTGTGAAAATTCATATATGTTTAGGAATACAAATTGTAAATAATATTCAATCTTTTGTTTAAATATGTGAAATATTTGTCTTCATATTGCTGTGAATTTGTAAACCGTTAAGAATGTAAAAATCTATACTAGATATGTTTACGTACATAATTACGTGATCATACGATTGTCAGTCATCATAGCCCATTTTTTAAAAATAAAAATCTCCAGACTTTACATAAATTTTTTGTCTTTTCGTTCCAACACCTTCCTTTTTTTAAACCCCCCTTCTATTCAACAAAGTCTTTTTTTGTACTTTGTTTCCTAACTGCTAATTGTTAAATAACACTATTCATGTCTTCAGAAACCAAAGATTCAGCCTCTTCTGACCAGAAAGTTGGCGATAGCAACACAACATCCGTTGTTAATAACGCCCCAGTTGCTACTACTGCTGTAGAGCCTGTACAATCCTCTTCCGAAATATCTGTTCCACCAACCTCCGCCACCGCCACCTCAGTGTCTTCACCCTCAGAAAAGGATCATCATGTTCATCTCTCGAATGCTGACACTGATGTTTCTGATGAAGAGCAGGATGAGCTGATTGACGAGATTGAAGCCGACGAAAACCTTCTTGACGAATACGACCCGGATACGGATGAGCTTGATCTTTTGCACCTCAAGATCAGGTCGCTGCTTGCACTCAAGCTTTACAAGCTACCAAATCTGCGGCGCGCTTGTTTTCGTCAAAACCTGATTCAGTCGATGGACGGGTTGGAAGACCTGCCTGAAGAGCTCGAGGAGTTGGACCTCTACGATAACCGTATCTCTCACATCAATCACCTGGCCCAGTTTAAGGACCTGGTTCAGCTGGACCTTAGTTTTAACAAAATCCGTTTGATTAAGAACATTGCTCACTTGACGAAACTAACACACCTGTATGTGTGCCAGAATAAAATTTCGACAATTGAAAACATAAGCTCATTAACGCACCTTACCTACTTGGAGCTTGGAGCTAACCGAATTCGCAATATTGAAGGGCTTGAAAAGCTGGTCAATCTGGAGCAACTATGGTTGGGTAAGAACAAAATCACAAGCCTTCAGGGACTCCAGGGACTCACAAAATTGCGTGTGTTATCGATCCAATCGAACCGCATTGTCAAGCTTGAAGGCCTGGAAACCCTGACAAGTCTTGAAGAGTTTTACATTTCTCACAACGGCATTGAGAAACTTGAGAATCTTGAAAACAATACTAAACTGCGTGTACTTGATGTTACTGCCAATAGACTAAAGGTTTTAGAAAATGTGAGCCATCTTGAGAACCTTGAAGAGTTTTGGGCGTCCAGCAACCAGTTTGAAAGCTTTCAGGAAGTGGCTTCACAGCTCGGCAATCTGAAGAACCTCGAGACTGTTTATTTTGAATTTAACCCACTTCAGAGGAAAAATCCTGTTCAGTATGTCAACAGATTGCGTTTTTCATTGAATCAAAGTCTGAAGCAAATTGATGCAAACTATATTCGTTATTAAGAAATTGGCTAAATGATAATGGTCTATTGATATAATTTAAAAGAAAAAAAAATAAAAAAAAAGTTGATTATGATTAAAAGAGAAAAAAAATTGCAGATAATTGGCCCAAGAAGTGCTTTGTATTTTGTCAGTATTCTGACTTCGTTTAAATGAAATATGGTAAACTCTATACAATATTGTACCCCATGATTGGGCAAGATCTTAGTCACGGAGTTGATTAGTGATTCTCATCTTTCAAATTCCAACTTCATTTTGGTCGCAATCTGCTAAATATTATCTAGGTTTTTCCTTGAATAAAAAATTTTGTTATTTAAGATAGACTGCTATCCTGCAGTTTTAATATTTTTTTTTTGATTGTAAAGGTTTCGTTTACATTGTAGGTTTAATGAATCTTAAAATCTAGTGTCACACATTACTGGCATTTTAGTTCATATAGTTAAAAGACCTTCGAACAGTATATCAATTTTCCAGCTATTACCATCAATAGCTAGTTTTAGATTTATAATATAGATCTGAAATAATAGATCGAGTATCGAAAATATAATAATGAGATATATAAAACTCCTACTTCCAAAAACAAATAATAATTTAACAATAAAAAGCTAAGCGACCCCGGTGAGGATTGAACTCACGATCTCACGATTAACAGTCGTGCGCCTTCACCAGCTTGGCCACGGAGTCATTTTTTTAAAAGATTTTCTAATAACATGTATAAAAAGTTTATTTAAAAATTATTTCTATGGTTAAGAATATTACGTAAGCTTCATAAAAGGAACAATACTCAAAGATTGTCATTGCAGGTGATTATAACTTACATCACAAGGAATGGGAGTCAAGGGCAGGTCCGAATACGGAAGCAGATGAAGTTGTTGAGTGGCTACATGAAAATGATATGATGTTAATTACTCCAAGAAATCAAAAAACATACAACAATAGAACCAATATTGATTTGGTTTATGGCTCAGTGGACTTACTTCATAGAATTTCATTTAGTGGAGTGGATGAAAATACACTAAGTGATCACTCAATTGTGGAGTGGGACATCTATATGTCTCAGAGTAAAAACGGGGATGAAGTTTTTACTTCGGTGAAGAGATTGAATATTAAGAATGCAGATTGGGAAAAGTTTGACAAGGAGCTTTCTTCTGCCATTAAAGATTTTAATGTGCATAACAAAACTCTAAAATCAACTGACCAAATTGATGACCAAGCTAAAGTTCTTGAGGAGGTTGTAAAAAGAGCAATGGCAAAGTCGATGAAGGAAGTTAAGGTGATGAAAAAAGTCCAAACGCTATTGGAATCAAGAATTAAGGAGAAGTTAGAAAAAGCGCTAGAAGCTAAAAGGGAAGCCCGTCAAAGACAACCTTCTTTGGCTTTGAAACGACAAAAAATTGAAGAGGCGAAAAAAGCTAGAAAAATTTTTGACCACAGTTTGCGTGAGGCAAGTACTGAGCAATGGAATAAATATTTGTCTAGTTTAGAAGGAAATGACATTTGGAAGATTTTGAAGTATATTAATCCAAAAAGCAATGATACCATTATACCACAAATTAGAAAAGAAGATGGAACTCTCACTACTACTGTTGACGAAAAAAAGACATGAAATATGGAAGGCACTTTTACCTGAAATTGATCATGGTCTTGATAGAGAGTTTGAAATTGATGACGATTCTCGATGGCCAAAATTAGAGTTTGATGAAGTTGACTCTGCATTGGCTGATACCCCAAATGATAAAGCTCCAGGAGACGATGGAATTACTGGCAAAGTTTTAAAGATGGCATGGCTAAATAAAGACTTTAAGGAAAGGTTTTTCAAGCTTCTCCAAGCTTGTGTAAAGTTTGGATACCACCCAAAAGTCTGGAGACATGGCATTATTGTTGTTATACCTAAACCTAAGAAACCTGACTATTCAAAGCCAAGAGCATACCGACCAATTTCCTTACTTAAGATTCCATCTAAAGTACTGGAAAAAATTATACAAAAAGAATGACCAAGCTTACAACACACTTACTTCCCACCAGAGCAATATGGGGAAGACAAGGTTATTGTGCTACTGATGCTGTTTTGGAACTTGTCCAAAGAATTGAAACTAGTAAAGAAAAATTTCAGCTATGCTCATTGATATTCAAGGAGCTTTTGATAATGTTAACAGAAATATATTGGCACACACAATGGAGGATATGAAACTACCCAAAGCACTTATAAACTGGACGTACCAATTTGTAAGTGAAAGAGAAGCTAGTATGCTCATGGACCGAAGAAAAGGATCAGTGCAAAAATTAGTACTGGAATTCCGCAAGGCTCACCTATTTCACCACTACTTTTTTTGATATATTCCACACCAATGTATCATGCCATTAAAGAATGGGGTGGAACTCCTTTTGGCTTTATTGATGATGTGACTATTACCGTTGAAGGTAAAATTGAAGAAAATACCAAAAGCTTAAGCAACATATTAGAAAAATGTTGTAATTGGGCTAAATCAAGAATGACCAAAATTGATTTGGGTGATAAATTGGGTTTTATTCATTTTACAAAAAATGTGAAACCTAAAGATGAGAAAGTGCAACTTACTTTTACCTAATGGAGAACTTCGTGAACCCCAGAAGGAAGTTAAATTGCTTGGAATTACTTTGAACAATCTGCTTGATTTTAAATCTCATATTTTGAATAAAATCAATAAAGCAAGAAAAGCTGTTGGTGCTATTTGGCATCTTGGTGGCGTGCAAAAAGGTATGCGAGGGTCTGCAGTCAGATCACTGTATATTGCTTGCGTGAGACCAATTGTCGAATATGGCTTAGAAATTTGGCATCACAAAATTTTGAAAGGAGAAATCCACAAGTTGGAAGTAATGCAGAATATGGCTTTAAGAAGAATTGTTGGTGCTTATCGCACAACTCCTATTGCGGTACTACAAAAGGAAGCTGGTATTATGCCATATGGTATTAGGCTAAAATTTATGGTGGCACGAAAAGCTATTCGTTTACACCTAAATATTAGCAAAACTAATCCTATTAATGGTCATTTGTTAACATTGATTGAGAAATCTCCAATTGCAAAGCTAACCACGCTTTACATGTTGGCGAAAGATGATAGAGACTATATGATTAAAAAGGATGAAAAACGAAAATGCAAGAGGGTTGAACCTCTTACACTGAAACAACAACAGAATCAAACGATTGGAATTTTGAAGAAACAAGCAATGGAAGAATGGCAAGAAATGTATTGGAACAGCAGTAAGGATCTGTGGTATCATAATATCACAGTGGAGTCGAAATGTACTGATAATCTTTCCAAAATGGTTACGGGAGTGATCATGAAGAAAGATAGTCGAAGGATCTTGAGTAATATTACTCAGTTTCGCACAGGCCATGGCAACTTTGGCGCATGGTTTAAAAAGTTTGGAATTGAAAAGGATAGTTACAACTGCAAATGTGGAGAGCTGGAAACAGTTCATCACATTTTAGTTGAGTGTCCTTTGCTTGAAGAGGAAAGAAAAGGACTGAAACGGATATCTCCAGAGATGGACATGTCGACTCTCTTAAACAGTTTAACTGGCTTACAAGAGATTGTAAGCTTTATCTCTGCTTGGAGGGATTAAGAAATACAATTACAGCGTTGATGAAGACAAGTGGAGATAGGTTGGGAAGGTTTGGTTATTTTAACCCCCTGTTCCTCGTAAGCTGGCATCAGGACTTATTTTCGGGCTGTTGGAGATGCAATGTTGAAGCCAAAATTAAAAGTTTATTATCAAAATGAAAAAATATATAATATGGACAAGAAGGATAGCGCAGATGCTGATGTTATATAATTCTATAACCCTTGAATAAAAACAAACAAACAAACAAGTAAGCTTCATAATAGCATTTTTAAAATAAAAAATAGTTTTTAAGTAGAAAATAAAAATTAAATACAATAAATTGAAAAAAAAAAAAAATTATGCCAAATATATATATTAATACTGTTGATTTAATCAAATGAAAAGTCCCAATAATTTATTTTTTTCTTGTCAAAAGAAAAAAAAAATTGAAATAAAAAGTGATGAAAATCATGGTTGCTCCCAGGGACCAAAAAAATCATTTCACTGTCCACTCCACACTTATTTCTTCACATCTTCTCCATCTATCTAACCTTCCCTAATATAAATCTTCAAAAATCATCTCAATTAAACCATTTTTAATTCAACATTTATTCCTTTTAACAATGGAGAGTCTATTTTGACATCTTCGACGCTGGTGCTAGAACTACATTCGCTTGACTCCTCGTCGTCATTGCCGCTGTATTCGGTAGCACTTGAATCCAATTCATAAGTGTCTGGTTTCACCACCAGCCCACTTCCTGGAGTCATTGTAATATTATGTCTTTTGAGGATTCGTCTGGTTGTTGTGGGACTGGGATTTTTGCCATTTTCGAGTTTTGTGGCCATAGCTAGATCTTTAGTAGTTTGAATTTTACCCGATAGAATTTTGTTGACCATTGCGCTTTCTGTAGCTGGACTGACGACTCGCTTGCGGCCAGGCTTGTTGTTGGCTGGTGAGTTGGGCATTGTTTTCTTGATGCGAGAGATTGTGGCCTTGCTTACACCAGTTGCAATCATGATTTTACTAAAAGACTCTCCTTGCTCAATTCTCTTCTTTATATTTTCGCGAGAAATTTTGGGGATTTTTTTTGTGCACGGCATTTTCAAAGAGTTTTATTTGTGAAATTGTGATGTAAAATTAAAGATAGCAAGAAGGAGGGGGAGAAAAAAGAAGAGAAAGAAGAGGAAAAAAGAGAAATACTTGGAAATAAATAAAATTGGAGGGAAAAAAAAAAGAGGAGAAAGAAAAAACAAGATTCGATTGCTTTCAAATAAATGGTAAAAAAAGATTTCTAAAATTGATTTTTCCCATTGCACACATACATAGCAAGGCTATATTCCATACAAAATGAGTTGGAGATAGTGCAGGGTTATTATTGTGTATGTTTGTAATTTAAATTAACTCGTATTCAGATTCGTTTCAGAGATTCTGTCCCAGTATATGCTGGTGAATAATAAAGGGGATATTGAAAAAGGGGGGAAGGTGAATGAAAAGAAAGCTGGTAGAGTGGGGACAAAATGCTTAATCAATTGTGGAAAAGGAGAAACAGTTTATTTTGATGATACTACTTTTTAAAACGGATTCATCTTGGAAAGAAATGGGATATGTAAAAGAAAAAGTCTCTTTCTTTTTGATACTATATTGTAATACGCAGTGCAAAAGTGTAAATTGGACCGAAACATAACGGGGAAAAAAAAAAGAGAAAGAAAAAGAGAAAAAGATATCAGAGTGGGTTTATTGACTTTGCTCTATTGCCTGTCTACTTAGGGACTTTATCAGCATGTCTGTTCCTGCGCCTGATAATTTTTTTTTTTTGTTACTTGCGCTTGATTTCAAAATCAAAATAACCTTAATTTTATCTTTGTTTTGGAGTTTGATTGATTAAGGGGAATTTTTTTTTTTTTGTAACATTTAAAAAATGAAATATTTATTGATTTAAATCTCAATGATTTAATTACTTTCGTTTTATCAAAAAAAAAAAAAAACATTTTTTAAATAAATGTTTTGAAGCTGAAATAAATAAGTCGCTTCATAACGAGTATTGTTTGGCATTGATTTGTCCTTAAAAAAAAGACTTTTTGGTCTTTTGTTTCAAACTTTGACAGATGAAATCACCAGAGAATTTTATTATTTTTTTTTAAATAAATAAAAAAAAACTTTCTTTGTAAATATTATTTTTCTTTTTTTTTTTTTTCAGAATAAGAATTTCAGAATTTCTTTAAACTAACTAGTTTTGGATGTTTTTATCATTATCTTCCATGATATTCCCTAATTTTGTATATATATATATATATATATATATATTTCTGTTTACCACACCAAACCCTGGTGTGTTTCGCTTGTGCCTCATCAATTAGCGTTATAAAAAATATCTATGAAATAAAAAAAAATTTACCTCTCTTTCTTTCTTGTTTCTTTTTTTTTCTTCTACAAAAGTAAATATATTTCATGGTTGATAAACAGATCTACTTTTTTCATGCTAACCAAAGAAAAAAAAAAATAAATAAAATAAAATAAAATAAAATAAAAATAACTTCCCCGGTTCCAATGGCCATAACTTCATATGTCAAAAAAAAAACCGTTTCTCTTCTTCCCTCTTCAGACAAACATGCAATCAAATAGGGTTTCTAATTGACAAGGTCACGTGGAACAGTATAAAACCTGCAGTTTTTTTCTATTTGTTCTATTGACTTAAAATTTTTAATAGTTCTCGATTTAACAGGTTCTTCTTGAATTTGTTTAAATAATTGGCAAAGTTGGGGCTCATAAGATGGATGTTTCATTTTTTTTAAAAAAAACGCGTTTTTCATCAATATACGCGTTAATTACTCACGTGTCGCGTAAAGCGCGCGTTTAAGCCGGGTAATCCACGCGTGTCTTATTTGTTTATTTTTTTTTCCACTGTTTACTTTGCCTATAAACAAATACTCCAACCAACCCTCCATTATTGTTTCTCTCTTTCTCTCCCCATTCATATCTTCATAACCAACCTATCTTCTTCACAAACCTATAACCATGGCCTCTCGTCCAGAATTTAAACTAGACAAAGGTGATGAGAACGGATTTCTCGTCTTTTACCGTGGCCTTGTCAACAAAGACAAAAAAGAGTCTGAGGAGGGCTCAGATTCAAAAGTTATACGCATTTTTGAACGTGGAGACGATTACTCGGCACACTACAAAGATGCCATCTACATTGCAGAAAATGTCTATCGCACTATTTCAGTCGTCAAGTACCTTGGAAATTCTTCCTTTGAAGAATTCGACAAGGGCTTGCCGTCCGTTTCCATGTCCGCCACTGTGTTTCAAAACTTTCTAAAGGACGCGCTCTTCAATCAAGGTCTCAAAATCGAAATCTACGCTGCCGCTGCAGGAAGTTCAAACCGTTGGAGCGTCGTCAAGCAAGCCTCGCCAGGAAACCTACTTGAAGTCGAGGAGCTCCTAGGCAACCAGATTGACCAAAAGCCTATTGTCATTGCCCTTAAGGTTCAAGCAAAAAAAATCGATACAATTGGTGGAACCATTGGTGGGGGCGGAAACGGTGCTGCTAACGGTGGGTCTGCTCCAACTGCTGGATCATCAGGGGGGTCTGCCACCGGCAGAGCTGTAGGAATCTGCTTTATTGACTGCACTGCCAGAGAAATCGGTGTTTTTGAGTTTTTCGACAATGATCTCTATTCCAATCTCGAGTCTGTTCTTATCCAGCTCGGCGTCAAAGAGTGCGTCTTACCTGCATTTAACAGTACCCCCTCAGCAGGATCTTCACTTTCACCTGAAGCATTAGATCTTACTAAAGTCACGGAGCTTTTGGACCGATGTGACATTGCCATCACTCCGCGCAAGTCTTCCGACTTTAATACCAGAGATATTGAGCAGGACTTAGGCAAACTACTCTCTCAAACTTCCATCCCTATTTCTGCTCTCCCAGCTCTTAACTCAGCCTGTGCCATGAGTGCCACCGCAGCCCTCATTAAGTACCTAGAGCTTATGTCCCAACCAGAAATGTTTGGTCACTTTTCTATTGTCCAGCACGACCTGTCACAGTACATGCGCCTGGATGCATCAGCCATAAAAGCCCTTAACCTAATGCCTGGCCCTCGCGATGGCACCACTTCTTCTTCTGGCACAGGCCCCAATGCCTCCAAGTCTATGTCTCTATTTGGACTTTTGAACCGATGCAAAACAGCTGCAGGTACACGACTCCTTGGACAGTGGCTCAAACAGCCGCTCATGGATATCGAAGAAATCCAATCTCGTCATACTCTAGTCGAGGCCTTTGTTAATGACACAGTTCTGCGGCAAACCTTGCAAAGTGAGTGTCTAAACGCTATTCCAGATATTTCACGACTTGTCCGCAAGTTACAGCGCAACGCTGCGTCTCTCGAAGACGTCGTACGCATCTACCAAATGGTGATTCGCTTGCCAAACTTGATTACTGCTCTTGACGAGTACGAGGAATTGGAAGGTTCTGATTTAAAAGCCAAAGCTATCATCACTGAACTTTACACGAGCCGCATCAAAAGCTGCTACCAAAACCTCGAAAAACTCCAGGAGCTGGTTGAAACAACAGTTGACTTGGAGGCCCTGGACAACCACGAATTTATTATCAAGCCTGATTTTGACGATCGTTTAAAGGAAATCCGTGATAGACTGGCCGAGCTGCGAGAACAAATTGATGACGAACACATTCGTGCAAGTGACGACCTTAACGTAGACCGCGAAAAGAAATTAAAACTTGAAAACCACCACGTTTTCGGGTGGTGTTTCCGACTAACCCGCACTGATGCGTCCTGCCTGAGATCTCACTCTGGTTACATTGAGCTGTCGACCCAAAAAGCTGGCGTCTATTTTACCTCCCGATCATTAAAGTCTCTCAGTCAAGAGTTCAACGACTTGTCCAACGAATACAACAAAACCCAATCTGGCCTGGTCCGCGAGGTTGTTGGCATTGTAGCCACATATTCTCCTGTGCTTGAAGCCCTGTCACTTGTCCTGGCCCATCTCGATGTCATTGTAAGTTTTGCACAAGCTGCTGTGTTTGCGCCCATCCCCTACGTGCGCCCCAAGATGCACCCGCGTGGTTCCGGGCGCACTATTCTTAAAGAGGCACGTCACCCGTGTCTTGAAGCTCAAGATGATATGCGATTTATTCCCAACGATGTGACACTTGTACGTGACGAAAGTGAATTTCTCATTATTACAGGGCCCAACATGGGTGGTAAAAGTACCTACATTCGCCAGATTGGCGTCATTGCGCTTATGGCGCAGGTCGGAAGCTTTGTTCCTTGCGCAGAGGGCGGTGCCGAACTGACTGTTTTCGATAGCATTCTTGCACGAGTGGGTGCTGGCGACTCACAGCTCAAGGGCGTGTCGACCTTTATGGCAGAAATGCTTGAAACTGCAACTATTCTTAAAAGTGCAACGCGTGATAGTTTGATTGTGATTGACGAGCTGGGTCGTGGTACAAGCACATATGACGGGTTTGGTTTAGCTTGGGCCATTTCCGAACACATTGTACGTGAGATTGGGTGCTTTGGAATGTTTGCAACACATTTCCAAGAACTTACAGGGCTCGCAAATATGTACCCAAAAAGCGTGTGCAATTTGCACGTGGTGGCTCATGTTCGAGAAGTGGAAACAAGACTGGCCATGGAAACTTCACATAGCGCAGCGCCAGGGACTACCCAAGGCCAAGACAGCGATGTATTTAGTAGTCCAAGTATCACGCTGTTGTACAAGGTGGAGCCTGGAGTAAGCGATCAGTCGTTTGGTATTCATGTGGCCGAGGTGGTCAAGTTCCCGCCCAAGGTTATTCGCATGGCTAAACGCAAGGCTTTAGAGCTTGAAGATTTTGAGCGCGAGGATGATGGGACTGAGGAAGGCGCCAAAATGACGAAGCAAATTAAGGCCAAGTTTTCTAACCAGGAGATTCATGATGGGTCAGAGTTGCTGCGTGGAGTTCTTAAAGAGTGGGCCAAGGCAGTGGGGCCTTTGGAAGAAAGTTCTGGGGATAATTTGACCAGTAAGGAAATTTTAGCCAAGCTGAATGAAGTTCTTAACAAGAATGATTTTAAGGGAAAAATGGATACGAATCCGTATGTCAACTCGCTTATGGCTCAATTATAATAAATATTTTGGTATATTATATATAAAGGTTTCAGTATAATAAAAGTCGTAACAGGGAAATTGTATATTGCTTTTGAATAAGGGTGGAATAGTTAAACAGAATGAAATCAATATTCTTTGACTTTGTTGGATCAACAATCAAATTAAACTTTTTTTTTAAAAAAAAAAATAGAATTTCAGGAACCAAAAAGACCGAATAGTGAATGTTTTAAAAATACAAAAGTAGTCCATTAAATTAAACATTAAAAATTTAGTTTATATTTAGTTTTAAAACTTCGTTTCTTCTTTTTTTTAAAAAAAAAAAAGGGGGGGTATCATATTGAAAGAAAAAAAAAAAAAATAGAAAAAACCCCATATTACTTGGGATTGGACTTTTCCACAATGCCATCAAACAGTTGCAGATTAATAGCCACATCGTTAGCTTGCATCTTGGTGCTGCTATCTTCCAGCAAATCAAACGCGCGCACATTCATTTCCGAGCGTCGGTTGGTCGCACGATGAAACAGCATCAGATCCGCAAGATACGTGTCGTGGTTGTTAACTTCTTCCAAGTACAGTCGCCGCAAAAGTTCTTGCTGCTGGTACTGCCGCTCGAGCGCATAAACCCCACGGTCTGGCGGGCCCCCAGTAACAGACCCATGACCGCTGTCGCTGCCGTCTAGAAACATCATCTCAGTACCCGATCCTGATGCCATTACTGCGCTGCCCGCTGACATAGAAAGCGACATGCGCCGCGCAGGTGTGTTAGCAGAGCTGTTGGACGTAGTGTTTGCAGACAAAGGCATTGCTGTTCCTGCACCTGGTCCAGATGCGACTGGCGAGTTAGCTACCGACGACGGGTCTATGCCAAACCGTGATGAAAGTCCTGGGTTTACTACGGCCGAGGTCGCACCAGGAGTCACCCCGCCAACGGTGGCTGCAGGACTGCTGACAGTGCTGCCCTGGCGGCTGCAAACGTCCGGGTGCGCGTCGTCATCAGCGCCAGGACCACTGTTGCTGGCTGTGCTGAGTCCGGTGGCAGAGGTTCGCACTGCATTGGCCACATCTAAAAGAAACCCGGAAAGGTTTTTCTTGTCATGTTGTATATACTGCGAGTGCAAGAGTCGCGCAAGTCCAGAAAGTATCATTCCGACAAGCCCGCGCGAGTCTTCGGCACTGGCCAGTGCTGTGCTGTGAATCATAATGATTTTCCCAAGAAGCAAAATCGATTTGCGCATGGGGCCTTCTTCTTCTTCTTCGTCATCATTTTCTTCTTTTCCCTTTTTGGACAGGGTTTGTGTTGGGAAAAACAAATCGGCAGCCATGACTATGCGACCTAAAAAGTCTGCAAACTCTACCCGGTTTGTTGCAAGAGTGTTTACCTGGGACGAGTCTGCAATTGCGTCGATGAGTTCAAAGAGATAGGCCAACTGTGAATGGGTGCCATTGTCTTCATAGTCCAGTGATTTTTGGAAAAAAGCAAGCTCTGCACGGTGTAGTAGTCTACTTTTGAACGGCAGCGACAGGTGGACGATAATATCGCCAATAGTGCGGGGTTCGTACTTTTCAATCAGTGCTGTGTTGACTGTAATAAGCTGTAGAATCTGGGCCACTGCTTGGTCGTAAAACTCCTCGGGTTGGGGTTTCCGCTGGAGTCGCGGGTTGGGAAGAGGTTTGGTGATTCTGGCCTGAAGAATGTACAACACCGTATGAAAATGGGCCTGGCACAGGTGAATGTTGAAATCGTTACAAATGGCTGCAAGCTTGACGAGTTCTGAGGCCACGTCGGTGATATTGTCAGCTTCCGTGGATTTAGGAATCTTTGTTGTGGTTGTTGTTTGAAGCAAGTGTGCCGTAATTTTGTTAGACACTTCGATTGCCCTTTCGTTTCCGGATTTGATAATGGGCTCTGTGAAAAATTCGATGAACTTGTCAATGTCGGCGATAGAAAGCCAAAGCAGGAAAGATGAAATCTCCGAAAACGAGGCATCATTTTCGTCGAGCATGGAGCCTGAACTGGAACCTCGAATAATTTCGTGCACAATGAATTTGACATACAAAACAGGATTTGCTCTTTGAAAAATGTGTCTGTGCATGTTGAGAGCAAGTTTCTCAGAAGCCTTGAGCTGGAACTGCTCGTCATTGACAAACTTGACTGAAACAAGGTCGAGCAGTAGACGCATCGGTCCAAGAGCAGGTAGCTCAGCAGGTTTGATGAGCTGCAGCGCTTGGTCCGAGGCCGGGTCTTGCTGCGTGTCCTGCAAGTCTTGGGCTTCACTTGAGTTTTGGCGGTCGAGATGGTGACTTTGCAAATGGATTTGGTGAAGGGCGTTTTGCGTAGACGCTGCAGGTCCATGTGCGTGCGCGTACTGCTGCTGATACAGTTGCAATGCTTGTGAGTACTGATGCTCGAGCTGGGTTTGCCTTTGGTAAAACATGTCTGCAAGAGCCACGAGGGAGATACAGTCATAGACAATGAGAAAAAGCATGACGCGTTTCATGACGAGTGGGTTGTAGGCCAGGTTTGTTGGCAGTGGGTACTTTAGAGACACTTCAGTTTTTTCCAGTAGCCATTTCACCAATGTCTTGTTGAAGGTTACAACATCAGCCTCGCGCAACCGCTGCAGTATTTTAATGTAGTGACGAATCTCGCTGGGATCACATGGTTTGGGAGTATTTGAATCTTGGGAATAGCCGCAGGCGTCGAGGAACTTGGAAATAACTGTAGAGAAGTATTTGGGTACCGAGGTGGAATCAAACGCCATGTTTTGTAAGTCGACCGTGTCATCGGACTCAAAAAGATCATTGAGCTCATTGTTTGCTGCGGAAGTGACTGAATCCGGAACAAAGTCTGACATTGGTGATAGAGTGTTAATTGCAGGGACATTTGGGCCAGTTCCTGGGCCCGGGCCTCCTGGTTTTAGCAAATCCTCAAGCTCGTTTCGAAGATCAATGTTGATATTGGGGGCTGCATCGGGGGAGATTCCGTAGACCTTGCTGCTATTTTGCGAGTACCATAGTTGGATGCAGTACCAAGCGTATTGAACCAAATCCCAAAGACCTCTAGGCATGTTGCGGTTATTCTTGAGGCTTTTGTATTGGACTACAAGTAGGTAAATGATTTGATTAACATCGGCGATTGCAGAAAAAGAAAAAAGATTATCACGGATCGATGTTGCCAAAAAGCCCAGAAAAGTAGGCGCAGAATCGGCAAAGAGAGGGTCAGGTTTCGAGGTTATTTTTGGTATAATTGCTTCAATAGCACGATATAAGCTCTTGGGGTCTCTCAAAGCTTCAAAAGTATTTTGCAATAGGGAGAATTGAGAAATTGTTGGAACAAAGCCGCGGTCGAGTTGTTCGAAAAGAAGATTGACAATCCAAAGGGAAAGCTCGATTTGGCTACCACGAGTAAGTTCCGAGATTTGGTCGCAGACAATTCTGGAAAGTTCATTATATTCGCGAGATTCGTAAGAATCAAAGAGTAGATAATCTGGTGATAAGAAATCGAGGTTGTTCAGCAAAAGTTGTGACACGTTTTGTAATTTTAAAGTTTCTGCATGGTCATCGTAAAGATCGAGACTTTTTAGTAGCATGATTTGCTGGTTCCGAACGTCAGTTGGGAAAAATTGGGCAGGCAGATTGGCTACAATTTGGAACTGTGCTTGGGCCAGGCTGCGCATTCGCGGTATGAAAAGAACACCCGAGGAAATTAGACGTCGCAGGTAGGTCGAAATGCAGAACCAATCGCGGTCCAAAAACTCTGTGATGAGATCGTACACATTGTTCATGTCGTAATCGGAGGCACTTTTAATTGATTCCAAAAAGTCCATAAAGGCAGAGGAAACGTCCCATTGGTATGGTGGGCTTCGCCAGTACGAAACGAGAGAAAGACATGCATATAAACGCCCAGATCCGATGCGGGAAGTGGTGGTAGCCCATTCAAATGCTGTGTGAAGTATATTGTGCTCGGAGAGGTTGTTAGAAGTGACGATTTGGGAAATGGCATGCCAGTCAAAAGGGAGAGTAGCACGATCGAGAGCGTCAATGACGAGGAAATGGGGATTTCGCAGAGCCCTTACATGAGAGGAGTCTGCAATAATGAGGTTTTCGTTGCGGGTGGATATAAAAGTAAAAAGTTCTTCAAGTTCTTTCCCGTGCATTGGGGAAGAGTTTGATTTTAGGATTTGGGAAAGAACTGGGCCTATTGATTTCCAATGGGCTGGAATGACGAATATGTCTGGGGTAAGAATAAAGAGGGTTTTGACATAATCTGCTATTTGAGATAGGATGTAGATGCAAACGGGGTGGTGCGCGAGCTCGAGATCTTTAGAGACAGCTGCATAACGTTTAAAAAGAGCGAGAGCAAGAGTTCTTGAAAGAGCTGGAGAACGGAGGATACTGTTCCAAAAGGGTTTAAGGAAGAGAAGTGCTGATGGGAGTTCCTGGATACTGCAAAACTCAAAAAAAGAAATACACCATTTGAGGAAAAGAGATTTATCTAAGAGGTCTTCAGCAAAGAGGTATTCAGAGAGACGCAGCATGTATTCTAGTTTAGCTTTCCATGACGTTGTGGCTGGTGGTGGTAGTGGTAATGGTAGTGGTGGTTGCTGTTTTAGAGAAGTGAAGGATGTAGTTGGACGTATAGAAGAAGGAGAAGAAGCACTTGGAGATGAAGTTGATGGAGAAGCCACAATAGGCCTTGCAGAAGGAGATGGAGATGAATAAGTCATGATATGTGGAGAAGGTGCGGAAGTTTCATTAGGAGATGATGAAGTTAGTATTGTTGTTGTGGTAGTGGCGGTGGTAATGGTAATGGGCTGTTGTGATTGTTGCTGTCTTGATTTTGACGGGAAATCCCGTATTATTTTTTCAATGTACTCGGTGACTTGTTCGGTCCATTCGCGGATCCAAGCAGCTTCAGAAGACTGAGGGTTTATAGAAGATGAAGAAGATGAAGATCCTGTTGAAGAAGCCACAGCAGCTGCGCCTTTTCGTTTAAGTCCTCGTAGTTCGTTAGCGCCTACACAACGGGCAAACCAGACAGCTCGGGATATTGGAATATTTTTGTTGCAGCACTGCTCGAGAAGCGACCTATTGCGAGTTCCGTGTGGGATTGTACGTGAAAGCTTGCGAAGTGGAATTGTGGGATTCGCCAGGTCGCGAAGCCAAGCTTCTTTTTTTTGTTCGGTTAGAGTGAATCGAGGTGGTGGCTTGAAGGTAGAAGAAGAGGTGAAGCGGTGCGCACGTTCGCGGACCTTCATAGCGTTAGACATGAGATAAGAAAGAGCGAGTACGGATGGAGCTTGGTGGAGAATGGAAGTCATTGGGTTGCGAGCAGATAGGTATTCATCGACAAAGTGAGGAGGGACAGCATAGCCCTTGTGGAGGTGTTTAACGACAATGTCGTCTTCCTGCGCGGTTTTCCGCCATGGGAAAAAGTCAGGGTATATGTCTATAGAGTTAGAAGGTACATGGGGAAATAAAAAAAAAAAAAATCGTAACTTACATTCGTTGCTAGCGGTTTTCTGATCAGTCAGAGGCTGAACGCCATCCGGTTGGGCCAAGACATAACGCTGAGAAGAGAGGTCATCTCTGGAAGATAGCGAGGACCTAGAACCACTTGGCGGGCGTTGAGAGGTCTGTGCCGAGTGTTGCTGGTGGTGGTGATGCGGGATAGAAGAAGAGATAAGATTGCCGTAGCGGGACATGTTGGCTATAACATTTTATGGTTGATAGGGGAGAGGGAAGCCTGTGGATGTTGTGGGTGATGACGTGAAAGAAGCCCAAATTATTGGTGGTGATGATGACGGTGATTAAAAAAGTTTTGGGAGGTTTAAAAACAAAAAAAACAAAAAAAATAAAAATAAAATAAAAATAAAAATAAAAATAAAAATAAAAATTGTTAGCCACAAACAAAACCAGCCAACCAACCATAACCATCAAATTCTATTTCAAACTATCTCGGCAACCAAGACCACGCGACTACCGGATTCTAGAAGGAAGCTTTTTATTGTATATTAGTGTATATATTTTATACCATTTTATTTATATGTATAAATTGAAAAAAAAAAAATAAAAATAAAAATAAGATGTCACGAAGTATGAAGTTGCTTATTGAGACCTCCATCAAGACAAATGACCTCTGGAGGCCGGGTGCTTGGATAAAGCACATAGTGCTGAATAAGAAATATAGCACCAAACATCATGGTGACTGACGCCAAAGACAGCTTTGACGTGTTTCCGAGAATATTTCCCATGTCATTACTGCGGTATGCGTCCAGAATGAGCTGGCAGATGGAGAGACCTGCACCGGAGACATCGAGGACTGTTGTTTGGATAGCCCAACCCTTTGTGGATCTGCGTTGGTGATTGTAAAGCAGCTGGGGTATATGTTTAGCGGTACTCATGGCAACTTTGACATAGGCCAGGACCTCCGCAACATCGAGCAGCGTGAGATCCGTAGCATGCGGAATATAGAGCACGCTGCCAACAATGGCGATGCAGATTGCTCCAACAGCAGCTAGAATGAGCTGTGTATACTTGGATACTCTCTGAGACTTATGGCGCTTAAAACCGGCAAAGTGGACCTGTGCGTAGACTACAAGTGCACAGATGAGACCGTGAACAGTGTATGCAACATCGTTGATCTGGATCAAGGGGTAGTTTCGCTGGTGTGGGGTTGGTACTGGACTTGAAGAGGCTGTATCTGGTGGCAGAGGCAGTGGCAGAGGGGTTTTAGGGGTATATTTATCTGCATATTGCTCGCGAACTAGAGGATTGAAGTATAGCAGGCAGATGCTTGTTGTGTAGCAGAGATAACCGACAATGTTGAGGTAAAGAAAGTCCAACGAGATGCCTTCGACTGAGCGTAAGCGGAGGTTAAGGAGGATAGGAGGATAAGAAGCCAGGCCCTAAAAAAAAAAAAAAAAAGAGAGAGTTAGTTTTCTGTGGGGAATATAAAATAGAAAAAATAAGACTTTGATCTTACCCAGCAGAGAAAGTAGGACCAGCCCAGGATCTTTGACAGGAACTCCAAGTCCATCATAACTATCTGCGCAATTGGGGAAGGTAAGCTGAGTTTTTTTTTTTTTTTTTTGGCAGCTTGTTTGTTTGTTAGCTTTGTATTATACAACTATATACAACAACTATATTAAATTATATTTTGATGAATTTTTTTTTTTTTTTTTTTTTTTAAAAAAAAAAAAAAAAAAAAAAGATGGCCACGCGGCGAAATCCAGCCGTACACTCTCTTACTAAGCAGTTAGCTAATGTCACGTGATTAAATATTATTAACCTCGGCTCGAGATGAACTTTTTTTTTTTTTTTTTTTTTGTGCTACAACAACAACAAAAAAAGGTCTCCACAAATCGCCAGAATTTTTCAACTCCACCATATAAATTTATAAATAGTCCCATAAATAATCCTATAAAAGCCATCCTCAATCTTTTAAACCCCCAACCATCAAAACAATGGCTACATATACCGGATCTGCTGCATACGCATCGCTCAGATCTAATCTGGTCAATCTTCCTCCATCTATAGCTACTCTCCTCTATTCTTCAAACATTGTAAGTATTGTCTTCCATCTTACTACACTCATACCTAACTAACCCCACATGTAGAACGTCCAAGATGTAGTCCTAGACCTCTCATGGTCAACTGGCCGTGTATCCAAATCTGCCAAACGTCATGCATACGTTGGTTGGTCAGGAATGACTAGTCGCACCGACCATACAGGTGCAGAACTTGTCGAACTTGACCCCGTCTTCGCCCAAGCCCTCGGAATCAATCCTCAAACCCCACTCTCAATCACCGTTCATAGCGCTTCATCTGTCCCAATCGCTCGCACAATCTACCTTGAGCCCCAATCTGCTTCCGACTGGGAAATAATTGAACTTCATGCCCAGTACCTCGAGGCCCGCATGCTCAATCAAGTCCGTGCTGTAGCAACCCACCAGCCCGTCGTTGTCTTCCCTTCATCAACTTCCATCGCAACCCTCTCTGTGCTCAAAATTGAACCTCCACTGCCTCCAGGTTCTGACTTTGCAAAAGTTTCTGCCGATGCAGAAGTTGTAATTGCTCCCAAAGTTCGCAAGAAACCCCAACAATCTTCTTCCAAGTCTAAATCCAACCGATCAATCGCCGCTAGTAGCAACTCCCGTCGCCACCGCAGCTCCGGACCTTGTGTCCTGCTAAGAGGAGTCTCTCTTCCACATAAATCATTTCCCAAAGACATTAACAATACCTCCGACTACCGCATCTTTGTTGATCAAGATTCCCTGACACCCTTGGGTTCCCCAGAATATGTCTTTGTTAGTATTGTTCGACCCAAAGCCATTAAAAACAATGCTGCTGCCGCCGCTGCTGCTGCTGCTGCTGCCTCTACAAATACTTCTGCTTCTGCTCCACCTTCATCAGATGATCCAAATGCAGTTGTCTCCTCAGAAGGAACTCCTGCAGATGATGACTCCGGTGAAGTTGTCTATGCTAGTCATAAAATTGTTGCACGTGTCGTTACCTCAGATGCCCCGCCACAAGACCATGTTGCACTGTCTCATGCTTTGGCTTTGGCTCTAGTAGCAGGATCTTCTGTAGGTAACGTTGTCCGCATTGAGGCTGCTCTCAAGCCTCTTGCTCATCCACCCTCAACCTTGATTGTACGTCCCTATGTGACATCCTCTGCTCCATCAAAACCTTCAAAATCGGGACCAGTCAAACTTGGGAGATCGGCTGCCGCTGCTGCTGCCGCTGCTGCTGCAGGGAAAACCCCAGAATCACAACTGGCTGAAAAGGAAGCTGCACGACAAGAACAAGCCGCTGCTTTACGTGCTCTCCTCGAATCCGCAAAAATCCTCCAAGGTCCCATCACTCACAACATGCGCTTGCCTCCAGCCTCTCCTGCCTTGGAACATGGAGGTGTGCTTCAGCTCAAGTCCGCCGAAGGTTGGATCAAACCGGGAACTACCCTGGAATTCGCCATTGAACTAGGTACCCCCCTGATCCAAGCCGAATCTGCAGTTGGATCTTCTCTCGAGGCTGCCCTGGCCCCTGAAGAGTCTTCTTCTCAAGTAGTTGGCATCGATAAGACCCTTGCGGAAATCAACAATGCCCTTAGATCTGGCTTTTCTCTTGGTGTGCTTGTACACGGCGCCCGCGGGTCAGGCAAATCAGCGGTTTTGCAAACTGTGGAGCGTGGACTGGTCACAGACCTAATCCACGTCGTTCACGTCTCTTGCGGCCCCCGGGCAGAAGACCCTGTGGCTTCCATCCAAGACTTGTTACGACGCGCACTTCTTGAAGCCTCCTGGCACGCACCTTCAGTCATCGTGCTCGATGATTTCGATACCCTTGTCCCCGCAGAAGTTGAGCATGCCGATGGCACCAAGGCCCGGCAACTTGCAGAGGTATTTGCACGCACAGCCCGTGAAACAATGGCTGCACGACCTGTGAGCATTCTCGCTTCCGTTCAAGCTAAAGAAAGTGTGCACGCACATCTGACTACAGCCCATGTGTTTGAGGAAACTGTCGCCCTCAAGTCTCCAGATAAGGAGGTGCGCCGCGCAGTTATTAGCGAAGCAATGCGGCAGCTCGGTATGGTGCCTGACGCCGGATTCGACATGTTGGAGGTTGCCGGATCCACAGAAGGATACCAAGCAGGCGATCTGTGGACTCTTGTGGAGCGCACACGGCACCAGACAATCATAAGACGCGTGGAAACAAAAGCCGTTGACACAGCAACAACCCAGGATGACTTTATGCAAGCGCTTGCTGGGTTTGTTCCCGCTAGTTTACGTGGCGTCAAGCTGCAAAAGTCTGGTGTTGCGTGGGCTGAAATCGGCGGTCTAGCTGAGACCAAAAAAATGCTGCTGGAAACCCTCGAATGGCCCACCCGTTATGCACCGGTCTTTGCCAAAGCTCCATTGCGTCTGCGGTCTGGACTGTTGCTCTACGGCTACCCCGGATGTGGCAAAACCCTACTTGCATCTGCGGTCGCTTCACAATCCGGGCTCAACTTTATTTCTGTCAAGGGTCCTGAGATTCTCAACAAATACATTGGTGCCTCCGAACAATCTGTGCGTGATCTTTTTGAAAGAGCTCAAGCCGCACGACCCTGTGTGTTATTTTTCGACGAATTTGATGCAATCGCACCCAAGCGTGGCCATGACTCAACAGGTGTTACTGACCGCGTTGTGAACCAGATGCTGACGCAAATGGATGGTGCTGAGGGCCTGGATGGCGTTTACGTCCTAGCAGCAACTTCTCGACCTGACCTGATCGATTCGGCTCTATTGCGTCCAGGTCGTCTTGACAAGGCGATGCTGTGCGATATGCCTAGCTTTGAGGACCGGCTAGACATTTTGCAAGCCGTTGCGAGCGGCGGCGGACATGCAGACAAACAAATGGCGCTGGGAGAGAGTGTGGACTTGGCAGAAGTTGCACGGCAAACCCAAGGATACTCTGGCGCCGACCTGCAAGCCGTGCTATATAATGCGTACCTGGATGCGATTCACGACTTGGTTGATTTGCCCGAAGGCGACGACGATGATGCTGACGAAGGAGAAGATGAAACGGACGGCGATGACGTGGAGTATTTCCAAACACGCACAGAGGACCATTCCGCGCGTGCTAGAATTGCCGAAAAGGCCCGGCTCAAAAAACAACTGGAAGCTCTCGCACAGCCCGTCGCAGGCAAATCATCACAAGCATCTACTACTGCTTCAACACCAAACAAGGTGGCTACAATCGAGGCCCGGCATCTGGTCCGGTCGCTCCAGGACACACAACCGTCCATTTCTGCGTCGGAGCAACGCAAACTCGCTGGTATCTACCGCCAGTTTGTGTCAGGCCGTAGCGGAGACATGCCCACCGGCGAAAGCAGCACCGAAGTAGGGGCTCGCGCTACCTTGATGTAAATGGAAGGAATTTGTATATACATTAATGATAATGATTTTTGTTGTAGGACTACAGTTACACGTCTAAAAAAAAGATAAAACTTGAAAGAAAAAAAATTTTTTTTCATTAATCAAGAGCCCTGAGCTCAATCTATTCACTCTCGTCATCGTCATTGTCATCATCACCACTCGAAGAATCACTCGACCCCTCAGAGCTCGACTCTTCCGACTCTTCTGATGACGAAGAGGACGACGCAGCATCTGGATTCATCACAAAAAGCCTGATATTGCCGCCAGGTTCTTGTACACTCTTAAGAGAGTCTGTGCTAGGTGCGCGTACAAGTCCACGGCTGGCCCCGCTTGCCGTGCTAGCTCCAGACGGCCCTCGAGTGGGACCACTGCCGCCAGTAGGATACAAAGACCCAGCTGAGCCAAGTTTTTTGTGACTCTGTTCATCATGGATAGTAGTTGAGTCGTTTGATGGTGTGGATGAAGCTCCAAAGAAACTGCTATTGATGCTTCCACCGCTGTGACTATAGCTGTGGCTCGATGTAGAACTAGGTCCACCTCCGCTGGGACTTGACCCTGTGGTCGTCTGGTTGTTGGCCGACCACTGGTTACGGTAAGGGAACTGATCGCCGGTGCCATCGATTTCGCTGGCAAGTAGGCGTGGCGTCAGGTGAGAGTGGCGAATATCCACGAGCGTCTTTCCAGCAGCTGCCAAGTGACTGCTCTTTGTTCCAGTCAAGCTTGTCGTGGTTGTCAGCGACATGTTGGACGACAAAGACAAGGAGTTGCTTTGATTTCCACCAAACCCAGGTATGCCATTCCCCAGCCCGTTGCCATTGCCCCCACTGCTGCTAGCGCCTCCGCTACCTCCACCATTGGAGCCGCCATTAAACCCTCCGTTGAATCCTCCGGAGTTGCCGCTACCGCCTCCTGGAATATGGTGGTGGTAATACGCCAGAGCTCGTGCTGGCAGGTTATGTTTATTGTGGTGGTCGTCATAGCCCTCATTATCATAATCGTATCCCTCACCGCCATTGGAATCTCCTCCGTCGCCAATGGGACCGCCATATCCGTTAGAATAGCCTCCGTAGGAGTACCCAGAGAACCTCGAGTGACCGCCCGGGTTAACTGACAGGTCAGCAATGCCAATGGGCAACCCCCAGACCGAGGACGGGATGTCGCACCATAAGGTAGCAGCACGGCGCTTAAGTTCGCGTACATAAAAGGATCCCGAATTTTTCGAGTGCGAAGGCATGAGAGAGTCTGCAGACGACGTACGGCTCACGCGTGAAGAAGTGCTGTTGAGTCTGTTATGCGACGATGTTGTTGTGAGCGGAGCGTGTCCGCTCGTACTAGAGCCCGTAGCTCCAGAAGCTGCCGATAGCCGCTGCTTATGAGAGAAAGAAGGTGTAGATGAAGTGGAAATATTGCGGTTCAGTCCTGGAGATGGTTGTGGAGGATATTGTTGTTGAGAGGAAGACAGGTTTGACGGGAACGACTTGAGTTTGGGAGTGCCGCCTGAGCGTGCCGATCTATTTGAGTGGAGACTTGAGGATCTGCTATGGTCGATTGTTTGTGGGGCAAGCGAGGAAGGCTGTTGGCCTAGAGTTTGAACTTTTGTTCCTGGAGGTGTTGCTGCCACTGCGGCTGAAATTTGAGCAGACGGCGTTACTGGATGTGGGTTGCTATTGCTGCGATTTACTTTACGTTCCGGGCTTGCAGATGGTGCTAGAGGTACTGGAGATTCAGGTGGTTGCAGTGGAGTGAGCGCAGAAACTGGAGTTGTAGGTTGTTGTTGTTGTTGTAGTTGTTGTTGTGCAAAAACTCCGGTGCCAACACGGGATGATCCCGGTGTTTCCGGGGAGTGTTGGAACTGAGGTGGGTAAACCGGTCTGGGCTGGAGGGTTTGCGGTTGTTGTTGTTGTAGTACTGGTGGTGGAGGTGGAGGCGGAGGCGGAGGCGGTGCTGGTGTCTGAGGCTGGACCGGGTGCAACAACTGATTCATAAGAAATGGATTATTGTTATTGATTGTCTGGGTATTTGTAGAGGCATAGTTTGCTGTTGAATGCTGTTGAAGAACAAATGGATTATTGAACACCGGGTGCATCGACGGTTGCTGTTGCTGGACCGGAGCAGACCCGGGATATTGTTGTGGCGGCTGTTGCAGCGGCTGTTGTTTGAACGGACTAATTATTGTTTGCGGCTGAGCCGGCGCCGTCATGGCTCTTGGAGTATGGGAGGGGTGTAGATTTTGAGCATCAAAAGGAGGAGATGCAGAAGAATTCAAAGAAATCGGGTTAGTGGATGAAGATGACGGTGTAGCTGTTGTAGAAGAAGAAGAAGATGGAGCAGCAATGACGACAGGAACACGGCCGGCGGGCTCGAGACCAAAGTCGAACGCGGAACCAGTTGAAGGTGATTTCCTGTGGTAAAGCGCTGAGTTCATGACAAGATCCTGATTGTCTGTTGTCTCTTCAGTGTCTTCGTTGATTGTTTTATGAGATTCATCAGCTTCGTCAACTTCGTCGTCGGGGGTTTTGTCGGCGGGCTGACGGGACTCAGGTGGTGGTGGTGGAAGTTGTTGAGGTTGTTGGTTAAAGGGAGGAGGTGGTGGTGGTGCTTGAGAAGGTGGCGGTGAAGAAGGTTTTGTGTGCGCTGCTGTTGAGTCTGAGCCTAAATCTAATAAGCTTGTTTCTGTTGTTGTTGTTGTTGTTGCTGCTGCTGCTGCTGCTGCTGCTGTCACTGCTGCTGTTGTTGCTGCTGTCAATAGTGGAGAATCTAGCTGCTGTGCCTTAGAAGAAGGTTTGAAACCTTTGTCTAAAGCGGAAAGACCTGCTGCTGTGACTTCAGCGGTTTCAGCGTCAACCTCAGAATTATTTTCATTTTCATTTTTAACATCATCGGAAGCTTCTGCGACAATCAATGTTTCTCGAGCCGCGCCAACCTCTGGAGATGGCAATGACAGCGTAGGTTCTGGCGGTGGTGGTGGTTTTGCAAAAGGTTCTGGTTGAGTAGGCTGTTGTAAATTAGAAGGCACTTCATTATCACTGAACCCCCCAGCATCGCTATAATAATTGGATTCCCCAGAGTCGCCTCCTCCACCAAATGACGATCTTGTTGATTTGGGCTGGAGTCCCGGCGAGACTGGAGCTGTCAATGTGATTGTGTCTTGAGAATCTGCATGCATGGATCTGGTGAAGGAGGGCCGAGGAAGGGCTGATAAACCTGGTTGGTTTAATGACGGTATTATTGATGGAGGTTGATGCAGTGTCTCCTTTAAGTCTTGTTCAAAGTCCGAACTGAAATCTGGATTTGTGACCTTCAACAGGACTGGTGGTTCTTTTTGAAATGCTTTTTCTGGTGGTTCTTCAAGCTCAAGTTGCAGCAACTTCTGCTGTTGCTGATCAGTGAAAGCAGCTTGGGCAGCATCTGTTTCAATTGATTGATTGGCTGTTTCTTCCGGGATTCCCACAACCAGTGGTTCTTGCTCTTGAGAAACATTATCAAAAAATATGACTTGATTAACTGCTTTGCTGGGGGTCTCATGTTCTATTTCAACTTGAATTTTTTGTTTAATTTCTTCTTTGTCGTTGTTTCCAAGGTCTTTAGAATATTCTTTAATTTGCTGATTGACAGGCACTTGGTTTGAATTTTTTTCTTTCTTGTTATTGGATTCAAAATCTATTACTGGAACAACTGGTGATGGACTGCTATTTCTACTGTTGCTCGTACTATTGCTAATGCTGCCAGCCAAAGCCTTTACTGGAGGCTTTCTATTCTTAAAGCTGCCAAGGTAATCGCTAGACCCGTTAAACCCGCCCCCTGCAGATGAAATAGCTGTGCTGGCAGAGCTCACCGTACTCATAGTGCTCATGGTACTTGCTGTTCTTACTGTGCTTACGCTGGCTTTGCTGCGTCTTGACGCCGATATAGCCAAAGACTGTTTTGCGGTAATGGTATGGCTATTATCATCGTCATCTAGAATCATAGACGATACATGATATTTTACTGGTTGTTGTTCATCTGCTGGTTGTATTTGTTCAACAAAGGATTGCTGCTGCTTATTCTGATTCTCAGAGGATGAATTTGTATATGGCGATGATATTGGTTCCAACGGTTGAAGATCCGATGGATCTAAAAGAAAAGTCGACCTACGACGGGACGGTGATGGAGAAACTGATGGAGAAAGCGAAAGTGAATTGCGTGTAGAGTCCGAAAGTCCAGCAGATGGTGATGGTGATAAAGAAGCACCAGAAACTGGGACTCTACGGACAGGTTTCCTGCGAACGGATGGCCGGTTCTGGGGCAGCATTGAAAGTTGCTGCTGGCCGCTAAGCTGCAAAGGATTTTGTTGTTGTTGCTGCTGCTGCTGTTGCTGCATTTAAATAAAAAAGGAGTCTTCTATTTGATGATGAAATTAATGACTTAGCTGTGTAAAATGTATATGGAAATCTGGTATAACCCGTTATATAGAATATTTATATAGCTTTAAATAAGAATGAGAGGAGAATATGGAAAAAAAGAGGATTTTTTTATAGAAAGATTTTTTTACAAAGATTTTTTCTAAAAAAAGAGTGTGCTGTAAGTAGGTAAGTGGTATACCAAAGCGTAGTATTAATAAAAAAGTACTAAGGATTAGAATTACAGGATATACATATTACCACCACCACCAAGGCCTTTTAAATAAATGGCTGCCAGTAATTTGGCTATTTTCTAACAATTACAATTAATTAATGTCGCTAACTTGTTAAGTGACTGAATGGCCGACTAGCCGTTTGACTAGACTGGCTGAATGGCTGAATGGCTGAATGGCTGACTGGCTGACTGGTTTCTAGAAATAAAATTTAAGTGCGAAATTTTTTCACAAAGAATGACAAGGCCCCGGCCCGTAAAACAAAAAAAAATAACATCAAGACAACAAATTTTGGTACCGACAACAACAGTCAGCAAGCCAGCCAACCAGCAAACCAGTCAAAAAAATTTCTTCTTAAACGTATTCTTTTTTAATCTTCAGCAGGCTTTAAAGAATTACCCAACCATTGAAACGCTCCATCTCGCGTATTGACTGCCACTATTTTTCCCTTGACTAGTCCTAATGGTAACACGCCGTAAGATCTCGAATCCAAGCTTCTTGACAAGTTATCACCGGTGACCCAACAGTGCCCTTCAGGAACTTTAATATACGCTGGTTCCTTTCCTCTGTTTTCCTTAAAGTCCACACTTGGGTCCACAGCTATAATATCTCCAGGCATACCTGTTATACGCTTGCACACACGTTGGGCTGGGTCTGTAGGCTTTAAGGCCACAATCATGTCGCCGACCTGACACCCACGGCCGCGTGCACAAAGTTTGTTTGTGTGTACAAAGTCACCCGAGTAGTTGAGTGTCGGCAGCATGGATTCACCCTGGGTTTCAGAGATCTCGTAGAAAAAGGTATGGATGACGTGCACTGCGCAGCCTATGCGGAGAGCCCACGAAAGGCTTCTTCTTGTTGTTGCTATTATAGTCATGATTTTTAGTTTATAAATGGCAAAAATAGTCTATTGGGTGATTTGATTTTTCACAATTTGATTTTGGATTTTGGATTTTGGATTTTAAGTGATTCAATTTTAGGTGATTTGATTTTTGACAATGTATTGTATCGATGATTTTGACTTTCTTTTTTTTGAAGCTCGTTTAAGTGGTCGCCAGGCTAGTGTGAATTTATGCAAGTGGGTTAGGGTGTATATTGATGTGCGGCTGTGTGGTTTTCAATCACGTGGACTGACACAGTTCTGATCGATTTAAAATGTCTGCGCCTCGTAAAAGAACTCTTTCAAAAGGCCTTTCAACTTCTTAAAACGACATTTTTTCATATATAAATATTAAATAAAATAAACTATTTTCATTTGTTTTCTTTGAATTCACTTTTTTTTTCTCAATAGATTATTGTTGTTAATATCTGGTGCTTGACAAGCCTATTCTAAAAAAAAAACTCCCAAACCACAATTGACAATCCACTTAATATCACCCGCCAAAATTTAAATTTAAAAAAAGAACTTACTCAACAACACCAAAAAAAAGCAACCAAAAAAGACGTCTTTTTCATTCCTTTAACACTTATCACCTCCAGTCGTCCTCTTTCTTTCAAATATATTTTCAATAAAAATGCCTCGAAGCTCGTCAATTCCTATCACATCGGACCTTCTCTTGGCCGTTTTGGCCTTCTTCATCCCACCTTTTCCGGTCTTCGTCAAAATGGGACTCTCCATAGATCTTCTTATCAATATTGTCTTGACTCTCCTCGGTGCCTTTCCAGGAATCATTCACGCTTGGTACATCATTCTTAAATACCCAGATGATGGTGTCCCTGTAGTCCAGGACTGGATTTCTCGTCACCATATCATTGCTCAGTCTGATGCCCAAGGCCCGACTGTTGGAGGATATACTCAAATCTCAGATGATCCTGGTGCTCTTGAGTCCGGTGTCATGCCTGGAGCTTATTCAAACAACAATAACACCAACGCTAACATCAACACCAATACCAACACCACTCACAACAACTATGCCCCTGCTCCTTCAAACTATTCTGGACCTTCTACGTCTTCTTCAAACCCCCCACCTTATGCTAACCAAGGCACATTTGTTCCTGGAGATAATAAGATCCAGTACGGCTCACAGCTTTAAAAGAAACAGGCCCAATTTTATTTTATTTTATTTTATTTTTGGTAGTAGTTGACTTCCTGTAATATTCACATAGCCCCACAATTTAACTCCCACAACTTACCTGCCCACCTGTAAACCTCCTTCTTGTTAATTTTAGTTAACACATCACCAACTTCCCATCTTTTCTTTTCTTTCCACCAAATCCACCCAAAGCCAGATTTTATTTATTTTTTTTTTTTTTTCACTTTTTTTTTCAAAAAAAAATCTCCACTTAGACCCTTCTTCAGTATCCTTTTTCGACTCTTTCTTGGCGTCAAAAATGTCGTTTTCTTTGGGTAATAAAAATAACTACCAACTACCAACAACAAACCATCCTATGCGCAGACCCTCCGCATACGATCTCTCATCGTCCGGGTCCGTCTCCTCAAACATTGGTGGTCCCGGATCTCTCCGCCCTACTGCCTCCATGGCTTCCCTCAGATCAAACTACGTTGCTCCTCCTCTTCCAGGTCCTCTACCCACCGATTCGTCCTCCGATCTTTCGTTTTCCCAATCGGCATCCGGGTTTGCAGCTTGGAAAGCCGCTGCCCATGTCTACACAGAAAAGTTCGACGCGTTCCTCGGGAAAATTGGCGCTCCTCTTAAGCCTTTCCTCCCCCTGATCGGACGCTTTTTCATCGTCGCTACTTTTTACGAGGACGGTTTCCGCATTTTCTCTCAGTGGAACTCTCAGGTTTCCTACATCTCCGGATACCGTGGTCTCCCGAGATTTATCACCGTCGTCTACCTTGCAATCAACATTGTTATCATGTTTGTCTCATCCTCTCTAGTTGTCGCTCATAAGTCTCTCGTTCCAGCAGTTGCATCTCTCTCCTTTGTCGTCATCTCTCAAGCAATCATCTACGGTCTTGCTTTTAATCTCAGTTTTTTCTTCCGCAACCTCTCCGTCATTGGCGGTCTTCTCATGGTCCTCTCCGCTGCTTTTGTCAAAGATCGCCGTGCAATTTCGCTCCCAGGCCTCCCCCTTGTCGACGACAAAAATCGTGCAAAGTACTTCCAGCTTGCAGGCCGCATTCTTCTAATCTTCCTTTATTTGGCCTACGTTGTTGCTGAACAGCGCACCGCAGCCCGCATCATTTCTTCCATTTTTGGTCTTGCCGCCTGTGGTCTTGTTGTCATTGGCTACAAAGCCCGTCTAAGTGCAGCCATTCTTGTCATCATGCTCTTCTGGCGCAACTTCACAAGCAACCAGTACTGGCGCTACGATCCCAACAACCCAGTTAGAGACTTTCTCCGTTACGAACATTTCCAGATCCTCAGTATAATTGGCGGCCTTATCCTCGTTGTCTCTGCAGGTGCAGGTGCAATCAGCATTGATGAGAAGAAAAAGATTTATTAGAGTTATTGGTAAATATCATACATATATATAAGTCATGTATAAGATGAACTTTTTTTAAAATTAATCTTAAGAGGCCTTTTTTTTTTTTGGAGCCGAATAGAAACTTGTCTGAAACATTGTATTGGATTTGAACTGGCGATCTAGCACGTGATCGATTTCTGTAACAAATGTTGTAATTGAAAATCTTTTTATTTTTTTTTATTTTTTTTTTTATTTTTTTGCTTAATAAAAAAACTCGCCTCCCAAAATAAAACGCGATCTCCAGAACCTTCACATTCACACACAAAAATGTCCCGCGTAGGCGTTCTAGTTCTGGGCCCTGCCGGTGCCGGAAAAGTAAGTTCATTCCAATTTTTGAAATCTCATTTCTCTAACTCTCTAGAGCACATTTTGTAACTCACTTATCTCTCACATGCAAAGCGTGGGCCGCCGGTCTCATCTCGTCAACCTGGATCCTGCTGCTGAACCGTCACAGTACGAGTTCACCGTCGACATCCGGGACTTGATTTCGCTTGCGGACGTGATGGAAGAGCTCGAATACGGACCAAACGGTGGGTTAGTTTATTGCTTTGAGTTTCTGTTGCAAAATCTGGACTGGCTGGACGACGAGATTGGTGATTACGACGACGAGTATCTGATTTTCGACTGTCCGGGCCAAATCGAGCTTTACACACATATTCCCGTGCTTCCAACAATTGTGCGGCATCTGCAGCAGCAGCTCAATATGTCGCTATGCGTAGTTTACCTGCTTGAGGCCCCTTTTGTCACCGATAGAGCCAAGTTTTTTTCAGGTGCTCTTTCTGCTATGTCTGCCATGATGATGCTCGAAACGCCGCACATCAACGTGCTCTCCAAAATGGATCTCATCACAGACCCTCCTAGCACCAAAATTGCACACAAACCCTCAAGCAAATCCTCGTCTATTGATGAGGAAACAAGAAGAAATACTCTTGCTAATAGACAGCTTCTTATCGACCCGGAAACAGCAGACCAACAGGAACCAAACCCAGAAGGTCCCGCTGCTATTGTTCCTCCCAGTGTTGGCGGTACAGGCACCGTTTCTAAGCGCGATCTTAAGCGATTCCTCAACCCAGACCCGTTACTGTTGGCCGATGAGGCCGATGCCGCCATGAACCATAATCCCAAGTTCCATGCTCTTAACACCAGCATTGCTCAACTTATTGACGATTTTGGAATGGTCCAGTTTTTACCATTGAATGCGCGCAGCCCAGATTCCATCGCAACAATTCTTTCATACATAGACGACGTCACGCAGTGGGCTGAAGGCCAGGAACCAAAAGAACCAACGGAGATTGACGATTATGAAGATGATGAGTGACAAAAATAAAAGGGAAATTGATTAATGGATGGATATTGTACAATATAATGACTAAAAAAGGAAAGAAAAAAAAATTAATAAATTAGCTGTCCACGGAAATGCTTGAAGGAGCCGTAGTATTAGGAGACTTTTCGTCAAGTGGTGGAACAAATATTTTTTGTCGATTGTTAGGCTTAGGTAGAGATGAATTAGTTACTACTGTTCCATCTTCCTTCTTCACAACCTGACTTTTGACCGATGGAGTCTTAGTGGCCTTAACTGATGGAGTCCTGGTGACTTTAACAGAACGTGTTTTCACAGCCTTGGCAGATGATGTTTTTGTAGCCTTGATAAGAGGTGTCTTTACCGCAGACGATGCTTTATTTGTTGTCGTGTTCTCTCCCTTGATACGATTCTCACCAGAACACTCCACTTGAGCCTTCTTGGCTGTTCCCAAAACCCGTTTTGGTTTCTTTTCTGCAGCGCATATCCGTTTTACCTCTGCAACAACATCCCGGCTGCTGCTCCGTTTATTGAGCGCGCTTGTCGACTTCGACCGTCCTGCAGCTATTACTGGTGCAGTTGTTGTTCCTGTGCTAGTTGCTGCTGTAACAGCAGTCTTTGTCTTGGTAACAACTGCCGAGGGTAACTCTCCAATTGGCTCAAGCGATGTTAACCGACTGGAAGTCACAGAACCTTCTGACATAGACCGCGATGCAATCGAACTATCCGAGCGGTCCGCCTCGGCTGCCGCAATGAGCGCTGCAGCTGCTGCGCTAACCTGTTTTTCTAATGCTAATTTCTGGCGAATGGCCCGCGCTTCTGCCTTGATCTTTCTCTGCGCCTGTTTTTCCTCTTCATACAGCCGCTTTTCCTCTTCATAGTCGCAAAGCATTTGCGGCAAAATCTGGCAGTCGCCCTTAATAATCAAATCAAAACAAGCTTCAAACTCGCGGCCGCTCAACGCAGACGGGTCGTCAATGTTCATCCACACAGAGCATCCGCGTGCTGCATGCACTGCTTGTGACATTTCACGTACCATCCGCCGTACCCCTGGGATCTTCAGTGAGGTCCCCACCACTACCAGCGCGTCGGGCTTCTTCAATAAATCCTGTTCTGTGATCTGTCCAATCGCCTCAGCATCCGGGTTCGGTTCATTATACAGAACAATTTTGGGACGTAATGTTCCGACACCTTGTGATCGCTTGCCAGCTACTGCCCGTACACCATCCATTTCAATGCATTCTGGACACTCGGGTATTGTGGGCACCTCAATAATAGTTTCGTTATCACTATCATATCCTTCTTCGTCTTCCTGGGTATTATCATTGTCACAATTCTTCTCCTCCTCATCATCATTTGTAGGGGTATCTTGAGAGACATTGTGGAACACATTAGGATCAAAGTCCGCAGTCCAGCTGCACTTGGAGCAAATCATCGAGGTAATGGTTCCGTGAAGCTGTACCGTTTTGGGCCAAGGCTCAACCAATGGATGTTTGGTAGCCAGGTGCGGCAACCCGGTATCCAGCCCATCAATATTCTGTGTGTACAACCGTAGTAGCCGGTTATCTTGGGAAATCGAGTCTATCAGCTCATGAAATGGTGTTGGTTGGCACTGTTGGCATAAGGTGTGCAAATCGCATACTGTAGTGTGGAAATTATCAAGAGTCTGTTGGTTGCTAAAAACATGCGACGCGTCAAACATCTGCTGCCCAGAACTCACCCCACCCTTGAGGCGGAACTCATTTCGCAAGAGTCGGAAAAGTCCTGTGGTTGAGCGGAAATCTGGAATTCCTGCAGCCACAGAAATCCCAGCACCGGAAATAACAACGATGCGTCGTGCATGCCTCAGTGTATGATGCAGCAATGCAATGTCCTGTTTATAGGAAGCCATGAGCACGTCTTCAGGAATTTCCTCATCACTATCATATTCTATCGATGGTAATGGCTGCTGCTCAATACGTTTTTTTGATCTGCGGAAATGAATAATGTTCCTTAGTTTACTGCGGTTATATTGGAGGGTCGTTTCATCGTGTAGAGCGTCAAACATATCGAAAACGTCGGGTGCATCGAGAGTGCGTTTCGGTAAAGCGGGTTTCCGACTCATCGACATAGTCGGTGCGGCCTTAGATGTAGCCTGAGGAGTCGAAAGGCCAGAAGATGAAGAAGTCCCTGAAATTGGACCAGTGTCCATAGGGCTTGGATTTGTGTCCTGTAAAGACAGCATGACAGTGTAAATGTCCCGGAAATTAGATTTTTAAAGGTGGGAAGACCTTTTTTTTTGAGAGGTGGGTGTAGTGGAGTTTTTAATTTTTTTTTTTCTAGCAAAGTAAAACGGGACTTAATTTACGCACTGAGTACTTTCCATACTGGAGGTTCATAAATTTTTCGGCACACAAGAGGCTTTACCACCTTAAAAATACTTTGGAATAAACAAACAAATATACAACTATGGTGCAAATCAGCGAGGTTAAGACAACTACGGCGCGCGACAAACGTACATCGTCGCATACACACATTAAGGGTCTTGGGCTGGACGACCGCGGAATTGCGAAACCCGTTGATGGCGGGTTTGTGGGTCAGGACGCTGCGCGCGAGGCCTGCGGCGTGATTGTGGACATGATCAAGGCCAAGAAGCTTTCTGGCAAGGCCGTTCTTGTTGTTGGAGGCCCCGGCACTGGTAAGACAGCTCTTGCCCTTGCCATGTCCCAAGAACTTGGGCCACGTGTTCCGTTTTGCCCGATTGTTGGATCTGAATTGTACTCGGCAGAAGTGAAGAAGACAGAGGCATTGATGGAGAATTTCCGACGTGCCATTGGGTTACGAATCAAGGAAACTAAAGAGGTTTATGAGGGTGAGGTGACAGAACTGACTCCTGAGGAGGCAGAGAATCCGCTTGGAGGTTATGGGAAAACAATCACACACGTTGTGATTGGGCTTAAGTCAGCTAAGGGTACACGACGCCTGCGGCTAGAGCCGAGCATATACGAGTCTATTCAAAAGGAGCGGGTTGCAGTTGGAGATGTGATTTATTTGGAGGCCAACACTGGAGCTGTAAAGCGAGTGGGTCGGTCAGACGCTTATGCGACCGAGTTTGACTTGGAAGCTGAGGAGTACGTGCCGTTGCCTAAGGGAGACGTGCACAAGAAAAAGGAGATTGTGCAAGACGTGACTCTGCACGATTTGGATGCAGCAAACGCACGGCCACAGGGAGGCCAGGATATTATGTCGATGATGGGACAGTTGATGAAGCCAAAGAAGACGGAAATTACAGATAAGCTGCGTTCGGAAATCAATAAGGTTGTGCAGAAGTACATTGACCAGGGCGTTGCAGAGCTGGTACCGGGAGTTTTGTTTATTGACGAGGTGCATATGCTGGACATTGAGATGTTTACCTACCTGAATCGTGCGCTGGAAACTACCATTTCGCCTGTTGTTGTGCTTGCAACCAACCGTGGCAAAGCTCTTATTCGCGGAACTGAAGATATTGTGGCACCCCACGGTATTCCTCCAGATTTCATTGACCGTTTGCTGATTGTGCGAACTATCAAGTATACTCAAGAGGAGATCCGGACTATTGTGGAGAAGCGATCTGTGTTGGAGGAGACTCCGGCAACCACTGGGGCTTTAGATGAACTTGCACGAGTTGGTCACGAAGTGTCGCTGCGGTACACTCTACAATTGCTTGCGCCAGCACGGATTGTTGCCGAAGCCAATGGGCGCACTGAGATTGATGTTGCAGATGTTGAAGAGTGCCAGGACATGTTTCTGGATGCAAAGCGCAGTACTAAGATACTTCAAGAGAGTGAAAAGTACTTGAATTAAACATTAACCATTGTGTATTGTTTGGTTTTTTTTTATATATATATATATAAAGTATAAACGAAAAAAAAAGATGAAAAAATTTTAATAATAATAACAATAATCTACAATTACGCCTCCGTCTTTGCCTTTTTGTTTTCCTTGTTTCTGTTACCGTCGAATCGTCTCTTCTTGTTGAAGTTGCCACCACGTCTGTTGCCGCCCTTTGCGTTTTTGTTAAAGCCATGCTCAGCGCTCTTCATGTCAACATAAGCAGCCTTGGACATGGTGAGAAGATCATTGCCATTGTAGCTAGGCTTGGGGTCCTGGGCAAGGAAACGCTGGGCATCCTCGAGGTTGGCAAACTCAACAAAGACAGAGCCCTTGAACTTCTTGTCATCAGCACGGCGCAGACGGACCTGAGTGACAGGAGCAAAAGCCTCAAAGTACTTTTCAATGTCGTATTGGGAAGCGGAGGTTTCTTCGCCAAAGCCCTTTGCGTATATACTGCGAGCAAAAGCCTGGGCACCCTTAGAAACGGGCTTCTTTTCGGTGGTGTTGGATGAAGATTCCGAGGTGGCTGCGGATTCGTCAAGAGGAGTCTTTCTGCGGACAAGCTCACCATTCTCAGAAACCTCGAGAAGATCCTCGCTTTCCCGGAGAGCAGCGACGATGGTTTCGAGGGGAGAGAAGCGGCGCATGCGGGAGAAAGTTGCGATGGTGGAGATGGGGATCCAGCCTTCGTTTTCCTTGGTGAGTCCCAAAAGGAACTTGTCCTTAGGAAGATTCTGGTCGGAAAAGTAGAACTCAACTTGCTTAAGAATCTCCTTAGGATCAGAAGATGCTGGGAGAGTAGAGGGGTCAGAGACAATGTTGTTCTTGCGTTTCTTTTGTTGTTGAGGTTTGGACTCTTCAGTCTTGGACTCTTCAGTCTTGGACTCTTCAGTCTTTGGTTCTTCAGTCTTTGGTTCTTCGACCTTGGGTTCTTCGGCCTTGGGCTCCTCGACAGCCTCAACCTTGGATTCTTCCTCCTTCTTGGATTCGACAGTAACGACTTGTTCTTCCTTTTGCTCAGACATTGTTGGTGCTCTGCTCTTTGACTTGGTCGGATGGTTTGTAAAAAAAAAAAAATTTCAGTTACCCTTTAAAAAAATTTTTGCGCTTTCGCATAAATAAACAACAACAAAAAAATTTTCAGCCGGACTAGGTTCGCGAATCAAAAAAATAAATAAATAGAGTTTAATACTTAGTACTTGAATCTAAGGTCCTATGTTTAAAATTATATTTTAAGTCATAAGTAGTTACTTAATTATTTTATGAGAGTTAAATGTCTTACATACTTTTAGATTGTCAAATTGGTTGTTTTCCACCCCCTTTTTTTTATTTTATTTTTTTTATGGACCCACCAGTTTTTGTTGTCTCAACAGTTTTTTTTTTTTACAACCTCACACATACGGCTGCATATCAGATTGCTTGAGTCGTTAGGCATGTGTCAGTTGGTTGGGTGTCAAGTAGCCAGCTGTGAGCCCACAAACAGCACAAACAGCACAACCAACCGTATTTAAGGGCTTTTTGTAGGCTCTTATAACAAAACATACTGAAGCAGCACCTCAAATAGCACACAAAATAATAATAATAAAAGAAAAAAACCCCATTCAAATACCCAAACATCCGCCATTGCGACTTCTCCATCAAACCCACGTTTTTTGATATGTTGAACGATAGCCCAAGCCAGAAATTGCCCACGAGGGCCCTCAGCGGCTTTTCTAATAGGCCTTTTTTTTTTTTTTTTTCACACGTTGAAAAAATTTTATTTTTTATTTATTTTTCAATCTATATAGTCAATCAATTGTAGATTTTGAACAAAACAAAACACATTTAAGTCACGTGCCATGTCACCATTTGCTGAAAAATTTTCATGTCGCGCCAAAAAAAAAAAAAAAAAAAATTTCACATGCAAAAACTTCTATCACAAAAGTACTTTTGGTACCGCACGAGTAGCAACCAGTCCACCCTTCTTGCCGTCCCACACGACCACCCCCTTTGATTGGCTTGCAGGCCTCAGAGCCCGCGCGACCTGCACACCCACCACTGCCAGGATCCCCAACAAGCCCTTGATGGCCGGCTCAAGAGAGTATAAATATCGACCCAGATTCCCAGATTTCTATAAAATTTTCCTTCTCTCTCTCTTTTTTTTCTTTCCAACCAACTTTTTTCACCCCATCTTCTTCTTTCTCTCTTCAAAAAAACTCTCACAATGACTGCTCCTGCTACCAACCACGGTACTACCTTCTTCTTCACCTCCGAGTCTGTCGGTGAGGGTCACCCCGATAAGATTTGCGATCAGGTCTCCGATGCCATTCTCGATGCCTGCCTCAAGGAGGACCCCCTCTCTAAGGTTGCCTGCGAGACTGCCTCTAAGACTGGTATGATTATGGTTTTCGGTGAGATCACCACCAAGGCCCACCTCGACTACCAGAAGATCATCCGTGACGCCATTAAGCACATTGGTTACGACCACTCTGAAAAGGGCTTTGACTACAAGACCTGTAACGTTCTCGTCGCCATTGAGCAGCAGTCTCCTGATATCGCCCAGGGTCTCCACTACGAGAAGGCTCTTGAGGAGCTCGGTGCCGGTGATCAGGGTATCATGTTTGGCTATGCCACTGATGAGACTGAGGAGCTTCTCCCCCTCACTGTCGTTCTTTCCCACAAGCTTAACTCCGCCATGGCTGCTGCCAGACGTGACGGTTCCCTCGACTGGCTCAGACCCGATACCAAGACTCAGGTCACTGTCGAGTACAAGTACGACAACGGTGCCTGCGTCCCCCAGCGTGTCGACACTGTCGTCGTCTCTGCCCAGCACGCTGATGAGATTTCCACCGAGGATCTCCGTTCCGAGATTCTTAACAAGATTGTCAAGGAGGTCATCCCCGCCAAGTACCTTGATGAAAACACCAAGTACCACATCCAGCCTTCTGGACGCTTCGTCATTGGTGGCCCCCAGGGTGATGCCGGTCTTACTGGCAGAAAGATCATTGTCGACACCTACGGTGGTTGGGGTGCCCACGGTGGTGGTGCCTTCTCTGGTAAGGACTTCTCCAAGGTCGACCGCTCTGCTGCTTACGCTGCCAGATGGGTTGCCAAGTCCCTTGTTGCCTCTGGTGTCTGCAAGCGTGCTCTTGTTCAGTTCTCTTATGCCATTGGTGTCGCTGAGCCCCTCTCTATCTTTGTTGAGTCTTACGGCACTTCTGAGAAGTCTTCTGAGGAGCTTGTTGAGATTATCAGAAACAACTTTGACCTTCGTCCTGGTGTGATTGTGCGTGATCTTGACCTTGCTCGTCCTATCTACTTCAAGACTGCTTCTTACGGTCACTTCACCAACCAGGAGAACACCTGGGAGATTCCCAGAAAGCTCAAGTTTTAAGTGTTAAAGCTTAAAGAAGAGAGAAGAAGAAAAACACTATAATGACTTGTCTATTTTGGCTTTTTTTTAAACCAACGCTCAACTCGTTTGGTCCTTTTATGATCCGCTCATGTCCCCATTTTTAATGCCCTGTTTATAATTTTTGTTTTTTGTTTAACGACCCCTGCATGCCCCCATATTTAATCATCGTAAGCCGTTGCTTGGATAGACAAGTTTTCCGGCGTACAAATGTCTTCAACCGACTAATGAATGTTTTGTACTATAGAGTGAATACAAAATTTTAATAAAATTTTTTTTTTCTATTGAAAAAATCTTGATCTTTAATGACTTGCATGATTTACATTGAAAATGGCCTGTGTAAGGTTAGTCCATATTTTGCAACAAAGCAAATTTGGGCAAAAGGCCGTTGGCTCGGTAGATCAGTCAAAGATGTTTTGGCAGCAGAGTTCCGCAACCGGTCCATGGCTGCGCACGAGGATGCCATGAGTACTGGCCACGTGGCTCTTCTCCGACGTTCCGGACTTAGCAAACGTGCACAACGGAAAACTGGCAGTATCAACTCTGATGCTCCTGTTGAGTCTACTTTTACAATCTGCCGGATCGAAGGTTCTGAGGAACTTGCACAGGCTGTGCTTAAGAATGGAGATGTTGTTGAATACCGCGCACACGTTCACGAACCACCAGTGGCCAACTCCCCGGGCCTGGAGCATTGGGCACAAACAAATGACCCTAGCCAGTGGTTGGCCGAGGTTGTAGTCCGTGAAACTGAAGAATGTCTAGTTGTTTGTAAACCAGCAAGCATCCCGGTACATCCCACTGGTCGGTACTCCCGTAACACGCTGACTGATTTGCTCGAGCAGGCTCTCGGGTACAAAGTATATGGTAAGTATAGTGGTTAGTGAGCTTGTAAACTTTACTAACTTATATCAGCGTCACATCGACTCGATAGATTAACCTCTGGGTTGCTTGTACTAGGGAAAACGGCACCAGCGGCTGCCGATCTTTCAGCCAGGCTCCGTGAAAAAACTGTCTCCAAGGAATACATTGCCCTTGTGCGCGGACTGTTCCCGCATGGCTCGCAAACTGTCACAGCCCCGATCTTTACCACTCAGTTCTCTGATGGCTCTGCAAAGTTTGCTGCCGGTCTAAGAGCTGCTGCTACCGCCAAGTCTTCTACATCTACACGCGACGGGCCTAAACCAGCATCAACAAGGTTCGATTGTGTATGGCATGACGAGCTGCGGAATGTTTCGTTGGTCCGGTGCGCACCACTCACAGGCCGCACTCACCAGATTCGTAAGCACTTGGCCATTGTCGGATATCCTATTTGCGACGACCCTGTGTATTCTCACGCCGCGTTCCCTAAACTGCACCAAGCTGTTCTTGAAGCCCTTGAAAGCGGGTCAGCCTTAGACCCAGCCATTGATGCGTTTGAGCAACTCGAGCGGTTTGTCGGAGAAGCAATGCACAACAAAATGCGCGCGGGAGAAACATGTTCTGAATGCGGGGCCCCCATGTTTACGGACCCAGTACCTAGCGAGCTACGTATCTCGCTGCATGCAGTACGTTACACGGCCGTTGATGGGTCGTTCGACTACTCCGTCCCGTTACCCACGTGGGCCCATTCTGTGCAATAACGTAAAAACTTTTGTCTATCATCATCATTATTATTATGTACAGTACAATATCTATATTATTATCGTATGCTCCAACTAACGAATCATGGATCCCACAGGCGCAGGCTGCAAAGGTCGATAAAGCTTGTTGCGCAGGATCTGTTCATTGAGGGAACTCAAATCTACCCGATTATTGAATTTATCAACCCATGGCATTGGAGATTTTGCAAGCTTTGCTGCTGCTGTAACAACTTTATCCATTTCTCGGTCGAACCGCGTGTAATGTTCTGAAGCTACTAGGGTTGTAATATCGGCGTCGCTCGGATAATCCTCAATGTCTGCAAAAGGCGGGCCCAGAGTTTCCGGGAAACGGCTCATTGTAATCCCAGTGGTTTGCGTGGTGGGTTCCGAAGTGTTTTTAGGTACCAGAGGGTTGGGCCAGGGGAACTTGTGGAACCGAAACAAGTACAACCCATCTACACGGTCCGTTGGTTTTGCCCCATTGAACGATTGCCACAAAGCTCTGCGACCCAGACGGCCCATGTACTTACGTGCATGCGCATACAACATTGGGTTCTTGGACCGGCGTTGCAATAGTTCCTTGCGTTCGGCCTTAGCCAGTGTTTCAGCGTCACCGTTAAACTCTGAGCCTGGCCCAAAAAGCGGCACAAACGCCGGCCGGGACTTGCGGCCAAGTGCCAAAACATGCCATGGGGGGAAGTACCAAACGGTGAATAGATCGCAGTGATGGAGTCGCGGGGTTGTATTAAGGAACCGTAGTGCGAAACAGTGGCGCATCACGAGCGCTAGAACACCGCGAATATCGCTGTCGCGCGGTGCAAACGGCGTTGCAGCCGTCACGTACCCTGCTGTTTTTGTGCTGGCATGCTGGGTAGTATTTTGAATCTCTGTTGAAGGAATCACAGGCAGAATCTGGTTCATGAGTCCCTCAGGTGTGAAAGACGATGGGGTGGGAGCACCTGTAGGAGTGGTAAATAAGTCTTTAGATGAAGGCACATCTGCGTCCAGCCCAAGAGCCTTTGAGACGGCCAATTTTGCAGGCTTATCAATAACCACTTGCCGAGCCGGCTTTTTTCTAGGAACACGAGGGATATAGACCCATCTGACAGCATCAATGGAGAGTGCTGAGACTGCTGGTCTTCTTCGTGATAGCATTATTGATGTAGGTGGGATTGGAGGTTTAAGGAGATTAAATTTTGTTATGGAAGCTATTTTACTATTTCATATAGATATTGAGAAAGGGTTGTTACTGCTTTGTAGCCGTTGAAGTTTATTTATTTATTTAATTTTTTTTTTTTTTTTGGGCTGATTAGAAAAAAATTTTTTTTAGGAATAAAAATTTTCTACGGCCAAAATTTTTTTTTTTTTTTTTTTTTTTTCTTTTAATAACCACATCATTTCTTTTCTTCTTCCCTTCCTCTCCATCCCTCATCCACACTTTCCTCTCAACCAACCTATCCAAAACACACCATGGACCAACAGTTTGTCGAGAACCTCATACAGACTCTGCGGAACGTGACTGCTCCTGACACAGAGGCCATTCAGCAGGCTTCTCAGGCTCTGCAGACCGATTTTTACAAGAGCCCTGTGATTGTGCCTGCTCTTGTACACATTCTTCAAACCAACCCGGACAAGAACATTCGCCAGCTGGCAGGTGTGGAGGCTCGCAAGCTCATCAACTTCCGCTGGGCGGACCTCAAGGACGATGTCAAGGCCCAGACAAAGGCCAGCCTTCTCCAAACTACCATTGCTGAGCCTGATTCGCTCGTGCGTCACACTTCTTCACGTGTCATCTCCTCCATTGCCAAGCAGGAGCTCGATGATAATGCCTGGCCTGATCTTCTTCCTGCTTTGTCAACCTCTGCCAACTCTTCTAATGCTGCTGAGCGTGAGGTTGCTGTCTACATTCTTTACACTCTGCTTGAAGCTGATCTTGCTGTTCTTACCGATTACATTACCGACCTGGTTAGCCTTTTTGCCAGAACAATCAACGACCCGGAGTCTCTTCAGGTCCGTGTTTCTACCATCATGGCTCTTGGTGAGATTTCTTCTATTCTCTCTTCTTTCCAAGGCAATGATGGCCAGGAGTCTGAAATTTTCCGCTCCACCATTCCTTCCATGGTTGAGGTTCTTAAGCAGGTCATCCAGGCCAATGATGAAAAGTCTGTAAGCCAGATCTTTGAGGTGTTTTCTTTCCTCCTCATTGCTGACTCTAACCTTACCTCACAATACTTTGCTGACCTCAACAACTTCATTCTTAACGAGATTGCTGCTCAGAGCCAACTCTCGGAAGAGTTCCGTGTTCCTGCTTTGCAGTATCTGATTAATGCTGTCCGCTCTAAAAAGGTCAAGATCCAAAGCCTCAAGCTTGGGCCCCACATGGTCTCCACCGCCATGGCCATCATTGCTGACTACTATCGTGAAAACGAGGAGGATCTCGATGACGACGATGATGATGATATCAATGAGACTAACCCTGCCACTCTTTCTTTCCAGCTCATTGATACCATGTCCACCACTCTTCCTCCTCTCCAGGTTAATGCTCCTCTGCTTACTCAGTTTAGCGAGTATGTCAAGTCTTCTGACCCAGCTCTTGTCCGTGCTGGCTTTATGTCTCTTGCTTATGCTGCTGAGGGAGCTCCTGACTTCTTTGCTGCCCAAATCAGTGCTATTTTGCCACTTGTTGTTTTTGGTCTCCAGAACCCCAACCTTCACATCCAGTCCGCTGCTCTGTTTTGTCTCTTTTACCTTGGCTGCGAGCTCCGCGATGTTATTTCCGATGAGCATGAGACTCTCTTACCTCTTGTTTTTAACATTATTGACAATGCATCCAATATTAAGATTGGCAAGAACGCATGCCAGGCTCTTAACTCGATTCTCGAGTGCATGGACCGCAAGGTTATTACTGAAAAATACATGAGCACTCTTGTACCCAAGATGCTCCACCTCTTCACTGTCATTGATAACCTGAGCCTTAAGAGTCTTGTCATTAATGCTATTTCCTCTGCAGCTTACTCTGCTGGTAAGAACTTCTTGCCTTACTTTGAGGAGACTATGAAGATTCTTGATCCCTATATTGCTCTTGCCCATAACATTGAGTCTCTTCCTGAGGCCCAGGCTAACCTTTGTGGTACTGCTTTGGACACAACTGGCTCTATTGCTGCTTCCGTTGGCAAGGAGAAGTTCCAGCCTTTTGTGGAGCCCCTTGTGGATGCAGCTTACAAGTGCATGCAGAGCAACCACTCACGCGTCAAGGAATCTGGGTTTATTTGCGTTGGTACTTTGGCTAAGATCTATGGCCACGACTTTGCCGTGGTTGTTCCTAAGATTGTTGAGCAGATTTACAAGTGTCTCGACCAGAATGAGTTTAGCCACTTTGAGGATGACTCTGAGAATATCGGCATGGAGACTGATGAAAACGCTATTATGGAGAACCTGGATACTTCATCTGCCATTGCTATGGAGAAGGAGTATGCTACTGACACTCTTGGTGATTTGATTGAATCTGCCAAGCAGGACTTCCCTGATATCAAGCGTGCTATTTCATACTTGATTTCACAGACTCAGTACTACTTTGAGGGTCTTCGCAAGGCTTCAATTACAGCTTTGTGGCGTGCTTACTTGACCTGGGTCAGCCTCGATAATGAGGGCAAGTGGACTCCTGGTCTTCCTGCTACTGAGCACACCAATGAGATTACTGCTTACATTGCCACTGAGATCCGCAAGGATATCTTTGAGTTGCTTGAAGGTGAGGAGGATCGCGATGTTGCTATTTTGATTTGCCAGCGTCTTGCTGAAGGTCTTAAGATCATTGGTCCCAGAGTTTTGTTGAATGAGCAGAACTTGGAGATGCTTATTACCCAGATTCTTTCTATTCTGACAAAGCAGCACTGTTCCCAGACTGCATTTGAAGACGAAGTTCCTGAAGATGATGAGTTTGAGGAGAGTTCTGAATATGATGCTGTATTGATTGATGCTGCATTTGATGTTGTTGTTCAGATTGCTGCATGCTTGGGTCCTCAGTTCACTCAACTTTTCCCCAGCTTTGCTGCTCCCATTCTCAAGTTCACTAGTTCTCAGAGCGCCAATGAGCGTGCGGCTGCCATTGGCACTATTGCTGAGGTGATTAACGGCATGGGTACTGAGGTTTCTGGTTACACCAAGGATCTTCTTGAGACTCTTCTCAAGGCTCTTGGAGACCGTGACATTGAGGTTCGCAGTAATGCTGCATACGGTCTTGGTCTGTTGTGCTTTTTCTCTGAGGATGTTGATACTATTAAGGCAGCTTACCCTACTATTCTGTCTAAGCTCCAGCGTCTGCTTAAGAAGGTTGACAAGGCTACTGCCAAGTTCAAGGCTTCTGAGGGCAGCAATGAAGAAGGTGAGGAAGATAACAATGCACGATGTTTGTCGAATGCATGCGGCTGTGTTGCACGTATGATTTTGAAGCACCCTGGCAATGTTCCTGTTGCTGATGTTGTTTCTGTTCTTCTTTCTCGTCTGCCGTTGACTGATGGTCTTGAGGAAAACACTCCAGTGTTTGAGTTAATTGTTGAGCTGGTTAAGTCACAGGAGCCCACTGTGATTTCTCAGCGTGAGACTTTGGTTAAGATTCTTGCTCAGGTGTTTGAGCAGGAGGTTTCAGCTAAGGATGAGTTGACTAGTCACACCACTGGTATTCAAGATATTGAGCTTCCATTTGAGACTGATGAGATTCGTGCTAAGGTGATTGAGATGCTTAAGTTCCTTGAGACCAATCAGCCTGGTCTTGTTTCCAGTCATGCTGTTTTCTCTCAAGTTCTTGCTTAGAGGGGAGGGGGGATATTATAAGGAAGAGAGTTTAAAGGAAAGAAGGAAAAAGTTTGAATTTTGATGATTTGTTTTTAGAAGTTTTTTTTTTTTTTTTTTTTTTTTTTTTGAATTTATTTTAAAGAAACTAAAAAAAAAAAAAAAAATTAAAATAAAATAAAAAAAAAGAAAAAAAAAAGTATTATAAGGGCTTTTTTTTTTTTTTTTTTTTTTTTTTACAGATATAGTTTTTTTTCATTAATTTTTTTTTTTTTTACAGAATAATATATTTTAGAGATTTGCATTTATATGTTGATAGAGAAGTTTTTAGTAGAAGTTTTTATTTTATTTATTTATTTAGTCCAGCCATTTTGAAATAAAAAATGCCGCCTTTTATTTTTATTTTTTATTTTATTTTTTATTTTTTATTTTTTTCTATTTTGGGGGGTTGGCATTTTGAGGGGAGGAATGGATGAGAAATTAAAGTTATTGTGAAGAGTAGTGGAATTGAACAGTGCAAAACCTTAAAAAAAAAAAAAGAAAAAAAAAAGATGATTTTTTTTTTCTTAATTATTTTCTTTTCTTTTCTTTAGGTTCAATAATAATAATGATGATAATAATAATATTTAATATAGTGATTTGAGTTAGTTTATTAAATCATTGGATTATTTATTAGGAAAATACTTTTTGTTAAATAATTGAGGTAAAAGATGAATATATATATATATATTTATATAATTTTTTTAAATATTGGAAAGAGAATTGTTATCATTATTATGATGTATTTAATTAATCTAAGCGAGACATTCTCCAAAATTTTAATATATTAATATATATATTAAGACAATAAGAAGAGAGAGAAGAAGAATAAGAATATATATATATATATAATTTCATGGTAACTTTTAACCAAAAGAAGTTTAAGCGAATGGGTCATCATATGCTCATTAATGCTAATCAAAAGCTAAATCAAAAGCTAATCAATGTTCTAGCAGACTACAAACAAGTTTTTAAGAAACTCATCCCCCACTCATCATTTTTGGACTCTCTTTTAAAATTGGATACATTAATATTTAGTATCATATCCACAGTTAATAAGTTTAAGCATAAACACATGTTTATTATACTTTTTGACATTGATTAAAAAAAAAAAAAAAAAAAAAAAAAAGAAAGTAAAAGAAGGTTATTAACTATATTGTACCATGGTATTCTTTTTCTTCTTCTTCTTTATAAATGATTGGTAGGGGTTCCACATTCTACACGTCAAAAGAATATATAATAATTATAACGCCCATCAGACTCAATGAATGATGATGATGATGATGATGATGATGATGATGATTTCCAAAGCTCACATAGTCTGGAGAAAGAGAAAGAGAAAGAGAGAGAATAAAAAAAAAAAAAAAAAAAAGAAAAAAGAGAAATTAATAAGGTCTATCATCAAAAATATTTATATTGAGGAGAAGAGGGTTTAGAGAAAAAAGGGGAAAAGTAAAGTATAGATAAAAATTGGAACGGCTTTTTTTTTTTTTTTATTTCTTCTCGAGGAATTTTTATGAAAATATATTATTATAATAATAATAATAATAATAACAAAATAAACAATAGAGAGAATGTTTAATATCCATTCGATTCAACATATACAATTGATTGATATAATTGTATGAATGAATGAATGAATGACGCGACTAATTATTATAATAATAAACCGTGTGGTATGTGGTTGGTGATGATAATGATGATGATGATGATGATTGTGGGCGGTTAGCTGGAGGGGCTGGGTTGAGTCTACACTCGGACAACACCCGCCTTGATTATGATGATGATGATGATGATGATGATGATGATTATGGAAAGATTATCTATTATATACTAAGTAATAAAAGCTACTATTTTAATTTTATCCACAATAACTAAAATTTTTTTTTTTTTTTAAAAAATGGATTTTAAAATATATATATATATATTTTTTTCTATTTCACATAATATTGAATTGAAGGCTGGACTCTGTTTAGTCAAATTGTTGAATGATTGAGGAGGTTAAATTTTTTTTTTTTTTTTTTTTTTTTTTTTAGAAAGGGAGTAGTACACACAAGAACGTGCGGCTGTTTGATCGCTCAAATTAGATTTAAAGATTTCTTATTTTGGAAGTCACATGATTACTAACAATGTTAAAATAAAATAAAAATCTTTTTTTTTTTTTTTTATTTAAATTTTTTGCGTGGCGCGCCTTTAAAAATTCCCTTTTTTTTTTTTTTTTTTTTTTTTTTTTTATACCGCCTGCGCCGTGCAAGTTTCTGTTTTAGGCCATTTAAATAAATTAATGTGATGTGTTTGTGTATTTGTGTGTACAAAACTGTCAAAATAGAAAAAGAAGAAGAAGAAGAAGAAGAAGAAGAAGAAGAAGAAGAAAAATAATTTTTTTTTTTTTTTTTTTTTTTTTTTTTTTTTTTGAGCCCAGCCATTTCACTAGAGTGCAAGAAAAAGAAAAAGAAGAAGCAATTCAAAGCAACTATTTTATAAATATTAAATAAATATTTTATAAATATTAAATATTAAATATTAAATATTAAATAAATAAATATAAATACTACAGAATATCCCCAATTACTTTCACTATATTCTTACTCTTACTCTTCCCCCCCTAAATTTTTCAATTTATTTATTTATATCCATTATCAACACACATACTCTCTCAATAAATTTTTTTTTTTTTTTAATTATCTTTTTAATTTGTAGATATCCCTCGACTAAAATACATACACAAACACACTATCATCAAAAAAAAAAAAATGGTTTCTTTCAAACTCTTTTCTGGCGCTATTGCTGCTCTTTTCACTGTCGCTCTCTCAGCTTCCCCCGTTGCTGCTTCTGAAGAATGGGGATCCTTTTCCGGCCAAGTTTCTTCTGTTTCTTACATCTCCGGTACTGAATACTCACTTGTTTCTGACCTTACCATTTCTCTCAATTCTGGATGGTCTCTCGCTGATCTTCAAGGTCGTACTTCAGGACAAATTGTAAACAAAACTATTGCATATAATACTGCAGATAGCAAGTACTACGCTACGATTGGATACACTGCAACTTCCTCAAATACAACAGATTCCCAGATTTGCTTCGAACCTGTCCCTATTGCTATTTCTCTTAACCAGGAAGTTGATGGTTCTAAGCAAGGCCGTATTGTCAATGGTTATTTCTTCATTGGATGTGTCGACAAGACCAAGATTGAAGGTCTTTCTGAATCATCATCATCATCATCTTCTTCTTCTTCTATTGCCTCCACAACTTCTTTAAGCTCTGCTTCTATTTCTACCATTTCTGCTTCTGCCATTTCTTCTTCTGCCATTTCTTCTTCTGCCATTTCTTCTTCCAAGGCTTCTTCTTCTTCTGCCGCTGCTTCTTCTATTGCTTCTTCTGAGGCTAAGGAAACTACTTCTGCTAAAACTACTTCTGTTAAAGCTACTTCTGCTACTGAAACCTCAACTATTGAGACTTCTGCTGCCATTTCGTCTGGCTCTACTACCGAGAACTCTGGCTCATCTACTGAAGCCAACTCCACTGTTTCCTCGACCATTGTCCAGGCCAATGCTGGTTCCAGTCTTTGCGCTGTTTCTTCTTCTGTTGCAGCTGGTCTTTTGATTATGGCTGTTACTTTCCTTTTCTAAAACTGAAAACAGATTATTGACAAATTTAACAATTTTCTTTTAAAAAAAAAAAAAAAACGCTCAATTGGGTTTTGTTTTAAAATCAACAAATTTTTTTTTTTTTTTCTCTTTGAGGGGAAGTCAAAAGAGGTTTATGCTGGATATTAATATTTCGCATAATAATAATAATAATGACAAAACCTCATTCATAACTTCACCACCACCAACCCTCCCCCCCTAAAAAACTATAACCACCCATCACGACACTCCTTAGATACCCTATTTTTTTTTTTTTTTTTTTGTCTTCTTTTTTAAAAAAAAAAAATTCTTTTTACGATTTTCACGACTTCTTTTGGTTAAATTTGCTTTTATTAAAAAAAAAAAATCATTGTTATTATCATTATATTATATTTAATTTCTAGTTTCTTTTCTCATGTGTATTGTATTTTAGCTTTCTTTTTATTTTAGATATATATAAATATAAATATAAATAAAATAAATTTATATCTTTTCTTTCAAAGTCTCTTTTATGATTTGAGTTTAACGGTTTCAATTTCAAATTTCTTAATGATGATGATAATGACCCAAGTTTTTTTTTAAAAAAAAAAAAATAAAAATAAATGCTCTTTAACCTTATATACATTCATTGACTTTTATTTATTTATTTATTTATTTATTTTTTTCTTCTTCTTTTTTTCTTCATAATCTTCATTCGTGCACAGACTTGTAAATGATGATAATAAGTATTTGATTTTTCTCATTTTTTTTTAATTTTTAATTTTTATTTTTATTTTTCAATCCTTCATTCATTTCACCCCTCCTCCTTCTCCTCCCCCCTTTTTCATGTCCATTCTTTTTGGTCTACACTAAACCTCCTGTCTTATTATTATTATTATTATTATTATTATTATTATTATTATTATTATTATTATTATTATTATTATTATTATTATTATTATTATTATTATTATTATTATTATTATTATTATTATTATTATTATTATTATTATTATTATTATTATTATTATTATTACTATATACATATACATATTCACTTTCTTTCTTTCTTTCTTTAAAAATTTCCTGTTTAAGTCAAATGCCTATTTAACAATAGATATGAAAAAAAAAAATCGAAAAAAATCAAATATGTATATGTATATAATAATAATAATAATAATAATAATAATAATAATAATAATAATAATAATAATAATAATAATAATAATAATAATAATAATAATAATAATAATAATAATAATAATAATAATAATAATAATAATAATAATAATAATAATAATAATTTTTTTTGATGATGAAAAAAAAAATAAAAAAAAAAATTCATGCACGGCAAGACTTAAAAAAAAAAAAAAAAAAAAAAAAAAATCAAATATTTTTTTTGAACATTTTTTTTTTTCTATATATGGAATGTCCAGTTTATATATATATATATATATATATATATATATGAATTGAACAATTTATTCTTTTTTTTTTATTAATTTATTTTTTTTTTATTAATTTATTTATTTATTTTTTTGACAGATTTTTAAATCTTTAAATTGAAGGATTTGATGTTGTCATATATATAAAAAATATATCAATCTCTAAAACAATTTATTATTTCTTTCTACCATCCAATTCCAATATTAATATATAAACACACAAAGCTTCTTTGTTAAACTATATCTGTACACTTTAATCAAGACCTTGATTTTTCTTTTAAAAATTTATTTTAAACATGCCCATAATCATAATTATTATAATAATAATAAACATCTTTTAAACTCTCCAAAAATTATGTAGATTCATATCAATCGAATCTTTCCTCTTTAAAAAATTCTTATAAACCCTTATATATATATATACTTTTTTTTTCTCTTTTATTCAAATTACTCATTAAAACTATTACAAATTTAAACTCACACACAAAAAAAAAAAAAAATACAAATACTCTTTAACAATAAATAATCTCATTAGTTAAACTTCAACACCTGCAATGGACTCCTTCTCTGCAGCCTCTAACTTCTTCTCATTCTCAGCCTTCCATCCTTTTCTGCGCTGACGCTCCTCATACTCTTCTCGGTGACTCAGCACCCGCTCCACAATCGTCGCTGATGACACTCGCTGATACGGGTGGCTCTCCACTTGCTCAAAAATCCCAGCGGCCTTTGCATCCTTGTAAGGATCATCTTCCTCATCATCTGCAGCCTCACCATTCTGAGTTTCAATTGGAGTGGGACCATGAAGCACCTTGGTCACCTTGATTTCTGGACCAATTGCTGCTAAAAACTTAGCAGAGGGAACAAATGGAGCACCCAAAATTACAGCGTCAACATACCGACACTGCAACACACACAATGCCCTTTCAAACAAATTCATAATTGGATAACTCTTACCCTTGGTGCTATTGACCGTAGCATCGTCATGGATCCCTACAACCACAATGGCCCCAGCTGCCTTAGCACGCGCATGTACAACTTTGAGAAACTCAATATGGCCCATGAAAAACAAATCAAACCCACCATCAACGTAGTACACTTGTCCCGCACTTTGAAGCTTCAATGCAATTTCTGATGATGGCTCAATCACCTGCGTCAATTTGTTGTCTCCACGCCACACAAATACTCCTGCCCCAGCACTCTTACCATCAGCAGCAGTAGCATACAATCGGAACCGCTCAAGCGAATCATCTGAAAACAAATGATGGCCAGCATTGGCAGTCTTCAGATCACCTAACGAGGTTGTTTCCGTAGAAACAATGGGTGCAATGTGGTGACTTGTGGAAGTGCTCAACATACGGCCAACAAGATCAGTAGTTGAAATGTTGGGAGTCCGCTTAACCACTAAAAATCGGCCACAATCTTTAACCACCTGATAACAGTCATTGCCATCAGCATCTGTCGTAATATCATCACCGTGAACAACATAGCGGCACCCATAATCGTCCATAACTTTGGGGTCGGTCACGTAGGGGGCTCCGGCCACAGATGCAGTGCTCCACTTGCATGCATCCACAGCGGCCACGCGTTCATTTAAACTCATTACCACGGGGCCCTTATTCAATCCAATGGCCTCGTCACTATGTACGCCCACAAAAAGTTCTGTTCCCAATTGACGAGCTTGCAACATGGCGCCAGCGTGGCCTAAGAATTTATCAAATATTGTGTTAGGTAAACCCAACAATGTTTGTATTTTTTTTTTTTTTGCACGTGCAAAACAAGAAATTAACTCACCATGATGTGCAAAATCAAAGCAGCCGTCGATCCAGATCCTGTCGTCACGTAAGGAGCTATCGCTAGTAGTCATTTTTTTATCAAAGATTTCGGGAAATTTAGTATAGAAAAAAAAAAAAAAGGGGGGTTATCAACTAGTCTATATGTGTAAAGTTGAAAGATTGAATAATGGGTCGTATTGACTATTTTTTATTTTTTTTTTGGGTGGGAAGGTAGGGGGGAGAAAAAAGAAGAAGAAGAGATGTGTGGGAAGCAGCGCTGCATTTTTCGCCATATATTTGAACAATCGCTTACATAACAAAATACCGTAATAACCAAGAACCTTTCAAATCAATATCGAGATGCACCCGGTACCGCACGGCTTTTCAATATCTCGGGTTTTCCTCCACCGGAACTCTTCCACTTTACAATTACAAACACACACTATAATAATTGCAATAATAAATTCATATCGTAACTCTATATCTTTTCCTAATAGTTTCCTGCCCGCTTGGAGTTCTTTTCCTGCTGCTTCTGGTTCTTCTTCACCAACTTCTTTCTCTCTTGACGGTTGAGAGCTCTTGGATCCGCAAACTCAGACTCTGGATCCTCTGGCTTATCGGGAATTTCCACCAGCCACTGGTTGTCAAGCTTCTTGTTGATACCACCATAACCCCACTTGGGAACCCACTCACCACTTTCCTCATCGTACACAAGTTTGCCATCCTTGGCCTTCTTCTTGATACCCTTCTCAGCAGCAAATCGTTCCCATTTGGTCTTGGCCTTCTCCTTTGGCAGTGACTTCTCACGCGGCAGCTGTGTGGTAGGTGCAGGAAGAGTAAACAATGTCATCGTGCTATCCTGTGTTCCAGAAGAGCTCACAGAGTTGGTTGTCTTCTTTATCGGCAGCTGGAGCAACTGTCCAACTAACAGCTGGATATTGTCACGCGCAACTTCAGTAAGGTATTCTTCCTTGGTCGCAGCATCAGCAAGCTTACTGGAATCAAGAGGATTGGTATCAAACACGGCCATATTGCCAAAGTCATACTCCACGGGGATTGGCTTGTCAACCTTAGATGTTCTATATCAACCAGCAGTTAGAATAAAACTATGATATTTTCTCTTTAAAAAAAAATAAAAAAAAATAAAAAAAAATAAAAAAAAAAAGAAAGTACTTACTTTAATGGCTGCTCTGTAGAAGTCATTTTATGTTGATTAGAAAAAATGGGATTTTATATATATATAAATATTTATGGTATATATTGAATTTTTCAGTTGATCATTCAAATACAATCTGATGGCGGACCCAAAAAATTTTTATTTTTATTTTTTTTTTTATTTTGGGTTTTTTGGCCAGAAAAAAAAAAAAAAAAAAAAAAATCTAGCCGTAGTGTTACTAATCAGGGTTAGGAAAGTCACATGATATTTATTGAAAAACATTGGATTTTGATGACTTGAATTCCCCCCCCAAAAAAGAAAAATCCACTTTTTTTTTTTGTCAAACCTTTTTTTTTTTTTTTTTGTCAACCTTCTAAACATCAACAACATCAACGTTACCAAATACATACAAAAAAAAGAAAAAAACAAACCCATCCAAAATCATCACCTCTATATATCACATAACAAACTTCATAAGCTAGAATGGCTAGCAACCCTTCTCAGATCGACGGTCTTGCAGAGCGTCTAGGTGATGAGAGTCTAGGTATGCCTTTTTTTTTTTTGAAAATAAGCCAAAAAGACGCGTTAAAAAAACACATATACTAACTTGAACTCACCTTTAGACTTAAAAACAAGACTTCAAATCACTAGTGAGATTCGAGAGTTTATCGAATCTTCGCAGTACCTTGCTGAAACAAACAGTTCATTTACTAAAATTGGATCTTCAATTCTTTCAATCATCGAACACATCCCCCCAAATTTCAATAGCACCTCTCTCGAACATGTACGTATTGTCCCTCCCCCCATTTTTTTTATTACCATCATTTGACTAACAAAAAAATTACAGCGACTGAGAAATGCAGCTTTAGATCTTCTTCATCGCTTATGGGCTAATGAGGGCCTTAGGGAATTTGTTCCGCGTATCATAGAGGATCTCATGAAACTCCTCTATAATGACAATGAAGAAAACGGCGTAATCTGTACTAAAATCCTTACAGGCTTATACCGTAGTTTAAAGGATTTAACACCCGACCAAATCAAACCATTTTTAGACTTTGTTATCGAGCTTTACAAAAATACCCCACAAGTGGTCAAAGAAACTTTCACCCTAAACGCCGTCCCATCTGCAGGAAATACTCCAATCTCTTCTTTCCAATCTCCTCGACCACTTTCACCATCAACAGGGGCAGATCTCGTCAATGAGACTTCAAACAAACAACTCCTTAAATGTCTATACAGCTTTAAAGTTCTCATAGAATGCCCAATCATGGTCGTGGTACTCATCAACAAGTATAATGAGCTTGTTGTGGAATCTCTTACTAAACTCCTTCCTCAAATCATTGAGGTTTTAAAACTTCAGGCTTCCCCCCAAGCTCGCGCACACGCTGCCGCTCAAGCCCGTGGCGAACTCTACACTTCCATTTCTCCTCAAATTAAAAACCGTGCTGCTTATGGCGATTTCATTACAGCCCAAGTCAAAACAATGTCTTTCATTTCTTACATTCTCCGCCATTTCCCCAATTATCTTAAAGATTACCGTCCTCTTTTACCTGACTTTATTGTCAGATTATTACAAGACTGTCCCTGTGAACTTTCTCCAGCACGCAAAGAACTTCTTGTTGCTACTCGTCACATGCTTTCAGTCGAAGGAAGAGATGCCTTTATTCCCAAAATCGATGTTCTTCTCGATGAAGATGTCCTTATTGGCAGAGGGCTTACAGCTCGTGAAACTCTAAGACCTTTGGCTTATAGTAATATTGCTGATTTGGTCCACCATGTTCGTGCAGAGCTTAGTCCTAGCCAGGTTTGGAAAACTGTCCATGTTTATTGCAAAAATATTCAGGATGTCACATTACCTACAAGTGTTCAAATAATGAGTGCAAAACTTCTCACAAACCTCGTTGAGCGCTTTATGAAAATGCCCGATAAGGCAGAAGGACGTCAAATCATGTTTATCATTTTAAATGCTTTTGTTCAAAGGTTCACTACACTCAACAAAAGCTATGATCATATTATGAAGAGCCATCAGCGATTTCTCGACAGGGAAAAGAAAAACCAAGAGGAGCTTCAAGAAAAATACTCTGCTGACATTGAAGTCAAACTCGACAAGCCATGCACAACTTATCTTCAAGAACTTGCAGAATCCAAAAATATCAAGAATGAATCCAGCCAAGAAATCAAAAATGAAATTAACCTTAAAGAAGATAAACCCCAAGAGCCTGTTTTAATTGACCCCATGGATATCGATATTTTTGACGCCCTGAATGAAAAACCAATCCAAATTCATCAAGAGCAAAACATTGACGAGCTTAAAGAAGCTCGTAACCTCTTTAAAAACTTTATGAAGTTTCTCAAGATTGTCATTTATGGCTTAAAATCTTGTAACCCTCCTCCTCCAAACTCTGAGATTCCTATCGACCAATGGACTGAATCTGCTAGAATTTTCAACTTTGAACAAATTACAATTTTCCGCAATCTTTTTAGACAAGGCATTGCTGGCTACCGGTTTTTTGCTTCAACCCATAATGGTGATAATTCTAAAAATTCAGACATGGATATCCAAGCCTCGGAAGACGAAAAGGTACTCATGGAAACTTTTTTAGTTGTTTTCATCCACATTGACTCTGACTCATTTAACGAAATTGTCGACGCTGAGCTTCCCTTTTTGTACGAGTCTCTCTTTGCCAATCCTACCCTCCTCCATATTCCTAGATATTTCCTTGTCAATGATGGTAGTTCGGCCAATTTCACTGGAATCCTTATCAATTTCTTAAAAAAGAAACTACCTGAGCTTGGTAGTGGTGATCCAGTGAAGGCAAATATTCTTCTTAAACTTTTCAAGCTCTGCTTTATGGCTGTCAACTTATACTCACAAACAAACGAAGCTATTTTACTCCCCCATTTAAACAATTTGATTGTCAGTTGTTTAGAACTAACTACAACAGCAAAGGATCCTATTGTTTACTTCCATGTTCTAAGAACTCTTTTCCGCTCCATTGGTGGCCAAAAGTTTGAAAAACTTCATCAAGAAGTTATTCCCTTGCTTCAGCTATTACTGGCCTCTCTCAATAATCTTCTTACTACTGCTCGCAAGCCACAAGAACGTGAAATTTACGTCGAACTGTGTCTTTCGGTCCCCGTCCGATTAACTATTCTTGTTCCACATCTCAGCTATCTCATGAGACCACTTGTCATTGCACTAAATGGGGGATCAGAGCTTGTCGGACAAGGTTTGCGTACGTTTGAATTATGCGTTGACAATCTTACAGCAGAATATTTTGATCCCATCTTGGAGCCCGTTGTTGCAGACATTATGCAAGCTCTCTTTAAGCATCTTAAACCCACACCTCACAACCATCAGCACAGTCACATTTGCTTAAGAATTTTGGGGAAACTTGGTGGCAGAAACCGCAAGTACATTCAATCTCCCACTGACTTGGAGAATCTTTCTCTTCTTCAACAAGAAGTCGGCGTTATGCTTGATATTAATGGGTTGATAGAAAAGAAGCCTCTTAAAATTACACCTGCTATTCAATACGCACTCATTACTCTCGAGGATACAAAAACTCAACTTCATTACCGCGTTCAAGCTTACAAGTATTTGTCTACTGCTCTCAAACTTATGATTGACACAACTGCTCCTTCTCATGAATATATTGAAAAGATTCACAATTGTGTTGAAATCATAAAGTCTAATGATCCTTTCCCTGAATCGGAAACCACTCTAGGCACAAACCATCGTGCTGATACTAAGGCACGACGACTTCAAAACGAATTGTTTGAGCGTTTGTTGCAGTCCATTTTTTATGCTACTTCGGTTCCTGAAATTCATGACGAAGCCCTTCAATTGATTACAGAAATCTGCGAACACTGTGTGTTGCTGGAGCTTGGTGAACTCATGATTGAAAAGAGAAAGGGAAGTATCCAACTTAAGATTGATGATCATGAAGGTGCTCAGTGTCTTGATCCCAAAGCTCTTCTTGGCGCCATTGTTTACGCCCTTTGCCATTACCTACCGGAAATTTCTGCTTCTGGTCAAAAGGCAATCCATTTTGTCTTTGAGGCTGGCATGGCCCTTTTCCGAAGCCCAGAATATGTCCACCGGTTCCCCATGTTTAAGACCTTTTTTGGAAAGCTTTCTCATACCTGCTTTGAGGAACAATACTTTCGCAAGGCTGGTGCTTGTCTTGGGTTAAAAACTTTGATCAAGGATCTTGGTCTCTCCATGTCTTGGATCAAGGATAGACAGCTTGAGTTTGTTCGTACAATGTTTTTCGTACTCAAGGACATTCCAAATGATGTACCTTCTCATGTCCGCACTGAAGCTAAATCTCTGCTTTTGTACGTGCTTGAAGAATGCAACAAGGACATTACAGAAGCACAGCGTTTTGAAAAACCATACACTCAACTCACTGGTCTTCTTGCATACCAGCTTGCAAACTCTAATGAGGTTGTTCGTGAAACTTCCCAAGAAGCGCTTTCAGTGCTTTCCAAAGTCACTGGCAAAACAATTTCTCAAATCATTTCTCCAGTGGAAAATGTTTTGCTTCCACCCATCTTCACCAAGCCTTTGCGTGCTCTTCCCTTCCCTATGCAAATTGGACACATTGATGCCATTACATTTTGCCTTGGTCTGCCGGATACATTTTTAAAATTCAATAGCGAACTCGACCGTTTGATGCAAGAATCTCTTGCTCTTGTCGAGGCTGATGACAATTCGCTGGCGAGTGCTCATAAAGCCAAGGAACATCGTACTGCCGAGTCTATTGTTCAGCTTAGAATCGGAAGCATCAAACTTTTGTCTCTTGCTCTTACTCTTCCACAGTACGAGGTTATCCAACAGAGTCAACGACGCTCTAAAATCATGTCTGTATTTTTCAAAACACTCTACATTCGCTCCAAAAAGGTTGTTGATGCCGCTCATACAGGTTTACGTATTGCCACACACAATAACCGTTTGCCAAAAGATATTCTTTCTAATGGTTTAAGACCTATTCTTGTTAGTCTTTCTGACCCATCCAGGCTTTCTATTGAAGGCCTTGAAGGCCTGGCTCGACTTCTTGAGGCTCTCACAACCTACTTCAAGGTTGAAATTGGCAACAAGCTGCTAGATCACCTAAAGTATTGGGCTGATCCCAATACTTTGCAGCAATTCCCCAGCAAACCATTTGCAGCTGACAAAAACATTAAAATAATTACTGCAATTTTAAATGTTTTCCATCTTTTACCTACTGGTGCCGATATCTTTATGGAACCGCTGGTCCATACACTTTTCGTATTGGAAAATACTTTGCGACGACAACACAGCTCTCCATTCAGAGAGCCCATTGCCAAATTTTTGAACAGATATAGTGCCCAGTCTTTTAAGTACTTTTTGGAAAAGCTTAGTTCTCGCCAACACGGTCGTCTTTTCTCTTGTATGCTCCAAATGGACATGACTGAGGACTTGCGCAAGTACTGCAAAGAACATCTTGAAGAGCTGACTAAAGCTTGGAAGGAAAAGAAAGACCCTGAAGAGTTTGTGGTTGCTACGTGCAATTTCATTTATGCCATTCGGTCTTTGACTGATCGCGATTCTGACTGGATTGTTTCTTGCAAAGATGTGCTTTCTGAACTTTTCAATTTGCATGATGTGGCACAAACTACAAAGTCGCTGTCGCATCTTTCCCCTGTTCCTCTCCAGGTAGACCAAGCTATTGAAGACCTTCAATACGTTGTTTCCATATACCTGCAAAAAACACATGATTTTGACATTCTTGTCAAGTGTATTTCTTCTGTTCACAACATTGATCACAAGGTCACTCCTGATATACAGAACTTTGTCTTTACCAGCATCATTTCTGGGAAAGACATGTCGATTCGACGCAATGGTTTGCTGAAGGCTCTTGAGGCTGGTACCAACAAGACTTCCAATCTTGCTGCGCGCACGTTCTTTTTCAAGAATATTATTAATCCTACGCTGGCGTTTGAGGGAAAAGTCAAGGGTAATCTTAACGACTTGCTTGAAAAGCCATCCAGCAATCCATCTCCATATAACTTGGTTGATCAGATTCACGAAAAAATTTGGAAGTCTTCTGGAACAGACCAAAACGAAGATGGTGCTACCACAACCATTGATTCTTATCGATTTGAGCTTCTCAATGTATCCGCATTGCTCATCAAACTTGGCTCTGGCATCATTTCCGACGCCAAGAAGGACATTATCAAGTTTGGATGGAGTTATATCAAAATGGAAGACATTGTCAGCAAACAGTCAGCTTATGTTTTGATTGCTTACTTTATTGCAGCTTATGAAACACTCTCCAAAATGGTTGTACAAATCTACATTCATCTTCTTCGTTACAACCAAAACGAAGCTAGAGTTTTGGTTCGTCAAGCTTTGGATCTTTTGGCACCTGTGCTGAAAGAACGAACTGGTTCACCAGTCTGGGCTAAGTGGCCACGACGCGTTATTACGGAGGATAGCATTAATGTTAATCATACATCCAATATTTACTATTTTATTGTGCGTCACCCCAAGCTCTTTTTTGAGTATCGCGATCACTTTGTTTCATCCATCATTTTTGCCATGCCTAAACTTAGCATGTCTAACAGCTCCAATACTGATACTGTGAATTTAGCAATTGACTTGGCAGATTTGATTTTGACATGGGAAACTATGGCCAAAGAGCAGGAGCCTGTTTCTCGAAAGAGAAGCTTGGCTCAGTCTGAAAACGACACATCGGAAGCTTCAGATAACCCATTGCATAATTACACCATCCCCTCATATCAGCGCGAAGCTTGCATTACTTTTTTGGTTCGCTTCATTTGTGCAAATAACCAGCGTATTACGGAGATTGATATTGGTAAAAAGGTTGTTGGTATTCTTTATCGTCTTTTGGGCCCCGGTTACTGGCCAGAAATTGTTAAGCTGCAATTATTTGACAAGTATTTAGCTTCTGCAGACTTCTCCAATTCTAAGACAGTCTCTCTTTCACTTAACTCTTTACTTGTCATTGGCATCACTGTTGCCCGCAAGCCGCCTAGTTGGATTATCAATAATATCAGCCAGCTCCATGGACTTTTGCAGAAGCCTTTAAAGTGTGATAATATTGATATTCTCGAAGCATCTTTGAATGTAGTTGTCATCATTCTTGATGCTATTGGTGCCGATCACACTAATGAGGAAGACGATACACCGGCAGTGGTTGAGTTTGTCAATCTCATCAACAATACCATCCAAGAAAACTTTTCTTCTAACAACTCTATTGCTTGTGCAATCATGCTTTCTTGGGCTCTGGTTCGTTTCCGCCCAGCAAAGGTTGACCCTCTTCTTCCTGCCATTATGAAGGTTTTTGTTAAGCTTTCTCGTGAACATACTGATGCAACTGTCGAGGGACAAGCGGCTAATCTAACTATGTCTTACCCGCAAAAGATTATCACCAAACTCATTCTTATGATTCTTGACATTGGCTCTGTACGCATTTCATTTTTGAATGATCAACGCAGATACTATCTAAATGTTTACGTTCACCTCATTGACCGGTCTTCAGATAAAAGTGTTGGTTTGCGCACCATTGAAATTGCACGCAATTGGGTCTTTTCAACAACAGATCTTTTCCCACCGATGAAGGAAAAGACTTTCATTTTATCAAAGATGCTTGCTTTTGAAATTCGCGGTGATCAGGAACTTTCCAAAAAGTTTTTTGAGGTTCTCATTGATATTTACACTGACCCACGTACTTCTCGGTCTGACTTGTCTTTGAAAATGGAAAAATCATTTATGATGGGAACTAAGGCGGCTGATATTCAAATTCGTCAAAAGCTTATGAAGATTCTGAATGATAGCCTGGACAATAATGCCATCAAACGGTTGAACTATGTCATTGGTGGCCAGAACTGGGAGCACCTTCAGGATTACCAGTGGACTAACCAGGCATTGCAGATTCTTTACAAGGGTCTTGGGCCTGCTCCTCTGCGCCTCCGTTCGTCAGACTTTACCACTGGCAGCTTGGACCTTGTGTTAGAAGCTCTTCCGAAAACTTACACAAGACCAGATCCTTCTCTTTATGCCACCACTACTGATTTTGTAAAGCGTCGCATTGAGTTTGTAAATAACATTTCTAAAATCACTGCTGATGAATTTTTCGCTCCTATTGTTGAGCTTCAATACAAGTCACCAGAACTTGTACACCAAATGTGGGTTAACCTTTTCCCTCAAATCCATTCTGGTATTCCTAAGAAGGACCGCATTGAGTTTGTTCGATCTATCACAAACTTGCTATCGAAGGATTACCACATGCGTCAATCGGAAATGACACCTAATGTCATTCTCACTCTGCTTGATGGTGTGAGTCATTGCGAACAGCTCCAAATTTCTCCACTTCTAGTCAAGTACCTTGGAAAAACGTACAATGCCTGGTACCCCTCCATCCAAATATTGGAGAACATTTCAAGTAAGCCGCTGACTGAAAATTTCAAAATTAGTCAGGTCAACTTGGATGCATTAATTGAGATGTATGCCGGCCTACAGGAGGATGACATGTTTTATGGCCAATGGCGACGACGCTCCAAGTATACGGAAACCAACACTGCGTTGTCATATGAGCAGGCTGGTCTCTGGAGCCGTGCCATCCAAATGTACGAGAATGCCCAAATCAAAGCAAGAAGTGGTGCTCTTCCTTATAATGAGTCTGAGTACAGTCTTTGGGAGGACCACTGGATTATTTGTGCTCAAAAACTTCAACAGTGGGATATTTTGGTCGAGCTTGCCAAACATGAAGGATTTACCGATTTGTTATTAGAATGTGGTTGGCGCGCTGCTGATTGGACTGCCGACAAGGAGCCCTTGGAGCAGTCTATCAAGGCTGTTATGGATGTGCCTACGCCTAGACGCCAGGTCTTTGAGACCTTTTTGTACTTGCAAGGGTACGCCAATGACACTGAAAAGCCTCAGGAAGTTTACAAGTATTGTGATGAAGGAATTCAGCTTGCGCTACGCAAATGGAGCTCTTTACCCTCCCGTCTTACTGGCGCCCATATTCCCCTTTTGCATATTTTCCAGCAATATGTTGAGTTTTTAGAAGCCAGTCAGGTGTATTCATCCCTCCATAAAACGGATGCTGTTAATCTTGATTCCAGATCCTCTGAACTTAAGGGTGTCTTGAAAGCCTGGAGAGAGCGACTCCCTAACTTGTGGGATGATATTGATCTCTGGGGTGATTTGGTTACCTGGAGAAAGCATGCTTTTAACGTTATCAACAAGACGTATGATCCTCTTATTCGCAAGCTCCCCCAGCCCAATAGCAACTCAAACTCATATGCTTATAGAGGCTACCACGAAACTGCATGGATTATCAATCGGTTTGCCCATGTTGCTCGAAAGCATGGAATGCTTGATGTGTGCTTGGCCCAGCTCAATATTATTTACAATCTTCCAAATATTGAGATTCAAGAGGCTTTCCTTAAGCTGCGTGAGCAGGCCAAGTGTTACTACAAAAATCCAAACGAATACCAAACCGGTTTGGACGTCATCAACAACACCAACTTGGCATACTTTACCAACGTCCAAAAGGCTGAGTTCCTTACTCTTAAAGGAATGTTTTTTGCTAAGCTCAACCGTGAATCAGAGGCACAGAGTTCATTTTCTTCTGCAGTCCAGGTCGATCTTTATCTTCCAAAAGCTTGGGCTGAGTGGGGATATTTCCATGATCGCATTTACCAAAAGAAGCCTCAAGATATTAAGCGTGCAAGCTCTGCTCTGCATTCGTACTTGCAGGCTGCTGGTTTATATAAGAATGGCAAAACCAGAAAACTTCTCAGTCGTATTCTTTGGCTTATTTCTATTGAGGATGATACGGGTGAAATTGCATCCGCCTTTGAAAACTACAAGGGTGAGGTACCAGTTTGGTACTGGATTACCTTCATTCCTCAGCTGCTCACTGCACTGTCTCATAAGGAAGGCAAATTTGCACACAAGATTCTTATTCGCATTGCTCGAGCATATCCCCAGGCTCTTCACTTCCATCTGCGAACAGCCAAGGAAGACTTCCACTACATTCAACGTCAAGCTCTTCATGCTCAAAATGTTCGCGCTGGAGGACGCAATGGCACTCCTACTAATCCCCAAGTTGCTGCTGCAGCGGCTAACATGCGCCGCCAACCTGGATCTCCCAATGGCGCTGTCAATGGTGTTTACCAACCTTGGGACTACACTGAGGAGATTATGAAGATTTTGAAGACTGCATATCCCCTTCTTTCTTTATCCTTGGAGACTCTTGTTGATCAGATCTTCCAAAGATTTAAGTGCTCTAATGAGGAAGACACTTACCGCTTAGTCATGGCTCTTCTTAACGAATGCGTTCAGTTTATGGGACGTCTTAATTTTCAGATGGAGCGACCGTTCCCTACTGAGGCCAACCTTGCCAAGTTTTCTGAAAACACGGTCCCTGACTATGCCAAGGCCGCTTTTGAAAAGGACTTTTTGAAAGAAAAGCCAGAGTTTGATCTCTACCTTGCTCGTCTTCGAAAATGGAGAGACAGAATTGAAGAGATTTTGGATCGTCGTCCTGGTGCTATGAATCTGGAAGCATTGAGTCCTCATTTGAGTGAATTCCACTACCAAAAGTTTGAGGATGTTGAAGTTCCCGGACAGTACTCAGAGCTTAAGGATGAAAACTTGCACTTTGTCAAGATTGATCGCTTTATGCCTACTGTTGATCTGGTTCGTGGATTTGGCCAGTCATACAAACGTATCAAGATTTTGGGCCATAATGGTAACATTCACATGTTTGCTGTTCAATACCCGAGTGGTAAACAATGCCGACGTGAAGAGCGTGTGGTGCAATTGTTTAAAATACTCAATGGTATTTTGACACGTAAGAAGGAAACTCGCCGCAGAAACATTAACTTTACTCTGCCTACTGCAATCCCCTTCTCTCCCCACTTTAGAATCATTCAAGATGATCCTGAATACATTTCTATGCACTCTATCTATGAGGAACATTGCAGAAGGGTGGGACGCAGTAGAGATGAGCCTCTTGACTATGCCACCAAAAAGCTCCGTGGATCCTATGACCCTAAGCTTCCTAAGCAACAAGATATCTTTAGTATTAGGATGGAGATTTTGGGTGCAATTCAAGCCACCATTGTTCCTTCTACCATTTTGCGCGATTACTTTTCGCGCACTTATGCTACGTTTGAAATGTTTTGGCTTTTCCGTAAGCAGTTCTCTTACCAGTTTGCAGGCGTTACTTTCATGACATTTTTGATGAGTATTGGTAACAGATACCCTCACAAGTATTTCATCAACACTAGCTCAGGTGCTATTTGGACGACAGAAATGCTTCCATTGCTTACCCCTAGAAACCCACCACAGTTCCATAACCCAGAGCACATTCCCTTCAGACTAACACCTAATATCCAAACCCTTATGGGCCCCACTGCTTTGGAAGGTATCTTTTCCGTGTCTGTAATGGTGATTGCCAAGTGTCTTACAGAGACTGCCCACGAGCTTGATCAATACATTAGCGTTTTTGTGCGCGAGGAGCTTATATCATGGCATGTCCAACAACAGCGCCCTAGCCTACCTGATGCTCAGCTCAGAGAGTTTACTGTCAAGAATGTGGGCCATATTGGGAAACGTGCCTCCTCTTTGGCACAGGTTGGCCAGGGCAACATTCCCGCAAATCAGACTGTGATTGATTTGATCTCCCAGGCTGTGAATCCAAGATTTATGGTTGCCACTGATAACCTCTGGATGCCATACTTTTAATATTTGTTGTTTTATTTATTCGTTTATTTGTTGTTTTTGTTGTTTTATTTTTTTTTTTGTAATATAACTTGTTTTCTATAAAAAATAATTGAATATTAAAATGTATTTCTTTTAAAAAGTTTATAGTTTGCTTACTTGCAAGTCTACATAATATCACATCTAATAATAAAGCTTGCATTACATGCGCATGTAATTTTTTAGTACATGCCCTGTAAAAAGTAACCAAAAAACCCGCTAACAGCTGAAGGGTCGGACTTTGCAAATGTAATAAGTGTTGCCAAGCTAATTGAAAACAAGGCCGAATCCAATTTCATTTTGTTAGAACCCAAATCAGTTGGGAGCAAAATGCTTGTAGCTTTTGCAAAGACTATTTTCACGAGTTAAAAAAACAAAGAAAGATTTCAAGTCAAATAATTGACGGGGTACTTACCAAATAGAGCCAGCTCAGTACGTCTTTTAACCTCTTCAAACATAATACTAAATCCGCACAAAAAGCTACCAAGTGCCGGGCCCCAAGTATCGTCTAGTTGTTGAGCCGTTGCATTAGGAAATAGTTTAGGACCAATACGGGTACGAACAAGACACACCGAATACCAATTAAGTGCAATGAATGAGGCAAGAAAAGCAGAAGATCGAATAGTCCGTTTAATGATTCCCAGAATCTTGGGTAGTAATTTCTCCTTTTGACGAAGGGAAAGAAAAATATTCAGGGGAAGATAAACCTAGCATTGTAATCAAAGTTAGTGTGCTTCGGTGACAATCAAAACACCAAAAAAGTATAATATTCCTTACCATTGACGCTGTTTTCATTCCTCGATAAAATCTCCAAAGAGCATGCTTTTCACAGCTCTCAAACGAATTTGCATGCACTAGTCGGCAGGGGATTGGGACTGTCTTTCAAAGTTGTTAGCATTAAACATACATGCCAATAAACTTCCACTCATACCTTGGCTGTATTTCCAGACTCCTTTGGTAGTCCATATTTGACTGAGATTGTTTCAAGCATAGAGGAATGCGCACCATTTTCTCCATAAATGAGTTCCTTTGTTCTAATATATCTGAGAGCATCAACTAAATCATCGTCCATATTTGCCATCTTGGTAATCCATTGTCTATATTTCTGTTGCATTTTCGAAGGCACAAAGAACCAGCTGAACATAATGACAAAACAACTAAGTGTAAACTGAGCAGCATCGTAAAACCTTAAGGTCGACTGTGAAACTTTAGCATGACTCTTTAGTATTTTTCTTATAATGGTATCCAGTGCTCTAGATAGAACAAGAGCAGTGACTTCTGAAGAAATATTTTCAAGTCTGGATTTGGCAATAGATAAAGTTGGACTCCTTTTTATTACTGCTTTGATGTAGAGATGATGGGCATAATAGGAAGACACCAATCCCGAGGTAAAAATCGTCACAAGTCGGGAAGCCTTTCCAAGTTTATGAGCAGGTATCATTACCGCGGTAAAAAGACGAGTAATAACATATTCCGAAAGTGGGTAAAAGACAATAAGCCGAACAAACAACTGAGGCAGTTTATCGGACTCGAGACTCCGCAACAATGAGTATTTGATTCTGTTCAAAATCTCAAGAGTGGATTCTTTTTTATTAATTCCACGAGTGACATCTCCTATAATTCGCGACACAGCAACATAGGCATATGTAAATAAAAAAGCTTTCTGAGCCCTGTCGTGTAAAAAAAAAAAAAAAAAAAAAAGAAAAGGGGGGAGAAAAAAAGTCAGCACAGCTGTAGATAAGAAACAGGGGAACCCAATAATAATAAGCTTACTTTGATACGGTCGGAGTTTTTGAAATATTAGAAAGTAAAGCCAGAAGCGAATTAAGTCGAACTTTCGAATGCAAATGCTGCTGGATAGTGCTCATTGGTGATGAGAAAACTATATTGCAATAATTATTGAGCTTTTGGTTAATTGCGGATCATTCACTGGAGAATCTCCATGTAAGTTAAACTTGTAAGACTACCCCTAGTTTTATTTTTTCTGCTTTATATATAAAATAGAACAAAGTTATTTCCCACCCCCCTTTGGTTATCCTTTAAACAAAAGATCCCGGCTTCTAATGCTTATTATTTCTGATAAGTTGATAAGCCTAACAATATAAAGAAAAAAAAAGGGGGTAATGTAAGCTTGGAGACAAGGATTTGAACTTTTTTTGGTATGGTTTCTGATAGAGAAGTACTAGTTACACGGCCGAATGTCCTAAAATAAACAGTAACTGATGACTAATAAAATAAAATAAAGTTAATAATCATGTAAACCTAACCCTAACTTTTTTTTATTTTTTTTTATTTAATGTAACAAATGATACTTTCTTTTGTTACGTAAATACCAACACCTAAAATTCAGGGCCCTTGTTCTTCAAAGCTGGACCATAAAATGTTTGCTAGATTACAATCAACAAGAAAAAGACTTAATTTCAACTTCCCCACCGAGTTATTCAAATAATTTTGAGAATACATTTATTTTTTTTATTTAATATTATTTTATTACTTGAGTGGAGAGAATTGATAATGTTAAGAAATAATATACATAGACTAAAATATTTTTTTCTCCAGTTGCTTTGCCAAAGAAATGTATTTTTTCAAAAAAGTTTCAACTATATGATTATGTATTTTTTTTTTTTTTCAAAATACTATCAACGTGTCTTTCGCTTAACTATTTTCATTTTTTTTTTTTGAAATTCTTAAATTTCGTTCTTTTAACCACGTTTTCCTTTTATTTTTATATTTTTTGGGCAACAAGATTTAAATAAACTAATTTCAATCTTGGTGAAAGTATCTGCAATGATAGCTGTTTTTATTACTCAAAAAATTTATTTTAAAAGGGACTTTTTTTTTATCAGCTACCTCTTAATATAATATACTCCTTTTTTTTTATTTCTTTCTTTCTTTCTTTCTTTCTTTCTTTCTTTCTTTCTTTCTTTCTTTCTTTCATTCATTCACTCACCTAATCTCAATGACTATTTTACACTCAGGTGTTCCTTGTGCTTATGTTGTCTAATTTTTGGCTTCATTCTGTTCCCCTTTTTTTTCACAGTTGGTAGAAAAGGCTATGAGGTTCCGATTATGTTTTTAATTTCTACATATTTAATGGTAAGCATGGGGTTCATATGAAAATATGACTTTCAAGTATATATTGTCGATGTCGATGTTTGTTTAACTATAAGGGTTGATTTTTTTGGTTTTCACGTTTGAGTACATAGCTACCATACTTAAAAGCCTCTGTAGGATTTGCATACTTTTTTTTTTTTTTTTTTTTAAAAAATAGGGACGACGATGAGATGGGGATGGTGTATGTCCAATAATAACCGCGAGCCCATTAGCCTCAAGGACCCTAAGTAACTGTTATATTTGCCTTGGCAATACTGTAGGTGATGTAACTACTTTTGATATCATTAACAGTTAACCGTAAGGTACATATTTGAATGCATTTAAGGTACTGTGTGGGTCCTTTGCGTCCCTAGCTGCTGATTGACTAGTTTGAAATATTTTAAAAAAATACTGTAAGCTTGAGTAACGAATTTGCAGAATAGCGTAATAACATACTTTTCGAATAAACAAAATAGTAAGTTAACTCAGACTTAAATATGCTACTTTCTTGTTTTTATTCATTGCATAGAATTCACTTTAAAGAAAAAAATAATACACTGATCATCTCTAATTTATAAATCCCCCCTGCCACATTCAAAATGGTTTTATTTTTAATTGAAGTTCCAACTTTAGAAAAAGATCCGCATTAATTTTAATTGATATATTCTATAGAAAAATTTGTTAATAGCTCATTTAACAAAAAAAAAAAAATTGTCATACTGTTTGATTTCAAACTATTTTATAATTTTTCAATCACTAATATTGGTTTCTTGTACAATTCGTGCTAGGTTCCTAGAGTTTAAAAGGAAACAGGCTTAGTCTTGTGAAAAAAATTCACCCAAATTCCTTTTTGTAATTAGTCTTAGGTTTAGTTAAGACAAATTTCTTTTTTGAAAAGTGGATTTTAAGTCCCATTCGTCAAATCGTGCTCCTCAGTTTTTTTTTTTTTTTTTTTTTTTTTAGTTTGATTTAATATTACTATTTACTGATTAATTAACCCAAAAAAAAATTTTCCTCATTTTTCTTTTTTAAAAGAGAGGAAAACTAAAGGGCTAAAGAAATTTCGTCAAAATCAAGCCAACATTAGATAGATACCTTTCTTTAACGAAAACTTTTCCGTAACTTCATCATATATTTTTATTTTTGCCATTAGGGATTTCAGACTTTAGATGATGATGAGATTCACAGTAACCTATTGAATTCTTTAGCCGCCAATTGCAATTTCTCAGTATCCTGCATATAAAAAGTTTTAAATGTGACGAAAATAGAGGTTGAGCACAAAAGCCAACAAATGTCCTAAAGGGAAACGCTTTTTATTTTCTTTCTTTCTTTCTTTCTTTCTTTGTTTTTTTTTTTTTTTCCAAAACTTATCGTTCATAAGATAAATAATTATCAATAATATATTTGAAAAAGTAACCATCATTAATATATTGCGCGGTTAAATTGGAAGCCCATAAGTAACCATTAGTGAAAATAGGGGTGGTAAAAAGATAACGTATAAAAATCTATAAAGAAAACTAACTAATAGAGGTTTTCATTCCGAGTCGTTTCTAGAATGATTGCATATTTGCCTCAATCATTTTTATTTAAGGTCGACCATATCATTTTAATGTTATGCACAATATCCTTAGGATGCCACTAAACAATTTTATCTTTAATGTAAAAATTGGGGGCGCTTAATATTTTCATCCGGATGAAAAATTGCTTGGACGAGGAAGAAGATGATCATTATCCTCAATTATCTATCACCTGTTGTTATTAACCTTATACCAAAAACAAGTTAAGAAGTTGAATCTGTTTTACTACATATTCATATATAGTTCTATTAACTAATAATAATTTTTTTTTTCAAAGAAAAAAATATCTGCAGCATAGGTGTTCCTCTGGCTTTTAATATCATCACCTAAATGTATATTTACAGTAAATTATCAATGTTCATCAAACTAATGTCGATGATCATTGAATAGCTTAATTGATTTTGAATTATTTTTTATTATTTTCAATATAAATTTTTTTTAAGTTAGACCAAATTTCTTTCCGCCTCAATATATTTGCAGGTTTTTTGCACTGTAGTAATTATTGCTAAGTAAGCTCCTCAAAAATCCAGTGCATTTAAATAAACCTTAAATTCATAGAAAAATAAACTCATGAAAAATAAACTCATGTTTCACCTATAGCAAACAATGCATTGTTAAGCCAGCATGAATTTCACAAACATTTTCATCTTTGAACAATGAAAAGAGACGGTAATATTTGTTCCTGTTTTAAAATAGAATATATAGTTTACTGTTGACATTTTATGACACTTTAAGACTTTTTTTTTATGTATTCAAAACTAATCTTAAGCGGTGAATTTTAAAAACTTCGAAGTTTGTTAAAAAAACAACTGGATCTAACTTATGGCTAACATCAAGAACTTAACTTTAACCTTTCAAATCTTTGAATACTTAAAATTTTTCATTTAGTTATATTATAAATCTAAAATAAAAAAAATAGAAAATAAAATTGATTGCTGTTCTGATAAAAACTGTTTACAGACAACTGTTAAAATTATATGTCATCAAAAGAAAAATAAAAATAAAAAAGCATAATAAATTATTTGAATAAAAGAAAAAAAAATTGATCATGCAAAATCCTCAGTTTGAAAATAACCTATAGGTTAATATAAGATAGCTATATTTTATATATTTATAATTTTTTAAAATTTTAAAACATTTGACTAGCTTCTCTCATGATCATCACGACTTTTGAAAAAAAAAAAAAACCTAGAGGAATACCTATTTTTTTTTTAAATGTTTCAGCTGCCCACGATATTTCAATGGTTTTCCGGAAAATTTAGTTAATCATCAGTGTTTTCGACATAATAAACAAAAGATATTAAACTGATTAAAAAAATATATGGTACATCAAAAAGCAATATTAGGGTGAGAGAAAGAATAATAGCATTAATAGATATAAACGCCTTTAGCGTTATATTGTTTGATCACAAAGCATTAATTTGAGTTTTGTCGACCTTTATTTTAAGTTATCATAACAATAAAAATAAAAAAGCCTCCCTCTCTCTGTATTATTATCAAGATTTCATATTCACTACTAGCGCTTTAAAGATATTAAGGACAAGTTTCTTTCAAATCTCCGAATAGTGATATATAAATAAATATTTTAAAACGTTTAGTCTATAATCAATCAGTATTGTCTTTTTTTTGATACTGTAAAGTTCAATAAAGAACATGAATATTAGCCTTAGTACTAAATCAAAATTTAAGATCCTTGAAGAGTTATCCAAGTATATTATCCCTTGGTGGCCCGCATACCAGCTGCGGGGTTAACATAGTGCCGATTTTTCAAGATTAGTCTGTCCATTATTAATAAAAAAAAACTTCATACCGTTTTAGATATAGAATTCCGTTTACCAGATGATTATGATAATTTCTTTTCAACATAAAGGTATATTGAACTCTTCATTATGCCCACGTTTATTTTTCTAAAAATATATTTCAATTTCGGAAATAAACAAATCGGCTGTGTACCCTGTTTAAATGCAACAACAACAATAATAACAGACTTTTGAAAACTCATTCATTTAAAAATCACTAAACGAAGATCTTCAAATTTTTTCTGAAAGCATCAAAATTTACTAGAAGAATGAAATTGATTTTCTTCTACTTCTTTTAAACAGGCCGAAAAGTTAATTGTTAAAAAAAAAACAATTATGTACCTGAGTATTATTAAATCATAAATATTCAATAATTTGAAAGCAACTGATATTCATGAACATTGTTAACATTATCTACTATGAATCGCTAAAAAGATTATAGTGAAATTGTTTTTTTTATAAAAAACAACCAAAGATATAACATACTTTCTAATATTCATTGTAAATCTCTGCGTTTTAACGTCATAATATTTGCATGAATCACTCAGTTGTAGGTATTGGCTGCTTTTTAAAATTACGCACCCATGTCCAAATGGCATTAAACAACTATTTCAAACAATATTTGATAAAAATAAATATGATATCATAGTCTATTGTATTTTTACATAAAAAAAATTTGTCACAATTGAAGTTAAATTGAAAAAAAAAGTCGGAGTTGACAAAAATGCCGAACCCTTTACTATCGACCTATCGACATATCGACATAACCTCTTAAACCTTAATTTTTATGTCTTTTCTCAGTTTAGTTTACTAACAATTGATAAAAAAATCACTATTCTACAATATATAAAAGAAAGGTCTTAAGTTTATAGTGGATACTTGCTGTTGTTAAGAAGCAAACGTAGCTTATTGTTATTCAAAGATTCTTTTGTTAGTCAGTTAGTCAGTTAGTTAGTTGGGTAGTTAGTATTTAGTATTTAGGCTAGTTTGTTACAACATTTTTGAGTATTATGTTAAAATTTTTAAAAGAAAAGAGAATGAATGTTAGTTTGAGCTAAGCATAGTATTGAAATAAGGATAGTAATGACAATATTAGTGGAATGGATTTGGGCTATGCAAACAATCTCATTATGATTATGATAATGATTTGAACGTTATTCTAAGTGAGCTTAACTCAGTGATAATAATACCACTATTAAATTATTACATTTTCAGGTATTTTAAATCCTTTGGAACCAATTGATGTTACTGTTTAGCATGCTTGTTTTTTTGGGAAATATATATATATTTTTTTTACTTAGACTTTCTACCTATTATAAATTGGCTTGACTCATAATGAAACTGACGGGTATACTGAAATCACTGGAAATTATGAATTAATGAAACAACATTAAAGTATAAATGAGCAAACTGACACTTTTTTTTTAATGAGATGACTAGAATGACTCTCAACTCAATTTTAAAGCGTCGCTTAACAACACTGATGATACATTTTTTGGTTGGACAATTCAACTGCTTATATTGGAGATTCTAGACTTTATTTTATTTTAACTTAGACAGCATTCTTAATGAATATTTTTGCTATTAGTTAGCGTATCCACTTTTTTTCAAAAAAAAAAAAAACATAGTCAACATTGGATTTTAAAAGGCACGTGGGATAAGAAGATGAAAAAAAAAAAAAAAAGAGGGAACAAAATATATATAATATAATATTCAACTTTCAATGAAAATAAATTTACAAGCTTAATTGGAGGAGAGACAATAAAAAGTAATACATGTTGGCTATGATTTTGGCCTCATACACACACACACACACACAAAAGTACACGCACATGTACATAAACATGCACTTGCATGCAGCCATCTCAGCTCATATAACCAACATTTATGCTACTGCCCAACTTTATTTTAGTGTGGCAGTACTTCCTACTAGCGTCTCGTAATAGTGCTTCCCTGTTTACCCTGAATTTTTCTTATAAAGGCGTCGGGATTTCTCCCCCTTGGAACTTTTTTTTTTTTTTTTTCTTCTTTTTCTTCTTTTTCTTTTTTTTTCCCCAAGTTTTTTTTTTTTTTGTCTCTAAATATTTGTCTCATAACTTTGTTGGCTATATTTCTATTAGCAAATTTTTTTTTCTCTTATTATAATTGCTCTTTTACTACCTAAATCTTCAAAATGATTGACGGCTTAGGAGGTCGACTATTTCGAACGTTTAAGCGACGCTCGATTTTAGAGTCTAACATTCAAAACGAGTTTCAATTGTACGATCCCACAGATGTTAGCTTAAATATGGACTCATATTCAACTACTCCCGTTAACGGGAAATTCAATATTTTTGGTATTCCTCTTGTTGATGCCACCAGAATTAATAAACTTGACTCTATAGTTGATCAAGTAGAGCCATGGAACATTAGCACATTCACATTTGACTTTGAAAGCCATTTGCCATTGACTATTGTTAGATGCATTGAATACATCAACAATTATGGTTTACATGAAGAAGGATTATACAGAATGAGTGGGAGTACTCCTAATGTTCAGAAGCTTCGCAATGCTTTTGTTACTCAAGGGCCATCTTACTGTATTCCCAAAAATACAGATATACATGATGTTACCACTCTGGTCAAATCTTTTTTTCGTGAGCTTCCTGAAGATCTTCTTCCAGTTACAAACCGACACACTTTTCTGGCCTATTCACCTTCTGAAATCCCTACAGAGTTTACTTTTTCTAAAGGAACTCTTTCCAACTACAGTTTATTCACACCCGAAGAAGAAGACCTTAATCCTATCGTCATTCCAACACAAATTTTACAAGAAATTCTTCAGGACTTACCGCCTCACAACTTTGCTATGGTTCATCTTATAACAAACCATTTACGACTAATAGTGGAAAACTCTAAGTTTAACAAAATGTCACTCTCTAACCTGTCCATGATTTTATGTCGTACCCTGCGTATACATAAGTCTGTGTTTCATGCCTTAATTATAAAGGGCCCTTCCATTTGGGTCGACTTGCATCCTAATAGTTCACCCTTATCCACTCGTCTACTCAAGTATAACACCAGTAGAATCCTTGAATACTCTGATGGCCAAAGCCTTAATGACTTAGACTCTGCACCGCTTTCAAAACAAGATAATAACACATCAGTCTCTCTTGCATCTTTAAATTTGGACTACAATCCAGACTATTACACATCTTCTTCAAAGCAAAGCACTATGTTTGAAAGAAACAAGTCTTTTAATGGAAACGTTTACATTTACAATTCAAAATCATACGCACACTCTCATACCAGCATAAATATCAAACATGAGAGAAAATCTTCCATATTTGAAGACGATAACTTTGATCGTTCTTCTTGCAGTTCGTTTGAGTCTATGAATACATTGTCTCAGCATCAGTCGTCGTATTCAACAAATACTACACCATCTGTTTCTTCTTATTACTTTTCTGATTTTTCAAAGTCTTTTGAGTTTAAAAGATTTCAACGACGACCAGATTCGAGTGACTTTTCAGTTCCTGGCGAATTCAAGCTAAGTCACAAAAACTCAATTAATAGCCAAGGCCGGCAAAAAAATAGAGAATTTTTATCTACTTATTCTGATAAAGATTTGGCGCCATCAGTTATTTCATATCAAGGGTATTGAAATTAATGTAGATTACCCTTTGTTATGAAACTCTATAGAAGACTATCCTAATTTTTTACGAACTGTTTATGAACAAATTTTAATGATTTTTGTAATGATATTATTTATTTTAAAAAAGTTTTAATACAAAAAATATAAAGAAAAAAAATTTTTTTTTCTCTTAGTTTAATATCGTTTGTACAACCATTTGCATAACATTCAATACCCTATTAGGTCATTTTCCCTTCACCACAACAAAAGAAAAATGGGGAATTTTAATCTAAAATTTTGTCAAACCAAACCCTAGTTTTAATGCTTTCACATTCCCAGACAAAAATTTGATCTAAATGAAAAAAGTTTTAAGCTAAGCCCTTGTTTATTTATTTAATTTAATAAATAAAGAATATGTTTCGTGATTGTGTATATTCAATTGATGCGCTGTTAATTTATTTTTTTTTAAAGTGTAATGTTCACATCTATAAGAAATATTTTTTAAACCAAACCCAGATATTAAAAAAAAATGGGTCCCTTGCTTGAAACCAGACCTATCCAAAGAACTGGTTTGATTATCTCATTAACTTGTTCTTTACTAGTATATGGCGTGCCCGTCGTTTTGTGCCATAACAGTAAAGCATTTAGTACAATAATCACGTTCTTGTTAATAGAACTAGTGCCAAATTTATTGATGGAAATACTGGTCCACTCCAATTATAATAATAACATGACCTAATAATAGTGGGTTTCTTAGGAGAGTATCGTGAAAAAAAAGGAAAGGGGAGGGGAGGGAGGGGGGGGGAGTGAAGGAACGAAGGTTAAGTAACAAGATAATTTCACGAAAACCAGTTTCCAAGAACAACATAGAATTTGCCCGGTAGGCAACGAATGATCTCCGCTCTTCATTCCAGTATTGAATTCTTATCAATATAAGATTATGCAGCAAACATGCTGATATAATCGAAAGAAGAAAAAAAAAGAATTTTGAGTCTGTTGTCTGGCCTTGTTTCCAAAATGAAGGTATATTCAATCAAAACTGCAAAAAAAAAATTTTTTTTTTGAGTATATAGGAAACAATCACTATGGTTCCATTCAATTCTTCAGGCTATTGATTACAGCCTTGCAAGCATTGTGATGCGGCTCTTTCTGTTGCCACTTAGGATTCTGTTTTTGTTTGTTTACGACAAAGAATAAGCACATGTCCTTCATGATCATGACACAAATACATTGTTCACACCACTCATTATTAGTAAGATAATCCAATAAAAAAATTATTCGGTAACAGTTCAAAAAGCAAATTAAGAACCAGGTCTTTTGCTCATTTAAGACAATTATATTTAACCTAAGTTATTTGATTTCACTATTAATAGTGAATATATTGTTTCTGACAAAGTATTTTTTTTTTGACTTTTTTAAAAAACCATCGAGAGAAGTTTTTGATTAATTTAAAAACTAAATGATTGTTAATTATTTATTTAAATTTTAAATTAATAAATTGCTAATTTTTAATATTTCATTGAAATCAATTCTATCAAAATTGAGGACAATCTTTATTTTATTTTTATTTTAGATTTAATTTTAGATGTAATTCAATTTATGACTTCACATTTAGTTGTTTTAAGCTTTGATTTTGACCACATTTCAATAAGTTATATACTTTTATCAGTAAGGCTGAAAACCTGTCAAACCATTAACTAGTGATGCTATTTCACCTATTATCGTCATGTTATATTTAGAATGGAAGTAATATAATATAATATAGCTTTCATTAATGAATTTTAGTTAAATACTTTAAAAAAACTTGAAATCTTTAGAGAGTACATAAATTAAAGATCTATTTATTGTTTTCTACTTTTATTTAAATAAAAAACTATCTAATATTTAAAATAATTCTAAACTAAAAGATTATAAGCTATTAGTGTTTAATATGATAGTTTTACTTTGAAATTTAAAGAGATTTTTAAAGAAAAATAATTTTTGAGATATCTAAATTTTCTAAAATTAAAAAAGTTTGGTAAAAGAGCCATAAAGACTAATTTATAACCAAATGTTTTATTAAAAATACCATTATTTCATATTAAATTTTGAAAATAGCCACTGTTAAGTTAGATCAATTAGTTTTTTTTTCCGGTGCTCAACTTTGAATTTAAATGAAGGGTTAGGTTTAAATATCTTTAAATAATTAAAAAAAACAATTGAGTATACTCATACGTATGAATAATTCTGGATTAATATCAAAATTCATATTATTTGATCTTGAAAAATATTAATATCGAAGCATCAAGAGACCTCAATTTTAAATCATGTGCGCAATGGTTAAGGAAAAGAACTAATTTGCGATGTCAAAAAAAATTTTTTTTTTCAGTTTTTCAGTTTATGTATGTCTTACTTTTCCAGTTTTTTCTATTCAAAACTAATTAAAAGTTTTTTTTTTGAGTTCAATGGTCCTACTATCAAATTATCTGCAAAAATTCTTATTTGGTTCGAAGGAATTATAACTTCATTTTTGAAAAGTAAATTACCATTGTAAGTGTTACAAAAATTGAGGTTTGCTTGTAGCGCCTTAATTTAACTCAAAATTGAGGGCTTAATCTACAGTATTTTCTTTTTTAGACCTAAATACCACTCGAAATGCTTTAGAATTGTTTTTATAACCGCAAATCCCCTTTTTTATACCAAGGCGTGAAGAAGGAAGCACTAACCATAGATGTCCAAGGTTTAAAAAAATTAGTGTAATCACTAAGATTTTGCATAACCGGGTATGTTTCTATGCGTTTCTAAAGCTGTATTGAAAAGATTTCGTTTAAATTTAACGCAGTTAGTCGATGGCATACCTTTGTTCTGAACTTTTTTGTAGTATTCGGTTTTAGAACTCTTTTCCTTCCTTAAAAAAAAGAAATAACTCCGACCATAAGGTACATAAATGTTATAGGGGATGAAAGAAAAAAAAAGTTGCACTGCTGAATTGATTTTAAGAAATGTTTAAAAACCCTGTGAGGTTTATTTTTCGACCGTTTGAACAACTTCCATCTGAGGAAAAAACGGTTAATCCGCAGGTTCTATTATGGCCATGGTGAAATTATCAAAATATTATTTTTTAGAAAAAAAAACAATTTAAGGTTAAAAAAAGAAAAAAAAAATTTTGTGAACAAAGGTTACTTTTTGTTACTTTTAAGAGAAGAATAGTTAAATTCAATAAAGTCTTGCGCTTGTAGTTGAAATGCATATTGACACTTGCAGAAATTTGTTCAAAATTCCCCTTCGACGTTTTCTTTTGAATATGCGTTAGCATTTAAATCTAAAATTTTAGTCTCTTAGATCTATTTAAGCATAGGCATACTAAAATATGACTAAAAGTTTTCAGATAATTACTTATAAGAGCAATGTTGCTTAAAAATGATTTGAAGTAAATAAAGATTCTGCAGAAACCTAATTTCCGGTGTTATTTGGGGGGGATCACATCAAAATTTAGAAGCAAAGAAGAAGAACATGAAATTCTAATTGCTAGTAATACGATTTTTTGATGCAGAGGAAAACAGGATTCTACAGCTAATACGTAGCAAAAAAAAATTATTTTAAAAAAAATCTTTAAATAATCTCGAGAAGAGATGAAGACACGTCAAAAACGAAAATTTTTTATGGATGCAAGTTTAATTTAGTTAGCAGAAATATTATTAGTATGATCCCTAATCGGTTATAGAAAAATAAAATTTTAACAAGAGATCAAATTAACCAAATTTTATTTTGAAGAAGAGCAAGAGTAACAGTGATACTATATGATTGGATTGGATATTATCGGATCTTGTGCAGGGTTTACTCTTGTAGCTTTAACTTCCTCCAAGCCTTTTGAGTGGCTGATGAAGTGGTTAAACCGCATTGAAGGGAAAAGTTGTGCATTAGCGAATTTGAATACGCCAACAGTTATTTCTTTTTAGCCATTATACGTGAAAGTAAAAAAAAAAGGGGTCCTTGACTACTATCTTATCTTTAAAAACCATACAATCAATGCCTTTGAGACTATTATATTACACAATGTTGAGGTTAATTAATATCATATAAGATACTGCAGGAAAATAACTTGCCTTAATTGGTAGCTAGTGTGATAATTGCATTTTACAAAATTTTGTATTCGCCCCAATAAGTTACTTGGATGGTTGTAGAAAGAAAAAAAAATTTCTAACTGAAAAAGTAATTTTTCAAATTTGTAAAGAAAGAAAGAAAAAAAAAGCTTTAATGCTGACGATCGTTGCGGTGTTTTGTCAAAAATAATTATTATCAAAGCCTTAAGAAAAAAATAAATATTTTTTCATTTTTATTTTTTCATTTCACATAAAAGAGACAAAAACCGGAAACAACTGAATATAATCGCTAAAGTTTATAATCTCTTATAATTATCTCGACATTTGTGAAGTCTTAAGAAAAATATTATACACAGGTATTTATTATTTTAAATTATCTATTGGTAATTAGCAATGAAGTTAGAAAACTCCGTTTAAAAAGTGGACATATGAGCTTTTCTAGGTTTCTTTTTTCTAATGTGAATATCGCGATATACCGGAATACAAAAAAAGAAGTACTCGCTATTTATTTGAATAAAATTGATACCAATCTTCAGCTTGGAAATTCTATTATATTAGCGATGTTTTTAATATTCCATTATAATTATATTTTTTTAAATATTATTGGAAACTTGACTTTTTTTTTCCTTTCCAAAAAGTTGGAAATACCACATTATTATAATAATCATAATTATGTCAAAGAGTGAAAGTGAAGAATATATCTAAACGAAAACACTTTTTTATCTGCATCTCATCTCAGCTTAAATGACAAGTCTTTGATATATGTTGCTACATGTCCAACTTTTTTGCCTTCCAGAAAGATCTTGGATTTCGATCTTTTTTTTTTTATACAAGTACATCATAATTATGAGGTACATTATAATGTACAAGAAGAAGAAAAAATAACAGATTATTCAATATTACATAATACAACTCTAACAACTCTAATCAAACTTGATCTTTTTAGCCTTTTGGGTCGGGTCAATGTCCTTGTAAAAGGCGCCATATACCGAGTGTTCCTTCTTCTTAGTGTGACTACCAAACTTAAGAAGCTCATCGGGGACAGGCTGGTTAGCACCTCTCAGAACGTTGATCAGGGCACCAGAAAGATGCTTCTCGTGTTCGGTAAAAAGAGTGACAGCAGTGCCAGTTTGACCTGCACGACCAGTACGGCCAATGCGATGGACATAATCTTCAGCAGTAAGTGGGAAAGTCAAGTTGATGACAACCTTGACAGCAGGGATGTCCAAGCCACGTGCAGCTACATCAGTTGCCAGCATAATCTTAGAGCGGCCGGACTTGAACTCTTCAAGAGCGTGTGTTCGCTGTTGCTGGGAGAGATCACCGTGGATGGCAGCGACATTGTAACCTTTGTTTTGCAGGAAACGTTCAACACGCGAAGCTTCCTTCTTGTAAAGAGCAAAAACAAGAATTTTGTCGTTCTTCTTAGGGCCAGATTGATATTCGCGGAGAAGCTGCAGAAGACGCTGCTCTTTGCGTTGTGGGTCAATGACCTCGACAATTTGAGTGATACGCTTGTTGGCGGCAAGTTCATCGGCTTCGCCAATGTTGACTTTGACAGTATTTTTCTTCATGTATCCGGCAGCCAGCTCGCGGACTTGTGGGGGCCATGTAGCTGTGAACATGAGAGTTTGTCTCTTTTCAGGAGTTGATTGTGTAGCGTTGATGATGGTTTTAATGTCTTCCTCGAATCCCTTTTCAAGCATGCGATCAGCTTCATCCAGAATAAGGAAATCAACGTTGGTAATATCGGCAGAACCCTCCTCGAGAAGATCTTTCAAACGGCCTGGGGTAGCAACCACAATGTTGGAGTGGGCAACGGCCTTACGTTGCGGGTCCTTGGGGACACCGCCATAAACGCAAGTGGCTTTAAGACCGACAGCACTGGTGAGTTCGGTAACACTGTCGTAAATCTGCATGGCAAGCTCGCGTGTGGGTGACACAACCAAAACGCGAACACCCTTCTTCTTGGGGTTGTTTTTTAACAAATGACTGAGAGCAGGCACGGCAAAGGCAAATGTCTTGCCAGATCCGGTCTCTGCAACACCGACAACATCACGACCCGAAAACAGATAAGGCCAGGATGCAGACTGAATGGGAGTAGGGCGGGGGAACTTGGAAAGAACCTTAATCAGTTTGGGATCAAGATGGACGTGTGAGAATTCGAGGAATGGCTTAAGAGATGATTTGTCAGGATCTTCGATAGAAATAGAGTTTGTCTTGAAAAACTCGTCAGCTTGAGCCTGAGTAGCTTGCTCAATAGCAGGTTCGTCAGTAGTATCAGTAGATTCTTCATGTTTGGTCTCTGGTATCGATTCTTTATCTTCCTTTTCTTTCTTTTCCTTCTTTTCCTTCTTGTCTTTCTTGTCTTTCTTTTCCTTCTTATCTTTTTTATCCTTCTTTTCTTTCTTTTCCTTCTTCAATTTCTTCTTTTCCTTCTTGTCGACTTCTTCGTCTTCAAGCTGGTGCTTCTTGGATAACTTTTCTTCAACACTCATTTTTTGGTGGTTATTGATAAGCAATATATAATGTCTATATGTGTAGGAAGACAAAAAAAATTTTAAGATTTTGGCCCTTAAAATTTTTTTTTTTCAGACAAATTGGGCTGAGCCGCACAAGCCGCGCCCATTGTAGTAAAAACCCAAAAAAAACTACCGACGTGGTGTTATGCTGAGTCAGCAGGCCCCTTAGACTGCCCTTTTTTTTTTTTTTTTTTTCAAAATCATTCTGTGCTGTGCTGTACTGACATTTTCTTTTCTCCCTCATATATCCAAATATCTAATCTAATATATATTGAAATCTCTTACATCAATGATAATAAAATACACATCACTGATTGCCGCTGTGACTCTTGCTGCTTCGGCTTCAGCATCTACCCAGCTTTCAGAATCACAGGATTCATCTCAATCACTGGCTCGGACGCTACTAAATCCTGGATTCTGTGCAGTGCCAAATGGCAGTATTAACGACGCCTGTGGCGCCACTTACGACGCCGTCGAACACACAAACCATCGCGTGCGACCAATCTTGCAAAATCTGGTAAAAACAGACTTTTTCCGCTTTTACTACCTGGATCTTTACGGAGATAGCTGTCCATTAGGTAACGACGGTGGCACATGTGGTAATAGAGCTTGTGCTGTCGATACCGTCGACGACGAAAAGGATTTGCCTGTTGTATGGCGTGCAAGCTATCTGGGTCAACTGGTAAAAGACACCGTTGCATCGGAGAGCCAAATTGGTGGTCTTGCTGATGGCGATGAAAAGGACAAGGATTCTATCGAGTTGTCGTGTGTCACCAATGCTGATGATTCGCTGGCCTCAGGAGGACGTCTTGAAAAACAAGCCCGTGATGCTTGGGATAAGGAATGCAAGGATAAGAATTATTGCGTTCCCGAAGATGACCGTACAGGACCAAATGGTGTCTATGTATCTCTCTTGGACAACCCAGAGCGCTACACCGGCTACAGCGGTCCTCATGCTCATATGATGTGGCGCTCCGTGTACAAGCAAAACTGCTTTGGCTACAAAGGTGAGGAGTTTTCATCCGAGTTTGACGAAAACCTCCCCTCGTCTGCAGAGGCCGAACCTTTAGTCCCTGAAGGTGACGAGTGTATTGAGCAGAGACTATTTTATCGACTTATTTCTGGTATGCACGCATCCGTGTCAACACACCTGTGCTACTCATATTTGAATAAGCAGACGGGCGAATGGGGCCCTGACTTGAACTGCTTCTTGTCGCGGGTCGGCAATTTCCCTGAGCGTCTTTCCAACATTTACTTCAACTACGCGCTGGTGTCGCGTGCTGTGTCCAAGCTCTACAATTACATTGACGACTTGCAGTTTTGTCCCCAAGCTCAAGCTTACGACCAGGCCACTAGACGTCAGATTTTGTTATTAACCCGCAGTGCTTCAACATCTCCTAACACATTCAATGAAACAAGCATTTTCTCAACCCCTGAAGCCAAGCTGCTGAAGGAAGAGTTTCGTCAACGTTTCCACAAGGTTTCTGCCTTGATGGATTGTGTGGGATGTGACCGTTGCCGCTTGTGGGGCAAGCTTCAAGCTGCTGGCTATGGCACTGCGCTCAAGATTGTCTTTGAACTGAGTGAAAAGGAAGACGAGCTTTCTCGCAAGTTGATTGCAAGTCTGCGCCGTTCAGAATTGGTATCGCTGATCAATACCTTTGATCGTCTTTCCAAGTCTATTGAAGCCGTTGAGTATTTCCGCGAGCAAACGCTCGTCGATCTGGAGGCCAGCGGTGTTTCTCTTGATGATCTTGTTTCCAACACTAAGCAATCTGAAATACCCACAAAAAAGGATGCAGTCAATAATGAGAAAGATGCGGAAGATGAGGACGAGGATGAGGACGAAGAAGAGGATCAAGAACCACAACCTTATTCTATTTGGAACGACCCAGAGTGGGATCTTTGGAAAGAAGCCTTTATTTTCCTTTGGCGCAGCTACATTGATTTCCCTAAAAATCTTTACAACATTTTGTTACTCAACGCTCACTATTACTGGGATGCAATGATCGGACGCAACGAGGCAGATGCCAAAGATAGAGTTGGTCGCCGTGGGCATCTTGAATCCATTCGTGTGGACCTTTAGACATTTTTGTTTCTTTTTTTTACGTATTATTATTTATTTAAAGTCTGAAAAAATCATTAAAAAAAAGCTTAAGCGAGATTATATGCTGAGTCGGAGTGGCGTTATTCATTAAGGCGTATTGAAATTTCCCCTCACACACATTGGGCCAGCAATGTGTATAGAAAAAAACACCAACTTCATGCTGGAGTGTGCAAACCAATCTTACTAAAAGACAGCCTATAATAATTAAGAATCACTCGAGTTTCCTGCTGCTGCTGCTGCTGCATTGGCTGCTGCATTGGCCGCTGCATTAGCCATAGCTGTTGCGTTAGCCATGGCCGCCGCTGCCGCCGCCATCATTTTCTCATTTTCGCGCTCGCGCTCCTTCTTCCTTTCACGTTCTCTTTCACGTTCACGTTCCTTTTCGTTTTTCTTGGCTAGTGCACGACCTTCTTTGTCGTCGAAAATCTTCTTTGCATCAGTAATGACCTTTTGCAACATGAGCAGGTCCTCAACACGCGCAAGTTTACGTGCATCTTTACGAATCGCGAACTTGAAATCGTCAACCTTAATCTTAGTGCGATGGGCAGTGCGTGAAACGCGCGAAGCTTCGTAGCAAAGATCAATAATGAAATCCTGAAGAATGTCATCGAGAGCTGCTACTGTTTCTTGGTCGGGCGAATCCACGTCACCAAAAGCAAATAGCAACGAGCGGACTGATTAATTAGCTCAAATAATATAATTCATATAGTCTGCTACTCACGATCATTTGCAAAAAGTCCTTTTCTTCGGCGTTTATGTGTTGGTTCTATCGAGGCCATGGTGGTAGTATTAAAAAAAATTTGGGTTAACCCTAAAAAAAAACTTTGTAGTTTGTTGTGTTGTATAGAAAAACTCTAGTTACATAATCATTAAATTTCAAATCCCATTTTTGAAATCTCTCTATATAAGTCCAAGACCACCCTGCTCACGAATCGCTGCAAGTACCCGTTGTGCACCAACACCTTGAAGCACCGGGTCATCCGTCCGACCATCTAACAGTGCTGTTTTAATATGAATTTCACGCTTCATTCGCAATATTTCTGGCGAGCTACCAGTCAGTTTGACTCCAGAAGCAACCAACGGCAGGTTGTCTGCACTTGTGTACATGTTGCGCGCATTACGGCGAAGCACTTCTCGATGCTTTTCGGCAGCAGGAAGTCCCTGAAGACTTGCTCGTAAAAGCTCTGCATCACCTCTGGCCATTAAAACCTGAAGCTTCTCAGCAGGATCGGCGTCTGCGTATCCAGTAGCACCAGCAGCCACACGTTCCCAAGCAGTCTTAAGAATCGTCAAAGACCGAGAGTATGCTGTCCATCGCACATCAGCAGATATTCCAGGTCGTTCAGCATATCCAAATAATGCATCTGCAGCAGCTAAAGCGCAGTGCACGGTATCTGGGAGACCCAATGGTTTCCTTGAAATATTAGGGCCTAGCACTTTAGGCAAAAACTCGACTAAAACTGGTGATGAAGGAGGTTCGGTCCAAATGGCTACAAGGCATTCCACTGACTCAGAACATGTGCTGAGAATCTGCGCAATTGCAATATGAGCATCACTCAATACCCGAGACGGAATTGCCAAAAAACTAGTTTTCTGATCGCTGGTACCGTTATACTTTGTAGAAATTTGTGATAGCTGACGCACTGTGTTTGCAACAGCTTCAAGACATTGAGGGACAGGAGGTTGAGGTAAAATAAAAGGGGTTGAATCGTCTCTACTAAGCTCCAAAAGTGTGTTTAGAGAATCAAGTAAACTGGTGATTGTTTCGACCACAGACGTTGGTACAACGCCTTCTTGGGCAGCCAATGCCACAGTCTTATCGGCTTGTTGAGGATTTTCCACCGTAGTTATCTCACCATCATCAAACTCCTCATTTTCAAGTTCAGAAATGGCAACAAGCTGGCGCTCCAAAATCCCCTGAAATACTTCTGCTGCACGCTGAACAGTCGCCACATTTTCCGTCTCTTCACCGGCCTCTGCAAGCACCTGACCATATGTGTAAAGCTGATCCAAGGGTATACCGTTAATTCCATTGCTTCCAACTTCATTCAAAGCATGTTCCTGGGTTTGAAGAACCTGTGAAATTCCTGTAGGTACAATTCCAGAGCCATCAAGCGGAACCCCGAGTCGTCCAAGATCCAGATTATCTAGCTCACCAGTTTTGACAACTTTAGTGTAAACCACATACTGCATACGCGCAAAGTTATATGTAGCATCATCGCGGATAGTCTTATCATTACTGCGTGACATTGTAATAGCTTGCTGATAGTAACCTGCGGCTTTTTGATAAAATCGAATTGCTTTGGGAATATCACCCGAGTCGATCCATCGGTCGCCATGTTCTTCATCATCTACACCAGCATCAAGAAACTCTGAAGCAGTAGTAGGTTCTGCTGCTTTCTTTTTCTTTTTGCTAAGCTTAGGAATGCGTGGTGGTGGCATATTGTTCTTAATTTATTTATTTTTTTTATTTGGTTGTATGTTTATTCGTAGGAAGTAGTGGCGGCGGCGTTGTTAACGATATCCGTAATAGGAAATTGGAGATGCTGGCGGCTCAGTGCTTGGAGGTTTCCTGGCTGACACGTCGACAACTAATTTTTTTTTTTTGATATTTAAATTTTGCTGCTGCTTAACTTTTGATATTCTACACCATTAAGCAACATCAACGCAAAGCAGTAGAAAAATCAGAAATAATGAATGGAAGGTAAGAGCAATAGTAAAAGTTTTCATAATACACTCTGCTAACATTTTATTTAGGGATAATCGCACCCAGCTTTTTTCTTCATATACTCCAAACGCTTATCCCAACTCTTATGCTCAATCCCGGCTTAGCACCCCAACCGCAGGCGGCCTAAGTGCGCGCTTACCGGCAGCTTATCAGACTCGACAAGAGTCTCCATACCAAAGCGACAGTGTAATGGACAGTCTGGAGTCTCAGAATGATGTACAGATTGAGGGTCTCAGTGCTAAAGTTAAGCTTCTCAAGGATCTGACTGTTAAGATTGGCGACGAGGTGCGCGACTCTAATAAGCTTCTTTCTGATCTTGAAAATAGCTTTGAAGGCGCACGCACAAAGCTGAAGATGACTTTTAACCGTATGATCATTATGGCTGATAGATCTGGTATTTCCTGGCGCATGTGGCTGTGTCTTTTTGCTTTGATCTCGCTCGTCTTTTTCTACGTCTGGTGGAGATGAAGAAACACTTAAGTGTCTACGTTTTTTTTTTTTTTTCTTGATTTATATTTTTTGTGACGATCTTCCCTTCTTCTTTTTTGTTCTTTTTTATGACCCGAACCTAATGAACTTGTCTATGATGACATATAATACACTTAATTTTGTAATGATTTGAAATGATGAAAAGTCATATTTTTTTTTTTGTCAAAATATAAAAATTGTGGCATTTAAACAGCTTCCATAATTATTTTTTTTTTTTTCTAAACTGACAAAGTGACAGCTCCACCAAATGAAATGTCTATCGTAAGTCTAAGCGAGCAATTCCAAACTCATGAAATCTAACAAACATTACATAGAATTACAGGCCTACTCCGGACGAACTCAACAGAGAAGAGGAGTACGATGACAATGTGATCATCAACTCTTGGGAAGCTTCTCTCAAAGAATACAAGGTCAGTCTACACTATACCATAGTTTTGCAAATTGATCCCTAATACAAGTTTAGAGACACCATGCCATAAGAAGTGATTCAGAAAAAGAACAAAATGAGCAACAGCCTGAGCAACAGCCTGAGCGGCAAGTCGAACAACATATTGAACAACCACCAACACAAACAGAAGACCATGATATTAATTCCGAGCTTCAAGAACCAAATGCTGACATTCCAAGTCCTTCAGAACCAGATATTCAGCAGGTTGAAGTCCAACCCCTCCCTGAACCAACACCCGAGCAAACAACCCAGCAAAACAATGCCGAAACTCAAATCGAGCCTCCGCTTCCCATGGAAGGTACGTAATCATTTATTGAAATTTTTTTTTTCAACATTACTAACTCTTTCTAGGAATGGACCCAGAACTTAAAAATCTACTAATGTCATGGTACTGGGCTGGCTATTACCATGGGCTCTATGTTGGAAAAAATAAACAATAGATATCTTAATTTTTGCTCTCTATTTAACTGCTACCTTTCTTCTTGCGGTGCTTCTTTTTTTCATTCTTGACAGCTGCACTAGCAGCTTCCTTAAGTCGGCGCTTCTTTTCGCGAGTCTTTCGCAGCTCGCCAAAACCATCGCGATCCATATCCATAATAGCTTCTCGTTTGGCCATGGACACGGGCCGCAGCGTATTGTTAACCACATCATCGTCATCAATCTTACCGTATTGCTCCATCTTTTGTCCCACACGCTCTTCAATGCCCTGGATCAAAGTAACATCCTGTTCACTAACCAGGGAAATACTCTCACCACGTCGACCTGCACGCGCAGTACGACCAACTCGGTGCACGTAGTCATCGGGATCAGCTGGAATCTCGAAATTTATAACCATCTCCACAACAGGGATATCCAAACCACGCGATGCAACATCCGTGGCAACAAGCACGCGCGCAACCTCTGCGCGAAACTTTGCCAGAGCGTTTATTCGCTCACGCTGAGGCATCTCAGAGTGCAAAGAAACCGTCTTGATTTCCATTTTTTCCAGTGTTCGGCGAACTTGCTCTGCTGTTGCTGTTCGATTCACAAAAACAATGGCAGATTTTGAGGTGTTATCCTCGTGTGTCAAAATGCTGTAGAGATATGCGTCGCGCACATATGAAGGAATAAAGAGATATGATTGTGTCAAAGTTGCTGGAATGGCCACTTCGTCGGAAGCAACCTCATGAACAAACACTGGCTTTTTACCAGCCTTAGGAGCCTGATTTTTAAGAGCACGTACCGAATCTGTAACTGTAGCCGTGAATAACAACGTTTGACGTTTTTCTGGAGGCGCCAACGCGCCAATGCATGTGGCCAGGTCGTCGGCCATAGACGAACTCAGCAGTCGGTCAGCTTCATCAAGCACAAGAAATTTCGCACGACGAAGACCTGGCAGGATTTCTTCACCGTTACTTCGAATTTCGTCCGCAAGACGGCCAGGTGTTGCAATGACAAAGTGTGGTTTTTCCTTGAGATCGCGCGACTGTTTTGTCATCTCTACACCGCCAATAACGACACAAGTTTTAATACCAACGCCAGAGCCTAACGCTGCAAACTGATCAGCAATTTGGATTGCCAGTTCGCGAGTCGGAGTAAGAACAACACCACAAATACCAAATGGGTCCTCTGCCCACTTAGCGATCATGGGTGCGGCAAACGCAATCGTCTTACCGGAACCTGTTTTGGCTCCACCAATGCAATCACGACCGTCCAGAATCGGAGGAATACATGCTTCCTGAATTGCAGATGGCTTTGTTATAGCAATATTCTTAAGACACTCAGCCATCCATGGTGGCAGCCCCAGTGATGTAAAGCTCATTTTTATCAGGATTTTTTGGAGAAATTATCTTAAAAGATTTAAGTCCTGGAAATTTCGCTCTTTAAGAAAAAAAAAATTCGTTAGTGCGGCTGCGAAAGGCTGATATAAAACCCTAACCCATACAGATTTTTTTTTGAGACCTTTGACACCACCAGTTTCTTTTCAACTTTTCACACTCAGCAAACAAACACACAACATTATGGCATCATCATTACTAGAAGCACAGAGATCATCTTTAGAAGAGCTGGATCGCATAGAGCAGGCAATTTCTGAGCGTATTACTCGAAATCCTGCTATTTTACCTGACAATGCACGTCTATCAGCATCTTCAGAATTACACGGACGTCGCAAACGACCTTTCAAGGAAACAGTTTTACAGGAGCAAGAAGTTGGTAGATTTGTGAAGCGCTATCGTGAACAGTGTGAGTTTCTTGAAAAATCATTTTTAGAAACTGGCCCTAATGCTGTTGCACGTAAAAAAGAACTGGCCGAGTTGGCAACTACTGACGATGCACGGGTGTCACTTCTCGACAACTTTTACAGACAAGCAAACGCGGTTAAGGAATATCATCGACGGTATCCTAATCAGGAGGTTGAAGACTTACATGCACAATATCAAATGGGAATTGTTTCTCTGCGAAAACAACGCGAAATGCTGGAAAGTGGTGTGCTAGCCGAGGGATTGGAGTTAGAAGAGAATCCAGAAGTCGCAGCTGCAGGAGGTTCACAACAAGCAGCTGCTGTTGCAAATCTCCTTGCAGCCGAGTCTAAGGGAACTGCGATTTTGTTAAGTTCTATGGCTGCAGATTTAAATCTGGACGCGATTTTTTCTGGCGAAGAGAGTTACGGCAAGTATATTGACTTGGTGGCGTTCCATGAACGGTTCACCAATCTCAAGCTTGGAAACACATCAGGTACAGCAGCTGCAGAGCAACGACATGCACTCACATACATTCAATATCTTGACATTTTTTCTAGTTTTTCTCATGTCGAGCTGTTTCCTGTTGCTCGACTACGCGACGAGATATACTTTACATATGCTGCAGAACTGCATCAGTATATTGAACGCTTTTTCCGCAAAACCCACATTCTCGAAAACACAGACAAGATTGTGTCCAAGATCGAGGCCGATTTTGAGACGGCGTGGACTAAAAAACTGCCGTTCCCAGGCTGGACATTCCAGGCAGAAAGCACAGTGGCTCGTGATGGGGTCGAAACTCCAGAAGGATTTTATTGCACGCCCTGCGGCAAGTATTTTGCTAAGGAAACAGTGTACTGGGCCCACTTAACTGGAAAAAAGCATGTCAAAAATTCGAAGCAATTAGAGCTGGTTGCCAGAAAAACCGAAAGCAGTGAAGCAACAGCTTCTGCAGACGCGGAAGAGCAGTTGCGACTCAAGCTTCTTGCAATGCACGAGTATTTCACATATCACCTGGTGCAGCTTCTTCAGAAACACATTACAGATACAAGGAACAATGTGGAGCGACGTCGCGCGCTTACTGACCGCGAACGACAGCTGGAGCTTGCCGCCCTCGAAGCTGCCGACACAGCTCTATTAGCAGAGCTTGATAATCCGGGAGGACATGGAGGAGAAAATGGTAATGGCGATGGAAACGATTCAGACTCGGATTCCGATGACATTGTGTACAACCCACTCAAGTTACCTCTTGGTCATGACGGAAAGCCTATTCCATTCTGGTTGTGGAAGCTTCATGGGCTGGGTGTACAATATCCATGTGAAATTTGCGGAAACTACGTTTACATGGGCCGTATGGCGTTTGACAAGCACTTTGTTGAGGCTCGTCATGTACACGGCCTTCGATGTTTGGGAATTACGCCAGGACTACTTTTCAAGGGTGTTGTTAGTATCGCTGATGCTATGGCACTTTGGGAAAAAATCAAGCGTGAAAATCGACAAGAGGAGAGTCATCGTGAAAATGCCATTGAAATGGAAGACGATGAAGGTAATGTTATGTCTGAAAAAGTCTATAACGATCTTAAAAAACAAGGGTTATTGTAAATATTATTTAAATTTATTTTTTAAAAAAGAAATACACATAGAAGAAGAGAAGAAAAAAAAATCGTTGCAAATCATTTACATTTAATTGTAAAGGTCATCATCCTCACCTTCGCCACCAAGAGCAGGCTCACTTGAGGCAGCGGGTGCTGTCGACGAGGCCGATGATGAGTTGCCAGAAAATCTAAAGTTAAGAGTGCCGCGCGAAGCCTGGATTTGGGCAGCATACGACTCGTAACGTCTAAGCTCAGAATCACTAACCGATCTGGCGGCAGTCTTCATAGCCTCTTCAAAGTGTTCACGGGTGATGTATGGAACGGGATCCTCCATCTCAACATCCTCTTCACCAGCAGCGGTGGCCTCTTCATTGGCCTTGATACTGGCTTCAATACTTTCCTTAATGGCAAACTTGGCAGAACGCTGAACAATGTACGACAAATCGGCACCAGAGAAGCCGTTTGTGCTCTTGGCAATCTCGTCGAGACTGAGGCCAGGTTCGAGAGGAGTCTTGCGGAGCTGGGCCTTGAGGATAGAAAGACGGCCAGCTTGGTCGGGGAGAGGGACGTAAATAAGCTGATCAAGACGGCCAGGACGTAACAGAGCAGGATCAATTTGATCAGGTCTGTTGGTAGCACCAATGACAAAAACATTCTTTTTGGCATTCATACCATCCATCTCGGTAAGAAGCTGGTTTACCACACGGTCAGTGGCACCGCCGGCATCACCGACAGAACCACCACGAGCCTTGGCAATAGAGTCCAACTCGTCCAAAAAGACAACGCAAGGAGCAGCAGCACGAGCCTTGTCAAAAATGTCACGAATGTTGGACTCGGACTCACCAAACCACATAGAAAGCAGCTCGGGGCCCTTAACGGAGATAAAGTTGGCGGAAACCTCTGTGGCAACAGCCTTGGCCAGCAAAGTCTTACCAGTACCAGGAGGACCATAGAACAAAACGCCCTTGGAGGGAGAAAGACCAAACTTGGTGTACATCTCAGGATGGAGGACAGGGTACTCGACAGTCTCCTTGAGCTCCTGCTTGATTTTATCAAGACCACCAATGTCATCCCAAGTGACATTAACGCTCTGGACAACAGTCTCACGAAGAGCAGAGGGGTTGGAAATGCCAAGGGCAAAGCGGAAGTTGTCCATGGTAACACCGAGCGAGTCAAGCACTTCGGCATCGATAGTTTCCTCTTCAAGGTCAATAAGGTCCATCTTTTCACGAATCTGCTGCATAGCGGCCTCAGAGCATAGAGAGGCGAGATCGGAACCAACGTAACCGTGTGTTTCAGAAGCAATTGCCTCGAGGTCAACATCATCAGCAAGCTTCATATTCTTGGTATGGATACGAAGAATCTCCAAGCGACCAGTGGGATCAGGGATACCAATGTCAACTTCACGATCAAAACGGCCGAAACGACGAAGGGCAGGGTCGATAGAGTTGGGTCTGTTGGTAGCAGCAATAACAACAATGTTAGAACGGGCCTTCATACCGTCCATGAGAGTAAGAAGCTGGGAAACAACACGGCGTTCAACCTCACCATTGGTCTTGTCTCTTTTTGGAGCAATTGAGTCGATTTCGTCAATAAAAATGATAGAAGGAGCATTCTTTTCAGCCTCCTCAAAGGCCTTTCTAAGGTTAGACTCGGACTCACCAGCCATCTTAGACATAATTTCAGGACCGTTAATCAAAAAGAAGAAAGCACCAGTCTCGTTGGCAACAGCACGGGCCATCAAGGTCTTACCAGTACCGGGAGGACCGTACATCAGAATACCACGGGGGGGCTTGATACCAATACTCTTAAAAAGCTGGGGATGTCGCAGGGGAAGCTCGACAAGTTCGCGAATTTGGGCCATTTGCTTGCGGACACCGCCAATGTCATCGTAGCCAACCTCATTGAGATTTCCTTCCTCGTCTTCTCTGTTGATAGGGTCACCCTCAGTATGAATGACAGTGTCCTGGGAGACAATGCCAAACTCGGCTGGATCGGTCTCAACGACCTTAAACTCGACTTGTCGCATACCACCGCGAACAGTAAAAAGGTCGCCCTTTCTAACAGGTCGATAGGCCTCAACAAAGTAAGGCTTAAGGAAGACTTCAAAAATGTCACCAGTGAGACCCTCAATTGTATCAGCAATAGGAAGAATAGAGATGCGTTTGAGGTACTTGATATCAGGGCATGGATGAACAGTAATAACATCACCAAGACGAACGCGGAGATTGTTACGAACGACTCTGTTCACTCTGCAGACACCATCCTCAAGGTCGTCATCAGAGACAACAATGAGAACTGTATCTTTTCGCTTCTTGCCCTTAATAATAACAGCGTCACCTCTAAAAAGCTCAAGCTTCTCCATAGTGTTAGGAGAAAGGGCAATGATAGAGTTGTCATCACTGGTAGCATCATCGACAATCAAAGCTAGAGGAAAAGAGAAATTGATAGGTCAGTTAAAGGTTGCCTCATCTTTTAATCACATCTACTCACCATTGTCTTTCTTCTTTCTACGAAGAATAGCAGTGGCCGTCAGGTCTTCCTTAGAAGCATCAGCTCCCGAGGCATCGGCAAGATTATGGTGGAGGGGCTTCTTGTCGTCGCTCATTAAGTTAGTGTTTTCGTGATAAATGGATTGAGTGGCGAGTTTTGTTTGGATGTTTTTATGGTGGTGGAGAAGAAAAAAAAAAAAGTTTGGATGTTTAAGGGGAAACCTGGCAGGTTTTATAATCAGCAAGTTGGGTGGCAAAAAATACATATCTAGACACACTTCCAGATTCAAGTCATAAGTTTCAAGTCCTATATTTACGTCTAACCGCCAACCAGCAGACCCGTCAAAAAACCTTCAATCCAACCAACCAGCAGGCAAATCTCTCTCCAGCTAAAGAACCGATTCGGAACCCGGAACTCAAGAGTTAATTGCCACCGCCACTAGTCTATTGTCAGAATGTCTGGAACTTCTTTATTTCTTTTTACCTTCAACTGTGGTAAGAACCGCCAACCCGTTGAGGCAATTCAACATGCAGTTCAAAAAGCTTTAAAACCAGAAACCTCTTCAGCTGCTGCTCCGCCGCAGGTCCTAATTTTTGGCTTTGAAGAAGTCACGTCTATTCTTGATGCCAGTTTTGGTCTTTTGTCAGATCATCTTGCACCAATTACTCTCGGAATTTCTGCTGGTATTAAGTCCATATACCCAAGTACAGAAGCATTATATGTGCAGGCCGCTCGCTCACAACTCGGAGCTATTGCAACTATTGTTTACGTTTTGGACTCAAGCACTATTCCAGGTGCAATTCCGCTGGAAACCATTTCTTCCAGTACCGCTGGAACGCGTCGCGGATACGGGTACTCGTCACTTAAAGGTGCTGCAGGTGTCCGTATATCACTCAAGCCTAAGGGCGACTCATCGTCAACTCCACAGGAATTCACATTTGTCAATGCCCATTTAGCAGCCAACGAGGGTCATTTGTTGACGCGCAATGCGGACTTTGACGGCATTGTCACATCTCTTGGATTTTCTGATGGTTATGGCGCCTATAAGCCGCAGAGTCATCTTTTTTTTATGGGCGACCTTAACTATCGGGCCACGCGTGCAGCCGAGCCCACTGAACGTGCCCTTCTAGAAGCATCCGAGACCGCCGGCCATGATGAAGATGGTGCACCACTTGATAGCGACCGCTACTACGATGTTTTAAAGCGAACAGACGAGCTCTTTCACGTTTTACAAACTCATCAAAGCTTCTATGGATTTGAAGAGGCCCCTGTAAATTTCCCACCAACTTTTAAGTATATCGAGGGCACTATTGGGACTTTCAACCAAAAGCGCACTCCGTCTTGGTGCGATCGCATTTTATATCTTCCTTATAAGTCGCCTGCTCAGATCGTTAGTTACGCGTCTCTGCCTTCAGTCCTAACTTCTGATCATAAGCCTGTGTACCTGCGCATTAATGTCCCGCCAACACCACCACAACCTGTATTTGAACCCGAACCCGGTGCTCCTAAACGCCTTTTGCTTCTGCCAGAATATTCTCCTGCAGCCACCCGTGCAGTACCACAAACCGGTGCTCCTGCTGTTGCTCCTATCCGTGTGTCACTTGGTCTCGGCGACCATGCAGGGTACTACAATGGCGTTGGATGGACCGCCGATATGGCCATTGGATGGTCTTTATATCTGGTAAACACTCCAAGGGGTCGTATTTATGCCGGGCTCTTTCTGGTGGCACTTTTTGCACTTTACTTGATTTTATAAAAGCCGGGTCTTTTTGAAGAAGTAAAAAACATCCTCTTTATACAATTTTTTTTTCTTTTTTCCCTCTCTACGTAGTAAAACCTTTAGACTACTTAAAAAATTTTCAACATAAAAAAAAAAGGTCTTACCGACTTCCCCACTTAATTCACGCTGTATCATCGACTAATCCGAAATATATCAGGACTCGTCAGAACTATGAGTACTGAGTCCGAAGCACTTAAAAATACACCTCGCTTCAACACAAAAAAAAGACCCAAAATGGACCCCAACAACCCAGCACTTTACTCCTCTGTCAAAGGCGGCCAACGCGATGAAGGTGGTTTCCGCGTCAAACGTCAAACCATCCAGGCCCAAAACACTATTGATGGTGCTGAGATCTCAGAAACTATAAAAGAAGACTCTGCCCAGGGTGCACGATACGTAATTGACGGAAACCTCCGCCGAGTACCTCCATATTACTTCACATATTTGACCTTTTGCAAAATGCGCTGGCGCGACCGCAACCTGTTGGAGGTCTTCACATCAGAATTTCGCGACAAAGATCGTGATTACTACCATGAGGCTATTGCAACAGGTCAGGTTATGCTTAACGGAAAAGTTGCTGATCTTGATACAATTGTGCGCAACGGCGACCAGATCAGTCATCGTACTCATAAGCACGAGCCTCCAGTCACTTCGCGGCCGATCAAAATTGTGTATGAAGATGATGAGCTAGTTGTAATTGATAAGCCGTCGGGAATTCCCGTTCACCCTACTGGCCGTTATCGGTTCAATACAGTGGTCATGGTTTTGAAGCATGAACAAGGCAAATATGTTCACCGTAAGTTTAAAAGCTTCTTCTAATTTCCCTTTAATTTCTAATATAACTTTTTTTTAGCCTGCAACCGTCTTGATAGACTTACATCTGGTCTTATGTTTCTTGCAAAATCTGGTAAAGCTGCAGATAAAATGGGTGCACAACTCCGCGACCGAGAAGTAAAAAAAGAGTACGTTGCTCGTGTCAAAGGCGAGTTTCCACTCGGAACTATCGTTGTTGAAGAGCCCATAGCCACCGTCGCCCCAAAGGTTGCATTGAACCGTGTTAAACCTGATGGGAAGCCTGCTAAAACCGAGTTTCATCGTATTTCGTATGACGGTGAGACCAGTATTGTCCGCTGCAGACCTTTCACTGGCCGCACGCATCAAATTCGAGTCCATCTTCAGTACCTTGGCCATCCCATTGCCAATGACCCCATCTACTCCAATGTTTGGGTTTGGGGTGAAGAGCTTGGAAAAGATGGTGCTGGTGATGATGCCGAGCTAGAAGCTCGTTTGTCGGAAATTGGTCGTTCGCGACCTGCCAGCACTTGGATTAGCCCAGTTGATTACACACCATTTGAACAACACGCTGGTGATGCAAATGGCAGTTTTATTCCCAAGGGCCTGGGTGAGGCTCTTGCACATGAGAAATGTCCCGACTGTAAAACCGATCTCTACACCGACCCAGGCCCCAACGATTTAGACCTTTGGCTTCACGCTCTCACATACTCCTCTATTGACCAATCATGGAGTTACGCAACACCTTACCCTGAGTGGGCTCTTGCACCCAATCGTAAGTTCATGGAAATGGCAATGGACGAAGCCCGCAAGTGTGAGGGGACTACAACCGCCTTTTCTGTTGGAGCCGTTCTTGTCAATAATGGAAAGGTTCTTTCAACAGGATATTCACGTGAGCTGCCAGGAAATACCCACGCTGAACAATGTGCTTTAGAAAAGTACTATAAAGAGACTGGTGTACAAGGAACTGTTCCACCAGGCACTGTTATCTACACTACAATGGAGCCATGCTCGGAGCGGTTAAGTGGTAATTTGCCATGTGTTGACCGCATTCTGGCTACTGCTAACATTAAAACTGTATTTGTTGGGGTTGTGGAACCCGATACGTTTGTAGCAAACAACACTGGTAGGTCTAGGCTGAAAACGGCAGGTATTGAGTATGTACATATTCCGGGATATGAGGACGAATGTCTAGCTATTGCTACAAAAAAGCCTGACGAAGAATCTAAAGAACTCAAGGAAGAGTCCAAGGAAGAGTCCAAGGAAGAGCTTAAGGGCGAATAAAAGGAAGTGCGATATATAAGCATTGTACTATTTAATTAAATTACTCTTAAACAATTAAATAAAACATCCAACTTTAGTTGTATTTATGAATTCCAAGAGAGAAATGTTCAAAAATTCAATTTCTTTAAGGCTCAATTTAAACTTCTTTCCAACCTACGATGGTTATTAAAGTAATGAGGTTTTTCTTTAAAATGTTAATTCCAATCCCAAAGTTTCAATGGAAGTAAGTTTGATCATCATAGGAAGCACTAAGATGAAATTTGACTGGACTTAAAAGTGATAGCAATGACTTTAACTAGTAAATACTTCGGAGATCCATTTTTAATTTCCATAGTTGATATAAGAAAAAAAAAATAAGACACTATCTCACTTTATTACCAACTAAGAAACTTCTACCACTGGTTTAAATACAAAGAGTCTGCTGTTTAGCGGATTAAGCTACCTGAAATAAAATATCAGGTACAGGATGTACAGGAGGTACAGTTTTTTGTAACTGTAATATTAGCACCCATCGAGCGTCTGAAAATCCCAAACGTCACCACCAAATTTTTCGAGTTTTCCCAGTTTTTTGATACCATAACTGACTCATCAATCCTCACACAATGCTCAAATCCAAGGCTAAGACGGCTAAACAGCAGCAGCAACAAACAGCTGCCAATTCTAAAAATGCTGACTCGGTTCTCACGCCTAAGGAACAGTCAAATTTCCGTGGCGCAATCAAGCTCTACGAGGCCAAGCAATACAAGAAGGGTTTCAAATCTGTCGATGCCATTCTCAAGAAGCATCCAAAGAATGCCGACTCCCTTGCCCTGAAGGGTCTTTTTCTGAATCACTTGGAACGTGATTCTGAAGCTGACGACCAGTTCTCTGCTGCATTTGCTAGCAGCGCGAGTTCCCCCATGGCTTGGCAATTTTACGGTATTTGCCTGCGTAACAGAAAAAATTATCCCGAAGCTACAAAAGCTTTTTCTAAAAGTCTTCAGCTTGATCCGGAAAACTATTCTCTTATTCGCGATCTTTCTTCTCTTTATGTCCAGTCTCGCCAGTACCCTGAAGCTGCTGTCATTCGCCACAAGCTTCTTCAAAAAAACCCTGATTATCGTCCATACTGGACTGGTCTGGCTGTGGTCCAGTACCTTTCTGGTAACCCCGCTGCTGCTGAATCAACTCTTTCTAAGTTCGAATCATTGATCAAGATTCAGCTTCCCAAGACTGACTTGGAGAACTCGGAATCTCTTCTTTTTCACAATTTGGCTATCTACAAACAAGGCGATGTACAGCGCGCTCTCGACCATCTTGAAACTATTGCTGATAAAACAGGTGATCCTCTTGCTATTATGGAATCCCGTGCAAAGTATCTCCTAGAGCTTGGACGCTTTAAAGAAGCTGAACGTGAATACCGTGCTCTTATTAAGAGAAACCCTGATGATCCTAAGTACTACCCGAAGCTTGAACAGGCCCTTCAGATTGATCCTGAAAATATCACTCTCCGTAAGCTTCTGTACAGAAACTTGGCTCTCAAATATCCCCGTGCTGATGTCCCCAGCTACACTGGTCTTGAATTGAGTTTTGGTGAAGAATTCAAGTCTGTTCTTACTAAGTACTTGCGCGAAAAAATTCTTCGTGGTGTCCCTTCTACTTTTGTTCTTGTCAAGGCTCTTTATCATGATTCTGAAAAGAAACAAATTATTGAAGAAGTTATCTTTGCTCTTGAAAAAGAATTTTCCGGTGAGTCTGCCACCAATACCACTGCTATTCTTTGGACCAATTACTTCATTTGTCAGCACTATGACCTTGTGGGCAATTTTGAGAAAGCTCTCGAGTATCTGGAAAAATGTATTCAGCAATCTTCTGATACTGTCGAATTTTCTCTTACTAAGGGTCGTATTTTGAAGCATGCCGGTGATCTCACTAATGCTGCTCGTGTTATTAACGCTGCGCGTAAGACCGACCTAAGTGACCGTTACACCAACACTAAGACTGTTAAGTACCTGCTTCGAGCAAATGATTATGTTGAAGCGGTTGTTACTGAAAGTATTTTCACTCATAATGATTCTCACAATGTGGGTCTGCGAGATGTAGTTTTCATTCAAACCCTTTGGGCTTTGATTGAACATGCCGAGTTGCTTGCTCGCCGTGGCGATGATAGTTTTGCTCTCAAGCGTTTCGATGATATTTTCAAAACATTTTTTGAAATTTACACTGATGAATTTGACTTTCACGGATTTTCAATGCGCAAGGGTACTGTGCGCGCCTATTTGGATATGATTGACTTCACAAGCCGTGTCTACGCCCATCCTACCTATCTGCGCGCTCTTACTGGTGCAGCCAAAATCTACTTTAAGATTCATGACCAGCAGGTTGCTCATACTTTGCAGGAACACAAAATTGAGACTCTCTCTGATGCTACTTCCAAGCAAACTGCTGAGGAAGCTCTCAAGGCTCAAGACGATGCTGCCGAAAAATCTCTTGCTGACAAGAAAGCCAAACTGGAAGAAGAATTAGAGCTTATTCAAAAGCTTTGCACTGAAGCTGCCGACGCTCGTCATGCTCTTTCTACTCCTAAACCCAATGACCTTCATAAAAATGTCAAGCCAGATCCTGATACTTTTGGCTTTGGTCTTCTCGAAACGAAGGAGCCACTTGAGGTTCTTTTCAAGCACTGGAAGCCACTCAGTGAACAGGCTCCTGAGCATCTCTCTACCTGGGAGCTTGGCTTTGAAATCTACTTGCGTCAGCATAAGTATGTTTTGGCCATGCAGGTTATTTCTTCTAAAATCAAGGGTGTTACTGACACTGTTGTACCTGACTATTGGGTTGCTCAACGTGCATTGCGCCTACGTGCCGTAATTGAATCTGAAGAAGAAAACATTGTCAACCCGCCTCCTCCTGCCATCAAAGTTCTTGTTGGTCGCACACTCCCAACCATCTATCCTGGTCTCAAGGATGCTCAAGATTTGACTGCCTTTTATAACGAAAAGGTTCTTAGTAACGAGGCTACTGATAGTGCAGACCGTGTTTTTGACTGGATTGAGGGGCTTAAGACCTTGGTAAAAGATTCAGTTGCTTATCGCAAGCTCGTTGAACCTGTTTTGTTTAAGCTTGGTTTTAGCGACATTAAGACTGTTTTTAAGAGTGTTGCTATTCTCAAGGACATTGATAGCCCTAAGTATGAAGAGTATGTGCAAGCTGCAAAAAAGGAGTGGCCTTTGGCTACTGCCTTTTAAAAGGAACAACATTCTCAATTGAAGAAGAAAAAAAAAAGAAAATTATTAGATCAAAAAAAATCTAGATTATAGTTTTTTTTAGAAAAGTACAAAAGGTTTGATTGTAAAAGAATACCATAAAGGCATATTGCTTTGTATTTAAATAAATTATGGCGGCACATCTGCTACTTTCCAGAAGCCCCAGATGTACCGCCGCACTGAAATGAATATATCCTTTGAATAAAAACAAATAAATAAATAAATAAATAAATAAATAAATAAATAAATAAATAAATAAATAACTTTGATGGGTAATCAAATACCCGCCTTAACAGGTTTTTTTGGTCGAAGATGTGGAACCGCAAGTAGTAGCCCCACTTTTCCCTGAATTGCCTGACGAAGATGCTGCTGCCGACGATCCTCCAGTGCCACCACTTCCAGATCCTGACCCTGATCCGCCGTTTGATCCTGACCCAGATCCTGATCCTGATCCCGATCCTCCAGTTGAGCCAGAGCTTGCGGTTACACTTTTTCCATTAGTACCTGAGCTCACAGTTGTGGTAGTTCCTTTACCACTGGATCCGGAGCCTGAGCCAGATCCATTACCAGAGCTTGCTGCACTAGCCCCAGAACCTTTAAAGGTACTGACAATAGCACCAGCATTTTGTCCTGTGGCCGAACCTGCGGCAGCACTACCATTAGAAGTTGAACCAACATTGACAGTTTTGCCGCTACCAGAAGAACCGGCTGCTGCTGATGCCGGACTTGATGAAGAGGTGCCAGAACTAGCAGAAGAACCTGTACCAGAAGAAGTGGTTGGCTTAGACGAAGAAGTGGAACTTGAAGAAGTTGCAGGTTTCGAAGAAGTGGTGGAGGTCTCTGAGGATGATGTTGCAGGCTTTGAAATTGTGGTACCACTGGAAACATTAGATCCCGATGACTTAGTACTCGATGAAGATGTAGTCGGCTTAGAAGTAGAGCCAGCAGACCCAGCAGACCCTGAAGATTTAGAACCACTAGATGAACTCATAGGTTTAGAAGTAGAAACAACAGTGCCACTTGATGTTGAAGAGGGCTTGCTAGTTGTGGTGGATGTGGCAGGAGTGCTAGAAGTTGCTGTATGAGTACTTGTGGAAGCAAAAGCGGTGCTAGAAGTAGATGAAGGAGCACTACCAGATCTGGTAGAAGAGCAGGAACTCTTGCTAGAAGTCTTATTTCCAGAGCAACCACCAGAGGAAGAAGCTGGTTTCGAAGAACTTGAACTGGCCGTACCTGAACTGTTACCTGAACTGTTACCTGAACTGGCCGTGCCTGAGCTGGCTGTTGTGCCTGAAGTTTTACCAGAAGTAGTGCCACCGGTACTACCTGTGCTAGCTGTGGTTCCTGAAGTCTTTCCAGTAACAACTTTGACTCCTGATGATGTTTCTGAACCACCAGAACTTGCCGCCGCAGCAGCAGCTGGTTTCAATGATCCAGAGCTGGCACTAGCGCCTGCACCAGAGCCTGAGCCTGAGCCTGCACTCGAATTAGAGCCACCAGATCCAGCACTCGAACTAGCTCCACCAGATCCAGCACTCGAACTAGCTCCACCAGATCCAGCACTCGAACTTGCTCCGCTATCACTGCTACCAGCACTGGAACTGGAGCCACCATTTCCGGCGCTAGAACTTGCTCCGCTGCCACCAGATCCTGCACTGGAGCTTGACCCCCCTCGACCAGAACTGGCGCTAGAACTGGCACCACTACCACCACTACCTGAACCACTTCCTCGGGCCTTCAAGTACTGAGCTGGCGTGTTTGCGGAGTAAGCATCAAAATTTGCGACTGGAGCCGCAAGAGCCGAAGCGATAAAAATAATGTAAAGGGAATTGTTGAATTTCATAACTATTGATTATTTTTAATGTAGAGAAAAGTGCTAAAGATTATTTTTTGAAATAATAAATTGTAGCTTTTAGTTTAATATGATGATCTTCAAATGAAAATATTTTACAGGATTGATGAAAAAAGAAGAAGAAAATCCCCAAAATATGACGAATTTGGACCCTTTTTATATATATATATTTTTTTCCTCAAATATTCCAGCAAAAGTCAATATATTTCTTTTGTCAACTCAAAAGAAAAGAGTTCTCTCAGTTTAGGCAGATGATAGGTTGTTTCAACGCTGCTGTCAGACGATTCGACAAAATAAAAACTGAATTCATTACAAATTATGGTTACTCCTATAATACTATAGGCAATGAAATTATATAGAACTTCTTTGAGCCAAATTATCATTCGATCTTACAGATACACATATAGTCCTGGAAGTTCTTTTTTTATTAAATTCTACTTTGAAGTAAGGTTAAATCTGAAATTAATGATAAACATTGACAAACCTATTTTTTTTTTGTATAATGAGAGATGGATGTCTTCATTATTTTTTTGCAAACTGATATGTAGTTAGTTTTCAGGCGTGAGGGGAATGCATCATGAAAACAGCTGTCCAAAATGCTTGTTTATTTCTTCAATCGAGTTTAATAATTGGGTTAGTATTTAGTTGCTTGAATATCGGAAACCGAAAAAAGCAAAGAAATAAGGACTATTAAGAAATTTTTGGTATTTTTGGTATTTTTGGTATTTTTGGTATTTTTTCGGCGTTTTTTTTCTTGTCAAAATTCCCATATTGAACTATGTGCATATTGTTAACGGATTCACATTTTTCTTAATTAGGAACATGAGGCTGGGGTGGTTTGGCAATTTTTAAAAAAAACAATGATAAACACTATTTTGTTTTCATAAGCTTACAAAGTTTATTAATCTATACCCAAATCTTGGATAGTTGCTATCTTTTTGTGAAAACTTTGTTTAAAAAGGGTTTTGATTGTTCTTGTAAATACTTTGCTTCTCCCCTTTCGTCAGGTCGATCATTTTATGTTTTCTAATTAACTCTACCAATAGTACACTGCTTACTTAGTTTTATTTAACAAATTTAAGACTTTTGAGCTATGGCGATATTTAAAAGGCTCTGTAATAGAAACATAAAAACTTTTTAAGTAAATTGTTAAACAGTTTTCAAGAGTGAAATTTTTAAAAAATGAACAGAGTCCCATGCATGTATGGAAACATGGTTTCTAGATATTACCAATAGTAACATTTTGGTGTTATTGTAGTCTTTTTGCTTTTAATCAGGTTTCGTGCTTATATTCTTGATAAACACTTGAACAAAAGAGTCGGCATGTTCCAGGTAGTTTCTTTAACATGAGAGTTTTTTGATATTCAAAAGATCTAATTGAGAAGTGCGCGTTTTGTCAATTCATTAGATTTTAAAAACTCTGAATATTAGCTTTATCTTCCTAAAAATGCTTTTTTCTTTATCACCCCTCTTGACCTAATGGCATAGTGGATCCAACAAGCAAGATGTATGCACTCATGTATCCAAAATTAAACTGGACATTCTATTGCTCAATTGGGACTTAAACCTTATAGAGACATTAAAGAGAATTCGTTGAAATAATTCTCGAAATCTCCAAGGGTAATTAAAATTAAAAAAAAATGGCTTTGTTTTGTTTAAAATATTTGTTATTTTTCTTGTTATAATTATTTGTCGGCAATATAATGTGTTTAAATTGACCCCTGTCAAATTTTGTCAGTACGATGTTTAACAAGCGAAGGTTTTAAAATTTTAAAGAAATTACATTGTTTTCTTGATAATCCTCTCAGGAACATATTCAGGAACGATTTTTTTAACTCAAGAAGCTAGGAAAACAATTTCGGTATTGATTTTTAATTTTTTTTGATTACTTGGTTACTACCTGACTTGACTGAATTAAGTGGCTTGCAGAGAATCGCGGCGGGTGGTGTTTTGAAAGCTCAGGCAACATAACTAGATTGTCAATCATCATTGTTTTTATACTCTATTTAATATGTGCAACTGTTTCAACAATTGTGATTATTCTATTTTTATCTTGGTAAAGATTGGGTTTTTTCTGAAAATGATTCTTAGAAATCACAAGCCCATTTTTTAAGAAGGTATGAAATACCATTCAATATCTTTATTGATTTGGGTAAAAATTTAATATACCTGAAAAAATCTCTCATGAAAAAAAACAACTGATTTTAAACCTTTTTTTTAAAATATTTAAAAACTAGATTCTATTTTTATCAATATTTTTTTTTTCACTCGCCGCTCAAATAGACCTTGTATCCTTCATGAATTAAAGCATAAACCTTTTTTCTAACAAAATGAAAAATTCTAAATAAGCATGACCTAAACCATGTTCTCGTTAGTTTGGGTATTTTTCAAAAGCCTATTTGGTATCGGAAAAAGTAAAACTAATAACCCTAGTACATATATAAATAATATATTATTTAGTTATGTGATTAGTAAGTTATTCATTGGATTGTAGTTGAAAGTTTTTTTTGTTTCATTTATAAGGCAACCTTTTTAATTTTATGGTAGATTTTTCTTTATTAGTATTTCTTGATCTTTTCATATTAATATGGTACCTTTTTATGAGAGGTCGATAGTGAAACTCACATTGATAAATAGTAAATCGGTCCCTTTTCAGCACATATAATTACACAAGTACATTTATTTTCTGTTTCGAATAAAAAAATAACACATGTGTTATTTTTTGTACATGAGATAAGAATATTGTTTGGTTATCATTCTAGGTATCTGTTGTTAGATATTATCTCCAGATTACTGTTAAATCAAGGATTTGCAACTTTACTAGATATCTTAACTAATCAATTAGGACTTCCAAGCCAAGAGTGCAATTAATATTGGGAGTTTAATAGTATCAAAAAAAACCTTCATAGATTTATGTTTCAATATTTTTTTTAAATAATGGAATTAAAAGGCTAGAATTTCATTTTATCGTATGATTTGAAACTAATGAAAATGCTAAATCCCTAGAAAATCTGCCAATAGGGCACTGATCAGATCTAAATCCAAAAAAAATATGCCCACTAATTTAAATTCCGAATAGAACTATTTGCTACTTAATAGCATGAATTTCTCATTGAGATGAAAAAAGAAGAGCCATGAGGCTTGGTTCAAGCTGTTTTGCAGAAATTCTGACAAAGATTTCCCTGATTTCGCACGTGACATCGTTACAATTACTTTACCAGCATCGATTTTATTTGAAAAAAATCAGCAAAAAAGCTGGAAGAGATATCAGATATAATAAACTCATGAGTTGGTTAGATATCTTTTTTCTTAGTATTTCTAGAGTTTTTTTTTTTTTTTTTTTTTTTTTTTTTGAAAATGGTAATTTAGTTAGAAAATAACAAAAAGGGTAGGTATAATGTGTTTAAAAAGAAACAATTGGTATTTTGAGGAATTCCAATCAACAAATTTCCGGCAGAATGAGTTTTTTCAAGTTAAACGTTTGTCAGTTTTAAAGTACTACAGGCATTTGAGGATTTACTATATCAGTAGATAATCTAAAAAAGCAGCAAATAAAAATCGATTAGAAACGAAGGCAAAAGAAGAAATATTTAGATACTGTGGAGTTCAGTATTTTTCTTTTGATTTTTGAACAAAAGTTTCATGCTTTTCTTAAAAAATAAACCCACATATTATTTCCTTAAACCGTCTTTTAGTTGCCATTCAGGGCCCTTATAGTGTCTAAATTTATAACTACCCATTAACTTCGGCAAGCAACTAACGCTCTCCGACGGCCTTGTTAGTTGAATAAAAACGTGAAATAACAAGCGGAGAAGTGTAATTGACATTTTTAGAGAATAAAAAAAAACAGCAACCCATTTTTTTCACAGCCACCACAAGAGGACTCTGGGGTTCGGGTAGAAAACTGTGGAGATGGTCTAGACTTTCTGTGAAACGCTTTGCTTATTTCTTTCTTTGTATTATCTTCTAAACCATGGTAATTTGTGCTTTAAATAGAGTCTGAAAAAAAATCTTGCTCTTGTCCTGGTATCAATGTGTGACTGGTTAGTTACGTTTTTAATAATTTGTATAAAGTTGCTGCGAATAAAAAAAATTTTAGCGATTACCCACCGAAGTGGGGCAGTTGGATCCCAAAAAAAGAAGGGAATTGCGCTATGTCGTTTTCCTCTTAAAAGAAACAGAAACAAACATTCATTTTTTAAATATTTGAAGATTATTTTTGGATGAATTGAATTAATAAAAAATAACTGGTTTAGAAGAGATTCTTGTGAGGATACTCTTTGTTATATTCAAAAATTACGGTGGGGAGAAAAAAAGGAGACTCGGATGATGGCCAATTTGAAAATTGATATTCAAGGTAGTTGTTTATTTTCATCTCATCCAGTTGGTTAATTGATAACTGAAATAGAGTTATTGTGCTTTAGTAATATCTCTCAAGGCTTCTTTCAAAATAAAAAAGTAAGCAGAAAAGGTTATCTGCTTTGAATTTTTGTGTCTATTTTTCTGCGTTGCAATTAATAAACCCCCTTCTCGTTAGCCAAAAATCCACGACTTCATTCACTAAAAGCATCAGGACAACCGGAAAGACCCACACCTATACGCATACACACGCGTCAACAAGCTCATCATCAGAGTGCTAGTTTTGAAATGTTGTTTTGTGTGCTTGCTTTCTCCTACGATATAATGAAAGAAAAACTTAGATTACTATAACTGACTTTGACGATAAAGAAGTTAATTTTTTGTGCCTTTTGATGGGACATTGTGCTAGTTTAATACTATTTTTCCGTGAGCTTATACGACGCACCGCGTACAGGTTTTTCCGTAATTAATTTTAAATTCCCACGTGCCGCAATGCAGCAAAAGCCTTTCTTCGAGAAATAGCCATAAATATTTTCAATTTGATGCTTTTGCTGTTCCTGCTGCTTTTTTAGAAAATATTGTTAAGGTTTTGCCGTGTTTAAAGAATATCTCAATTCCTTCTTCTTATCTTCATAAACCTAAGAAGGAGGCTGAGCAATGGTGGTTGAGTTGGAATATTGCTGATTTCTGACCTGAAACTTGGATCCACGCTAGAGGATCCTTCTTATCACAATTTGCACCTGGTGTACCTTTCTGCTGGTAATGTTTATGGCAATAATCATCAACATGGCCCAGGCACACACACACGCATGCACATTCAAACCTGTAGGCCAGATCATTTTTTAGATAGTGTAAGAAATTGAGGGTTTTTTAAACTCGTAGTTTAAAATACCGCTTTTTTCATTAAATAAAACTAGATTACGCAGATCAACACTATTAAAACAAAATAAAATAAAATAAAATAAAATAAATAACAGAAACAATCACCATCAAGGTTTCTTTTATGTTTGTTGTTTTTTATCACTTTATATTACTTTACTAGTCATTCCCTCTAAATCATGATTTCAGTCTCCGCCACGTTGCCAAGCAGTCTGCCCTTTTTTTTCCTGATTTTGGGAGCAAGTTAGTAATGACTAAGATAGTTTTGTTCTAAAGACTTTTCTTGGCCCTTGTTATAGTTTCCAGAATGTTAAAACGAGTGGCTTATCAATCACCATTACCTACTCCAGCATAGCTTCTTTTCTTGCTCCAGGGCAACTATGGGCAAATAAGCATTGATAAATCTCACCAAAATGGACTCTACTAAGCCTGAATTCATTTAAATAAAAAAATGTGAGGCTAACTTTAACCGATAGTTAATCCTAGTTATACCAAGAATTAAAAAAAATTTAAGATTGATGAACCCCTTTTCCTGGAAATTAAAGGGGAAAAGTACAAATGAGCAACCATCTTATGCTTGGTCTTTACAAGAACTGCTCAGTATAAATCAATATTCTGCTTTTTTGATAAAGTTTTTTCTTTTTTCTTTTTTTTTTATTTTGCTCATCTAAATTGTGAATTTATTTTTATACCTTCTTCGTTTATAGTTAACTTATCTAATTGAGGTACTCAAAAGTGGTATCCATGGAAGCAGTATCTTAAGAAAATGGCTTCTATACATGGAAATTTTCTGGGGTTCTTAATATTAAAGGGAAATCAAAAATATAAATATATCCTCGATTCCCATCTTTGGTTTAGCCTTTTTAGCATTCAGTTTTTAATGTACATTTAAACGAAGATAAATCAACCAACAAAAAAATTTAAAAAAATGCCATTTTCACAAAATAACATCAAGCAAGATTATACAATCACACAAGCAGAGGTTTCCGGCGCATCCTCAATCATTTCAGGCAGTCCTATTAAAAACCAAATAGATTTAGAAAAACAACTATCAGGCGAATGGTGTGAAGACGTTCGAGACCGAATTTTCAACTATCATATTTCAAGCATAGAAACTCCGCAACAACAATCCCAAAACCATCCGTCAAAGCATCAGAAGATATCTTTCCATCTACCAACAAAAGAAAAATCAGGTGAACAAAGCTTATTTGAAAACACAAGAAATGCCCAGCAGTCAATTCTTCAGCATTCGCCACTATCAAGCTCAACATCACGTGTGGTTGACTGGCTTCAAGTCTTGGGTGGATTCTTGGCTATGGTGAACTCTTGGGGCTGGTACGGTGTTTTTAAAACGTTTTACAACTTGGAACTGCTCAATGATCGACCACTGTTTCACATTGCTTGGATCGGTTCCATTCATACTTTTCTAGTCATGACCGGGGGAATCATGATGAGCAACCGGATGGTGGCTGCTGGGTACACAAAATTGGTGATGAGTCTCGGGGCTGTCATTACAGCCTTGGGCATGATGATGGTGTCACTGTCCAGTAAATACTATCAAATTGTCCTCTCTCAAGGCGTGGTCATGGGTATTGGGTGTGCCTTCTCTACTTCGGCAGCAATCCCTACAATCAATGCATATTTTTCAGCCAAGCCTCAACTTTCGGCAAGCAGTAGCTGTAGCAGCTTTACTACCAACGATAATCCCAACCCTGTAAAGGATTGGTACAGAAGGTATCGCAAAGCTATTGCAGTGGCCCTGGCATCCACAGGTGGTGCTCTCGGCGGTATCATTTACCCAGCAATGGCCCTTCGCGTTGTCCCTCACATTTCGTTCCCCACAGCTGCTAAAGTGATTGGTGCCATTATTTTTGGAACGCTAGTTGTTGCAACCTTGCTGCTCCGGCCGCTGCCTTCGGCGCCACGCCCAGTATATACTCTGTTAGGTAATTCTGAAACCGGTGAGCCTTCGGTATTCGTTAAAATCAAGTCCGCGCTATCTGAAAATGTGTTTGACTTTAGTGCTCTGACTGATATAAACTTTGTGCTATTATCGCTCGGAGCTATGGCCTTTAATGCCGGGCTCTATGTGCCCATTTTTTTCATTTCGCAGTTTGGTATTGCATATGGAGCCTCACTAAATTATGCATTTTACCTGCTGCCAGTTCTCAACTCTGGATCAGTTTTGGGCCGCGCACTGCCGCCCTTTCTGTCCCAAAAACTTGGGCCCTTCAACTCACTACTGGCATCGATGGCTGCATGTATTGTCATTGGCTTTGCCTGGCTAGCAGTCTGTGACTCAGGTGGTGTCGCTTTGTTTGCAGTCATGTTTGGGCTAACATCGGGTGCTTTCATGGCTTTGCCAAATGCATGCTTTGCAGCAGTGTCTCCAAGTGCTGCTATCGCAGCCAAACGCACCAATGTAGGTGCTTTCATGTCAAGTGTTGGTATTCTTGTGGGTCCGCCATTGGGCGGCCTACTCCTTCGAGATGGGGACTCTGACTTTTTCCGGAGTCAAATATACACTGGAACACTTATGGCGGCCGGAGGGGTGCTTGTTTTGGCAGCAAGATTATCTTTTACGAGGGGCCAAATATTTGTCAAGGTTTAAATAAATGTTTACGATTAGGTAAAAAAAAAAATAAAAGTTCATGAATAAGTTTTAATCTCCTTAAAATACTCAAATCAACTTTAAAAGACAAAAAGTGGTCAAAATCATTATCATACAAAAATTCTATATCCAAAGAAATTTTTGTGCCGTAAAAAAATCCCTACCCAAGTTGCGACAGAAATTTTTTTATTATTTTTTTATAAACATACAAGGCGAGATCGTTTAGATGTAACCAACTCTGCTGGCAACGTCAAGAGCATCGTGCTCAGGAGTGAGCTTGACGAAAGCCTTCTTAGCACCATCGGCTCTGACAAGAGTGTTAATCTTGAGAGCATCAACGTTGTAAAGGGTCTTGACAGCGTTCTTGATGTCAGTCTTGGTAGCCTTGTTGTCGACGGTCAAGACAAGAGTGTTGGCATCCTCAATCTTCTTAATAGAAACCTCACTGTTGACGTGGCTCTTGACAACCTTGTAAGCATCAAGTCTGGCGTAGTGAGAGATGGACTTTCTCTGGTACTTGGGGGTTCTAGCAAGCTTAAGAGTCTTGGGTCTGTGGAAGTTGACCGAAGAGCGGACCTTGATGAGCTTCTTAGAGTTGGAACCCTTAACGACAGCCTTCTTGGCGTCGAGAGCCTTCTTTTGAGTAGCAGCTAAAAAATACATGTCAGTAATTAATTCCAAAGTTTCCTTCAATACACTTCAATGTTTCCATCTTCTCATTTTAATCTTTATATTGCCCTCTAAATAAAGTCAACTATAAATTTTATATATTCAAATGATATATACAGTTGAATCAACATTCAAAGACAAGGTATTTTTCTAATAGCTCAAAAGCAACACCGTTAGGTATAAGTTCCGTAATTTCGGTAAATAATTTCATTTTCATTCCTTCGTTCAACAAGATATCAATGAGAAGACGGGGTATTTAGTATAAATATATATATTCATTTAAATAAATATATGTAAATATACAATAATAATCATGTTCATGACTTACCGGCAGCCATTTCTATTGTATGTTTCTGGGGACGGCAATGATGGTCGTGGGAGAGCTCAGAAAACTGTCAACTAGACAAGAAGGGAGGGAAAGGGAAGGTTGTGCGCGAGGGGGGCCTGGAGAGTGAGGAAAAAAATTTCGCACCACTTGGAGAGACCGCTGGTTGTTACAAGACGCCATCGCGTCCATCTATATTCACTTTTGTAACAAACTGCAAGGCTTTAGAAAAAATAAAAATATAAATAAAAAATGTACGGCCCGAGCTTGTTACATCTCTGTTACAATTTGAGTCAGCAGTATGTTGACGCTGAGTAATTCACTTTGAAAAGTTTTTTTGACACGACTCACACGCGTTCAGCCGTGCATTTACCCCCTTAATTTGTGTAAACAAACTTTATGTTCTGTTTTGTACCAAAGCTTAAGTATATTTCAGTATTAAAACCCAATTTAGACACAACCCTAATTTATAAAATAGCCCTAATTAAGTGACATTACAACAGTGTACATTTCTCTACTGCTACAATTTGGGAACATCCCCACAAAACGTCATTTGCGACAATCACTTATCGCCGATAGGTTATCGGCGTTGTAAAATCACAAAAATGGAATAGTCACTGTGGTTTTGATCTTTGTTGTTCAATGAATTTTGTTGAATTTGAAGGATATTTAATCTTATTTAAACATTTAACACACGGGATAACAGATATGTAAATTAAAGATCAACCAAGTTAAGAAGGGTCATCCTTTCGACTTTCGACATTTTCTATTTATTTTCCGGTCTTTGTTCATATGTAAGAACCATTTTAATTACTTGTTTGAGAATTTTTGCTGATTTCTGTTTAATGGACCCCCTAATTATGGCTCTTGAGATTGATAAGAAATTTTCAACTTTGAATTAAATTTTTTCATTAGCTTATAGTTTCTCTTTTCTAGAAATTTGTTTACTAATTAGCAAGTCTTAGTCTTTATAAAGACTTGTAAACTCCCTGTAACCATTTATGCCCTCTTTTCAGCTTGAAATGTTTAAATAGCGCCCATAAAAAACTCTTTTAAATTTTGGTTGCCGCCCTGTAAAACATCACACTTTTGGGCACCACCACTAAAACCACTATAAACCTCCTTCAACATTCCTCAGCATAAATTGTACTCTTGAATATCATCATTGTATTGCCATCATCCCAGCAGCCAGAAAAGCGTAAGGTCATGGGGAAATGCAGAATCCATCTCTTCTTACCGATCGACAGCGGTCTGAGTTGTGAGTGTCTATCAACAGATAATGACGGAAGTATAACTAATGAGCTTGTATGTTTAGAAACCGAACAATATTGGCATACCTACGCTACAATAATATACCAACTGGAGTGGTCAAAGGCATAAGCCACGTATTAAACGGTGATGCATCTGAAACAGCGTTTCCAAAGCAAATAGGATACTTGGAAAACATTGATGAAGATAACGACGAAGGCTTTGAAGATGAAGATGAAAATGAAATTGCGCGGCGGCAAGAACAAGAACAGCTAGAAACCAAAAAACTTGCACAAGTACTCGAAAAAAAATGGACATCAGTCGTTCGGTTACAACGAAAAGTACTTGATTTAGAATCTCAAGTAGCCAATCTTTCACAGGAGCTTGAAAACATGCCAGTTCTGGCTGCTGGTCGACGTGGAGCTAGTGGTCGTGGAGCCAATGGCCTTGGTAGTGCAGTCGACCCTGTTTCCTGGTTACCGCGTGCACCTGCAAAGTTTTCCCTCTCAGGGCATCGCCAACCCATCACATCTGTTGCATTCCATGCTGTGTACTCAGTGTTGGCATCTGCTTCTGAAGACGGAACCATTAAAATCTGGGACTGGGAACTTGGCGAGTTGGAACGTACAATTAAGGGTCACACCAAAGCTGTTCTAGATGTAGATTTTGGCGGCAGAGAGGCTAGTAGCGATGGAAATGGAACCAGTTCTACAAGTGGATATCTATTAGCTTCGTGCTCATCAGACTTGACAATCAAGCTGTGGGATCCAGAAAATGATTATGCCAACATTCGTACACTGACGGGTCATGAACATACAATTTCTTCAGTACGATTTACACCATCTGGTGCACATTTAGTTTCAGCATCCCGAGATCAAACAGTCCGCATATGGGAAGTCAAAACTGGGTTTTCCGTACGGACTATCAAGGCACATACAGCTTGGGTTAAGTGTGTGATACCTACATGGGACTCGCAGTACGTGATTTCCGGTGGCATTGACCAAACTGCCCGTATTTCGAGCATTGTTACTGGTGAAACTAAGCTGACTTTAACAGGCCATGAGCACGTTGTAGAATGCGCTGCTTTTGCACCTGTGACGGCACATGCCCACCTTGCTGCACTGGAAGGTGTCCGAGCTCCAGTTGCTTCAGCCTTATCACCTTCTTTTGAGTATGCCGCTACTGGTTCTCGTGATAAGACTATTCGTTTATGGAACACTCGTGGAGAACTGATTGCTACGCTGCGCGGACACGACAATTGGGTACGTGGCCTTGCGTTCCACCCTGGCGGCCGGTACTTACTTTCAGTTTCGGACGATCGTTCTATTCGATGCTGGGACTTGACTCAGAAGGGTCGCTGTGCTAAAGTACTTTCCGACGCTCATCATCACTTCATTTCATGCATTAGATGGGCTCCTCCCATTTCATCAGCCAACGATTCCATCGAAACCGCTGCTGGCGGAACACAACAGTACTCGCCTACAAGGACGCGAACCTCTCCATCAAAGCTGTCACTAGGCAAACCGCGAATTGCTGGTTCATCTTCTGGATCAGTTATGGGAGGAATCTCACGTGCACTAAGCAGACACAATACACCTGCACAGCGCTCTACAAGTGGCAGCGGGACCTCTGGAATACTGGGTTCGGGCGGTTCACGACGCGTATTTTCTAACGGCAACGGTGGTTTACGTGATATTTACGGCACTCCAACTGTTCCAGCTGTTTCAAACACATCAGCTGGCGCTTCAGCAACTGAGGGTTCTGCTACAAGTGAAGATACAGCAACATCTGATACAAGTAGCTCAAATTTATCGGCTGCAAGTTTGCGTGGAATGCGTTGTGTGATTGCCACTGGCTCTGTGGATCTGGATATTAAAATTTGGATGTAAACTTTTACACCGGGCCAGAAACTACATTTTTATTGTGACTAGATTTTTTCTTCGCTTTCTTCTCTATGCATACTCATTAATATAGGAATTATATACCATTAGAAAGCCTCTTTTTTTGCATTTAAATTAATTTTGATATTTTTCTTAAACCAAATGATTGCAAGCAAAAAATTATTTGAGTGTATTGATAAATTTGAACACAGATTATGAATGAACTCACTGCTATTATGAAGTTTAATTCTTGAAAGAAGTCATCCAACAAGAAAATAGCAAGAGAGACACAATATAAACCGTTGTGATCAAAACACCATTTCATATTTTCAACAGTAAGTTATGCTTCGGACAAAATGCAATTCCTAATTGGACATGTAAAAACAAAATGTAGAGAATAAGAGATTTTTAATGAGAAAATTATTGGCAATTCTTATTTGCAGTATACTGTAGTTTAGAAGTAAATTTACTTAGTAACTTAACATTACACTATCTAAAACTACAGGATTAAAGTAGAATTATTGAATATGCAATATAACATTGGTATTTGAATACAGAATGACATTGAAGAACAAGAACGAAGGAGTTTAATTGATGCAAAAAATCAATACTTTGGTTTGAATACAGAAGATTGAGTGAATTAGTTATTATTCTTTTTGCCCCTTACTACACTTTTCGTTTTTAGTGTAACTATTTTAACTTTTTATCAATTTTTGCAGCTCAAAAAGTCAAAAAATTAATTTAAATGCTTAAAATTAATTAAAGAAAGTTATGAATTTTATAGAAATTTACTGTTTGTTTGTTTGTTTGTTTTTATTCAAGGGTTATAGAATTATATAACATCAGCATCTGCGCTATCCTTCTTGTCCATACTATATATCTTTTCATTTTAATAATAAACTTTTAATTTTGGCTTCAACATTGCATCTTGAACAGCCCGAAAATAAGTCCTGATGACAACTTACGAGGAACAGGGGGTTAACAATAACCAAACCTTCCCAACTTATCTCCACTTGTCTTCATCAACACTGTAATTGTATTTCTTAATCCCTCCAAGCAGAGATAAAGCTTACAATCTCTTGTAAGCCAGTTAAACTGTTTAAGAGAGTCGACATGTCCATCTCTGGAGATATCCGTTTCAGTCCTTTTCTTTCCTCTTCAAGCAAAGGACACTCAACCAAAATGTGATGAACTGTTTCCAGCTCTCCACATTTGCAGTTGTAACTATCCTTTTCAATTCCAAACTTTTTAAACCATGAGCCAAAGTTGCCATGGCTTAAAAATTTACTTAAAGTGCTATTTTAAAATACGATTAAGTCAAGACAATACATTTAAATAGATAACATTAAATACATTTTTTAATTGGTTCGATGGTCTAGTCGGTCATGGCATCTGCTTAACACGCAGAACGTCCCCAGTTCGATCCTGGGTCGAATCACATCTTTTTGTCAATTAGACTTTAATTTTGTGAAATATAAGTTCGGTTGTTTTGAACTTGATTGTTTTTAAAGATTATTTTTTATGGTTGTGTTTAGCCCTTTTTTTTTTTTTTTTTTTTTGAAAAGTGAAGTCCATTCACGAAATTACGTAAGATATATTTTTCAATGACAGTTCAGTTCAGTATACTAAAGAAACGTGTCTTACGAACAAAAAAAACAAAAAACCACTCTTTTGTTTTTTCAATTTCATTAAAATTTATTTGTTTAATCTATTAAAAAAGACTTTAATAATCGTTTTAAATTAAAAAAATATATATTTTTTACACTTTTTGGCACTTTTTTCAGTAATCTTTTACACATAAATGTGAAAATTCCAATTAATTAATATTGATGAAGTTATATATCACATGACCAGCACGTGACCACCATATGTTTTGTCAAGGCACCACCCGGACTTTAATTTTTTTTTTTTTTTTTTTAAAGAAAAACCCCAGCGTCTTGTTCACTTTACAAAATCACGACAAATCGACATATCAATGGCCACAAAACGAACAGCAGACGAAGAACCCCTAAACGAAAATGATCTTTGGAATTTTGTTTGTTTGGGTGGTGGAAGTGAAGTTGGCCGTAGTTGCCACATTTTCACATACAAAGGCAAAACTGTGATGGTAAGTCTCTAGAAGAGATGTACAAAATCATGATTTTTTTTTTTTTTAATTTACTAAAACAACAATTAATTATTAATATAGCTCGATGCTGGTGTTCATCCTGCATACAGTGGAATGAACTCACTTCCATTTTATGATGATTATGATCTTTCTACAGTAGACATTCTTCTCATTAGTCATTTTCATTTAGATCATGCGGCCTCGCTCCCATACGTTATGGAACGCACAAACTTCCAGGGGCGAGTATTTATGACACATCCAACCAAGGCCATTTACCGGTGGCTTTTAGGAGATTTCGTTCGTGTCAGCACAGGACCTGATTCTAATCATACACTATATACCGAAGCCGAGCTTTCGTCGTCGTTTGATCGAATTGAAACTATTGATTACCATTCAACAATGGAAGTGAATGGTATCAAATTCACAGCATACCATGCCGGCCATGTGTTGGGTGCTGCAATGTATTTGGTGGAGATTGCAGGTGTTAAGACACTTTTTACGGGTGATTATTCTCGAGAAGAAGACAGACATTTAAATCAAGCTGAAATTCCGGCACAGACACCAGATATCTTAATCACAGAATCGACATATGGAACGGGTATTCACCAGCAGCGTCTTGAAAAGGAGGCGCGTCTGACATCTCTTATCCATTCTACAATCAATAAAGGTGGTCGATGTTTATTACCAGTATTTGCATTAGGACGAGCTCAAGAGATTCTATTGATTTTAGATGAATATTGGGAGGCACACCCGGAGCTCGAAGGTGTCAACATTTATTATGCTTCAGTACTTGCACGTAAGTGTATGGCTGTATTCCAAACATACGTCAATATGATGAACGATTCTATTCGCAAAAAGTTCCGCGACAGTCGGACGAATCCATTCCATTTCAAGCATATCAAGAGTATCAAGAACTTGGATCGGTTTGATGATATTGGACCCTGCGTGATGGTTGCGGCTCCCGGTATGCTGCAAAATGGTGTTTCTCGTGAACTTCTTGAGCGTTGGGCCCCAGACTCTCGCAACGCGTTAATTTTGACGGGTTATTCCGTGGAGGGTACCATGGCGAAGCAGATTATCAACGAGCCAACGGAGATAGTTTCGATGAATTCTTCGGAAAATAAGATTGCTCGTCGACTTTCAGTTGAAGAGATTTCGTTTGCTGCACATGTTGATTTTAAACAGAATTCTACATTTATTGATTTAATTAGCGCCAAGTACATTATTCTTGTACATGGCGAAACAAACAACATGAACCGACTTAAGAGCGCATTAACAAGTAAATATAACTCGCGTAAGGGCACACCTGAGGAGGTTACCATTTTTAATCCTCGCAACTGCGAGGAACTACAGCTTCATTTCCGAAGCACCAAGGTGGCCAAGGTAGTTGGTGAGATTGCAACTGCGACGCTTATTGCTACTGCGGCAGCAACTAATGGACAGTTATCAGTCATTGACGAAAAGAAGCTGGCTATTAGTGGTAGTGGTGGGGTTTCTGTGCCACCTGTAACGATACCTAAGGATGGGCAAGTACTTACTGGTATTCTTGTGGAGAAGGATTTCCATCTGAGTCTTGTTGGTGCCAGTGACTTGAAGGAATATACGGGTCTGACAACGAGCATTGTGATGGAGCGCCAGTCAATCATAGTGAATGCCGGAAGTGATTTGATTCGGTTCCACTTGGAGCAAATGTTTGGCAACATAGAAGTGCTTGTGGACGAAAAGGACAAGGTGGAGTTTAAGGTGATGGATGCAGTTACAGTTATACACAGCAAGAATCTTGCCACAATAGAGTGGGTTGGAAACATTATGAATGATGCGATTGCAGATGCTGTTCTTGGGTTATTGCTTTCTGTGGACTCGTCACCAGCGTCTGTAAAGCTTTCTTCCAAGTCATGTTCACACAGTCATGGGGAGCACGGCGGTCACGATCCATTTATCGAAAAGGTTGAGCAAGTGAGTGCGATTTTGAGGGCACAATTTGGTGATTCGTATACGCTTGCGGAGGACCATCGGACGGCAACAATTGAGATTGATGCCATGAAGGCAGTGATTCATTTTGAAAGTCTTACTGTAGATTGTAAGGCCAAGACGTTGTTGCAGCGGATTATTCACGTTTTAGATCGTGCATCTTATACGGTGTCTCCCTTGGTTGGAGAGCCACGGACAGTGAAGAAGGAGACGACGGTTAAGGTGGAGGAAATTAAGGTAGAGGTGGTTAAGGTGGAGGATGAAAAAAAGCCATTTGTGAAAAGTGAAGTGAAGGAAGAACCTGGTAAACAAGAAAAGTAAAAGAAATGAGTTTAGAATGCTTTGAAATGGAAATGTTTAATAAATATATTATATCAATATTCAAATATAAATGAAAACAAATAATACCGGATACTGAAAGAAAGAAAAAAAAAAAAGAAAGATTTCAGATTGAATAAGAATGGATGGAATTTTTTTTTTTTTTTTTTAAAGTATACGCTTAGACTTTTGTCCATTGAACCACTCACTATTCATTATTTATAAGAAGATTGAATGATGAAATAAATCCATCACTGGAAATTTTATTTATATTTTTAAATGAAATCCCCCCCCTCTGAGTTGTGTGTAACAGTTAGTTTAGCCATTTTTGTCTACAAAAAAACTATATTTCCGGAAAAGATATTTTGAAAAAAAAAAATAAACGTTTTCAACGGCTACAAGTATTTGTTCAACAGAGGAGGAAAAAAAAATAATTAAAATTAATAGAATAAACAAGTTTCTTAATTCTTTTTTGTTTTTGAATTTTTTGTTTTTTTGTTTTGATTCATTCTATATTTGAATTTCAAAAACAAAGAAATTTTTCATTTTAAAATTAAAATTTAATTAATCTGTACTCATTTTGGTACACTTTGTTTTTTTTTTTTTTTTTTTTTTTCCCCCCTATCATTTAAAAACTATATATATTATCAACTACTACTACTAATTACTTTTTTCCATCCATTATTATCTTTGCATTGTTATTACACACACACATATATTCTTTCCTTCGTATTCCAAAAAAAATAAAAATAAATAAAAAAATAAAAATAAAAAATTACTAAATGTACATTTAAACACAAACAAACTTTTTGCTCCTCCTCAATTGTAGCCCTTCAAAACACTGTTAGGACTTGCTCCCAATAACGGTTGTTGATCAGGAGCCTCGTTGCTAGCCCTGCTCATCCAAGATGAAGCACTTGACTGGATACGTGAATCAGCACCAGTTCCATTACTACTGGTATTATTATTTGATACAAGAGCTTGTGCACCACCATCCCCATTGTCACCGCTAGGTCCAGCTGTTGCTCCTGATGTTATGATGCTGGGAGCATGCGAGCCGATATTATGTGTATAGTTTGTATGGACAGACCCAGAAGTCACGTCCTCAATGATAGTTTTATTAACACCATCCACCTGGACCACACTCTCAATGATGCCTCCCGTACGGTACGAGTGGATCTCGGGTTGAATGTTAGGCATGACACGGTCCTGGTATGCAATGTCACCGTGGCTCTGGTGATCAGTGGTACCAGGCACTGCAAGGTGCGAGCTTGCGTGGTGGTTTTGAGCCTCAATATCTTCGTAATAATGATCATCAGTGACATTGTTAGAAGTTCCTAGGCTGCGTCGAGAAAATCGGCGTCGGCCACCACCACCTATATTGCCACGGTCAGGAGATTTTGGAATAAGCAAAGCTTCTTCAACTGCACCTTGTTCAGTACGGTGGATTGTACCGTAATTTCCCTCAGGAGCTGGGAGTAACTGGCTGTCGATGGGGATAGAGTTATTTGAGTTTTTGGAGCTATGAGCATTAGGCAGAAGCAATTCACGGGAATTTTCCTGTGTCATAGTAGTGGACAAGTGGCTGGGTCGATATTCGCCGCCATAACTCTTGGCACGAATAACTGGGGCAGTTCCAGCGAGGGGAGATTCCGAACCGCCAGTTGCTGTGTCTGCGGAGGAGCTACTTGTTGAAATGCGGTGGTTGGTGGTATTATTATGGTTGTTATTATTATTTCCTGCGCTGCTTGCACCTGATGTAAAGTTTTCAAGGTTTGAACGCTTAATTGTAATGTTTGCGCTTGTTGTTTGCTTAGGGTTGGAGGCACGATTTAATGGGTTGAGGAGTCTACGACGGATAGGACCCTCTTCATTGTTATCAAGAACAAGCGATGATCTAGGAGAATGGCGGAAAAGAGCCATGGAAGCGACCTTGGAAAGAGCGACGGGAGTAGAACGACGAATAGCATTGTGGATATCAACGTAAACGTCGGATTCGTCGATAATTTCTTCTCCAATGAGTTCTTCAATAACGTCTTCAAGAGTGACAACGCCAAGAGCACCAATGGAAGCACCTGGAGTTTTAGAGACCACCACCATATGGGACTTTCCTTCTTGAAAGTAGTTGAGAATGTTCAAGCAAGAAGTTTCAGGGCCAGTTTCTGGGAGGGTGGCGAGGGGGAAAGAGGAGATGGGGAAGTTGTCTTCTGGATCATAAGTGATGAGAGTACGGACGAGCAGCATACCGATAAAGTTAGTTGGTTCATCAGGGGAGTGGATTGGGATACGGTTAAAGCCTGAGCGAAGGATTTCTTCGACAGTGGGTTCATCAAGACAAGTATCTGCGCTCATTGTGAAGACGTTTTCCATGGGGGTCATGATAAGAGCGACAGGTTTATCTTTGAGGTCGAGGACCGCGGAGATAATGGTAACTTCGTCATCATTAAGACGCTCTACACCCATAGTTTTGTGGAGGCCGACAAGGGTTTTAAGGCCTGCACGTTTGTAAATAGTACCGTGGTCTTCACCCAGTGTCCAATCCAGGAGCATTGCAACGGGGTATGCTACAGGGTACATAATGTACATGAGGGCCAAGACAAACGGGGCAAACCAAGCTCCGACTGAGAGGCCATAGCGGACAGAGACAGATTGGGGGATAATTTCGCCAAAGATGACGATTGCGACGGTAGATGAGACAATTGCGGGCCATCCTCCACCTAAAACACGATCTAGGACAATGGGTAGAGATTCATTTGTAATGACGTTTGAAACTGGAGAAGAAGAAAGGTTAGTTTTTTTTTTTAAGACATGAAAACAAATATATAATTTTTTTTTTTTTTAAAAAAATAATAAAAATAATAAAAATAATAAAAATAAAACATACGCAAAAGAGTGACCAAGACCCAATGTTTGCCACGATTTAGCAAAGAAAGAACTTTACCAGCAGCCTTTTTTTCATTTGGTTCTCCAGACTGTTGAATGACTTGGAGATAGATTTCGTCTTGACCCATGAGGCCGAGAGTAAGACCTGCAAAAACACCACCGAGAAGGACCAGGGTACATGAGATACCCATATCAATCCAGTAGTCGCGTGGAGACAATGGGTCTTTTGTCTTAAAGGTATCTACGAGATTGTTAATCTCATTATTGGTAGTAGTAGTAGTAGTAGTGTTATTTGATCGGGTATGGAGAAGTCCGAAGATTGGGTAGGCAGCAGCACGAAGAGGGACTTGGGTAAGAAGAACTAAGGCGATTTTAGCAAAAGAAAGAGTTGTAGCCGTGCGCAAAGAAGAAGAAGAAGAAGAAGAAGAAGATGATGATGATGATGATAAAGGTGAAGTCATGGATTTGTTATTTGAAGCAGTGGGGGTCGAACCACGGATGACTTGCTTTTTGGTTTTTATCGGGGGTTTTAAGATTGCCATGAAAGATGATTGATTATGATGTATTAGAATTTAATAATGTGATGGTGATAGTTGTTAAATATATATATATATATATTTTTTGTATTAGTGGTGGTAAAAGTAAGAAAGAAAAAAAAAAAAAAAAAAAAAAAAAAAAAGGGGAGGGAAAGAAAGAGGATTAAATAATTTTTAAAATCTTCAATTCTTACAACAACAACAAAACAAAGATTTTTTTGTTTCTTTTTTTATATATATATATATATATATATATATAAATAAATAAATAAATAAATAATCAACCCAAAAAAAAAAAAGACAATGTTCTACTATATTTTTTTGAATGGAAATATCACAATCACTATCAATATAATAATAATAATAATAATAATAATAATAATAATAATAATAAAAAATAAAAAATAAATCGCCAGTACCAAATTTTTTTTTTTTTTTTTTCGTGCAAACGGCGTGCGACTTTTTTTATTTTATTTTTATTTTTATTTCATTTTATTTTATTTTTTTTCTTAGGGCTGCCTGTCTTGTTCTGACTGTGTGGCTGCTACTGGACGGCCCGAAGAATTTTTTTTTTTTTTTTTTTTTTTTTTTTTTTTTTGGGTTGAGGCGTTGGTGACCTCTCACAACTAAAGGTTTCCCCACGCCAACTGAGATCATTAATTCATTAATTAATTATTATTATAATAATAAAAAGAAAAGAAAATTTAAATTAAATTAAATTAAATTAAATTAAATTAAATTAAATTAAATAAAGTACATACAACACTTGTTAAAAAAAAAATACCTTGCATGGGGGGGGTATTCCTTTTTTATTTTCGGATACATCCGTCCGTATTTTTCAAATATTTAGTATTTAGTATTTAGTATTTAAAACTTACAACCTAGTAATACTCAAGACCTAATAATCCCCCTCCACATTTAAAATTTCAACGACTCTTCTAAAATCCCCGCAAGACTCTCACGTAGCCGCCCATCATCATAAGAATGCACATCTGGAGCAAGATTCAGCACCCGACGCTGAGGAACTGCCCCGTCAACAAGACTCTCAATGTCTCCAGCACCAAAACCCAACTCTGAAATTCCACGCGGCTGATCGCCCAGCTTTACATACAGAAACTCCTTGAGCGCATCGCTCAAAATTTCACCTGCACTTTCCATCTTTGCATTGGTAATGTCTGCGCCAAAAATCTGCGCAGCCGCCAAATGGCGCTCCGGATTCGATGCTCCGGTAAACTTAAACACTGCAGGTGATGTCACAGCAACAGATACTCCATGAGGAATAATGGGGTGACCCACACTCTCGTACCCTGGATGCTGGTGGCCCTTATTCTGACTGGAAATCGGGTACGACAGTCCGTGGCATAAGTGAACACCGGCATTACCAAACCCAACACCCGCCAACGTCGCTGCCAACAACATATTCTCCTGTGCTTCATAATCTTCAGGATCACGGTATGCTCGCGGCAGATATGTCGCAGTCATCCGCAATGCCTGTAGTGAGAAAATGTCCGAAATTGGGTTCGCACCTTGGTACGCTGGACGCAAAATGGGATTGGTGGGTCTAGGAGTACGCTCGCAGTACGGAATTGCAGTCCATGATTCCAACGAATGGCACAAAACATCCAATCCAGACGATGCCTTAACTTGTGCCGGCATCGACAATGTGTTAAGAGGATCCACAATTCCCAACAACGGCTTAAGTGCACGATGAGCAATGCCAGTCTTGGACTTTTTTTCAACCAAATCGAAAATAGCTGTGCCTGTGGTTTCAGACCCTGTGCCTGCTGTAGTTGGAACTGCAATCAATGGACTTAATGGTTTATCTACTGGCCGGCCCTTACCCAATGGAGCATTCACAAAGTCCATGAGGTCTGCCTCAGGGTAGTTTTGAAATAAATTGGCAATTTTTGCCGTGTCAATGACTGATCCACCACCAACTGCCAAGTAAGCCTTGGGTTGGACCCTTCGTGCCCATTCAATTGCATCTCGCACTCTAAATAAAAACAAAAAATAAAATAAAATGCAATTAGAAAAATCCATTTCTTTTTTTTTTTTTTTTTTGTCACAATACTTACCCATAATCCTTAGGTTCAACAATAACATCTGAATAAATGTCATACTTGATCCCTTGAGACTCCAAAGCCTCAACAGCAACTCGTACTGGACTCAGATTAAGCAAATTCTTATCCGTAAATAATGCTACTCTGTCAATCCCCAGGTTCTTGAAATCCATTCCTATTTCCTGAGTCACTCCAGGTCCATACCGAATGTTACTAGCTGCCATTTCAAATGCATACTCTTTCTGAGGGATATCACTAGCACGGGCCGCACTCATTGCCCGTCCACCATGACGATTTGTTGTGTGGTCCACAGCCTTAAATAATGTGGAAAGCGATCCTGCGCTGGTAGCACCACTGGTGCACACATGACACGGACAAGCCGAGGGATGCGACTGTACTGCGCGCAAAAGACCCATAGCGCGTTGTCTAGCGGTTTGTGCGAGTCTTACAGACATTTTTTTTTATTTTTTTTTTTTGAATTGTTAGATTGTTAGATTGTTAGATTGATAGAAAGGAAATGATATGATTTAATTTAATTTGGTTTAATCTAAAAATTTTAAAAAAAAAAAAAGAGAGAAAGAAATAAATAAAGAAAAATGCTAGAGTATTTATAAGATTTTACCAAAAAGTATTTATATACCCCACACGTTATGTTTCATTAAACTAAAAAAAAAAAAAAATTTATATTCTTTGGAATCCTCTCTCCCCCCCCCCCATTCTGAAAACATCTGTCATACGGACTGCCGACCCGCTCCTCCCGAAGAGTATGTAGATGCGTTTATGAAAAGTGTCATCGCAATTTGTCGGTTGAAAAAAAAAAAAAAAAAAAAATTTAAATAAATAAATAACCGCCAATCCACTTTCTTGTCATATATATATATATATATATATATATATATACAAATGAAAACCACAATATATCTTTTTTTTTTGAACCGTTTGTGTTATATATATATATATATAAACTCCCATATTTCCTTTCCACCTTTAAAAGCGTTTGTTTGTTTGTTTTTTTTTTTTTTTGAACCCCCCGCGGGATGTCTTTGCAAATTTATTCTTTCTTACTTTTTTCTTTTCTTTCTTTCTTTCTTTCTTTCTTTCTTTCTTTCATCCTTCCCCACTAAAATTTACAATCAACAAACAGCACACAAAAGCAAACGGCGTCTATTATTGTGGGTGTCCCGCCCATATAACAAGTTACTTACATAAAACATGGAGAAAGGTCACGTGTAACAGCGGCGGCTCTATTTCTGGGCTGGGGATTTTGCGGGGGGGGAAGAGAGGGAGGGAGGAGGAAAATAATTTGTGTACGAGAGAATCCCCTGAACAAAGTTTTGGGGGGTTTTTTTCTTTTTTTTTTTTAAGTATGCAGTGAGCAATCACAAAAAAAAAAAAAAATAAAAACAGCAAAATCAATAAAATAAATTAGTTTAAAGTCATATAAGTCTTAAAAATTTTATTTAAAATGAAAATGTTTCTTTATTTTAACAAAATTTTTATATTTATGGAATAATGTAAAGTAGTTTGTTTACATTATATAATTAACATTTATAATTTTTTAACAAGAATCCGATATAGTGTAACGGCTAGCACGGTTCGCTTTCACCGAGCAGTTCGGGGTTCGATTCCCCGTATCGGAGTTTTCTTTTTTTATGTTAATTTTTTTTATTATTACTTTCAATTTAAGAAAAAAAAATTTTAATATTAGATGGGATTTCTTTTTTTTTTTTTATGAATGCTATTTTATTGTTGTATATCAAACTAGGTACTGTTCCTTAATTTTCATACTATCCACAATAAATTCTTATATCATGTTAGTTCCACCATTTGGAGCATTTTGAAAAGTAAAAAAACAAAATAAGACAAACTTTTTAAAAAAAAAAAGACTCGAATGGTCACAATAAAAGAAATTATTATTATTATTATTATTATTATTATTATTATTATTATTATTATTATTATTATTATTATTATTATTATTATTATTATTATTATTATTATTTTGTCCCGCCACAGTAATCGACATGGTTTGTCAATCAACTCTTGGACCCATCTGATAGGAAGGATAAGAAGTTGACGTACTTTAATATATTGCCATCAAAATTGCTCTCAAGGATATTTGACCATGTCGAGTGGCCCATGTCCTTTGAGTGCGCAAAAGAGGTCCGCAAAGAACTTATAAAAGAAAAGAAGAAGATGAATATATAATGGACCTTTATTCATATATGTTTAACTTATTCAGGATTGAATAAATGAGTAAAACTATTATGTGTATTTGTTTTGTTTTGGCAATCTGGTTTTTAAAATGATAATAGAAATTAAAAAAGAAAATTGAAAGTAAACTTACAAAAAAAATATATGAGAAGTACGGGAATCGAACCCATGTCACTTGCTAAACTTCTTGTTAAGATGGAAGGCAAGTATGATAACCACTACACTAACTTCCCATTAATCCTTGTGATATTATAGGTCAATTCCCTCTACTAATTGACAATGATCAAAAACACATATATCATTATATTTTGATTTTTAAGACGTATAGGCTAATTTTGATATGATTTTTGTTTTTTAATAAATCAATTGAGTTGTTTTAAAAAGTTTTTAAGCAAATATTGAGCCCAAAAAAAAAAAAAAAGCTCTGATCACAAATTGGCTGTTTCAAGTTACATTGGGTTTTATTATTTATATATTTAACGAAAGAATTTAGCTGGAAACAAAATATAATAGGAATATCAATTTTTTTTTTTTTCATAAATGACTTTAGAATAAAATTAAATCATCGATGAAAAAATACAATTTGTTTAGACAAAACCCTCTTCGTAATGTAATTTCAATTTATTGTTTTTATATATATAAAGTCTCTTTCTTTCTCTCATTTTTTTTTTTTTTTTTTTTTTTCTCTATTACATCTTGGTCACATCGTTGTGCTTATAGAATTGGTCTAGGAGTCCTAGCACGCCCGAATTCAGTTTCCGATCATTCACCTCATCATCCACATTCCCGAGCAGTTCCCTATTTTTCTTAAACGTATTAAGCACATACGAATCCTCTTCACCATCATTCATAAATTCATCTTCCTCGTCGTCCTCACCCTCATCACCATCCTCCGACTCCTGTCTCACCTGTTGTTGTTGTTGTTCTTCTTCTTCTTCTTCCTCTTCATCCCGTTTCACCTTAAACCGCGGCACATGCTTGTGTCGACTAAACTTGAGAGACTCTTCTTCCGGTGTGACCTCGTACCGCAACGAAGTTCCCATGCGTGCAGGGTCAGCGGAGAAGCTCCGCATGCGCGATGTTGACGCTGTTGCCGCCGTAGCCTTGCGTCTTAGCGAATTCCCGCCGCCAAGAACTGATGGGCTCTGTGCACGGCGGTTGTTGTGTTCAAATGCAGACGACAATGCGTTAGGTATTCCAAGTGGGGATCCGGAGGCGTCAAGGATTCCAGATCTCGTGAGCGGAGTGTTGTTACCGGAATGCTGTTGAATCCTTGTGTACCTAGCCATTACACTATTTTCGAGTTCGCCTGTACTAAAAAATGAATCGACTCCGTTACCACCAAGATGACCACTGCTACGGAAGGGCATTCCCTGGTTGGCCCAGCGTGAGTTTGCCAGGTGACTAGCCGACATTCTGCTTTGTTGGTCGTCGCCGTAATTGTCGAGAAAGTTGAGATACGACTTGAGCATTTTCCCGTCTGTTGTGCTAAAATAGTCTTGTCTCAAGTCAACTTCATCAGCCTCCGGGTCGTCATTATAATTATAACGATGGTTGTTTGAGCCCTTTTGGAACTTTGAGAGTTTATCCATGGGGAAGTCAAACTTGGCAAAGTTGCAAACGTACCCGAGCCCGTCGATATGGGTAGAACATTCACGGAAAAAATCAATAATATTTTCGCTGCTTTTAGGGAGAGAGAACCAAAGAATGAAGGGCATGAGAATCACACTGAGCAGCTCTCTAAAGATAATCATGATGCGAAGATCATACATTTTGGCAAACTCATCTTTGACCTCGTCGGTATGGTAGCGGCCTTCCCACTCGTCTGGCAGGTAATGTGTGTCTTTGGCAACTTGGTAGATGCTTGTTTCTGGGTCAAATACATATGTTTCTTCTGGAATCATTCCACGGGCAACTGCAACGATTGAGCCAAACAGACCCAAGTAAAAGAGTACGTTACGATCTTTTGTGAGTTCAAAGCCAAGGAAAATTTCCGGGTCGACAAGGGTAATGATACCAAGAACAGCGGCGAAGGAGCCTGCCACGAAAATAATAAAGCGAGAAAACAAAACGGTTTTTTCCTTGGGGAACTGGTTAACATAACGCGAAGCAGCAGCGTAGCTCATATGGAGGCGTTTTTGAAACATGTGATGAAGCTCATTAAACTCGCGCATTTTCCACTCGGCAAGCGGGGTATACTGGCGGGTGCCGATAGCACTGGGGTCTTTGTGGTATTCATTAAAATAGCGGAAAAAGTAAAGCAGGGCCATGTAGAGAATGGTGATGGGTGCACAAGCAATGTTTGTAAAGCCTGCGAGAATAAATCTATGTTTGAGTTCGCTGATTAGCTTATCTCTGTGTTTTTCCTTTAAAAAGACTGGGCGGATCTCGCCGTTTTGGAACACAAAGTCCATAATGCAAAGGCTGAGGTTCCATTCCAAGGTGCGGGTAAGAAAGGGTTCGTGGTAAAAGGGCAGGGGGAGAGTAATGTTGAGGGTGTTTTTGTTAATCATGGCAATCATGTAGTTTTCCTTGCGCATGATGCGATTTGCAACGTCGTGTGGGGTTAGTCTTTTTTTGGACTGGGAGCCAAGAAAGATGTTTGCATTTTTGGAGTTTGTTTTACTGGAGGTGGTTGGGTTTTTGTCTCTGAGAAGCATTAAACGCTTGACGACCTGTTGCCAGGAGATTGTTTGCATTTCAGCCTCTGAGATTTCTAGGAGATAGAAGTAAAAATGTTTAAGGTCGAGGAGACGCTTAATGTCATGGATATATTGGGTAAGTTTGATGAACCAAAAGAGGGCAAAAAGCCAAAGTAAGAAGGTGGCAAACCCGCTAAGACGGGACGCGCACTGGGGGTACTGAACATCCGAGAGTTTTGTGCTTGAGCGGATTTTGGAGTAGTCGATGCAAGTTGAGAGGTAGGTTGAGAAGGAGACCATGAAGAGTAGGGTGGCCATGTTGAGGGCTCTTGAGAGAAGAATGCAGTAGAAGCCATTGCCGAGATAGTAATCGTAGATCTCGCGGAGGAAGTTGTCAAGATGTTCGACATTTGTCCATTTCCAAAGCGCGCGTTCTTTGGGGTCGATGACAGATAAGTTGATACGAGGGCGTCCGGCAAGGTAACCCGCGGTAGTATTTCTGAGGGTATTGTAAACTGCGCCCACGTTTTCAGAGAGATTGTTGTGGTTATTGTTATTGTTATTGTTATTGTTATTGTTATTGTTATTGTTATTTCTATTGTTATTGTTATTGCTATTACTGTTATTGATGTAGTTATTATAAGAGAACCGGTGTGTACTTGAGCGGTTCGTATGCGGAGTTGAGACTGGGAAAGGGAGACTCTGTGGAGGGGCTGTTGGAATAGTGGTATAGCGGGTTCTCTGGGTGACAAATATTGGAGTATGTCGTTTTAGAGGGCTAGTTGGAGAAGTTTCTTGAATGCGGACGTTAAGCTTTGAGTCTGGGGTACGGTTGTTGGTATTATTATTGTTATTGTTGTTGTTGTTATTGTTAAGAATAGAGGGGTTTCGTAGTCTGGGTTGGTCTGGATTAGAAGGTAAAGAATGGATAGGTTGAGATGGTGGTGGAGAAAGTTGCTGTTTAGTTTCAAGGTCAACAATGAGTGATTGGGGGACTTCATCGCTATCGCTTTCTTGGGCCGGTATTGGTATTGGTGGTAAGGTTGTATGGTGTATGCTTGAGAAGAGTCCTTGTTCGATTGTATTGTTTGTATCGTCATCATCTGGGTTATTGTCATCTTCATCATCTTCGTCGTCGCTTACTAGCGGGTGTGCTTCTGAAACTGCATTTGAGACGGGTCTACTTGATGGGGGTTGTTTGTGGTGGTCTAGGACGGTGCTTGAGTGGTAACCTTGGTCGTCGTCAAAAGGAGGATGCTGTGGACTTGTGTGGGTATCTGAGTGAACCGAGTCCATAGTTTTTTTTTTTTTCTCTTTTTTACTTTCTCTTTTTATTTTGGATTGAAAAGGCTTAGTTGGTGATAAGTTTGATAGTGGTAAATGGTGGTGTTGGTTTTTTGGTGAGATTTTTAGAAATGTATTTGGTGGCGCTTGTTAGAAATCTTATCAGGGCAAACACAAGATAAGAAAATTGATTGACCAGCAACAGACAGACTATATGTCACGTGATTATGAAATAATAATAATAATAAAAAAATAAAAAAATAATAATAATGGAGGTTGCGTCAGACTTTGTTGCAAGAAAAAAACAACAACAACCTGTTGCAGCTTAACATGTTGCAGAATTTTCTTTCTTTTTTTCTTTTTTTTATTTTTATTTTTCTATTTTTTTATTTTTTTATTTTTTATTTTTGCGCCTCTTAACTAATCCCCTTCCCCTTTTCTAAAAATTCCCTCAATATATTTGTACTTGAATATACTTGTGCCATCAAAAAAAAAAAATAGGGTCTTTTGTTTTTTATTATTATTATTGATACTCTAATATATTAATATATAATATATTAAAAAAAAAAAAAAAAAAGCACTGCCATCACACTACTACAACTACCACCACTATCTATCTACCTTCCTCTCATTTAAAACCAATCAACTGACTAACCAACTAACCAACTAACTAACCAAACAAATAAATAAATAAACAAACAGACCAACCAACCATCCAACCATCCAGCCAACCAACCAACCAACCAACCAACCAACCAACCAACCAAACAAACAACCAAATAAACCAATCTTTACACCTAATTTAGATTTACCAAAAACCAGCTCAAAATTTGCTTCAATCTCATGGACTTTAAAGCACTGGCTTCTAGGTTTTCGTTTTCTTCAAACTTATCTGAGAACCAGTCAGGCTCCTCTTCTACAACCGGATCGTCGGGTGACCATCACACTGTACAACAACCAGCACAGCAACCACCCACAGTCACACTCGTAAGCGATCCACCCACAATAGCGGCACCGGCGCCGGCAGTTGTCCACTCGAGCAAGCACTCGGGGGCCCCCATACTGGCGTCGGTTGCACCACCTCCATCACAAGTATCAATGACTCCGACTGGAACAATTACAGCTGAGCCGCTTCCAGTTTTATCACCATCTCCAGCAGCAGCAGCAGCAGCAGCGACATCAGCAAGTGACTTGCTATATCACAACAAAGGCGCATTGAATGTGGGCCAGGTGATGAGGTACAAAATCACATATACACCACCTGATGAGTACGCATGCGCGGACGCACCGGAGCCGCTATGGCTCAAGATCCGGAACCTGGAGGTAGTGGCGCTGCGGGCGGCGTACCTAGCTGGGCCATTTATTTTATACGTGGACGTGCGGCCTGATGGCTATGACCAGCACAAAAAGGTGATGGCGGAGGTGGAGCAACCATACTACGAGCCGCAGCTCAAGGCTGGACAATCATTCTACGCACCACTACATGTGAATGAACCTGCGGAACGGCGGCGGCGGACATATTCATGGACGGTGGATATTGTTTCGCAAATTATTTTTTCAATTTCTGCGCAAGTGCAATATGAGATTAGTGTGGGTCGGACCAAGGAATCACTCAACTCGATTTCCATCAAGCCTTCTACAACCAAGGGATCATCTCGGGCATTATTTGGACCGCTACCAGGATCCGGGATGTTGATTTCATCTTACGACACACTTGATTTGTGGAGCTCGCCTGTGCCCAAGGCTACGGGGCCATTACATTTAGTTGTGATTACTCATGGGCTGCATTCCAACACCGGAGCAGACATGTTGTACGCGAAGGAGGCGATTGATGCAGCTGCACGAAGGAGCGGAGAAAATGTGATTGTGCGGGGGTACTTTGGGAATGTGCGCAAGACAGAGAAGGGTGTGCGGTACTTGGGCCGGCGGCTTGCGGAATGGGTTGTGCAGGAGGTTATGAACCAGGATGCAGCAGGGCCTGTTAGGGTGTCACGGATTTCGTTTATAGCCCACTCGATGGGTGGACTTGTGCAGACTTATGCGATAGCTCACATTGCGACACATTATCCTGATTTTTTTGAGCGGGTGGAGCCTATGAACTTTATTGCACTTGCAACACCATTTTTAGGGATATCTAATGAGAATCCGTATTATGTCAAGTTTGCATTGGATATTGGGTTTGTGGGGAAATCTGGGCAGGATTTGAGCTTGGCCAAGCCATTATTATTATCAGGACACGGCAAGCCGTTGTTGAGGATTCTTCCGACTGGTCCAACACATGAGATTTTGAAAAAGTTTCGACACAGAACATTGTATGCAAATGCAGTGAATGACGGGATTGTACCGTTACGGACGTCTGCGATATTGTATTTAGACTGGAATGGATTGGGGCAGGTTGGGCAGGCGATTAAAGAGGAGTTGGAGCATCATGAAGGTAAGGGAGAGAATGATAAAAAGAAGGAAAAGGAAAAGGAAAAGGAGGAGGAGGAGGCGATTGTGCCGATGGTTCATCCTCGTCCTCAGCATCATCACGGGTTGTTTCATCATGGAGATGGTTCTAAGGAGAAGATTCCTGTTGATGGAAGGGTGAATTCGTTGGAGGCACCTGAGGAAGCCAAAGGAGATGGGGCAGTACCGGTTGATCCTCCAGGGTCACCGGATAGTGTTGTTGGGGAGATTCCTGAGCGGTATGAGGATTTACCAGCGACAGAGCTGAGCAACACTAGTCATGATGAGACGGGGCTTACTGTTGGTAAAACAGTCGTTGTTGGGGGCAGTGGGAATGGAATATTTTCTGGGATTTTAACACCAGTACAAAGTATGTTTTCATTATTTGGTCCAAGTGCCCATCGCAAGGCGCCCAAGATTTACCGGCATAGTCAGACACTTCCGATATCTGCAGAGGATGACGAGGGCAATTTATATGGGGCACGAAGGGGAGGAGGCAATGGTGGTGGCAGTGGTGGTGGCAGTAGTAATAGTAATGGTACTAGTAATAGTACTAGTGGTAGTACTACTAATGGGGCTACGACTACGGGGAAACTTGAGCCTTACATTCCACCCAAGACTGGAGTTCTTGAATCTGGAGTATCAGTTTTATTACCTCCTCTTCCTCCGGATGCGTTTATTTTAGATCCTGGAGCTAGGCCAGAGACAATTGTGCATGATCGGCTTTATCATGATTATGATTTACCTCCTCGTCGGTTCAAGAGACGGACTTCATCGAAACTTAGTGGGAAGGCGCATGGTCATGGTGGTGGTGGTGGTGGTGGTGGTGGTAGTAGTAGTAGTGAAGAGAGGGTTGTTGATAGGTCCAAATTGGAGGAGAGGATAGCGAGGGATTGGCATAAGGAGCTTGAGTGGCGCAAGGTGCTTGTACATTTGGAACCAGATGCACATAACAATATTATAGTACGACGTCGGTTTGCGAATGCGTATGGGTGGCCAGTGATTGATCATTTGGTTGGGACTCATTTTGGGTGGAATGAAGAAGAACTGGAGGAAGAGCGGGAGGAAGAACAAGAACAAGAACAAGAACAGAAGATGAATAAAATGAATAAGAATAAGAATAAAAAAAGGGTTGCGGTGAGTGGACGGATTGGGTTGGGGGTTGATGGAGATGAAGAAGGCAAAAAGGCAGTTTGTGCGTTGGACATTTTAAAGACGCCAATTGTTTTATGCCAAGACGGGAACAAAACCGGAGAAACTTGTGGGGAGGAGAAGGAGAAGGAGAAGGAGAAGAAGAAGAAGAAGGAGAAGAAGAAGAAGAAGGAGGAGGAGGAGGAAGAAGAGGTAGTTGGTGGGTCCGGAGAAGTTAAGGAGGATAATAAAAAAGAGGATGAAAAGAGTGATAAAAAAGAAGACCAAAAAGAGGAAGAAGAGGAAGAAGAGGAAGAAGAAGAAGGATATGAAAAAGTGGATGCTTCGGAGGTGCCTTTAGAGTATGGCCGAGAGCGTCGGCGCACACATACGTTTTCGTCCGTGGGGAGTTTAGAGACTACGGAATCTTCAGGGTCTAGTGATAGTGGAGGTAGTCGCAGCAGTAGTTTAGGTGGAAGTAATAGTGCAGCTTGGGGGGAATATCTTGGATCTAAAAATGGCATTAAAAGTGGTGGAAATGGTGATGATAATAATGAGACTTTAGAAGCCAAAGATGGAGAAAAGAAGGATAAAGATAAAGATAAGAATAAGAAGAATGAAGATGATGAAGATGAAGAGGATAAAAATAAAAATAAAAATGGGAATGGAGATGAAGGGATTTTATTTCAAATGGGGAATATGTTTGATAGTATTCGGGAGATTGGGAATTTGAATTTTGGAGCATTAGGAATGTTAAATCGAGATGATGATGATGATGAAAAAAAAAAAGAAGATGAAGAAGAAGAAGAAAATAAAAAAAAGAAAGATGGTGATGATGATGATAATAATAATGATAATGTAGGAGTTGAACGAGATCTTGTGTTACTTGCCGGAGCAGCTAGTCGAGATGCTTTGATGTAGTTTTTATTTGTTTATTTGTTTATTTTTACATATAATAAATTATATATATATAAAATGGAGTTTATTTTATTTTTACTATTAAGGAAATTTATTTTTATTTTTATTTTTATTTTTATTTTTATTTTTTTTTTGGGGAAGGAAGTTTTTGCCGGTACACTTTCGGTTGGAGAGTTTTTGATATGTGACATAAGTAATTATGTAATACCTATTTAAAATAAATATATATATATATATATATATTCTTTTTTGTGTACTACAAATATAAGATATATTTTGTAATAATAATAAATCTGAGGGGTTCTTTTTTTTTTTAATTTTTTTTTCATAATAATAAACAAATTTTAAATGAATTTTTTTTATTTATTTTAAATCCGATTTTTTTTTTTTTTGAAGTTTCCGGGAAAGGCGGTGTTTAACTTTTTTATTTTTTTATTTTATTTTTTTTTTTTATATATACAAAAGTGAGTTAAGTTGAATGTTGATAGTGATTTTATATATGTGTTTGTTTGTTTGTTATAACTAATTAGTTTGTGTGTGTGGGGGGGGGGGGGGAAAAAGAAAAATTTAAAAAAAAAAAAAAAAAAAAAAAAAAAAAAAATGGAAAGGAAGAAACATTTTTGAGGGTCCGGTTGAGTGGCACGTGATGCGGGGAAGTTCATGCATGTGGGGGCGGCATTTTTATTTATTTAATTTTTATTTATTTAATTTTTATTTATTTAATTTTTATTTATTTAATTTTTATTTATTTAATTTTTATTTATTTAATTTTTATTTAATTTTATATTTGATTTTGATTTTATATTTTATATTTTAATTTATATTTTATAATTTATATTTGATTTGAGGGGAATGGAAGAAAAAGCGGAGATGTCAAACTTCTCTCCAAAGACAAAAATTAAAAAAAAAAAAATTTCAACATTAAAACTTTTTATTTTTTTTTTTTTTTTCTTTTAAAAAAAAATAAAAATATAAAAAAATAAAAATAAAAAAAAAGCCTCGGTTGTTTGATTTCGAAATTCTTCTTTTATATAATTTTTATTCATATATATATATATATAAATTTCATAATTCTTGTTTCAATTACAAAAAAAAAAAAAAAAAAAAAAAAAATTAAAAATTAAAGTTTTTTTTTTTTTTTTTTTCAAAATATTTTCTCCCCCCCCCCTCATTTTCATTTTTTTTTTTTTTTTTTTTTTTTTTTTTTTTTTTTCAGCAATTACTACTAACAATTAACTAATTAACTAATTAACTAATTTACTAACAAACAAACAAACTTACAAGCACCTCCACTTTAAATTTTTTTTTCTTTTTCATGTCTTTCTTGGAACTTCCGGGCTAATCGGCAACAAAACCGGCAAACAAAAAAACAAACAAACTGGAAAACTGGAAAACTGGAAAACTGGAAAACTGGAAAACAAACCTCCGTTGAATTTTTTTTTTTATATATAAAAGCCTTCCAAATTGGTCTAAATTATAAAAAAAAAAGAAAATAAAAAATTATATATAAAAATCTTATACCTTTTTTTTTTTTTTTTTTATTCTTTTCTATCTATCTATCTATCTATTCTATCTATTCTATCTCTCTCACCAATTAACTATTCATTCATAATCACTCCTTTCTCATAAACAAACTAACTACCCTCCGCCAAAAAAAAAAAAAAAAAAAGGAAAAAAGGAAAAAAGGAAAAAATGACACTCCCAATTAAACGTACAAACTCTCAAGTCATCCACTTATCCCCTTGGAAAAGTCCAGTCTCTGCATTCCTCCAACCAATGGATCTCGTCTCATTTATGCTCTCAAGTCCTGCTCTTACAACTTCATCTTCATCAAGTGATGATCTCCTTGTTGATGCTACCTCTCCATCACATAAACAAACCCCAGACCAATATCGTGCATCTATTGTTGCAATTGCAAATCTTTTAGCATCTCCTAAATATAATGTCTCCCCAGGTGATACTGTCTGTATCTTTTGTTATAATGATGTCTTGCTACCTTCTACCCATATTGGAATCCTAGCAACAGGTGCTGTTGTTTCTCCTGCTAATATCGTCTACTTACCTTCAGAACTAAGGCATCAGCTAACTACCACAAAAGCTAAAATTGTAATTACAATTCCTGAAAAAAAACAAGTGGTAGAAGAAGCCCTTGCCTTGGGTCCTCATAATGTCTCCCACATTGTTTACCTAAATGACTTTGCTAAAGAAGCTTTGGATTCTTGTCGTTACTCTCAAGATGAAATCTCTAAAAGAGCTAAACATCCTCAAGGCCCCATTGTTGGACTTAGACAAATCCTTCCTCCTGCTGCTTCTAACCTTACACCTGACTCTCATGCTTACTATTGTTTCTCTTCAGGTACTTCAGGTGTCCCTAAAGGTGTCATCACTGCCCATAACAATATGGTCTCCAATGTCCAACAACAATTCTTTGTACTATCTGAAACTCACTATACTCCAGATAAAGTCTTTGGTGGATTTCTCCCCATGTCTCACATTTATGGCCTATCCCAATACATTTATACCTTACCCTTTATTGGTATTAAAACTGTCATTTTCCCTAAATTTGATCTCCAACTTATTTTAAACAATATTGAAACTCATAAAATTAACTTTCTTCATATTGTCCCCCCCGTTGCTGTTCTTTTCGCTAAATCTCCTCTCGTCGATAAGTATCCAGATATTAAATCCCATATCCAAGGACTTATCTCTGGTGCCGCCCCACTCTCAAAAGAATTAGCTTCTCAAGTCATTTCTCGTCTAGGATGTCCTGTTTACCAAGCTTATGGGTTAACTGAAACTTCCCCCATGACTCATATCTTTTCCTACGATGTTGGGAACTATAATGTTTCTTCAATTGGATGGCTCCTCCCAGGAATGGAGGCCCGCGTCGTGGCCGAAGATGGAACTGAAATTGATACCCCGCACACTCCAGGAGAACTTTGGCTCCGCGGACCTAACGTTATGCGCGGCTACCTTAATAACCCAGAAGCAACCGCCGCAGCTTTTGCTGACCCTGATACTTTGCAATGGTTCCGTACAGGTGATGTTGTTATTTTGGATGAATCTGCTCAATATTTTGTTGTGGATAGATTTAAAGAACTTATTAAAAGTAAAGGTCATCAAGTTGCTCCTGCTGAATTAGAAGCTGCTCTTTTGGCTCATGATTCTATTGCTGATGTTGCAGTAACTGGATTCCATGTCCCCCATGAGGGGACTGAACTCCCAAGAGCATTTATTGTTCTTAAACAAGGATTAGCACAAACCCCTCAGCAAAAACAATTACATGCTTTGGCAATTAAAAAATGGTTTGATAGTACAGTTGCTCGCCATAAACAACTTTGGGGTGGAATTGTAATTGTGGATGAAATTCCTAAAAGTGCAAGTGGAAAGATTTTACGTCGTGTTTTACGTAGCCAAACTGCTGATGTTGTTTATGGCTATGCTCCAAAGTCTAAGTTGTAAGTAAATAATAGGTGGATGAAAGAAAAAAAAAAAAAAAAAAAAAAAAAAACAATTTTTATCAATTAATTAATCAATCCAATTTATTTTATTTCTTTTATCTATCAATCTATCAAATCTCTTCTTTTTTTTATTTTTTATTTTTTGTATACCAAAAAAAAAAAAAAAAAAACGCCCTTTAACATTTAACCAATATTTATATATATATATATATATATATATAAATAAAAAATAAAAAAAATAAATCCAGAAAAAAAATCAAAATCACAATCAAAATCAAAATCAAAACTAAAACCAAAAAATAAAAATCAATTATAAAACATTCACATTCATATGTCCATTCATATTCATATTCCCATTCATATTAACATTTCCATTCATATTCATATTCATATTCCCATTCATATTTCCATTCACATCACCTCCATTTCCACCTCCATTACTGCGTTTCACTACCCGCTCAAGTACCACCGCAACACGCTCCAATGACCTTGCAGCCTTAACTTGCGCTGCACTCTGGATCTTTGCAACCCGTTCCACTGCACCCATAATGTTTTTATGAATCTGTGCATCTTGCATCAATTTCCGGTCCAAATATTCTTGTAAAACTCTCGTCATATTTTGGCCTTCTCCTCCTGCTAATACTGTTTTTTCTATTTCTCCCATCCCTCCCATTCCTCCTCCACCTACCCCTACCCCTTCTCCTACTCCTCCTAATCTTAAACCTCCCGTAGTTCCTGTCTTCTCAGTCCCTCGACCAAAAATCGTATATTCACTATTACTACTAGGACTAATAGCCCCTACCATCAACTGCTGCCATAACTCCCGTTGCTCATTCAATGAAGCGTGCAAATCATTCACAAGTGAATCCAATTGTTCTCGAACTGTCCCATACCCTTCCTCATCATCTTCATCTTCATCTTCCTCCTCATCTTCATCATCTTCATCTTCATCCTCTTCCTCATCTTCATCATCTTCCTCATCATCCTCTTCACCATTCCTTCCAAGTTTTCTCGTCTCTCCAACCCCTCCTGTCATTGGTGCAACCAGATAATGTGGCGCACCACCATTCCCTCCATTACCAGCAACTGCCGCCGCCGCAACTGCTGCTGCTGCCGTCGCTGCTGCTGAAACAACTGCAGATGAACCTCCTCCTTCTCCACCTGGATACCGGTTCACACTTTGAAAATGAATCCCTCCTTCAGGCTTCCTTCTCTCACCCTCAACATCTTCCTCTTCTTCTCCAGCCCCCGCCGGCGAGGACATGATAAGTGCTGACGCATGACCCTTTTTCCGGTACGTCATGAACGACGTCGTTGCAGTTGACCCTACTGCCCCTGCTCCTGCTCCTCCGCCTGTTCCACCATTCGGCTGCTGCTGCTGTTGTCTTTTGCTATCATACTCGGAATATATATTGTCCATTTGATAGTGCCGCCGCATTCGCCGCTTGCGCCCGTCACCCGGTACTGTAAAAACGCCTTGCCGTGTGTGTAAAGAACTTGCACTATCACTTGTGTTCGTCAGCCGCGCTCCATCCCCAGAACTTGTTGATGAAGAAGTTCGCGACATTGGCAACAGATCCAAGCCGTTATTTGATTGAGTCATAAGCTTTGCTATAAAAAAAAAAAAAGAAAAAAAGAAAAAAAAAAGAATTTAAAAAAAAAACAAATAGGATTGATTGATTGATTAATTGACTTGGAAAAAAAAAAATTAAGATTTAAATTCTTTCCAGCCAAATATCATTCATATACTCCCATAATTTTTTTTTTTAATTTTTTTTTTTTTTTTTCAATACTTCATTAACCAAATGTCCTTTTATTTATTTTTGGTTTCTCCTGTTTTCCTTTCTCAAAACTAAAATTTCAATTTTACTCACCTTCATTTCGTCGATACGCCGCACGCATGTTGCAAATCTTCCCAAATAACCGCTTAGGTGTCACTTCCGTCTCACTGGCAAATATCTTCATTTTGATAGCTTCGCAGGCTTCCATCGATGGTGATGTCGCAAACTCCACATGCTGCATTAGATACGCTGATAACCGTTCCACTTGATCGTCTGTCCAGTGAACATACTTTTTCCCCGCGTTGGCTCCATAGTTTGTTGAAGTCCGTCGTCGCTTGCGTCCATCCCCTGTCTCGCTCAACATTTCTTGTACTGGTGATGGTCTTTGCTGTTGCTGCTGCTGTTGCTGCTGTTGTTGATGTTGATGTTGCTGTTGCTGTTGCTGCTGTTGTTGATGTTGATGTTGATGTTGCTGTTGATGTTGATATTGTTGATGTTGTTGTAAATCCATTGACTTGATTATAACTCTGATTATAGGTTTTGCTAACTTTTGAAACCACAGGGGGGGAAGATAATACCAAAGATGTGCTGGACCTGGTCTAACTGGTGTTCTGGAACGGGTCTTTTCGTCACAAAAAAAAAAAAAAATTAAATAAAATAATTTTTTTTGTTTTTTTACTATTGGTAGCAACAACTGTTGATCTTCTTCAATATTTCAAATAAATTGATAAAAAAAAAGAAGAAAAAGAAGAAAAAGAAGAAAAAAAAGGGGTGGGAAATGGATGTTTTTATCAAAAATTTTTTTTTTTTGAATGATTTTATTATTATTTTTATATGATTTTATTTTATTATTATTTTTATTATTATTATTATTTTCTTCTTTTGAACTGCGTGGTTTATTAATAAAAAATAAAATTAAAAAATAATTAAAAAATAAAATAAAAAAATAATAAAAAAAAAATAAATTTTATAATTTAATTTTTTTTATTAAATTTGATTGATTAAACTAAACTCTTAATGATGACTAAGAAATAATTAGATAAGCATTATAAAAGATTACGTAATATCACCACTTTTTTTTTTAATTGCTTGCCTTTCTTTTATTTTTTGAACTTTTCTAAAAAAAAAAAAAAAAATGACCCTTCAACATTCTCACATCAAATCAATTCCATTCCCACAAAATCCATCAAACTAGGAAGAGAATAATATATATATATATAATGTCAGTCACTGTAAGTCTTAAAATTCTAAATCATTTTATAACTCAAAAAAATAAATTTCCATCTTCTTACACAATCTCTTTTTTTTTTTCAGCTTCACACAACTGCTGGCGACCTCAAAATCGAAATCTTCTGCGAATCTGTCCCCAAAACAGCTGAGGTATGATCACCTTCCCATCTGTACCCTCCCTTTGCGCGTTCCCGGACTGACCTCTCTCTGCTTCCAGAACTTCTTGGCCCATTGCGCAAAGGGTACCTACAATCACTGCAAATTTCACAGAGTTATCAAAGGTATGTTCTTCTCCCTCCCTCCCTCTCTTTTCTTTCTTTTCTTTCTTTTCTAATTTCCCTTACCTCACAGACTTTATGGCTCAAACAGGAGACCCAACAGGCAAAGGTAAAGGCGGCGAGTCTATCTGGGGTGGCACTTTTGCTGATGAAATCCGACCAGCGTTACGCCATAACCATCGTGGCGTTGTGTCCATGGCAAATAAAGGAACCCCGGACTCAAACGGAAGCCAGTTCTTCATCACTTTGGGCTCTAAGCTCCCCCATCTTGATGGTAAATACTCTGTTTTTGGCCAAGTCACTATGGGCGTAGACTCTACTCTCACAGAAATCGAAAATGTCCCAGTCGACAAGAAATATAGACCCTTACCAGACCATGAAATCTACATAGAATCTGTCACTATTCATGCAAACCCATTAGCGGATTAATCTTTTATTTTTATTTTTTGGGGGAGAGGAGATTTTAAAAAATAGTCTTATTAATCATATGTACAGTAAAAATGAAAAAAAAAAATGTTTAATAAAGAAATCCTTAAGCAAAAACCAAAGGCTTCTTCTCGGCAACCTTGCGCTTCTTCGATTCCTCAAACAAAACGTGGCGCTGGGCTATCGGATCGTAGCGAACTTGTGTCACAATGGGTGATGAACGCGGACGTTGCACGTATCGTATATAGCCTGTCTTGGCCGTCGAAATCAGTTTGATCAATGTGTATCTTCCCTTGGCTTCTATTATCTTTTGTTAGATCTTTTCTTTACTGACAACCCCAGTTTACTTACTGCTGACCATTGTGTTTGTTGTTGGTGTTTGTTCTAAGTAGGCTTTTGATGGTAAAAGTTTTTGGTGGTTTGAAAAAAAAAAAAAAAAAAAATTAAAAAAAAAAAACCGCTGAAAAATTCGCTACACCTTTCATAAACCCTAACCCACTCATGGTGATCTGGTCTTTCTTTTACCCTTTCTTCCACCAACAATCCTTGTAAACTTCAAAGCAATCAATGACTTCCTCTCCAGTCACCCAATTCTTAAACGAAAAGTTTGTTTCATTCCAGGACCTTGCCCAATCCTTGGATTCTATAAACTCCTCTTTAAAAGCCTCTTCAGATGCTCTTAACCTCGGCCTCATTGAAAAACGCGAGGCCCGTACAGCTGCCCAAAACTCGGCAGTCTCCACCCTCAGAGCCATGTTCATTGCTTGGATGGCCTCTCCAACTTCCACCTTCTCTGCTTCCAAGTTAGACATTCTTGACAGCGATTTTAACTCTGCTCTTACAGATCTTTATACCCAGTTCCCCAATATCCGCAATGATTATACCATCTTTGACTCAATCATTTACCCGAAATTTGCCCAAATAAAGGCTCTCATCACAAGCCTTCACTGCCTCACCATTGCCCAAAAGGTTAGAGACGCTGCAAATACTGTCGCATCGCTTACCCTTGAGAAAGACTTTGACAAGGCCTTAGACCTCCTTGACTCTATTGAGCAACAATACGAGCCATCTCTTAGAATTTATGCATCCCCCACCCAAACAAAAGATTCGGCTCTTGGCCAAATTGCTATTCAAACTCTTCGCCATCTACACAAAAATGTCCGCACCCCGCTCCAAGATCATATGAACAAGCGTCTTAAAGTCTTTTTTGAAAAGGCAAAATGGCCAGTCTCCACCGTCGCTCCTGCTCTTTACGACGAGTTCATCAACTTGTTTGTAAAGTACCTCGAAACAGAAGCTTCCAATCCTGACCAACTAGCTGGCCTCTTGGCCACCCCACAAAAGGCTTCCAAATACCCTATCCCCTTATCTGCCTTTGCAGCTCTTGTGGCCCCCATCGACCTCCGGTTCCAATTTCACTTTGAAGCAAAATCAGATACAAACAGACCAGATAAACCCGAATGGGCTTACCATCATTTTTTAAACGTCATTGAAGGACACATTGACTTTTTAATCCATGCAGCCGATGCTGCACTCCAAAAATCTTCCCGCTTCAATGATAGAAACGGCGTCCATGAGTTCATCACTGCATTATTACCTAGCGTTCGTCGCAAAGCCCTTTCCCTCTTCTCCCAAGTTACCTCTTCCCCAAAACTTTTATCCCACCTTGTCTACGAAACAATCATGTTTGACAATGCAATTAGAGAAAAATACTACTACGTCCCCTACAATTCTGATCCTCAATCTCCACTCGAATGGAGAGGAATTTCCGGAGATATTCTTTCCAACGATGACGCTTACAACACCTGGCTCAAAATTGAGCTGGCCAGCGCAAAAGATCGCTTTGCAGAAATCATCGAGTCTCAAAACGCCTGGCAAATCGACTATGACTTTGTCAGTCACTCAGAAACAAAGCCTACTGAATCTGCAATCAACCTAAAAGACCTTATCGAGGGTATCACTGAGCATTACTCATCGCTCACGTCGATCCGCTTCCGTATGAAATACTTTGTAACGATCCAAATTGACTTGCTTGACAAGTATTACGAGCGTCTCAACGAGTCCATGACTGCCTTTGAGTCTCTCACATCCCGCTTCTCCCGTGCGGTCGGAAGCGTCTCTGCCGAAGATAAACAAAGCGTTTCCGGTATCCGTGGCCTCGAGCGTCTATGCCGCATTTTTGGCAGTCTCAATTACATTGTCAAGGCTCTTGAGGAGTGGGGGGAAGAAAAGTTTTTTTTGAAAATGTGGGACGATCTTAATAAACGTACCTCACAACTTCAAGCCGATCCAAACAGATTGGCAAATGAAACCCTTTTCGATGAAACTATCCAGTCTTACAATAAACTCATTTCCCGTGTCGAAATCGCAATGGTCTCGCTTCTTAAAACCGAATTCAATGGCTCCATGCGCGAGTACTTTAAGAAAAATAACTGGGCAACCATGACCATCGAGCAAGACCCTGTCGAGGTCTCACGAGGTCTTATCCCTGCAATCCGCACCATTTCTTCTCTTCTCTCGTTTCTTTACCGCTTCTTCTCGCCCTTCCACTATACCCGTGTCGTCCGCCGGTTTGCCCAAGATATTGAGCACTATATCTTCAACTTTATCATCTCCGCAAACCAGTTTTCTTATGACGGCGGACGACAACTCCAAGCTGATATTGCGGAACTTTGGGCTGCTTTTAGACTCCCCTCCGAGGCATCGCTGCGCCGGCTGGACCAGTGCGCAACCATTCTTGCGCTTCCAGCGGCTGGCCAAGTCGAGCCTAACTTGGCTTCAATAAAAAGTATAATCCATGGTGATGATAATGGTTACGAAGAAGTTCGTGCTGATCTGCAGCTCACCAACTTGAGCGATATGGATATTGAAAAGCTTCTCAATCGTAGAATTGCCGGTAGTTAACTATATAATATTTAACTTCTATAATCTTCTATAAACGCTGATAAAGTAGCGCATGTTTTCCAGTTTAAGCGGGTACTCAAGCGTAGCAAATGATGTCTCCGGAACACGGTACCATTGCGAGTCACTGTGAACAACTCGTTCCCATGCCACTTTCCCTCCCTCTTCAGGAGCCGTCAACGTGTGATGGATCAAAAATTGTACAGGGAATGTTTTGGATCCAACCTGGATATCCGAGTACGACCCAGCACTTTCCACAAATACAAGAAGAGCCCCAGGTGTTGTACATCCAGCCTTTAGCGTGGCCAGAAACTGCATGGCCCGCGCACGGCTCGCCTTGAATAATTCATTGATTGTAAACATGGTAGTTACCACTTGCTGCGCAGCCAGAAGTTTGCACACCGGCGCACTTGCTGTAGAGAAAAGAGCCAGAACGTCTGCACGCAGAAACTTGACAGAAAACCGGGGGGGTTGATTGTCAGGTTGGGGGAACCAGAGATTGTTAATTGTGGAATCCAATCGAGTCACAATCTGAGACCAATCTGCAATGTCAATTGCAGTCACCACAAGCTTCGGGCCTGTTCCTGCAATTTTCTCAGTATTCTTATCGGTATCTTTATCTTCTTTATCTCCATCCTCTTTACCTTCTTCTTCTTCTTCTTCACCCTCTTCTTCTCCATCCTCATCCTCGTCGTCATCAAAGGGACCCACAGAGAGTCCCAGGGACTGATATATTTTCCGCAAAACTCCAGCAAATGCCACCACCTCTGCTCCTGCACCACCTCCAACACACAACACACGAGCATCTCCACGAGCCTTTGTCACAGCCTCAAGCACACAGTTCTCCTTATCCCCATTGGCCTTCGTAAACACGTCATGGTATGCTAACGCCCGCGCCGGCGACCACCGCGCAACATAAGCCTCAAGGTTCTCCACGCTCCCAAACGCTGCCGCGTACTCACGCGCAAATAGCGCACCCTTGACCTCCTGCACTCGCGCTCGCAGCGCGTCCTCATCTTCCAGGGCTTCACCCAGTGCCGCGCAGAATATGTCGATGATCGGTTGAAGGGTAGTTTCTAGTTCTTGAGCCACTATAGTTTCGCGTTCATATTCAGCCTCAGCGCCGTTTGCTGTGCCGTTTGCTGAGCGCCGCGATCCGCTTTGCGCTGCACGCATTTGTGCTCGCGCCTCGGCCCGCCGTTGACGAAGAGTCATGTTTTTTTTTATTTAAACCTTTTTATTATGAAGATCCTGTTGGGAATCTTCTTGTTTGTTGTAAAAATGTAAAAAAAAAAAAAAAAAATTGGGGTAAATTTAGCTTCTGTGGAGAACCCGCTCTTGTATTTCCAGCTAATCTCTAGTCTAAAACACACGGCCGTTTGAAATTTTTTTAACCTCAAGGTTTTTTCTGTATTTCTTGGACCTGGTCAAATGTCCCCGAAGAGTCCCGCTCACTGTATGTGTAAGACTTTGGAGGTTTATTAATTTTTTTTTTTATATTATAATATTCTTGATCAAGATGCCTGTTAATACAAGAAAAATTTTAAAAGCTGCGGCTCATGATGTCCCAATATGGAATCCAAAAATTCCAACTATAACTGAACAAAATTAACAATTTAATCAAATTTTAATAAAATATTATTTTTTTTCATTATTTATAAGAATTTTAACAATTACTGTCAAAAAAAAAATTTACATAAAAACAATTTCTTTTTCTTTCTTTAAACTTTTAAATCACTTCTTACTTCCGGCGAGACCCACGCTTAGTTCCATTGCGACTTCCCTTAGGTCTTCCCTTACCACGAGAAGGAGGTCGAGACTCATCTACTCCTTCATTCGAAGTGCCGTTGCCATTGGCCAAATCGCCGTTTGCATCATCCTCATGATCACCACTAATGCGAGCCTTCTTTTGGGGAGGAGCATTTGTATCCTTCGAAGGAGAAACTGATCCATTCGATGCATTGTCAATTTCTGAAATTGTCTTTTTGGAACGTTCAACCCATTCCTCTACCATTTTCTCAATCGCCTGGGCATCCAGATATACATAAGAATCCACCTGGTTGTATTTCATCGCATTGGCAGACATCAAAAACAAATCCTTAGCCATGTCATCAATACTAAGATACTTGCCAGTCTCAAGCTTCTTGCGAATTTTATCCAAAGCAATGGGGCGTCGAATGACCTTATAATAGTCACGGTACATCTTGCGATCAGGAAGCTCCAAAAACAAATCCACACGAGTCCTACCATCTTCATCAGTACTATCCTCAATCTCGGTCAAAATGGCTTGGCCCATTTCAGTCACCATATCAAGTGAAACATTGATATTATTGGAAAGACGGTGATTGCGCTTAGAGTGAGACTCCTCCTCGTCAGACTCCTCAGCATTGCCATTGGCAACAACTTCTTCCTCTTCCTCCTCTTCCTCCTCATCAGCCTTTGGCTCGTCATCCTCAATGACCTTAGGTGTAGACTTGCGACGTCCAGACCCACGCTTGCGCTTTTTCGTTTCTGGTTCTGGTTCTGGTTCGGGTTCTGGTTCAGGTTCAGGTTCAGGTTCAGGTTCGGGTGACTCTTCCGGTTTTTCCTCTACTTCTTCAACACCTTTGGCATCATCTTCCTCGTCATCTGAAATAGCAACCTTTCGAGCCTTCTTGGCTTCTCTACGCTCACGAAGACGCTCCTGGCGTGATCTCTCACGATTGATGGCCTCCTCAACGTCATCATCATTGTCAATAGCCTCCAACCATTGGTCCTCTGTCAGAACATCGTCATAGAAAATCTTTTTACGCTCACGAGCGCCACGGCCAAGAACCTCCTGAGGTTCATTGTCAATGTTCTCAACAATATCGCGCTTAAGCTCCTCAGGAAGCTCGTCTTCCCCAAACAAACGATCATGAGGCTTGTCACGGCCATAGGGTGAGGTGGCATTGCGCTCTTCATCAATTTTTTTGAAGATAACTGTTTCCTCGTCATTACGAGCCAAAATGTCATTGAGCTCATCATCATCAATATCCTCATCGTCGTCTTTTTGATTGCGCTTAGCTTCTTCTGCCTCTAGCAATGATCGAAGGAATGCTTCCTGTTCCTCAGCAGTAGATTTTTGGTCAAATTTACCTGCCTGAATGACTTTGCCATCAATCTCTAGCTTGGCATGAGCACGGCTCAAAATGCTTTCTTCAACAGAATCCTCTGTAATAAGACGCAAAATTCGCACCTCCTTAGTTTGGCCAATACGATGCGCACGATCTTGGGCCTGTAGATCTTGATGAGGATTCCAATCAGTGTCGTAAATAATGACAGTATCAGCCGTTTGTAAATTCAAACCAAGACCACCGGCACGAGTACTCAGCAAAAAGGCAAAGTACTCTGAATTAGGAGCATTGAACAATTTCAACATTGCGGAACGCTCATCAGCCTTAGTTGCACCATCAAGACGGAGATATTTCATGTCACGGTAGCGTAAATAATCCTCCATAATATCCATTACCTGGGTCATTTGGAAAAACATCAGCACACGATGGCCAGTGGCTTTGAACTTGGGGAGAATACGATCAAGAAGCTCAAACTTTCCTGCAACTCTCCATAGTTTGTCGTTATTGGTGTGAGTCGGGTTAACGAGATTTTCTGTTTCTTCAAAAACGAATGGATGATTGCAAATCTTTCGGAGCTGCATGATACGATTATTAAGGCCCTTGATTCCAGACTTGTTACCACTAACACCGTCTTGGCCAACAAAAATGACATTATACTTGAGCATTTGTTGATATAGTTTGCTTTGTAATGCAGACATTTTACACTTGACAACTTTCTCAACCTTGTCTGGCAAATCCTTTTCGACATCCTTTTTAAGACGACGCAACAAAAATGGACGCAAAACCTTATGGAGACGACGAATAATAAGTAATGTCTCTTCTTCATTTAGTTCCATCTTGTCTTGGCCACCTGTGTTGGCAAATGGTGTATTAAACCACTCATCAAATGTCTTAACTGAATTGAAAATCTTGGGCAAGACGAAATTAAGAAGAGCCCAAAGTTCAGGAAGATTGTTTTGCAGAGGAGTACCAGTAAGAATCAGACGATGACTAGAGATGTAATATTGTGTAAGTGTATAAGAAAGTTTAGAGTTTGTGTTTTTCATTCTGTGACCTTCGTCGATAATCATATGAGCCCATTTAATCTTTGAAAGGATGGGACGGTCCTTAATAATGTACTCATAAGTAGTCAACAACACTTGGAAATCACCATTTCTGATAGCTGCTTGATGAACACGTCTAGCAGGAGGAGGACCCTTATAAACAATTGTCTTTACAGATGGTGCCCATTTTTCAAACTCTAAAGTCCAGTTTGTAAGAGTACTGAGAGGGACAATAACCAAATAAGGACCAGGATTCTTCTTTGACTCAATCAAATAAGTAATGAGAGAAACGGACTGGATAGTCTTACCCAAACCCATTTCGTCGGCAAGAATACCATTGAGATTGTTGTTGTATAAAGAAACCATCCATTGAAGACCCTTAAGCTGGTACTCTTTTAGTGTTCCACCAACAAGAATAGAAGGTTGCTTAGTGACTTCTTCCTTGACGCGATGAGCAACCTCGTAGTAATCAACTCTTTCCTTTTCGTCGTCATCAACGCTGCTAACTGATTGAGGTTTTGGTTTAATAGAATCAACTTCTTGTTGCTGAACCTTGACACGTTGCGCAAGAGAGTCTAAGAAAGAGTTGGTTTGACCAAGAATATGAGTAATACGAGTATCCTTTGTTTGATCAAGAAGTTTGATATATGCTTCTTCATCATTGGCCTTAAGAGCTTGCAAACGTTGCTTAGCAGTTCGTTCAGCACGCTTTTGTTCCTCTTTTTCAATGGTAGTGTGGGCCTGAGCAATAGAACGTCCTATAGAAATGTGTTTCTGGTGTTTATTGTGTCTTTCACTAAGAATTTGCTTAGCGTGTAAACAAACTCCTTTGATAGTATTGATATGACGAACTCTTTCCTTTCGCTCACGCTCTAATCTCTGTTGAGTCTCAAGTTGCTCAGTGATCCGGAGGTCCTGTGCAGAATGGATTTTTTGACGTCTGTTATTGTATCGCAAAGTCATACTTTCAGAAATTGGATCAGTATTATTAGCAAGAGAAAAAAAGATACCCTGACGAAGAGACTTTTGTTTAGTAAGTAGTCTCAATGACTTCAGCTCAATCAAAGCCTTGATTTTAAGTTCATCATCATTTTTGGGAATATTATGAGAAGGCTCAAGATCAGCATTTTTGACATCCAAGGTTCCAAGATTTCCAGGAAGACGCTCAAGTTCCACAATTCTTTGTGTTATCTTGTTAGAAATAACCTGTTCACGAGAATCAACAACCGAATTATTACCAGCAGCTGAAGCACCACCAGTAAGCGGAACATTTATTCTTTCAAGACGTGATTGGTATTTACCTCCTTTTATTACTGAAGAAGAAAAAATTGGAGGGGATTCCTCATGATCAGAAATCAAAGGCTCTAAAAGAGCTTCCTGGAACTGAAGTGGAATATCAAGATTATGAGAAAGAAGTTGAAAAGCTCTAATTTGATTACCAAGAAGCTTAACTTTTACTTCATCAGAATGTTTGTCTTCTAAACAAAATGTTAGGAAATCAACAAATCCCGCACATGAATATTGAATTACTTACTTGTTAAAGATTTCGACTTGGCCTTTTTAATTTCGTCTAAACGAAGTTGATAGAGTTTTTGTTCACGTCCAGCTTGTTTGATGATTTTGCAAATAGCTGCGTATTCCGGATGAGCGGAATGAGTTTTTTGGTCAGCTCCAACAGAATTTAATGCATTCCATCTCTAGAAAGAAATGTTAGAAAAAAAAATAAAACTTGAAAAAAAATGAAAAAAAACTTACCAATAATAAAAGTTGATATTGTTCGCGAGTCTCAGGCTTAGGGATAACAAATTCCGGTGGGAGTGGAGTGGAGTCTGCAGGTGCTGAAGCAGGAGTTTGGGCATTAGGGGAGTTGGAAGGTACGGCTTGTGAAGATAATTGTTGCAAAGGTGAAGAAACAGAAGCAGTTGAAACAGCTGGAGAAGCTGAATTGGCAGAAATAGGGGAAGGATTAACAGAAGCTTGAGAAGCACCAATATGGATAGTAGTTTGAACAGGAGTAGGTGTCAAACTGATAATTGGAGACTGGGACGAGGGAACTTGTTGAGAGATTTGCTGTTGGTGTTGAACAGCTTGAACAGATTGAACAGATTGAACATGTTGAGCTGGATGCATTTGTGGTGCAGACTGTACTTGAGGGATTGGTTGAGGAACTTGGTTTTGTTGGATTGGAATCTGCTGCATATGAGGACCTTGATTATTGAGCGATGGTTGTGGCCCAGGAGGCATAGACATCATTTGGGGGGGCTGCTGAGGAACCTGTTGAGGAACCTGCTGTGGAATCTGCTGTGGAATCTGCTGTGGAATCTGCTGTGGAACTTGCTGAGAAACCTGCTGTGGAACTTGCTGAGAAACCTGCTGAGAAACCTGCTGAGAAACTTGTTGTGGAACCTGCTGAGAAACTTGTTGTGGAACCTGCTGAGGAACCTGTTGGGGAACTTGCTGAGGAACCTGCTGTGAGATTTGCTGGGGAATCTGATAAGGAATTTGCTGAGGAATTTGCTGGGGAATTTGTTGCGGAATTTGCTGAGGAACCTGTTGAGGAACTTGTTGAGGAACCTGTTGAGGTAGAGGATGTTGAACTGGAATAGGAGTCGGGGATTGTGAAGGAATTTGAAGAGGAACAGATGGAGAAGTCTGTGAAGGAGCAGCATGCATTACCTGTTGATGTTGTTGTATAGGTGGAGGAACCATCATCTGCTGCTGAGGTGATTGCTGTGGCTGTTGCTGACGATGGGCCATAACTTGCTTTAAGGTGTTAGGATCTTGAATCTGATGAGCAATAGGTTGTTGAATCTGTTGTTGTTGAACAGAAGGTGCTCGAGATGCAAGTTGCTGTGGTGGTTGTTGTTGTTGTTGTGAAGGAATTTGTAAAGAGATGTGGGAGGCGTAGCCATTAGGAATAGGCTGCTGCTGCTGCTGTGGCTGTTGTTGTAGCTGCTGCTGCTGTTGCTGCTGCTGTTGCTGCTGCTGTTGCTGCTGCTGCTGTTGTTGTTGTTGGAATTGATGGTTAGCAAACTGCTGTTGCTGATACTGCAAATGTGCTGGATGCTGTTGAATTGGGAGTTGTTGAGGGTGATGAGGATATGCTTGTTGATGCTGGTCCGGACCACCCGTGGGATTATAGGGCATGTTAGTGTTGTTCATTCGTGTTAAGAATCCACAACTAAAGCACGACCCAAAATTCTCACTATTAGAGGCAAAAAATTTTTACAAAAAAAAAAAAGAAAAGAACGGGAATGGCAAAAAAAAAAAAAAAAAAAGAGGTGCCTGTTCAAAGTAAAAGATTGTCGCGATTGTGCGTTGAAAGGTTTATTATGAGATTAAATGTTTAAAAAAAATAAAAACAATAAAAACAATAATAATAATAATAATAATAATAATAATAATAATAATAATAATAAAGAAGGTTGGTCTTAAAGAATAGAAAAAAAAAATTTTTGGTGGTGAAAAAAAAAAACGCGTCTTAATGTTTATTTTTTTTATTTTTTAATTTTTTTTTAATTTTTATTTTTTTTATATTTTTTATTTTTATTTTTATTTTTTTGCATTCAATAATATTTTTTTTTTTCCCTCTCTAAATACTAAACTTTGACAGAAATTCCCTTAATATCCTCGTTTTTTTTTTTCTGGCCAACATATCTTTATTATTGGTGGTGGTGATGAAATTTTTTAATAAAAAAGCATAAATGTAATGACCACGTCACATTTGTGCGCATGTGATATATAACATATAACTTAATACTTAATACTTAATTAACGAACCCTCGATGTCACACATTTGTATTATTGCCTCCAATCTTATTTGGTCTTAGCTCGAGATAAGAATTAGCGTTAAATTCCAAGTTAATTAATTAACTTTACTTTACCTTACTATAGAACACATTAACTTGCATTTAGTGTAACTAAGGTTTAGAAGAAAGAAAAAAAAAAAACTAAACTATTCTATTCTATTCTATCAAGATAGTCAACATAATCAATATGAGCCATTATAATTCAAACGACGATAAACCCCAGATATCTGCTGCATTTTTGTAAGTAACATCACAAATTCATATTTTTAAATAACAATATTTATTATAAACTAAACTAAAAAATTAACTTAAATTAAATTAATGTCTATTATACTAACACGGTTGAGGAACAGCTATGGCACACTAATGAAACAAGAGGTCCTAGCAAAATATGCTTTTGGGTTATCAATTCTTCCAAAGTCTTCAAATATTGTCATAAATAAAGCAAGCCTTCAAAAGTACAAAAAATATCACGTTCGAGAGGAAAATTATCCAGCAATAATTTTTGACGAAAAATCATCTGTCAATGGAGTGTTAGTCTACAATCTTACAAAAAAAAATATTGAAATGCTCGACGAGTATGAAGGCGATGAATATGAACGTAAATTTTTGACAGTTTATGATCACAATTTAAAAGAAAATGTCAAGGCAGAATGCTATGTTTGGATTGATGCAGTAGATCGCTTAGTAGATCTTGACATAGAATATTAAAATTACACGTTATTTTATATCTCCACACTATCTCTTGTTTTTCATGGAGAAGATGAAGTAGTAGGAACTATAGGCCATTCTTCATGATTAATACCAGAACTTGATATCGATTTGGTACCGATCTTGACTTCTAATGCTTTGAGTTTTTGTAATGCAAGGGCTGTCGATATCGAGCTATCATATGATTTGTTGCTAGAAGCCATGATATTAACGCGTTGTTCAATATACGGCTTTACAGTGTCAAAAACAAAGTTTATTAAACGTGTTTTGTCTGTGTTGCTAAAATTTTGCTGTTCCATCTGTTCAGATGCAACATCAATAATGCTGCTTAAAATGTTACCTTCAGATTTCCCAAGCATTTGTATCAAGGTATCTATCTTCCCAACAGTCGAATTGTTTGAGCTTCCGGTATTGAGGTTAGGGGTAACAGTAGTAGTAAAAACAGTTTGTGAAGACAGTGAATGCAAAATCTTTAAAAAGTCAAAAACTATTGTCCAAATCTTTGCTTTTTCGTCAATCTGCATCAAGACCTCAAAGTATTTTGAGGCGCAATCGGCACATTCTTGAGCAATTGAATATTGCCTTGTCTTTACACATGCAATCCATATAGAAACAAAAACCTTCTGTAGACCCTCATGAGAAGCAATAAACTCTTTTTGTTTAGATTTTTCGACTCCAAGATCATTCAGTTGTTTCCTCCAATTATCTAACGTCAGTTGAAGAATATCTTCACGTTTAAAGGCAAATAGTGCTTTTATTAAGCCTTCAATAAAATTTCGACTTGATAAAAGACCAGTTTCTAAAGCAGGCACCCAAACAGACTCAAAATCTGTGACAATAAGACTATATGCTTTGCTTCTATCACCAAGAGACCAGTATTTATTAGCTATTTGTAACCTTAAATTATTCAGACTCCAGACCTTCATATTGGTATGATAATAGCTCGGGTTAAATAAAAGACGTTCCATAAGCTTGACATCTTTGAACTCCTTATTTCGAAGAATAGCAGTGGCATAAGATTCATTTAGTTGAGAGTTGTAAAATAGTTCAGTCAAGTACTGTTTAAGTTCTTCAGAGCTTGTGCTTGACGATATCAGACGAAGTCGTTTCTTCTCACCATCAACTCGTAATATGCTGTGTAAATCAAAAGACTCTTTCTGGCCTGATGAAAATGTATTTGAGGGTGTTGAAATGGTATTTAAAGCTGTAAAAAGGTCCATAAAATGGTCTGTCACCGGTACATTGACATTTTTCGTGGCCCGCTTCTCAAGTTCTGTGACAAGATACTTGTTTAAATCTCCTGCAAGATTTTGCGCCTCCTTGCGTGTCATAGGAAGAGGTCCATATAAAGATTCGGTAATCTCATCAAACTTCTGCTCCCATTTCGATTTAGAAGGGGTGCTAGAGCGATGAAGTTCATGGTCTGAAGTTGTTTGCGGTATATCTTTTTTGTTTGCTTCAGTAATAGAAGAGGAAGAAGAAAACGAAAAAGCTGAAGCAAGATTGATATTTTTTAAAAGGTCTTTCAAAACTTCTTTCTTAATAGCAGAGGTAAGTTTCATTTTTTTTTTTCTGATTATTTGATTTAATATTGTAAAATAGAAGAAAATAGGTGGGGAAAGAGAAGGGGAGACAAATTTGTTGATAAGTAAAGTAGATGATGATGAATGTATGTAAGCAAATTTGCACCATAGCTAAGCCTATTACACTGTAATCAACTATCACGCTGTCAGCTGACAAGAGAAGGTACCTGTGTGGGTGTTAAATTATTATTTTGGTCACGTGAATCAATTCATTCTTTTGCTAAAGATTGTCAAGCAGGTTTTTTTTTTTTTTTTTTTTTTTTTTTTCAACCGGCTTAGAATCTTTAGTTACCTCCATTTATACCCAGAAAATAGTCTGTTATAATTTTTTTTTTTTTTTTCCCTCTTTTAAATATTCATATTTTCCCATTTTTTTTTCTTTGGATCTCAAAAATGACTATTTTGGAAGATATAATTACATTTCGTCTTTATTGAAAACATAATGTCGTATCCTTCAAAACATTGGCTCGATGGTCTAGAGTCAGCGCAACTCAATAATACCCCGTCATCGACCGGTGGAAGCTCCAATAACGGCAATAACCAAACCAATATAGACCAAAACGCTCAAAAAAACAAACCATTCTTTTCTAAAATAAACTGTCCCGAATTTTATATTCCGTCAAACACTAATGAACTAATTAATCTTAACTCACATCCTTTTAAACCACAGCTATGTCCCGAAAATAAAAACCCAGTTACGAGTTATTCGAATATAATTAATGGAATCGAAGGAAGAAATATTCCAATCAACGAAAAAATTCCAAATATATTGAGCGATGTTGACGAAGCGTTTCTTGTTAGATATTATATTGAAGTAGTTGCGCCCACAATGACAGTCTTTTCAGTAGAAATTGCAGTATGTTTTTTTTGTTTGGTTTTGTTTGGTTTTTAATGAACGATAACTAATTAGGTATAAGTATACACACATCATTCCCTGGGTGGGTATGCATGAGCGCTGTGTATTGAACTCTATGATAACATTGTCCTCCCTTAGTTTTGGATATCGAAGTCCAGGTTTGCTTGATAGAGAAATATCTCACCAATATAAAAAAAAAGTTATGGATGAAGTCTATGCAAACTTGGATCAGTCTTGTACTGTTCCACGACGGCTTATGTATCTTTGGTGTCACTGCTGCATGGTTCTTCATGGAATCCTAACTAATACCATTTATGAAGGTGAATCCCAAATTAAATCTATATATCAATCATTATATGAGATATCCTTAACTCGAAAATCAGTGCATCAAAAACAAATATTGAAGGATGGGAATCATGATCTATTCATGTATTGCACATGTTTCATGTTTACAATCGATATTGGTGTAAATAACCGAGCCTGTACCAGTAGTCTGGCCGATCCAAACTTTATAGAGTCGATTTCGAACTATGAACCAGAACCTCGTCCATACTCTAGTCAATGGTGGATATTAAGAATACACGTCATTATATCGCGTATCCAGTTTTTTGCATATAACCAAAATGTCCCCACAAAAGAAGAAATGCAGTCGAATGTCCGGTATAAAGCTTGGGAAGCAATTTTACACGACTTGACCGAATATGAACGGACACTTCCACAAACACTTAGGCCCTACTCTGTCACACACAAAAATCCAGTCTTCAGCTTTAAAAACATTCACGTCACTGATGAAAGCGCTTTATTAACTAATATATTATACCATTCGGCATTTATCTGGATGTATCACCTCCAACCGGATTTAACACCAGATGAACTGCAACAGGTTCCGCCTTTATCTCTACCACATGCATATTCTATTTTAGGGTTATTAATTAATTGTGAAAAACCGTAAGTTTGTTTTTATTATATGTCATACATATTCTAACTTGAAGATAGGACTCTATGGATGATCACATTTTGGACACATAAACAAGCTTGTATTTGTCTTGAAGATGCCGAAGCTCGAGAGGATGCACAAGAACTTAGTCGAGAGTACGAATGGGTTACAGGATATACATTTGACATGCACTGGGAAAATATTTATGCTAGATGGCGAACAATTGATGAATATAAGAAGAAGAAAAAAAGGCTGAAGAATTTTACTTAACTTCAACTTGAAAAACAAAAAAAAAAATCCTCATCACTTGTATTCCATATAATGGAATAATGAAATGTTTCTTTAACGTATCATTTTTAACCGATATTTTATAGTGTCTTGTGTTTATTTTACTGTGTTTAGGTTTAAATACCACTTGTATTTTTATTAACTTATTTATTTTTGTTTTGTTTTGTTTTAATGCACTGAATCATGATAATTAAAATTTCCCTTTTTGCGAAAAATTGATAATGCAAAAGTCAATGACAAATTTTTTAAAAGAAAAACAATTAAAATTTTTCAAGTATTGGATTCAAAGTCAAGACTATAAATTAACAAATGTGTTTTTAAAAAAAATTATAAGTTTTTTATGAATTTTTTTTTTAATATTCATATAAGTAATGAGTTGTTCCAAACATTGGCTTTCTTCAATGGAAGATCTTTATAACAAAAAAGAGAAAAAAAAAAGCAAATTTTCCAATAAAGTTTCTAATGAATGTATTGAAAAAAATGGTGCTAATCAAGAGCTTAATAATTCATCCACTTCTTCCACTAGTCATCTAACTCAAAAACAACCGGATCATGGAACTTTCAATATCTACGTCAAGCCCGTTACATGGCCTGTTCCACATATTAATACAGGATTCATCCCAAAAGACAATAAAGAAGAGTTTGCCTCAACGTTTAATAACTCGTTGAAAAATAGCATAGCCCCTCTTGAAAACTATCTTTGTTTACCTACAATCAATACCATTGCAGAAGTATCTACAATATCAAAATTGTTAAATTCAGAAGACAAACTTAATGAACCAAAACCCTCAATCTTAACAGATTCCGATGAAGCATTTCTTCTCCGTTATTACATTGAATCTATTGGACCATTTATGTGCACGTTTTCCGCAGATGACTTTGTAAGATAATTTTAGGTGATACCAAATTATTTCCTTCTAACGTTTTTCCTTTAGAATTTACAAGTTATATCTCACTTGGCTTTAAAAGAGCGAATGGTTTTGGATACAATATGCTTTATATCATCAGTAATTCTTTGCTTTGAAACCCCTGGTTTTATCACTAAAGAAACAATCGTATTTTATCATGAAAAAGCTATGAAACAAATTAATGAAACCATTGACATGACAAAAAACTACAATAGAAAACTTTTGTCCACTTGGTGTACTATGTTAATTCTTCACTTTGACCTGATAAGTGTTTCTAACTTAGCTGGACAAAACAAGATTCGTGAAGTATACAGACAGCTTCATGAAATTATACAGCTACGTTCTGAATATATCAAAAAGCAGGCACATGAACTTGGGAAAGGAAGCGAAGATTCAGGTCCTCAAGATATCTTTATACCCTGCCTTTGTTTGATTTTTGCAATGGACGTCAGTTATTCCCATCGTACTGGAAATGTGGGTTGTTTTGAGCCAGGTTACTTTCGATCACTTATAGACTTTGAAAATCAACCCAGAATGTATTCCCTCAACTGGTGGTCAACAAATTTACTAAATTTATTACTGGAAATGCAATGCTTTATTCACGACCAAAATGTTCCCACCCAGAAAGAAGTGATAGAAAATGCACGTTTTAAAAGATGGAAAAAACTTTTCAATATTTTAAAAGAGTTCGAAACTAACTTCCCTCAGTCATTGAAACCGTACGCAGTAGTATCAAGATATGGCTCTTCTGGATTCCCAAATGTATTTACTGTAAATGAACATCTCCTAGTTCCTAATGTGTTTTATCACGCTTCTTGGATAACTCTGCTTCACTGTCGACCAAATATGACTGAAGACGAGATAAACGCGGTTCCACCAGGGTGTTTGGATCATGCAATCAATATAATCGGTTTGCTTAGAAACTGCGAAAGCACGTATGTAAACATAACCTCATGTCTTTTTACTAATAACTAACAAGTTTATAGAACAATATGGTTCATTTCTTATTGGACTCATATGACAGCAAGTATGTGCCTTGAAGACCCCGATCATCGCAATGAAGCTATCGATTTCAGCCGTCAATATGAGTGGATGACAGGATGTTTGTTTCATTTACGGTGGGAGTTTGTTAAGAAACGATGGACACAAATAGACTCTTACAAAAAACGTAAGGCCCGTCCAAAATAGGGCTAAATGTGGTGGTTGAAAAAAAAATGGGAAGATTCATTTGTAAAACCAAAAAATAAAAATGAAAAAATAAAAAAAAGCTTTGATTCAAGAAACTTTATAACGCTGTGCCACGCTCGAATGCATCGCGTATATCTTTGGTATATTTATCATAGTGACGCGATAACTTTTGGTTAAACTGCTTGTTCTTTTCGTTGATGTAGGAGACCATCTCGTCATCGTCATTTTTCTTTCGTCGTTTCATACGTTGTTCGTCTCTAAATTTGTAATGTTAATATGATGTTTAATAATAAAAAAAAAACTTGTCTACTGACCCTTTCTTGAGATGATTTACAAGATTGTCGACAACTTTTTTAGATGGCTTGTGAGAAAATTGGCTCAGAGAGTCCTGAGATGTTGTAAGAGAGCCATCCATATCATAAGCAATGATTTCGCCATCCTTTCCTTCAATAATCATTCCCTTACTTTTTAAGGATTCTATTTTCTTTTCATTATAATCCTTAATATCTGGTTGTAGATCTTGTAAGTCTTTCAGATATGCTCTCTCCGCAGCTGTAGTATAGTCCGAAAATTTTGAAGTTTTAACCCGCTCGCTTTTTTCTTGCTGCTTTTTGTCCCAGTTTTCCGACTCTTCAATCGTCCAATCCCACGCTCTTTTCCGTTCAAAATCTTCTCCCTTTTCTTCAAGTTCAATCTTCGATAGTTCCAACTCTGCCTCTTCCTTTTTTCGCTTTTGCCGTTCTACTTGGCTGTAATCAGTGTGTTTATTGGTATATTCTTGATGAGTATCCTTCCTATTAGCTTTTGCTGATTCCATTTTTTGTTTCCTCAGTTGTTTTAATTTGTCTAGTCTTTCTTGTTGTTTAGAAAGAGCTGTTGGTGGCTCTGAACTGGACGTTGTTTCATCATCAGTTTGTTTATTTTTTTGTCGAGTTTCTGATTTATTGTCAGTTGGTTCATGTATTTTTCGTTCACTGCTCATTCTTGGAAATTCGAAGTTTTGGTCAAATTTAATTAATAATTATTAGTGGCAAGATATATCAAGATTGCAAGTTTTGTATATATCAAGATGTTTAGAAAAAGCTTGCTCATAAAGTTTGATAAAAGAGGCAAAGTTTTTTTATTCTATTATATCAAAATTATGGAAGCTATTTACCTGGTGCATTTAATTTATAACTTCTTACATAATATTACAATTTCTTGTAACAAAAAATTATCATGTTGTGTAATCCTATTCTTTTTCACAAGCATACAACCGTTCACTTTGAACGAACAGATTCGAATGCCAATAGATGCATTATTCAATTCTATAAGATGTCTAGTGTTGATGATATTTTTAAAGTACGTTATTTGGCGGACATTATCATAAAAATTATTTTTTATTCAAAGTCAAGTAATCCAATGGCTAGTTTCGCAACCACGTTAACAAACAATGTTTAAGAAAATTTCTAACATGCCTACTGGTAGCAATAGAGCAACAGTTTTAAAGGTCAAAAGCGAGGTTTGAGTGACGATTCCCATCAGAAACCATCTAAACGACCTACATTATTACATGGAAATGAAAATGAAAATGATGAGGACTATACCAGTACTGTTGACAAGTATGCTTTACTAAACCCTAAGGAACGCGAGATTCAAGAATATATTGACAGCCACGAAAATGATTTCCACGGTGTGAGTATTCCGTTACCCATTCATATCAATTTTTTACTGACTATTACGTTTTTAGCCTGAGGTGTATGATAAAAAGTTTTTAACAAAACTTCTTGTGCAGCTTGAAAAGGCCTTAAATGAGAATACACAACAAAGACTAGATCATTTAAATGAGCCCGAAAAGTAAGTACATTTGATATAATGATTTAATATTCTAACAATATTTTTTTTAGATTTTTTGAATCCGAAAATAAATTGTATAATTCAATTCGTCAACTCTCCATCATTAGTGAAACAGATTTGTACGATGAACTTGAAAAGTCAGGGAGTCTCGATACCATTGTGTCTCTTATCACACATGAAAATATCTCGGTTGGTACACAGACTCTTCAAATTTTAGAGGAGCTTTTTGAGCCCGAAAATGAGTGCGGTGTTGATGCTATGAATAAATTGGCAACTGCTTTATTGAAGGAGGGCTTAACCAGTCAAATTACCCAATTTCTGAACATGACGGAAAAAGAACAATATGAAGGATTTTCTAACCTTTTGAACCTTGTTTCTAATATCACCAAAAACGATGCAAACATTGGTATTCGAATTTTAAAGAAAACTAAACTACTTCAGTGGTCAGTTGAACGTTTTGCACCAAAAGGGGATGGCAAAAGTAAAGAGGATAGCATTCCAAACTCCATCATTTACCACTTTGCAGAAACCCTTTCTGAACTGTTTATTTTAGTTCCTAAAACAATCGCAGTTTTTGATAAAAATGGTGTTGAAATGCTTTTGCTGCAACTTGCCACTCTGAGGCAAATTGATTCACTTCACAGCGAAGAACGAGATTTTTTTCGGGATGTTTTTGATATTCTGGTATCCGCTGTACGTTATCCTTGGGTCAATGAAGCATTCCAAGAGAATGAAGGGATAGAGTTAATGATGATGCTTTTACAAATTAAAAGAGGCGCAAACAACAAGTCTGATACAGAGGATGAGGGTGATGGAAATGGGTGGATTAAAGCAAATGTTTTAAAAGTTTTGGCTGAAAGCACAAAAGGGTTTGCATCTACTGGGAGTCAGACTTGTTTGTCGATAGTTGAAAATGGTGGTTTAAAGATTTTATTTTCGCTGCTACGAAAGGTAAGTTTATTTTTATTTTTATTTTTTTTATTTCTAAATACTAACTTTGAAAAGAATAAAAGAAAACCATTTGTATGGGAAATTTTGACTATCTTTGCTAGTATGCTTGAATGGTTAGAGCTTGGATCTAAAGAACGAGATAGGTTCACTGCAAAGTTTGCCGAAAAGTCATATGAGATCGTCATACTAACTACTAAGTATTTTCATAAAACTCAGTTGTCCAAAAAAATCACCGCAAATGAAGAGGAAAATGAGGATGAGATTAATGAGAACTTAAAACAATCTTCGCGGCAACATACATTATGCGTTATATTGGCTTGGTTGATTATAGAGTTCGACGAGTTTAAAAACGTCATTGTAAAGGAAGTTTCTCTTTCTGAGATTAGGAACAGTTTACTGGAATATTTAGAAGAAGTTGATTTTTCTAGCGAGCAAGAAAACAAGGAAGATGCATCAGAAAAAAATTCTTTTGATAAGCTGGTGATAGAGAGTGATAAAGTCACCAGTGATATGTTAAGAGTTCTCATTTCACATATAGAATAATTGAAGATTTCATGTTGGATTAGATGATAAATTAAAAAATAATAATTACAAAGTTACATTAGACATAAAGTTCGTTAAAATATTAAAGACTCACTTTGTAGACTTTATATTGCCAATTTATAATTAGCAATGAAGTTAAAGTGTGGTGACTGGGTCAATACCACTTGCAATATTGCATTGGTGCATTAGTCTTCGCTCACCAGGAGCAAATTGTCCAGTGACACTATGCAAAACCCCTTGATTATGGAAAAGAGCCAAATCACCCTTCTTCCAAGCATGGACATAAATGTTTGAGGGGTTGATGGCTGGACGCATTAAGCGGTGAACTTCCTTTCGAGCATCTTCGAGCTCAAGAACCTTTCCATTAGGAAGGTGAAGTTTATATACACAGCAGCCATGCACCTGTAGATGGTGGCGGCCGGTAATAGGGTTAGTCCAAACCATTGGAAGCTTTTTGACTTTAGATTCCTCCCACTCTGGAAGACTTTCAAATGGTGTTTCTTTGCCTTCAGAAACCATTGTCAAACCATCGCTAGTTGCACGTGCGGGTGAAATAAAAATATAAGGGTGGGGTGCATATTCGACAGTGGTACCAAGGACCATTTGTTTATCTTCCTCAGAAAGATTTTCAAATGCATTGACAGTAGACATAAACGCAGTACCAGCCTGCGCAATTTCAATTTCATCTCCTGTATCTTCATACTTAATTTTCATAGTCTTGGTGGAGTCAGGAACGTGGATTCCAAGAAGGGTGGTGCACACTGGGGGGGAGAGACCATAAAGAGCCGAGTCAATATGCCAACGATAAAAACGAGTGTAACCATCCTCAACCTCCTTATCAGTAAGAGGTTCATTGTGAAAATCAAAATGAGTAGGGTGTCTCAAAGTGATTTCATCCATACCACAATGATCTTCAAACTTTCCCTGTCCCAATACTTGAACCTGTGGCTGGTAAGGAACTGAAACACCATCGCGACGAAGAACGGATTTGTTATGACGGAACTCTTTAGCGTGGCCATAAGCACCTGCACCACAAGTTGGGTCCATTCGCTTCGTAAGATTGTACTGGGAGGTGGGGTGAAGGTCTTCCATTCCAGGTATAACAAGAACACTATGAGTCAACAGTCCGCTCTTAAGTTCGTCAAAGTCTTTGTCATTTAAAAGAGAAGGATCAGTAACTCCATCTGGAAGGGTGACAACTGCACCAAGAGGAGCACCTGGAATGGGAGTGAATTTGAGACTAGTATTGGAATCAATGACATCCGAAGGAAGAGAAAGGGTAATTGTTGATGTTTGAGGGGTAGCAATAGCGGCCATTGTTAAAAGTTTATTAGAAGCAAGATTAAATTTAAAATAAGTTTGAGCAAAAGAAAAGAGAGGATAACGTTCAATAATTAATAGTATTTGGTAATGATTAGAATGGTAATAAAAGGTAGAAAAAAAGCAAAACTTAAAGAAAAAGAGAAAGGAAATTTAAAGAAATTAAGGGAGGATTTTGAGATATTTATATCTCAATGGAAAAGACGGCTGATCAGCAAAGAAGACAAAAAGATGATGCTTTATTTACTTGTTATCTGGGGAAATCTATCGGTAATTCCGCGGTCACTTCCGTATATTGAAAATGATAAGGAAAAACATCACGACATTAGAAAATAAATCTGGTTACTGCAGCAAGTTTGAGTTGAAGGAACACCCCTAGCGGATATGAAGACACCTACCTACGTTCCAGATAGATATCATTCTTATCTAAACTAGCTTCTTTGACAGTCAGTACAAAATTGAAATATGAAATTGAAATTGAAATTGAAATTTTATTTAATTATTTAATTGTTTATTTTGGATACTAAAGGACTTTTATGAATGATGAAATGACTTTGAATTGCTTTTAATTTGCTTAAAAGGGCCTCGTCATATTACAGTGTTTGAGTGCATAATGTGTGATATCATAATAGGCAATCAAAAATAATCCTCATGTTTATTTTTTTTTTTTGCTTGCAAATCTCCGCATTTTCAACTTTGTATCCTGTTATCTCATCTTTCTCAACCTGATTCAAAATGAACTGATATTTTCCATGAGCCATGACTCAGAACAATTGTTTATATTTATATAATAATTTTTTTTGCTACACCCGGAAGAGACCGAAAACATTAATAAATCTTACAATATTTCCTTCAAGATAGACACAGCAGGAATATTTCCATTTTAGGTTTATTTAAGTCTATACCAATATGCTGCTTTTGACAGCTTCAGGACATTAAAACATACGATTCTAATCGTTTCCTCGGTGCTTAACATAATGACTATTAAGTCATAGTAAATACCAAATTTTATTTAAGAGAAAATATTTTTTTATTGATACACAGTCGTATACAACACATCATGTCATCTAGTAGCCAAAAGCAGCAAGGGCCTTGGAAGTCTCAGAACCCTCAAGAGACTTCTCAGCAGCAACGGTCTTCTCAATGAGAGCCTTCTTCTTAGCCCAGTAAGCAGCAGACTTGACCTTTCTTCTCTCTTCCAGACGCTCGACAACGTCCTGGTATTGCCAGCCGACCTCAGAAGCAAGTCTGCCAACAGTAGTGTACTTTCTGCCAGGCTTGAGTCTAAGGACACGGAGAGCCTGGGGAACAACAACACGCTTCTTGTTGGTGTAGGCAGGGGGAATACCCTCGTACACCTCAAGGTTCTCAAGAGCCTCCTGGCCGCGGGCAGTCTTGTGGGGAATCATACCTCTGACAGCCTTGTAGAAGATGCGGGAAGGAGCGCGGAAGTGGAAAGCACCGCGGGTCTTGTTGAATCTGGTACCCTTGCGAAGGTAGGCGTGGTATTTCAGCTTAGCGCGGAAAAGCTCGCCAGAGATGTTGAGGGCCTCAGCACGGACCACAACAACCTTCTCACCGTTGAGGAGCTGCTTAGCAACGATAGAGGCAAGACGACCAAGAAGGTGTCCCTTACCTAAATACTTGTTAGAATGATTTTAAAACATGAAAAGAAATATAATGACAGCAACACAAATCGACTTTTAAATTTTAAAACTGATTTAAACCAAAAGAAATTGTATCATAAATAAACAAGTCAAATATAAACAACCAGGGTATATGTTTAAAATTAATAAAATAAATAAAAACCGTTTGCCATTATGATTGTTCAAATAATTAAAATTTAATCGGATATCCATCAAAGTCGTCTATGAAATCAAAAAATCATTATCATTAAATCAATAGTGAATAAATAAAGTATCGACTGTCATTATATTTGATGATCATGATGACATACCATCAATAACGACAACAGGGTAGGAGCTCATTTTTGTGTTGATTAGGTCGACGATAACTGTTGTATATGGGTCGATGGACAAGGAGGTGGAAAAGGGGAGGAAAAAATTTTTGAAAAAACCTAAGCAAAATTGGTGGGAGTACCCTCTCCCCAGCCAATACTGGCGTACAGAGAAATTTTACGACTCGGCTGATGCTCAAAATGGTAGTTACCCTAAACCATGTAATAACAGTTTTTTTTCTGAAAAAAACGTGACATATTTCCCACAAGATTTTTGATTTCAATTTAAATATTACACATCAGTCTCAAATATACCCATAAACAAAAATGATGACTAATAACTAGTGACTACTTAAACTATAACCCTAAAATAATCTAGGGCTTTAAACGAAAACCTCACCTAAAATGGCAGACATTATTAAATGAACATGAGTGTATACCTGTTTTGGAATGAACACTGCTTGGAAAAAGCCAGACACTTTATGAAAATGTTTCTAGAGCCGTTGACGTCTCTATCAACAGAGATTTCCATACAAGTCACAATGGTAGACTCGATAACTTACTTACACTCAAATACTAGAGTATCGAATACTTATTGATTTTGTTGAAACACTACTATTTTTAAAATTTCTAAGGTATTCAAGTTAACTATCGTCAGTTTTGATCAAACCATGATTAACTTGGAAACATAAATACGGCATGTCTATAATTTTAATGTGTAATAATCTGTTCAACTTGTAATCTGATGAATCAAATTTGATGAATTCCTTTTTCAAATTCTAGTTTAAAACACCAGTATTTTGCTATCTTAAACCAGTTTTCAAATTTACTTTTGGGATTAGATTTTTTAAACGTAGATACCTAGTTTTTATTATGAAATTCGTTTCTTTAAAAAGTAATGTCATCATTTTCGTTATGAATAAACTCAGCCGTATATAATGGTCATCTCATCAACCGTAATTTCATCCAATAAAATATTTTTGGTTAGACTTCAGCACATAGTAAAAAAAAATAAGTAGCTCATCAAACTGCTAAAATGTAGTTGCTAATTATTCTGGTCAAAAAGAAACTATATTAATATCTGGTTTGAAATGAATAGATTGACATTATAAATTGATATTGTTACTCAATATTTGTAGAATTCCAAAATAAGACGCCTAAAAATCTTGATTTTAAAATGAATAGGCTTTTGAAATTAAATACACAAGCTTATAATAAACCAACATATTTAGAAGCTATTACCGAATATTTTACTAGCAATAACCGGATTGAGAGAATGAAAGAAGCTAGACCAGCAAACTATTTATCACTATTGCGACTTCAATTTTACTCAGAAAAAACTGACAATTTGACCCATCTGATTCTAAAACATATTAGTGGGCCTTTTTAAAATATCATGTTAAAATGAAGGATAAATAGTTTTATAAACAATATATCTTTTATGCAACAACTTTTTTGAATGAAAGTGGCACAAATCGTCAAAACACGTTAAATATCAATCTGATATACTAATTCATGCAAACTATGGGAGAAAAAATACGAGATTAACTAGTCATTTACATTAATGCAGAATTTTAACTGAGAATATTCATGAATAGTATTTCTTTTTGATATGTATATAATGAGTATCTACTATCACTCTCTCACCCACTTTTTTCAACCTTGGTGTTGTGAAGATTTATTTTAAATAGTAATCAATTTTTCAATATGTCTATTATAGAGTCTTATGAAAAAAAGAATAGAATAAAATAGCATTTGTATGTGAAATTTACCATTAATGGCCCACCCTTAGACAATGAAGTGTAGTTATATAAAATATTTTTGTATGACATACTTTATATTGTCAGAAAACATTGATAACTTACATCAATTTTTTTAATAACATAATATTGTTGATTATTAAAAAAAAAGTTAAATACTTCAAATATATCTGTAAATTAATATAAGTTATTTTGTAGAAATTTTAAACTATCTAGATTTAACTATGAAAAACAAAAAGAATATATGAAAATTTATTAATAATTCTTACAAGATTATTTAAAAAATATTAAAATTAAGTAATGGGTCACGGCTCTGTATGAATTAGGTACAGATATGATTTTTTAAGCTACAAATAGCAATTTGTTTTTGGCGGACATAATTGAAATTTCAAAAAGAGCAGCCCAAGTAAATACAACAATTTGAAATATTTTTACTAAATCTCATGGATTTAGTAAACATTGGAAAATACTTGACTTAAAAAGTGGAGCCTTTACCTGGTTTAATAAATAACCAGGTATTCCATTTGCTACCTTTCTTCATAATAACTCAGAGTTATTTTATATTGAAGTTATTCTGTCATAAATTAATTTAAAAATATTTAAGTAGACCAAATCTGACTAATAAGTATTCTATTAATAAGTCTATTTCATTATGAATGGAAAAGAATATTATTACAAATTGAGTCTTCTATAAATAACCAGGCAATTATTTATTGTTTTTTCACAGAATAATTTTGGTCACAACCTTATATTAGGTCTTCCAATTTAATAATTCTAAAAAAATGAATAATAAATTTTTAAATTTAAAATAAAAAAATGGTCATTATTATATTGAAATATACTGATAAGTAAATTCATGAGAAGAAGCGTCTTATTATTTAAATGAATTCCAATACAATATTTAATAACTATTTATGAAGCTTTAAATACTCTAGTCCAACTTGGATTCAAAAACCTTTTTTTTTGGTGCAGAATCATTTCCAATTCATAAGTCCAGCAATGCTTTCAAGTTAGTTGTACTGAATATGTATTGATTAAATTAATGATTTTTTTTTACAATTAACTAGACATCTGACATTAAACATTTAAGCGTTTTTTTTAATAAACATAAGTTTCGCGTGTATTTACTTTTATCTTCAGTTATGCCGCGGACCCCTTAAAGTTACATATAAAAGAAATCTATTTTAAAACTTTAAGATAAATATTCAACTTATTCTCTCCACCTTAATTTTATTGGTCTTGGGACAATTAGATATATTTGCTTTTTTTCATCAAAGCTATTGTTACTGTTTCAATCATTCAAGAGAACAAAAAATGAAATATTTGTATTTATTCTATATCTAAGGGGAAAATTTTATAAAAAGATAAAAAAAAAGATACTATTCATATAAAAATTAAGATTAAGAATTGCATTATAAAATATTTTTTTGAATTAGTCTTACAGAAGAAAAAGATGGAAGATAAAATGATCCCTCTGCACATGGTTTTGATTTGAAAATCCTAGAAGACGTTTTTTCTAAGATAAAAAAAACCGCTACATAATGACGTCTAAGGTTTTTTAAATGAAAATTTTAGTTTAAATCTCAAAGGCGGGTTGCAAAAAAAACTTTTTTAGTTTAGAATAGTAAACGATAGTAAAGGTTGGTAAAAATGTAAAAGGCTAAACTACAGCCTCGACAAAGATAGCGTGTGATGTAATTGTTTAATAGACTTAAGATTGATTCAAACGATAACCGTAAAATAACTGAAAATTATGGATTCCTATACATTTAACTTATATGTTCAAGAGAACGAAAAAACTTTATTTTATTCTGCATATTGTAAAACTTTTAAGTTTGTAAGCCAGCTGTGAAATAGTATGAGCAAAAAAATAAAAAAAAAACTATCACTAATATTTTTCTCTCACAGAAGAACTAGAATTCAGTTTTTTGGGTTACTTTTTTTAAATCCCGTAAATAAACTTTACATTACTAAATATTCTTAAATCCTCCAACCATGTTTAAAGATGCCCTTCAAGTTTCGCTTACTTTTCTATATAAACATTGAAATCCCCCAACTTATCCTTCATTTTTTTGACCTAAAATTATTCTAATATATACTTTTTTATTACTTTTCCTTTTTTCCCCAAAATATGCTATTATTTTTTATAGTTTTTATTTCAAAGACCTTTCAATAAAAACGAGAAATACATTTCACCAACTAACAAACCACAATATTTTTTTTATGTGTAAATCCTACATAGGATAAATATGTTATCATCATTAAAAAATTCTTCCCATAGCGGTTCGCAAATCGATAATCCCTCTCACTCAAAAAGCCAGCTTTCTGTTTTGCTTAACAAATCCTTTTCGTCTGTTTATGACACTCCAAAACTTGAACAAAATCACTTATTGCAAGGAAACCAAAGAGACACCCATCAAACAACTCCACCTTATCTTTCTAACAAGTTGAGCACTTCTCACTTGTTGCAGATGCCATATTCTCCCACATCACCTCCTATTGTAACTTCTGAAGATGCCAGCTCTCCACGACTTGGAGTTTCTCAAAATTTTACAAATTCTTCTCATACATATCAAACAGCCTTTTCTAGTTCAAATAACCAGAAAACTGCTTTAAACTCTTTTCTTTTAACTTCTTCATTTGAACAACCAAAATCGCCCAATTCACAAGGTCTTTTGTTTCAGACAAAAAGACTTCCCGAGTTGCCATCTTATTCTCATTACACAAGTCAGACAGCAAGTTCAGGCTCACCTAAAATAAACTTAAATACACATTTCAAGCCCAATACAACAATAAATTGGGATTCTTCCAACAGAAAACCCACTGACAATTCAGACTCTTTTTCACCATCCCGAAATTTTTCTGGAAATGATCAATTAGATCCAATAAAAAATTATGATGGTTATGTCCAGACACAGAACTTCTATCACAACAATTCAGTTTCTACTTCATTCAATAATGGTAGTAATTCATCTAATGGTTATTCTCAAGACAACTTGACTTCTGTCACTAGTATTAATATGACTTCAAATAGTTATGTGAGTTCTCAACCAACCGGTAACTACTCACAGAATCAAAACCACCGTCGTCATTTACATAACCAGTCTTATCAACCTCAATCACAGCAACATTACTATTCCTACTCCGAAAATCAACATATTCCCCGTCAGACTAATGATAGTTTGGCATTTCATGCTTCAAATTCTCATGATACTGCTTTGAATCATTCTCAAGCTCCTTTTAATCAAAATTATCCTTTCGATAGATCATCATCGGTCTCCCGAAATCTTGATATTGCTCAGTCATCAATGTCTTCTAACTATTCGAGTTATCCAAACTCTTCACTTGCATCAGAAAACAATTCAAACATGAATCATAGTTCTGGTCCCTTATCAAATTCTTCCCAAATTAAACAATTAGAATCACCACCTTCTACATCAGATTTAATGTACAACACAGTGATGGCATCAGAATTGGGACAAGAATCATACATTCATCATCCTGTTAATCACAATCAGTCTTCTCAATATGAACCTAATCCGATATCCGAAAACGAACAAAGCCAATCATATCAAAGCTCTTGTTCTCAAAATATTCTTCCACCACCACCATACATATCAAATCATCATCAATTTATGGGCCATTCTTCAATTATGAATGTAGAACAAAGCAACACTTCTGGCCATTCCCATTCAATGCAACTCATTAAGGCATACAATGCTAAAGTACAATTTAAATATCCTAAAAAACATGTATGTGACAAATGTGGAAAGAGGTTCACTCGCCCTTCTTCATTGAAGACTCACACTTTTTCTCATACCGGAGAAAAGCCATTCCAATGTGATTTTGAAGGATGTGGAAGATGCTTCAGTGTTGTTTCTAACTTGAGAAGACATAAGAAAATCCATAGTTCTCAACCTCAGTTGGAACAAACGTCTCATATACATCATCCAGACCACCATCCGTCGCACAGTTCTCAAACGAATAGTAATGAATATTTAGATTCTATTGATAGATAGCTGTCTTATAATATTTCTGTATAGGGATAATTGTTATAATTATTTTGTTTAATATCTTCAAATAATACTATTAATTGTATCAATATGGATGTTCAAGTTGGTTTGCAGAATTCTAAGATGATGTCACCATCAGAAACTGTTGATAATCATATATTAGCTCATTACGCTGATATTTATAAAATTCATTGTTTTAATATATAAATTTAATTGACTCGGAAACTTGCATTATTGCAAATTCAATTTTGAAAAGTTTTTCTAACTTTTAAATTTTTAAAAAAAAAAAAACATAAGGAAAGCGATTGTATTTTGTTCTGCATTAATTTGATGGCGGGTGGCCAGTCATCGAATGATAATACTTTACCCAATTACTGCCAATAAGCTGGCTGTCATGATGCCGCATAAAATAGACTTCGAACATACTGCCCACCTATCAGTGTAATGTCTTTTAACCTCAACAACGATAGAAATTATCATAAACTTGTAACAAGCATAACAGCCAAAGCGGCTTTAGAAGCTTGCGGTAGAATGCAAACCCCAGAAAAATTTGGGACACCCAGGGACTAGAAGAAAATTTCTTTTTCTAGACGTAGAACGCCTACAAAAGTGGTACTCAAAAACTGCCCACTTTAAAAAAAAAAAGTTATCAGAAGCAAAATGAGCCGATTAATAATGGGATAAATTTACTATTGAATAAAAAAAACACCAATTTTTTTATAAAAATTTAGATTGTTGTTAATACTTGGAACCGCAAATTTGTCCGTATAAAGAAAGTAGAACTTAATTTATGAACTTGATTATTTAAGATTGGTAGTGATTAATAGAAAACTTCAAAATGACGAATAATGTCAAATAATGCCAAATAAAAGAGTTCTTAAGATATTGTGTTAAATCCAAGTTTTGGACCTATATATTAATATATATGATGATTAAATTTTAAAGTGTGGAGACATAATTATGTAAACTGATTAATGAGACATTAATTCCGTATGAAGTTGTAATCTCTATCATTATATGGCTCTCCCTATTTTTTTTTGTCATTCACATGTCATTTACAAAAAAAAAAAATATTAATAATATTAATAATAATTGAAAAGTCTCGTTTTTTTTACACTGAAAATATATTTTTCGACTACATTTAAATAATTTTTTTTTGTTTTTTCTTTAGCTGGAAAAAAGAAATGCTATTCTAAAAGATCAAAATAAAAATCATTTAAGGAAATAATGGACTTGCACTAATGACATAAACGTATGATTTTTGAACACTTTATTGGTTTGCAATAACATAGTTGGTTGATAAATAAGACATGTTTTATCAAGCTCTGGGAATCAGTAAAATATTATATAAATGTTTATTCAATATTTTCTAATAGCCTCCTTTAAAGTAAATTCGCTAGCTAAAAAAGTACTTCAAATATATTACCTTTCCTATTTTATTTAATTTAGTCAAAAAATTTCTAAATAATTTTTTACTATATCTTGATATAGTTAATTTTTTTTCTTTTTTGATCAGACACTTAATAATTATCGGCTACAGCCTTATAAGATTGTAAACGAAACCAAAATTTTAAATCTTTAATGACAATACTTTAAAGGTCGAACAACTGATTTATTCACTCAATTTAACTACAAAAACGTGTAGTGAATCTTAGTAAACATATTTTCTTCTTCTTCTTTTTGCTATTTTTTTTTTTCATCCCAAGCATTGGGTTCTTTTCTCTTTGCATTAATCTTAGCCAAAAGATTAGCAAAAGATCTACAGGGTCCTAAAAACCTGAAGATCCATCACAAAAAAAAAAATCTTTTAAAATATATTTGTTTTTCATAATTACTGGCAGATTATTTTTTTAAAGAAATGATTTTTATTTTAAGTGTTAATACTGTCAAATGATTGATGACATTTTAAACTAGGTCCTGGTGTTCAATGGTCTAGCTTTAACATATCAGACTTTCAATATTTGGACTCATTAGTAATCAATTTTCATATCAAGGTCAGGTCTAGACTTTAAATTTTATTTGACAGAGCAGCCAACCTTTAAATAAAATGACGTATTGGATAAAAGAAAACTTTAGAAAAGAACCAATATTATCTTAATTATTCTTTTGAAGCTACAAGTCATATATATATATTATGGCAGAACTCGCCTAACCGCCGATCTCAAAGTAATTCATAAACGTCATTATAACTCTGTATTGGGATGATTTTATGCAAAAGGATTTTATCGGCTAAAGTTGTCAAAACCCCAATATTTGATTAAACTTTAGTTCAAAAATATTGTGTTGTCACAAGAAATCGTCTCATTTGAAGCAGTTTATCGTTAGAAATTAGTATTAACAGTAATGAACTTTAGATTATTTATTTTGGAAAGGTTAACAGCATTGGTTTTTTTTATTGAAATCTTTGGAAAAGCTTTTTTTAGAATCTAAAACTATGTTGCTCCACATAATTTACAAGCACGTTCTTAAGCAAGTGTTGAAAAAGATTTAAGTTCATTTGAGGATTAATACATGAAAGATAATTGTAAAAAAAAATTGATTCAGTAATGTTCTAAATGCCCTAACAGAATAATAGTTTACCAAAATACTTGATCAAAGAAAATCAATTAAATAATTCTGCATATTGGTGATACTGATATTTTCTATTAAGTTGGGAATAGCATGTGCATTTATTTAATTGCCATTTACATAAATAATACCCAGTACCTTTTTGCATCTAAGAATGAGTTGGAATTCAACATGGACTTTTTTGTTCTTTGTAATCAAATAAAAAAAGATCTTTTGGGTTTTTTAGCAGAAATGAGTATTTAACTAAATTATATAAATGGAAATTTCTTATGCTCATCTAAAGTTTTTGTGATTTACTTTTTTATTACTGTTAATTGAGTCATGTTGGCGGGTCTTGGAACCAAACCGTTGAAAAGTCAGCACTTTTTTTTCGCTTTGGGAAAATGATATCTGATTCTTTTTGTATGCTAATATTAGAAATATTATTGTACTATCCGTTACAAAATACCTAACTTGAACTTAAAAGCTACATTCCTTTAAGGCACCTTTACAATCTAGTAAATAAAGTTATTTTACTTCAATTTTAAGATTATTTTTATATTACTAATTATTTTTTATTAAATTAGTATATTAGCTTATGTCGTTAAAGGTTATTATTAAACAAGGAAAAGCAATAGGCTTTATTTGCTTAAAAAAATATTGTTGGCTAAACTAGAAAGAGAATGTGACAAATGATTAATGATCACTTGAAAGTATTCAAAAAGATTTAACAAAAATTAACCAAGATTGGTAATTAATTAAAAGATTTTGGCGTTTGATTAACAAATTTATAAACCTGTTGTATTTAAAAATCAATTACTATTATTACTAACGTTGAACATAACCGGTACATTATAAGATGTATATTAATTTCATTTGTAAACATTTTAAATGATTTAAAATGAAAATAATTGTTTTTATCTTACTTCTATTTTATGCTTATTTCTTAGACGGGGTCCATACAATTTTTTTTTTTTGATTTAACTGATTGAAATCTTTGATTTTCACTCTTTTTCTTGCATGAAATTGTTCTAGTGTTATTAATCAAAAAAAATATCAATTTTGCTTTTTTAGAACATGGATTCATTAGCTGTGGAAACTGTGACAATGCCCTGGGTATGTCTGGAAGCTTTGCCGATCTTCACTTTGTAACATTTACGTTTCAGCTTAATGCAGTTTTTATACTCCATTGAATCACCTAACATTCAGAAATGTAAGAAAAAGATATTGAATTTAAAGAAAGCTGTAATCAATCTATATTTAGATGTTCAATTTTCCTGCAGCATTTGTCTTTTGTTTTAAGAGCAATAGAGATATTTTTCCTTATTTTAAGTGCCGTTTAAATTTGGTATTTTATAATAGAGCTGAATGTTTTTTTTTCTTCAACAAATGCATGGACGAGATCTACATATTCATTTCTCTTTTTCAGTCAACTTAACTTATATGTAAAATACAATTTTTGAGATCCAGCATGCTCTTTCTTGAAGATTGAAGAAAAAAAAGTACCTCTCTCCCCAAGAATTATAAAGTTGAACAACATTTACTTTTTTTGAGCCTTTTTGATAAGGAATTAATTTCCACATGATTACCAAAGTATTTGTGAAATTAAAGAAATAATTATTTAAAAAAATAAATAATGAAATAACAATTTTTTTTCTTTTTTAAATGCTTGCTATACAAATACATCAAACGTAGTGTTAACACATAGTTACCATATAGGATTTATGTTTTCTTTGTGATATTTAAAAAATATTCTTTGAAATTCAGTTGAATATTCATCTAGTGACTAATATTAGTGCAATCATCAATTAATTGATGATAGTATTCTAATTTTATGGGCAGAAAGTTGTAAAAAACCAAAAAGTAAAGTATTCAATTTGGCCTGTTTATTTCTCTAATTAGTGCATTCCGGAACAATAGTATATAAAGCTCAGCAGATAAAATAGCATATATTTTTAGAAACTGAGTTTTTAAAGTCTTAAAAATAAGGAATTTATCAGTTCAAGGTTTATTCTTTTGGATTAATTAGTTTAGTAATATGATCTAAGGCTCAGCTTCTTAGCTCAAATGTTTAAAAAGTAAATGTAAAAGAAGAAATGAGCTAGGTTTTTAATAATAACTGTATGTCCTTAATATTTACATTGTAAGTATTTTAAGGTGAGTATACAATGAATATTCTATTTTATTGTTGACGGTTAGAAGCTGGTAAAAGGATTGAAACAAAAGATCGACAATAATCTTTGTTTACCCCCCTTGACATTAAAAGAACCTTCTTCTTTCTAACATTCAGGCATTTCAAGCAGATTATAATTCCACCGTCATATGGTCATCTTTATTTTTTTTTATTTTTTTATTGATATTAATAAAAATTTTGAAGTTTAGATTTGTTTTTATTTGAAATCAAGAAAAATAACGTTTCTCCATTATAGTTTTTGTATGGAATGATTTTTGTATTGAATAGGAACACAAATTTGACCAATCTACGAAATTTCTAAGTCTATTTAATTTTAGCAAATAAATGGAGATTTCATTTCATGGAAATCATATATTTTTTTCCTTTAGGGTAATAACGGAGAAGCCATGATTTTCATTTTGTTTTTTTTATCTAATGGTTTATTTTTAAAAGAATAAGGGAAAAAGACACAGTTAACTGTTTCCTTGCTAACGTTAGAAGATAGCCAAACGTTTGAGTCAACTCGGCAGATCCTTACCTTTAAAAGGGTACCCCGATCATTTGTTTGACTTTGGTGAATGGCTATCAAACTAGCTAAGAATTAGTCAAACTCTCCACTCGAAGAACTGTTATAACACCAGTGAGAAAAACGCAACTGTCGTTAATTAGCAACTGTTTTTCTTCATCACTATTTCAGTCTACATACAAATTAAATATTAACAATAAATAAAAAAATTTCAGCCTTATTTGAGTCAAAGCTAGAAAGAAACAAGATACAATTAAATCTAGGCTCTTTTTTATTGTCACGAGATGCATTGAAGTACTGATATTAATATGGTAAGTTAGAAATGACGAATGGTTTAGAATAAACGGCATTATTTTATAAAAAAAAAATAGAAATAATATAGTTTTGGCCGGATACTTGCTATGCCAGTGCCTTTTCCTCTCCATGAAAATAACTCAGAAATCAATTGTATCAAAATGCCGTGCTAATGAGATAGTTTTTAATAACTTCCTTCACAGGTTTTTAGTAATTGCATTTCGAAAAAAAAAAAAAAAAAAAAAAAAAAAGGCATCGGCAAATGAGGCTTTTGTTTTTTTCTTTTTTTACATTCTTATGATAGAATTAAAAGGCATTCACTGGATAAATAATAAAATATCAAATTCAAAATATGGCTGTTAAAGATTTTTTTAGTCAGTTAAAAGAGTATTGGATGTTGTCAAGATAGTCTATAACCATTTTCTTTTTTTTTTTTTTTATGGTGATCAGGATCAATACTGTTATTATTAAATCTATTTTGTTTTAAACTATTTTCTTCCTCTTCATTTACTCTAAATCATTAACGTCAATATCCTCATCTTCTTCGTCACTGCTATCATAATCATCAGAAGAAATCGATTCAGGAAGAGATTTGAGATTATCAGTCACAGTAGGGGCAAGTTCTGGGTCAACAAGATCAGGCTCCTCAGTGACAAGTTTAAGCAGTGTTTCCCAAGCATCCCGAGCACGGACAGCATTTTTATTTGCCTCTCTAATCAATCTATTGTGTTCATCTGGAGAAGATGCAGCATTTGCTTCCTCCATAAGTTTCTTGTAAAGCTCAGCACGAGCAAGACCGTGAAGATAGTAACTTTCGGCGACTTGGTCGTCCAAGCGCTGAATTTCGGCAGTTATCTCAACAACATTGCGGAAAAGAGTGACTTCCATGGAGTTTTGTGCTAATCGAATAAGAGAGGGAATTAGTTGTTGCTGTTGCTCTTGTATCCGTAAAGCAGAGGGGGTATTAGAGAATTGTTGGTGATATAAATCCCAAGATTTAGAAAGAGCGCTTTTAGCGTCATCGTTACGTTGCTGACTGATACGAATAGACCCCATGACGTTCCAGTTTTCAGGGTTTGCAGAATCCACAAACATTGCTTGTGTTATGAGGTTATCGCAACTGGCCTCGGCTTCAGGTTCCATGCTATAAATATTTGTTAATAACCAAGATCTTATTATTATTATTTTTTTTTTCCAGTTTTCTTGCTAATTTTTGTGATGCACATACCACAAGTCAGTCATCCAAATCTCAATTATGCCACAGTACGCGTCACAAAGTTTCTTTTTCTTAAAAATGATGTCGGGATTTTCTATGCTTGTTGTAGCTTGAGAGATCTCACGTTTCAGGCCCTCGATACCTTGCTCATAGGATTTGATGCCATCTCTGCTGCCCAGAATTTGGCCCAGCCATAAGAACTTTTCAATTCCTCCAAGTCCGCCAGAGGGGTCAGCATTAGCAGCGACTTGAAGAAGAGGGTATGCTTCTGGGGTGTTTCCTTGATCTAAAAAGGCTTCACCAGCCAGTTGTATAGTTTCGAGAAGAAGGCCGTTTGAGCTTGCACTGGCAAAGCCGTCGAGAGCTTCTTGCTCTTTGAGGATTGGAATGAGAAAGTTGAGACATGCCTCTGAGTCACTGTTATCCAAAAACTGTTTACCGTGAGCTAAAATAGCAGCGTAATCTGTTTTATTCTGTTGATTTGTCATTTTATTGTTTGTTTTATTTTGATATTTAAGAGTAAATGCGAAACTAAGAAAAGCTAATGATAGTGAAAACGCGGTCTTGAAAAAAAAAATTTTTAGGGAAAAAAAAATATATATTTTTCTAAGCAATTACCTAAAACTGCACAGCCGCATGGAAATTACAGACTCTCTATATAACAGGAGAAAAGCATTTGGACTTTTATTAAAATATGAAAAAGAATACATTTTTCAAAGAAATTGTTTCGTTTAATTCTAATTAATTAAAGATTTTTATTTATTTTTGTTTTTTTTTGTTTTTTTTTTCAAGTCAAAACGTTCATGACAAGTAAATGTTCACATGAAATCGGAATTACTTAAAGGTTTATGCTATGAGTCACATGACCCTATATTGTCTTCGTTTTTATGGCTTAATTTTTGGGCTTCTTTTTTTTTTTTTAATTTTGTACACACCCACCGAATTTTTTCCCTATTTTTTTTGGAAAGACAACACCAACAGCGTACAAGAATAATCATGATTCTGCGCCAACAACACCCTTCACATTCAATTGATTAAAGCAGAAAAAAAGAAAAAGATAATCACTGGCCACGACATAGGGAAATAAGGACTTTAAATATACCACCATGACTACTATAATGGATAGACTTCAGTCTCAAAGGCAGCCAGGTGCGCCTATTGCTACTAGAAGTTCTGTTTTAGGATCAATTTTGCCTGTTCATCAGCGCAACAATATTTCAAACAACGCCATAAACTCTACTTTACCAGTGGGGAATGCAGGAAGCGATAAGCTTAAGCTTGTTATTCGGCTTTTACCTCCCGATATAGATGAAAAATGGTTGATGGCGTTACTGAGGGGTGTTGCCAATGACGATACCTTACAGTCCTACTACTTTGTACAGGGGCACGTTTCACGCAAAAGCTTGTTAAAGCAATACAAGTTTTCATCTAAGCCGGTTGTATACTCGCGGCTTTATTTGAATATGAGGAGCCCAGCTGCAGTTGCAGCCTTGGTTAAGGAGTACCACACGTCAGTTTTGCTTTCCATAATGTTAAAGATTGAGCAGGATTTAGACGATGCCACAGATGATTTGCCTGGGTCTTCCTCACTGAAATCAGAATCAGGGTTCTCGACACCATCAGGCCAGTCCAAGCGTCATATAGTTAAGCCGATTATAGAGTATGCCCCGTTACAGTTAAAGCTCAAGGCGTCTAAGGGTCATCCGCTTGAAGGTACGATTGATACTGACGAGGATTACCTCAAGTTTGTGGATGAATGCGAAGCTGAAAAGAAGGACAAGGAGCAATCGCTTGAAGAGTCTAAAAAGGACGCTGAGGAAGATGAAGAGAAAGAAAGCAAGGAAAGTGGGGAGAATGAAAAGGTGATTAAGCTTGATCCCAAGGCTCCAACATTGGTGTCTATGGAAACATTAAAGGCAGTTAAGGCCAAGCTGGGTACATCGGCAACATTGACAGGAAATGGGGTGGAAGAAGCACCATCACCACCACCACCATCAGCCAAGTCAAAGGGGGGTAAGAAATCCAAAAATAAGGATTCAGGAGATGGGAAAAATAAAGGCTCGAATGAGGAGCAGCCCAAGAAGAAGAAGATTTTGGAACGACCGTCAAGTGCAAAGAGAGGGAATAACAATGGCAGTGGTGGCAATAATAAAAACAACAACAGCAATAATAATAATGATAATAATAATAATAATAATAATAGTAACGGGAATAAGGAAAAGGAGAAGGGAGAGGCATCGGCTAATGGTGAGCCGAGTATACCTAAGGATCCTGCATCGCAACAACAGCAGCAGTTGAAGGATGATGGGAAGAAGAAACGTCGACGACGTGGTAAGGGGAAGAAGGAAGAGGATGGAGGATCAGGATCAGGATTAGGATCAACAGGAGCCAATGGAGCAGACACGGGTAAGCCTGAAGGTGAGAATGATGGGACAAGCAAGAACAGAAGCAAGCAGCAGCAGCAGCAGCAGCAGCAGCAGCAAGGCGGTGGTGGTGGAAGTAATAAGAGCAAGAAGACCGATGAGAAGACAAGTAGTGGTGGTGTGAATGCTGGTGCGTCATTTTCAGGGGATGGGGTGTCCAAGAAGACGGTAGATGGAGTGGCTGGTATGATGGAGAAACCTGTTGCACTGCCTAAAGGGCCGGCCTCGATCAGCAGTGGTGGGAACAACAACAATAATAGCAATAATGCTCACAATAATGTTCACAGTAATGTTCACAGTAATGCTCACAATAATGCTAATAATGGAGGCGGGGGATTGAATGCAGGAGACAAGAAAAAACGACGAAGTCGGAATCGCAAGGAGAAGAAGGAAGGAGATGGAGAGCCAGGGGGAGGTGGATCGAATGGACGGAATGATTATGCGGCTTCTGGTTTGTCATTGCCTTCATCTAGAGCAGCAGCAGCAGCAGCCGCAACAGCATCATCATCATCATCAAACGTGGGGGATTTACATGTAGTACCTTTACCTGTTTCCACTCCAAATGCTCCAGGATCCAAGCATGATGGACCTCGTCGGGGGCCTCGCGAACGTGGAATGACGAGAGATAAGGGAGCTTTTTCTTCTTCTTCTTCTTCTTCTCCTTCGTTTTCTTCTACAGTTATAGCTACAGGGTCTGTTGGACCATCAGGGTTGGTAATTCCAAGCGGTCCCGGAGGAGGAGGCAATGGCAATGGCAATGGCAATAATAATGGCAATAATAATGGCAAAAGCAATGGCAAGTTCCGTGTCAGTAGCCGGTCTAGTGGGCCCAATAACGGTGGAGGAGCCAAAGAAGGCAATGGTCCACGTGCTTCTAATCGCCCACGGGGGCCACGAAGAAATGGCAGTGATGGTGGGCCAGGCAACAATGGCAATGGCAATGGCAATGGCAATACTAATACTAATACTAATACTAATACTAATACCAATGTCAATGGCAATACCAATGGCAATGCCAACAGCAGCAGCAGCAGCAGCAGCAGCATTAGTGGCAGCACAAAGGCATCGAATTAGTGCGTTGTTTTGATGCACGCGAGCATTTGGAAGTGCAATGATGGGTTGTAAAAGAATTGAATTATATATATATATTTAGTGTGCTTATAATAATAATATTATTATTATCATTATTATTATTAAAATATTAAAATATGTGAGATATCAATATTGAATAAGAAAGATTGCAGAATATTTTAATATTTTTTTATTATAAAATAAAAAATAATAAAAAAAATAATAATAAAAATATTATTAAACGTATAATTACGTATATAAAGCGGATTCGCATTTACATTGCCAGCTCAGCAAAAGCAATGTTGTTTGATGAGTATATAGATATACTCCACAAACCAGTGAAACATAGTTTGTTTCCCCAGGAATTTTTTTTTTTTTTTTTTTTTCCTCCTTTAAATAATGATAAGAGGGGGAAAAAATAAAAATAAAAATAAAAGAGAAACATTTTAATTTTAATTTTTTTTTTTTTTGTACCTATTGAAGTTTTTTTTTTTTTTTTAATTTTAATATTGATTTTACTAATAAACAAATGCATATATATATTATACTTGTTACTTGGTGATTTCAATGTTTGATTTTTTCTGTTACGAGTAAAAAAAAAAAAAAAAAAAAGTCAACCTGAATTTTTTGAAATAATAATTAATTAATTAATTAATTAATTAGGGAAAAAGAAGAAATTTAATGAATGACAAAAAAAAAAAAAAAATTGATGTTACATAAATAAATAAATAAAAAAGTAGGAACGGCTGAAACTTATGAGCCGCACTGTTAGTTAGTCAGCCATCCATCCATCTATCCAGACGGAAAGAAAGACAATTATTTATATAATAAATACAAATATATAAATATAAATATAATATAATATAAATGACATGTATATAAACTATATAAAAGGATACTTTAGAATGAATATATCCTTATACTACACTTAAAAACTTAATCATGATGTTCTGTTTATTCCCAAGTCAATGGCATTTTGCAAATGAGTTTTTTTTTTTTTTTTTTTAAAAAAAAAAAACAAACACATGTGTTAGAAAAGCTGTGGTGATTGGTTTGAGGCTTCCCCGAATGCAAAGGCCTCACGCGAGAAAGTAGAAGAAGCCCAAAAAAAAAAAAAAATTAATAATAATAATAATAATAATAATAATAATAATAATATATTCTCAGGCCAGACTCACACAAACAAACAAATAGGCAGACAGACAGTGTGTGTATTTTTTTTTTCTTTTTTTTTTTTTTCAATGGGCTAGGCAGTAAAAAAATAAAAAATTTAAACAGCAGCCATGTCATATTTTTTTTTTTTTTTACTTTACTTTACTTTACTTAAAGCTTTGGTTGTAGCAGAAAGGTGTGTCGCGTGGCCTTAGTTATGTGAGGTTTTTGTAGGTATCAAAACGTAAGAATGAGATATATATATATATAATATAAATAAATATTAGAGAGAGAAGGGATGGAAAAAAAATTATATATATAAATATATAAATATATAAATATATAAATATAAATATAAAAACTACAAATTTCCTTCAATTTTTTTTTTTTTATTTTGTTAAAATTTTAATAAATATATTTCTATTCAATATATTTATAAAAAAAAAAAAAAAATTTTAAAGCTTAGAAAGTACATCATCATTTATTGGTCTTTCAATTCCAATATATTTCCTAGCTTTAAAAATATATTACTACACCCTATATATATACTCACAAAACATCATCACTTTTTTTTTTTTTTTCTTATTCTTCTTCTTCTTCTTTTTCTCCCTCTCCAATTCATCTTTTTTCTTTTCTTTCTTTCTTTTTTTTTCTCTCTCTCTCTTTTTTTTTTTTTTTATTCAATCAAAATCAACCACTAATGTATTGCATCCCACCTTGGGTCCCTACATTGGACTTGTGTCTTTCTCAGGCTCCTCGACCTCATACTTTTACCTTTTGTACCATTTCGAAAAATGGCATGCCCCGTGCACGAACATGTGTATTTCGATCATGGCTATTTAATGACAAATCAACCGGTGTTTTGCTTTTTACTACAGATTTACGCTCAGGGAAAATTGACGATCTCCAGTTTAGTGATGGCAAGTTTGAAGCTTGCTTCTATTTCCATAAGGGTTCCATTGAAGCAAATACACAAAATAATTTATCCTCATCATCTTCTTCTTCTTCTTCTTCTTCTTCTTCTTCTTCTTCTTCTTCTTCATCATCATCATCATCTATCTCTAGCGTACCTTCAACCCCTAGATCTTCATCAATTCAAATTAGACTCTCTGGCTTTGCTCAGCCTTTAATGCCTGCGCGCAATTTTTACCCAAATTTATATATTCCCTCTGAACAACCTTCTCCTTATAATATGGCTAGTTTTCAAACACCAAACTCGCCATCTGTATCATCAATGGCTACTGCCTTGTATAATTCCCCCCCACAGGAAAGTGTCGATGTTGACAATAATAATAATAATAATAAAAAGTCACACGAGCAACTTGAACAACAACAACAACAACAACAGTCACAACAGTCACAGCAGCCACAAGATTCTGCTAATGTTGCCGCTAATGCTACTACCATAAACATCTCACAACAACAATTAGCTGCTCTCAAGGGAAATGCAATCTATCCCATTTACTCACCAAGCTATCTCGAACGATACAGAGCTCAATATGCTCATGATTTTCAATCCAATGCCTACCACAAGAATTACATCAACATGACTAGCCCACAAGCTGCTGTAGATCAAGATACAAATATGGATGAAGATTCAACCCCACCCCCTCCCACACATGTAGAATGGGACGAAGAATACACCCGTGTTTGGAAAATGATGAGCAGATATGGAAAAGCATCGTTTCGACGACCATGTCCAGGTAGTGAGTTAGATGACGAAAGCCGGCGGAAACTAGACAAGCTTTCACGTGGAGTTGATGGAGCAAGTGATGATGCAGGTAAAGACCAGTTTGTAGTTCTGGCCATGTTTGTCAACTCTTCAGATGTCTTTTACGATAGCCTCAATCGTCGCTCTAAGTCATATCGAATCGAAGATGATGAGTGGATTGAAACAGAAGTTTGTCCATGATGATGACTATTATGATGATGATGATGATGATGATGATGATGATAATGATGATAATGAGAATAATACAAAAAAAAAAAAAATTAATGTCTTTGGTGTTTATTTATGAGCTTGTTTACGTTTAACTTTTTTTTCTTTTTCTTTTTCTTTTTTTTTTTAGATATTTTAGATGTCGATCTCTTTCTTCTTTTTTTTTTTTTTTTTTTCCTCTTCTTCTTAATCTACATAAAATAATTAATCGTAATAATAATTTGTCTAAATCTAAAATAAAAAAAAACCTACAATCTTAGATCATGGAAAGTCTATCAACGTTGGGGAAGGTTTTTTCTATATGACTTGTCTTGTATTTTTACACGTACATTTTTTTATTTTTTTATTTTTTTATTTTTTTATTTTTTTTTTCCTTTTCATCAATTTGAAATTTTCAAATTTTGTTTTTTTTTTTGTTTTTTAAAAAAAAAAAAAATTTTTTTTTTGTTTTTGTTTCCATTCGGAAATAGTTTTTCCATGTCTAAAGATACTCGGAATGAATAGAAACAAAAAAATAAATAAATATAATAATCATATACTTTAAGTAACTTCCCTTTTTAGACCAAAATGAAATGAAATGAAAAAAAAAAAAAAAAAAAAAAAAAACTATCAAAACAAGGCCTTACTGATCCCTCTTCTACCCCTTTGGTCTTCCACTCACTCTATATCCTTTTCTACTCTTTAAAAATCATTCACATTGATAGTAAGTGTGTAAGTGTGTATATATGTTTTACGTTTATATTTAAGTTTTCTCATGTATCAGCATCATCATCATCATCCTCAGCATACTTCCCGTTTAACATGCTCAACTGGAATGATTCCCATTAAACTCAGAAAAACATCAGATCGACTCGAGTGTAGACAAATGTAGTGTATCCGATCTGGCATTGTTGATGTGTTGTCATTATTATAATAATGGTTGCAAATAGATGTTCCAATTCGTTATTGTAATAAATAAATAAATAAAAAAAAAATTTGTTGTTAAAATGCAATGAATAAATAAAATTAAAAATTAAAAATGAAAATGAAAATTTCTATTCTATTCTATTCTTTTTTTTTAATAATATCATATAATACTTAAATAGCGTCCATAAAATAATACATATTTAATTACATATATACACGTGATTAATTACAGAATTAAATGTAACAAATTTGTCTCTATATGTGTCTGTCTATGTGTCTGTCTGTCTTTTTTTTTTTTTTTTTTTTTTTTTTTCTCTCTCTCTCCACCAAAAAAAAAAGAAACCAGCAAATATCGCGAAATTGGCCTTTTTTTTTTTTTTTTTTTTTTTCCCCCTACTCAATCAAAATCATACTAAATTAAACGCGATTTTATTTTATTTTATTTTTTGATATACCCACAAGAACAACTGCGCTTGTTTCTTTCTAGATAGCAGCTTAACTGCCATCAATTACCACTTTTAATCACATTTAATACCCTTTTCATTTCCCCTGTTTTTATTTATTTTTAAAATCCTTCATTTAAAGCAGGGACATGCGTGAACTCTTGACAAATCAACCTATTTTATAATTTGTCAAAAAAAAAAAATATATATATATATATATTTATTTTAAAGGCATCATCAATCAAGTAACCAAAAAAACAAAAAAAAAAAAGTTTCTATGAAGAGTCATTTGATTTTGTTATGACAGACTCTCTTGTTACTTACTTATCGGCTCATATACCTCTTGATTCTTCATATCCTTCAATTCCGGGCCTCTTTTTTTGCGCAGATCACAGCCTACCCCAACGCGTCTTGCCCCTAACTGCCGCCACCAACACACTACTACCAATACTACTACCATCACCATCACCATCACCACCACCACTCCCATCACTATTCTATTCAACCCTTCCCACCACAATATATCTTCATAATGGACCACAGAAGTCGTTCTTATTCTTCACACAATAATAGTAAATACTATTCTACTCTGACAAATTCACAAGGGTACTCTCAACAGTATATTACAGGTGCCTCACAGCCGCCAAGCTCTGGTTCTGCCAGTTCATCTTCAGGCGACCACAACGGAATGCCATCAAACCCATACTCAGATAATCCATCATCTTCTTCATCACAGCACCACCACCAGCACCAGAACCATCACCATAATCATCTTCTTCCTCAACAGCAAAGATACCTTCATCCTCATTCACGATCTCGTCCCCAACAACAACAACAGCAGCATCAACAGCAGCATCAACAGCAGCATCAACAGCAGCATCAACAGCAGCATCAACAGCAGCATCAACAGCAGCAGCAACAACAACAGCTTGGGTCATCATACTCCAGAAGCCAGTCTCCCTCATATCACTACACAAATACTTCTCACCAACGGTACTCTGCTTCCGGTAGTAATAGTGGCAATATTGGAGTTGGAAGCTCTCAATCAAGTGCTACATCATCCCATAATATAGCACAAAAGAGCTCTCAGTACTGGTTTCGACGGAATAGCAGTAGTAGTGGTAGCAGCAGCAGCAATGGCACTGGCGCTAGCAATAACAGCAGCGGCCTAGGCACTAGTGGAGGTGGATCCAATGGTTTGGCTGGCGGTAATCAAGGAATACCGTCATCTTTAAATAAACACTCTACAAAACAAAACCTGTTGAACAACTCATCCAGCAGCGGTAATGGAGGAGGAGGAGGAGGGGGAGGAGGAGGTGGTGGTGGTGGCCGGGCTTTTGTCTCCAATAAATCTCATCGCCACTATCATTTTAAAAACTCTTACCATGCAAGTAGTAATGGCAACAGCTCCGGTGGCAACAACAGTAGCAACACCAATAGTGGCAACACCAACAACAACAACAACAACAACAACAACAATAATCATCATCGCTACTATATCAGCCATTCTAAACGTGGTGGAAACAACTTTTCCAAAGATTATAATCGGCCCCTCCCGAAATCGCAGCAGCAGCAGCAGCAGCAACAGCAACAACAACAACAACAACAACAGTTTTTCCCAGTTTACGATGATCAGGTTCCAGATGACGAAGCTTTAACCGTGGACTACAACAAGGAGCTTCCTGAAAGTCTGACAGCACTACCTCGACAAGAAGAGAAGCTTGATGACGTATCTATCAAATATACGTCCGATGACCAAGTACTAGAACAAGCCCTTACTAAAGAGCCTAAACTTGACAAGGAAATCAACCAAAGCTCCAAGAAGGATCTTAATTCTGAATCAACGGAAAGATCTAATAAAGTACCAAAGGATGAATTTAAACAAATCAAAAAGGAACCTATTGATGAGCCTGCTGCGAGTCACTCGGAAAATCTCGTTAAGAAACCCTTTGTGGAGCCTTTAAATAACCACACTGAGGAATTTACAAAGAAACTGACTGAAAATCTTTCTGAGAAACATGTTGAAAAACAAGCTGAGGAACCGGTTGAGGAACCGGTTGAGGAACTGGCTGAGGAACCCCAACACGACCTTGTGGACGTGCCTATGGAGGACGCTCAAACAGATGAAAAACTGGATATTCTCCCTAAAATCAAAGAGGAACCATCAAAGGAGAATAAAAATTTAACACCACCAAAAACAACATCAACCAAAAAACAGCAGTCATCTTTTGACTCCCCAGAATCTTTAGACACTCTTGCAACCAGCTCTGAAAAAGAAAAAACTTTCAAAATCAAGAAAGAAGAGCCACCTACTGAACTTACTGAACCAATAATAGAAGAGGAAAAAATCAAGGTAGAACAGGAAGAATCACCCAAGCCATACATTAAAACAGAACCCACAGACTTAAACATCAAAGAAGAACTCAGCGATAGCTCTTTAAGTCCACCATTGGAATCCGATGAAGATGAGGTCATGAAACATATAGCAGTTGCCGAAAGCATTCGAAATGGAATTGAAGAATCTTCTTCTTCTGAATCACCAAGTTTGTCGTCATCACCAATATCTCCACCTTTGGAACCACCACACTCATCATCTAACTTGAAAGAGTTGTCTAAATCGCTGTCTCCACCAGCCCCTCCTCAATCCCCAGCCTTGCCACCACCCAGCAAAAACGATGATTATGAGGATGACTACGATCAAAATGATGATTTGCCGCTACCTGCTCAGGCCTCTTCACCATATGTCAGAGAAGAAGCCACCACTCCTGAACCGCCTAGCTCAATGAATGACGACGATGGAATTATCTTGTCGCCTGTGACCAAAATGCCCAAGAAGCGGCGCAGCAAAAAGACCAAAAAGGAACAACAGATCCATTACCAACTATTCAATGATCTTCCCTCTAAGACTGAAGAAGCTGAAGAGACTTTTGAGGTTCTGTTGGAGAGTATCTATACCAAGAAAAATCTTGGCAACTCTGGCCAGTTTGATGCCATGACATGCGACTGCCGACAACAGTGGGGTAAGTTTACTTTAATCTTTTTTTATTATTGCTTGATACTAACTTATTCTTAGATGGAAATCGCAATCTCGCTTGTGGCGACGACTCTGACTGTATCAATAGATTAACATCTATTGAATGTGTCAATTCTAAATGCTTTTGTGGTAAAGACTGCCGTAATCAGCGGTTCCAAAAACGCGAATATGCTAAAGTTGATGTGATCCAGACCAAGCTCAAGGGCTACGGTGTGCGAGCATTGGAAAACATTGCACAAAGTACCTTTGTTTACGAGTATGTTGGCGAGGTAATTTCTGAAGCTGGATTTCGCAAGCGTGCAGACGACTACAAGAAGGGTGGGAATCGACATTTTTACTTTATGATGTTGCAAAAGGGTGAATTCATTGATGCCACTTCCAAGGGTGGCCTTGCTCGTTTCTGCAATCACTCATGCAACCCCAACTGCTACGTTGATAAGTGGGTTGTAGGTGACAAGTTGCGCATGGGCATTTTCACTAAACGTGATATTTTAAAAGGCGAGGAAATTACGTTTGATTACAATGTTGATCGATACGGTGCAGATGCACAGCCATGCTATTGTGGAGAGCCCAGCTGCGTGGGAATTCTCGGTGGCAAGACGCAAACAGAAGCAGTCAATAAGCTGCCTCAACCCGTACTGGATGCTTTGGACATGGATGATTCTGATGAAGATACTTGGATGACAAGCAAGAAAAACCACACCAAGAAGAAGCCGCGTCTAACTGAAGATGAGCTTGATGAAGACTTTGATATTGACGAGGAAGATGATTATGAGACAAGTGCCTTGCCTACAAAGCCAGTGACGGTATACTCTGTTTCGAAGATTATGAGTTCGCTTATGCAAGCTCGTGAAGACTGGCTCGTCAATAAACTTCTTTCACGTATTGCTAACACGAGCGATACAGGGATTCATTTCCGGGTGATGCAAATGCACGGATACCAGATTTTCAACAATCTTTTAAGGGACTGGAACCTGGACGGAAAGAAGGAAAAGTACCCTCGGACGCGCATTATTTTGGAAATCATGACCAAGTGGCCGCGCAAGACCAAAAATAAGATTTCAAGTTCTAAGATTGAAGAAACGGTGAAGGATATTTCGCAGCACTGTGAAGACGAGGAAATCAAGGAGCTTGCTGACCAGCTGTTGAAGGAGTGGGCTTCACTTCAAATGGCGTACCGTATTCCTCGACGGGAAAAGAAACACGATGAGGAGCCTGAGACTGCTAATGCTACTGCTGCTGCTGCTCCATCTTCTGAGTCTGAGACCAAGAAGGAGGCAGATGCCAAGAAAGATACTGAAGCGTTGCAACAATCAAACGGCCATCATAGTTATAATAACCATCACACCCACAATCATCACCATCATCATCATACTAGTACTAACAACCAACAACAGCAGCAGCAACAGCAGCAGCAACAACAACAACAACAAACCAATAAGTTTATCAACAAAAAGAGTAACCAAGACCGGTATGCTGATTTGAATCTACCTGAAGGCCCACGCAAAACACTGTTAGCTCAACAGGCTGTGTTGTCAGATATCCTTCCACCCGGATGGCGATCTGCAGAGGCTCCTGGGGGCCGCGTTTATTACTACAACCGTGAGCTTAACATCACGCAATGGGAGCGGCCAATGCCTGTACTTACTAAGGGAGGGAATGTGATTAATCCACTGAATGGCGGGTTTTACCGCAACCCACCTGCTGGACCTGGGGTTAATCCCAATGCAAGTACTGTGGCAGGTGCTTCAGTTGTAACACCAGCAACGGTAGTTTCTAATTCTACAGCATATGGACAGTATTCTCTTGGAAGTCAGTATGGTGAAGATTACTCTGCCATGAATGGATCTGGGACACTATCTCGCCATGAGTCTGAAGTTGGGCTTGGCAGTGCTGTTAGTCTTTCACGCAACGGCTCTCGAAGTGGGTCCATGACTGCTCTTGCAGGTATATCTGGCCCTGCAGGAGCAGTAGGAGCAGTAGGAGCAGCAGCAGCAGCAGCAATTGCAGGCGGAGCCCAAGATGTACGGGCGTTAAAGAAGGCAACTGAAGAGATGACTTTGCAAAAGATTATTGAGGAGGCGTGTCAGAAGCAAAAGGAAGGTGCAGCGGCCGCAGCAGCAGCAGCAGCAGCAGCAGCAGCATTTCCATCTTCTTTGTCTTCAGCGCTCAGCCGAAGTAATAGTCATGGTGCGGATCCAATTAGCCGGAGCGGTAGTGCACTTGGGATATCTCGGAGATCGTCGTCACTTGATTTATTTGACGAGGATGATTCCGTAAGTCCTGGTTCTGAAACTTTGATTGAGATGCAATCTCGGTTATTGCAAAAGAATGTGAGTGAAGAAAAATTTTTTTTTTTTTTTTTTTCTTTTCGAGTTTACTAATTTTTTTTTTTTTTCTTTAATAGTTTGCAAAAATTGTTCCCAATATTGTTGTGCGATATGAATCTCAGATTGGACATGATAACGTGAAGCAATATTCACGGGAGATTGTTCGGATTCTTGTTGAAAAGGAACTACGTGCAAAGCCATTAAAAATTGATGTTGATTTTGGGTCTGAAAAGAAACTCAAGATTAAGACGTTTGTCAAGACATACATGGGCAAAGTTCTTGAGAAGATTAAAAAACGGCGACTTCATGACCAACGAACTGACCTTTCAAGAATGGGTGCAAGTGGAGGTACTGGGGTTAGTGGTTCTGCTACTACCACAATATTGACGACTGGAGTAGCAAGCACTAGTGCGAGTTCCGCAACAAGCACTCCAACAGAAGGTGCAACAACACAAAACGGAACACCTTCCGTAATAGTTGCACCTGTGGTGGGAGCCAGTTCTAATGTTGCTGAGGATCCAAGGTTGGCAAAGTTTCATGGTAATGGTGTTGATGAGACTAAGGCGAGTTCATTGTCTATTTCTCCTGTACCTAAAGAGCAAATATCAGCAACAACATCGACATCAACATCAATAACAGCAGCAGCAGCAGCCGAAACAGATGCAAATAAATGGATGGATATAAATCGACCTACTGCAGCTTCAATTTGGGGGAATGACTTTACGCGAGAGCAAAAGAAGAAGAAAGAAGTTGGGGAATCTGAGTTTGGTGTGGTTATTGATGAGAAGCCAGACTTGATAAGAGTGAAGAATATTGATGGAGAGGAAGAAGAGGATTTATTTGCCGAGTACCGATGGAAAAGCAAGCCCCCAATATTATCTGAGCCATGGAGGGAACCACCAGCTTTGCAATCATCTGCGGATTCTTCTACAACAGCTACTATTATTTCTGTTTCCAAGCCAATAATACGGCAGCATGAGAATTTACGGTTACCTCAGAAAAGACAATTAGGAGAGGCTATAAAGAATGACTTGCACCAGCAGGTACTTTCTTTTAAGAAGCAAAAGATTGGATTTGATTTCCGGAGACGAGGTGCGAGTGCTGGCGAAAATAGTAATATTCACAGTAATAGTGGCAGTAGCAGCAGTAGCAGCAGTAGCAGCAGTAGCAGCAGCAGCATCATAATCAGCAATGGTGGTGGTGGTGGTGGTGGTGGTGGTAATAACAATGGGCCACTTTTACGAACTCTTGGTCGGAGATTAGGTCGTCAGTCTACTGGGTCTGCACCTCGAATGATGGTTGTTGAGCCGCCGAGGTATGGTGACGATTATGCAGATGATGATGCGGAGCCACCTGCAGGAGGGTTCAAAAGTGTTGTTGAGGAATCTAGAGCATTAAGGACTGGGATTGCGATGGATAATTATGGAGAGGAGGCAATAATAGAAGATGGAGAAGGAGAAGAAGAAGAAGAAGAGGAAGAAGAAGAAAAGGAGGAGGAGGAGGAGAATAGAGATGAAGGTAATGGTAACAATGGAGGAGGAAGAAATAATGGGAATGATCGTTACTTTGGTCGCCGACGACACGGGCCGACTATATTTTCACGGCCACGACGGGGGCACCGAGGGATGGGGTCTGGTAAGAAGGGAGGATATAACCGTAACAGGGGGTTCCACAATTGGAAAGGGAAGAAGTTTTAAACAAGAATAAATAAAAAAAAATAAAAAAAAAAAAAAAAAAAAAAAAAAAAAAAAAAAAAAAAAAAAAAAAAAAAAAAAAAAAAAAGAAAAATTTGGGATAAATGAGATGATGATGAATGATGATGAATGATGATGAATGATGATGAGTTATTGTATATATAGATTATTATATATTTATTATATATTTATTATTATATAATTAAAAATATTTTATTTTATTTTAATTTTATTTTTTTTGAGTTTGAATGGAAAGAAAATCCGGGGTAAGTGGCCACCTCCGTTCTTTCCCCCCCAAAAAAAAAAAAAAAAAAAAAAAAAAAAAAAAAAAAAAAAAAAAAAAAAAAGGTCTGGGGTATTTTCCACCACCAAGAAAGTTTTTTTTTTTTAAAAAATTAAATAAAATAAAATGTTACCCTACCTGTGGCTGGTGTGATTGTGTGAGTGAGTGAGTGAGTGAGTGAGTGAGTGAGTGGGGGTATATATACATGTATTTATTTTTTTTTGTGGCGACAAACAAACAAACAAACAAACAAACAGAAAAAAAAAAAAAAAAAAAAAAAAAAAGGCGCAACGTGTAAAGTTCATTTATTATAATAATATAATTGTAATTATTACAATGGAATCAAATAGTTGAATTTTATCTTTTTTTTTTTTTTTTTTTTTTTTTTTAAGAATTAGAAGATTTTGTATTAAAAGAAATAAATAAATAAATAAAGGGAGGTAAAGATATATTATTGTGAAAAGGAGAGAGAATAGAAGTTTTGAATAGAGAAGTATTGAGTCTTGAAAGCATTAATTAAATATTGGAGATATTATGAAATATGAAATATGAAATATGAAATAGCATTGAATATATATAGACCAAAAAAAAAAAAAAAAAAAAAAAAAAAAAATGTAGTGAATAGTTACTATTGAAATATATATTTAAGACTGATGTCAAAGATTATCATTACTACTACTACTACTACTACTACTACTACTACTACTACTGTTATTATTATTAAATAGAAAGAAAAGAATTCCAAAGTTTGAGACAAATTGAAAAATAAAAACATAAAAAACATAAAATAAAATAAAAAAAATATCATTATATCGGCAACAACAACAACAACAATTCTTTGAGGCCATGGAGGAGGAAGAGGAGGAAAGGAAACCTTTTTTTTTTTTTTTTTTTCTTTTTTATAGAATATTGAACGGTATTAAAATACCTATTATATATATATATATATATATAATCCGATACATGAAAAAAAAAAAAAAAAAAAAAAAAAAGGTCTTTATCTTATATTTTTATTTTTTATTTTTTTTATTTTTTTTTGTGTCCTTAAATGATCCATTAAAAAAATATCAGTGATGAATTAACGTTTATGTGCATTATTAAAAAAAAAAAAAATTCAAATATTACTATTGAAATACCAACCGGGTTGGAACACATAGAGGCAAAACGTTAAAGTTAGATCTGAATATATATATATATATTTATATGTAAATAAATAAATAAATAAATAAATAAAATAAGAAATTTCTTTAAAGATTCATCTTTTTCTTCTCCATTATTTTTTAAAATCTCAATTGAGTAATATTTCTATTTTTTTTTATTTTTTATTTTTTTTTTTTTCGGGTTCTTCCGACTGGTTTTTTTTTTTTTTTTTTTTTTTTTTTGCTGTTAGTGTTAGTGTTGATATTATTTGTTCTCCACAGTTTTTAATTTATTTTTTTTTATTGTTACAAAAAAATATAAAATAATAATAATAAAAAGTTGTAACAAATTAATGCGGATTTTCCACTTTTTTTTATTTTTTTTTTTTTTCCTTCATCACCACCACCACCACCACCATTATTATTATTATTATTATTATTATTATTATTATTATTTTTCTTTTCACACACACACAATTTATTTATTTATTTATTTATTTATTTATTATTATATAAAAATAAAATATCTTTTTTTTTTTTTTTTTTAAATCATCATAATCATCACCAACAACCTACACACACACAACATAAATGAATAAATAAATTTATATATAAATATTCCTTTTTTCCTTTTCCTTTCTTTAAACTAAACTAAACTAAAATAAAATAAAATAAAATAAAAAAAAAAAATTTCTTTCATTTCAAACTATTCTTTTAGTTTTTATATATATAAAATCATTAACTTTTGATTCTTTAGCAGCATTAATTCTTTATTTATATTTATATATTTATATTTATATTTCTTTTGCTGCTAATTTTTTTTTTTTTTTTTTTTTTTTGATCCAATTTAAAATCTTTTTTTTTTTTTTTTTTTTTTTTTTTTTTTTTTTTTTTTTAAACACCACCACCACCACCCCCTTATGTTAAAAAAAAAAAAAAAAAAAAAAAAGAAAGAAGAAGAAAATATATATAAAGAAAAAAAAGGGATAGAAAGTTATTTTTTTTATTTTTTTTTTTTTTTTTTTTAATATATATATATATATATATATTTATCTTCTACTACTACTACAACTACTAATAATTTAGTCTTCAATTAGTTTAATTTTTTTTTTTTTTTTTTTTTTTTTTTTTTGTTTCTCTCCTTTTTATTTTATTTTATTTTATTTTTTTCTTTCTTTCTTTCTCTATTTCTCTCTAAAACATATACAACACAAAACATTCCAAACACGCGTTGGATTTTTTTTTTTTTTTCTTTCTTTATTTCTTTATTTCTTTATTTCTTTCTTTCTTTTTTCTTTTTTTTTCCCTCCTGGAATAATCAAAAAACTTTCCAACCAAAACATATATATATATATCATCATGAATACCCAACAACAACAACAACAACATCCTCCTCCACAAGGCCCTCCTGGCATTCCAGCACAAGTGCAACCTCAAAATTCTTCCAGAGGTGGAATAGCCTCAAATAATCCCGGTACTCAACAACAACAACAACAACAGCAACCTCCACGAGGTCCTACACAACAAATTCCTCCAAAATCAACTCTAATCAAAACTGACAAGCCTCGGCCTCATACATGTCTAACATGTACACGATCTTTTGCACGTTTAGAACATCTTAAGCGTCATGAACGTTCTCACACAAAGGAAAAACCTTTCCAGTGTCCCGTTTGTGAGCGCTGTTTTGCCCGCAGAGATTTGCTGCTTCGTCATAAGCAAAAACTTCATGCTGCTTTCCCAGAAACCCCCCGTGTTCGTGCTACTGGAAAACGTAAATCTGTTGCTCCAACTACAATTTCTTCTACCAAAGCTCCTGCTGGTATTTCCAAGACTTCATCGAACCCAAATGCTGCTTCTTCATCATCGTCTGCATCTACAGCAGCTGCTCAAGCTCAAGTTCAGGCTCAAGTAGCAGCCGCTGTATCAACTTCTTCTTCTTCATCATCATCATCATCATCATCATCAAACACAGCGTCTGCCTCTTCCACAGCAACATCAACATCAGCAGCAGCAGCAGCAGCAGCAACACCAACCACCTCAAATACAACAACTGGCCAACAACAACAACCACCCGGCTCAACAACAGCAACTAGTACGAATGCAAATAACTCTGCGGCAACAACAGCAACATCTACACCTGGAGCTAGCACGTTTGCATCAAATCATTCGTCTGCATCCCCAACACCAAATATCCCAATGTCTACAATGACTTCTGGTGGCGGTAGTATCATGATGCCATCTTCTCAGCAACAGCAACAGCAACAGCAACAGCAACAGCAACAGCAACAGCAACAGCAACAATATCAAACACCATCAGCAGTATCCACACCAAACAATATGCATATGCCTTCTACTGGAGGTCACAACCAGCACCATAGAGCCCCTTCATCTTCTGTGTCACCGGTTTCCATTTCCATGATGAACCAGCAACACTCTCATATGCCTCAACAACATCAACAACAACAACCGGCATTTTCTAATGGTAGTGCATTTTCTCCACACGCATTTATGGGCCCACCATCATCTTCTAGTTCAGCTTCTCGTTCTGATTTGGTATGTTATTTATTTTTTTTGTTTTTTTTTTTCAAAATTTTCATTTTTTTTTTTTTTTTTTTTCCCCTAAAGAGGTCCCGGGCTCTTAAGTTTTTCCGAGGCCCCGTAGGCCTCATTTGTTATTATTGATGTTGTTGTTGCACCAAATGGACTTTTTTTTTTTTTACTCCCAAAACAGCTTTCTTTCCTCCCCTCCCTCCCCCAACAACAATGGATTATACTGGAAAATTTTTTTTTTTTTTTTTTTTTTAAAAGGGTCAAATGACAAACTTTAACAAATCCGGGGTAAAACATGATATCAACAAGACTTAAATTATGCTAACGTTTATTTTTTATTTTTTTTTAATTTTAGCAGCCTCACGCAGACATAATCCAACAACTTTCATCTTCTTTTACAAGCGATTCGCTGGATAACAATTATGGTGGCTTTTATGGCTTGCTCTCAGAGTCCCCCAACCTTCTGGCTGCCGCTGCAGCCTCTTCTCCAGGCCAGTTTGCTGCCGTGGCAGCTGCTGCTGCTGCTGCTGCCGCTGCTGCAGCCACTCAAAACGCTTATGCAAGCAACCCAAACTTATCTGGTGGTGGTGCTGTTGCCTCTTCATCATCTGCAAACGTATCTACCCCAGGATCAGGCACCGCTTTAAGTGTCGGCACTCCCTCTTCATCTTCTGTAACATCCGCCTCGTCCACATCGGGCCATGGAATTTCAGATGACTTTAACGGCCAAAGACCCCCGCGAAGGCATCGCCCTGCTTCCTTTTCAGCTGCAAGTGCAACTTCCTACTCAAAATATAAGGACATTGCAATGATGGATGCTGGCCATAATGTCCCCCCATCGGGTCCTACACAAGTTGGCTTTGCCACTCCACAACTACTCCCCACAACATTGTCTTCCAATGATGGCGATATTATCACGGATGATATTTTCAATTCTTCTGACCCGCTATTTATTAACCCACAACTACTAGACCCATCTTTTGACTCAAATTACTTTTTGTCTACCCCCTTTGCAAATAATGGCAATATGAGCGATGTACCAGGTGGCCCGGTAAATATGGCTGCTGCTGCTGCTGCTGCTGCAGCTGCCGCTTCCAATGTTTCGTCTACTACACCTGGCCTTAACCCTAATAATAATAATAATAATAATAATAATAATAATAGCATACCCCCTCATCTTCATCCTCATCTTTCTAATCATCCACGCAATAATAGTTTTGACGATGGATTGAGTCCAGGTCATAATGCGTTACTGGAGCTTGACAATGATGACCTTTCATGGTTGTATCCTTCCAAAACAAACTCTTCAGAACATGCAGACAGCCCTCAAACAAGTATCAATGGCAATATGGGGTTTGACAAGCAAGATACCCCGAATCCACAACAAATGCATCAACAACAAAGCCATTCTCAGCAACAGCAGCAACAGCAACAGCAGCAACAACAGCAGCAACAACAACAACAACAACAACAACATCACACTCCACAGAGTCTGTTTTCTTCCTTTTCGTTCAATGCTCCAAAACAACAGTCGCAGCAGCAGCAACAGCAACAACAGCAACAACAACAGCAGCAGCAACAACAACAACAACAGCCACAGCCACAGCCACAGCCACAACAACAACAACAACAACAACAACAACACCAACAGCAAAATTTCTCCAGCTCAAACAATCAAAACGCTGGACTTTCCCCATTCCCAATACCTTCTTCTACTCAACAAGGAAACTCGTCCCAGCAACATGTCCCACCCCCTCATGGCAATAACAAAATCTTGTCACAAATGGCGCGCGGCAACATGGCAAATACTACTAGTACTCCAGGTACTTCTATCCACAACACATCTGCCGCGTCTGCCGGCCTTGCACCGCCGTCCTCGGGTGGCGACCATGAACCTTTTGCCAATATTTGGCAATCTGATATGAAACCTCCAAACAAGTCTTCCTCCTCAACTCCGTCCGCTCCGTCTTCCGCTTTTGATAATATGATGTTTCAGGGTACAAGCCGCAAATATAACCATGTTATTACGCCGCAACTCCGTCTTCACATTTTAAACACACTTGCAACCCCCACACCATTAACCTCCAACCAAACTCCTCAATTGCCGTCTATTCCCGAACTCCAGCTCTACATTGATGCGTACATTACCCATTTTTCCAAACACTTGCCCTTTTTGCACCATACTCTGGAATTTACTCCGGATAATGTTCCTCTTGCCCTTTCCATGGCTGCCATTGGTGCACTCTATCTTTTTGAGCGTGCTCACTCGGCTGCAATTTTTGAAATCTCGCGCTGCTGTGTTCATGTTTATTTGGAATCACGTCGAGAACGCAAACAAGACCCTAAAACTGACCACGAAATTACCCCCCTGTGGCTAGTCCAGGCTTTACTTTTAGGAGTGGTTTATGGTCTTTTTAACGATGAACTTCTTGCAAATAAAATTGCAGTTGCTCAAGCTAATGCTGTTATTTCACTAGCAAAGTCTGCTGGACTCCATCTTCCACCACGCAACTTTATTTCAGTACCTGATGCTGCTCGCTCATCTATTGAAGAAAAGTGGCAGTATTTCATCATGGTACAAGAACGGATCCGTACAATGCATGTTGTTCATACTATATCGTGTCTTTTGGCTACAGGTTACAATGCCACCACTACTTTACGCAACTCGGATATCAGGTGTGGCTCGCCTTGTGATGAGAAACTGTGGACTGCCCAAGAACCTCATAAATGGTGGAGTGTGCTTCAGGAAAAGGAAAATGACGGATCTCTTAGTAATTCTGTGGAGGGTCCCGATTTCCTTAAGTGTCTTGAGCGTTTACTTGCTGGTAATACTCTTGTTGGCGAGGTGCCTCACTTTACTTTGTTAACACTCATCTATGCCATCCATTTCGATATTCACGAGCGCCGCGAAGAGTACGACAAGATGATAAATCAACGTATGCCGAGTGGTAACGGTCAAATTGGCAGTACTCACACAACTCCTCCCCAAGGTAGTACTCCTCACGACGAGCACCTTAATAACCATTTGGTTAAAAATGATAGCTCACAACTTGTGGGAAGTGCGGGAAGTGATGATACTGCTGTGGGTAGCCCTGGGTTTATGGGTGTTAACAATGGGTCTCGTGAGACTCAGTGGCTAGAAAGAGAGAAGCGCTCTGTAGAAGCCATTTTACGGGCATGGGAAACTACGTGGTCTCTTTCGCCACAAGCATCACTCATTCCACGCACACCTGATGGCTCGCTCATGTCGGACTCAATCCCCATGTCATCACTTGCACACGTGCGACTCTACTTGGACTTGCGCAAGACTAAGGAATGCTTTTGGAAACGTGACTTTGCAGGTATGGGCCGCGAGCTAGATATGCTGCGTGCACCTGTACTTTATGAAGTACAATCAGGCACTCGCAAGCAATTTGATGCGTTGCTTGAGGCGGCCTCGTATGCTGCCGATACCATTTCTCTATGGGAGAAGCATTCTGCGCGGTGGACTTTACAAGCCACTGCTCTTGAAACGTTTATCCATAGTTTGATGGCATTATTTGACTGTGGGCTTATTGTATCTGAATTTTTCCATCGCTTGGAAAAGCGTGACTCTACGCAGTGGCAACGTGAAGAAACGTTGCTTGTAGAGCGTCTGCGCAAGATTTTTTCACGTGTATTTGACGTGCTATCGCAACGCTCAGATGCAGATGTTCTACACAATCAACAACAGCGTACTGGTGGGTATAATTCTCCTGTAAATGCCTCTGAAACTAGTCCTGGCAGCAACAGCAATAACAGTGGCGGTGGCAATAGCAACAATATCAATAGCAACAACAACAACAACAACAACAACAACAACAATAATAATAATAATAATAATAACAACAATCTTATGGGCAATCCTACAGAACCGTTTGACAATAACGGGAATATGAATGCTGAGTACATGATGATGATGATGATGATGATGATGAGCGATGCCAATATGCGATCCAATTTTATGAATGTACCTGGTGGTATGCAAGTGATGAATAGCATATTGAACAATATGGCCAATTCGATGGCAAATGGTGGCAATGGCGGCAACATGATGAGCATGCTTAACATGATGGGCCAGAATGGTGTCAATGTACAAGGTATGATGAACATGATGGCTGCAGCCAATGCCAACAATATGCAGCAGCAGCAGTTTTTACAACAGCAACAACAACAGCAGCAGCAGCAGCAGCAACAACAACAACAACAAAACTTGACGAGACTGATGATTCAGCAACAAGTTCCGATGAGTATTGTTGCATTAACTGCGGTGTCACGGATTTTGTCTACCATTCATATTTGGCCATTTGCACTAGTTATGGCGCAGGCTCTACAGGCACGCATCATGCAGATTCGTTCTGAAACAACAATAAATAATAGCACACCTCTTGCTAGTAACATCAACAACAACAACAACAACAACAACAATAATAATAATAATAATAATAATAATAATGTATCTACGCCCGGGTTTAACAATAATTTAGGGTTTGCGGGTATGTCGTTACAACAACAGCAACAACTTGCATCTATGCTTCAACAACAACAGCAACAGCAACAGCAACAGCAACAGCAACGATCACCGTTCCAAACATATGGCATGGAAAATTCCGGTGCAGCATTTGGCATGGGTAACACCAATAACAATGGTAATATGCCGATGGCTTCACGTGGGAACGGAATCAATGGCGGGGGCGGACCTCAATCCAATGGAAGCCCTGTTGCAATGTCGTCTGGGTTTATGATGAATGGTGGCTCTAGCAATGGTTCTATCAATAATAATAATAATAACAACGGTAACTCTGGCAATAATAATGCTGGAAGCAATGCTGGGACTCCACTCAAGATGCAGCGTACCGGTAGCAATGGGGGACTTTCGACGAGCGGTGGTGGTGGTGGCGGCGGCACAAGTGCAGGCAATCTTGGCACACCGCAGTCGTCATCGTCATATATGAGTCCTAGTGGGAACGTTGGGAATAATCCAGCGACCTCGTTGATGGATTTTATGATGAGTCCTCCTGGGTCGATGCCACCTCGATGAAGAAGAAATTGATGATGAATTAAAAAAAAAAAAAAAAAAAAAAAAATCTTTACGAAATTTTGTTTTTCTAGTTTATGATGTGAATGTTTTTTTTTTTTTTACAAAAGGTTTCTCTCTTTTTTTTTTTTTTTTTTTTTTTTTTTGAATATATATAAAATTTGTGTACTATGTTATTCTTTTTTTTTTTTTATGTATAAAGAAAATCTATTCTGTAATAATCATGATGATTTTGAGATGAACAAGAGAATGAAAAACGAGAAAGTTATTAGAAAATTTCAAGTAAATGGATTTGATTCTTTGATGATTAAAAAAAAAAAAATGAAGAAGAAAAAGAAGAAGAAGAAATATACCAAAAACATTTTTTTAAGAAATAAAAATAAAAAAGAAAAAAAAAATAAAAAGGAGGAAATTTCATTTTGAGAAAGATTTAATAGTCTTATTAAAAGCATACACTATAAAAATAGGATATTGTTACTTTTAAAAACTCTTTTGTGTAAAGAATGTAGAGTTTTAAAAAAAAAAAAAAAAAAAAAAAATTTTTCCTTTTTAATCTCTCCCCACATTAGTTTTAGAGTTTTAAAAAGAAAGAGAAAAAGAGATTTTTGTTTATATATAAGAAAAGAAGAAAAGTAAGTAATTTAATATAATTATATAGTAGCTGTTGCTTTAAAGTAATTATTAAGAAAAATCAAAAAAAAAATATATATATATATATAAAAATTTCAAAAATTATTAAAAAAAAAAAAAAATTTAATTGTTGCTTATAAAATTATTATTATTTTTATTTTATTAAAGTTGCATAGTAGGTGTGTGGGGGGAGGAAAGGAAGTTAACATTACATCATATATTTAAAAAAGAAGAGAAAGAAAGAGATTCAACATATATATATATATATATATCTACAATTGAACCAATAATCGGATACAAAAGAGTGGGCTAGATGAAGATTATTATTATTATTATTATTATTATTATTATTGAGAGAAGTTAGGACCCACAAGTTTGAACTAATTTATTAATAGAATTAAAAAATAATAAAAAAATAACGTTAAATACTGAATTTTTTTTTTTTTTTTTTTTTCATCAATGAGCAAATTGGTTGGATAACGAGGTTAGAAAAAAGGATCCAAAAAAAAAAAAAAAAAAAAAAGTTAAATAAAAAACTTATAGTTAAAAAAAAAAAAAGAAGAATTAAAGAATAATATAATTATTTATTATAATAAATGATTAATTAAAAAAAAATAATAATCCAAAGATAATTAATTTTTTATGTATATATATTTAAAGGTTTTCCAAAATAAAGGGTCCTTTTCATTGTTAATGGCTTTAACTAACAGTTTTTTTTTTTCTTCACAAACTTTATTATATATATATAATATATATATATATAGTTAAAAATGATACCAAAAAAAAAGACAAGAGAAATGGTGGAGAGATAAAACAAAAATAAACTTAAGAAGGAGTTTTATAATATTGAAAGATATATATATATATATATATATATATATATTTATTTGATTGTTTGTATAAATGAATATAAATTTTTTTTTTTTTTTTTGATTTCTTGTTATGATATTTTGCATTGATTTTTAAAATAATCTGTTAAAAAAAAAAGCTCAGATTTGACATTTGTATCAAAAAAAAAAATTAATTAACTTTTAAAAAAAAAAAAAAAAAAAGAAATCTAATAAAATTAAAATATTCAGAAAAAAAAAAAAAAAAAACAATACTCTATTATTTTTATTTTATTTTATTTTTTTGATAAAGTATCATTTTTTGTTTTTTAAAACCGAGCCAAAAAAAACAAAAAAAAAAATTTGCATTTCAAAATTTGAAAATGAAAATATACAAAACTTATTATATGAAAACTCTTTTTTTTTTTTTTTTTAAAAAAAAGAAGAAGAAGATGACTTGGCGAGTTTTAAAAATTGAAATTGAAATTGAAAACTTATACAATATTATTTTCAATTTCTTTTTTTTTTTTTAAAAAAAAAAACAAAAGTATAAAAGTAAATAAAAAAAGATTTTTAAAAGTTGCCAAGGCTTAGCATTTTTTTTTTTTCAGTTAAAAGTTCATTCAAAATCAGGAAAGTTCAACAATTTTATGCTTCCGTAACCGAAAGAAATAAGAAGAAATGATATATACATATGTATATATATACAGGACACTCACTTACAAAAAAAAAAAGTGTGTGTGTGTGTTTTTTGAAGTGAATAATTAAATTAACACAAGCTGAGTTAAGATTAATTAAAGTATCTAAAGAATCATTTGAAAAGTTTTAAAAAAAAAATAATTCCATTTTTATATTCAGTTCTATATATATATAAAACTCTGGGGATATTTAAAAAAAAAAAGTTTTAGATAAACAATTAAGACTTTGATGAGATTTTGGGTATCACTTGTCCAGTTTGGCATGGGCTATAAACAACTTTGGTTAATAGTTACAAAAGTATGAAATTGAAATTGAAATTGAAATTAAAAAGGAAAAAAAAACTACAACTGTAAGTGAAGCAAGTTTGAAAACAGTTATTTTGATGGCTCTCATTCAAAGAATCTATAAGTTAAAAAAAAAAAAAAAAAAAAAAAAACATTTATGCACTTTCATGTTAAGAATCTTTTGCAATCAATATGTCGGCTTTCTAAAACTAGTCAGAGTAACTTTCAAGAAATTTAAAACCTAAACTTCACTCAAAGGAATTACAAAATTAATTAATAGAATGGTGTAGAGATTTTAGATTGTAGAACTCATAGTCATTATGAGTTATAATTAAGTCATATTTGGGAAGGTTGTAAATGTAAACTTCGATTCCAAAAGAAAGAAATATTAGGGAAATTGACAGTCATCAGAGCGCGAAAAAAAAAAAAAGTATTCAGATTGTTAATGGCATTATATTTAAAACTTTAATATATATATATATATATATAATGATCAAAATCAATTAGTATGAATGAATCAGAGTAAAAAAAATATAGTGATTTAACGAAAGAAAAAAAATAAAAAGAAAAAACCTTTGGGAGACAGGCTTTTCAGTTGTCATATTAAAATTAGAGCTACAACCACAACCCTAATCCTAACCCCAATCCTAACCCTAATTTTGATTCTCATCACCAACCTGGACTAGCCACCTTCCAAATACTTGTCCATGATTCATTCCCTTTTACAATTTGCATTTAAGCTTACCCGTAAGTAGTTGAGTTTTTTCTCATTCTAAAATCTATTTATTATTATTATTATTATTAATTTTTTTTTTTAAAATAATATTCAATATCTTCAATTTTAGAATGTTTATAAATAGCATAGGACTTAAACTTCAATGAAAAGTACTAACATTTATAATAATAGCCTAAGGCTGGCTTTTTAAAAAATATATCTTAGCATGTGACAAGTATGGATAAGTTAAAAAAAAAAAAAAAAAAAAAAAAATCCACAACAAGATCAATGATATATTGGTTTTTTTTAATTTATTAAAAAAATTTTCCATAAGAAGAAGTTTTATTTTTACTGAAGAAAATTTGTAAGGAGGTATAAATAAAAGTGATTTCCCCCGTCTTTTTGATTTTTATTTCTTTTCTTTTACCATTCACTTTTCTCAAATTTTTTTTATTCTTTTTTATTCTTTACCTCTAGAATTATCACCATGACCATATACTATCATTTACTACTATTAACTAGCATCTACTTTTATCGACTATAATCTGTTACCATCAACTATGATCTACTTTTATTGACTATAATCTGTTACCATCTATTACCATCTACTATCATCTACTATCATCTACTATCAACCATGATCGATAACTATTTGCCATACCACATTATTCATAAACACTTTCCCTCACATTTGTTCACTATTATACTTTCAACATGTTGCAGTCGTCTATTGGTAAGTCTTATTATGTCAACGTACCCAATGTACCCTATGCCCAAGTTATTGATCTAACACTCTAATAGACAAACACCCCCTAGACTTAACCTCGGAGGTCTATAGTCATATCAAGCCATCATTAATTCCTTTATTGTTAAATCCTACTTTCTGTAAGTTTTCATATACCAACGCATCTAATATTTAGGTTATTAATCTAACTCTCTACTAGAAAAAATACACTATGGGCTCGAGGTCAATGTTAAATGATCAGCATTAGTTAACATAGGTTCCTGTGTGAAACGAGATGATCAATATGAATATACCACGGAATGTCCCAAACCTGATATCTCATCCAAGGTAAATTCGAGGGACTTATAATTATGGTTATTCAGATGTGACGACTTCAAATTCATCGACGATTTCAACTACTACTTCAACTACTACTTCAACTACCACTACCTCACTACCACTACCTCACTACCACTACCTCACTACCACTACCTCACTACCACTACCTCACTACCACTACCTCACTACCACTACCTCACTACCACCACCTCAGCACCATTTACAACATTATTATATCGACCTATTGTGCTTTCAGTTATTCAATGTTTTGATGGTTGGTCGCAGAATACTCAAGGAGTGCCGACCTTGACCCTGCCTTTAGACCACCTCTTGGATTACCAGAGGAACCACGTTTACCATTGATGAAAGTATGATTCAGCCTCTTTGTCGATTATATTGTGGTGTGGTGAATCGACCCATTGTGCTTTCAGTTATTCAATGTTTTGATGGTTGGGGGCAAATTTATTGAAGAGTGTCGTCCATACCCTTCCCTATTGACCACCTCATAATTATGTTATTCGGTTGAGAGATTCCAATAAGAAGAAGTCATATTTGGTAATAATAATGAACTATGGAGTCATAAATACAAGGCCGTCCTCCTGCCTTTTTGATTTTTTTTCTTTTCAATTCCCATTCATTCTTCCTAGCATTTTATTTTTTTATTGTTTTATTTTTTTTTATTTTTTTTTATTTTTTTATTGTTATTTCCTTTTTTTTTAACCTACACATTTACAACTATATCACCATCTACCATTATCAACTATAATTTACTATTACCAACAATAAAATATATACTATTTGCAATCACGAATCACTTTTATCACTATTATGATCTATTATACCATGCGATATTCATAAACACTGTCATCCACATTTCTTTAAAATTATTACTTTCAACATGCTGCAATCGTCTTTTGGTAAGTCTACTTATGCAGATGCACCCAATACTTAGGTCATTGAGCTAACTCTCTTTTAGACATGCATGCGATTCACCCAACCTCATAGGTATACAGTCATGATTCTCCACAAAAGGTTCCTTTACCGACACCTCAACCAAAGTGTCTTTGTCTATCTATCGTTAATGATAATGTATTCAACATTGTGGACACATCTTGAATAAACTAAGGGAATTGGTGAACATCGCTTGTGACAACCTGCAACTACCGCTGCAACTACCACTTCAATTACCCGACACCCACACACCCACAATAATATACTAAAACTACCTATTGTGCTTTCTGTTATTCAATGTTTGATGGTTGGTCGCAGAATAATCAAGGAGTGCCGACCTTGACCCTGCATATTGACCACCTCTTGGATTACCAGAGGAACCACGTTTACCATTGATGAAAGTATGATTCAGCCTCTTTGTCGATTATGTTGTGTTGTGGAAATCAACCCATTGTGCTTTCTATTTTTCAATTTTATTATGTTTGTTGGCTTACACCTTACCCCCTAACTCCTATTTTGCTATTTTTGAATATTTCTTCGAATTTGGAGGGAATTCATTAACCAAATTTCTAATTCTGTTGTCCTCTTGAGCGTTATTTCATTTTTTTTAATTTTATTTCTTAGTTACTTCTTTGTCCATTCTCACAATATTGTGGCCGCTTGCGTTGCCATCGACATTGGCGCGAGCGTTAATATTCCTGTTATCACCGTCATCTCTATTATGATCAATCCTATTATTCATTTCTCTATTAAAATTGGTATCGGAATTGATAGTAGTACTCCCTTCACCATCCCTGTCAAATATATATGGCATCATACCAGCTTCCTTTTCCAATACTGCAATAATAGTTGTGCGATAAACACTAACAATTCTTCTCAAAGCCATATTCAGCATTACTTTCAACTTGTGGATTTCTTCCTTCACGATTTTATGATGCCAAATTTCTAAGCCATATTCCACAATTGGTCTTACGCAAGCAATATATAGTGATCTGACTGCAGAACCCCGCATACCTTTTTGCACGCCACCAAGATGCCAAATAGCACCAACAGCCTTTCTTGCTTTATTGATTTTATTCAAAATATGAGATTTAAAATCAAGCAGATCGCTCAAAGTGATTCCAAGCAATTTAATTTTTTTCTGGGGTTCATGAGGTTCTCCATTAGGTAAAATAAGTTGCACTTTTTCATCTTTAGGTTTCATATTTTTTATTAAATGAATAAAACCCAATTTATCACCCAAATCAATTTTGGTCATTCTTGATTTATCCCAATTACATCATTTTTCCAATATGTTGTTTAAGCTTTTGGTTTTTTTATTTTCTTCAATTTTACCTTCAACGGTAATAATCACATCATCAATTAAACCAAAAGGAGTTCTACCCCATTCTTTAATCGCATGATACAGTCGTGTACAATATATTGGTGTGGTGTGGTGAAGAGTATTTCTATTTACTATTTATGTGTTGACTTTAAACATCAGTTATTAATATATTTATTAAACGTATATACGTTTTTATTAGCTGTTTAAATCAACTTTATCATTACCATAAGAATAAGCACTGTTTTTTTTTTATGTACCCACTTTCTCTTCTAAGCTTAAAAATGGATTTCAATATTACAGTAGTATCCTGAAGCTCAACAAAGTGGAGTTACCCGGCCTGGTTGATTTTCTAATCGCGTCTTTTGCCCATTTTTTTTAAAAAGTATTTTTTTTATAGTAAACCTCCCCCATCTCTCTTTTCTTCTTACCAAACACCACCTCTGTCTATTTTTTTTTTAATTCCAATTGCCATGTTTTTTCTTTTCTCACTTCCTGTCTTTTAGATATTAAACACACCTCTATACTCTGAGATTTAGATCTTTCTTTCTTTCTCGCTCTCTCTCTCTCTCTTTTGCCCAAGCCTACTGAATTCGGTAACGGCCCTTGATGCTCATCCCCCCATATGTTCTCGTCTCTCACCTACTGTTCACATAACTTCCTCGCTTCAATGTCTTCTGTTACCGTCCAGTTAATGATGATATTAGCCAATTGAGCAAATTCCATGGTAAGCCATTTAACCAATTTGTTTTTTTTTTCTTTAATTTTTTTTTCTTTAATTTTTTGCTAACAAAATAAAAATCAATTTTTTTTCCTAGTCAACTTTCTTTCTCTTGTCTCTCTATCTACCAGGTGTTTTTGTTCTTCCTATTCAAACTTTTTCCAACTCATCTCTCACTCTTTTTCTTTTTTTCACTAAATCTACGCGTTTGTTTGCTCAAAATATGAATCAAGACTGTGTGACCTTAATTTACAATACCCGAAATTACAATATCCTCCTACAAGCTGTCCAGTATCTTAAAAAAAAAAAAAAAAAAAAAAAACTCGCTTCATTGTTCTCTTATACTTCTTTAAAGAAGTTCTTAAACTTCTAGGCATTGTTCGTCGATTTTACTATCCAAAATAGTTTTCCCCAAATTATTTTGTCACAGACACTTATAAATGGCCCGTTTCAAAAACTACACTACGTCTTGCGCTCTTTTCTTTCATATACTGGGCCTTTTCAGAAATCTATATTGCCAATTCAGCTTGGTATTCATATCTCGTTTCTATGAAAACCACTATTCTGAAACTATATAGATCTGTGAAGCAAGCACCATGCTAAACAAGTTTTCTATAAATCACTTTCTTCCATTCTGGAGGTCAACCCATATCGACCGTTTGTTTACTAGCTACATTACGAATCATGGGTGGTATTGTAACGTTATTTCATTCTAGCACTATTATCATGAAACACCGACGTTAAAAGTGGTACACTGATGCCTTCTAAAAACGGTCTTTTTACATGGTTCAACAATTCTCGTCACTTCGTAAACAAACTACTGGTACTGATTTAATTTTTGGGTCCATTACGTCACGTTCTTGGTTCTAGGAAGGACCACGATGTAGCAGCCTCGTTTGCTTTGCTGCCAAACTATCCATGAATTTAATTAATACCTGAAAACGTATTGCGGTAATTGGTTTACATGTAATTTACTTGAGTACTTACGTTCGAGAAGATCTCTCAATTTGTTTCCCATTGTTATATCGTCTGCAACTTGATTTGTTTGGATGGTTGATTGGTCCTGCTGTTGGAAAACTTTAATACTTGCCCACAACCAATTACTGCAATCAAAAGTACACGTCCTGGTGAAGTTTGCAAGAGAACCATTTCGTCTATATATCAATTATGTGCTCAGTAGTCGTGTTGAAGATTCATCGGGATTAAGCTCTCAGGTCGCGTATAAGTACTTGGTAAAGCTTCTGTGCATCTGCAGAGCTGTCAACTATCTTGACGTCAAACGTGCTTGGTTGCCGACCATCATCTTACAAGACTCTGTCTTGATTTTCATCTCTAGGCAGCACTAAAACGTTGTGTGTAGCTTGACTTTGAACATGTTCGGCTATCAATTGCGGCGGTAAAAACAACTATCTTGGTTACCATTACTAGATTAAAAGGTGGTGATTAATGTCTAGTAATTTGGGGGAAGTCTTTTTCAATGACGAAACTTATTCCTGGAAAAATGAGAGGCTGTTGAAAACAGCAATATGGTGGTCTGTTGGTAAGGATAATACCCTGTCATGGGTTGGCCTCTCTTTTCAGTCACTTGTGATGTTGCATGAACTGCTATAGAGTACCTACCCATCCTTCGTTTCCCTTTTGCATTGTTGTTCTTCGCTCAACCTAAAATGGCGCCTGAGCTGGATGATTGACTGCAATTGCTCTCACACAATTAGATTACCTCTCCCCTTGAGCCCAGTTTATGGTTTCCGAAACTACTCAGTGTTTGTTGGAACAACTTAATAATATCGCTCTGACTCGGCTGTCAATTATTCCCCTGGTTATTGTATCGTCCAAGCACCAAATTTCAAGAAGATGTAGGGAGAAATTTTTCAGAGCTTGGTCCTCAACTCTTTTCATTCAATTCTACAATTGAACTACCATTTTGGTTTTAAGTGGCGGGGCTGCCACAATTAACAAATTTGTTTTAGGCTACTGTTTTTAAACTGCAACAGCTCTCATTCAACGCTGTATTTTCATTTGTATCCGCCAACCTACAAAAAACATTTATTTTAGGTATCACTATTGTCTAGAGCTTGGAGAGTATTAATCAGGTTTGGTTCCCCCTATTTCTTATGATCAGATGACAATTGGACATCTTTGGTGATACTCTTCTCGTTCATGACTGCTAAACATGTCCAAAACAATTAGATAATTTATTTTAATAGACTCTGCGACACTAGAATTAACAGCTACTTTTTTGCCATCAACTTTCTTCGGCCTAGGGTCAATTATTGCAGATACCGTTGGAACACTTTTAAAAGGGATATTAAAACTAATTTCCAGTTATTTATTGTTAACTATTTCAACACTGAATCGAGTCATGTTTGCAAGCTAGGCTTTACGGTAACACGTTGTCTTCGATTTTTAGTTATTGCTACGTTATATTCAATGCGCATTTCCATTGTTCTAGTCATTCTCATGTGGACTGTTTATGAAGTTAGATACGAGTTCACCAGAACAAGAAGATGAAGAATGTGAAAAATTATTGACGAATGAATGAGAATAAGGGTGATGTGAAATGATTTAGCATGAGGTCGGTGCAATGATTTGAGCCGTATTGGTTGTGTGGTATTCCTATGGGTTTAGACAGAGTGATTTGATGACAAAACAATCTGGCTTGATGCTCATTGTGATGGTAACAAATGGACTGCTTGACATTAAATCAATGAGTAAATTTAAGATTTCACTACCATAAGAATTACCTGGATGATCTTTGTTTAGATAACAGACTTATAAGGAGGATGATTGACAGGAAAGGGGATAATGATAAAGTGATGATAGAGCCGAGAGTCATAGTTGAATTAAGACTTGAAAGTGATAGTGGCTGACAGAGAAACGTCATAAGCTATTGTTGAATTTGAGTAGCTCTAGTATAGCGTTTGTAGACACTGTAGCTACGTATGGCGGTGGCCCACGCAGGACTTGGTAAGATGGTGCAGTCAATCATTATCAAGAAGAAGTAGGCCTTCAATTTGCCCCACTTGAATGTATTTGTAGAGTTTTAAGTTAGGTTTAGTTTAGTTATATTATAAGTAATTAATAAACGTTACAGTTAAATACTTCGAAAGAAAAAGATCCAACAGACACAGGAATCCTAAATTTTAAATGACAAATAACTTGCCATATTTTTGTCAGAAAAGCAATTTCATAACATTATATAATAGGTCTTGATTCAAACAATAGGTTGAATCAAATATTAATGTGACTAAAGTGTGGTTAAAGAGGTTATGACAGAATATATATATGAAAGTAAAATATGTTCATGTTTTATAATTTAAATTATATGCCTTAAAATTGACTTTTTTGGAGGGTTCTATAGCTTATTTGTTTCTTTTAGGTCTTATCTATGTGTTGATCTATGTTTTGTCAGGATCGGACCATTTTTCGTAGAGTTATGTCTATTTTAATAATTGGTCTAATAATGAAGACAAATTTTGATAGTACATTATGACATTAAATAGATTACCTTTCTAGTAGATTTACAACTATACATTTAACAACGAAATAAGCCAAAGTATTTTCAAGAGTTTCTATAAATTATATTAAATGAAACATAATTTTAAAGGGAGTAAAGGACGTTCTAAGACGGGGTCTTATGTGTTCCAAAATAATTATGCCTTGAAGAAAGAGCAAACATTAACTATTTAGAAAGAGCGCTACATTTTTGGTTATAAATTTATTATGTAGATTTGTTAATAGTTTACCGATCATAATTAAAGCAAGTGCTCTTTAATGTGGTTAACGAGATTTATGGCAATTTAGAATTCTGGGAGGATGATGGGTTCAAATGCTACAAATGGTGTAGCTCATTATTAATAAGAAACATTAATAATAGGTTAGGGGTAATTTATAAGGTTTCAAGGATACCTATAGATCTAATGAACACAGATTTAATGTTTAATTTATGCTTAATGTCCAGGGGAAAGCGATACAGAGAAACGGGCCGAAAGGATATGAGACAAACAATTGCGATAAATACAACTTTGTTAGACACCTACCTTTAATAAAGGTCCAACAAATTTGATATTGGGTTCATTAGATGCACAATAAGCCATATATTCCTATTATTCATTTTAAATATTGTACAATATATATTTCAAATGTTACGGGAGATTTTCAAAAATGGGGGTCTGAAATTTTCAAAAGTAAATTAAGTTTGTTAGGAAAGTGACAGTTTACGCAGGGGTTAGGGTTTCAAACTATGAAATGTTTCAAGCATTGATTACGCATCCATTGTATATTTAAAATAACTATATGATATATTTCCTATATGTACAGATCTCGCTCTATCCATTCATATATGTTATAAGATTCCACTATGTTGGGGAAGTGTCCCGGTCCATAATGTGTGTCCCAAGTGTATTTCTCAGCACGGCACCGAATAAGGTGGGAGAGACAAAAACGTTAAAAGCTCGGGTCTCCGAAATTGTATTTGAAATATAATTAGCGATCCACGTTTATCTAAAAAGGTTCTAAAGGTTCATTTAAATATATTAATTCCCATATATCAAATAAGCTCCGACCCCAATGCCAGCATCAGTCAACCCAGATTCCTTAAGATTCAAATAGGGTTAGGGAATCGAAATGTGTGGTGTTAGGGATTCAAAATGTGTGAGGTTAGGGTTTGAATTAAAAATGAAATCGTTTCAGAATCAAGCATATCTCGGGTTATAAACAAAGAAATAAAATGAAAAAAAAAAAAAGCAAAAAGGGTATCAAGTAAAGGGGAATATGACAGGACATAAAGAAATTAAAAATAACAGATCTTCAAAATGGAAAGCCTTGCGGAATCTGCATTTTGTGTCGAGGTTCAATTATTAAGGTGAGGAAAAACAGCTTTTGTCTAAGCATTGCTTGAAATGGTATCAATTGACTCAGAAATTGAATTTGAGTATATTGCCAAAATAATAGAATCTGAAAATAACTGCTAAAAAAGATATTCCAAGGCAAAAATGGGAAAAAATAAAAACAAAAAAAATATGATTGCTTATGTAATGCTTGTTAATGGTTAATAACAGAGACAAATCATGATGAAATGTTTAGAAATAGGGTATTAATCATGACTAATACATGATCATGAAATAAATGCCTGAGTTCAGGAGTAAACTTGAAAATGATGAGTAATAATATGAAGTAGTTAACAAAGTTACATGATAAAAAGTTTGTTGTCAAGGGTAAAATAAAGCACATTGAAATTTATAAAAAAAAATTAAAATTATAGGAGACTTTAAAGTTTAAACTGATGATATATGATCAATTCGCGCGATTGATATTACTGGTAACAAGAAGCTGTACGATAATTATTCAAGCTGATATGAAATAAACGCCCAATATATCAGTCCGAAATAATTAATACATGGGAGGACAAAAAGAAGAAAAAAAAAAAAAGGATAACATTTGGCTGAGAGGTTAGTAGAAAATAAAATAATTTTCAAAAAAAAAAATAAAAAGTACTTAAAAGAATTGGGGGAAGAAAAGGATTCGAAAAACACAACATCATAAAATTTGGACCAAATCCCAAAATCGCTAAATAGACTCACAAAAACTGAACAAAATTAAAAAGAAATTAGAGACAAATAAAGTGAAAAATTAGAATACAGCATCTAAATAGCATCCATAATATACAAGTAAGTGTAACTGGTTGTGAATACAAAATCACCAAATTGGGTACGAGAATTTATGAAAGTTAGAAATTGTACAAAATTCTAAACAAAATAGATACGAGATAGGTGACGCATCGGCTAAACAACGAAAGATGCAGCCGTAGAAAAAAATAGGAACCAAAACAGTATCAAAGGACAATTAAAAGATCAAATAAAATTCGAAAAGGACAAAAAAAAGTAAAAAGTGGGGAATTGTAACTAAAATAAGATCAAAAACACGTAACACAAACTAGATAATTTATATATATAAAAAAGAATATTCTAAGAACAACAGTGACAGAAAATGTTCAGAAAAGTGTGGCAAAATAGAACGGTTAGTGAATAAAAATACAAAAAGTGTGGAAAATTGATCGGCAAAGTTGCAGTAAAACAAGTGGTGATGATGATGAAGATGATAAATGGTGGTGTAGTTAAATTCCCCTCCTAACCAAAAAAAAAAAAAAAAAAAAGAAAAAAAAAAACATGATTTATAATCAATTACATAATCTGAACTGATTGCTGCGGCTTAATTTTTAATTTCAATAGCCCCAAAGCTGTTTTTCGGTGGCAGTTTTGGTGAAAAAAAACGTTTTTTCTTCAAATTGAGTGATTTTTATTGTAAAATTTATACAAAATTTATAAAAAAGTCTAAGATTGGTATACTTGAAAACTACGTAGAAGCACGAAAAACATACATACCAGGGCCAATGGATGAATAGGATTGAATTGTATATTGTCGATTTCAAACAAAGGACCATTCAGCTTCCAAAATGGCTGCTAAAGCACAAAAACATCATGAGGATAGGTTTGGAAGGTTCGAAAGTACTACCTGTAGTTGGTAGCATGTAGGTTATTAAGTAATACTACGACAGGAGGGTCTTTAGGAAAGGGGTGTAACGGTGTTGAATGACGGCAACAACATTAAGAACCCTTCCACACACTGCAGATCGGGCTCAAAGTGCCGCGAAAACAAATGTAATAGACTCAGAAAGACCAAAATTCTCTGGTGGCACATGGTCAGAGCTAGTTGATGTCTAACAGCCGAGAAATTAGTCAGCAAAGTTGCTGCTCGTTAAGTGTTGAGATGTGTTGCGGGCAATGATATTGAAGTAGGTCTCACGCCTCAAATATACATCCAAATCTCTTCAAAATAGGTTCCAACAATAGATCAGAGTCAAAGGTTTTATGAGACAAAATAAAGAAGAAGCAGGAAGTCTAAATCATGAGAAATTGGCAAAAATGTAGACGTCACTAAAAATGTGTAGTAGGACTACGAGGGCAATATTGAAATTGGTCTCATCCGCCAAATAGAACACCAATTCTCTTCAACATAGGTTCCAGCAATAGACCGGAGTCAAAGGTTTTATGGGACAAAATAAAGAAGCAGCAGGAGGTCTAAATCGTGAGAAATTGGCAAAAATGTGGACGTCACTAAAAATGTGTAGTAGGATGACGAGGGCAATATTGAAATTGGTCTCATCCGCCAAATAGAACACCAATTCTCTTCAACATAGGTTCCAGCAATAGACTGGAGTCAAAGGTTTTATGGGACAAAATAAAGAAGCAGTAGGAAGTCTAAACCGTGAGAAATTGGCAAAAATGTGGACGTCACTAAAAATTTGTAGTAGGATGACGAGGGCAATATTGAAGTAGGCCTCGTCCACCAAATAGACCCCGAAGCTTCTCAAAAAGATCTTCAATCGAAAAAGCAGTACCAAAAGTTCTATGAGACAAACAAAAGAGGCAGCTGGAGGTCTAAACCTCGAGAAATTGGTCAATAAAATTTCCGTAAATCCACAAATGAATAAAATACATACAATTCATCAATGATTCTAAGAGGGATGGGGGAGGGTGGGGGAGTTATTGAAACGACTAAAAAACCGATTAGTTTTAAACTTCAAGACCCAAAAAAAAAAAAAAAATCATACCATAAGAAAATCGTAAGACGTCATAAAAAAGTGATATCTTATCTAAAAGACAAGAGAATAATTTATTGCAGCTAGTGTATTGTGGGTGGCATCCACACTTTGAAGGCCAATAAAATGTTAACTAGACCCCCAAGCGCCTCGGAAACAAGACCAATGGATTCAGCAGAACCAAAAAACCTTAAAATGCGCGCAAAAGGAGCATCTAGACGTTTAAATATTCAGAATTTGGCCGGCAAAGTTGATGCTGATGGTACTATGTTTTGTTTTGTTTTGTTGTGTTGTGTGTGGTATGGGTGGCAACTTTGAAATAAGTCCTACACCCCGAATCGGCCACCAAGCATAATGGACTTAGCAAAATTAAAAATGCTGGAACAAGTACCGAAAGAACTACTGCAAATTTAAACCTTGAAAAATTGATCGGCAAAGTTGCAGTAAAACAAGTGGTGATGATGATGAAGATGATAAATGGTGGTGTAGTTAAATTCCCCTCCTAACCAAAAAAAAAAAAAAAAAAAAAAAAAAAAAACAACAACAAAAAAAAAAAAAAAAAAAAAAAAAAAAAACAAAAAAAAAAAAAAAAAAAAAACAACGACAAAATATACTCTTCGAAACCACAATTTTAAAACAATGTTTGCAATTTTGTTTGTTTTTTATTCAACTGTTATAGAGTTATATAACATCAGCATCTCCCCTATTCTTCTTGTCCATACTATATTTCTTTTTATTTTAATTATAACCTTTAATTTTAGCTTCAATATTGCATCTCCAATAGCCCGAAAATAAGTCCTGATGCCAGCTTACGAGGAACAGGGGGTTAAAAATAACCTGCCCTTCCCAACTTATCTCTACTTGTCTTCATCAACGCTGTAATTGTATTTCTTAATCCCTCCAAGCAGAGATAGAGCTTACAATCTCTTGTAATTTAGTTAAACTGTTTAAGAGAATCGACATGTCTATCTCTGGAGATATCCGTTTCAGTCCTTTTCTTTCCTCTTCAAGAAAAGGACACTCAACCAAAATGTGCTGAACTGTTTCCAGCTCTCCACATTTGCAGTTGTAACTATCCTTTTCAATTCCAAACTTTTTAAACCATGCGCCAAAGTTGCCATGGCCTGTGCGAAACTGAGTAATATTACTCAAGATCCTTCCACTATCTTTCTTCATGATCACTCCAGTGACCATTTTGGAAAGGTTATCAGTACATTTCGACTCCACTGTGATATTAGGATACCACAGATCCTTACTGCTGTTCCAATACATTTCCTGCCATTCTTCCATTGCTTGTTTCTTCAAAATTCCAATCGTCTGATTCTGTTGTTGTTTCAGTGTAAGAGGTTCAACCCTCTTGCATTTTCGTTTTTCATCCTTTTTAATCATGTAGTCTCTATCATCTTTCGCCAATATGTAAAGCGTTGTTAGCTTTGCAATTGGAGATTTCTCAATCAATGTTAACAAATGACCATTAATAGGATTAGTTTTGCTAATATTTAGGTGTAAACGAATAGCTTTTCGTGCCACCATAAATTTTAGCCTAATACTATATGGCATTATACCAGCTTCCTTTTGTAATACCGCAATAGGAGTTGTGCGATAAGCACCAACAATTCTTCTTAAAGCCATGTTCTGCATTACTTCCAACTTGTGGATTTCTCCTTTCAAGATTTTATGATGCCAAATTTCTAAGCCATATTCAACAATTGGTCTCACGCAAGCAATATACAGTGATCTGACTGCAGACCCTCGCATACCTTTTTGCACGCCACCAAGATGCCAAATAGCACCAAAAACTTTTCTTGCTTTATTGATTTTATTTAATATATGAGATTTAAAATCAAGCAGATTGTTCAAAGTAATTCCAAGCAATTTACCTTCCTTCTGGGGTTCACGAAGTTCTCCATTAGGTTAAGTAAGTTGCACTTTCTCATCTTTAGGTTTCACATTTTTTGTAAAATGAATAAAACCCAATTTATCACCCAAATCAATTTTGGTCATTCTTGATTTAGCCCAATTACAACATTTTTCTAATATGTTGCTTAAGCTTTTGGTATTTTCTTCAATTTTACCTTCAACGGTAATAGTCACATCATCAATAAAGCCAAAAGGAGTTCCACCCCATTCTTTAATGGCATGATACATTGGTGTGGAATATATCAAAAAAAGTAGTGGTGAAATAGGTGAGCCTTGCGGAATTCCAGTACTAATTTTTTGCACTGATCCTTTTCTTCGGTCCATGAGCATACTAGCTTCTCTTTCACTTACAAATTGGTACGTCCAGTTTATAAGTGCTTTGGGTAGTTTTATATCCTCCATTGTGTCTGCCAATATATTTCTGTTAACATTATCAAAAGCTCCTTGAATATCAATGAGCATAGCTGAAATTTTTTCTTTACTAGTTTCAATTCTTTGGACAAGTTCCAAAACAGCATCAGTAGCACAATAACCTTGTCTTCCCCATATTGCTCTGGTGGAAGTAAGTGTGTTGTAAGCTTGGTCATTCTTTTTGTATAATTTTTTCCAGTACTTTAGATGGAATCTTAAGTAAGGAAATTGGTCGGTATGCTCTTGGCTTTGAATAGTCAGGTTTCTTAGGTTTAGGTATAACAACAATAATGCCATGTCTCCAGACTTTTGGGTGGTATCCAAACTTCACACAAGCTTGGAGAAGCTTGAAAAACCTTTCCTTAAAGTCTTTATTTAGCCATGCCATCTTTAAAACTTTGCCAGTAATTCCATCGTCTCCTGGAGCTTTATCATTTGGGGTATCAGCCAATGCAGAGTCAACTTCATCAAACTCTAATTTTGGCCATCGAGAATCGTCATCAATTTCAAACTCTCTATCAAGACCATGATCAATTTCAGGTAGAAGTGCCTTCCATATTTCATGTCTTTTTTCGTCAACAGTAGTAGTGAGAGTTCCATCTTCTTTTCTAATTTGTGGTATAATGGTATCATTGCTTTTTGGATTAATGTACTTCAAAATCTTCCAAATGTCATTTCCTTCTAAACTAGACAAATATTTATTCCATTGCTCAGTACTTGCTTCACGCAAACTGTGGTCAAAAATTTTTCTAGCTTTTTTCGCCTCTTCATTTTTTTGTCGTTTCAAAGCCAAAGAAGGTTGCCTTTGACGGGCTTCCCTTTTAGCTTCTAGCGCTTTTTCTAACTTCTCCCTTAATTCTTGATTCCAATAGCGTTTGGACTTTTTCATCACCTTAACTTCCTTCATCGACTTTGCCATTGCTCTTTTCACACCCTCCTCAAGAACTTTAGCTTGGTCATCAATTTGGTCAGTTGATTTTAGAGTTTTGTTATGCACATTAAAATCTTTAATGGCAGAAGAAAGCTCCTTGTCAAACTTTTCCCAATCTGCATTCTTAATATTCAATCTCTTCACCGAAGTAAAAACTTCATCCCCGTTTTTTCTATCCAGCCCTTTGTTTGTTTTGTTTGTTTTTATTCATATCCAGCCCTTGTTTGTTTGTTTGTTTGTTTGTTTGTTTGTTTGTTTGTTTGTTTGTTTGTTTGTTTTTATTCAAGGGTTATAGAACTATATAACATCAGCATCTGCGCTATCCTTTTATTGTCTGACTATGTGACTTGCCGGTTTTCATTTGTACCTTTTTAGTACGGTTGGTTTCTGTTCTGTGCGTCTCCGGTAGCCCGGAAGATGGGCCCTGATGCCAGCTTACGAGGAACAGGGAGAACCAGTCTGTCGGTCCCAAAACCTTCCCAACCCATTTCCACTTATCTTCACGGACGCCCATGTATTTCTTAATCTCTTCCGTCAGAGATACGGCCCGCAATCACCTGCAGGCTATTTAGACTGTACGGAAGAGTCGGCATTCCTGTAACCAGGGTAGCCTATGGTTTTCAGTCTAGGTGTATACTCCCGTACACATCCTCAGGAAAAGGGGGTATTCTGGGAATCGAACCCAGTATCTTCCGCTATCGAGCGAACGTGTTACCCTTTACACCATCCAGCCCTTTCCCCTATCCAGCCCTTGTTTGTTTGTTTGTTTTTATTCAATATCCAGCCCTTGTTTGTTTTGTTTGTTTTTATTCAAGGGTTATAGAATTATATAACATCAGCATCTGCGCTATCCTTCTTGTCCATACTATATATTTTTTCATTTTGATAATAAACTTTTAATTTTGGCTTCAACATTGCATCTCCAACAGCCCGAAAATAAGTCCTGATGCCAGCTTACGAGGAACAGGGGGTTAAAATAACCAAACCTTCCCAACCTATCTCCACTTGTCTTCATCAACGCTGTAATTGTATTTCTTAATCCCTCCAAGCAGAGATAAAGCTTACAATCTCTTGTAAGCCAGTTAAACTGTTTAAGAGAGTCGACATGTCCATCTCTGGAGATATCCGTTTCAGTCCTTTTCTTTCCTCTTCAAGCAAAGGACACTCAACTAAAATGTGATGAACTGTTTCCAGCTCTCCACATTTGCAGTTGTAACTATCCTTTTCAATTCCAAACTTTTTAAACCATGCGCCAAAGTTGCCATGGCCTGTGCGAAACTGAGTAATATTACTCAAGATCCTTCGACTATCTTTCTTCATGATCACTCCCGTAACCATTTTGGAAAGATTATCAGTACATTTCGACTCCACTGTGATATTATGATACCACAGATCCTTACTGCTGTTCCAATACATTTCTTGCCATTCTTCCATTGCTTGTTTTTTCAAAATTCCAATCGTCTGATATCCAGCCCTTGTTTGTTTGTTGTTTGTTTTTATTCAAGGGTTATAGAATTATATAACATCAGCATCTGCGCTATCCTTCTTGTCCATACTATATATTTTTTCATTTTAATAATAAACTTTTAATTTTGGCTTCAACATTGCATCTCCAACAGCCCGAAAATAAGTCCTGATGCCAGCTTACGAGGAACAGGGGGTTAAAATAACCAAACCTTCCCAACCTATCTCCACTTGTCTTCATCAACGCTGTAATTGTATTTCTTAATCCCTCCAAGCAGAGATAAAGCTTACAATCTCTTGTAAGCCAGTTAAACTGTTTAAGAGAGTCGACATGTCCATCTCTGGAGATATCCGTTTCAGTCCTTTTCTTTCCTCTTCAAGCAAAGGACATTCAACTAAAATGTGATGAACTGTTTCCAGCTCTCCACATTTGCAGTTGTAACTATCCTTTTCAATTCCAAACTTTTTAAACCATGCGCCAAAGTTGCCATGGCCTGTGCGAAATTGAGTAATATTACTCAAGATCCTTCGACTATCTTTCTTCATGATCACTCCCGTAACCATTTTGGAAAGATTATCAGTACATTTCGACTCCACTGTGATATTATGATACCACAGATCCTTACTGCTGTTCCAATACATTTCTTGCCATTCTTCCATTGCTTGTTTCTTCAAAATTCCAATCGTCTGATTTTGTTGTTGTTTCAGTGTAAGAGGTTCAACCCTCTTGCATTTTCGTTTTCATCCTTTTTATTCATATAGTCTCTATCATCTTTCGCCAACATGTAAAGCGTGGTTAGCTTTGCAATTGGAGATTTCTCAATCAATGTTAACAAATGACCATTAATAGGATTAGTTTTGCTAATATTTAGGTGTAAACGAATAGCTTTTCGTGCCACCATAAATTTTAGCCTAATACTATATGGCATAATACCAGCTTCCTTTTGTAGTACCGCAATAGGAGTTGTGCGATAAGCACCAACAATTCTTCTTAAAGCCATATTCTGCATTACTTCCAACTTGTGGATTTCTCCTTTCAAAATTTTGTGATGCCAAATTTCTAAGCCATATTCGACAATTGGTCTCACGCAAGCAATATACAGTGATCTGACTGCAGACCCTCGCATACCTTTTTGCACGCCACCAAGATGCCAAATAGCACCAACAGCTTTTCTTGCTTTATTGATTTTATTCAAAATATGAGATTTAAAATCAAGCAGATTGTTCAAAGTAATTCCAAGCAATTTAACTTCCTTCTGGGGTTCACGAAGTTCCCCATTAGGTAAAGTAAGTTGCACTTTCTCATCTTTAGGTTTCACATTTTTTGTAAAATGAATAAAACCCAATTTATCACCCAAATCAATTTTGGTCATTCTTGATTTAGCCCAATTACAACATTTTTCTAATATGTTGCGATATCCAGCCCTTTTCCCTAATTTTAAACAATGTTTTCAAAGAGGGTTACCTCTTGTAACCAGCTATGGATTTTGAAAATATATCACGTGTTACGATGGCCGAGTGGTTAAGGCGATGCCCTGCTATACACTAGCTGTTTAGGCATTGGGTTTTACCTGCGCAGGTTCGAATCCTGTTCGTGACGGCTATTTTTTTAAAAAATTCCAACTGTACTTTTTTTTTTGTAAAATATACTTATTCAAGTTTTTTTTCAATTCTAGTTTTGTTTTTTTTTTTTAATGATTCCATATTATTAACAAATTTTATCAATCCATTCACGTCTTCTTTTTTCTCTTTTCTATCAACAAGTCTAGACGATTTTAATCATTTATATATATATATATGTAGTTTTTGTTTTTTTTTTTTTTGTTCAAACAATATACACTTCAAAAAACAACACCAGCAGGTTTACTGCCATCTTCCAAGTATTTTAATGTGGTCTGGTACACAAACAACATCACACTGCTCTGCACCGACGTCCACACAATACGGGGCCATATGCCACTAAAAAGTCCAGCAATGCCTTCCGTCTTGTAGATGATTCTCAACCCATTGGTGATAGAATCTGTGAGAATTGCGGGCGCATTCGATGCCGAGCGCGTGTTAGTTGATAAGCTGCTATAGCTTTTGGTCGACGATGCAGATGAGGCATTACTGGGGAATGAGTTGCCTGTGCTATGACTGGACCCAGTTCCAAGAGGTGCCTTGGGACTTATTGGTTTAGTGGTTGTGCTGCAACTGGAACTAGAGCTGTTTCCGCCATCATTGTGCTGTGTTTGGATTCGTGTCTTGACAACATCTAATGGAGTTGTGATGGCACCAGCTAGACCACCAGCAATGGCACCAGTAGCCAGCTCGAGACCCACACCCATGTCATTATGATGGCCAACGTGTTCCTGGGCCATGTCGTGCAGCTTTTCGTAAAACGCAAATTGGAGTGCGGAAAACGGCAAATCACGTATCAGGGTGGCCTTGTAACCGTAAAAGAGAGCGCCGGGGCCTTCGACACGCGCTATTGTTCGGGCAGCATCAATCATACCCTTATAGTTGTAACCACTATAAAAATGGGGGTTATTGTAGCGACCCTGCAGTTGTAATCGAGTTTTTAAAACTTCTGACGGAACGTAAACAACCGACGACGCCAAATCACCGAGCCAGCCCGACGTGAAATGCGCAACGGGCTCAGGAATGTTCCAATCATTGATGAAGAGTCGCTTGCTCGATTCATATACCAGGAAAAACGTCAACGTTGCTGGGAATGACCCCAAGGCGGCAGGCGAGTAGCCACCATAAAGGCCACGGAAAATGCCTTCTTCTCGTGCAAGATTTAAAAACGCTCGGGTTGTTGATCTATATTTGAGCTCGTTGGGTGCGCCCTGTTGTCTGGTCTTGACAGTGTCAAGAGGGTACATGGTACTATCGCCGATTAAACCACCAATACCACCACTCAGTGCAACCTATTAAAAATCAAACGAAGAAAAAAAAATTGTTTTTGGTTCATATTAATAAAAGGGTATATATATTTAACTTGAGAGAATAAAATGAAAAAATGGGGAATTCATTTGCTAAATCGATCTCTTTGTTATCTAGTTTTTTTTCTGGTGGTATGAAAGTCTCTATTTTACGTTGAAAGGAATAGATCGTTATTACAATTTATCCTGATTTAATTTGTTTTGATAGTGAGGCTGGTTTTGATTGGGCGGTAAAAAAAATACACAAATCAAAACACATCAAAAAAAAAGAAGAAAAAGAAAAAAAAAAACGAATTCCATCATCAATCACAATAGATACATCAAATTTCCGTTATTGTAAAGAAAAGTTTATTCAAGATAAAGAGGTTATCATGAATATTAGAGATAAAGAGAACAAAAAAAACAAAATGATGAAATTTTTCTCAAGGAGAATTAAAAAAAAAAAAATTCTACCCACGTTTAGTAAAGATGCTCTGGAAGACAGGGAATCATTATCCTCAGTCACAGTGGTTGTATTGCTTTGCTTGACATTAGGAGTTGGCGTTAATGATAGCACTGGTTGTGTAGTTGGTGAATGTGCAAGTTCAGGCATTTGTGTTTTAGTGTTTAATAGATTGAAGAGGATAGATGGGTAAGTCTAAAAAGTATATATACAGGCTGATCTATGTTGATAAGTGGTATCAAATGTATCGAGAAGTTAAAAATTATTTGTTATATTGTTGGTATTATCATGATCTAAGGGGGGAGGAGGTTTGAAATGATAATGTTTAAAACAATGAGTCTGGTTTTTAGTAGTGATGTGGCACAGGCCCTTTAAGGGAGAAAGAGAGAGAGAACAAGAAGATTAGAAAAGATGTGAAATAAAATCACAACGATTTTATTCCCAATTTTTCTATATCAAAAAAAAAAAAAAAAAAAAAAGGAGTGAAAGAAAGAAATTAAACAAAAAGTGAAATCAAAATCAAAATCAAAATCTAAGGAAGTAGTAGTAGAAGAGAAGGCAACTGAAAAGGATAGGAAAAAAAAAAAAAAAAAAGGAGAGAGAGAGAAAAATGGTGGTTCTTCCGAGATTGGCCGAGTGAGGAGGCAGAAATTTCATATTCAAAGCTTTAACAACAAATTTGTATTACAGTTATAATTACAATTACAGTTACAGTTACAGTTATACTGATTACAAGGTAACAGATAGATGAAGGATGGTTTGTGCATACGAGATGTTCAATCCTCCAAATGTTAAGAAGTTGAAGAGGATATATTTTGAAATAAGAATTGCAATTATAAGGATGATTTTGTTCAAGTTCCAAAGTTTATCTTAATCTCATGAGATAATTAAAGCTTAGAATATAATTAAAACACCTCAGTTGGTCGTTTGATTAAAAAAAAATGCCACGTATCAAGCATAGGTGTTCCCAGTCAGATCACATGACGAGCTGTTGCAAATCTCTAACAAAGATTTTACCTTTTAGATATCTTTAAGATTGACACACCAGCGCCATTCTGTTCTATGTGCAATTTAAAGAGCATTCCTACAAATCATTATTGTCAGGCTGAAGTACAATTATACTTCCATCAGTTGGATGGCAAAGAACGGGTATTTTGAAAAGCTGTAACTCAAGATTGGAACAGTGTAGATAAGTCTACTATAAAGTTTAAGCTTCAACTGCTGTTTGGGTATTATCGAAAAAAATCTGCAAAATCGCCTGTACAAATGGCATCACTTTGAATAAAACTGACTATGCACGGCAGATGACACTGCCAACGCTTACCGTATGCTTTTTTAAGAAATGGAACCGCTAAGGCCTAGTTATTCCCAAGTTGTTATTGTTGTTGAATGCATTCTAAAGTAAAAAAATTTTAAAAAATTTTAAAAATTGTAAAAAAAAAAAAAAATTTAAAAAAAATTTTAAAAAAATAGCTGTTCCAAGGCCTCTTCCTAGTTCCTAGGCTTTAACCATTCTTCAAATGTCTAGTCTAGTTAAAAATAATTATTGACTGACTGGCTGGAAGATTTGCGGAGTGCCAATAAACATACCCCGGAAAAAGGATAAACTTCAGCTTTTCCCCTCTCCCAATTTCAAGTATTGCCGGTGTACAAAGTCAAAGGCTCCGAATACTTTCTAGTTTTTTTTTTTATTTTTTATGTTACAATTACAATTCAAACACCTGTTGTAACTCAAACTACCCGGATAACTATGCTTATCATCAAAAACAATCTTTCTTTTTTCAACTTGAGACTATGTTTCGGTAAAGGGCGGACTCTGGTGATGTCCTAATTTAAAGAAGAAGAAAAAAGGGCTGAGACCTTTTAAATTGTAGAACATTTATTTTTGGACAAACCTAAGATGATGTAAAATTAAATAATCGGCATAAGAAATATATAAAAAGATGTTTGTTTAAAAGAAAAATAGCAGTTAATAAGCTTAATATATATATATATATAAATTTATATATATGTCCACCATATTTTGAATTTTGTGGGGAAACACAGCAAAGATGGTCAGATGAAAAAAGAAATTGTCAAAGGGAAAGTATGGGGGAAAAATGGGGTTCACTATATGGAATGTTTTTTTATAACCAGAAGGCTTTTTTTTTTCTTTCTTTAATAATTTTGGTTTTTTTTTAGTGACCTGACGTTTTTTTTAGAAAAGATGAAATTTAGTTTTTTCCAAACTTTCTATTGCTTTTAGAAACTCAATTAAACATGCCATTTTTTTTTTCATTTTACATTTTCATCGTCTTTTCCGTTAGAATTCTCAAAATATCTTATTAATAGATTAGATATGTTTAAAATGTTTAAAATGTTTAATCCCATGTGAATTCATTATCTTGAAGAAACGCCGAAATGTTGACGATATTGAAGGAGTGTCCGATTATCGGACATGGCTGCTTCTACTCAGGTCTTAACAACAAAAAAAAAAAAAAAAAAAAAAAAAAAAACCTTGCAATTAGTGATAGCCGGCCTGATAAATAAAAAAAACTGTCCGTAAAAGAGGCTGTCAAGACATTTAATTTATATTATTTAGCCCTTTTTTTTTTCCAATTCAAAAAGGTCCTTTTCATCCTTAAATCGAAAATTGCAAATTCTAAGAAAAAATGCGGGGAGCGGCTTCTGCCTAAACACTTTAGAAGAAAAAGAAGAAAAATGAGCTTTTCCAAGTATACAAGGCTACTAACAACTCTTAAAAAGAAATATGTAAGATCTTCTCAACTTGGTAGATTCAACAAGGTTTATGAAAGTTTACAGGTTCTTATCTTGAAATGAATAAACAAAAATGGGTAATATGATTCCGCTAGGGAACCAATATCAAAAAAAAAAAAATAAAATAAAATAAAATAAAACGGCGGAGAGAATAAAAAGCCTTCCGTGTTTACTTCACCAGTTTTGCCGGATTCTAAATGTTGTAAGACCAAAGTGCTCCGGAAAAGACTTCCAGTACCAAATAACAAACGGGGGCAACCTAAATGTTAAGGACGTAATAACCTTAACATGCACGTTTTAAAATTTAGCTTTTGAATGCTTTGACGGCTATTCGCGGTATTTACGTGTACCTAAGTTGTTAATTTTTTTTTATAAAGACCCAAACAATCTCTTGAATTAATGACCGATGTTTTAACCGTCCCAACGATTATGATTATAATTATTAAAAAAAAAAAACGAATGGGTCTTTTTATTGAAAACGAAAAGCAGTTAAAGATCACTCCATTTCGGAAAGAGAGATTTCCGAAATTGCAGTTGAACTAAATACCAAAAAACAAAAACTATCATATGGGAAGCTTAGTTAAACATTTGTGACGACACTTTTATGTTTGTTTGTACATTTAAACAAGGACGTGACGAGCTACCCCGTGAACTTAATTGAATCAACGAGGCCTTTTACTAAAAAAAAAAATGTGCGCGATAGCAAACAAAACGGATATTAGCAATCACAGCATTATTACTAAAACATAGGAAATTAGCTAAGCTTGTCAGATGAGTTGAATCGTAGAAAAAGAAAAAAGAAAAAAAATGATGGTGAGACCGATTTGAGTGTTGCCAAAATATAAGTCCCGAGTCAAAAAGATTCACATTATCTATGCAAGTTGTTATTACAAAGGCTGAGTACCCCAGATTATTTTACGGAGGCCTTAACAACGGACGAAAACTATCGTTCAACTATAAATATAGCTTGAATTCCTTTCATATTCTTTTTTTTTTTATATTTCTATCATATATATATATATTTTTTTCAATCACACACTCAACTATTTAAAATTTTCATTAAATACAAACATCTTAAGCATTATTCAAAATGGTCGCTGAAATTAACAAGATTCAACCTGTCTCCAGTGTTCCTCAATTCCTGACACTCACAGCTCCTATTTCTAAGCCTTTTGTTCCTCTGGTTTCTGAGCCGAGTAGCTCTGCTATCGTTTCTCCTTCGCTCAGCACCAGCACAGCTTCTAGCTCTGAGGAAGTTATCCCCAACATGTCAATTCACCATTCACGCGCAGACAGCACATCTTCGCAAGCATCTCTTTAAAGGGGGTAAAAAAAATTGTTTACTTTTTAAAAATCGTGGCATGATGGTGCCTATTCAATCGTGGCATTAATATCTATGCTTACCAACAAAAATGTGGAACTTCTTTTGTCTTCCACAAGATCATGACTAGCCCACTACTAGTTTTTTAAAACTAGTTGATGATTACTATCATTATGACTTTTTTTTATGATTGTTACGACTCACTATTCTTATGTACTTTTTATTTCAATGATGACTTTAAAAATTTAATAAAATATACCTCACATGTATACAATTTTTGCATAAAAACAAACCGTTTGTAGAATTTTACCAGTTGATAAAACGGGTTAAAGTTTTCAAAAACTTTATTGAGAAGGTAAAGAAAATGATAAAACGCATCTTACTCGGTCAGTCTATTTGCTATTCGGTTTTTTTTTTTTTGTCTTTAAAACAGTGTCCCTGACAGTTAATTTTGAAAATATTTGACCTTTTATATATGATTTTTTTTTTGAATAGCCGCATTTTCCCTGGTTTGGAAATCCCCCAAAATCCTTATTTCTGAATATTTTTATTTTTTTCATTTCTTCTTTCAATTACGATGTGATAGATAACGAACCCTTCTAAAGCTCTCTAATCTTTTTTTTTTTTTGATAACTGTCCAAAAAAAGAAAAGCCATCTATCTTAAATTTTGTTGAACGCAAAAATAAAAGTAACTCATTTGGTACTAAGTACCAAATGAGTTACTTTTAATACAATGATATGACAATGTCCATAAGGCTGAGATACTAAAACAGGAGATCATGGTGGCAAACCTTCCTTGAAGAACTTCTAAAAGAATAAAAAAACGCCATTTTTAAGCTTTACTGTTTTGAAATCTCGCCATGACACTTTTTCTTATTTCTTTTGATGACGGGCATTTATGCTGTTGTGTGTGTGTTCGCCTGGTATCGCCATCTCTAAAGAGTTAAGCCGAGGTGCCTTTTTTTTGGTGGAGATGGAAAGTGGAGGAAATTTTATGACTAAGATATTACGTATATTATCAGTGATACGATACTTGTTCACCCCCGCGATCTTTTCCAAATGTTTATGCCCACTCTGAAAATCAAACCTTCTATTCTGTTCTCTCTTTTCTTAAATTCACTCCGCTTTTTTTGTATCTAGTTTTTTTTCTTTTACTTTGCCAAAATTCTTTATTCTCATATATTCTCCATCAAAACTCAACCTTCTACTTCCTTATAAGCATCCATAATCATAGCCATTCTTCTCAACTATTTTTTTTTTTTGCTTCGCATAGACTTTCTTAAAAATGACTGACAATGTAATCGCCACTGCTACTCTCCCCATCTTTGCCCTGCCATCAGGCACTGTTCTATTCCCAGGAATCACCGTCCGTGTCCCTCTCGAATCCTCTGAAGCAACCGGTATTGTGTCTCGCTTGAACAAACTCGCAAAGTTTATTTCTCAGAATACTCCCAAACTCAAAGACACAGAATCATTGCTTGACTCGGACACCTCCGTAGACCCAAGTAACCCCACACCTGAGCAACTCGCAGTCGAAACAAAAGCTCTTCATTCTCTTCTTGGTCTCAAGGACTCCTTGACTGAAGGCACCCGTTCTCCTCTCATCACTATTGGTGTCCTTCCTCGTGCAGATCCCTCCGAACCTGAAGATTCTAAATCTTCAAATGCCGCATACCTAACCTCCGACTTGACAAGAACTTTGTCCCCATCCTTCCCAGCTTCTCAGGAAGCTCTTAAGTCTATTGTCCATCCCTTTGGTATTGTTGCACGTGTAGCTAGAATTGAAAGGTCACTTAATGGCAGAGTTCATGCTCTTTTGGAAGGTTTTAACCGCATTCGTGTCGACCAGTTTACACAAATTGGTACTGAAACCGAGGCCCGTGTTTCTGTTTACTCGGAAGATGGCACTTCTGTCGACAATAAGTTTAGCATCTGGCCTCGTGAAGAGTTGGAGAAACTTGAGACTTTGAAAAAGGTGGCTTTGAACTTGATTGAGTTCATGTCTACCAAAAGTGGCTCTTACTCGGCAAACAATAACCTTGCTGTTCGACCAGAATTGTTGAAAAAAATTATCCCCCTGATTAAACAATCTCGCACTCGACGTGCTGCGGGGATTTTGACCGATATATTGGCTTTTATTATTCCCATTGAATACGAGGACAAAATTAAGCTTCTTGGTGCCGTTTCGTTGAACGAGCGAATCGATATGGTTACTACACTTATTGAACAGCATATTGAATCTGAAAAGATTTCAGAAAAAATTGACAAGTCTGTTGAAGATAATATCTCAAAACAACAGCGAGAGTTTATTCTTCGTCAAAAGCTTAACGCCATTAAGGAGGAACTTGGCGAAAAGAATTCCAACGGTGCAGGCTCTGGTAAGGGCGGCTTTGGAAATAGAGCCGCATCCCCTGATGCTAATGAAGATGAAGAAGATATCGCCGATTTGAAGAAGAAACTTGACACATTAAGACTACCCGAGGATGGACAAAAGATTGTATCACGCGAATTAAAACGCCTAAAGCGCATGCACCCTACCCAAGCAGAATACCAGGTTTGCCGGACTTACCTAGAAACTATTGCTGAGCTGCCCTGGTCCACCGCCACCAGTGATCGTCTTGATGAAAATCCAGTTGCTCGTGCCAAGAAAATTTTGGATGACGATCACTATGGCTTGAATAAAGTAAAGAAGCGCTTATTGGAGTACTTGGCTGTTTTGCACCTGAAGCAAGAACAAAAGTTGAGAAAGACTGGCAAGCAGCAACAAGAAACTTCCACAGCACTCGTTCCATACAAAAAAGATCAACAACAGAAACAAGATGCTGATAATTTCGACGTTCATGAAATCTCCTCTAACGACGAAGTCCTCAGTCTTGATAAAAGTCCTATCATGTTACTTGTTGGCCCCCCAGGTGTTGGAAAAACCAGTTTGGCCAAGTCTGTGGCACATGCCCTTGGCCGCAAGTTCCATCGCATTTCTCTCGGTGGTGTTCGTGATGAGGCCGAGATTCGTGGCCACCGCAGAACATATGTTGGTGCCATGCCTGGTGTATTGGTTCAATCTCTTCGAAAAGTAGGAGTTATTAACCCTGTCATTCTTCTTGACGAAATCGACAAGGTCAGCAAGAGTAATTTCCACGGAGATCCCAGTGCCGCTCTTTTAGAAGTTCTTGATCCAGAACAAAATCATACCTTCACCGACCACTACATTAACTTCCCTGTTGACTTATCTAAAACCTTGTTCATTGCTACTGCAAATAGTATTGACGATATCCCTGGTCCCCTGCTTGATCGTATGGAGACTATCAACATTGAAGGTTATACATATATGGATAAGCAAAAGATTGCCAAGGAGTACTTGATTCCCAAGCAGATCCGCAACAATGGATTGGCTCCGGGACAACTTGAAATCACTGACGAAGCTATTCTTAAAATTGCCACTCACTATACTCGCGAGGCCGGTGTTAGAAATCTCGAACGCGAAGTTGGTACTTTATGTCGAGGAAAAGCTGTGGAGTATGCTAAGACTGAAGAAGCAGGTGGCGAGTATATTAGCAAAGTGGATGTTGGCGACTTGATTAAATACCTGGGTGTGGAGTCATTTGAAGACGACATGGTGTATGATGAGGTTGATGTTTATACTGATGCTAAAACTGGTGAACGTAAACGCCGCCATACATATGGAGTTGTCAATGGACTTGCCTACATGGGCAGCGGAAATGGTGGCTTGTTAATGTTTGAAGCTACAGCAATTCCTGGGGGTCATGGCAGCTTGAAGACTACTGGTCAATTGGGATCCGTCATTGCTGAGAGTGCTGAGCTTTCTTTGTCTTGGGTACGTGCCAACGCCTACCGTCTCGGATTGACTTCAAGCCCTGAAGAAGATGTAGTTAAGGACATTGATATTCACCTGCACGCTCCTGCTGGAGCAGTACCCAAAGATGGACCTAGTGCTGGTGTTGCCATGACCCTTACCATTATTTCACTATTGGCTAAGCGACCTGTTCCTAGAGACCTTGCGCTTACTGGTGAGATGACACTTCGTGGAAAGATTTTGGCTGTTGGAGGTATTCGCGAAAAACTATTGGGAGCACATATTGCAGGCATCCGCCGAGTTCTCTTGCCTTATCATACACGCAAGGTTGTGGAGGAAGAGTACACTTTTCTTAAGGATACCAAGCTCGAGATTACTTACGTCAAGTATATTTGGGACGTGCTTGCATTGGTATGGCCTGAAGAACGGTTCCCCTCAGTTATTGATAGTCATTTGTAAGCTTATTTTTTTGGATTTTTTCCCCTCTTTTTTTTTTTTTTGAATTATTTGAAAAGTTGTAAGCGATAATAAATTGAAATTTTATTAATTGTAAATTATAAAAAAATACATATGAAATAAAATCAATAAAGATAGAATAGCAAGATGTATTACTATTGGTTGATTCAAGTAATTGTTTCAAGAGGGAAATGTTCAAACGATAACTATTTATGCATCTATAAGCAAAAATGAAATCTTTATTGTCAACGTTTTCAAAAAAAAAAAAAAAAAAAAAAAGATAAGTAAAACAAAGTAAGGCTTGAAAAAACTTGAGTAACTATTTGCTGATAACCAGCACGTGTCAAATAACTCTCAAAGGGGTATAGAGAAGTGCGGATGTGTGATCCCTAATATGATCTTCTAATAAGAATAATTTTCTTAATCAACAGTCTGATTTCAAAAATGTTAAAATCACTGGTGACCTAATCTATAATAGGTTTATTTATTTGAATCATTAAAGTAAAAAAAAAAAAAAACTACTTTTATCAAAGGCACATAAGATGAATGTTGAAATAAATAGTTAGCAATTAATTTTTTAAAATCTCAATGAATTCTTGATTTATCTCTATTGTTTCTGACTTTCTAACTAAGATCAAAAATAAGATTGTAGGAGTCAAAAAGGAAAGAAACAATCACAAGCTCTCTTTTATGTCAAATTTTTAAAATTCTTTACCATGTCGAAAATGATTGACACTATAGATTAAGAAAGTTAAAAGAAAAAAAAAAAATAAATTCCAATCACAGACAAAATCAGTTAAAAAAAAAGTGCAATTTATTCAATCGAGAACATTTTTATGAACTAAACAAAAAATTATTTTATACTATATGAATCTTAATGAAAAAGGTTCTCAGTTTAATTACTTTAAAATTAAAACTAACTCTTGGTATATTGGAGATATTCGTCAAAAATTGGAGGAGTGGCTCTGAACGTCTCTCCAGCGGCCGACCGATGGCGAAGACAGATCCGAAAATTATAAAGCAAACAAGCAACTGAAAAGGATGTTAGGAAATGGCTTTTACCTAATAGTTGTGTCCTATAATCAAGTGCTCCAGAAAATGAAGTTTCGATGTTTTCAAATACCTGTTCAATAGAGGCTCTTAAAGGTTCCATAGACTTATTTGAAGCGACTTTTGTTTTATCTGTGTCCAAATATACCACAAAATATTCAGATAATAATTGTCCTTGCCGTTCAAAGTCTTTGTCACCATAAACACAATAGTCAATGCCGTCAAATGAATAGCGAGACTTGAGAGTAGAAAGAAGATCGGTTTCACAAACAGCATTCTGGTCATTTACACTACCAGGGAAGGGACCATAAAGTCCAATGATCAATCCATCTGGAGCTGTAATAACTAAGAAATTGCAGGTATGTATATTTTCCAATGAATTGAACCAGTAACTGTCCAGTCCATGGCTAGGTTTGGATATCCTATAAGAAAACTCATCAATAAAACAAAAAACATTCTTTTCTTTTGCACCTGCTTTTTCAATACATTTAGCATAGAAGCGTACTCTTTCTTTGGTGAGCAATGGGTTTTTTTTGAAATCCAACATCATTCTATATTTATTGTAAAAGCAGTTCATTAAATCGTTCACGGTATGGCTAACTGTTGAACTAGGCCGTCCCCATAAGCTTGGATAATCTCTGTATGGAATGAAACAAGCAAACCTAGACAAAAATAGTAAAAGGCCTTCTTGATTCTTTATTTTTGTCCTGTGTTTGTTTTCAAACTCTGTGAAATCCAAAAGCCTAAGAAGTTGCAGGATTTCGAGACGATCAAAATGAAAACAATTAGCAATAACGCGAGTACTATGCTTTAAAAAAAAATCAGGATCGGATAATGGTTTTTCTTTGAGTCTGTTTTTGAGAACCGTTTCATCAATTAATTTATCCGATTCTTTCAAACGCTGTTTCTGAGACAAAAAAACTCCATATTGGGTATCTAGAGTCCCGTCTTCCTTTGCTTTCGCTAAACTTTTATACACAGAGTCTATGGTATTTCGAACAGACTCAAGATCTATCTCATGCACTTTATCTAAGTCATCGTATATCCTTTTTCTTCTTGAATCGGTGTTGTTGCTGCTACTGCTGCTGCTACTGCTGCTGCTATTGCCATTGTTGCTATTATGTAAAGCGGAAGAGTAGCTTAGTTCAGAATCCCTTTCTTTGTCAGTCATACCATCGCTTTTATCATGATCCGTAAAATCATCGCTTTTATTTTGATCCGTAATATCATTGTTTCTGTCTTGATCCGTAAAATCGTTGTTTTCTTTTTGATCGGAAATATCGTCGTCTAGAGTTGAATCCACAAAACTCATTGTGATGGTGAAAATATATATATATATAATTAGTGAAAATGATTAAAGGGAAATTATTAGAATTTCGTTATCAAAAGCTTTAAAATCAAATAATAAAGAAATAAAGAAATGAAGAAAGAATACAAATTAATCTGTATATTTATCTATCTACCTTTAATCGATTAAATGTGAGTTTTATGGGTAAGGGTAAAAAAAAATGTCAATTCCAAATCCAGTTAAACTTTAACATGTTCGGAATAATCATCTGATTTTTTTTTTTTTAAGGTACAATTGGACGGAGTTTTGTTCAGGATTTTAAACATTTGCTTGTAAAATTCTATTAAATATGTACAAAGAATTTGAAATAAATATTTAAATATATGGATTCAAAGATTCAAAAAAAAAAAAAATGTTTTTTTTTAAATTATTAACAAAATAATCATGTTATGATAACAAAAAAAGGTCCTACCCGGATTCGAACCGGGGTTATTGGAATCAGAATCCAAGGTGATAACCAACTACACTATAGAACCTTACTTGTTGTTGTGTTAAGTTATTATGTATTACATATCTATATCTTTTATATTATATCACGTGATATTAAGTACCACTTTTTATTAATTTTTTGTTATTTTTATTATTATTGAGAATATTTATTCAAAGTAGTAATATATATATATATATATATATATCTTCCATTTTTTATATTATAATTATTTCTAGTCATTCATGTACACCTTCCGTAAAGAGATTTCTAGGTTTGTTTGAACAAAAAAAAGAAAAATGTCTTTAAAATGCGCCGTTTATTATGCGAATGAGTTATTGTCGTAATTTAATTGACAAATTTTCCCTTTTCCTTTTTTTTTTTCATAAATTTAAACTCCCACTGCATTAAAATTTTATTTGAATTTGGCTACTTTTGAATGAATGAATTGAGTTTATTTAATGAAGTAACTGATGAGTTTGTTTGAAAATTTTTTTAATGAAAATAAAAATTAAGAATTAAAATCGCCAAAAAAAAATTTTCAGTTATTTTTTCCAGGATTTTTTTTTTTTTAGAACTTTCCAAATAACTTTGATTATGTTTATTTATTTTTTTTTGTCTTTGAATGTCAATGTTGATCTATCGCCAATTCCAACCTTAAAAAAAAAGTTAATTTTTCATTTGTTTTTAAATAAAAAAAAATGATGACGCCGAATGTTTTTTTTTTTTCAATTTTCCACAAGGCTTCTTTAAAATTTTTCATAATCCATTCTCCACCTGTTTTTTCCTCCCTACTCATTTTAGGTGGATAGAAGTAATATATTTATAAAGCTTGCGGTGAGACAGTTTGCTGTGCCAAAAAGGCATGCAGCGACGATCAAATTGCCTTCTCCTTTCTATAAAAATATGTTCTTTCTCTCTCGTTTTTTTTTTTCTTTTTTCATTACACTTTTTTTGAATTAATAACAATGAATGCATTTTTATGGATACTCTGTATTTGGATTAAAATAATAGATGCTAGACTATTAAAAAGTGTTGAAGATAAGGTCTGGAAAGCAAATTTTGAAGTTGCTTACACCACGGAAAAAAAGATTGGAGTATCATTATTTGATGATCCGGAAGTGAATGATCGAGAAATCAACAGCAATAATGGCAAACAGGTAACGAACTTACCATTAATCAACAATCGCACAATGTATTTAATTGAACTTGGCGTTGGAACACCACCGCAACATATATTGGCACAATTTGATACTGGTAGTAGTGATTTGTGGGTATATAGCGTGGACAATCCCATGTGTCAGTATAATGGCACTGATATGGATCAGGTTGATTGCACATTTACAGGGACATTTAATTCATCAGCATCATCAACGTTTAGGGAAATTGAAAAAGGCAAATTTTCAGACACTTATGGAGGTGGATATTCGGTAAGTGGAGACTGGGTATGGGACCGGGTTATTGTTGGAGGGACAGAGAATGGTCTTGTTATTAATAACATGAGGTTTGGGTTAGGACATTTTGCCAACGCTTCTGCAGCCATTTTGGGGCTGGGATATCCAGGGACAAACAACATGACACAACAGATTGGTGGAACCAAGTATCGGTCATTGCCACAACAATTGGCAGCAGATGGGACGATTGTTTCTGCAGCTTTTTCAATTTGGTTGAATGATGCTGATGCTTCAGAGGGCTCAGTACTTTTTGGTGGTGTTGATCATTCCAAGTATAATCAAACGAAGGGGCTTGCTTAAGTTCCGATTCTTAATGGATCTAACAAAGATGAAAATGATGAATATGTATCATTTTTGATTGCACTTTCTCAAATTGTTGTGTCAACGGTTAGTAGGGAGGGTACTTTTGAAGAAAAGGAAACAGTTGATCTTTTGAATGGGACTACAATTCAAGCCTTGTTAGATTCAGGTGCCACCAAGTCCTTTTTACCATTAGAATTATTGAGTGACTTTTTATATACCACTCTTAATGCTACAGATGATGAGGATGTTGGGGGTACTATTTTTGATTGCAATCTTATTATGGATGAAAGTCTTCCTCCTGTGAAGTTTAACTTTTCTGGAGCAATTATTGAGGTTCCTATTTCTAGTTTTGCAGATGAAGTTGAGGGTGATGAAGGTAAATGTATGTTTGGGATTTATCAGTTTGGGTTACCGTTTGCATTGTTGGGGGATGCAGTATTACGGCAAGCATATGTTGTATATGATATGGAACATCATGAGATTGGTCTTGGACAAGCATTATTGAATGTTACTGGAGAAGAAGAAAGTATTGAAGTGATTTCAGGAGAGATACCCAAGGCTACTAAGGCGTCGTTGTATAGTCAGATAAGTGCGTTAACAGGTGGGTATTTTTCATTGCTTTCAGAGAATGGAGTAACGGGTGGAAGTACATATTCAGATTCAGGAACAAGTGCAGGTACGGCCACGAGAATCGGTATTACAGGTATGAGTGTAAGTTCTGGGATGATGACAGGATCAGTTAGTTTGACTTCAATGCATGCAAGTGTCACCAGTTTTTATGAGAGTGGTAGTGTGAAGAATACTAATGGGGGTTCTAAATTAGGAGAGATTAGTTTGACTCCGGTAGTTTTTTGGGTGGTTGGAATATTACTTGTATATTAAATAAATGAATAAATAAAGATAGAGATGGTGAGAGATTAATATATATATATGAATCAAACTAATTAATCTGTGGGGGAGGTGAAGTGATTGTGGTGGTAGTAACGGTTGACATTTGCACAAATTTCTTGTGAACAAAAGAAGTTTTTTTTTTATGGGCGACCGTTATTGGTAAAAAGAAAAAAGAAAAAAAGAAAAAAAAAAGAAAATTGATTATAATCAATTATAACCAAATCTTTATATAAAGATTTATTGGTTTTTTTTATTTAATTAAAAAGATGTTTGTATAGATATATTTACATATTTTACGTGATGATGATAATGATGAAGCTTATTCAACCCTTTATGTAGATGATTGGAATTAGAAATGGACTAAGACGTAATTAAAAAAAAAAAATCCTCTTTTCAGTCAATCAACTTCGGGTAGCTTCTTTTGTACCGGAACCCCGTTAGTTAAATATTTCCCTCGTTTTTTTTTTTATTTATTTATTTATTTTTTCTTTGTTTTAAAAAAAATTTTGAAAATTTGAAATTGAAAATGAAATTGAAATTGAAATTGTTGAAAACCCGCATCTTTTTTTTTTTGCTTGTGGATTTTTTTTTTTTTTTTTGAATTCTTAAGCAATTCTCAAGCAAAAAAAAAAAAAAATACTGGACATAATAATAATAATAATAATAATAATAATGTCTTGGCAAATGTCCCGAAGTTCTTCGGGTCTTCACTAACTAACTAACTAACTAACTAACTGATTGATTGATGAGTGTTCCGGTCATTAAACCGATTTGTATTTTATTTGTATTTTTTAAAAAAAAAAACATCATCAATGCAAAAAGACTTCTTCTTCTTCTTCTTCTTCTTCTTCTTCTTTTTTTTTTTTTTTAAATTCCTCGGTGTTTAATTTTATTTACTGATTTTTTGATTATATTCTGTACGATTGTCAATCTTTAACGACCCCCCTCTCAAAAAAAAATAACATAAAAATATAAAGAAGAAAAAAAAAAAAGCCCCTTCTTTAACTGCTCCGAATCTCCCCGTTTAAATTTATCATAGAAAAAGAGTTTTTCTAAATATTTAGAATCCTCTTGAGTCCTCGTGACTTTAAATATTATTGTTATTGTAATTATTTTGGTGGGTTGGTTGGTAGTGGTGGTAATTTTGCACTATCTTATCTCGCGATTTTTTTTTTTTTGCGGCCAAAATTTTTTATTTTATTTTATTTTATTTTAATAGACTAACTAACAATTAATCAACCTTCTTCTTTTTTCTTTTTTTTGCCACTCCACAAAAAAAAAAAAAAAATATAAAAAACCTCCCCTTCCCACATACACGACTTAACTCATCCTTTAACTTTCAACTTCAAACTTCATACTTTCCTATTTATTTATTTACATTCAATTTAAACAAACAATTGAAAACCAACTCTTTTATTGATTTCTTTTTTTTTTTTTGTTCCTCCCCAGTTATAATAAAATTAATAAAAAAAAAAAGAAAAAAAAATGACTGATAATAATCCATCCCAAAACCCGTCTTCCTCACCTCCTCGTGATGGGAAACTCCCAAATTCTCATACTCCGTACCATCTCGCTCGTCGAACCTCTGACATTGGCACTCTGGCCGCCGGCGGCGCAGACATTGCTACTTCCCGTCATTCTTCATCATCTTCTTCTTCTTCTAAATCTCCACAATTAACCCAATCTTTTACTTCTTCTTCTACTGCTCCTGTTGCTCCTGTTGCTCCTATAACCACTTCTTCTTCTTCTTCTTCTTCTTCTTCTTCAACATCTCCTTTCAATACTATAATCCCGCCTCCTCCATTCAAAAATGTCTTCAACCATTCTCAACCACCTCACGGAATTGTGGAAGACTCTAAAAGCCCCTCTGAAAGTCCTTCGGCTAGCCGTGTAGCCTCCTCTACAAATCTTGCAGCAACCCTTCGTCACGTTCTTGCTCCCACTTCTCCATCATCTCAAAATGACCCCTATACTAAAAACCCAGCAGCAACTACTGGTTACTCATCCTCACCTCCTGCTACTTCGCCACGACCAAGCATCATTCCTTCCTCTGCTCCTGTCTCTTCGGAATCCGCAATTGAGGATGGAGAAGATGCTACTGCTGTTGCCCCTCCAGGTTTCCATGCTTTGCAGCACCGACTATCACATGATTATGCTAGCTTTAGACGTTCCTCAGCTGCCTCTCTTGAACAGTTGATACACTCTGAGCTCCAAGGAATGATTCATCGCAAGGAAAGTGATGCTTCTACTGCCCCTGCTCCTGCTCAATCACCACCTCAAGAAAAGCAAATACAACAGCAAGCATCTTCACTACCATTAAAGCAACCGCAACAGCAACAGCAACAGCAACCACAACCACAACCACCAAAAACTCAATCACCTGTTCCAAATGAACAACCCACTCAACAACAATGCTCTGAACCAGGCGAGTCTTTATCTCGGAGGTGCTCTTGGATTCCTCCAGAGCCTAAAAATAGTGGCGAGGTTGAGGAGGCCCGTGCAAAATGGTTTTCTTATGAAAACTTTAAGGAGCTCATGTATAATAAGATCCATCCGCCCACTACGTCAAGTGGACCCCACTCTTCTTCTTCTTCTTCCTCCACTTAATAATCATAATTAATATTAATAATAATAGTATCTTCTTTTGTGAAAATGGTCAGATTTTTTGTTTTGTTTTTTTTTTTTTTTTTCATTTATAATATATATATCGTTTCTTTCTTTAAAAGTTAAATTCAAATTCAAATTCAAATTCAAATTGGAAAAGAATACCATTAATGGTATTCTTTTGTTTGGTACTAAACTTATATAAATTAAAAAAAAAAAAGGGTGGTCTTGCGCCCACTATATATAAATATATATATAAAAAAAAAATTTTACTTATTGATGATAATACAAACAAACGAACAAACTATCCATCACTACTGCATACCTTTAAAGGCTCCATTCTCAAGCTTGTCTTGAAAGTGCATCCAAGCAACCAAATCTCCATCTGAAAGCCCAGACCCACCTTTAGCACTAGCAGCAGCAGTAGTAACACCCCCTGTAGAAGACCCTCCACCAGGCACTGGAGTCCCAGGTGTACTTGTACCAACACCAGACCCACCCCCATATGTTCCAGCAGTAAGATTATTCACAGTGTTAAGACTCGCGGTTGACAGCGTCTTAAGCAAATTGCCATTACCACTACTACCAACATTACCAAATCCACTCCCCCCAGTAGTTCCACTACCAATACCACCAACTTTACCAGAAACACCCAATCCAGCAGCATCAATGCTCTCATTAATCGATTGCGTCACCCGCAAAACATTGCGTACAAGCTCACCTTGGCTCTCAAACTCTTGCTTCACAGCATTCGCTTTCACTTGTGTGTCCAAAATCTCACTGAACCCACTAATGATCCGCTCCAGGTTCGTCTCCTTAGTAGCCCCATCTCCTCCTCCTCCTCCTCCAGATGATGCAGCTCCAGTAGTAGAACTACTGCTTCCACCTCGTTGAGTCAAAAACCGAATGTCAATGGCCACCATTCGACCCAGAGTCACACAACTCAATACACGGATATCATGGTCATCCTCCAACCCTGCAAATGCACGGTCAGCAAACGTTTCATCACGTACAAGACTTGCCTGCCATTCATAAGGAAGTGCCGTAATCAACGTATACATCGCCTCATAAGCAGACTTACGAAGCTCTAAACCATCGTCAACCTCATGCTTGAATGGTCCCATTTGCACAATCCGCACAAGCGAACTGTCCTTATGAGTCTCCTTATATAGCAATGGCAGAAGCCGCGAAAGATGTGGCAGAAGCAGCAATGGCTTATTACGAATTGCAGACATTAGCGTACTCAAAGCAACCTGTCGAATTGACAAGTTCTCATCCTCCATCAAAACTAAAAAGTCCACAATCATAGGTCGCAGCAATCGGTCATATTGCTCGTGAGTTTGACCAAACGTGTACTTGACTGCAGAAACAACGCTTCGCCGAACTGACACTTTCGGAGACGCCAACTGACTCTTAAGTTCCGGCAAGTATTTATCCGGATCAATAATGGAAAGCCGTCCAATGCACTCAGCTACAATCGCCTTCTCCCCACCTTGTGCACGATCATCTTCAAACCCAATTGAAAAAAGGGTCTTCCAAATAGTATCCACATAAATAGCCTGAGGGAAATTAGAAATCTCTGCTGTCGCAACATTACTGCTACTTCCACCAACACCAGGTGAAGGAGACCCAGGAGTTGTTGCATCCTTCTTGTATTGTTCAGCAGATGTTTGTAAATATACAACAACACTCTTCAGAGATAGCAAATAAAAGTACTGCTTCCCCTGCTCCTTGACATTAACCAGATGCTGCAGTAATTCATCCAAATATTTGCTTAACCCACCAATTGTAACCTTCCCCACAGTGCTTGCAACACTTGTCCGCAAAGCTTCATTATTAAGCAAACTGTAAATAGAATCAAGACAAATATCCAGCTCCTTGTGACGTCCAACATATCCCAAAACTTGCAGTGCCTTTTCCGTTGTAGCAATATCGGGTGACGCAAGAGCAGCTTGCTGTTCAATCTCTCCTGAAAATTGTGCAATCTCGCTGTCAAGCCCACAGTTGACAATTGTAAGCCCAATAACTGAAGAAACCAAGCTGCCACTGCCGCTGGAAAGACCCTTGTAAAATCCAGCAACCTTATCAGAAGGAAGACTGCGAGTGTACTTGTCAAACAGAGCTAAGAGTGCACTTTCAATCGAAGCACTCTCAGTGCTGCTAAAAAGACGAGTTGAAACTTCAACAATACTTGAAAGAAGACTAGGTCCAAGCAAAACAAGCCCATCAAAACTTTCAGCAAACAATCGAATCTCAGAACTAAGTTGGAATTCCAAATCACTAATTGATGACTCTTGGGCACCAATAGTAGCAAATTGCCCAACGCTTTCAATTTCACTCTTAACCTTGTTTTCTAAAGTAGTGGTCTTCTTCAGTTCATCAATAGATGTAAATACTTTATCAAGTAGCGCATGAATGAACTTGCCAAACTCACTAACCTCCTCTTCCTTTGCTTCCTTGTTAAGAATGCGTAGAGAAACTAATTGTGACAAAAGACGCATGTCATGAAGAGACTCAGAACGAATCAAAAAAAGACTTTGCCGAAGAAAAACAATAATTTGGTTTAAAGTCTTTGCCGCCCATTGCGTGCTCAAATGAGTGATATTGGGAAGCCAAAAGGCCAGAGGGACACTGGCTGCAATAGGGTTGCTTCCACTGGTCTCAACACTTGTAAATGTCTTTATCGCATTCAATGCTTCGTAACGAAGAAGCTCGTTATCCAACTGGCTGCTAATTGCATTGACTGCTGCTGTAACTTGCTCCGAAGTCGAAGGAACTCTTTGCAAAAGAACGGCCAAAGCTTTAATGGCCTTCTTGCGAATATCAATATCAAACGAGTTTCCACCGACCTTGGTTATCAAAGCAACTTGAAGTTGTGAAGTGTCAATAGTTGGAAGCTGTCCACCGCCGTTGTTACCATTGTTGCTCCCACTATTATTGTTACCACTGCGAGATGAACTGGGAATATAATGAGGGAAAAGACACAAAACTGTATCCAAAGCTTCACCAGAAATACGATAATACGAGTCCGAAATGCCATTTACAATAATTTCAACAAGCTTCTGAAGAAGAGTATCCAAATTGGAAGTATTGTTGCGTGTCAAAATAGACCCCACAATTTGCAAAACATCACTCATATAGGGAGAACCACGAATAGAAGCAACAGCTGTAATGGCATTTATAGTTAAACTAAGATCCTTGACAGAAAAACGAACCACATCGTTGAGAGATTTGATAGTGGCAAGCAGACTGTGCTTGACATTTTTGCTAGAATCCTTATTGTTAAGTAGTTCAATGAAATTCTTAATGATGACTGGGAGAGAATCACCCAAAAGAGTTTGCGGGTCAGTTGTGTAGCTAACGTTAGCATCAGAAGACTTGCGTTTATTATTAAAGGTCTGGCGTGTGGCGTAAAAATATCTATCACTAGATGCTGCCTCCACAAGAATAGAAAATGTTTCTAGGGATGTGACCTTCACGGAATCCTCACGCTCCTTAATACACGAAACGACGATAGGCTTAAACGTTTCAGAGTAAATTGACGACAACGACATGGGTGCAGCGTTTACCAAGCCACCAATAATTTTTGCAGAAAGACGGCGCAGTTTCCATGTCTGGTCGTCGTCATCATCAGAAAATCCGTTATCTTCATCAAAGTCATCGTCATCATCTCCTTCTTCTTCCTCCTCTTCATCATCCTCCTCATCCATATCAACGTCATCAGTAGTGCCATTGGAAGCAAAAATAGACTCTTCCTCAGTCTGTTCTTCGTCGTCACCAACAAAGTTTGGATCAAAACGCAAGAACGCTTTAGCCACGGCAATGAACTGCTCCAAAAATGAAGTTATAGTTTGAGAGTCAAACTCTGATATAATTGTTTCTAGAGCTGTAAGTGAGGCCTCGCGTACCTCAGCAAGGTCGACGCTCTCATTGGCATACTCATCTTCTAATAGCTCAATGTGAAGGGTGGAAATGAGTTGTGGCACAATTTCATTAAGGTACTGTTTGGCCTTAGAAGAGTCGGCTTTGATGACAGTGCTGGCCAAAATAATGATATTTTTAGTGCTTTGTATGGGGAGACCTGAGCCAGCAGCGGGGAAATTCTTTGTGATAAATGCCAAAAGGTTGACGTATGCGTCGCCTTGAAGGTAACGAGTAAGTTTACCAAGAGCAATAATGGCACGCTTTTGAATTAAACCAGTTTGATTTTGAAGAATTTCAATAAGGCCAGCCTCTGTCTTATTAACTTGGTCATCCGTAAACGAAGAGCCAAAGCGTTCAATTAACGAAATTAGAATGTCAATGTCATCAACAGAACGGTACTTTTGAATGACATCAAGCAAATATGGCAACAATATCAGAACCAAGCTAGGGCCAGATGAATTATCTGAAACATTGATGACAACGGTACGAAGTGCTGTAGAAAAAATTGAGTAATCCTCCTTTTCATTTCGAGCTGTGGCTCTAGAGTCAAGAAGCTTCTCTGGCTTTATAAGAGGCTGGATAGCATAAGTGATCAAATGCGGAGTGTTAAGATTTGAAACAAGAATAGGAATGCTAATTGAGTTAAAAAAAAATTGAATTTATAAACGTGTTTAAGTCATCGTACCATTTGACGGCTTCATTCTGAACCTCTGAAATGTTGTCAGCCAGTCGCTGAAGCACCTTAGTGACTACATGAACAATGCTCACGTCGAGTTTGATGGCCTTAAGATTTTCTGGGTGACTAAGTAAAGTCTGAAGATCTTTCAAGGCCATAAACCGAATATCGGAATCGATATTGTTGAATTTTTCTAGTAAATCTGCTAATTGTTGAATCATTGCGTGTTAAGAAAAAAATATGAAAAAAAAAAGTGGTGGCGAGACAATGTTTGTACCACAAATGGCTTTTAAAAAAAAATAATAATAATAATAATAATAACATTAAAGTAAATTAGTTTAACATAAACTAAGAATTTAGAGCACAAAAAAAATTAAATTTGAATGGGAAATAAAATCCCAGGTTTTGGACTATACGTAAAAAAAAAAAAAAAACAATAACCTGGAGAGTTTTAGTTCATGTCGCCATAAATTCCAACAGTAACAATTAAAAATGCTGCACTGGTGACGCCTGTGGCAATCCGGCCGTACTTGACAAGCTTTTGAACGAGAGGAGAAACATCTTCGGTGCTGAATGAAGCTGGTGCGGTTTCGGGAGAAGCAGCAGACTTCTTTTCAGGCTCAGGAGTCGCCTCGTCTTCGGAAGACTCAAGATCGGATTTAGAGATGTTGTTGTAAATTGAATTGTCAAGAGAAGAGTGCTCCTCCTCAGAGGGAGTAGCCTGTGCTGGCTCCTCAGCAGGGGCTTCAGAAGCCGGAGCCGGAGCTGGGGACTTGGTAAGTATCGACGCCAGCGACGAGTAAACGGGCAGACCCTTAAAGTAGCCAACAGCATATGTTATTGGGATGGCCAAAGCCGAGTACAAAAGGTAAGGATGTCTTCCTGCGGGGCCGGCAGCAAGGAAAGAAATAGTAAGGGAGCCAAAGGCTGCAATGGAAAGAGGTTTTACAATTGCAGCAGTCTTGGTAGTCAAGGCTTTGAGGTACTCGCCAGCATCTAATAAAAATAAATTGTTAGAAGAATATTGGGGGGAAAAAAAAAGTAAAGAATTCTTTAAATTAAAATACCCTTTGGCGATGTGAGTAAAAGCAATGGAAGCGATACGTTTGTCGAGGTGGCGAGAGTGCCGGCAAGTGCACCAAGAGAAACAGTGCCGACGATTTTGGAAAGAATCAAAGTATGGCTAACCATTTTAAATAATGGGAAAACAGATCAAAAATGAGATTTTTTAGAAATAGAAAAATAATGGTAGATAATGAATCGGGAGGTTTTTTTTTTGTTTATAAAGAAAAAAAAAACAAATTTTGGTTGGGGAAGACTTATTATCTCTAAACTAAATATTATTTTAAAAAAAAAAGGCAGTGGTGATTGCAATGATGGCGATGGTGAGCACATATAATAATAGACTTATGTTTGCTAAATAGGTATCATATGCTAACGATGGCGATTCTTGTGATTCCCAAGCTGATAGCCCAGTTATCTTTCGTCACTCTGAATAGCAAGTTGGGCTGTTGCGCGTGCAAAGTTGCTTAAACTCAATAAAGTTTTTGCAATCCGAAAGCCGGCCTATGAAGGAGTCAAGATTAGTAATTGTAACATACTTGCAACTGATAATGTAACACAAATTACAATCTACAAGCCTGGGGAATTCAAGTTTAAACATTGTATACATATATATATATATATATATATATATATATATATGCAGATAACACTTGTTGTTAAAAGTTGGTTTGTTATCCGAAAAAATAAAAACATTTAACTGAGCACATAGTTTCAGAGGGCAAGAAGTACAAGAAGGAAGATTACAAAGGGGCAATGTGCATTGTTGGGAAGAACAGGGTCGAGTTCTACTCACCCTCTCAAATACACTTTCAATAAGAACAAAATTAAAAAGGAAACTTGTGGGGAAAAGCGCGGGGAGCTCAAAAATGTCCTCGTCAATAAGACCATTGAGTGGAATGACACTAACTAAACTGCTCAGACCGAGAACTTTGAGGAGAAGCAGAGATGACTTGAGGGTGTTTTTGATTTCATTTTAACTGCTTTTATATCAAGGTGTTCGTTCGAACAGTAGCTGTATTGGCGATATTCCCGTTTACTAATTTTTTTTTTTTCGTTTCAAACTCGCTTATCAAATTAGTGTAACTTATTTATAGTAGAAATTAGGCATTAGGCAAAAAAAAATGTTAAACAAGCTCTGAAGACTAGCCCTGGGATTACTTCTATTATAATATATTTTATATTTCAAAATATGGCTTTCATTAGTTTTATGTACTTAATCTATGTAGTTCTTATATACCTAGATAGAAATGGTTCATTAAATGCATTATTTTTTTTCCCTTAAAACAAAAGTCAAATACCCTTAGTTAAGATATGCCATTGCTTTTCAATATCATGAACAAGGCGCCAAAAATCCGGCTCATTAATAATTTGGCGAATGCGTTGTTGTATTTGTAGGCTGGGTCTTTGTACAAGCTCAGTACGGCTGGAAAGAACTGAGTGAATCAAAGAGGAGATAGGAGGGGTCTGAGATAACGGGTATGCCGAGTCATCACGTACAGTGATACTATTTTGAGCACTAGACGAATGCGATGACTGTGGAGAAGCTGCTGTCTTAATCTGTGCAGGTGATTGGACGGTCGAAAGAGGTGCAACCACGGCTGAAGCTTGAGCTGAAAAAGAATTAGAAACAGAAGACGACGTTCGATCAGAGATTGAAAGTGAATGAGGAGCAGGGGCTGAAGGTACAGAGGTGACAAATACTGGTTCAACAGCTGGAACTAAACTAGGTGCCGTAGAAACAATAGAAGCCGGAACATTGTTAAGACCTGGAGTTAAATTAGAATTGGTAGTTTGATTTGACTCTTGAACTGGTACAAGAGAATAAATAGATCCTCCAATTACAATCTGATTTCGTTGAGCAGTCTGCAGCTGTTGTGTTGTTGAAGGTTCCTCTCCTAAAACATTAGAAAGCCCTGGAGAATCTGATGAAGACCCTCTTACCATCACTTGGTGCAATTGCGAATCTTCCAAAGAGACACTAGCTTCTGTCACAGTTGTAGGCTGACTGTATTTTTGACTTCCATATCCAACATCTTGCGCCAAAACACTAACCACGGAAGATGGTGGCGCTTTTGGTTCGTCTAATGAATCCTGCAATTGTGGGGTAACCTGAGGTAGGGGACCTGATTGTGAGTGCGGAGTAATCAAACCAGACTGAGGTAAAATTGAATCGTAAGTTGGTGTTTGAGTTTGATAAAAAAGTGCGTCATTAAAAGTAGCACACCGTGGGCGAGGTGGAACAGATTCAAAGACACCTACATTTGGAGATATTTTGTCAGTGGTAGACCTAGGATTGCTGGTTAACGGTGTTTGCTGTTGGAATTTTGTTAAAGCATTTATGCTTGAGGGTTTGGTAGGGACCTCAGCAGAAGGCTCTGACGAGGGTTCCGAAGACTTTTTTGACTGTAACATTGTCAAAGGACAATTTAATTTTTGAAGTAAATTTATAGCTCGATAATATTGTGAAGAATCTTCTAAACGGACTTGAAATCTAAATGTCTTGGTAACGGTTAGGTTAGGATCATTAGTAGTTTTTTTTACTTACCATTAACTCAGAATTTTGCTCTACCAGATATCGAAACCCCATTACAGGGTCTCGCGCAATACAGGCAAAAACATTATTTCCGGCATTTAAAATATGTGAAAATACTGAATAAAGAAGTGGGAGAGAAACATTTTCCTAAAAGTCAATGTTAGTAAAACAGTTCTGTTTTATGGTGCTTAATAGAGAATAGCTTGTCAAACCATGATTGTAGGGTTACGGCTGTAGCCTTTAGTAATGACAATTTTGACGGTAGGTAAGTGCCCAGAAGGTAAACCAACTTCTGGATCTACACGGTAAATTCGCAGCATCATCCCAGTGTCTATGCGGTGGCTCCATTCAAATGGATCAACAGGTTGAGCCGAAAGACCCTCAGGTGTTGGCCGTTTGTCATGAGTGAAGGAATACTTGAGCACTTTAAACTTGCCAAAGCACCGACCATTCAGATCCGACAGTGGTGGAGAAGATGGTGGTGGTTGAGAAGAGGATTGAGACAAATGATAAGGTGATGAAGTGTTTGAGTGCTTCAAACTGCTAATGTTAGATACTGCTGGCATGCTGTTAGACTTTGAAGATATTATATATTTATAGTCGAGATGGTAAATTTATATTTTTTTTTACTGCGATTTTAATTGTTCAATTAAATTCTTTACCAGCCTTGCTAATTATCAAATCATGTGTATATTTGAGAACGAGTCAGACCCCGGACTGCAGTTAAGCGGTGCCACTTTTTAAAAACGGCGGGTGTGGCTTGAAACACTCATATACGCCACAACACGTGACATTTTGCAATCAGCGGCGGGTGTGGCTTCATCACTAGCCACTCATTTCGGAACTACCGCTCAATATTGAAAATTTTTTATTCGTCCTTTTTTTTATATAAACAATCCTTGATCCTCCTCCTTTTTCTTGACTTTTTTTTTTTTTTTTATACAATCTACTTTTTTTTGCTAAGTATCTATAGCATTATATAATTCCAGTCATGTCTGAGGTCCAGATTTACGACGCGCCTTTCCCCGTTCCAGGCACTCTTGAGGCCAGCTCGGATTCGTACTCCACCCACCAGATTGAGGTCCAGAAGGCCGCCTATGCCCTCTCCTCATCCATTTTTTCATACTCTCCAGAGTCCTTCAACCTTGATACCGCTATCAACAAATGGATCGGTCTCTCTCAGCACAACTCCCACGGCACTGTCCCTGCTCTCACTCAGCTTGAAACTCGTTCTGGTGCTGCTTCAGTTCTTCTTGGATACCAGGGTGCTGCGGCTGGTATCAGCAAGGGTCCCATCTCAGTTCTTGCTACTTCGGCCACTCTCACTGCCATGAGCCCAGTTCTCTCTCAGCACATCAATGCCGCCACTTCTTCATCTCCTCTTGCCTTCAACGTGGCTGCTCTTGATTACGACAATGAAGCTGGTTCTCTTGTTACCGATTATGTATCTGCTCTTGAGACCGCTCGCAACTTGGGTTTGGGTCTTGTTGCTTCTCACTCCATCTCTGAAGCTCAAGCCATTTCTATTCTCGCTTCTGCTCTTTCTTCTATTGTTCCCACAGCTCATGTCTACGGTGGAATTAGAGCCATTCGTGAATCTAACAAGAGCGGTGAGTCTCTCTCTGCTGAAGAAATTTCTGCCACATACAAGGCTCTTGTTTCTGTTGCCAACTCTGATTCTCTCAACTCTTCCGCATCAGCTCTTTTTGATACTCTTAACGCCAGACTCGGCACTTCTTTCCAACCTTTTGAGTACACTGGTGCCTCTCTCCCAGGCACTGTTGTGGTGACTTTTGGTTCTACTGAGAGCACTCTTACCAAACAAATTGTCAAGACCCTTGTTCAGGATGGCAGCTCCATTGGTGTTATTAATGTTAGACTTTACAGCCCGTTCTTGGACTCTGAGTTCTTCAAGGTTCTTCCTACTTCCACCAAGAAGATCATTGTTCTTGGACAGGTTGCCAACGAGTCTGTTGTTACTGACTCTGTTGCCCACTCTCAACTTTACCGTGATGTTGCCACTGCTGTTTCTCTCAAGTTTGGCTTTGCCGTTGCTTCTCCCGTTGTTTATGACCATAAATATTCTAGAAACCACATCTGGTCCCAGCAGGAGATCTACGACCTCTTTGGTTCATCTGTCACTTTGACTGCCCGTGCCGACATCAAGGAGACTGTCTTTTGGGATGTTGATGATTCTTCCATCATTGACACTCCTGGCCGTCTTGCTCACACCATCTCTCTTGATGGCTCCAGCACTGTCAGCCACTTTTCTAAGTATGACAATGAAGCTCAGGGTGGTGTTATTGAAACCCAACTTCGTGTTTCTTCTTCTTCTTTCAACTCTCCTTATCCTGTTGAGCAAGCTGATCTTGTTGTTGTCAACAATCTCGCCATTACCAAGAGCTTCAACGTTCTTGGTAATGTCAAGCAGGGTGTTAAGGTCATCATTTCCTCCAAGAATAATGTCGAGGAAATTTCCAAGGCTGTGAGCTCAAACTTTAAGCGTGCTGCAATTGCCAAGGAGATTTCTCTTTACGCCATTGACTTTGAAGCCATTGGTGACGAGGCTGAGACACAGGGCCGCACCCACAGCATGGTCAACCAGATTGCCTTCTGGAAGACATTCTCTCCTGAGCTTACCATCAATCAAATCACCACAAAGATTGTTACTGCCAACGGTGTTGACACTGAGCTTGTCGCTGCAACTGTCGCTCGTCTTGTTGAAAAAGTTTTGGAAACTGCCTTTTCTACTGTTGAAATCCCCAAGGAATGGGCTGAGGAAGAGATCAAGGAGGAGGAGCAATTGCTTCCTTCTTCCATCACCTCCATCAGCTTCATCAAAAATGGCGACAAGCCTTCTGAGGAGTCTGAGGCTGCTGCTGCTGCCATTGTTTCTCACGAGTCATGGGTTGAAGCCGCAAAGCAACTCACTTTCCCCGAGGCTTTCTCTTCCTCTAACCAGCTACGTCCTGATCTGCCAGTGCAAAACTTTATTGCCAAGGTTAAGGAGAATAGACGTGTTACTCCTGAGGGTTACGAGCGTCACATTTTCCACTTTGAGCTTGATATTTCTGGTACTGGTCTCAAGTATGCCATTGGTGAGGCTTTGGGTGTTCATGCTCGCAATGATGCCAGCCAAGTTCGTCACTTTTTGAACCTCTATGGCATCAGCCCCTCTTCCATTGTTTCTGTTCCTTCTAAAGATGATGTTAACATTTTGGAAACAAGAACTGCTTTCCAGGCTTTCCGTGACAACCTTGATCTTTTCGGCAAACCCCCAAAGAAGTTTTACGAGAGTCTTGCACCCTTTGCTACTGACAAGGCTGAGCGTGAGCACCTAGAGAAGCTTGCCAGTGCCGCTGGCGCTGAGGAGCTGAAGCGCCGTGCCGAGGTTGACTTTGACACTTTTGCTGACATTTTGGAAGAGTTTAAGTCTGCTCGCCCATCGCTTGCTCAGCTAGCTACAATCATTTCACCGCTCAAGCGTCGTGAATACTCCATTGCATCGTCACAACACATGCACCCCAATGAGGTTCATTTGCTTATTGTTGTTGTTGACTGGGAGGATTCCAAGGGCCGCAAGCGTTACGGCCAGTGCTCGCGTTATTTGTCGCGTCTCCCTGTTGGAACCGAGCTTGTTGTTTCCGTCAAGCCTTCGGTCATGAAGCTTCCTCCTACTCCCCAACAGCCAATCATCATGTCTGGTCTTGGTACTGGTCTTGCTCCCTTCAAGGCTCTCATCGAGGAGAAGGTCTGGCAAAAGGCTCAGGGCCAGGAGATTGGCGAAATCTATCTTTACTTGGGTTCTCGTCACCAGCGCGAAGAGTACTTGTATGGTGAGATTTGGGAGGCTTACAAGGATGCCGGTATTATTACCCACATTGGTGCAGCCTTCTCGCGTGACCAGCCCCAAAAGATTTACATTCAGGATCGTATTCGCGAGAGCTTGGATGATCTTGTGGAGGCCTTTGTTGACAAGAAGGGTTACTTTTATCTCTGTGGTCCTACTTGGCCCGTCCCCGATATTACTGCCTGCTTGTCTGACATTCTCGAGAAGGATGCTTTTAAGAAGGGTCTCAAGATTGATGTTGATAAGGAGATTGAAGAGCTTAAGGAGTGTGGTAGATATGTCTTGGAAGTCTATTAAAAAGTATAAATATATAAAGACAGTTTTTCTTTTTTTTTTAATTTTTTTTTTTTCAGTTTAGAGATAAAATAGAGTTTTTTTTTTTCAGCAATGTTGCTATTAATCTTTTAGGTTAATGAAATTGATGAATATCACTAAAGTTATTCAATTATTGTAAACTTTGTTGATGTTGAATTGAGTTGAAGCTTTTTGAAAATGCCATGATAGTGCTTGTTACGTAAGGATGTGGTCAGATTTGGCAGGCGCAGAACAGGTACCGACACGGCAGCGGCGGCACCACCACCACTACTACTATTACTACGACGGAGCTTCGAGATTGAAAGTAAACCAAGCCATAGCACCTGTTGTAAACACTGAGAACTGTAGCAATACGAGTTTCAAAGTGCTGAGTGGGAAGTTTTCAATTTCAATTTCAATTTCAATTTCAATTTCAATTTCATTTTTTTTTTTTTTTTTTTTGCAGTGACCGACAGCAAGTGTCTCTGTTTTTGCTTGTTGTTTTTTAATAGCCAATAACCTTGTGTACCCATCCGCAATAGAATTAGTGTTAGTATTAGTATGTGGTATGTGTTGTAGCTACAATTATTTAATATATCTATATAGAGCTCATATGGTAACTTTACAGTAGCTGCCATATAAAATTATTATATATATACTGCTACCAGTTTTTTTTTTTTTTTTTTTTGTGTTGCGCGGTCGCCCGCCCAATAAAAATTTTCCCGTAAACCGCCCTTTTTGTCTTCTCCACCATTCGATCAGATCGCCAGAAGAAACCTCCTTTTCTCAACCTTCAACCTTCACCATCCTCCCTTTCAATGGCAACTCTAGAAGACCTGATCCCACTCGTCAACAAGCTTCAGGACCTTGTTTTTAATACGATTGGTACCGACACACTCGACCTTCCACAGGTTGTTGTAGTCGGTTCCCAGTCTAGCGGCAAATCCTCGGTCTTGGAAAACATTGGTATGCTTGCTTTTTTGAAGCAATAACAACAACAACAATAATAGTAATAACAATATAACTAACAGAACACACACACGCGTGCTCACGCACGCGGAAATTTCTTTCATCTAGTTGGCAGAGACTTTTTGCCTCGTGGTACCGGCATTGTGACTCGCCGACCGCTCATTCTTCAACTTGTTAATATTCCCTCCAACGCCACTAACCCTCAGCAGTCATCTTCGAATGGACCTAACTACGACTCAGGCTTGTCCTCATCGTCTTTTGAGATTGGCGCCGGTCTCAGTGGCTCGTTCACAGATCTCTCAAACCCACAGGGCAACTCAAATGCTGGTGCTGCTCCAATCACTCCTCATACACGCACTGGTCCTGCCGGCAAGTTTGATGAATGGGGCGAATTCCTACATATTCCTGGTCAGCGCTTTTATGACTTCAATCAGATCCGTCGCGAAATTGAGCAGGAAACTGCTCGCATTGCCGGTAATAACAAGGGCATCAATAGACTTCCCATCAACCTCAAAATTTTTTCTCCTCATGTTTTGAATCTGACGCTAGTTGATCTTCCCGGCTTGACCAAAATCCCCATTGGCGACCAACCCACCGATATTGAGCGTCAAACCCGCAATCTTATTCTGGAATATATTGCCAAACCCAACTCTATCATTTTGGCCGTTTCCCCAGCTAATGTGGATCTTGTCAACTCAGAATCCCTTAAGCTTGCTCGCCAGGTCGACCCCCAGGGAAAGCGTACTATTGGTATTTTGACCAAGCTCGATCTTATGGACCATGGCACAAACGCTTTGGACATTCTTTCCGGCAATGTGTACCCGCTTAAACTAGGATTTATTGGTGTTGTGAATCGCTCTCAGCAGGATATCCATGCCAACAAATCACTTGCTGACGCTCTTGTTGCCGAACGTGAATTTTTCAGCACTCACCCAGTCTACCGCAATATTGCACACCGCTGCGGCACTGCCTATTTGGCCAAGTCGCTCAACCAAACTCTCATGTCTCACATTCGTGAGCGTCTCCCTGATATCAAAGCTCGTCTCAACACTCTTATGGGTCAGACAGAGCAGGAACTTGCCTCTTATGGTGATGCAACTGTTTTTACGAGCCCCGAAAACCGTGGAGCACTTCTCTTGACACTTATGACTAAGTTTGCTACTTCTTTTGTGTCCTCTATTGAAGGTACTTCTTCTGAGATTTCTACAAAGGAGCTCTGCGGTGGTGCTCGCATTTACTATATTTACAATGAGGTCTTTGGTAACTCACTCACAACTTTGGACCCCACTACTAACCTGTCTATGCGCGATATCCGCACTGCTATCCGCAACAGTACTGGTCCTCGGCCTTCGCTGTTTGTTCCCGAGCTGGCATTCGACTTACTTGTCAAGCCCCAAATCAAGCTTCTTGAACCACCTTCTCAACGCTGTGTTGAGCTCGTTTATGAAGAGCTTATGAAAATTTGCCACAACTGTGGCTCACCAGAGCTTTCGCGGTACCCCAAGCTTCAGGGCAAGCTGATTGAGGTCATTTCGGATCTTCTTCGCGAGCGCCTCGGCCCCTCATCTTCTTACGTGTCCAGCTTGATTTCTATTCAACGTGCATACATCAACACCAACCACCCCAACTTTTTGGGTCCGGCTCAGGCTATGCAGGAAGTCATTGAGGAGCGCAAGGAAAAGGAGCGTCAGTTTAAGGAAATAAAGGCTCTTGAAGAAAGACGTCTTCTCAAGGAGCAGGAGGAAAATGAAGCTGCCGATATTGCTGCTCGCGAGGCCGAAGCCGACGCTAAGGATGGTAAAGACCGCAAGGATAATAAGAAGAAGCAGGAGAAGGACCAGCTGCATCAGAGTCAACAGACTCACCACAAACAACCTTCTGTTTCACGACTGGACCTTAATGGCAGCAGTTCCCATGGGTTGTTGTCCACTTCTAATGATGCATCGGGTGACCATGCTGGCAAGGATTCTTTCCTCAACTACTTCTTTGGCAAAGAGAATGCTTCTGGAAATCGTGGTTCCAGTGGTGTTAAGAATAAGGGCTATGGCATTTCTTCCTCATATGGCACTGGCAACTCGTCAGCATATTCTGGAAATCTGTCAAGTGGCTCGTCGCGCACTCTTGTCAATGGCAACTTCCCTGGTTCCGGCAGCTCGTTTGACAATATGAGTGCAGAATTTGAAGATTCTCTGACTGATGGGGATGATCCATTCTCAGAGCGTGAGCTGCTTGAGTGCGAGCTGATACGTCGTCTCATAATTTCATACTTTTCTATTGTCCGTGAGTCGATCCAAGATCAGGTGCCTAAGGCCGTTATGCATCTTCTTGTCAATTACAGCAAGGAAAGTGCCCAAAACAGACTTGTCAGCAAGCTTTACAAGGAGAGCCTGTTCGAGGAGCTGTTGCATGAAGATGAAGCTCTTGCTCAAGAGCGTACAAAGTGTGAGAATCTACTCAAGACCTACAAGGAGGCAGCCAAAATTATTGGCGAAGTTGTTTAATGTACAATTTAAATCAATTACAAAATGTCAGTATTTTTATAAAAATTCCATGAAATAAAAAAGAAATAAAAAAGAAATAAAAATAAAAATAAAAATAAAGAAATAAAAAGAAATAAAAATTAAATAACGAGAAAAAAAATAGTATGAAATGAAATTCAATTGAATTTACAAAGTATATATAAAAAAAAGTATATTAAGCTATGAAAGGTAAATGAAAATTACAAATTTCCTAAAATTATGTTAGAAGATACTCCAATTGAAAAATAAAAATATAATGCAAAAGCAAGTGTTAATTTTTCAATGTCAGGCTACCAATTCTCAACACATGGTGATTAAGCCAGGGATAACTGTTTAAAAAAATTGTTCATCATTAAGAAAAAAATAACAACACTTGCTAAAACATTCTAATTAAACGATTTTGTTCTTACCTTTTCGCTTGTCTACTGAAAAAAAGGAAAGAAAAGAAAAGGATATATGTGGGAAATTCGGCGTATTTATATTCTTTTGAAAATTTTTTTTTTTCAAACAGTCCCAGAACTACTCCAGACCATATACTTCAGTTAGGGTTATAATATCATGTGATTAAAATTTAACCTCCTATCAAACTAGCACGAGCGCGACGCGTTTAACTATTCCCACTTTATACACAAATTATTAAAACACACAAACCAAAAACATCAAGCAAAAGCCTGTAAATGCCTCTTAGGTCTCCCGAGCGCAAACAGCGGCAGACTGCACCTCTTCGCCGGCGACTCCAGGCTGCGGTCTACTATGACCCATATCTTTCGTCTTCTTCGGCCACAGAGCATGCGGGCGGCGGCACATTACCCGATCCACGCGAACGACCTCGCTCAGCGCGGCTCCCTCATGACCAAGACGATGTTGCACTTGAAACTGCGCGTGAACGAAGCTCTTTGTCATTAACATCATCATCTGTACCACCTAAACCACTCTTGGGACCTGAAGTGGGGCCTTCGCCTGCGTTCAGACGCACTAGGCGTAAGCATCAACAACATCAACAGCAGCAACCTCTAAACCATCAAAAGGAAACTGAAAATCACATTCAAAATGACCAATATCCTCATCATGAACATATGAAAACCTATCCAAGCATTACTTTAAATGAAAAAGGTACGTTATTTTTTTTTATATTTTATACATTAAAATTAGATTGCTTACATACCAGATTTTGAAATTTTGGAAATCATTGCGGCCATGGCTGATGAAGCGACAGCCAACATGGCTCCACCGCCTTCTGAATCTCTCAGTTTTTCTCATCTTTATGGAGCCTTTGAAGCTTTCATGATTGCAAATAGATTGACACCTCAAACATATCCTACCTACCATACCATCTTTATGGCTCTGCTTCATCTATCATCCCTTCTTACAGATCCCGCTGGTTCAAAGCTTCTTACTTGGCGTGAATGTGTATCTCTGCTAGTTCGCGCACAAAGTGACAAGGAACTGTTTCGAGCCAAAATGCAAAGTCTACGCGACAAACTTACAGCATTTGAAGATGATATGCGTGAACGATTTTTATCACTGTGGTATTTTTCCTGCTGTACTCTTACACATCGTCGTGCACATCTCACATCTATGGCCGACGCGCGTCGCGAAAAATCACTACCACAAAGTGTACTTCATCGTTGGATTGTGAAACATCACACGCTTGCACAAAACATGCAAAGAGCTGAAGCAGGAGGCACGTTTCTTGCACGCACCCAAGCTATGGAGCGCTGGCGCACCCAACTTGGACGTATTGAAAAAAATGAAAATTTTGTTAATGGATTAATTTGCAAGAAATATTTTCGGATATGGGTAGAAAAGACAGCCATAACAATGAACCAATCGCTTGAGGCCGATGACCTTTACGAAAACACTCTTGTTTTTAAATCGTTTAATGACTGGCGTCAAAAAACAGCGGAGACTATGGCAACTACATCTTATAATCAAAAAATTGCGACTGAAGTGTTGGATTTTTGGAAAACTAGAACAGCTAATGTGATTCAAAAGGAAGAAAGTGTGATGCGAAGAAATAATACCGAGCTTGCACATGCGGCTTTAGGCGGGCTAATTGCAGAGCTACAACTTATCCAAACATATCCAGAACAAGCTGATGACTTTTACACAAATACTCTTGCACGAAGATATTTAAAAACGTGGATGCGCGCTTTGATTTTTAAGCGCAAATTGTACGATCTAAAAAACTCTCAAGAAATACGAACAAAAAGGGCCATTCTGCGAAATTGGAACCGTCTTGCACTTGAATCTTGTGAAGCACGTAACTTCAGTATCAGTATGCCATGTCGGCGCATGCTCAAGACATGGCGCCTTAAGCTTGCTCTTGTCAAGGTGGTGCGTGCCAAAAATGTTGTGCTTGCTAAAAGTGCATTGAAAACTTGGAGACTTCGAGCTAAAGAATCCAGTCTTGTTTGCAAAAACGATATTAGGGTTGTATCACTTTTATTTTCTGAGTGGCGCAAATATACAAGTTATCGACCAAAAGTTTTGGATGACTGTGAAGCACAGTTTGAGAGTACACATCAATTAGCTCTCACTAAATCACTTTTTGGTGAATGGCGTGCAAGGGCAAGAAAAATTCCAAATGAAGAAACAGTTGCTATAGATTTCCATGATACCCGTATTGCCTTGCATGCGTTTGAAGGATTTTTTGCAAGATATGATGAAATTAAGAATAAGGAAGAACTAGCAGTAGCAATTGATATCCAAGCACTTAAAAACCAATCTATGGAACAGTGGAAACTAGCTTTTGTATTATCGCGTCGCCGCTATCGCGAAAAGCAGCTTAAGGAGATTTTGCGTACTCGTGAAGATCGATTCAAACGTTTATATTTAGCACGTTGGCTTAATCGAATAGAGAATTTCAACAAAAAGAAAATGATGGCAGATGAAATATTAGACATTAAAACTGAGATGTTGTCGAAAGAGTTATTTGTTCAATGGCTGGGCTGGAACCGCCGTAACTCAATTAATCTGGGTGTTGCAGAAAAAATTGATGAAGAATCAGCACTTTATTCTAGCTTCACAAAGTATCGATCTCGATATATTCGCAGTAAAGATCTTGTCATTAAAGGTGATGAGTTTCAACAGGATTCTACAGCACTGAGTTTGAATCAAATTTTCAAAGTTTGGAATATTCGTGTTACCAAGATTGGATTCAAAAAGCGTTCTGCTAGTGATTTTCTTGAGCGGAGTCAGGAAATGCATACGAAAGCCATATGGAAACATTGGAAACAGATTACTCAGGAGATTTATTTTCAAAAACTTCATAATAATGAAAATTTTGACAATGCAGAAAATGTTGTTCAATATCTTGGCTCACTTAAACTCAGCTCTGATGAGACTAATTCTTCTTCTTTAAAGCAATTGCCATCTTTCCCCCCCTCTGGACGTCTCCGGCGCCAATCAATTACTATTTCTGGCTCTAATAACAATTTATTTGCAAATATGCCTGTATTGCGTCCTGAAGCTACTTCTACTATTTCTTCTGTTACAGCCTATGATTCCTCTCCTACAGGAAGAGGTGGTGGTGGAGATATGACATCGCCCACGTTACGGGTTGCTGCTTCTGCTCGCAATCGAAGCAGTACCAAGGTAAATATTAGTGGTACAGATCAGGTTACGACACCCCCAGGGGCCGTGGGCACAGGTATAAGTACTACATACGCACTAGAAACACCCACAAGGTCGTCACGAATTCGACGACCAGTGCCAATGACATCAATTTCACGGTGGAAATTGTCGATGAAGAGACTAGGAGACACGGGGACTCCACAGGCTAGTCCAGTTCATGCTGCTAGCGTAAGTCGACTAACTAGGCCATTTACTCAAGTCACTTCAGGCGCAAACGCAAATGATGAACTTTTATCGTGATTTGACATGATTATGTGTATATTATTATTTTAGAAAAATAATAAAAAGAAGAAAAGTTTAATTGTGTGTTTTTATAATCTAATGCATTACCGAAATCTTTAAAAAAAAAAAACTATCGGTGTGTTTTTTTGTTTTTTGTTGAACTAGCTTCGAGTTGATAAAGAAATGATAGATTATTCCATGAGAATCATTTATTGTTTAATGTTAACGAGACTACTAAGTTGCATTAATTAGTTTGGTCATCTCTTTATTCATTTATTTCTATCAGAAGTGTTTATCCACAACTCAAAATTCAACTTGAGTTAAAAAAAAAATAAAAAATGAAAACATTAAAGAATCAATTAAACTCAAAATAAAACAAGAAGGTTTTTATTTATTTTTATTTTTTAATTAATTTACTCAATAATTGTCTTATCGAATATATAGATAGTTGTACCAAGATAATACAATAGAAAACTGGAAACTTACAAGTGTTAACTAGCCATAACTAACAATTATTGATTAACTCTGTACGGCTAGAAGATTTTTGAAAAAAAAAAAAAAATAATTGAAGTGGGATTCCTGGTTAAATTTCCTATAGATAGACAACCTTTGATATAACGATATTCTAGACTAACTATGAATCTAAGTTCTTGAGTTGAGTTAAGTAAGTGCACACAATTACAAAAATTAATAGTAAATGTAGCTGGAGAATATAGGTAAACTTCTAACACTAGTTAATGACTCTATAATTTGTTTTAAAGAGATGTCAAACTTTAAGTATGGTGAAAAATTCTATTAGACTTTAACAACATTTTAAAAAGCTCAGAATACTGGGATTTTCTTGTTACAATCCTTGCCTAGTACCATTGTGTAGACTGCTTACAGTAATGTCATGAAGTTGTTGTCTTGTCCATTATTACAATTTCCAAGCCATATAGGAATTTATCAATGGGTTTAGTGTAAAATGAGCCAAGTACAAGTATTTTATGAGAGGGTATTATGACAGAACAAGTTTTGATTGCATCTTCAGTTGGGGAGTAACTACAGAATTTAAATCAAGTGGTCGCCAAAGACATTTCTTCTGTTGCAGGGGGTTGACATTTGGTTTTTTTTTTCTAGATTTATGCCAAGTCTAGTTGGTAGTAAGACAATTGTTGCATCTGGACTATCAACTTATAAGTTACATAATTATGTACATTTTGCACACAAAATATTGAAGGCACATTGTTGTAATTTCTGGTACTTCTTCTGCATCAAGTCCTAAGGAAACTACGATTATTGGGGCCCAGTTTTACTGAAGTCAGTAGTTGTATTTATTCCAAAGCCACAGGTTAGTAGAGTTGGGCCAATTTCATCTTCATCACCATCTTCTTCCTATACTGCAGGTATATAATGATTTGTTAAACAATGACTGAGTACCAGTATTATAAGTAATAAGTAGTGGGAAGATGATTATAATGTTTAAGAAATATATATTTAAAATAAATAGTTTTTTTTAACACTGAAAGAAGTGTATTATCATTCTTATAAAGAATCAAAAAAAAAAAAAAAGTTTTGATATTGATATTTAAAAATGGTTAAGAAATGGTATATTTAAAAAAATAAAATAAAATAAAATAAAAGTAAATTGAGATTTTGTATTCAGGCTAAGCAATGTTTAGTTTGATACATTGCTACGGTTATAAACTTTACATCAGCTGCAATATTGGTTTAAAGCTGGCTAATTGTCTTGATATAAATTGTTTTATAAATAGCAGCGATTATGAATATAAAAAAAAAAATAGAAAAAAAAAAAAAAAAAAGAGAGAATAAGCAAAGAGGCTTAGATTGATAATTATTTATTTAATTTGTTTATTTTTAGTTATTTTTTCTGATTTAATTTATTCATTTAGGACCTTGTAAATTGGTACTTGAGTCAACGTGACTTGATTTTAAGTCAAAATTAGTTATGATGATGATGATGGTGATAATTGAATAGCGGTGGCAAAAAATAAAATAAAATAAAATAAAATAAAATATAAAAAAAAAGATTAAGAATAACAAAGAAATGCACCATGTGACTTGTTATTTATGACTTAATATTTAGATTTTAGCATTTATGATATGATTTTATTTTTTTGCGTAATATTACGTAATTATGGTCACATTTTTTGGGGGGGTTACACATGATTATCACTATGGTTACCCTTTGTACCAACCATCATAATTATTATTATTATCATTATGGTAACTTTTGTTACAAAAATTGCTAAAAAAAAATTGTCATGTCCACCACCGCCTCGAGGGATAGCATTTTTTTTTTTTTTTTTTTTTTTGACTGCCAATTCCTCTCCCCTCCCCTCCCCCCCTGTTTTTTCCCTAAATGAATAAAAAGCGCTGTAAAATATATATACATTCCAAAGCTACAACAACAAACAAACAAACAAACAAACAAACAAACAAATAACAACAACAACGTGCCGAGTACCGCGAGAAAAAATTGTAAGTCTCGAGGAGGAAAAATAAAGAAACAAAGGGGGAGGGTGGGGAAAAAGAAGATGAAGATGAAGATGAAGAATTTGGTTTTTTAATATTTTAAAACGCGTTATTTTTAATTCTTTTTTTTTTTAGTATATATATATATATATATATGGAAACAAATCTTCTGGGCAAGACTTAAAATTAACGCGTAAGTTACGCGCATTTTTTTTTTTCTTTGGCAGATAACAAAGAAGAAATCTTGAAAGCTTTTTTTTTAATTTTTTAATTTTTTAATTTTTTTTTTTTTGCTCTTTATATTTACTTTTATAAAACTTCTATTAATTGGCCAAAATCAAAATCGTAGCATATAAATAAATAAAAAAAATAAATAAATCAGCCCAGTTAAAAAAAAAAAAAAAAAAAAACAAAGCTTCGCCATTTAAAAAAAAAAATAAATAAATAAAAAAGTCTTTTGTTTAAAGTCCCCATCGAGGCTCAGATTTTCAAAAGGCTTTAAGAAATTTCTAGGCGTGCCTTTTTGTATGTTGTTATATTTATTTTATATATAAAAATAAAAAAATTTAATACCAATCAGCCTCGTACCCTATTAAAAACCTCCTCTTTTTCTCTATTTCTCTCTCTCGCCCTTCATTCTTTTTATCCCCTTTTGAAAATATAAATACTCCATAAAAAGTCCTTCTTTTTTATTTATTTATTTATTTTCTTTATTATTCATAACTAACTACACTCAATCTTTCCTTTTAATTTAAAAAAAAGAAACCAACAACCTATCAAACTCCACAATGGTCAGCTTCACAAAGGTCTTCGTCATCTCTTCATCTCTTGCCGTTTCCTCCGTCCAAGCACGGCCCCAGGATATTGGTGGTTTACTTGGCGGCATTTTCTCAGCTGCTGGTAGTGCCATCAACGGTGCTATTTCTGGCGGTGTTTCCGCTGTCGAAAATGGGTTTGGCGTCGCCCAAACTGCCGCTGAAAACGCAGTCAAGAGTGCAGAATCCGCCATTGCCGGCTACGAATCTCAGGCTGTAACATGGGGCTCCGGTGTTTCCACCGTTTTCCGAAGCTACATTAGCGAAGGTGACGCTGCTCTGTCGTCCGCCATTGCCAAGGCCTCTTCCATCTACGGTGACCGTACCTCCGTCGAGCCCTCAGTGCTTTCCGCGGTCCAGTCGGTTCTTTCTGATGGTGTCGCTAATGCTCAATCCAACATTTTACTTGCTGCTTCTGTTGCATCCAATGGTATCCAGTCAGGCATTAGTGACGCCAAGTCTTTGGCCACTGTCGCTGAATCTGCCGCAAAGTCGGGAATTAGCGCTGGTGTTTCAGATGTTCAGTCCGTTGCCTCTGCTGCAAAGTCTGCTGTTACTTCTGTTGAGTCCGCTGCTAAGTCTGCTGCTACCTCTGTTGAGTCTGCTGCCAAGTCTGCTGCCTCTTCTGTTAAGTCTGCTGCTTCTTCTGCCTCTGCTGCTTCTGCTTCTGCTTCTGCCTCTGCTTCTGCTTCTTCCACTTCTTCGGCCAATGCTGCCCCCATTGTCCTTGCTGGATCCTCCTTTGGTGCTCTTTTCGCTGCCATTGTCATGGCCATCTAAGTTTTTTTTTTAGATGAAAGTGTAAATCAGTGCTTCTTTTTCTTTTCTTGTTTATATATATAAAATTAGGATTTCTTTCCAGTGTATTTTTATCTACCATCTTAATGAATAATAATGAAATATCATCATCATCTTAAAAAAAAAAAAAAAAAAAAAGGTCTTGAATCCATTCTAGTAAATGAATGGGCAACTCCAATATATAGTCACGTGAAAAGTTTGGAAATTCTAATGATTTTATTGGTTGATATTATTATTGGATTTAAAGAAAAAAATATACTTTTTCACCTAAATATCAGGTGTGAAAATTGATTAGAATATTTTAAAAAATAAAAATAAATAAATAAAAGAAAAAAAAGAAAAAAAAAGAAAAAAAAGAAAAAAAAAAGAAGAAAAAGAAAAAAAAAGCAACTCCATTTATTTCCAAAAGATATCGTCATTTTTTTTTATATATACAGAAAAAGAAAAAACCCCTTATTTCTATTCTTTCTATACAAAATGTAAAAAAAAAATGTATATATATTTAATATAATGACGTCAAACCATCTTATTTTTTTCTTTTTTGCTACCAAAATTGTTGCGCGCAAACCTTCTATATATACATTTTTCTTCACTAATGTAGTATTAATATTAACTTGTTTCTTTTGTGGGGTCATTTGTTGCGCAACCCAACCATAATTGAAATTTGTCCCATCATTTTTTCGTAAAATATATTATTTTATTTTATTTTTAAATTTTTTTTTTACTGTTGTAGTAATAATTGTCAAAATTTTTTCTAGTTCTTATTATTTAGTTATTTAGATATGTAAACCCAAGTCTAACGGTATTTTTTTTTAAAAAAAAAAAAAAAAAAAACTATCTTCTAAAAGCCAAGCAATATGCCAAGTCTTGTTGTGTGCAATGCCCAAGAGTAACATTAATAATTATGATCATTTATTAATGAACATGAAATTTCAAAAGTCTCAAATGTGAAATTTCATCTTTCATGTTAAAACATTTAATTAAAGGGGGATAAAAAAAGGCAATTTTTTTTATAAAAATTTCAATTCAAAAAACATATATATAAAAACTGCAGAAAAAAAATTACAAAGACAAATAACCCCCTCCCCTCAACTTGTATATATAACTGGGGATCCTTTCCAAATCAAACTTTTTCCTATTCCCACCTCCTTCAAATTCTAATTTAACACCAGAACTTGTAAAGTCTGTACCACCAGCCCTTGGATTGAATGTAGGCACGCTCCTCGGCCAATTCCTGGCGAAGAACATCCATGTCCACCTCGCGGACACCAGTAATCAAGTCCATATCCTTGGCGCGGATTAATGGTGGTCTGAACCAAAGCTTGTAGCCGATAAACATCACCAAAACAATGGGAAGACAGAGCCAAACCTGGAAAAACGAATAGGCAGAAGCCTTGTTGGTGGGGAAAAGGGCAGTCCAAAACTGAGCCATGAGAACAAGGCAGTTGAACATAAAGCCATAGCATGAACCCCAAACACCAAGAGCAGCCTTAAAGGGAAGTTCGTCCAAAGAGCGGCCCTGAACCTTCATGGCGTGACGGAAGCGAATGTGGGAGAGACAGATAGAGCCCCAAGTGAAAATGGAAGAAAGACCGGAAAGGGCAAGCATCCAGTTAAAGGCCTCAGTGTGCTTGTCAGAGCCAGCAAGGAAACAGAGGAGACCAATGACGGAAGTCAAAGCAATACCGGCAAGAGGACGACCCTGGCGATCAATGTAACCGAGAATCTTGGGGGCCTGGCCTTGAGCAGCAAGAGCAGCAAGAGTACGAGAGCAAGCATAAATGGAAGAGTTACCGACAGACAAGACGGAAATCAAAATGACAACATTCATAACTGAGGGGAGACCCTTGATACCGGCATTGTTAATGGCAATGACGAAGGGAGAGGCGGTAGCATCGACAGAGGAAGAACCGAGAAGACGGGGCTCATTGTAAGGGACGAGGAGACCGACGAGAAGGAGAGAGACAATGTAAAAGAGGGTGATACGCCAAAAGACCTGCTTAGTGGCAGTGGGGAGATCCTTTCTGGGGTTCTTAGTTTCAGCGGCAGCAAGACCGACAAGTTCAGTACCGGAAAAGGCAAAAGCAGCATTGACAAAGATAGAACAGAAACCTTTAAAGCCATTGTTAAAGGCACCAGGGTCGTGCCAGTATCTACCACCAATGTAACCACCCTGGGGGCCGCCACCGCAAACAAGCACAATACCGAGAATGATAAAGCCAACGACAGCGAGAACCTTGATAATGGAAAACACAAACTCGGCTTCACCATAACCCTTAACACCGATAAGATTAATAACGACAATGACAGCGTAAAACAGAGCGACCCAAGCGTCTGCATTAACACGGGTTGCTGCATTGTCATCATATTGCCAGTAGGTGATAGTAATGGAAGCAGCAACGAGTTCAAGCGGGAAAACAACCAACCATTGGAGCGCATAGTTCCAGCCCATGGCAAAGCCCCAAGCAGGGTCCACAAAACGAGTCGAGTAAGTAGCAAAGGCACCAGAAACAGGGAAACGGACAGCAAGTTCACCGAGAGCATGGACAGTCATAAACAACATGGAACCGATAAGGGCAAAGGCGATAATAACAGAGGCGGGACCACCACCAGAAAGCGAACCACCGGAACCAACAAACAAACCGGTACCAATGGAACCACCAATGGCAATCATTTGCAAGTGACGGGCCTTCAGAGACTTTTGAAGAGGTGAGTTAGCAGTGGCAATGGCAGCCTTCTCGAGATCGGTAAGATTGGGGTCGTTCATCTCAGGAATGTTGGCAGGCTTAAAAGAGTCCTTAAAGCCTTGCCATTTGCCAACCTTGTATTGAGTAACGTCGGTGACTTCCTCGACGCCGGTCGACTCGACCCTCGTGATTTTTTCGTCTTCTTTGCTCATAGTAGAGAGAGATGTGTGTATATGTTTGAGAATAGAATCAAAGGGTTGAAAGGGATTTTATTACTTTGTTCTAGATAAAAATTAGATTGATATGATGATAATGGTGATGAGGATGAGGATGAGGATGATGATAATGATGGAATTGAAAGGTTTTTATATGATGTAGAATGAAAAGATATAGATAGATATATATATAAAACACAAGAAAAAACAAGAAAAAAAAAAGTTTAGAAGGGGAAAAAGACGGGGTATTTATTTGGTTTTTTTTTATATATTTTGAGAGAGAGAGAGGGGAGAGACCAGGACCTTTTGTTGTTAGAGGTGGTACGTTTTGGGGGGGGTTATTAGTGAGTACTCACGAGCACATACGGAAGAGTATATAATTTCTTTTTATGGTATATTTGTGTGTACATGTTAAAAATCTAATTCTCTTTCATTTTTAATTTTTAATTTTTTTTTTTTCATACACACATAATGATAATTATTAGTATTTTTTATTTTAAAAAAAAAAAATACTAATAAAAAAAAAATTAAAAAGTGGTCGCCATTCATTATTTCCTAAAAGGAACCTTTTTTATTTTATTATTTTTTTTTTTTTTGTTGCGGCGGTGTAAAAAAAAAAAAAAAATAAAAAATAAAAAATAAAAAAATTAAAATGGCAGGCAGCAAATAAAAAGCTTATCTGGGACTAATGACAGTGGCCTATTTGACACGATAAGCCGACGGAAGGACTTAAAATAAGGTGCTAAGTGATGGTCAAAAAAAAAAAAAAAAAATTTGATATTTCTACAGAGTATTCTATTTGTACTTGAATAATAGTGAAAAAAATAATAATATAAATCATATTTGAGGAAAAAAAAAAATTAAAAAAAAAAGAAGAGTTTCATTAATGTACAAATATAATAGTATCAATATAGTATATATAAACATGGGAAAAAAAAAAAAAGTTATGTTTAAGAATTCTGATAAAATTCATATCTTCACAATCGATAGGACTTTGGAAAGGCTGTTACGATCTAGAAAGTTGGCGGCTATTGAAAAAAAAAAAATAAATAAATAATCAAGTAGCGCCCAAAAAGACAACAACAACAACAACAACAGTAGCAGTAGCAGTAGCAGTAGCAGTAGCAGTAGCAGTAGCAGTAGCAAGAACAACATTCGAAGGTCGTTAGACTTGTGTGGCGATTCCATATGAAACCTTTTTGATTGCATGCATGCGATAAACCTGCGATAAATAAATAAATAAAATACAGGGAAGTTTTGAACTTACGGAAAGTAAAAAAAAAATAATTAATTAAATAATTAAATAAAAAATAACAAACTTGAAAAGTTCCGGAGCAAATTACAGTTATAATGTTATAATGTTAAAAGTAGAAATAAGAAATAAGAAAGAAAATAAACAAAAATATTTTCTTAGACTAGTTTTTTTTTTTTTTTTTTTTTTTTTGAATAGTTGAGACTCCTTAAAATTCATTAAATTAACTGTTAAATGGAGAGTTTTGTTTTTTTTTTTTCTTATCTATTGTTTTAAAGTCTCCCTGTTTATATTTTAATTTTTTTTTCTTTTTTTCTTTTTTTTTTCTTTTTTTCTTTCTGTAATAAACTATTCTTTCTTTTTTTTTTTTCTTACAGTTTAATTCCCTTTTCAAGATTCCAAAATACTGGCAAACTAGGTGTTTGTTATCATTATTGTTATCATAATGTTATCAAGAAAGAAATCGAAAAAATAAAAACCAAAAAAAAAGAAAGAAAGAAAGAAAGAAAGAAAGAAGCGTAAATACCAAAACAGACAAAAATAAACAATCAATCAATTATTTATTTATTCAATAATTCATAATATACACAAAACGGAAAGAAGTAGTTTTACTAAATTAAAGCCCATGTTTTGGATAAGACAAGGGCAAGAAGAAGAAGAAATAAGGGCCATGAATTTTGAACAGAATCCCGGGAAAAAAAAATTTTTTTTTTTAATTATAATAATGAAAAATATTTATATTTACTATATATTTTTATTTTTTTTATTTTTTTTATTTTTTTTATTTTTTTTATTTTTTTTTATTTTTTACAACTAATCGGAAAATATTGGGCTTTTTTTCGGATTAATTTTTTTTATTTTTGTTCTTTCTTTCCTTCTTTATTCCCTTCCACTCAGTGATAGTTTTTGTAAGAATACTTTGAAAAATGAAAAAAAAAAATTATGAATGAAAAATAAACGGTTTATTTCTTTATATATCCATTATTATTATTCTCCACCCTTACTATTGGACCACCCATTGCTATAGAGAATTAAATAAATAGTTTAAAACTAATCTCCATATCTTTATCCTTTTGTCTCCCCTTGCTTGATCTGTCAAGTAAAGTTAGTTATTTGTTTTGTTTTGTTTTTTCTTTTATTTAGAAAATCATAGTTTTATACTTTATATATATTTATTTTCATATTCTTCCATGTATGGAATATAAATCTATTCATCCTTTTTTTCTTTCTTTCTTTTGTAGTTTCTTTATTTTGTAGTTAAAAATATATATGTCAATCATTTTTTTTTTTTTTTCATTTTTTGTTTTTGCAATTATAGAAAGTACAAAAAAAAAAAAAAAACACTTATATCTTATCATGAATCTCAGTTTTTATCGTTTCTTAAAATAAAATTCATATCATGTCATGGTTTTTGTTAATTAATACCAATGATTGATTTTTATGAATGATGATGATGTTAATGATGATGATGATGATGATGTTGGTAACTATGATGTAGTTTATTTAATACTTGCCAATGATTGTCTAACAATTTTCTTAAACTTTCTTTTCTTTTTTTTTTTTTACTTACCTCTCTCCAGTATTTCAAGACTTAAAGATAGCCGACAAGCCCTTACTCGGTGGATTTACCCTTTAAAAGCTACTTTTTTTTTTTTTTCTTCTCATTAAGCTTTGGGCAAAATATACTCAAAAATTAGTACTTAATAGTACCACTTTTTATTATTAAACTATTACAGATGCCTATATCAAAAAAAAAAAAACACTTACACCTTTTCTAAGAGGTTAAGATTTGTTTTTTTTTTTATATATGCGCACTTTATTCTTTTCCTTCTTGCATTGACCGTTTAAATGGATGACGATGGTGTTAGTATTTTTTTTTATTTATTTATTTTATCATTGATACGTGCATTGCCTTCCATAACCGATTTTGTTATTTTTTTTTTTTTTTCAATCTTACCGTCCAAAAGACTTTTTTTTTTTTCAATTATCTTTTTGATTTCCAAATGAAATGAAAAATGAAAAAAAAAAAATATTCTTTTTTTAATTTTTCACAATTGTGGGGCTTATTATCATTTTGCCCATTATCTTTTTTATTTTTTGAAAATGAAAATGAAGATGATGATGATGATGATGAAAAATAAAAAAAAAAAAATTTTTTTTTAAAGAGCAAAGTTTTTCTAAGCTTATCCGTATCTTGATAATGCGCTGATAAGAGATAGGCTTACACACACACACACAAAATAATACGGGCTTTTTTTCTACTCTGTAAATCCCAACCTTCCCTTCCAAAAAAAAAAAAATAAAATAAAAATAAAAATAAATTACCGTTTATTTAATTTGTACAGTACTTATTATCAAATATATACCAATATATTCACATGTATCGTTAATTTTGAATACACATCGTTTCCTTCTCTCCCCCCTTTCTTCTGCCCTTTGTCACGTTTTTTTAGATGAACATAGCTATTCCTTATTTGTTGTTGATTGATGTCCATGGGGGTTTATATCCTTTCATAGATATCATAGTGACCCAGTGTCTAAAAAAAAAAATAAATAAAATAAAAAACAAATCTAAGATTAATTGGATGTTTTTTTATGAAGAAAAAATATAATAATAATAATAATTCAAATCTCGGTTATTGAAAAACAATTGTCCCAATAACCGCAAAATTATAACAAGGATATTTTTTTTTCCCTCCAATCTTTTTTTTTTAATTTTTAAACATTGATATCGTACAAATCTAGCATTGCCAATTACCATCCTTGTCTATCTATTTACTTTGATAGTCGGCTTTTTTTTTTTCAAGATTTTCAACCTGATGATTTATTTATTTTTCAAAAATATAAAAAAAAAAATTTTTTGACAAATTTTTATTATTTTTATTATTTTTATTATTATTTTTATTATTTTTATTATTTTTATTATTTTTATTATTTTTATTATTTTTATTATTTTTATTATTTTTATTATTTTTATTATTTTTATTATTATTTTTATTTATTTTCACATTCTACCTTAATCACACTACATCATCACCCCCGCTATCTCTTGCTTTTAGGGATACGTTATTTTTGTGTGTTGGTGATGTGCCTGTAACAAGAAAAAAAAAAATTAATAAACAGGCGCGCGTAGTTTACTAACAGTACATATAGTACATATAGTACATACAGTACTAATTAGTACTAACAACAGCACAAATATATTCATTCGCTTTGTAAACATTTACCGGAGCACAGTCTAGCGTTTTTTCTTCTTCTTCTTTTTTTTTTTTTTTTTTTTTTTTTGCTGCAGATGGTGCAAATTGGCTATTCTAAAGCTCAAGCATATCTCAGCCGTTTTTATTATAACGAGGGAAAAAGGAAAAAGGAAAAAGGAAAAAAAAAAAAAAAAAAAAAAAAAAAAAAAAAAAGTTAATAAAACCACGTATAAAATTTCTGTAAATGTAGATGGGTGTGTAAAAAAAAAAAAAAAAAAAACAAAGTCATGTATTTGTGCTTGTATATAGAAAATTTTCTCATAACGCTTAAATGTTATCTCGACCCCACGCTTGGCACGTACATAATTAGGCCCATCGAAAGTGAGAGAGAGGGAGGGGAGGGGGATGAAAAAGGTGAAAAATAAAACCGTTGGGAATCAAGACAGGTGATTGGTAAAAACAAGAAAAAATGTATATGTTAGAGAGAGAGAGAAAGAAAGTAAAAGAGCGTTTAAAAAAAAAAAAAAAAAGGTGCTTTTAGTTTTTTTTTTTGCTCGTTAACTTTTTAGTTGACCCCACCTCTGAGAACTCTTCAAATGAAAAGAAAATGAACGATAGAACAAAAGGGGTCTTGTAATATTGAATCCTTTCATTTTACTTTTGGGATTCAACAACAATATTTCATTGAGATATAGCCGGGATGATTATTGTTATATTACCTTTTTAGGTATATTTGGTCCTTGATTACCCCTCTTTAAAAAAAAAAAAATATCCTATTGATACCATCATTTTCATGATCAGTTTCTCTTTGATGATGATGATGTTGTTGTTGTTGTTACGGTCAATATGGTACCTAAATAAACAAAATAAAAAAAAAACTTATCCCAATCACCCATTTATCCATCTATCCATTTCATCAGCCAACCAGTTTCTTAAGCGTGATATATCTTACAAAGTGTAAATGGTCTCCCTCTGCTCTTTTCTTTCATCGTGTTCGCTTTTCGACGGATAAAAGAGTCCCGTGCAAATCAAGAGCCTCACCGTATGTCTCGGGTCTCTATATTCAATAGCTCTCTATACTTCTCTTTCTCTTTCCCTAAATATATTTATTTATTTATTTTTTTTTTTTTACATAAAACCTCTCTTGTTAGCGACCCTCCCCCAATTCTTCTTTGTGTTCTTGTTTTTGTTCTTGTCATAAGTTTTGATGATACTGATCTGGCGGCTTTCTTGAATGACCCTCTCCTTATCCTATTGACATGAAATGGTGGGGTGGATATATATATACGGTGGGGGAGGAGAAAGTGTGTTGCACGTTTCAAAAAGCTCGACAAAACATGCCATTATGAGAACAAGAAAAAAAAAAAATAAAAAAAAATAAAAAGACAAAATATATATATATATTCAAGGGTTTCCTTGATAGATTTTTTTTTATATATTAAAAAAAAAAAGATAATTTTAAGTGTGATTTTGACAATCACTTTTTTTTTTCTTCCTACTCTAATATCTTTGTTAACTTAGATCCTATTGACACCCTTTTTTTCTTTCTTTCTCTATCTCTATTAATTGCTTTTTTTTTTTTTTCTTCTTCTTCTTCTTCTTCTTCTTCTTCATATTATCTAACAAATATATATCGAGAAATGCTCCATATATGAAGTATAGAAATTCCTACTCCATTAATTTTTTTTTCTTGGCTTTGAGACTTTTTTCCTTACTTTTTACTCTTCATCTTATTTGTGCTTATGCTTTATGCTTATTATTATGATCTATATCTTTGCCTGATATAGATAAATAAATATTTTTTTATCTCAGTATGGTATCTCAGTAAGCCTAAAATTCAAATATTCAACGGCTCTCTTATTTCTTTGTGGCTTCATCATCACTTGGCTTTTTTTTTTTTTTTTTTTTTTTTTTATCATTGCCTTTTTTTCTCTCCTTAAATGGCTTTTAAAACGTTTCTTGGTCACCGTCTGGCAGATTCAATTTCATCCGTTTTTTTTTTTTATCTGCAGGTCGCTTAACAAAAAAAAAAAAAAAAAAGCCCGCACGTTTTCCTTTAAGCAACCATTTGGAGTTCTTTGTGTGAAATTTTTATTTTTTTCTTGGTTTATTTGATTTCGCCACTATATGCCACGGAACAAAATAAAAGCCTTTTATGCGAATATTTATCATGGAGAATAACGGAAAGAGAAAAAAAAAAAAGAAAGAATAATAATAATAATAATAATAATAGCAACTTTAGCAGTTTAGAATCTCCGCGGAATGGAAAATAGAAGGTATTTATTTATATTTGATTTATGGCTTTGTTTTTGATTCTCCCACCCCTCTTTTTTTTTTTTTTTTTTTTTTTTCCAAAATCGTATTTTTGATTGTAAGTTTCTTTTCTACAATCTTTTCACCCCCCCCGATTTATAATCGTCAAAAAAAAAAAGTGGCGATTTTTTTTTTAAAACTTCTAGGACTTTGAAGAACAAAAGAAATATTAAAAATCAAATAGGGAGTGGAATGGTAGGAGAATAAGCTGACTTTTTTTCATCAGTCCACAAGTCTAATGTTGATAATTCTTCCAAAGTTCCAAGTCATCTGACGGAATATTTTGAAATGAAAAGGGAAATATAAAATATAAAAACTGATGTTACTGCTACTGTTGTTATTGCTAGTGATGGTGGTGGTGGTGGTGGTGTTTATTTTATTTTTTTTTTAAAGTGCCGTATGGTACTTAGATTTACAAAACTAGTATCATGATACTCAGCAAGATATTTTTTTAGGTAGGTAGGTAGAGAAAGAGAGACAAGGGTGCCTTTTGTAGCAAAAGCACGGCACCAAAGTCACGTGGACATTTTTGCGTAAAACTTTTTTTTTAATTTTTTTATTAATATTATTGATTATTTTTTTTTATCATTTAAAAATTTTACGCCACGGCGGGTCTTTTTTTTAAGAAAAACCGTTAAAAGTATAAAAGATTTTACAATAGTTACCCATCGGTTATCTATTGAGCCACAAATAAATAAACTAGATAGACTACCATCGTAATAACTGGTTTTATTTTTTATTTTTAATATTTTTATGCTGGGCTCTGTAGGTCTACGTACATCATAGTGATCATGATGGCGTGTCTGAGTTGACAGACTGACAGACTGGCTGGAAACATAAATATTTAAGTATCTCTCTGGGTGGAAAGTCTCCACGAACAATGCGAGAATCTCAAGTTTCTTTTTATTTATGTATTTTCTAAAAGAAATGAAAACCTTTTTTTTTTTTTTTTAAAAAGAAAAAAATAAATAAATAAATAATTCAATAGACTACCCATTCCAAATGTTTTAATCACGCGAGCTTCCAGTAGTTTGTTTTATTTTCATTCTTCCAATTAAAATGTCTTTTCGAAGGAAAGGAAAGGAAAGGAAAGGAAAGGAAAGGAAAGGAAAGGAAAGGAAACAATTCTTTCATCATGTCTAACAAATGTAACAAAATGTAAAAATAAATAAAAGAAAAGTTAAAGTTTTATTTTTATTTATTTTTTTTATGAAAAAGCTTCCATTAGTACCCAAAAAAAAAAATAATAAAAATAATATAAATAATAAAAATAATATAAATAATAAAAATAATAAAAATAATAATATTAATATTAATATTAATACTTGATGAAAAAAAATATAGATCCTAAACAAGTTCAATATTCAACTTTTGAGATCCAGCCATTGGCTCGATAAGATGTCCTTCTTTTTTTTTTTTTTTTGTTCTTTTTCTTTCTTTTTTGTTTCCATTGAAATGACTAGTAGTCATATACCATAATATAAGAAATAAAAAAAAAAGAAAACATTGATGCCCAAAACTGGAAGTTCTTCCTTTCCAGTACATTTCAGATTTTTCTTTTTCTTTTCTTTTACCATTAAAAAAAAAAAAAAAAAAAAAAAGAAACAAATGTAACATTTACAAGTTATAATAGCCAGGCACAGTTAGAATTATTATAATTATGTCCAATCCTTAAAATAATGATCATGGTTGAATCATGATTCACTAATCTTCATAACTAGTTAATTATAATTAACTAATTAGTAAGAAATAAAAAAAAATATTGAATGAAACCATTATTTATTTTTTTAATTTTTATTTTATTTTATTTTATTTTAATTTTTTTTTTTCTTTTTGGAATTATTCAACTTCATAATATTCAACTTTTTTTTTTTATTCATTCGTAAAAGCAACTATCCTTTTCCTCTCTCTTTTTTTTTTTTTTTTTTTTTTTTTTTTTTTTTTTTAATTGAAAACCTCCATCTTCAATTCTTTCCAAATCCAAAATACTCCATAGTTCCTTCATGATATAAATATTAATCTACCAAGTCCCTTTAACCACCATGTAAAAAATAAACAAATAAAAAAAGGAAAAAAGGAAAAAAGGAAAAAAGGAAAAAAGGAAAAAAGGAAAAAAGGAAAAAAGGAAAAAAGGAAAAAAGGAAAAAAGGAAAAAAGGAAAAAAGGAAAAAAGAAAAAAAGAAAAAAAGAAAAAAAGAAAGAAAGAAAAAAAAAACAAAGTTAATAAATAAAGTACAAACGTCTTTTTTTTTCTACATTCCCATGCTTCCGTCCCGTTACAACTTGCCCCGAGTATACAAGTATTCAACAAGATCAAGCACCTTTTCATTCTCCCGCTGCATATCTCCACGCACCATCATTTGGAACAACGGCATTCGTGGCGCGGCCTCATATCGCTTGTATACTTTCTGACCTCCAAATCGGTCATTTCTACTACTTGTCATTCCTCTAGCTTCTCCTCCCCCTCCTCCTCCCACTTCATGAAGATATGGACATTTCGCTCCATTTGTGCATCGGCCTTTGCGCAGAAAATACCGACACAGGCGTTTGCCAGAATGCTGCTGCTGCTGCTGCTGCTGCTGCTGCTTCTGCATTGATATACCGCTAGTCCCTGCCGCACTGGTTCCTATTGTTCCAGTTCCAGTCCCTGACTCTGACGCTAAACCCTCACTCCCAACTCCACCTACCTTATTATCCATCGTCCCCTTCAGATCTGCTACAGCTCCTTCCACCGCTCCTGTTAAACCTGCTCCACCACTGCTACCACTTGCACTTTCTTGCGACTCCTTTGAAACCCCAAACCGCTCCCCCTGAATCCGTAACAGTAGCCGCTCCTTGGCCTCGACGCGTGCCTGTGTCGGCCACCGTTGTCGCCTCTCTGCTATCCATTTTGCAATATCCTCAGGCGAACTTCCAGGTACGCGCACTCCACTTGTTGCACCTGTGACTTTAGCGACTTCTTCATCATCATAATCATCCTCATCTTCGTCACCATCGGTGCGAGGTCGTTTTCGTGATTGATTTTGATTCTGGGGTTTATTTTGATGTTGATATGAGTGCCGTGTGTTATTTCCATTATTTTCTCCGTTCTGGTTCTGGTTTTGGTTTTGGTTCCTATTGTTGTTGTTGTTATTCCTCCGATTCTTTTGCTTCTTGGTAAATGGTGTAGTTCCATTGCCTCCTATTCTAGGACCTGTTGAAAAAGTCGGTTTCTGATAGCTATGATTAAAGCTTAGACCATGAACATTTGATTGTCCCGATGCTTTTGGTGGCGAAAAGAAAAGAGGAGGTGGAGGTGCTGATTGTTTGTGCTGGAATTGTTGCTGTTGTTGTTGTTTTTTAGTTGATGAAGGAGGTGGTGGTGGTGGATTGTAGATGTAAGGATCCATTGTGATGACTATGTGGGATTATGAAATGTCTGTTTGTTTTATTTTACTATTAAACTGTCTTTTCTATAAAGTATTCGCATGATCAAGATTGTAACGTCTAGATGATTTTCTAATTTGGTCTGGTGGTTTGAAAGTCTTTTTTTTTTTTTATTTCTATCTTATCGTCTCTAAGATGGCAGTTTGTGCAAAGAAATTTTTTTTTTTATAAAGAAAAAAAAAAAAAAAGCCGTACAATAAAAATTATCTAATTACTTACAAATTAAAAATTAAAAATAAGTAAAAGCCTTACGGTACTCGGGTTCCGAAAAACTGCCGACCGGTACTTTAAGTTACCCTGACTTTTAAAGAAATTTTCAAAACCTCCAAAAAAAAAAAAAAAAAAAAAATTCCCCTCCCCCTCAATTTTAATTTCAATTTCAAAAAAAATCTCCTAGATAACCAACTGACACCTTTAGATAGAACTTCTAAACTCACTAGTTTCTTTGTATAAACAACCCTTATAGATATTTTTTTTTTACTCACAATGACTACCGGAAGCTTCTTTCAAAAGGCTCAGAACTTTATCTTTTCCAAGGATTTTATCAAGTAAGTGATACACTACAAACTTGACTTTATTTTTTTTTTTTTATTAATTCATGATTGCTAACATTCATTCTCATTAGGTGTAAGGAGTTTTGTTTTTTTTTTTTTCCTACTCTCTCAACTAAAGTCCAATCACTCAAAAAATACTAACCACCGTTCTAATTTAATCATTAGACATTTGCTCAACCCATTTCTGGGGTAAGTTAATTTTTTATTTTTTTTTTTAAAACATTTTTAATCTATAATGTAAAATCAATTAATTCTCTTCTTCTTTTGCTAACCATTTGGATCACTTCTTTTAGGCCCCGTCTCCAACTTTGGTATCCCTGTGGCTGCTGTGCTTGATCTCAAGAAGGATCCTACTCTTATCTCGGGCCCTATGACTGGTTCTCTTATTATTTACTCTCTCGTTTTCATGAAATATGCGTAAGTACTTTCCAATCAATTACAATCAATAACAATCAATCATTTCAATCATTTCAATCACATCAATTCTTCCCTCTTATCTCATTTTAATCTCTTGTTAATCCTAACATTTCATTTTCTACCTAATCTTTTAAGTACCGCCGTCACTCCTTGGAACCCTCTGCTCTTTGGCTGCCATCTCGTCAATGAAGCTGCCCAGCTCGCTCAGGGCGCAAGATACGCAAACTACTGGTACTTGGGTGGCAGAGAGCGCGCCATTGCTGCCGGTACTGTCCCCGCAGAACCCGTCACTCCTGTTGCTGCTGCTCCCGTCGAGAAGAAGGACTAAAAAACAAAAAACAAAAAAAACAAAAAAAAAAAATTCTTTACGTTTATATTCTTTTTAAAACAAAAAAAATCTCATAATCGGTTATCCTTTACAATCTATATCCAATTCTTCTTTATTATCATCAAACAATATTACTTTCTTTCTCTCTCTCAATCTACTATACCCGAAGTTATACAAAAAAAAAAAAAAAAAAAAAAAAGCATTTTATTAAAAATACCATCTTTTCTAATCAAATAACCCTCGGAACCGTGGCTGCTGCGTCGGCCCAATCTCATGAACATTCCACCGTCCTTGCTGTTCTCCTTCTTCCTCTCTTCCAGCAATAAGCATTCCTCCCAGGCCACCACCTTCTATTATCTCTTCTTCTTCTTCTTCTTCTTCCGCAGGTTCCTCATGTTCTTGTCTTATCGCTTCTATTTCTGCTTCTTTTTCTTCTTCTTCCTCTTCCTCTTCGTACGCCCATCGCGTCGTGCTTGTGGTTCCTCCAACTTCAGTATCCCATCCAATTGCTCCTGCATGCACCGACGTTTTCCCTCGTCTTTCTTGCAACATCCGTAGTACCTCATCTGGGCTTACTCCTGTTCTACGTCTCCGGCCCTCATCTTCACTTTCTTGTGATGACGACGAGGGCGAAGAAGCTGAGGTTGTGGATTCAGATGAGTTAGGAAGCGTCTCAATAGTAGGGAATGATGGAGATACAATGGCCGGCGCAGCACCCAAAATTACAACACTCGAAGTACCGGCCGCTGACCCAATGGCTGCCGTGGCTGCTGCCGTGGCTGCTGCTGTCATGGGCGCTTCGGGGCCAGAAGTAGCATGGGGCCGAGATGCATGAACGGCTGTAGATGGCTGCGAACGGCGGGAAGAAGAAGAGGAAGAAGTTAAAGATGTAAGAAGAGGGGGAGGAGGAACAACGTGAGGAGAAGAAATAGGCCGTGTACCCGCACCAGCAGATGTAGCAGCAGCAGATGTAGCAGCAGCAGCAGCATCAGCATCAGCAGCAGCAACTTGGGTCGCCACGTACTCTTGTTTGATCCTAATCATATCTTCCCGTGTTGTAGCCTCAGCCATCTGCCGGTGCTGTTCTCGGGCCTCCACTTCTTCGCGTTTTAATCGCACAAGCTCAACCAGTTCGTTAAGCCCACCCGTAGAAACTGCTGGAGCTGCAGGAGCTGCTGGTTCTGGTTCTGGTTCTGGTTCTGGTAGGTGTTCCTGTACATTATTCTCCTGAGGTACTTGGTTCTGTGGATGGTCCTGTTGCTGCTCCTGTTGCTGCTCCTGTTGCTGCTCCTGTTGCTGCTCCTGTTGCTGCTCCTGTAGCTGCTCCTGTTGCTCCCGAGCTTGACCCTCAACCACCGCATCGTAAGCCTGCTCCAACGCCACAGTATCCATCTCCCCAACAAATCCTCCTTCTGCTCCTCTAACCGTAGGCCGTGGCCGTGGAGTCCGATGACCTCTCTGTCCACCAGCGGCACCAGCACCGATTGCAGAGGGACCCAAAGCCATATTGGCATACGACTCCTCTGCAATCCGCTCCACCATCCTTTCAACCACCTGACTCGAGTCCAAGCCATCCTCTAGAGACAGTCTGTTGCCAATGTTTTCGAGTGCACCTTGGGTTGCTCCTGCAGGTACCCGTCGAGCAGAAATGAGCCGCGGCCCAGAGTCAAACGCATATGTGGTGCCTGGTGGAATGAGAGCTGCTGCGTTTCTGCGCTGACGCCGACTTACCACTGACGCAATCTCCATGACCGCACGGAACCGAGGCCTGCAAAGCTTGGGCCTCTGGTTTTGGCGAGGGTTTCTAGCAAGAGCTCTACTACTACTACTACTACTATCACCACCAATGCCACCGCCTTGTTGCTGTTCAACTCCATTTCCGTCTTCACCAGTCTCTTCTACATTCTCGTTATATCCTTGCTCTTCCTGCTCTTCACCCGTATCTGAAACAACTTCAAACCGAGTTGTGCGTCCGGCAGCAGCGACCTGGATGATGATCATAGTGATGTCGTCTGGGAGGTATGCAGCGCCGCCGTCGTAGCTTTCATTCACGTAATTCCCCGCAAGCCAATTTGCCAGAGTGACGAACGAAAGGGCATGTGCAAAGGGCATTTTGACTGAAAAATCAACTGGTACATTGTAGTCATAAACAAGATCATCAAACGTAATATTGACCGAGGACCGCACCGCGTGAATGAGATCTAAGGTTTGTTAGAAAAAAAAAAAAAAAAAAAAAGAGTAAGTAAATAAATAAAAGAAATCGTCATGACTTACACTCCTTGTCACTGTCGACCTTGGGATCTGTATTGCCGTGTACTTTGATGTACCTTTCTGTAGTTTCAAGCTTAAAGTCTTCAGCCCGATGATCCAAAGCCCCGAAAAACCGAAACAAGTCATGGGACTTGATCTCCACTCTAGCCACTGTTTCTTGTCGTTGTTGTTGTTGTTGTTGTTGTTGTTGTCGTTGTTCTTCTTCATCTTCCTGACCTGGTGGATTTGCCCATTCTGAAATCAACCTGTCATATGCTGCATCTAGTCGCTGCGTCATTTCCCTATCCGCACTACATCTGTTGCGCACAATTAATGCCACCCCAGACTGTCGTCGCAACTCCATTCCGAAAAATACTTCAGACTCCCCGCCACCACCACCACCACCACTACTACTACTACTACCGCTTCCGCCGCCGCTAATAGCCTGCGACAATGATCCAAGTTCAGGACCACGCCGACCACGCTTGCGGCGGTTGGAAGCTCCAGAAGGTGGATGTGCGTGTTGTTGCTGCTGCCGGTGTTGGTTATGGTGTTGGTGGATGGGTGGGATTTTGGGTCGTACTACTGGGCGTTTTGTTTTGCGATTAATTCCATGAACGTTTCGAATACTAACACGGCATGAGATGACAGGGTCGCCATCCCATACTTTAGAAGAAAAAAGAGAAGCTAAAGACTAATAAGATTTGATTTGAATGTTGTTCTCGCAAGGGAGAATGGTGTATTTTTTTTTTTATTTTTTTTTTTTTTTTGGTTAGAAATGAATGTCTTTAATAATTGATCTGATATATATTTTATATATATTATATATATTTTCAAAAATTCATAATACTCACTTTACTGTCAATCCCAAAAGTCGTCAAGATATCTTCACGCCTAGGAGGTTGTCGCCCAGGTCCTTGGCCAAGAACAACTGCATTATTTGTATTAATTCCATAACTGTAAGACTCGAAAAAATGTGAGCTGAAGGTGACGAGAGTTGTTGCAGCACGCGATGTACTCTGAGTGACTGCTGAAAATGAGTCTGAAGAAACTATAAAGTAAACACTTTCGTTATGTTTTGCCAAAGCTACTAGTGCATGTTTCCATTGTCGAAGAGCATATTCGCCTGTAATGGTAGCCGAAAAGTCCATTAGAAAGAGGATGGTTTTTTTTTTTTTTTTTGTTAAATTATTTCAATATATACAAGTGATGTCCAGAATTTTAAAATCTAAAAATCTAAAAAAAAATCTAAAAAATATTTGCAGTTACTTTAATTTAACAAAAACACAAAATTAAACATTTCTAAACAATTTTTTCTTATGAGAGCTATTCAGTAATCGCATAGTCATCATCATTATCATTATTATCATTATTATCATTTTCATCATTTTCATTTTTATCATCATCATTATTCACCATGTCTTTAAAATAAACACGTTCCTCAGGATAATGCTTCAACAATTCCATGCCAGGCACAAACAAACTTCGCGTGTCATCGTACCTGTCGAAAAACCTGCCCACATCTAACCCGAAAAATGCTGGGTTAAGTGCAATGAGCTCTGAATGTGACGGCCGCCACAAATTAATCGCCGGTTCCAGTACTCTTAGTACTCCGCTGGCTGAGGATGCCGGCAGAACAACATATTGAATCAACGATGCAGCCGTGTCGTCGGCAGATAACCGACGATGGCGACTTGTATTAACGTCCATACCGCGGTCGTGGGCGCTTACCCCACCTTGAACAGGCGACTGGGGTTCGACTGGGGATGCGGTACCTGCCGGAGCCGTGCGGTAGTTGCGACCTGCAATGTGAGAGACGTAGGACCAGCCAACAATGACTCCGCAGACGGCAGCACGATCAATGTAATGGATCTGGCCAATATGGTATTTGGGGCGAGCACTGAAGCTGCGGCGAAACTCATAGTCCTGCTCGGTAAAGGGCAGCGTCTGCAGGTCCAGCTGCTGGCGGAGTTTCGCGGCGGCGGCGCGTTTGGTGTCATCAGTGACAAGGGCTGCCGGGACCAGTGGGAATAAAAAGTCATAAGCCAAGGTCAATGCACAGGGGATTTTGTAGACAATCGATGACATGGCCATGGTGTAAAGGTGGGTAAGGCGCTCATCCAAGCTTGGCGGAATGCTGATGGCTAAGGGTGATTGCGGCGCGCAAGCCACAATACACTGGTCTAGGAGGGCGCGGGTTGTAGAACGAAGCACTCGGGTATTGTTAGTTTCTGGGTTGGCAGGCACTCCAGGGGGGAGTTTGGAATATTTACGGGCTGCGATTGCTACAAACGAAAACATCATGACGCCCATGAGCATGATGGCCGAAGTGCGTCCAGAGTCGTGATGCATGGGGTATCCGTCAGTGAAATGCCGCAGAAACATGTCCACGACAAGTCTGCTTGGTGAGGGGTCTAGCGAAGTGTGAGCAGAGCCTACTCCGGTAGCTGTTGTTATTGTTGTTGAACCACCACCTAAACCTGCACCTAAACCTGAACCTAAACCTGCACCTCCTCCTCCTCCTCCTCCTCCTCCTCGGGCCAAGCTGATGATGGCCCGCATTTCATCTGGTGTACGGATTTTCCCCTGACGATTTGGGTCCACAAAAAAGCACTCAGTGTCGCCTGGGAGGGCCACGGATTTTGTGGGGTCCTCGATGCGTACATAACTATCGTATTCCAAAACAACCACTGAAGCCTTGAGTCCGATCCATTTTGCAAAGTGACAGTAGATTATGGATGCTATCAAGCTATTTGCTGGGAACCGGTGTGGGTGATTAAGGATGCAGTGCAAAAAGTATGCCTGCGGTGCTTGGCCATAAATGTTGCGAGTACGAGCGCGTGAGATATCGTTAATGAGTCTTGATTGGAACAAAATGCTGCCAAGAGAGTGGACCCAGTCAAGGAATCTGTTTCTGATAGCTTCACGGTCATCATCTGCGAGCCTGTCGTATGGTTGAGCGTGGGGGCCAAAGTTTGAATTCCAAAACTTTTTAAAGGGTAAGAGTTTTTTTTTGAGAGTTGAAATGAGGGGGTAAGATGCTTCACAGGAGGGTCCAGCTTCTGGGCTACGGTTAAGATAAAAGGAATCAAAAGCCATAAGAAAGTCAAAGGCATCAAATGTTGAAGAGGATGATGATGAGAGCATGTTAAGAACATTGGTGACTGAGTGTCGTTGGTTGATTGCGATAAGAAGCTCGCGTGCGTAATACTTTTCGCGAAGCACACATGAAGAGGTTTCAGTTAACGAAGATTCTAGGGCGGTCAACACACGAACCAGATGTGGTCTTGCTCGGAGTCCCAATCGTGAGACTGCAGCCACATGTTTTTCGCGGTCATCTGGGTCTGCTACGATTTTTTTAAGAAGAGATGATGTTTGGGCATCGACTTTGAGCTGGTAGACATATTCTTCCCAATAGCTTTTTGTAGCTGGGTCTATAGCTGGGAAAGAAATGATGGGATAGATGTGTTGGGTCAAAAACTTATGCCAAAGAAGAGAATCACGGGATACGGTGGAAATATTTTTAGAGACTAGCGAGAGGGAGTTAAGAACGGTTTCTGGATCTGTGTATGCAAATATTAGCAGGAGTATTTCCCGCGGGAGATCTGCAAGCCCGGGCATTTTATGGTTGGAAGAGAAAAAGGAAAAAAAAGAATAAGTTCAGGTTGGAAAGTAGTAAGTTATATAGATTTTTTTTTTTTTTTTTTTATTTATTTATTTAATTTTAATTTTAATTTTTTTTTTTTTTTAATAAGATTGTCAGTAAAAATAAATTGATTAAAAATGGGGGTCAAAGTCTAGAATGGAAAGGTTGTGAAGAATGAAGATTGAAACCTTTTTAATGGAGGTTTGGAGAGACGAAAAATGCAGTAGCAGCAAAAGAAAAAAAAAAAAAAAAAAAAAAAAAAAAAAAAAGGAAGAGGAAGGGGAAAAAAAAAAACAAAAACAAAAAGGAAAAAGAAAAAAGAAAAAGAGAAGGACTGAATGATGAGGCTGAACAAATGATGATGAGAATTACGCATGGACAGACTGAAAAGTACAAAGCTAGTAATGGAAAAAGTACAGTAGACCTAAACAACAATACTTGGTCATAAAGAGTAATGGGACTTTGTGTCTAAAAAAAAACAAATAAATAAATATAAAAAAGTGGGTCATTTATAATAATTAAATTAAATAAATAAAAAAAATATAGTAGAAAGAAATTTTTATTGTTTTTTTTTTTTTTTTTTTTTGTACTATGAAGTGGGTTTTTAATTTTTAATGTTTTGAACAGACAGACAAACAGACAGACAGATTTGAAAAGATTGAAATTGGTATTCTGCGGCTTAATCGTACAACTACTATCCAACAAACAATAACAAGCATAAAGTTGTGCGAAATATAATTTTTTTTTTTTATAAAAAATTAAAAATCAAAAATAAATAAATTTATATATTCTATTTTATTTTAAAAAAACTTTTTTTTTTTAAAAAAAAAAAAAAAAAAAAAACCAAATGAAATAAAATGCTTGCAAATACCATCCAGAAAATGAACCGCATCTCAACACCATCTAACCCGCAACGCCCAGGGACACCTATAGTTTCTCATTTAAGTGAAGTTATAAGTGACATAGAATCAGAAAACAACAACAACAACAACAATTGCAGTAGCAACAGCAATAGCAATATCAATATCAATATCAATAAGAAATTGACTAGTATTTCTGTATTAAAAGGATCAGTGACTGATTTAGCCCATGATATTTTAGAAGCAATTCCTGAGACTGAACTTTTAGAAGATGATAGTTCTGGAATTGGGACAAGTGAAAGTGTAGGAAATATCAATGATGATGAAATAAAATTTATTGATAAGATTATGGAGGATGATAATAATAGTGAGGAAGAAAAAGAAAAAGAAAAAGAAATAGATCGAGAATTGGAAGAACGTACAAGATTAATGATTGCTGATTTAATTTCAACATTAGATGACTCTTCACCATCTCCCAAACCACCTATGGAAAATAAGTATTTTTTGGAGGACAAAATATCAAGTGAGTTTGAAGAAAGTGATGATGATGATGATGATGATGATGATGATGATGATGATGATGATGATGATTATGACAATGACAACAATGATGAAGACTACGGAGATGAAAGTTACGAAAACCATGATGAAGAAAGTGATTGCGATGACAATGTTATGTTTATGTTTAGGAAAAACGATGAATCTACAAAGAACAAACAATTAATATTTCCTAGTATTCAAGCCAATGAAGAGTCTTTCAATTTGAATAGTTTATCAACTAGATCTTCACCTCTTTCTTCCAATAGCATCTTTCAAATCAATGACAAGAATCAAAGTAAGACAAGAACTACGACATTTGGCAATAATAAAAAAAATAATTCATTGACTCAGTTATTAGAAATTGCAGAACAAAAACATATTGAAAGGCAGTATAAGTTTCAAATTATATGTGCTCGGCTTGATGCTGCACTTGCAGAAAATGAAGCTTTACGAAAAACTCGTCAAGACTTACTTTCTGAACGCAAAGATTTAAAAACTAGAGTTGAATCACTTTCTGAAGATGTTGAGGAATTAAAGACTTGTAAAAGTGAATTGGAACGAGATGTGGAACTTGTAAGAGTACAATTATTTGAAAGTGAAAAACGTGTCATGATTGCAGAAAAAAAACTTTATCAACAATATGGGTTATTGAGCTCAAGTCATAAGGTTGAAGAATCAATGGGAACTATTAATAATAATAATAATAATAATAATAATAATGATAATAATAATGTTTGTCAAGGACTACGGGAAGTGCGTGGGTTAATTAACACTGTTAACCAAAAACATCAGTCATTGGAGACTCGCGTACGTGGTGAGTTTGAAGATTTACATTTACAGTTGAATATTTTGAATGCATCTGTAGGAGCATGTTTTAAAAAGATGGAAGGGCTTGATAAAACTTGTGACAGGAACAAAAGTATTGGTGATATTATTAAGGAAGGAATTATAGATGCATGATTTATTGATGCAGGAGGTATCATGAAAAGCATGGCCATACCATGGTATTATTGATTCTAGGTGGGAGTTTTTTTTTTTAAAAAAAAAAAAAAAAAAAAAAAAAAAGAAATTGCAATCAAGAAATAAATAAAGAAGAATTTAAGAGCCATTAAAAGCTTTCATTATTAATTTTTATATCTGTAAAATAAAAGAAAAAATATAAAATATAAAATATAAAAAAGAAAAGAAAAGAAAAAAAATTAAATGTAACGCCAGACATCTTGAGGTTTGCGAAAGGCACCATCGACAAATACTGCAGTTCCGGAAACGCTAAGTTTGCGTAACTTGTTTAAATCAGCATTATCACTGTTGCGACGAGGTTTTTCATCAGAAGAAGGTACTTGAAGTTGCTGTTGTGATTGGGAATCAGATTCTTCTTCTTCTGAAGATAATTCAAAATATTGAGTTTCATAACGTCTATTTCCAGCCATATCATTATCAATGCGAGTTTGAGTTACTTGGCCATAAGTTGAAACAAGACCCTTGAGGTTAAAGCAACGGGCAGAGGGAGAGATGCGGACATAATTTTGCAAATCTTCTAGGTCCGCGGCGTTAGGGAAGATAAATTCCTGGGCAAAACGGGCATTTTTATACACGTAATCTATAAGAAACTGCAACAAAACAACGTCAAAGACTACACCAGTTTCTGATTCACTTGTTCTTGAGAATTGACGTACAAATGTATCATTAGCGTCAAGTTCGAAAATTGCATAGAGTAATGAAAGAACACGGGGGGTTGTAGAGAGGTATTCTCTGAGAGCACGGCGCTCAAACATTCCCAAAGTGTCAGCCGCAGCGGGGTCGAGGGAACGGATTTGGCCAGCACTTAGTACTTTACCATCATCGAGAGTTAAGAGGGCAGCATCAAAATATTTTGAGAGTTCATTTTGAGGGATATCTGTTAGTTTTCTATAATCAGAATCTGTAGGTTGAGTTTCTGTAATTTGAGTATTTTTAACAGGGAGATGAAAGATTTTAATAAAGTAGGCGATTTCGTATGGGGTAAGAATGGTAGGGTAGTTACGGAAAAAGTCACTAAAGAGAAGCATATAGCGGACAAGATATGGGGTAGTGATATTTTCAGCTTGTTTTTTGCGTAAGTGAGCACCAATGATTGGGATACTATCAAAGGATGATTTTCTGCGTTGAGTATTTTGTGGGACTTGAAGTTGTTCAGTCATTGTTTAGTTGGATTGGATTGTAATTTTATATATATTTATATATTGATAATAAAAAAGTTTTATAGATATAAATAACAAATTTAGGGGAATTTAAGGGAATTTAAGGAAATTTAAGGAAATTCAATGGCTTTTTATAGTTTTTTTTTTTTTTCCTTCCCCCCTCCCTAGTAGAGAAGGGTGGGGTTATTTGTTGAAAAACTCATTATTAGATCACAATGGAGGGGGGGAGGAAGATAAATTTTTTTTTTTTGTTTACACGTGCAGTTGCCAACAACACATTCTCAAAACTGTTGTTGATTTTTTACACACAAATAATAAAAACAACCCAATTCAAAAACAATTAGCCCCTCTGAAGTCCTTGGCAGAAAAAAAAAAAAAAAAAAAAAAAAAAAAAAGGACGACTTTGAAAAGAAAGAAAAAAAAAAATTTTTTTTTAACAACAAAAACAACAAAAACTGGCTGCCTTTTTTTTATTTGTTGTTGTTGTTGTTGTCAAATGCCAAGAGAAAAAAAAAAAAAAAAAAAAAAAAAGGCAGCCGGTTTAACTCACAGTGGATTGACGATGAATTAATTAAATAAATAAATAAATAAATAAATAAATAAATAAATAAATAAATGAATGGATGGAGGAAATAAAAAAAAAAAGGATTGCAGTTCATTGAAAAGAAGTTTAAAAAAGAAATTTGTTATAAAAAAAAAATGAGAATTTTTATATGAATAATTATTGATTTTTTCCGAATGGAAATATATATATATATATATATATATATTTAAAAATAAATTTAATAATAATAATAATAAATATTTTGAAAAAAAAAAAAAAAAAAAAAGAATTGGCAGTACAGAAAGACTTTAAAAAAAAATCCTTTTAATTTATTTATTATAATTATTATTATTAAAAATAACAAATATTTATATTTTTATATATTTTTTAGATTTTAAATGATTATCAATTATCAATTATCAATTATCAATTATCAATTATCAATTATCAATTATCAATTATCAATTACCAATTATCAATTATCAATGGTAATCTCACAGCCTCCTTTTTTTTTTATTTTTTATTTTTATTTTTATTTTTTTGATTTCCCCGCGTCTTAGTCAAAATCAATTTTTTTTCTTCCCCAGGTTTTTCCGCCGTGCTTGGCAATAAAAAAAAATAAAAAAAAAATTTAAACTCAAAGCAAGTCATCACATTTAAATCACATGATAATCACATGATATACACATGACAATTACATTTAAATCACATGACAAAATTTACCCTACATTTATACCAAAAAAAAATAATCCACTCATCCTATCCCTTACCTTGACCCTTTTTTTTTTTTTTTAAAAGAAAATATATATCAAACAAATCTCATCTTTTTCATCTCCATTCTGATCTTGAAAAAAAAAAAAAAAAAAAAAAATCCCTCTTTGATTTTATCATTATCAAAAAACAAGAAAAATATATAAAGCAATGTCATCACAACCTACAACAAAACCACTTTCTCTTAATGATTTAAGTCTTTTCGACACTCTCATATCATCATCATCATCTTCTTCTTCTTCTTCTTCTTCAACAACAACAACAAAAACAAATTCACAATCACCAGTTTCTCAAACAAATCATGCTCCATCTTCCAATGGATCTCTTCTCTTAGACCTTTTTTCAAAACCTACATCTACATCTATATCTTCATCACAACAACCAATATCTTATAATAATAATAATAATAATAATAATAATAAAACAACAACAACAACTACACTCACTTCAGCATTCAATAATCTCACCTTATCTCCCCCATCTTCTCAATTTTTATCTCCTACTATTCCTTCTGCTCCGTATACTACTTCTAATGATTCAATTCAAGATGCTGATGAAAGTTTTGGCGATTTTGAAGAGTTTCAAAGTGCTGACGACAACAACACTAACAACACTAACAACAACCCCTACGCACCTAAAGACGACGTAATTGTCGAATCACATGATAAATCACATGACCATGTAGCGCCGTCTGCGGCTTATCTCTTTGATTCCAACATTTGGAACCAAAACCCTTCAACAACAACAACAACAACAACAGCCATGGAAATCCCAAAAGCTTCAGAACCACTTGATCAGCCATTTTCTGCATTTAATAATACCAATATTTATATAAATACCAATAATAGTACCAATGATCATGATCATACTCATGCTCAAGACAATCAAGGAAATGAAAATGAAAATGAAAATGAAGATGAAGATGACTTTGGAGAGTTTGGAGAGTTTGTAGATGTCACTTCCCAACCTCAATCTCAACCAATCTTACCACCTACTCTTGCTCCTGTAACAGCTCCTCCTATCATCACCTCTTCCCCACCACAATCAAATAATCCTCCCATTAAATCCCATCTCAATGAATACCCAATCCAAACACAAATTAACCAGCTCTCTTCTCATGACCCTTCAACTCCTATAAAGTTTGGAATGCATGCTATAGAGCTCTCATCATCACCATCACCATCATCATCATTATCATCATCACCTTTACCATTGGATTCTTCTTCAAATAGTGCAAATCAAAAGGGCCCATCACCTATTGCCCAACAGCCTAAATGGGAAGATGTGATTTCTGCTCGTAAAGGTACTACTACCCCTCAAAATCATCATGCTCGCACTTCAAGCTCATCCTCACATAGAAAATCACTCTCTGGTGTGTCAGTCTCTGCAATATCACCATCAGGCACAATACATGCTATTTCAGGATCTGAACATAAATTAGTCAAGAGTAATGTGGCTACCCAGCCCACTCATCATCATCATCATCATCATCAACAACAACAACAAAAACCGTCTTCACAAGATAACAATTCATTTCTTATTGATACTTTTGATGATGATGAATCTCAAACAAATCATGGAATTGATCATAACCCTTCACCAGCAATGCTAGATTTGCTCCAGTTCCCACTAAATAAGGAATCATCTCAGTCTCAACCACACACACAACTACAAGCTAATGAAAATGAAAATAATGACGATGATGATGGATGGTCATCTTTCCAATCAACTGAACCAGCACCTGCTCCTTCTAGAGTCCCCGTGGCATCATCCTCTTCTCCTTCAAACAAACATCTCATTTATCCATCATCTAAACCTCAAAGAGGTCCTTCCCCTGCAGCCCGCTCCATTCTTTCCTCTAAAAGTCATCGCAAAACCTTATCCTCATCATCCGCTTCTGCTTCTGCTTCTGCTTCTGCTTCTGCTTCTGCTTCTGCTTCTGCTTCTTCTACAAACACACCCATGTATGCATCACTAGCCCTCCCTCCAGAGTACGCTTCAATTCCTTCCTCAATCGATCTTCTTCAACTCTCCCATTTGCATGTCCTACGCATAGTCGAGCCACTCTTTGCTTCGCTGGTACCCCTCTCCTACGCACTTAAAAAACGTGTACTTGCTGCAGAAAAAACTCGCGATTTCCTAAAGGGTTACTACTGCACTCTCTCAATTGTCCAACGTATCATGGCTGGACGTTACCGTAGACTCCCCATTCCTGCAGCACCCCCAGGAATACCGTCCCAAGAATATCTCGACAAGGAATTAGAACTCCAGCTCCAAGCCGACCGCCAGGCTCGTGAAGTCGAACGCGTCTGGACTCAAGAACTTGTTCCACGTCTTCGTGCTGCACATAACATATTACCCACCACTTCGATGCACGGTGGTGGTCCCAGGGCACATTCGACTTCAGGCAAAAAGTCAGAAAAGTACTTGGACCCTGATGCTTTTGTTCTTTCAGCTTCAGCTGTTGTCTCCAAACCTGCAGCTGGTATTCACGGTGCTGAAACTGATATATTTTCATCAGGAGCTCTTCGCCAGTGCGCTGTTTGTGGATTATACCCAGGCGAACGAGTACCTGGAACTGGCGCACGTGGGACTAAAAACTCGAAAAAATTGCTTAAAAGTGTGGCAAAGGAAATGCGTAAAGCTGAGGGAGGATCAATAGGAAATACAGAAAATGATGGGGAAGAAGAGTGGGCTCAAGGACATGGGGCTCATGCTGGGTTTGGTCATGTCACTTGTCTCAAATTTTGGGAACACCGAGCCAACTATGGTATTTGAAAAAGTGAAAAAAAAAAAAAAAAAAAAAAAAAATTTGAGAGTATCAGTAAGAAACAATGCTATACTCTTTCTTTCTTTCTTACTTTTTTTAATTTACAAAAAAAAAAAAAACTTAGTTATAACTAAGTTTTATATTATATTAATTGAAGAAAAAAAATATAGAATAAATGATTTAAAAAAAAAATTGCCAATGCCTATATGTATATATATATATTTTCATTTCTCCACTTCTAAAACGCTCTCTCCTTTTTAATCAAATGACATTTGAATATGCTCACCCTTTGGCGAACCGTACTCATCGTCATTGTCATATTCATCAAAGTACATTGCAGGTTTCGATGGTGACGATGACTTAGTTCCATAATTGTTCTCATCATCAAACGACATGGTAGGTTCGAAAGCTAATGGTAATGTCGTAGATACCCCAGTATGACCGCTGTTATAATGAGTAGTGCTATTACTAGTTGACCACGGCGATTGACTAACAGAAGACCCCTTGGTTCTATAATTATTCTCATAGGTGTCAACCGACGATAACTTTGTAGGATTTGATATTGACAAAGTAGAGGCCTCAAACGCGTTATTAGTACCGGTCAAAGTCTTGCTTCTGTACTTATTTTCGTAGTCATCTTCATCATCAAATGTCATGGCAGTTTTCGAAACCGGTACCGATGAGGACCACGACGATGTGGGAGTCGCCGCTGCACCCGCCGCCACCGCTGTCGTCGTTGTCGTTGCTGTCGTCATCGGTTTATTATTGTAACTGTTTTCATCGAAATCGTCAAACGACATGGTTGGTTTCGAAGCTGAAGCTGATGCTGATGCAGACCATGACGGTGTAGCTGGCGGCAATGAGGCCTTTGTTTCATATGTTTTATCATAATTGTCTTCATCAAAATCGTCAAACGACATGGTTGGTTTCGAAGTAGACACAGACGCAGAAGCAGACGCAGAAGCAGACGCAGACGCAGACGTAGACGTAGACCATGACGATGCAGCTGCCGGTAATGAAGTCTTGGTTTCATACTTTTTATCATAATTGTCGTCGTCAAAATCATCAAACGACATGGTCGGATTGGAACTGACAGATGCAGATAAATCACCACCATTCAAATGTATGCCGTTGGCTGCTGATGCTGATGCTGCTGATGTTGTGGGACCTGGTGGTGTGGCCCATGCCGAAGTGGCTTCATCCTCATCATCAGAATACCCAAAAGGATTTACTGGTCGCGAAGGTGGTGGCACAGGTGCAGCTGTAGAAACTATCGTATTGTTGGTTGTTGTAGTTGTTGCAGCCACAGACTTAGTCTCAGAAACTGTGGTATTTGCAGTTGTTTTGGAAGCCTCAGCTGCCCATGGAGATTCCTCTACACGCGGTGGTATATTTGTACGATCCACATACTCCGACGGACCTCTTGATATCGAAGATACATGCTTATGTACTGTTGACCGCGGTGGGGCTGCAGGGAACCCATTCCTTAGCCCTTGATTCTCAGTACTGGTATTATCATCGTACTTTACTTCATGCGACAAAGTAGATGACCGACCGTTCCGCAAATGATGCAAAGTCTCTGCCGCTCCTCCACGACTGCTGCCCGCCGAGGAGGTCCCGAGTGAAGGCAGAGTAGGCGACGAAACCGTGTGAGGCAACACATACGGCGCCTTTTGCCCCATGCGTGCTGCCCGGTCGTCTGCAAACGGATCTTCATCTGCACTTTCGTCTGTGTCGTACCCATCGTCAAACTCCATTTGTACGTGTCCACCGCCTCCACTACCCGTTTTGTTATTACTACTACTGGCTGTCCCATTCTTGGCAGTGTGTCCTGATCTAGTTGCTGCCGTCCCTCGGCTTTTCTCCGCTTTGGTCAAGGGAACCTCATCATTGTCAAAATCAAACTGCTGTGTCGTGATAATTCCAGTCCCGGCACTCACATTAGCTCCCTGTCGACCCAGCTCCTCAAGTTCTTTTCGAATAGCATCAACATCAAAAATAATATCCGAAGACGGGGTTCTGGGTGTGCTTGCACCAGATCTTGGCGTTGCTGGGGCTGATGCTGATGCTGATGCTGATGCTGCTGCTGCTTCCTCATCCTTTTTATGCGCATCCTTGATTTCTCGGTCGTACATGTCCCACAGTTCCTTTTCCTTAGGCTTAATCCAGTTGAACAATCCCTTCTTCTTCTTCTTGCCTTTACTCTTGCCAGTCCCAGTTTGCGCCAATGCTCCCGCTTCTGAGTTCGCAGCCTCCTTTTCCATTTGCTTACGAGCATCGTCAAACTCTTCCATCAGCTGGCGTTGTCTCTCGCGGTGTTGATCTGGATCTGGATCTTCAATTTCTTCAAACTCTTCACTTGAAACCTCCCACCCGAGATCCATCAATAGTCGGGGCATAGCCACACGGTATCCCATATGACCTTCAACATGTTCTGTCACGTCCACGTTTTCCACCGATGGTGCATCTTTGACCGGTGCCAATCCTGCCACCAGACCAAGACCACCAGATGTGGCACGGAAAAGGTATCCAAGAATCCAATCTTTTTTAGAGTAGCCGTTGACGAACCGACCAGAAACAACAGACCGAGCCAACTTGAACTGGTCTTTCTTGACAACAATAGGTGCTCCAAAAATTAAAACATCCTGCACAAGACCGTGCATACCTTGTCGTGCAAGCTCAACAAGGCATGAGTAAATTACACGAGCTCCAAGTGAGAAACCAACAAGAGTTATTGGGCGCACACCCAAGTTGCGACGAATTAAGGTATCTGCTAAAATCAAACCTGAGGCCCAAGCACGGTCAAGAGATACATTCCATGGATTGTCGAGCAAGTATCCGAGCTTACTCAGAGCCATGGGGAGTTGGATAGATGCCATTAAGGCTACAAGAATGGTTGAGCCAAGAATTTGCTGTACAGATTGTGTCAAAATTTCAGTTGCCAAAATGTTGATTGTTTGACCCATAGATCTCAGCATCTCAGGTTCCCACAACAGCGAGTAAACATCACCCATGACAGGGTCAATAGTAGAAAACGGTAATCTAACATCATCTTCTTTGCCAACCAGCCATCCAGAAACAGTCACAATGAGATTAACACGCTTATTATTGTGCAGCGGGCGGAACTCAAACGTCTTGACGTGACCCATGCGTCGGTTCATACCCTGGAGACCAATCTTGGAACCAAAAGCAATACCAGTTGTCGTGACAATGGCCGTACCACCGGCACCTGCTAGGAAACTGGCTGTACCGGAAATACCAATAGTCGACAAACCAGCGGCAAGACCAGCACCAATAACTGGAGCCAGCAGACCGGCCGACAAGCCCAGGACCAGACCACCACCAATGGTTGCAAGACCAACGTAAATATATTTTTTCTTGAGAGCCTTTTTACGGCGCTCTTCCATGATGTCTTTTTCGTTCCAAGTTTGGTTGCTGGCTTCGTCGAGTTCAAGAGCATCTGTTACCTTTTTTTCAAATTGCGCAATTTCCAAGTTGGACACTTCGAGATATAAACCTACGCGCATCATAAGTGTGCGTGAACGTGCATCATAAATTGAATCCGAGAGTAAGACCAAAAATAAATCACAAAGAAGAGTCCAGCGCACGTCAATCTCAATTTCACGGTCGTTGCTATAAGTTTCAGGATTTTCATAGTGCAAGTCTTCCACTTCGGCACGCGACCCGCGTGTTGTAGAACGGTGAAGTGTTGGGGTATCTGTGGGGGGTCGAGTCTTATCGAAAAAGGGGTTTTCAACTTTGGCTGATTTCAAAAGGGACGGAGAAAGATCCGTCGGCTCGATTCCGTGTGTAGATAATAACTCAATCATTCGTTGTTCTATACCAAAAAAAAAAAAAAAAAAAAAAAAATGTTAACAGTGTTAAACAATGACTTTTTTTAATCATAATCATACCTTCAGGAGAAAGATCCATATGCTTGTAAAGACGCATAATCATGAGTTGAGCCCAGCGGGCCATGGAATGCTGGGCATCTGAGAGCTTTTTGCCAATACGAAAGGACCCGGAAATCTGGGCAAGCTCCGTCGCCATTTCAATCATGGCTAATCTGCATAGACCGACGTAGGCAATACGTTGGCTATCACTAAGCATTTTCTTTGTAGTTTCAAGTTGTGCTAGTGGACTACGCTTGAACTCATCCTCGTCAAATAAAAAGTCTGTGCTTTCATCTAGCTCGTCCTTTAAGTCGTTGTCAGCAGCAGCTGTGATGCGAGTATACCCGTACTTGGATTCACCCCTGCTTTCGTCTTGGTTGTATGCTGTGCGTTTGCTGTACTCTTCATTGTAATCCTCCTTACGCATCACTACCCGTTCATTTTTATCATTGTAAACATCGTAGGAGGCCACCGTAGGCATTTCTTGCCAGTCCATGTCGTCATCACTATCGTTGGTAACTGGGACTTTGGGTGTTTTAGGGGTTTCTGTAGCTGTAGCTGTAGCTGTAGCTGTTGCAGATGCAGATGAAAGTGGAGGCAAAGTCCCCTTTTCACGATCCAGCTGCTCTTTCCGTGCAAGGCGATTTAAATGTTCTTGCTGCGGCGACACTTTTTCATGCTTAGGGGTTTCCGCAGAAGCCGATGAAAGGGGGGGAGGTGCGTAAGTAGCAGTTGAAGGAGCATTTGTGTCGATTTGTAAAGAGGGCCTTGAAAGTGAATGCTGGCTTGTAGTGTTTGCATTATACACCTTGTGGTGTGCCAATGCAACACTACTATCACCTTGGTTCCGGGACAAATTCGAGTGACTTGAAACAAGACTGTGTGAGGAAGAAGATTGGAAGGGGTTCTGCGGATGATTTCTGGCTGTATCTATACTGGAGCGAGTGGATTCCGACATGGAGTGACGGATTACTTGAGGGGCACCTTCTTTAGATGCATCAAACCGCATGATACCGTCCAGCGGGTCCTTGAGCCGGAACTCAAGATAATCGTCGTCGTCGTCGTAAACATATTCAGAGGACGAAGCTTGAGTGTTGTTGTTGGGTTCTGAAAAATGCGCAAGGCCTGAGGAGATGCTTGAAGCTGGCGAGTGTCTGAATTCAGATGACCCTGAAGATATTAGCGGTTGTTGTTGATGCTGCTGTTGGCCATGTTTGTTAGTATTTGCCGCACTGGTGGTGTTGCTCGAACCGTGAGGGTCCGAGTTTAAGGGGATATGCTGAGGGCCTGCCATAAGAACTTAACTGGTCTCAAGCAAGAAAACAAACAAAAGAAAATAAATAAGTTTCTATTGAGAAGTAAAAAGACGTCCCTGACAACCTATGTTAAAGTTTCTTATAGGCTGTTTGGAATTTTTTTAATATTATATTTTGTGTATTAACTGAATTTCTGGTGTTTTTGCATGCCAAAAAAAGGGTTGATCTGGAAAAAAATAACGGAGCGTGGCAGAAATGGGGGATGTGGAAATATGTGTAAGTAGAGATCACGTGTCAACGTATTCCAAGTCTAACAACGGGGGAGGTTTGTATGTTTGTTTGTGTTCTATCCACTACTATACTACTACTACAAGTTGCCCCGTTTGGAACAAAAAAAAAAAAAAAAAAAGCATCTAGTCAAATCTAAAGTTGATGTCTTTGCCAGTGTCATCTCCGCTATCAATCGGTCCTGCCGAGTCATCTTTAAGCTTGCGAAGTTCTGCAATCTCCTTCTGCATCTCTTGGAACGACCGCGAGCGCTTTAGCTGAACAACAATTGCTGGCATTCGTGCAGGGTGCTTGTTTTTGCGTCCTGAAATCATGTACTGATAAATAATGGGTAAGGGGTTATCGGCCAAGGCCAGATTGCGAAGTATGGCTTTGTGACGGTTTTGAGATGGTCTTGCATAAAGAAGTGATACAATAGAATCAATTTCCCTGAAAACCCGAAAATATTCAACGTTGCGTTGCATCAAATGACTTTTGGACAATACGGCCTTGGATCTCACCAACGGTGACTCGGGCTTGCACACATGCAAAAACGAGCTAAGGAGACGAACCAGCTCCTCCGGTACAGGCGGGACTTTGAGAGGGTTCTTGACCCCAAGCATATCGGCGTTTCGGTGGTAGGACTTGCGGTCGCTATGGATAAGGTTGTATGTTTCAACAAAGGTCTTCAGAATTTTAGAAAGCTCCGACGTGCATTGTACACAGTGGCCTACAATGGAATCACACATCTCATCAAGCGCAATTTTAAAGATACTGTAGCTCGTGGTACCGGCGGGGAACCCGTTCAACCGTACCAGTGCTGATTTTTGAGTCACGTAGGGACCAAGATCGTTGTAGCGTACGCGTAGATTGATGTCCCGGGTTGTCGACAGCATCATCTCAACACATTTTGAAATAGATAGCCAGTGACTGATGGCCCATAATGCCTGTCCAAACTTATATTCGTATATAACCTCACGGGACTGGAAATATTTATCTTCCTGGAAAAGACAGATAAAGTGTTTCTTCATATATGAAGACAAGATTGGAGGGCCAGGGACCTTTTTCGATCCTTGATGAAATATATTGTACCGGCCATATGACCCGGTAAAGTCGCCTGTTTTCCACCAAGAGACCATGGTTGCCCATATTAGTTGTGATGAGCCCAAATCATTATCGGGTATATAAAAATCATGCTTGTAGGCCTCTGGATCCACATGGCTGTCTGGACCCTCTGCGTATTTCCATCCAGGGATTTCCGCAAGTTCCCCAGATGCCAGCCCCTTTTCAAAAAAGGAAACAACTCCGTGAACCAGATTGAAAATAGGTTGTGTTATTTCAATACCTTGTAATTTAAGCGCGTTTAAACATGACGTTATGGTCATGCTCCTTTTATTCTCCACAAGCTTATAGTATATAGGGAAATGAACAGCATTAAATTTAAAAGATGACCTTTTACAAGTCTTCACCTTGGGGATATAAGCTGGCTTAATAAAGCTTTCATTGTTGTTTCTATCAGGAGCGGTTGCACTCATAACATCTGGACCAGGAAGGCTTTTAATCGAGGTGATGGTTATTCTAAGGTGTATTTAGTAAATTGATGGGATTTTGCAACTTTTTTTTTTTTTTTTTGAACGATGGGATCTTTTAAATTGATCACGTGGGGTTTGTTATTCATCTAACAGAAAATAAGAGATTGAAGAAGCTCATGGTGATGAAACAAACGTTGGCATTGAGATAGGATGCTATAAAATATGAAAAAAAATTAATAGAAGAAGCACCTACAGTTATAATTAAATGAAAAGAAATTCTTAAATTTTGTTAGGAATTAAAATACGGTTCGGTAAAACTAAGATTTAGTTTGAAAAGGGTCTCTAACAAATAATTTGTCCAAAGTTCTTCAAATTGGTGTCATATGCTCAATCTTTCGATATCCTTCTTATTCTAAGAAATAAAATACAACTCATTTTTGATATTGAAAATCTAATATTCCAAATCATCATAAACTTATAGATTTATGAAATATTGCCGCTGATATGATAGTGCTGAGGTCCTTGCTCAAACAAATAATTCCAAATTTCTTCTTTTGGATGTCAGTGCGGCGTCAAAAAGTGTTTATATTCATTTATTCCCACAACGAAGTCTCTGTTGCCAGCTTGGCTAGCATTTCTTTTACTTTTTTTTAAAAAAAATCTACAGATATATAAATACTTCCATATCTTTCATCTTTCTTTCCCTTTTACTCTTTTTTTTTTCATCATCATCCCACTTCTCCCGTCCTACTCTTTGCCTTACTGCTTTTATATTTACTTAAACAAAATTACTTAATATCTTTCCCTTACTTAAACATGCGCTTATCTGGCTTGTTAAAACTGTCTGCACTTGTTGCAGGTATTGCCCAGGCTGCCATCAACCCTGTTGAGGTTCGTGGTCGCCACTTTTTCGACTCTGTCACTAAAGAACCTGTATGTATTAAACAAGTACACTTTCTCATCACATCTAACATGTTTTCAATTTAGTTTTTCATTAAAGGTGTGGACTACCAACCCGGTGGTTCTTCTGGGTTTGTTGGCCATTCGGACCCTTTGTCTGATACCAATACATGTGCTCGAGATATTTTTTTATTTCAACAACTTGGTGTTAACGTAAAGCAGTGAGATTATGATATACATATTTTTTTAAACACATTGACTAACAAACAATTATGAAAGGCCGTCCGAGTTTACTCTGTCAACCCTGACTTGAATCATGATGACTGTATGACGCTTCTTGCTAATGCAGGTATTTATCTGATTTTGGATGTCAATTCTCCTAAGCCTGGGCAATCGCTTAACCGTTATGAACCATGGACATCTTACAATCCCAATTATGTCAATCACATTTTAAAGGTTGTTCACCAGTTTGCTGGTTACAATAACACGCTAGGCTTTTTTGCCGGTAATGAAGTAATTAATGATGACATTTCGGCCAAGGAGTCACCGCACTACCTCAAGGCGGTGATTCGCGATATGCACCAGTACATGAAGAATAACTCGCCTAGAGTTGTTCCCGTGGGATACTCTGCTGCCGATGACTTGCGATTCCGCACAAGTTTGGCCAAGTACTTTGAGTGCGGTGACGCCGATGTTGCGGTTGACTTTTATGGTGTAAACTCATATCAGTGGTGTGGATACCAAACATTTGAAACTTCTGGGTTTGACATTTTGGTCCGCGACTATGAAGACTATACGTTGCCATTGTTTTTGTCTGAGTATGGTTGCAATGCTTTGATGCCACGATTATTTCAAGAAGTGGAGGCTCTGTACTCTAACCGCATGACTAATGTTTTTTCGGGGGGATTAATTTATGAGTTTGCTCAGGAGCCCAATAACTATGGTTTGGTTGAGATTAACGAACAGGGCAGTGCTCAATTGCTTCCTGACTATAACACTCTTAAGGTCCAGTATAATATTACCCAGATTCACTATGACTTTTCCAAGGACCGTCAGGGAGTTCGCCCCGAAAAGTGCAAAAAGGCTTATCCTAATTTAATGAATGCCAATGCTGTTATTCCAGATTGTCCAGTTCCCGAGTTGATTAAGAATGGTGTGAAGGATGTTACACTTGGTAGTTTTGTGCAAGTGAGATTGAATACTACCATGTATTCGATTGTCAATGTGGACAAGACTGAGATTTTGGAGAAGAGAATTTTGACAACTGTTGACTGGAAAAAACCAATGGAGCAGCCGTCTCCTTGGAAGGAGCTTCGATTGTACAATAGCAATCCTGTGGTTAATGAGAAGCCTGTTAAGCAGGCACCTCCCACAGTAGACAATGGAGTTTCTGAGGCTAAGCCCTTGGAGGGCGTCAACAATAAGCTTGCAATTCCATCTGCAAATGAAAAGACGGTTACAAGCGGCGGGTTTATTCTTGACGTTACTCAGGGCCAGTCTTTCCGCAATGTTGCAATTGCTGGACTTGTTGTTGCACCCATTGTCATGGGTCTTGTTTTGCTGATTACTCAGTAAATGATGAAGAGAATGTTGAAAAAAAAAAAAAAAAAAAAAACTTCTTTTAGGTAGAAAAAATAAATGTATAAGTCACGTGTTTTTATATTTTTAATGTTGGCGGGTTTGTAATTTTTTTTTTAATTTTTGGAACTTTGCATCAGAACCCCTCACAAATATTATAACTTTACAAATACACACTAATAACAATGGATAATGGAGCTCAAGAATCGGACATGTCTGTGATCCTAGTATCGTCCGGATACGATCAGACAATTAAATTTTGGGAGGCACTGAGCGGAATATGTTCACGGACGATTCAGAATAGTGATGCGCAAGTGAATCGGATGGCAATTACACCAGATAAGCGGTTTTTAGCGGCGGCAGGTGCGCGAACAATTCGACTTTACGACATTCGGTCCAACAACCCGAACCCAACTCTTGTTTTCGAAGATCACACGGCAAACGTTACTGCGGTTGCGATTCAAGCAGATGGCAAATGGCTAGCGTCAAGCTCAGAGGATGGAACAGTAAAGGTATGGGATATGCGGACGGGCCATGTGCAACGCAACTATAAGCACGATAGCGCTGTCAATGACGTTGTAATTCACCCGAACCAAGGTGAGCTAATTTCTTGCGATAATGATGGTAATGTGCGGATCTGGGACTTGGGCGAGGACAAGTGCACTCACCAGCTGATACCCGAGGACGATGTACCGATGCGGTCAGTGTCGGTGGCGTCGGATGGGTCGTTGCTTGTTGCTGGTGACAACAAGGGCAACGTGTATGTGTGGCGGCTAGTCAATACCAAGGAAGCAACGGTGGTACAAGCGGTGACCAAGTTTCGTGCACATGGCAAGTACATTACTAAAGTTCTGCTGTCACCGGATGTGAAGCACTTGGCCACATGTAGTGCAGACTTTACGGCACGCATTTGGTCGACGGAGGGCGCGCAGTTTGCGCTGGAAACTACGTTACAGGGTCACGAGCGGTGGGTGTGGGATTGCGCATTTAGTGCGGATAGTGCGTACTTGGTGACGGCATGCTCGGACCATTATGTACGCCTGTGGGAGCTGGGCTCTGGGCAGATTATTCGACAATACAATGGGCATCATAAGGGTGCCATTTCAGTGGCACTGAATGATGTTTAATATGGAGGAAATGAAGAGGATAGAAATGAAGGACGATTTCAATGTAAATTTTCATTCAATTAATAGACTTGCATATTAGGGCTTTTTTTTTTTAAAAAAAAAAAAAAAAGGAAGTTTTCATAAGAAGAAAACAGATAAAAAAAACAAGAAATGGAACGTGTATTTTGATTTCTATTTTTTTTTTGAAATTTACGTATGTGTAATTGTGGTGACCAGGTATCACTTTTCAAGGAAAGATTGTTTTGCAAAACATGAAAGTGCAATTGTTAATAGTATAAAAAAAGGCCTTTATTAAGGAATTCTTGGGGGGGTTTCCTGTTTACTTTAAGTTTGTTTGTAAAAACATGGTATTTGGGTTTTAAAAATAAGGATTCCACAAGGGCAAGGGTTTGAGTAGTAATAGTATAAAAATATATATATATACGGTGTACCAAGGGTTAAAAAAAAAAAAGGACCCCTTACCCTTGTGGAATTTGCAACTTTTTTTTGAATTAACATATACAATTTGACAAGCTTGGTTTTAACCTTAAACTAGTGTTTTAACAAGTTATTTTACCACTATTGTTAACTTACATAACTTACATACACTTTGATAGGCATATGAAAAATAATTCTTTTCATGATCATGAATGATTTTAATTAAACAAACTGGATCCCTCAATGGTCATTGTACTAAAATAAAAATAAAAATAAAAATAAAAATAAAAATAAAAATAAAAATAAAAATAAAAATAAAAATAAAAATAAAAATAAAAATAAAAATAAAAATAAAAATAAATAAAAAATCAAAGAACTGTACTTTTGATTGTTTTGATAAGCTTGGGTTCAGTTAGGTTTATGTTAAATCAAAGGTTTCGATTTGACAACAGAATTAACTCATTTTCAAACCCTTTAAAATCAAATAAAATACTTTCTTTTTTTTTTTTTTTCAAATTATTACCGTATGATAAGATAATAAATCAACAGGTCGGATAGAATTGAGCTTTATTAGCATTTCTTAAAATGTCTAAAGTTCAAGATACTTGATTCCTTTTGCCAACTATAAACATTATGTACCTCAATTCACAAATGTCGATTATAAGATGATTAAAATGTTTGTATACAATTGAACAGTCCATTCATTATCAAGTGAAAATAAACCTTCATTCACTTGATTTTATAACCTATCATTTTCCATTACCATTACCATTATCACCATCATCAGCATTATCAACATTATCAACATTATCAACATCATCAGTTTAATACTAAAGAATACAGCACACAGGTCACTATAAGATTTTTCCGGGAAAAAGAAGATTACCCGGGTGTATACAAAGAATCGGGACCCAAGCTAAATTTCCTTTTTCTTTACATGCATTTCACACCTTCTTGTCGGACTGTCGTTACCCGATTTGGCAATGCCACTTTTTTTTTTTTTTTTCAGTTGACATCTCTCATGAAACGAGCTGAGAGACTTGTTTTTTATGAGTTCATAGTCGAGTGTATTTGTAGCAAATGGAATCAATGGTTTTATCCCATTGATTCTATTACTAAGTAACAATATAACAATAACAAAAATAATATTAATATTAATAGAGAGTACCACTGAAATTGTTTTAGTGGTGGTACTTGGAGATGGATGATGATGATGATGATGATGATTAAGATATTACAAAAGCAAGTGCTGAAAAATACGGACGGTGCATGACATGGGCCGGACAAGGAGAACCGTGGTCGGGTTACGTAAGATGCAGTGTTACATAAGCCACTATAAAATCGGCGGTCAGCAATCGGCGGTCGGCGGTCGGCAAGCTACGGTTAAGCGCAATGCAGGTGCAATTAAGTTTACAGGGTAAGTATGTGAGCACTGAATGTTATTATTTTTGTTTTTTTAATTTTTTTTTTTTTTTTTTTTTGCCTCGTTCTCGGTCCTACACCGGAGACTGACTACAAGCCTGTATACACTTAAGTATATATTTAGGTGTGTGTTTAAAGCCTGACTAGAGCGCTGGCTGTAGTGGGCTGTTCTGGTGGGCAGTGCGCGGGCGTGTGTGGGTGAGTGTAAGTGTAAGTGTGAGTGTGTGAGAATGTGTGCGCCTCGGCGGTTTCAACGGCAGTTGTAGCGGCTTTTGGATCGGCGACTGGGAATTCAGCAGGCTTTTTAATTTTTTTTTTTGTTTTTTTTTGTCAGAATTACAAAAAGGAGACGATGACCAGGAAAAAAGAAAAAGAAGAAGAAAAAAACCGCGTGTTGTTGGTGTGGCGTGCTGTTGCTGCTGCTTAACTGGACTAGACTGGACGGGTATGGCAGAGGGCAAGGCAAACAGACAAGCGCGGGCGACCGGGAGACGTAAAGAAGAGGCGGGTATGGGAAGAGGTTAGGGTAAAAAAATGACAAAAAGGCAGGAGAGAGAGAGAGAGAGAGAGAGGAGAGGATAAATGACATCGGTATGGGGATGTAATAAGTCATTACATGAAAACAAGGTTTTATATATAGTTGTAATATATATATTCCAGAGTGCTGGTTTTATTTTTGATTTTGGGTCCTAGTCGGCAATTCGGGTTGCACCGGCATGCCGGGTAAAAATATTTTTTTTTTTTTCTATTTGGGATTTGTTTGTTTGTGTGTGTGTGTGTGGGGGAGAGAGAAAAAAAAATCACCCAAAAAGCCCAAATAGGTAAAAGCCGCGGGACCTATCCTAGAAGTACGATCCTCTCGGTTTAGTTTTTTTTTTTCATTTAAAAAAAAAATTAATTTCAAACGAAAGAAAAACAAAACCAACAGGTTTTTTTTTTATTTATTTAAAACAATCAATAATGATCATTTGTTTGTATATAAATATATATATATTGATATGTTTTAGAATATGAACTTAAGTGTTTTGGAAATACATGCGTATAAATATTTTTGGTATGGCCTCAGAGATATGTGGCGGTACGGTACTATTGAAGAAAAAAAAAAAAGGAGAGATGCGGGCCTAGCACAGTGATCATATGGTGGGGGAGTGGCGGGTCGGGACACACAAAGGATAGGAATAAAGAAACCCTTTTTTAAGGCAAGTTTTTTTTTTTTTTAAAAAAAATTAAAAAAAAAATTAAACAAAAAAGCCTTTTTAAAAATATCAATCAGTATATATATATATATATATTTTGAGTTTAAGTCGGCTTTTCTACAAAGTTAATGATGACCGACTTTTCTTGAAACTCTTGTTGTTGTAGTTGTTGTAGGTTTTAAAATCTTAGCATCAGTCTTAGGCAAAGCCCCCCTCCCCTCCAAAAAAAAAAAAGCATTGGCGAAAAGCATATGCATTTATATTAGGTCTTCTAAAAAAAAAAAAAGCAAGCCAAACCTATTATGGTGGTGACAATTCTAGCGGTTGATGTCGGGATGTCCTATTTAGGAGTCCGGATAAGACGAAGACGAAAAAGAACAACATTAAGAACAACAAGAACATCAAGAAGTAATTTGATTTCATATGATCATATCTTGTCGTTTCTTTAATTTTCTTCTTCTTCAATATATTTCAATATATTTTACTAAAGAAATAAAGAAATAAATTACGCGGTCGGTGGGGCTCCGGGGCCCGAATGCCACGTGGCGCCGCTGTCTTTTTGTTTCTTGTTTTTTTTATTTCTTTATTTCTTTATGTCCAGAACGGAAATCGTCGTTCATCGTACAGCTATTATTAAATACACCGCTTGGCCCGGCACTTTAGGCACAAGAAAAGTGAGTTTTTTTTTTTTTTTTTTTTTTAAAAAAATTTGAGATTTTTTTTTATTTATTGAAATTTTGTAAAGATAAAATTCCAGTCGGATCCCAATGTTTTTGAGAAAAAAGAAAATGAAGATTGAAAAAAAAAAAAAAAGAAGGGCCCGTCATTCAGTTTAAAGAAAATATATAAATTACGGAGGACCCCGTTATATTTAAGTAATTAGAGTGATATATTTATATAATAAATGGGCACACTGCGGTATCGCACTACATTTATAAATATTTATTTTTCACTGGAAAATCATCACAAAAAGCCCAGCCGTAGTAATAATACTAATAATAATAAAAACCCTCCCATCATAATTTCCAAAACAATTATTACTACGGTTTCTATCTCTTTGACCTTTTTGATATTGTTTTCGTGATATTGTACTGGAGTCTGGACGGTTTTTTTTTTTTTTTTTTTTTTCACGTTGTAAAGTTTTTTTTTTGAAAATTTGAAACCCGTATGCCCCGTAGAAAAAAAAAACGAAAAAAAGACTTTTCACCAGAATGTTAAAATTGAAAAAAAAAAGAAAAGTTGCACGACCTTCTATTTATATTTCTCTTTTATATATAAAAATCCTATGTGGTAGCCAAAACTACAATGTCTTTTTTACCTGTTTGCTCAATTGCTGCTTATATGGCCAGGACGCGTGTGTGTGTGTGTGTGTGTAAAGTCGGAACCTCCCCAGAAAGGCTCCGCCCAAAAATTTTTTTTTTTTCTTATAAAGACCACCAACAATCCCGCCCTCACACACTCACACACCTACTACCCACCCCTCTTTGTAAAATTCTTTTTTTTTTCTTTTTTTTTTTTTAGGTCCGTTCTGAAAAATCTTTCTCTTTTCTTTCTATTCTTTCTTTAAAAAAACCTCCATTGATACATTATATTGATTCGATTTCTTTTGATTTTCATTTAATTTCATTTCATATTTGTATATCCAATTAATAACAATAAAAAACAAGGACAATCTTTCTATTCTTTTATATCACTCCATTTTTATGCTTCAACCTTCTTCTTTCCAGCCGCTCAACAAGCGCTCATCGCCTGCAGCATCAGCGACACCTGCTCAAGCTTCAAGCAATGGTCCAACTCCAATCGAAGCTGCAATCAGTCCAACTTCAGCTCATGTCCAGCTCGCGCGTAATGGCCATCTTCTTCCCGGGTCCGACTCTGTTCCGGGTTCCACTCAGATTCAGCAACAGCAACAACATCAACAGCAGCAACTACAACAACAACAATTAGTCTCTGATCAAATCTATGGAATCAAAATAGAAGACGATCCAAATATGATTCTTGCTTCTCGAAGAATCGTTCAAGCTCCGGGTACCGACAATAACTTAGTATCCCCTTCAACAGCAGCTGCAGCTACAGCGGTAGTATCGGCAACAGGTCAAACAGTAACGCCACCTGTCTTGGCGGGACTTAGTCAGCACTCGGGCTTTGTGGAGGCCCCGCTCGGCTCCTCCAATCAAAACGACCCCCGCACCGACCCCACACCTAGTGTTCCGATTTCTTCAGATACTCCAGGGACTGGAGCAGCAACAACAGTAACAGCGCCATTTCAACCTCAGCAACAACAATCACATGTTTTACAAGAAAATGCATTAGCCCCGGGGTCCGAATCAACAGTAAGGTTGTCTTCTAACGGGATTCTTTTAGAAACATCAACATCAACAGCACCAACAGCAACAGCAACAGCACCAGCACCAGCAGCAACAGCAGCAACAGCAGCAACAACAGTAACATTGCTAGCAGCGGCAGCACCACCTGCGACAGCTCCTAATTCTGCAGTTACTCCTCCTTCTATCCCCACAGCAAATGCCCCCGGCAGCCACGGTGCCGCAAGTGCCGCGGCTCCCATGACTAATCAAGTAGTCACCAACAACACTTTCTCCACCTCCGCAACATCTACTACGCCCCCGCCCGCAACAACAAACCCAAACCCAACTCCGGACCCGGGTAAACAGACCCCTGGTTCTACAGCTACAAAGCCGCCTCATCACCAGCAACAACAGACCGGATCGACAACCAACCCGACCCGCTCCTCTTGGGTCTGGAACTTTTTTGTTCAAACACCGGAAAACCCATTCCGCGTCCAATGCCAATTTAGACCATCTTCAGACTCGCCCGAAATCTGTGGCGTTGTCTTAACCCGAGACAAGACTGGCTCTACTGGTTCCATGTGTCGACACTTGTCTCGCGTCCACCAACTTCTTCCCTCACACGCTGCTGCTGCATCTTCTTCGGCTTCAAACAAACGTGGTGGTAGCTTTGCTGGAAGTTCAGGATCAGGCACTGGTAATGCTCGTGGTGGATCTTCCTCTTCAACTACAAATACTAATGGCAACAGCTCTAATGCTTCTGGCGCTCAGAGCCCCGGTGGTAATGGCGCTGGATCCAAATCTTCTTCTTCTTCGTCGTCTTCTTCTTCATCTTCATCTTCTGCTAACTCCAATGTTGTAATTATTAATGGTGTTGCTTATAATGAAAGCCCCAATGGCCTTAAAAAACTTAGCACCCCGCTTAACAATAATAATAAGAGACCCCTCGATTCTTCCTCACTGGATCATGCATCTAAGCGCGCAAACAACTCAGGCTCTGCAAACTCTTCAGGAAAACCAAAATCTCGATCTAAAGCTAATTCAGTGCGGGGGAATGCTGCAAATTCTGCAGCAGCAGCAGCAGCAGCAGCTGCTGCTGCCCCAGCACCAAAGTCCAAGTTTACACACTCGTACATTCTTAACAATCTTTTGCCCTACTACATTGAAACCGGCATTGTTTTCTACGAGCCTGACTTTTACCGCTTTAAGGCGCACCTTTTGTCGACGCTGCAAGTGCCAACATTACCTTCGGAACTGCAGTCATTTGCCAACTTTTGCCTTTACGCACAGTCCCGCTACCAATCCACCCGCCAATCCATTAAGCGCGAGCTATCAAGAGCCCCAGGCCTTATTTCTCTGTGCTGTGGTGTTTGGAAATACGAAGATTCCAATGCCACTCAATCCACTCGTTTTATTGAGAAAAATATGATGTTGATTGTCACTGCTCGCTATGTTGATGCTAACTGGACTCTTCGTCGACTACTTCTTAAGATGATTCCCACCCGTTGGTACACTACTAATGTCGTTGCAGAGATTCAGAAAACTGCGCTGGAGTTTGACATTTCTGGCAGAATTTTTACCATTGGCATTGATGGCACCCAGCATAATCTTGATGAAAACGAGCTTAAAGTTTTGGAAGAATCTCTTAAAGATACCGAGGCGGCACTTACCGTGGGTATTTTCAAGCGCAAGGCTTCCGAGTACACTTCACTAATTCCCCGTCGATCTCTTTACTATGGTCTTGATGAGGAACTTGGTGAACTCCAGTTTGACTGCGGCGTTGACCGACGTTCGTTAGTTTTTGACAGTCTTGTTTCACGCATTTCCAAGATTGTGGATAATTTGATTTATGGCCCGCTTTCTCCAGTCATTTTGCTTATTATGAAGATTGAGCGCATTGCCGATCAACTTGTTGGGACCGTCACTCTGCGTCAGCAAATGGACAAGATTGTGGTTAAGGAAGTTCCTGAAAACTCATCTTCATCATCTGTCATGCAATCTCTTTCCCCCCATCTTTCAGATGACCCTCACGAGCTGCTCCAGTTGCAGCGCCGCGCTGAGCGCAAGTCTCTTCGTGATTATGATGATGACGATGATGAGGAGGATTATGAAGATGCTCTTAAGCGATTGGAACTCGATGGCGAGTTTAACAATTGTAACAAGGACGGTAATGATGAGCTTGTTGGCTGGAGATCTGTTTTCGTCATGCTCAAGAACGCCGAACTCAACTTGGACATTATCCGTAAACGCTCGATGCTCACTGAGGAAGATATTGACTTGCTTCAAGCTCTTGTTTCTATTCTTAAGCCCATTTTCACCACCATTAGTGACTTGAAGATTTCATCTTATGATACTGCTGGTGTGACTGCTTTTGCGATTGAAACCATGATCAAGAGTGTTTTGGACATTCACACTAGAAATCCCAACAGTAACAAAGCTCTGAGCACCAATAAGCAGATTTCGGCGTTGGTGAATGCCCTTGAAGAGCTTTACAAGGAACGCATTAGCGATAATATGCTATACTCGTGCATTGCTGTCATGGACCCTAACTTTAAGCGTGTTTACTGGCATATGGATTCTGCCATGCAGCAGCGGCTGTCTGAGACGCTACGCAAAGGCGTTTTGTGGGTCAATGATCGACGCAAACATGTGGGCATTAAAGGTTTTGATGAAGAGGGTGCCAGTCTTGGTGACGAAGACAATGACGTTGAAATGGGCTACGCTAACAAGTCTGGCCGATCGTGGTCTGCATCTGGTATTGCTGGAAGTAATGGAAGTAGCAGTGGCAGTAATGCTGTGACTTGGAATGACATTTTGCCATCGCCTGTGCGTGAGTTGAATGAGGAAAGCAAGCGGTCAAAGGACGATGTTGTTATGGAGGATTTGGTTGGAGATGCTTGTGGTAGCAGTGTGGCAAGCACACCCACGCGCAAGAGCGAGAGTGCTGGGTCTGCGGTTAGTGGAACTGGTATTATTTCTTCTTCATCTGGTGGAGCTCCTGGTGAGCAGCTGAAGGATGAGGAGCCTAGTTTTTTCCGCACGCTTGTTTCTAAGGAGAAGCCGATTGACACTGTTGAGGTTGAGATTGGTGAGTACTTACGGGCTCATACTGGAACTAAGTTTGTGGACCCATATCAGTGGTGGAAGACAAAAGGACAGATGCAATTTCCTGCGTTGAGCAAGTTGGCTATGACTTACCTGGCTATTGCTGGTTGGAACACAGTTGTTCATAACCAGCAGTTGTATGAGGGAAGTGCATTACTGCCCTGCCAACGACGCCGTGGTCGACACCAGTTTGTGGTGAAGCCTGCTAGTACTGCTGCTGCTGCTGCCGTTGCTGCTGCCTCTGCTGCCTCTGCTGCTTCTGCTGCTTCTGCTACTGCTACTGCTACTGCTGTTGATGCCAATACCTCGAGCTCTACATTAGCTTCTACGACGATTACGAGTGCAACGGCGACTCCTGCAGCGGGGACAGCGGCAGCTGTTTCTGCGGGTAATGAACTTTCGCCTAAGGCCACAACTTCTGAACTTACTGCTAACTCAAGTGCAGTTTCAGGGGAATCTGCTAGTGCAGGTGGAGCAGCTGGTGCTCTGATGAAGCTTGCTGGTAGCAAGACACCAGAAACTGAGGAAAAGCCTAGTGGAATCAATGGTGAGGCAAGTACAGCCGGAGCTGGTTCTGAGAATGGTGTCAGTGTAGCTGGAGAAGCTACGTCTTTAAAGGCAGCAGATGGTGTGACTGCTGCTGCTGAGAGTACCACAGGATCAGTTCCAGAGAATGCAGGAGCAGTGACAACGGCGGCCGGTGAAAGCTCATCAGCCGAGGCAACAACAGCAGCTACGGGAACAGGGCCCTCGGTGAGCACTTCTGGACCAAATCCCGCTGGAGTCACTGTTGTGGAGAGTACGGCATCAGGTGCGGGTAGTTTCAGTAATGGTACTATGTCTGAGACTAGTGCCAATGCACCTGCGGCAGTTCCGGCGGCACCAGCAGCACCAGCAGCACCAGCAGCACCAGCAGCACCAGCAGCACCAGCAGCACCAGCAGCATCAGTAGCATCAGTAGCATCAGTAGCACCAGTAGCTCCAGCAGTTCCATCTGTGGTTGTTTTGGAGAAGATTCGACCTGAGCAAGAAATGTGTCTTCGATACTGGACTCGGTATTATCATGCTCCATGAGTTTGATAGTCGTGTGTATTATAACCATTTGTGTTTGTTGCAATAATAATAATAATAATGAATAAGAATAAGAATAGTAATGATAAATTTAATATAGGATATTACAAAAAAAATATAATGAAAATGTAATTGTAACTGTAATTGTCATTCATAAACAATAAGGATTGAAGAGAATCTGGTGGGGTAAAGTTACAACCGTTTGTGAGTGTGAGTGGTACAATTATTTGTTAATGAAAAAAAAAATTAAAATTAAAATTAAAATTATATAATTGAAAGAATCCAAAATGAATTTTTTTTTTTGGTGTACATTTTGTATGAAATATCTTTATATATATTATGATAGTAGTCGACCAAGTTCCAATTGCCGGAAAACCCGTGATTAAGTTGTTAAACTTATGATTAAAGATTAAAGTGGGTAATGAGAGCCGAGTAGTTTATATTTAAAAGTGTGATTGATAAATAAGTTAGTGTAATCGATTAATAAATAAATAAATATAAATAAATAAATGTAAATGTAAATATATATATGCAAAAAAACAAAAAAAACAAAAACCAAAATGGTAATGCCAAAAGGGAGTAAAGAATTTAGAATAAAAGGATTTGCAAGACGGAAAAAAAAAGGGGGTTAAAGGGGAGTTCAGATATATATGATTGAGAATATGATCATGATATAAAGATTATCTTTATAATAATAAATAAATATATATATATATATATATCACTGTAATAATTACAATTGGTTATTGATTGATAATATTAATAACCGGTTAAAGATATAAGCTCATTATCACGATAGGTAGGGATGGGGAAAAAAAAAGTGGAAAAATAAAAGAAGAATAATAATAATAATAAAGATAAAGATAAACAAAGGGAAGAATCAGATTATAATCTGATATATAATTATATATATATTCATGAAAAATATTTTTGAATCAAATCATTCAGGGCTTTCTTTTATTTTTTTTCATTTTTATTTTTATTTTTTTTTTTGATTTGTTAAAATTATTATATTCTAAAGACTCAATTACAAAGGATAATTATTATTATTATGATGTTAATGTTAATGTTAATGATTATCAATTATATTTAAGTCCACAGATGCTAAAATTTCTCTGGGAAGGTTTCAAAAGCCGAAGTGGATGGCTTTTTTTTTTATTTTTATTTTTATTTTTATTATTATTATTATTATTATTATTAAAAATTAAAAAAAAAATAATTTAACAATGGAGATTTTCATTTAATAATTGAAAATTTATTTGAAAAAAAAATTAAAAATTAAAAATTAAAAATAAAAAATTAAAAATTAAAAATTAAAAATTAAAAATTAAAAATTAAAAATTAAAAAAATTAAAAAAAAAAAAAGGAATTTTTCACCAATTAATTTTTTTTTTTTTTTTTTTTTTTTAAGATACAACTCATTGATACCACCACGTAGGACATAATAATCTTTGTAAAATAAAATAAAAATACATGCCAAACTGTGTGTGGTCTGTATTGTATTTATTTTAATAATTTATTATTATTTCAGATATAAAATGGCTTTAGACGGATAATTTAATTTTTTTTTTTAAAAATATATATATATATATTTAATATAATAATAACCGATTTAATTTTTGTTGTTGGAGACAATTGAAATCTTCAGACTTTTTTTTTTTTTTTTTTTTTTTTTTTTTTTTTGAAAAATTATTCTCATGTGAAGAAAAAAAAAAAAAAAATTTCAATTATACGAAAAGAAGAAGAAGAAGAAAAAAAAATTAATAAAATTAAAAAAATAAAAAAATAAAAAAATAAAAAAATAAAAAAATAAAAAAAAAATAAATAAAATAAATATTTATAAATCCATTTATAGGAGATAAACGAAGCATTCAATATATTATTATATACATATTTATATATATATAAAAAAGATATACATCCCCAAGACCTAATTATTTTATTTCTTTTTATTTCTTTTTTTTTTAAACACTTAATAAGCTTAACTCCTCCTTTTTTTTTCTTTTTTTTTGCTCGGCCCATAAAAAGATTCCCCTTTTTTTTTATAATTTTTATAATTTTTATAATTTTTATAATTTATTTTTATTTTATTTTATTTTTTTCCCCTTCTTCTTCTTCTTCTTCTTCTTCTTCTTCTTCTTTTGATTGTCAATTCTATTCAATTTCACAATCTTTCCAATTCCTCTTTTTCTCTCTTTTTCTCTCTCTCTCTCTCTCTCTATCTCTCTCTCTTACTCATAAATAAATAAAAATTTCCATTCTATGAAATGACAAATTCCACAGATTCTTCAACTTCATCCTCACGAGCATATACCTCTGCTCAACAACAACAACAACAACAACAACAACAACGACAATACCCTCCTGCTCCTTCACGTAAACCTGTACGTAGCGTGTCCCGGAGAGCATGTCTCAACTGTCGTGAAAAAAAAATTAAATGTGACGGAATCCACAAGTGTCGTACATGTCGGGCAAATAATCTCGAATGTATTTTTGTCAAGAGTCATCGTGGTGGTCGCAGAAATAGGAAAAATACAGATGGAACTGTTGCAACAACAACATCAACATCAACATCAACATCAACATCAACATCAACATCAACATCAACAACATCATCAGCATCAGCATCAACATCATCAACTCAGAAAGGCCCAGAAATTACTGTCATTACTTCAACAACTTCTTCAGTTAATAAAAATAACAATAATAATAACAGTAGTAGTAGAAGTAGAAGTAGAAGTAGAAGTAGAAGTACTAACAACAATGCATTAACTACAAGAACAACTTCATCATCCTCCATCACTCCACCAAGTGGCCCTGCAACTCCTGGAATTCTTCGCAATCCTAGTCTTTCGCGATCACCCAGTCTTTTTGAACAACACAATCATAACCATCGAAATTATCAACATATGGCTTTGGGTCCTACTTGTTCTTCATCATCTTCTTTGGTAGTTCCACCTACAATAATACAACAACAACCTTCTACTTCGTCTACGTCTACGTCTACGTCTACATCTAAATCTTTTACTTCATGTACACCTGCAATTCTTTTACCACCAATCATCAATGGAAGAGATTCTGCGATATCTAATACCATAGGACCTGCTTCTTCATCATCTTCACCATCTTCTTCCAGAGAAGCTTCGAATCAACAACTACCACAGCAACACCTTTATGGAACACAAGTGATACCTTCAAAAGCAACCTACCAAATACCCGGGCAACAACTCCAACAACACACACAACAGGGTCTTGTAAGGAGGAGTTCTGGGCCAGTTGGTCTGGGGCCTCATATTCAACAAAATCATCATCATCACCATCACCTTCATCATCATCATCATCATCATCCACTACAGCAACAGCAACAGCACCAACATGATGCACTCAGACTTATTCATCCACATGTGACCACTCCATTTTCAGATTCTCACATGTCAGTCGGCCCCATTGACAATGGTATTAGCCATCCGCTGGTCACATCTTCGTCTTCTTCGTCTCCATCTAACTTGTCTCCACCTTTGTCTTCAGGACGTCTGTATACTACATCGGCGTCACCTCATCATGGAATAATACCAGCAAGAACAAACAGCAATAGCAGCAGCAGCAGCAGCAGCAGCAGCAGCAGCAGTAGTAGTAGTAGTAGTAGTAGTAGTAGTAGTAGTAGTAGTAGTAATAGCAGTAGCAGTAGCAGTAGCAGTAGCTGTAGCAACACTAACACTAACATTAACATTAACACTAACACTAACGTCAACTCCAACGTCAACTCCAACGCCAACTCCAACAGCAATAATCTTCATGCTCACCAAAATAATTCACTACCAGTAATTAATGCACTTCCTAAACATGAACATCAAACTCGATTCATGTCTTTACCACAGCTACCACCTATCCGTTCCGTGGGAACAACATCTAGCTCTACTGTTACCAGTGTATGTGCAACAAGTTCAAGGCCCATGGCCACTGCTTCAGTGTCTGTGACGAATAGTCAAGCAACTCATAGTGTTGGAGTGGTGACGAATCACACAACAATGCAATCAGGACTTCAAAATTATCCTCAGAAGATCCAGAATTACCATAATAATCATCACAATTCACATCCTAGTCAAGGTTCTATGGCTGGAGCCGATGCCCTGATGGCTTTGCCTCCATTAAGGTACCCTGCAACAACAACAACAACAACAACGGCAACATCACCACCACCACCACCACCACTGACCACTAAGATATCTTCATCAACTTCGCCAACAAATACATCTGCTTCTATACAAACCACTACTGTAGCAGCAGGTTCCAAAGATGACACTACGTTTTTCAAAAACCCATTCACACATGGAATCCATGGCACAGCCATGCAACCTGTTTCTTTGACGTCATCATCACCACCGTCTTCTAGTTCATCAACAAGTTTATCATCTTCTTCATCAAATTCATCATCTTCATCATCATCATCTTCTTCTTCTTCTTCTGTGGCTTCTTCAGTGTCTTTAGGATCCTCTGCTACTCCTTTTTCTTCGATCGGGTCATCTCAACAACAACAGGCATCGTTGGATGCGCTTCGAAATCAAATGATGGCATCTCCTCCACAACAACAACTACAGCAGCAACAACTACAGCAACAGCAACAGCAACAGCCAGCTCCTCTTCCTCCGTTATCTTTTAAGAAACCTGCAACTCGATATCCCGGGTCATCTTCATCTTCATCTTCATCTTCGGTATCATTATCTTCTGCTTCCTCTTCAGTATCTTCTTCAGCATCATCATCATCATCTCAACAACAAGGAAATACCCGGCCACCTTCGTTTGGCGTTTCGCCTCGACATTCCGTTATTCAAGGAGATTCTCTAAGTCCGCTTGCTTCTTCCTATCCTGGTCATTCTGTCAGTCGCTGGCCTAGCACGTTAAGTCCTATGTCTCCTAATAACAATTCAGTAAACTCGATACCATCTTCATCTTCTTCATCTTCATCTTCTACTTCATCGCCATCTTCCTCGGTCGCCGTTTCCTCGGGCTCTTTATATTTTCAACAGATTAACCTTCCAAACTCTTCTCGCCCATTAGCCACAGCTGTTGCAACACCCCACCACTACCACCACCCCCTCCTCCATAACCATTTCTCGGCCGGCCTACCGGAAACCCCGCGGTTGACACCCAGTACGGTAAATCTTTCCAAACAAACTTTCAGGGTTCAGCAGCAGCAGCAGCAGCAGCAGCAGCAGCAGCAGCAGCATGAAGATTATCAGAAACAATCAGACTCAAAATCTTCACCAACTTCCCACGCCGCCGTCGGGGGGCCTCGGGCGTCTCCGGGATTTGTTTCTTTGGTCAGTTGTTCCTCTACTGATACTGCAGACTCCATTAGGTTCACAACTGATGACAACCCTCAGGAAACAACCAACGGACCGAATAGCGGACCGAAAAATGAACAGTCACACAACCGCAATTCCATCAAACCAACAGGCTTAAAACAAGAACCTGATATAAGCACTGGGTCTGCATCTCGGTCTGTGTCCCGGAAAAGGTCTCGGAAACCCCAGCAAGATACAAAACTAATAGCCACGGAAAAACCTCACCCTGGAAAAATTTCGCCAAGCTTAAACTCCGTTCCTGATGGAGCTTCATCGGCACCCCTCACGAATCTCGGCTCTCACACGCTTCACAAAGCAGCCACAAAAGCCAAAACTCCGCAATCTACGGAGACCTCCTCGACGGTGTCCGAGGCTTCGCATCGGGTTTCTAATACACGGGCAAATACAACAACAGCACCATCAACAAGAAAAAAAACTAGTCCATCAATATCGTCATTAAATACCTGGTGGAAACTCACGGACATTGATGTTGCAGAACTCGACTTGCCGCCATTTGCAATTGCCCAATTACTTGTGGACCTCTTCTACTCTCATGTTCATCCAGCATACCCTCTGCTTCCCTCATGGAATGACTTGCTTGCTGCTGGACTTTCCGTGCGCACCCACTGCGCCTTGCTCCACGCCATGTTTGCGCTCAGTTGCCGGTTCCTGGACGCATGCATGGGGACTCTTGGTGAACTTCCTAGCTATCACGATTACGACCATGTTAATAACGATGAAGATAATCAAAACAGCGACAATAAGAAATATGCAATCCCTCAGCTGCCTGAATATATCAAAGACCCGGCTTACTGGCATACCCAATTCTTCAAACATCGCTGCTCATTAGACTCTACCCGAGCCGCACAGGCCCTGGTTCTCGCCTGTATCTCCATAATGTCCACAGCTGGCCCTCTTGCCAACCCTTCGCCGCTTCTTAATCTTCTTGACGAGGCCCAGCGTGTTGTTGATGCCGTATTTATTTCTGTTATCACAACTGCTGATGATTCTCCGCGCGTTTTACTCGACTACTGGCGCAGAACTGTTGCTATTCCATCTGCTTCTTCATCCTCTTCTTCATCCACTACCTCTTTTTCTTCATTGCCTATAAAACATCCCTACCGTCCAGGTGAATCCATTCGTGCAATGGCTGCTCTTCGTACAGCGCAAACTACAGAATCAATTGTCCGAACTACTTGGGAAATTTGGAAACTCCGTGTGGCTACTGCCTTGATACATAATGCACCTGCTTTTGCTCCTGACTTGCGAGCACACCGTCGCCTGCCCGTTCCCGACTATGTTTTTGATCCAGCTCTCCAACCTGCTCCATCATCTTTGTCTTTATCATCGTCGCTGAAGCTGCAGCAACAACAGCAACAACCTGCATATAATACTGACTCTCCAGAGACGACTCTACCCGTTGCGCTTTTTTGGCGCGACGTTGAGTCTTATATCTCTGCAGATCCAACCACGAAAAAGATAACAACGCGTAAACTCGACTTTTCAACGCTCCACATTGCTTGTGTCCACGCTCTCAATCTCGCAATCAAATTCCGTCGTCAGTATGCTGCGCTGGCCGATACAAATACCCTATCTACCTACACAGCCCCAGGTGTTCCTATGGTGGCCGGTCTTGCGCGTATCGATTCGCGCATCAAAACGCTCCATGCTCTTCTTCCGTCTCCTGACCTATGTCTCGACTCTCCCGTGTGTGCTATGGCCCGCGCAGCTCTTTGCACAGCAGCTCTCCATCTGCATATTGATCGTGCCCGTGCTCACCTTCTTTTCCGCGTGGCCCCTCCACTTACTACTAGTAATACCCGCAGGTCTTCTTCTCTTTCTCCTGCAGCCCGCATTATCGAGACCCAAATCGAGGAACCTGTACGCCGTTCCGCTGAGCACTCAACCACCCGCTCGTATCTCTTGTGTCAGTGGGCTGCCCATTGTCTCTATTTGCTTTTGGGCTCTGGTGGTGCTGACGCCGAGAACCTGTCAGTTGCGCGGCTTCGGCCTGCGTGGGCTGTTTTGCCGCCCATTCTTCTCTCTCACGCAATTCTTCTTGGCGCCCCTGTTATTGCCTCGGATGCCGTGTTGCAAGCACGCTACCGCTCTGAGTTCCGCGAAATGTGTCGCTCAACTGATCTTCCGGCAAAACCCTCTCTCGGAATTGCCATGGCTGCTCACGGGAATTTTACCCTTTACAGTCGTAAGAAACCTACCAGCACCTCCGCTGCCCCCTCTTCTACAAACTCAGATACATTTACCCGCAAACGCAAGCGTAGCCAGTCGAATGAAAAACCAAACAAATCGTTGTCAAAACAAAAATCCAGGTTTCGGCGAGTATCGAATGATAACAACTTTAATCAATCTGCTTCTGCGGCCGCTGCCGCATCCGCTGCTGCTTCAGCTGCTGCAAAATCAACGAAAACCGTCAATGCTGATGCTCACGACGAAGAACACGCCTCTGCTTCGGCTCGCCGTACAATAACCGTCGATAACCCTACTCCTGAGAATTTGGCGGTTGCACGCCGCGAGGTTCTTACACGCGCTACCAGCGGTGCGGAATTGAGAGCGGAGGAGCAAGCAGTCTCGGAAGCAGAGTCAGAGGTAGAAGAACGCGCCGAGCGCCGCGCACGGCAGCGCGCATGCACAAGTGCGCGGCACGATGCACAAGCCAAGGCTGAAACTAAGGCATTTGCGCGCGTTATTGGTTCCCAAGGAGCCCGCGCAGATGCAGGAACAGCAGTAAACAGTGGTGAGGTTCAAAGCCAAGGTGCTGGTGCAATAAACGGTGATGGAAATAATTATGACGGTGGTACCAACAACAACAATAATGATAATCAAGAACGACCGGCAACAGCAACAGCTACTCAAGCTACCGGACCTGGCGCATCAACTGAAGCAGCAGCTAACGTGGGATTGGACTCAAACGTAGACCTGTATGCAGATGCACATGCTTCTGCTAAACTTGGCAGCGACGGGCCCAGTGTCGAAGTCACATCCAAAGCTTCGCGGGGGAACAACACCGATGCAACAGCCTCTGCCAATGGACCAAGTCGTGCAACTCAAACCCAGGTTTCTCGTGGGGGTGACGGTTCTGAGGGTTCTTCGTCGTCAACGGCGGCAGCAGCAGCTGCAGCAGCTTCAGATGAACGCGTGGAGTCGTCACAAATCGCGGACTCTGATGCAGTAGCAAGTAGTGCTGAAACTCGCGAGGTTCAAATCCAAGAGTACACGACACCGGAGGGAAGTGTGCAAGTTGTTGCGAACGCTGAGGCAGATGCAACTGCAGATGCAGAGTCCCATGCGCGAGCTCAAGGATCGAGTCAAGCAGTATCTGCGGCCACGGCTGCCGCTGTTGATCCAAGAACTGCGGACGATGAAGATGAGTCTCATGACGGTGACGAGAGTAGTCTTGCGAGCGGATCGAGCAGTGATGACGAAGACGACGATGATGATTACCAAAGCAGTATTAGTAGCAACGAGGATTCCGGAAGAAGAGATGTGCACGAGGATGATTCAGATAACGAGTCGCAGCGGACGTTGCACGATAACGAGGAACGTGAACGGGATACAAGCGGACTGCGTGGCGGGCGGTTACGACGAGTGGCAGCGGCTGGCCGCGCGCTAGCTGAGTACCCAGACGCATGGACATCTTCACCTTCCTCTTCAACAGGAGCTTCTACTGCTACTTCTACTGCTACGCTTGTTGCTGCACCTTCTACCGCAGTGGCATCTATTTCTGCACCTGCAGCGGTGGCCTCCAAGACTCCTCACCACCCACCGTGGCGCGTGGCTGTTGGGTACTACGGTTCTGCAAACGCGTGTGTGTGCAAGTTGGGTGTGCTTCTAAAGGCTGCGCAGACGGTGGCCCGCGTGTGGCGTCATGGAGTGCCTGGGGTTGTTCCAGTAATTGTGGGGAGCCGTTGGGGGGACGGATTACACGAAGACACTGGGCCTGCTTCTTCTGTTGCTCATGGTGATAATGACAATGATGTCAATGGAATCAATGAGGACGATGATGAAAATGCGGTTTATTTTGGAATTACAAACTTTGGAGGCAGTGCACACCTCGATAATCTTGTATTCTGGTCGAGCCGCAGTTTGGCTGCGGAGTGCTATATGGTTGTACGGGCTGTAACGGTTCAATGTGACGCGGGACTGGGGGAGTCCATTACGCGTGTGTAAAAAAAAAAAAAAAAAAAAAAGAAAAAAGAAAAAAGAAAAAAGAAAAAAGAAAAAAAAAAGAAATATGCGATACAAAAGTTATTTGAAAAGAAGAAGAAGAATAAGAAATGTAAATATTGTAAATATTTTTGTAAATTTTTGGAATTTTTGGAATTTTTTGGAATTTTTTTTATTATCATTTCAAGTTTTTATTTTATTTTATTTTATTTTTGCTTATAATCTTTTATACCTTAAAGTATTTCAAGTCTCTCTAATTTGAGCAACCATTTTAATATAAATTCTAATGTGTGCAAGGTGCATAACGTCTTTAGTCAAAAATCTCAATATAATACTTGTTTATTGAACCAATTAATGTTCTTTTTTTTGAGGGGGGAGCTTTTATAAGAGCTGTCTCTATCTATTTTACTGATAACTTCTTTAAGTTGAAGCATTGTTGTAAAGTTGTTTGTAAACCCCAAAAGCATCAGATAAACTTTAAAATATATATATATATATATTTATATATATAAATTCGACCTTGAATAGCTAGCATCAATAGATAAACATTAATGTTCCTTTTTTTCATGAAAATATCTTTATAATCATCTCTGTATTGAAATATATATAGTTGTTTCATTTAGAGACTTTAACATGGAATTGTATTGATCATATTAATTTTGATTTAAATTTTTAGTATTTATTTAAACAATGTCAGCCTTGTTTTTGGTATTATCAATATTAATAAAAAAAATATCTAAGTCATTTAGATTTAAAATGCTTTAAAGAAACCAGTCAAACTACTTTAAATTCAAAAACAAAAAAGTTATTTTTATTAAAAAAAAAATTGTCCAGTTTTCTGTTACCTTTTCCTTTTCCTTTTCTCCTCTAGTTCTAAATCCACCCATTAAAATCTCCACCTTCAAACTGATGATCTGAAAACGGTAAACAAAACTCGTCCAATGTTTTCGGGAACCCATCCTCTCTCTTAAACTGCCGCTTGTGCTCAATATCAACTACAATCTGGAAATCAACAGTACGTTGATGTGCTGGCAAAAAGTAAAAAGAGTAAGGAAGATTGGGGAATTGATGCATCATGGTCTGGTACGTCATATCAGAAAAACTATTATGAGTGTAGGGTTGTTTTTTTGTTTCTTCAAAGGAAAGAAGAGAACAAAATAAGAAAGTGTCGTAAACGTATTGATCGCGTGAAATCAAAACTTGTTTTAAACTTGGATGGGAATTGAAAAGACTAAGAAAACGAGGGGTACAATAAAAATAAAGAGATTTTTTATCAATTGTAAATTGTAGGTACTCCAAAGTTTTGATGTTCATAAGTTGCTCAAAAAGAAGTTCCATGATACGGAAATGAAAGATTTGCTGGCCAAAATCGTCAATAGAAGTATGTTCCTCTCTGGAATCTTGGGTGCCTGGTATATAAACTTCCAAAAAGGTTTTCTGATTCGGCCGGTTAAGCACGTCCATGGCAGCCCAGGCGACTTCTGTTTTTTGGTCTTTTATAAAGGCAATGAAATCAAACAACTTTTGGTTTGTATATTTTGCAATTTTTTTCCAATAGTCAATATAACGGAACCCTTGGATTTCTTCAACCATTTCTTCAATCCGTTGTTCTGTGTATTCCTGTAAATTTCCCATAGATTCTTGAAAGTTACAAACCGCGTCGACAGCAGAGTACAAGAAACAGCATGTATGATCCCAAGGAGAAAAGACTTCAAGCCCAAGTTTTTTTAGGTTTTTAAACTTTTCCAAACCTTCCAAGTACTGCATAGCCATATCTTCGTTTTTAAATTCAACTCCAAGAACAAGCGACGTTACAGTTTCCAAACAATTGGTGCTTAAAAACACGGGTGGGAAAGGCGGGAGTTGGGTAAAAATGTTAAGTTGAGGCATTTCGCGATACTTTTGAAGACCTGGGAATGTAAAGCATTCGCCAATACTGACAAGTGGCATTGTTCCACTGCATGAGATGGATGTTACTGAAGGTACAGTGATTTTCGAAAGAGAACGGATTTGATCAAGTGGTGCAAATTCAAATAAATTAAAATCCTTAACAGGTAAAACACGCGAGAATTTTAGTTCGCAAGCCCTAAATGTTGAAGTTAACTTAATATTTTGAATTTCAGGCAAAATCTTGGGGAAAAGATCGCCGAATGATCTGTCAGTCCAAACCACATAACAGACAATGGATAAACGTTCGAGATTGGGGAAGGTGGGCAAAGCCTGGATTAATTGGGGGAATGCTGGGTGAAGACTAAATTCAATAGAAGTCAGGCGGGTAAACGCGTGAGGCTTTAGGTGCCAAAAGTTGTAGAGGTCCAAGTCGACAGAAAGAAACTGGGCAAACGACGCGTCAAAAAGAGAACCTGTGATGAGGTTATATTCATTAATATTGAAATGAGTTGGGTATCTGATGTTTGCAAGCTCTGCAGAGTCATGTTCCCGTAACACCGGAACCTGGTCGTACTTTTCGTGATAGCTGATGGAGGTGAGGCGCGGGTACGCGGCAAGAGGCAGGCGCTGGTTTGCCTTAAGCATGTTACGGAGGCCACGAAGGTCAATATGGATAGAACGAACACAAGTATTGGGGAACCATGAGTAAGAATGTGGATGGAAAAGTACCGCGAAGGAGACTTGGAGGCGAGACCCGTCACGGCCAAAGCTTTCGTGTTTTTCTGGACGAGCGTGCGGGGATGCAAGCTCACAGTGTTCCCAAGCCAGACCTTGGAACGCTGCACGTAAAGCGGCAGAGGTCTGAATTAAAGAAAAAAGGGCTTGTGGAGGGAGAAATTCGTAGAGATTAACATAGATGTCACTGGAGAGACAGTCGAGTGCCTGGACCCTTGCAGACATGGCGTGTCTATAAGCTGGGGGAGTGGGGGAGGAGGTGGAGGTGGATGAGGCTTAAAAAAAAAGCAGAGCGAGAGACAGGAAATAAGCTCAGACTGGAGATTTAAGCTGGAACGACATGAAGATGGTTTAGGATGTAAAAAAAGATGTTTAATGATGGAGAGTTGAGAAGATTGTGGGAAGGTGTTTTTTTTTTTAAGTATTAAGAGGAAAAGGGTTTATTTATTTATTGTCTTTGTTGTTGTTTAATATATAAAGTGGTGATGATAATAATGATGGAGATGATGATAAGGTTTGATAAAGGGTTAGGTGTGTTTGTATATAACATTTATTTAGCTTTTGTAAGAAAACTCTCGAATCACAGAGCCAGAATTACAAACAAAAATCTTCAACGGCTTTTTTTTTTTTTTTTCCTTTATTTCTTTCTGTTTCTACACAACTACAAAACTACAACAACAAACCAACAAGCAATCGGGGTTCAATTTTACGATCGTCAAGTAAAGAAAGCATCTGAACAAATTCTTCAGCAAAGGAAATTATATAACTATGAAACTTTCGTTCTCACAATTGACGAAAGCCTCAGCTCTGCGGATACCTATAGGTGGGCGGATCCGCGGATTAGGTCCACACAAATACTACACAACAGCAGCTCCAGCCATGACTTTGGAATCTGCTCGTGCTCATGGTCTCAAGATACTCAGGTAAGTGTGTAGTTATACTACAAGCATTCAGATTACAGCCAAAAAAAAACATAAAAACATAAGAAAGACAGAAAGAAAGACCTCTGTAATTAACTTCTAATTCCTCCAGTGAGCAAGATCGATCATCATACATTCTGCACAAGTACATAACAAAACGCGCCCAAGACGCGTTTCTAGCAGTGCGCTTATTTTATCTCGACACTGCACGAATTGCAGCCTCAGTTTCTAATACTCAAATGGCACAGCTGCGGTTTGATTTCTGGCGACGTACAGTACAGCAAATTTTTGCACAATCTACCTCTAATGATAATACCCCAGCTGTAGGTGCACTGGCCAAAGAACCTGTTGCAATTCTGTTGCGACATGCACTCAAGGATCAGGGAATTGTGCTATCTAAACGCTACTTTATTACACTACTGCAGACTCGTGAGTCGCATGACGTTCGAATGCCACCATTCCGTAACGCAGACGCCATGGCCTCTTACGGTGAAGGCACTCATTCACAGGCCATGTATTTGACCCAGGAGGCATGTTTATCTGCAGCTCCACGGGTGGCCCAGTTTTTACAAGAGTACCCGGATATGGATCGGCTTGCACACGATTTGGTTGCGCATGCCGGGCAAGCTGCTGGTGTGGCAGGGTTGATTAAGGCATTTAAGTATTACGGTCGACGTGGGAATATTGTATTACCTGTGGATTCCATGGCCAAACACAATGTATCACAGCATTCTGTTTCGCAAATGATTACAGCATATGGAGAGGGTGGCCAAGCGGCGGTTGATACTCCAGAAATGTTGGCGCTAAGAGGACAACTTTCGGATGTTGTTTTTGAAACAGCAACTTTGGCCAATGATCACATTATTTCGGCAGCATCAATCATTAAGCAACTTAATGAGTATTTATCTGGAGATATTCCGGATGCCATTTTTGTGCCTGCAATGAATGTGATTCCTACCAAGCTGTTTTTGGAAAGGTTGGAAAAGTATAACTTTGACGTTATGCATCCAGATGTGCTAAAGACAGGAAGCGATTGGAAACTGCCATTCCGCTCATACAAGGCGTACAAACTGCGCAAGATAGATTAATTATTTGTACATATATATATATATAAAGAAGAAGAAGAAGAAAAAAAAAAAAAAGGAGTGGAAAGCAAATGAGTATTTATATATATATATCTTCTAAAGCAAAAGGGGGGGGTTCTGTTTTTCATTATTAATTATTAATTAGAAAGAATGCGACGACCAAGATTGCCAAAACATATACTACAGCAAAACAAAACACTTGCGACCCAAGTGACCACCGAAAGGTATACTCCACCGGCGAGATCAAAAGGTGGAAGATGAGAGGAAAAAAAGAAAGAGAAACCAATGGTTTCAATAATGGCGGTACTTGCAGAAACAATAAAGCCATTGCGGGTACCGTCAAACAAAAACCATAAAATGGGGTTCAAACAACTCCACAGGAATGCCACCTGGGATGAGGACTCCCAAGGGAGTTTTCGCACACCATAGGCCACGCCAAGAAACGCGGCACTGCCGCGAATTACAGAGACCCAGTCGGTGCCACCCTTTTCCTGTTGTTGTTCCTTTTCCTCTTCTGCAGTTGCAGCTGCAGCAGCCGAGTCAACTGAGGTGGGCCGTAAGGGAGGAGCAGAAGGAGATGCGGAGGAGGCCGCAGCTGCGGAAGTGGCTGCGTTTATGAGTGTAGAGAGAGTTGCAGGCTTGATAGAACCTTGGGGGAATTTTTTATCAACGGTGGGTAAAAGCACGCCGAGAACAACCGCTTGGAGCCCCCAAATGGCTGAAAAAAGAACAAGTGAACGTAGAGTAGGCGAGGTGGAAGTGGGGTCCAAGGTAAATATGCGGGTGCTCACCTGCTGGTTATCATGCAAATTTTTCGCTAGCTGGCCATAAGCAACGCCAATGGCAAAGAGTGCGCCTAGCCGCAGTGCAATAGCAGATACAGAGCGACGTGCTACAGAGCCATCAGCTGCGAGATAGGTTGCAGGGAAAATGGTATCACTGCCGCTGCTCCCTGGGCGGCCCCCATTCTGTTGGGACTTATCGAAGCTTGTGCCGTTTGGTTTATTGCCACCGACCGAGAAAGAAGATGATGAGGAAGGTCTGCGAGTACGTGGACGCGGGTTTTCCAGTAGATAGTTAGCCGCAGCGAGATCAAGTGAGTCTTCATTTGTAGTGGTGGAAGAGGACGAGATAGAAGGATGGAGTTGGGTATTAAATGATGAAGATTGATTAAGACGAGAGGAGGATGTTGCAACTGCGGCAGCTGCAATAGTGGACCGTCCAGGGCGCGGAGAAGGCACGTCACCCGCGAGCTCTGCGAGAGACGCGTGGGAGCCAAAAACACCCTGAAGAGCCGAAGTGGTAAGATTGACATAAGACTGGGACTTTTCAAGCGGAACAGTCGAAGAATAAGATGATGATGATGATGAAGAACAAGAAGTAGCGTTTGTAGCGGCAGTGACAGCAGCAGCAGCAGCAGCAGCAGCAGCGGTAGCGGCTGTTAGAGCAGGTGTTGTTGTAGGGTCAAATGTTGGGGATGGGCTATTTGAGGGTCCGGATTCAGGTGACGAGAGTACAAAGGCAGGAGGCTTTTTAGCCGGCGCGGTTCTAGGAGGAGCCACAGACATGATTTGAAATGTCAACAAAGATTTAGAATGACGATGAGAAGAGAAAGACCAGGCTGTGAAATTGGCTTTTGAATGGACTTTTAAAGATGGAAGAAGAAGAATGGCGTTTTTTTATTTATTTATTTATTTAATTTTTTTTTTTTTTTTAGGTGCAAAATGTGTTGTGAGAGGGAAGAAAGAATGAAAGAATGGCGTGGCAAAAAAAAATAAAAAAATAAAATAAAAAGTTTGTTGAAAAAAAAAAAAAAAAAAAAAAAAAAAAAAATCAGAGCGGGGTGGTGTGGTGTAGTGAAAATGAGGGGTGTTAATGTTATTATAAGTAAGTTTACTTACCCAGTATCCAAAAGGTAAGTTTAAGTAATAGTGCCAGGTGTAATACGGCTGAAGTTTTTTGTTTTCATTTGAGCATTGCTTATTTTGTATGTAGAAAAACAACTGGCAACAACAACAGCAGCAAAAAAAAAAAAAAAAAAAAAAAACTTTATTTAAAAAACCGCCCAGTTTATTTCAATTAAAATATTTGAAAGCAGTGTTTAAGTAGATTTAAATTGAATAATAATATTAACATCATTAATTTATGCTTATAATTATAATTATAATCAGAAAGTTAGGACTAGACAAAACATTCTAATAGCATAAATCTCGGTGCTTAGAAAATGGTCTAGTATATATAAATAAAAAAAAAAAAAGATCATTCATAAGGCTCGTAAAATTAATAAGAAAAAGAAACTAAAAAAAATAGCAATATTAAATTATAGAATCAAAGTCTTTGTAGGTTCATTCGTTCGTTCGTTCGTTCGTTCGTTCGTTCGCTCATTCAGTTGTCATTATATCATGGGGTTTGCAAAATAAAATAAAAAAAAGAAAAGTCCCATTTGTTTATTATACAGCTTAATATACCTGCTGATTAGGATTGAGCATTATCAATATTGGCCTTGAGAGAGGCCAACCATCGTGTCAAGTCTTCCTCATTGGCAGCTGCAAACTGGAGTCGTTTCTCAGGCAAAATGACCTGCATGCAATATTGTTTGCTCCTTGAAATCGCATCCAGTTCCATAACATCAATAATATGATCCAAACTAACAATTTTGGTCGGACTCTTGCTCTGTACAGAAAAAAAAAAAAAGAAAAAAAAAAGAGTTAAAACCATTTTCAAACCATGTCCTTTTTAATCACAATCATTCTTACCTTTTCGCTTTTGTATAGTAGTACTCGTTTATTAGTCAAAACCACCCAGACCTTGCGCCATTGATTGTATCGCTTTTTCCGTCGCATTAGGTATCCTGTTTCTAACGTTTGTTCTTTTTCAAGATGAGGTAACGGCACTTCTTTTTCAACTTCATATTCTTCATCTGCATCTGCATCTACATCTGCATCATCATCTTCTGCAAGCGCTAGGGCTGGAGCTGGAGCTGGGGCTGGGGCTGGGGCTGGGGCTGGTGTTGGTGTTGGTACTTCTATAGGTGACTCTCCAGTTAATGGTTCCATTGGTACTGCTACCTCTACTGCTGTTTCGTGTTGGTCTTTTTCTGGGGCAGAGACTGGAACTGGAACTGGAACTGGAATTGGAATTGGTACTAGTACTGGTACAGGTTTCAGTATTGTAGATGTCGGCCCTGCATCATCACTCAGTTCATTGTGAGAGCCTAAAGAAGATTGCACGTCGTCTGTTGCAGACATCAGAGAGCTCATATATTCTGACCTTGAGCTTCCCTGTAGGCTATTTGAGCCTTGACTTTTAGTTAGTTTTGACGGAGACCCATCTTCAACAACATTATTGTTATTATTATTGTTATTATTATTGCTTGTATTGCGGTTTAGTGCTGCTGTAAGGCTACTGCTGACTGTTGCTACTGTTGCTACCGTTGGTACCACCCCTCCAACTTCTCTTTGGTCACTACTGCTACTGCTGCTACTGCCGCCTCCACTCAAATTTATAGTTTGACGCCTAGTAAAGGCCAGACTACCACCTCCATTTCTAGTATCCACTCCTTGCACCACATCTGGAGCTACAGCACTATTGCTTCGTTGTTTTTGGCTAGTAAAGACTGGTTGGAATTGTTGGTTTCTGTTACTTAAAAGTGCGGGGTTGAATGAGTGTCTGTACGTGGGGTTGAGTTTTGGTGGTAGTGCAGATGATGACTGGTTTTGTTGTTGTTGTTTTTGTTTTTGTTGCTGCTGCTGCTGCTGCTGCTGTGGCTGTGGCTGGTTTTGTTGTTGTTGTTGCTGTTGTTTAGAAGCTGCTTCCAACATTGATAACCGTTGGAATGAACTTGATAATACTCGGTCGGCTGAAGCATCAATAACATGTTTGAGCTTTGAGACCCAGCTTTCAGCTTCTGCAATGGTATCTGCTCGTAGATGATAGTTTTTGCTTGGTGTGAAAAATGCAAAATGGTTAGGTTTGTGTTCATCAGTGAGCATTGCTACAGCCATAATGTCTTCCACGGAGATGATATCTCGAGGTTTATATTCCTATAGTACTTTGTTAGAAAGAAGGACCCTACTATATATTGGGGAAAAAAAAAATAAAAATAAAAATAAAAATAAAAATAAAAATAAAAATAAACATACCCTTTCATCTTTGTAATAAATGAGTTGGTTTTCACGTAGTACAAACCATCTTCGATTCCAAGTCTAGTTTTTTTTTTTTATATATTTAATTAGTTCTGGATGAATTGTCATTTTTTATTTTGTTAAAAAAAAATAAAAAAAAAAAAAAGAAATACTCACTTTTCTTTTGCTGCGTTTATATAACCATCCACTTTTTATCAGCTGGTAACTATTGATCTGACATTGTTCTGAAGGTAAAGTAGAGCAAATGTCTGCATGAAGATTATGGTGGATTTGATGTTGTTCAACAAGCTTTGACAAAGATAGTTGTGAAAGTTGCTGTTGCGATTCGAGGGGGGCTACTAAAGATGAGCGAAGATTCCGTTGGCTTAGTGAAGAAGCGATTGGTACGGATATCGGAGAGCTGGCTGCCATTATTATTATAATTAAATATGAAAAAAAAAAAAAAAAAAAAAGACTGACTTTTTTTAAGAAAAGGCTCTTGTCAAACTGAAGATTTTTAGAATTCTGGGGGAGAGAAAAGATATAATAATATATAAAATTTAGGAATGATGATTTAATAATATTTTTTTAATGGTAACAAAAAAAAAAAAAAAAAAAAAAAAAATTTGTATTTCTCAAAGTACCTTTTTTTTTTTTAATTTAATTTAATTTAATTTAAATTGAATTGAAAACGAAAACGAAAACTCTGGTGTTGTTGGTCTGGTGGGGGTAAAAAAAAAAAAAAAAAGTTTTTTAAGTGTTTTGAGCAAAAACTTTTTTTAAATCAATCATCACCACCACCAATATTTTATTTTATTTTATTTTATTTTATAAACAAACAATAATAAATAAATAAATAAATAAACAAAATAATAACAATCTTAGCCCCTTACTCATTACACGTTTCTGTAATATTAAAAACAACAACAACAACAACAACACTTAACAAGCCTTTTAATATGTACATTTTTTTTATATATATATAAACTGATCTATATACTTAATATAGAGAAATACTTTGAATCAAACAATCTCCCCCTCACCCAAATTATTCATATATATATATATATAAATTTCTATAGCTTCACACCAGTGTGGATCGCAGCAACACCAAATGTCAGATTCTCATAACCCTTACCTGCCAATGTAAAGCCTGCCTCCTCAATCAGCCGAGCAAACTCCTCCTGTGTAGGGAACCGTTCAATGCTCTCCACAAGATACTGGTACGAATCCCGGTCATTGACCAAAATCTGACCCAACAAGGGGATAACTTTAAAAGAGTACTCACGGTACAAAGTGCCCAACAATGGGTTGTTGACCTTGCTAAACTCAAGACATGAAAAAACACCACCAGGCTTAAGCACTCTGTGGGCAGTCTTTAGGGCCTTGGGCAAATTGGTAAAGTTGCGGATACCAAACGAAACCGTGTACACGTCCTGCGAGTTGTCGGGAATCGCATCCAAAAGCTCGGCATTCTGTTCAATAAAAGTCAACCTCGAACCATCCTTCCATGGTGTCTGTAACGCTCGCTTCTCGCCTTCCCGCAGCATGTCTCCGTTAATGTCAGTGATGGTCATCTTAGACTCAACGTCCCCGTGAACCCGCGCAGCGTGCTCCAAGATCCGGAATGCAATGTCACCAGTACCACCAGCAACATCCAAAAAGTTGAGAGGTTCACCACCGGGTCTGCGGCCAGGGTCAAGCTTCGAAACAAAATGGTCCTTCCAAAGACGGTGAATACCTGCAGACATGGCATCATTCATATAGTCGTAGTTGGCCGCAACATTTGAAAATACATCGTGCACAAGCTTTTCCTTATCTTGTTCTGCAACTGTTCGAAACCCAAAATGGGTCACTTTACTGTTATCGGTAGGCTCAATGGGTTGTGATATGGGCTCCTTCTTGGCTCCTTCGCCAATAGGTCCCAGGTTGTGAGAATTGAATGCAAAAGCAGTGGTGGAAAATAAGCGTTGACTACTGTTACGCGTCAACACGCGTGCTCTAATAAGACTGGCCATTGTTGATATGTTGAAAATGGTTTTCTTTTTTCTAAAAAAAAAAAAAAAAAAAAATTGAGAGATTTTGGTGTAAAATAGAAGGAAAGGAAAGGAAAGAAAAAAAAAAAAAAAAAAAGACCAATTTTGGGTTTCAGCAAGGTTTTTTTTTTTTTTTTTTGTGCACAATTTCAGTGGTCAAAGGGTTCCGATTGGTGACAAGTATGCACAAAAATGGTGCGTTTTACTAGCTAGAGAGCTAATATTTAAAGTCGGTGCATTTGAAAAGAAGCACGGTGCGCGGCTCAAAAAATTATAAAGAAAGTAAAAAAAAAAAAAATTTGAAATAATCCATATTAAAAAATAAGAAAAGATTTAATTAAAATTTGACTGACGATGATAATAATGATATTAAAAATTCAAAATTTTTAAAAGGTTGTTGATAGTTGTTTGTTGAGGGCTTCTAGTTAAAAGTTGAGGGGGAGGAGGGGGAGGCTCATTTATTGATGGTTACAAGTTGTAAATGAAATTAAGATCCAACATGACATTGATAATCCAGTCAAGAATAAATATGAAATTTTTTAAATATATATATATAAATATTTTTAATAAATAAATCAATTTTAAATATCAATTATCAAAATAAATTTAATTTGTTTCTATTTCTTTTTAATCAATCTTTTTAGACTTCTATATATGTTCTTCTTCTTTTTTTTTTTTTTTCTTGCCTTTTTAAAGACCCTCAAAACTTATATGTGCTCATATATCCTAAAGACTCAATTATACACTAACATCTTTTCCACTACCACCAAAACCTCCTGCCACCAGCCCTGAAATTTTTTATAAAATTTTTTTTTTTTTTATTTTTAAAAAAAAATCCTCCCGTTCCCATACACATTTATAACCACCCATCCACTTCCCGCCTCCAAACTCGCCAGTCTTCATCCACATAGCAAAATGACCGACGTTCAAAACTACATTGTGGTCGATGGTGTCCTGAAGGACTTTGTCGAGGACCTTGCTTCCCTCTTCGATACTCTTAGCCCCGTTGCCGAGGGTGAACAGACTTTTGCTCAATATATTTCTGAGCGCATCGACAATGAAGACCAGGCTGTTCAGGAGGAGATCTTTGCCGCCATTGCCCAAAAGAGCTCTGTTCTTGTTTCCGCCTCTGAAAAGGACTTTGAATCAGCTTATAACCTCGTTTTCCACATCCTCACCTTCTCCGCAAATATCAAGGAGCTTCTCCCCATCATCCTCGCAAACCTCTCCACAAGCCCTGCATACCCCAATGGCCCCACCCTTGTGCTCGCCGTTCTCACCAATCTTTTCAACATTCTCCCTGTCTCCTCGCCCCTGCGATACGACGTTTTCCTCAGCATTCTCAAGTCTGCAGACGCTAGCGATAACATCAGCCTCATTGTCCCTCAACTTAAGAACCTCCCCGTCTGGCTTAAGGAATGGGATGTTGATGAGAAGGCCACCCAACAAATCTACCTCACCATTAGCGAAATTATCTCCAAGCAAGAGCCCCAGACCGCCTACAAGTACCTCTACACAGCTGTTTCATCCAGCCCAGCCCCAGATGCCTCTCTCGTCCAAAAACTCGTTGCCACCGCTCTTCAGTTTTCCTATGAATTTGATGACGTTTTTGCACTCGAATCAGTCCAGCAACTCGCAAAGGAAAACTCTCCCATTTACAACCTTCTTCTCACTGTTTCCTCCGGTGATTACGCCGCCTACAAGACTCTTATCGCTGCTCAAGCTAACCTCTTAACCTCGGCCCAAATCGACGCCGAAAACCTCAACCGCCGTGTCCGGATACTCTCCCTCGCTAAGATCGCTTCCCAGGCTAACCAGCCTTCCATTCCTTACAGTGTAATTGCTTCCGGCATTGAAATTCCTTTGGAGGAGGTTGAGATCTGGATCATTGATGCTATTCGTGCTGGTCTCATTGAGGGCCGTCTTTCTCAGCTTAAGCAGAGTCTGTCTATCCACCGTGTGTCCCCCGTTGGCCAATTTGGTGTTGATGAATGGCAGACTGTTTCCCAGAAGCTCACCAACTGGAGATCATCTCTTAAGGATATTCTCGATGTCCTGAAGAATTCTAGAGAAAATGCACAGAAGGAGGAGGAAAAGCTGGCCAAGATCCGTGCTCAGCACCAACAACAGCAGCAGCAGCAGCAACAACAACAACAACAACTTGCTCAGGCTGCTTAAATAGACGATGATGATAATGATAAATTGAGGGGGAAGGTTATGACGAATCTATACATTTTTTAAAAAAAAAAAAAAGTTGATTGTACGAATTTTCTTTAAAAAAAATAATAATGAAAAAAAATTATAAAATATCAAAAGTATACTATATTTAATTGTTAATATTTCTTAATCTTGTGATAATGGAACCCTGGGAATGGAGGTTTAAAATTTTGATTAATATGGGCAGTAGTTTGATTAAAAAGTCATTCACGTGATATTATTTGAAAAGCCCTAATAAAGCCCTAACTATTATTTCCCAAAATAGAAAGACTGTAATTTTACTCTGCGTGGATATTACATACCACTATTTGGTTTACCGTGACAACCCACTCTAAATCACATGACTTTGCTTGAAAGTCTTTAAAAATAAGCCTAAATTACAGCATATATTACAGTTACAATGAAAATCATTCTGGTGTTCCACCAAGAAGAAAAAAATTTTCGCTCGTGTGGGAAAAATTCTGGTGTGTCTTCCTCCCCCCTCCCCTTTCTTTTCACCTTTTCCTTCATCGAGCGTGTAGATTTTTACAATATCTCCTTCGACAGCACTACACTTCAACGATGTCTCACCGTAAATTCGAAGCCCCTCGCCACGGTTCCCTTGGTTTCTGTATGTTATATTATTTGAGCTCTTATTTTTTTTTTGATTATTTAATTTAATGAATTCAAGTCAAGTTCTAACTCGAAACTATAGTGCCCAGAAAGAGAGCTGCCCGTCACAGAGGTAGAGTTAAAGCTTTCCCCAAGGATGACCAGACCAAGCCCCTTGGTCTTACTGCCTTCCTTGGTTACAAGGCTGGTATGACCACCATTGTCCGTGATCTTGACAGACGTGGTTCCAAGTACGACAAGCGCGAGATTGTTGAGGCTGTCACCGTTGTTGACACTCCTTCCGTTGTTGTTGTCGGTGTTGTTGGCTACATTGAGACTCCCCGTGGTCTCAGATCCCTCACCACTGTCTGGGCTGAGCACCTTTCTGATGAAGTCAAGAGACGCTTCTACAAGAACTGGTACAGATCTAAGAAGAAAGCCTTCACCAAGTACACTAAGAAGTACGCTGAGGGTGCCTCTGAGATTGAGACTGAGCTTGCCAGAATTAAGAAGTACGCTTCTGTTGTCCGTGTCCTCGTCCACACCCAGGTCCGCAAGACTCCTCTTGTCCAGAAGAAGGCTCACCTTGCCGAGATCCAGGTCAACGGTGGTTCCATCTCTGACAAGGTTGACTGGGCCAAGGAGCACTTTGAGAAGACCATTGATGTCTCTTCCGTCTTTGAGCAGGATGAGGTCATTGATGTCATTGCCGTCACCAAGGGTCACGGTACTGAGGGTGTTACCCACAGATGGGGTACCAAGAAGCTCCCCAGAAAGACTCACAGAGGTCTCAGAAAGGTCGCCTGTATCGGTGCTTGGCATCCTGCCCACGTCCAGTGGACTGTTGCCCGTGCTGGTCAGAACGGTTATCACCACCGTACCTCTTTCAACCACAAGATCTACAGAATCGGCAAGGCTGACGATGAGTTCAATGCTTCTACTGAGTACGACCGCACCAAGAAGACCATCACTCCCATGGGTGGCTTTGTCAGATATGGTGAGGTCAAGAACGACTTCGTTATCATCAAGGGTTCTATTCCTGGTTCCAAGAAGAGAATTGTCACTCTTAGAAAGTCTCTCCGTGTCCACACTTCCCGTGCTGCCCTCGAGAAGGTCCAGCTCAAGTGGATCGACACTGCTTCCAAGTTTGGCAAGGGTCGCTTCCAGACTCCTGCCGAGAAGCACGCCTTCCTTGGTACCCTCAAGAAGGATCTCGAGTAAACTTGTGGCCTTTTTTGAGAATAAATTGGTTTGTGTAGTTTAAAAAAAAATAAAATAAAAATTTGTGTTTTAAAGAAGGAATTTACATGTTTTTTTTTTTTTTTTGGTGTGTTTTAATATTTAACTGAAAAGGCCTGGAGCTTTTGATTTTTAAATGAAAATTTTTTTTTTATTTTTGTTCAAGTAAACAAATGTAATAATTATATATAAGTGAGTGTAGTTTAAAGAATATATGAAGTTAAAATAGTACTCATAATATTTAATTTGAATTCTTACATAAGATGATGTAGCCACAAAACGGTTTATTAAAATTATTATAACTAACACTAGCCACAATTTATTATAATTATAATCAGCCACAAATTTTTTTTTTTTTCTTTTTTTTTTTTTCTATAAAAGAAAAAAAAAATTCAGAATGTTTCGGGAATCTGGCACAAAAAAATAAAAATAAAAATAAAAATAAAATTGTGGCTTGTAAATTTTTTTTGTATAAGAAAATATATATGTATAACTCTCTCGGGTTCTTTGATTTAGTAGTGGCACATGATGAACGGAGAAGAAAGTGGAGAAGGGGGAGTGAATACACATGAATTTGTCAAAAAAAATTAAAAGTGCAAAGAAAGTGGACAGACAGACAGACAGACTGACAAGTTTTATAATTTGTGGCTTGTAGAGGCTTTTTTAATTTTTTTAATTTTTTAAAATTTTAAAATTTTTTTATTTTTAAAAAAAACTTTAAATGAAAAAAAAAAATAATCTTTATATTTATTTATTTATTTATTTTTTAATTTTTAGGAATGATGAAAAATTAATAGAAAAAGAAAGGAATTGTTTTTTTTTATATAATTATTTTAGTTATTTTAGTTAATTCAAAGTAGCAAACTAATTGAACATTTTTTTTTAAAAGAATAAAGAATAAAGAATAAAGCAAAAAAAAAAAAAAAAAAAAAAATAAAGCAAATGATTTGAACTTATATGAAAACTCAAATCAATTAATAGAAAGAACCTTTATTGAAGATCTTATTAGAACCGAAAAAAAAAAAAAAATACATTGAAAAATTACTATATTAATTGATTCTTTACAAATATATATATTTATATTCCAATCTTGCTCTTCAATTCCAATTATCTTTGAATATGAATGAAAATGAATCTCGTAGATTTATTATTATTATTATTATTATTATTATTATTATTATTATTATTATTATTATTATTAATGTCTTTAAAAACGTTGGCAACCAAAAAAAAAAAAAAAAAAAATTAAAACTTAAACGTCATAATTATAATAGACACTCACGCACTCACACTCACAAACTAACTCAACGGTAGACATAACTGCCGTGCGCCACTAATAAAGGGCAAATACTACATGACTTTTTTTTTTTTTTTTTTCAATTTGAATTCGCTTCAAAAGTTTGGCCATTTACTAAATTGTATGTGGGTGTGCGCAGACAGACAAGACATAATGATTGTAAAAAATAAATAAAAATAAAAATAAAAATTTTTATTTTCTTATTCTACTTCCTGGTACATCTAAAATTGTATTTAAACTTTTTTTTTTAAAAAAAAACGAAATTGTGGCGAGTTTTACAGTGTAATGGAATTGGAAAGTTTGTGGAGGAAGGTTTTTTTTATTGTATACGTTTATAATGATGATGATGATGATAATGATGATAATTAAACTTGAATATGTTCTGAAAAGAAAAAAAAAAACATTAAAAATTGAATACTGGAAAAAAAAAAGAACTAAATCAAGAAACTCCAACAAATTTTTCAAATAATGAATATTCGATACCTTTAAAAATCTAAATATATATATTCAAATAAATAAAGGCATTAATTAATTTATAACAATTCAAACGGAAATAAGGAAAGAAATCAAATTAGACTTTTTTTTTTTTTCATTCAATAAAAAAAACAAAAAAAACAAAAAAAAAAGAGAAACTTAGTGGCATTTTGACCGGACTATCCTTGGCCACAATTCATGGCAAAAGTCTATAAATACTGTGCCACATCCATCAGATTTCTTTTATAATTTTTTTTATTTATCAAATTTCATTTCCTTTTTCTTTTTTTTTTTTTTTTTTTTCTTTTTTTTCCCTTTAGAATTAGATTCCTTCTTATTATTCAATTCTCATCCATTTTACATAATACAATGCTTTCAGTTCAACAACAACCCAAGATCCTCATGATTGCGACCCATCCACGGTCAACATCCACTGCCCTTGAACGTGCCTTTCTTACTCGCAAAGACCTGGTGTGCATCCATGAACCCTTTGGTGAAGCCTTTTATTATGGGCCTGAGCGCATGTCGGACCGTTACAGCGACAAGGAATGTTCCGGGTCCGACTACTCATCCACTGACTTTAACTCAGTAGTCAATGACATCATGGAAAAGGCACGTAGCGCACCCTCGTCTCCCCAGCAACAAACATCCTCTTCAAGAAATGAACAGCCGTCCTCATCGCCCCAGCTGCTACAAGACAACACAACAGTCCCCACAATTGTCATCAAAGACATGGCCCAATACTTCATCCCTCCAAAGGAACACGGGTTGGCAGGCAAAAACCATATTGTGGCCAAATCTCTTGAAGACTTTGTTTTGCCAGTTTCCACAGACAATGGTACTAAATCTCATGGAAATGATGTCTTGCCTGTACCCAACCCCACACTGCTACCTGAAGAGTTTTTGACCTCTATGCGTTATGTTTTCCTCATCCGCCCTCCTCATCTCTCAGTTCCCTCGTACTACCGGTGCTGCATTCCTCCACAAAGCAACGAAACTGGCTTTGACCACTATCGCTCCTCCGAAGCTGGTTATCGCGAACTCCGCATTCTCTACGACTATGTCTCTGCACTGGCTGCCAGAACTGGCTCCGTAAAGCAGCCCATTATCGTGGACTCGCTCGATCTTATTGCCAACCCAGAACCTTTGGTCCAGCGCATTTGCCAACAGGGCGATTTCCCCTTTGACGAGGCTATGCTTTCGTGGGGTGAAAATGCTGCCTACGAGACTCAACTCTTTGAAAAGTGGAAAGGATTCCACAATGACGCTCTTTCATCCACAGGATTTAAGCGTTCAAGTACCCCTGGAGCACCTGCTCGCGAGGTTCAGCAAGCTGACACTACAAAAGATGACTTTGTCATTGACTATGCTGCCTGGAGAAATAAGTGGAACCAAAGATTTAACAATGATGAGCGCATTGTCTCCGACATTGAGAATTCTGTTCGTGAACACATGGATGACTACTTGTACTTGCGCAGCCGCCGGATGGTTGTTTAAGTGATATATTAAAACGTTCTTTTTATTTTTTATTTTTTATTTTTATTTTTTTTTCATTCTTCATAAATATTGTACACTAATTTCATTAAATAATTTTTTTTTTCTATCTCCCTCCCTCTGCCATCATATCCATTCTTCTAATGGCAAATGCCAAACCGTCGCTCAAGCTCCATAAAGGACAAGAGACTTTGTACCTTGTTGAGCTCTGTTTCGTAAACCCACTCATTGTACCGTCTCTGTGCATCCACAACCCCAGCCTCCAGTGTTTGTCGCAGTCGCACACTCGCAACCTCTGCCGCATGTGTCCGACGTGCTTCATCCAGCTCCCGCGCAAGTTCCGCCTCCTTTTCTGCTCTCAGAGAGTCCTGTTGTGCTGCCAGTTTTTCTTGCTGGGCGGCCAGCTCTGCAGCCTGTGACCGTCTCGCCTCCTCAGTGGCCGCCTGCGCAGCAGCAAGTGCTGCATCAAACTCGGCCCGTTGTGCAGCCAACCGTTCCTGCATCTCCGTCTGCGCAACTAGTCGCTCTTGTGCAACAGCCTCCGCCTTCATCTGCTCAATAGAAACCTCATCTTCCATCAGCTCATCCGTCTGCTGCTCGTGATCCACCATGTGCACTCGAGGAACTGCAAGAGGCGCCGTTGCGACCAGCGCCGGCGACTGGGCCCGAGACAGGGTAGGTGATACTGAAAATGATACCCGAGAGCCAGCCGCTGCCTTAGACCTTTCTTCCTTTTCCTCCTCTTCAATCTCAACATGTCCAGGTGCCAGTTCTGGCTCTGCAATTTCAACTGCAACAGTTTCATGGCCCTCAGATTCTGGTCTTTTAACCAACTCCTGTTTTTGCTTCTCAAGCTCCTGCTTCTGCTGTTGCTGCTTCACCTTGAAAAACACCATCGACATGTTAGTCTCGTCATCACTCTCTTCCGCATCTACTCGTTGGTGTCGCGATGATCGACCATTGTTATCTTCATTGGCTTCCGCTGCAGCCTCAGCAGCAGCAGCAGCTGCTTGCACTGCACGCATTCCAGCGCTCAGTGGATCTGAGTCGAAGTTATCTTCATCATCCACAACAACGTTGGGGAACGAAATGCCTCCCTCAGAGTATGCAGTAAACGAGTCACGTCGCCACATCTTCTTAGAGCTATTGTTGCATCCGCTGCTCATACCTCCGCTACTCAGAGCGGGATGAGAAACTGAGTCATTGAGACTAATGCGGACATTTGCTGGTGTGGCCACTGCGCTATTTTCATCTGGTCGTCGATTGTCATCGTCTTCAAAGTCCTCTTCGCTTGTAGTGCCAAACGACTTGCGTGCATTACTGTTGCCTTTGCTTGGAGATGAAGTAAATGCTGCTCGGTTGGCCAAAATGGGTGCCGGCAAAATCCCATCTTTTTTCTGTGACGAGCTTGACGTATTATCAACCTCATCGAAAAAATGGGTACGCTTGACAGAACGAACCTTGTGTTGTTGCTCTTCTTGATCCTTCTTTTCTTCTAAAGGCAGCAGCTCTGGCAGTACATTGGCGTTCAAATTCTCTTCATTCTTAAACTCGCTAAAGTCTGCTGTGACTGACATGCTGCATGAAGGTAGCACCATCTCTGGCTGGCTTTCAACAGCAGAATCTTTATCAACTTCGATATGCTTAATTGACACAGTCTCATCAAATACACGGGCATCCATATCAACATCTTCGTCAGACGTCGCAGCAGGCTCATACGCAATATACTGAAGATCAGGCTTGTTTTCGACATCAGCCTTGGCCTTTGCAAAGTCATTTCGAAACCGTCGTGCTGGGGTCTCAATCTTAGAGATAGGGGCATCCAAAAACAGTTGGTTGAATCCTGGTGATGAATGAGGATGTGTTTGTGGGCTCAGGCTTCGGCGCTTGGTAAACATACATCGCGAGCCCGACATGGGTGATGTTTTAGCCAACGGCGATGTGGCCTCATCAATCCGCGAACGGTATCTATAGGGGGTAAGTGGGGTAGTAGGGCTTCGTTTCTTAGACCCTGGGCCACATGCAGCATCCTTCATCTCCTTGCGAACGGGAGACTTGGGTTCTATATCATGATTTTGAGGGGATGGAATTTCAGCGTCTTGAGTAATGCTTGTTGATCGTGAGACTTGTGGAGTAGGGACTGAAAATGCGTTATTTGTAATTGTTTCCGGCTTTGAAATGCTGCCGTTAATGCTAGGAGTAAATGGGAATGAGCTCTCAGAAGTGGCACTGTGGCCTTCCAGAGTCACGGCCGGAGCCAAGGCTGCCAGATCGGGTTTGCGACTCAGCACAACCCGCTTGACACTGCCAGGTGCTGTTGGTGATGCCATGGTAGAGTTTGTTCCAGGAGAGGGAGCCTTGCTCTTGACGGGGCTTGGAACTGGAGTGAATGATAATTTTCTGCCATTAATTGGCGAATGGTTTTCCTTGGAAACAAGAACCAGGTCTGGAGGGTACTCACTAGATGAAAACCGGTTCTTGCGTGAGGTAGTTTGACCGCGCTTTTCGGCGGCAGCAGCGAGAGCTGAGTGGTGCTGGGAAGGAGTGCTCACAATGAAGCTTTGAGATCGTGCAAAGGACATTGCAATGGCTTTTGAGATAGTTGGAGTAAAGTCTGGATGGAGAGATTCTTGTTTATTGGAAATAGCAATGGGAGAGTAAACTTGGACCGGCGAGTTGAGCAGAGTGGCTGTCGTCGGCTGGTAGTAAACTTTGGGGGGGATAGGCTTAGGGGTGGTTAGATCGATGAGAAGGTCTCCGTGGGAAGGCATGCTCATTATCTAAAGGAATGTTGGAATGAGAAACAAAGATGATTTATCAGTGTGTTGGATAGTTAGAGAAGAAAGTCTGTAAAGATTTTAATAAAGAAAGGAAAAAAAAAATTAAAATTAAAATTAAAATCCAATTTTTTATTTTTTTTTATTTATTTATTTTTTTTTTAACGGACACAAAGAAGGTGTTTGGATGGTCAAAATGGCTGGAGGTAGAAAATCTCCTAAATAGGAAATAAACAAACAAACATACAAATGAGGCAATACAACAACAAACAAAACAATAACAACAACAACAACAACAAAAGGGTCGGCGTGACAACCAGTTTGTTTACAAACAAACCATCCTCCGTTCTTCATCTCCAAGTAATCTCAAAAGACCTCCTTCATTCACATTTCATATCAATTCAACAATAACATATATACCCATTTCAGCTCTGCTTTTCCCCTTAATACTGTTTTATTCTAGCAATTTCAGTTTAATTAGCAGCAGTCCATTTCTATAAATCTTTTTACCCACTTCTTTGCAATGGCCCAGCAACAGCAACAGCAGCAGCAACAACAACTTCAGTCTTTCCAAGACTTAAACTCCAGAATCTCGCTCATGGATTCGTCAAATCTACCAGTAAGACAGATCCAGGGCCCCTCCAAACCTAATAGCCTTTTGACTCCATCTAAGCCCAACTCTGCGAGCGTTTTTGCCAGCCATGTCCACCACAATCATCACCATTTAGTCCACACTACCAAGATTGTCACGACCCCTACGTCGTCATATAAGCAACCGTTCAAGCTGCCCATTCTGGAGCAGATAAATAGTGGCGGTCTAGCAATGTCGGCTGGAAGAAGCCATTGTGCCATTGACAAGGAAAACAAACCTTTTGCGATGCTTAACCAATCTATTTACTCTGGACGAAGCAGCTTTTTAAACAATGGTCTCAAGCCAGTAATGCCCGTTACCACACAAATATGCGAAACTACAACTAACCAAGTGTCATGCAATGTCGATGATGCGACACTTGGCCAATATTCTCTTTCTTTATCAACGACAACAACCTGTGATAATACTGAAGACGAAAACTCAGGCTACGGAAGCCATGCCCTAACCAATGCTGCAGCCATGATTAACGCCAAGCTCGAACAGCTCCAAGACAAGGAAAATATTCCACCACCTGGGTCTCCTGAGCTTGTGCGATATCGTCCAGCTCATCAGTTTGCATTCAGGTCTGTTGTTGCCAATGCATCAGGGATTGATCCAGAGCTTGTTCAAGGTCTGAGCCGTGCGTTCCCTGTCAATAAGTACAAGAGACAACCGCTGAGCGTCATTTCTGTTGCACACTACGAAACAAGCACTCCTAAAAGACGACGGACACTTGGGTTTAACAATTACCAGACCCCAAATTACCATAAAAGAAAGTTTTCTATGGACTCGGATATGGATATGGATATGGATCTAGATATGGAGGATGAAGATAACAACAATGAAAAAGAGGAAGAGGAAGAGGAGGAAGAAGAAGAAGAAAACAACAACGGCAAATATATCTATATGACTGTGAGTTTTAAAGGATAAGAGATTTATTACTAAAATACTAACTTTTATTTAGTCCCAACTTGCACCAGAACCTGGTGAGGAAGACGAAGAAGACTTTGACAATTTGCCTGATTTAGATCAACTACCAAACGATGACGAGCAACATTCATCCCCTCGGTTTCCTACAACTGGAGAGGTCACTCAATCTCCTCGGGTGGTTTTTAACCCACTGAATAGTTCATTCACTACAGAAGAAGAGTTTATTCCAGTGTCGCCATCTTCTCTTGCTATTCAAGCTGCTCGGTCCCCCCGCATTTTAAATCGTCCAGATATATCCATGTCTTCTCCAAGTGCGGGGTCACGGGTTCGATCTGTTCCACAGCTTCAACTTGCACCATTAAAATCAAAACTACAGCAGCAGCATCAACAGCATCAACAGCATCAACAGCATCAACAGCAACAACAGCAACAACAGCAACAACCACAACAGTTATTTCAACAACAGGAACAATTGCAACTTCAACAAAGACAGCAGATACAATTGCAGAGACGTCTTTCGACTCTGCATCCACAACCACGAAGCCGGGTTTCGTCGGTTGGAATTTCTGCACCTGTATCCAGAAATAGTGGGTTTGCCCAACACTTGTCTGCAGCGCGAGCCGTAACCAGTGCGCCGGCGCCTGGAAGCGGAGTGCAAAAGCAGCAAGAGGGATCTTCATCTTCGATCCATGGGTCTCGACTAACAGCCACGGGGGCTTATGGCTTGAGACACAAGAACCAACAGAAAAAGAAGATGGTGTTTATGAGATGACATTAAATTTTTTTTTTCCACTACTTGAATGACATGTAAACATGACAAAAAAAAAAAAATCAGTCCTCTCAATTTGTCAAATGCCTTTTTTTTTTTTCAGACTAATGTTGGTGAGAGGCCACTATGGCCATTTAACGACGATATGCAATGATAAAAAGTCCAAAAAAAATATTAAACTAACTTGAACTTTTAAAAAAAAATTGTTTGTATTTTTATGAATTTGTCACTTTGATACCCTAAATATATATGTGACTTATATAGTTTTAATGAATTAGCTTATACTTATTTTCCCAAATCATTTGTAAGATGAATTGTTTTTTTGTTATCTGTTTTTATTAAATTGCTGTATTTAATGACACCAAAGTGCAAAAGAAATGTAAGAAGCTCGCTACCGGGGGAATAGCCAAATAAAAGGTCTGGAATTGAACACTTTGGATTTATTGATGGTAACTGATGAAGCTAAACTTGTTTTACCTCATTGAATATCTCTCGAACCCCTAAAGAAAGTCTAATTACTTGGAACCACTTTCAATGGATTAGATTAATTTAAAATCTCTTATTTTTGAATAACAATCAGCAAGACTAGACAAAAAAAAAAGAGTAGTTTTGGCAGCATGTAGGAGTATATGCGGGGGTTCTATAGATCCTTGTTGCTTATGTGAGACCAATTGTGGGAATTGGTTTAGGACATTTGTATTAAAGGATTCTGAAAAAAAAAACAAAACTATATGCTGAGAGTGATACAGACTGTAGCTTTGAGACGAAGTGTTTATGCTTATTGCACCAGTGAATTGTGAAAACAGTAACTGTTTTGGTATGATATAAAAACTGGAATCATACAATATAACGTTAGACAAAACCTTTTTGTAGCACAAAAAATGCAGTTTGTTTACACTTGAATATGAGCAAGACAGTGTCAGTGTCTATTGATTTTAGATGAGAAATCACCAATTGTAAAGCTTAGCAGACGTTATTTGGGTGAAAGAAGATAGAGATTTAATGAAGAAGAAGAAAAAGGAAACAATGTACAAACATTTGGCTTTAAAAAAATAAGCAGAAAAAAAAAACTGCAAACATTTAAGATTAAGTCAGTAGCTGGTAACAAAATAGCTAGTTTCCGGGAAATATTGCGTCAGTTGTAAATCAATATGGGGGTGGTTTAAGAAAAAAAAAACCTGAGTCTCTTATAGGCTAAAAAAAAAGACATTCTATGAAAACCAGATAGTTATTTCATTTTGGATTCAGGTTAATAAAACTATATTAATTCTTGACTCGAACAAAACTAGTTAGAAGAGATATATAAAAAAAGTTCTAAATAATCACGGTTTTATTTCCTAATTAGAGAAAGAAGTATTTTTATTAATTAATCAATTAATTAGAAAAAGTGTCAAACTACTAGAGGGGAGGAAAAAAAAAATAACAGCAAGCCCAAGTATCTTGTTTTTTGGGCTCAATTGAAGTCAATTAAATAACAGGAGAGAAACTTAATAAGAAAGAAAGATTGAATTGTTGGATTAAGTTAAAAAATAGTGGGTTTTTTTGAGTAGTCGATGCTGGCTATATTTTAAGATAGTTGAGGTTTTTTTTTTCTAAAAAAAAAAAAAATTATTTCAATATAATAATCTAGTTAATTGCGGGAACTTGATCTATTCTGGAAAAAAAAATAAAAAACCAGTTATATGGAAGCATGTTTCAGAAAGATGAAAAAAAAAAAATTGGAAATATTGGAATTATATTATTTGAAAATATAATCAATTAATCAAGTACAACTAGAGCATCCAAATAAACTTCCAAACTCCTTAAACAACTCAGCAAATTGTAAAGTTTTCAGACATATTTTATGATTATTCAATTACTTAATAGTATGATTTTTTTTTTTTAAAAAATAACCAAAAAGAGAGTTTCAAAATTAAAAGAAAATCAAATGTTATCGTCACTTTTATTGTTTATTTTTTTTTTTACTATTAAAAAATTTTTTTTTCTTATTCTTCTTTGATTTCACTATTAATTTCTTTGCACCAATTCTCTAACGGAAATCTTTCAACAAATTTAGAACCCGAAAGGTTTTTCTTTTTTTTTCTTTTTAATACAACAACAAAGCTTTCTTATACCTCTTTTTCTTTTTTTTTATCTTCTTTTTGATTTTATTTGTTCCGTTGTTACCGATACGTTGTGAATTACTAGAAACGAGAGAAAAAGGGGAACCCCCCACACACACACGCACACACGGGATGCGATTTCATGCAAAGATCTCCGGCTCGCAATCGAGATAACAAAATAAAAAAAGAAATGAAATGAAATGACTAGTAAGCGAATGGATGGAAATTTATCTTGGGAGATTATTAATTACCAATAAAAGCATATTGTCTCAAAATACGATCCGGGACTTTCATTCTCCAACTTTGATCCACTTTATCTGAGTGTCTGTGAAAAAGTCCCCCCTAAGTAGATCAATCATCATGAATATATATATAAAATTCATTTCACTGGATAATATACAATCCTTTGATTTTTCTTTATTAGGATTTTTCCCAAAGAAGGAAACATAAAAAAAAAAAAGGAGACGGGTAAAAATTACGATGATAACGTTCGGTGATTTTGCCCAAACAGGCTAAAAGAGCGGGATTCTTTTGTTTGGTATTATTATGTGCGGACAAAAATGGAAAGATAAAATAAAAAAAATGTTTTTTTATCTTCAAGATGATCACGATGAATAGAAAAAAAAAAATTTAACCAAAATTTTCTCAAAAGTACCGAGAATCAACAACCATTTGTTCCAATTTTTTTAAAAGATTATAAATCTTGTAAAAAATAATCATATCTATTAGATCAAATTTTATCAAATTTGAAAGCCTGGCAAGAATTACTATATATATATATATATATTTATATTTTTTGTTGCAAACGATGACTTACTCGCTTTGCACTCATGCACTTACCCAAAATACTTATGCGCGTGCTCCCATCGACAGGACATTTTTTTTTTTTTCCTTTTATTCAAGACAAGTCGATGCGGTCAGTTTAAGAGGTTGAACAGTGTTTAATTTATATGAAAGTAATCAATTGAGATGATAATACTTTGACAATTTAAGTGTTTAATGTAGATAGAATATTGAGATTACAAGTTTATAATATTATAATCTGAGCAAGCGAGACGTTGTTCCCATTTATGGGGAAGTGCAACAAAAAGGAAAGAAAAACAGTGCCAATTAATTTTTTTTTTTAATGTAAAGCCACCACCACTTTATATTTTTTTATTTTCTTTGCCCCTCCTTTCTTCTTTTTTTTTTTTTTATTTCTTTCTCTTACTATTCTTTCAATCAACATTTGCTTTCATCAAAATGAATATAAAAAAAAAACACAACAACTTTACCTGTTTTCCAGTATACGTTTTTCTTTTGGTCGTCATATAGCACAATTGGAAATACACCAGCAAGAACAAGTGCATTGGTAATAACAACAGTAAGAACAGCAGTAAGAATAACAGCAGCAGCAGCAGTAGCACTGCAATTCAAGTCAGAATTTATACGCAGCTTAAACAAACAATGTCATTCCTATTCTGTTCAAGTTATCTTTTCCTCTTTTTCTCTTTTTTACAAGTTTAATCTGTTATTGACCAGCCAGATAATCAAAAAAAAAAAAATTCTCATTCAAGTTTATTTTCAGACTTCATTCAGCTATTTTGTCAAGGTAAAAATCTCAGCATCTTTCTTGGCTCTTTCCCAGCAATAGTAGACTCGACAAGACACCTTTTTTTTTCCCTCTTCAAAACTCAGCACACCAGATTGTCATTTTCTTTTTTTCCTGTCATCTTTTTATTCAACAATCTATTTCCTTTTTTCCTTTTTTTTCCTTTTTTTTCCTTTTTTTTTTTTTTTGAATTCTTAAAGTTGAGGGCGTCATTGGCTTTTTTTTTTCTTTTTCTTTTTCTTTCTTTCCAATCATTTTATCTTCAATTATCACCTATTAACACCCGTTTTCAGTATATTCCTTTCGATTGTCTCTTTCATTTTTTTCTTTTTAAAAAAAAAAAAAAAAAAAAAACAATAGCTTAGTGTGGATCTTGTCTTATTTTATTTTAACAAAAAAGGGGAACAATGCTCTCCAATTACATGGTTTACCATAAGTTAATTAATACAATGGATTGTTATCAACAAGAAATGATTTAACACAGATATTTCCATTACAGCAAAACCCAACATTTGAAGACGAAGAAGAGTAAGAATAAAAGGATTATCAAAACCTTCTTCTTTTGAATATGATACTTAATTTTTTTTATTAATACACAAAATCTTTCCACAGATTAACAGATATTTTTTTTTTTTATAAAAACGAATCTACGCCCAGCTACGCCACGCCACGCCACGCCACGCTTATGCCTTACCCGATGTTTATTTTTCTTCTTCTTCTTCTTCTTCTTCTTCTTTCCAGCATCTGATTCACTTTTTATTTTGTTTCCAATGTTTCATAATTTCATATGAAAAAAAAAAACACAGCATTCGCCCAACAAAAGTTTGTTCAATTGGACTTTTTTTTGTGAATTTTCCATCAATGGTTGGGGGAAACACAAAGAGTTGTTCCTTTTTTTTTTTTTTTTTATTGTGTGTGGGGCGGCCATTTTCCCCAATCGAGAAAAAATACCGAAAAATGTATCAGCGCAAGAAATAAAAAAAAAATATTTTTTTTAATCACAACGAAAAAAAAAAAAAAAATTTAAATCTTTTAAAAACATTCTGTCTCGCAATTTTTTTTATGTTATTTTATTTTATTCTAATTCCTTTCTACAATACCTTGTTTCTTTTCAAATACCTGGTCATTTATAACAATTCAATACCAAATTATTTTTTTTATTTTTTTTTTTTTCAGTCTTTCATTTATTCAAAATATATTAAAAAAAAGTTACCATTAAAGAATATCCAAAAGTTTTAAAATACCACCCAAATCTCTTCCTCATCAATAAAGACACACATTGATACCAGCATCATGAACCTTCCGATGACACTCAACCATGTCCATTTCCGGCACAGCATCGCGAAGCTGCCAAATCAACTGGAGCGCGTCCAGCACAGCTGAGACGCTAGATAGACATGTGGTGCGCATGGACTCGAGGTGGGTTTGTACAAATGTGCGCTGGTCACTTTGTGCGTACGATCCTACAATGTATATGACAAAGAGTAACGCAGCTGCAGTTCGGCATGCAGGGTTGATGGCCATAACTTCCTGAAGCACAGAGGCAACCAAATGAGGCACGCGCTGTTCGCGGGCAAAGCGGTCGTGGGGCTTGAGATAAGTGTAGAGCCAGAGCAAGGCCGCAGAATGGAAGGCGTTGTTGCAATGGAGCAAGTCAAGGTCTGCCTTACGGTTGCTGGTGTACTCTGAGTAGCGCGCCAAGACGCTATGTTCGTGGATATACCAAAGCTGGGCCTCAAGAGAGTCGATTTCATGCTGCGTTGGTGGTTCTATAAGAGAGGAAGGTGTGTCTAATGAGACAATTCTTTGGGAGACATCCGGATTGATACCAGCCAAGGCTTTGCGGTAAGCCAGAATGTTGAATTGCAGAAGCAAGGGGGAAAGTTGGGTACCAAAACCATAAAAGGAGTCTACAGGGAGCTCGTATTCAGGGTCCGCAAGAGCATTTTCTGTCCACCAGTTGTACAGTTTGATCATGGCTGGAAGGTTATGAGCTTTTGCTTGGAGGAGCTGATCTGGACATGGAAGAAGGTTAAGGTTAACAAGGACTAGAGAGTAGGTAGTCCACTTGAAAAGAAACCAAGCGTCTGCAGACATTACAAAGCGTGGGTTAGGGATTAGGACTTGGGTTGCAAGCATGAGGGCGCCAAAGAGATGGACATTGTAACTTTCAGAGTTATTTTCGCCAATTGCGCAACAAGTGAGACTAAGACAGGTGGCTATACCAACAAGGGCATCAGCAGTTGAGAGGCTTGCTGTGACGATGTGGTTGCGTAAACCACGGACAGACTTGACATTAAGTTTGATCATTGTGCGGTCATAGTTTGAATCGTTATAGCCAAGGATTTTATTTCGATAGATTCCCGAGAGCTGCATGAGAGATTGTTGAAGAGCCTCGTTTTTGGCGGCCATTGGGACGATTGAGGAGAGGAAGGGGGTTTCAAAGTCGTGGATAGCGCAGAAGCGGGATGTTTTTTGGAGATAAAATGACCAGAGGTAGCGGAGAGAGGAGGGGATGCGGACATCCATGTAGGAGTCTACAGAGAAGTTGGGAGGGAGGTCTCTAGTGACTGGAAAGACGACAAAGTTTTTGTTGAAGGGAAGGTTGGAGGCTGAGGTTAAGGATGAGGATGCTTGGGTTGATTCGTCTGAAGCTTGGTCGGATCCATCTGAGGAGAAGGATGAGACTGAAGAGATTGAGTATGAGCGGGGGAATGATTGGATAAGGGATTGGTCTACTGGGAGGTCTTGTGTTGGTTCGCATGTGGAAAGACGGATAAGGGATGAGAGAGACATGATTGGGGGTGCCACTGGGGGGTTCTGTGAGAGGAGGCCTGCAATGGAGAGAGTAGGACTTTTTGGAAAAGGTTCGTTGATTGTGGTTGTGGTTGTGGTTGTGGCTGTGGCTGAGGATGTTGATGTTGATATGGATGTAGGGATAGGATGAGGGATTTGGGGAAAGGTTGTGGCGATATCAGGGAGAGCATTAAAGTCAGGACCTTGTTGGGCTGGGGGGCAATTAGTGTGAGGGGTTATGCTAGAAGGTTGCTGGGAGGTGTAGATTGGAGGTATTTGAGATGGTCCTGGGGTTGTGATTTGAAAGGTGAAGGATTTAAATTCAGGTTGGTTTACTGGTGCTGTTTGTACTGTTGGTATTGTTGGTATTGTTTGTAGTGGGATTTGTGAAGATGGCAGTTGCATTTGTTGTTGCTGTTGTTGCTGTTGTTGCTGTTGTTGCTGTTGTTGAGGATCCGAGACTTGGTTCTTTTTTAGGTCTGCGGTGGTGGGTTGTTTTCTTTTACGGCGCCGATGGGGGGCTGTAGAGTCGTAAGCTTGGAACGTATCATATTGGCACTCGCTTTTGTTGTGTTGGCAGAGACTGCAAGCTGGTCGTAGTTTGTCACACTAGAGGAGGAGGGGGGGAATGTTTAAATGGTTAGAATTGAATGTATTATGAATGTATTATGAATGGGAATGAATGTGAATAGAAATAAATAAATTAATAAATTATTAGATAAATAAATGAAAATACCTTTCTTTTGCGTTTGCGACATTGAATACAGCTTCCACGGAGTCTGACGGCACGTTCTGCGCCTGGTGGCATCATAGAGCTTGTTACGAACATTGTATATTAAGGATTTGAAAGTTTTAAAATTTGGAAAGTTGAGAAAATTAGGGAGGTTGGAAGTTTTAGAAGTTTTGGAAGTTTTGGAAGTTTTAAAGGTCTTTTTTTTTGAGATTTTTTGGTGGTAACAAAAAAAAATAAAAATAAAAAAAAAAGGAACCAAAGAGAAGGAAAAGAGAAAAAAGAAAAAATTTAAAATTTAAAATTTAAAATTTAAAATTTAAAATTTAAAATTTAAAAAAACAAAAAAAAAATTTAAAAAATTTAAAAATTTAAAAAATTTAGAAGATTTAGAAAATTTAAAAATAAAAAAAAAACAAATTTTTGTCATTTTAGAAAAGATATTTATATTTATATATAAATTTATATTCATATTTATGATATTTTAATATGTTAATATTTGTTTATTTTTTTTTTTTTTTAAATTAAAAACCTCCCCTCATTGATTGTCTTGTACTTTAGAAGTAATTAAACACAGTCTTAAAAAAACTAAAAAAATAAAATAAAAATAAAATAAAATAAAAGGACCCGAGTCCCGAATCAAAAAATAAAAATAAAAATATAAAATATATAAAATATATAAAATAAAATTTTAATTTAATACAAACACGAGTACCGAAACTTCAATACCACTTAAATACTCATTTTCATTCTTCTTCAAGAAAATCTTCTTCTTTTTCTTTAAATATAAAATAAATAAATAATAATACTTCAAATAATACTCCAAATAATACTCCTAATAGTACTTAATATCTAAGCCGTTTGTGACCGGCTTCTTGACCACTTTAGGAGACTTCCACTTCCATACAATTTACCGCCCGTAGAATTGAATATTTGAATAATTCAAGTTTTATTTTTTTTAGTTAAAAGAAAAATAAAAAATAAAAAAAAAACATATAAATAACCATCAAATCCCCCGGTTCCCACCCACACCACCCCTTATATACTTTAAAAAAAAAAAAAAAACCTTCTAATCCCCACCGCACTAAAAAAAAAAAAAAAACAAAAAAAAAAAACAAAATGTCCTTCGATCTGGGCCTCGGCCTCGAAGATTCTCATGTTCTCGTCACTGGAGGAAACGGCGCTATTGGCTCCACAACCGTCGAAGCATTTCTCGCAGCTGGAGCCCGCGTATCTGTTTTTGACATTAAACTACGCTCTAATACCCCTAGCCAAGATAATAATAATAATAATAATAATGATACCTTCCGACAATACCAAGTGGACATTTCAGATCCTCAAGCGTTGGAACAAGCTTTTGCAAAGGCAACCCAAGCATTCGGACTAATCCATATTTGCGTGGCATTAGCCGCAAGAGATCTATCTTATTGCCCACACCATGGATCACTGATTGACATGCCCTTTTCTCAGTTCCAACAAACCATCCAAACAAATGTCCACGGAACTTTTCTGACGGTCCAGCTATGGATGAAACAACTACGTGATATGGCTACATCAACTTCACGGAACCTTTCGCTAATTATTATAGGCTCCGAATCGGGTCATTTTGGTGAGCTGGGGAATCCAGATTACGCAGCGGGGAAATCTGCAGTTCAAGTCGGATTGCTTCAGTCATTGCGTAAAGATTTAGTTTTGGTGCATCCTCGTGCCCGCGCCAATGCAGTGGCTCCAGGCCCAGTCAATACAGCTCAGTTCCAACGTGAAACCAATGAAAATAAAGATCAATACTGGTTAGATTGTGAGGCGACAACTGCACTGAAGCGGCCGGTATCGCTAGAAGGCGTTGCACGTGCAATTGTGTTTCTGGCGAGTGAAACTTGGAGCGGAGATATTATGGGACAAGTGGTAAATGTGGATAGTGGTAAAAATGGCAAACTTTTATGGACCCGAGAAGAATCTGCCAAAAAATAGAAATTAATTTTAGAAATACATTTTTTTTGTTTATATTTTGATAATTTGATAATTTGATACATTGATACATTGATAATTAACTAAATTAACTTATAATCGAGCACACTCGGCTGCACTGTAAAGTAACCGACCCTCCATTCCACCATCAACTGAAATGCACTGCCCAGTCACATGGCCAGCCCATTTCTCCGAAGCTAACCACACAATGGCTCGAGCAACATCCTCTGGCTCGGCCACTTTGCGTAATGCCACGGTAGCTTGAGCATGACGGTACTTATTTTGCGGGTCATCCAAATAATCTCCAACCATTGGTGTACGGGTCCAACCTGGGGCCACTGCATTGACTCTAGCACGCGGATGGACACTTGCTGGGAGTTCGTTTTTGAGGGAGCGCACAAGACCATATTGTAACGCGGCTTTACCAGACGCATAATCTGAATGGCCGGCTTGACCGAAAACAGCAGTCTCGGAACCAGTAATGACAATGGCAATATTGGTCAAACTTTGAGTGGAAGGATATGCTAGCAAAGAGCGAATAAACTGGCGAATGACAAGAAATGTACCGTCAACATTGTTTGCATAGGTGCCGCGCCATTGGTCAAGACTCATGTCTGCAAGTAGCACTGGTGCTCCTTCATGGCAAATTCCAGCATTGGCCACAAGAACTGTGGGAGGAGCTTTAATCCCAGATAAGTTTTTTAGGAAGGGATGATTTGTTGCATTTTCAAAGAGTTGTTGTACGGCCAATTCACTGCGCATATCAGCTGGGACCAAGTGTAGTCTGGGGTTAGTGATGTGATTAGCAAGGCCTAATTGTAGTAGTTGTAGAGAACGGTCAGAAGCAGAAACAATTGCTTGTGATTGGAGGAGTAATTGGACAGTGGCTTTACCGATTCCGCTAGCTGCACCTGTGATAAGGACGTGGACGTTTTCTAGTCCTAGTGAGGTCATGATATGTGATTGAGTGTGCTGATTGTGAAATAGAGAGAGAGAGAGAGAGTAGAGATTATGTAATTATGGTAAGGTTTTGAATTTGAATTTTATCTATATATATATGTATATATGGAGTGATTAGTGTTGGTAGAGCCATAGACCGGGGTCCCCTGTCATACTAAATTCAGCAAAAGTGACAGTTTGCTATGGATAGTTTTGGTGGGGCTTCAGGGGTGGTTTTGATGTTAGTTAGTTTGCTTAATTAAAATCTGCTTTTTTTTTTTATTTTTTATTTTTTATTATTAAATTTATTTTTTATTTTTAAATTTTTTATTTTTTATTTTTTATTTTTTATTATTAAATTTATTTTTTATTTTTAAATTTTTTTTAAATTTATTTTTCTTAGTACATTTCGACCGGGTCCTAACTTCGTGCACCGACACTTTGGAGACTATATATTTATATATTTATATTTTTATATATTTTATATATTTTAACTTGACCGGTTAAAGTTTTGCAGTAGAGCTGAGCAGAAAGAACTAAAAAAAAAATTAAAAAAATAAAAAAAAAAACTTTTCGGCTCTCACACGGCCTTAAAATGAGACTTTCTAATCAGATAGAGAAAAGAATATCTTCAAAAGTCATAAATATTACACAAGCCTATTTCTTTTAAATATAAATTTAAATATAAATAAATTTAAATATAAATAAATTTAAATATAAATAAATTTAAATATATATATATTTATATATATTTATTATAATATCCACCCCAAATACATATATAACTACTACCATCTCTCTCTCTCTTTAACCATTTAATACCCAAAATTAAAAAAAAAATAAATAAATAAATAAACAAATAAATAAATAAACATCTTAAACTCACATCTTTCCAAATGACACAAAACCTCGACGAAATCATCAAACATGATGACGAGGTCCTGGAAAGCTTCGGCTATAAACAACAAATGAAACGCCGGTTCTCCCGTATCTCCCTCCTTGCAATGGGCTTCTGCGTCCTTAACACATGGCAAGCCCTTGGATCTACACTCTCTCTAGCTCTCTCAAATGGTGGACCTTCTGCCATTCTCTGGGGGTCCGTCTTCTGTATGCTGGGGAACACTTTCCTGGCATTATCCATGGCTGAACTTACTTCAGCATGGCCAACTGCAAGTGGCTCATACCACTGGGTCTCTCAAATTATCCCAAATAATAAACCATATAGACGTCTCGCAGTCTGGATTACTGGCTGGACAAACCTTGTAGCTTGGTGGATGATGGCTATTTCAGCTGCTATTCTAGGTGCTCAATGTGTCATGGCCGGTGGCATCATCATCACCCCATCATTCTACCCAGAACGCTACCAAACTTGGCTCGTCTTTCTTGGGTTTGTTCTCACAGGTGGTATCTTCAATACCTTCTGTATCCGTATCATGCATTGGTACACCAGAGTCACAATGTACTGGTCCTTTGCTGCCTTTATTGCATTTATTATAGTCATTGTCGCCACCACTGATAATGATAAACGTGCATCTGCATCCTGGGTCTTTGGCGGCTTTGCAAACCTCATGGGCTGGCCCGATGGTTTCTCTTGGCTCTTGGGTATGGCCCAGACATCCGCTCTTTGCTTCACTGGTTATGACTCTATCGTCCACATGTGTGAAGAACTTCCAAATCCTACAGTCGCTGCTCCCTTTGCTCTCGTCTTCACTCCAATCACTGGTGGTATTACCGGATTCCTCTTCCTCGTCGCACTTCTCTTCCAAGTTTCTGACGTCGATGCAGCCTCCTCAGCTTATCTAGCTCTTGCTGAAATCGCCTCTGCATCTGCAGGCAAGGCTGGTGGCACCATTCTTACAATGTTCATTGCCATCGGTCTTGGTGTCGGTACCTGGCTGGACATTATGACCTGCTCTAGACTTACCTATGCTCTTGCTCGTGATAAAGCTTACATCTTCCCTTCTTTCTTCGACTCCGTTTCTCCTACCTTCAATGTCCCCGTGAACGCTGTTTGGATTTCTACTGCCATCATTGGTGCCATTGGTGCAATCTACATTGCCTCTGTTTCCGCGTTTAATGCCATCATCGGTGGTTGTGTCATTTTTATCAACTGGTCTTATTCCATCCCCATTATCCTGCTTCTCATCTTTGGTCGCGACAGACTCGGACCACGACCCTTTTCTCTGGGCAAATGGGGATACATAATTAACATTCTCGCAGTTCTTTACGCCCTATTTACTTCAATCCTTAATTTCTTCCCCTTTGGAATCCCAGTAACTGTCCCCACTATGAACTACGTTTGTGTCGTTGTTGGAGGCATCTACTTTTTGTTAGCAGGTTACTGGATTCTCTGGGCTCGTAACCGCTTCGTCGTTCCTAAAATGGAAATCTTAAGTGGTGCTTTCGATTACCAGGAAGACGACAACTACCCTAAGCCAACAGAAACCCGTCCATTGTCTTCTGAAAGTTTTTCAAGTACTTCTAAGGGGTTCAAAGATCCTCAAGTTTTATAGATTTTTGTTATATTTTTTTTTTGTTATTATATTTTTTGTTATATTTTCTATTATATTTTCTATTCATCATTATCATCTTCTTCATCTTCTTCCTTTCCCTCTTCTCCTCTCTCCTCTTCTTGGTGCTCTCGCATCCGATCTGTCAAAAATGCATTGGTCGCCCGCTGTAGTGATACAATCTGCCGCCGTAAATCTCCCAGTCTGGTCCCGGCTTCAGGTACGCTGGCCGCATCCCGGTCCTCCTCGCCCTCCGTCAACTGGTTCATCTTCCTCAGCTGCTCAATGGGTTCCGGTGTGAGAGTCACCGACATCACCTCAGGGGCTGAATAGATTGCTATGGGTTGACTCATGATTTTCTTTGTTGTCTATTTTTGGGTAGTAAAAGGGAAAAAATAAAAAAACAAATAAAAACAAAAACAAACAAACAAAGTTAACAAAAAAAAAAATTATTAAAATTAAATTTTAAAAAATTAAAAAATTTAAATTAAAAATTAAAAATTAAAAAATTCACTTTTTTGACTTGCTAATTTAGCCTAAAAAAAAAAAAAAAAACTCTACATTTCAACCAACATAAACTATCCGTGCCCATAACCCCCCACAAGGCTTAACTACCTCCTGAACTGCTTGAAATTCTCCCAGTAAGCTACCCAAAACCTCCTCCACGCTACCTACAAACTCCTTTTCTTCAATTTCCTTGATTCTTTCAACCTCCATTCCGTACTTTCTCAATCGGCCTTTAACAAACCGCGCGTAGATTTTAATCTCTTTTTCCTCTTCTTCCTCTTCTTCTTCTTCTTCTTTTTTTTTCCCTTCTTGTATTGTGCAAACTTTCCCCGTAATCTTCTTGACAACCTCTAAGCCACGTTTGGGCCCCAGAAACTTCTCAAGCGTCGTATTTTTTGCCCGAGCTGCTGCATCTACCAAATACTTCATATCCTGATCCTTATTCCCCCCTTCTTCATCTCTCCTTGGCTGCACACTCAAACAAACCTTTTTCTTGCCCAGGTCGCCCAGTCCAAATCTCCTTTGTGTGCTTTCACGTCCGTGCCTTCGCACTGCATCAAAGTCGCTTACACGTAAACCTTGTTGTTTGGTCCCATCATGTCTACTCATACTCTTGCCGATCGCATTCATTCTCGGTAGAGTGGCTCTGATGGTTGCTACTATTGCCGGTTTAGGTCTTGCGGTTTCATGTAATCCTACTTTAGCTCCACTGAACATTGCTAGTTTCTTTTCTACTTGCGTTGACAACACCACTCGGCAATCTTTAGGTTCGGGTCTTTCAATTGGTATGTCCAGTCTTTTAATTGATATAACTGCTTGCCTTTCAACTGGTATAGCAGACCTCTTTACTGATCTGACAATCTTTTCAACTGGTCTGACCAACCCTTGTATAGCCCCTTGACCCCCCAATACTCGCTCCAAAAACATTTCAATCCGCACTTCAACCTCCTCAATATCTCGCAACACAATGTCATCCTTCCCAGGCTCCACATTCACATCCATCCATCCCTCAGGTATCTCCACGCAAACAACCCACACCCGCCGGTCGCAAACCCTCTCGTTAATCCTCTTCACTAACCGCAACGCATGTCCGTGCTTCCCCCTCATCGGTCGCCCGTTGATGGCAAAAACATTGGTTACCGGAGTCGTCCCGTTCCCCATCTCATCTCCCACCCTCACAGGTACCACATACCGCCATTTCCAAGTCCCCCCACCTTCTCCTGAATCATAAATCTCCCCACTTATTAAATGCTTCACAGCCTTGGTCCCAAATACCCCAGCAAGCCGCTCAAGTGCCGTCCGCCCACAGTTGTATACCCGGGTCTGGTTGCTGCCCCCAGTTCTCCTCACCCCGCCAACTTCCCGAACTCGAAACTCAAGACGTGCATTGGGGTACACCAGCGCATATTCAAGAACAAGCTTCGACGCTGCTCGAAGTGTTTGTCTGCACTCTGCTAACAAAATCTTGCGTCTCACAGGGTATCGTGCAAACAAGTTTTCCACTGTAACACTTGTACCCACAGGTGCAGCTACATGGGCTAATCTAAAAAAAAAAAAAAAAAAAAAAAAGAAAAGAAAACTGTTAATAAAACAACTTCTGTTCAATTCTGAAAAGAAACTCTCCAACTACGATCCGCTTAAGGCTCGACCCCCACAATCTACCCGCCATTGAACAGCAACTTTCTCACTGGCAACTCGCGTTGTCATCGTCATGCCACCGCTTGTTGAACTTCCAGAGATATCTGCGATGGCTGCCAATGCTTCGCCGCGGAACCCCAGCGTGGTAGTTGTTTCAATATCTTCGTAGGTCCGGATCTTGGAAGTGGCACTGGCTGCGGCTGCAACTCCACGGTCTGTTGGCGCTATACCTGTGCCGTTGTCGGAAACAGAGACGCAACCGAGGGTTGTTTGGTCAATTGTGATTTGCACACTAGATGCACCGGCATCCAGACTGTTCTCAAGAAGCTCTTTTATGACGGCAACCGGAGAGGTGATTATGACAGAAGCTCGTAGCATTGGATAGTTGGTTGATGGAATAATTGATTGATTGATGAATTCATCTGATGAGAAGATTGACAATTAAAGCCGTCTGGGGAAGATCAGAAATAAAATGTAACATAATGTGTAATACATAGTTGTAACAAAGTTGTAATTTTTCACTCGCCCTTTCCAGCTTTCTTACAGGCTCTGCATTAACCACCTAAAAATTTTTTTTTTTTATGTATGATTTGTTCACGACTTTCCCACCACCACCACCAAATTAAAGGACCGTCAAATATCTCACAATGTCGCAATTCCTTGGAAGAGTACGTCCTATTTTTCATCTCAAAATGAACATCCTAACCTTCCTTTTTTTTAGACTGGTGTCTCGCATGCCCGTGTTTGGCACCATATCGATATGGCCAAGGAGTCCCGGACCCTGGGTCGTCTGGCCTCCGCCATTGCCCTGACCCTCATGGGCAAGCACAAGCCCATCTACAACCAGTCCAGTAAGTAGATTCTTTTATTCTTTGCTTGATTCTTTTTTTTTTTCTATTTATCTAACTTCTTATAAGTCGACGACGGCGACTACGTGGTCGTCTCCAACTGTCACTATATAAACGTCACCGGCAACAAGCTTAATGACAAGCTCTACAGACGTCATTCAAACAAGCCCGGTCAACTGCACGAGGTCGTCATGAAGGATATGCTCGCCAACAAGGGTGGCGGTGAGATTCTGCGCCAGGCTGTCTCCAAGATGCTTCCCAAAAACAGACTCCGCAAGTTCAGACTTGACCGACTAAAGACCTTTGAGGACTCGAAAAACCCATACGCTGATAACATCATTGCTTACAGCGACGAAGCCCCCAGTGTCACAGAGGCTCTCAAGAAGAAGGGCCTTCTCAAATAAATATCTTTGACTTGTTTTTTCATGATACCTCGTTTTTTATCGCATTTCTTTTGTAAATAATTATTATAAATATTTGAATTCCTTTTTCATCATTTCTTGCAAACCCATCTTCATTCCTTGCCCTTTTTGGTGCGCAGCCGCGCTGCCCCCGGTCCTCCTGCTTCTCGGTCCATGGCTGGTCTTTTGGTCTTGGCTGCTGTCGAAACAGACACCACAGAAGAAATAGAGGCAAGCGATGTAGTACGCTTAAGCCGTGACGACGGACGCGAAGAAGAGGAAGAGGAAGAAGGCGGTACAGACGCTAACGATGACGCAGGGTACTGGTGAGCCATGCTACTGGCTGGCCGCGGCTTAACTTCAGGCAAAGGCCGCGCCGACGCCCGCGCCGATGCAGGCCGGATCCTGGCCGCCATACCTTGATTATTGTTTTCAGAATGCACGGGCTCCTGCTTGATAGATGCTGTTCCTGCCAGCGACCCTCTAGGCCCTGCCAATGACCCTCTAGGCCCCGCCCGCAGGTCTCCTTGCGCTTTGCTAGGCGATGACCCCAACACGGGGCTTGCACCACCTGTTCTCTTATTGTTGACAAACGTAGTCTTGGACGGCGTCACAAACTGCGGCTTTCCTGACTTGAGCGGCGACGTGGCCAGTCCAGGAATCCCAGAGACTTTGAGCTTGACTTTTTCTGGTGATACCCGTATGTCTGCAATGTCATCACCATCTTTGCGGGCCTCTGCACGCGCCTTGGTTTGAGCCATTAGACGACCAATGTGTACTGCACGTTTTTTGGCTTCTTCGACTTCTGCCCGAAACTCACGAATGGTTTTATTCCAGTTGCGTTTCGATACCCGGTTAATGCGCGCCTCAATTTTCGATTTGAGCGCCAGCGCCGCTCGTTGGTGGTGAGCCTTGATTTTGGAAATTCGTTCAGCAACTTATAAATAAATATTAGTTTAAAGTAAAGAATAATGACTTGATAAGTACTCACCATCGTATTGGAACCCTTCAATTAGGGTCTGTTTCTGTTCAGCGGTCAAAACAATTCCATTGGGAACAGATGGTTTGTGGCCGACGCGTCGGGGGGTTAGATCGAGAGGTTTTTGAGGTCGGACTACGGGATCAGCTCCCTTATTGAGTCTTGGAGACGTTACTGGTGACGACTTGTGAGGAGAAAGCATTGAGTTGTAGAGTGAGTTGGAAAAGAGTAAAGAAAGAACTCGTTTATTTATTGTCAAATTCCAATGTTTATGTTTTGTCTGAAAGACTTTTTATTTATTTACTTTTTTTTTATTTATTTATTTTTTATTTATTTATTTTTTATTTTCAAATTGTTATGCTATTTCCTATTCAGGCTGCGCCTCAGCAGCCGATGGGTTCCCATGGGAATTCCAATTCACGTGACCGTTTTGCCACTAAACCTCCAAAACCTCCAAACCCACCACCGCCAAAGACTTCATCATCATCCTTCCTCAGTCCTCGACAGCCCAGACAAAAGAATACCCCCATTAACCACTCCCTCCCCATCTATCAAATCAGACGTATATTAAAATGGTTCTAGAGGCCACTATGATAGTGTATGTTCTCTTATATCTTTTTCTTTTTTTTTCAATCCTCTTTTTCCTCTTTCTAACACCCTTAGAATTGACAACTCCGAGTACATGCGGAATGGCGACTATACCCCAACCCGTTTCCAGGCTCAAACAGATGCGGTCTCAATGATCTTTAACCTCAAGACTCAGTCCAATCCAGAAAATACTGTCGGCCTCATGAGTATGGGCGGCAATGGCCCTAAAGTTCTTGCCACACTCACCTCTGACTTTGGCAAAATTCTGTCAGGTCTCCACGAAACTAAAATCGAAGGCTCATCCCATCTGGCAACCGGTATACAAGTTGCAGCGGTATGTGATACAAGTATTCTAACATCCAATGTCCTAACTTCTCATTGCTAACTTTTTTTTTTAGCTCGCGCTCAAGCACAGACAAAACAAAATCCAACGCCAGCGCGTCATTGTGTTTGTGGGCAGCCTGATAGAAGACGACACAAAGGAGCTGGTGAAGCTCGCCAAGAAGATGAAGAAGAACAATGTCGCTGTGGATTTTATCAATTTCGGTGAAGAGTCAGAAAATACTGAGAAACTTGAAAAGTTCCGCGAGGGCGTCAACAGTAACGATAATAGCCACGTCGTCACCGTCCCCCCAGGCCCTCATCTACTCGCCAACCAACTTACGGCTCTTTTTGTCGACTCAGAGTTTGGCGGCAGTCTTGGTGGTGCGAGCGGTCTTGGTGGCGCTGGTGATCTCGGCGACGACTCTATGGGCGGAATCCTCGACCAATTCGACCCCAATGTCGACCCAGAACTCGCCCTGGCCCTGCGCATGTCGCTGGAAGACGAAAAGGCTCGCCAGGAAAAAGTCAAAAGAGAACAGGCCGAAAAGGAAAAGGCTGAAAAAGAAGCTGAGGACCCTGCCACCACTTCTTCGGCTGGTCCCTCTGAAAATACCAAATCTGACAAGGACGAGCAGCCAAAGAAAGACAAGGATGGCGATGATTTAATGGAATTGTAGTTTTAATACATGATTACTTCTTCTTTTTTTTTTATACAAATTATATTATTGAAAAATTTTTAATACTGTAAACTATACTCTTACCGAATATCCCGACCGCTCAGTGTACATGCGCGGAGCAATATTCATGGCCATGAGCTCCTGGAACAACAACTTAGCAGCATATGGAATATGAATCTGGTAAATGTTGGTCTTGTTCTTGCACGACCGGCACTCGTACGCCACCTCATCCAGTTTGGCAATCACCGACATGAGACCACACACACCGCAAATGTGCACTCGGAACGCGTCTGACGCTTCCATCAAACGCTCCTTCAAAAACGCAGCTACACCGTGCGCAATCATACAGTCTCGCTCCATTTCACCGAAACGCAACCCGCCATCACGCGAACGACCCTCAACGGGCTGGCGCGTCAGAATTTGCACAGGTCCACGCGCGCGAGCGTGAATCTTATCGTCTACCATGTGACGCAATCTCTGGTAATATGTCGGGCCCAAAAACACCTGCGCCATCAATTTGCGCCCAGTGTGGCCATGGTACATCACTTCAAATCCGCGTGAGTGGTAGCCGCTTTCGCGAAGCAGTTTAGAAACGTCGTCCACAGTGACATCGGTAAACGGCGTTGCATCACCTTCATAACCAGACAAAGCAGACACTTTACTCAAAAGACACTCAATCAAATGGGCAACTGTCATACGTGATGGAATGGCGTGAGGGTTAATAACCAAGTCTGGCACAACACCCTCCGCAGAAAACGGCATGTCTTCGTTTCGGTATGTCACACCAATAGTACCCTTTTGACCGTGACGCGACGCAAACTTATCACCAATTTGCGGAACCTTGGTTGTTCTCATGCGCACCTTGACAAATCGTAAACCTTCTTGGTTGGTCGTCAAAAGAACCTGGTCAACAATACCGTTTTCGGTACTACGCAGAGGCGTAGAAACATCTCGCTTCGTGTGGTACTGCGTTCTCTGACCCTGCTCCTGCGAATCTGGTGGAATTGGCGCAGTCTTACCAATAATAATATCCTCACCAGAAACACGCACACCAGGCGCAATAAGACCATCATCATCAAGCTTGTCATATGTACCGTGCTTCAAGCGAAGTGTATCAGCACGCGTGGGCTTCTCAAACTCCTCCACAACTGACATACCAATGCGGCGCTCTTGGTCCATGTAGGAACGGAAAAATAACGAACGGAAAAGACCACGGTCAATACTTCCTTGATTCATAATCATGGAATCTTCCTGGTTGTAGCCACTATAACATAAAATTGCGACAATAGCATTCTGACCGGCAGGGAGCTCGCGGAATTTAAGGTACTCCATGGATCGAGTGGTGGCTAAGGGCTTCTGTGGATAATACAGAATGTTGGCCATGGTATCCATACGAACACTGTAGTTGGTCAGGTAAACACCCATGGCCTGCTTACCCATGGCAGACTGATATGTATTTCTCGGCGACTGATTGTGGTCCGGGAATGGAATAATACTGGCGCAGATACCCAAAATCATACTGGGGTGAATTTCGCAGTGGGTCCAAGTGTGGGCGTGTGGATTGAAAGTGTTGCGCCGATTCGAGTCTCTATAGTCAATGTCGGCACCGGCCTGCAGCTGTCGCGAGATTTCCAAGTCTTCATTGGACATGGCAATCATGACAGTCTCCTCCTCTTCACCATCAATGTACTCAATGTAACCGTTCTTGACAAGCCACTCCCAGTCGACACTATCCTCCATGTTATCCTTAGTTTCATCCTCGCCAGCCATAACCTCGCCCTCTTGCTGAGTAATAATGGTATTGACAATATCCTTGGTAATTTTAAGCTGGCCCTTGTTGGGGCCCTCGCTCTCAACCACAAACAAGGGACGGTAAACACGACCAGCATCCGTCAGAATGCGCAGCTCCTTAGATCTAATATCGCGTGTTATACTAACTTCGGCGCTAATGTCACCCTTGCGACGAAGGTTTTTAATGGCACTGGCCATATGGCTGGGACGCTGGTGCACACCAACCCAAACACCATTAACGAAAATGCGAGTAGCATTGGGAGAAGCGTGAGGAACATAATCCTCAAGAGGCTCCATACCCCATTCTTCCAGGTAGCAGACAATAAGAGCCGAAGGAGTACCGACGGAAACTCCAGACATAAGCGACAAGTTTTTGACCAAACCACATGCTTGACCTTCGGGTGTTTCTGCTGGACACACAAACCCCCAGTGGGTGTTGTGTAATTGACGCGGTCTCGCAATCTTACCATCACGGCCAATAGGAGTATTGGTACGACGCAAATGCGACAGTGTAGAGGAAAATGTATATCTGTTAAGCACCTGAGAGACACCTGCTCTGGTGGACATGGCCTTCTTTTGGTCACCCCAATTACCGGTGGCAAGGGAATACTTGAGACCATTAGTGATGGTGTTGGATTTGACAGCCAGAGTAAGGTTAAAGTCCTTGTTTGTCTCAACACACTTTTGCATGTATCGGTAAATGTCTCTTGTGAGCTTCTTAAAAAGAATGCGGAAAAGCTGAGCAAGCAAGGGACCAGCAAGATCTAAACGCTTCTTACCAAAATGATCACGATCATCAGGGTCAGAACGATCCAAAGCAACAAGAAGAAGCTTGTGAATCATGTAGCCTAAAAAGAAAGCTTTTCTGGATTCAAAACCTTCATCTTGTGTAATGTTGGGCAAAAGCTCCTTTTGCAGAATATCTCTGGCATATCGCATACGCTTATCACGAGTAATGCCGATAGCACTACCACGTCTACCAATCAAATCCAAAGCAGTTTCTCTATCCTGGACGGGGAAACTCTCTTCTACACACGGTTTGAGCATTTCAAGCATTTCGGTATCGTTTTGGTCGTAGCAAATATGCTCCAGAATATCACCATCAGGGACAACACCAAGAGCTCTGAAAACAACAACAATAGGAACATCACTCTTGACATATGGAATAGTGGCCTTGATTGTTCGCTCGCCTTTAGCCATGAGCTTGATGGACATGCTGCTGATTAAACGGGACCCCTTTTCAAGAGCACTTCTAATTTCTGCAATGTGTGAAATAGGCGAAGGTGCCGATTTTTTAAAGACCTGAACAATGTTGGCAGCACTACGTTCCTGGGCAATCAAAACCTTTTCGGAACCATTGATGACAAAGTAACCACCCTGGTCATAGGGGCACTCACGCAGATCGTAAAACTCTGACTCCTTAAGATCGCGGAGCATGCAAAACTTGGATCGAACCATAATAGGAACCTTGCCAATGTAAACCTTGGACATTTCATCAGATTCGTTAGGAACCACAATCCACTGGACATCGTCTGCATTAGTGTATTCGGTGTCTTTCGATGTTAAAACGCGTTTGCCCATGTCGACGTATAACGGAGAAGAGTAGGTGAGATTTCGCAGACGCGCTTCTTGTGGAAACATAGGGTGTGTGCTACCATCAGCTTCCGTCATGGTAGGACGTGAAAGGTAAATTTTACCAAATTCAATTTCATAGCGTTTGCTGATGTTGTCATTGACTGTAGTGTGCTGGGCAGGTTGATCTAAAATCAAGGCCTTGTCTTCGTAAATAAGACTTTGAATAGTGGTTTCAATGAATTCGTCAAATGAGTCTAATTGCTGTGAAACAAGACCCTTCTCATTAAAGAATAAGGAAATGATGGCCCAAGAGTCTTCGGATGTGAGCTCGGTATCTTCATCGTAGCCGTAACCGTCTCCAATATCATATTCTTGCTCTAATTAAAATGTCAGAAGTTTTTTTTATTTTTATTTTTACTCGTGTAAATGCAATCTTACCATCGGACATCTTGAGTTCAAATCCTATTAAATGATTTTATAATACTAGAGAACACTAAATGTATCTCTAAGCTTGGAATAAATAATGGTATTAAGGATGAATGGGATTCAAGACGCGAAATGGGGGGATTGTAAAGATGTGGCGATTCGTGTAGAAAAAAATTGATGGTGGTGGTGGTGCCAGGAATTTCATTATTTTTCACCACAACAAAAACAACAAAAAAAAATTCCAATTATGTTCCATAATATTCTTCGTGCTATAATATACGCATCCCATATAAATACAACATCTCTCAAGATTTGATCTGTCTTATCCTTTATTCACTTTACAAAAACAATTATCAACTGCTTTATTTTATCTAGTAAAAACAGCAATGGACAATAAATCTACTACCACCAAAGTACCTGGAACTGCTGAAACATCTCGGAGCGCTTTTTCCATGTTTCGTGCATTCACGCGCAAGAATAAAGCGCGTCGACGTCGACGCGACAAGTCCGTGGTGCTCAAGTACAGTCAAAACAGACTGAAGAAGCCACAGTTTGGATATGACTGCGACGTTGCCAAAGAATTGCTCCATCGGACCCGAAACTTGCGGTACACGAGTAAGTTTCCAGGTAACATGGCTCATGTGATGCTGCAAGCACTTCAGCCAACATGGACCAACTTTTTAGAAGAATATGGCATGTGCAACAAAAACTTATCGCAGGTAAACCGACCTATGTGCTTTAACGGACTTGGGTTTATGGCGCCTCCACATTCTCGAAACGAATCACGCAGAAATTATCATGTGCGGCGGTTCTTGGAAAATGATTTTTGGCTGGAACCAAAGCAGGTGTATAAGATGGCCAAGGAGGTTATTAAAACATATAATGTGTCGTCATTTACAGTGTCCTTAATTAACCGTGCTCACCAGGTTGTGAAGTTGTCAATTAATCACGGCATGGCTAAAGTGCCACGAAACGTGTCGTTGGATGGTCATGCGGTACTATCCAAGGGCAATTTTACTGTGCTTGATACAGAAAATGACTGGCGGTTTGCATTCAATCCGCTGACTTATGGGCCACCCTTTATTCACTTTTATCTATCAGTGCCACTTGTTATGGATGGCGTCAATATAGGTGTTGTTGCTGTTTATGACTCAAATAAGAGAACAGTGATGCCTTCAGGTTTGGTGGAAAAACTCACTGAAATTTCCAAGTATATTCAAAGAAATTTAATAACAGCATTAAATGAAATGCTGGAGTTGGAAAAAACAAGAGCTCCGCAACTTATGATTACCGAAAGGTTTCCCAAAATTGATTCCAAACTTGCCAAAAAGATTCGCGATAACTATACCCCTGGGACTGGACCAAGTCTCAAGTCGTTGAATTTTAGTGATCCGGTTATCAAGACTAATGAGATGGTGGCTAAATTGATGAGCTGCAAAACAACACGCGAAGCAATGACGGAAGCATGTCGGCTAGTAGTGGAGCGGGCCAAGCTTGATTTTGCCTATCTCGTTGAGATTCGCATCAACAGTACCTATGATGTGCCTAAATTGGACATGGCCCGGTACCCTCGTGGTGTTTTGTGCCGCGAAGTTAAAAATTGCAAAAAGATTTTGGGCAAAAAGTTACGAGGAAGCGTCCACATTCGGATTTTAGGAAGTCATGGAATTAATGCGAATTCGCTCGAGTTGGATGAAAATGTGCATCGTGCGGCTCTTGATTCAATTTATGGGGTTGCTTTTTCGTCTGAAAAGTAGCCGATGATGGAGGGTAAGATTTAAAATCAAGATTTTGGATACTAACTCTTTTTTTTTTTAACTGTAGTTTGAAGAATGGATGTAAAGCTGGTGTTTATGTTCCTTTTCAAAAGACAGAGCCGCGACTTGTTTTTGATCCAACAGCTTTGTTTACAATGCCTCCCGACGAGCCTTTTGAGTTGAGAGATGGAACAGTAACAACTCTACGTAAGTATGATGCAAATTACCATTTGCGCCGGACTTTGTATAAAGGCGCGCGCTTTAGTCATTTGATGAGCGTTACCGAAAATAACGTGTTGCTACCACAAGACTTGATGCCAATCAAGAAAAGACAAAGACCTGTGAATGAACAACTAAGCGGAGTTGCAAGTGCAGTTAATGGGAATGCCGAAATGTTGTCGCGGCTCAATTTGAATGACATGAGCACGCCAGAGTCACAGGTAAGTAATGATTTTGGAAATGGAATCACGCTCAAGGAGGTGTCGTTGGATGGTAGTCGTGTTGGAATAGGGAGCGGTGAAAGCAGTGTTTTGAGCGATGTTCAGATGGGACAAGAAGACCGGGAGCAAGATTATGAGGATGAAGACGATGAAAGTAGTTCATTACACAAACGGAGTTTTCTCAAGGTAAGTAAAAGATATGGTGGGTTTATGCTTGGTGGATTTAGCAAAGAAGCCCGAAGTTTTTCAGTGGAAGATTTGGAGTATCTTAAGGCCTGTGTGAACGCAATTGATGGCGTATTTGGATTTTATCAAGGCGGCGCAATGCTTGAAAAGTATCATAACGAAGATGGACCCATAGTTTAATAATTGAGTACAAAAAATGGAAAATTACAGGTTAAATAAATAAATAAATAAATAAATAAATAAATAAATAAATAAATAAATAAATAAATAAATAAATAAATAAATAAATAAATAAATAAATAAATAAATAAATAAATAAATAAAAAATACGACCTAACGGCAAAATGGCCTTCAATTCCCCAGGATTTTCTTGAAAATAATTTTTTTTTTAATATTTTGTTAAATTGAAAAAAAGAAAGAGAATAGCTATAAAAAGGTGGGGAAATCGAAGGATTTCCACAAGGAATTTTTCAAAATTAATTACACGAAAAAAACCTGGGGTCAAAAGGTAATCTTTATCAAAGTTTCCTTATGTTTTTAATGTTTTTTTTCTAGAGTAGTAGGAGAATGATCATGATATTAAAAAAGAAAAACAAAGAGATTTATGCTGCGGCTAGTAGATTGAAAAAAAGAGAGGAGAATTTAAAGACATCTGAATAAGGCCTCTAGTGGTGGTGGCCATCATCACCCTCAATAGGAACCGAGAGGTTGTTAATCTTGTAGACGGAACCACACTCCCAGCAGCGGGCAGGCTTGGTGTCAGTGGGCTTGAGCCACTGAACAACGTGGGAACCGGCAGGAGAACCGGTGCATCCGACGTATCTGTAGTTCTCGTAACTGTCGACCAGGATGGGGTCAGCAATGGTGCCCTTTCTGCTAGCATCAAGGGGTCTTCTGTCGAAAACATCGATACCTTCTCTGATACCGAGCAATTCAAGTCTCTCAAGACCAGTGGCCTGTTCAAGATCGGTAGGGACAGTGCCCTGCTTGGCACCAGGACCAATAAGGGTCTCGGGGCCACGGACATCAGCAAGAGTCTGGGCAGTCTTGGGGACTTCGACCTCCTTGTTTCTGAGGAGAGCAGCAGCGGAGAAGCTGCGGGCAGCCATGGGTCTGGCCATGGAGCGGAGGGAAAGACGGGCAACGGGGACAATCATTTTGATCTATGTGAAAAGGGTGATGGGGTTAGTGGTGATGATGGGTATTAAAGGTAAAAAGAGAGAGGAAGGAGAGGGAGGATTAAATGGGTGAAAGGGGTTTGGTGATTTGGGCTGAAATTTTTAGGTGGTGTGATTTTGGGCTGACCAACCACAACCGCATGAATAAACATAGTGATGGGTGGAAATTTTTCACCAATGAAAACTGCCACATTAAAAATTTCAAACAACCGCGACAACAACAGAGAAAGTTAATGAGAACGACGAAGGGGTTTGAATAAAGGCCGAGAGAAAGAAGCTAATGAGATCATGAAAGTGTAAATGAATAAAAAAAATAAATGGGAAGAAAAAAAGGTGTCGTAAGAAGTATTGTACGCTGGTGCAATAGATAATGAATAGCAATCCGAGATAAAAAAAAAAAAATTATATTTATTTTAACGCGTTAAATGAAAAGAAACAAATTGACCCGATAACTGAAATCAGGCTTGTCGTAAAAGCTTGAAAGACAAATATTGCTGTTGGACTATCTGAAGCTGCTCAATTTGAATTGGTTGAAGATTTAGGTCTTAGGAAAGTGAGCATTGCTGATAATTGACCTGAGTGTAATTCGAAATAGTTTTATTCATCAAGGATAAAATAAAAAGATTATTGAGACATTATATACAAAATTGTCCTCCCTCTGGCACAATAAAATATGAGCAAATATCAGTACTGAAAACTTACCGATGGTGGATTTGGGGTGAGGTGGTGATGGTTGTGGTGATGGTGTGGGTTGTGTATGTACGGGGGGAAATCTTTTATTTCTACACAAAAAAAAGAGCAAATTAACTGGCGGCTCTGCAAGAAATTTTTTTTTCTTCTTTTCCCCCTATTATTACTGTATGTAACAATTATATATAGGATGTAACAAAGACACACCAGCCAGCCTATGGTTCTTCTTGCTTATATCTCAAAAATTCAACTTCAGTGCGGCTCAGATACGGAATTTCTCGGTCTCTGCCAAAACGTCCGAGAAAAAATAAAAAAAAGACCGATGCCCAAGAACGGAAGATTTTCAAATTTAGTGAGGCTTAAGCACGTGATTGTATTTTACACAAAATTTAATAATGATTATAAATAATTAATCATATTGTATTGAGCTATGTGACATGCATTTCTCTTTTAGGAAACTAAACCAGACTCAGATATACTCGCAATACATAACTTTCAAACCCATGCACACAAACAACAAAGTAAATGACCACTCTCTGCGGCTCATACTATCTACTTGCCGCACCAAAGCAACACAACCAAAAAAATTTATGCTAAAATAGTTGTAACTTTGGGTTAGGGCAAATATGTTACAACAGTTTAAGCTATTGCCTCACTATAAGCCTTGCCCTGGCAGTGCTTGCTAGGGCGACTGTGTGTACCGGGGGCCAAGGGCATACACACACACACACACACACACTTGTTTTTTCACTTTTTTTTTCTGCTGGCCTAATCCCACTCACTCCCCTTTTTCTCTTTTCTCTCTTTTTGGATTTCTGTCAACCTGCCGACTGTTCTTCAGACCAACCACAGGAATATCTAAATAAGTATGTGAAATAACACTGCATGAACTTTTCCAGCATCGTCGTCATGATTGTCATCATTAATATATGAATGAATTAATAAATACCAGGTGGAACATGTGTTTATTGTTGTTTATTGTTGTTTATTGTTGTTTATTGTTGTTTGTGATGATGCAGTGAAAAATTTTTTATTCAAAAACTCTGATTCTAACTGATTTTCTTTAGTCAACCATGCCTAAGAAGAGAGCTAACAACGGACGCAGCAAGAAGGGCAGAGGCCACGTCTCCTCTATCCGCTGCTCTAACTGCGCCAGAATGGTCCCCAAGGACAAGGCCATCAAGCGCTACCTCATCAGAAACATGGTTGAGGCCGCCGCCATTAGAGATATCTCCGAGCAGTCTGTCTACACTGAGTACGTCCTTCCCAAGCTCTACCTCAAGATTCACTACTGCGTCTCTTGCGCTATTCACTCCAAGGTTGTCCGCGTCCGCTCTAGAGAGGGCCGCCGCATCAGAACCCCTCCTCCTCGCGTTCGCTACAACAAGGATGGCAAGAAGATCAACCCCACCGTTGCTTCTAAGGCTGTCTACTAGACGCACCAGGTTTATAAATGTATAAACTTGGATTGTAATGAACTAAAAGAAGGAAATTCTGTGTTTCTTGTCATGTAAAAATAATGCTTGCAAAAAAAAAGAAAAAAAAACAAATATCTTTTTTCCCGGTGAATTTATTCATGATTTTTTATATTTCTAAAACTATTAGGCCTTCTTTGGGGTGTTTAATGTCAGGTAGACATCGGTGCCCCAGCCAAAGTAGGATTGGATCTGAAGCTTTCCACCGAAAAACTCAGCGTATGCGCGTGAAAGTGGTAATCCGTAGCCCAGCCCAGCAATGGAGTTACCTGGTGCAGCGTTTAGAGTTGCAAATCCGTCACCCTCACCGTCATCAAACGTTGAGAATGAGTAGTCCCAAATATTTCTTTCAATCGCAGGAGGGATACCACCGCCGCGGTCGCGAATCCGGATAATGACGCCAGTCGAGGTCTTGACAATGGTCACCATAACTGGGGGAAGCTGCGAGGCCAAATCCTTATCAGAGTTCAAATCGGATGACAGTGATCCTTCTTGGGATTGTTTTTGAGTAAACTCTACTGTTGCACGGAAAGCATTCTTAAGCAGCTCTGTAAAAATGTACTCGAGATGCACAGGCACATAAGGAATTGTCACAGCCTGGCCCTTTTGGTTGTCAAATTCAATGTGTGGCACCAACCCATACTTGAGGTCACAAATGTCGCCCACAAACGTTGCAGTTGACTGAAGGATTGCTGCCGGGTTGCAGTCGACCTCAACAGCCCCAATAAAGTGCGCGGGATCAATTGGCCGCGTCAGTGCAATGTGATTTTCGGCAAGCATTCGCGTCCCGATGCGTGCGCGCAAATGTTTATCCAGAACCGACGTCACTTCCTCGGCCGAAATGTACTGGCGTGCCTCCCAGAACCCGCGAGAAAGAATAGGAATTGTATCTGTGTGAGCTGATACAAGTTGCTCGAGAATCTCTACAATGTAGTCATTTTCTTCTAGAGTCTTAGGTGGGTTGATCTGGGAAACAACTCGAAAGGAGTTGAAGTAGATGGAGTAGATTTGAGAAATGCTAGGGTTGAGCACAATCAGGTACGGCAGGTTGCGCAGGGCCTGCAAACGGTGTGCTAAACGCTGAATAGTGTTGTTAGCATCAAACATGGGGATGTTTTGTAGAAATACTTACAGCTGTGGTTTGGCGAAGAACATAGGCAGCGTTTTCTAATAGAACTTTTTCAGAGATGGGAGGCTTCCCAAGAGCAAGAAGGTCTTCCAAGTGGATTCTAATTTATATATATATAGGTTAGGGTCACATGCGGAGAATTATCAATGAGATCAAGTGGACATACGGGTCGAGTTCAAATGAGGCATACTAGATAAACAGAGAGCAAAAACAACAATATCATACAAAATCTTATGTTAGTCAATCAATTGAAACAGACCCCGTAAAAAGAGAAAGTTATACTTCACACTTTACCTCGTAAATCAGACGCTCAAGAGCAGTGCGTTCTAGATGGTCAAGTTCTTCTGTGTTTTTCTTAGTCAAGTGGTGAAAATCCTGCATTGACACAGAAGATGAAGAAAACAAGCGTAAGAACTCAATTTTCGATAAACGATGTTTGAATGACGAGACATGATTGCGGCAATCGCGGTGGTGCGGGGAAAGCTGACGGTGCATCAGACAGTTGCTTGCCGGGTTACTGGAAACAACAGCAAGAGAACCTAAGCGCCGACAAGATGTCTTTGGCAAGACAGTGTCGGCAAATAGACGAAAACGCGAGTGTGTGAGTCTCTTCATGTGTGTGTAACAAGAGAAACCCAGTTGGTTGTTTATCGTAGATTGGCAATCTTTGGTTGTTGGCTGGTGATGATGATGAAGGGAAAAAGAGGGTTTGGAGGTGAGGAGGTTTTTTTTTTTTTTTTTTTGAGTTTTAAGCTCAGAACAAAAGCTTAGCCATAAATGAAAAATAAATTTAAATTTAAATTTAAATGGAAATGTAAAGGTAAAGGTAAAGGTAAAGGTAAAGGTAAAGGTAAAGGTAAAGGTAAAGGTAAAGGTAAAGGTAAAGGTAAAGGTAAATATAAATATAAATGTAAGATTTCTAGTAGTATCAAAGGCTAGAATTAATTTTAATTGATATCATTTATTTCAAATATGAATTATCCCAGTAGTCTTATCGGGTAATGGCCCGACAAATTTACCTGAGGTACCGGTGCTCGGGCACCCCCGCAGTTTAAACCCTAACCCGTATATCTGCGGCTTTCAATTTTTTTTTTTTTCTTCTTCTCTTTAGAAGCCGCCAAACTTCAAAAAAAAATTTTGTTTCCTCCTCGACCATCATATCAACCAGATTTGATCTGAGCAAACCAATCAAAATATCACCCATTTAAATCTTCTTCACAATGCCCCAGTCCGTCGACCACCAGGCTATCTTTATTGACTCTGCCCTTGAGTCCCAGGCTCTCAAGTTTGGCCAGTTCACGCTTAAGTCCGGCCGCGTGTCGCCATACTTCTTTAACCTTGGTCTCTTCAATACCGGTCTTAATCTTTCGCGTCTTGCATCTGCTTACGCATCCACTATCATTGAGTCTGGTATCGAGTTTGATGTCCTGTTTGGCCCGGCCTACAAGGGCATTCCTTTGGCTGCTCTCACCGCTGCCAAGCTTGCTGAGATGGACCCCGCCAAGTGGGACAAGGTTGAGTATGCCTTCAACCGCAAGGAGAAGAAGGACCACGGTGAGGGTGGCAACATTGTGGGTGCACCGCTGGCCGGCAAGAAGGCCTTTATCATTGACGATGTCATGACTGCCGGAACTGCCATCAACGAGTCTTTTGCTATTCTCAAGGAAAATGGTGCTGAAGTTGCTGGTGTCATTATTGCTCTTGACCGTCAGGAGCGCACAGTCGACTCTGAAAACTCTGCTGTTCAGGTTGTTTCTGCTCGCTACAACATTCCTGTTCTTAGCATCACCAACCTCACCAAGATTATTGAGTACTTGGGCGATAGACTCACTGCTGAGGAGCTTGAGAAGATTAACGCCTACAAGGCTCAGTATGCTCCCAAGAATTAGAATTAGAATACACATTATCTTTTTTTTCTATTCAATTATATTTTTAACATTTTTTACTCAATAATTTTGTACTTTTTAAGAGCAGTCTTGACGTCAGCGTAGACCTCGTCCACAGGCTTGGCTGTGGGCACAGTAGCCACCTTGTCAAGCTTTTCGTAGTACTCAACAACAGGCATACTTGTGTCACGGAAAGTCTTGAAACGCTTCTTGATGGACTCAATATTGTCGTCAGAGCGGCCACTTGTTTCTCCACGCTTGAGCAGGCGCTGGAGCATAATTTCTTCAGAGGCATCCAAAAATAAAATCAGCTTACTGTCGGCAACAGTCTCTTCAAACTTGAGGGCCTGGTCCATTTTGCGGGGGAACCCGTCAATCAGGAACTTATGCTTGTGCTGTAGCTCAATGCTTTCACGCATGGCGTTTTCCAGCAACGCAATAGTAATTTCCTGCGGCACAATCTGGCCAGACTTGATGTAATCAGCAATCAACTGGCCATATTGCGACCCGGGACGGGCCTGCTCGGCACGCAAAAGGTCGCCGGCAGAAAGGTGGACAAATCCATAATCTTCAACAAGTTTGGCGCATTGGGTACCCTTGCCGGCACCAGGGCCACCAAGCACAAAAATAACAGAGGCTTCAGAGGAAGTAAAAGCGCGCTTTGAGGTAGTTCCAGCCATTGTGGTGGGAGTGAATTGAGAGTCAATCGAAGGTTCAGGCACTAAGATGATGGCAAAAAAAAAAAATAATAAAAACAAGGTTAGATGGAAAATGAAAATCAGGAGTGGCTAAAACAGAAATAAACTAATAATCTGTTAAGCTTAAAACATACAGTCATCTTGACCAAAGTACATGCGCAATAAAGTGGTGGCACCGGCCAGAGTACCCAGGAGAATCAGCAGCTTGATCTTGCGGTTGGATTTGGGCGGCTGCTGTTGCTGATTGTTGCTGCCAGCAGCAGGTCCAGCATCAGCAGGACGTACATTGCGAACGGGTCTGATCGTAGGCTTGCTATTGAGCTGAGCAAGTGTGCTAGAAAATGGACGCACCAAGCGGATGGGCTGGGTGCGGATGGAGCATGCGCGAATAAGAGCGGGTGCTCCAATGCTGATTCTAGCAAGGGATCTCGTGGCGGCCATAATGCTTGTTGTTTGTTTATATGGGATAGAAAGGAAGAATGGTTGGAACCAGAAAGGGGGAAAGAAAAGCTATCTGTTTGTGTGAAAAATAAACAGCAAGATGATATTTTTAATTTTTATGAGAGCTATTTAAGATGTCCATATTTTTCAAAATTCATTCATAAGATATGACGTAATTTTCTGAGTATTTACTAGTTCTTGTACCCATCAAGGGCTGCGTCGTTATAGCGCAAATACTTGCCGTTGAGGTCATCGCCTTGACCGCGCAGTGCAAGATTAGCCAGAATCTCACCGGGAACACCCGGGTGCAATAGCTCGCCATTTTTCTTGAGGTTTGTGAAGCGCTCGAGTTGCTGTGAAGACATGCCGTTAGCAAATTTGCTGCGAATATCGTCTTGCATTCTTGTATCTACAACGCCCGGCGCAATAGCCACAGTGAACAAGGAGTTTTCCTCGGCTGCAATCGAGGCAGCAAGGTGGTTGAGCGCAGCTTTGGAAGATCCGTAGGCTGCCCAGCCAGAATAGTTGCTCTTGGAAGCGCCCGAGGATACAAAGATGAGGCGACCAAAAGTTGTGCGCAGGTAGGGGATGGCTTTGCTTGCAAGGGTAAGAGGTGCAAACAAGTTGATTTCGTAAAGCTGGCGCCACTTGGAAATATCAGCATTGGCGACCTGAGCCACAGGCTCAAGAACACCAGCATTGAAGACAATGCCGTGAATATGGCCAAATGTGTCGATAGCTTTGCGGACGACAGCATCGCTCGTGGCTTCATCAGCAACGTCGCCAGTCACGTAGACGAATCTGCCGGGGTACTTTTCCTCGATGGCCTTAAGACCGGCTTCTGTGCGTGAGACGCCCACAACTCTGGGGGCTTCCTTGGATGTCAAGAGTGTTTCAACAACCGCAGCGCCAATACCTTGCAACGTGTTAGGAACGAATATAGTTACGAATAAACAAATACAAACCTCTAGAGGCGCCAGTGACGATGATGACAGGATGGGACATGATTGTATAATGTTGGCAACGATAAAGATGGAGATAAAGTAGTCAGAATAAGAAAAAAAAAAAAAAAAAATTAAAGTGTATATAGATGAGAAGGTCCGAAATAGTTACTGAAGAGAACCGTGAATAGGCGGAAAACGAGGGCATTCTGGTTGATACGCCCACGTGCTGATAAATACAGTGGTTATGGGGTTTACATCGACGCCGCAACTGAAAAGGAGCTTCCAGAGACGGGGACATTTATATTTGATCGAAACAAACAGTGTAACTTTTTCATGTTTATTAATGCAACTATTGAAGTTTTCAATGCTAAATCCCCCAAAATTCTCCCTCGGACGTGCCGATCGGGTCACTCCTACAAAGACATGCACGGGTGATTACAAGTACATGACCAAGCATTACTAAGCATTGTTTACATTTGTCTCCTCCATCCCAACACTCCTCCGTCTTTTGGTTTTCTTCCTCACCACCACAAAAAGAAACACATTTCCCACCACCATCATCACCACCGTCATCACCGTCCAGCACTTCTTTTCCCCTTCCTCTACCAGTTATCTCTATCATAGCTTTAACCGCTTACTCTAGCTATTCTGGGGCTCTTTCAGCTGCTCTTTTTTACATTGCAAAACGAAAGAAAAAGAAGAAAGAAAATAGCTGAATCCACTTATTTAGAATCTGGTACTCTTTCTCATGGGTGCTCTGGTCTACTAGGTCTCTCTTTTTTTTTTTTTTTGTATATCACATTTACGCCACACTGAAGACGCGATCATCGCGTTTTTTTCTTAATATTTTATTCGCGTCTTCTTCACCTTGCCGCGATTAATGACACGCGAGCCTTTTAAGTGTCTACTTGAAAATGCCCAATACAGTCAAAGGCGACTCTCACTCGTCGGCCCCAGCAAAGGTTTTTAGTATGTTGTTGCTGTTTATTTGTTATTGTGCACGGATAGACTTCTTTGGACCTTATTACTAACTCGCACCCAAAGGCCATCCCTCCGCCAGTACCACGCCATGCAGGAACATTGTGATTCATGGATACTGCAAATACGCTGATAAGGGCTGCGTCTTTAATCATGATGCTGTATGTTTTTTAATACTTATCCATTCAAGTCTCTAACTTTATTTCAGCAACCACAACCACCGTCACCTTTGGGGTAAGCTAAACCAATTGTCTATTTACAATATATCTTTCTGACTTTTATAGCACCTCGTCCACGTTTAAGAAAAAACTAAATGCCGATCCACCTTCATTTACTCCATCATATACCAGTCTTTCAAACTTCCAGACAGGGAGCTCTTCTACTCTTGCATCTAACGGGTCGCACTCTGCTCCTTTACCGCAATCTGCTACAACTACAGGCAAGGCTAAAATGTCACCTAAAGTTTCTTCAATTTCACCCTTCATCCCTAAAAGTATGTTACTCTTATTTATAACACTTTTGCCTTCTAACTTTTTATTTTTAGATTTTCAATCAAATGGTCAAATCCAGAGCCAAACATCTTCCAGTAATCCGTATGTTCAACTGTCAAAGGGGTTTATTTTTTTATATACTAACCAATCTTACAGACCTGGATCATACTCACCAGACATTTTCCGACCCGGACAATCTACACCTTTCAAGTCTGCGAGCTTATCGCCAGGAGTCAACCTTTCTGCCCAACTTTCGCAAACTTCGTTGGATGACTATGCACAAAGCTCTTATGATATGGTATGTATTGTGGAGTTTTTTTTTTTTTTTTTTTTTTTTTTTATTTCTGACTTTTGCAGAATACACCGTTAGAATATAACAACATGCCGCACTACCATCAGGATATGTACTATCAGTCACACACGTCGTATCCATTACAGTACCACTTGTACGCACCCAACATTTGGCGTGACCGACACCTGCTGCCGCACCAGCGGGTTCCTGAAAATTACTTTATTCAAAATGATTTGCGCGAGGCATTGCAACGTAAGAATGAAGCTGCTCTGCAGACTCTGCCTGCATCGACACTTCCAGAATATGTGCACGTTTACCACTCACTGGTGCCTCTTGATACCACTCTTGAAAAAAGCACGCGAGTATTTGGATATCCCAGCTGGATCTATAAAGCTTGCTCAAATGAGGATGGTAAGCTGTATGCTCTGCGGCGCATTGAAGGTTTCCGTCTGACAAATGAAAAGGCCATGGCTGCAGTACCTCAATGGCACAAGCTTATAAACGCCGGAGTTGTGCGGATCAAGGAAGCATTTACGACACGCGCTTTTGGCGACAACTCTGTAGTATTTGTGTACGACTATTATGCCACATCTCAGACACTGATGAGCGTTCACTTTGGCCCAGAGTCGTACCAGCAAATGAATCGGATAGTGATTGCAGAGAAGCTTGTATGGACCTATGCAACGCAGCTTTTGTCTGCGATACGGGCAATTCATGGAGCGAAATTGGCAGCACGAATAATAGAGCCATCCCGAATTTTGTTGACGGATTCGAATCGGATACGGCTTAATTGCTGTGGTATTTTTGATGTCATTCACTATGATCATTTACAGCCTCTAGAGACGAGTCAGCATGAGGACTTGTTGAATCTTGGCAAGTTGTTACTTTCTTTGTGCAACTCATCGCTGGGGTCATCGCAATACTTGTCGACATCATTGGCAAACGTGGAAAAAACATATTCAGCTGATTTATACGAATTGCTACGCTATACCTTTGATGCTGACAATTTGAGTGCTGCTGAAAAGCTTGAACATATGATTCAGCTATCGGCTAATCATGTTTACGATACGTTGAATGATACTCTTGACTATAATTCGTTTTTGTTAGGAGAGTTGGGTACTGAGCTTGAGAATGGACGGCTGGTGCGGCTATTGTGCAAACTCGGGGCTGTAAATGAGCGGCCAGAGCATGCACATGATGCTGCGTGGTCAGAGACGGGGCCACGATATCCGCTGAAGCTTTTCAGAGACTATGTATTTCACCAGACTGACGAGGTCGGTGTTCCTATGGTTGACTTGGCGCATATTTTGCGGGAGCTCAATAAGCTGGACGCTGGGATTGATGAGCCGGTGATGCTGACTTCGCGGGACGAGCAGACGTATATGCTGGTGACATACAAGGAGCTCAAGGAATGTATGGGGTCGGCGTTTCGGGAATTAAAGAGCGATGGAGGGGCTGCCGCTGCCGCTGCCGCTGCCGCTGCCGCAGCTGCTGCCGCTGCTGCTGTAGCTGCGAGCACGGGCAATGCGCCTATGATGGGTGGTGGGGGTGGAGATGGCGGATTAGTTTTTATTCCACCTGCTGCGGCTGCTCGCCGGCCCATGTAATAAGCTTTTAAGCTTGTTAAAAATGAAATAAAAAAAAAAAAAGAAACAGAGAATTTATAAATATAAAAAAAAAAAAAAAAAAAAGAAGATACAAAAATAAATATAAAAAAACAAATATAATAATAAATAAACAAATAAATGAATTGCAGCGACAGAAGTGCATTTATGTTTTTTTTATTCTAAAGGAAAAGTATTTACATGGTGAAACAAAACACGCAGTGAAACGATGTGACTGGGAGAGTCTTTTTTTGGTAGAGAATTGAGTTTTGTATATAAAGGATGGGAAAGTCGCTAGGACGAGTTTAATTGAGCAAACAAACAATTTATTATTATTTGGTTTATCAAAAAAACAAACAAACAAACACACAAAAAAAAAAAGCAAGCAAGAAAATCTCTATTATATGAATCTCTTACGAAAGTTTTACGACAAAAAGCGCGATTCGCGAGTGTCATTGTCATCTTCAGCGTCAACAGGTTCACTACGGTCAATCATTTCATTGACCCACAGTGCGTCATCCGTGTCTCTGGCATCATCTTCAGGTACCACAATAAGATCGTCAACAGATGGCGTGGAAAAATTGAGTAGCAGTGGTAGTGCAAGAGGCCGTGGAGTATATTTGCATCCAAGGCTTGCACATTCAGCATCAGCAGTGTGTATCGGTAGTGGTAATCATAGTGGCACTACTACGGGGCCACGAAGTGCACGTGCGACCAACGTTATTTCTCGGCGTCAATCGTGTATGGAACTTGAGTCTTCAACACGAAAGGAAAGCGGTAGTAGTAGTAGCGAAGAGAACGAAATAGAAGAAAAAGAAGAGAGAACAAAGATCAAAGAAAAGAAACGGCGACTTGTGAAGGAATTGGAGATTGATACCAAACATGTTTTTGTATCACGGTACGTGGCGATGCAAGGCGTGGAGGACCGGATGATAACTCCTGCAGATGTTGGTGGATTTTTAAAGAGTGGTGATGATGGCAAATATCTGGCCGGTTACGAGAGCAGCAGTAGTAACAGCAGCAGTAACAATGGTAACGGCAGCGGTTATTGGAGCAGCAACTTTGGGGAGTCTGATTACGAGGGAGAACCTGCGGAAGCCGTGCGGGTTTCTGTAAGTGCAGTTTCTGGGAAACTTGTGAACTTTGGCGGGTTCAAAGAGGGAGATGTTAGGGATTCAAGATGTAGTAATACGGTATCGGTAAAAAGTTCAGAATTGTTTCCAGTTAAGTCGATGGTTAATGATAATACTACAGCAGTAACTGCTACTACTACTACTACTAAGTTAGAAGCAGTCAAGCAGGCACGTCGAAGATCCTTTTCGTTATTTGGGAAAACAGCCAAAGGTTTGCCAGCAATAAGGGTCCCTTCACCGGAACCCATGATTGTGCTGGGGTCCGAAGCAGCAGCAACAATTCGGACGAAAACAAATGACGATAACAACAACAACAAGCCTTGTGACAATTCTTCATCATCATCATCGTCATCTTCTTCTTCTTTTGCACCGCACAAGCGGTACGGCGGTCTTTTACGGAAATGGCACTCGTACACAGATTTTGGGGCGCTTCTAGGGTCTTCTTCTTCTTCTGCTTCTACAGCATCGTCATCGGCATTAATGGGAGGAACTGGTGCACCGAAGGGTTCCAGCAGCATCAACACTAAGAAGGGAAAGTCCTCAGCGGAAGAGTTTCCAGAAAGAATTTGCGCCAGGGATCAACAGCCAATGGTAGTTCCAAAGAAGCAGCCGCAGAAGAAAGAAATGAAATCTGGTGAAACGCATGCACTCCTTTGCACAGGTTCTTTGTCTCATCTGTTGTTGTCGCAGCCCCAGAAAACAGCCAAGATGCCTCATCACCACTATCGCAAGCTACGACATGAAAGCATCAAAGTGATTCCTGGACCCTTTTTGACGCAGATCTACAGCCCCCAAACACCAGTTTCTAAAGAGTCTGGCTGTGATAACCTGAATAATGATGACAATACTCAGGAGACACCAAAGGCATCAACATCAGTATCAGCAGCAGCAGCAGCAGCAGCAGCAGCAGCAGCAGTAGTAGTAGCAACTAAAGCCTCAAGAGAAATGGATGGTGGCCAGGACCCGATTGGAGTTGTGGCAAGCACCGAAGCAAAACAAGGGCCAGCCGCACAAAGAGAAGTACCAGCCGTGCATGAGGTCACAAAGGCAGCCGTACACTTTGTAGCAGGTGCAGCCGTGTGCAGTGGAACCGCGAAACGGCCGAAACAGGCGAGGAGAAGAAGAAGCCCAGCAACAGCAACATCAGTGGGTGAACATAAAAGTACTGGCAGAGCCCATAACAGACAAAAAGCTCAGCAACAAAGAACTTCTGTGACTTGTTTGTTCAACTCAACTTCATCATCCTCTCCTTATTATTATAATCACCACTACCATCACTTGTCTCATTCGTACTCAACTCCAAACCTCCTCGCATTCAAAATGGCTTCTTCTCCTGGTTCAATATTCCTAACCAACGGTACCACCTCCCAAGCACACGCAATGACTACCACTGTCTTGATGTCTCCGCTCAAGGAAGAACAAACCCCACCTCCAGACAGCCCTCTGCGACCCTCGTCTGCTTCTGAACAACGTGCAACCATGGGAATTGCGTTGGCAATCACGTCTTCTCAAACCATTGTTTCAACCGAACACTTTCTTCATAATCACCAGTACCACCGTTACAGCCGGTGCCATCTGCCGCCGATCGACACCTGCGATACCACGTCAGGTGTTTTCCAGCCCTTTTACACGCCTCTCAGCACCCCCGTGCGACCCAATCATACGATCTCTGCTCAATCGTCTCCAGGATACTACTCTACAAGCTCACCAGGGACGGCAACAGAGTTGTCAAAAAAGAAACCCCGTGGTGCTCAAAGAGCTGCAAAACGTGTTTCCCAACCTTCTCCCATCCACGCCGCAGGATTCTGGAAACAAGATCAGGCATCAACTTCTTCCTCGACTTCTTTAGTTGCTTCTGCTCCCCTACTTACTCCACCTGGATTGGGTACTCCTCCATTGTTGTACTATAGCCCCTCTGATATTCCGCTATCTACCATCAATTCTCATGAGGAACAAGGTCATGCTGATAACATTAACGATAAAAATGATGCCGATTGGAGTTTCTGTTCAAGGGAAAGCCATGATACTGAACCTGTTTCTTCTTCGGTTCCTGCTTCGACTGCTGTTTTTGCTCCTGGTTCTGGTTCTGGTTCTGCTACTACTACTGGTTCTGGTTCTGCTCCTGAAATCACAAGGACTATCAGCAAACCCAGAGCATTGCCATTACCACCTATCAACAGACCATTGCCTCCAATTCCTACAGTGACTATTGCTCCCGCCACGGAGCCAGATTCTGATAATGAGGATGAAGTCATCATCACTGCAGTTACTGTTCTTGGTGACCAGCAATCGTCTTCCAAGAGACGCGCCTCTTCACGACCTGCGAGGCTCAAAAACTTACTTCGTCGTGGGACCCCAGACGAGGAACTTACATCCTCTTCCTCCTCCTCCGATGACTCGTGTGCTATCGTCTCTCCGCCAGAATCCCCAACGGTATCTACGTCACCTCTTCACCGTCTATTTGCGCCGCGCGCTCGCACACGGTCCACGTCCTCAGGTGCGGCATCAGTTGTTTCGTTGCCTCTGTTTAGAACAAGTCACGGATCTGCCGCTGTTCCACAACTTCCTCCTCTTTCTGGGCTGTCATATCAAGCACAACCCATGAAATCATCTTCTAGTGGGCCTATTAAACCATCAGCCATAAACATTCACAACCGTAGAATCAACCAGTCATCATCTCGGTTATCTCTCGCAGCTGTTAAAACTTCGGTCTTGTCACCGCTATCGCCGACGTTCCAACTCAGGTTCCCGCGCAGTGCTACAACAACCCGATGCATGGTTCCACAATCATCATTGCCGCTAGACAAACCCTGGAAACAACAACAACAACAGCAGCAGCAACAACAACAATTGCTACTGAGCCCCACAAATCCAATGCCTACACCCATGGAATCGCAACACTCTGCATCTTCCATCTTCTCATACTATGCAGGGCACCGAGACGACTTGGATGAAAACTTATTTGACCAAGAAGAAGAAGAAGAAGACGATAACTCTTATTCAGAAACGTCATCCCCACAAGAACTCCATGGCGGCCACCAGGACCATCATCTCTTGCTCCCCCACAATAGCAACAAACTCAATACTACTCCAGTCACTGCCCTCTTTTCACCAACAACCACTAAAAGACGCTCCATATCTAACCCTCTACCCCTCAAAACACTTTCCCCAGCAAAAGCATTGACAGTTATCACAGGCCGCTACGGAATAATCCGACATACAACCCATGGACCACCTTCTGCGTGCGCTTTTGAAGAGACAGACGTGTGGGCACAATATTACTTGGCGCGCGATGAAGCTGGAGAACTCGATTACTGGGATGACTACGAAGACGGGTCTGTAGCACGAGTTTTAGGCAATGTCGTGTACATTTGAAATCCACTTTTTTTTTTTTATCTTTTAAACCTTTGCTTTATTTGATCTTATTTACATTTCATTTAATCGTTTAATATAATACAACCCAGTTTATAATCTAAAAAGAATTGTTAGAAAAAAAATATGAATTGTAAGTCCTTAACCAATACTTACTGAGGAGTCATGTTGTCCATGAGAGAAGATTTGATGAAGGCAACACCAGCCTAAGAGTAAATGTTAGTAAAATATATATAAACCTCAAACGGATCTTGTAATATCCGTAGCATATATCTCCAAACTTACAATAAAGAGACCAATAGTCTTGAGAATGCTGGGAGCAGACTCAGCAACAAGAGCAGTAAGGGCGTCAGAGATCGAGGGTTCTTGAGCAGGCATCTTTTATATCTATGATGGGTGGGTGTATATGAATATTTGAACCAAACGGTGATGGTGGTGGTGTTGATGGTGGAGGCGAATTCTTTGAATTTTTTTTTTCTGTTACAATGAAAAATTTCTCAGTATATTGGTGGTGGTGCACAAAAAAATAAATTACAACTTGTGTTACACAATTCTTTTCTTACCACCCTTTCAATTATCCTCACTTTGTTACATAAACTCTCTGGAACATTGCAATAAGCCCCCGCCCAGTTAACCGTTTCTCATTTGCATTTAGCCCAGGATCCCGCTCAAGACAATGTGAAGCCATTGCTGCTGCCAAATCAAAGATCCACAGAGCCAAAGTGAGCGAAACCAAATTATTCCATTTTCTTTTTTCAATTTCTGCTGCTTTGCTTAATTCCTTGACTTCTTGTTCCAATCCAAGCTTGCTCACTTTTTCCATCACCAAACTTGACCCAGCAGCAATCTCTTCATACAACTCGTCAACCTCCTCATCATTCAAATACACACCCTCAACTTCATTCAGGATTCTTGTCTTGAATTTGCCTTCATGAAATTCTCGCACAATTTTTTGCAGAGGAATAAGTTTTTTGAGAAGCCGCTTGGGTCCACCTGAACACTCAACACGCAGATTCCTCACCCGATTTGCCATATCATTTTGCGGTTCCTTAATAATATGCAACATGGTTTTAGGTGACAATCGCACTTCATGTCTGCCCAAAAACACCGAGAGCAATCGTTTAGGGTACTGGCAATTTTTGAGAATCATGTTTGCTCTCAGTAGTGCGTAGTACACAATATCTTTAGAAATGTCGGAATCAGAAACTTTTGAATAAGTATCATCCTTGTCTGGATCAAGTTCCTCAGACCCTCCCCACATCTTCATTAACGAAAAATCAATTATTTCATGCACTCGAAACTGGCTCAACATAAACGTCCCAAAAGCTCCCCCAAGCTTTGAAACACCACACTCTTCAACGTACTCCAGAATTGCGTTTCTGCTACCACCGTTCATTTGTTTATGCTCATGAAGTTTCATCTGTTTGCACAAGTTTCCTAATTCTGTCAAAGTCTCGTCCAGCTCAACTGTTTCTCTAGGGTCTTGCAAAACTTCATGCAATAGCTCTGCATGATATTTCCAATCTGTTACTGTTCCCTCATTACCCAACATAATAGCGTCAAACTCTTTCTGAAACTCGTTACGACTTAAACTAATGTGGACCCCGTTTTTTGCAATTCGATCCAAAAGCTTGATTCGATGCTCTTCATCTTCAAATACATGCAAAAGATCCAAGTCTCGGCATGTAATCACACAAACATGGTTAAACAATCCGGCATACAATTGCGCCTCTTGCTCAATAAACTGGCTGAAAAATAGAAACCGCCGCATAGACTCGCGTGCTGTATAGCAATCATCATCAGCATACCTGATTTCGTTCTTGTCAAAAATATCCAGCGACTCTTGAAGCAAATTTTCCAATCTTTCAAAAGTCAAGGCCCGCAAACTGCAACCAACCTCATTCATAACAACAAACTCCCAGGAACTCTGTACATCACTCCAGCCAGCCTTGCACTGTTTATTTAAAAACTCAAGCGCAAGAGCTGCTCCTTTGTCTTCTATGGTTTGCATTCCGTTTTCGGTGATAACATGTGTTTTACTTTTTGAGCTTTTTTTTCTTTCTCGAAACTCTTTCAACTGGTCCTTCACAAACTTGACTTTATGCTTAACTGCTTCCATCTTTAGTTTGTTCCAGTTCTCGCTCATTACATTGCACAAATTCCCAGAATGCACCGCAATCATTTGCTCGGCCTCCAATGTACCCAGAATTTTTTGTGCTATTTCTTCTTGTTTCCAAGTATACCTCTTCAAAAGCTTTTTTAACATAAGCAACGGCACCTCAAATCTTTTCATTTCTTCTTCATTCTTCCAATCAATCGTCTCGAGAAAACTTATAAAACTTTCATTAAATCCTTGCAACAAACTTTCCGATGAACAGCACTGCTGGCTTATTCCATTGATTGTTAGCTCCTTCACTCTTTCTATCCATTCTTCCTTGAAAAGCACCCGGTATGCCATCTTGGTTTCTGCTTCGCTCATCGTTACAACCGAACTCTTGCCGTCCCCTTCACCCCACAGTGGTCTTAAAAGCTTGGGCCTACTATAAATGCACGACTTCATTCCCCATGAAAACTTGTACTGTTCATCGTTTTGGGCCAGCTTCAGGAATGCATTTTGCGAGCTGCGTCGTAACATTGCGACTCAACCACAACAATTGGTGTGGAGTGTGAAATGCAAAACTAAGTTACTAGAACAAACTTTTTTTTTTGGTTTTTAAATGTAAAAAAATACATTTTCATTCAATTCTTTAAAACTACAATCATTACATTTCCTTCCATATCTCATTTTCTTTATGACTGTTTTTTTCTAAGTGTCTTGCTCACACCACTTCCACAGTTGCGAATCTCTTTATTCACAACTCTCCACGGTGATGGGCCCTTGTTTTTCTTTCGTGCACGCTCTTTTGTCATGCGTACTACCTTTTCCATTTCTACACCAGAGTACTGTTTAAATCGAAACGATACTGGCTCTGGAGATGGTGCTGAGCTCCGTACCATTTCTGATTTCTTATCTCCAAGGTTTGCTACTTGAACCTCCTCAAATTCGCTGTCATACTCATTCATAGAAACTGCAGAATTGCATGCCGAAATTGCAGAGTCCTCATACACAATCCCACATTCACGCAAAAAGGCTTCAGCCCAAAACCCATTTTGACAAACAGCATCAGTATCTTCTCCAGTACATATTGTCTCTTCATCTCTAACTTGACTTTTGTCCTCTTCCACCTGATGATTGAGAGATAGTGGAAGTGACGGAGATGGAGGCTGGGGTGCCCAGTGGTGTTGAGCATAATTGACAAACCGAAACCTGGGTGACGCGCAGTCATTGTTTGAGGGTTCTGGGCTTACTTTAGGGGTACGTCTTTTGCGCACAGGTTTTTTTCTCTCTCCTTTTGGAGTGTGCCACGATGACCCTGCGTTTAGACATTCTTGTGATTGTAGGCTTGATTCCGAAGAATCAAACTCGAGGTAGTTGGTAGGTGCACACAAGAGAGCATGGGGATTGTACTCAAAATTTACCACCATTGACTCAGAGTCTGTTATACTTTGGCACAAGAGCGATTCGATCCGCATTATATTGTCCATTCCATTGGTATTGCTATTAATAATATAGCCGTTTTCTAGAAAGTTAGTCATTGAGGTGTACTGATTTTTATTTTCTTTTCGGGTAAGTGATTTAAGATCAATGTGTATGTTAAAGGATGATTTTTTTTTTCTAAAGAAGGAAAATAAGAAGAAAATAAAAAACAAAGTTTTATTTATAAATTGAATTAGTTATATTACTTTTCAATTGTGATGTTGTTTGGAGAATCTCAAGCAATTCATGATTCTCGATTAATTGATTGATATATTGATATATTGTTTGCCCAGTACTTCAGACCACAATAAGAACTGTGAAACCATATAAATTGAACCTTAAATGAAATTTAAATATTTCAAAAGATACGCTCTTTTATATATCCAAAATTTAAATTGAAGCAGTTACTGTTAAACAAGTCACATTATTATGGTAGACAGGTTTGTTATAATAAATAGGTCTGGTTCTGTGTGGAGAGCATTTAATTGAACGCCGCATGATAGAGTCTGTTGCCCAGCTAAGCTCAGAAAAAATTGAAATATTCTTAGAAATAAAATTAAAAAGAAAAAATAAACAATTAAAATTTTACAATAAACTATGGAACTTACTGGCTTCTTCAGACTTGAGAAAGCCACGACTGACAAGCTGTGTCGTGGTCCATGCCCAAGTACGATCAATCTTCTTCTTATCAGTACAGAAATCCAACAGTTCAGTATCGTAACCAACTGGCATAAAGTACTCTCCATTACTAGTCTCTATATTGACATCTGGTGAAAGCCCGGTAAAAAGAGTGTTATAGCAACATTCCTCCAGAGACATGCGTTTGGCCAATACACCGAGGCCCTTAATCAAATATCCCACCACCGGCATGTTTTTCCAGTGATCCATTAACCCAGACTCCAAGCTGACACCTGGATGCAAAGACACACTGAGAATGTTCGGGTATCTTTTAGCTAAAACTTTTGTTGCCTGAATGATTGCTGTTTTACTATTACCGTACCGACGCCATCCAGAAATAAAGGTTGGCCAGCATCTGTATAATTCGCTAATGTCTTCAGGGTCAGTCGATGCTGAGTATGCATCTGAAGAAACCATAACAATGCGTGGGTTTTTTGACTTTTCAAGTAATGGAATCAAACAAAGACTGAAAAATAGCGGACTGACATGATTTGTTTGTATTTGAATATCAAGGTTATCTTCAGTCATTTGGATGGGCACTAACATAACCCCAGCATTATTGATGAGAAGATCCAACTGAGACTCTTTTTTTATAAATTCGGCAGTTGCCTGTTTAACCTGAGCAAGTGACGACAGGTCCAATTTCACAAATTCAAGTGAGCCAAACACTGCTTCGGCTGGTAAACTTTGTTTTCTTTCTGTTGCTTCTTGCTTGACTTTGGCAATCGCATCGCTGGCCTTTGTGGGGTTTCGAGCAGCCATATATACCGTCCATCCGTGCATGTATAAATGGAGTACTGTAAAATATCCAATTCCAGAATTGCCACCTGTGACTATTGCCACTTTTTTGGAAACTTTGGGGTCATTGAAGGGGAGTGTGTTTGGATTAAACTCGTTTGACGGAGTTCCGATAGGTGTAGTAGAACTGGACATTGATGAACTATATAGATTGAAATTGAAAATAGATGGAATAGATTTTGTTTTTAAAAAAAAATGGAGGGGTTTGTTTTAAATTGAATAATAACAAATGAAAATAGAGGCTGGTTTTTGTTATTTATATTTCAATACTCATAGAATAATGGTTATATAAAAATATAAATAAAGAGCGGAGATGGTGGAATTAAAATGGTCAAGCCACTCTTTATCGCCCACCAAGCGGACAACGGGCAAAAGTTGGGTACAAGGTTTACTACAATATTCACCAACTCTCGGTTAGACCATAATTTTGTATCTTTTTTTTTTTCAAATATGTCTAGACTTTCTAAGCCTCTTCAAATCCTCCTTCATCACATCTCTCTAATTTCTATATCGGACTTTTTATTCGCCCGTGAAAATTTTAAAGTCCTTCTCCCAGTTGCGGACATAAATCACATTTCCTAAGGACTTAATATAAAATCTGTTTTTTGAGTATCTCCCGACACCACCTTCCTTACTCTGTTCGGACTCCTAAAATTTGAGAGGGGAGAAGCTCCACATCGTTGAACTTGATCATTTCTAATCAGTCCTAATGATCATTCTGCAAACTCAGATAAATTATCACTACCTGATTTTCTTTTTACCCGCTCGACTTTGACAAAAAAAAATGTAAATTTTATTTTATTTACGTACCATATCTATTTATTCAATCGTTGCTTTGCGTGTCTTAGTGCTCTTTTTCTTTTTCTTTGCAACAACCTTAACCACCGGTGTCTCCGTCGGCCCCTCAGCAGCTGGCTCGCCCGCAGGTTCCACCTCTGTTGCAATGACAGTATTAATATTGTCTGATTCCACGGTAGGCTCGGCTTCAACAACAGTTCTCTTGCTCTTCTTTTTCTTGGTCTCGCCTTCTACTCGTTTCTTCTTCTTTTTCTTAGGCACTTCCTCTGCCTTGGCAAGCTTCTCACGAAGTTTCTGCACTTCCTCTTCAATAGCAGTGTCAACGGGCTCCGGTGCATTTAGATCGAAGCTTTCCAGTCCACTTGCATTCAACCGGAATGCCGATTGGAACTTCTTCACTGACTTGTCCTTAGCACCAATAGCACTGGTTCCAGATGAAGTTGATCCCCGACGGCCCGTATTAATGGATTCTGCATCTGATCCAGGTGTTCCTGGAATAAATTCATCTTGAAGAATAGATACCTTGGTCTTAGGCTTGCGGCGTGGTGTAATACCTCCAGGTGTAATCTCTAAACGTGAGACAGGTATTGAGTCTAAATCAAGTAAATTATCTGGAGAAGTAGCTTTTGGTGCAGAGAAATCTGGAGTGATGGACCGTGAGTCATGCGGGGTATTGTTCGTAGAAATGTAAAATGGATCATCGCGAAGGCGCTCAAGACGTTCAAGCTTGCGGCGTTGAGCTTCCTCAGCGTTTTCATTCTCGTTCGACAAGATGATTTTCGCCACAGAGCTCTTCCACTCATTTTCACTGGACTCAAGGCCAACAGGTAGTGACTGGATGTTTCCGCCACCTCCCAAAACGTCCCAGTCCTCTTCCTCAAAGAGTTCAGAGTCGTCGGTCGTAATATACGAGGGATAAATCTCTGTATCCAAGTCAAGATCAACAGGGACAGGAATGTGAAGCTGAGATCCTGGAGCAACAGGATTGATTTCATGCAGGTTGAAGAGAGATGGAAGAGCAATTGTCAAAAGGCCTGGAGCTTCCAATGCATCCTTGGGATGCTCATCAAGAGCTTGCTGGACCAGCTTAAACAGCTCAAGGAATTCAGTGGCACGTTCTTGAATTTCAAAGTTAAGACTATTGGAGTAAAGCTCAAAAAACTTGACAAGTCGGCTTGTGCATGTCTCAATGACCATGGAGCGATTCTGTGTCCATCCAACAGGCATGCTGACGTAGTGAGCAAAAATCTTGGCCAAAGCCTGGATTCCAATGGAAATCACAGAAACAGTAATGTTTGTTGCGTCATCAAAAACGCCAGTAATGCTAGATGATAGGGATTGCAAGAACTGCGAAATTGTGTAGATTGTCTCCACAGGAGAATGGAGAAAGTCCGAGTATTCGCCGACAACCCAAAGAACTGAAGGAAGAGCAGAGGGCATCTTAGAATAAGCGTACTGCCGACTGGCAATGTTGACAGAGGCTGCAACAACTGTGTCGCGAACTTCAACAACACGCACAGCAATGTCACGCAGTTGCTGTCCAATTTCCTCAGCTACTTCGTCTGCACCATCAGCAAGCTGTAATAGCTCAACAAGAATGGAAACATACCATTCAAACTCTGGAAGGTATTTGTACATGTCCTTTTTGCAGATTTCGATAATCTTGCGGATGACAAGAATACGATAGGATTTAGGGATGCTAATATCGCCGCGCCCAGAGTCTCTGAGCATGGTGGCATGATCTTTACCAAGACCAATCGATGACATGCCCGGAGTAAGCTGCGACTTTAGCTTGTAGACAATCTCGGAAATATTATCTTCATTGACAACGCCAGAGACCATATCGAGAGCACGTTGACGAATAGTAATGTCCGGGTCATCTACACAAGAGAGAATGGTATCTTCGTTGGAAAAGACAAACTGAGGGTGAATTTTGATAATTTTGCTGAGGGCCAGCAGCGCAACAAATTTGAGATTCTGGTCAGAAGTTTCGAGGAAAATGCGCAGCTTTTCCACACATGTGTTGGCAATATCGTAGTCATCAGCATCAAGCATACCACCAGACACAATGCAATTAATGCACTCATAGAGTAATGACGTAGCCGAAGTTTTATTGATAAGGTCGAGAATGGGCGGTATGAGCTTGGCCTTAAGGCGGGGTTCCTGCGGAGCTAGTGACGAGAAAAGTTTGAGAATTTTGATAAGCATCCAATTATTGCTGGATGTTGTGAGGAGTTCGTAGAGCGGTGGTGCCAGAACAAGGTAATTTTTGGAGTTTGTTTTAGCCAATTCGCAAATAACATTAACGGTGGCAGAGACAACCGATGGGTCTGGGTCCGAAAGCTTGTCTTTAAGTCGAGAAAATGATGCTCGGAGAGCCTCGGGGTATTGGAGGAAGACACGGTACATGGCAAGAATGGCCTTTTTGCGGATATATGGCTTGGAGTGATTGAGCATTTTAATAATGTCATCGGAAAGGTCCTGTGCAAGAGATGGAGTAACAATAGAAGCAGCTCCACCAAGTGCTACGGCAATCTCAAGATGATGAACGGAGTTTAGGTCCTTTTTAAGCAGGTTTGTAGTGAGCATGAGAACGTCTGTATCGTCGCGGAAACTCTGGGTGGCGGCCAAATAGCCAATGCGCTTCTGTTGAAATCTGGAAGAAGACATGACCTCAAGAACATGAAAAGATGCCCAAGACATGTCGTATCCGTACATTTCAAGATATGCGAGCTTAAGCACTGCTTGGGTCTTGACCTCCATATCCGGAGAAGCAGCCTCCACGCGACACTCAGCAAGCGAGTCATTGAGGAATTTTTCACGCGAGGTGGCATCCTTGGCCGCACGGATTCCACGAATCAGTGCCTCGAGGTTCTTTTCAAAAACAATTCCAAACGGCCGCAGCCTGTTTCTGGCCTCATCGCGGCTCGCAAGAGACATGGTTGGTGATTTTGTATAATTGGTTTGTGTGGTATGGTGATGATGATGATGTGGAATACTTTTTTTTTTGGTGGTGACGATTAAAAAAACAAAAAAAAAAAAAGAGCAGCCGTCTTGCACAAACCTAAACTTTTATTTATTTTTTTTGAAGCAGCAGCAGCAAGCAATTACATAAAAAATCAACTATGGCGCCCAATTCACACACTCTAGAAACCGACGAAAGCAGGCACGAGTCCGATTCTGATGATACACCGACGGAACTCACCCCGCGGTCTACAAACAGCAGTTCCGTGGACGCTGGAAGTACGTCTGGACATAAAACTCACCGGCCAACTGCAAGCACAGGTACCAGTACCAGCACAATCACTACAATACAACAAACTCAACACCCAGCTCGTATTGGAGATGTGAACCCGGCTTCTGTAGGACCCGGTTACGTATCACGAGCATTGGCTCTTTCACGGACACCAACACTCGACACACTTCAAGACGACTCTGAATCCGATATGGATTCGGATGGACTTGGAACAACAACATCATCTCTCAGCTCGTACGCAGGCAGCGCAGCGGTAGGCATGGACGGAAGCTCTAGCAGCTATGGCAGTGGAGCTAGCGGATCCGGTCATGGGGGACGGAGCAGACGTAGGGGACATGGTGGACATGGCAGGGACCGTGATGGCAGGTCACGAATGGATCCGGTGGAATATGTGACTGAACGATTGGCAACAGCACTGGATCCTGCACTACTAGACAGGGTGGTCGTTGTACAAGCACAGACGTCAGGAACGTTGAATGCAAAGACACTAGAGATTGTAGAACTACGAGAACGCGCAGGTGCACGCATGGACGAGCTTAAGGTAGCATTTGCGCAAGGACTAAAAACAGCACGCCAGGTTGCACGCGACTTGGAATGGGCGCACAAACATACAAAGTGAGTATAAGTTACAAATTGGGTTTTATGAAATTGGCTAACATTAGGGTTTACAGAGTGCTTATGGAAAAGGCACGTATAAAGTACCCTATTGAGTATGCTCGCGCCGAAGAAAAGATCCGCGGAGACCCGAACTTATGGCCGCGTGATGAAGAATAGAAACCTGCGACAATTTCATTTCTGTGTATAATAAAAAAAAAGTTGCTATTCTTAAAAGTATTAAAGTCCGTTATATTCTCACCACTAGCCAATCCGCCAAACCTCGACGCCAACGATATCAAATGTGGAGTTAGAACCGCTCAATGGTTCATTGCCAAATGTCAAAGACGGGTTCGACACGCCGTGCTCGAGATTATCATCGATCCACAAACCGTAATGTCCGTCGCCTCCGCCCATGGATAAAAACTGCGGGGTACAGTAAATGACAAAGTCGTTGACGCCAGTGTATGGAAAAGCCTTAAACTGGAGCTGCTCGTGCGTGCCTTCGGAACTTTCCAGCGCGTTGCTGTCTCCGAGAACACGTTCCTTGGTCAGATTCGTGGTCCATAGAAAACAGTCTCCGTTACCGTAGTATCTGCGTGACCCGGTGACAGCAATCGTGTGGAAATGTTCATTGACGTACGCACCAAATAGCCGGTGGCCACGATCCTTAATGACAAGAACAAGTCCATGACGGTGCCGTGTAAGCTCTTCAGACCCGCCGTAGGTTGGTGGTGGTGCATTGTTACTGTAGAGGGTGGCCAGCGATGCACCGTGTTGCTCCAGACTGTAGACAAGCGTCCACGTGTCGTAGAGTTGGTGTCGCGCAGGCACGAGTGCCCGAATCTCTTCTGCAAGCTCTGGAGTCAATAGTCGGGTCTTTGTTCGTGGAGAATAGCCCACTAGTTCGAGTGGCGAAAGAGGTGGCGGGTCAAGAACTGCATGTTCGTGCGACGGCCGGCGGCTACTGTTTAGGCTGCTATTTCCGCTTCCACTGCCCATCGACGGACTGTTGTGTTGGCCACTGAGTCGGCGCAGTTGACCCATAAATGCAGCAGCTAGACCAAGAGATGTAAAAGAGCTGCGCGGGCGTTCTTCAGTTGTTTTATTATCGGATCTGAAACCCGGAGACTGGGATTTTTCTCGCCTATCGACCATGGTTGTTGTGGGTTTGTGGTGTTATTAATTGTGTCTGGGGGAAGAGGTGTTGGGAAAGCAGTAGCTGCAGCAAGATTAGGTGGTGGGGCTTTTTTTATGTAATAAATTTTTAAAACGGCCAAATTAAGACATGTGTAATAATATACTGTTACAACCACCGGGACCCAATCCCGGGACCCGGAATTTCATTCTAAAGTGAAGTGTGTTGTGTAAGAGATTACATGAATATATAGATATAGCTTTTATTTAAAGACGGACACGGTTGGACATTTCAATGTCAAATTGGTGGCGCTTCTGCGAAATAACAGCGTCCTGTAAAGACTTGTTGACATCAGCAGCCTTCCCGACCATAAACTCAAAAGATTCTTGCTGGAGATGGCCAGTACAATCTGCGAGAATAGACGCTTGGTGCGCAATCTCAGCAAGCTTATCGATAACATGCATATTACCCTTGTGAAATCCATAAATTGTGTACTCAAGACCAACGTCCTTGCAAAAGTCAATGACGTAGGGCTGAGCCTTGCGAAAATTATGACGCGGCATGCGCGGGAATAAATGGTGGATGGCTTGGAACTGAAGTCCGCCATGAACATAGTCAAACCAGGCTGGACAGTCTACATCCATGGTTGTGCGCAGCTGGCGCTGGGGGAAACTCTCATCAAGACCGAGATCCGACGTTGACATGGCAAAATGTGAAAGTGTGATTTGTACATGCACAGGCATGGTCACAATATGGCTCACCATAACGTACATCCAGCGCTCACCGGCTGAATGAATAGAACATGCGACGACCAAGTAAAAGAACCAATAGATGAAAAATCCAAGACCAACAAGTTCAAGATACCGGAACCATGCACTGCGGCCCTTGCGAGGACCCTGGCCAAGAAGAACGTACTCGAGTGAAAGACGGTAAAGGTTGAAGCGGCCAAAACATAGAATGAGGTAGTATGTGTAGTTTTGGACGCGAATCATGTATTTGGCTACAATGTCGAATGCAAGAAACCGCTCGTAATAAGTAGAAAAAACATCACCAAAAAGACGAGTAGATACTGCAAAGAAGGGCAGATGCTGAATATCTGGATCATGAACAGGATCGTTTGTAATAATGTGATGCACATTGTGGTTACGTTTCCACCAGCCAAGTGACAGGCCACCACAAAAGTCTGCCACAATAGTGCCAATCAGATTGTCAACTTGGTACCAGTGTGTAATAGCCTGGTGGCCTGCATCATGTGCAATAAATGTCATCTGGTGCCATGCCAAACCAAGACAGACGGCCGACACAAAAAGCCAGTGTTTCTGAAAGGTGTAGTAAGATACAACTAGTAAAGTCGAAATGCGGCAAAACTCGCGAAAATATCCCCAATAGTTGCATTGAAATAGGCCCTTTTCTTGAACAAGTTTGTGAAGTTGATTAAACCGCTCAACAATAGCATCCTGGGTTTGATGATCACACGGCGGGAATGATTCTCTATCCTTTTTGAGCAAGTTGCGGTCGTATTGTTCAATAATGCGCTCTGTGACACTTTCGAATTCGACATCCAGGCTATCGTCGGCCTCGCGTGGTAGCCGGTAGAACTCGTAAAGAGAAACCTTGTGATTTTTTTGCAATCGGTGAGGGGACACAAGTTCAATTGTCTTTTGTTCCTCTTCATCAGTGATGGCCATTTGAGCCTTAGTACGAAAGAATCCACCTTGAACAGGAGGTCGAAAATTATCCCAGGGAAGTTCGATCTTGCCTATAATGTAATTCTGTGCCTTAAGAAGAGTCTCATCTGAGTGGTGCACTTCAATCTCTTGTGTCGCGTCGCGGCCGACCATGTGTTCAACAACCTTGTACCCGCCAGGGTGAAACTCTAGCCACGAGTCGAGACGGAGCACCCGGTCGTGCCAGACGACCACGTGCTGGCCTCGCGCAATCATATCCTCAACATCATCTCTAGAAAGTTGTCGATCTTTAAGCGAAGTCATAACTAATGATATATATTGACGGTTTTCAATATTGAAAACACTAAGGGTTTTTGTTTTTTTTATTTTTTAAAGAAATAAAAAGGTGACTTTTTTCTAATGTTAAAAAAAAGCCTCGGGTCGGAAACATTTTTCTCTGACGTGTGGAAAATCCGCTGGGCTTTGGGAGGGTCCCAAGTTTACACTGGCGGACAGAAATGTGCACGCACAAATTTTCAAACGTGTTTGTTAGAGAAGGTCCAACTGGGGAAACTTAAATGAATTTGTAAAAATAAAATTGGGGTTTGAAGAGTCTTATTATCAACTAAAATTTAATGAGGTTGATGCTTCAACAATTGATGAGAGGGTTTTACTACAAATTAATACGCTAATATTTTTTTTTATAATTCTTACAGACAAATTTGCTTCTTTTACTTTAAAAAACGAGCAATTATATTTAGTTTTTCAATTAATTGTTTTTAAACTACAATTATGCTCGTTGGATTTTTAAAAAAATTAAAGTGTTTAACTCAAAAAAAAATTGTATTGTTTGTTTGTTTGTTAGTGATTAAGATGTCATTGGAGGAATAAAAATATAGCATCAGCATCAACGCTAACTTTTTTGTTCCTAATATTTAAATTTCTGTTTTCACAATGAACCATTAACTAAATTCCAACGTTTGCATCTCCAACAGACTCAAAACGGATTCCAATTTCAGTATAAAAGAAATAGAATGTCAAAAACTATAACATTCATAGCCCCAAATAAATTTGATTACTTATCTGATTATTTTCCATGGATTATATTGGTGACAGATATTTAAACTTTTATAAATTCTAGAAGCTTCGTTGGCTCAGTTGGTAGAGCGTCAGTCTCATAGTACCTAATTACTGTGCTATCTGAAGGTCGAGAGTTCGATCCTCCCACGGAGCAATAGATATATTTTTTTCATATCAATAACATTTATTAAATCAGAGGGGAGTGTTTAGGATAGTTGTTGAAGTTTTAGTATTTTGTGTTTGCTGTGATTTGTGTGAAAAATGTGGGCATTTTATTTTAGCAATAATAAGCAATAATGTAATATTGCTCTATCAAATCTTTTGGTAGAGTAAATCGTATTTTTAATTTATGGATTTACGTAATCATTAAACTTTAATATCAATCTCTTATGGATGCTATTTAATAATTGTATGTAAATTATTATAGTAAGTCATGTTTAAAATTTTTGTCCTGAACCATATCCCCAAAGTCTTTATATCAAAAGTTTGAAAACATCACAGTCCAAAATATTACAACTAGCTACAATCATAACCATCAAATATTTTTTAATAAACAAATAAATTATTATATTAATTTAGACTTTAATACATTCAAAAAATTTATTAAAAATGCTATTACTGTGAAAAGTAGCATTCTACTTAGAATTCTTAAAATTAAGAATATTCTTATATTGCAAGAACCTTTGGGAAAAACATAAAACGAGTCGCAAACTCTAGATCTTAACATTTTAAACTTAATTATAGAAATGTTTGAGTGTAAATAATTTTAAATGAATTTTATTCTTGATATCAAATTATTTTTTAATTCATTTAAATGAGTTTCATTTAATTTTCAGTCAGCTTTTTTTCATTTTAGAGATCACTAGAAAACTCCTAGAGAAGTTCAACCAAAAAAAAAATAAAAAAAAACAAATAAATTCATTTGTAAAATTATAATGCAATCATTTGTTCAAACAATCGCCTTGGTTTGTTTGTATTCTAGAGTAATATACAGTAGGATATGACATCAGCATCAACGCAATCCCAGTTTTTGGTGCACCTTTTTTACTGCTGTCTTTTCAGGCATTTGAGTCTCTGATAATGCTCAGAAAATGGATCATAATGTCAGTCTACTAGGAACTGGGAAATCCAGTGTGGCGGTCCCAAGCTTACCCGAATCATTTCTTCTTAATATCACGAATGCTCATGCAGTTTTCAATATCTTTTGATAGAGATTCATCCCAAAAATCACCTGAATGCTTGAACTAGAGTAAATGGAAGAGTAGGCTTTTCTGTTTGCTTGGGTTGCTTGGGGGATTCAGATGAGGTATGTACAGTACCTCTAAAGATATGAGGTAATAGGAGTCTGGCCTATTAATATATAAAAATACAAACATGCTTTAGAGTAAAAAAAAAACTTTCCATTGTTTGTTTGTTTTTATTCAAGAGATAAATAATTATATAACATCAGCATTTGCGTCATCCTTTTTGTTTTTACTAGACCTTTTATTTTTCATAATAAAAAAATAATTTTATAGCCCTGTTTGTTTGTTTGTTTGTTTGTTTTTATTCAAGGGTTATAGAATTATATAACATCAGCATCTGTGCTATCCTTCTTGTCCATACTATATATCTTTTCATTTTAATAATAAACTTTTAATTTTGACTTTAACATTGCATCTCCGACAGCCCGAAAATAATTCCTGATGCCAGCTTACGAGGAACAGGGAGAACCAGTCTGTCGGTCCCAAAACCTTCTCAACCCATTTCCACTTATCTTCACGGACGCCCATGTATTTCTTAATCTCTTCCGTCAGAGATACGGCCCGCAATCACCTGCAGGCTATTTAGACTGTACGGAAGAGTGGGCATTCCTGTAACCAGGGTAGCCTATGGTTTTCAGTCTAGGTGTATACTCCCGTACACATCCTCAGGAAAAGGGGGTATTCTGGGAATCGAACCCAGTATCTTCCGCTATCGAGCGAACGTGTTACCCTTTACACCATCCAGCCCTTTCCCCTAATTTTATAGCCCGGACTCGAACCCAGAGCTAAATTTATATAAATATCAGAATCTTAATCAATAATAAGTAAATTTGTTACGTTAATTGGTTCGATGGTCTAGTCGGTTATGGCATCTGCTTAACACGCAGAACGTCCCCAGTTCGATCCTGGGTCGAATCAAATATCTTTTTACGTTTTACTTTTTGAAACAAAATACTTGGTGTTTATTTTATTTTACTTCTTTTTTCACTTTCCCTTTACTAAAATGTAAAAAAGAAAAGTTGAATAAATATACCAGATTATGGTTTAAAATTAAGGTTAAATTGAACCTAATATATCTTGCAAAAGAAAAAAAGTCTTTGATATATCGTTTACCGGTAACAAAAGTGTTTAAGTGAAAGATAATTAACAACCAATCATATATTTCAAATTATGTTTTGAAAATTTTAATTTTAAAAATTTTAAAGCTTAAGTTTAAGTACTATACTTTTTTCTTTTGACGATGACTAAGTCAACTAAATATTGGCAATATTGCCGAATAGACATTGATATCTATTATAGATATTATAGTTATATAGAATTTATGTGATTATTCTTAAGAATTCTCTTTTCTTTTTTTTATTAAGAAATTGGTAAATAATAAGTCATTAATTCAATTAATTACAATATATGTTTATAATGATTATATTCATATATAATATATATAAATATTAAATGTAAAAAGTTTAAGAACGCAGAAATGCTCGAGGATTATTAAATCTAAGAATCACTATATAGTGGAAGAAACAGCCGCACATATTGAAAATAAGGTTTTCACCAAAAATACAATATCGTTTTTTTCGATAGTGTTCATCACTACTGCCAAAATATCATCCCCAGATTCACTTTGACTTGCACAACCCAACCATTGAAAGATAATTTCTCAAATAAAAAAATAGGATATAAGCAAAAAACAAAAAGTATGACAACCGAGGGATTTGAACCCTCGCCTCCGAAGAGATAGGAACCTTAATCCTACGCCTTAGACCAACTCGGCCAGATTGCCTTAGTTTGAAAAACAATAATAATTTGTCTATCAGAAGATTCCCGAAACCATAACGAGAAATAACAGAAAAATATATATTTGGGCTTTTGGAGATGAAATGTGAGGAAATATTTGATCTTTTATAAAGCAGTTCTTATTTTGTGCGCTTCGAAGCTCATTGACATCTTTATTACAAGTATTTAAGATGCTGAGTTGACAGCAGTGATGTGATTCATACCAAATGCGATTAAGACTAGAATTTATTTGAATGCATTGATGAACTTATACAGGAGGCCAATTGTGATAATTGAAAATAATAATGCATTGATTGAAAACTTGTCTAGTCAAAAAGAGATTGAAACATTGTATCTCAAGCAAGAGTAAGATCAAATTCAATCTTCAATTCAAGATAAGAGAATTACCATTAAGCCGGAAAAAAACAAGTAATCAATTATCTGATTTCCTGACCAAGGCGTTTACCCAAAATATATTTTTTTATTAAGGCAATCACTTGGATTTAAGTTGCAGATGGTTATGAGGAATGAATGCTGGAGATGAAACGGCTAAAGATTGAGGACTTGGTGGTAAATAAAAATATGGGCTCTGGTGGCCATGACACTGTCAGCCATAAAGGAGGAGTATAATGTTACAGTACAACAGGTTAGGGTTGTAAAGAAACAGAACACAAAATAAATGAAAAATTTCAGTTTTTTCCTGTTTTTTTTTTTTTTTGACTCTTTATACCTTTATTATTGTATTAGCTTGGCCCATATACTTCCTATTGCTCTTGTTCAAAGTACAATAGGTAATTAGTTATGTAGCTACGTAAATCTTGACATTAAGTTTCTTTTCTTAAAAGAAAACTTTTCTTTAGTCTCAAATAATTTGTATTTTCTCCTATAAATTAAATTTAATGTGTCAGTATAACCCGTTATACCTTATTTTGAATGGTCAACTCAAACCCCAACACACACCAATATGCCTCCACTTCTTCTCAACTTCATTTATTATCATTTTAAACTGTTTAAAAAAAAGTTAATTGCTCCGTGGGAGGATCGAACTCTCGACCTTCAGATAGCACAGTTATTTGGAACTATGAGACTGACGCTCTACCAACTGAGCCAACGAAGCTTATTTTTTGTTTCAAAAATTTAAAAGAATAAGAAAACCCTTCACAGAGCATATAGTGATATAAAAAATTAAGCAAATTGTAGACTACTAGGGGAAAGGGCTGGATGGTGTAAAGGATAACACGTTCGCTCGAAAGCGGAAGATACTGGGTTCGATTCCCAGAATACCCCCTTTTCCTGAGGATGTGTACGGGAGTATACACCTAGACTGAAAACCATAGGCTACCCTGGTTACAGGAATGCCGACTCTTCCGTACAGTCTAAATAGCCTGCAGGTGATTGCGGGCCGTATCTCTGACGGAAGAGATTAAGAAATACATGGGCGTCCGTGAAGATAAGTGGAAATGGGTTGGGAAGGTTTTGGGACCGACAGACTGGTTCTCCCTGTTCCTCGTAAGCTGGCATCAGGGCCCATCATCCGGGCTACCGGAGACGCACAGAACAGAAACCACCCGTACTAAAAAGGTACAAATGAAAACCGGCAAGTCACATAGTCAGACAATAAAAGGATAGCGCAGATGCTGATGTTATATAGTTCTATAACCCTTGAATAAAAACAAACAAACAAACAATTGTAGACTACTACCTGAAATTGATCATGGTCTTGATAGAGAGTTTGAAATTGATGACGATTCTCGATGGCCAAAATTAGAGTTTGATGAAGTTGACTCTGCATTGGCTGATACCCCAAATGATAAAGCTCCAGGAGACGATGGAATTACTGGCAAAGTTTTAAAGATGGCATGGCTAAATAAAGACTTTAAGGAAAGGTTTTTCAAGCTTCTCCAAGCTTGTGTAAAGTTTGGATACCACCCAAAAGTCTGGAGACATGGCATTATTGTTGTTATACCTAAACCTAAGAAACCTGACTATTCAAAGCCAAGAGCATACCGACCAATTTCCTTACTTAAGATTCCATCTAAAGTACTGGAAAAAATTATACAAAAAAGAATGACCAAGCTTACAACACACTTACTTCCACCAGAGCAATATGGGGGAAGACAAGGTTATTGTGCTACTGATGCTGTTTTGGAACTTGTCCAAAGAATTGAAACTAGTAAAGAAAAAATTTCAGCTATGCTCATTGATATTCAAGGAGCTTTTGATAATGTTAACAGAAATATATTGGCACACACAATGGAGGATATGAAACTACCCAAAGCACTTATAAACTGGACGTACCAATTTGTAAGTGAAAGAGAAGCTAGTATGCTCATGGACCGAAGAAAAGGATCAGTGCAAAAAATTAGTACTGGAATTCCGCAAGGCTCACCTATTTCACCACTACTTTTTTGATATATTCCACACCAATGTATCATGCCATTAAAGAATGGGGTGGAACTCCTTTTGGCTTTATTGATGATGTGACTATTACCGTTGAAGGTAAAATTGAAGAAAATACCAAAAGCTTAAGCAACATATTAGAAAAATGTTGTAATTGGGCTAAATCAAGAATGACCAAAATTGATTTGGGTGATAAATTGGGTTTTATTCATTTTACAAAAATGTGAAACCTAAAGATGAGAAAGTGCAACTTACTTTACCTAATGGAGAACTTCGTGAACCCCAGAAGGAAGTTAAATTGCTTGGAATTACTTTGAACAATCTGCTTGATTTTAAATCTCATATTTTGAATAAAATCAATAAAACAAGAAAAAGCTGTTGGTGCTATTTGGCATCTTGGTGGCATGCAAAAAGGTATGCGAGGGTCTGCAGTCAGATCACTGTATATTGCTTGCGTGAGACCAATTGTCGAATATGGCTTAGAAATTTGGCATCACAAAATTTTGAAAGGAGAAATCCACAAGTTGGAAGTAATGCAGAATATGGCTTTAAGAAGAATTGTTGGTGCTTATCCTTTTAACTCCTATTGCGGTACTACAAAAGGAAGCTGGTATTATGCCATATAGTATTAGGCTAAAATTTATGGTGGCACGAAAAGCTATTCGTTTACACCTAAATATTAGCAAAACTAATCCTATTAATGGTCATTTGTTAACATTGATTGAGAAATCTCCAATTGCAAAGCTAACCACGCTTTACATGTTGGCGAAAGATGATAGAGACTATATGATTAAAAGGATGAAAAACGAAAATGCAAGAGGGTTGAACCTCTTACACTGAAACAACAACAAAATCAGACGATTGGAATTTTGAAAAAAACAAGCAATGGAAGAATGGCAAGAAATGTATTGGAACAGCAGTAAGGATCTGTGGTATCATAATATCACAGTGGAGTCGAAATGTACTGATAATCTTTCCAAAATGGTTACAGGAGTGATCATGAAGAAAGATAGTCGAAGGATCTTGAGTAATATTACTCAGTTTCGCACAGGCCATGGCAACTTTGGCGCATGGTTTAAAAAGTTTGGAATTGAAAAGGATAGTTACAACTGCAAATGTGGAGAGCTGGAAACAGTTCATCACATTTTAGTTGAGTGTCCTTTGCTTGAAGAGGAAAGAAAAGGACTGAAACGGATATCTCCAGAGATGGACATGTCGACTCTTTTAAACAGTTTAACTGGCTTACAAGAGATTGTAAGCTTTATCTCTGCTTGGAGGGATTAAGAAATACAATTACAGCGTTGATGAAGACAAGTGGAGATAGGTTGGGAAGGTTTGGTTATTTTTAACCCCCTGTTCCTCGTAAGCTGGCATCAGGACTTATTTTTGGGCTGTTGGAGATGCAATGTTGAAGCCAAAATTAAAAGTTTATTATCAAAATGAAAAAATATATAGTATGGACAAGAAGGATAGCGCAGATGCTGATGTTATATAATTCTATAACCCTTGAATAAAAACAAACAAAACAAACAAACAATTGTTTGTTTTAATTGTGGGAAAAAAAATTATAAAACTATCAAATGTTAAATTTAAGTATATTCCTTGTATGAGACCAAGATTCCAAATTGCACCAACAGCTTTCCTTGCTTTGTAGATTTTATTCAAATTATGTTATTCAAAACTTATATTGGTTGTTTAAAATGATTTCAATAAATTTAATTTTTTTATAATTCATATTTAGTCTACAATTTGTTTGTTTGTTTGTTTGTTTTTATTCAAGGGTTATAGAATTATATAACATCAGCATCTGCGCTATCCTTCTAGTCTACAATTGTTTGTTTGTTTGTTTGTTTTTATTCAAGGGTTATAGAATTATATAACATCAGCATCTGCGCTATCCTTCTTGTCCATACTATATATTTTTTCATTTTGATAATAAACTTTTAATTTTGGCTTCAACATTGCATCTCCAACAGCCCAAAAATAAGTCCTGATGCCAGCTTACGAGGAACAGGGGGTTAAAAATAACCAAACCTTCCCAACCTATCTCCACTTGTCTTCATCAACGCTGTAATTGTATTTCTTAATCCCTCCAAGCAGAGATAAAGCTTACAATCTCTTGTAAGCCAGTTAAACTGTTTAAAAGAGTCGACATGTCCATCTCTGGAGATATCCGTTTCAGTCCTTTTCTTTCCTCTTCAAGCAAAGGACACTCAACTAAAATGTGATGAACTGTTTCCAGCTCTCCACATTTGCAGTTGTAACTATCCTTTTCAATTCCAAACTTTTTAAACCATGCGCCAAAGTTGCCATGGCCTGTGCGAAACTGAGTAATATTACTCAAGATCCTTCGACTATCTTTCTTCATGATCACTCCCGTAACCATTTTGGAAAGATTATCAGTACATTTCGACTCCACTGTGATATTATGATACCACAGATCCTTACTGCTGTTCCAATACATTTCTTGCCATTCTTCCATTGCTTGTTTTTTCAAAATTCCAATCGTCTGATTTTGTTGTTGTTTCAGTGTAAGAGGTTCAACCCTCTTGCATTTTCGTTTTTCATCCTTTTTAATCATATAGTCTCTATCATCTTTCGCCAACATGTAAAGCGTGGTTAGCTTTGCAATTGGAGATTTCTCAATCAATGTTAACAAATGACCATTAATAGGATTAGTTTTGCTAATATTTAGGTGTAAACGAATAGCTTTTCGTGCCACCATAAATTTTAGCCTAATACTATATGGCATAATACCAGCTTCCTTTTGTAGTACCGCAATAGGAGTTGTGCGATAAGCACCAACAATTCTTCTTAAAGCCATATTCTGCATTACTTCCAACTTGTGGATTTCTCCTTTCAAAATTTTGTGATGCCAAATTTCTAAGCCATATTCGACAATTGGTCTCACGCAAGCAATATACAGTGATCTGACTGCAGACCCTCGCATACCTTTTTGCATGCCACCAAGATGCCAAATAGCACCAACAGCTTTTCTTGCTTTATTGATTTTATTCAAAATATGAGATTTAAAATCAAGCAGATTGTTCAAAGTAATTCCAAGCAATTTGACTTCCTTCTGGGGTTCACGAAGTTCTCCATTAGGTTAAGTAAGTTGCACTTTCTCATCTTTAGGTTTCACATTTTTTGTAAAATGAATAAAACCCAATTTATCACCCAAATCAATTTTGGTCATTCTTGATTTAGCCCAATTACAACATTTTTCTAATATGTTGCTTAAGCTTTTGGTATTTTCTTCAATTTTACTTTCAACGGTAATAGTCACATCATCAATAAAGCCAAAAGAAACAAACAATTAAAAGGGATGAAGATATTCTAAAATAAATCCAGACCCACAAGATGGGTCAATGTAATAAAACGAATACGCTGGGCGTGTAGTGTAGTGGTTATCGCGTCTCATTTGCATTGAGAAGGTCACCGGTTCAATTCCGGTCTCGTCCAAAGAACTTACTTTTTTATTTTCAATTTTTTTCTTTAACAAAATCCAACAAAAACAAAAAATAGTTAGACACATTTTGGTTGAGAAGGTTCTTTGCCAAAAGAATAAAGAAAAGAGGATTAAAACGGATATTTTCAGAAATAGATAAGTCGACTTTCTTAATAAATTCAATTGAATTTCAAAGAATTGTAATCATTATTTCTGCTTGAAGGGATTATGAAATACAGACACTTAACCCCGTCTACACTCAACAACAGATAGTACATGTTGAAGATATATATACAGCGGGGAGACAAAATTGACGATTCACTCCCACATCACCAATTTTATTTTTCTTCACCACATCACTTTCAAAACGGATCTCTTTACCAAATTTAATTCAATTCATACGTAACTTGAGATATAGGTTTCTTATATTATAGAGATATATATACTTGTTTAATATTTTGTGTACCAGCCGTTTGCATCTACTACAGCTTGAAGTCTTCGGGGCATTGATAAGACTAGCTTATTTATGAGGTCCTGATGGAAATCCTCCCAGACTTCCACAGCTGCTTCGCCTAACTTATTTAATGACTGATTATTCTGAGGTAATAGTGATAGTTCCGGCAATCTTTTACAGATTTCTTCCTTAAGCAGTTTCCATATGTTCTCAATTGGATTAAGATCAGGTGAATAAGGAGGCAAATCTACTAAAGTAACCCCATTCTGTTCGGCCCATTCACGCAGCCAATTCTGAACAATTCGAGCTTTATGTGTAGGTGCGTTATCTTGAACAAATATAGAACCCGACTGTGCAATTTTTGGAGGTTGATCTTGAAGGCATTCGAGAATACAGTGGCTAGTAACACCTCCGCGAGCAGATGTAGGGTCTCCATGAAGCGGCCATAAAGACGATCGAGAGGAAAAGGAAATTACACCCCAGAACATCTGAGAATGACGTGAGGGCTTACCTTTTGGCTGTACATATTGAATATCTAATCGTTGTCTCTATTATTTGTATATATATTTTCACCTCAAAATTGAATTTTCAACTGCCTAATTTTTCATTCCTTGTTTGTTTGTTTTTATTCAGGGGTTATAGACCTATATAACATCAGCATCTGCGCTATCCTTTTATTGTCTGACTATGTGACTTGCCGGTTTTCATTTGTACCTTTTTAGTACTGGTGGTTTCTGTTCTGTGCGTCTCCGGTAGCCCGGAAGATGGGCCCTGATGCCAGCTTACGAGGAACAGGGAGAACCAGCCTGTCGGTCCCAAAACCTTCCCAACCCATTTCCACTTATCTTCACGGACGCCCATGTATTTCTTAATCTCTTCCGCCAGAGATACGGCCCGCAATCACCTGCAGGCTATTTAGACTGTACGGAAAAGTCGGCATTCCTGTAACCAGGGTAGCCTATGGTTTTTCAGTCTAGGTGTATACTCCCGTACACATCCTCAGGAAAAGGGGGTATTCTGGGAATCGATTGTTTGTTTGTTTTTATTCAAGGGTTATAGAACTATATAACATCAGCATCTGCGCTATCCTTTTATTGTCTGACTATGTGACTTGCCGGTTTTCATTTGTACCTTTTTAGTACGGGTGGTTTCTGTTCTGTGCGTCTCCGGTAGCCCGGAAGATGGGCCCTGATGCCAGCTTACGAGGAACAGGGAGAACCAGTCTGTCGGTCCCAAAACCTTCCCAACCCATTTCCACTTATCTTCACGGACGCCCATGTATTTCTTAATCTCTTCCGCCAGAGATACGGCCCGCAATCACCTGCAGGCTATTTAGACTGTACGGAAGAGTCGGCATTCCTGTAACCAGGGTAGCCTATGGTTTTCAATCTAGGTGTATACTCCCGTACACATCCTCAGGAAAAGGGGGTATTCTGGGAATCGAACCCAGTATCTTCCGCTATCGAACGAACGTGTTACCCTTTACACCATCCAGCCCTTTTTCCCCTTCTGGGAATCGAACCCAGTATCTTCCGCTTTCGAGCGAACGTGTTATCCTTTAAACCATCCAGCCCTTTCTCTTTTTTTTAACATTTGAGCGGATTTAGCTCAGTTGGGAGAGCGTCAGACTGAAGTTACAACTTTAGTCACAGTTTAATCTGAAGGTCCTGTGTTCGATCCACAGAATTCGCAATTACATTTACAAAAAAATCTTTTTTAATTTCTCTTTTTTAATATTTTCCATTTTTTTGTAAGTTTGTTTAATTTTATTCAAGAGTTTTCCATTCCTTTAAGTTTTCTAAAATTCTTTTATTGACTCTCTGTAAGTTTAATAGTTACAACTATCGGCTTTTGAAACAAAATATTAAGCTTCGTTGGCTCAGTTGGTAGAGCGTCAGTCTCATATTTCACCTTAAAAGCTTTTAAAGGCTTTTAAGTTAAATATATATTTCAAGCTTCAACCTGAAATATCAGAATATGTGTAATCTGAAGGTCGAGAGTTCGATCCTCCCACGGAGCAATTATCCTTTCGTTTTTATCTAAAATTTTAGTAATTTAAAAGTGATATAAGATGTATGATTTTTCATTTTCTAACATTTTTTTTTAAAAAAAAAAAAAAAAACAAACAAACGTTATCCTACATAATAAGTTTATGGGTGCATCTGGGTCAAAATGGTTTTCTTCTTTTTTTTTTTTTTCTCACATAAACGAATTTTCTTCAAATCTTTTGTAGACGAGTCGTTTACATTCTCGCTAGTCTCGCATAAATATTTATGCATAACCGAAAGAAAAAAATAAAATAAAATAAAAACATTTAATTTTTTTTTTCTTTTCTATAAAATTTGTAAAAAAAAAATAAATATATATATTACTACTATACTGATTATACTTTTGTTTTTTTTTTTTTTTTAAATAAAAAATTCTCTATCTTTTTTTTTTTCTTTCAGAAATATAAAAACTATTTTACACAATTGTGCTTGTAATCAGGGGGGTGTTCTTTAGATTCCCTTTTTTTTTTTCATTTTTTTTTTAGCAGGGAGTTCACGTTTTTTTTCTCCCTCAATCTTTTCAATTCATCATTACCATTCTCAACAGTTTATGAATCAAAGTTCAATCGTGCTCCAAACTTACTCGCCGCAGTACTCTGTGTCCGTCTGTGACCACCTTGTCTGTTATTATTGTTGAAGTTGCTATTATAATTGCTGTTGATGTTGGTGTTGGTGTTGGTGTTGGTGTTGTTATTATTGTAGTTATTATTATTGTTATTATTATTATTATTTCCACCATTGTTGTAAGATCCACTTGAACTCTGGCTAGAAGTGTGATGATAATAAGAACCACTATTGTTATTGTTGAGATTATTATTGTAATTCGTATTGTGATTGGAATTAAAATTGCCTCCCTGGTTTACTGCAGAATATGTCCGACGATGGGTATTCTTCCTCATTACATTATTATTATTGTTATTATTATTATTATTATTGTTGTTGTTATAGTTTTGGTTATTATTGTAACCACCACTCGTGTTATTATTATTATAATGATTATTGTTATTGTAATAATTGTTATGCGACTGTTGTGACTGCTGTTGGGGCTGCTGTTGGTGCTGCTGCTGTTGAATCCGATTGTCTGGCCGTCTCATTGAACTGTTGCGTCCAAGGTTACTGCGACTGCTACTTCGCTGAACATCCGATGTAGCATGCTTCGACATTTCAATTCCACTGCGGGGTCTCTCGCGACTCTTATCCCGTGGTTGTTGCTGCTGCTGCTGCTGTTGCTGCTGTTGATCACCCGTTTCATTAGAAGTCAAGGCTGTAGATGCCTCTCCAGAAGGTAATGCTGTTACAAGCTCCACAATATGACCATGTTGTGCAGCAAGCTTTGCCATACGACACACATAACATTTACGTGCACAGTTATTACCCTTATGGTTATGGAAACATTTTTGGCATGGCGCAGGGAGATTTGTTGGCACAGATTCTTCAGTAGAAGTTTCAGTAGGTGCAGAAGCAGTGGGTGTTGCTGACGATGCAGATTGCTTTTTAACAAGTGCCTCTGTGGAAGATCCAGTGGAAGCCCCTGAAACACTGCGCTGCTTTGATACCCGCGCAGTTGAGTTTTGTACAGGAAGTTTGATCTGGCCTCCATTTGCTGCATTCTTGCGGACCTGCAGCCCATTAGCACCATTTCCTGCACCACCAAGAGCAGTGCTAGCCACCGATCCGCTTGCACGCCGGTGACCAACAAGAAGTGCAGAAGGAGGCTGTGTCTGGACCCAGTCGGTGTAAGTAAGTACGACTTTTTTGCGGAGTGCGTGGAGGTCACGGGCCGCAAGCCCGGGGATTCTACCAGCATAAGAGTGCAGCACGGCAAAGCAGCGGCCAATAGCTGGAACTTTTGCCGTGGTACCATGTTGAGCTAGAGTGAGGTAGATTCCGCCGAGAGCTGTTAACGTACGGATACTTTCTGGCAGCTGTCCATCAAAGGGAGTTGATGAGCCTGGAGTAGTCGGGGCACTTCCTTGACGAGAAGGTGGTGAGGAAGAATTTGCACCGAAAACAATTCCATTGGTAAGGGTAGACTGGGGGGTTGTTGTAGTTGGGGTGGCTGCAACATCCGACCATGCAGCAAAGGCTGCACTGACAAACGAGAGGTAATCTGGATATATAGATTCGAGGTTTTGGGCCACGAGACCGAGAGACACGAGCGGTGCAAGCAAAGGTCCGATGATGGTTTGTTCTTCAGCTGGAGTAAGCGGGATTGCAGATGAGACATCCACGTTAGCGAGAGCAGAGCCTGCAGACGAGAGAATGTTGTTGCTGGGCTGAAGTTGTTGTTGTTGTTGTTGTTGTTGTAAGGCGGTTGCTGGGGAGGAAGGCTGTGGGGGTTGTGAACCATACGATGGGGTGCGGGAGGAACTGCTGCCACCCCCTGGAGAAGAGGCCACATTAGTACCAGCCAAAGTAGCCACGGAGGAGTAGGAGACGGTACGTCGGTGAGAATTTGGGAAAAAGGGAATAGAGTAACGGTTATTACCGTGAGAAGACGAAGACGAAGACGAAGAGGAGGAGGAGGAAGACGCATGATCTGTAGAAGGAGAAGCCGAGGCACCGGCAAGTCTCAGGGGTCGAATACCACCAGATAATGTGGAGCTCGGAGTCCCAGCACTTGGGGTATTAGCACCACTAACTGCGGCTGTGATTGAAGCAGAAGACCCAACTTCGGTATCCATTTTGATACCACTGAGCAACGAAACAGTTGATGAGAGGGGCGAGAGGGCATCGTCAATGTAGCGAGCAAAAAGATGAGTCAAGGCCTCAAAGTCGTTTATTGAAGCCATTCCGCGCTCAAGCGTTTCAGGGAGTTCTGGAATGTTATCGACAATGACGTCCTTGATCTGCTGAAGCAGCATAGAGTTAAGCTTAGAGACATTTTTGGCGTAGAGGTAGCGAGCAAGATGTGGGATAAAGCGAGAGATGTGGGCAATGGGGAGGGTGTCAGAGACCATTTTTGCAGCAAGGAGCGGGCCCATGGTGGTCATCTGGGTGGCTGTAGAGGATGATGATGATGAGGATGATGAAGATGTAGGGGATATGACATTGTTTGGGCCTGCAGCTCCAATAGACACAATACTTGCAAGATCAATGACGACAGTGTCCATAAGTTTTTTGCGGCGTGCAGCATCTCTGTTGATACTTTCAATGAAATCTGTTTCTTTGAGGAGGTTTGCAATGTAGTGCGTTCCAGGGATTCCGCTTTGTTTAGTGTGATGGTGCTGCGTGGCCTCTGCATCTAAATCAGCCCATAGGCTAGCGAGTTGGGGGGTCACATCTCCTGTAAGCCAGGAGCGCACTGCTTTAGCCACAAACTTGGGGTCTGATTCTGGAGTTTGTTCGTCCTCAAGAATATGCTGGGCGGATGAAAGTGCTGGGACCAGGGAAGCTGCAAGTCTGGCTTCGGAAGAGGAAGAAGAGGAAGTAGTTAGTGCCCCCCATAGACGAGTAAATTTGGGATTAACAGCGGCAAAAAGAGCATTGCGAGAGAGATTGTACTGGTGCTTCATGGATTTGCGGAATTCTGGAGTATAAATGGTTTTATTAAGCGAATGATAGTTTTCGCATTCAAATACCAGGTCAAAGATATCCCAAAGGGTTTCATTACTGAGAGCCAGTACGTCGTCCTTATCATTAGGGCCTCCTTGGGCTATCCGAATCTCGAGTTTGTACTTGGATGGGTCTTCGGCACCACCAGATTTGAAGTTAGTATTGTCACCATCATTATCATCATCGTCATCATCATCTTCGTCAAAATCATCATCATCTTCATCCATATCGTCATAATCGCCAATTCCATCGCCAACATCATCACAGGCGAGATTTGCGAGATCTCCTGGCGGCGAAAGAAATGCTCTGCTAAGTCTATTTGTAGCTGCAGAGGAAGTTTTCACAACAGGTGTGTAAGTGACGGCAGGGTCTTGAGAAGAAGAAGCCATCGTTTTGGATGATAAAAAAAGAAGGGGGATATTACGAAGGAAAGGAAGAAATGATGGATGTAGTTGTTGGTTGGAAAGAAGAAGGGAAAAAAAAAAATAAATAAATAAAAGAGATTTAGATTAAAAGGATTCAAGGCTTTGTTGTTGTTTTTTTTTTGTTTTTGTTTTTGTTGTTGGTTTTTTATTATTATTATTAGATACACACACAAATAGTGGCTGTTAAGGTGGTGGTGGTGGTAGTGGCAATAAAAAAAAAATAAAAAAAAAAGAAATTAATGATTACATAATCAATAAAAAATTAAAATTAAATTAAAAATTAAAAATCAAGAATTAAAATAATCATAGTTATTATTTAATTTAATTTATTTAGTTATAATTATTATTATTATCATCATTATTGTTACAGTTACAGTTACAGTTACTTCTAGTAATTCACACCCTTAAGAAGACGCTCACGAATGCCATCCAAAAAGCCGCCAACATCCTCGGAAATGTGCTTCAGCTCCTCAGAAATGCGAAAGCTCTGCTCAGCATCTGAAGAAGCAGCAGCAGCAGCGGCAGCTCCATGAGACCAAAAGTCAGTGATATTGCCTCCAGCACCATTGAAAATCAATTTATTAGGAGTATCAGCAGGAATGTCTTCCAAAATGCCACTGGTAGAGTAGGAAATCAAATTCTTCTTAAGTTGGGCAGGAGTAACAGCACCGGCAACAGCATACTCAGAGTCGGAAGCAGGCTGCAGCGACAAAAAGTAAGACAAAATGCCTGCAACATGAGGAGACGCCATCGAAGTACCGGAAAGGGTAGCGACGGCATACTTGGAGCCAATATAAGTGGATTGGATATTGACACCGGGACCAAAAATGTCAACGCACTTGCCATAATTGGAAAAGTATGCGCGCACATCCGAAATGTCCGAAGCACCGACAGTGACAGCATCAGCAGCAGCAGCGGGAGAGTAGTTGCAAGCATCAGCATTATCATTACCAGCAGCAACGGCAAAGTGAATGCCAGCCTTGACAGCGGCATTGACAGCCAAGTCAAGGGAGGGGGACTTGCCACCGCCAAGAGACATATTTGCAGTAGAGCCCTTAAAGCCCTTCTTGTTAGCCTTAACAGCGGCAATGTGGGCCGAGGCAGCCCATTCAACGCCCTTCAAAACGTCAGACATGGTACCCGAACCGTTAGAGCGCAGCACCTTGACAGCCACGATACTGGCCTTCTTAGCCACTCCGTACTTCTCGCCTGCAATAGTACCAGAGCAGTGGGTACCGTGGCCATTGCCATCGCTATCCGAGTCACCAGAGGGAATAGTCTTACCCCAAGAGGCACGGCCGCCAAAGTCAACGTGGTCAATATTGGTACCAGTGTCAATAACATAAGAGGTGACACCCTCACCACCATCATCGTCATAAAGGTACTTGTTAAAGGTAGAAAGAGAGAGGGGTCTTTTGTGGGAAATACGCGCAAGACCCCAAGGAGCGTCCTTTTCAGTGGCAAATTCAGAAGCAAAGACACGAGAGTCGTGTTCGACATACTTGACAATGCTAGAGTGAGTGCGAATGGCTTCAATAGTTTCTGGGAGGAAGCGGCCGGCATAACCCTTGAGGCCAGTGGGGATATTGTAAACATGCTTCAAGCCACCAGTGGCCAAAGCCTCTTCACCTTCAGCCATAAGGAAGGGGTGTTGAGAGTCACGCTTGTGAAGGGCTGAGACAGCTTCAGCATGGGCATCACCAAGCCAGACCAAGTGCTGGGAAATGAGAGCCTCATCGACATTGTCATTGAAAATGATAATGTAAGAGTCCTCCACCAGGTTCTTCTTGGCGTGCTCCGAAGTGGCAAATGGAGCCAGGGGCATTTTAGGAGCAACTGGAGTGTCAACAGGAGCTTGAGCTACAGGGACAGCAGGGACTGGGATTCTATTTCCATTCTCGAGACGAGAGAGCTGTGCAAGCATCTCAGGGTCGGTAGGAATGTAAATTGCATTTGCCACATTTGCGGCAAGAGGAAGAAGGCTAGCAGCAACGACAGCGACCTTCATAATGATTATAATGATGATAAATGTTTATATATATAAGTGTAGAGTGTTTATAGATGTAAGAGAGAGATGAATGGAGAGGTTTAAAAAAAGAGAGAAGGGTTGAGTAATAGAATTAATGAAGAGCGAGAAAGATTTATAAATATATATATAGAAATAGAAATAGAAATTGAAATTGAAAAAAAAAAAAAAAAAAAAAGTTGATGATAAGGGAAGAAGAAAGAAAAAAAAAGGTAAAAAAGGTGGGATTTTTGGTTTATTTATATGTGTGAGGTGAGGGTTTGGTTTTGATAAGGCCGGATTTTGTGTGTGTGTGAGGGGAGAGTGTTAAAAAAAAAAAAAAAAAAAAAAAAAAAAAAAAGAGCTCAGCCAAGTTTATCGTCACGCAGTATGGCAGCAGACCACACAGTAAATGTTGCGCTTATCGACCCAGCCAGGTAGTCAGACAGGTAGTAGTAGTAATAATAATATATATATATATATATATATACTACTAGTACTGGCCATTGAGAAACAAAGATTGTGTTATCAGTTTATTTTATTTACTTCAGTTCAATCATCAGGGTGATTAAATATAAAAATAATAAAAATAATAATAATAATAATAATAATAATAATAAAAAAAAAGGTTGCCTTTATCAGTGAATTAAGTAAAAAAAAAAAATTAAATAAATTTAAAGACTTTTCTTATCAATGAAGATGAAAAAGTTGCCACCAGAAAAGAAAATCTTTTTATTTTATTTTATTTATTTTATTTATTTATTTCAATGGACCAAATAATATATATATATATATATATCAATATATCATTATCATATAAAATCACTGATAAAAAAAAAGATACTTCTTGATGGTCCATACTTATTTACTTATATATATATAAATATAAAACCAGCAAGTCTCAAAATTGCAGTTCCATCCAAATACAAATTGCCACACACAAACACACTGCCAGTAGCAATGAAAAAAAATAAAAATAAAAAGATTGTATTATTATTCAAACGTTTTTTTTTTTTTTTACCTTTTTTAATTCTACATTGAGAAACAACAAGATGACAAAAAAAAAAACTTTTCATTCAATTATTCAATTATTTTGTATATAAATCAACCATTAAAATGGCATAATTACCATGAAAAAAAATTTTTTTTTTTTTTTTTAAAATAAATAAATAAAAACTCATTTGGAAATGTCATTGAGCAACTTAACTTTCCTGTCGGGGTAGCTCGCAATCACCCGTATTGGTGATGCCACTCATAATTTCTATTTGGTTGCCATTCTGATGTTTTTTTTTTTTTTTTTTTTTTTTTTTCCCTTTCAATTTTACTTTGCCACCCACCTTTTGAACCAGTCAGTTAAGTCAATCAGTCAGTTAATTTTCTTATATATATTAATATACTAATTGGTATACTTATATTTATATAAACTTTTGTTTGTATATAAAAATGTCCTTGTCGCCGGCGCTCCTGCCTATTTGGGCGCATCAACGAACAAACAAACAAACAAACAAACAAACGTATGCAAAAACTCTTTTTTTTTTTTTTTTTTTAGGTTGCCTTTTGTGACCCAATCTGTCTAAAGCCGCAATATACTAAAAAAAGTAAATAAAATTAAAACAAAAATGGAAGAAACCGGAAATCCCCGCATTTGATCACATTTAATTCACGTGATAAAATATTCAATCACATGACAATCACATGATTATATTTACTTGTTTTGATTTTTTGTCTGTTTTGAAAAAAAAAAAAAAAAAAAAAAAACCAGACCGCCTCGAGAATCACAAAATGTAAATAAAAAAATAAAAATAAAAATAAATAAAAATAAACAAAAAAAACAAAAAATCAACTATTTTTTTTTTTTTTTTTATTTCTAAAAATCAGTTTTAAAACTCTTTTTCTTCAAATCCATCTCTTTCCTTTTAAATCAACTTAAATCCAACCAACCAACCAACCAACCAACAAAACAAACAACACCCCAAATGTCATCCTTCCTTCAGAGTCTGTAAGTACTTAGACCAATTTCTCTTAAAATCACACATACCACTCTTCATCCCTAAATCCTAAAATCTATCAAACAACAAAATCTAACCTTTCAAGCCCATTTAACAACCAACGTGCAAGAGCTCTCAAAAAGGACCAGGATCTAGCACCCACAGGCCAACAAACAGCCTCTGCAGCGCTGGGCGCTGCAGGTTCTTCTCTATTGCCTTCTGCTCTTTCCGCTTCTCCTACATTATTATCATCATTATCATCACCATCATCTCAACAACAACAACAACAACAACAACAACAACAACAGCAACAACCCCTATTCTCTTCTCCTCCTCAACAACAACAACAACAACCATTTGGACCCCAGGGATTCCAGGCTTCCCCTGGATCATTCAATCCAAATATTATGGGCTCATCTCCAAATAACAACAACAACATTGGAACAGTCGTAGGAACTCCAACCTCTGGTCTCGCATCACAGATTCTGCGGCAACACGCTGAAACTACCCTTGGATCAGGGGCCCTGCGGCAAGCTGTCATGCTACCCGAAGGCGAAGATCTTAACGAATGGGTGGCTGTGCATGTGGTTGATTTCTATAATCAAATCAATATGCTCTACGGTACCATTACTGAATTTTGCTCCCCAACTTCATGTCCACGTATGTTGGCCACTGAAGAGTATGAATATCTTTGGCAAGATGGTGCTAAATACAAAAAACCAACTAAAATGAGTGCCCCAGAATACGCAGAACATCTCATGGAATGGGTCCAATCATATATTGAAGATGAATCTATCTTCCCCACACGTATGGGTAAAGATTTTGGTAAAGATGCCCCCATGGTGTTTCGTAACATTCTTAAACGTCTCTTTCGCATCTATGCTCACATTTACTGCCACCATTTTGACCAAGTCGATGCCTTGGGGATCCTCCCACATCTTAATACCTCTCTTAAGCATTTTATCCTTTTTACTAACCAGTTTAAACTTGTGGATCAACGTGAATTGGCCCCTTTACGTGAACTCATTGTACTTTTGTTGTCTGATGGCCAGCAGTAATTGATGGGGTCTATGTGTTGCATTGCATTGTGTTGTGTGTGTGTATGTTTTTTTTTTTTTATTTTAGTTGAACTTATTTAGTAGTAATCACTATATATATATATATATTTATCTATGGGTAACTTGTAATTTTGGTAGTTTAATATCTTTTCTCGGTAACATTTTCTTCCCTTTGTCTTTTTTATTTTTGTCTGCCTGTCTGTCCACTATCGCCAGATCTCTTTGATTTCTGTCCTTCCCCATCTTTGTCCTAAACCATCTCTTCCTCCCCCTCCAAAAAAAAAAAATAAAAATAAAAATAAAAAAATTAAAATGCCTTATGAAGACCCCTTCAAACCTGACGACGCTATTAGGTCCGTCTCCACTTTTTTACCTACAACTTCTGCTTTGCCATCTCCAACTTCATCTCCATCTATCCTCTCAACTTCTCCTGTCCGTCATGTCAAATTCAAACCCTCTTTTAAAGATACTTTAGGTCTCTACGGCGCCATCCTCTTTGTCATCACTGCCATCAGTGTCATTTCCCTCTATGTCATCTTCGCCGCCTGGTCATATCGCAAAAACAAAAACCTTCGTACTCCTCCTGTTCTTTTAACTGCAGATGCCAAACGTGTTGCCGAAGTCCAGGCTGAACGTGAAGCTGAATCTAAATCAAGCCCTCTAATCTCTTCCACTGAATCTTCTTCTCCTGAATCCTCGCCCACCAACCACGGCTTCTTGTTACCCGCATACGGCGCTCAAACGGCGGCTGCTAGAAGAGCCCTTGCTGTCAACTCCCTAGCCCCGGGCCACTACACAAACTACAACTTTGCTCTTGCTCGGTCCCCATCCCCTGTCCCCACAAGCCTACTCATTGACGATACGACCCTTACTTTGGCCCCTGAAGACGTACCCGAAGCCCTCACTGGTGACTTTGATCCCTCGGCCGCCCGCTTTGATGACCCAAGGAAAAAATACATTCGCAAACGTAACATCCTCTTTGGATTCTTCCATCCTTATGCTAACGCAGGCGGCGGCGGCGAGCGCGTCCTGTGGGCCGCTGTCAAAGCTACCCTCGAGGCTGCCCCCCAGAATGTGTGTGTGGTATACACGGGGCTTGACACGCGTGAAGAACCTCCAGAAAAACTTGCAGAACAACAACAACAACAACAACAACAACAACAGCAACAGCAACAGCAACAACCTCCCTCAAACCCTGCAACAATTAATGAACCTACAAGTATCTTGGCCTCGGCTTCAAGAAGATTCGGCCTAGAAGTAGACCCCAAACGCGTACTGTTTGTGTATCTCCCCAGGCGCCACCTTGTTGATCCGCGCACATACCCGCGATTTACCCTCATTGGCCAGGCAATTGGGTCGGCTATTCTTGCTGGCGAAGCCATGGCTCGTCTAGTCCCCGATGTGTTTGTCGACACCATGGGCTATCCGTTTGCGTACCCATACGTTTCTGCCATCACTGGAATCCCAATTGCAGCATATGTGCACTATCCTGTCATTTCATCCGATATGATTTCTGCCATGGTTGCCAATGTTGATAACGTTGACAAACAAGAGCACCATGTGAAAAGAAATGCAAAAGATGATAGCCCTGCTACTGCAGCGGTCGGAGCAGCCATAAGAACTGCTAAATATCTCTACTGGCAAGCTTTTGCACTCGCTTACACTTACGCAGGTTCTTACGTTTCCGTGGTCATGGTCAACTCCTCTTGGACACTGGCCCACATGCGCCGCCAATGGGCTCTGGGTCATACATCCTCCATTGGTAATGCAGTCGCTGGGTCCCGAATTCAAACTGTCTACCCGCCCTGTGCCACCCAAGATCTTGATTCTGCTCCCATTTCAGACCCCCGCAGTAATACCGTGGTATATGTTGCCCAGTTCCGCGCAGAGAAGCGTCACGAGCTGGTGTTACGCGAGTTTGCGCGATTCCGCGACGCGTTTGTGGCTGCTCAAACCGCCGCACTAAAGCCTGAAGCAAACGCGTCCCCACTTTCGTCACGCATTGCCGCGCTCTACCCACCAAAACTCGTACTTGTTGGCTCCATCCGTAACGACACGGACCGCCGTGCCGTGTATCATTTACGGCTCTTGGCGCGTGAGCTTAAATTGGTGGATGTCCGTGATGTTGAATTTGTTTTAGATGCACCCTGGCCCGCCGTCACAGAACTGCTGCGCTCCGCATCCATTGGTGTTAATGCTATGTGGAACGAACATTTCGGTATGGTTGTTGTCGAGTATATGGCTGCAGGCTTAATCCCCGTGGTTCACAACTCTGGCGGCCCCAAGCTTGACATTGTGGTGCCGTTTGCTGGAACCCAAGAAGCCGCGGACCACGAGGCCTTACCCACTGGCTTTTTGTTCCGCGCACCACAGGACCCCAAGCACGATTACAGCCTTGAGGACGGGTCCAAACACAAGTATGCAGAGACCGTGGCCACAATCGATAACACGGATCCCGTTGACACCCAAACACTAAACCCGGAACACCTCAATAACCCTGGCGTACAGGACTTGGCAGACTGCTTGTTTGTAGCCTACACACTTCCTCAAGACATCCAACAGGGCTTCCGCTCAAGAGCGCGCCAGGCTGCTAGCCGGTTTTCCGATGCCGCATTTGCTGCTCACTGGGCGTCTCGTGTCGATATTCTCCTTAAGCTTGAGAAACGTCGTCGCCATGAGCGTCTCTCTCGAAGTATTGTCTACTAGATAGATTATAAAAATAAAAAAAAATTTTTTTTTAGAACAATAAATTAATTAAAAAAAAAATTAAAACAACAGTTTTGAAAACCTAAAAAAAAAAGGTATATAGAAAAAAAAAAATTCAAAATAATTTACTTGGCTCCACTAGAAGTCGTTTGTGGAAGTCCGCCCGCAAAGAAAAGCCCGCTGGGCTCTCCGCCATCGTTTGCAGCACCAATGCCAGTCAGGGGTTTGAGGTCATCAACACCAAACGACCCAGTGGCTTGGCGCGACGGCCGACGCTGGAGAGGTGACGTGCCAGTCTCCGTAGTTGCAAGAACAGAGTCCCGGCGTTTTGCCACCGCCTCTTGAACAGAAACATTCGAACTTTCAGGTCCACGGGCCACACCAATACCAGAGTGGAGGGCAGCAATGGCCTCCTCCTTGTGGTTGGTTTGAGTCAGTCTTCGCTCCAGCTGTATAGGCAAGTCGGAATCAACCGGTGCAAAGTTCTTGTCATTTGGCAGTGTGGAGTTAGTTGGGTGCTTCAAATCGTAAGAAAAGACAGACGAATCGTCGTCAATGGCATAGTGGTTAGTACCAGACTCTGGCGAGCCCGGAGTAGCACCAGCAGCACCGCCCAAAACGCTTTGGAATCGGCCGCGCTCAGCACCCTTACGGCGCAAATCACCTTCAGGCTCCTCAATAACTTGGTTGAGAGACTCATGACTAAAGTCTGTGTGGCCTGCGCCAAATGGCTCGCCAATTGAAGTTACTTCAGAAGTATTGGACAATACTGGAGTCAATTCACTAGCAGCTCCAGGGGAACCACCGCGGTTAGGCTGGGCCAACGAGCGGTCGAGTGGGCTCAAATTGTCATCAATAATCTGCGAGTTGCGAGATGATTGAGGTCGACTTCCTGTGACAGCAGCCAAGCGAGGAGACTTTGCGCCAAATTTTTCTGGATTAGGAGCAACCACGGTAGGAACAGGCGTTGCAAAAGCAGTGGCAGCGACAGCAACTGGAGCCACGGCCGCAGCAGTGACTGGGGCCGCAGCAGCAGCGGCAGCAGCTGGAGCCGCAGAAACTGGAGCAGCAGCAGCAGCGACTGTAGTTGCAGCACCCGGCTTCTCAACAGGATCTTGAGAAGGAAAGTATTTAAGGGCACGAGCAACAGGAGAATCGATATTACTTAAAGTTGATAAATCGGTAAACCAGTCATTAAGCTTTTCCTTTGACTCAGCGCGGAAAACCCACTTGTGGCCACGCGAGGAGCGGGTATTTAAAGTAAATTTGTGCGAGCCTGAGGTAGACTTCTTATCAAGCTCAACAAGACAATCACTAAGGGCAATTGACATAACAGGAACAGGGTCTTTGCGACGATCTGGGCTCTTAAACTCGTGCAAAAAGGAAGGAGTAAGCACATACCATGCACGGGAGTACGACTTGAGATACTTTGAGCGACGCTCCAAGTAGCCTGAGCGAATCTCATAGGCTAAGCTAGAGTTCATATTTGGGTAGATAATGTCCTGAATGTTGCGAAGCTTAAGAGTTGGGTCGACAAAATTAGCATCGCGGGAAATGAAAGCGTCCCATTCCTTAACAGGGTCAGATTCGGCATAGCCAGACAAAATCTTAGATGAGAGAAGCTTCTCGATATTGATTGCTTCTGTTCCAACAAGCTTGCCAAATGCGCTAAGAGCAGATTGGACTTCTTGGGCAACAACACGTTCGAGTTCCTTTCCTGAAGATTGGATATTGAGATAAGCTTCAAGAAGGTAATTTTCCTCATTGACTTGGCGGGTTAGTTGTTTACCAACAGCTTGTTTAAGAAGGTAAGGGTCACTTTTAGGAGATAGGGCTGTCGAATTATTGATCAACATGTCGATGGAGCTAAGATAAGCAGCCAAATCACGGTGTGCTTGGTGTTGTTCTTTGTCGACCGAATTTTTAAAGTCTGAGGCAAGGTTTTTGATTTCCTTAATTTTGACAAGCAGGTCGCGACGGAGATCTTCGAGACGAGGAATAATATTGTAGACGAGTTCCTTAGAAACACGGTGAGCAGCTTCAGCTTGAGTCTGGTGATAAACGAGCAAAGCTGCGGGGACATCAGCTAGGGAATGTGAGCCATAAGGCAAAAAGTTGCGAGCAGTTTGCTCATCTTCTGGGTGCATGCCAGTTGTGTGGTAAGCAGGTCGTGGCGAATTTCCGCTTGTTTCAGATTCAGCTGCTGAAGCTGCTGCAGAAGCTTCAGAAGAGGTACCGTATTGGAAAAAGGGGAAATTGACTGAATTGACAAGTCGTGAGTTTTGACGATAAATGTCGTCTTGAAGAGAGGCAAAATCTTTAAAGTAGACATTGAGGGCACGGATGATTTTGCGCCAAGCAGAGAAGCGAAACGCCAGCGCGTCTGTGGGCTGAGCGTTTACTGGGAGCTTCAGGTCGAGAGAGGACGACATTTGGAAAGGGTGAGAATATGAGATGTTTTGACTCAATTAAGATTGATTAAAGTGGCGTCAAAGAAAGAAGAAAAAAAAAAATGAAGGAAAAAATAGAAGATAAGGTATATATAAAGGAATTAGGAAAGAAATAAGAATAAAAAAAAATTGAAGGGAAGAGAGTGCACGGCAAACAAACAGGCGGATATACGCAATTGTTACCAAAGCAAATGGGACCAAAAAATAATAAACAAGAAAACAAACAAAACTGCACGCAGTGAGTATATACTGTGGATTGAGTACCCTTTGGATAATATAAAAAAAACTGTGTGTGGGGGAGAGAAAAAGTCTCGACACAATGATGTGGGTATAGGCTTTAGTATAGATTTAATAAATTGTTAAATTTGTGAATATTAGGTTAAAAAGGAAAGAAAAGAAATTAAAAAAAAAAGGGGGAGAGGAAATGACGAGGTTTATATACTTTGGAAGTGATGAGAATTCTAACAAGCAAACAAAAAACTTCCCCACGCAGAAACAAAAAAGACGGGCGGCCTTGGTGGCTGCTGCTGGCTAAGAAGAAAAAAAAAAAAAAAAATAAGGTGGTCAGAGAAATTGAGTAAAAGATTAGTCATCTTTGGATGCTTATCAGACGTCATCACTTTGAGCGGCACGCGGTTTCCTGGTTGTACGGGACAATGAAAACGAGTCTGCCCTAAAGATCCGATCAAAATGAGAAATAGGTACTTTCTAAGTAACTTCAAACAACAACAACAAAATCAAAATATTAAACCGGCACTCTGTTTTTGTAGATACAAAGTATTGATGAATAGTTCGGGTTTAATTTTGTTATCTTCTCTTCTCTCAAAGATATTGTGCGACCCTTTTTTATTTTTATTTTTTTTTTTTTTTGAGTTTCTTCTACCTACCTTTAAAACTAAATAGTGCGCACGTGGCTGAATGGGTTCGCGAAGCACTACAACAATACAATGGCCATTACATCATCATTATTCTTTGTACTCCAAATAGATAGACTAAGAAACTAACTAACTATAATTAACAAAAAAAGAAAAAATACAACAAACGGACTTTTCCAAGCCATAAAAGCTTTTTTCGAGATTTTTTTTTTAAAATAAAAAAAGATAAAATAAATAATCCTATGTTTCTATGATGGAACCCTTAATCAATTAATCAATTAATCAATTAAATAAATAAATAACTCATAAATAGTGTCTCTAATAAACATTTTCACAAATCCATCCCCCCCTCCTCACAGTAATAACGCGCCGAATCCAACTGCCACAGCCAACGCCGCACATGACCCGCGGCCCGCCGCAAAGCCCTGTTGCGTAGTCTCCGCCCCGGTACTCGTCGCCCCATTGCCACCATTACTATCAGCCGACGACGTTATAGTCGTTGACAATGTTTCTACCGCTTCTGAAGATATTTGCTGTGTTATTGTTGCTGCCGTTGTCAGACTATTGTTATTCCTACTACTAAGCCCACTGGCCGTCTCAGCCGCACTGTCTGTGCTTGCCGTGGCTGTGTGGGAGAAGAAAGAAGAAGAAGAAGAAGAAGAAGAAGAAGAAGAAACTGACGGTTTGGTGGAATTCCAAAACCCAACCGAACTGGAAGTCGCAACAACCTGACTCAATGTCAACGTAGTAACGGCCTGCTCAACATCCGCATACCGAACAATCAATGAAATATCATAATAAGACTCATCTCCCGTCGTTGAATGTGATCCAACATATAATAAATAGTCTCCAGACGCCGCATCTTTAACCGCTGTAAACTGGCTTTCGCCCTCCGCAAGAAAATAGTTACCCCGATCTGCAACCGCAAATGTTCCAGCCCCTCCTGCTGCTGGATCTCCTCCACTCACTGCATCCCCATCTAATGTTCCTTCTCCTCCTCCTGCAACTTGTACTACCCTTAGCAATCCATCGGAGCCTACTGCCAATCTATATGCGGAGTTTTCATAAACTTGAACAATGCCTGTGCTCGTGGATATGTCTGTAGCTTTGCCGAGAAACATACCCGAAAAATAGTCACTAGGGCTGGCCCCTAATGTCCCTGGTAAGACAACAAGACCCGTCGAGTAGCGGATAATGGGTGATGTAAAATGGATTGGGGTTCCGGTATCAAAGGCCACAAGTCCAAACTTGCGGTATGGTGTAGCGGCACATGCAGCTGTGATTGCATGCACTGTGAGAATCTGGGCTAGTATTAAAGTTGGAGAACAAATATTAATCATGGAGTTTTTTTTTTTATTTTTTTGAAGAGGGTATAAACGAGTGAAAATTAAAACAAAGTGTATATTTTAATCACAATTCCCGGAGTTGAAAATTGGAAAAGAAAAAGAGAGGGATTAATGTATTTTTAAAGATAATTGATCATTTTGTATAATTTATAGCGATTGGCAATTTCTATATATAAATTTTTTTTGTATGCGCACATGTATAAACTTACACAGAGCTGTATTTTTGGCCGTGCAAAAATACAGCGAAGCCCCACTATAACGCCTGCAATAGAAAAAGCATCTTAAACCTTTTTTTTTGTTCTTTCTTTCAAATTGTATATACTCAGAAGCGCTTTTCCAACAAGTTGAAGTTATAATTTAATAAGAAAAAGATGAATATGAATATAAAAATGAAGATGAAGATGAGGAAAATATGAAGAGCTTGTTACCTTGTCGCAGGATGAAACTGGTGCAACAAGGGGGGAGCAGACAAATTTGATGTGTACATAGTACTTATATCACTTACAAAAACCTCACCATCATCATCATAATCACCACCATAAACAACTTCCTTTTTTTGTCGAAATAAGTTACTATGGCCAGTTAAATCCGGTATATTGTGATAACTAAATCAAGCTTATTAGCGACTGTGAAAAAAGTAAAAAATACAGTATTAAACCCTAACAAGATTTTCCCAGAAACGTTTATAATACTTTTCTTCCATGACTAAAAATAGTGTAAAATAATAATCACCGTTTCAAACCTTGACCCCACCAGCAAGGTTTTTTCGTCTTCATCTTAGAAACAAAAGTTAAAAAAAAAAATTCTATTATCATTAATGTTTCTGGATAATCTCTTTTTTTCCCCCACTCTTTAAAATGTTCTTTCCGGATACATGTCATCCTATATCTCTCTTTCTCATGATCTTTCAAGTCGATTCTGACGAGCCACAGCTGCACGTTCGTTCCGTTTCACATAACTCTTTACTGGAACTGCAATAACCGTCCATGAAGCCAAAAACAAAAACCCAAGAACCATCGTAAGAACACCAACCGCTAGTCGTTTACCATGCGAACCAGAAAGCTTGCCATATTCTCCAGCCTCCATCAAGTCCGCAGAAGTTATGCTGCATACGGCAACCGACAAAGCAGAGGCTAAAAGATCTCCTCTATGGATCCAGGTCCAGATAAACACTTCTATGCGCTGGGTATATTGCCTTACATCCACTTCTATCATAATACTATTCCGTGGAGCAGTCATTATTGTCTCACTATTTGTCGTAGTGGGGGTAACGCTAACGGCATTTGCTGATTCAGAATTCCCAGACACCAATGCGGCCGACGGTGAGTGAATCGGAGTTAGAGGTGGGTTTGCTGGTTCCAAATTACCTTGTTGTTGCTGTAGAAGATGCTGCTGCTGCTGATGATAATCCTCTTCTTCTGATCGGCTTCGTAATTGTGCCAATGGTATTTCTTCTTCATTCTCAGAAGAATCTTCGACTTGTCGTGTTGATTCTATCCGACCTACAATAACGTGCAAGGTCCAAACAACACACACCCATATCAGCAACAATCCAGAAATTAGGACAACAACAATGTCTGTGGGACGTGGGGTATTCGATTTGGATTCAACAATTGAACATTTTTCAGGAATGCGATACCGATATTTTGAGTTGCTGGGCATTCTGTTGCATGCTTTCCCCAAAATCAGAAACATGCTCAACCCAAATACTGGTATGATAATGGTTGTCTGCATGACTCGTGTAATAGTTAATGCAGATAATATTGACGTTGAAACTAGTTTTTGCATTTTGGATTGTTGGTTACTAGCAATTTAGCGACGCAAAAAAAAAAAAAAAAAAATGGTAGTTCAGAAAAGAAGATAATTCAAAATTTGAGAAAGAAATATTTCTATATTTATAAAGCTCGTTCAAATGAAAAGAATAAACTTTCGATAAAATAAACGGAGGGGCTGTGAACACATATACACGGCTGGTAGCAATAAATTCATTTGGAACACACTTGCCTAGAAAAAAAAACCTATCAAACGAGTTTAAACAAGCTCGTTTTGCAAAATCAATCAATTGGCTGGAATGAAGCGCTATTTTATATTTTAATTTGTTTTCCCATTTGAAATATCCATATATATATATATATATATATATATATAGCTACATAACTTGCTATGTAAAAAACCAAGAAAATAACTTTCAAGTTATTTCGATTGAAATGTCAAACGTCATTGATATTTTCATTTAAACCAACTGCAAACGCCGCACCTGACAAATAAATAGCTTTGCCTAGATAATCACAACGGTTACCCTCCCGAACACGTTCTGCAACCAAATTACTTTTAACCCAGCCTTATCATGCAGCCCTAAAATAAATCCCTCCCACAACTCAACAACTTACACACACCACATATTCATAAACAACCTCATTTTCATGACAACCACGCTTCCCTCATCACCGCCAGAATTTCACTTGGAACTGGCACATTTTTTATCCCCCAGTTGTTTAAAATCTTTAAGTCAAACATGCTCTGCCTTGCGCAAAATATACAAACCTGAAGCTTGCAAGTACTGCATGCTATCAGACACACAAAGCCTCCCACCACCTAAAACATCAGCAGGCAGACAAAAAAACGATTATCGTCCGGTACCAATTGAGGTATTGAAAAATCCAGACCGTTATTCTTGGTTCTGCAGCGATGCTGTCATTTTTCTAGAAGCTAGAACCTGGTATGAACAAGATCAGGTTCTTGAGCTTCTTAACCCCATTATAGAAGAAAAATACCCTAGACTGAAATATTTCTATGTTTTATCTTCTTTACGCCAAATTCCTTTCCTGTTTGATTTATTAGATCCTTTGGAACGTAATTCCAAACTTGACATTGTTAGAATGACCCTTAGAGACTTTAGTTTTCTTGAGTACTTGACACTAAATTTCCCACTTCTCAAAAAAATCACAATCACCAGTGTTAACCAATCATATGAAATAGGCATAATGCCTTTTGTAATTATTCCCGAATCTCTTATATTTACCAATGTTAATCAGCTTTCACTTCACGCAGCCTTTTTTAACGAAACTCCACAATTGATACCTCCCCTTATCCGCAGTTTTAAGTCCTGGACAAATTTATCCGCACTCATTATTTCTCAAATCAAAGTTTTTTCGAATGATGATCAGATCTTGGTAAAAGAATATTTTCCTTCTTTTTTTGAAATACCTACTACACTAAAAACATGCTATTTTGAAAGTTTCACACACTCATTTGTAAGCTACTCATTTGGGCTTGTTCCTCTCACGGAACCAGTCATAATCCCAGCAGTCACGCGTCTATCACTTGTCAATGACTCTGATACTTCTCTAATTGCAAACAAAATCAGTTTTCCAAATGTCAAAAGCATGACCATTTATTCTCGACTTCCGAGTCCCTTAAATGTAAGAGCAATGTTTGGTCGAGTAGACCAGACTGAGTCTGCCTTAACCAGGCTAAGCCTTGGGTTTGATACTTTTGAAATAATGAACGATATTTCCGAAATAAATTCTCTTTTAAACTTTAAGCAGCTCAAAATTTTGCAGCTGGTAGATGATCACGGCATGGCTGTTCCACAAACACCAAGCGCTTCCAGCAAAGATGAAGAAGAACAATTTAAATCTTTGGTTTGCCAACGTCAAGGTGAAAGCATGCTATTTAAAACAAGCGATTATCCATTTTTGGAAAAACTCCCGTCCTTGACGTTAGACTGTGTTGAATTATTTTCCCTTATATATCGCTATAATATTAACCACATCCCGATTTTCTTTATCAAAATGTTAAAAATTGAGTATATTATATCGAAAATTTTTTCGCATTCAAAAATTCAATATCTCTACATTGGTAGCTGCAATTCCTTCATCTGGTTACCATCTCTTGCATTATTTTTGAAAGGAATGGAAAATGCTGTTTCTCAAGGCTCAAATACACACCCGGTAAAACAAATCAAAGTTGTTTCCAGTGGCTACTATGTGGAAGATGTCCATTTTGAACGTTTACCTCAATATCCTTCCATGACTCGGTCGTTTTTCAAAAATGTTGCTTCAGCCCTTTACAACTTCCAATACATGGGACTTCCAGAAAGTACTAATTCCGTAGTATCTGATCAAGGAGTTAACATTTTCGATTATGCTTTGGATCCAGATAGAGAAGAATTTCTTACAGAGGATGAAGATTTTTGGAGATGGAATTATTAGCACTTTATTTCACAGATTGAAACTGATCTATTGTCTTGAATAATACGGGTTTTCAATAGTTGTTGAGCAAACATTTTTTTAGCGAAAGAAAAAAAAATTGGAGTGAAATTTAAAACATTTAACTTCAAAATAAAAAATAAAAATCAATTTTATTTACCGTGGTTAAAATTTATTATTTTATTTGTGTTAAGAGATCATTTGATGTTTTGCTATTGTTCAATATTTAAATTATCTTTTTGTTTTAACGAATTGGTGGTTTCTTTTAAGAGGGGTTCACAATGAGTAATGTTTTTTTTTTTTTTTCATCGATATTAAGGATAATCCTTAAATATCCTTAATTTTTTTCACATAAGTCATTATCAATTTTTTTTTGTTTTTTAAATTAATAGCAACTTTAATTTGGGTTCAAATAACTATTTATTACAAACAAGCTCAGATCTTAACACTTATACTCAAATTATTTTATCAACACCTTTCCACTTTTTCTCAGTTGAACGAAAAATTTTTTATATTTAAGAAGAGCGCTTTATTGTGGCGCTTCACAATGCCATATCAAGTACCTCTCCCTTATAATGTACTAATTAGTACATTTCATAAACATTAAGATTTTTTTTTTTTTTCATTGTAAGCAGGAGGCTATTGACCAAAAATAAAAATATTGATAAAAAGTATTTGGCAAATTCACTTTTTCATATTAAAATCGTTAAACATTCTAAAAAAAAGCTTTTTATTTTTATTTTTAATTTTTTTTTCTCATGTACTCTAGCATTGAGAAAAACTTCAAATTACCTTGTAAACTTCACATGTATCAGTCAACCAGCTCCAAACTTAGATTGTTTGTAAATTGACCCTGATAATCATGAATAATACACTTGAATTACTTAAATAAAACATACAAACTTTTTTAGAAATCATTAAAAATAGAAAAAAAATTAAAAAAAAATTAATTACAAATAAAATTTCATAAATCATCTTCGGTTTGCTTCCAAATCCATGCCAGCTGGAACTAGTGTGTCATTATTTTTTTCCGGTGGCAGAACAGCCCTTCCCATAGTTTGATCAGGTAAAAATGCTTCTGCAACTTGTACCTCATCTTTACTTATATTTGCAGCTGCAGCATTCTCTATTGATCCTTCAATAACTGGAAAGTAACCACCAGGAAGACCAGCAAGTTTTGTAGTCCAGCCCTTTGCTTTAATGTATGGAATAGCCGACTTAAGAACTAAAAACAATGAAGCTATAAAGGAAGGCCATGTCAAAGCACTCAAAACAGTATCAGCTTGAACCAACTTGCAGATTTCGTATCTACAACTGCCAATATCACCGGCATATGTAGCCAAGTAGATCCATGAAACAAACCAGAAAATGTTTGACAAGAATTCGACAACTAAAAAGAGTGGCGGAAAAGCTGCAATTTCCAAAACAAAAGGAGAAACCATGAGATACAAATTGGCCAAAATGGTCCAGACAGAAACAAAAGTGGAAAAAACACAACTGTGGTTCTTTTCGATACTGACATTAGAATATCTGTACATGCTTTCCACATACATTTTAGCTCTATCAAAGGCCTCGTTAGTTTTGTGAACACTGGCTGCCGCAATTCCAAGAATAATAATTGACATGACCAGCTGAACTATTCGAATGATAAAAAGAGGCGTAGTAATCGCCTGTATTGAAAAAGTAGTTTTAGTCATTGGTAAAACTATGAATGATATGAAAGTTTGTTATTTTGATTAGAAAAAGATAAAAAGTGTGGTGAAAAAACATAAATCAAATAGTAAAATGAAAACAAAAAAAAAAAAAAAAAAAAAAAGATAAAATAGACCAAAGGCAGAGCACGTCTATTTATACAAATAAAGACTCTCATTACATAGATATTGTGTCTTTTCCCTTAGTATTTTGAGTTGCCATTATAAAAATCGGTGGCAAAGTCTCGTTCAACTTTTTTCTAAGTCAAAACCTCAAATGTTTTGTAGATTTGTTTTTTAACACTGCCTACACAGGGACTCAATGCATTTTCACTGCAACAGTCTTCCAACTTTTCTTATGTGCGGCTGGACCCCTCAGCCCCGTGTATGCTTTTTTTTTTTTTTTTTTTTTTTAAAGCGCTGCAGCAGCGCCTGCTCAGACAAGCGGTTGCTTCATTAAGTAATTCTCCCTTGTGTGACAAGCTTATTTGATACTTTAAGGAACTTAGTGTTTTTTGTTGCCTGGAAGTTTTTTTTTTTCAACATTGTAAAAAAAAAAAAAAAAAAGATCAAAACTTATTGAAATTTATACAAATCATTATACTAAATTAAACAATGTACAGGATATCACAAATCTATATAAGATGGGGTTACTCAAGTTATTTTTAAATTGGGTTCTTTAATTAGAAATCCTCTAAAAAAATTGCTAAAAAACTCTTGGCCTGGATCAACATTGTAATGTCAAGCTTTTTACTATCAAATAAAATAGTGGCTGTGATACACAGAACAATTAATTTTTGCAAAATCATTATAATGATTAGGTTTGAGATAGATTTCAATGACATAATGCCTTGCTATTGTGCAAAATTGATAGCTTTAAATTGATACTGCCTAAGACGCCAAGTTTCGAGTATCGACCCAACAAACAAACCTGTTTTTCATTTTTGAGCTGATGATTTAATTAAAGTACAATTAAACCTTCTGTCCAGTATATATTTTACAAAAAAATAAGTTGACAATTTTTTTTTTACAGAAAATGAATCATACATGTGCAAAAAATAAATATATGTTAACAACTTTTACAACTGAATTGGTACTAATGGGAAATTTCCCAATTTAAATTAAACTTTGGTTCAAATCTCCAAAATATATAAAATAGCTAACAGTTCAAATCTTTGAAAAACATGTTTATTTTGTTTTGATGTTTTCCTAATATGATCACAATATTACTTTTTTTGTGAACAGACCAGCCCGTGTTGTGCTTAATGTGCCGATGTATTAGATACAAACAATCATAAATTAATTAATTGTATGTTTTTAGATAAATCTAATATTTTTTAATTGTTTCTTTTTTCCCACAAACAATTATATACAAGCATAAGTACATTCTACAGGGATATTCTAGTATCTTGTAGCTTCGTACTCAAATTATTTTAGATCATTGGTATAAAATTTGTTAATTTAAAAAAATTATAACTTATTTTACTACTTGTTGTCAGTTTAAAGCCATTTTTATATTATAGACATTTTTGAGATTTTAAGTCCTGAATTAACATTTCATCTATTTTGTAAACTTTTTCAAGAAAGAGGCAATCTGGCCGAGTTGGTCTAAGGCGTAGGATTAAGGTTCCTATCTCTTCGGAGGCGAGGGTTCAAATCCCTCGGTTGTCATGCTTTTTGTTGCCGCATTGGTTGTTATATATATATTTTTTGTTTCTCAAAAAAAATCTTTGAATTTTTTTGTATTTAATTGAGTTGTGATTTAAGAATTCTGGAATTGAAAGTAATTTGATATTAGTGGTGTTGTGAATTTGCTTACTAAACTTTGTGTTTTATTGTAAACCTTGTTTTCTAGTTTATTCGGCTATGGCTTAACCATATGACTACTAAGTCATATGATAGTCAAATTCAAACCAAAAAGAATGCTAATATTTTCCTAAAAAATAAAGATTTTTAAAAAAAGTTATAAGTCAAATAAAATAATCTAATCAAGTTTACTTTCCTAGCATTAATTATGCTAAAAGGTTTTATCTCGTTTAAGAAAAAATTCCCACCCAAGTTAGAATGTTTATTTTGAAATTTCTCATATTTAAAAAGTGCATTAAACCTATCTTTGGTTAAAAAAAATTAAATAATTTTATAAATATGAAAAAAAAACGTCATATATTACCAATTACAACGTTAAATTAGTTAGATAATCATTTTTACCTTATGGAATAATTATTCCAACTTGAGTTCGAACATTTTTATATTCTCTCGCATCACGTATTTCTAAATTACCTTCAGAATACTGTATTTCTCCAGTAGAATTATCATATTCAGAAATAGGAAACCCACCACCAGAGTAGAAAGGAAGTTTTTCTTTATAAACTTCGTTTGAATAGTATTCTATGGACTGATTAATAGTTCTTATTGTTGAATACACAAAACTTAACCAGTAAAATGGCCCAAAGAAAGTAACAAAGCGTTCGATAAAACAAATGGTATAATTACATTTCCAGAAGGAGTATGATTTGGATGACACAAATGTAAAATAAATCCAAGAAGCAAGCAAAAATAAATTTGTTAATATTTCAACAACAAAAAAAAAAGAGGGATTAGCCATATTTTTAGCTAGTACTGGTAAAGCGATGAAAAGAAATGTCACAAAAACCGCCCATCCCGAAGCAGTCACTAAAACAATATCGTCGAAATATATTCTTGAACAATCATATGAACCATAATACTCTTTGCAGAATTTAACATTGTTTTCTACACTAATAAGTATTGCTAATGAAAATCCTAAAAGTATCAAGCCCCCCAAAAGTTGAATTATGCGTAAGCGTAAAAATGGATAACGTTGAACTTCTGAGCTCATTGATTTTTGTATGGGTATTTTGTTTTTCTTAGATATATATCTTAATATATTTCTTGCTGAATATTTTTTGTATTTTAAATTATTTCTACATGGAGATTTTCTTGAACACCCAGTGCTTATATAGGTTTTGACACTTGAAATCAAAAAAAAAAACAAAATGTCTTCTTAAAATGCCAAGAATATTTAATAAGATATAATTATATCCATATAAGGATATCTTGTGAAATCTACTCGTTTTTCTCATTTTTCTAATTATTTAGAATTTAATGTGAAATAAATTAAAATAAGTTGCTTAGCCTCTAATTCAAATTTATGACCATAAGCATTTTTTTAATTATTCAAAAAAAAAACCTTTAAAAAAATTTAAGTGAATCCAAAATTTTTTAAATTTAAGCATAAAATAAACCAATACTGTAATTCCTATCAAGATGAGTTTTAAAGTTACAACTAATGATTATATATATATATATATATATATATAGTCAATTAACTATGGTGAAGGTTTTTATTTTCCCTTAAAGGTTTTGATTTCTTTACGATTTTTTTCCCCAGATGTTCTTCTTTTCTGAAGTAAGTAATTTGTAATTTCAACTTTAAATTGACATGGTAACTAATCATTCTGCACAAAATCTATATATAAAGTTTATGATCAATCAATGAATTAAAAAAATATTGATAGTTTTATCGATAATTTAATCGATTATTTTATCGATATTTTTATCAATGAAATTTTTTTTTCAATATTTGAATTCATATATGATTATAAGTCCATGAACTTGGTAAAATAAGATGTCGTATGATTTAAACTTTTTTTTTTTTTTTCAAAAGAAAAGTAGTTAACGGATACCTGGTTTATTACCTATATACTATCTAAACACCACATTGTATCATAGTTCGAAAATTTTAAATTATTTGTTTATTTATGGATTATTTTTTCCATAAATTACTTTGTTATTAATCATTATAATGCTTAAATTAAAGACATAAGCATCTTTATATCAGTTATTTTTTCGGGATGATAACCTGGTCAAATAGTTACAGGGCTTTGAATGAATGACCAGTTTTGGTGAAGAATTTGGAACTCCTTTTTGATTATATAATAGGTTTGCCGTATAAATAATTTCAAAATATTTTTTTCTGTATCTGGGGATATATATCATATAATTTCACTGTTAACTTTGGACTATACTAAATTTATTAGTGAAAGTAATTGCAGCCAAAATCTAAAAAAAGTTGTGGCCTCCCATTCAAACTTTCAAAAGTTGAATCATTATTTCATGAATTAAAAGATGTACTTTATACAAATACAAATTTTTTTAAAAGTTTTGAAAAAAATAATTCAATTTAATATAGTTATAAGAATTGATAATGTGCTCGTTGAAGCAGAGGCAGAAGCCGCTAAGAAGTGTGAAACTGTGTGCATTTACTGGCCGAAATGCATTAATGGGTATATCACGAAGCAGATCCAAAGAGAAATTTCTGTTGAGGCAATGCACGAGGGTACATTGACTGGAAAAAAAAATTATATTTAATATATGCCATATTTCTTAGATGTTAAAAACTCCAAATTCCAAAAGTAATTGTAAGTGCAACTCTTCTATCCATGTTCCTGAATACCAGCCAATTTTAGCTTGTCTCTTTTCAAGAATCGTGGTAGTCGAAACAATATCTCTATCCGTATGATAACAATGATTTAATATTTTTGGAGTGGTAGTGTTATTCTGCTTATTTTTTGGTTCGCCTGATGTTGGTTAGTAGTTGTGGGATTGGGGCTGATATTTCTTCCTTTCATTGATTAGTGGTGGCACGCCAAGTGTACACTGCTTGTGGCCCCTGTACCTTGAATATACTCACTTCTATCTTAGAAGTAAATAAGAGAGCAGATCTTTTCATTAACATATAAGGCCGTCTTTAAGCTTGTTGAAGGGTCAATAAATACAGTGAGAAAGAAAAGTATCAATCAATAGTAGAAGAAATATTCAAATCGTTTGTTGAGTTATTTGGTTGCAAGGCTTTAAATCAAAGCGGATTAAATGATAAAGGTGGTAAAAATTAGGTGTAAATTGCCACGAAATGACAAAGAGAGAGAAGCAGGTGACTTCTGTGTACTAGCATTTCAATAAATATAGAGAAAAAAAGCAATAATGGTACAAACCTTTTAATTTTTTTTTTTCCATTTTGTTAATGTGTTGTGGAGTCCCTCATGTATGTTTGAATGGGAGCATCCAAGATTTTGTCCGGATTTTGTGTGCTAATTGTGCAAACCATCGACAGGCGACACATTTGCACACAAAATCCGGACAAAATTTTGGATTTTCCATTTTACAGTACACAAAGAAACATTACGTAATACATTGTAAATTAATTTACCTCCTTCCTAAAAGGGAACCATTCACATATGAGTTAAATTTCAATAGTATACGCAAGGGCTAGGGCATAAAAATAATTTACTTTTAACGAGAAATTCGTGGAGTCAAAAACCAACAAACCAACAAACCAACAAATCTTACAATTTCTTGTAAATATTTTAGTTTACAAGGGTAACCGTAAAAATCTTTAAGATTATTGTAACTACATTTTAAATTTATTGGGATATTATTCTCATAAGCAAAATGATGAGTGAATTATTCAAGTTCATGTTGCAGGGAATATTTATAACGGAGGTAAGACTAGAAACAGAAAATGCATGAAATAGACAATGATATTTGCCGCAATTAACAAAAATAATCCTAGTAAATTGATACTAGAATATATTTTGCCTACTGATTTATTGTTTTTATTTTAGTAATAGAAGTACATACTATCAATATAAACTTCATCTTTTTAATTTCACCACTTTGGTTATTTGCTTTTTTATGAATTTTCCTTTTTCTAGAGTGGTTTAGATTTATGCAGATCCCATAGCCAGTAATATTGGTTCCAATTCTGGTTTATGATAAACGGGGAGAACCAATGTGTCAGCTCCAAATCTATTTGGCCTATTTCCACTTTGTTTTTTTGCCAATACCTTTCTATTCATTATTGCTTTTTTAATCCAGAAATATTTTTTTCTGTCACTTTCAGATTTATTAGATTGAACTGAAAAGTCAGCTTCTCTGTTGGCTAGGGTAACCTAAGGGTTTGCATGAAGTTTGTACTCCTATACACTCCGTCTATAGATATGAGTCAAGTGGTATATTAGGTAAATTTTTTGTTTTTAATTAAGGGTTATAAAATTTTATCACATAGGCATCCGCTCTATCTTTTTCATTCCTACTATATATTTCTTTTAGTTTACTCAATAAAAATTTAACTTGGATTAAACACTGCATTTCCAACGGCCCAAAAATAAGTCTATATAGAGTGAAACACTTATGCACTTATTAACTTTTATAGATCATTAACCTCAACTTAATCCTGCTAGAATATTTTTTCAAGATAAGACAACCTGGCCAAGCAAGTATACATACATTCTACCGGAATATTTTAGTGTCTTGTCCCTTAGCAGTCGAATTATTTTAATGGATTAATATGAAACTTGTCAACTCTAACAATTATAACTATTTTACACTATTTATAATCATTTTGATGCCATTTTCTACTATAAGCATTTTTGAGGTTTTAAGTCCTGAATCGGCATTCCATCTATTTTGAAAAACTTTCAAAAAAAAGGGGCAATCTGGCCGAGTCCACCTGTGTCAAAGAAGCGGAAAGTCACATGATAAATCCGCGAATTAAAAATTGGCCGCTTTTGTAATCCGGGTTTTTACCCGTACCCTGAATATGCACAGACACGATTTAGGCAATAATTGATTAGATTGTTTGCGAATCATTTTTTTTTTTTTTTGGTTTTTTTTATCTTATCATTAATCATTAGAGCCATTAACAACCAAAAATCTACAATATCTTTTTCAATATTTTAATTACTACATTTTCAGAATGAGCTTCATAGATTCAATTTCAATCATTATTTTCCCGATCAAGATGAAAGCAACGATGGGGATCAATCAAGAAGAGGAGGTTAATTTAAGCTATCGAGTAGATTGAAGCAGCAGCAACATCAATTCAACGAGAGAATGGACTCAGATGAAGAACATGGGAGGATGCGTGAGCTTGTATAAACTGTCATAAACTCTGTGAATAGATGTAGTGACAATGTGGCCGAAGTTATTTTCATTTATGGTGGTTGTAATATTAGATTTTTCTTAAACTGCTTTAAGGATGCCTTTATGACCTCTCTAGATGTTTTATCGTCACATTTCCTATTTTCTAATCACTCGTTTAAATCACCTTTAGTTTAGAAATGAGTAAAATCATAAGAACAATCATGATACATAGATGTCTCCTGTTGTTTAAGATTTATCACACCCATTCTGACAGCGTCAATTTTTGGCACTTGAACATGGCAAAGCAACGCTTCCGGAACGTGATGTTATTTCACTGTTTTTTGATCAACTGTAGTCTCTAAATCTAGTTCTGATATTCTATTTAATTAATTCGTGCTGAAGGCTTATTTTTTTCTATATCTGCTGGGTTAATATACTTGAGAGGAAAGGGGGTGATTTTCACAAATTAGTGCAGCAACCTTTCAATGAACAAGATCAATTGAGTCCTTATAAAAGGATTAAATTCCGACAATGTATTGAAAATATAATTTGCAGTCGTATTCAAGACATTGGTAGCTTCTCTCAGCGTACGAATAGACTTTTAAAGCGAACGGTTTGTTGGATTTGGAAGAATAAAGACCGTATAAAAGTTTTTCTGAATCAATTGATTGTTGACCCCTACAACAAAATCATTTAGCGCATCAATATTTTCATGATGTTATCTATTAGCAGAAACTTTGTTATCTGAAATGTTTGATTCTTAAGGGTCGCTATTAACAGGCAAACTTTTTGGTGTAGATGTGGATCAAACAAGTTTGTCGATAAGGTTGAGATCTGGTGACATTAAGGAGATGAATTAAAAATAAATAAAAAATATGACCATAAAATTTAACAAATGAAGAATAAATTTATAAAATAAAGAAAGAGAGTTGAATGTGTTGTGGTTGTTGACAATCGATATGAAAATGGAGTCTTAAAATATAAGAAAAATGGTTGTGGGTTGGGTTACTCTCAAAATGCTTGGGCCAAAAAATCTGGCCGAGTGGTTAAGCACCCTTTAAAAAAAACGCGTTACGAAAAAAAGGCGGATTTTGAGGAAAAAAAGTACACTTTCCTAATTGGGCTAAATCGAAAACGCGTTTTGGATTTTGACACAACTCCAGTTGGTCTAAGGCGTAGGATTAAGGTTCCTATCTCTTCGGAGGCGAGGGTTCGAATCCCTCGGTTGTCATGCTTTTTGACTTTTTATTCATTCATATTATTTTTTTACTTTACTAAAGACTTTGAATTATGTAGATTGGTTGAGTTGTGTTGTCAAAATACGTTGAGAAACAATATTTTATGTTGTGTTGTTGCTGCAATCACTAAATTGTTTTTGTAAAACTTTAATTTTGGGGTTATAGCAACTTTAGTGTATGGTTTCAGAAGTTCAATATCAACAAATGTGATTAAACTGTTAGACACACTCTAATTGAGTTTCATTTACTTGAGTGCGTAATTGTATAAGAGCCAAAAAGAATGTCTTGATTCCTTTGATAAAAACAAAAAAGCTTTATTCATACAGTCATCTTGTTAAAGTAAATGTTTAGATCATGTAGTTTTAAACTAAACAAATTAAATGAACAAATTTCATCTCACTAATTGCTGTTTAAACGGTTAACATGAAAATTGATAAGACTTCCTAAAAATAGGAATTAATGAGAATAAGATAAAAACAAAATTAAATAAAACTATTAATCAACAAGATTTATAATTGTTTATATAAAATAAAATAAACTATGTAATAATAAATAACTTGTTAATAGTAAAGATTCTAAAATAAATCTTAAACATGTTTGAATCAGTTATCTTTATTTTGGTGAGCAAATTTTGGATTTTTTCAATGCATTTTCTTATTATTCTAAGTGTTCACACAACTGAATTTATATTTTTTTCTGAAGGTGTTACATTAATTGTCATAATATTTGAGAGCTGACTTTCACTATTAGTATCAACTGGAACTCCTGAATTCAAATCGGAATTAAGCTTTGGAATATCTGGAAAGGAGCCACCAGGAATAAATGGAATTTTTAATTTATACCCTTTTGCCGAGTAATAGCCAATTGAAGATTTCATCATTTTAACGGTTGACCATAAAAATGTAACCCAAATTATGGAAGAAGCGATGGTATCTGCAAAGATAAGTTTGAAAACTGTTTCATCGCAACCTCTCAATGATGCAGAAAAAACACTAAGATATACCCAAGTAGCAATCCAAAGAGCATTAGTCAAAATTTCAATAATGAAAAAGAAAGTAGGATTTGCCAGCTCTTTAAAATTTGTTGGTAAGAACATAAAAAGAGCAGTTACCATGATAGTCCAAGAAAAAGTAAAAGTAGAAACAATATCACTGTAGTAAACTCTTCTACCTCTTAGTTTATACGACCCTCCATAGTACCAGATATAACTAGACCCAACTAGTGTACTGTTGATGTCTTCAACAATGATTGCAGAAATAATCAAAAGTCCAATTGAAGCAAAGAATTGGATGATACGTGCAACAAAGAGAGGTTGGGTAACAATAACTGGAGTTAACTTAGGGTCTGTCATTGTAAACAAAAAAATTTAATAAAAGGTAATCAATATTGAGAATTAAAAAAAATATAAAGGAAAATGATGGAGGTATAGAAATTGATATAAAATCATAAAAAAATAGAAAAAAATCAGAATTTAAAAATAATTTAGAAAATCGTTGGTATTTATAGTTTTAATAAGGACAATTGGTTTGCTAAAAACATATTTGAAGAAAAACATGCCCTCATGACCATTGTCATTCATTAAAGAACTCAAAATGTCAAGAATTGGATACACAATTCACAATGGTCTATTATTATTTCAATGCCAAGATCTTACTTTGGTTCCAACTTATAAACGAAAATGGTATGACGAAGGTTAAAATTTAAGGATATTTTTAAGCTCATGAATAAGGTACTAGGTTGATATATTTAAATTTAAACGATCTATTGATGACGATTTTTATGAAATTATAAAACTTGCATCACTTTATAAAGTGAATACACTAATTAGTATATTTAAAAAAATTATAGGTCACATTTTTTAAATTTACCTTTCGAGATCGATATTTTTCAATTAATGTAAAAGAGGATTATGCTATCGATATTTTTAAATTATTTTCAAAAGAGTAAAATTTTTTTTAAAAGATTTTTGAACCACAATTAACTATATATATTTAATTGAATATATTCTTAAATATATATATATTTAATTCATATGAATTATTATATCTTTAGTGTTTATTCTGCTTATTTTCATCATCGTAATGATTTCATGTGAAATCATATAATCTTTCACAATGTTTCCTTAAAAAATAATTATAATATTTAAAAAAAAAGACATTGAGTAGCAAATAATTATATGTACATTTAAAAATCAATTTGAATCAATAATTTTTTTTTTTTAAATATTTGTTCCAAAATATGACGGGTTCCCAAGTTCAAACTATTAAAGCTGTGATACCAAATTGATTTTGGTTTTTAAGAAGCATGGATTTCATTTTTTAGCATCTGCTACAAATATATTACATATTTGTTACTTTAATCTTTAAAAACATGTAACAAAGCCGCATTTAATTTTCTTAATTGGGTAACTGTTTCACTAGGATATTATGTCTTAACTGAAGGAACATTGGATAATAGCTAACATGCCATGAATAAGGGAAACGATAACGGTATTTCAAAAAAGTGTGGTATAATTTTCTACAAAAATATGAGGTAAAATAAAAAAGAAATTAGCACCAACTAAAAGTAAAATGGCTTCAGATCTATTAATGCTTTCAAAATCTTCAATTCAAGTGGTTATAATTTTTGATTGCACATAGTGGAATTTGGTTGATTTATATATACTTAAACGTATGTTTAATAATGACTAAAAAAAATAAAAGTTATACTTTGATATAATTTTAAACTTCGTTGATGCCTCTTTTTGTGATAAATTCATTTTTTTTTCCACCTGGCAAAAATAAAAGAATGAAGCCCAAAAAGTTATATACTCATTGAGTGTTTATGAGCTACGTTTTATTGGTTAAACGTTTAAAAGAGTGCATTAAATGTAGAATAAATATGATTCTAGTTTACCTAACAAATTTTACCTTATACATTTGATATCGAGAAAGAGTATCATTCCTTTACATTTAAGTAGTTTATTTCTTTTAACATTTCTTTTCAATGACTTTACCAAACAATTGTTCAAATTTGAAGAGGCGCAATTTTCTTTTTGTTTCATTTAATTTAGGATTCTTTAAAAAGCTTCCAATCTTTAGATTTCTTTTTTAAAAAAAGAGAGATTTCTTGATAGACATATATTTTTTTAAATAACAAAATTGTTCACAGTGATTCTTTTCTTTTTGTAGACTCATCCGGACCAATTGAATTAGATAAACGGAGAGTATTTATACAATGTCTTAGTTTTTACTATATTGGGCAAGTTGTGTGGTTCCTTGGTCTAAGACATGATTATTTCTTGATAAAATACTGTGATTGTAAGCTGATAAAATAAGATATTCCAATTATTTGGAATTAGAATATTATATGCCATTTCAATGCACAACAACACTCCAGCATTTTGGTATATATTGATATCTTTCAACAATTGCATTTTCTCTTTATTTATGGCTTGGATTTGGTAGCAAATGTTATAAAATATCTTCAAGACTTTGAAAATAATGGTGTCGTTTTCTTTATTAAAAATTTTCACGTAATCCTTTATAATTTTGAATTTTATATGTTCGAAATGTTCTATTTTCTGAAAGAAAAGTTTAGCTCATCCACTAGCACCCAGTTTTTATATATTTTGCCTCCTTTGTGAAAAATGAAGTTGCTTTCATAAAATGTGTCTCAATATAATCAATTTTTTCTAAAAAAAATTAGTTCAAGAGTGTGAAGAATGGTATAAAAGAATAAAAGAATAAAAGAAAATAAACTGAGGCCTGAAGGAAAGTACAATTTTTGTTTTTTTGTTTTTTTTTTGCGGGCTTTGCACATTTAACTGTTCACTCACTTCATCGCTAAAATAGAAAGCCATAGATTAACAGTTTGTTTGAACACCAAATTATGATTGCTGTTAGAACCAAATGGTGGTCTTATTTTAGTTTTTTTTTGTTAATTACAAATTGATAAGTTCATTAAATTTATAATGGTAAAACAAGCTTCATTTAACTTCCCCGAAAAGCAGGCACAAGATTTAAACAACTCAAATTCTAATGTATCAATACTTTTATCGGATCAATGAATTTGTTAATTTTGTAAAACCAGTGTAAACTTAGATATCGATGTTGTTTTTTTTTTTTTTGGTGCACATATGTTACATATGCCATCAATAATTGATATGCTAAAACTATTTCGTGAAGTATTTTTTTAGTAATTTATGAGCTGGTCACATAATTTAAAGGTTTCTATCTGTATAAACTAATTACAATTGAAGATTTAAATCGTTTAAATTATTTCTCTTTTCCATTATACTTTCATCCTTTAAATCTTGTTTAAAAACTACTAAATTAATAGGCAATAGGCAACTTCTCGTAACTTAATAGAAGACTGATAAAAAGTTAATTTTACTTATTTTCTTCAATTTTTTCTTCTTTCTTGTAATCCTATTCAATTGGACAAATGCATACCAAAAAAGATTCTGTTTTTTGGTAAATTAAATTACTGGGAGTCCAAATTTGGATTAAAGGAAACTATGGCAGTTTATTTGTATGTATGCCCGATTATATTTTCATTGTCCACAGTCAAGGCTACCTTGTTAAATTAACTAAGAACAAATTATGCCTCACATGTGTCAAATTTCAAGAAATAATTGTTTTCTAAAGTTTATAAAGAGATTATTTTCATAATTTTATTCTTTCTGGTCTCGTTTGAAAGTTTTAGGATTATAATTTTTGGTATTATGATAATCGAAGAAAAAAAAAAGTTAAGATCTTAACTTTTGAAAAATAAAAGGGGAATTGAAACCAATAAGAGTGTAAATTGATATTAATTTGGAGATATTACAACAAAGACAGGTTGTACTCAGGTACAGTTGAAGAATTTAACTAGGCGAAACTTTAAATATTGATTTTTTTTTTCTTTTAGCCAGCCACGAGAGAAAAATAAAATGAAAATAAAAATAAAAATGAATATTTTGTTCACAGTAAACTAACTTTTTCCACAAGAAAAGAAAAAGAAAAATTAAAAATTAAAAATTAAAAAAAACTTTATCGACTTTATTTTTATAAGTTGATTGATTATCAACATTTCTTTAAATGAAAAGGAAACAATTGCCATAGATAAAACAAGAAGAAAATCGGTATCTTAATTAACAAAAAGCCGGTCATGTTTGTTTTTTCTGGAATAAATGTGGTTTAAATGTTATAATCAATTATTAAAATCAAAAATATTTAGCCAACATTATAGAGAGTGTCAATAGAAAAAAAAAAAAAGGGCGGAATAAAAAAAAATATGAATGAGCTCACCAAACTTTGTCATTTTTTTCTCCTTTTTTTTTTCTGAGCAAAAAAAAAAAAAAAAAAAAAAAAAAAAAACAAATTCAAATGAGACTTCACTCGCCGCCTGTCCAGCCTTTTCCTCAAAGTCTCCCCATCATCGTTTTTTTTTTTTTTTTTTTGCTTTCCCAATTATAATCTTATTCCGGGTCATTTGTAATCCTGTTTGGCTGCAAAAGTGAAACATGCAATTACCTATTTAGTCATTGGCTCCCCCACTAAAATGTACCAATTACTTCTCTTAGAATTAAAGGAAATAATATTTTCCAGGGACCCTGAATATAAAGATAAAAAAATATAGTAAAAAAAATATAATAAAGAAAATCAATTCAATTTTTTTTTTCATTAATATATAATTTCAAAGATTTTCTCTAAAATTGATTTAAGACATTGAATCAGTCCGGTAATATTTACAGCAAAAGTTGTGTGACCAGTTTAATGGAATTTTTTATATAATTCTTTTCACTGTGATTTTAATAAACAATTGCAAAGAGCAATTAAAAAGAATGATATGTCTTTCAATAGCAACTAATTTATGGTGATCTTTTTTATTTCAAATCTATTACAGGCGTATTTGTGAATCAAGTGGGACAAGTATTGGGGTAATTTTTATTTTTTATTTTTGCATTGACGCCATACAAGGTAATTATTCTCATTTTTCTTACATTTATTTTCAAATACAAATAATCATGGAGAGAAAGAGATGAGGAAGATAACTGGCATAACCATCATCATGCTTTTGGATAATTTGGTAAGATGACATGAAAAAATATGGTTACTTGTCATTGTGATATTAGCCTCAACCATCCGGTGATGGGTCAAGTGAAAAAAAAAAAAACCTCATTTTGACAAAAGCTCAATGGAAACAAAAAAAAAAAAAAAAAAAAAGAGAGAGAGAGAGAGAGAGAGAGAGAGAAAAGAAATTTGTTAAGGTTGTTACCAATAAATAGAATAATAAAAAAAAAAGGATATACAATGAGCTAGGTAGTTCGGTAAATTAGAAAAAATAAAAAATATAAATGAATAAAAAAATAAAAAAATATAAAAATATAAAAATATAAAAAAAAAAAGACTGGAGACTAAAAATGTACATCGTTTAAAGTATTATAAAGAATTTCTGTAAACGAACTTAAGCTTTTCCTTTTTGGGAGGCTCAGGCTGTTTTAGTCCGCATTGAAAAAAAAAAAAAAAAAAAAAAAATTGGTATGTAAGACGCAGTAGAAAAAAAAGAGAAGGATGATTTAGAATTCAGGGAGAAGTCAAACAAAAAAAAATTATTTCTAGGGGAATTGGTAAGACTTAAATTTATACTGTGAAAATCATCTTTCTATCTTTCTTTCTATCTTTCTATCTTTCTTTTTTAATTTTTAATTTTTTTTCAAGGTTTTCTTTTTAGATAGAATTGATTCATGTTTGTATAAGGAGTCCAAGATCTCTATCTCCGTTTCTTAAGAATGTTAATTGAAAATAAAAACTCTGTTGATACGAGGCAAAAAAGGTTTTTTCTTTTTTTTACTCTCCCCTCCTAACGGGGGGTTTAAATTGCCCCTAAGAAACGTAAACATAAATGGTATATATGGGTTTTCTGATTTTTTTTAAAGCAAAGGTATCAAGTACTTTAAAGATTATCTTTATATATATATATATTTTTTTTTTTGCTTTCCTTTAACTCCTTTTCTTTCCTACTACCCATACTTTTTTTTTTCTCTCTCTCTCTCTTTCTCCCTTTCTCTTTCTAAATTCTTTTTATTTTAACAATTCAATCGTAAGCTTAAATGCTTTTGAATATAAGACAATAATATACAAGGAAATAAATAAAAAAAAAAGTGAATCAGTAAATAACTGGTGAATCTTTTTTTTTTTTTTCTTGTCGCGCGCATATACGTATCTGCACACACATCTTTATGAATCTCCCTGTTTCAAACATTTTTTTTTATCCTAGGATTCATTCATTCTTTTAAAATAGAGAGAAAAAAAAATTAAAAAAAATAAAAAAAAAAAAAGTTGGTATATTTAAACACGGCTCTTTCTTCATTTAAGGCTCAAAAAAACATTTTTTTATTTTCTGCATCTGTCCCTTCGCAGAGAAAGTTAAAGCAAATATCTTTCTATCTTGATATAAACGTTGTAAAATGGTCATTGTTCAGTTTAAGTTCCAAAGTATCACATCATTTTCCGAGTTCCGTTCTTTATCCAAAAAATATTTTATCAACAATTAGGGAATCTAAAAAATAACAATAATAATAATAATAGAATAATCTTAAAGTGAAAAAAAAATAAAATAAAATTAAAAATAAATCACAATAAGGGAGGGGAGAGTGAAATTGTCATCAGAGTTGTCGCCCGAAAAAAACAACAGCAGTAGCAGCAGCAGCCAATTGCGTAAAGTCAAACTTTCAACACGAAAAAAAAAGTTCAAGTTTTTTTTTTTTTTTCTTCTCTTCATTAAGCAGCAAGAAACACAAAAAAAATAAAAGTAAAAAGTGGTATTTCACATGAAAATTTTATCCATTAATACTCCAACAAGGTTTAGTTTGTCGTTAGTATTATGGTACCGCGTGAAAGAAGTAATAAAAACAGCGACACCCACAAGCATCATGATCAATCAAATATTGAGGAGCAACAGCAGCAACAGCAGCAACAGCAGCAACAGCAGCAACAGCAGCAGCACAACACAATTCTTTCAGAGGAGAAAGATTCAGAACAATCACCAGAGCAATACTTATTAGGATCGCGACAGGTTACAATTGAGGACGCCAATGATCAGCAAAATGAGTTGCGAGAGTTGGAGCAAAAAGTGGAGATGTCGGTAGTAGTTCCTAGTCATCTTGAAGAAGCGGCTGGGTTGCAGTCTGAGTCGGGTGAAACATCGTCTCCGACATCTTTAAGGTCCAAGCGAATGTCTCGACAATCCAAGACGTTGAGTGGGCTGCACGGAACCCGGATTCAAAAAGAAGGTAGAGGAGTAGCGGAGGGTTTATCAAAGAGGAAAAGGCCAAGAACGATTTATGAGCATCTTTCGTATGATCAGATACAAGAAAAGGGAATGATTGGGGAGTTTAGCATTAGTGGGGGGACTCAGCTTAGATCACCACCATCCAGTAGTTCAACAACGTCTTTGAGCGGACAGCAAGTGAGCCATGTTTCACAGCTTCCACAGTTTCAGAATCCGGCCATACCGTCGAGTAAATTTCAAAGCACCTATTACTTACAGCAGCAGCAGCAGCAGCAGCCTGAGCAACAAATATCACCGGAGACGGTAAGTAGTCAGCACCCGCATACACCACAGCAAGGCTCAGGGGCTTTCCGAGGGGAGTCCTCTAGTTTGCAACAGCATTCGTCACAACAGGAACAACAACAACAAAATTTGTCAACAGTTTCTTACGGGCAAGGCAAAAACATGTTTCAGTCACAACCGGAGTTGGATCAAAGTTTAATATCGCCCCAACAACAACAACAGCAGCAGCAGCAGCAGCAGCAGCAGCCGCAAGCACCATATGCGCAGCCACCACTTCTATTACCACTCTCACAACTAAGACAGCAACCATCAATCCAACAGTATCCTCAACAAGGATACTCGTACCAACTCATGATTCCTCGGCTGCCGTATCAAGTTGGGACGACAGTACCGTATTTTGGGTTATCATCTGTGCCGTTTGCACATTTCCCTCCAGGGACACAGTATGCGTACTTCCCATCACCTGAGCAGTTACGACAGCCGCGACTAAGAGAGCGCAGTTTGTTTGAAGGTCGCGCGCACTCGACTCCGCGGCGCAAGGGTAAGGGTGTTTCACGAGGATCGAGTCGGTCTCCTGCTGGGGGGTCCAAGGGCAAGTCTCGGAGCAGGACATTGCCAATTGAAGGCATGGTAAATCTTGGCAAATATAATGAGTGGGGGAATGAGAATGTGGATGCATTTACCAAAGGTCCAATGCAAGGGACATTTTTTACACCAACAATTACGGCTCCACTTCCACCATCATTGCGGCCGCCGGCACCACCTTTATTTCAGCAGCAATTGCCTCAGTCGGTGCTTCCACCACCACCACATCCTCCTCCGCATCCATCTTCTGCTGCACCGATAAGTGGTGCTTTACCAGTGCAGCCACCACCACCACTACCACCACCGCTACAATCGTCATCATCATCATCATCATCATCATTATCATCGAGCATAGTGTTCACCAAGAATCTCGAAGACGAATCGCAGTCTATTAAGCTTGGATCACCATTGCAAATTCAACAACAACAACAACAACAACAACAACAAGAGGAAGAAGAAAAAAAGAGGAAAACAACCCCGGAGACATTTCAAACTCGAGATGGATTAGGGGATGTTCCAAAACAACAACAGCAACAGCAAGTGACACCAACTACAACTTCACAATTGCCAAGTGTGTCTCCAATGTCAAGACAAGATACCCATCAGGTTCCAATAATCCAAGAATCTGTTCAATCAGTTATTGTTTCTCAGCAGCAGCAGCAGCAGCAGCAGCCACAATCTGTAGTTGAGCCAAATCAGCCAAATCAGTCAAGTTATATGGTTGCAGTTTCAGAAGATATTCCCTCAGTTTTACCCAATGCAGCAGCTCCGGCAAGCCAAATGTTGGGGTCTCCATTAGTTCCAGTTGGAAGAGGAGTTTATGGAGGACAATCTGATACAGTAGTTGTTCCCATTCCACAGGGAATTGGGATTCCAGGGTCGTTTCCAGTTGTTCAAATGCCGGTGACTCTGGCCATGGCCATGAGCATGGCACCAGCAGCTGCATCTATTGCTGGCACGATATCAGCATCACAGCAGCAGCAACATCAGCAACATCAGCAACATCAGCAGAAGTCATCACAGCAGACAACAATTAGGTCAGTAGGTATGGGAGAAGCGGTTTCTGGTTTTGGTATTCCTATGAGACTTGAAGGTGGATTTCAACAACCGCAACAACCGCAAGCAGTAGTTGAAAGTGGATCTAGTTATTCTTATGAAGGGCAATATGGGTATCCTCAATATTTTTATCCATACCAGTATTCTAATTCTTATCCTTATCCATATACATATCAACAGTATCAACAGTATCAATACCCAATAGTTCAAGCGACACAACAGGCATTACAGTCACAACAACAACAACAACAACAACAAAAACAACAACATTATAATTATCAGTCACATACGACAGCATATGAACAATATGGGACAGGGCTAGTTCAATTGCAAGATACGTCATTGCAGCTAACAGCTGAGCAAATTCGATTCCAGCAACAGCAACAGCAACAGCAGCAGTATCAGCAAGACCAAGGGGGACCTCGAATACAAGAGCAACAGCTGGCACCACAGAGTGAAGGAACAGGTGGGCAATTAATGGAACCATCACATCCTGGTTATTTAGATGAGCCTGAGCCGCAATGATATTGAAAGGATGAAAAAAAAAACAATTTATAGAAGAAAAGTGTGTGAGAGAGAGAGAGATGGATAATTAAATAAAAAGTGAATTTTTTTAAGTGAAAATTTTTTTTTTTTTTTTTTTTTTTTTTTTTCAAAATTGAAAAAGTGATGTGTTTTTTAAACAGTGCACATAAGAAAAGATATTGGCGAAATAAAAGAAATTAAAATATAATAATAATATTGGGGTATTATTAGTCAAAGATTAGTCATATATAATTTTTTTTTTTTTTTTGGTTAAATTAAAAATTCTCCGCAAAAAGCCCGAGTGTGGAGAAGTTTTTTTTTGTAATGCTTATTGGTTTTTGATTGTTAGATTTACCTATCAATTAAAATAATGGAGGTAATGATGATGATGATGATGATGATGATGATGTGAGAGAAGGTATATATTTCTATATAATACTATTTCATGGTATTTTTCAAAAAAAAAAAAAAAAAAAACTTTAGAAAAATGTCTTTTTTTTTTTTTTAATTTGTGGAGTCCGAAGAATAAATATTTATTTATTTATTATTTTTTTTTTTTTTTCAGTCAGCCATATTAAGAAATAAGAAATAAGAAATAAGAAATAAACTTTTATGGAGCGACGGTGTGGCTGGTGCCTTTATTTTTTATTTTTTTTTTTTTGATGGCCGATATCGCTATAATAAAATATATATATTTAAAAGCCGATAAAAAAAAAAGTAAACCAGTAAATTACCATTAGGAAATTGATTTTTTCTGATCAATTCCTTTTCAACTCTTTGATATAAGTCTACTACTACTACTACTACTACTACTACTACTACTACTAAAAGGTTATTGATAATTGAGTGGAATTATACGAAGAATTAATATATAAATAAATAAAATTTTTTTTTTTTTTCTTTGAAAAAAGGATTTGCTGGTCTTTTTCTTTTTTTTTTTTTTTTTTTTTAATATAAAAAAAGCACATGCAAAAACAAGCCACAATTTTTTCTTTTAAAAAAAAATAAAAAATAAAATTCATACTACTACTACTACTTCTACTTCTACTTCTACTACTACTTCTACCATCACCAGCAGTGGTGATTAGGCTGGGGGGAGGAGGGCTGATTGTCAAGACCGCTGACATAAGTGGATGTTAGTTCTTATGTAATAAAAACACAGCCGTTCATTATATATTTTTAATTTTTTAATTTTTTAATTTTTTAATTTTTTAATTTTTTAACGCAATTTGGTAGAATCTCGCAATTTTTTTTTTTTTTTTAATGGCAATTTATATGGCAATATATGGCAATGACAATATGGAAATATATGGAAATATATGGAAAATATGGCAATATGAAAATATGAAAATATGAAAATATGAAAATATGAAAATATTAAAATATTAAAATGCGCAGTTTGGTGGCTCATAACAGGTATATAATAATATGTGCGCCACAAAATAAACAATCAATCAAAGCAGTGCAAATACAACAAGCAAACAACAGTTTTTTTTTTTTTTTTTTTTTTTCAGGGGAAAATGGAGGGCTGAAGAAAAAGAAAAAGAAAAAGAAAAAGAAAAAAAAAAAAGAAGAAAAATTCCAAAAGTTTGATAGAAGTTTGATAGAAGTTTGATTGGTTCATATAAGGAAAAAAAAAAGAAAGGCTGGCGCAATTATACTTTGAAGTTTCGCGATGTGTGTGAAAAATTTAAAAAAAAAAAAAAGCGGGGGGATGGAAAAAAGATTATTTTAATATTTTATAATATTTTAATATTTTAATAATAATAAAAACAATTATTAAGTAAATAATTATTTATTTATTAATAAATGATGTTGTCATTTTGCGCCACACAGGTACAACAATATCACCATTGCACGTGACAACTTTTAGTTTTTTTTTTTTTTTTTGGATGGGAAGAACAAACAAACCAAACAAACCAAACAAATTTGCAAGTTTCACACAGGACCAAAAAAAAAAAAAAAAAAAAAAAAGAGTGAATTTTAATAATGAATAAAAATGAATAAATGAAAAAAAAAAAGACTTTTATAAATTCAATTGAATCTGAAAAATTACCTATTTGTTATTGATATTGATATTGTTGTTGTTGTTGATTTAATAATAATAAAAATTAAAAAAAAAATCTTTTAGTATTATTATATATGTATAATAATAATTGTTTAAATCATTAACTTAAAAAACCCAAAACTTTCACTTACCCACCCCCCCCATAAAGACCGGACGCTTTGGAACCGAATTTTCAGTTCACTTTTTATTTTATTTTATTTTATTTATGTGTGTAATAATAATAATAATAATATAATTACTTACTTATTAATTTAATTAAGTATGTGTGATGTGTTTAATTTTATATAAGTGTGTGTATGTGTGTGTGTGGAGAAAAACTGTCGGGCCATTGGAGATTTTGTTGACCCATAGAGAGACCACCCACGTCTAAAAAAGAAAAAAAAAAAAGAAAAAAAGCAAAAGGGAAACCTTTCAAGTATTATAAGTATAAATATGTGTAGAATCCCGCTCATTTTTTTTTTTTTTTTTTTTTTTTCCCCCTTTTCATATTATTATTATTATTATATTTATTATTTTTTTTTTATATATATTCCCTCTAATTAACTTAATCTCATACACTCACCTTTTTTTTTTTTTTTTTCCATTCTCTCATAAATAAAACAGAAAAAAAAAATGCCTTCTCATTTCGATACCATCCAGCTCCACGCTGGCCAGGAGGTTGACTCCAACACCAAGTCTAGAGCTGTCCCCATTTATGCAACCACCTCTTATGTCTTCAACAACTCCCAGCACGGTGCCGATCTTTTCGCTCTTAGAGAACCTGGCTGGATTTACTCCCGTATCATGAACCCTACCGTCGATGTCTTTGAGAAGCGCATTGCTGCTCTCGAAGGTGGTGTTGGTGCCGTCGCTACTGCCTCTGGTCAGGCTGCTCAGATGCTTGCCATTGGCGGTGTTGCCAAGGCTGGCGATAACATTATCTCCACCTCTTTCCTTTACGGTGGTACTTACAACCAGCTCAAGGTCACCCTCAACCGCTTTGGCATTGAGACCAAGTTCGTCACTGAAGACTCTCCTGCCGCTTACGAGAAGATCATTGATGAAAAGACCCGTGCCATTTACCTCGAGTCTATTTCCAACCCCAAGTACATTATCCCTGATATTAAGGCCATTTCTGAGATTGCCCACAAGCACGGTATCCCCGTAATTGTCGACAACACCTTTGGTGCTGGCGGCTACTACATCCAACCCTTCCTCGAGGGCGCTGATATCATCACACACTCTGCCACCAAGTGGATTGGCGGCCACGGTACCACCATTGGTGGTGTTGTTATCGACTCTGGTAACTTCCCCTGGGACAAGCACGTTGACAAGTTCCCTCACCTGACTGAGCCCGCTGAGGCTTATCACGGTCTTTCCTACACTGGTGCTCTCGGCAACAAGCTTGCCTACATCACTTATGTCAGAACCGAGCTTCTTCGTGATCTTGGTCCAGCCCTTAACCCCTTTGCTGCCTTCCAACTTATCCAGGGTCTTGAGACTCTTTCTCTTCGTGCTGAGAGACATGCTGAGAATGCCCTCAAGCTTGCTCAGTACCTCGAGAAGAGCCCCTACGTCAACTGGGTTCTTTACCCTGGTCTTGCCAGCCATCCATCCCACGAACTTGCCAAGAAGGTTCTTAAGCGTGGTTTTGGTGGTGTTTTGTCTATCGGTGTTAAGCCCCGTGGTGGTAACGCCTCTGATGAGGGTGCTGCTGTTGTCGATGCTCTTGAGCTTGCTTCTAACTTGGCCAATGTCGGTGACAGCAAGACTCTTGTCATTGCTCCCTTCTTCACTACACATGCTCAGCTTTCTGACAAGGAAAAGGCTGACTCTGGTGTCACTGAGGATCTTATCCGTATTTCTGTTGGTACTGAGTTCATTGATGACATTATTGGTGACTTTGACCAGGCTTTTGCCAAGGTCTACGGTGCTGAGGCTAAGCTTTAAGTACCAGCTTTGGTAAATGCAAAAAAAAAAAAAAGAGAAAAATAAATATAATAAAAAAATTTAGGTAATGAATAATAGATTTATGAATATATATATATTTTTTTTTTGAAAAAAGAAGAAAAAAAAAAAAAACAAAAAAGTGTGGGTTTTTATTGAAGTTTGTTTGTATGATTTGTAGCATTGGTTAGTCAATTAAATTTCCTAAATAGGAAACTTGATACGATAGGGGAAGGAAGAATTATTTTTTTTTAAAAAAAAAGAAAAAAAGGAAAAAAAAGAAAAAAAAATTTTTTTTAAGGTCCCGAGGTCGGCATTTATTTATTTATTTAATTTTTTTAATTTTTTTTTTTTTTAAACCAAAAAATATATAATAAAAAATTAAAAAAAAAAAAAAAAGGCACAATTACCCATCTATCAATTATTTACAATGGCACATGTCATATATATATTTTTTTTTTCTTCTTCTAAATGATTTATTTAGGAAATGACCTTGATTTGCTCTCTCTCTCTATATATATATATATATATATATATAGCGGGGTTAAAGATTTGTCCATTATATCGAGAGAAACAAGTAAAAAAAAAAAAATAAAAAAAAAATAAATAAAAATAAAATAAAATAAAATAAAAAAAATAAAATAAAAATTCATTAAAAATTCATAAAATAAAATATAAAAAATAAAAATCTATAGATATAATTAAATAATAATAATAATAATAATAATAATAATAATAATAATAATAAAAAAAGAATATATATATAAAATATATATATATAAAAGAAAAAAAAAATGCAATTCTTATTATAGATTGTTGTTCATCTATTTATTGTCCATCATAATTCATCATAATTCATCATAATTTATTCATTCATTCAATCATTCATTCATTCATTCATTCATTAATCAATCAATCAATCAATCAATTAAAATAGTCACTCCCTCCAAAAATCATCAAGATCACGCATACCTCCACCATTATACGCCAACAGATTCGAGGTCCCATTGGCCACTCCATAAAGTGCATTGTGTGTAGCAAACCGACGTACATTCTCCCGCATCTGTGCCGGAGTCACCGGTACCACAGTTCTTACATTACCATTACCATCATCTTCTTCTAATGGTTGTAATGCTAAAAAATATGCCATAAGTCCACCAACATATGGTGCTGCCATAGATGTACCAGAACGTCGAGCTGCTGCATCAGGAGCTCCTATAAAATCTGACCATACATCTGTTCCAGGAGCAAATAAATCCACACACGAGCCTTCGTTCGAAAACCACGCCCGCGTGTCCTCAAACGTACTTGCACCAACAGTTAAAGCAGCCTGAGATGATGCTGGTGAGTATCCACATGCATCATCATTATCATTACCTGCAGAAACAACAGCATGAAGTCCAGCAGCTGCCACTGCCGCTACAGCAGCATTCAGTGATGGAGAGTATCCACAACCCAAAGATAGGTTTACAATTGATCCCCTTTCTCTGGAATTATTATTATTATTATTATTATTGTTGTCATTGCTGTCATTGCTGTCATTGTTGCCATCACCAGATGCTTTAGTAAATTTAACAAATGCTGGTGATGGTGATGGTGCTGGTGCAGTTTGATTTGCATGGTCATTGACTACCCACTCAAGCCCCCGCAACACACTTTCAATCGACCCACTACCATCGGCCGCAAGAACCTTGACTGCAACAAGCCGTGTCTTTTTAGCAACGCCGTACGACTTGCCTGCTATGATTCCTGCACAATGAGTTCCATGACCATTCAAATCTTGATATACCAACCCACTACTATATTTGGGGCTCTCATCAAATGAACCCTCAGATGCACCCTTGTTCCTACCACCATCATGGCCATTATTATCATTATTATCATTATTACCTTCTTCCACTGTTACAACCCCCCATTCTGCACGACCCTCGAAATCGTCATGCTCCACATAAATGCCGCTATCAACAACATATGCAGTCACACCAGCCCCGCCTCTATCATCATAACGGTACTTACTGAAAGTGCTTGCTGTCAGTTGTTCTCGGTTAGAAATCCTAGCAAGTCCCCATGGCGCATATGTCTGTGTCACAAGCTTACTCGCAAAGACTCGTGCATTGGGTTCAATGTATAAAATTGGTAGCTTTTGATTTCCACCATCACCTACCGTTGTAGACGACCGTACCATCGCCAAAGTTTCTGGAGGAAGGTATCCTGTGTAGCCCAGGAAAGTATTGTTATGAATGCTAAACGGTCGTAAAGGTTTTGTGAACATGTGTCTGTATGATGATAAGGAAGAAGAGGAAGAGGAAGAGTAAGAGGAAGAGGAAGAGGAAGATAATAGTTGCTGTTGAAAGTCATCTTCATGATTGGAATGTGGGGAAGTCATATCTAAACTGGCCATATGAAGCTCGCGTGCACATGTTACCCAGGTTAAATGGGCCTGGACCATATTATTGATTTCATTTGCTGGTATTGTTTCAAGAGCACTGGTATTGAACACGACAATGTATGAGTGAGCCACGAGGGGGTCTTCGTCGGTATAGTATTTAGGAGGTCTAGCGACTGTTAATAGTGGAGCTGGAGATTGTCGCTGTATTTGTTGGTAATGTTGATGCGGTTGTTGATGCTTTTGTTGGTTATGATTTTGATAATGCTGTTGCTTCTCATGCTGTTGATACTGTTGATACTGTTGATGTTGTTGTTGTTGTAGTTGAAGCGGGATATAAGTAGATGTTGCAGCGGTGGCAAGAGATGCCAGGTATATTAATATCAGTAGTTTCATGTCTTATATGTTTAATAATAATAGTAAACTTGAAAAACGAGATGTGAGTTTTTATTTGTCGTAAAGTATGCTCTTTATTTATTTATCGATATGTATGTATATATATATATAAAATTTAAAAAATTTAAATATTTTTTTTAAAAAAAAAATAAAAATAAAATAAAGTAAAATAAAGACAAAAGTACTAAAGGCTTAAGCAAAAAAGTATAAAAAAGGAGCAAATGTGTAGGATGAACCTGACTTTTTATACGGCAAAACCTGCCAAACTCCGAGGGAAGGATTTGATTCTGTTTATATATTTAAATATATATATATATATATATAAGTAAAATAAAAATAATAATAATAATAACAATAATCAGTATGCGTATGCGTACTATTCACAAACAATACCTATTAGAGAGAGGGGAGATCACAAGTCTTTCAAAAAAAAAAATTTTTTTTTTTTTTTTTCTCTCTTCCATTCAAGTAATTTTTTTTTTTTTTTTAAAGTTCCTTTTAGCTCTTTTTTTTTTTTTTTTTTCTTTCTCCCTCTCCACTTGGAAAATTTCAACAACAACAACAAAAAAAAAAACAAAAAAAAAAAAAATTTCTATGTGCGCGTGTATGCCCACAGTCTGTCCGCATCGGTGCGTCACCATTTAGCAAAGCAAAAAGCCCATGTGACGATACGGAATCTCTGATCAAAGGAAAGGCTAAAAAAAAAGTCTTAAATAAGTCCTCATCAGTGTCAACAATAACAATAACAAACATATCAAAAGATCATCATTACCATATGAATCATAATAATTATGATTCATTATTATTAGTATTTTTTATATTATTATTATAATAATAATAATAATCATTATCATCATATAATAGCTTTAATAAAAATCCGCCTTATCTATATGACCAGTAAACAAGCCTGTTTGCCAATCAGTTAGAAAATAAGCCAACCACAACACAACTTCTTCTCTATTTCTTCATTTTAGTAGAAAAAAAAAAAAAAGCAATAAAAGCTTTTTGTGTTAAATTTAAAAAAAAAAAAAAATTTTTTTTTTGTTCCTTTGCTGCTGCTGCTGCTGCTTTTTAATGAGCAAATAGTCAAATAAAAAAAAAATTCTTTTTGCCCAGTTTAAGGCCCTAAAAGAAAGAAAAGAAAAAAAAATTTTTTTCCCCTTTTTTTTTCTTCTTCTTCTTCTTCTTCTTCTTCTTTTTATTTTTATTTTTATTTTTTTTTTTAAACAAAAAAAAAAGGTCCATGTGACAAACCCGGGACGTAGGTACCGTGCACCGTCGACTGTTTAATTATATCCAACAACTGCATATGCGTCACAGGCGCTGAAGATAGCCTTGCTGAATCAGTCTGTGCACATCTGCGTGCCGGACATAAAACTGACTATTTTTGGTTAAATTAAAGACCCTAAAATAATAATAATAATAAGTTAGCCATCAAAAAAAAATAATCATAATCATAATCAAAATAATAATAATAATAAATAATAAATAATAATCAAAAAAAAAAAAAACTTTTCATAATACCTACCCATACTCTGTTTGAATTTCCCCAGCATCCTTCAAAACTCGTACATCAATAAATAAATCTCGCGGAGGCTCTAAAGGTCCCGTCAAATCTATCTCCGAAAACCGACCCTTATGTGCAATAACTAACTCAGAGTATCGTGCAAAATAATCCTGCTCTCCTGGAGACATATTTTGAGTCGTTGCTGGGTCCTGTGGATCCGCCTCACTCCAGGCCATGCGGTCCATCAAATCTGCCCGTAATCGCTGGTACGCCATCAAACATCGCTTATTGCGCAGAGTACACAATCCTAGTACAACCAATGCGCATGTCAGCTGTCGTTCCTTCTCGGGAGATAATTGTTGTAATTCTTCATTTGTCAACTCCTCTCCATTCTCATTTAATCCACCAAACTCTCGATCCCGCTCTTCTTGATCTTCTCGTGCTTGTAATAACTTTTGGTATTCTTCAGATAAAGCCTCAGAGTCTCGACTAATCTCATTTATTTCCCGGGTAATATTTTGTACAAGTTCCGTAGCATATGCTGGTAATGAATCCAAACCTTGAGCTCGTCGTGCTTCTTGAATTAACTTGTTGGATATATCGCCATACATTGTTTTTTTTTCCTTCTTCTTCTTCTTCTTCTTCTTCTTATTTTTTTTCTATTTGAGGTTCAGCAATATTGTTTAAAAGACCTATCTGAATAGTGATCTACTCTATACGGTGGTTCCAAGAAACTGAAAGATAAGGAGATTAATTTTTCTTATTTTTTTTTCTCTTTGTTGTTATGAATCAATGACGAAATCAGTCGAAACCTAAAAGGATTGTTGATTGTTAAAATTCTTTTTTATTTTATTTGAAAATAGACAAGAAGAAGGGGAATTCAACAAAATTGTCTGAAAAATGAAAAAATAAAAATAAATAAAAATAAATAAAAATAAATAAAAAAATAAACATTAAACCCCAACCCTAATCACATGATTTAAACGCGAAAGCAACACGTACCAACCACGTTAAAAAAAATTGTTCCTAACCCTCGTCATATTTTCAAGAATTACTGAAAAAAAAAAAAAAAAAAAAAATTGTAAACAAAAGACTTCCCACACCTTAAACTTTTCCTCCATCTCTCCATACATCCCATTAAAATACAAAAAATCCCACATCTTTTTTTTTTTTTTTTTTTTTTTTTTTTTTTTTTCTTTCAACAAACTATGGCATCTTCACCATACTTCTCTGGTGATAACAGAACCAGAAAACCCTTTGCTAAAAAGAAAAAAAGTGCTCAGCAGACTTTAGTTTCCGCCTTTTTCTCAAAAAAGAAAGATGCACCACCACCTATAAAATCTAGATCTACTTCTTCTGAGGCCACTGAGCCTACTTTAAAAGAAACCTCAGAAACTTCCACTACCACAACCAAAACCACAACCACAACCACCATAGAACAACAATCCACAAATGGATCTAAAAGACCTCGCAAACAATCCAATGAGGCTGAGATTTCTAAGAAAATGCGAACTGAATCCCCCAATTCAAAAGAAACCTCTCCTCAACTCCCAAAAGAACCTTTGGAAAATAAACCTCATGCTCCTAAACAATTATCAAAACCAACAAGGCAAACACTTGAATTGATTTCTTCTCAACGACAAGAAAAGTTTGCATATAAGACCCCAAGATCGACCCTTGGCCAACCTCAAAACCAACAACAAGAACAAGAACAAGAACATGAATCAGAAGAACAAATTGCATTCAAAAAGGCACGCCATGATATGTTCTACGCCAAGCTCCACAAACCAGGAGCAATTGAGGTCATCAAACGCAAAGGAGCAGTAGAAACTACTACTCAACAAGATAACGAAGTTGCTGAGGATGCAGATCTTGATGATACTTTGGACATTGACAACAGCCACAAGGACTATCTAAGCAAATTTGCAAATAAATCTACCAATAAAAAGTCTACAACCAAAAAAAAACTCACCCCTATGAACCAACAATATGTCGATTTAAAAAGTCAGCACAAAGATATTATTCTTTTTATTGAAATTGGATACAAATACTATCTTTTTGGTGAAGACGCCCAAATCGCATCTAAAGAACTTAAAATCTTTTTCAAGGCTGGTAAGCTCACCCTTGACGAAAATGATCCTCAAGACGCCAAATACCCCACTTATGCTTACACTACCATTCTTTCAACTACCATTGAAAGAAATATCAAGCGCCTTGTTGACAAGGGATACAAGGTGGGAATTGTAAAACAAATCGAGACCGCCGCCCAAAAGGCCTACGGCAAAAATAAAAGTGCACCCTTTGAGCGTAAACTTACTCAAGTTTACACAAAAAGTACAATGGTTGATTTCTTTGACATGTCAAAACCTTCAGCACCATCAGAAGATGGGAAAACTGGCTATCTCATGGCCATCACTGAAGCTCCAAATCCTCCAGACTCTCATTCAGATAATCAGCATATTGGCATTGTAGCTGTACAAGCATTAACTGGTGAAATCATTTACGACGATTTCATCGATAGTTCTGTCATGCACTCTGAACTGGAAACCAGATTACTGCATCTCCAACCATCAGAAATTCTTGTTGTTGGTGAAGTAAACAAAACCACAAAAAAACTTTTAAAACAATTGGCTGTCTCCAAATCACTTAGTTTTGAACCCCGAATTGAAACTGTTAAACAACTGGATATTAACTCTTCTGACGATTATATTAACGGCTTTTATAATAAAAAAGCTATAGAATGCAATGACGACAAGGTCGACGACCTTCTTGGCCAGAAACTAGATTTAGTCGATACGTTCCCTGGTCTTGTACGCATTTGTCTTGCAGCCCTCATGTCATACCTTAAAGATTTTGGTCTTGATGTCGTTTTTGATCTTACTCACAACTTTTCTCCCTTTAATACTAAAACTCACATGCATCTCAACGGAAATACAATTACAAGTCTGGAGCTCTTTCAAAATCAGACAAACTTTAAAGTCCAAGGTTCTCTATTCCATCTTCTCGACTATACCCGTACCCCATTTGGGAAACGCAAGCTCAAACAATGGATTTCCAAACCACTCATTGATCGGAAAATGATTGAAAACAGAATTGAAGCTGTTAATGAACTTCGAAACCAAAATTCTGCTGGAGTTGGCATCATTATTAGTTCTCTAAACTCTTTATGTGACTTGGAACGCTGCTTAATTAATATTTATTACAAGAGAGTCTCCCCTAGAAACTTATATTATTTCTTGAACAACTTGCGACGCGTATCGGATGTTTTTAAAACGAACCCTGATTCTTTTGACCTCACATCTGAATACCTTAAAAACATTTTTACTACACTACCTTTGGCTTATGACATTGTAACAGAATTTCTGGCTGAAATTGACAGTGACAATGCTACAAAAGACCAGAAAACAGACTTCTTTATAGAAAATAAACCAATCTATGAAGATGTATCTGAAAAGAGAGTCGAACTCATTATGGTTAAAGAACGCATTGCCCAATATCTTGAGGACGAAAAGAAAAAACTTAAAATCAAAAGCTTGAAGTATATTGCAGTTGCAGGTACGCCATATTATCTTAATGTTGCCCGCTCTGAAGCTTCAAAAGTCCCAGAAAATTGGCAAAAGTACAGTCAAACTTCAGCGGCTGGCCGCTACCGTTCTCCAGAACTTAATGATATGGTCCAAGAATTCAATTTCCTAAATGATACCATCAAAATGATGTCCAGAACCCTTTTTGACCAATTTCTTGACCGCATTAATGTCCACTATTCTACCTTTCGAAATGTCATTCATGCAATTGGAGATTTGGATTGCTACGTTTCTTTGTTATCAATTGCCACCTTGCCACATTTTGTGCGCCCAAAATTTGTCGACTATGCATGTTGTAATATTAACCAAGGCCGTCACCCAATGGTGGAGTATTCTGCATTAAACAATGATAAGTACACCTACGTGGCAAATAATACCAAAATGACATACGACCATGACCGTGCCGTCATCATCACAGGCCCCAACATGGGTGGTAAAAGTTCGTACGTACGCCAAGTCGCACTTATTTGCATCATGGCTCAGATTGGTTGCTACGTGCCAGCCGACAGTGCTAAACTTGGAATTGTAGATGCGGTGTTCACTCGAATGGGTGCTTATGATAACATGCAAGCTGGTGAGTCTACATTCCAAGTCGAGCTTAAGGAATGCTCAGACATTTTGGCATCTGCCACCAACCGCTCGCTTGTACTTCTTGACGAAATTGGCCGTGGAACAGGAACAATGGATGGCGTTGCCATTGCTCATGCGGTTCTTGAATACTTTATTAATACTGTTAAGTGCTTGACTCTTTTTGTCACACATTACCCTTCGCTAGCCGAGCTTGAGGAAAGGTATACCGGTGTTAGTAATTATCATATGGGCTTTTTGGAGGAACCAAATCCAAATGTACCTGGAGAATCTAAAATCATTTTCTTATATACTCTTGTTAGAGGTGTGGCTCACAACTCATATGGGTATGTTTAATTTGTTTTTTTTTTTTTTTAGTTCAGTTTACTAACTTTGTTTTTTTTTTTAGTCTTAATGTCGCACGTCTAGCAGAAATCCCCGAGTCTATAATTGCTTCTGCAAAAAAGATGGCAGATCATCTTAAAGAAGAAGTCACTCTACGTCAGGACTTGTGTTTATCTACAGATATGGCACGGTTTATTTGTGAATGTAAAGATACTCAAAAACAAAAGTTTTCCGATGACGACTGGAAAGTTGTTTATAGGTTGTTTTCTAATGTTTAAAAAATGAAAAAAAAAATAGCCTGTCATTTGATAAGTAAAGGCTATAGTTAGATCAATCGAAAATCAAGATTTTGAAAAGTGATTAAAACACTTGTTCATAAAGTTTTTTGTTATTCAAATTAAAATTTATTATTATGTCCTTTCATCAAAAAAAAATGTATACCTGCCTAATAAAAAATCAAATTAAAATGGACTATCTTTCCATCGATATATATATTCTTCGGCTCGATCACCCAATTGCTCTCTTAAATCTGCCAGCTCTTCCTTGTTCATGTATCTGTGGTTTCTATAGACACTTAGCTCCACTTTCTTTCGGGACTTATTTGTATACTCACAAAAAACGTGAGGATCCACAATATAGTATCTGTCCTCAAATTCATTCTCCGCTACTTCAAAGCCAACGTACGGAAGCACAAAAACAGGATTGTTAATCCGATCAATCGGCACCACTCTTCTCTTCCCTTTTGGTTCACCAACCCAATATTTCCCAACTGTTATATCTTTTCCAAGCTGTAATGTCTCCCTACTATTCTTGACGGGAATTAAACCTTCAATGGTTTCAATTATTGCAAAATAATTGGCTTTTTTCATGGTTGGTTGACGAATCGAATAACACGCAATTAGCTTGGCATAGCAAGATAATAGTGAGCTTCTCGTTCTGGGAGGCACCACTCTGACTATATTTTCATGTTTCTGTGGCGATGTTTCAGTGTTGAAACCGAAATCTGTAGATGGAGTTTTGGTATATAAATTATACTTTGACGTGTTGTGTTTAATTTTAGTAAACCGTCTATAGTAAAATGTGTTTGGACTTTCAATTACATTCTCGTCACCTTTGTCAAGTTGTAGTGTTATCCCTCGTGCAGTAACTGTCGACAAATCTGTTTGAAGGGGGGTCTTCTTATTCTTAGCTTCAAGTCCGGTTGATCTGTATTCGCGATAGTTGGTAACCAATTGTGTAGCTAAAACCTTTAAATTGTTGTTATTTTCAATTGTGTTGTTTTCAATTACTTCCTTAGAAAGGATTGTAGCAGGCGTTAATATTTTCGAGGGTTGAAAAGAACCATAAATAACGTTTATGAGATACCTCTTAACCATATAAGTGCAAAATTCTGAAATTTGGTTTTCGCGATCTTGATGAGAACTACCAGTTTCTAGATGGATTTTTGTGGTGTTGAAACTAAATTTTCTGAGCGTGCCTAACCGTTTTAAATATCCACAGGAGTGAAGCATTGTATGTAAAGGTAATGTGCCGGAGAATGCATTTCTGGTATACAAATCAGTTACACAACACTCAAAGGCGTAAACAACTGTTTCCCAACTATCTTCAAGGTTTTTCATATCAACCTCGTCGGATAAATCTGTTGAGTTATTGTACAACATTAAAACAGACATTTGAGAGTATATATCAAGAAGACAGGCTTGCCTTTCTCTGCCATTCTCTTTTGGTATTACATCTTTAAGAACATAAATGGCTTTTAAGAGTGCTTCGCCTTGGGCAACAGATGTTATTCCAAAATCTTTACTAGAAGAAATATTGGTATTAAAAATATTGTCTCTAAAAGCTTGCGGGGTATTATCATTTAGATGCTGCAAAAACTGACAGTAGGCTTCTTGTTGTTTTTCAGAAAAACGAAATTCAGATAAATCAATGTTCCTTGATCCATCTACTGCTTCACCATTTGAGTCCAAAATAATTGAAAGCATTAGTTTTATGATATCTAAAAATTGGGCATGCATAATATTTGGCGGAAGTGACCATGGCAAGCTAAAATATTCATAATCAAACATTGGTGAACGAATTTTAAAACCATAAAACGTAGAAAGTCTAGGATTTGAATATTCACACAAATCTTTACATTGTTTATCAGACACATATTTATTGTTTAGTATCTCCCCATTTGAACCAAAATTTGGTTCGATTATTGAATGGTAATAATCGTTAGAAGTCCCACCCTCATAGTCTTTTAACGTAATATCAGTAGAAAAAATACCATCGTTTCTAAGTTTTAAGTATTTATTGTCCTTGTGTGAAAAATTAAAAACACCTCTCCCTTCTTTCACTAATACATGTGCTGGAAACTTCAAAGATGATTTAAAAACATTGCATCGAAGACAGCACCTTAAGTGTTCAGGGTACCTGCCACCCATGAGCTCAGACACTCCCAGCATATCACCTACTGAGTAAAGCCAATGTGCTCTAACAGTAATCTCCTCCTTATTAAAAGCATCATACACGTTAAATCCAAATTTAGATAATGATATAAACTCATTAATCAATGGTTCAAATACTCCACAGGGCATAAACTTTTCATCTTCAACTTCAATATTAACATTAAACCTTGTTTCCATATCTTTCGCTCTATTCACATTGTGATGTGACTGACTGTTGGAATGTTCAGTTTCATTTGATGGAATATGAGAATTTGATTTAGGATAAACATAAATGGGAGTTACATTTTCCTTGGCCTTCATCTTCAAGTTATTCTCTGCGAGATTGAAAGCTTCAATTACATTATACCCTAAATGAGTATCAGAAGAAACAGAGGCTCCATCCACGACAACAACCATTGGTATATCAATAATTTTTTTTTTGTTTGTGCTGTTTGCCTTTTGAAAATATCCATCATCCATCATACGAGCAACATGCTCAGATACATTTTGCCGTTTTTTTTGCAAAATCTCTTTGATAAACCGATTGACATTAATCCATTCCATTTCAGCCACTTTGGGGTTTTTAAATTTCTCCCTAAACAGCTCCCTAACAGATAATAAAACACTTTCCACATTATCATTGTATGTTGTATCACATCTTGGACATTTTTTTTGCTTGTTAGACTCTTTATGAGCACACGAACAACTCTTAGGACACACAAGAAATTTAGTGACTCCTGTTCCATAATTATTGGGACCGCGGCCATTATACCCGCTAGCATTTTGAATGTCGATACTAAGCTTTTCAAAATCTTGCTTGAAATTTTTAGTTATATTTTTAGGAAACGGCATTATATCAATAGTTTGAAAGATATCATTTAATGAATCATACTGTAATAAACCTTTACGCAACAATGATAAAGAGATATTATTTTCATTGTAAGAAGTTGTCCCATGCTGTGTAATGGTTTCCTTATTGGACTTGGTGTCATCTTGATCATCTTCTTTTATATCCTTCTGTAACATGTCAATATCGCAACTATTTTTAAAATGATCTAATGAATTAGAAAAAAATTCTCGATTTCTTTGTGAATTCAAATTTTCAGGACAGTGACTCAGAGGGTTTGAATAAACCGGGGACCTCGGAGTTGCGAAATCTGGTTCAAGGTTTTTAAGAAGAGTTGAAGAGCTTGTAACGTTAGAGGATCTTATGGAAGAAGAAGATAGGGTTTGATAGGGATTATTATTTTTAGTTCTCGATCCGTCGTTAGTAGTGGAATGTATATCTGAATTATAAAAACCTGTCATCCATGAAGTTGAAGATTTTTTAACCACCTTGGCTTTTCGATATTTTTCATTATATACTGAAGGAGGATCTCCGGTATTTATAGCTTCTTTCATTTCTTTTATACGCCTCCGATAATGGTCTACTAGTTTTCTTTCATGAGGGTTAAGGTCCTTGTAAGTAACGTTCTTCTTATTATGCAGAGGGTGGTTTGTTGGGAAATGAAATGGTATCTAACTTCTTGTTAAAAAAATTCATTTTTAATATATTTCTTTTAACTTACCATAGCTAAGATCTAGAGTTTTTTAAATATATATTTTTTAATATTTTTATTTGGATGTTATGAAAAAAAAATCTGTGTAAAAATAAAGCTGTGTATTGCAATAAAAAAAAAACAAAGTATACTTTGTTTTTTTTTTGTTTACTTTGTTTACTTTGTTTACTTTGTTTACTTTGTTTACTTTGTTTACTTTGTTTACTTTGTTTACTTTGTTTACTTTGTTTACTTTGTTTACTTTGTTTACTTTGTTTACTTTGTTTACTTTGTTTACTTTGTTTACTTTGTTTACTTTGTTTACTTTGTTTACTTTGTTTTGGGGAGTAAGACTCAAGGTTTCTGTTTACGTAAACAAAAAAAAAAAAAAAAAAAAATAAATAAATAAATAAAAAAACTATGATAAACCAACTTCAATTAATCATGAAATGATAACTTAAACTCGTTTTAAAATATGAAAATCCTTTTCCCGTTTACCAGCAATCAATTCGCTAATTTTATTTTATTTTTTTTTTTTGGACTAAACCACAAACTGCTGGTTCATGACAGTTTCGAAATTAAAAATAAAAATTGGAATTATTGTTGGCATGTAAAAAGCATTCATAGAGATCCAGATCTAAAAGAATGCAAACCTCCTTTATAAGAATTTTTTTTTAAAAAAATTAAATAAATCTGGTTTAAACCTAAAAATATATATTTATACTACAAAAAAATATATTTTTAATATCGATTCATTAAAACTATATAGTTAAAACTAAGTTGATGCCATGTGTAGCCTTGATGATAAAGCCCAAGGTGCTTCATCAAAGTTTAATCATCATCAGAATTGTCATCAGAATTGTCATCCGAATCATCATCCGAATCATCATTCGAATTATTATCAGCGTCATCACTATCATCACCATCATCACCATCATCACTTTCATCACTACTGGATTCTTCCTTCTTAATTTTCTTGTTTTTTCCCCCTGTAGGTGCACTTTCACGGCGCTGGGGTCTTTTTCGTAAAGATCGTGTCAATTTAGGAGACTCTTCTTCGTCACTGGAGTCGATAGACACAACATCATTAACCTTTTTGGGACTTTCATGCTTGATGCTGCTTACAAACTCAATGCTATCGTCATCGTCATCATCATCGTCATTGGAATCAGAAGGTTCATTAGATGATTCCTTTTTGAGTAGTGCCTTTTTTGGTGGTATCTTGGGTCGCTTGATATCCTTTTTGTCGTTAGTATCCTCATCTTCTTCATCGCTCGAGTCTGAAGACTCCTCAACTTTATTCTTAGCAATCTTTCTGGGTGCTAGAGCAATATTTTTATCTGTATTACCTTCTTCTTCCTCTTCCTCTTCCGCTTCACTTGAATCTGATAATTTATCAACTTTCTTTTTACTAGACTCTTTCGAGGCTTTAGTATTCTCTTTGTCGCTTTCATCTTGTTTTTCCTCTTCATCCTCACTTGAATCTTGTTCGCTTCCACTTGTGCTGCTTTCTTCCTCCTCCTCTTTTTTCCCTCCCATTTTGCTTCTTTCTTTAATCTTTTCAGGCTCTGCCGTCTTTTCATCCTCATCAGTTTCGCCTTTTTCTTTTTCCTGCTTAGCTTCATCTGGTAGTACGGTCATCGGACTAACATGCGATCCCTGTTTTGTCGCAGTAACTGCCATTGCTTCATTTGGCCCGACAGACCCTTTTCTGTTAAGTCCTTCACCAGGCGCCACTGACGATTGTCTGCTCGAAGATGCAGTTGTTGCTCCTACTGACGCCTGTCGCAAGGTTTGACCTGAAGGTCGCGAAAAACTTGACCCGTACATGGATCCGACAGTGGAGCGCCGATCAAACGGCACCTGCGATGGCTGCGATGCTGATATAGTAGCTGATCGGCGATGTTGCTGCTGCATTTGAAGTAAACTACGTTCAGAAAGTTGTTCTTTATTCTTGATAGCCACGCTTTTGGTCATGTTGTTAACCTTATAAATACCAACAAGCTGACTGGCTAGCTCAAACATATTGTTGCGGAGCGAGATAACAATGAATTGACCATTTTTGGTACGTTCACGAATGTAGTTGGCCACAATTGATACGTTTCGGAAATCCAAAGCAGCATCAATCTCGTCCATGACATAAAGTGGAGTAGGCTTGTAGTGATGAAGTGCAAACACAAGAGCAAGAGAACTTAAAGTTTTTTCACCACCAGATAAGTTTGAAATATTTTTCCAACTTTTTTTGGGAGGCATGACACTAAAAAGAATGCCCTCAGAAAACGGGTCAAGCGAGTCCACAAGTTCAAGTTCGGCGTTACCACCCATAGTAATCATTTGATACATTTCCTTAAGCTTGAGAGAAATGAGATTAAACCCCTCAAGGAATTCATCTAAGCGTTGCTTTTGAAGGCTTTCGCATCGTCTTTTTTTAGCTTCGCGTTGAGTAGTGACCTCAGTGAGTTCCGCACGGCGAGTGTTATATTCCTTGGCACGGCGAATGTAGTCTTGAATAACGCTTATGTCAATCACCACATCTTCAAGCTTAGATTCAAGAGTTTTAACTTCACGTTCGACATCCAAGGGATTAACATCACTAAGCTCTTCAGGAGAATATTCAACAATTTCAAGGTAGTCCTCTTCTTTCTGTTCTTCGTCCTCGGCATCATCTTCACTGTCTTCGCGAGTATTGACTTGAGGAATTTGGTGGATAGCGTGAAGAGTAAGTTTGCCAAATTCCTCAGTGTTGCGTTTAAGCGAGAGCCTAAACCCGCGAAAAGCCTTTTGCAGATGTTCAATAGTGTTGACAAGCTCAATTTCTGCAGAAAGTGTCTTGTCCACAAGCTCACGCTTCTCCTTGGTAGTCTTTTTGAGCTCAGTTAGCGCATCTTCTTTTTCAAGAATAGCTACGCGGGCTTCTTCAACTTCTTGCTCAAGTTGTGCAACTTCAGTGCGGTGTTTTTCAAGCTCCTCTTCGCTAGCAAGAACTTCATTGCGAGAAGCTTCAATTTCTTTGCGCGCAGAATCCATGGCGCGTGTGTGTTTTTTACGCTCGTTTTCCTTTTTGGTACGCTCTAGGACCTGCGAGGAGGTACGCGAAGAAATCATCTCCATTTCGTTTTTAATGTCATCGATTTGGGACTTTAAAAACCGCAACTTGACACCACCAATTTCCATGATTTTCTCTCCGAGATCGGCTATCCGCTTTTCAAGATCAGCAGAGTTTTCGTGAATCTTAGCAAGCTCTTTCTCAAGGTTACATTTCTTTTCTCGAGCCTGTTCTAAGTCTTCAGATGACGGAATGGTTCCAATGATGTTGTTTCTAAAAGGTTAGTAAAATAAAAGTAGACAACAGAGTATAGAACTTACTTCATTTCAGTGTATTCACGCTCTGCTTCTTCAAAAACACCTTTGAGAGACTCGATATCCAGTTTCGCTTTTGAAATTTCAAGTTCGATCTGAGGTTTTTGTCTATTGTAATCTCTTAGCGCATCGCTAATTTTTTGGAATGCATTTTCCGCGCGAGCGTACTTTGCCTCACGCTCAGAATGTTCTTCCTCAAGTTGTTCCATTTCCTGTGGTGTTACAATCGCCTCCAGCTGCGATTTCATGCGACCCTGGGACGGCCGGCCGCCACCAGACATGGTACCGGAAGTGTCAATGACAACACCGTCTAGTGTCACAACACGGAATCGCTTGGCACCGTAGGCAATGCGCCGCGCTTGTTCAACGTCTTTGGCCACCAGGGTATCAAAAATAACGCTGTAAAATGCCGGCGCAAACCGAGGTTCTTTGGGGGTGATGAGATCGAAAAGACGCGGAACATCTTCAGGGGTGTGGATGGGTTGAAGGTTGCGCTTAGGAAGTTTGTCAAGAAGAATAAACTTGGCACGGCCAATGTTATTTTTGCGTAAGTACTTGACACACTCTTCACCAACATCAACAGTATCAACAACAAGGTTGTCGAGAGCAGGGCATGCTGTGGAAATAGCAACATCATACTTTTGGTCAATGGTGCCGAGAGAACCGAGACGACCATTGAATCCTTCAATACGACCAGAAGCACTCAGGTTAGTCAGACTAGTAAGCACGGCGCCTTGAGATTTGGCGGAACTGACAGACTCTTTGGCCACATGGTATCGTGTGCGAAACTCGTCCAGCTCTTCTTTCATTTTTTTAATTTTCACGGCAGCTTCTTCAACTTCACCAGTGCCAGTGGAAATTTGTTTTGTAACGTGAACCAAGCTTTGCTCGAGTTCTGCCAGGCGCTGTTCCTTGTGCTCTCCCTCCTTGACAATAGTGGCAACATGTTGCTTAGAACGCTTTAACGATTTTTTCGCATTCTCATGTTTTTCATTGATGATATCAATTTCACTTTGTGCAATCGCAATCTCAGCTTCTTTGGCCGCAATCTTCTCACGCCAAGGTGCCAACTCTTGATGCAGTTTTGAAATTTCTTTGGTTATATTTTCGGTCTTGCCCTTGAGACTTTCTTGAACCTCATTATATTCTTCCTGCTTGCTTTCGAGATCCTTCTCAAGCTGATGGGAGCGTGTTTTAAATTCTTCTGCTTGTTCATCGTAGTTTTTAATCCATGAGTCAACCTCGTTAAAGGACCGCTGAGACGAAGTGATTTGTTTTTCAAGCTTCTTTTGTTTTGCTGTTAAATGCTTTGCTTTTTCCTCGACTTGAACTTTTTGAATTTCGTGTTTTGAAAGATTCTTGGAAAGTCTCTGATGTTTTTTGCGAAGTTCTGCAAGAGACTCGCCATCTACCTTGACTTGCTCTTCAAGATGTACAATTTCTTCGCGAATTTCACGACTTTCCTCACGATCTTTTTCAAGCTGCGCTTTGCTTTTTTCAATATCTTCAGAATGTGAACTAATGGAAGATTCCAAACGACGGATATTGACTTGGTAAAAAAGTGAACGCTTCATGGTAAGCTCATTTTCCAAGCGCATATTGCGCACAACCTCATTTTTCTTGTCTTGAAGCTTTTCAATGTCTTTCTTAACAATTTCAAAGCGACCGGTTTTAGCATCACATTCTTCGGTAAGCAAAGCAAGATCACTTTCAGCTTCTTCAATGGCCTTTTTATGGTCCGATGTGCCGATGATATCTTCGAGGTATTCCAATAAACCGTCATCGTTTTCGTTTTCAGCTTTGGGTTTCATCTGTGCAATGCTTTCAACTTCACCTTGAAGAATCAAAAACCGTTTGTGGTCAAGATCTATCCCACGCTGTCGCATTAAAGTGGTTACTTCGGTATATGTGCTAACTCGTCCGTTGATGAAATACTCAGATTTGTTGTTTTTATGAGCAGCACGAGCCACAACTAAAGTTGAATTTGGAGCGTCTATAGAACCGCCATCATCATTTTCAATAACTTCTTTAAAATGAATTTCAACCTTACACGAATCGAGATTGGGTCGTGCTTGTGAATTATGGATAAGACCTGAAACTTTTCCTTGCCGCAGTTTAGATGCACGGAAACCAAAAACAAACAGCAGCGAGTCAATGACATTTGATTTTCCTGACCCGTTTGGTCCCACAACAGCAGAAAAAGACTGAAAAAAATTAGATGAAAAAATAAAATAAAATAAAATAAATAGTTTAAACATACATTATCAAAAGGCCCAATCACTTGTACACCTGCATAAGACTTAAAATTGGTTAAAACGAGCTTGGAAATAACCAATCGTGGAACTTTGGCTAAGTTAAGCATGGATGCTTTTTTCTCAGCTTCAAGGGCGCGTAATCTTGTTTTCGAAGGTGAAATGGGGACTAAGTTTGCGATATTAGAATTAGGTGGTCTAAAGGAGGCCATTTGCCCACGACGCGATACCGATCCACGATGAACAAAATCTGGAAGTTCATTTGAAAGAGATGGATGGCGAGGTGTTTCGGGGACGTTTGCATCACGTGAAGATGGCGTACTGGGTGGTGGACCCAAATTACTGCTTGATGATTTTTTCGGCGATCCTTGGGACGATGGTGGTTGTGACGATGGTCTTTCCAAGGGGGTATCAGGCTGCAAAGCGGTAGCCTCAGTCATGTTTAATATGCTTCGGGGGTGTGGTGGTGGCATAAGATCTCTATCGGAAGGCTGGACCGGAGTATCTGGAGTAGATGAGTTGACAATGTCTGATGCTGCTAGGCCAATTGGTGTTGACAGGGCGTTGGGTGTGGATCCTGCTTCTGGGTTTACCGAGAACGAGACATCGACAGAAATGTCGGCATTAGGGGAGGGCTCATAGTTGGTGACTGTTTTCAATTGATGTGGGGCTGGAGCTGGAGCTGGAGTTTCTGCTGTTGGTGAGAGTGAATCAACAGACGAGTGTGTGGGTGAACGTGAATTTGTGGGCGTTGATGGTATTTTTTGTTGGGGACTTTTGCGCGTACCTGATGGTTTTAGAGGTTCTTCATCTGGATCTATAGTTTCCCTAGATTCATCTGCGTTGCTATTGTTGTCATTATTTTCCTCTTCTTCTTCATTGTCATCTTCGTCGTCATCTTGGTTTTCGTCTTCGTTTTCGTCTTCGTCTTCGTCTTCATCCTCATCCTCATTCTCGTTCTCAGCCTCATTATCATCTTCGTCTTCGTCTTCGTCTTCATCACTTGCACTTTGTTTGACGCGCCGCCGAGGATTGACTGGACTATTTGATGCTTGTCGTTTTCGAGCGCGCCGCGTCGGCCGCGAAACCACCGCGTCGCTATCATCGTTAGCCATGCTTGTATCTGGCGAAGAAAAACTAGCCTCATCGGACTCGTCATCCAAGGCTTTGATGCGACGCCGCGTTTTCCGGGGCATCTGGATGTGTCAATATATATGTGAAAATGGTTTATATATATGAGGTTTGAATGATTTGGGATGGTGGTGATGTTTTTCTAGGTATGAAATGAATGTTTATTGTTTACAAAGGAGGTGGTGGCGGATCACAATTTTGTAACGTCACACACCGTTGTGACTAAGCACTAAAGTTCTGCTGAGTCATTTAACTCCAAGAAATAAAAAAGACAGCCGCCAGTGACAGTCGCCAAATCGATATTAGCAGCTCATATAAATGCATTCAAATTCAATTCAATTCAAAAGGCTTACTCTTCATCATCATTTCATTACGTTACAAAATTAGTTATATCTTAGACTCGGCTAGTCAGTTGTCAACAACAGCAACAGCCTCGACCTCCAAGGGAACACCAAGAGGAAGAGCAGCAACAGCAACAAGGGAGCGGGCAGGCTTGCTCTTGCTGAAGTACTCAGCGTAGACCTCGTTGATCTTGCCAAACTGCGCAATGTCAAGAACAAAAACGTTGACCTTGACGACCTTCTCGAGAGAAGAACCACCAGCCTCAAGAACAGCCTTGAGGTTATCGAGGACCTGGCGGGTATGGACCTGGATGTCATCAGATTCGACAAGAGCACCGGCAGGAGTCAAGGGAACCTGGCCAGAGACGTAGAGGAAGCCATTGACCTTAACGGCCTGAGAGTAGGGGCCGACGGGCTGGGGAGCGTTCTTGGTGAGGACCTGAGTAGCAAAGTGTTAAAATGAAATTGATTGAGAGAGAGAAAAAGCGATTGATGGACTTACAGATTCGATAGAGGCCATTGTGGATTTCTTATAGATTTTTTGTAAGATTTTTTTTTTTTTAATTGAGGTTGGATGGGTTGAAAAGAAGAAAGAAACAGAATTGTTGGAGGTCGTGCGCGGGTATTTATATGGTTACAGATGGGGCCAAAAAAAAATAAAACTCGGTCCAACAGGCACCGAGTACGTCACGTGAAATTCCCAATATTAAATTCTTCAATCCTACGACAAACCTGCCTGCACCACCAACAGATGAACCAGCCCACCATCCTAAGAGGAACTCTGTAACTCAAGTTTCAAGCCATGTCCAAGGTTCTAGTCATCGACAATGGCTCGTACACTATCAAGATTGGCCACGCCACTGGCCCACAGAACGTCGCAACTCCGCACATAATTCCAAACTGTATAGCGCACGGGAAAAACAAACGCGCGTATGTCGGGTCGCAGTTCTCACACTGTGTCGACTATAGCGGACTCGCGTTTCAGCGACCCCTAGAGAAGGTATATAATATTAGATTTATGTACATTTATTTGGGCAATAGTTGGTTATTAACAAATACGTTTTAGGGACAACTAGTCGACTGGCGACTCGAGTTTGCAATTTGGAATTACACATTTTTTGGGGCAGACAGCCCACTAACTGTGGATCCCACAGACTCTGCACTCATCCTCACCGAAGCTCCAATGTCGCTACCTGCTATTTCTTCAAACACAGATCAGATTGTATTTGAAGAGTATGGGTTTGAGTCTTACTATCGGTGCACGCCTGGGTCTTTAGTTCCATGGAACAACATGGAGGCCGATTTATTTGGAGGTGCTTCAATAACCAATCCCTCAGATTCAACATCAGGAACAGCTTCATCAGCATCAGCATCTCCACCAGTACACCATCCACCGTTAGCTGAATGCGCGCTAGTTGTCGATATGGGGTTTAATGCAACAACTGTTCTCCCCACAGTTCTCGGCGAAGTATACTGGCCGGCGGTTCAACAGGTGAGTGTGGGGGGTCGGTTACTTACAAATTATTTGCGTGAAACCATATCTTTTCGACACTACAATATGATGGAAGAGACATATCTTGTGAACGCTGTTAAGGAAGCGGTAACAATGGTTGTCCCGGACTTTGATAAAGCTTTAGACCGGTGTAAAGCGTATCGAGAACGTCGGGGGAATGACGCACAACGCAGTTTGGCAGTCCTTGCGCTGATTCCAGGCCTTTCAGCTAAAGAGAAAAAAATTCGTTACGATGATATGGAACCGTATTCAGTAAAGTACGCGCTACCTGAAACACCTGCTGAAATCGGGTCCATTTTAACACCTTCTTCCTCCTCTTCTATTTCCCCCTCTGCTACAACAAATCCAACGGTTGTAGATTTAGATGCCCGCCGTCAGATTCTGCGTCTGTCAACTGAACGTTTTTCTGTGCCCGAACTGCTCTTTTCGCCGCACCACATTGGTCTGAACCAAGCCGGTCTTGCCGAGACTATAGTCAACGCGGCCTCCAAAGCCCCTCCCGAGCTGCGCTCGCTACTTTTGGCCAACGTTGTTGTAGTCGGTGGAGGTGCAAATATTCCTGGAGTTGTAGAGCGGCTCAGGCTTGACCTTGCACCTTATGCCGCTTCACATCCAGGTCTTGGGGATAATGCCCAAGACCTGCTGCGTGTGGCCAAACCTAAAAAAGACCCAGAAACCTATGCGTGGCACGGAGGCGTGCGGCTGGCCCAACAGAGTGAAATGTTGGCAAAAGTGCACGTTACACGTGCGGATTATCTCGAATATGGCGAACGGTTGTGTGCCTCCAAGTTTAATTCTCGGAGAGCAGAAGATGCCGAGGGGGAAGAGGGAAGTGGCGGCGTTGGGAGTGGTGGGATATTTGATCAAGGCGATGGATCTGGTCGAAATGCTCTTGATGATGATGACGATGATGATGAAGATGATGATGATTTATAGATGAAAATGAAAATGAAAATGAAAATGAAAATGAAAAACTTCTAATTAATGATTATACTACAATTTGGGAAAAAACATTTAGACAAGCAACAAACAAACAAAACAAACAAAACTTCTAAAAAATAAAAAATAAATCTAAGCAATCAACCAGACAATACCGCCAATGCTCAAGCAAATGCTGGAGAAAAAGGTGGTGTAAACAAGCATTTGGTGGAGTGTTGAAGGGTAATGTGCACGCATCAAAAACAGACACATAGCCAGTAAACAAATTGCAAGAGCCATGATGAGTCCGCAAATAATAGCTCCAAACATGGCAGGTGAAATGCCCTCGAGGTTTTCACCTACAATCACGCCAAACAGAATGAGCAGCATGAGTGTCGACAGAGAGAAGCACAGTGTGTAGAGCACAGCCAAAATGTAGTCCCGCTGCTCGGCTGCAGTGTACTCGCGATAACCAACAGGAAAGCTGTAGTAATCATCCTCATCGCTGGTTCCAGGACCTCCTTCAAGGTCCCCAAGCCGCCCATGACGTCGGCCGCCACCATGACGGTGCCCGGTGCCACCGCTGGACGTAGAACTACCAGCGTGGCCATAGTAGTACGGTCCAATTCCTGTCCCATTGGATCCAACACCATATCCATAGGACCGGCCTGTAGGATTGCCTCCATTCTTCAGTCTCTGGCGGTAATAAGCCTCCTCACCGTCATAATCTTCATCATCATCATCATCGTCATCATCATCATCATCATCATCATCCTCTTCTTCTTCGTAGATTGTTGGTAATCCACCACGGTTTCCATAGTAATAAAACTCATCCTCATAAGAATCATATGAATCATTATCACTATCCTCATCGCTAACATCAATTCCAAAGAACCGAGCAATTTTTACCTTTGCCCTATGTGCTTTTTTGACCACATAATCTGAAAGACTAAGCAATCTTGCTACATTCTGCTCACTAAAAACACCTCCACGATCATCATCATTGTCCGGGATAATCACAAAAACACCATCCTCGCCGCCATCCTCTGGGTCATCAAATTCATTCCAATAGCGAACAACAGGCTGGCCATTTGAGTCGGTTGCATTTTTGTCAGTGTAGCTGGTGCTGTTATTATTTGCGAGTAATGGTTCACGTTCGTTACTGTTTAAAAGTATTCCTGTGGTAGTTGCAGCCGGAGTAACTGAAGTAGCTGGTGAGGTAGTAGTTGCAGGGGTGGGAGGAGCCGCAGGTTTTTTCGGGGTCCGGCGAATGTCGGTTCCATCATGCAGAGTTTGGACCCAGGACGGGAGCTGGGACAGGAAATCTTGGTAAAAAGTTGCGACTGAGTGGGCGTAAAGAGAGAACCCAGAAACAGGATAAACAAGATGAGAATTTTCAAGATCGGCGAGCCAAGAAGGTTTTTCCATGCCTTTAAAGCGAATTTCTAGAACCGAATAGGGAAAAAGCTCCCAGTCCGAGTCACTAGAGGCTGTACTAGCTGAGAGGGTGGCCGAATCGGAGGGTGATGCAGAAAATGGCTGAACGTCTGGATCAGCAGGGTTTGGAGGGAGGGGCTTGACGAGACGAATGTTGCTATCGAGGGTTGCCCAAATGTCTGACGCGTTTAAAGAGGTTGGGGACAGTGCAGAATAAGTTGGTTGAGATGAGGCGTCGCGTGTGGCTAGATTAGTTGTGCTACTTGCGGACGCCACAGAGGCCGATAAGGAGACGTCAGTAATAGGCGACGACGAGATAGGTGGGATTGCACCGCCAGTTGAAACCGGAGAAGTTTTGCTAGTAGAAGTCTCCTTTGGTTTGATATAACGGAACCGGGTTCGATTAAAGCTGGCCTTGGAAATGGGTACAGCCTTGCGCTTATCGACCCAGGAGAGAGCCAAGCGGGAAAGGTTGCTTGAAGCAGCCAGTTTTGATGAAAGAGCCGAAGATGGAGTGGCAGGGTCACCAACAGGTTCTGAGGGATCTTTGAGAAGGGCATCAAACTGAGCATGAAGGATATGGTCAAACTGTTGAGGAGTCAGAGAAGCAATGCAAAAATGGCGGAGGCCGCCAACGGGTGAGCACAAGAGATGTGCCGAGGTAGTTTCTGAAACCTGCGAGGTTGATGGTTGCTGATTAGAGTCAGAGTTAGAACGGACCCAGCGGATTTGGCCTGGTTCCGTATGTGTTTGGATAGAGTTAAAGCGTTTTGGATTATCCAGATAGACTGCGTATGAGTGGTCTCCACTGTTATCAGAAGAAATTGTTTGTTCCGGCTGAGTTTGAGTTTCGTTATCCGAATCTTCATCATCGTCGTCGCTGTTTTTGTTGATAGTAGATTCATCTTGAGAAGAAGCTTTTGAGATTGCTGTGACAGAATCATCCGAGACCAATCCGAGATTCTTAAGAAGCATGACTTTAATTTCAACTACATTGTCCGGATGAACCCAGAAAATGAGAGAAGAAGAAATGGCAGTAGCCATTTCACAGTCAAACTTACAGAGAGCTTCTGTTCCTTGGGATGGCAAAAGCGAAGTAGCTGAAACCTTTGATATTTGGGATGAGCGTGCTTGACGAAGAACATTGTAAAGGAGAGAGAGCTCGAGAAAGACGGAAGTAAAGTCCTTATTGGTAAAAGAGGTTGGGGCCTCGAGAATAGGGAGGAATGCATCTGAGAGCTTGCTGGACTGGGACCATTTTTTGTACTTTTTAAGGAGTTTACGGAAGCCTGTGCGCTGAACACCAATGAAGCGGGCTAAGCGCTGGACATCGCGGGTAAGTTGGACAACCTCTTGGCGAAGAAGAAAGACGAGGGCATTTCGGGACTTCCCTCGGGCATAGGGGGGTGTGGAAGAGGACGATGTTGCGGAAGATTGAGACGTTATCGATGAAGATAGGGGTTGATTATCCTGTTGGGAGGTGCTGCCTGAGCCGCTGTCTGTGCTGCTGCTACTGCCGCTGTTGCTGCTGCCGGTTTTGGAGGCGGCCTGGTCTTTTTCCGCAATGGAGTTTACAATTTTCTCACAATCGCGGACTCTGCGTTCAATTTCGCCAGTTTTCGATTTGACGAAAAGTCCAATCTAGATTGATTAAATGAGTTAGTACATTGATACAGGTTATCTCAAGTCATGATAAACTTACCGCATCGTACTGCTCTTGAAGAGCGGCCAGCACAGTTTTGTATGCGTCTGGAGCCGCGTTTGGGGAGGTTGCACTTTTGATAATGCCTTTGATTTCATTATAGTCGAGATTATAAGCCCGCCACTCCGGGACAGAGCGCTTTGAGAGTTCAAAGCCGTATTTCATTGTTTGGTGTATATATTATAGAAAAGATTGAGATGTTTTTGAGAATGTTTATATAAGATAAAAAGCAGTTTTAAAAATATTTAAGAAGAAAGAAAAGAGTTTAAAAGCGACCATAAAAATCTTTTTTATTTTATTTTTTTTCTTTGACTGCCTGGCTGGCTGGCTGGCTGGGCTGCTGCATTGCTGCCAAACTGTGTGTTGCTTTACACCCTCAAAATAGTACTATGCGGCTCAGATTACTTGAAATAGGTTGGACACAAGTGGCCGCACGTGCCCGATTTGGGAGTTGCCTCTCCATGTTTTTACTATTTTGGACATGAGAAAATGAGAAAAAAGAGAGGGGGGATTGGATTTAAGATCCGAGAAGTTGGGAAACATTAAGGAACGAGCCATGTTGAAATGAAGAGCTCCCAAAAATCTGTGAAATAGCTCATCTCATTGTTTTTTAAGATCCCACGAAGATTAGTAACAATCTATAGTACATAATCAGGGTGGTTGAAGAACTCTTTCTTGAACCAGTCATTTTAAAGAGAGATTTTTTTTTAAAAAAAAAAGTTCAATTTACAGTGAAAATACTTTAAAGTCAACCCACGTTTTTATTTAATTTTTGTTTGTTTTTTTTTTTGGAATTTCTTTTTTATTAAATTCTCAGCCGAGAATTTTGTATTTGATTCATTGCTCACGGTGGTTAATAAATGGGGAATATTAATTATACGCAGACTTATTATTATATTAAAAAAAAATTATTTAAACGGCCGTCAAAAGGCTGTTCCTACTGGTTTTTTTTTATTTTTTTTTATTTTTTTTTTTGATATTTTGCTCTTGAATTGGGGCCTTCTTTTTAAAGTAAAATGGAGGGATGCAGTGTGGATTTAAATGTTGTGGATATTAATGTTGAAGATTCATTTAATTGGGCGGTATAACATTCCCCCCAATATCAGGCTTGTCAGAAATCTGATCATCTCAATATCTAGTTTGTTAAAAAATTAATCATTCAAAATCAAATCTCAATCAATCTAATATCTAAAAAATATATCAATCAATCTAATATCAAAATCTCAATCTAAAAAAGAAATAAAAAAACCTAGCCCTTTCATCTCCCCGCGGAGACTTGCCGTACTTTTCTACCTTACGCTCCCCCTTTTTCTAGTTTCTCCCTCTCTCTCACTCTAAACAAAAAGCTTTCGTTTCCCACTTCTGCTCAGGCCATCGGTCCCAATTGGTTAAAAATCCTTTTTGCAAAAACCCTTTTTTAATGAAGTGCCTTGGGGAATTTTTATGTTTTTTTGTTGTTGGTGTTAAAATATTTGCACACTTGTTAGGTCCCCACAAATCACAACTTGTCTAGCTACCCACGTGTATGGGACTCTACACCTACACACAGACAATATTTTCAAAAAATATGAAATACACTCTGTTTAAAGGATTTTTTTTTTCTTTTGCACTGCAACAAAGAACAGCGCAACAATTTCTTTTCAATGCACAACTATTATAGAATACCGCTCCCATCGGCAACTTCTTTGCCGACAACGCCTTGTGAAGGTAGTTAGTTCACAGTCCTGCATTCCCGTATGAAGAAGAACAAGTAAAAAAAGAATTAGTCGTGTGGTCAAAAAGACTTTGCGTTCAGAATCAATCAAATGCTTTTTGAAAAAAAAAATTGTTTTTCTTCAATTGGACCGGCAATTGTCAAAAAATAGTCACAAGGTTTAACGGGGAAAAAAAAAAGAAAAAACGTGCTTTTGACTTTCATCGTCATCGTCTTCGTTATCCTTTTCACTCGGAGAAATCATCTATAAAACGTAGTTTATTGGATAAGCTTATATATTCAGAACCTAATTGTAAAAAAAATCAAAAAAAAACTATCTAAAGTCATTGTTTCCCTATTCCTATTGTAGTTGATAATATAAACAATCTTCGGCTTAATCTTTCTTCAAATTAAATAAACATCTCTAAAGAATCCAAACAAACGTTACCACATTATGCCATCCTTTGTATATTAGTCCTTGATTTTTTTGAAAGTGGCCAACATCTGATCTTTTTTTAAAAAAATTTGCAAATCAAGGTTCATCTCTCCAGAAAAAAAAATGTCTATATCTTTTTTTAGCAAAATACCCACTTCCCTCTATCTCATAATCTATCCCTTTTTTTTTTTTTTTTTCTTGATGTAAAAAACGACACTCGCTTAATAACCTAACGGTGAACTCCATCCATTAATACTCTCTCATTTAGTATTTTCGGATTCGGATTTGCCCTTTTTTTCTCTACCGCTATCCCCTTACCAATTTTGACACCTAGGAACAAGGCCTTGCTTTGATCCCTTTTATTTCCACTTTCTGAAACCTTTTATGGATCCTATGAATAGTTCTAATTTCTATTATTTGGTCACTGGACACTTTAATCTTTGTAATCCACTTTATTTTTTTCTAAATTGATTGAAAAAGGAAACAGATTCTTTAACATCATTTATTTACACTTAGAAGTTAGCCTTAAAAAACAATTCTTATTAAAAAAAACTCCCTTAAAAGCAATAAAGAGCAAGCTTTTAAAACAATCTATTGCTTTTTTTTATATTTATTTGCTTAGCCACTTTCCAAAGAACCTCGGGCATCTTCTATTTATTTTGACTTTTGCCCAATATGATATCATTTATTATAATTTAACCAACAGTTTGTAGCAAATCTGCCCGTGTTCAGTTTCAAGTCAATGGGGATTAAGCCCACGTTTTTATTCTCTGGTTTTTTAAATCAACTAAAGTTACTGTATAGCTACCATCATATCTTGCTATAATCTCTCATTTTTTTTTCAAAAAAAAAACAAAAATATTCCCTTTTTTTATTCTTTTCTTTCTTTAAAAAATTCTGTTTCATTTTATTTAATTTTTTTTATCTTATTCAACTTTTTTTTAAAAAAGAAATAACAAAATTATGATTTTTTCTATTTTTCATGATATCTTACTAAAAAATTGACGGTCGGTTCAGGTTAACATAAATCATAGTTACGTTAACTTTGCAGTCTTTTAGTTTGCAAACAACAAACACTTTTCCAATGCATTATTACCGTTACTATTTATTTTAAATTTAGAATTTTTTTAATTCCATCTAAAAATTACATGTTTTATCTTTATTTCTTTGATATGAGATGGTAATGTCCCATTATTACATTAATCCGACTTTTCATTCTAACTAATTTTATGTTATTCTTTTTTCATTGACTCCTCTTAACGATGTTTTAATCAATATGATAATTTTTTTATAAATAAGTATTCTTTTGTTTTTTTTAAATAAACAATGTTTTATTCTACTATTGTTCTATTATTGTTCTATAGACTAATTTTAGTAGTCAAAACACCTTAATCCTGAGCTTTTTTTTTCACCCCATTTCATTTTAAACCAATCAAAATTGCTTGTTTTTCACTTTCAATAAAAATCTACAAAATAATATTCAGTTTCAAAGAAAAACAAATGCTATATTTATGCTCTTGATTTAAGATAAAGTTCCGCGTCATTATTGACTAATTTCTGCCTTTCAATTGCCTTTTTATATTTCATGTTTTTCATGCAACCTTTTCTCACACTTGTCAGATCAACTTTTCCATCTTTTAACTCACCATTTCTTTCAAATTTCTTAGAAAACAGAAAAAGCATTTTATGGATATTTTTATTTAATCGAATTTCTTTTCATTTCTTTTCTTTTTAAGTTTAAGCGTTACTTTGATTTACCAGGTTTATGTCAATTTTTATTGCAATCAGTAGTCATCGTTTTGCTACATCATTCTTGGCATTATTTTCTTCTTCTGCTTAATCACCCATTTTTTTCTCAACCTTTTTTTTATCCTTTAAAGCCACAACTACTTAATCAACAACATTGTTTTAACTACCTAGTTTTTAATGAATGGTTTAATTACATCAGGATTTATTTTTACTTAATTATAACATTTTATTGTCAATCACCCTCCAATTCTTTTTGTTTTTCTTGGTAACGTATTGTATCTCGCTTTAAATCAATCGATAGGCTTTAAAATTATATGTTGCTTCTTTCATTGTTACTATAATCAATCACAAGTCCCTTTTGCTTTTCTTTTAGTGGTTTAATTTAAATAAATAGCGTTTTAATTTTTTTAAGTTAACTTTGATAGATTTGTTTCTATTTTGTTAAAGACCGATGCAATCACTTTTTCTTTAAAAAAAAATAGCTGTATTAGTCTGTTCATTTCTTGAAAATTAAAAAATATTTTTAGTTAAACAACTAATTTTTGTTAATCATTCCATTTTCTCAATTTCTCTTAATCTAAATATTTTACTTTTTTGAGATTTACCACATTAATTGCTTTTGATCATTCATATTTTTATTTCCCATCTGCTTTAAAAGATTCTACTAAGTTACAGGTTTCGATGGATATCATAATCACTCTATTATTCTAACATACTGCTTCTTTAGCACAATTCATTGTCACTATCATTCAAATATGTCTGTACTATCGCCTAATTTTTAAAAAATAGGAGATAGTTTAAAACAATAATTGTTTTAATTTTTTCTTTTAATGCTTCTTAAGCGGATCATTGTGTAATACTGTTACATTGACTGCTCTTGAAATCACCAAAGTATTAAACTCTGATAAGGTCCGGTTTTTTTTATTTTTTAAAAAAAAAAATTCATTACTTATATAAGTAAAAAGATAATTATCATTTTAATGTCTCGTACAGTGGGTAACCAAAAGTGTGGATTAAAATCACCACTTTTGCGACAGAGTCATGTTTTCTACTTTCAACGCAACAGCGACTTCATCTTGAATTCCTAGTTTCTCAACAACAATGGCTCCAGTGACTTCCAGGGTTGAATATAGTCCTGATAAGAGGACTAGAATTTATATGAAGTACAAAATGGGAATTTCTCAGCGGCGTATCGCATTTGAAGAAAGAGTGTCACCAGGGTCAGTGTCTGGCATCATTCGACGATATCCTATCCAAAATAATGCCTCTAGTTGTGGACGGTCAGGACGACCACCAAAGCTTTCCGATAGGAATAAAAGGGCTATTTTCCGAGTCATTAGGAAAGATCATTTTATTAAAATGCAAGATCTTATTGTTGCCGTTGATTTAAATGTCTCTAAACGTACTATTTTGAGATGGCTCAAACATGAAGGCATCCATCATCAACGCGCTCTCCGACGGCCATTACTAACTCCAACGATTGCGGAAAAACGCCTAAATTTTGCAAGAATGTATAAAGATGAACCAGAAAGCTTTTGGAAGCATTGGATTTCAAGTGATGAGTCTACAATTGCTCGTGGTGATGGCGAAAAGCAGGAGTGGGTTTTATGCCCAAAAGTATGTTTTATTCACATTACAATTCCTTCATCTATTTACAAATAATAGGGACAACGATTAGATATTCAATATGTACAGCCAAAAGGTAAGCCCTCACGTCATTCTCAGATGTTCTGGGGTGCAATTTCCTTTTCCTCTCGATCGTCTTTATGGCCGCTTCATGGAGACCCTACATCTGCTCGCGGAGGTGTTACTAGCCACTGTATTCTCGAATGCCTTTAAGATCAACTTCCAAAAATTGCACAGTCGGGTTCTATATTTGTTCAAGATAACGCACCTACACATAAAGCTCGAATTGTTCAGAATTGGCTGCGTGAATGGGCCGAACAGAATGGGGTTACTTTAGTGGATTTGCCTCCTTATTCACCTGATCTTAATCCAATTGAGAACATATGGAAACTGCTTAAGGAAGAAATCTGTAAAAGATTTCCGGAACTATCACTATTACCTCAGAATAATCAGTCATTAAATAAGTTATGCGAAGCAGCTGTGGAAGTCTGGGAGGATTTCCATCAGGACCTCATAAATAAGCTAGTCTTATCAATGCCCCGAAGACTTCAAGCTGTAGTAGATGCAAACGGCTGGTACACAAAATATTAAACAAGTATATATATCTCTATAATATAAGGAACCTATATCTCAAGTTATGTATGAATTGAATTAAATTTGGTAAAGAGATCCGTTTTGAAAGTGATGTGGTGAAGAAAAATAAAATTGGTGATGTGGGAGTGAATCGTCAATTTTGTCTCCCCACTGTATGTACGTCTAAAAACACTTTTACCTGATGCTGCACCTTTTCTTTTTTTTTCTCGATTTTTGATTCACCTTACTCTCTTCTCTTTTTTCCCCCCTTAGTTGTAACGCTGACTATTTTTTTTCTTCATTTTCCAATTCACCAATGTAAGGCACAGTGACTTTTACACTTTTCTTTTTTCTTTTTTCATTTTTCATTATCCGCTCAAACTGTATTTTGTAGAAACCACCCTAATTTTATCAGTCACCGCTCTCTTTACCAAGGCTTTTTGGTCATGATTAGGTCTCACGACCTTTTACCTGCTTGGGGTTTCTCGGAATATTATCACATGGGCAAGGCTGACTTATTACACTTAGTATATATTACACTTTTCTGACTCCAATACCGCACTTTTTAGGCTCATACACAGAAAAATCTCCACAAAACCTTCACCTCTCCTTTTTTTTTTTTTTTTGCCTCCTTTATAAAAAATCCCGCCTCTCTCTCTCATCAATGATAATCAACTCATATTAGGTCCTTATCAGCCAATTCAATTTTAATACCCAATACCAAATAACCTATCCATCTAACCACACTACTACCACCACTCCCTCCAATGACCTTAGAAGACCGACCGTCATCACCTGCGTCTCCTTTAACATCTACTGGTGCTGAACCAAAGTACTCTGCAACAGCTACGACCTCTCGCTCAGCTGCGGCTGCCGCTGCTGCTGCTGCCGCTGCTGCCACTTCTGCTGCTTCTGCTGCTTCTGCTGCTTCTGCTGCTGCTGCCACTTCTGTTTCTACCTCTTCGACTACCCCAGTTGGCGCTCCCTCTTCTACATCGTCTACGCTCCTGTCGTCCTCCGGAATTGGGTCTTCGTTGTCTTCCCGGCTTACCGACGACGCGCGGGATGATGTACCTGACCTGCGTAAGGAATTGTTTTCAGCCGCTATAGACTCACGACCCACTTCGCCCACTGAGTCATGTTCATCGCACCAGCTACCACTTCATGAGCATGATCCTACTTACATGCATCGGCCGCTGTCGCTGCTTGCGCGCGTGATCCAAATGTCTAAGGTGTCTATGACGATTCTGCTTATTGTGACGAGCTCTGTTAGTATTACAACGACGCAGCTGATTGGCTACCCATTGTGGTATGTATCTCGAGACTGGTATCGAGCGTGGATGGACTGGACTAAGCAGCTTTTTGGGATTCTGCTGACATCTATCACGCAATTCAATACGCCATTGACCATGTACATGACAGGCAACCGCACAGTTGAGGGTATATTTACGCGCAACCCCAAGTCAGGGCACCTTGAAACACACATTGGTGACCGCGCAATTGTAATTTCAAACCACCAGCTCTATACAGACTGGGTTTATCTGTGGTGGTTTTCTATGACTGCGCATGCTCATGGATCCATCTATATCATGCTGAAAAAATCGCTAGCAAAAATTCCTTTGTGGGGATGGGGAATGAAGAACTACCGGTTTTTCTTTCTTTCACGTTCTTGGGCTCAGGACGAAAAGATTTTGACGGAAGGGCTCTCACGCATCAATGTAGAAACACAACACCCGGCGTGGATCTTGTTGTTCCCTGAAGGAACCACAATCAGCGCTAATGGCGTGAACAAGACAATCGAGTACGCAAACAAGTTTTCACCCCCATTGGCTGTTCCAAAACATGTATTGATTCCTCGTGCGCGTGGGCTCCGGTTCTCGATATCTCAGCTGCATTCGACAGTTGACACAGTATACGATGCAACCATTTACTACGAGGGCATCCCTACAGGCCAGTTTGGCGAGGATTTTTACTCGATGAAGAGCATGTATATGAAGCAATGCTACCCCCGACGCATCCACATGTACTGGCGCGCATACAAAGTCGCAGACATTCCATGGCAGGACGAAGCCCAGTTTGAGGAGTGGCTGCAGGCGAGATGGCAGGAAAAGGACCTGCTGTTGGACAAGTTCCGCAGAACAGGAAAGTTTGGAGCGGTCCCTTCAGTGTCTCCAGCTCATGTGGCTCGCGTACCAGCCACGTACTTGGATTCAGGGGTGCAAATTGAACAAGAGAGAATGGTTGAGCAGGGGCCTTCGGAGGTGATCCAGACGGTCACGGCACCAGTCGAGCTTAACAGTGTAACGGAGGTGGCCCAGATCTTTATTGTGCCTGTGACAGTTGCACTTCTTGCGCGTTTGGGGTACAAGGCAGCCTCAGCTATCTGGGGTGCTTAGTGTGTGGTCAGAAGATGTGAGTTTTAGGAGAGGAAGAGGTTTCATTTAGAATAATGAACGATTGATGACTAGAAGGAGATTTTCGCATAATGAATACTACTATTATTAATACTTAATACTAATATTGAATCAATACTCTGAAAAAATAATGCAAAAAAAGATACCTGAGTTGTTATTTGATTTATAAATGCTCGCCAACCCATGTGGCCACCAAATTGAAGACGCTTTCTGGGCGGTCACCAACAACAGATTCTGGATAATCACCAGGGACTGCAAATCCATGGGGCAATGGCGGGACTTCCTCGTCATCTAGGTGCGCATTACGCTCATCCTCGTTATCGTAGACTGCCGTTTCCACTGGGACGTTATTTTCATTGAGCACCCGCAGGGCTTTAGCCACGACCGGGGCCGGCAGCAGGTCGTCGTTTTTAGAGTATACAAGCAATACAGGTTTCCTAATACGACCGAAATCAAACTGTGCCCCAGAATCGTCACCATCACCGTTCACTTTTGTGGAGGACCCGGGCGCACCTTCAAGTAACGACGGGTGCACAGCTGCCGCACATACTATTGTATCAACTTCGTCTGCAGCCCAGGCACCATCCTGAAAGCCTGGCGGTGGCGCGGCCGCGTGCAACGCGTACTTGCCGCCGAAAGAGTAGCCAACTACGGCCACGCGAGCAGGGCGATATACCGTGATGAGGTCGAGCATGTGGGCCCGCAACAGGGGGAGAGTTCGCTCCGTGGAATGTTTTGCGACCCACATGTCGTGCATAAAACTGGATGCAAGCGAGACTGCGGCCATTTTAAAGCGGGAGAGCAAAGAAGTAGCTGAGTCATGGGATTCCTTGTTAGCTGGTGTATTATGGTGGTTGTGATGTTTTGAAGATGTGGCCAAGTCACTTGCAGATTCGGCTGTAGAAGTAACAGCATCTCCGTCCAGTAAGTCTGGAATTACAACTAAACACCCCAGTCGGTCTGCAAACCTGTCTGCGAGACGCAAGTTGTGCGGAGAAGCGAGGCCGCGCGAGTTTGTCAGTAAAACAAGAAGCTTGGGGACTGGAGGTGTGGTTATTGATGAAAGAGAAGAGGACAGGGAAGTTACTGCTGGAGATAGTGGGCTAGGTCCTACAATATAGAGCTTTGGAGCATTTGCAGATTGGGAGAGAGTGGCGATTTGGCCGCGTGGTGGAGGTAGTTCAGGTTGTAGAGAAGGCTGTTGTTGAGATTGGTTTGCATTGGTAGTTGGTGATGTGGATGAGGGTTCATGGTGGATATGGGCATCAAGATTGTCAACCTCATCTAGGTCATCTGAGGTTTCGTCTAACGAGACATTGTCCAATGGTCTGTCAGTCATTATTAAAATTTAGAAAGTTATAGAATAGTTGAATTGAATGTGTTATCAAAAGGAGGGTTTTAATAGAGAGCAGTATATCAGATTGTGCGGTACTAAATATTATTTTTTTTTTTTAAAAAAAAAAAAGCCCTTTTACAGCCACAAGAATTGCTGCTCAATGGGTCATTTAGTGTTAAACTTATTTAAACTACAAACCAGCTCACAAGTTCTTTTAAATTTAAAAATATTTTAATTTTTTTTATTTTAACAAGCGTGTATTAAGATAGTAAAAGATGAGAGAAAGATACATGATGAATGGATGATATTGTATAAACGGTATACATGTTTGCACGTAATACACACACACACACATACAACGCAACGCTTACTCGAGGGAAGAAGCACCAGTAATGATATCGACCAACTCGTTGGTAATGACGGCCTGGCGGGTACGGTTGTAGAGAATGGAGTACCTGCCAATCATATCGGAGGCGTTCTTGGAAGCATTGTCCATGGCGTTTCTACGGGCAGAAATCTCAGCGGCGTGGCCCTCAGCAAGACCCCAGAGAATGAAGTTAGCAAGAGCGTACTGGGAAAGGTTCTTGACAATGTCCTCCTCAATCTCGAAAGTAGAGAACTTGGGGGAAGCCTCAATGGCAGCAGAGGAGAAGACAGGGAGAGAAGCGGGCTCGAAAGAAACACCAGAGGTGAACTTGTTGTAAAGAATCTCGTAAGAGTCGTACTCCTTGCCGAGAGAGACAATGGAGTCGGCAATGGCAGCAGCCTCATTGAAGGTGGGGGCTTCCTTGCCAATGGAGGCAAAGGAAAGGACGAGGTTGTCAGGGTAAGCACGGGCAATCTGGGCCTTGACCTTGTCACCGACAGCAACGACATCGGCGTTAGGGTTCTCAGCAATCAAGTTGCGAGCAGCACGGCCGAGCTGGGAGTGGATGGAACCGCAAAGACCCTTGTCGGAGGTGATGGCAATGATGAGCTTCTTGGGGGACTCAGCGGAGGCGAGCTCGGTGGTCTCGGCAGCGTCAAAGACCTGCTTGGTGGCACCACCATAGATACGAGAGACGGCCATGGCACGCTGGGCCTTACCAAGTCTGGTAGAGGCGACAATCTTCATGGTGTTGGTGATCTTCTCAATGTTCTTGATAGACTTGAGACGAGTCTCAATCTCACGGAGAGTGGCATACGATCTAGAAGAATTTGTTAGTGGTGTTTAAAAATATAGTTAAGAAAGACAAAGAAGATATTTAGATATTTGGAGTATTATTAAAAGAATTGAGACATGAAATTTAGTATAAAGATTGTTGTTGAATATTAGGTCTGTTGAGTCGTACTAAGCAATATTCTGGCCTGGGGTTGTTGTTGTTGTTGTGTGTGGTGGTGATGGTGTTTTGTACAGGCTCGTTGCCAATTGGTCAATTGAAAAAATTTTTGGTTGGGTGGTGGTGGTCTCTTGTAGTAAAAAAAAAAAAAAAAATTGTGAAAAATTGCTGGAAATTGAGTACTTTTTTGTTTCTTCGTTTAAAAAAAAAAAAATTTAAAACCGTTATTTGCATTTTCAGTACAAAATAGCATTCTTATAGTTCTTGAACTTCAATGTCGGTGATATTTTTTTAAGTCATTTGTGAAAGTTTTATCCAAGTCAAGGGCTGTTGGTTGATTGGTTGATTTTGTGTCGTTTCAATTCTCAGTTGTCACTCTTAAATAACAATAAACCGCATAACACTTTTTATCTTTTTCATCTTCATAGAAAACACACGTACCTAGTCGAAGCCTTGACGGCGGTGGCACCGGAACGAAGGGCGAACATTTTTGAAAGGGGACGAGGATGTGTGTGGGAAAGGGATGGTGATGGAGGGGGGGAAGAAGGTGGTAATTTGTAAATATGAAAATTGTAGGAGGGAGGAGTTGTTAGTATGTGTATGTGTGTATGTGTGTGTGTGTGTGTGTAACAGTGAGAGGCCAGCCAGCCAGCCATGCTGTTTGGTTGATTAAATGATTGACTGAGGAGGAGACAAAATCTTATTGGCGGTTCTGCGCTCTGGTTGGCTGGCCGTTATTTTTTTTTTTTTTTTACCTGCCTGGCTCGCTGGCTCGCTGGCTGGGCCTTCTGTATGTGTGTGGGTGGCCACTAAGAAAAATTTTTGGTGAGCTGCGCAACCGGCCAGTAAAAAAATTAAATGGGTAAGGGTTGTGGTTAGGTTTTTATTTTTTTTTTAATTTTTTTTAATTTTTTTTTTTATTTTTTTTTTATTTTTTTGAGCAAAATATAACTGTGCACAGCCAACCAGAGAAAAGACAGAAAAAGGAGATGAGAAAGTGCAACAAAAATGTAACATAACTGTAATGTTAATGTAACATTAATGTAACACAAATTTATCAATCACGTGCTCTCTTGCGTTAGACAGACGACTTTCCACCGGCTCTCGGGAGGTATCATCAATATCAACTTTTGGTCAGCTGCAATCACATTAACACATTTCATTCATTCAACAATCAATAAAAATGGCCATTGGGACTCTGAAAATCACATCTCTCATAATTCGCACAATAGCGAAACCCATTGCTGTAAGTTTATTATGTGCTTTTTTATTCTTGTATCTTGAAATATTCATTTATAAATACTATTCTAACTTTAAATTCCTTCTCTTTTTTTTTTGTTTTTTTTTTTTTTCATCCTTTTTTGATCCATTTCTTTCTCACAGAACGCAATCAAAACTCAAGCCAAAAATCACGTACGGTTTCGAAAAGCCTGTATTGGTTTTGCCCAATGGATGCATCGTACAGACTACACATTGCGTATGCGGCTTCTGGGTGAACAGTCTGCTGCCAAAATTAGGCCGCTTAATGACGCACGGGCCATTGAAAACGGTGCAACTTTTCTCTCAGAAAGTATCATCTTTGGCGTTGCCGGTGGTCTTCTTGTCTATGAAGGTGTACGGTCATCACTCCAAGAGTCTCAGAGACGTGAACGCATCGAGGACGATATCTCTACCCTTCAAGACGAAATCGAACAGCTCAAAAATAACCTGAGGAAACAACAAATTCAAATTGACGAGTATCATTTGCCAGATGGGGTTAACCCAAGTATTCTCAAGTTCCCTAAAGAAGAAACTTCTGAATTAGAAGGCTCCAAAGATCAATCTCTGGCGGAAACAATTGTGACTGCTGCTGCAGAAGCTCAGGTTAAAGCAGCAGCCGCTAAAGAATTACAACCAGCTAAATCATCTTAGACAATAGACTTTAAACACTTTTTTTTTTCTAATTCTCATTATTCATTTTATTCTAAAAGTATACAATATTCATTTTTTTTTTCACTCTAACGGAAATACTTGGGCTCCACAAATGGCAGCTTGGCAATCTTGCCAGGTCGCAGCTTCCCCCGCACATTAATCTTAATATCGGTGCCCACCTTCATGTATGCACGCGGCACATACGCCATACCAATGTTTTGCTTGGTTGTAGGCGAAAAGCTTCCTGAAGACACAACGCCAATCTTGGTACCCGAAGCAATGTCCTTACTGTCAGAAGTGTACACATCCATATTCTCACGAGCAGCAGGGCCCGTCGAAGTGATGCCTCGGCGAACGCGTGGGACCTTAGTCTTATCCGCAATCTGAGCCAACACAGTCTCGGCACCGTTAAACGTCGCAGTCTCTGGGGTGCGGCGCGACTTGCCAACGACCCATGTCAATCCAGCATCAACAGGAGTAATCTCCTCGCTCAGCTCGTGGCCGTAAAGGCACATACCGGCCTCCAATCGCAGCGAGTCACGAGCAGCCAAACCAATGGCGCGCACATAGTCTTGAGCCTCCAACAGAGCGCGTGCAATTTCGTTGGCAGCAGCAACATCCGGAATGGAAATCTCAAAGCCATCTTCACCAGTGTATCCACCACGAGCAACGTGGAACTCGCCAAGTCCAAGAATGGGCACGAACGCAGAGTGGCCAAACTTAAGAGTGTTGAGATCGTAGCGTGTCATCTTCTGCAACACCTCAGCAGCTTGAGGACCCTGGAAAGCGAGCAGACCACCTTCAATGGTGGAGCGTTGGACATTGCCCTTGCCAAACTCAGTGAGTTGTTCGGCAATGAAGGCCAGGTCGCGGTCACGGCAGCCGGCGTTTGTGACGACGTAAAAATCGTCTTCTCCATGCTTAGTGATGATAGTATCATCGACAACACCACCATTCTTGTTAAGAATAACAGAGAGTGTCGATGAGAAGGGAGCAAGGGCCTTGAGGTCGCTTGGAGTGATTTTCTCAAGAAATTCGGTGGTACCGGGACCTGAAAACTTGTGCTGAAGCATGTGTGAGACGTCAAAAATGCCGGCCTTTGAGCGAACCCAGTTGTGGGACTCAATGTGGCTCTGGCCCTTATAGAGAACAGGCATGGCATAGCCTGCATAGGGGACAATGGTGGCTCCAAGCTCGAGGTGGAGGTCGTAAAAAGGGGTCTTAACGAGGCCGTCTGCTGTAGTGGTAGAGTTGAAGCGCTTGCACATGGTAGCAGCAGGCGCACGGCGGCCAGCAACAGATCTAATTGAAGCGAGCATTGTAAGAGTTGGGTTTTATATAAAAATGAAAAAGAATAGTAGATAAAGAATATAAAGAGAAGCAAAAAAAAAAAAAAAAGAACAGAAAGAAAAGAAAGAAAAAAAAATTCTCAGGAAAGTTTCTTCCTTTTATACTCTGGAGCCAAGTATATACGTTTAAAAAAAAAAAAAAAAATGGCCCGGTTTTACTCGGTGATGGTGGAGGCAGATAAGCCCTGTGATGTTAACTCAGTGCTCAGTGCTCAGTGCTTGTTGTGTACTAAAAGGACCTTTCCAGGCAAAGCCTCAGTGAGTGGCAGACGCACCTCCAACAACAACAATTTACAGTTAAAGTTGCACATGAAATTTTGTATGCAAACCACCAACTACAACCTAAAATCCCCTGTTAAGAATGAACAACAAACTCGGTGCTTTACAAGGTGTAAAGCTGGTTTTGAGCCCCGAAATTCTCCGACTGTAATGTAACAAAGTGAAGCAAACCAAACTGTGGTTATTGTCAATTTAACTTGGTCAAGTATTTAATTAAAATAGTTTATAAAAAAAAAAGCTCTGTAAAAAAAAAAAAAAAAAAAATTAAATTAAATTAAAGAAAGAAACACCCATTTCTCATAATAACTCTTGTCTTCGTATAAATATAAACCCAATCTTCTACTCATTTCACTTTAGGCTTCTTCTTCTCGGCCTTGATCAATAGTACCTTGTTAATATGAGGAAGCACACCACCATACGCAATCGTAGCCTTGACTAATGTATCCAGCTCCTCGTCACCTCTAATAGCCAGTTGCAAGTGTCGCGGTGTGATTCTCTTCACACGCAAATCCTTGGCTGCATTACCTGCCAGCTCCAATACCTCTGCCGTCAGGTACTCCAGCACTGCCGCAATGTAAATAGCTGCCTTGGCTCCAACCCGCACCCTGTTTTGTACGCTTTGCTTCAAATACCGTCGCACACGGCCTACAGGAAACTGCAGACCGGCCCGTGCAGAGTGTGACATAGTTCCACGCGCCGCTGTGCTGTCTTTGCCCTTGCCACCTTTGCCTTTACCCTTGCCTCCAGACATTTGTATTGTATATGTTTGTAAATGAGTTTAAAATAATATTTAAAGAAGTGGTTTAAGATATAAGCCACTGATTAGAAGAAAAGTTATTGTAGTTGTTGTTATTGTTGTTGTTGATGATGATGTTGAAGAAAAAAAAAATTAAAGTAAGACGCGTCGCGTGTTTTAAAAAAAAAAAAAGGTTCGCGCAAAAATTAATTTCCGGTTCGTGTAAAATATCAGGCCTGCTGGAATAAACTGTAGATTAAAATATAAAGATTCTCTAGAATCTGACTCAACAAGTGAATGCGAGTTGTATGATTTGCAAAAAATAGAATTGTGAATGTTGAGATTTTGGGATTGTCCAAAAAAAAATATTAAAAAAAAAAAAAATTGTGAGTGTTTGTGGGAAGGAAAAGAAAAAAAAAAAAAAAAAAAAAGGAAGAAAAAAAATAAAAAAATTTGGGCGGCTGCTGGTGGTGGCAGCGGCGAATTTTTTGTTAGGCAGGCGAAAAAAAAAAAAAAAAAAAAATTAAAAAAAAATTAAAAAAAAAAACTCAGTCAGATATTAGGTAAGCATTTTAGTCAGGTGTTCCGACTTCCAAATGATCGACTGGATGAAAAACCGAAAGAAGCAGGACTTTGAATGACATTCTAATGAAAAAAAACAAAAAAATTCTAAAAATTAAAAAGCGCAGTGCAAAATCAAAACGTTTACCATAAAATTGAAACATTATAAAACTTCAAATACTCCTGTGCAGCCACAGAGTCTGAAATCCTCAAGTCATGGTGGTGTTGCTGCTCTGAGTTCAAAAGAATGTAAAGGTTATATTGCAAGCTCATCCAACTCTTTTTTTTTTCAAATAACGGTTAATCTGAATGTTGTAAAATTTTCATGATAAATAATCAATTAACATACTGAATTTATTTACAAGAGTTCTATAGTCTTTAAAACTCGAAATTGTTTGTTTCGTTTTATTTAGTCGTTTTGAAAAAAAAATAAAAATAAAAATCAAAATCAAAATTTTGGTGAATTCTGGAGAAATTCAAAAAAAAAAAAAAAAAAAAAAAAAAAAAATTTAATCAAGAAATTGTGAAATCACGAGACTCGGTCATTCCAAACAACAACAGCAAGCCAAAGCAACTCGGATCTTTAAATACCGGGTCCTCGTGTATCAATGTTCAATTATCAATTATCAATTATCAAAATATCAAAATATCAATTAAAAAAAAAACGCTTTCGGCAAAAAAAAGAAATCACTTTGATAACAATTTGTGTATCTTTTAAGCAAAAACAACAGTCATCCAAAGTGCTTACAAATACACTCCAAATCTTTCCCCCACCTATATAAATACAGTCTTTCTCCACACCAATATTGCCATCAAACATTCCCCCAAAAAAATGGCTTATGCCAGCTAACTTAACCCTACACACACATAAAAAAAATCACTTTCATTCTTACCATGAAGGCCGTTCTTATTAAAAACCAAAAGGGCCCCAGTTCCGCCCTATACATCGGTGAGGCCTCTAAACCTGCCCGCTCTTCCTCAGATGATGTCCTCATCCATGTCCACTGTTTCGGTCTTAACCGCATGGACATTCTCCAGCGCGAAGGACACTACCCGGTCCCTCCTGGTGCCTCCCCCATCCTCGGCGTCGAGTTCAGCGGTACTGTTGCTGAAATCCCTGATAACAACACTTCCAATTCCTGGTCAGTCGGAGACAAAGTCTTTGGTCTTGTCACAGGTGGATCTTACGCAGAATATGTTGTTTGCAATCAAGCAACCCTTTTCAAGTTCCCAGAAAACCTCTCAAACTTTGATTTCGTAAAAGCAGCTGCCATCCCTGAAGTCTGGCTCACAGCAACTCAAGTCGTCCTTCATATTGGGAAACTTCAGCCCAATTCCCGGTTCTTGTTTCACGCAGGAGCTTCTGGCGTCGGTTTAGCTGCACTTCAAATTGCACGCGGATCTGCAAATGCGCGCACCGTCTACTGCACTGTTGGTTCTAATGACAAACGAGACTTTTTACTTAGCTCCGTTGCCTCGTCTTGGGCATCTGCTTCCCAAACATGCCCCCATTCCACAGAACTGGTCCCCATTAACTACCGCGAACACGATTTTGCCGATGCAATTAAGCAACATGATCCCACTCCTCTCGATCTCATTGTCGACCCCGTTGGCCAGCTCTACTTCCAGCGAAATCTTGATTTGCTTGGTCGTGACTCTACTCTAGTTCTTATGGGACTCATGTCAGGAGGTGTAGTAACTCAAGGCCCAGTTGACCTGAGTCCAATTCTGCGTAAAGCTTTGAGGATCGAGGGCACCACGTTACGTGCACGTTCAATTGAGTATAAAACGGAACTACGCCGTGTTTTTGAAGCGCGTGTTTTGCCGCATATATTTACAGGAGAGTTCAATGTGTTTATTGAAAAGGAATTCAAATGGGAAAATATCATCGAAGCTCATAATCTTATGGAGTCTAACAAAACTATGGGGAAGATCATTGTGCATGTCAATTGAAGTGAGAAATTAAAAAAAAAAAATTCAACTTTGTGACGCATTTATAGTTAATAAATGATATTGTTAAAGGATTTTTAAAACACTATTTGTTTTATGAAAAAAAAAAAAAATTTCGTGATATTTAGAAAGTTTGATAATTATTCTTAAAGAATCCCTGAAAGATCATATTGTTGCAAATTGCTCCCTTGTATTGAAATTTTTTTAAAATCAGGCGAACCACTGAAGCCTGCCTTAGTGTATTCGTGAAATTTAAAACCAAAAAGTTTGAATTTAAATTTCCCCTTAGATTCAATTTGGCTTGAAATATCTTTCTGGTGCTAATAGTCTCATTATTCCTTTCTATTTTTAAATGTCCTTTTAATCTTAACTTGGAGCCTTAAATATATTTCACCAGATTTAAAGAATCACAAATATTATAATTAAACCAAATGTACCTATCAAAATGTTTTCCACGATTAAATGGAATATGAGCTTGTTTGAGCCCATCTTTATTAAATTTTCTAATAATTGCACAAGTGGAAAGACAATTTCAACAAAAAAAAAGATTTTAAATGTAATATTTTTTTTTTTTTTTTGATATCATATTTTAAGATATAAAATGAAATTATTTTATTTAGCAACTATATGAAGTATAATTGAGTGGTAAATATATATATATATGTATATAGATAGATTGTAAATCAACTCTTGTAAAATCAAATTTATTAATTTTTCGATTTTAGTTATCAAATGTTTCATGGATACAAGGGAAATCAGCATTGGTGCATTCAGAAATTTTAAAAGAGGACACCTTAACATGAAAGCCCTGAAAATAATATTTTAGCTCATTCCTTGTAAATTTAGCAATTAATTTTATAAACCCATTTCCTTTGAAAATCTTCTTTATTTGGTTTCTATTATACAGAAAATCTTTTGGTGAGTTTGTTGAATAATACAAGAGTTTCTGCTTCTGAGCAATATTTTCACAATATGAAAATAATTGGTTTTCTAGACTAGTGTTAGATGTTATTACAAACCAAGCGTATCCACCATTGTAAATTGCGTTATTTGAAATTGAGTTGCTTTCATCAATTGAAAATGTCACAGACTGTTGAACCTTTTTAATTAGTAAATTGGAAACTTTTTCAGGAATTCCTAATTTCAAATGATGATCGAATGGCCACGAATCTGACATGTACCTCGAACCAAAATACCTTTCACAATCCCTACAAGCAGCTTGTATAGCAATATCACCCAATGGTATACAAAATGAAGTTGAGTGATCTGGATAGGATAAGTAAAAGTGAAAAAAAGGCTCTTGACGAATAGAATAAATTTGGATCTCATTTAACAGTTTCATCTTTTCTGAAGAGCCATTAAAAATCGCTTTCTGAAAAGATTCGTAGTTTACATGACCTTCCTCTTCTTTAATGTCGATATAAGGCTCGGAATCATATTGTTGTTGTTGCGATTTTTCCAATTTTTTTTCTTCTTTCTCAGAAAGCTTGATGGCGATATTTTGAAAAATACCAACTAACTTATTTTCAATGTTGATTTGGGAGTCTATTTTTTTAATTAACTTATTAATTGTTAATTTGAATTCCTGAAATGCTTGTTTCTGCTCTGTACTTTTATTTTCGAAACTGAGAATGATTCCCACTAATTTCCCTAAATTCTGTTCAATCGATGAGAAAGATTTTGAAACAGTATCTAAATTTTCTGTAGCGGAATTTGTGTTTGAAGTCGCCATGTTCAAATGTAAAAAAAAAATTAACTAAGGGTTTAAATGTATAAAAAAAAAGTATGTGATAAATAAATGATTTAAAAGAGTGATGTTGATAAGTATATGTATTTATTGAACAAAGATTTTTTGAATATGCCTATGAATTTATTTATTTTTCTCACTAGGTCCCTCCCTTTATCCCCCAGTTTATCTCATGTCATTTTTTTCTCAACCAGCAATATTTTTCAGTAGCAACTAAGTTTTAGATTTTACCTTTTTTTGATACAGAAAGTCTAAATTTTATAAATATGATTTGTTTGATTGAGTGGGACCACATTATTCTTAGTATTAGTACAGTTTGATTTTATGCCTTCTTTATCATTACCATAATTTAAGTATTTACATACTTGTACTTGATAAATGATAAATTTGTTCTATGGTCAATTTTTAAAACCTTGATATTTATAAATTTATGTTATCAAATAAGATGGCAATATTGGCATGTCATGACACGCCTTATTAATATTTGTAGTATTATGGTATGAAATGGATGTCAGGAGCACAATATCCGGATACATTAGTGATTAAATAATATATTAATTATATTTAATATATATTAAATGTATTTGGATATGAGAATGCATTTTCATTCTACTGCATTATTTTCCAGCTTTTGCTGTTTGAGTGAAGTGTCTGGTTTTAAAAGTCTGGGGTAGATGAATATGTTCATGTGATTTATTGTTTAAAAAAAAAATTAGTTAGACTGGCCTTCCATTCTTTTTAATATTGAAAAATGGAAGTAAAATAAAACCATTGGAGAAAACTTTTTCAAATTAATCTTGTTAAGATCATTAAATGTTACCTATGTTAATATGATTATATTTTTTATAAAAATCTTTATATTTTTTTTAAAAAAAACATTTATTTAAAACGACTGGATCCAAATGCCTATGAATAAATAGGTTTCAACTTATATAACGTTATATTTTTTTTTTTCTTTTTGTCATCATTTTATTTTTTTTTTTTAATTTTTTTAATGATTAATTAATGGAACACTAGTGTTGCTTTAAAAATTGTTTAAAGATTCACTTGTTACTGGTGTAAGTGTTTCTGATGATTCCACAGTTTCTTCATCACTATTTAGATCATTTTGATACTCAGAAGCGTCCAGCCCGCAATCCTCAAACGCATTGACCAATTGTTGCTCAATACTGGCAAATGAATCAATTTTTTTGTCTAGATCAGAGACTGTTGATTGAAGAGTTAAAAGTGATTGCTTGAGCATGTTATTTTCCTTTTTAAATCTTGGTTTGGGGCTGACATCTTTAAGAAATCAAAAAAAAAAAAGTTGTTAAGGAAAAATAATTGAATTGAAAAAAAAAATATATTTATTTATTTATTTATTTATTTATTTTGAAAGATTTAGAGTCTTTAAATGCTTTTTTTTTTTTTGCTCATTGAGAAATTCTTATCAAATAATTTTTAAAAAAAAATTGTATATCTTTTAAAAAGTCAAACGTTGTTTATTGCCATTTGAGAAGTATTTTATTCATTAACACTAAATAATTTTTAATATTAAATCAGGTATTCTATAGTACTGATTGGCACAACCAAGGTTTATCTTTCTATGCTTGAAACGTGAAGTGTCATTTTAAATAGAGGGACATTGCAATTCACGGTAGACCGGTTATAGATAAAAGAAAAAAAAAATTTTCCTCCCCATTCCTAAAAACTCATTTATATTTAACTTTTCGATGGGGAGTTTCCTTACCTTCAATTTAGAATTGAAATATACATCAACTTGAAAAGTATCAAAAAAAAAAAAGGGTCTACAGATGTAAACCTGATTGGAAAAAAAAAACTAAAGATCAGGTCGCACCCGGAATCGAACCAGGAACCTGCAGATCTGCAATCTGATGCGCTACCATTACGCCATACGACCATTATCTTGTCGTTAAAAAATAATTTTTTCACAAGTATTTATATTAATTGAAATATAAATATATATTTATTGATTTTAAGGCTATTTTACAATTAATATAATATAATCTTTTTAATTTATTATTTTTGTAATAATTAACCATTTTTTAAAATTTTTAGAGTATTGTTGTTGTGAGTTTTTTTTGAAAATTGCTTCTTTTTAATTTTGGTTGTCTAGGTTACAAAACCAACTTTAGTAGTAGTAGATACAACTGCGGCTGGATTTTCTTTTATTTTTAATTTTTTTTTATTTTTAATTTTTTTTTATTTTATTTTAAAGTGTAATTTTTATGATGCATAGTTTATGGGGAAGACAGTTCTCCGACCGTTGCTAATTACATAAGCCTATAAAAATAACTATAACTATTGTTTAAAAAATAATTTATAATTTTATGAAAGCTATTTAAGTAGTGTGTATAAAATTTTGTTGAAGAAATATACAGTAACGAAAGATTAGTCATTAGTTAGGATGAGTCTCAATCAACTATCTGGAATCGAACAGAATAGTATATCATATTATTCGGATTCCGTCGTATATCATCATTTTCCTTTTCCTTTTGAGTGAAAAAAAAAAAAAAAGTATTTTCAATTTTATTTAATAAATTTATTATTTAAATTTTTTTTTTAAGTTTAAATACTCTTTTGTTTAAATCAAATCAAATATCATTTCGATTAATGTCAATGATATCCCCCCGTCCCGGACCCGAAACAAAAGAACCAAAAGTTTTTTTTATTTTTTATTTTTTATTTTTTATTTTTTATTTTTTATTTTTTAATTTTTTTTAATAATATAATATATTAACTTTTTACCTAAGTAATTACATAACAACATTAATTTTTTTTTCATTTTAGATTTACACGTGACTGTAACCTATCAGATAATAATAATAATAATAATGTGCGGTTAGCTGGGCAGTAGAAGATTCACTCGACAGACTTCAAAAAGCTCTGCCACACTACTCACAGACCCCCCCAGAATCCAGCTGCCCCTCCAAGCACCCGGCCAAAGCACTCCCAATGTTCCAAACTGGCCACTTTACAAGAGAATAAATAAAAATAAAATAAAAATAAGAAAAAAATTTTTCCCATCTTTTTTTTTTTTTTTCTCTCTCTCTATCGGCAATTATCTTATAATTACTTATAATTAATTAAGTAATCATCTTATGACACACTGTGTAACAGCAATCCCCTCTCTCAGCTACTCTTAAATACTTTTATAAGAGTATTGTTGTTGTTCTATTTTCCCGCGGCGTATGATTCGACATGACCATTCTGCTAGCCATTGCTGTCCTTGTCTGAGCTTCCAAATGAGTCTAAGCCTTTCAGCAAATTTTGTGGCCAGTCGATTTATTTCCTTCTAAACTTGCTCAACGCCCACACACATATGTAAAACAAATATCTTCTTCTTCTTCTACTTTCCCGCCTATAAATACCAGCCAACCCCCCCCTCTTATTTCAAAAAATTTCTTTCTTCTTCCCCTTTTTTTTTTTTTTTTTTTTTAATACTCACCACATATCCACCCTTATCTTATCACAACAACAACAACAACTTACAAAAAAAAAAAAAAACCCAACCATGGCTAGAACTAAGCAAGCTGCCAGAACCACCACCGGTGGCAAGGCTCCCAGAAAACAACTCGCCTCTAAGGCTGCCCGCAAGTCTGCTCCCTCAGGCACTGGCGGTGGTGTCAAGAAGCCCCACAGATATAAGCCCGGTACCGTTGCTCTTCGTGAAATTCGTCGTTACCAGAAGAGTACTGAACTCCTTATTCGAAGACTCCCCTTCCAGCGCCTGGTCCGTGAAATTGCCCAGGACTTTAAGACTGATCTTCGTTTCCAGTCATCTGCTATTGGTGCTCTTCAGGAGTCTGTTGAGGCTTACCTTGTCTCTCTCTTTGAAGACACCAACTTGTGTGCCATTCACGCCAAGCGTGTCACTATCCAGAAGAAGGATATCGCTTTGGCCAGACGTCTCCGTGGCGAGCGCATTTAAATAGTGATGAGAATTACTATTCTATGCCCTTTTTATTTTAATGATGACGACTACAACTTAGCTTATGACTTCTTTTTTTCCTGACTCCCTCATTTTATTATTATTATTATTATTTGATGTATACTATTTTTTTTAATGTGATTTTTCTTTTATTGATTTTAATATTTCGAAGACTTGAGTTTCTGAAGATTGTATTGTAGTTGGTTTATTTAATTTTTTTTTAATTAATTAAAACTCTATGTGTAATTATTATTTTTTTTTTTTTTAATCTACTCCCATGTTGGTGATGGGCTGGACATGTAAAGTGGAGGTTTCAGCACGTCACTGGCTGCAAGCCTTGCGTTAGATTATTGTGTGGGTTTCATCATATTTATTACATCGTCATTCGGCTTTGCACTCATAAAAAAATATATATATATATATATATATTAATACTTTAAGACCGATTTTTCTGTAGAACAAAACAAAAGGAATTATATTTGAAATTAATAAATAGTAATAATAAAATAAATAACAGAATTTTTTTTAATTTTAAAATTTGCCACCAGATTTTTTTTTTTTTTTTTTAATAGAAAAAACGATATTGTTGGAATAACATCAAAAAAACTAAATTTTTTTTTTTTTTCTTCTTTGTGCGTCATTTTCTAAGGGTTTCTTAACACACGTCATCACTAACAAAAAAATCAAAAAAAAGTCAAAAAAATTTTTTTCTTTTTTAAAGCTCCGGAATTTTCTTCACTAAAACAAATTAAAAAAAATATAATTTTTGGACGAGACCGGAATTGAACCGGTGACCTTCTCAATGCAAATGAGACGCGATAACCACTACACTACACGCCCAGAGTAATCGTTATAATATAGATGTTTTTGAAATACTTAAATTAAAAGTACTTTAAATCACGTGATACTAAATTTTGTTGTTAATTGGAATTATTTATTATATACATATATATTGAAATATAATTTAGGGCTTTTTAAAATAAAGATGATTAATGCTATAAAAAAAAAGGAAGAGAAGAATTAAAATCTGTTTACTATATGATTGCCTGTTACGATGAAAGATATCATGTTCTTTCTGCCAGTCACAAGCTACTGATTAATTATACTTCAATGATCACAGAAAAGGAATAAGAAGAAGAAGACAAAAAAAATTATACACATGAAAGACATTTTATGTCTGGAGTAGCTTATCTATTTACTTTACAGAAATCTTAAAAAAAAAAATAAGTGATAGCATTTGCCTTTGTTTTGAATCTTTTTTTTTTTTTTTTTTTTAGAGGAAGTCTATCAATTTTATTTTTTTATTTTTATGACGAAAATCTTTTTTATTCTTCTAATCATTTCTATTAATTGCAAGTAAATGACATGTATCAAATATCAAATAGAATTGACTCGAATCAAACGTTTCTAATTGAAACAAAGCATAAAGTTTAATCATATAGGGGAGAGTTGATAAGAAAAATTTTTTTTTTTTTTTGTAACTTTCAAATACAGATGGAGATATATCTCTAACTTAAAGCTTTTTCTTCTTCTTTCTTTCTTTCTTTAATTTAATTGAATTTAATGGCGTGGTAATTAATTAACACATATGATACCACCTAAATCAATTCTAATAAAAATTTTTTTCTTCTTTTTTTTTTTCAAAATGTAATGACGATTTTCTCCGAGGTCCAAGAATGATCTAGGATCACTACAAAGTCATACTGTAACCAAGATTGTATTACGACCACAACGACTACAATTCCTTTTTTAAACGGTTCTTCAAAAGTGAATACCGGCCCGAGGGGGATACAGATGCCCAAAGTAATAACAAAGCCATTGATTAATTTTTTTTTAATTTTTTTTTATTTTTCAAAGCCCGCCAATTGAAGAGATATCTACGATCTAATCTAGAAGTAAATTTAATATTTAAAAATTTAAAAAAAAATATTCATTAAAATAAAGAAAAAAAAGTAAAAATACATCATCGTTAAAAAAAAAGTCATTAGAAAAGAAAAAAAGAAAAATCACCACCTAAGAATGTTTATTTGCAACCGGTGCAGGTGCACTTACCGGGAGGGCATGTGCAAGTTTCCTTGGAGCAAGATTCTCCAGAGCAGGTTGTAGTCTTGCATCCAGAGCAGGTACATTCACCGGGAGGACATGTGCAAGATTCCTTGGAGCAAGATTCTCCAGAGCAGGCTGTGGTCTTGCAGCTGGCACAGGTGCACTTACCAGGAGGACATGTGCAAGTTTCCTTAGTACACGAATCTTCAGAGCAGGTTGTAGTCTTGCATCCAGAGCAGGTGCATTTACCAGGAGGACATGTGCAAGTTTCCTTAGAGCAAGATTCTCCAGAGCAGGCTGTAGTCTTGCATCCATCGCAAGTGCACTTACCAGGAGGACATGTGCAAGTTTCCTTGGTGCAGGAGCTTTCAGTCTTTGACTTACAGCTATCACACTTGCACTCTGCGGGTGGGCATTTGCATGTTTCCTTTGAGCATTTTGTTTCTGAGCAGTTGATAGGTTTGCATCCATCACACTTGCACTCATTCAGAGGACATTTGCAAGTTTCCTTTGAGCAGGCTGAAGAACCATCGGCAGCACAGGTCTTGGTCTTGCAACCATCACATTTGCATTCAGCAGGAGGACATTCACAGGTTTCCTTTGAGCAGGATGTTTCAGAGCAATTTAAAGGCTTGCAACCAGAACATTTGCAGGAATTGATGGGACACTTGCAGTCAGGCTTGACTGTAGTTTCAGTAGTAGAGCAATTGCAGGACATTAGTATTAAAGATGTTTGTTGATTGTAAGATATTGTAGATTGATTTGATATTTTTGATATATCTTAGATAAAAAAAAAAATTGATTTAATTTAAAGAATTGATTGATTGATTGATTGATTGATGATGAAAAGAAAGAATTAAAAAAAAAAAAGATAGCTATAGAGGGATCTAGCCACAGTTTATATAGTTTTAGAGATTTAAAGATAATAAATAGTCTTCTTCCCCCCACCTACTATTATTGATCAGAAGATCAAAGAAGAGGGGAGAGAGAGAGAGAGACAAAAAAGAGGGTTTCCCACTCGAGGAATCTTTTAGAAAAAGCATAGCGAAAAGATCGCAGCTGCAGCAACTGTTAGTTAGTCAAACTTTTTTATTTTATTTTTTTATTTTTGTAGCGAAAAAGTCGCAAGATAATAATAATAAAAAAAAAAAAAAGTAACTCCACAAAAAATAAATAAATAAAATTTTTTTTTTTTTTTTTTTTAATTTTTTTCGTAGCGAAAAAAACTCAATAAAATATTTATATAACAGAAAAAAAAAAAAAAATCCAAAAGGGGAAATTAAGTGCGGCAATGCACACATGTGCCACTCGTTTGTGTGTGTGAAAATCAGCCGTGCAATAAAATACGCCACACACACACACACACACACAAATACGCATTGCCGCCACTACTAAAGAAATTTTAATTTTTTTTTTTTTTTTTTTTTTTTTGTTTATGCGCTTTTTGTGCGGTGCGGCAGCAAATAAATCGCAGCGAAAACATCTCAGAAAGCTCAAAACAACGTGCTTCGTGACGTTATCAGAAGATCTTTTAGATGTCAACAATGATTCATCAGTCTTCTTCTATTTTAGATTATGATGATGATGATGATGATGATGATGATGATGATGATGATGATGATAATGATGATGATGATTATTAAAAAATAAAATACCCCTTAATTAAAAAAAAATATGTAATCAATATATATATTTATTCATTATTATTCATTATAATTCATTATTAATCACACTATCTATACCCCCACTTTTGATTCTCTTTCCATATGTGACAAAAGCTCCCCAGATACTTCATCACGCTCCCACTCCAAAACATACCGTACGGCTCCAATGTGTGAAAATTTATTTGAGCGTAACTGAACGCTTCGATTGGACTCGAACACAGCATGTGTTTTCCTATTTCGATACGTCGCCATTTCTTTCATTACCGTGTTTTTGGCCGTACTAATGCGTTTTACAAAGTAACTATACTCTGGGTGATACGGTAGCTCTAGAAGCTTGCAATCCAACCCCAAATACAATTCACATAGCTCGCGGATCGCAAAATTAACCTTATACCTGGTCGAGCAATAGACAACGGAATCAATGGGGAATGTGCTAGTGTCGTTGAGAATCTTGCACGCTAAAATGATACATGCAAATGCAATCGTGTGACTGGGAATCATAAGATAGACATTAGACAAAAGTGCGTCTACTGAAATGATCCATGCCACGCGTGCAACCTCTTTATGGACTTCTAGATGTTAGTTTTTTTAAATACAAAAAAAAAAAAAAAGAAAACGTTCTGGAAAATAACTTACTGTCAACGTCTTTTGAAATCTTGATGAGATAGTATTGCACTGAAGTTCTGCGGAAATCAAATCCAATTGTTTCAAAAATTTCTCTTTCAATGTTGATAATAAGCGTCTTCTTATCCTTTTGTTGTTCTGGTGTAAGCGAAATGCCCTTGAGATGTGTTAGAAACATAAACAGCTCCTTGCTGCGTTTTGGTGTGTCTTCAATCTTCGAGGCTACTAGCAAACATGCGCTCACAATGTCCTAGATTATTAGCATAAATCAGTGAAAAAAAATGGTAAACTTACTAGGAGCGAGTATGTATTAGTGTTGTTAAGTAGGTAGTATTGTTGGAAAATCATCATGGTTGTACATATTGTTCGTGCCGGACTATCACGGTTAGTATATATAACAAAAAAATAAAGCTCCCAAACATTAGTTTTTGAAAAAAAAAAAAAAAAAAACATACAATTTGAAGTTGATGGATGCACGCATAATGAGCTCAAATACATGGATCTTGCTTTCCTGGAATGTGGCAGGAGCAATCCCACTATGATCCAGCAGTTTCTGAATTTGGGACGGTGTGAGGAGGGCCTGAGAAATTTTGAGTAGAGATGGTGCTGCAGTTTGATGCTGAGATTGCGAAGCAGGTTTGGGTGCTTCGACAGAGGCCGGCGAGGGGGTTTCTGTTGAGACCTTAGGAGCTGTTGGTGGCTGTGACATTATTAGAGAGTATTTCTGAATGAATAAATTGTTTTGAAGAAGGTAAGCTATGGATAGTAAAGATAAATGGAATATATAGATCACTGGCTGTTGAAAGAGAGGGAGGGGGTTCTTGATGATTTGGTTGTGTGGAAAATAAATTTATCAAGTTGAAAGTTTTAATTTTCAAAAATTTTTTTTTTTTTTTCTTTAAATAATATGGAAAATAACAGCTTGACGAGCCAGGTGGCTTTCAAACATCAGTTATGACTTACAAAAACTATTCAGAGAATTGAAATACAAGTATCTACATATAGAATCTACAATTACAAGCTGTTTTTAAAGGTTTTATATGAAATAACATTAAGGCTTCTCTTTCTATTCAGTCATTTTACTTTGAACTTTCATTTCCACAGGGTCTACTATATATATATATATATATATATATATTTCTTATCGACACAAAGGCCGGGTAATTTTTAATTCCTCTTAAAGTGTCTACAAACTTCCATCTTTGCATTCTTCCCCTTTCACATTCGATAATAATAATAGAAAAATTCCACCTTTCCCCTTTCTCATTGACCCAAATAAAATAAAATAAAATAAAAAATAAAATGAGCAAAAACTCTGATTCAAACAAAGGCTCAAGTACAGCGCTCAGACGTTTGATGGCCGAATACCGTCAACTCATCAATAACCCTCCAGAAGGAATTTCTGCAGGCCCCATCGATGAAGACAATTTCTTTGAGTGGGAGTGTCTGATCCAGGGCCCCAAGGATACCCCATACGAAGGCGGACTTTTTGCAGCCACAATGACATTCCCCAAGGATTACCCATTGAGTCCACCCACTCTTGTATTTACCTCCAAGATCTTTCATCCCAATAGTAAGTATTACGTTTCAATGAAGATATGAATATACCTAACACGATGGGAATAATATATAATAGTCTACAAAGATGGCAAGGTGTGCATCTCCATTCTGCACCCACCAGGCGATGACCCAAACATGTACGAGAGTGCATCTGAACGTTGGACTCCTATCCAGAGTGTTGAGAAGATTCTAATCAGTGTTATGAGCATGCTTGCGGAACCCAACGATGAGAGCGGCGCAAACATTGATGCGTGTGTAAGTATTATTCCAAATATGGATTTACTCTTGTCTATTTTACTAACATGAGGGTTTGTAGAAAGTCTGGAGAGATAACCGTGAAGAGTTTAACCGGATTGTGCGCCAAAACGTTAGAGAATCACTTGGCATGTAAATGTAAATATATTGAAACAAAAAAAAAAAAAAAAAAAACAAAATCTCCTTTACTTTCCCATTCTTCAATCTAAATTTAGTTTCCATTTGGTTGGGCTTCCTCTTCTTCATCGTCGTCTTCTGGAAGAATTTCAAACTTTTCTAGCAGATAATCCACGATATCTTCGTGATCATTAGATTCGGCCTCATAGTATGCATCATGGCCGGCTTCGTTCTTAAGCAACGGATCTGCCTGGTGCTCACACAGTAGCTTGACGGTTTCCAGGTGACCGTTAAGTGCGGCCCAGTGTACGGGCGTGTTGCCGGAATCGTTGCGCGCATTGACGAGTGGTTGCAGTTCAGCATTAGATTCAATAACCTTTAAAAGGTACTCGACACAGTCTAAAAGAGTGTTAGAGAATCAAATCAAACCAAACCAAACCAAACCAAATCAAATCAAATAAAAAAAAAAACAATGAAGGAAAGAACATAGAACATAGTACTTACCATCGTGACCGTTGGCGGCAGCGTAATGAAGAGGAGTGGCTTGAGTGTACTCGTTGACCACCTTAAGGAGATCAGACGGCTCCAGGCCGTCGACTAGCGTCTTCAGTTCATCGAGATCGCCTGCACGCGCGGCAGCAAATATTTCCAGCTGGACGTCTTCTGTGAGAGCCATTATGATAGTTGTGGATGGATAGAGGGGGTAGGTGGGTGGGATTTTTAGTAACAGATGAGCAGAAGAAAAAAAAAATAAAAAAATTTTTTTTTTTTTTTTTAATTTTTTTAATTTTTTTTTTTTTTTTCTTTGAAAAACCCAAAATTTTAGTTTTTCTGGAAATTCATAAAAATTATGCACATTGAAAATCTCACAAGACATTTTCTATACAACAACCAACAACTATGGACAAACAATTGTACGACCCACAAAATGTTAAAATCAAGTACACAGGCCCCCTGGACCAGTTCTTTGAACGACTCTGGGAAATCATAAAGACCGTGGTGCGCGACCCTAACATCCCGTCTCCTGAAATCACCGACCGGCCAAGCGTGCTTTACAATGCGCTGACAAATGCAGAAGTCCAGCAAACAGTGGCACAGCTACCAAATGAATGCCCTCAGACAAAAGACTTTATAGTCACTGCGTTTTTTGGTCAATCTCTCCTCAAGATTCGGTCCATCATAGACTCTTTGGAACGCCCGGAAGGCATTCCAGAAGACATTATTGAAATCTCGCTCAACGACATGAAGATCTTTAACACAATGGTCACACTTATCGTCATGGATGGCATATATCCACGGCTATCACCTGGGGTTGGTATCCCGTTGACTTTGCGCACCAAGGCTAGACAAGACTTGAAGGCCGCACCCGGTATCTTGGGCACCACGGCTCCTGTCACCGACAACGCCTCGCGGTTTGCACAACTGGAATATATTCTGAGTGGTACACTTATCCCCGTGCTTAACGTCAAGGACAATGTGCGGGATTTGTTATTCATTGGTTCCTACTTCCCCGATCTCCTGGCCGCTTCTATTGAGCTTGCATTCAACCCAGCAGCCCCGAACCGTGCCCAGGGGGCACGCGACTTCCAGACCATTGTGGCACAAATGGACACATACTCCTTATTTCTAAACCTGACGTCACTGATCCGGCCCAAGACACCAGCATGGCTTCTTATGGCCACTACACGGGTTCTTGCCACATTGCCACTTGTTCGTAAATCCAACGGCGTGCTTTCTCTTATCGAGTTTATATCTGGTGTGCGCGAGAAGCCCGATGTGAATATCGAGGATCTTGATAAGGCAGTAGGTATTCTCAAGGCGGTTCCCAAGAAAATGAACCCCGTGGAGTATTATCACAAAATTGGACAACAGCTGATTGGTGTCATGGCGCTGCATGACCGAGCCACTACGGTGTCTGCGACAGTCCACATTGTGGATAGCATTTACGAGCAGAAACAGGAGATGGTGGTTGTAGGAGTGCAGGATGCGTTACTGGAGACGTTGGCTCCTCGCAAACGCGAGACCGTTAAGGCGGAGGAGCTGATGCAAGCGGTGCGTGCGTTAGAGGCAATGGTGCGTGCGGCTCAACCGTTGGGGGTGATTCATGAGGTTGGCAAGTTTGCGTTTGTAGCATTGTGGACACTGCTATGTTTTGCTAAAGCTGAGCAGAAGGAAGATTTGGCGACCAGCGTGAGTAATGTGCTTGTTGGGGTTGTTTCATTACAACCGGAGGACGCTGCTGGGATCCAGAGCATGTTACTGCGGAACTTTCTTGCCAAAAGTGGATCACGGTTATGGGAATATGGAGTTGATGATGAGGGGATGGTAGGAATTGTGGCGACTGGTGGGAGAACCAGTGTAAAAACTGGTGGTGAATTTGCATTATTTGGGGAGATTGAAAGACGGGGGAAGGTACTTTCTGAGAGCATTTTAGGGCCATTGGCTGGGGAAAAAGATACATTTACGAGTACGCTATTTGTAAACTTAATCAAGGAATGGTTGTTGGAGCGCCAGGAGAAAAGCAGCAATGGAGAGGTGTTGTTGGAGAGTGATGATGAAGAGGATACTGTTGGAGCACTTGTACATGCGAAATTGTTGGAGATTTTGTATAACGAGCATAAGGATAGATTGATCAAGTCGCCTATGGAGTTACTGATGGTCATTCACGGGACACTTGAGGATTATGTTTCTATACTAGAGCGAGCTGAGGAAAAGAAAAAGACTGAGACTACATCAGTGACTGAGCGGTTAAAGATTGTTGATTTGGACGATTCAGATATCCAAGAGGAAAAGTACTACCCTGAGGCGGTGAGGGGTATTGTGGAGGTCGAGGAGCCTGATACCAATAAGCAGGAAGATACCGAAGAGGAAACAGAGATGCTGGACTTGTGTTTTTCGTTGGTGCTGGCCATCACGGAGGATCTTGCGACAGCGTTTAAGAAGGTAGATCCGACTCTAGACGATAAGGTTCCAGAGCTGAGGTCATTGGAAACGGTACTGGGTCCGCTTCAGTACATTGTGGGGCATACACCTGAGGGACTGCTACAGGGCAAGGCGGCTGCATGTGTGGACCAAATTGCGGAAGTACTTGGGCTATATTTCCCCAAAGACAGCACGGTACCTGCTGCAGATGCGTCGGAGGGTGATCGCAAGACCCTTTCACGAGTGATCCAGATGCTGGATGACTTACAGGCTCCGACACAGGCACACGGACTATACATTTTACGGGGGCTTGTTACAACCAAGAGCGTGGTAGTGCGAGACAATTGGAGGATGGCAACGCAGCTGTGTTTATCAAAACTAGTGAGCGACGATGCATTTGTGTATTTGAATGCGGTTAAGACATTGCTTGCAGTGTGCGATGCGCATGATGGTGGAGATGGAGTGGTGGAGTATCTTGTGGATGTATACAGTGGGGTATTAAGGGAACGGAAGGATGAGAGTGTTTCTGAGACTGTTTACACACGCAAGATGTTGGAAGAGATGGGAGTGGATGAGCTTTTGAAGGTTGGTGAAGTGATTTTACGAGTGGTTCAACGGCTAGGTGAGGCATTGGGAGGAACAACGGCTGACATTATAGCAGGACGGATGCTTGCTATGGCATCACGAAGGCGGATGCGTGGGAGCATATTTGCGACTCGGCCTGAGGGAGTTCCGGATGTGTTACGAATGTCAGCATTAGGGATTTTAGGGGCCGCCTATGAAGCAAGTTTTGTAGGTGTTGCAGGGGAATGGATGGATGATACGCTGGATGTTGCTTTGGGGATTCTTTCAATGGAAGGTGAGCAAGGTCAAGCTGTGGAGAAAGATGATGAAGATGAGGAGAAACAGGTTGCTAAGGAAGTTGAAGCAAGTGGAGGGGTAATGATGAGACGAGCAGCATTGGCGTTATTAATTTCAGTTGCACGGAGTGTTCCTGGACCTGAGTGGGTTATGTCTGATGATATTGAACGGGCAAAGGTTTATGTTGACATTTATCTACACGACCGAGACCCGATTGTGCGGTCGCACGCCGAAGTTTTAGATGGATTGTTGGAGTGAAGAAGAAGATATATATATATATATATATATATATATAAATAAATATGTACATTAAAAATCAAAAATCAAAAATCAACAAAGCTATATAGAGCTTATTATTGTTATTGTTATTATTATTATACATAACTAACTTTGGTACCCATTTTGAGTGTATGAGCGAGCTTAGACCAAACGCGGGCAAGAGCGGCACGAACACGGGCACGGGCTGCAGCAGTGCGTACAAAAGTAAGGAAGAAGAGGATTGCAGCTACTACAGTTGCAACTCGGGCGAAAGTCAAAGCTGCGGAGATTTTTGACCAGAGAGAAATAGATTGCGGGAGTGGAGCAGGTGGAATTGCGTGGGGTTGTTGTTGTTGTTGTTGTTGTTGTTTTTCAGATTTCTTTTTGCGGGGGGTTTTTGATTTAGTCACTGGACGTTTAGTAGTAGTACTACGTAAATTGGTTGGAGTATCTTTAACCAAGTTTTTAGATTCTTTTACTTCTCTATCTCTAGCTTGAGCTAGGGCTAGCTGAGTGGCCTTTTCCATCTGTAGAAGCTCTTCGGTATGCCGCAGCTCATGAGCGGTAACTGCAGCGATTAAACTTGGGCGGTTATTTTTGTCCATGGAGGTAGCAGCACAGAGACCGACATATTCTGCAGCGTATGCATAATCATGGAGAGGTAGGAGAACTTTAAGAACATAAAGCTCTGCCAGTCGGGTATCTTCTTCGATGTTTTCGAGGGGGACACTGGCCATATAAGTTTCGAGATTGGCACGGAGTGCAGTGAGGGTTGTAGTTGAATGTTGGGAATGACGGGAAACGAGGGAGACAAGGGGGATAACAGTATTGAGGGGTAGAGTTGATGGAGGTGGTAGAAGAGAAGCAGCAGAAGAAGTAGCAAGGTCCCAGAGAGAAGGAGAAGAGGAGGTTGCAAGAGCTGCAAGTCGTTTACGTAGGGTTGAATCAGGGCCCCATTCTGGGGAAGAAGATGAAGATGATGATGAAGAAGAGGAAATGGAACTTAAGGAGAGGGTATCTGAATCAAGGATTTCGTTACGGGAGCGGGTAGCTACGACCGAATGTTCTACAGCGAGATTAATAAGGGCAAGGTAAAGGTTCCATAGTCGGATAAAGTATGACTGGGAGAGAGGGTTGATGTTGTTGTTATTATTATTATTATTATTATTATTATTTTTTGATGGGAGAATGATGGGTTCAATGCGGGCAGTTGCTGCTGCGAATTGGCGATTGATGAAGAGAGTAAGGGCTGCTTTATAAGGGTTTTCGAGGATAGTAGAATTTGAAGGAGAAGAGAGTAAAATTTGAGACATTTAATGAGATTTGAATGATGATTTTAATAGATAATTTTTTTTTTTTTTTTTTTTTTTTTTGATTTTAGTATGGATTGGATGATGGGAAAAGTTTTGATTTTTGATTTTTGATTTTTGAATTTGAATTTTTGATTTGTTTGATCTTGGCGATGGGACAAAATATTTTAGTGGTGGTGAAAAAAAAAAAAAAAAAAAAAAAAAAATTAAAAGTTGAGCCGAGGCAATTAAGAAATCTGGGGAAGTAAAGATATGTCATGATTATGTTAACATTACTAAGTGTTATATAAGGAAAATATATATAAATTGGCGTCTTAGTAATCATTATTGTTTCTTTTTATTTTTTATTTTTTACTTTTTAGTGGATTCTATTTTTAGCATCACATTAATAATTCTTGTCTCCACCTTTTTTTTTTTTTTTTTTTTTTTTTAATTTTTAAATTTAGCATTTTGGCCCTTAAAAAGAAAAAAAAAAAAAAACAAAGTTAAGAAGTTAAAAAGTTATATATAAGAAGGAAAAGCCAGTTGGACTTTAAAAAAAAAAAGAAATAAAAAAATATCCGTTGAGAATTTTAAAATATATAAATATACATATATATATATATATATCAGTTTGAAATTTTTTATTATTTAATAAAAAAAAAATTTAATTTAATAATAATTTAATAATATATATTATAATATTTGAACCGACAAAATAAAAAAAAAGAAAAAAAAGAAAAAAAAGAAAAAAAAGAAAAAACCCGATTGGCGAAAGAAAAAGGTAACAAAAAAAAAAAAAAAAAGTCTGATATCTCAAAGAGTATATATATATATATATATATATATATAAAAGGTACGTACCAAAAAAAAAAAAAAAAAAAAGTCATTGATTGATTGATTTTTACTTTACCAAAAAAAAAAAAAAGATAAAATAAAGTTGTCCATCAAAGTGATTTAAGAAGATGATGAAGAAGCAGCACCAGCAGAAGCAGCACCAACACCAGCAGCAGCAGCAGCAGCAGCAGTGGTAGTACTACCATTACTAGTAGTAATAATTGTAGTAACTTTCATGACCTGAAGAAGAAGAAGAAGAAGGAAATGATTCTTAGAAAGAAAGAAAGAAAGAAAGAAAGAAAAAATAAATTGAATTGGGATTTTAAGTGTTATGGGTTTAATATGATTGGTGTTTTATTTGTTCGGAAGGGAGACTTTCAGCTAACCGATGGCCATTTCAATCTTTTTATCTTTTTATCTTTTTATCTTTTTAAATTATAATTGAATTGAATTGAATTGAATTATAATTGAATTGAATTGAATTGAATTAACAAAATTTGTTAATTATTTAAATATAAACTTTTTTATTTAAATAATAATTATTATAACAAAAAAAAAAACAATAAAATGAGATTCAAAGGGTTTCTCACGTGCGTTTCTGCAAAGAAGAAGAAGAAGAAATTTTTTTTTTCCCGCAAGTAGTTGCTTTTTAAAAAGAAGAATAAAAAAAATAAAAAAAATAAAAAAATCCGATTTCTAAAAGTTTTTTTTTTTTTTTTTTTTTTAATTTAAATAATAAAATTTATTATTATAAAATTAATAATTTTTTATAAATTAATTGCTTACTTAGTTGGTTGTTGTTGTTGTTGTTGTTAAATTGCCAGGTTGTTAAATTTGATGATGATGAAAATGATGAAAATGATGATTTTATAAAGATTTTATTTTTGAGGCAAAAAAAAAAAAAAAAAAAAAACGGCATTTTTGTTTTTAAAATTTTAAAATTTTAAAATTTTAAATTTTTTTTCAATTTCCAGCATTAAAGAATAAATTAAATTAAATTAAATAAATAAAATATTTAAATGAATTAAGTTAAATAAACAATTAAAATAAATTAAAATAAATTAAAATAAATTAATTTAATTGTTTTTATGTCTCACCAAATACTAAAAAAAAAAAAAAAAATAAAAAATTTGGGCGGTTTTTTTTTTTTATTTTTAAATTTTTTTCTACTTTGTAAGAAAAAAAAAAAAAACCCCCCCTTTGCTCATCTTTTTTTTTTTTTTTTTTTTTTTTTTTTTTTTTTTTTTTTTTTTTTAATTTAATTTAATTTAATTTTTTTTTTTCACAACCACCAACCCTTTAAAAAAAAAAAAAAAACCTTCCAACAAACCAACAAACCAACCAACCAACAACAAACAACAAATAACAAACTATCATCATCATCATCATCATCATCTTTAACCTTCAATCAAATCTCATGCCAGGCACATCTCAGTGACCGACTTTTTTTTTCCCATTCCCCTCCCCTCCCCTCCCCTCCCCTTTTTTTTTTTTTTTTTTTCCCTCTTCTCTTTTCCATCTTTCATCATCTTCATAATTCATCCTTTTGTTCATGTACCATAACCAAAATCACCTCCAACAGCCCCAGCAGGGCTCAGGAACAAGGCCTTCCCAGCAATACTTCCAACAACAACAACAACAACAACAACAACAACAAAATAATCTACAAAGATTCTATGGATCTCAACAATATTATCAATATGCTTCTCCTCAATCAAATACTCCTGCTGTCGCTCCCCTTGTCCCCGTCAGGTACTCCCAGCAACAACAACAACAACAATTACCATCACAATCACAATCACAATCATCATCATTATCATCTTACCAAACTCAAAAGTACCCCCCTCCTCAACATGTCCAAATGGCTCAAATGTCAACTTCCCACTCCTCTTCAAGACTCTTGTCACAGTCTTCTCAAAACCACCATTCTTTTGCTCCAGATGATATTGCCTTTAGTGCTGCTGCTGCCGCTGCTGCTGCTGCCTCTTATGCAATGACCAAAACTTCACAGACCTCTGCATCCGGCCTTTCTCTTTCCTCTCTTAATAGATCCTCCCAAAGAACCTCCTCTCTATCATCAACTTCCCAATTCCCAGGTTCATTCCAACAAGCATCCTCTTATGCTTCTTCCATTGTCGCACCTTCATCCGCATCAACCCATTCTGCTGGCCATCCTTCTCTTATTGTTGCTCCGGCCCCAGACAGATATCACCGTAGAAAGTCTATGGTTTCTTTGTCTTCTGCCGCCTCCGCCGCTCAACCTCCGTTGCAACAACAACAACAACAACAACAGCAACCTCCACATCACAATAACAACAACAACAACAACAACAACAGCAACAGCAACAGCAACAGCAACAGCAACCACCTCCTTGGAACACCTCAACCACCATCTTTTGCTCAACCCTCCTCTTCGGGATCTTCAACCGGATCTTCAACCGGATCCTCAGGCTCAACCCGTCATGCTGCAGTCTCCTCGGGCTCTTCCTCATCTTCCTCCTCTTCAAAAACTTCCGCATCCGCAGCATCTACTGCTCAAACATCTGTCGCTGCCTTCCCTCAATCTTCATCAACCCCTTCTAGCTCAAAAACAACTCCTACTACTCACACTACTCACACTACTCACACTACCCACACTGCCCATACTACCCATACTACCATCACTGCTGCTTCATCTTCTTCAACTTCACTCCCTTCCTCTTCCCTTCATTCTAAATCTCTCAACTCCTTTACTCCTGCAAATACTCAACCATCCAATGGTGGTGACGAAGGTATGTATCCTCTTGCTAATGTTTCACCCAATGTTTCAACTAAAACCTTGTCTGTACCACCAGTTATCCAACAACAACAACAACAACAACTACAACCACAACAACAATCCTCTACAATCATTATGCCTACACCTCCTCAAAACATCCGTAAACAATCTCAGACACAACCGTCTTCGTCATCATCAAATAAACCTTTCATTGCATCCTCCATCGCCCCCCCTCCTGCCGTAACTACCCCTTTGGTCCTCCCATCTGACATTCGTCGCGGCTCCCTCTCTTCCATCTCCCGCTCAGCATCATCTTCTCCGGGACCCTCTCTGGCCGCACCTAACTCTCGTCGTGGCTCTGCTTCCACATGGGACGCCCTTCCTTTGCATAAATCACAAGCTGCATCTTCTTCCGTCACTTATAACCCATACACTGGTTCTGCCAGTACCCCCAATCTCTCAAAGTCTACTGAGCAAAAGCCTATTGAGCAAAAGCCTACTGAGCAAAAATCTGTTGAGCAAAAACATACTGAGCAAAAGTCCACGGAACAAAAATTTGCAGAGCAAAAACCAACTCCTGCTCATTTGCCTAGAAAAAGCATGTCACTTACTAGTGCATCCATTGGAAACCAAGAACCTCACAGAATGGCCCAGTCTCGCTCAATGTCTGCTCATACTTCAAACAACTTTCAGCATCAATCAACCCCTCATTCAATTTCCCAATCTTCAATCATTTCAAATGCTTCTACTTCTGATAAAAAGTCCTTTGGACACCGCCTTAAAAAGGCCTTTTCTTTTGGCTCAAAGAAACCAGACCCTCCTCCTCCTCCTGTAAAACAATCTTCGGCCTCTCAAGACCATACTTTCTCCTTTGTCAAGAAAAAACGCACTTCAACAATGACAGGTCCCATTGTTCCTCCAAACTTTAATACTAAGCAGCAGAAGCAGCAACAACAACAACAACAACAACAACAACATCCTCAACAACAACAAAACCCTCAACAAACTGATTACCGTCATCCATCTCAACAACATACAGACCGCAGAAAAAGTAGCGCTAGTCATACCTTTAGCTTTACTCGTCGCTCTGGTACCTCCAAACGAACTTCCACAATGACGAGCTCCTCGGCACCTGCATTCGAGGGCTTTTCATCCTCCTTTGTCGACGACTCAAAACAGTCCCCCTTTCAACAACGCAAGCGCTCTCGCTCTGTAGTTGTCCCAGACTCGGCTTCAGTCCATTCTACCTCCTCCAATTCTTCTTTTGCAACCCTCCGCAAAATGTCAAAGTCTCTGTTTACTAAAACTTCCTCCTCAGATTTGAAACGTGCGGCCGCACCATCTCCACACGCCCCTGCAAATCTAACCCCTGCGACTAAAGTTACCCCTGAAAATTATTCAAGCATTCCCAACAACCCTCCAAAACATTCCTCATCATCCCCAAACAATACCCTACTCCCGCCTTCAAAATTGGACCCTAAGTTTGTTCTCGCTAAACCTGAACCGACCTTTTATATTCAGGATTCTCCAAGTGACTCTCCTGGTACTTCTCGTGAAAGTTCTCAGTTTTCCTTTGCCCCATTTCTCGAAAACTCTCCAGCTTCAACTTCTGTTTCTCATGCAGTCGCAGAAGCTGATAAGCCTGTCTCTACCCCTGGAGACACGGCTATTAACGCCCTGGCTTCTGTCACAATTCCCAACTCGCAGTCCACAAATAGTTTTGACTTTTCCGACCTTGCAGAGGGTCTTGGACAACTGGTAAGTGCAACTTCAGAAGATCTTACTACTGCTCCTACATTTTATAATGGCAATAGTAGCAGCCGTGGTGATGACACCAATGATCAACCTGCGCCTCCTGAGGAGGAATCTTCTGAAGACGACTTAAACGCCGCAGACACTGTATTCCCGAGAAACCTTGACAATATTACTGTTGAAACCATTCGCTCGTCTCTGGAACGTACAAAGTCTTTGGAACGTCGCCGGTCCCGTAGGTCTACCCGCTCTACAAGATCAAACAAATCGGGTAAAAGCTCCGCCGCGCGCTCTCAAGAAGTGACAGATTCAATTGACGGTGTTCTTCATTCACGATCTGGCTCGGAACTGCTCCCCAATGCCTTGGAAATCCATGCAACCCCTGACCTCCGCAGTGAGCCCAGTCATGACGCTGCCACCCCGAAAAAGAGTATTCTCAAAAAGGATGAGCCTGCTGTTACTTCGCGCCCATCCTCTGCTCGCAGCATCCGAAACACCAGATCTAAACCCCCTCCAAACACTCCACCACTTGGCCCGGTCACATCCCCACGTTTTTACAGCACTAACCCGGCTTCTCGTGACCACAAGCTCTCTAGCTCGCCATCAATGAACTCCATGTTCAACTTTGGCGACATTGACTTGAACCTCGACTTTGAGTTTGGCACAACAGACTTTAGCTCTCACTTATCACCTGTCCAAAAACTTAGACATTCTCGTACTCCGTCAAACGTCTCATCAGTGTCTTCTATTTCATCGCAACCTGGTGCAGTCCACCACTATGCTCACCCGCTCTACACACGCCAAAACTCAAGCACAAGCGCGGTCTCCACATCTAGCTCCGCTAGTCTGTCGCCACAGCTTGTAGCCGTGTCCAATGGCCATGTCACAAACTCGTCGCAAACCTCTATCAAGTACCATTCTGCGTCTCCCCAATCGTCGCCACAACTGTATGCTCAGTCGCAGCGCATGGCTCACGGTAACAAGCACTCGTCAACGTCTCCTGCACCTTCATCTCATGTATCATTTTCATCGAAGATTATTATTTTCGATACATATGATCCCACAGATTATGATCGGCGTGCAGAGCCTGCAACATGTAACCGGCTGACGCCGTTACTGGCTCAGCAGATTAAGGAGGAGCTGAATAACTTTAAAATGGAAATGAGCGTACATGCCGAGTCTAGAATATATACGCATTTTTTTTAAATGGAGAAGGGTAAAGAAAAATTTCATGGAACCAAGATGGAACTAAAGAAAAAAAAAAGCAAAGAAGAAAAGAAAAAAAAGAAAGAAAGAAAGAAAGAAAGATAAAGAAAAAAAAAACAGAAAAAATTCGACGACAAAATAATTTATACAAATATCCTTTCAAAGATTTGAAACTGATTTTAATTCTCAAACTGCAGCCACTCATTTACCACCACTCCCCCCCACTTGAATAAACCTATTGAAAAATATATCTCTAAAAAAAATATATTATAATTTTTAAAACGACTAAAAAAATTATTAAAAAAAACTACTACTACTACTACTACTATATATAAAAAAAATACTTTTTCCTTTCTGTGTTATTTTTGTTTTATATAAAATTTTGACATAATTGATAATTTCTATTGTATACAAATTTCAAATCTCATTTCTTTTAAAAAGAAATTGCCTATTTAGGATTCTCATGTTGAAACTTAAATGTTGCAATATCCCACAAAATGCACTTATTTTTAAAATTTTCAATATCACCAAATCCTCTTTTTTTTTTTTTTTTTTTTTTTTTTTTCTTCTTTTCACAACCACCACCACTAAAAATAAAACCTCACCATACACACACACACATCAACAATGGCAATTCCAGGTTATGTCGTACCAGGACAAATCATTTGCCCAGTCTTTGAAAAAGTTGACCCTCAGTCATCTGCCGTCCGTAAATATGTACCGGGCCATGGTGTCGCACTCGCTCCTGCGCCTGGAAATCCCAACGCTGTGACGCTGGCCGCAACTCTTGTCGGCCGTGTTGCCATCGAGCCACTGGCTGAGGACCCTAGTACAGGACCGTCCTCTACACACAAGAAAATGACTGTCCACACTTTCCAGGTATCTGTTCAAGATAAATTCTATTCGCCAGCAACATTGCTGCAATACGCACAAAATACCAACACGGCTAATAACCAGTCCAAGGTGCCACTCACAAGACAGGGCGTCGATGTGCTACCAGCCGTCGGGTCTGTGGTTCTTGCACGGGTTACCAAACTTGCACTGCGTCAGGCTGCAGTTGAAATTCTGGCGGTGGAGCATTCTCCCACAGAGTCAGCATTACCTACGCCTTTCCAGCCAGATAGTGTACCAGTGTCAGCCGAAAGTGGTGCCGGGTTGAACGGACTGGCACGCGGCACTGTTCCACGATCCAATGTATCTTCTGCAGCATCATGGGAAAAGGCAGTTGCATTATTGGGTGGTGCACACGGTGGCGAGGGATCTTTTGGCGGTGGAGCTGGTGGCGGAGCTGCAGGTGGTGAAGGTGGTGGCAGCGGTAGTGGTGGAGGTGCAAATGGAGGATCTACAGAGGTTGGCGAAGGATTTGGTGGTGTGATTCGGGTACAGGATGTGCGAATGACTGAAAGAGACAAGGTTAAGATGGCAGAAAGTTTCCGACCGGGTGACATTGTGCGAGCAACTGTGGTGAGTACTTTTTAATTAAGGAGTTTTTTTTTTTTTTTTTTTTTCAGTGCATTATTGATTTATTCATGCTAACATACAAAAATTTTTTTTTTTTCTTTTTCATTTTAGATTTCTCTCGGCGATGGTACTAATTATTACTTGTCGACAGCCCGTAATGATCTGGGAGTTGTGCTAGCACGTTCTGTGGCTGGCGAACGAATGTACCCCGTGGATTGGGAAACGATGCGTGCCCCACGGACCGGCGAGGTTGAGCGACGCAAGTGTGCGAAACCTTTTAGTGCTTGAGAGGTTTCAAGGATACCCTGAGGAGGGGAGCTTAGTACTTTAAGAGGTCTAGAAGGAAAGCAAAACGACGAAGTTGTTGAAGATTAAAAGAATGAGAATCGAAAGAAATAAAAGAAAGAGAGAAAGAAAAAAAAATTATACGATTGATGAATATTGCTGCTACGATCGGAGAAAATCCCCAAAATGATACTAATACTTGATTAAGGGCCTTTATATCCAAAAACGTTGCTCTGCTTTGCTTTCTTGCATAATCCTCATCATTCCTTTTTGAATTCCCTTTTCTATCTAAATACCATCATCGTCTCGTCTTGTTCTGGCCTAAAATGCTCCACCGTCCTCTCATCTATATCGAGCACCTTTAATCATCCCTTTCAATCGTTGATCGGCGCCAACAGCCGTCATGTCCTTTTTTTTCCTTTTGTGCTTTATCGCTCCTGTTATATATATAAATACCTTGATTTCATTCCCACTTAATATAATAATAAAAGAAAAAAAAAACATAATACTTTTTTCCCCTCCCCATCTATTCTACTATCTTATAAACATAAAAAAAAACTTACAAAACTTACAAAACTTACAAAACTTACAAAACTACAAACTATTCTAATATATCCACAATGTCCAGATTTATCATCGACAAGGATGGCTGCGCAGTCTCAGTCCCAACAGCAACCGTTACGCGCCCACGCCGCGCCCCAGAAGCTTCCCTTAAAATCAATGTGCGCTCCGGAGCAGCCTACTTGGCCTCATGTGCCCAGGAATCTGCCGTCCTCCCTCTCTCGCGTTACACAGCTGCTGCAGGCGCCTTTCACAGCTACCAACACGAAACGGCCCATGAAATTATCGACGGCCTGCGGCCTGAGTCTGTCGACCCAGGATCACCTACAGCACCCTCATCGCCTGTGCTTGCGCCAACCAACCAACGGCCCATGTACTTATCAAGCCGTCTTGCCAGCACGGAAAAGATTCCTCGCACAATGCATGCCAAGTATGCAGCATTTAGTTTTTCCAAAACCCGAGCGTGGCTAGACTTTTATGCAATTGTCAATCAGCACCTCCACATTGCGTGTGAGGACTCGAGTTGCACTATGCAGGAGGCTGAGCGCCGGGTTACCGAAGCGTACCAAGCACAGGAAGAAGAAACTGTTGATCATGACCCTGCGGACGTGGGCCAGCTCATGTATACGCTCACTCGTCGCGCACAGCTTTTCCTTAATATGGCTGGCACGGCCGTGTCGTTGGAGGTTTTGCGTGCATACCTGGGTGCGCCCGACATTGTATTTAGCGCGCTACGTGACGAACAGGGTGGTTTGGAGCGCGTACCTGTATTGGCTGGAGTGTACACAAATGACTTGGACTTTGCACCGATTGCTGATGATTTTTTCTTCCACGATACGTTGGCATCAGTGCGTGACAATGATGCATGTGCGTGCAAGGGCGTTGCAGCTGTAGAGGAAAAGAAGAAGAAGACAGCCATTGATATTGTGTTTCGGACATTTGAGTATATGGCACTCAATAATGTCAAGTATACATTTATTTCCACGGCCTCGCATACGCGCTTTTTGATGCGTCCAAGCACACTGAGCCGCGCGCTCTACGTGTCGCCCGCTGTGTCGCACTTTCAGGGAAAACCTGCAGGCATTTTTGGCTGCCTTGTAGCCATGTGTCTGCAGGCTGCAACGGGGTACCCGCGCCATTGGTTGGCAGCGGTGCATCTTAAGGCACCCCTGGGTGTGTTTGAGCGTCTACATGTAGCAACAGCGACTGCGCGCGATGAAGAGGACGAGGACTCGATTCTCGACAAGCTGGAGCTGCCGGCAACACCGGAGGATGACTCTGAGAGCAATTATTCTGACTATGAAGAAGATGAAGATGATGGCGATGAGTTGTACATGGATGCGCTAACCAGCGTCACTGTCAAAGAAGTTGACGATGATCTTTTCCCCGAGACACTAACGTACCCGCTCGATGTGTGTCCGATTGCCACGCCAGCCGTACACAGCTTGAATACGTGCCATGTCACGTATCCTGGCAAGGTGCAATGGTGGAAGGTTTCCAAGGCTCGCAAGAATATCCATACAATTCGGTTTTTACGCAACCCGGTGGCAAGCGGCATTTGCGGCGCAAGCCTGGCTGAGGTGGAGGTGACTGAATGTGAAGTGCCGCCCGAGGCAGAGCAAGAATTTCGCCGCTTGGAGCGAAATGAGACGTGCAAGCGTCTCGATGCAGGACTCACGGCTGGGCTTCAGGCAATTCCAGGAATTGGCAGCGGGTCTGGTGGTATGGTTGGGTGTCAAGGAGGCAGCATTTACCGCGGTGTTGGTAATAACCCTTCAGTGTCTAGTTTTTTTAAGCGCCCGTCGATTGTGCGCACTTCAAACTCTGCTGGAAGCGGATCAGACCCGGAGTCGTCAACCATGATGAAGGCGAACCGTCTGGACTGCTTGAAGCGGCGTAGGCGCAGCATGGTTGCAACACTCAAGACTTTGGATACAAGCTTCCCCGGGCACGTTGAGGCGCTGGAGTTGTTAGAAAATGAGGCGCGGATTTACGAGTATTTTGCGGCACATGCTACGGAAGCTCGCGGCGCAGTGCCGCTCAATTACATGTTTGGCAGTGTGCTTGGGTTTATGTTTGTGCTTGCAGTCGAGCATTGCGGCCGACCAATGCGCGCACTGGACTTTGTTGTTGAAGAACGTGTGCGTGTGGCTGATGGCTCTCTGGGGGTACGTATGAGGATGAATGAAGATGTGGTTAAACAGATGCATGAAGTGCTTGATGTTGCACACTCTTTGCGTCTTTTACATGGGGATGTTGCTAATCTTGAGACATTTGTTGTTGAAGAGATTGAGGAGTCGGTACCCAATTTGGAGTATTATTTTTACAAGAAGGATGGATGTGATGAGTCTAAGAATGGTGATGTTTTCCCACCAAATGCACCACCACCTTCACCATTGCAAAAATCAATTCGTCTGCGCGTTCGATTGGCTAACTTTTCGCGTACAAGACTATATGTACGACTATACAAGGCGGCAATGCAAGAAGAGCACGAGGTGCTGGATGCATTTTGCAAGGAGACGTACGAGCGGAGCATTCGAAGACGCGAGGCAACCAAGGCCAAGGCTGAAGAGTGTGAAAAGACAGAGGAGGTTGAGGGTAAGAGTAAGAAGGAGGAGAAGGGTAAGACTGAAGAAGGCGATGAGTCTGGAAAGGTGAGCCAGTCTGATTGTTCTACGGCTGAAGAATCAACTAGTATGATTGTTAAGAAGTTGATTAAAATTTACAACAAGTAAGGTTTTGTAGACAGACATTAGTTAATTATAATTTTAAATTTTATTTTGATTTTTAAGTCCATGTTGATGATTTGCGTTGCAAAATAATGGAGTATTTTATGACAATATCAGGTCACGTGAACATTTTGAAATTTTTCAGTAGAAGAAGAAAAAAAAAAAAATTCCCATTGCAGCCAATCTCAGAGCCACTTTTCTCTCTCTTTTTCCTTTCCACCACCACCACCACAACAACAACAACACACATACACCAATGTTTCAAAGTCTCCGAACCACGGCAACTCGCTCCTGCATTGGACGTTCGTTAATATTTCAACAGCCTCTGGCAGTCTCCACTCGGGCGTTTTCTGCCACCTCTGCGGCCCAGATCATTTACGTGAAGCCCAAGGCCGATGTGCCTGCTCCTACCGAAAATATCCCGGACCTTGCGGCGTTTCTTAACGCGATCGGACGCAAGAGCATTGATCATGAAGAAACTATTGGCACTTGGGAGAAGCTGATGACCATGTCATCCCAGCAAATGAAGGCTGACGGTATCGATGTGCGATCCAGAAAGTGAGTACTAAAAAAAAAAACAAAAAAAATGAGAATTTCTTTGGGGGATCCAAAGGACATCGATATCCCCTTCTCCCACCTTTAGAAAAACAAAAAATAAAACTAACTGAAGTTTTTCTTTTTAGATATATTCTTGCTTGGAGAGAAAAGTTTGCAAAGGGAGATGAGCTTTGTGAGATTAAGCGCGGCAAGAAGTCGTGGGGTGGTGAGCGCCGTCGTAAGGCCGTCAAGGCCGAATTCATGGCCAAGAAGTACCGTGAGGAGCACCACCGCCGACTCAAGGAGGCTTCTGAAGACAATTAAGGCGAGTGATTTATTGTATTTTGTTTTCATTTTTGTACATAATAAAAAAAAAAAAGGGAAAAAAATAAAGAAGAATAGTGTTTTTTTTTTTTTTTTTTTTTGATTATTGTTTCTATCTAAAACAGTTTGGACAACATTTGGGCTTCGTCCTGCATGACTTCCAGCGTCCGCGGACCGCCGCGCGTATCATCGGGGCTCTGGAACGCCTTGTCTCCGTTGGCATTGGCCTTAAGCACAGAAAAAACGTATTCCAGGTCGCCCTCTTTACCGTTTAGTTTTTTGTAAATATCGTCGACATTGGGGAGGTCATTAAGACGTCTTGGGATTATATGGCAGTGAACGTGTGGGACAGTTTGTCCTGCTAAGGGACCGTCTTGGATTGCAATGTTGAGAGAATCTGCTTTGTAGTGGGTTTCAACGACGCGTGCGACTTTTTGAACGGAACTGTAGAAATCGATAGCTTCTTCTTCAGTCATTTGACTGATGCGTGAAACCACGCGCCGCGGACACACCAGCACATGCCCCGGAACGATTGGCCGGATGTTGACAAGACCGAATGACCATTTGGTTTTGTAAAAGACTTGTGATGTCACAACAAACTTGCCAAAGAGAATGGGGGCCTGTGCAGACATGGTGGTGGTGGTGGATAGAATAGAGAGTTTTGATAAGAATTGGTGATGTTTTAGAGGAGGATTGACAGCAAGACGGGAAATATAAAAAAATAAAAGAAAAAAAAAAAAAAACCATTTTGGCTCAACTTTTGGTAGAGAAAGGAGACCTATTAAAAACAAAAAACAAAAAACTTCAATTTGTATATCTTCTGATCTGTACATTTAAAAATTAATCTACATAAAATATTGGCACCAGGCCACAATTATCAAAGAGTGAAAGGGGGAAAGGGAGAGGAAAAAAAAATAACTAGATGCTAGCAACATGGGACTCATCAAGAAGGGTTGTGGGGGTGGGTGTGAGATTCTGCGGAGAAATTGGACTAGCTTGATCAGTTTTTGCAACTGTCTCATCCACCTTCAATTCCTGTTTTTCGAGTGTTTCAGTATCGAGAGCAGAATCGGAAGAAGTACCAGAGGGAGTATGCGAAGTAGCAGCAGCAGAAGAAACAGTAGCAGCAGCGGCTGCGGCGGCAGCAGCGGCTGCAGCTTGCTCTCTTTCCAGTCTCTCTTTTTCCAATCGCTCCTGTTCTCGCTGAATTCGTTGACGCTCCAGTCGCTCCACATGATCCTGTCTCTGCCGGTTTTCCTGTTGCCAGCGCTCATAAACAAAGGGAATCAAGGACCCGAAAAACATAATGGAGACTTCGTAAAGTTTGACGAAAAATATTTTGAGAATTTGGAAAAAAGTTTCGTCACCAGGAACAACTGCAACAGGTATAGGAGCTTGGGCTTGGGCTTGAGCTTGAGTTTGAGCTTGAGCTTGAGCAGGGGCTGGGGCTGGAACAGGTACTTGAGCTAGAACTTGTCCCGGTTGAACAGGTGCGGCAGGACCTTGAGCAGGTTGAGCAGGTGGGACTGGGGGGTTTGTATAAGGCAACCAACGAATGGCACCCTGCATGACATTATTGAAGGCATTTTGAACCACCTGGAAGCGCTCGTGAAGACGATCGACCACATTAAAGTGACTGATGGTGACTAAAACAAAGAGGACAGCAAAAGCAAGTTTAACTCCATCTTGCCATGAAATACTAACATTACCCAGAATGAAAGACAAACGCAAAAGAAAAAAAAGAAAAATTGAAACGTTACGAAGAAGCCGCACGTCAAGTCGCACACGCCAATTGCCGACGCGGAGCATGACTACACGGCCATTGTTTTCGCGAGGCTGAGGCTGAGGCTGAGCATTTTGCTGTTGCTGTCTTTGTTGTTGATGCTGATGCTGCTGCTGCTGCTGCTGTTGAAGTTGATGAAGTCTTTGGTGATGCTGGAGATGCTGTTGTTGAAAGTGTTGTTGAATCTGCTGAGGAGTCATATTGGGATGAGGAAGACCTGTGAATCCTGGGGGTTTCCCTCCAGGAACTGCAATGTACAAATTTGTGTTTGTTGTTGCGGCTGGGTTTGTGAATTTTGGTTCGGTGACTTCTTTTGAAAAGATGGGGGTTTTACTATTGAGGGCATGTGTGGCTAGAGGCTTGCCCATTTTTTTGGCTTGAGTAGCAAATATTGCGAGAGCTTTAGGGGATGCGCAAAAGAGTAATTGACCAGCATAGTTTTTAACAATTACAATGTCTTTGGAACTGATGGGGATCAGAGTATTATTGAAAAGGATATTAATAGCGTTTGGAAGATTTGGAAGATTGAGTTTATAGGGATCGAGGCTGCAAATTCCGGCCGTTTGGGTACGCGTGACTGTTGTTTGTAACATTTGAGAAATAGGGGTACTACTGGGGGGACGTGTGCGCTGGCTCTTGTCAAAGCCTAAAGGAAGGGGGTCTTCAGTGGACTTGGATGATTCATCGGATGAAGATGAAGGTGAAGATGTAGATGCAGATGCAGATGCAGAAGGGCCCGATGACGTGGAAGGGCCTGGTGATGTAAATTGGCCTATGGGTGGTGACGGACCAGTAGACTGGGATGAGCCAGATAAAGGTTCTAGGGAAACAGGTTTAGGAAGACTGGCAGTAGAGGAAACGGGGGATGCATGTGAAATAGGAGCTGATTGAACAGGAGCAGGAGAAGAGCTAGTTGGAGGCAATTGAGAAGAGGATGCAGATGAAGCAGGGAGAGACTGGGAGCTTCTTCCAAAAAAGGCTGAAAAAGGTCCAGCTGAGCTTTTTGGTTTTTCAGTGGTATCTAAGGGTCTAATAACAAGATGGAAAAGAATTGAAGATGCAGAGGGTATTTTGTTTGAATGAAGGATCGACTCAAAGGTTTCATTTTCATCAAGGACACGGCCACGAAAGATGAGACGTTGGCGTTGTAGTGAAGGTGCCAGGGTTTCAGCATTATCAGATGGGAAACGGTTATGAATGAGTTGTTTTAGATCTGCAATGGAAGTTTCTCTGCTGAGCACAAACTCCATAGGGAGTTCGACTGGCAGTTTGAAGGGAGAGGTGATTGTGACCTTGATGCTGGCCATGGTTTATGGGTAGGTATTATTTGGATTATTTGGATACAGTGTTGATAGTAGAATGGTGGTTTTGACAGATGGAGGTGGAATTCCAAGCTGGCCAAGTGTGGCAATGTTGACGTCAATCAGAACTGACTGCGGCGGATGTTGTGTTAGTTAGTTAGTCAGTCAGTCAGTTTTGTAATTTTGTAATTTTGTAGTAACAAAGTTTTTTTTTTTTTTTTTTTGAAATGTAAAATGAAAAAAAAATAAAAAAAATGTAATTACAAAAAGTAAAATATATTTGTAACACAAGTGTAACATAAATATATGTCAGATATCGGTTAATTTTCAGAGCGGTCACTTTGAATTACGAGCTCCGAAGCCCGAATTGCGCCACTGGAGAGTTAGCGGAAGTGCGCAGGGGCAATCAGGCAGGCAAGTAATCAGAAGAGGCATCTGTTGCAGGATAGTTTTTATTTTTTTTAAGACGGTCAAGCCACAATAGCGTCTTCTCCCTCCAGAAAATACGCCATTCCACGCCTCCGCACTTCATCGGTGTAAAAGCCACGCGAGCCTCCCCCCACTCTTTATAGTACATTTTCATTTTCATTTTCATTTTCATTTTCATCATCATTTTCATTATCATTATCATCACTACCACCACCACCACTACTACCACTACCACCACCAGCCATCAGCTAGATTTAAGCATAGGGCTTGTTGTTGATATATCATAAATATACCCCATGAGTGACTGTTTTTGTCGATTTGCACTTTACCCGAGAGTGGTTTTGTTGATTATATCCCTCCAATAAACTGTGGTTAAAAAGCATCAATTCCAATAAGTTCTGCATTTGATAATAATAATAATAAACAAAAAGTGATTAATTGAAATATATATATATATTTTTTTCTTTTTTGTTCCTTTTTATTATTTTTTATTTATTTATTATTTTAAAATACCTCGTTTTCCATCCGTTCCATTTGGTCCCTCATACTTGTGGCTGATAATAACTTAATAAGCCCAAACGTCTACATCGCCATTTTGGGAATTTGGTCAAGTCGATGAAAATTGACGGTTTCGTCTACAATAACTTACTTACTAACTACAGGCAATTTATTTCTTGCTGCTTTATTTTATTTTAATTTTTTTTTTCACTTAAAAGTACCAGAGTATCCGCATTTATCATATATTTTCATTTAAATATACTAAATACTTAAATCTCTACCATTGTGAATTTAATATACTATCAAGTATATACATTCCCATATCCACACTCTCTACTTTTTTTTTTTTCCAAATGTCTGCAGTCACTACGGAAAAGTCAAACAAACGTAGCAGAGCCACAGCCTGTGAGCGGTAAGTTTGATTTGATTAAAAAAAAAACAAAAAAAAAAATACTCCTTTAAGTTCCCCAAATTTCTAATATCTTTTTTTTTTTGTATTTAGATGTAAACTTCGCAAGCAACGCGTAAGTAAATGAATGATAGCTGCAACCCTTTTTCAATTCTAACAGATTATCATTAAAGTGTGATCAAAAACTGCCGATTTGTACAAACTGCCAAAAGGCTGGAGCAAAATGCATTCAACCTGAAAAGTATCGTTGTAATTTTGTTGAAAAGTAAGTGCTGAAAAAATAAAGCCCAAATCTAAAATCAATTTGTTAACCTTCCCAACAGAGACTCTTATACTGCCATGCTTGAATCTCGTCTTCAAGCTTTAGAATCCAAAATTAGACTCCAAGAAGCTGCTGGATACCAGTTTGCACGCTACAACAACGTGATCGAAGCAAACCAAAACCACCTCCACCAAAAGGAAGAGCCACTACAGAATTCAGAAAGATTCGCAGGCTCAAATATCCCCAAGCCGCCAACCCCTCAGCCGCCAACCCAACAACAACAACAACAACAACAACAACAGCCGTCCCAACCACCGGGTCATTACTACCAGCAACCGCCGCCGCCACCACCACCACCATTAACATCACAACATCGTACTCAAGTCCCGCCACAAGTCCCGCCACCATCCCAACCCGACGCTGTTGTTTCAGCTACCTCTTCAAAACCATCTTCTTCAGGCTCTCCACCACGTAGACGTAACAGCTGCGGACTTGTCAGCATTCTTAACTCCGATCCAGCCGATGACGCCTCTGTTCCGCCATCTTTCTCGGTTGTTTCGTCACTTTTGAAAGACTCATTTTTGGGCCGCGCCAAAGAGGCACATAGTACCGACCCATCACCTGCAAAGTCGAATCTCGGTGACTCCGGCCTGCATTCGGATAAATCGTCCTCCAATATTACTAATATCATGGACACACTTGGCCAGCCCAAAACAAGAATCAGCCTGCTAAAGTCTCATTTAAACGCTATTTTAGATTCCGCTGACGGCAAGCCACAATCTCCAACACAGCATCACCAGCACCACCGTTACCACCACAGTCAGAATTTACAACAGCCACATTCTTCAAGCACTCCAGGCTCATCCTCTTCGGCTAACTTTTCGCCCGCCACTCTGCCGCAATCCGCCTATTCCTTTTCGTCAACTCCTGGTACCACATCATCTACCTCTTCTTCCCACGACTTCCAGCCTGAAAATGACTTTGATGCCTACCTTTTACCCCTCGACATTGATGTCTCAGAATTTCTTGTCTTTGACCCAGCACCTCCTCCAGATGAGGCTTTAGGCAAAAAAATTGGCGATTTTCTTCGTCTCAAAAACCACATGCGCCTCCCAGTCTCACGTATTTATGACTTTAACACTCTCCACAAAAATAGATTTACAATTCCAGCCGATCCAACTGACTCCCAATGGCGTTTCGAGCAGTTCTACCTTAATATTACTTACACACTAGTCGTCCTTAGTATTCTTGGTGTCTACTCGGCTAACAACATCCCCACGTCAAGACTTACTCTCGATCCTTACAGCTTCTTTTATACTGCAATTTCCCATGCCCGCCGTTGCAGAACAAAGGACCCTCTCAAACAAATCATTTGCCTAACCATGTGCTCGCTTTTTCTTGTTCGCCAGGACATGGCCCGAAACTTGCACTGGCGCATGATGGACAAGGCAATGCAAATTGCTCAGGCCCACAATTTCCACAAAAAAGAGTCTCTTAAAGGCCTTTCTTTGTTAGATCAAGAAAACCAACTACGTGTATTTTGGAGCTTATACCAAATGGACCGTTTGCTAGCGTTTGAACGACGGGCGCCTTATGTCATTCCTGAAGCAGAAATTGATATTCCACTTTTTGCTGATATCAATGAGGAGGAAACAGATGAGGCTGTAATTTTGGAAGCAAGAAAACCTGGTTATGTGCCACCAAAGTCGACAAACTTTTCTTTAAGTCTGCACGGCTTACGCATCATTCGAATTGAGGCTGAAATCATTGACTCCATTTATCGTGTTGATAAAACTTACAAGGAGCAATTCCCTAAAGTAGAGCCCTTTTTGAAGCGTCTAGATGACTGGAAAGTGCAGTGCCCTAGGTATATGGGCCATGGCCAGATTATCATGGAAATGCACCATGCTCGTGCCGTCCGCCTTCTTCTCCAGCCCTTTTTGGGCTTTCTGGAACCAACAAGCCCCCTCTTTATCAGGTGTATGCGGCAATCAGGCCAGATTGCACAGGGCTGTACCGAGATTTGCCGCGTCATTAAGGGGTTCAATCTCATGTCTGCAAATGCTCTATTCATGTCGGGACTCACTTTAATCTACGGGCTTTGGCTAGCGTCCAAGTCGAACCTTAATTACCAGTACATTATTGAAGACATTCGTCTTTGTACTTGCTGTCTTTATGCTCTTGCCGAGCGGTCCTCTGTATTTGCTCATTATAGAGATACAATTGATAATCTGGCAAGTGCAACAATTCGCCATGTAAGTGAGCTGGCCTCCAAGCGGTACGTCATTGTGAGCAATCTACCAGACCAGCAATCTAGCTCGGATGCAGTCACTTTTAGTGAAGAAAATAGTGAAACTAGAAGTGGCAGAAACTCTAGTAAACCCCCCTCTGAGGCTTACCCCTCCTCAACCTTGTTATCTTCAACGACCAAAATTTGCTCAAAATCAGGTGTTTTAATCGCCAGCGATAATGTGCGGTACCCAATACCAATAACCACCTCTCAGAATGTCAATGGTAAGCTGGAGCCCTCTCTCCAAGGATCGTCTGATGAGGAAACTCATACGATATTTAGGCTGCAAAAACAGCTTAATAAGGACTCGCATGAAAAGTTCAAACAGTTGCAAGATCTTAAACGGAAGCACTCTGAAACTGGTAATCAAGCGGAGCCAGAGTCTCCAGCAGATGGTCATACAAGTAAGTATTTACGTCAGGGCCTGAATAGTAAAACAGCTCCACAAACTCCGCAATCAAGCGATAGTGATCATCACCAGTTGATTGCAGAGTTGGTCAACAATTTGCAACAGACGCCTCAAAATGTGTCAATCCCGCCCCAGACTTCTGGAGTGGTGGCACCCGTGGGTACCTCGTCTTCTTCTTTTTCTTCTACTACACTATCAGGACAACCACCTTCGCCATATGTCCCGTCGCTGGGCAACCGGTTTGCCTCAGGCGGGTCGTCAGTGTCGTGGTGGAATAACTTAGAACAGCGGTTGCACGTGAGTGAATCACCTCGAAACTGGGTCAATGCACTGGGCTCGCACGATGGCGTGACGACTTGGATCCACGACTTGTCGGCATTTGCTAAGCAGCATTTAAGCTCTGGGGGGAATAATAACTGTGAAAGTAGCAACAGCAACAGCAATAACTTTAGTTCTACTGCAAGTGCAGTGGTGGCTGTGGATAACTTGCACATTCATCCAAATGAACACACGGATACCGTGAACTCGAGTAACAATGGCCATAAAGACAACAGTGCTCACAGTAGCTCGTTGAATGAATTGCTTTACGGGAACACACACGGTGCTACTTCTCAGCAGCAACAACACAATACCTATCATCACCACCATGTTGCATCCACTCCTGGCTCGGGTGTATCGCAGGCTCCATCACCGCTCAACTTTCTTGCTGCCGCTTCTGAGTATGCGGCAGCTGGGGGGCTTGACAATGGTGCTGGGAAGAGTGGTGGGTCGGCCGGTGAGGGTGAGACTTCCGATCCAGGCCCCCGCAATGAAAATGTTACAGAAAAAAGTTCTCGAGAGGGTGCAACCACAATGACTGCAACCTCGGAAGAGTCCATTGGAGGGTTTGGTGGTGAGCCAGGGGATTCCAAGAGTAAAGAAAACCAAGAAAAAGGTGACCACCATCATAAGAGTCACTCAGCAGTTGCCCCCATCACCATCTCTATTGCAAGCTCGCTGGGCGACTTGTACGCAGCTACTACAGTTCCGGCCATGGTACCCGAGGGAGCACCTGCGACGCCGGATGACGGACAGCAGGTGACAGGATCTGGCGGGGCGGCGCAGATGCATTCTAACAATGGAACGGTTGCAGCAACAGCGACGACGGTTGGTGAGGGTGAGCGAGTTGAAGTTTCGTCGCCAGGGCATGGCAGTGATTTACATGAACACGCAACAGCCACGGCAGGAGCAACAGGACCTAATGCAAATAATGCAAACAATGCAAACTTTTCAATGTATGACGGTAGTCTGCCGGCAGTTGGATCTGGAGGGGCGTTGATTGAAGAGTATGGGGATTGGGCATATGATGTCAATCTGTTTTACTACAATGACTTGGTGACTTGGTCTTTATGAATGAACGAATGAATGAATAAATGAACAATTATTGAATTAATAAATAAACAATTATTGAATTAATAAATTAATAACTATGGAGAGAAAGAAAAAAAAATAAAAGGGTAGTAAAGAAGATAATTATATATAAATGGATAGATGATTTTTTTGTTTTCAATTTTCAATTTTCATTTTTTTTTTTATTTTTTTTTTTTCCAAATTTTTTTTTTGTTTAAAAAAAAAACTTTTTCAATGCATTTTTTGATTGCTTAAACAGACAAGCCTTGGAAACGGACGCGTTGGCGGGATGCAACCCAAGACTTAAAAGCCCAGACAAGCATGATCCAAGACATTATGAGGGCTGTAACACCGACATTGACATTAAGAACAAACATACCGTCCAGCAAGTTGTAAGCCAAGGCATCGACCGTTTCGCCATTGGATTCCATAAAGATCAAGCCACCGCAGAGTAAGGTGAAAGAAGCAATGACCTCAGTGATAGGGCGCGATGGGACTGTAGACTTTGGAGGGTTAAGGTAAAGAAGAATATAAGTACCGAAACGGAAAAGAGAGCCAACCGTTAAAAGGTACCCCCATTGCATGTGGATAAGTGTGGATAGGGGGAAAGCCTGTTCGTGTTGCGACATGAGAACACCAGTCCAGAAAATGATAAACGTTGGGATAGGGTTGATAGAAACATGGCCAATAAGACCGCTATTTTCATCATCTTCGCAATCATTATTGGAGGTGGAGATGAGGCGATTCACGAGCCGGCGGATCCAACGCGACTCCATAATGAGGCCGCAAATACCACCGCCCAAGTACATAAAGGCAATTGACGCATGCTGCAAGTCTTTGTGGGACCAGTGGCCGTCAGTGTTACCGAGATGCTCCATAAAGACATTGGTAGAGCCGTAAAAGAAAATCAAAAATGACTCAATAAACTCCATAGTGCAGTCCTTAAAGAGATTGGGGAAAAAGTTAACAATGGAGCTGAGAATTCCCGAGGTCTTAGACTCATCGAGACGGGCCTGCATCTGCATGCTCTTCTTCTTCTTGATGGTGTGGGCAGGGTCATGGATAGAACCTGGGGCAATGTTCCAAGCAAAGCCCTTGTCGGCAAAGGCGCCTAGATATCTGCATAGGGTGAGGATACCATAAAGGAAAAAGACTGAGCCTTTAATAAGGTGGGCCAGAATGTTAAAGACTTTACTACCGAGCCCAAGGCGGAAAACGGTAGCCGTACCCAAAACTAGGTAGCCGTAACCAACGACAAAAAGAGGTCTGTTAATAATCATGTAAACAATGCGGGCCACAGAACCAAACTTGTCGACAACTTGGTAAACATGCTTATTGGCCATGATGCGGGAAATGAGTCTGTTTTGGTTAGGAGCAGGGGTTTCAAAAGCTTCAGCGTCACGGGAGGGGAACTGGGCAGCATTAGACGAGGATGCAGCAGCGGTAGAAGCAGAAGACTCATGGCCAAAGAGAGAGAGATCGTCAAGGTCATCATCGTCTTCATTATGGTGGTTAGGCTTGTGCTCTGAGGAAATGGATTCATCGTCGCCAGACGATGCAGAAGAGCCCGAGTCGCCATGACCAGAATCCAAAGAAGGACGAATGAATTGACCACGATTAGAAGACGGATTCAAATTGGCCAAAAGATACTCAGCACCATCCATGGGTGTATATCTAGAAGAGACTGCCCAGTTAGCGAGAGACTTAATGACTGCTGCAACCCAATGAATCAAAGAAATAAACAAGAGAGCAATGGACATTTTCGAGTACGAGTTATTGGGATAAAGGTCTGGGGGGCAAGTAGCACCAAAGATTGCCAGACAAAAGAGGGAGCCGAAAAAGGTGGCAACTTGCAGAGTCTGGACTGGAAGATAAAGAGAGGTAGTAGGAATTGTAGAGAGAAGGACTGAGATTGGGTAGAGAACAGCCCAAGCAGAAATTACGAGAAAGATGTGAGAGTATAAAAAGAACTTGTTGGGAGCATCAGCATTGAAAAAGGTGGTTGTATTGTATAGTTGCCAGTAGGCACGTTGTTGAGGTTCCAGGCTGGGGTCTTCGAGAATATTTTTCCAGTTGTTATGGTGGTGACCTCCGTGCATACTTGCTGGGGAAGGCTCCATATGGGTATCTTTATGTGAAGAATCTTCGTTGTTAGTTGGCATGTCCATTGATTCGGCCATGTTATTATTGTTTGCTGGTGGTTGATTTGGTATGCTGTCAGATGAGGTAGTAGTAGTAATAGTAGTAGTAGTAGTTGATTCCATCATAGACCCGTCCATATGTTTTTTAGAGTCTGAGTTGACATCATTATCATTATCATTATCATCATCATCATCATCATCATCGTCATCATCACCATGTCGAGCTAGCAGGCGAACAAAGTAGCTTGATGAAGGAGCTTGCAGAGAATTTTCGCGTTTTACTATGCTGGATGAAGAAGAAAAGGAAAGTGGCGAGACTAAAAAATCAGGAATGATTGATGCAGTGGAGACAGACAGTAAAGCCGCAAAAGCCGCAACAGTAGCGGTGGAGAACTTCATTGATGGGGAAAAGGAAAGTCGAGGGAATTAAAGATATAGATATGAAGAAGAAGAAGAAGAAGAAAAAAAAAATATGAATATAATAAAAAGGAAAGAAAGAGGAATTCCTGTTTAAAATAAAAAAAATAAATAAATAAATTATATTTAAAAAAAAAAAAATTGAAAGTGAGCGAATAGATTTCAATTTATACTTTTTTTTTTTTTTTTTTTTTCCCACTACCAACATCATCAGAACGCGCGAGCGCGGTGTTGAAGTTCCCGATATTACATAAGCCACAGCCGGATGCCGTTAAAATGCCCGTTTTCAAGTTTTTTTTTTTTTTTTACGCTCAATATATTTGACATTTAAATTTTTTTTTAATTTATAAATTATATTTGAAAAACAAATATTAAAATATATTTAATTTGATTCATCTTTTATATTTTACAAATTAAATATATATATATATAATTTTTTTTTCCCTGTTGAATTGAGTTTGCACTGTGGCGCGCGTTGGGATGTCTGCAAAGACTTAATAGCCGCACGCCGTGACAACCAAAGAAGAAACACAAAAAATAAAAAAATTAAAAAAAATAAAAAAATAAAAAAAAAATTTAAATAAAAAAATAAATAAAAAAATAAATAAAATAAAATAAAATAAAATAAAATGGTCAGACTATATAAGATTTCCTTTTTTTTTTTCTTTTTTGTTTATTAAAATTCTGACCTGATTTAAAATCAAAATAAAGTCCATCTTGCTGATTAAAGCTTTTGTTCTTTCTCTTCTTAATAATTATTATAATAATGTCTCTTTAGATTTAAGAAAAATATTAAAAAAAAAATTCTCTTATAAGAGAATTTTTTTTTATAAATAATTATTTATTTATTTATTTTGTATTTCTTCTTCTTGATACCTAAAACAGAAGTATTTTTTTTTTACTTCTTTTAGATATAGATTGGGGGTGGTACTAAATACTCAAACATCCATCCAACCACTACTACCTTCCATTATTAGCACTTATTTGGAATTTCTCTCTCTCTCTCTTCTAGGAAAAAAAGTTGTTGTTTCCCCTTTGACGGCCTTTGGCACATTTCTTCGGAATTGAATTGAATTGAATTGTTTTTATTTATTTATTTATTTTTTTTTTGGAGGGTATTTAAATAAATAAACAAATAAATAAATATTTAAACAAATCCATTTAATATAATTAATATAAAATTCCATAAATTAACTTCCTATAACCTCTTCTTACCTCTCACCCCATGGGGTTTGCCGTTCCGAACCTAACTTTTGGTTTTTTTTCTCTCTCTTTATCATCATCAACCGTTGATTTTAACTGTTGCGTCATGTAATGTAAATTTTTTTTTTTTTTTGATTTGATTTGACATCACAAACAAACACGCTTTCTTTCTTTCTTTTTATTTATTTATTGCTTTTCGGACCCTCATTTTTATTGCTTTTGCCGTTCCGCACGAGCTCTTTCTTTTATTTTTATTTTTTTCCCCTGCAATTATTTATCAACAACTTGATAATATATACAAATAATCATAATGATGGTTAATAATATTGAACTGTTTTCAGTTTAAACTGCACACCGATACTTTTGTATAAATGATGGAGAGAAAATCCTTGGCAAGCCTTTTTTTTTTCCTTTTCACAAGCCATACAAAAATAACAATAATAAAAATAATAATAATGATAAAAAAAAACGCACGAGGGCAGTAGCAACGAGATCCAAATAAGTCTTAGCAGTGGCACTTCTATGAGGTGAGAAAAAAAAAAAAACAAACAAAAGAAACAAACAAACAAAAAAATTTCTCCGTTTCTTTCTTTTGTCTGCCATTTCTTCTTCAAATTCAGTGTTTCGTGGCTATGGTTGTGGCTATGATTGTCATGGTACCATTATTACTTTGTCAATTCATTTTTTTTTCTTCTTTATGCAAACAATATCTCCTCTTCTTTTACTTCAAATGTAAACTTTTTTTCTTTTTTTTCTTTTTTTGTATCTGACCAATTCTATCATCAATAATCAATAATCAATAATAATAATAATATCCTTTCAAAAATGATAAATTAAAATTTGGGTATTTTTTTTTTTTTAAATCTTGTTATGATTTTCGTTTGTTTCTCTGTTTACCCCACCATTATCCAGATCATCGTTACTAACTTTTAAATTTTGTATAGTAAACAATTGACTAACTTTTTATTGGAGCTTTCCCTCTGTACCAGAATTTACAACCCTTTTAATCATCTTCATGTAACTGATACCTTTATAATTCCCCTTTCCCTGGTGAGGCTATGAAAGATAATTCAAAATTTAGATATCTAAAAAAAAAATTAAAAAAAAAATCCAGAGTATTAAGATACTTTCTACTTTAAAGAATTTCACATTTCTAAATAGCCCCATCATCTGAAATCAAGGTTTAATTCAATTCAATTCAATTCAAATAAAATCTAAGCATGTATGTTCATAGAAAAAAAAAATTTTATTTTGGATATCCACTTTTTCAGCTCTTATTTTATCACCCATTTTTTTTTCCTATCATATCAATTAAGCATTGATTTAAACTCGTAATCCGTTTAACATAATTCTAGAGGTATTCTCATGGGATATTTTTATTTTTTTATTTTTTTTTGTCTTTCTATGGGTTTGCGCGACTTTTTTTTTTATTTTTTTTTTTTAAATTTCCTTTTCTTCGGAATTATTTGCTCACCATGATATGTGCAAATGTTTCTCCACTTTTCTTTTCAATAAAAAAATTTTTTTGTCACTTTCGTATTTTTTCTTTTATTTTTTTTAATTCAAAACTAACCCACTCATCGTCGGATCGGTATTTCAGTAAAACTTAATTCCTGATTCACATCCACCACAAAATGGTAATAGTTTAAAAAGATATCCAATTCCATACTTCACAACCGGAAAAAAAAAAATTAAATAAATCAATAAATCAATAAATAAATTAAAAAAAAAAAAACTCTTCAAATCTCTCAACAACAACTCTTTCATCTTTTTCTTCTTTAAAACCCTTCCATTTAATATGCTTGCTTCTTAATGCGGGTTACTAATCCTGACGCATGGTATGACCGGCTGATGACTGACTTGTTGTCCACCATATTGAGGGGAAAAATGACGCAAAAAAAAAAATAAATAAATAAATAAATTCCTCCGATTTAAACAAACAAAAAAAAAATTTTCCTTTTTTTTCTCTTTTTTTTTTTTCTGTAGTAAACACAAGAAATATAGAGATCTCTCTTAAAAACATTGCCATAAAAGATTGATCCAATATCAACTTGACAGATTCACAAGATTCTTTTATCAGAATTCTTAAATATCACCACATTAGTATCATTCAAAAAAAAAAAAAAAAATCTCACTTCTCGAGGACAAACTTAAAAAAAAAAAAAAAAAAAAAAATAGTTTTCAACGCTAAACTTAAAGAATAATAACATCTCCCCTCCAAAAAAAAAAATGACTTTTCTCACCCCGCCTTTGTTTGTAAATTTGGTATATGTTCCTCTCCACATCACTCAATGGGTATAGGTATCTCTCATGGTATATCTCGTTTTTGGTCGCTCCCAAAAAAAAAAAAAGACTCTTCTTCGAGATTGAAATACTTTATATATAAACCCTCAAGTCCCCGATCTTTCAAACCCCATCAATTCTATCCATCCCTAGAATTTATTTGTGTTTCTCTTTTCTCAATCCCATTTTTCAAGATTTCTTTTTTTTTTATGCTTAAAACTTGCCGTAATGCTCAAATAAATATGCCGCACATGTTTTAAACACCAAGCTTTTTGCTTGGTGCGTCAACCAGCTAACAGTTAGTAGACAACGTACGGTAAGTTCCGACAGACCCTTTTTTCTCTCTTTTTTTCTCTTTTTTTCGTTTCAAGCCTTGTTCAACAACAACATCAACAACACCGCAAAAGCCTCTCCGTTGCAACCGGCAGACTGGTGACCTGCTAGTCCGAACTACCACCGCCAGAGCCTCAGAAAAGTGATTATATAAGCCTTATTAAATCGCCACATGAAAAAAATTATAATAATAATATTAATATAAAAAAAAAAAAAAAGCAATCGCCAACCATCTTCAAATTTTTAAATCCGTGTATGGTGGTGACTTTGTCGATAACGCGCAATCCATTCTAAAGAAAGAAATGATCATTTACAAAGATAAAGAAACACACAAAGATTACCAAAAATTCTTCAATGACTCCACTTTTATCTCCGTTTATTATTTCTTTTTTTTTTCCACTGTGATTAGTTTAAAAAAAATCTAAACTAACCTCTGCGAGTGACCTTTTTTTTTCTTGCTGCCTTGGTTGGAAAACAACGTGATGGATAGTTTGACTAGGCGCGCAATAATAATAACACGCCGAAAAATAATATTATTATTATTATTATTTTAAGTTAACTGCAATGGAGTCTTAAGGAAACAAGAAGCAAGCACATGGCCAGAATAATTACTTGGTTGGTTTGGGTTGTGTGTAATGAAAAGGAAAAAAAAAAATTTTTTTTTATGTTGTAGGCAATGGCTCTAATTTATATATTTTGGGTGATGAGAATTTTAACACTCCAAAAACATGTTTGACTTGGAAAAAAGAAAAACGACCATTTACGACAAAATTTATCTTTGGAAAAAGCTCCAAATTCATATTATAACCCAGGTTTCTATATTAAACTTATTTCTCATAAACTAGAAATACCCAAAGCCCCATTTGCAATATCTGGGAAATGTTAAAGCTAAGTACCCTTTTGTTCCATCATACATTTCATCACAAACCCTCATCAAACTTTCTCAACCAGCTATTTACGCCGCACCATCCTGATCCAGCTACAAGATACCCCGGATTTTCTTTCTTTTTTTTGTAAACTTCAAATTTTAAATAAAATACAAATTTATTTATCAACTTTGTTCTTAAGCTCAATCAATGTCTTGAAAGTATCCTTTACTGTTTCTTCCAAAGTATGATACTTGATACCAAGCAACTCATTCGTAACATGGTTATCAATCTGATACACATTAGGCACCTTGCTGAGTCCAGTGCCGGGCTCTCCCACAGGGATCTTGCCTTGCAACTCAGGGAAATCCTTATTAACAATGTCCAACACTGATTGCAATGAGAAAAATCCGGCCGTCACAAACAGTCTCTTGCCTGCAAGCTCAGGCTTCTCCAATGGCAAAATATGAGCCAGTGCAACATCCCTTACATCAACCCAAATGTGTGGGGTAGAGTTAAAGTCATTGCCATCCTTAGGGTTAAACACACCATGGTACAAAAGCCCGTTTGACGTGTTTAAGCGGTCCACCGATGGCACATCCTGTAGCAATGGCCCAAACACTGCCGGTGGGTTTACCGTGGTGCCCGTAAAGTTAGGCGACTCCTCCTTGATGAACCGCCAAAACTCCTTCTCGGCAAACGTCTTGCTTCCGCGATAACTTGTTGACAAGTCTGTAGTTGCCTGTTCCCATGTAATTGGTGACCAGGTGCTTTCCGAAAACACAGTGCTATGATCATGCAACTTACTAGGATCCAAAATTGCAGCAAACGACGAGGTAATCACCACAGAAGTCACTTGAGGTGCATGCTTCTTAATTGCACTCAAAATGTTTTTGGTGCCTTCCAATGCAGGAATCAAAAGCTCATTGAGTGGATCTTCCTTGGCGGTAAAAAATGGTGATGCAGTATGCAAAACCGCAGTGATTTCCTTGTCTTCTTCCAAAGTTTTGTCAAAAGCTCCAGGAACTCGAATATCCTCCACGATAGCAAGTTCAATTGGTTGACCAGGGAACTTATCCAAAAGATATTGACCCTTGGCTTGAGATCGCACAGTTGCCTTGACGGTGTATCCTCTTTCAAGTAAAAGCTTGAGAGTGTGGATGGCAATGAACCCGGAGGCGCCAGTAAGAAGAACTTTGTTATGCTTGATAGTCATTATTAAGAAAAGTATAAATTGTATTTGAAAATAAGAAAAAGAATTTGGGATTTAATAGAGAAATGAGAAATGAGACAAAAGACAAAAGAGAAAGTATCTGTTTGGGAGAAAAGCTGCCTACTTCTGTTCCTTTTTATAGTCGCTAAGATTGATGCATTTTCCATTACTAATCACATTGCGCAAGCAAAATGTCCGAATTCGTCATACCCATTATTAATTAATTAAATGAGGATTTCCAGAGGAATCTGTTCTCATTATTTGATCACAACATAGGGTTAAAAAAACGGTCTCGAATGATTAAAGGATGTTTTTTTTTTTTGATAGAATTACTTATTATTAAACAAAATGAAATATTAATATTAATCGGCTCATGTCAATCACAAAAAAAAAAAAAAAAAAAAAAAAGATCCTGAATAACTGTTCGAAACAATTGAAGGTTTTGGCTTTTCAAAGCCTTTTTTGTCTTTCTTTTTTTTAAAAAAAAATGAAATTAAAACGGTTTGATTCAGCCGTATTTTCATGTTATCGAAATTTATTTTATAACCAGCTTTATTTATTCAATAAAACATATTAACCCAATGACGTGATAGCAAACCCTGCAAGACAGTCTAAAACCCTTTGTAATACTCTGGAATTGCTTTGTAGTTACATTTTTGTAAATAACTGTAACAAGTCATCATAATTATGATTGCAACAACCATTATAAATTGATGAAAATCTTTTGCTTCAGTTTTACTTGCAATTTTATATCTAAATCCATCGATACCTTAGCTATGAAAAATTCTCAATGGACTTACCTATAGCATTATTTTTAATTTGTATTAAACCTGGCCCTCTGTTAACTATTTTTAAACGCTTAAACAAATAAAATTTACCAAAAGTATCTTAATAAACCATATCCATAAAAATTTCTATCTTCAAGTCTGATGAAAACCATACACCCATTTTGACCATCATGATTTCTGTAGTTGTAGCAACAAAATGATTCAAATTTTTATTTAATACCTAAAATTGATTTATGACGCCTAAGACATTGCCATCCCTTACCTATCCCTTGCAGATTACCCGATTTCTATTTCAAGAAATAGAATTTCAATTCACACTCAAAGTTTCAAACACTTTTGAAAGTTTTTTTAAATCCATGGAAAATAAAATTTAAAAAAAATTACATATTCTAAATAAAACATTAAATCATTAAAATTGGTATATAAAATTTGGGTCGTTTAAATCTTTTTTTAATTTCTGTATAGTAGTTAATATTATTGACAATGGGACTCGAATGAAAAAGAGGCTTATGAAAAATGTATGAGAAAATTTATTCCCAATGTACATCTAGTTTTGATCTTGAATTTAGATCAACAAGGCAACAAGGGCAGCAAAGCCAGCCAAGATAGTGCTGGCAGCAACGGGAGCAGCTGCGTTCACAGCAATTTGGCTGACACTAGAGGAAGAAGAGGCCTGGGCAACACCTGAGGTTTGAGTGGTGCCGGAAGAAGTACCATTGGTTTTGGAGCCGGAGCCGGAACCAGAACCTGAGCCAGAGCCTGAGCCAGAGCCAGAGCCAGAGCCTGAGCCAGAGCCAGAGCCAGAGCCAGAGCCAGAGCCAGAGCCAGAGCCAGAGCCAGAGCCAGAGCCAGAGCCAGAGCCAGAGCCAGAGCCAGAGCCAGAGCCAGAGCCAGAGCCAGAGCCAGAGCCAGAGCCAGAGCCAGAGCCAGAGCCAGAGCCGGAACCTGAACCAGAACCACTACCAGAACCACTACCAGAACCACTACCAGAACCAGAACCAGAACCAGAGCCTGAGCCGGAGCCTGAGCCGGAACCAGAACCTGAACCTGAGCCAGAGCCGGAACCTGAACCTGAACCTGAACCTGAGGCTGATGCTGATGCTGAAAGGGTCTTAGTTACAGTTCCCGATGGGCCAGCAGAGTATGATACGGTACCAGACGGGCCAGCAGAGTATGAAACGGTAAAAGTGCCAGATGGTCCTGCAGAAACAGTAACGGAGACAGTACCAGAGCCCGAACCAGAGCCTGAGCCTGAGCCAGAGCCAGAGCCAGAGCCAGAGCCCGAACCAGAACCAGAGCCACTACCAGAACCAGAGCCAGAGCCGGATCCAGAGCCACTACCAGATCCAGAACCTGAGCCAGATCCAGAACCTGAGCCAGAGCCGGAACCTGAGCCAGAGCCGGAACCTGAGCCAGAGCCAGTACCTGAGCTTGAAGCTGAAGGACCCTTAGTGCTAGTAGTGTAAGTGATAGTCTCGCAAGGTTCAGTCACTGTAATTGTTTTTCCACCTGAGGATGTAGTGTAAGTGGTGTAACGAGTAGAAACTGAGCCAGATCCAGAGCCTGATCCAGAGCCTGAACCGGAACCGGAACCGGAACCTGAGCCTGAGCCTGAGCCTGAGCCTGAGCCTGAGCCTGAGCCTGAGCCAGAACCTGAACCTGAACCAGAGCCACTACCAGATCCTGAGCCAGATCCTGAACCAGAGCCAGAGCCACTACCAGATCCTGAACCAGAGCCACTACCAGATCCTGAGCCAGATCCAGAACCAGAGCCAGAGCCACTACCAGAACCTGAGCCAGAACCAGAGCCAGAACCAGAGCCAGAACCAGAACCAGAACCAGAGCCAGAACCAGAGCCAGAACCTGAGCCACTACCAGAACCAGAGCCAGAACCAGAGCCTGAGCCAGAACCTGAGCCAGAACCAGAACCAGAACCAGAACCAGAACCAGAGCCAGAGCCACTACCAGAACCAGAGCCAGAACCAGAGCCTGAGCCAGAACCAGAGCCACTACCAGAACCAGAGCCAGAACCTGAGCCAGAACCAGAGCCAGATCCAGATCCAGATCCAGAGCCAGAGCCAGAGCCAGATCCAGAGCCAGAGCCACTACCAGATCCAGAGCCAGAGCCGGATCCAGAGCCACTACCAGATCCAGATCCAGATCCAGATCCAGAACCTGAGCCACTACCAGAACCTGAGCCAGAACCAGAGCCAGAACCTGAACCAGAGCCTGAGCCGGAACCGCTGCCAGATCCTGAACCTGAGCCAGAGCCGGAACCTGAGCTTGAAGCTGAAGGACCCTTAGTGCTAGTAGTGTAAGTGATAGTCTCGCAAGGTTCAGTCACTGTAATTGTTTTTCCACCTGAGGATGTAGTGTAAGTGGTGTAACGAGTAGAAACTGAGCCAGATCCAGAGCCTGAGCCTGAGCCTGAGCCTGAGCCTGAGCCAGAGCCAGAGCCAGATCCAGAGCCAGATCCAGATCCAGATCCAGAGCCAGAGCCAGAGCCAGATCCAGAGCCAGAGCCACTACCAGATCCAGAGCCAGAGCCGGATCCAGAGCCACTACCAGATCCAGATCCAGATCCAGATCCAGAACCTGAGCCACTACCAGAACCTGAGCCTGAACCAGAGCCAGAGCCTGAGCCAGAGCCTGAACCTGAGCCACTGCCAGATCCTGAACCAGAGCCTGATCCTGAACCTGATCCAGAGCCTGATCCACTACCAGATCCACTACCAGAGCCTGATCCTGAACCGCTGCCGGAACCAGAACCAGAGCCAGAGCCAGAACCAGTAATAGTTTCGCATGGCTCAGTTACGGTAACAGTCTTCCCACCAGTAGTAGTGGTGGTGTAAGTAGTGTAACGGGTAGAGACAGAGCTTGAACCAGTTGTAGCTGCAGTATTCGTAGCACCAGTAATTGGAGGAGTCGAAGTAAGAACCGATGTGCTTACACTTGAAATTGGGCAGGTGGTCACAGTAACAACTTCCTTGCAAATATTGCTTTCACACTTGGTGATAGTGAGAGTGCTAGTAGTATATCCACTAGCAACTGAGCTAGAAGTAGTTGCAGGAGTAGTGGTGTTCTGGAAAGTGAAAGCAGATGCGGATTGAGCAAGTGCTAGAGCGCTAATCACAGATCCTGTGGAGAATTTCATTGTAAATCTGAAGTTGTATTAATGAGAAACGAATGACTATAAATTAAAAATTAAATGCTTAAGAAACGAATGACTATTGAATTGATAGATCAATAAGTTGATGAGAAAAAAAAAAAGAAGCGAAAAAAAATTTGAAATTCTGAGAAAAAACGCCGATATTTATATTAGTAAAAATACAGCTGAATTTCTTTCAAAGTCAAATTATAACTTCAAAATATGTTTGCCTTCTCTGTTTAAAGCCATGCAGTTATTAAACGAAATTTTCATAAATTGCTTTTTTATTGAAAAAGCTAAATTCATTTTTGACTTAAATTTTCTAACGTAAATTTCTTTCTTTAGAATCCTAATTTTTTTTTTTTTTTGACCCTCAATGTGAATTTTTTTTTTTATTTAAGCTCATCGCGCCAAATCTTAATCAGAAAAAAATTAAAAGAAAAGAAAAGAAAAAGAAATAATGAAAATCGTTATTTAGATCTTTTAGACTGCATAAAACAAGTAGGAAGATAGCACATGTCTATTGTATTCAATTATTCAAATCACGCTTAATCTTGCAATAATTTGCAATTTTTCTAGATTTTTAAAATCATCATTGCAAAAAATAATGATATTCAAAACAAAATTCAAAGTTTTTGTTGATGGCTTTACCTCTTCATTCTTTTTACTCTCTAAGGGTATTACTTAAAAGATTTAAATTTAGTAGACTTCAAAACCGGTTTAATTTTTTTGTAATTACTTTAGAATTATAATTCTAACGTCGATCAAATTAATGGCATGACAAAAAACAATATTTTTTTAAAAGATCTTTGTTATTTAAAAGCATTGAATAGAACAAATTAACAACTCTTGTTAACAAAAGAGCTCAATTTTTTTTATTTTTTAGTATCTTTATTGGCTTTCCAATTCGAAAACTTGAACACATAAAGCAAACGGTTTAACTGATTATGTTACGTAAATGATTTTGTTCAATTCTCATAACCAGAGACCCTGCAGATTAAAACTATGGGCTCCTTATTCAAAACTTTATTTATTTCGTATTTTTCAAAAATATCGTCCTTTTTCTTTCAAGAATGTGGCCAAAGAACACAGGGTTTATATTGAACGTTGTTTGTGAATATTAGCTTACATTTTTTGTGTTTTTTTTTGTAAAAATGGCTACTAATAATCTAAATTTGATGAGTTTTTTGGCTAAATTTCATCATTTTTTTATTTTACATATCTAAGAATTGAGAGTTTTGCATTAAAAAATAAAAGAAGATCAACAACTGGCCCTCAAATTGGTCATAGGTTTTTAAAAAAAATATCTATATATTCTTGAATCCAAGATGAAAAATGTATATAAATCTTTATAAAAGTGTTTTAATCTCATTAAATTTTTAATATTGAATAAAAGATAGTAAATTTTTCCTATTTATTCATAATTTTTTTGGTTTAAAACTTGCTTTAAACTTAGTTAAGTCATTTGCTTTTTTCTATTTTTATGGTCTTTGTTTTTCGGTTCAAATCTTTTTTCAATTTCTTTTTTATAATTATGGAACGTGTTTTTGAAATTTTATTATTGGATTTCTAGTCTGAATCATTACATCCATCCCCTTTCCTAATTTACTGAATATACTTTTCACAAAGCACTCCTGTTCAAACTTAAACTAAGCGCTTCACACTCTTTTTTTCGGTTGTAAATTCGCATATATTCAAAATTTTTGGTAATCGTGATCAAGGTTTTGTTCGCTTGCTAATAAAAACCAAGAAAATGAAATGTTAAATGGATGGATAGGTTGAGATTCCAGGTTCAACTATTGCTAATTAGCCTATGCTGTGGAAAATAAACAAATTTATTAAATCATTTAAATCATATAATATTTATTCTAAAAATCCTAACTATTGATTATAATCGGCTTTTTAAAAAAACTATTAATTAATAGTTTTTTTTTAAAATATGAAAGATATTAATTAATCTCTTTTATAAGCTTGATGGCATATACTTCATGTCTTATCAATTCCTAGATATTAAAATATTTAATTGCACCATAATTACACATTTTCTCACTTTTATCACAAATATTTTTATAAAGTAATGGATCATGATTTTAATTTCTATGTTCAGCGCAAAACTACAATGCGTATTCCGTGTGAGAAAGAATATTATTTTCAATTGATGAGGATAGTAAATGATGATTGGTTGGTTATGAGTAAATGATTTCTATGAAAGATTTCCCTACATAATGTGAACTATTAAAAATCTCTGCAAAAAAAGTCAAAGTCTCCTCTGATTTGCGTTATAAATAGATATTTCAAGTGACGCGCCTAATGAAAAACAAGAGTGGGGAAAATGCCCCAGAAATATTTCGAGCAAGGCTTACCGCAGGGGATGAAAAAACTTTAAACATGACAGATGGGACTCGACTAATAAGGGTGAATTTAGTTTCTTGTTATCAGGAGTAACTACTTTTGATAATTACCAGTATAGAAAAATGTATAAAAATTTTGCAAATATTAACGACTTGAGATCAATTATTCTTTGGCTAGATTGATGCAGTGTTCAAATTTATTTTTTTCTTGTTTTTAACGCCGCTGTTTAAACATTGTTTTACATTTAAAAAAAATAGCGAGAAATTTTCTGGGAAATTTCTTTAGGCAGTTTCCTTTTCAGCAAAAAAAAAACAAAAATAAAAATTAGCTTTATCAAAACAGACCTTTTGTCAATTCATTCCTTTTTAATTTATATTAAAAATAAAGTAAAAACTATAACTTAACAGCGGAAGAGACCTATGGATACTTTGTTATCTTTAGGATACCCAGGCCTTAATCATTCATAAATATTTTCCAAAGTTTTCAGAACATTGGTATGCGACCTTTGGACAAGACTTAAGAATGATTGTGTTTAAACTTTCTTTGATCTAATTCAAAGATCATTCTTTAACCCATGTTTTGGTCTCGGGATTCTATTAACTTTCTACATTCTTTGAAGCACTTTATTTCAAGGAAGTTTTTAGGATATGGTTCTCAAAGTTCCAGCGTCTAAGATTCAATAATGCTACTTTTCCATGCTACTTTCTATTTAGCTGCGCATATTGAAAAAGTTGTTTGTTACATTTTAAAGAGTTCATATAAGTCGTATAATTTGGTCAAAAGGATAACTATATAGATTGAAAATAAAAATATATTTTTTTTATTTTCATTTTCATTTTCAACTGCTTTATTGCCATTTAATGGTTTTAATATCACCAAATGTTATAAGTATATCTGATTAAAGCGGCTGATTTGAGAAAATTGAATTAACAGATATATCTGTTAATAGTACTCTGTTGTTTTATTTTATAAAACTTCAGTTTTTGCAGCACGTTGATTGTTGATTGAACTACAGCTGTTAAATTGTCTTAATTTAATTGCAAAGTTTTTTAATATCGGAATTCTAGCACTTCCATAAAATAATGGATATTAAATTTTTTTATCATTGTTGTCCATTGCTTTTCTTTTTATCATCCATAAAAAAAATATGTTATTACATTGAAGGTTTTTAAAAAAAATATAAGTACCATTTTAAAGGCGGCAAATAAGAATGAGAAAGTTAAGTTGTTTCCAAAAATATAAACATGGCGGCAATTACAATTTAGGGTATCCTTTTAACGATAACTTTATGATTCAGCAAAAAAAATTATAATGCTATCAAAACTCTAGGGGCTTGGATCATGTATAATAATGAATTTTACCTATCTTGCATCTAACTTTTATAAATCATGAATTATTCAAGTCTGGAAATTGGAATGGTAATTTTGATAGGTAAATAGTGATTACCTTGTTTACTTTTCTTATTTTTAAATTTGAGGTGTTTTTCAATGTTAATAGTACCTGCTAAGTAAAAAAAATTAATGGTTATAACAACTTATATTTAAGGTAAAGATGTAATATATAAATTTAATTGTTATTTTATTGATCGTTTTTTAAAGCATGAAAGAAGAAATTATTATTGAATATCACAATTGTTGATATGTATTAATAAAAAACCAAATAATTGCTTTATAAAGTTAATTAACTTCAAGCTTGGTTTAAGTCTAAACTTTTCAATAGCACAGTTTGTAAAATATATTAAAATATTGGAATGATTTTTTTCATTTATTTAATAAAATCTTAGCAATACATGACCTTGAAATGTGTTCAGTCAGTATTCACTTTGTCATATAAGTTCAATGAATTGGTACTAAATCACTTTATGCCGGTATTACTGGTAAATAAATAGAAAAAAAAAAAAACAGGACTTTTAAATTTTGATCTCAAGTCATTCAACATGGTTAATTGAGCCTATAATGTTGTTCAAATAATATCATTAGAAGAAAGAAAAATCAAGAAAAGTCTTTACAAGATTTAACAAATCGTTTTGCATGATTCGAACCAAGTTCGAACCACTTGATCACCCTTTTAAGTAATTTCCGGAGTGAAAGATATTCCCGGTAAATGCTTCGGTATAATGATTTACAGAAATATTACAAATGATTACAAATTCACACATAATTAAGTTAACACGGCTGAGAAATCAAATGACAATAAAACCAACTGATATGTAAACAGCCCACCTCTATCATACATTTTCTTTTTTTGTCTTTCTTCTATATTCTTTATTGTTTAGTCAAAGTTTACTTTTTAAAGGTTTTTCGTATTTTATTTAACACTAATGTCACTAAGAGAGTTGGTAAAGACTTTGTCCAATAAGGACTCTCAGACCAAAAGTCTTTCAAATATCGCGGTTCTTCTCCAAGATGGTAAGTTTCCACAGGAAGTTTTTAGTGTTACGTTAGTGTTCTAATTTCGAACTTAATAGAAAAAACACGAGCATCAACAGATGCTACCGACGCCCTTATCAAGGCAATTCGAATTTTCAGAGAAACACGCACCCATTCCGATACTTCTTCCCTAAATCTGGCCCAAGGAGTTAATGATCTTAATCTGACCAAAAGTGTCGATAGTAGTAAATCATCTGTTTCCACCTTTTCTTCTACTGAAAAAGGTAACATCGTCATCCCTACTTACACATTTGACAGTTCGTCTATACCGCTTCAGTCTGAATGTTTACGTGTTATCTGCAATGCTATTGCAGATAATTCACACAACCGATTCCAAGTTCTTGAGCACCCAGAGTTTTTAATTATTGTTTTACAAGATTTGATTAATGGTAATGGTCCTGTAGATTTTAGTAATAAAGAATTGGCAGTACTAAGTAATCTTGTCAATGACTTTAATCCTGGCTCTAAATACCTAGCCGGATCAGAGCTTGCAGCTGAAGCGATCATGGCACAGCTTAAGTTGTTTGTTACAAATTATCAGGTTAACTTAGCGCTGATTATCGACTTACTTTATGAAATTCTAGACCAGGAAGACGGCTCTAAGTTTTTCCCGACAGATTTTGTGGCGGTAGTTATGGAAGTTTCGTCTCTGGAAATGGACAATATTAATTTGCCCGAAAAGAAATTCGAACTTGTCAGAAAAGACGGTGCTGACATTTCAGCTATATTGATCAAGTTCATTGAAACAGATCCCAGATTTGAAGAATATTTTGCTCGTAATCACGAGCATTTGACTGAACTTATTATGCTTGGAATTAAAGCCAATCCTATTATTCAAGATTTGGAAAAGTTTCCCGATATGACTCGACGCCTTCTTGCTGCTATTGGTAACATATCTTCGCACCCTATTTTCCAAGAAACCGTTCCAATTTCTAAAAGTGACGTTGTTTTTAATTTTTTTGCTCAGCATTTGAAAGAAAAGCCTTCGCATCCAGGCCTTGCAATCATTTATCAGGGATTAAGTCTTGTTGTCTTTGGAAATCTGATTACATCTACTGAAAAAGTAGATGCATTCCTGGATGAGATTCCTGATGCAGTGGAAGTTGCAATGGACTATTTATCAGCCGAATCTGATCCATATGCTTTACAAGGCTCACATTTTATCAAGAATGTGACTGTTGGTAATCCTGATGTATGTGTGAAAGTGCTCAAGCACGGTGGGTTGGAATTGATTCAGAAACTTGTTAACAATTCTCTTTTTGCCAACCTACGACTTATTGGCGTACAAATTTCAAAGAATATATTCCACTCTTATCGCCACAAGGTTATCTCACCATACTGGACTGCACCAATAATTCCTGTACTTGTCAAGACCTACAAAAAAGAAGATAAGCAAATTGTTCGAAACGAAGTAATTTTTGCATTTGATGCTGGTCTTGAAACAATTCGATTGTTCTTCAAGCTTGATACTGAAGAAAAAGAGAGCGCATTGTTACAGGATCAGTCTGCCCGAAGAATTGAACTTATAAACCACGACAATGTCGAGATTGGATGCATTTTGATTCATTTCATGCATACAATTTACCAGGGTCTATTGACTGTTGACAAGTATGTTGTTGACCCGTTGACTTCAATCAAATGCAGCAAGTCTTTGGGGCTTCTTTCGACGTTTCAAAAGTTTTCAGATGGATCTAGCATCCATGAATCTGAAGATTTCCCTCTAATTTTAGAAGGGGTGATTTCCAAAAATACAGACAATTATAAAATGTACCATGAGTACTTGGTTGACATTTTAAGCAAGTTCAGCACCAAGTTAAAAGAGATTGAAAACGGAGGACAAGAGTCTGGTACTATTAGCCGCAAAGCAAGTACATGGACCTTAAGCCCATCAACCACCAACAATTCGATTTCTAGCGAATTCCCAGGTCAGGCACCTATTCACCACCACAGCTATCGGGGGATTATTAATAACATTGGTTTTTTGGGATCTCATGTTCGGAAATGGAAGAGTGCTGATGAAGAACTTATTAAAGCTGCCAATATTGCTATCCGCAACACTCTGTAGTCCTTAGTTATTGCAGGTTTTTCATATTAATCATTGTGTATTTTTAATTAAAAAAAAAAAGAGTTATTGAAAGAAAAAAAAAATTAATTCATGTTCATTACTTTCATACATTAAACCATTTATATGATGGTCTCTATTTCTCTAGCATAATCAAGACATTCGGCAATGATGACTTCAGATGGATTAGGCAAGGCTGGTGATCCAGAAGCCGCAGATTCATCAATGTCCTGGTTCAGTTTGGAAGAAGCGACGTTTGTAGAGCTGCTTCCTGGAGAGACAATGGATGTGGCTGCTGCAATTTCGTCTTGGTTTTCAAATGAGGGGAAAGAAACAGTCTTCTTAATCTTATCAATGACCCAGCCGGGTTGGCCTTGAGCAAACTCAATGAGCTCGTCATCGGAATCGAGGTAAAGGAGATGACGGGCATTGTCAATGGGGAGAGATACATAAGCGCATTCAGCAGAGCGTGCAATTTCGTCGCGGACTGTGTAGAGCAGAGACTCACCAAGTATACTAAACTCTGGAGCAGGGACTTGAGAAGAGTCTGTGATGGCCTTCCAGACCTTGTGGTATGAGCCCTCCATAAGCCAACGCTCGAGAAGAACGGGATAGCGAAGGTATGTATTTGACTCGAGGATTTCCTCAATAGGGGCTGCGGGAGAAGCTGCAGTTGCTGCGGCAGTTGCTCCATCTGGACGAAGAGTAGAAAGAGTTTCAAGCTCTGTGTGGAACTCTGCAATCTTATTTTTGGCGAGAAGAAGGAGCAGATAAAGAGCCATAATCTTATACTGATTGTCACTGGGCGGCAGTAGGGCTGGCTGACCTGAAGGTGAACGGTAAGTGGTATTATAAAAAAAAGGATGAATTTGAGAAATTAAGCGAGAAAACTCGTCTTCGTTACGCAGGTAAATGGAGGTAAAAATGCCTTTTTCCAAAATGTCGCGCGTGATGAGAAGATCTGACACGTTGGACAAGTTCTTTTTAGGGACCAGCAGGCCGTGCTTGGCCAACTCCAGCTTAATTTGAGGCAGAAGCTTGCCAGCAACCTCATACTGTGAATTGTTAAAAGCAGCGTTGAACTGTTTCGTTAATTGTTCCAGAGACATTGTAAAATGAATTGTTGTTTTTTGAAGTGAAATGTGTAGATTGAAAAAATAATATTGGCAGGTATACGTTTTGGCAAGGAGATGGCAGTGGCAAAAAAAAAAACGAGAATGGCCTTGGTGGTTTGGAGCGAGAAAGTAAAATATATCACGTGAACCAAAAAGTAAAGTTGTCATGTGATTTGTAACATTTTATATTGTAATGTCATATAAATTGTTCACACGGGTCTGTGAGGTACTGTGGATTAGTATGAGTGGGCTACTCCTTATGGCAATTAAAAAGAACCTCCAACCCAACCGACCGGTCATTATTCGCGAAACAGAAGCTTCGGAACTGTGAAAAAACTTCCAAACACCAAAGTAAACCACCAGTAAACAATCTATTTTTTTTTTTTTTTTTTTTTGGCTTGTGAAAATCGCGAGATCCAGCTTAACCCATTTCATTCTCTTTCCTCCCCTGAAGTTCTATTCTTTATTAAGAAAAGCCACAATTATGAACAAAATCATACCATAGAGTGAAAGCTCTACAAAGGTTTTACAGATTAAATCAGGCTAGAAAATTAATATTAATAGGAAAGAAGAAGTCTGTTGATTTAAAGAAACTACAAAGAGACAAGAAAAAAAAAATGAAATAATCAAAAGCCACAAACCATGGTCTCTGTTTAAGTCCTATTGAAAAAAAAAAAAAAAAATTTTTTAATGAGGCATGATAACAAGGTCTGGTTATACTACCAACTAGTCAACTGAGCAGTAAATCCAACCGATAAGGCATCTGTGATTGATTTCATGACATTAATTTGTATAATCTGTACCATTGTGGGGATTTTGAGAAAGTAAACTAGCCCTTAGCTGGCTAGAAATGTTGAACAAAAAATTAAAATATTTTAAGCTTTGTGGCTTGACAAGTTAAACTTAATTAGCGAAAATCAAATCTTGTAATTTTTGAATTTTTTTTTTTATTATTATTTTATTTATTTATTTTTTTTATTTTTTAAAAATCATCACATATCATTAAAAAAAATCATGCAAAAGTTGGTCATCACTTAAATAGTAGTAAAAGTAAATAGTAATTAATAAGTGTTAAAAAAAATAGCAATAGTAGTAACTTTCATTAATTTTTTTTTTTTAAATTACCAACTCACAACATCCAAGTCATCAGTCTCGGCTTCGCCAAAAAGCGAACTTTTGCCGATTGTACCGATTTCTTCTTCTTTCCAAGGAATACCTTCCCGATTTAAAATATCTGGAAGTTGTTCTTTCAAAAAGTCCACAATAAGTCTGTTGATTTCTGCAAATTCTAACAAAAATGCGTCGTGACCTTCAGGTGAACGAATTTCCTTAAGAACTGCGTTTGGAATGTGTTGTGCAATGCGTTGCTGCTCTGAAAATGTAAAAAGACCGTCAGACGAAATACCAATGACGAGTGTGGGTTGCTTAATCATGGCCAGAGCACGATCAATGTCGTCTCCGCGGCCACGCGAGACGTCGTGACTGTCAAGTTTTCGGGTGATGGCAATATAACAGTTGGCATCAAACCGTTGCACAAACTTGCTCCCCTGGTATCGCAAGTAACTTTGCGCGGCGAAAAAGCTATTAAGGGAGTTTTTCTTACGGTTGCCGATAGGTCCGTTGAGCGGGATTGTGGATGCAACGGGAGAAGATGGGGCTGAAGGTTGTGTTATAGCAGTTTCCTGGGATTCGACGGTTGCTGAAGTTACAACAGTACTATTGCTATCGGAATCGGCATCCGACGATGGCGAAGGAGAAAGTTGGACAGCTCCAGCAGCAGGCTCTAATGCAGGAATGGAAGTAGCAGAGTTACTTGGAGAGAGAGATGCGGGGCTCTGTTGAGGAGATGCTAATTTTTTACCGTGGATATTTCCGTGGTTGTGGAGAGCCCAGTTGAGCTCCAGGTTCGATGAGGGTTCTCTAATGTGGGTATTGTTTGTGACGACGCGGCGGTCATTAGGGTCGGGCACTTTGCGGCCAAACTTGGTTTCAAATGAATTTCTGGAACGGTATGTAAGCATGGCGGCCATGCGCGCAGCGCCGAGGCCGACAATAGGAGGGTCATCAAAAGAGTAGTAGCCCTCATTATACTTGGGGTCTGAGTAGATGGACTGACGTTGGGTTTCACCCCAGGAAATTCCCCAGGCGGAATGTGAAGGACTTGTAGCCAAAGGGACAATAAGACGGACATATTCAGGGCCATAGTAAGCGTATTCAAGTACCAGCATTCCACCCATGGAGCCACCAATAACAGCTGCGATAGAAGTGATGCCCAGGTCATCGAGAATTAAGCGGTGGATACGAACATCATCGCGGACTGTGACTAATGGAAACTCAGGTCCGTAGTATTCCCCAGTGTCTGGGTTTAGTGTGCATGGGGAGGCCGAGCCATAGGGTGATCCAAGCGAGTTGAGGCAGATGATGAAAAATTTTGTTGGGTCGAATGCACGGCCAGGACCAAGCAGAGGTCCCCACCAGTCGCTAACATCCGATGAGCCTGTCAGAGCATGACAGATAACCATGACATTGTCGCGAGCCGCGTTGAGTTCACCCCAGGTCTTGTAAGCGACAGGGACATTGTGAAGGACGTCTCCGCATTCGAGTTCAACCTCTGGAACAATAGCAATAATTTGGTTGTTGACGAGTTTCGAAAAGGGGTTTTCAGGTTCGGAGGTGACACGCTCTAGAGAAATGTTAATTGAGGGATCAAATGATGACTGACGAGAGAATGATGATAGTAACATACTGTACTTCATGGCAGGTGGCGGCAGGCTTGTAGGAGTCACGGTTGAAACCGTCGTAGTGGAGGTTTGAGTGGTCATAAGATAAATTAATTTATATATATTGTTTGTCTTTTGTGATAGTTTTTAATGTTTTATTAATAAGTAGATAACGGAAGTTGTTTTTTTTTTTTTTGAAAATGGGTCAGGGCAATCTGTGGGAAAAAGTGTACAAAAAAAAAAAAAAAAAAAAAAAAAAAATAGAAAGCAGGAGGGAACTAGGTGAATATTTATATGAACTGAATTACCCAAATTAGGGAACCGACCGAGCGGAGACTTTGGACTACTAGATTTTGAGCGTGGCTTGCAAATTGTTTGGGGAAACAGAAGACCCGGGCTGACTGTTTTGGCTGGAATTTCTGGCTATTTTGGCTTGTGGGAGCCCAAAAATTTTCACATCACTTGAAATGACGACATTTTGAGTGACTAAGCAATTGGCGGTGTGGAAAAGGGAGAGAAAAAAAAAAAAAAAGAAAAAAAGAAAAAGAAAAAACCGTTGAGATGATTAAGCATTTATGTAATTTCAAATTTTCCACTCAAACACACAATAATCATCACCACCACTATTAAACTAAAACCGTTCCTTTAGCTGGGCACAAAACAACGCAAAAACTCCATTCTTACGCATCGCCAACTAGGGCAGATCAACTTCTCTCTCCCCCCTCAAAATAAACTCAAAATGGCACGCCCCAAAACTCTGATCCCACCGGCAAAATGCTATATTTCTACTGGGGTTTGCCCACTGGTCGACAACTTTGATCAACAGCAGCAGCAACAACAACAACAAACAAACTCTGCTGCTCAGCCGTCCTCAAATACAGCTGCTCCATCAAAACTGCCGCGCAGACAACACAAAGTACCGCGCACCATCAACACGCACGGCTTTGCTAATTGTGCACGTTTGGTCGTGCCTACAGCGGTTTTAGAAGCTTCAGCAGAGAATGTCATTGACAATGGACCCGTAATCTTCTATTACCGATTGCGATGCACTCTTGGCGACATTCTGCTATCGAACTTTGTTGCATCTTATATCAAAACAAGTATGAATTTTAAGCTTCTTTTTAACCAATAAAATAAAATAAATAAAATTGTGACAAACATAAACTAACCAAGTCATAGATTCTTGCATACTTATATCAGAAACAGCACTCGATCATCAAGACGTTTATGCCATCACAGACGGAAAACTTCACATGGCTCTGCAGCGCGAAACATTCCAACGCGCAGGCCTCACTCACTCACATGTTACTCGACCCACTACAACATCTCCAGCATACCGGCTAGAGTACGATCTGCGAGACCCACATAGCGTGGCCGGGGATTCAGGCTCTGCAAGCTACAATCGGCTACTATGGGCACTCACAAATACGCTGACAGACGCTACGCGTGACGTGCACACATTTTCGCTAGTAACGTTAAACCAAGCAGGAATGCCTATAGAAATGGATTATGCCTTGTGCCGGCACTTTGATGCGTTGGCGACTGCACGAGGCGAAAATGGATTCTTTGAAGCATACGACCTGGTCCCGTCTATTGTACCACTTTCTAGTGTTATAGTCCCACGGTTTGTCCCACCAACAACTACATTCACAGAACCACTATCGCGCGCTCAGGATTTTTATAATGACCAGTCTCTCGCTCCCAGGACTTTACCACTACCGGCAGATATGACGCAGAGCATTGTGCAAGAGTGGGCCCTGGAGCTAGCCGAATGGGTGGCTCTGCTAGAGTTGGGGTCAGACCAAGTATTGAGCTCAAATGGGGCAGCAGGTGTTGACTCGCATCTATCATCGTATTCCGTACCAGAACCAAGACACATTGATCCAGTTGATGTGTCGGTTGTGACGTGGGATGGAGGTCTTATTCCACCTCAGGTCGTTGCCCGTGCTTGGTCTCAGCTCGTGCAGACTGCAAGCACAAGAGATATTCCGTGGTGGGCCGCACTGACGGTCCACGGGGTGCGGGATGCTCCAGTTTCTTGGGCATCCAAACCTCACAATGTTACACCAAACGGTGGAGAAAATGATTACACTTTGTTTAAACTAGAAGACAGTAATCAGGAAAGTTATCCCTTTCTGCTGCTGCAAACCCTTGATGCCAGTGATCCATAGACTAGTTTTTTTTATCTGCATTTTTTTTTTGTTATTTCTGTTATATGTACAAAACACACTTTTTTTTTTTTTGTTTTTTTGTTTTTAATCATTCATCATTTTTAAAAGTTTGAAATCTTCTTAATATTGATACCGGCGGAAGCATCCTTGTCTTCCTGCTCGCTCTCCTGGCGAGCCAAATCCTCATCGACTTGTTCCTCGACAAAAGTTTCAGAGTCACCATTGTTTGCTAATGCAATTTCCTCAGGAACACCACCAACGACACCACTAATCTTATCGTCTTCCTCATGCTTTTCCAAAGCAACAGGCTCGTACTCCTCAAGCACATCCTTAGCCTGGGCCTTGAGAAGTTGGCTCAGGGCTGACTCCGGGTCAGCAATGAGCGAGTTGAAGCTGCCAACCTCGGCAACAGTGCCATCGCTGCCGACAACAATGATTTGATCACTGCGCTTAATGGTCGACAGGCGGTGGGCAATAGAAATAGTAGTTGTGTTCTTTTCGTCCATGAGATTGACGAGAGCCTCGTTAACGGCTGCCTCAGACTCGGAATCTAGCGCAGAGGTAGCTTCGTCAAGAATCAAAATGGATGGGTTCTTGATAAGAGCACGTGCAATGGCAATGCGTTGTTTTTGGCCACCACTGAGCTGGGCGCCGCGTGCTCCCACTGCAGTATCGAGACCCTCAGGGAAATCGGAGATAAAGCCACAGTTTGCGCGTTTTGCAGCCATGTAAATCTCCCCGCGAGAGGCATCAGGTCTGCCGTAAGAGATGTTTTCAGCAATGGTTCCACTGAAGAGCACAGGCTCTTGGGATACAACACCGATCTGGCGACGCAAGCTCTTAAGGTTCAGGTCGCGAATGTCATCGTTACCAATGCGAATGGAGCCGCCAGTGGGATCGTAAAAGCGCAGCAAAAGCGATGTCACAGTGGACTTACCACTACCAGAAGGACCCACGACACAAACATTGCTACCAGAAGGGATCTGGAAACTCAGGTCGTTGAAAATGGGGACGGCAGGTCGCGTTGGGTAAGAAAATTTGACGTGTTCAAAAGTAATTGTTTCACGAGCCTGAGTGAGCTTCTTGCCAACAGTAGGCTTGATTGAGGGCTCTCTATCCATGAGCTCAAACAAGCGTGAGGCGGCACCAGCACCTTTCATGAGTTCGCTATAAAACGACGACAGACCAAAAGCACTGGATCCTGCGTAACCAGTGTACATGGTAAAAGAAGTAAGAGCGCCAAGGGTCATTTCACCGGAGGACACCATTTGACTACCAATAGCAAGTAAACCAAGGACGGTAAGGTTTCCTGCAAAGCCTGTTGATGCAAAGAAGGAAGCAGCAGCGATAGCTTCGGAACGACCGATGCGGAAAACGTCTCGAATTTTGTCACTGTATCGGTGGATTTCTTGAATTTCTCCAGCAAAAGATTGGGCGGTACGAACATTAGAGAGTCGTTCTTCAGAAACTTTGGTGAGCTCACCAATGGAGGCTTGGAGTTCACGCGAAAGTTGGCGGACTTTTCTACCGTAAATGACAGAGCCCAAAAAGATTGGAGGGATGACGAGAACAATGAGGGAAGTAAGCTTGAGGGAAACATAGGCCATCATACCAATACCAAAAATGGCCGAAAGTGAAGAACGCAGGCCATCAGAAACATTTTGTGTGAGAGACTTTGCTACAATATTGGCATCACTGGAAAGGCGAGAAATGAGATCACCAACACGATTGGCGTCGAAAAATTCTGCGTCTTGAGAAACGGTTTTTTTAAAGAGAGAAACACGAAGACGTGCAACCAAGCGTTCACCAATAACACGGAGTAAGACGACACGGCCAAAATTTGCAGCGGCACCAACGACAAAGAGAGCAGCGACACCTGCGTAGAAGGTAGGCAGGGGGAGACCAAAAACGAGTTTTTCAGTGACATCCGAGTTTGCAGCATCGAGGATCTTTCCAATGGTCATAGGCAGGGTGAGAGTGACTGCGGACGAGAGAACAAGAAGGAGCACGGCAAAGAAAAGAGGCTTTACTTCACGACGTGCGAGGCTGAAGAGACGACCAATTTCTTTAAGTCCTGCAGCCTTGTTGGAGGTATCCCGAGGGGATAGGCGAGCCGAAAGGTTAACCTGTGATGCTTGTTTAGCGCGCTCGGATTTTTCAAACGAGTCGGCAGAAGATGGAGTAGTAGTGGTAGTAGTAGTAGTATTAGTTGATGTAGGTTGTGGGATCGAGGCATTATATCTTGTTGAAGATGTGGATAAGTTTCTACGGAGATGGTAGATGGAGGTATTTAATTGGATTTTAGGGTATTGCGGAATAAGTTGTGATGAGGATAGTGATATTATATTGGTCTGAGGTATTATAGGGGGTGGTGATCGGGGCGATTTTGAACTAGTGAGAGAAGAAAAAAGCATGGAGAAAGCCGGCTTTGTTGGTGCTGATTGAATGGTTGACAGGCGCATACTCATGTTGAGAAACCTGGTTGGGCCATGGTGCAGTAGCATCCGGGGCAGCACCGGCAGAGCAGCGGCGGAGCAGGTTGCTGTCGGACGCATTGCTGTGTGTGTGTGTGTGATTAGCTAGAGAGTGGATGAGTGCTCAGGTAGCTAAAAAATTTGAAGGAACACGACGACAACGACAACAGAAAGAAGGGTTAATGGAAGGGGATTGGGATTGTAGATTTAAGTGATAAATGTTTATTTAGGATTGAGCAAGATATTTTAAACGAAGGTTTGGAAAAAAAAAAAAAAAAAAAAAAATTAATTTAAGCAAATGGGAGGGTTGGTTTGAATGACACAAGGGGATAGGCAAATGAGCTGGCTGAGCGGCCGGCCCTTACGCAATTCCGATCGGTCGGGTTACGACGACGATGGCAGAGCCCAGATGAGATGTAAATCAAAAAAAAAAAAAAACAAATGACGTTTGTCTACTTAAAAAGAAAAAAAAAAACAATTGGCAGGACCCGATTGTTGCTTGTATGCATACAAACCGGTCGGGACTCGAGTAGACAGGCATGAAAATTGTCTTTGGTGGGTGGAGGGAATTGCGATTTCTACGATGGAGGAGGTTTTTGGAGGTTGTTGGACTTTTTTTTTTACTGCTGACCGCTGTGATTGGCCAGAGTTTGTAATTTATTTTATTTTTTTTTTCCATCCATCCAACAACAAAAACACATCAGCTCAAAATTTTAAAGAAATTTCAAGAAACAAATAAAAAATGAATAAAATTAAAGACAATTAAATCAAAATTATCTTTAATAATAAAAAAAGAAAAGGAAAAAGGAAAAAGGGAAAAGATTTCAAAAGTGCACAGTATTAGTCATTTCATATGAAGGTAGTTTTCTAAAATTCCAAAACAAAACAAGAGCTCGACATTTATTTGGTCTCGAGGAACTTGACAGGGGAGTACTCCTCCTGCTTGCCGTTCTCCCACTTGGCAGAGCGGGTCTCGAAAAGGTTGCGGCGCTCAGCAGCAATGCGCTTGTCCTCCTTCAGGGCGTTGCGGACAGTTCTGGCAGCAATGGCAAGGTAACGGTTGTAACTATAGAATGAAGAAGAAAAAAATAACAATGTTAGAAAGAGTTTGAAATGGAATTGACAAAGGATGGTCAGTCGAGTTATATAAATATCAAAGACAAAAGAGGGAAACAATTTGCATATCTGGGGAGAAAAGATGAAGCCGTTGAACATTGGGTATTTTAAGGGTTATTCTATGTCTTGAAAATCAAAAAAAAAAAAACTCGAATTAGACCACCCCATTAATTGCGGAAACCGGTCAATGAGAGCAGTTCCAAAGAAAAATTCTGGACGTACGAGACTTTGGCAGCAGACATTGTGGCAAGGTGTTTTTTATGGTTGGAATAGTAGAAAAGGGTTGGTTGGTTGGTGGTGGTGGTAAAAACAGGAGGGGGGGAAAAAGAAGAGGGAAAAAAAAAGAGGTGAGAGAGAATTTTGGGTGGAAACGCTTTTGCACAGCTCACAGCACACACATAAAAAGGCTGGATGGAACAACAGCCCCATTGGCTAGAGAAATATTGGTAATCTCTGACTAAGTCCACGTGATTGATCCAACTGAAAAAAAATTTTTTTAAAAACCACCAAAATCTGCACTGAAGAATCTCCAAATATTCAATCAACCTATACCAAATATACCCTCCCCCATCTTCAAATCAAGCACCAACAACCTCACTCTTTCCATCCCACACAATGGCCCCGGATCTATACGCCAAGCTTATCGGAAATAGCGAGCCCGAGCGTTTACAAGCTGCTGTTGCGCTTCTTGACCGTCTCATCAAGGCCGACGATCCAGCAGATTGGGACGCAGCTCTCAACCGTCTTGCACAGACCCTCGTGTCACCACGCCAGGCTGCCCGTCTGGGTGCTTCCATGGCTCTTACAGAACTTCTCAACGAGCGTTACAAAAAAATTAAAGTCTCAGAATACCTGGCGTTGCTCCCTCCGGCTTCAAAAACCGGCGCAGATAACCGATACGCCGCACTCTTTGGCACCCAAGCTTTGATTAATTCAAAAGTCTTTGCATACAAACACACATCCATTGAAGACTTTAAACTTGTCGCAGATCTACTGCTGAGTCTTGCAAAGGATAAAACTGAAGATGCCGCTATTAAAGAGGCTGCTTATGTTGCTCTCTGCCGGTTGGCTGCCCGTATCACAGATGCTGCTGCCTTTTCACAAGAAGACGCTACAAAGTATCTTCTGGAAGCTGTCCACACTGATCTATCGGCTTCATTCACCCCAGAAGGCGTTGCCATATACCTCTCTATTCCAGATTCTCTGCGCGTCCAGTTTGGTGCTTTAACTGACGGCTGGGCTTCTGGTGATCCCCTTGCAAAGGGAAATTTTGCTAGTCTTTCCAAAGTCCTTGCTGTTTCTATCCCAGAATCAGCTTCTGTTGACATTGCAAAGGAAAATGCATGGAAAAGCAAAAAAAAGGGCGCTTATGGTCAACCCAAGCAGGTTACGCAACCTCCCAAGCCAAATATGGTATGGGAAAAGATTGCCTTAGCTTACCTTTCATTGATCCATTCTCCCGAATCATCAAAGCAAAAGAAACACAAATCTTCGAAAAAGTCTTCTTCAAAAAATACCACCCCTGATTCAATCGAACGCGTTTCCTTTGACGACTTTTGGAAAAGTGCAGTCGACAATGTCTTCTTTTCACAAGCAGCAACCCCTCAAAAGCGTCTCATCGGCCTCGACATTTTCCAAGTTTTCCTCGATGTCTTTTCTACAGCCCTGCCTTCTGCCCTTCCTCTTGCAGGGGCCATCTTCTCACCAAACCTCATTCGTGTAGTCACCACTCCTAAAGTTGAAAAATCTGCTGCTGCTCTTCTTCAGCGCGCAATCAAATCATTTGCTACCGGCATTGTCACAGCATCTAAAGCATCTCCAGCTCTTGCTGCTGCTTTCTTAGAAGCAATCTACGCGTCAAAGGCTGCCCATAACTTTGATATGCTTACAAAAACAAAAACTACCCAGGAGCTTTTAACTTTGGCTCTCACTCCAGAATATGTTCCCGTCCTTTCGAAATTCTACCTTGACGCATTCATCACTCCATTCCCTGATGATGCTCGTCAAGGTTCAGACTCTCAGCTCGTTGAGCTTAGAAGAAAATGGGCATTGGAGAGACTTATTCATCTCATCAAGTCTCCTGTCTTGCAAAAGTTTACAGCCCTCCCCACGGAATGGCTTGATAATCTTCTTTATACCCTGATCCGTCTCGCCTTTTTTAAGGATGCTCAGCAGTCCTCGGAAAAGAAAGAAAAATCTAAAAAGCGAAAGCACGAAGATTCACTTGAAGAAACAAATTTTTCTGCTCCCTCTCCTGAGCTCTCACCAGCAACCATTACTCTTACCCAGGAAAAGGTCTCTTCTATTATTGGCCTTACTGTCAACCTCAAGCGCCCTGATAACATCACTTGGCCTTACCGAACTCTTAGCAAGATGGTTAAGCTTGAATCCAACAGCTCTCTTGAGAGTCTTGTCAAGTTCGAAGAATCTGATCTGCTCATTAAAAATAAGACTAAGGCCCTTCAGACATTGGAAAAAATTAGAGTCAAGCGTCAATCTTCTCCCCATGTTGATGGTCCCCAACTCGAGGCTTTCGAGCTACTTTTTTCGCTCGTCATTTTCCAAATTTACACCAGCGACACTGAGGCTGGCGGTATTTTAGAAGAACTTCAAGCTTGCTACAATACCATCCAAGGACAATCTCAGACTGACGAGGTTGTCATGGGCAAGCCTGGTAGCACCAGTAGCAACAATAAGGAAGACAGTGATAGTGACAGCGATAGCGATGACGAAGATGATGAGGATGAAGAGGTTGATGTCAGTCTGGTCCTGACAGAGATTCTTCTCAGTTTTATTTCTAGAGAATCTGCTGTTCTCAGAAAGGTCTCTGAGACTGTATGGAAGACCTTTGTTCCTCAAATTACAAGAGAGAGTCTTCAAAGACTCTACGATGTTCTTGTAGTTGATGAGAGCACTGACGGTCAAAGTGGTATTTTTGAGAATCTCGATGGACTTGAGGATGAAATGGATGAAGATGACGAGGAGGATGACGAGGAAGAAGAAGAAGATGATGAGGATGACGATGAGGAAGAAGAGGAAAATGATAACAAAGAAAAAGAAGAATCTGGCGATAATAAGATTTCTAACGAAGATGACGAGGAAGACAATCAAGAATCTGTTCGCGACAAGATTGAGCAAGTTGAAGAAGAGTCTCGCAGAAAGTTGGCTGAAGCTCTTGGTATTGCTGGAAATGGAGAGGCCAAGAATGGCAAGGATTCCGATGACGAAGTTGATGAAAATGACAACGACAATGACGATGATGACGACGACGACGACGACGATAATGATGACGATGAATCGATGGATGATGAACAGATGATGGCCCTGGATGGCCATCTGGCTGCCATTTTCCGTGAACGTCAGCGTGCCCTTAGTGAACACTCTAACCACGGTGGACCCACTAAGCGTGCGCAACGCAAAAAGGAGGCCAAGGCTGCTCGTCATAACATGGTTCAATTCAAGACTCGTGTCCTCGATTTGCTTTCTGTGTACATCCAAGCGCAACCCTCTTCTCCACTCATCTTGACTATGGTTGTGCCCTTGCTTAACCTCATCAAGGTTACTCGTGACAAGACTCTGGGCGAAAAGGCAGTTGGACTGCTTAAGAAGGATGTCTGCAAAGTCAAGATTGGCTCGGAGATTGCTGAAGGTATCAAAAAAGATATTGTGTTTGAAATCGAGGGAGGTGATGATGGATGCTGTGGTGGCAATGGAGACTGTGGAGATGCTTGTGGCAGCCATAAACATGACGAAATGGATGTTGACGAAGATGAAGATGAAGACCATGATCACGACGACGATGACGATGACGATGAGTCCGACAATGATGAGGATAACAAGTCCACAGAATCCAAGTCAACTGCTGCTACTTCTGATGATGATGAAAGTGACGACGACGATGACACTGTTTACCAGGTGGCTACGAGCGATCTTCTCGAATGGATCCAAGAAATCCACTCGCTTGCATGGAAGTCGCAGCGTGCTTCGCTGACCCAGGCATGCAATCAAAGCAGTGTTTTCCTGTCTAAGGCTCTGCTCATTGCAGACTTTACGTGTCTGCAAGCTGTTCTTTCTGTTTATATGGCCTCCATGCACGACTGGCTCTCGAACCGTCAAAACAAGCTGGCCCCAGCCATGTTTAATGACTTTTTGAACTGGGCCTATTCATTTAGACAACAAAAGTTTGGCGCTGCTGCTGCTGCTACTGCTATTGCTGCTGCCTCTGTCGATGCTAGTGTCAATGGCAATAGCAACAAAAAAGAGCCCAAGTCTCAAAAGGCACCCAAGCAACAAAAACAACCCAAGAACAAAACCGGTTCTAAAAAGAAATAGAGTGTACATATATTATTTATCTTGGTATTAAAAAAAATTGTAATAGCTTATAGAGTATTTTTTAATTAATTAAAAAAGTATATAAAATAATAGCAGGTTATATACATGGGTAATTTTTCGTATCACTATATTAAATTTCTTTTTTTCGTTTTTTTTTTTTTCAAGAAAAGGAACTTTCCTTTTCACCTTGATCTTGCTTAAGAAGCATTCTGCACGGGTTCAGAAGACCCATCAACATTAATATCACTCACATCTCCAAGACCACTTCCTGTCGAACCATTTGTGCCATTACTGTCATTGCCATTCTTGTTAAACTGGCGGGTTCTATTCTTCTGCTTCTCGCTCTCAATAACATTGTTAATCATGCTAATGGCCATCTCATTAGCCTCGGGCAAACCAACAACTGTTACTGTGCGCTCATTGCTATTGGGTATCGGGTCATTCACCTTAATATTGGCCCGCGAGAATTGACGCATGTGATTAATCGTCATACCGCCTTTTCCAATCACTGATCCCACATACGCATTAGGGATCTGCACATCTTGTTTCAACTCCTTCCCTCGCTCAGCACCCTGCGCAACAAGCTGCGCGTTCCGCAGATTCTGGTTCGTGATATTGCCGCCAGGTCTTCCAAATGCAGCAGCAGCCGCATTCATTGCTGCTCCCATTGAAGGTGGTCCACTGGTATAGGGTCGCGGCGCAGCGTACCGGGATGGTCCAGCTGCTGCTGCTGCAACTGCAGCTGCAGCAGGATTGTATGCCTGAAGACCTTGTGTGGGATACCCGTAGTAGGTTGCTGTCGGAGCACCACGCTGGTCCATGCCGTAACTACCAGGAGTTGCCTGAAGGTACTGGTTGGTGAACCCTCCCTGAGACATCATATTGGGTGGTGTGGAGCCATAGTAGTTTTGGCGGTGTCGCTGCTTCTGCTGAAATGCATACTTGGGATTGTAAAAAATAGGTCTGTTATTGCGGAGGTACTCATGGTGCGCAACACAAGTGGTAGACACGTAGTATACGGCAATGTGGATGGCATCGGCCACTCCTTGAATTTGAAGAATTTTGTCAGTTGAGTAAGGCATCAGCTGCTCTCTGCTCTTGAGTTTAGCTGCAGAAACGCTTTCAATTTCGCGGAATCGGCTTCCTCCTTTACCAATGATAGCACCCATAAGAGCCTGAGGAATCAAAACTTTGAGGGTAAAAACCTTTGCATCAGAGGTTGAAGCCTGGTCAAAGGGCTCGTCATTGAGGCATCTAGTAATTAACGCAGCCGCTTTGGATACATGTTCACAAGAACCTTTAATGTTGACAACACGCTCCTTGATTCCTTGAAAGTGTTCGCTGACCTTAAGCTCAACACCAGATTCTTCACGAATTTTGGAAATGGTGTTTCCGTGTTGACCAATAATAAAGACGGCTTCCTTGGAGCTAACCAAAAGTCGCAAATGAATTGGAGATGAGGCTTCCACTTCCTCATTCAAGCGACTAGTAGGTCGAGCTTCTGAAGTCGATGAAGTATGATCACTATCACTAGTCGCTGCCGTTGTATTTGTAGTAGCTGATGACGATGTTGAGGTAGTCTGTGACTGAGGCTGCTCATTACTTGCCAAAGTAGCTTGGCTCTCTGACGACGGTTGTTGGCCAGATACTGTGGATTGATCCGCAGTACCTGTGGAGTTGGTAGGCTTATCATTGGCATCAATTTCAATCACATCATGATCTTCGTGTTTAATCTCAACTGCTGGTCTTTTGAAGTCGGGTTCTTCAGAGTCAGAGTTCCTTCGCTTCGACATTGTTAATATATGAAACTATTATTACCTTTAGTTGACCAAATAGATCCAATGGTCAATTTCTTTTTAAAGAAAAAAATAAATAAATAATGGACAAAAAGAAAAAAAAATTAGAGTAAAATAAATGGTGACACTATCAAATTCAACCAACAAATGTGAGAGAGGTGTATGGTGGTTTGTTTATGGTGTGGAGTTTAAATATTTCTTTTTTTTTTCACCAGAAAATGAAGAATAAGATTCCTGAAAAGCTTTGAAATGAGTAAGGTCAGTTTAAAGAAGAATAACAAGTGAAAAGAATTATCAGACAGGATATGCAATTAGAAATTGGTGATGCAAATGTCAGATCATAACAAGCAAGAATCCTTGTGTAAAATATATATTATTCATATGAGACATTATAGTAATGACAGTGATAATGACAGAGAATTATGACCAATAGAATCCCGAAACAGTTTAAATCTGAAATAAATAAGGTAGAAAATAAAAATTAATAAATGACTTACAATGGATGGAAGAAAGGATAGCCAAACAAAGTGTAGCTTTGATAGATTTTTTGATATAATTGGCGTGTGAAAAAAAAAATATATATATATATATAAATATGAAAAAAAGACCCTTGTTCGCGATGTTGGCAACTTTAGAAGTAAGTAGCAAAATCTATTACAAGTGGTGGCAGTGACCAAAAAAAATTGTATTACATACTGGGTTAGGGTTGTATCTAATTCCATTCCTACCTCCTTTTTATTGTAACGTGATTAGCTTATTTGACATGGAAAACGCCGCCTCCCCCTGTGCTGTTCTTTTTCTCCTTTTTTTTTTTTTTTATTTATTTTTGCGCAACAACATTTTTAATCAGCAACACCATCAACAGCTTTATAAAAATTTAAAAAAAAAAAAAAAAAAAAGTATATATTTTTTATATATATATAAATAAAAAAAATACCAGCCACCCGCCGTCGTCTTTTTGTAAAAGCAAAACATTCAAAAGCATTTGTTATTAGAAAAACATATAGAGACAGACAATATATATATATATAAATACCTCTTGGTGTGGTTCCTGTGAATATTTATTTTCTTTAGCCTAGCTGTTTATTTTGTTTGTGTAAAATTACCCTTGGGTGGCGCTTCTTTTTTTTTTTTTTTTTTTTTTTTAATATTATTATTTTGTTGGTTCTATTTTTTCCACTTTCAGCCGTCGTTTCAAAAAGCAACTTTAAAAAACCACTCTCGTGACTCTCAAAAATGTCGATGGATATGGATAACAAAGTCTCAACTAAACCCGCCGATATCGACCAGCAGCAACTCGATGACGATAACTACAGAGAAAGCGAAGATGAAGACTATAAAGATGATAATGAAGGTATGATCCTTGCTTTTCTTAAAAAAAAAAAAATTCCTTCTCTTCTCATCACTCTGGCTAAAACAGCCATTTATGATCATATCTAATTCATTCAGCATAGGTGGCGCGTGCTTTGATGCTTGTCTATTCCCGTGTTGGCTTGTATATACCGTAATAAAAGACTGAAGAAAGGAGGGAAATAATGCCTTGTCTTTAAATGATTAATTAAACTTACTAACTCTTAAAAATTTAGCAAACTATGAAAGTGAGACGGACGACAGCAGCGATGAAGAAACCCCCAAAGAAAATAATAAAAATACTAAAAAGGCGGTTAATAAGCAATCAACAGCTGCTCCAGTCCCATCTGAAACCGTCGACTATGAAAAGTACAATAGTATTCAAGGTGAAGGCCTGATCAAGACTCGGGCCCAACGAGAAGCCGAAAAGCTCAAGCAAAAAGAGTTTGAAAACGCTGTTAAAGTCAACTCTGACTTTGACGTAAACTCAGTATGGGAATCGCTCAAAAGTGAGACCCAAAGCGCACCTGCGAGTCGAAGAAGTTCGACTCCAGCTAAATCAGTATCTCCAGATGCGCCGTTGACTAATGATTCTTCTTACAAACTAACAACAGGTACTTCGACACTTACAACAGCCACCGTCACTAGTAACACTTCCTCTTCTGGTCTTTCTGATGAGTACATTGTTATTAAGCGTGTATACAGTTTTGCTGGAAAAGTCACACAAGAAGATGTCCGTGTTCACAAATCTTCGGCTGAAGCTATCGCTTACCTCAAGCAACAAGAACATAACAATGCTAAAAAGCCTTTTGTGGATGAAGACAACTCTTTGACTCTCTCAGCTCAAGGTAGAAGAAAGAGCAGTGTATCTAAGAGACGGGGGCCTGTCAAGAGAAAGCAAGGCTCGCTGTTAGATGAGCTCAATAGTCTTCGCCCAAAGAAACTGAATACCCTCGAAAAAAGCAAAATGGATTGGTTGGGGTATGTTGACAATGCTGGACTTAAAGATGAATTAACTCTCCACAACAAGGACGGATATCTTCAAAAGCAGGACTTCTTATCGCGGGTCGATAGTAGACTGGACCGGGAAATCAGATCAAACACTAGAAGTAAGTAAATCTCCAGCTGTTTCACCTGCTGTGCACTTTCATGCAATATGATACATAACCCACTTGTTTACTTCAGTGACCTTTTTGGTTCCATTTTCGTTGTCCAGTTATCAAATGATATTTGTTATTGTTTCTTTCTCGTTTAATGCTAAAATGAGTGATTGAAATGATTAACTGTATGTGATAGGCTGGAGGCAGTTCCAATTTGGTATCTGAAAAAAAAATAAAAATAAAATATAAAAAAAAAAGCATTTGTATATATATAATCTTAAAAAAAAGTTTCTGTCGTTTTAAATTTTTTAGTTTATTCTGAAAGCTTGGTATTTTTTTCTTGATTAAAAGAGAGGCTCAGAAAAACATGGCTTCGTTAAAAACAAAAGATTATCGTCAATTCTGAAAGCTTAGCGAAATGCAAAGCGCCATTGCTTCTTTAAATTATCCAAAGTTTAAAAATAGAGTGTTTATCTTGTAATTTTTATTGGAATGAAAACAAAAATAAATGTAGAACCAGTTTTCTTTTTGGCAAAAGCTTGTTAGAGATAAGCTGGCGATCGTGGGGTGGAAATTTCGAAATATTGTTATACAGATTTATTTTTTTATTTACATTAAGAAATACAATGCAATTACAAATGTTACTGTTACTGTTACTGTTACAACAGACAAATCACAAATCACAAACGAAGAAATGAAATTGAAGATGATTCAAATTATTGAATCCCTTCATTCTTGATAAAGAAACATTGAATTCAACTCATAAATCGTGTTTTTTATTTCTCCTTTGTAATCGCTTCATATTCACACTTTTCTTATATAATTAAGCAGCCTCTATTTTCAATCAGAATGATTCCTTTGATATGATATCCACAATATAGCTTATACTGTTTAAAACAAGTTTAACCAAAGATGGAATGTTCTCATCTCTCAAGAAAAAGCTCGGCATACAGTACGAATCATTGTTATTGAAAAAAATTTTAATAAAGTTTTTTTTTCTCTTTCTTTCTTTTTTTTTTTTGGTTTTTTTATCTAAGGTAAAAGAATGGGGAAGAAATATGTTGATAAGTGTTAATTCAATAGTTTTGACTATTGATTATGAAATAATCTGATGCACATTTTTAGAAGAAAATTGAAATTTTAAAGTAAAAATATATCTATCAATTTCATTGATTCTTAGATAATTACCTAAAAGTTCAATATTTTTTTTTATTCTTATACTTTAAAACTTTCCAAACTTGCGATCGGTCAATTTTTTTTTAAAAAAACGTTAGATCTGCACAGAGTTTATCCTATTTTTTTTTTAGCGAACCTGAGGGAAAAAAGTTTTCAGGATAATTGTAACATTGATTTTTCCATAAATATTGTTAAAAGAGCCTTTCTTTATTATTTAAAACTCATCTGTTTGAATTTAGCTTTTAAAAACACAATTCCTTTTATGTTTAAGGACTTGATATTCATTTCATTTTTTCTGCCAAAATTAGAAGTAATAAAAGATAAACAAATTATTTACACTTTTTCTACAATTCAATGTAAAGTAATTTTATAAATTTTCTCCTAATCTAAATATCATTTACACTCTCATTACGACTGTTAAACCCCTTTACAAGCCTAAAAAAAAACTTTAAAATTATAAAAAAAATAAATAAATTTGTGCCAATTGGACAAACCATTTCTAAAGAAAAAGTATATTGGCTTCAAAATAACAAATTTAATGGGGGGAAAAAAAGATCTTTGAATAGTTAATTTACAGTTTGGTTGCTTAGAGTTCATTCTATATCTGTGGATTTATTTGATGCTTAGACACTAAACTTATAAGTTTAGATAAATATCGCTTTTTTTTTAAGATTTTTATACCCAACATCAAATTAGGTAAATGGTGATTAAGAGTTCCAGTTTCACATCTTTGAAACGATATTAAAAAAAAAAATTATTTATATTTTCGTATAATTTCCATCTCAAAGTGTCTTGTAATGGAAAGTTTTTTTTTTTTTTTGTTTTATTATTTTTTTAAAATAATATTTTTCCGTTAACTTTGTTTTTTGTAGAGATGAGATTTAAAAAATAAGCACATTTCAGACCCTTCCGTAATTAGTATTACACTCTCCTTAAATAAATTGATTTGATACTTGTGCTCAAAGACCCACATCCCTTTTTGATTCAGTTTTTTAGTCATTTTCATTTAAGAGAAATCATACAACCATCTTGATTCCAATGGTCTCTGTGGGCTTTATTCTCCATTACAGAAATGTTAAATTCAATTTAAAGTATTTCAAAATATATTATACAAGCGTTTTTTTTTTCTATAGTTAAAAATGAGGAACTCCAATACTCGTCATAATCAAAGAAATAATGCTAAAGACGCCCTCACCCAATACCAGTCCGGACGAAAGAACCACAAGCTTCAAGGTCGCATCATTATCACTGTTATTTTTTAGTCGAACCCAATATGCAGCAAAAAGTCCGCCCAAAAAACGGGCAAGAGTAAAAGATGGGGTGTTATAAATTCCAATGCCTACCGCCACTCCAGATGGAATGAATCTTGCATGGACAGCAGCCTGGAAAATGCAGTGCGAGGCAATACGTATGAAAAACGCCCATGCCGTTTTGGTCGAGTCCAGTAGAAGAGCTCCAAGCGGCTCGCCAACAGAAGAAGACCACCGCGAAGCTGATGCTGACATTAGTACATCACCCCCCAAAGGCATCACCAAGTTGTTATTTATGGTATTTAAAGTTTGATGTCCGGAAGAAGAGGAAGGTATTTCGGCAGTAGTGGCAGTGTCTACGTATTCGTCTACTAAATCTTCAGGTGGAACTTGTACATTGAATGAAGAAGGCTCATGAGATGTAGAAGTTCCAGCATCTGTTATTGTAATATCCAATGAGTCTTCATTGTTTATGTTAGAACTTGAAAAGTCCGTAGTAGTCCCTAGCAATGAACTATTATTAGAAAAGTGTCTTGTAATACCTTTACCCTTGGCTCTAGCTGAAGGTGTTTCAGTTATCTCGGGTTCACTTTCAGAAGTGTTTTTGTTGTAGCGAGATACAAGTGTAGGGGCTATGGTTTTAATCATAGCCAAAAAAGCAAAAACAAGACCAAATCCCCAAGCGTAGCGACTTACTTTAGGCGGAAGCCCTTTCCCGGTGACAAGTCTTGCACAGTCAATCCATACAACTGCAGTAGGAATTCTAAATGTGTCACCAGGAATTTTGTAGACAGTATCATAAAGTCTGTAAACGATAGCAGACAAAATTACAGACCAAATAGACCCAATAACTTGAGCAATAAACTGAGCTCTGGGGGAAGCTCCAATGAGATGACCAGTTTTAAGGTCCTGCATCAAATCTCCAGCTTGTTGAGCACCAGCCTCTGTTACACCGCCAGCAACCAAGTTAATCAAAACAGCTGCAGGATGAGTCTTGGGTGGGACAAGCACTGCAAAGATAAGTTGAGAGATTTTGCCAATTCCAGATACTGGATTCAAATCAGTTTCGCCCAAAGCCCTGACACCCAGAATGGCAAGGAGAAGCGCCAGAAGCACCGCAGCAATCACAGGTATTACAGGCATTTGAAAATGAAAAGATGGAAGCGTCAATGTTTCTCGAGTTGGCAGTAAAAAGGTCAGTTTTAAAGCAACGACACAATAAAGACAAGACAGAACTAAGCCCAATACAGCAAACGAAATTCCAACAATGTGCCTTGGTTCAGCATCTGGTTCCGAGTCTGTGTCTTCGTTTAAACTTTTAGATGAATCAAAAGAATCCGCTTCAGTGTTCAATGTGGTGTAGCCGTTATGCTGTTGCTGTTGCTGCTGCTGCTGCTGCTGGCTTTCAGATGAAGTAAAACTTAAACTCCCCTTTGCCTTGATAAACCGATCGATAATATTAAACACATTTTTAAGTTTTAATCTTGTTCCTTCTGAGTTTTGGGTGGTTGTAGCAGTATTACTGTTGCTATTATTCCGAAAGACTGCTTTTTGAAGTGAAATTCCAGTTATGGTTAAAAATGAAACCACTGTATCTGCAACCATTATTGCAAGTGAAACCCATAAGATCCAACCTTGTGCTCCAGTTTTCCAATCATCAACTGGGCCTGTAGCCCATCCATTGCGCTGAGCCATGGGTCCCAAGATGGCCCATCCAAGAATTGCTCCAAATAGCATTGCAGAGACTGTTGGCAGCCCCATAATGATACCCTGTCCGACATATGCAGGAGATGGCTGGAAAGTCCAGAGGTAGTTTTTCGCCAAGTTTTTACCAAAAAGTGGAATGTTTCTTAAGATAGGGAAAAAGTAAGAAAATAGTGAGTATGAAGCAGAAACAGCAAAAGAGAAAAGCAAAATACGGATATTTTCAGAATAAATTTTTTTAGACAAGTGTTCTAAGCGTGAAGTATCTGAAGGTCTCATAATTTCCTGATTGGGATCCTCACTGTCGGTATCAATATTAGACATTGAATCATAGCCTGGATCTTGGGTAACTGGGTCGTTGTCGTCGTCATCGTAATTATAGTCGTCTTCTAAAGAATATTGGTTTGGAGAAACATAATCGTCATGAATATCTGAGATTTCATTTTGATGAAGAACTGCAATCATGGTTGCTGTTGCACTGCCAGATGGGAATCGGAGCTTTTCTTTGACAATGATTTGTTTGCGAAGCAAGACGCCGAAAAAAACACCAAAAAAGGCAAGAGCAGATGACCACATAATTAGTTGAATTAACGAAAAAGAGATTGGTGAATCGCCTGTTTGTTCAGATCTCCGAGTAAATAACGAAAAGATGGGAGGATCATTACTGGAGGATGGTGAGAGCCCTGCTTCTTCTGGGGTTAAGAATTTTTCAATTGCAGGTATGACACCGACAAAGCCAAAAGCCAAGGGTCCAGTTCCCACGGCCACGGCTAAACTTTGAACAAACACGTTTTCGACGTCAGTGAAGGGGGTATCGAGAAAGGCCAAAAACCTAGGTCTGTCTGAGTTATTTGTTGCTGAGTAGCTATGTTGGAGAGTTCTAAACAGTGCAAAAGCCAAAAGTGATGATGGAAGAGACATCATGGATACCCAACCGGTTTGTAGACCAAACTGAAAGTTTGAAAAAAGGACAATGGATCTGGGGAGTACCGAGTTAATAATGTGTTTTGGGTTTTTTTTTTATTGTTTTTTGTAGAATGAAATATATGTATTAAACTGCATACCCAATGAGAAGACCAGCTATGATTGATCTAATAGTGACCTGTGGAAGGTCAGCCTTGAGAAGCCATTCTCGTAGGGATCGTTCTTTGCTGCTTGCATGAGCGACTGGGATCATTTCATTTGCCTTTTAAAGAAATTTTATTTACAAATGAAACGACTGGCAGATGGATGATGATTATAAGGAAATGAAATTTTTTTTTTAAAAAAAAAAAAAAAAAAAAAAAAAAAGGAAAGAAAATGAGAATAGTAAATCAATTAATAAGCTGTTGATTGATGCCCGATTTATTTTTGCATTACCGGAGTCCGAGTAAGATGGGTGGTAATGGTGATGATGATGGTAGTAGTATGTAGTAGTATGAGACCTAAGGCTGAAAAACAGTTTTGTATTTGGTAGTTTTAAACAGTTCAAAAAACGCCAGGAAAAAAAAAATGAAAAGAGAAATCTAGCAATAATTAAACGTAAAAAAAAAAGTCTATATCAGTGTTTTAATATGCTATTTGTGGTAGGATTTCATGATCAGCTTGTGGATATGGAAGAATAATTATGATTGATTGATTGCTGTTATGATGAATTAGGTGAGTATGACACATACAGCTAGGGAAAAAAAAAACATTAATTGTCATGATCACGTGGATTAAATTATAAGGAATTAGTCATAATATAGCTATGATTACTAAATCTTTTTTCAAACATTCATGGACGATTTCAATTAAACTTCCTCAGGGGGGGGGGGGGGGAAGAAAAAAAAAGAAAAAGAAAAAAAAAAAAAAAAAAAGGGACGGGCATATTCAAAAGTGTCAGAAAAGTTCCATAAAATGAAATTTTGTATCAAGTTGAGGGAGGTGATTAGAAATATTGGAATTCATTAACAACAATGACACCCAACACAAGATCAATAAACGCCCATTCAATGGAATTTAAGAAAAAAAAAATTACTTTAAGGCTTTACTTCGGTTAAGCATACCGAGTGGGCCTCGCTTGTTATTGTCCTCAAGCATTACGTATAAAACTGAGGAATTTGAATAAGTAAATAAACTCAATTAAACTTTTTTTTTTTTTTCAATCTTGATTTATAAATTGATAAGATATTCTTGTATTTTATCTTCCCCTGAAGATGGCTAATTTCCTTGTTTGGGGGATATGAGAATAACCAGAGAAGAAATGATACTTTAGAAACAAAAAAAAAAAAAAAAAAAAAAAGTTGTTGTTATTGACATTTTCTTGTCCCGAACAATTTTGAAAAATGTAAGAAGAAAAAAAAATACAAAAGGGGAAAAAATCTAAATAAAAAGAAAAAGGAAAAGAATTCGGGAAGAAAAAAAAAATAATTATAAGATTTGGATGAAAAATTCATGCAAAGAAGATTTACAAGAAAATAAATGAATAAATGATAAATTAATAATAAGACTGTCCAATTAGATGTGGGAAATATTCAGCTTATAAATCGAGTTATGATGTCTTGGTATTCTAAAAAGATGATATTTTAAAATAAAACGGTTGTATCATGAAAACAATAAATTGAGAGGGATGAAGATTGATTTGGAGTGTTTATTTTTTTTTTTATTATTCTATCGAGGAGTGTTGCAAAGATATCTTAGGTTTTGTGGGCTGGGTTTGAAGGTAACAATTTGACCAGCCCTGTTTACTATAACCTGATATCATAATAAAGTGTTGGTCACCCGTGTTATCGAGGTACTAGTGACTTTAAAGCGTTCATGTACTTAAATATATATATATATAGTTGTTGATGCTAAGAAATAAATTTATTTTTATTTTGGCGAGAATAAAAATAAATTTGGGTGGATTTTAAATTTTAAAATATTTTTTTTTTTTTTTTTTTTTTTTTTTTTTAGAAACAAAATGAATATATTACGATCCATCCTAAAAATAACAACTGATAATAAGCAATTTTGATCCAATTGAAAGATTGAAATCAAATTGGAATTATTTAAGCAAATCATTTGTGTTTTTATAATAAAATTATTATAATATAAATTAAAAGACTCTGACATGTTTAATTCTGAATGCGATGGTGATTATGATGATTATGATTATGATGGTGATGATGATGATGATGATGGCCACCTGTCCAGGGCACGGCCGTTAAGCATAGATACGGCCATGTTACTTCTTTTGTTTTTTTTTTTAACATTGGTCTATCACAAAAACTATATATAGAAATAACTTTTTTTAACAAAAAAAAAAAATTAATAAACCTCCATGTTGTCTATAACAAACCTTCGTTTGAATGTCATTTTAAATATAGATTTTTTTTTTTTTTCATTGTGATTTCTACAAAGTTTTCATTTAAAAGAATTTGGCAGATCTTGAAGAAAAGGTTGTAATAGAATCTTCATCTTCATATATATGTCCACGATTCATTACACAATCTATCCAAACAGTATTATTTCTTCTTTTTTTTTTTTTTTATGTTTAATAAATTCTTTTCATTTCAATCATCTAATCTATTAATTTAACAAAAAATATTAGACGAATCTTTTTGTTTTTCAATGTTCCATCGGCTTAAAAACTCTTGTTAATATTGAAGAAATCTCCCCCTTTCTTTCTTTCTTTCTTTCTTTCTTTTTTTTTTTTTTGTGAAGCCGTCTGAAATGACATCATATTCATTTAGGTAACTTGCATGTGAGTAGTAGTAGTTGAAGGCATCTAATATTAGCTTTTTATTATAATAATTTTCTAACCACTGAGATTTTTTTTTATTTTATTTTATATTTTTTTTTTTTTTTTTTTTTTTTTGAGGTTGGTATTTTTTTTAAGTTCAAAAAGTCTTACAAACAAAAAAAAAAAAAAAAAAAAAAAAAAAAAAACTTTAAAAAGCCGGCCATTAAAAAAAAAAAAATAGCAGTGTGATATTATTATTTTTATTATAATTTTTTTTTTTATTTTTTAATACACTGCAAATCTTGTACTGTAGAAAAGCTCCATAATCTCGATTTATCACCTTGGCTACCTGACCAGAGTTTTGTATAAATACCGCCCAGCTTCCCTTGTCTATATGCTGGTTTTTGAATTTCTGATTTCCTCTCTCTCTTTCTCTCTTTTTTTTTTGTTCTCTATTATTTCATTCGGTATTTAATCAATAATTTAATCCTTCGACTTTGATATATAATTTAAAAAACATCATCTCCTTTTCATACGCTCCTTTCTCATCTTTCTTCAAAACAAATTACAATGTCGTACTACCCTGCAGACCAAGGCCTCCTCAACCAACATAATCTCTTTGATTCTCCAGAGGAAAAAATGCCCTCTTTCCTCAACAGACTCTCAGGCAACACCTCACAAACTTTGGATATTCTCTCCTCTGCTCTAATCATTTCCGCATGGGCTCTGGCATTATATTGCATCATCAAATCCCTCTACCTCTTCTCGGTGTGGTCTTTCCAAAATCTCCGTATTGCCATCAAAAATCAACAAGATAAGTACGACGGTACCATTGACTATGACAATGAAAAACTTGCCAGTCCTTTCTCTTTTATCCCATCCTCTCGCAAATACAAACAAGATGATGATCTTGAAAGTCAAACTACCACTTCCTCTTCAATGACTTCTCCCAATTCAGTTCCATCTCTTTCTCATACCCCAGACCTTGCTTCGCCTACCTCTTCGTATTCGGCTCTCAGCTCACCCACAAATTCTCCTCAATATATGGTGAGCACGACTCTGCCACCCCATTCTAGCGAATCTTTCCAGCGAATTAAGTCTTCTAGTTTTACCATTGATCATGCTTACCCTCCTCCCAAGTCTCTTGATTCTGCCCCTAAGAAGTACTCTAACACTACCATTAATGTCTTGGATTCTTACGATAGTCAACTTATGTCATCGTTAGAACATCCCATGATTAAGACTCATTAAGAGTATAGGGTGTGGTATTAGACCAGATCTCTGCATGTTTTTTTTTTCTTTTTTCTTTTTTTTGGTTTATTTTTACTGGCAATTTCTATCTTTGAGCTTTTTTATATTCCTCAGCATTTAACTTCATCACACACCATTATTGATAAGAAAAGGATTTGCAAATTGGTGCACATAAAAAAGTAAATGGAGAACCTTTTTTTTCTGGCATGAGCTTTGTTGAGCACTAGCCATTCCCTCCATGTGTAACTAATCCCATCAAAGTTGTGCTTCATCTAGTTTGCAGCCATCTTTTTTCTTATCTCACGACATACACACACATATTCTATTCTTGTGGTACAATACTTTGTACACATTGGTTCACTACTTAATAGTATTCACCAAGATTTTAACGACGTCACGACTTTATTTTTTAGGCTTTTTAAAAAAAACAATTTCTTTTCAACTTTCGCAAAGAAAGTCCTTGGTTTATATACAAAGGTTTTTTTTTTTCTTGTTCTGATATATTGAAATATATATATATATATATATTATAATAACTTAGTTTAAGCATTTTAAAAAAAAAAAAAAAAAAAAAAAAAAAAAAAAGGCTACTTTGAATTAATTTTTAATAAATTTCGACTTTGTTTTTTTTTTTTTTTTTTTTTTGTCATATAAAACGACTTAAAAAAGAATTTTGCCTATTAATAGTTTTATTATTATATTCTGAAACCTTTAGCTTTTATAATTAATTATAATTATAATTTTTTTTTTTTGTGGCTGCAAAGAAAAAGATAGAAAAAAAAATTTTTTTAATAAAATTTAATAAATATAAAATAAATATAAAATAACAAAGTCCATCTATTTTTTTTTTTTCTTTAAATTCTACAATGGGGAAAGATATTGAAATTTAAAGAGAAGTAGATGCTCAAGATAGGCGGTTTGCAACCGGGTACTTTACCTCCAAAAGGCTGGCTCATGTCAATGGTACAAATAAATCTTACACATACATATGAATGTTAGGAATACCCATGCCTATGGACATGTGTTTATAAAGTAGATGTTATAATTAAATAAAAATGAAAATCTCAATCTTTGCACTCACGCGTGACGGAGAAACCATGATGGAAATTAATTAAATTAGAATAACCGAATATATATATATATATAGATATATATATATATGTCTTCACTACTAATTGCGCGGTGTTATTGAGGATCCACTTTCATCAGCCGAGAAAAGCCAATTGCTGGAACATATGGATAAATATATTATCAGTAAAATAAAAAAAATAGAAAAAAAAAAAATAAAATAAAATAAAAAAAAAAAAGGAAGAGGGAATATAATTTTAAAAGACCCTTAAACTGTGATCATTAAATTTGTTTATTTGTTTCCTTACAAAATGTTTTGATTTCCAATATTAACAGATCGCAAAACATGTACCCCAGCCAAGCCAATTTTAGAAACATAACAAAATTAAATTTTTTTCTTTTTTTCTTTCTTAAAAACAAAAAAAAAGGCCTGGTTAGAACTCAATAATATATATATATATATATTTTTCAAAAAACCTTAGTAGCAGCATTAAATAAAGGTTATTTCAGATATCGTCAACTTTAAAGTTTTTTTTTTTTTTTATCCCGCTGTAGTTGCTAACAAGGAGAGAGGTGAAAACAGCCAGCCAGCCAGTCAGTCAGTCAACCAGTCAGTTAGATATGACTGTTATGCATACTAGAAAATGCCTTGTTAATATCAACCTGCTGTTGTCCAACATCGTTAAGGTGTTTGCAGCATCAGCCTATGTTACCTCAAGGTTTTTTTTTTATTTATTTTTATTTTTTTTAAACAAATGTATGATCAATACATTCAAGAATTGATTATTAAAATACGAGATAGAAAGGATTTTTTTAGGGATACTATTAGGTATCTTTATTATTATTATTATTATTATTATTATCAGTAATGCCATTGATTATAGAAAAAAAAAAAAAAAAAAAAAGGACTTTGGCTCAAAAACATTATCAGTTCCTTGGCCCATGTTTTTTTTTTTTTTTTTTTTTTCTTTGAAAAATCTTAATATAGACTTAAAAAAAACCATCAATAAATCAAATTCCTTCAAGAAACTCTGACAAGCTTTATATAACCGAGTCCCATCAAATCCATAAAACAATTGTTTGACTTTAAAGGTAGCGACTAATAATTGTTACTCTCTGACTTTCTAGACTGGATTTGAGACAAGAAACCATTGCCTTACAGGCTTAAAACATCACAGAGAACTCACTAATTAAGGAGGACCTAATTCCAATTTCCCAAGGTATATTTGCGCACCATCATTAGATAGAGTAATATCTTTAAGTACCTCGAGAAAGCAGACTAGAAATAAGATCTATTTTGATAGATACCTCCTAGTTACAACTCGTTTTTTTTTCTTCTTCTTCTTCTTCTTCTTCTATGTGCGCATGTCTTTATTAACGCCTCGCGAATGTTGCCTTTGTTTTCGGAATGTAAGTGCGCACATCAACCATCTCTTTGATATATATACGTTTATCTTGAACTTCATGATTTTTAATTTTTGCTTTAACCGCCTTTTATTTATTTATTTATTTATTTATTTATTTTTTTATTTTTTGTATTTCGTGAAAAAGTACAAAAGGTTTCAGTACAGTAATTTTTTTTTTCTTAATTTCATATCAATTCTTTTTAATTCATTCTTTTATCCATTTACGCCAAAATTCAAGGTAATCAAATATGGCCAACTGATCTCCGAAGGAATTTATAGCAGCATCTATAAAAAAAAAAAAAAAAAGGCACTATATTTTCTGAAAGGAAAAAAAATCGCCATGAATAAATAAAAAAAAAAAAAAACGCGTTTTTTTTAATATTGAAGCAGACTTCTCAATGCATTCGTTCGGAAACAATTTGAAAATGACACCATCAAAAACTAGTCACGAAATCACCTTAAAAATATTTTTTTCCTTTCTCCCCTCTCTCCCTTCCCTTCTCTTTCTCACTCTATTACAAAGTAATATAGTGGTGGCGGTGGTGGTAGTGGTAGTTAATGGTGGCTGGATAGGTAGGTACATCTCATAGCGTGGTTTTTTATTATTATTATTATTTTTTATTTATTATTTATTTTTTTTATTTTTATTTATTTTTTATTAATATTAATAATTTTAAAACCAACAAAAGTCGTAAAAAAGATTCGATAGATATCCTCTTCTAATTATAATTAAAATTCTTTACAAAAAAAATTCCAACTCAATATTAACAAAGTTTCTTTTTTTTCCAGGTTGATTAAGAAATCATCATTTCCATGTTGAGAGAAAGCCTTAGAGGAGGAGGGGGGAAATGCATTTACAAAAAGTCATTTTAAAAGTCTTTTAGCCGGTACCTGAAAAAAACAGTCGCACATAATTTTTTTTTTTTTTTTCAAATCCTCATTTTTATTACAATTTTAGTTACATTAATGTATTACATATTTTTCTTGTAACATTACAACTTGTAACTACACCATTTTTTTTTTTTTTTTTTTTTTTTGTTTGTTTGTTGATTCCAGACACATCACCCATTAAGCCGCCCCACCACCCCTTGAATTCCCTCCGTGATTTGTTTGACTTTTTGATCTGACCCCAAGGACCCCTCTTACTCCAACCACTTAACCTTCTCCCCAAATAGCTCTTCGACTCCAATGTTTGCATTTGCGAAGCAGCTTGTCAAAAGTACCGCAGAAGGTATCATCAATAATGCTGGTGGTTCTTACGAATCCACTCAATATGGATACACAAACCCTCATCCTGGAACTCACCAACAAGCCCAACGCGACCCTACCCACGGCTTCCGCGTCGTTCACGTCGCCTCCAATTCCCCCGCAAGTGCTGCTGGCATAGAAGCTTTGTTTGATTTTATTGTTGGAATTAATGGCCATGAAATTGTGGGAATTTCAGACAATTACAATAACTTTGCAGATTTCACTGGACCTGCTTCTCCAGTTTCACCCTATTATAACAACACCCAATATAAGCCTCAGAGCTTATACCCAAACCAAGACAACTATGGTTATAATAACCAGGACCCTAATGGATATCCTCAATACCCCCCTCAGGGTGTTGACCCAACTACTGCAAATTCTCAAAACCCATACCAGTCACAATTACCAAATCAACAATTGCAACCTACACAAGCACAACCAACTAATCCACGGACTCATGGCCGACGCGCTTCATCAATCTCATTTTCTTCTTCTCTTATCATTCCTCAGCTCATCCCTCCTCAATCTGAGCTGGCCCCAATTGACCCATTTGTTGCAGAAATATCCAACTGCAAAGGCCGTTCCATCTCTTTGGACCTTTGGTCTTCCAAGGGCCACACCCGGCGAACAGTCATTCTCCCTGTCCCAAGCACTCCAGCAGTCTCCACCACTAATCTAGCTGAAAAGGCTTCACTTGATGCGGAATCTGAAACCCAATCTCTCGGAATTGGTTTGTCGTTGCAATGGACACCACTTTCCGTAGCCGACCACGTTTGGCATGTTCTTAATGTGGCTCCAAACTCACCTGCAGAATCTGCTGGACTAGTTTCTCATTCAGACTACATTGTGGGTGCTGAAGGTGGTCTTCTTGAACAAGGTGGTGAAGACTTGCTTGGTCGAGTTGTTTCGAAGCTTGTTTTAAACCACGTAAATACCCGCAAGCAACAACAAAACCAACTCAACCAAATCATTGAAGAGTCTGATAGAGCAGCATCCGAAGCTGAATCAAACGAAAGCCCACCCCTTACGGAAAGTTATGAAGCTTCTTCAATCGTCGACTCTCACACTGAGCTCGAGCTTTACGTCTACAACCATGACTATAACACTATCAGACCGGTACGCATTCGACCCAATACCATGTGGGGTGGCTCAGGCCTTCTCGGTTGTGGTGTTGGATACGGCCTGCTCCACAGATTACCTGCTGTCACCTCACTTGGTCTGTCTGCTGGCACTGACAAACAGCTGCCACCACCACCCCAATCTGAGGCTCTAGGTGGACAATATGCCCCTACTGCTTCGCACGGCTATACTTCTGGATATCCTACGGGAGTGCCACAAGTCCCTACAACATTACCACCTGGTGGAACGCTATTTGATTCTGCGGCGCACGGTGCTTCGACCCCTGAGACTGGGCCTGTTGGCAATTTCTTTGTGCCAGCCGATGCGTCCGGTGTGCCGTCAGAAGTTCCTGTTATCACTTCACCACCAATTCCTGGACCAGTGGCACCTACAGTTCAGTCTCCGCCGCTACCAGCACTTCCTGGACTTGGCGGGGCCCCTGCTCCAAGTGCGTTTGCACGCAAGAAAAAGCACCACCACGGCGGCGCGGGCGCCCCGGCGGCCCAGGTGGAGGCCGATCTGGCAGCATACTTTGCTGAGGAAGAACAACGAAGTAAGGAGGTAGAAGGAACATCATCGATTTCTCGAGGACTTGCAACTTCGCCTCCACCGCCACCTATTGCCAACAGTATGTCCCCGCCCCCACCGTCTGCTTAGGAATGGGGCTGATAAATCATACCTGACTCATTTATTTTACTATCATGTTTTTTATTTTTTAAGCCAAATTTTTATTAAAATATATAGAGGATTAAAGTCAAAAAAAAAATACGGGTTAAATATCAATAAATAATAAACCAGTTACGTTTTCTTTGATAAGAAAAAAAAATAATTTAACAATAAATAATTATTGATTTTTTAACAAAAATAAATATCATTCATTATTTTATCTTTTATTGTTATTTCTTATTTAGAGCATTATATTAAATAAATATGGACAAAGTCCCTGGTGTTTTGTACTTTTTTTTTCATTCTTCTATTTTTTTTTTTTTTTTTGTATACCCACACACATTTATTCATAATCTTTTTTTTTTTTTTTATAAAATTTTATAAATGAATAAAGATCAAATTGGAAACTACCCAGATTTGCATGTGGTAATTTATTTTGGAATTGACTACTGGCAGATTGGGTACCGAAACGATACTGGTACTTGGATAGAACTTAAGAATCAGATAGGCGAGACCAAGACCCCCAACTGCATTGCTTACAACAACGATGGCTTTGTTCTTGGAACATTAGCACTAATCGGCTATGATGAAAACTTGTCCAACACTGTGTTTAATTTAGATAAACTTATTGGGCAAGGTCTCAGCGATTATCAAAAGATTTTTAGCAATAATGAGCTGGTTGAATTTAAAGAATCTAATGAGATTTTATTCATTCTAAAAAATGACTTAAACACAATCATGATTTCTCCAGAGCAACTGGTATCTGAATTTATCAAGCAAATGTTTAGTCTAGCAAGATGTCAGTTAAATGAACACCAAGCTAAACTAACAATAATTATACCTGCCCATTTCAACAACTGTCAAAGATGTTTAGTCAAAAAAGCTCTTGAGATGGCAAATCTCGAAATTGAGTCAACTGAAATGATTTCTGATTTACTTGCATTTGACAGGGGATATTATGATATCAATCCTACTCAAAAATTGGAATTAAAAAATTCATTAATTATTGATTTTGAATCATCTTCAACCAACATTGTACTGCTTTACGAAAATGAAGAAAAACTTATTCTAAATGACACTTTGATATCGGGAAATACTTTAGCTGAACTTTTCAATCATGCACAGCAACAATTTTTTCCAGGGGACACTGTAAAGTTAAATCCTAAAGAATTTATTTCGGATGCCAAATACAATATTTATGAGTCTCCCGATAACATGGATTTAATTGCATATCCACTAATTTTATATTTGAAAGATATCTTGAAATTCATAGTTTCCAAGTCAACTATTGATATTACATTGTTTCGGATACTTTTAATAGGAAAAATTTTCAACAATGATAAAATTATAACAGAAATTAATCAAACTTTTCCTTTTAATGAAATGAATATAATTACAGAAAAAATTGGTTATATTCAAAAGGGAGCTTTTAATTTATTATTTCATTCAGATGGAAATTCAGTTAATAACTCAACAGGAGAAAGAACCTTACAATATGACAATACTACTGAATCAAAAAAACATTTTTATGATTCCATGTCAATCAAAATTCATGAGGATTTACAGCACATTTTAATCCCAAGTAAGCATTTATGGAACTTTGATTCTTGCTTAAGCTCAAGTTTTTCATTGTTATTTTACAAATATTCTCAGAATGAACCAATTATAAATACTTACATTATCCAACAAGACAATAATAGAACATTACCAACTAATATTGAACTACAAGACAATAGAGTAATAGTTTTGAAATAGGATGGTCAATAATTTGAAATAGAAAAAAAAAAATTGTATTTATATTAACAGAATGTATCATATTTTAATATAGAAATTTAACAAAATATCAATTGAATTTACATAAGCATATCTTGACTGAAAAAAAAAACAAGAGATATTGTCTTTGTTATAATGCTATTTTAGTAAGAAAGATGTGAGATCGGTATTAGCAAGTTTTTAAATAATACAAAAAAAAAAATAAACGCAGGTTTCTTTTTTTCAAAAATAAATACTTTATAAAGTATTTTTTTTTTTTTTTTTTTTAAAAAATGTTATTGAACAATTTAAATGTTAGTGGTAATTCCTTTTGGTGTGGTGGTACTGGCAGATCGCATACCTTAATGAAACCGGGACTCGGACAGAACTTCAAAATGAGGAAAAAAGGCAAGACCAAGACCAAGACCTTCAAACGACACTGTTTACAATAACAAAGAGTTGTACTTAGACCAAGAAAAGAATTAAAATGTTGATTCATAATGATTACTTTCACCTTACTACAATCCAGGTTTAATATAAAAAGGATTTATTTTTTAATGTACAAAAAAAGGAAGATAATTCAAACTTTGAGTAAAACGGAAACAACAATAAATTTTTTTTTTCCCTCTTTCAACTGTTTACAACTCGTCGCCTCCAACCTTCTTAGCCTTCTTGGCCTTCTTAGAGCGCTTAGACTTCTTGCTCTTCTTAGTCTTGATCTTGCTAGCCTTCTTAAGGACAGAGCTGTCAACACCGTGGGTACCCTTGTCGCGGATAAAAGCGCTCAGATCGTCAAGGGTACGAGAACCAGACTCGTAACGGATAGGAGAGTCCTTCTTACCAGCAGGGTAAAGGATAAGGGTAGGGTAGCCCTGGATCTCAAGGCCGGCGATCTCGTTGGCAGTGTGGTCAATCTTGGCAACGCGAACCTTTCCAGAGGCAGTAGCATCGTTGGCATAAAGAGAAGCGAGCTCCTCGTAAGTAGGGGCAAGGTTCTTGCAGTGACCGCACCAGGGTGCATAAAACTCAACGAGAACATCCTTGTCGTTATCAAGAACATCGTCCTTGAAGGACTTGCCAACAACAACATGAACGGGACCATCCTGCTTCTTGGGGATAGGCTCACTCTTGACATTGGGAGTAAGCTTGCCGGCGACAAACTCACGAACGTGCTTGATAATCTCATCAGGGGTGGGGACCTTATCCTGAGGAAGGATGGGGTACTTGTAGTTGCCCTTCATGTCGTGGATGGCAAAAGCGGGGAACTCCTTGTCGTTCAGGTTAAGGTTAGGAGCGTGGGCACCAAAGGCCTTAGCATCAATGAAACCAATGTTAAGGTCGGCCTTGACCTCCTTGGCAAGCTCAAGAATCTCGTTGCGAATGGCATCTCTGTCGGCTTCTTCATTGTAAAAGTAATAAGCAAGAGGAAGACCTGAAGCCATGTAACCACGGAAAGTCTCAGGAGAGATTTCACCAGCAGGGACAATCTGGGCAGAAAGAGCCTTGCCGAGAATGTATTCAGGGTCCAGAGAGAACTTGGGATCGGTATCATCGCTCAAAACAATAGTCTCGTCAGCAGTCTTGAGGTTAAGGATAACAGCTGGGAGAGTTTCAATTTCAAACTTGTCAAAGACGGCCTTATCAGAGGAAAGACCAATAGAGAATTGATGATGCATTTGTCTGGCAATGGCAGAGAGAGAAGAGTTGGACTTCTTGTCGCTAGGCTCAAAAAGACCAAGGATGGAAACTTCGTCTTCACCATCAAGGAATTTGTCAACATTGTCGGCCTTAACATTGGTCCAGGCAGGAAGCAGCTCACGCTCCATGTAATTGACGATATCCTTGGAGGTTCTACCACCATTGTAGGGGTTTTGTTCGTCGAGACCTCTAAAGATGAGAAGAGTTGGGTATCCCTGGATCTTAAACGAGGAGCAGAGATCCTTATTGACGGTGCAGTCAATTTCGGCGAGAGCAATATCCTTAGACTTGAGAGCGGTGGCAGCAGTCTCATACTCAGGAGCGAGTTTTTTGCAGTGGCCACACCAGGGAGCAAAGAACTTTGCAAGGACAATTGGCTTAGATTTGATAAACTTGTTGAATTCGTCGGCAGAGGAAGACAGATCAACAACGTCGGAAGCAAATGCGGCCGACGCAAGTGCCGAAAAGAAAAGGGTCGAAAACTTCATTTTTTTCAACGGGTTTTCTATGTTATAATGTGGTTGGATTGAAAAAAAAAAAAAAAATATAAAGTTGAAAAATATTAAAAAAAAAAAAAAAGAGGAAAGAAGGAAAGAAAGAAGAGAAGGGAAAGAAGGCTATATTTAAGAAAGGGGGGTTACTAATGGTGGTGGCGGGAGTCCAAAATGACAGCTGTGAGTATTTGTCATGTATGTACTCAAAGCACCACCACCAAGACTAACCTATTTTTACTATTCTATCTACTAGTCTGAGCTTAAGCATAGTTACGACTGCTACGGTCTACTTACTACCTTGGTACTGAGAAATTGCAACCAAATTAAAATTAAAATAAAAAAATAAAAAAATAAAAATAAAATAAAATAAAATAAAGAAGAAAATTTTTTATGAAGCCTGTTGTTAATAAACGGTAGACCAATTTCATTTCATATAATTTCAATAAGTAATTTTGACTAATTGACAATTTGAAAAAAAAAAAAAAAATCTGTATATGATTTAGATATCATCATTGAGGGAAAATCTCAATTCTAAGCCTTTGTCATCATCAATGATGATGTGGCCAAAAGTCAAATCTGTCTTATTTCCTGATTCTGTTAAAGCGTGAAACCCGCAATGATGTGGATTCACAGATTTTTTTTTTTTATTCTACAAAGGGGAATTCCGTCTTGAAAAAAGAGTGGCGGGAATTACAACAACTGATAAAACTAATGATATTTATTTTTACCATAAGATATCTACACAAAAATATATCATTTTTCGTTTAACTTTAATTGATATTATCAATAAGAAATACTTGTTTTTTTTTCAGTTACGTGGTGATATATATATATATATATATATTTTTTTTTTGTAGATCTAAGGACTAAATTAAAAAAAAAAGGCAGTGACGTGTGGAGAGGCTATTGGCGCTTAGTTATAGGTAGTTAGCTATAACTTGTGCCACTTAAAGTGTAACAAAAATGTTATAATTTTAAAAATGTAATTCTTAATTGTAACCTCTTTATAATTTATTAGTAACAATTATGTAATAAATTATTTTTATTTTTATGTACTGGTGGTTTTTTTTTTTCTCCTCCTCGTCCACATACAGTTGCCACTACCACCACTACCACCACTACCACCACCACCACCTAAAAACAACAACTCTGCCGCCTCCACCCAATCGTTGTCATAAATATGTTGCTACTACTGCTGCTGCTGCTGCTTAATTTTTAACACCAAAAAGACCCAATTTGTTTGAATTTCTCTGTTGGCCTTCACAGCAGCCTTTCTCTCTTGGAATTTTTTTCTTTCTTCTACACTTTTACAATTATCACAACCACCACCACCACCACCACCACTCGCAAACATTCTATTGAACTTTCATCATCCTTTTCCATCAAGGATCCTATCCATAGTCTCCTTTTAGTCATCTTCATTATACCACTGGTTCAGATCTGTTTTTATTTGTCAATCATATATATATAATACCGATATTTCAGCCATATTAAATCTAATCTTATAACTTTTTTTTCTCATTATTAACTGTGAGATTAAAATTTGACTGCGTAAAACGCATCCCTCCTTAATTAATTCTCTCGACTTTTTTTTGACCCGCTATCATTGAGAGTTCTCCTTTCTAAAGTTTCATCATTGGATTTCCATCCCAAAGGCCCCTGCAGCCTTAATCTTTTTTTTTTTTTTTTTTTTTTTCAAAACACCTTTGATCATAGTTTCTAAATAATACCACAAAATGGACCACGAAATGGCAGAGGCTGGACCTCTTCAGTCGTCTTCTTCACAACCCTCGTCGACGCCACAGCAATCTACAAGCCCATCGTTACAACAAGATCTTCATCCAACTGATAGCAACAACAATAATAATACCATAGACTCTTCAAATGCTGCAAGCCCTTCGACGTCTTCTACTACCCCAAACACATTGAGCTCCACAGATGCACTCATAGACGCAGAGCAACGCAAAGGTCTTAAGGCAATTCAAAACTTTCTTAAATCAAAAACTTCCTACGACGTTTTGCCAGTCAGTTTCCGTCTTGTTGTTCTTGACACATCCCTACTTGTCAAAAAGTCTCTCACAATTCTCCTCCAAAACGGCATCGTCTCTGCCCCACTTTGGAACTCGAAAACTTCACGCTTTGCAGGTCTTTTGACTGCCACAGATTACATCAATGTGATCCAATACTACTTTCAGAACCCTGACAAAATGGACAAGATTGAAGATCTCACCCTCAATGGCCTTCGCGATGTCGAAAAGGCTCTTGGTACTGAGCCCATTGAAACAATCTCCATCTACCCTTTCAAGTCACTTTACGAAGCTTGCATTAAAATGACACAAAGTAAGGCTCGAAGAATCCCTCTCATTGATGTTGATGAGGAAACTGGCCGTGAGGTTGTTGTCAGCGTTTTGACACAATATCGTATCTTGAAATTCGTCGCTTTAAACGTATGTGATATCTCAAAAAAAAAAAAAAAAAACCTCAACAAAATTGCCATGTTTTTTTTTTGTCTTAACTCTAACCTTGTTTTTTCCTTATTTTTTTTAGTGTAAAGAAACTAGAATGCTTATGAAGCCGCTCAAGTACTTAAATATAGCTACTACTGGCGATATTGAGCGTGCCGTCATGACTACCCCTGTCATCCAGGTTATCCATCTGCTGGTTAAACGTGGTGTTTCCAGTATTCCAATTGTTGATGAAAATGATAAGCTTGTCAACATTTATGAGGCTGTTGATGTGCTGAGTCTCATTAAAGGTGGAATTTACACAGACCTAAGTCTTTCGGTCGGTGAAGCTCTCATGCGCCGGCCTGAAGACTTTGAAGGAGTGTATACCTGTACTTTTGAAGACAGACTTGATACTATTATGGACACGGTCCGTCGATCGAGGCTTCATAGACTTTTCGTTGTCGATGACCATGGAAGGCTGCAAGGCGTTGTCACTCTGAACGATATCCTTAAGTATCTTCTTTACGCTTAATAAGAAATAAGCACAACTGGTGTTTTTCTCATTCTTTTTTTGGCATTTTTTTCACCCTTTAACCCTTAATACATAGATTTTTATTATTCATTTCAACTTTACCTCTATTGACTTTGTTAACGATATGAAATTTGTAGGACCTTCTAAATTTAAGAAGTCGTGGTCATGCTAAACTGTTTAAATCATGTGATATTCAAATATTGATATTCCTGGAACATGTGCTACTGCTCTTATCGCTGGCTAAACTAAAAAAAAAAATGGGCCAAGCTGATTGAAATTTTAACAAGTAAAAAAAAAAAAAACTTCTCTCTTAATAATTACCATCAATTTATTAAAATCTTTTGACAATCTTTCAAGAAAAGAAACTTTTCATTCAAATAATTACATATGAACGAATCATTCAGTCAGGTGGTATACCATCAAAGGACAAGCTGTGCAATTGCTTCCAAAACAGCTTCATGAAAATCATGTTAAATTATTCATCAGATTAACACATTTTTTTTTTAGACCATCAAAGAAGAAAATCTTTCAGAAGATGAAAGTAGCATTAGCATAGAAAATAATATTAGCAATTCTTTAGGTTGTCAGAATGATTTGAATCAATCGTCGGGAAACATTCGTGATATTTTGCGAAATCTTAAAAAAGTAGTGACGGAACAGGAGCCTTCAATCGAAGAAGACGAGGAAGATGATTCACATGACATAACCAACGATTCTCCAGAAGACTTATCATATTTCTTTTTGGAAAATCAGGAAGACAATAACGAAGAAGACAGTGAAAATAGCCGGGAAATTAATTTAAAAGGAGATTCCAGAACTACAGTTTTGGGGATGTCTGTTTTTAAAGAAAAGTTGTTGCAGGGGCCTTATAAAAATAAGAGTTACTTATCTCGAGGGCTGGATGGTTCCGAAAAGGAAATCGATGGTGATAACTTGAAAGCCCTGTCTAGCACACCTAAATATCACAATGGTACTTCTGGCAATGTCAAAGCAATTGATCCAAACTCATTTTACTACAAGTACTATTATGGGCAGAATAGCCGTTTAAATACTCCTGATATTTCAGACCCTTTATCTCTTCCAGGAACGCCAGTATCTGGAAGATCTAGCACAAGCCATGGTCCAATGAGCAAGCGAGATCAAAATGGACCATTTTCTAAATTTGTCAATCCGGAAAATAGGTTAAAGGCTGTTTCATCATTTTATGGGTTTGGACAAGGTATGAGAAAAAAAAGTGCTAATTCAAAAGATTAAAAGCTAACAAATGGATCAAGCTACTAACAACATGACGAAAAGGGCACCTGAACGATTTAATGATAGACTAACAAGTAAAAAGTTTAAAGCTTCTGTTCAAAAATCTAATAATAATGAGAGTGATCCAGATGACTCAACCTTTGAAAATAATTCTTTTTCTAGTGTTTTGAAAATTGGAAGGCCTGGAACTAGTACTGGGAACACTAGCGGCATTACGTCAATATCAGATTTTGCAAGAGGTATACCTAGCATGCAATATGGAAACCGTCTTGCAGGACTTATGAGAGAGCTTGAAACGCTTTCCCCATACCCCATGTCAACATACTATGACTCTTATTACCAAAAAGGCAATGATAACACCTATAACCATGAGAACACAGTGAATGTACCTAAAACACTTGGAGCCAAGGAAGTTGAAGCCAAAGAAATTGAAGCCTCAAATAATGATTCTGGGTATAAACTTAACGTGGAAGCAAAGTATGCAAGCATGACAGTTGATGAATGGGAGGCACAAGGTGAAATTCTAGTTGAGCGAGTTTCTAAGCTTTTGCAAAAAGTTATTGCATTCCGTAGGTGAGTGAAATTTTATACCAAAGAAAAAAAAAAGGCTATAAACGCTAATTCAATTTAGAAAAAAGGCCCAATTGGTCAAAACTTTAGACGACATAGTTGATGGCAAAGCAAATGAGCTTATGGCTCAAGAAAAGGAACTTAAGGGAAGTCTTTCGCGGTTCGGAAATAAGGCTTCGGAGATGGTCCACGCACTTGAAGATTTTACTCAACCATCAAAGAGTTCCAAAGATATTGAAAATAGTGAAAATGTGGTTTCTACAGAATCCAATGGTGCGTCTAAAGAGGATAATAAGATTTGTTCTGCGGAACCCCAAAATAGCAATAATATCACTATAAACCAGGAATCTTTGCTTACATCTTTTGAAGGTTCTATTATTGTTTCTAATTGCGGACCCAGCATGGTAAATTCTAAACCAGATTCTGCGGGAAAAACTGTAGAAGCAATTTTGGAGGGACAAAGTGGAGGGAATGTTGCAACTACAAACGAACCAAACAATGAAAAAGATGTTGAAGGAAATATGAAAAGTGTTGAAACGTCGGAAAAGTTGAACCAGGAAATAGTAGGAAGTACTGATAACAATGATTTTTCAATCTCAAAACCTGCGTTGGAAAAAGATGAAGGCTTGTTAGAACCAGAAAATCTTTTAAATTTTATGTAACGTCCTTTATATAGCTTTGCTTTTTATAAATTCAAATGTTAATAAATAAAATATACTAGGAGAAGTTACTTGCATAACACTCTATCATTACTCCCAAATTCAATGAGAATTATTTTGAATATTGACTTATGCTTTTTTTTTATTTTTTATTTTTATAACTCTCAATCACATTTGTTTTTTTTTAATAAAAATGGTGATCAAATATTTAAATCGTTTACTTTTTAAACTTTTCATTTAGTAGGTCCAATAAGTTAGATAGTCCATCATCACATGAATTCCCAGTTAGGAATTTAGGTTTATAAGAAGAAGAAATAGATAAAAAAAACTGCCACTATTTTACTACAAGATCTTGTAAAATATTTTTTCATTTTTAATTTTGAAAAAAATAACAGAATTAACAAATAATATTCTATTTGTTTATAACTTCCGATACTGAATAATGTTTCTACTTAAAGTTAATGACGAATATTGACAGTGAATCAGTCATCAATTTTTTTCGTTTCTTAAATTGGAACCAGAAAACTTGTAATTCAGTTTGCAAATATATCTGGTATTCAAAATTGATATCAGGGTTATCTAATGACATTGCTTTACATTTTAAGTGTTTATTTTTGGTCAGATCAATGAAAAATCTGCCAATCAACTTTGTTTTGATCTCAAATATTTTAAGCAAGTTTTTTTTTCCCCCTTAATACCTGGTTTAATTTCAAAGAAGAAGGTATTTTTCAATTAAAGTTTGTTTAATTTTTTTTTTATTTGAGACACACTTTATAAATTTTTTTTTATTTCCCCCTATTATTCTCACTCTTTCTCTTCCTCACTTTTTTTTTTCCTCTTTTTTTTTCTCTCATTTTTTTTCTCTTGGTTTTCTCTTTTCTTAAACATCATCGTCATCAAAATATCAAACTCTCACGATAACCTTTTTTTTTTTTCTCTCTCTGTATGTAAGTAAATTTGATTTTGAATATTGCCCCCACACTCAAATCCACCCTTCAAACATATCCATGATATTTTTTACATATAAATCTTTAAAAACCTCTTATCATACTCTTTTTTTTTCTTAATCATTTTTTCCCCCTCCAGCTAAAAAAAGTAATGATTCTAGGTTTAATTCATCCTCCTAATATTATCGTTTTCCCTTTTAAATCCATACTTTCTTTCCACTTATCCTTTTCATTATTATAAAAGCCTCCCCTAAACTAGTATCAGACTTGAATTCTCATCTGGAATTTTTTTTCCTCCCTCCTTTTCTCTTCACTTTCTTTGTTCCAAACAATGGACAATGACATCTCTTGTCATTCTTGTGATGAAAAAGAAAGCACCCACAGATTACATGAAACCAAAAAACCGAGTAAAAATCGGCATTCAAAGAAAGTCAGCACCAACACCGACGCCGTGTATCAAGCGGACTTGTACAGCGACGAGGATGAAAAATATCCACCATCGGTGTTTAGGTCTCCAATGGATTCTAAAGCTGAGAAAGATAAAGATGACAACGAAAACCACAGCGACAGCGAGACGGGCCATGATTATGAACCTGGTGATCGTCCCCGCATTTCCGCAGAAAACACGATTAACGAGACTGTATCCCGAAAAAGAACACGAAATTCAACGAGCCAATATCATCAGCAGCAATATCAGTCCAAAACGCAACATGGGGTGGAGTTACAACGCAAAAGAAGTGTAAAGCAAGATAAGGGCAAAAGTCAAATGATGTATCAAAAAAGTAGGGAATCCGAGAAACGAAAAGAAGAAAAAAAAGAAAAAGAAGAAGATTCAGAACTGGAAATTGATCATTATTACCAAAACTATGCAGGTCCAACATTATCGGAGTTAGAAGATTCTGACTCTTCTGAGGATGATCAAGAAAAAAATGTGGGTTACGATATGGCAAGTAACCCAGTTTACAAGAAATCTGAGGTAAGTAAGGACGATGGGTATGAGCAGGTAAACCAGGGTCGACGGGTATTCAAGAGCATGACCAAGAAAAATGCAGAGCAGCCTCAACAACAGAAGTTTATCAAGCCAAAAGCACCACAGTTGCGATCATGGCAATTGCTTACAGGTGCAAATTTTCAAAATCAACCGGGGAACTTTGCCAATTTTGGTGCGATTGGGAATCCCAAGCCACTCCCGTCATTTTCACAGTCATATCAGCGGCGACCACTTGCAGTGCACCCTGCACTAAGTGATTCGAGCTCAGACGCAAATAGCACCATGTCAGACAACATGGGAGAGTCATCCAACACCACGACGAGCGAGTCTGAACTGACGCAGGAAAATCTTTGGGGAAAAGGTGTGCACGTTACATCTGGAAAGAAAGAGGATACAGTGGAGCCACTGTCCAAGTTTTTCCCGGTGCAGGGGGGTACTAGTGGGTATCCTGATCCTAGCCAGTTTGGAGGTTTTGAATTGCCTCAAAAACAGAAACATGTTAAACGAGACTTTGATTTCCCACCAGTCCCGTTTAAACCGTCTGGGTTTGGTACTCGAACGACCGCATTGAATGCTGAAGAAGGCGGTATTGAGGCGTATCTTCTTGATGGCTCCACCGAGATTGCATCGATGGAAGAGCTGAATATGCGGATTTTAGCGTTTAGCAAGTATTTGCAGAAAATCACAAGCAGTCAAGTGTGTAAGCTAGAAGCCATTTCAGATGCCAACACACATCACGAGTTGCAGCCACTATTTGAAAACCGACTGTTTAAGGTATCTTGGATAGTTGCCCAGACCAAGTTCAACAAACGCGAAAAGGAAACGTTTAACGCATGGCGTCTCAACAAACAGGTTCCCAAGCTACGACCGAAGGGCAACAGTGGAGCTTGGGAAGCAGCAGCAACAGCAGCAGCAACAGCAGCAGCAGCGGTGGCAGTGGCAGTGGCAGCATCGGCATCGGCATCGGCATCGGCATCAGCAACTGCAACTTCATCTGCATCTGCATCTGCATCGGCAGCATCTGCGTCGACGTCGACGTCAGTTGCAGCAGCAACATTGTCCGAAACATCAATGGGAGCTGGAGCGTCAGTGGGAGGGTCGTTATCCAAAACTTTGCAAAGACGGTCGCTGAGTTTGTTGTATCCCTCAGAGCGAGTGACTCAAACAGACATTAAGCAATGGAACCGGCGGTACTATGGAGAATATGGAGATTTGTTGAATGCGGTGGTGAAGGTACTTGCATGCTACGAAGACATTATTGATGATGATGATAATGAAGATAATGAAGAAGAAACAGAAACAGAGGGTGTAAATATTGGAATGGAAAAGTTGGCAGATCGAGATCCATACAAGTACTACAGCACTAGCACGACCAAGTATCGTGTTGGACGCAAGACCATGGACGTGGTGCGAGGTTACTACAAGACGCAGATGAGGGTAACGTGTGCACAACAAAAGATGGAAATCTGCAAGAGGCATAATGATGCTGTCAAGGAAAATGCTGACATTTCCAAGAGGATTTTTGGTACATTATGAAGATAAGAAGTAGAAAAAAAAAAGACATGCATAGAATAACTTTACAATGGTAGGTATATTTACAAGGGAAAAGGACTTTAATAATTTTTCTCTTTTTTTTTTGTTTGTTTCATAAATTCATTCCAAAGGTACTTTTTGTTTAATTATTTCAGAATGGAAGCGAATCCATTTAGTTTCTCTTGCGGAATCGTCGCTCAGGAGCCTGAGCAGAAACGTGCTGAACGTTAAGAGGGAGCTTAAGGCCGAGAGACTTAAGAAGGTCGGCAGTGTCCTTGTCAACGTTGAGAGCGCCATCAGTGTGGGAAAGGTCGAGGGCAGAAACGTCAGGAACGTACTGGTCACGTCTCTCTCTCTCCTCCTCCTGGAGCTTGAAGGAAATACCACGGACAGGGCCCTTCTGAATGCGCTTCATCAAGTGTGTGGTGAAACCAGCAATCTTGTTGCGAAGACGCTTGGAGGGGATGTAGGCAATCTCGTCAGCGAGACGCTTGTTGGTCTCAAAGTCGAGAGTGAGCTTGGGGTAGTAACCCTCAATCATCTGCTTAGCAGCACGCTTGACAGTCTTAGTTCTAACGCGACCCTACATTAGATGAGTTAGATATGTTCATAGAGAGAAATGGAGGTTGGATCATATTAAAGGGTATCATGATGGCTGTACCAAACATACCATTTTGCCTTGTGTGTATTCTTCTAGAGTTTCGGTGGAAAGAGAGTAACTGGCGACAACGAAAAAAGGGGAGGTTTGGGGAGGACGGCCGCGAGTGAGAAAAAAAAAAAAAATTTACACAGAGAGCCGGGCAGAGTGTGTAACATGGAAGGTTGTAGCAGCGTTAGGGTTTTTAAAAAACTAGGGTTTATTGCTTAATATGGAAGGTGGTATGGTAAATATGTTCATTCTAAGATTTACTGTGATAAAAAAAAATTTTTGAGTGAGTCTAATTAAAAGTAATTATCATGTGATATAGGTAATATGACTTATAACTTATGCTTAGTAGTACGCGCCTTCTTTAGGGCAACTTCAGCGATACCCAAAAAATCCCATCATCAAAAAAAATCCCATCCCGTCCGCCGTCAACAAAAAAACAAAACAGCCCAAACAACAAACCGTTCAGGTGGCGAACCCGACGACTTCACTGCAGAACCACCCGGCAATAAGAACCACGGCGGTCTTTTCTTCTTACTATTCTATTTTTCTCAGCTTAACAGACGTGTTTATTTTCAATCTTACACGTCTGTTTTTTTTTATAATTTATTTATTTTTTTTTTTTTTTTCAACCTACCTTTTTCGCAGCTCCAACAATACACTACGCTGTTGTATAGGCCACGCCTAACCCCTCACACACACACACACACACACACACACAGGCTGTGTGACAGCAAAACATGTCTTCAGGTCCAAAGTATGATAATTTCAATATATATATATAATACACTTCCATGACTAGAGACCCGCAACAGCAACAACAACAACAACAACAACAACAACAACAACAACACCCGTCCACCTACGCCCAATAGTCAACTAGTGAAGGCTGCTGAGCAAAGTATGTGTTTGGTTCGTCTAGTAGTAATTTTGTTCCTGAAAATTGTAGAGGCGCGTACGGCAGTAGTGGCAGCTTTGGCGGATTGCGGGTCTTGTTTTTATTTTTTTGGATGGACGCTTACATCAGCCGTATGTGAAATCTTACTAACCTCCCCGTGTTTTTTTTTTCTTTTTCTTGACTAGGTTTCACTGCGACGCGTGTTCGTGCGACTGCACCAACCTGGTGCGGATCCGGTGCGCAGAGTGTCCAGACTATGACCTCTGCGTGTTGTGTTTTTCTCAAGGAAAGTCTTCTGGAAACCACAAACCATGGCACGACTACCGAATTGTCGAGCAGCATGCTTATCCGATTTTTGACGAGGACTGGGGCGCAGACGAAGAGCTGTTTTTGATTGAAGGCATGAAGAGTCATGGTGTTGGCAACTGGCAAGATATTGCAGACCATATTGGCGGTCGATCTAAAGAAGAGGTTGAGCAGCATTACAAAAAAGTATACCTGGAATCAGAAACATACCCTGTGCCCAATTTAAAGCGCAAGTTTAGCATTGATCCGTCCGAGTTTGCAGAGCGGCGGCGGCAGCGTATCGAAGACCGGCGCGCAAAGTCACGCAAACTTTTACCCCCAAAACAAAAACCCACAGCGTCTGTGCCATCGTGTCATGAGGTCCAAGGATACATGCCTGGTCGGTTAGAGTTTGAGACAGAGTACGAAAACGAGGCAGAAATGTCAGTCAAGGACATGATTTTTGATCCGGAAGACAATGAGACAGAGGTAGAACTGAAGCTAACGGTTCTGGACATTTACAACTCGCGGCTGACGTCGCGCGCAGAGCGCAAACGCGTCATGCTGGATCATGGTTTGCTGGAGTACCGGAAAAACGTTGCGCTAGACAAAAAGCGGAGCAAAGAAGAAAAGGATATTTTGAACTCGCGGATCCGGGTTTTTGCACGGCTACTAACGCCAGAAGATTACCAGCAGTTTGCAACAAGTGTTCTTACGGAATTGCAGTGTCGGCGGCGGATTGCGGAGCTGCAGGAGTACCGGCGTAATGGACTGCGAACGTTTAGCGATGCGCAAAAGTATGAAACAGACAAGGCTGTGCGGTTGGCAACACTAAGCCTGGTGGCAAGCCATGGTGGCAATGGTAGCGGCGGTGGCAACGGTGGAAGTGGAGGAGGTAATGGTTTTGGTGGCAACGGTAACGGCGGAGGATCACGATTCACAGCAAACTCAATGGCAGCAGCGTCGTCGTCGCGGTATGCGGCTGGACTGGGAAGCTCTGGACGGGCGCACCATGGGGCGACGTCAGGGCATACGGACTTGCACGCGACAAATCATCACCATATAATATACGGTGGGAATGGACGGAGCGGGGCTGCAACGCCGCATTTGGCATCGCGGCACAGTAGTGTGCCAGTGAGTGCTGCTGCGGCGGCGGCAGCGGCGGCGAGTGGGCGGGGCGGTAGTGCAACACCGATTCCTGGGTCTTTGGGACCTGATCCTGATGAGATTGCGGCTGCGACAGCTGCGCGGCTGGCGTCGCTTAGTGCGCGGTTGTTTCGGAAACCTGCAGCGAATCCGTTGGACATTTCCAAAGCTGCGGACGTGGAACTGTTGTCACCTGAAGAGCAGATGTTATGTTCACAGCTACGGATTCTACCCAAACCGTACCTGGCAATCAAGGAAACATTGTTTAGGGAATTGCTCAAGTCTGGAGGAGTTCTGAAGAAACGAACTGCGCGGGAACTCATCAAGATTGATGTGAACAAGACTGCACGGATCTACGAGTTTTTCAGATCGCAGCGGTGGATTTCATAAATAAATATAAAAAAAATACAGAAGTATATTAAAAAGATGTTAAACTATTATTGTTATAATAACTATTTAAACAAACAAACAAAAAAAATATGCAAAAAGGGTAGGTGAATGAATTTTTTTTTTTTTTTGTTTCATTTAAAATCTAGGGAGACTGTGAGAATGGGCATGACGAGAGCCTGTGGGGGGTCTATTGATGCGTGTGTGATAAGCATAAGTGGAGGAAGTTCTTGCGCGGGTCATGAGAGGCCATGGAGCCCCGCCTGTGGAAGATCCGCTTAAAGGCGATCTGACTGGAGACAAGGGCGGAAGGTCGACAGATGTTGATCTAGAGAGAGGCGACGAGAGCTGCGGGGCGGTAAGTGGGACTGCGACAATGGAAGATGACTCAAGACCGATTGAGGGGAAAATGCCAGAAGAGTTTGAGAGGGTGCGTGTAAGGCCGAGAGCTGCAGAAGTGGTGTTGACTGGGACGAGTTGTGGCGAGACGGTGGTTGTTGGTGTTAGCGGGGTGAGAGGTGGTGTTGCAGCAGCAGTGGTTGCAGTGGTTGCAGAAACTGCAGAGGCAGTTGCGGCGACTGCAGAATTGGCGGCGGCGGCAGCGGCTGCAACTGCTGCATTGGCGGCGGCCACAGTTGATGCAGGGGGTTGGTGTTGTGGGACCAGCACGTAGTCGAGAGGGTTTTCAGCTTGCTGGCCTGTTGCAAAGTCGAGGTGTGGGGGGGCACATGCGCGGGCAAGCAAGGTAGCTGGGTCAATGGAAGATTCAGCGCGATCAAAGACGGCAGGATCTGGGAGTAAGCCGAGATCGACAAGGTAACGGCCCACGGCGTACTCAGACTCGTCATAATGTGGGAGGTGGTTATCTGCAGCGTGCCAGTCTTTGAGATCGAGGGCTGCACAGTTAGCGCAGAGGGGGACAGGGCCCTGAGCGGAACGACAGCCGGCAGGACATGGGTCTGGAACAGAGTATCTTGGTGGGAGTCTTCTGCGGACCATTTGCTCGAAACGGATATTTGCAAGAAGCTTGAGGAAAGACCACGCACGGTGTTTAGACTTGAAGGGCAACGTGCAGACGTAGAGGTGTTTGTAGGCTACAAAGAACCATTGGCCGCGGGTTGACTGGACGACCTTCATGGTGTCTAGGTCAGCAATGGATACAGAATACTCGAGCTGGGAGGTGCACCCGTGGACGAGGGAGTCTTTGCGTGGAGCACGCGGGATGAAGAACATGCGTTCGGAGGTGACATAGATGGTACCCTTTGACGCGCCGCGGGTAAGATATGTGTGGGAGTGTTCACGGAGCAGGGCTGGTTGTTCAATGAGGGCTGAAGGGTCATCTTCTTCTTCATCGAGGGGTAGAAACAGTGACGATAGAGATGAGGCTACGGAGACGGCACTTGGGCGCCGATGGAATGGGTTGTAGCCGTGAGATGACGTTGGTGCGAGGGGCGGTGGGTTGCTTGTAGTTCTACGAGCTGCTGATAGGGATGCTGAGGAAGAGACTTCTTCATGTTGGGTATAAAGGGTAGAAGAGGCGTGTTGCTGGGATTTCTCACGAGTTTGTTGGCGCAGCTGGTACACGCGCATCTCGGAGACGCGCATGACGGAATTTTTATTGATGAAGCGTTGGAGTAACAGTTCATTAGGGTGGTAGACGGGCCAATTAAGATCCTGGGGGATAGCTTGTTGTGGCGGGGCATTGAATGCAGGATGATAGTTAGTATTTTGAGGGGTTGATGGTTGGATGGGAGGTTTTTCCGGGTCAGAGCGGGACCCAGAAGATAGAGGAGGGTCAATTGTCAGAAGAGAATTTGTTGTAGGTCGTTCCGAGACTGTTGCAGGAACTGCGCATGCGAGTGAGAGATCGTATGTGGATGCAAAAGATGGGCTTATGCCGACAGGAGTCTGTTGGGAAGGTGCAAAGATTGCCGAATCATTATTTGGGTTTAGCTGGGCAGAGTGACTCGGAGCAAAATCCATACCTGTTGCAGTTCCAGGCCCTGGCGGTACAAAGCTTGTTGGGTGAGTATTGTTAGCGTAGCAGCAAGTATCTGGCGAGTAATTGTAAAAATCGATTTCGTTTGGAACGCCAAATAGGTGATAGTGTGGGAGTGCATAGGAGGACCCTGAAGAAGCGCCAACCCCACCACCATCAAGACTAGTGCAGCTACCGTTTGCGCTGTTTGAGCCGCTCCCCCCACCAAACATACTGTTGATAAGACCTGCACCAGAGCTCTCAGAAAGACTTTCAGTGGTGCGGTTCCAGCTAGAACGCAACAGACTGAAGCTTAGGAGTCGGCGGCGGCTTGCAGAGGCCGAGGCTCGCCGGGGGGAATCTGAAGATCCACCTATGGAGACATGAGACAATGAGGGGTAAATCTGGGGTTGGTATGGAGAGGCAAATGGAGAGCTTGTAGTGGTAGTTGTTGCTGTTGCTGTTGCTGCTGCTGCTGCTGCTGATGTTACTGATGTTACTGATGTTGCTTGCGGAGAGGACGGTTGTTGAGGATGATCATCTGAAGTTAGGGTTTGTTGAGAGGTAGGCGTAGAGCCGACGGCAGGAAGGGTTCCGATGGAAGAGCAGGTGCTGATTTCGGTGCCGTTGCGAACAAGGCTTGTTGCGCTGGTCGATGCCAGGGGAGGATCTGGAGCCGTAACAGGGGCCGTAACCGGGGCTGTAACTGTGGCCAATGTATCATGGGGAGGCAGCGATGAAGTTGTTGGAGGGCTTTCATCGCTAGTATTATTGCTAGAGAGTTTTGCCGATGACGCAAACGAGCTTGACGAGAAATTAAAGTTGACTCTTGGGAGGTTAGAGTTGGCGCGATTACTATTGCTATTGCTATTACTACTATTACTATTATTACTATTATTACTACTACTACTGTTGATAGGTTTTGTAGTTGCTGTTTCAGTAAAATCCGGCAGTGTAGAATTACTACTCTTGTTGATGTCTGTGGATTCGTGCAAGATTGTCTGGTGGGTTGCTGGTGGGAACTGTGGGGGTTCCAATAGGGGGAAGCTTGGTGGGGCTGTAAAAAAGATGGCATTAGAAGAAGTGCTTGTACTTGCAACAGGATAAACATCATTTTGGAAAGAGTTGAAGGGATTGTTTGAACCAAACACAATGGGTATTGAAGGGCTTAAGAGAGATCCGAACGGGTCTGGGAGAAGTGTCTGTGGAAAGGCATTGTTATTATTATTATTATTATTATTATTATTATTATTATTATTATTATTATTATTGGTGGTGACCGTGGGGTCGGCAATGAGTTCCGGAGCCGGTTGTTGATTTTGCAGCTGCGTGATCTGAGGGAAGTTAGTGGATGGGAATAGGAATGAAGGCGGGTAAGTTGTATTTATTGTAGCAGATACTGTTGATACAGAAGCTGAAGCTGAAGCTGAAGCTGATTTTAATGATGATGATAATGATGGTGCCACTCCAACCACCGGAACCTGAGATCCCGGCCCACAAGTACTTGTGACAGTAGTATTTGTATTTGTATGTGTATGTGCATTTGTATGTGCATTTGTACTAACAATAGCACCACCAGCACCAGGGAGGATGGCAGCCCCACTATTACGACTGCTGCTGCCGCCACCACCTAATGCACCATCTATACTAACAGTTCCTACAGCCGAACACGACACTGGCGAAGGTACGCGTGAAGGGGCATGAGAAGATGAAGAACGGGCAGAAGAATTTGTTGTAGTAGTTGAAGTTGTTAGAGTTGAATTTACAGTTGAAGTTGCTTCTGAAGAAGATTCTGAAGAGTAACCTGGCGAAAGAGCACGAGAAGAAGAAGAATGATGGTGGCCACGGCCAGAAGCAGAGACTATGGTTGAAGAAGTTGTAGAAGTGGATAAAGAGGAATAAGAAGATGAGATGGAGGAAGAAGAAAAGGATTTGGGGACTAGTTTTGCTTTAATGGCAGCAGCAAAACGACGTGCACCTGGGCTTTGAGGAGGTGAAGTTATAGAAGATGAAGTTGAAGTTGGAGTTGAAGAAGCAATTTGAGGATGATTATTTTGATTAAGGCCAGGTGGAAGTTTTGAGTTTTGTTGTTGTTGTTGTTGTTTGCGAGAGTCTGTGGAGCGATTCTGTCGTGAGCTGAACCAGCTGGAAGATTTTATAAATGAGGAAGACATGATAGTAGGTGGTGATTTCTAAAGATTAGAAAGATAGAAAGATAGAGAAAAAAAAATAAAAAAATAAAAAAATAAAAAAATAAAAAAATTACGATGATGATAAATAATAATAAATAATTATAAGAATGGAGAGTTGAAATTAAGATTGAAATTAAAAATAAATGAAAAATAAAAAAAAATTAAAAAATTAAAAAGAATTTAGTCTTTGTTTAATTAAAAGACTTTTATCTTATTTTTGGGGGAGGAGGTTGGACTTTTTTAACAAATAAAATAAAATAAAATTCCCCTGAAATCTTTCTTTTTGGTCGCTTCTTCTTCTTCTTCTTCTTCTTCTTCTTCTTAATCTTCTTTTCCCTTCCTTTTTTTTCAATTTAAAAAAAAAAAAAAAAAAGGGAAAAAAAAATTCCAAAAGACTTTTATATATATTTGGAGATTTTTTTGGGGGGGGTTTAAAAGGGTTTCCCAATATGGCAGATACCGTTGGAGATACACAAAAATATTAAAAAAAAAACAAAAATCCACATACAAAAAAAAAATAAAAAAAGTAAACAAAACCACCCCATCATTATTTATTTATTATTTTTATTTATTATTTATTTATTATTTTTATTTATTATTTATTTATTATTTTTATTTATTATTTATTTATTATTTATTATTTATTTATTTATTATTTATTTATTATTATTATTACAGCCAATATACCAAATACAACCACCCTGAAAATGGGTGTGTGTGCGGCAACGCGTAGCCGATTTTTTTTTTTTGTTTTTTTTGTATGTGAATGTATGAAAAGAGCAGCACCAGCATCAGTACCAGCAAGAAGAAGAAGCAACCATAGAAGCAACCGTAGAAGCAGCATCAACTGTATTATCACAAGAGAAAGAAGAAGAAGAAGATGATGATGATGATGATGATGATGATGATGATGATGATGATGATGATGATGATGATGATGATGATGAAGTAGAAGCTTAAGAAGAAGAAGAAGAGAAGAAAAGAGAAAAGAAAAGAAGAACACAACCTTTTATTTCTGATTATTCATTTCATTTAGTTTTATTCAATTAATTCATTTAATTCAGTTTTATTCAATTCACTTAATTCACTTAATTCACTTAATTCACTTAATTCACTTAATTCACTTAATTCACTTAATTCACTTAATTCATTAAAGATCTCTCTCCATCTCCTAATCAACTCTTCTTCCCACGACGTTTACGCTTCTGCGGATCCTCTCCACCAACATGTTCCACACTGCGAATATGATCATACCAATAAGATGGAATCCGTGTTGTAAATGAACAATATGCACTTGGACAATCAAAAAACCCACGCGCATTGCGTACCCCATGTACTCGAGACCCCTCTGGGAACTCTTCAAAATGTGTTTGTTTAACCACCGTCTCAATGCTGGGGAAATGTTTATTGTTTTTATGTGTTTGTCGATCTGCAATTGAAGAAAATAACTCCCCGCATTTCCGGCACTTGTACTTTTGCTTCTGGTGGCTCACCTTTTGATGTTTCCGTAATTCCCCACCATTCCTAAATGTTTCCCCACACTCCTCACATGTCGTCGTTATTGTCCTTGATGTCGTTGTTGTTGTTGTTTTTGTCGATGTCAAAGAACTGTTGTTGTTGGTATTCCCATCACCTGAACAAGTCTGGGTATTGGGATTTGTACCCGGAACGGGTATCATTGTGGTCTGAGCTGGTTGCTGTAGTGCTGGTAATGGTAACGGTACCGCTGTTGATGATAAAATCTCACCACCACCACCACCACCATTATTGTTATTATTATTATTATTATTATTATTTTCAACATCCCCCTCACCATTATTTTCCCCATCTGTTCCTCCATACCCTCCACCACTGGACCCCATAACAACTGTCCCACTACCACCGCCATTCACATACCCTGTCGACGATGAAGATGACAATGCTGCAACTGCTGCTGCCGCTGCTATAGCTGCTGCCGTTGTTGGCACTGCTGTTCCTGATCCTACTGTCCCACCACTCCCATCTCCACCAGACCCTTGATTGACAGATGAAGAAGAAGACCCTCCATACATTCCTAAATTAAACCCTCCATTGCCCTGTGGAACCAACGCCGGCGTGGCTTCCACATAATGTCCATATGTGTTGTTATCTCCCAAACCTGAGCCATAGTATCCCTCTGAAGACTGCTGCTGTTGTCGCTGTTGTTGTTGCTGCTGCTGCTGTTGTTGTTGTTGTTGTCGTTGTTGCTGTTGATGTGATGGCTGGTTACGATACCCATAAGGTGCATAGCCTGCCATTTCCCCGCCTCGCCTCAGCTCCCGAAACATTGTGCTGGTCCCGCCAGCGCTCTTCCCTGCGTCCGGAGAGCCGATTGGCGGTAACACTGGAGACCCAGATGATTGCATTCCCGAGTGACCCCCATTCATCCCATTCCCACCAACACCTCCATACAGGTATGGTCCATTCCCTGTGGCCAGTGATTGAGGCCCGTTATTATTATTATTATTATTATTATTATTGTTGTTGTTGTTGTTGTTGTTGTTATTATTAGTAGTAGTATTAGTAGTAGTAGAAGAGGTCGTTTGCCCAGAAAACCCAACGCGACTGCCATATGACTGATCGATAGCACTGGGCAACAACTGACGCGGGTTAATCAACGTAGGATGATGGTCCCCAAATGGTGATACTTCACGCACACTCTGGGAAGTTTCTTCTAAAACTGGGGCTTGTAATAAGTTTTGACTTATACTGTTATTGCCACTGTTGCCACTGTTGTTGTTATTGCTGCTGCTGCTTCCACGCGACGAATTAAGAATTGATTCTAAAGTCCGTGCAGCAACCATGGTAGTTGCAGACACACTACGAGCCACCTTTTTGACGGGCGCAATGAGTGGGCGAGTTTGCATGGAGCCTCCTGTCACGTCGTCGACGACTGCCGACGCGCCTTGTCCGGTCTGCATGGCTTCTATTTGTAGCAACCCGCTCGGGTCGAGCGAAGAATATGGTCGGTTAATTTTTAAAATGAAAGAGGAAAAAAATTTAAAAAAAAAAAAAAAAAAAAAAAGAGAGATAGACAATAAAAAAAAAAAACCTTTTAATTTCTATTGCTATTAAAAAAAATATATATAAATAATAAGATAATAAAAAATGGGAAAAATAAAATAAAATAAAATTCAAGTGTTGAAGCTGATTATTGAAAATGATATTATTATTATTTTTTTTAAAAAAAAAAAAAAAAAAAAAATTTTAAAAAAAGGGCGCAAAAAGATAAAAAAAAAAAAAATTTTTTTTTTTTTTTTGATTAAGAGATGAGAAAAAAAAAAAAAAAAAAAAAAAAAAAAAAAAAAAAAAAAAAAAGGGAAAATTTTTTTTAAATATTTTGTTTATATTTTAAATATTCCCTTTGATGATGACTTTGTTTTTTTTTTTGTATTTTTTGTATTTTTCAATTTTATAGTTAAAAATAAGAACTTCTTCAGATCAAAATTTGAAAGGTTGTTTATTGTTTTCAATGGGTCTTATCGTCGTCACTTTCATAAAAAAAAATAAATAAATAAAAAAAATAAAATAAAATAAAATAAAAAAAATAAAAAAAATAAAAAAAAAAAAAAAAAAAAAACGAAAAAACGAAAAACGAAAAAAAACGAAAAACGAAAAAAAAAAAAAAAAAATAAAAAAAAAAGAAAAAAAGAAAAAAAGAAAAAAAAATTTTAATTACAAATTTTGTTACAATTACATTTTATTATTTTATTTTTATTTTTATTTATTTTTATTTATTTTTTTATTTTGTTACAATCCATTGTTACACCCTGTATTACACTTTAATTACACAAACTTATTATCTCTTTTTTTTAAAAAAAAAAAAAAAAAAAAAAAAAAGAAAGAAAGAAAGAAAGACCTCCTCCCTGTACTTTACAAACTCAAAGATCAAGGATCAGAAAGATTCGACAAAAGCTGTCCAAGACACCGCTTGGTAGCACTATCATCTTTCAACGTATTGCTAAAAGTTGCATCACGGAATGGCTCAGGAAGCACAGTCTTGAGCTGGTTGCGCGCCTGTACATTGTCACTCAGACGTAGGTAGCACCGCACCACATGCTTGAGCAGCCGCGTGGTGGGCGACTCCACCAACTGTTTAACCATATCCGCAAGTACATTTGACACAGCAGAGAACCGCTCAAATGTCTGGCAAATGTGTTCGAGACCAGCATCATCCATTAGAATTTTTTGTAAAATGAAAATCGCAACCGTCTTGCTCAAGTCTGTTCCAGAATCCATAATACGTAAACACAATGGGATAATCTCTGTGGTTAGCAAAAACTGAATCACTTCAGGTGAATCATTCTTAACAAGTGCACCAATGACTCCCAAAGAGGTCAATCTCAAATACTCAAAGGACCGCGACTTAGGGGTAGTGCTCAAAAACGGATAAAGGAAAAGAGGAATGTGGGCATCAAGAAAGGGTTTACGAGTGGCGTCATGGGATGCAATGCACTGGAGCAATGCTAGGGCATTGCACACGCGGTTAGAGGCGTTAGATGTGAGCTGTGGTGGTGACAGCAAGGGGTATACATAAATGATTTCCTGGAGTAGACATGTCATGACGCCAAACGAGTGCCATAGAATGAGTGCCAGGTCATCATATTGCTCTCGCTTTTTGCCGAGCTCAAAAAGGGCTTGTTCTGAGTTGGGACCATGCATAAGTTCCAGAATCCAGGTAAAAACCTTGTCATCGTCTGTTTGTGGAGTAGGAGTTGACATGTTGGATTGAGAAATGACTGCGGTGGTATTGTTGGTGTTAGTGCTGGTGTTGGTGTTGGTGGTAGTGGTGGTGGTGGAGACATTAGAGCCCGTAGTGAGCGTTGATGTTGAGGCCGATGGTGTGGCTATAGATTGAGCGCCAGAAGCTTCATCTTTGTTTGTAGATTGATTTTGTTGATTCTGCTGTTCCGTATTGTTAATGTTATTATTGTTGTATACAGAAGCTCCACCAGGGTTGATTAGTTGGCGAAGGGCATTAGCCGATGCAGAGCCAGAGCTCGGTTTATTGTTGATATTATTAATATTATTGATATTATTGATATTATTGATATTATTGATATTATTGATATTGTTAATATTGTTTGAATTGGAAAGTAAAGCTTGCTTGTATGACATTAGTCCATCTTGAGAAACTTGTTGCTGTTGTTGCTGTTGTTGTTGTTGTTGTTGTTGTTGTTGTTGTTGTTGTTGAGGGATAGGTCCGTTTCCCATGGTCATCTGAGGAGGGTATTGAGGGTACTGAGATCGCATAGCATTGTAATTTGCAGATGATTGAGATGACTGCTGCAGCTGCTGTTGTTGTTGCTGTTGCTGTTGCTGCTGCTGCTGCTGCTGCTGCTGTTGTGGAGATAGAAGCTGCGGTGGAGGTTGTTGTTGTTGTTGCTGTTGTTGCTGGCGAGTCAGTCCATAGATCTGGGACTGCTGGCCATTAAACATTGCGAGATGGTTTTTTTTTCTTTTTTTTTTTAGATTTGAGTCAAAAAGATGTAATTTTTGAAAGAACTTGGGTTTTGTTTATTTATAAGATTGAAAGGGATAAGAGGGGAAAAGTAAGAAGAAAATGAAAATGAGTAAAATATATATATGTATATGGATACAAAGGAGGTTTAAATGATGATTTGGTGGTGGTGTTGGTGGTGGTGATACTGATGGGGGAGGAGGAGGGGAAAGGTGGAATTTACGTTTTTGTTTTTTTTTTTTACATGTAAAAAATTAAAATAAAAATTAAAAAGTTAAAAAAAAAAAAAAAAAAAAAAAAAAAAAAAAAAAGAGAGAGAGACTTGTTACAACTATACATGACTCATCAATTACTAATCTTTATATAACTACCCGGTTTCCATTAGTCAAACGACGGCGCCAGAGCCAAAATCGAAAAGGACGGGTCTTTTGTTTCTCTTTGCATAAATGATCGAACATGATCAAGAACTTTATCACTAAGCATATCTGAATTCTTATCCAATTCTCCCAAATCAATTGGTCCTGTACGGCGACCATCGAGTTCAACAAAATGGCCGGACCCTCTGGCTCGTGTAAAACATACAAAGTGTAAGTTAACTTCATCGGAAGCATCTGGGGCCTGTGTTGAACCCTTTGATGCGAGAGAGGCATATAATTTATCCAACTCTGTGTCATTTTCCAAGATATGAGTACGGTCGTCGACTGTAGCATGTTCAGTACGTTTGATTAGGGATTCAATATATGAGTCAGATTGAAGATCGTGGACACCATTGGCAAGAGCGTGGAGAATAGCGTAGAAGCCGCATGCGTTGCGGATAGTTTGACGGTACCAAAGAGAGTCTTGAGCTGGGGTTCCTGCAACGCTTGTATAGTAATCAGTTGGACGGGTTGCATCATCAGTTTTGCGATATTCTTCGTAGGTTTCTGAGACTGGGAAGACTAAGATGAGGGCAGATACTGGACGGGGGACAAAGGCAAGAAGATCAGGGTCATCAATGGAAAAGACATCATGGAAGGCAAGAGATTCCCCGAGACCAAGGCGGTGACTTAGAGAGGAGAAGATTTCAGGGTTTGATTCTAGGGGGACAAAAGATTTTGGCATAGTTTATGTATGTGTTGAATGTTGAATATTTAAAGGTGAAATATATATATATTAATAAGAATGTCAGATTGTAGAGAAAGAAAGAGGTAAAGTTGTTGAGAGTTTTACCTTAAAGGAATTTGAATTTGAATTTAAATTTTAATGTTTATTTTATGAGAGCTATTTAATTTAGACATGTAAAACTTTTTAAGCTTAAAAAATTAAAAAAATAAAAAAAAAAGGGCTCTTTGCTTATATAAAGAGTTTATCAGCCGTACGCACGTAAGTTTGACTGATTGATTGATTGACTGACTGACTGACTAAACCAACCAAAAAAAAAGGACCTCGGCAAGTCTAAACAATAGAAGCAGTAGCAACAGCAGCAGCAAAAGTAGCAACAGCAGTTGTACTTGTTTTCTGTTGGTAAATTTTAAACCAAAAAAAAAAAGAAAAATTTTATTTTTTTTTAATTTTTTTTATTTTTAATTTTTATTTTTAAGGGAGTCTCCAGAAAGTCCTAAATTGGAGAATTTTTTTTTTTTCTTTTTTTTTTTTTTTCAAAAGGGGTTTTTTCTTTTTCTTTCTTTTTCTTTTCCCATTATTATCAATTATCATTATCATCAATTATCATTATCATCAATTATCATTATCATCATCGTCATCTTTTTATTGTCAGATTTTTTTTTGACATGTATTTGGTCATTATATATAAATAATAAATAAATAATAATATAATAGTTTATTATTTATATTTATATTTATATTTATATTTATTGCCATTTTTTTTTTTTTTTTTTTTTAAAAAAAACCCCCTCCATATCTTTTCTATCTGCTCCTATTTAGGTCTACACACACATAAATACACTTTTTTTTTCCCCAGATTCCTATCACACACATAAAAAACTAACAAACACAATGGCCCAGCAGTTTGTGGAGGACATTTGAAATTCCTTTTCTTTCTTAAAAGATTTTATTTTATTTAATTTTTTTTTTTTTTTTCATCTTAAGTTTATTATTTGTTATTATTATAAAAACTTTTTTTTTTTCCCTGTGTCTTCTTTGTCTTTTAAAGACTCTTTTTCTTTCTCCTTAAAAAAAAAAAAAAAAGGGCCAAGACAAATTTCTTTGGTTTTTTATTTTTTATTTTTATTTCTCTCGGGTTTTATTATTAAAAAAATAAAAAAAAATAAAATAAAAAACCCTTTGAAGTTTTATATTCTCTATTTAAAAAAAAAAAAAAAAAAAATAGAAATCAATCATATAAAGAAATCTCCTACCAAATTATCATCTCTCTTAGACTATCAATCAATAATTATCAACTTCAAATCTTTATACCATCCCACATGACTCCCATGTCAAACCACCAGGCTTATGTCCAGCGTATCCTGGCCATAACGTCCTCGTGTCTCAGCATCACTTCCGGCATGCTGGTCCTGCTCTGGTGGTATGGCATCCCGATATACGACAACTGGAAAATCTCTAAACAACAGCAGCAACAACAACAACAACAACAACAACAACTTCAAAATCAAAATCGAAATCATCATCAATCTCGTCCATTAACAAAACGTCGAAGAGTCCATCAATTTAGACACGACCTTACTCTCGCTCTCATCATCATGGACCTCTTCAAAGCTATCATCCTAATCACATATCCTACTCGCTACCTTCACTCAGATATCTACTTACTCTCTCCTCATATCGCCTTTTGCGATGCTGTCGGTTTCCTCACCACTGCAATCATCCAAGCATCTGACTTTGCCATTCTAGCACTTGCAATCCATACTGCTCTTCTCATCTTTAAACCACACTTCAAAGGTGGTCTCTACCGTTACAGGTATACAATCTACTTACTCTTCTTCATCTTCATCCCTCTCTGCTTTGCTTCTGTAGGAATGGTTGGTCTTTCCGGTTATACTGCCTTCACCTCATGGTGCTATCTTGTTGTTAGACCCCTTTGGTATTCCCTCGTTCTCGCTTGGATCCCACGTTTAACCATTCTTCTTCTTATCGCCATCATCTATCTAGCAATCTTTGTCTACGTCAAAATCCACCTCTACAATGTCGCAAAGGCCATCCAAGATGCTTCAACATCAGACCAAAACCTTCAACAAACTGCCCTCTCTCCACCATTAAAACCTTTCTCACCTGTACGTGTCTACCTTAGACTCAAGTCATGGCTCTCATATATGCCTGGCCTGGGATTCTTAAACCCCTATATTGATCGAGCTGCAAACTCTTCATCCCAAGATTCTGAAAAAAACCGACCACCTTGGAATGAAAAACCTTCAACCCCTCGAAACTCCTTCTCTAGAAATAATGCAATCATCCCAGATTCGGCCGATATCACTCAAACAATCCAAGAACAACTCAACCGCGAACGCGTCGAAAGGTTCAGTAAACGTCGCTCCATCATTGAACGTCAACTTAACTCCATCTTCATTTACCCTCTAACATATGTTCTCCTCTACATCTTCCCCCTTATCCAACAGTTTGTATATTACCGCCACTTGAGCGAGGAATCCTCTGCTCCCAAATCTTCTTCCAATGAAAGCTCAAGAACATACAACCATGAACCCATCTACTGGCTGGCGCTGGTCGCTGCCTGGATGAAACCATTTAACTGCTTTATAGATTCCTTTGTCTTTGTTTTCCGTGAAGGCGTACTCCCTTGCTCCAGTCGTGCTCGTGAAGCTAAGCGCGAACGCAAGGCCCGAAACAAGTCCGTGACAGCTTCTACTCACGGACAAACAACGGGAATTTCATCTTCTACATACTCTCTCAACATCCCGGCCCAATATACAAATAATAATAATAATAATAATAATAATAATAATAATAATAATAATAACCGCCAATCCCAAGGCCACCTTGATGAGATTTCCAAAATCCCCAGTGTGCATACGGGCCGTGCGTACCCGGGAATTAGTGTGGATGAATCGTCCGATAGTGAACAGCAACATCAGCAGCAACGCCAAGCTCAGCTTTCAATCACTTCAACTCTGTTGACGCCACTTCCCGGACGGCCAACTCCGCACCCAAGTACCAATACTACTGGGTCCACTTTTGTGGAAGATGAATATTTAAAACAAGCACCCAAGCATGACCAAGAAGGAGAGGAGGAGGAAGAGGAAGAAGAAGAAGAAGAAGAGGAAGGAGATGAAGATTATGATGATGAAGATGACGATGATGAAGAAGAAGCTGCAGGGTACTACCCTGGTGGTGACTATGATATCGATTATATTGTATCTCATAACCATTCAACCCATACAGGCCATCATCACCATAATCACAATAATCAACAAGGACAAAACCTTCAAAACCAGCAGCAGCAGCAGCAGCAGCAGCAGGAACAACGTCAACAGCAACAACAGCAACAACAATTATCACAACATCAACAATTATCACAACAACAACAACAACAACAACAGACAAACCAACAGAATCCAAATCAAATTCATCGCAAAAGTTTCTTTTCCCGACTTTGGGGAGTTCTTAGACCCCTATGGGATGCCTCAGTCGGAAATCTCGAGGAACCAAAGGGACTTGACGATGGGCTTTCACGTACTCAAACACGACGCCAGCATCCACAACGTAAACAAAAACCCCTCACATCTATCCCACCAGAAGGATTCAAGCATTGGGACTCGTTCTCGTTCCAGGACTCGTCGTCGGCATCGGCAGCTGCAGCAGCCTTTGCAACTTCTACAGTAACAAGATCCATAGCACCATCAATGCTTGGACCTTCTACCGGTAACTCATCTATCAGATCCTCAGTAACAACTGCCCCATCAGGACTGCCAGGACCACCAGGCTTAGCAGCTCCACAAGGACGGCCTCAACGGCTATACCATCTCGACACAATCCATAGCGAAGACGCGGCACCGTCTTCTGGGTCTGCTCTTGAATCAAATCCAATGGCCCAAGACTCTAACCAACCCGTGTTTGCAGATAATGTCCAAGGCTTTTTCGGTAATACTAACTACGACCCAACAGTCATTGCAACTCCGGCTCGTCCATCGATCGCATCCTCTGCAATCTCACCACTTCGACGTAACACTTCTGTCTCTATTGCATCTTCCTCATCGCCATCTCTTGCGGGTCAATCCAAGCCCGCATCAAGTTTGGTAAGTTTTTTTTTTTTGTTTTTTTGTTTTTTTGTTTTTTTTGTTTTTTGTTTGTTTATTTATTTGTTTATCATGTCTCACTGTGTCTCAACTCTAACCATTTAATATAGAACTCTTCACTCTCGCTAGACGAAAAGTCTTACCCAATGGCCCGTTCTTCATCTCTCCGCGTCCCCTCGGGTCCTAGACCTTCAGTCTCCTCAGTCTCCACCGTCTCCGATATAGGCCCAACCCCAGGATCAAGTCCTACACATAGTAGAACCCCAAGCATTTCATCTGCAGCTGCCAAGGGTAAAGCTGTACAAGGTCCTCCTCTTTCTTCATCATCATCATCATCTATATTCCCTGCATCTGCCTTTTCTACAGCACCCCTCCCAGCACCGCTGCCACTTCCGCCGCCATCATCATCATCATTATCATTATCCTCATCTTCTCCACACCTTTTACCAGACCCAACTGCCCCACACACCCTCCTGACTGAATCCATTTTGGAGGACAGTGCGGAGGACGAGACCCGCCACCATCATCACCCTTCTTCCCATATTACATCTCACGGCCGTAAGTTTGGTCTGCCGAGAGCTTTCACAATGCCTGCATCCAGTACAGACTCTGAACTTTTCCGTTCACCTTCCGACGACACAGACGACCATTCACCAGCAGCAGCAGCAGCAGCAGCAACAACAACAACAACAGACTCTCCTGACTTTGAAAATATTTGGGAACATCAGGCTAGATCCCAAGCTCATCACCATCATATGCACCTGCCACACTTGTTTAAACATCACAAGACACGCGACCGCAGCCAGTCGCCAAGCACAGTAGGCCGCAGTCGTGGAAATACAATGGATTTGGGGCCCGGAGGCTCGGTGTCTCAGGAACCGTTCCGACGACTTGGCACTACACCTCATCATCACCAACACCAACACCAACACCAACACCAACACCAACACCACCATTCTGGTGGTGGAAATACGGTTAACACAGTAGCCTTACAAGGAACGCCAAACATTGAGTCTGCTACTAATAGTAATAATAACAATTATAATAGTAATACTACTGGTAGTAATAGTAATAGTAGCAGTGGTGGTACTAGAGCTCGTGCACGAAGTTTGCATAATGAAAGTGGTCCACCACACGTGTTTGTGGCCAGTGCTGCGGAAGCTGCTGAAGGTGTTGGTGGGAGTGGGTCGGATAACGAGTCGATGGATTTTATGGAGTTTTTACGCAACAATTAGAAACAAAAAGTTCAAAAAAAAAAAAAAAAAGTTGATTTTTTTTTATATTCGTTTTTCATTTTTTTTTTTTTTTTTTTTCCATATAGTCTTTTCATCTTTTGGTATAAACAAATGTATTTTATTCATATTTTATTATTTATATATACTTGAATTTTAGATTTGAGTGAGCAAGTGAGTTAAGTAGTAGTATTCATGGTTAAATTTAAGCATATTTTTCTGTCTTGCAAGAAAACTTAAAATAAAAGCTTAAAGTGCGCTGCTTATATATAAACAAATACAAACAAACAAACCAATTCATCTGTACTCAACTCTTCAATCTCCCCCCCACTTCTTCCTCCCCCAACACTATTAAAACGCATTGGAAGCTCGAAGAACCTCTACCAACCGTTTATATTCTCCATGCAACACCTCCACATCTTTCATCGTCAAACTCGTCCACTCTTTATTTAAAAGCTCTTCCACAGGTGGTGCCACTTTCCCAGGAACTGTCACCGTCACTGGCACCGTCACCGGCACTGGCACTGATACCGGAACTTGCTGCTGCTGCTGCTGCTGCTGCTGTTGTTGTTGCTCGTTCCCACTATTGTTTCGAAGAGTCCGTACAAGCCGGCCCAACAATGGCTCTGACCCGCTATGCGCACCAATCCCAATCCCAATCCCAGACCCAACACCAGAACCAGAACCAGAACCAGCACCTGTACTAGAATTGCTCCCAAACTCCGGTAGTGATGTCGTGCTTGACGCACCACTCCCAAGCCCTCCAGCCTTAATGCTAGACACAGACGCTTGCCGTGTAAGTCCTCGCCGCAGTGGCGGAGGTGGTGACGACGACAGCGTGTCTGCAGACACAACATTCGACAGACTCGAGTGCCGTGGTCGGCCTGTTTTCCTGGGCTCTGTGCCATCACTACCAATAGCCCCCATGGGTCCTCCTCCACCTTCATGCTGCAAATCTCCATCACGTGCATTGTTAATTTTGCTCATCAGAAACCGGTAGCTATTACCAAACGTCGTCCCCAGCGCTTTGATTGATTGATCTGCAGAATTCACAAGCTCAGTCGGATCTGGGGCAAGCGAAATCATAACTTGCGGTTGTGGATGAGGGTTTGAAGTTGATGCAGCCGCTGCAACTGCTGACGCAGCAGCAATTTCTGATGAAAACTGGGTGTTTCGATGGTGCCGCAGCCGCGACCGCACACTGCCCTGATATCCAGATGGAATCGACGACGGAGGGTCCGTGAAAACTGTAAAATCATTGGCATACGGCGACTCAGTCATAAGCACCTCTAAAGTATTGTCCTCACCACTACTACTCTCCTGGTCTTCAACACCCAAAGACCCCAACGTCGTCGCCTCAATGAACCCAACCACCGCCTGCAGGTTCGTCAGTGGGTACGCGTTTTCGCCCATGGACGTCACTGCCGAGCTTCGGTACCGCATAATGTATGCCAGCTGCAGCCAAATATCAGGAATGTCAAACTGCACAATGGTGTAGATGAGCAGCGGTAAAATCGAGTCGGCCGCAGCTGCGCTTGTCCGTACTCCCATCCCGAGATTCCCTGCTCCTGTACCACTACCACCACCACCACCTCCATGGCCACTTCCTGAGGTACTGCCACTCGAGTTGGGTGCATGGTTGGCCACCGCAGTGATGGCATCGGTGTTGCTACCTGTATTGTTATGGATCAATAGACTCGAAAGCGATATGCGGCGCTGCTGGTCTTGCTGTTGCTGGTACTGCTGCTGAGCGCTCAAAATGGATGACCGCCGCGGCGAGTTTGACGCATCCGTCGCAAGAGATGTGCGCCGGAGAAAGTTGGGCTTGAGACTCGTGTCTGGAAGCAGCGAGTGCAGCTTGGACGTGGTCTTTGATGGCGACGAATTAGATCCTGGGGCCTGGGGCTGCTGTAAAGGCTGCTCTGTAGGTGGGGGTAATTGCTGAGGTATGGGGGCAGGTTCTGGAGGAGGAATCTGTTTGCATGGATAAAGACTGGAAATCACATCTTCGACTAGAAGCCGGTGGCCTTGTAGAAAGGCAGAGAGCTTGCCTGCGGGCGTTTGCTCATCATCCATTTCCTTAAACTTTTCGGCAACTGGCTCCAGCAGTTGGTGTAGATGCTTCTGAGTGAGCTTGGGATGCTTTGTGCCCAAGCTCTCGTCATCTTCATTCTCCACAATCTCAAGGTCAAAGTCCAGCAACTTGGGTGTAAGAGGCAGTGCGCGAAGAGCCACAATGCGCTGCGTGATTTCCTGGTTGCGTTCAACGTCAGTACCAGCCACAGGCTTGAATAGCCGCTTATAAAGAAGTGATGTTGAGCGAGCCTCCGCTGTTTCATTGTACTCCTTCAAGCGGATCGGTCGCATGGCGCGTTCTCTTCTTTTTTCTGCAATCTCCTCGTATGTTTCCATTTTGATTTCGCGCTTTCTAAAATGCAAAGCGTTAAGCGAAATTTCCGGAGTCGTAAGTCCATTACTACTGAAGTTATTAGGGAAAGAATTTGATGCGTTGCTGGTTGGATTTGAAGAGCCATTGGCTTGCGAACTTCCGTTAGCTAATTCGCCATATGAAAGGGTACTTTGTGTGAGATACTCATCAGCCTTGACATTGAACTCTTCGTAAAAGGTCTGATAAAGTAGAGACACTGCAGAGGGCTGGAGAGGCGATTTGAAACGAGGGGCTTTAAGTCCGGCCACAAACTTTTCAATGGTATGGGAAAGAACTGCAGGAAGCTGAGATGCGGCCTTTTCGGCAGCCAAGCTGCTTTTGTTTTCGTTTCCATTTCCGTTTTCAACAGATGGTTTATTGGTATCGGTGGAAGAAGTGCTAGCAGCTGTTGTGGCAAATGGAATTGCTCCAGATGAAGAAGTGCTAGTTGTTGCGTCTGAGGTTTGGTTTGCTTGAGAAGAGACTGATGAAGCCGAGGATGCAATGCTGGATGTCTCATCGACTGGAGTAAGAGGAGGCTTAGACGATCCAAAGGCGTCTTCTTTATTGTCATTATACTCATCTTCAATAGGGTTTAGGGAAGCTTCAAGTAGACTATTGTCATCGGATACTGACGATGATGTTTTCCCATAAGACTCCTTTTCTGCATTTTCATCGAGCCACGTTTTGCGTGCTGGGTCTACTGGCGGAGGAGAATGGAACATGGAAGCTGAACTGGTGACTTTGCCTTCGTCTGGAGTTTCAAAGTCCGCGGTGCTGGCCGGCTCTTCTGAAGTTGGGTTCCGGGTGCCGGCTGCTATTGCTGTTGCTGCCTCTGCTTCACTTCGGGGGGATGGTGTTTGACCCAGAAGTGAGGAGATGTGAGAGTTGTTGAGCAGATGATCATCAGTGAGCGGGTCTTCCGGCGGTCCGCCTAGAGTCGTCTGGGCCTTTTGTCTGCTCCAGGACATTTTATTAATTGCTTATTTGCTTGCTTGTTGGGTTGGAAATGCGAATATCCAGGCAGGCTGATAAGTGGGAGATTTTTTTATTTTTTTATTTTTTTTTATTCATATAAAAAAGGGTGGTAGTGAGAAACCGGATGGACTGGACGAATTAATTAAGGAGGTAGGCAGGCAGGCAGGTAGGCAGGCAGGCAGGTAGGCAGGCAAGGGGCGGCTGTTTTTTTTTATGGGCTTGTCCATAATAGTATGGGAAATTTGCTTAAACGCAAGCCTTTCTAAGACTACCAAAAAAAGTAACACAAAATTGTAACAGCAGGAAAGACGAGCCAAATCGGGCCAATGCTGAGGTTTTGCTGAAGAAGCATAAAGATGCTGAAAAGATGAAAGTTGATCAGATTTCACAAGGTATTTATTTAAAAAAAAAAATAGAAGATCAAGATAAATGCTTGGGTGGGATTTTAAGTGGATATTTCAAAAAGGAATGGAGAGGTTTTTTTTTTTTTTTTTTTTTTTTTTTTTTTTTTTGGACGGGACTTTTAATGAAGAAAAAAATATTCAAATTGTGACTTTCCAAAAGTCCCAATTGAGTACCGGCGGGACTCGAGTACCGACATTTCAGAAAAAGAAACCAATTGAAACAACGTAGGACATAAGTCAATTAAAAGAATATGTAGTTGTAATTTTGGCTATTCAAAATACTTACCAACAAATATATATATATTCTCCCCCCTCAATTTGAGGAACAAATTATATCATCAATTAAACAGATTCAAAATGATTTAATTAACATTGAAAAAAAAAAAAAAAAAAAAAAAAAAACTCTAATATTTCATAAAAAATCCATCTTGTCATAGTCTAATCAATTGAAAATTAATGCTTTTTGCAAAGCGTTGCAAAGAACCTACTATCAAAGTCATTTGTGCGGCCAAACCTTCTAGAATAATCGTCCATTGTGAAATCACCAACATGGTCCTTCCAATTTAAATAGCCCACCAAGTACCATCGAGGCTTTTAATTATGACATTAATCCACATCACCAAAACACACATTTCTACTAAACACTACACAACACTACCATGGAACTTCAACAAACTCCTCCTCCTCCTTCGCAGCAATCAACTAGTCACAAGCGCAGACACAATAGTACTTCCGATGATGTTTCCACAGAGCGTGCAAAACGGCGGCTCATCTCCACCTTTGAACACCTCTCGCTAGGAAAAAACAACGCAAAGACTCCCGGAACTACTCACAACCCCTTTGGTCTCGCAAAAGTTATACCAAAACAATCAGATACATCCTCCAAACGTTTAGAACAACCACCTGTGACTCCGGCACAAACACCTCCAATTAAACAAGTCACTCAGCAACAGCAACAGCCACCGGCTCTGGCACAGACACATGCACCCGCACGCGCACAGACACAGGCACCCGCGCCAGAAACAGATTACATGGACACAAGCGGTCCCCACACCGTCTTTATTCCTTCAATCGATGACTTCCTGGCTGCTGAAGGCACTTCCTCAGACGAATTCCATTCAAGTGATGTAGACAACGAAGAGGATTCATATACTGAAGACGATAGCGAGCTTGAAAGTGAACCTGAAAGTGATGAAGAGGACCGCTTAAGCCACAACATTGAGCATAAGCGTAGACCTTACTCGCATTCATACACAGGCATAAACACCTCTCCAAACTCGCTTAACAATGAAATAGGAAAACAAAACGACGATGAAGATGCATACCTTGACAGCGACAGTGACGAAATGGATACAGACGACGAATTTGGGTCTTTGGGGTCACGCAAGCGTGGCCGTGGATCCAATGGTCGGGCAACCAAGAAACTGCGCTTAACCACCACGGATTCTGACGGTGGTATTTCGTCCGCCTCGGCCTCCGGCTCCGACACTGATGGGTCCCGCGAACGGCGGTTCCAGAAACGCCTCAAGCACCGCCAAAAGAAACAACAGCAGATGCAGATCCGCCTTGCTCGCAAGGGCCTCCTACGAGTGCCAGTATCTGTGCTTGGCCCTCGCGCACACTGGTACCAGAAACCATCGTTGGCTCTTATACCATATGTTCCTGCACAACAAGTTATCTGGGGACATCTTTTGCTTACCCTTCAACGAGAAGCCCAGGAAAAACAGGAATCTGCAAGACGAGCGGCGGCGGTGGCTGCAGCAGCAGCAGCAGGAAAGTCGTTGTCAGCAGCAATAGAGCCACAGACAAGCATTTCAGACGATGCAATGATTGATGATAACAACATGTATGCCTACGATTCACCTGAATACTTTTACTCAGACTCACCTCCACAGCGTCGCAGAGATACCCGAATGTCCATGTCGCTTTCATCGCCATCACCACCCATATCTTTCCCTCAAATGGACACCGCTAGAAGAGCTGCCGCTGGCAAGGGACTTTCATCACACGTCGCGTCCCAAGGTAACCGCGTTGTGACCATAACAGGTGACGGTTTGTACGACTATGACGATTACGGAGGCATTTCTGATGAAGCATCCATGGATTTAGATTAATTATAATGATTTTATGTACAAAAAAAAAAAAAGAGCAGGCTCTTAATGAATCAATTCACATTGATAGACAGTTTCATTGATAATTTAAAATAAATAAATAAATAAATAACTTATAAAAGTGTATAAAAGCACAGAAGAAAAAACTACTTTTGAACAAGAAAAAGAATAAGAATAAGAAAAAAGAAAAAAGCTATGTTAGTTTCCAAAATAAAAAAAAAATACAAATCACCTTGCACACAAAATCAATTTGACCTTATTTCCCAAGGCTAGTGCAAAATCTTCTGCGTTGCGAACCTCCATCATCTCGCCATCCTCTTGCTTATACAATAACACCATTTGATCCGCGTGCAGACCCAAACGCTCCGCAATCTTAGCTGATAACTGGTCAAACGAAATGGTCGCGGGTACACGAATCGCAATCAAATCATCCTCATGAAACACTTTGATTTTAATGTGACTCCCGTCTTGCACAGATGGCAGCGTCGATGTAGTCGAGGCAGTGGACGTCATCGGGGTGGCGAGCGTGGCCAGAGACGCAGGAGGAACCATCGTGGCACCGTCTCCTATCGGAGAATGCGATCTCGCAAACAAAGTCTCATCCATAGAGTTTATAGCATCATCTCCATCGTCATACGCTCCGGCACTGGCCAGGTTGTCACTTTCTCCATGATGCAGCTCGTTAAAATCTAATCTATTATTGCTGTTATTACTGCCACTCATAATAGTGTTAGGATTTTCCGCAACCTCCAAAGAACGATTGATATCTTCAGTCATAGACTCAGCATTACCGCCACTGATTGACCGCTCAACCATTTTTTCTTCACCCTGGGCATGCGTATCCTTTGTAGGTGATGGCTCCGCATATTTATCCTGATAGCCAGTAGCTTCAGGTGATCCAGCCTTTTGCTGAGGCGTTGGCGATGGTGAGGCTGTCGAGCGAGTTTGGGGCTGAGGCATCACCGGGGTCGAGCTAGTTGTTTCAATATCTACCGTGCGCACAGCAAAAAGCTGCTGCACAATTGGGCTCTGTGAAATGTATGCCGGCATATCAATCAGATTGCGCACATACTCGTCCAAGTTGGCGCGGCGCTGCGACGAAATGGAATCGTTGACGTAGGTCAACGGCCCGGGCATAAAGGGCAAAGTACGCATTTTCCCGGTGCGTCCAGCTTCAGCAGGAAACTCCTGAAGCAGAGCAACCTGGAAATCATAAAAATCCTGGTAGTATCGGCATAGGTACCGATAACGACCGTTGGAAAGCACAGCCACGACAAGGTACCAGTACCGGTCGTCGGCATAGGCAAATTTCTCAACAGACGCAGCTACAACCAGGGGATTCTGGTCATCATACTGAAGGCTCTGTGGAGATTGCTGTGTATAATACTGCTTTTGCTGATGTGTAAGATGTTGTTGTTGTTGTTGTTGTTGTTGTTGTTGTTGTTGTTGTTGTTGTTGTTGTTGTTGTTGTTGTTGCTGCTGCTGCTGTTGCTGTTGCTGTTGCTGTTGCTGTTGCTGTTGCTGTTGCTGTTGCTGTTGCTGTTGCTGTTGCTGTTGCTGCTGTTGTTGCTGCAGTGGCTGTTGTTGCAGTGGCTGTTGTTGTTGTTGATGGTTAAAATAGTCTGATTGATGTGGTTGAAACTGTTGCTGTGATTGAGACTGTTGTTGTTGTTGTTGCTGCTGCTGTTGCTGTTGCTGCTGCTGTTGCTGCTGATGATGGTAATGATCATACGCATTTGTGTGTTGACTTCCATTCGATAGATGAAGATTGCGAAGCTGTTGAATAACTGATGATGAGTTGTGCGAGTTATGAGATGGGTCCTCAGACTTTCCCAGAGGTATAGAACTGGCCTTGTATTTGGCAGCCATACGTTTCCATTCCTCAACTTTGGGAACATTTGCACGACGAATCGCCTCGTCAACATCATCAACTGGCTGGTTAGTGCCTACGTCACGTACCTCAATAAAGGAAATGGGAATGAGGCCGGGTCCTCCAAGACGACCAATAGGCTTTGCAACAAACCACTCGTCATTTGATCTCGCAATAATAATTATAGACTCTCCAGCACTTGCTTGAAGCTCATCTTCGCGCTCTGCCTTAAAATCGTAAAGTACAACTCCGTACAAAGAGTGCCCGGATTTCTGAGATGACCGAGCCGAGCTTTGTTGAGTTGTGGAAGCGGAACTATTTGTAGAGGTGGCGGCAGTTCCAGTCTTGCCTAGGGTACTAGTGGTGCTATTTGGGGTAGTGTTATGCATGTGGGATCCTGTCGCAGTCGATGCAGAGCTGTGACGTGGCGATGGGGGTATCAGAGATCCAACAGAGTCTCCTGTATTGCTTGTTTCTGATGTCTTATTACGAAGACCCAACGAGTTAGCCGATGAACGGTTGCTATTGGCGGTGTCGTAATCGTCTCGAACCGCGGCCGCACTAGAAGCAGCCGCTAGTGCCGCTGCTGCTGGAGAGTTCAGTGGGACTGTGGGAATGGTGTCTTTACGGGACACAACCTCGAAGTAAGAGACAGGTACCATGCCTCGTTTTTTAGCTGGAGGGTCTGACGCTTCATACCAGTCAGTGTTGTTTTCATTGCCTATAACGTAGAGAAAGTCGCCCTTTTGAAATCCAACTTCACCGGGGCCCTGGGCGCGGTAGTCATAAAGGGCTCGTATAATTTTCTTGGGAGGTTCTGTGGCAAAGAAATTTGCGTGAGAAGATGGTGATGATGCCGTGGATGATGAAGAGCCTGGGGAGCCACCACCTCCTATGACGGAAGAATGGGGGTGACTGGATGAAGTGCTACTAGCGGAGGTGCGCTTATTGCCCTTGAAGGACTGGCGGAAACCTTTAATCATTTGACACTCAAGATATCAAGTGAAGTGAACTTTGAGTTTTCTTTTCTTTTATATTAATTTCTAGGGTTGATTATCTCCTGGATGGATGAAAGATGACTGTTTTCTTATGAGTTTAAAACAGTTGTGTGGAGAAGAGAGATGGATTTAATCTGATTATGTGGCTGTTCTGATGCTTTTCACACAGAGGCCCCTTTTTTCTTTTTCTTTGGCCTTAACTTTATTAAAAAGTTATATTAAAATAATTATTTTAATTTGAACTAAATGTTTACTTACTTTAAACTCTTTTAATAATATTATAATATTATTTGCAATGACCAAAATGGCAGTGGGCGGGGACAGAAACAAGAGGTGTAGGCTTTTTGTGTAGTGATGATGCTGCTTTTGGCTGTCGAAATGGCGGTTTTTGCTGGTAACGGTAGTTGCAACGGGTGGGTGCACTGCTGGGTTGATTTTAATTTATATATTTACTATTAGTATACAAACACCCCATTTGTATAGTGATATTACATAAACATACTAAATTAAAACACAAAGTTTATTGGAAATTTGTTACATGAAAAGTTGTAACATGTTCAAAACACGTGACTAATATCACGTGACCACATATTACAAGCCACACAAGCCACAAGCCACAAAAGTTGTAATGTAATACAAGCCACTTGATCTTTTTTTTTTTTTTTTTTACTTCCAATCTCAAGTGCTGGAGGTTCATCTTTAATACCAATTAATATCATCATTATTATCCAATATCAATAATTATGTCTTTTGCTCTTGAAAAAAAGGTTGCTGAGCTTGCTGTAAAGCGTGCTTCTGCACTTGCTAAGCTTGTGGCAGATACTCATATTGATTCTATCACTAAAACAGACAAGTCGCCAGTCACTGTGGCTGACTATGGTGCCCAAGCAATCATTATCAATGCTATCAAACATGTTTTCCCTAACGACAATGTTGTTGGCGAAGAAGATGCTGCCAACTTGCGTGCTGACCCTACCCTGAAGCAACATGTTTGGTCTTTGGTAAAGGATGCTACTGACAAGGATTCTGCTTCCGCCTCTGCAATTGGAAGCATTCAAACTGCCGAGGAAATGTGCGACTCCATCGATGCTGGCAATTACGAAGGTGGCCGCAACGGCAGAATGTGGGCGTTAGATCCAATTGATGGTACTAAGGGATTTTTGCGCCGTGGCCAATATGCTGTGTGCCTGGCACTCGTTGTCGATTCAGTCGTTCAAGTGGGTGTTATTGGTTGCCCCAACCTGCCTTTAGACTACAAGTCTTCCGGAACATCTGAGAATGGTGTTTTGTTTTCTGCTGTAAAGGGACTTGGTGCTTTTCAGCAATCTCTGTTTGGATCTGAGCCTGAAAAACCCATCAAGTTTCATGAAATCTCATCTACAAGCGAGGCTACATTCTGTGAGTCTGTAGAAGCCGGACACAGCTCTCACGATACACAAGCTAAAATCGCACAAACATTGGGAATAACAAAACCTCCCGTGCGCATGGATTCACAAGCAAAGTATGTTTCAATTGCTCGTGGCGATGGCGATATTTACCTTCGTCTGCCAGTTCATGCTGACTACCAGGAAAAAATTTGGGATCATGCTGCCGGTAATGTTATTGTTACTGAAGCTGGCGGTGTTGTTACTGATAAGGATGGCCATCCACTGGACTTTGGTGTCGGCCGCACTCTCAAGGACAATAAGGGTGTGATTGCTGCATCCAAAGCCATTCACGCCAAGGTCCTTGAAGCTGTCAAGAATGTTACCGGCGCTTAATAAACCTATGTATTTAACATATGCCTTTTTTGAAACCATCCTCATATTTAATTTAAATCTTAAGTCTTAAGCATTAAGTCACAAGATTATTAAGTCACAAGATTATTAACTCTTACTAGGTTGCTTAAGATTTGTCGATTCGTGCTTGCCGACCAAATATTTAGGATCACGTGTTGAAATATTGTAACTGTAACAATATTTATACAACTTTGTTTTTGCCTTTAAAATATGCGGGCCGATGTTCTTTGTCTTCATCTACTATCACACTGCAAATAATTTTTTTTTTTTGAAAGAGCAAGTTATCATCAGAATCAAAGATTTACAAAGATATATATATATATATATATATATATATATAAACTCCGATAACAATAATAAGCTTTGCTATATGCTTGGAAAAAACTATTTATTGACATTAGCAAAGTGTCTTAATTAGAAAAATTTCATTTTTGAAATCTCAAACAACAGTAAAATGTCAGAACCCAAAGCTCCCTCTGATTCATTTGCTTCAAATTCTTCTTCGGCCTCTCTTGGCCGTAAAGTTCATCTTCGTCGAACTCATAAGAAGTCTCATTTAGGATGTCGAACATGCAAGACTAGGCGCATCAAATGCGATGAGCGCATTCCTGTATGTACTCAGTGCAAGCGAGCAAAACTTGAATGCCCCTACCAAAGTTATACTCCAGAACAAATTCATGAACACGAAACTAAAAGAGCTCAAGCAGCAGCAGCTGCCGCTGCCGCTGCAGTTGCCACTGAATCTTCCTCAAATTCAATGGACTTGACACCAAAAAAGTACCAGGAAAATCAGTTTCAAAAGCAAAGTCAAGCAAACCAAATAAATGCCCCCAATTCTCAACACCATTCTCAGATCCAAACTCAAACTCCACATCGACTCCAACTCAATTCTAATCAACAAAATTCTTATAATCCATCTTTTTCTGTCTCTAATTCTCTCCAGTCGTCAAACTCGACAGAAGATTCTGGGAAAATTTACATGCTTGAAAACCCTCTGCCTCAGACGCACCCGTCTCATCCGGGATTCTTACCTACAGGCCCTTCAGCTGCAACTTCTAGGGGCAACACTGTAACTGCTACGGCGCAAACATCTTCGTCACATTCTTCTTTAGATCACTCTACCGCCTCATCCGCGTCGGAATACCCTCCTAATTCCGTATCCGTCACAGGCTATTCAAATGGAGCAAGTAATATAATTACTGAGCTTGCGCTACCACCAGCTTATTCTATTTTCATTAATGGCATTCCTCGTGTTGAAAGAATTAATGAAATTACAAACTTGCGCCGAAGAAACCTTTTGACTACGGTCAATCTTGTTCGTAGTGGGTTTGAAACTGACTTTATGCGTAAAGCCTATTCAAACTGGCTTTCGAATACACTTGCCCTTGCGTTTCATTTTGACTGTTTGTACCATGCCTTTATGGCATTTAGTTATGGTTTCCAGTATCTCAAAACCAAGCAAAACCACTGTCTTATTCGCAAAGAACAACATCGTATTATTGCGCTAAAAGCATTTCAATCTGAGTTTGACAATGTGTCTCCTCGTAATACAGATGCCTTACTTGGCACTTCACTTGTGCTTTACTGGGACGCAATGTACCAAGAAGACAAAATTTACAACTACGTTGGAATGTGCCGTGGCCTTGGAGCTATACTCGAAGCAATACAAACTCAAGCTTCTGTCACTCAAACTTCTATTTGCACAACAGAATCTCTTGCACAAGCAATCAAGCATATCATTTTCCCCAGATACTCTTATCACTTTTTGCCAGAGTTACGTGCTCAACTACTTTCTTTAGAACCACTCATTTCTTCTCAAGCTCGACCAGAGATTTTTGAGGAATACACTCTTTTGCTTGAGTATTTGGAACGCATATATGGCTTTGTTTCTTCATACGAATCTAGCGCCAAGAAGAACTGCATTTACGAACCTAGCACTCTTTTTTCATATATTAAGGAGTGGATTTCTAAATTCCCCTGCCTTGCATTTTCATTGGATTTACTCTCCTTTGACGATGCTTCTATCGTCCTTTATACCTATTACGACACAGTTTCACACATTCTTGACGCTCTTTTCCCTGAGGCTCGCTACCTTTTCCAATTTTCATTCATTGGACCAATTGATCTTCTTGGAATTGAGCAGGTTGTTCAACTCGCTACTCACCAAGGTGTTCTTGAAATATTGAAATACCCTCTTCGTATTGCCTCATTTTTCAAAAAACGGGACGCAAAGTTGAATGAGATTTTTCACGCTGCAGATCCTCTTCTTCTTGCCCCTTATGATCTTCCTCTTCATGAACTTCGACATCTTGACATTGTTCGCGAAACTCCAGTTCCTACATTTCTTCAGGATTTTGATGTTGTGCCGCATTTGCCAGTCTTAGCACCAGGTGCCGCTCCTTTTATCAATCCTCTTCTTTCTACAAAAGCAATAAATCAAGCACTTGCAGAACGAGGCAAACTCCGCAAAAATAACCAGTTGTTCCAGCATGAATTTCCCAAGCCTTTTTCTTCATCTTCATCCTCTTCAACTTCACTGAGTCAATTTGCTGCCTCAAACTATTCTTCAATTTCTGTGAATTTACCAGTTCCATCAAATCAATTCTCTTCTACTGCCACAAATAGCTTACATACTGGTGGAAACTCTGTGTATACGTACTCTCCACAGTCTCAACACACTACGTTTTCACCCAGTGTCTCTTCATGTACTGATGACGGTGCTGCTCACAGTGACAACTTCATAAAATCCCGAACCGCCTCCAACCTTTCTCTGCACCATTCGGGCTTGGATTCCAGTGCCGCGGGCGGCACCGATTCCATACAAGGCCTTGGAATCACTAATATCACTCTTCCACCAGTTCGTTTCCAGACTGAAACTCCACCAATTGTTTCTACAACAAAGTCTTTGTCTACAGAGCCATTGGCACCTCCCCCTTTGAAATCTGCCCCTTCTGCTCCATCAAATACCACAACATTACCACCATTGAGCTCTTTATCAATGGGTTCGTTTAAAAAGTATTTTAATGATAGAATGGGCATCATTGACTACTTTTCTTGCAACAGCGGTTATATGTAATTTGAAGCAATGTAGACTTGCCTTCATCTTTTTTTTATACACATTATTTAATGAACATTTAACGTACTTTTTAATGACAATTTATCCAAATAACTGGCGTTATTTTTTTTTCTTTTTTTGCTATAAATAGATAAAAATCCTAAGAGATTAGAAAAAGAAAATAAATTCCCACCAAATTCAAATGAAATTATAAATGATAATTATATCATTTGGTGACAAATAGATTTGTAGCCCCATAAATAAAACTAATTCTATTCGATTCTTGACCCTATTTAACCTAATGTTTGAATTCCGAGATATTAAAATAAAAAACTCGTATTTTTTATTATTATTATTACAAACATGTTAGCATCTTTCAAATACTTTATATAAGCCTGGTAAATTAGCAATCTCGACAACATCCTTGAGAAGTCCCTCTGGCGCCAGGAGTCTTTGTTTGACCGCAGGAAAAATGTAGTGCTCAAGTGAATCTGCAATTTGTCGCCTCCTTTCTGCCCGATATTCAATCACATTTTCGTCCTCATCGTCCTCCTCTTCCTCGTCGTCCTTACTCGGACTTCTTTCGTGATCATCAAGCACAGGCTCTGGCGCGTAAAATCTAGCCAACTCCTGTAATATACTACGGAAACACTCTTTTTCATCTTCAAACGTAATTTGAGTAAGTAGACGATCAAGAAACACTGGTAGCTTGATTATGGGTGGAGTGTAGCCTTTAAGTATCATTGGCAATGTTTTGATTCGTCCGCTCCAAAATTCTTCCACGGGGTCTCCATCTTCTCCCTCATTTTCTTCTGCTTCGTCATCTTTATTCTCAGAAAAGTAGTTACTGCTTCCCTTAATAAACTTAATACTAAAATACTCGCCTAACATTTCTCGCATATTCCATAATGAAGCAATGCGTTCTTCATCATACGTAGATGTTTCGCGGTCTAATAAATCACTAATCTTTATTCCAACTTCAACGTTTGAATATTCTTGTTCAACTCTCGTTTCGTTGGGATCATCATTTTCACCACCTCCACTATTTAATGTAATAGTTCCAAGATTGCTAAATTCAGCCAACGCCGACTGGTAAAATATTGCTTGCGATAAAGTTCCGTAATCCACAATGAACATTTGAACTTTATGTTGAAAAGCAGCCAACCGCCTTCGATAATCCACAACTCCAATATATGTATGATCTGAAAATACTTGTGTGAGTGAGCTGTGTACACCTTCCTCTACCTCTTTTTTAAGCTCTTTGATTGAACGTAAACGTACATCAACGCGGCTCCGATCAACATAACGCATCTTTGAACCATAATATGGACCGCTTTTGCTTTGAATCTCACTCAAAATTTCTTTAATTTGGTCGCTTTCAGCAACTGATGGTGTAGTACTCTCTGTTTCGGCTTCATTGTTTTCGTTATCTTCAAAGGAGCTTTGACTTTTTGGTATTCCAAAAGATGATTCCTCTTCTAGAATCACATCATCTTCATCGATGATAAGCTTGTTTGTTGTTCGTGATTTTGAAGGTTCACTCTGATACATAGAATCACGAAACAAAGTTGGGAGGGTTTGTTGTTGAGAATCTGTCCGCACCAGCCTGTTTTCTTGTCGCTTTTTTGGTTGTGGTTGACTAAAAACACTTAAAATTTCTCTATTTTCTTCATTTTCAACACTTTCCAACTGACTCTCACCAAAAACAGATCTTGTTCTTTTTCCTATTGCAATTTCAACCCCAGAGGTTCCACCTAGCCTATCTCGAGCAATTCCAGATGAGGCTAAAATGGTTTGCGTTTGAAATGTACGAGACGAACCTTGAGCAGCAAGAACTTCCTGAACCGAGGAGCAAATATGATCAATGATTTCATCTTCATATAAAAATCTCACCTCGCGCTTTGTTGGATGTATATTAACATCTAAATTTCTGGTATCAAATTCAAGCGAAAGGTATACAAAAGCATGCCCACCCTTAGGCAAATGCTGCGCATAAACACCTTGAAGAAGCGCCCGGCGGAGCGGATCACTTGCAACTGATCTGTGATTAATGAAAAATACAGGCGATATTGACTTTTTTGCACTGTAGTTGGCACTTGTAATTTGGCCTTTGCCACCCAAAAACCCATACTCCGGTTTAGGTGGAACGTTAACTTCTATAAGCTCATTTGCAATAGAAGATCCATATATCTGCCGAATCCGATCAACCTGAGGGGCTTTTTTCTTTGAAGATGTGGCAGCTGTCGATGCAGATACAATTAGAGAAGGATGTGAATCGCCATACTTTTTACATGAAAACGATGCTTGGGTGCAATGAATAGCGTAACGACTAATAACATCAAGAACTTTGCCATATTCTTCAGCTGAACTTTTAAATACACGCCGTCGTGATGGTACATTATAAAACAAATCTTCAACAACCATCATTGTACCATTTTTTCCGGCAATGGGTGTAGGGTTTTCGGTGGCGGGTTTGCCATCATTGTAAGTCTGTTTCCAAGCACATGGTGAATCTTTAATTTTAGTGGTAACAGTAAGATGTGCAATATGTGATATCGATGATAATGCTTCGCCACGGAAACCATATGTCGTGAGCTTAGAAAGATCTTCAAACTCCCGGAGCTTGGACGTCGTAAAACGTTGACATAAAATTGGCAAATCATCCTTGCTAATTCCCGATCCGTTGTCAACAATTTGCAGCAGCTTCAAACCACCATCCTTGACTAAAATATCAATTGCTGTAGATCCTGCATCGATGGAGTTTTCGAGCATTTCTTTAAGAGCGTTTGCTGGAGCAATGATGATCTCACCCGCAGCGATTCGGTTAACTACTAGCTCATCTAAAGGCTGATAATATTAATAAAATTCATAAAAAAACAAAAAACAAAACAAGGTAAAAGAAAAGAAAAGAAAAAATTTTCTACTTACCTTGATTCTAGCTGGCTCAGACGAAGGCTTTTCACTTGACGATATTGATGCCATTTTCTTTGAAATTTTCAAGTCAGGAATTGTCAGGTATGAGCCTGTTGAGGTTAAACACAAAACAATATATTACGTAATATAAATTTATGAGAAGAAGCAGAAAGTACATGTTACATTATGTAGATCTATTGCTAATGTAATGTCACAAGCGAGGATTGACTATTGTCTGGCAAGATGGCTAGAGTACGGGGTGGCGCGTCGGAAAATGTTTCGACAACATTAGAAAAGTCTGCCAAAGCAAAAGTATCAAAAATGTTGACTTTATCAAACTCTTTGAATGCGTACATCATCTGCTCCGAACTGCTCTTAAACCACCGTGGATTGCTTATTATACTTGATCCTATTTCTCCTGTTTCTAAGTGTCCAAATTCCAACATATTTTCTCCAAAGGCAAACACGTAAGGATATGATATAGAAAACGCATTTGGAGAGCTTTTCCAATAAAAAATTAAATCAAGACCTCGGTTGCCATGTTTGCTCAATAGTCGTCCATAATCGTCGACATAAAAGGAAAATTTATTATAGTTGATAAGAATAGGTCCAGACTGTAATTTAAATGCACATCTTGGTTTCAGTTCTTTTTGACGATATTTTTTCATTATTTTGCTGATTATACTATCATTGAAATCTAGTATCGATTTGGGTTTTTGTCCAATTGTAAGATTCAGAGAAACCAGCTCACCAAATTTGGACCCAATACAAAGAACATTTTCTTCTAGAAAGGAAATAAAAAGTGCTTGTTGATCTAGTGTTATTTTTTTTATTTCCTTAAACTCTATCTTTTTTCCAACTCTTGGTTCTATCAGTCTTAATTTGCTACTTGAAAGAATACCATGAGTCGCTAGGCATATAAGAGCTCGTTTTCCCGTGTTATTTACTTTATAGCAATCCACATCACTTTGGATCTTAACCTCTTGATCTCGACAACTTTCTAAATTGCCTGTTTCAATTGAGTTTAGAGGCCATACGTACAGAGTACTTTTTGATAAAACAAAAAGCATATTATATTCTTTGACCGCATCGACTTGAGTGATATTTTCTAAATCAATAACCTTTTTTAATGGTAGCGATATTGGCGGATCGCCTTTTTTAGGGTATCTAGAGGCAAATTCTTTGACGGGTCGATCAAGATAGTATATTCCAATATTACTGACAAAAAGTGATCGCTTGCCATTATCGTATTGGGTGGCACATCTAAACTCTTCGTATCCTGCACCCTTTTTGATAGTGATTCCGGTTGGTGTGAAAAGGTTAATGAAAAAGTTTTCACCTGACAGAACACCATTATTTCCCGGAAAAGTCTCCATTATGTTTTAATAATACGGTGATCTATACTATCGAGGACTTTGGAAGTTGTCGAACAAACGATTACTTTAACAAATAACTTAAGTATCAAAATTTACAGATACCAACAAAAAAAATAAGACAATTTCTTGGTCTGTGGAAATTTCTTGGCGTACGAGTTCACTGCTGCTTGAATGAGAATATGGTTACTCGATGGCTGACGGCTGATATTGCGCACCTTTTTTTGAAGGAGGAACCACAGAATAGTAACATTGTAGTGCTGAAATTAAGTACTTGATTTATCCGCGGTTATATGAAAATGTTAAAATTACTAATATTTGCCCACATAATTATAATTGATCTTACATTTGTTTTTACATTTGTTGGATTTGTGGAGATGATTTTCACTAAAGAAGAAAGGTTATGAAATTTATTATAAATCTGAGATTTTTAGTGTGACGAAAAAAAAGAAGAAGAAAGAAACCATATATAATTGCTTAAAAAATTCTAGTGTTTAGCTATGTAAAGTAAAATAAAGGTACCATGAATGGACTTAAATATAGAACTCTTATCGAACTTGAATGAGGAACTCTTCACAGTAAAATGGGGAGAGTTGTATCAAAATTTACAAAATTTACAAAATTTACAAGACTTTACAAGATCAACTAAGGCCAATAGAGATATTATAAACACAGCTAAAAGGATCTTACTCAGGTTCATCACTGATATTCATCGCAATCCAAACAATATTTCGTATACGGTCAAGTCAGTTCCAAAAACAAGTTGACAATATTCAAAAACAGATTAGAGTTCTCGTTAATTAGGTACCATTCTTCAAATATCATTTCAGTTGTCGCTTTAACTGTTGTGGTTTCCCACAAAGAAAGGTTGTAAATTTTGAATTTTAACTCGTTGAAAAAGCTGGCCCAAATTAAAAACAGCAAAAGCAAGGTTACATATGACGTCCGATCAAAAGATAATACTTCATAAATGGATGTATGTTTTTCGTTTTGCCTATAACCGTACTGTCAACTATATTAACACCAATGAAATGAAGTCTTGGATGAGTTTAAGAGATCTCCACGTAAACAAGAAGTCTCGAAGGTGTGATAAATGCAACAAAAAGATATACAATAAATCATTCTAAGACCAAGCCTGTATTGAAACAATAAACGACATGTCGTTTATTGTTTAGTGTACATTTTTGAAAAGTTTGAGTCTGAAGTACCAAAAGAAATAACAACGTCTGCTATGAAGGAAGCACACAAGAACTTCAAGAGTGCCTTCATTAACTTGAGGAGGGGAAATATAGAGAAGTTTAGAATTGGTTTCCATAACAAAAAGAGATAGCCCTGTCATTCTATTGAGTTTAAAGCATCTTCACTTAAATACAAAAAAAAAAAACTAGCAAAGAAATTCCTTCACTTAATTTCAATAGAGTGTCTAAAAAATAGGGAAAGTGGTAAAAAAAATAACAGGTTATTCACTAGATAGCAATGTATTTCATACGTTGCTTCAAAGAAAAAAAATCAAGTAGCTTAAGAAGAATATATATTGAAAAAATACAGTCTGCTGGAAAAGCCAAACCATGTTTTAAGCACTATATTGCTTAGCATAACTATGAAAAATCACTAAAATAGTGGCAAACGACTACTAATAAATAATGAAACATCGTACAACTAACTATATGATCACTTCGCACTATTTGTTTTTCCATTATCATTACTTCAAATGCCAATTGAAAGGCATTAGCTCTCAAGGTTGAGTGAAGAGCATATCAGTAAGATATCCACCAATTTCGGAACAGCGAATTCGAACCTGTCTCTAAAAAATTGTGTCGACTGTTGTGATTTGTGTGGAATTTCTGCTAACAGAGACGTCAACTAAGCTAGAAACATTCTAATCAAGTATTTGGCTTTCTTCATCTAAACTCAAAAGTGAATCCATTGGTCCTTTAATCAAATCATACCATTTTTATGGTACATTTTAGTGAATGGTTAAGAATGTCTAATTGGATAGGTAAAGCATAATTATAATTATGATTATGATCTATCAAATTTCACTAATATGCAAAGTTTTTATTTACTTCTAAACAAAACTTTCAAAAATATATATATTAAAGTTCTAGGTATAATCAATATATTTAAACTATATTGTTAATTAATTGGTTATAGGCTAAGGTAATACCAATTAATTTACAATCTCACTAGTACAAATCACTCTTTTTCGTTGAATCAATATATTTCTGGTATATCTTTTAAACTTGAAAATCTTTAATCATTTTTACAAGAAAAAATTATAAATAATAACCATAAAATATTAATGATTATTCCAAAAGTCATGTCATTTTTGCATTTATCCTATTTTTTAGGACTAAGCCCTACTAGTGACAATAATATCTCTTTCTCTTTATAGATATTTAAGATAGTAATGATGAATAATATGGTAATACCTTGGATCTCAAAAAAAACCAAATAATATCTTTAAAATTTTTTTTATTTTGGGCCAATTTGGTCTTGAAAAAAGGCAGCAAATCTGAATTTATACCGCACATAATGATAGTGATATGTTTGTTTGCGCAACTAACTTATCCTAGACCCTGGTCAAATATGTTTTTGAAAGAAAAAAGGAGTTATTTGGTTCATTTCACATTAAAGAATATATCAGTTCTGTTAGTAATGGTTGTTTTCTTAGACTTGATTATTTTTGTGGGGGTGGCGGGTGCTTTGAAAAAAATGAATTGTTCTGTCCCGATTAGGAAATTTGTATGGTTGCTCCTAACTTACCCAATATCAACCCCGGTCATGAAACATTGGAAAAAAACTAAATTATAAAAGTTAATTATCAATATGTAATTATTTTAAAAGATTGCAAAAAAGAACTTAAAAGCTTTTTTTTATGAAAATTTAAGAAAATACTATGCGTCTGCTAGACAAGTGGTCATAAAATTTTGGCCCAACACTAAGTTAATACCAACATTTTTTATTATAAAGGTTATAACCTTTATAAATGTATGTTATAATTATAACATAGATTTAAAAAAAAAAAAAGTAATTTGAAAGTATATATATTCAAGATGATTTTGATATTTTTAAATTTTTTTTTCTTCTTTCTTTTCTTCATCAAAACTCTCTTTCATTATTCCCAACTACAAACTACTCTAGACTCCAGTCTTAGTTACAACTTTTTACACTTATCAAAATGGCTCTCTCTAATTCCACCTCTGTTTCTGCTTCTGCTTCTGCTTCCAAGCCCGAAGTAACTTCATTCACTTCTTCCAATGCTATCGAGAAGGTTGACTCTCCTGTTGAGTCTGACATCATTCTGGCTCCTTTGTGCACTATCTCCCAGAAGAAGGACTTGGATGCTCCTGTCGAATCCGACATTATCCTTGCTCCCTTGTGCACCATTGCTTAAATCAATTATTACTGCTGGCAGTTATAACTTCTTTTTTTCTCTTATATAAAAACCACAAAATAAATTTTTTTCTTTTTTTTCTTTTGAAATGTCTTATGTTCCAATCTGTTTTTGTGTGCCTTCCAATATGTTAATGAATACAAATTTGTAGCCATAGGTTTAAGCTTTAATTCAGTTTTAATATATATATCAAATCCAATTTCATGTTTCATTGGGACACTTTGAAAAAATTTAAGGATTTTGAATGACTAAACAAATGAAATATAATGAGAATTAATTTGATATTTGCAAATATATACTAGGAACCTTTTCAATGCGTGGAGGCCTTTTATGTGAAAATTATTTCTACTAAGGTCATTAATGGTGGATAGTACTAGGCAGTTTTGCTCTGAGTGAGCTAGAAAAAGCAGCAAATCAGTCTTGTGTAATAATGAAAATTGATGGAAGATAAATGGGAAAGAAGAAGAAATAGGTTAAAAGATGTGTTAAGGCTGAACTTTCAGTTTCTTTTGTTAAAATTGCTTATTCAATAATGCGAAAGAAATAAAGTATAACGTTAAAGTAAATGAAAGTCTCTAAAACTTTTTTTTGGAAGATGACTCACTTGAGGATAGAAACATACAGTTTGAGGCACCAATCTTTTTTACAAAATTAAATGAAAAAAAGTAGGAGACATCAACCAGTCCCTGAGCCATAACATCTGAAGAATAAAATAGAGATATCAAAAGCAGAAATAAAAAGGGCGATTACGATATATTTGAAAATATAGTCAATAAAAATGAAGTTCGGTGTATTTAAAAAGAGCATATTATGTGGAGTAATAAAAAAGGTAAATATACTAGAATTACTTTTTCTATATTTGAGAATATCTTTTTGTTTATTTAAAAAAACCTTCAAAAATTAAAATGTGATATCTAATTTTTAATGATACTTTTTCTGCAAAAAGTTTTTATTGGAAATTTTGGAAAAAACAGACAAAATTTTTAAAAGATTATATGGGATAATAAATTTTAAGCTAAATTTTTCAATAGTTTTAATTTTTGAAAAAAAGCTATTAGAATAGGATGTGATTGAAAAAAAAATACTTTCCGATTCATGGCTAAATTCTTGTTTCTAAATATCAGGGATCGATGACCCAATTAATTTAAAAAAAAAAAAAATATTAAATTAATACTTTAAATATAAAGATTTGAATTGTGAGAATGTAATTTTTTTCTATTTTGGGAATGGGTTGAAGTTGAAGCTGAAGCTGGAATTCTATTGAATGTTTTGAACAGTAAAAAGAAGTGATAAAAAGTGCTGTGCCGCAATATCCTAATTAGGACATTATAATTTAGAAATTTAATTGAGGGTCCATGTTCAAATTTGTTACAGTTTGGCACTATCCCCCAATTAGGACTGAACAATCAAAAAATCAAAAATAGACAATGCGCAATTCTTGGTAAAGCTTTATATTTGCAATAATTAAAGCTATGAATACATAAATGCACAAAAAACAAAATGATAAACTTGAAATACTTCTAAAAATCTGTTTTGAAAGGAATTATATGAAACAATTAATTTTTTTTCTGAAGAGGAGAAAGATGCCAACATATAAAAATAGTACCTATGAATACATTTTTACGTTAACCAAAATTAAAATATAAAAGATCAATGAATTTCGCCGGTTTTGGTTTTTTTCTTTCTTTCCTTCTTTCTTTCTTTTCTTCATCAAAACTCTCTTTCATTTCCAACTACAAACTACTCTAGACTCCAGTCTTAGTTACAACTTTTTACACTTATCAAAATGGCTCTCTCTACTTCCACCTCTGTTTCTGCTTCTGCTTCTGCTTCCAAGCCCGAAGTAACTTCATTCACTTCTTCCAATGCTATCGAGAAGATTGACTCTCCTGTTGAGTCTGACATCATTCTGGCTCCTTTGTGCACTATCTCCCAGAAGAAGGACTTGGATGCTCCTGTCGAATCCGACATTATCCTTGCTCCCTTGTGCACCATAGCCTAAATATATAGTTTTGTTAAGTGAACATACAAGTGAACTGCCGGCAGTTAACTGTTTAAAATTAAAAAAAAAAAACATTACTATATAAATAAATATACTTTTTTAATTATTTTAGGTTACAAATAAATTTTTCAAATTATTTAAACTTATTTTATAAACAGTAGTACAGTTCAAATAATAAATTATTGGGTATTGAAATATTAATTTTAGAGATTACCATTTTACAAATTTGAATGATGTTTACATATATATGTAACGTATATATATATATATATATATATATATATATATATATATATATGTGTTTTTAAAATCGACTTGGTGAGTTATTTATTAAACATATGTTTAAAATTTCTTTTTAGCCCAGACTTTATTGTTTTAAAATTTATATATTGAATATCCCATATTATATTTGAGTTTTCAAAAAAAAAAACCATTATTTTCACTCACATCTTATTTGAGGATAGTTCAATTTATAAAATATGTCATTTAATGTTAAGGCAAAATACAATAATATTTTCTTTATTTTAATAATTGAATAATCCATGAAACTTTTGTATACTTCAAACAAAAGATTAACGTTACAAGAATAGCTTTATTTATGTAATTAGTATACATTTTAAAGATGACTATCATTGATTTTTTGTTTAAAGACAGCTCGAATTATTATGTAGCTACGCCACAGCTGAATCATAATTGCTAAAATAGTTTACTGTATAATTACCAAGTTGATAGTGAATGTATTTTTGGAATACTACATTGAAATAATTTATCATCCTTTTTTAAAACAAACAAACTCTCTCTCTCACCACCAGCCATTTTCATTAAAATGAATTTGATTGAAAAGTTCATATGAGTTTAGATCCATTTTTCAGTCTCCCCGCACTTTAATTGGGGGAATTAATATTTTGATCCAATTCTTTTTAGTGATAAGCTAGCTTATGTTTTGAAGAAAAACTGTGTCTTTTTAAAACATCTAAGTTCATAACTGTGATTATTAGCAAAGCGCATAAAGGTTGAACTAAGCTATTCACATGCTTTAAGCATATTTAAATTTAAATTATACACTTTATTTATGGAAACTAATCGTAAGACAAAATTAGTTAAAGATTTGTTTTAAAAAAAATTTAGATACAATTTTTGTTCAAGAAACAAATATAGAGAGCTGACCATTAAAGAAACAGTTGGTGCAAGAACATAGATCCTTAAATCATTTGTGACGACGCATAATGATTATGTAGCCAATAAAAAAAAAAGAAATATGAAAAAATATGATTGCTCCTCGAAAAAAAAAATTCTGTCAATTTTTTTTGTGATATTAATTACTATTATTATTGCTGGAGTTAATGGAAACTTTAACCCTTATATTTAAGGCATGCCTTACGTTGTTTCAAGTTTTCGCAAATCTTAAAAAAAAGGGTAGGGTGGATAGAATTAGGGCTAAATGTAATATTTCAAAAAGCCATTTGATATGTATTTGTTCCTTTTTAGGTAGAAACAATATGAAATCATTTTAACCAAGAGGCCTCCTAGATATAAAAAAAAAAGTTTGCGATGCTAATTTCTTAAAATTTGAGTGCAGGGTTTAAGATAATATTTGTATGAGCTATGGAAGATAGATAAATGTCCTGGTTGTTACGAACGCCGAGTGTTGCCGAGGGGGCTGCCAAATTTCCTAATTGGGGTTGATGAATGGACTTTCTGAATTGTGGAATTTTTGCATGGGGGTAAGGCTGAGATTTTGTTAGACACATCACACCCTTCCTACGGACAAAAACTATGATGCAAATAAAAATAAAAAAAAAAAATAAAAACAAAATCTAAAATTAATTATATTTTGTTTATCTTTTCAGCCAACATCTATTTCGGGAAATAAGTTATGGACTACCATATGTTTTGAAAAGTATTCTCAATATGAAGCAATATTGGTATCAAAATCATTTATAATATTTTTTAAGAAAAAATTAATATAAAAAGAAGGCAACTTCTTCAGATAATTCTCTTTTTTTTTTCTTCTTCTTCTTCTTCTTTTCTCATCATCAATACTCTCATTCACAACTCGTTTCTAAAGACACAAATCTCTTTAAACAAATATCTTTTCAAAAAAATCTTATTAAAAATGGCTCCTTCTACTTCCTCTGCTTCCAAGAACACCATCTCTCCTTTGGCTCACGGTCTTGTTGATGCTCCCTGCTGCTCCTCCTCTTCCAATGCCATCGAAAAGGTCGATGCTCCTGTTGAGTCTGATATCATTCTGGCTCCCTTGTGCACTATCTCCCAGAAGAAGGACTTGGATGCTCCTGTCGAATCCGACATTATCCTTGCTCCCCTTTGCACCATCGCCTAAAAAGCTTCTTTACAAATAGTGTCGCTGGCGGCACAATACTAAAGTCTCATACTTATGTAACATTTATAAAAAAAATGACAATTTTAATTAATTATAATTAAATAATTTTAAAAAGACCCTTTTAATAAAGTGATTAAGACCCACTCATCTCGTTTTATTCATTGGTGACATTTTATGTTTTCTCCATATACAGTTAAATTTAGACTTATTTTCGGGCTGTTGGAGATGCAATGTTAAAGACAAAATTAAAAGTTTATTATGAAAATGAAAAGATATATAGTATGGACAAGAAGTATAGCACAGATACTGATGTTATACAATTCTATAACCCTTGAATAAAAACAAACAAACAGTTAAATTTTTAATGAGTTGAGTTAGATACCATGACTATCATTTTCATTACTCAGTTCGAGCTACACTGCAATGTTTTATGACTTTTTCCGTATAGAAAATGGAATCCTTTAAAGATTGAAGTAATTCAAATTTTTTTTATGAAATCGTTAATGTAATACCGCAAAATTGCAGACCAAAAGACCTCCTAAAGCACATGTGCACGTGTTTTTAAAGGTGAAGGACATATGCTTGCTATCTCTAGGAATTGATATCTTTTTGAAACAAAAAATGAAATCATCGTAAGTTTTCTAAAGATATAATTTTTTTAAAAGATTTATTTTAAGAGGTTTGCAAAAACGTGTTGGGCCTATTTTTTTTTTTTTATAAAGGTTTTCGATTTTTTTTTTAAAAAAATAATGCTGTTATCTTAGATAGACTAAGTCTAAATATTATTTACTATAGATATATATCTAGTGGAAATGTTTTTGGTATACTACATTGAAATAATTTATCACCTTTCTTAAAACAAAGAAATTCTCTTTCTCACCATCAGTCATTTTTATTAAAATGAATTTGATTGAAAAGTTCATATGAGTTTAGATCCATTTTTCAGTCTCCCCGCATTTTAATTGGGGGAATTAATATTTTGATCCAATTCTTTTTAGTGATAAGCTAGCTTATGTTTTAAAAGAAAAACTGTGACTGAAGCTTGCACAACCTGTTCATGTCTTTTTAAACTATCTAAGTTCATAACTGTGATTATTAGCAAAGCGCATAAAGGTCTAGCCAAGCTGTTCACATGTTTTAAGCATATTTAAATTTGAATTATACACTTTATTTATGGAAACTAATCGTAAGATAAAATTAGTTAAAGATCTGTTTTAAAAAAAATTTAGATACAATTTTTGTTCAAGAAACAAATCTAGAAGTCTGGTCATTAAAGAAACAGTTGGTGCAAGAACATAGATCCTTAAATCATTTGTGACGACGCATAATGATTATGTAGCCAATAAAAAAAAAGAGACATGAAAAAATACGATTGCTCTTCGAAAAAAAAAAAAAAAATCTGTCGATTTCAATTAATAGGTACTTTAGCTTGGACTTATATTAATTAATATAAGTCCAAGCTAAAGTGCATATTAATTGTTGTTAGTATTGCTGGAAATAATGGAAACTTTAGCCCTCATAATCCAATAATTCAATTGACCAAGGATTATGCCTTAGGTTGTTTCATGTTTTCGCAAATCTAAAAAGACGAGGGTTGAATATGCAGAATTAGGGCTAAATATAATATTTTAAAAGAAATTTGATATAAATTTGTTCCTATTTAGGTAGAAACAATATGAAATCCTTTTATTCAAAAGGCGTCCTCGATAAAAAAAAAAAGGTTTTAACTATGCAATGCAAAGTTCTTAAAAGTTGAGTGAAGGGTATAAGATAAAAAGTATAAAAATATATATGAGCAAGGGAAGTTAGATAGATGGCTTGGTTGTGACGAGCGCCGAGTGTTGCCGAGTGCTACCGAGGAGGCCACCAAATTTCCTAATTGGGGTTGATGAATGGACTTTCTGAATTGTGGAATTTTTACATGAGGGTAAGGCTGAGATATTGTTAGACACATCACACCCTTCCCGCAGACAAAAACTAGGATGCAAATAAAAAAAATATCTAAAATTAATTGGACTTTCTAACTTTATCCTTTTTTTTTATCTTTTCAGCCAACATCTATTTCGGGAAATAAGTTATGGACTACCATATGTTTTGAAAGATATTTTCCAATATGAAGCAATATTGGTATCAAAATCATTTATAATATCATTTTTTAAGAAAAAATTAATATAAAAAGAAGGCAACTTCTTCAGATAATTCTCTTTTTTTTTTTCTTCTTCTTCTTCTTCTTTTCTCATCATCAATACTCTCATTCACAACTCGTTTCTAAAGACACAAATCTCTTTAAACAAATATCTTTTCAAAAAAATCTTATTAAAAATGGCTCCTTCTACTTCCTCTGCTTCCAAGAACACCATCTCTCCTTTGGCTCACGGTCTTGTTGATGCTCCCTGCTGCTCCTCCTCTTCCAATGCCATCGAAAAGGTCGATGCTCCTGTTGAGTCTGATATCATTCTGGCTCCCTTGTGCACTATCTCTCAGAAGAAGGACTTGGATGCTCCTGTCGAATCCGACATTATCCTTGCTCCCTTGTGCACCATTGCCTAAATATAAAGTGCTCTTATAGGGTTGATATAAAAACTGCTGGCAGTTTTATCATCTGTTTTGCTTAACTCTTTCTGGACTCTTGTTTTTTTATATCTGCTTCTTAGTATTATATAACAGAATATATTCTCAATAAAACTTTTTTTCTTTAGAAATTTTTATTTTTTTTTTAAAAATTTTATTTTGGTATTTAATAATTTTTCCAATTCGTAAGCTCTACCAAAATAGACGCCAGTTCTTCAAGGTACTTTTTGTCAATCTCATCAAACGAGTTGAGTTCTGTGCTATCAATGTCTATGACACCAATGACTTTTCCATTGGTGGCAACAATTGGTACTACAATCTCGCTATTGGTATCGCCATCACATGCAATGTGGCCAGGGAACTCATGGACATTAGGCACAAGCTGGGTCTTTGCCGTTGCAGCTGCCGCACCACACACGCCTCGTCCAAACTTGATCAGTTGGCAAGCAACCTTTCCTTGAAAAGGGCCTAAAATGAGTTGCTGATTTTCAACTTCAGATTCCTTAAGAGTAGGATCTCGGAGATAAAAGCCAGACCAGTTAACGGAAGGCGTAATTTGTTGAAAAAGGTGCCAAAGTAAAGAAGCAGCGTTTGACAGGTTAGAAATGGCAGGAAGTGGAACATCATTCTCAACAAATAAAGCTTTTGCTGAAAGAATAAGAGTTTCATATGCGTCCTCTTTCGAGGAACTCGAAGAAAATGAAGAGTAGTCGGCGTGATGTTCTTCAGACATTTTGGTTTGAAAGTAATGAAAAAAAAAAAAAAAAAAAAAAAAAAAAACTTGAAAAGTTTTGTGAGAATTGCGCAATCAAAAAGAAAAAATAATATAAACCAAAATTGAATAGCGCCGTGTGGATTAGGAAGGGTAATCACAATAAACATTGCAAAGATTCTCAAACGGCAAGATGGATGGCCGTGTAAATAATCACTTGAAACCATAATCTTTATAAATATATAGTTATATCATTTTGTTCTTTGAAAAATTTGAAGAAACATTTTGTATGTAGACACTACATCTTTTAGTTCATTAAACGCTAGAAAATATGGATTGAAAATCTTCATTCATGGTCTTTTTATCGGGCTTTTACTTAATAAGAACCTTTGTTTTTTTTTTTTTTCTTTTTTAAGTCTATCAATTCTATTTGCTATTCCAATATTTTGATCTAATTCTTTGTCTAATTTCCATGAACTTCCTTCTCCAGACGCTGCAGTGCCCGGCTGTATCCTTCTTCAGTACGCTCGTAGTCGCGGGTTCCCTCCTGGGGTACCAACTCCTCCAGCTCGTATTTCTCTACAACAGATGACGTTTCCTTTTCCTTTTCCTTTTTGTCCTCTTCACCCTCTGTGTTCATGGCCACATCGCCATCTGTATCAGTGCTCGATCCTGGCACCGTTTCCTTGCCCTCACGGAAAATATGATCCGAGATGCCACGCCAGAAACGGCCGTGGTCACGGCGGTCAGCTGCAAATGACCACGCAGTACCTGTTTGACCTGCACGCGCAGTACGACCCACACGGTGCACGTAGTCACGGGGGCCGCGAGGAATATCATAGTTGATGACATTGCGAACAGCAGAAATATCAATACCACGGGCCACAAGATCGGTACAAACAAGTACATTAATGGGGCCCTCTTCGGAGGAAGTTTGTGTAGAGGTACCTGTTGCTGCAAAAGCACGCAAAACACGGCGACGGACGGCTGCTGGTTGCTCACTGCTACAACGCTGGTACACTAGACCCAGATGGAAAACTTCTTCATCAAGAAGTGTAAGCAGGCGGGCCAAACGAGCAGCCGATTCGTTACTGTTAACAAAGACAAGAACATGTGTTTTCATAGAACTGTCTTCAATGCCCTTGGAATGGCCTTGGTGGAGAGAAATGAGCTGCATAAGACGCAGAGGTTTGACAGAAATAGATTTGATAGGGACAAGTCTTTCTGTTAGGGTTCGTGGAACAGTGAACTCCTTACCGTCGGTTGATGCTGGGGTGCCAGTAATGGAGCTCTTGGTAGCAGACGATTCATCTGAGCCGGTTTCGCCGCCAATGATGTACACTTGTGGATCTCTAATTCTTAGCATGGCAAGTTTTCCAGGATCGCGTGTCAATGTAGCAGAAAAGATTAATTTTTGAGCAGGCCGCGACCACTTTCTAACCCTGAGGTTTTTCAAAAGAGAAGTGTTATCAGAGGTATCTTCTTGAGTAGTTTCTGAAGCTTCATCAATGGTACGTGTCACAACAGTAGCCCATTCGTTGAAACTGTCGCTTAAAAGACGATCAGCTTCATCAACTACAAGGTATTGCAGGTGTTTCAGGGATATTGTTCCCAGGCGCAAGTGGTCGACAAGACGACCTGGGGTGGAAACAATGATATCTGGAACGGTTTTCAGTAGACGCTCCTGTTCACTGCGAAGTGTATGGTCACCATGAAGAGATGTAATGTGGAGTTTTGTAGATGCTGATGCTGCAAGTGTTCGAAATACGTGGACGACTTGTGTAATGAGCGGACGTGTAGGAAGTAACACGACAGCGCGCAGCTGCGGGACCACTCGTGTCGACAATGCTTGAACAATAGGGATTGTGTATGCAAGAGTTTTACCTGAGCCGGTGGCAGCGTTTACCAGGATATCAGGTCGTGGGTCTGGTGAAATATCAGCCGTGGCAGCCAGTAATGGTGGCAGAAGAGTTGCTTGGACGGCAAAAGCGTCTTGGTATCCAAGGCCTGTTTTGATACTCTTTTTTAAGTTTTCTGATAGACCTTCAATGTGATCAAATGGGATAACAACGGTTGAAGAAACATGAATGGGGTGTGCGAGCCATGGTGGTAAAGACCCACCGACACCACCGTCAGCTCCTGGACGTGACAGTTTCTTACGAAGTTGTGCAAGATCTGGTGTACCGGACTCATCCATGATTCCATCAGCATCGCCTTCATCTTCATTTTCAAACTGATTTATCTCAGGAACTGGGAGTGGGACAAGACCCTGGGGGATAGCTGCTGCTTCACGTCGTTGCATTACTGCCCTAACTTCTTTGTCGGCTTCTGCCTCTTCGACGGCATCCATGGGCAATGCCTTGACTGCCTTGACGTTGCCAAACTCGTCCTTTTCTTGATCAATATTGTAAGCTGATAAAGCAATGTTTCTTGCGGCACTCTGGAATCGCTTGTAAAACTCGGCAAAACGCGTGTCGATCTTGGGTTTTTCCTGAGAAGCTTCTTCTTCTTCTTCTTCTTCTTCTTCTTCTTCTTCTTGATCTGCTTTCTTGGTGGGTTGGACAGCTTGTGCTTCTATTGATGGTTTGGGTTCAGACTTTTTAGTTTCTTTAGCTTCATCATCAGAATCATCATTAGAATCGTCTGAGTCTTCGGAATCATCGGAATCATCACTAGGTTCGTCGTCGCTAGAATCATTGTCATCGCTGATGTCGTCGTCACTGGAATCTTCGTCGTTTGAATAATCTGGAAGCTGGATATCCTCCATTGTAATTTTTTTCGGCTCCTCCTCAGTCTCCACGACTCTTTTCCGTTTCTTAGAATCTGTCACGGACATTTTTTTTATTTAAAAAATGGGTATTTCTAAATGCTGTTTTAACAGTATTTTTAATAATTTTGGTTTCTTTTTTTCAATAAGAATTAATGAAGTTGATGTGAAATAAAAAAAAAAAAAAAAAAAATTTTACGCAGGTGCGGCGTTACACATTGTGATAATTCTGTTCCAAACCTTTTTTTTTTTTTTTTTTTCACAACCACCAAAATTCCAGCCTAAAATCTCCATAAAATTTTCCGCATCTTTGCAAAACTCCTGCTAGACAATCACCACCCATTTTGTTGGTTCAAACTTGGCCCTGTGCTAAACCCTACTGTTCAGTCCTCCTTTTCTCATCGCACTTTTCACTCCAAATAGTTCTACATATAAACAAAAATGAGACCCGCCACTGTTTTGTTCCGACGATCTGCTTGGAAAGGTAAGCCTTACTGGTTGTAAAAAAAAAAAATCCCAACATTTCTTATTTGCTGACATGTAGTGTGTGTTTTTTTTATTAGTCCCTCACATTGTTCCTTTGCCTATCCGTGAAGCCATGGAAAAGAACACTCCTATTCGCACAAATGCCAGATCCGGTACTATTCTGCCTCATTACGTTGGCCTGAAGTTCCAGGTTCACAACGGCATGGAGTATGTTGCTTTCGAGGTCACAGATGATATGGTTGGCAGTAAGCTTGGTGACTTTGCACCTACCCGCAAGCGCTTTTCTTTCAAGGAAGGCAAATAAACGCACATTAATTCCATCACTTTTTAAACGAAATTTCCAGCAATGAACCCTTGATATTCCTTCATCTTCTTTTTATCCCTTGTTATTTTTTTTTCTCTTTCCTGTTTAATGAAATACCGCTATGGAACTGTGTGCGCACAGTTTTGCTTTTAGGCCAAAGACCCCGCGCCTTCTCTAATGACGCCTTGTTTACAAACAAAAATTATATATATATACCCTCCGCTGTACATAGAAATACAATATTTATTGTCCCTCCTGTAACTTATTACTGTTTTATTCTATTAATTCTGGTGATTTATTGTCTGCGATTATCTAAAGCATTTTTCAGCCGACTCTCGCGCATGGCAGCTGTGCGATCAAGATCCATGGGCCACTGGTTCCACCCGCCTAATCGAATCACCATGCATGTTGCATTATCGTCGCCGCCTACAGTTTCTGCATACTTAACAACCTCTTCGGCGGCCAGCTGAGGTGTACCACGTAGCGAACCTGCTCTATTGACTGTACTCATAACAATATCAGCCATTTCTTGATCCGACACAAAACCAGATACACCGTCAGATACTAGTACCAGAAAACATTCATCGCCTCCGTGGCCGCCAATGGTGCGAGATAGTGGTACGCGACCCGAGGGGTTACCGATCTCATGCTCGATAATGTCAGGTTCAGCGGTAACACCAAGGGCTTTACCCTTGAGGTCGCCAAACGCGCGAGTATTTGCGTAGGCGCCAAACCGCGACTCACCAAAGGAATCTGTCATAAAACTTGAAGCATAACGTTGGAGACGCATTGCCTCGACAGGAGATGATGGATGATGGTTGGAGGTTAATGGCTGTGCCTCACCAAACCGGTCACAAATGATGCATCGAGTGTCGCCTACATGTGCAACAACAAGCTGTACTGTCTGGCCCGGTTCCCAAAACGCGCCTGGCGTCAAGACTTGGTGTCGGCCTACTGGGGCAGAGTACTCATCATCTGTGTAGAGAAATACAGATGTACACGTTGATCCTGCGGTAGTGTTTGTGTGGACGTAGTCGAGATCTGCCTGTAGAAAAGCAATGGGGATACGGATCTGTAGGTCATCAATTGGGCGCATTTTGGATGTATATTTATCAAACCCGTTTTTCCATCGCTTCCAGTACCCACCAATTTCCTTGCGATACTCTTCAGTCAGTCTCGGTGCTGCTGTTAGATCACAACTCTCGACATATTCTGCTAGTTTGTCATGTAAAAACTGCGAACATTCGGCACCGCCATGACCGTCGTAAACCGCAAAGTTGAAGACAGGACGTGTCATCCACTGAGGTGATTTGTTGTTTTCCCCACTTTTTGAGCCGTCACTTGACAAGTCAATTTCATCCTCATCGTCCTCAAGCAGTGAGTTGAGGTTAAGTTTGCGCGAAGACATGGGCCGAAGAGAAGACCCAGATGGCAGCTCCAGGACACTTGCAGAGTACCTGTCCTCGTTGTATGGTCGGGTGACGCGTGACGTGTAGTGGCCAATGTATCCTGGAGACTTGAGCAGTGGAATACGAGCCTTGACGATTCTTGAGCCTTGTTTGATCTCCCAGCTGTAATAAGATGAAACGGTTCTGCGTTGTTGTTGCTGGCGTCCGGAGAAACTGCTGCTAATGCTGCGCGTGGGCGCACTGGCAGCCCGTCTGACAGCGCTAAGTTGTAGATTTCTATAGCAGCATTCTGTTTAAAGAGTTAAGTTAGCTAGATTGTAAATATATATATATATAAATATAAAAGAAAAGAAACAAAAGTCATTTGTTTTGTTTGTTTAAAAAAAAAAAAAAAAAAAAAAGAGAGGCCTGTGGCTCAAGATAAAACACACATACTGACCTTGACAGTAAGCTGATGATAGTATTAAAGGCCGCCGTGCCGCTCTGTTCAGCATAACGGGTTTGATCTAAATAGAAGTATGAGGTATTTGTGAAAAGGATCAGGTTTATAGCTAAATAAGCCTTTGCACAAAAAATATATATATATAAAAAAAGAAAAGGGGATGAATGGATGGTTTGAATGAGATATTTGAATGGAGGGGTTCTAAGAGGGGTTTTTTTTTTTAATAATAATAATAAGAAAGATAATAAAAAAAAAACCCCTCCACCACCAATATATTTGGGAGTGGCCTAATGTGTATGTGGCCCTCCGTATATTAATAATTTACATACAATAGCAGCACAAAACGCCAAAGCAGCCGCTAAAAGTTGCTGCCAGTTTAGGAAATTCGCGGCTTTTTCAGTGTGTTCTTCAAATGAGTCGTCCTGAATCATCATATATAACCATCATAATGATGATAATCATCAACCTTCCCACATAGTTCTCGAGTATATTTTGGTGATTTAAAAAAAAAAAAAAAAAAAAAAAAAGAAAAAAAAAAGACCTGCTCGGAGAAACGAAATGGAAGTTTTTTGTTTATACTCCGCAATTTCATGCATTCTCGGTGTTGTAAGGTCCGATGCCCGGGTAAGTGGTTTTAATTGAAATATTTTTGCTATTTCTTGCTTCATTTAAAAATTTAAAAATTTAGAAATTTAGAAATTTAGAAATTTAGAAATTTAGAAATTTAGAAATTATAAAAAAAACATTAAAATGATAATATTCCACTGACTAGTCTCCGAAGGAAAAAAAAAATGAAAATCAAACATCTCAAGGTGGAGGTTATTATATATATATATATATATATATCAAATTGATTATCTTTTTTAATTTTGGTTCAATCATTATTTCATTTTCTTAGAATATATCCATTCTCATCAATCAGTCAATGAAATTAGACTAGGTAAACTATTTATGTCCTAACAAACGGCCCATAGAAATAAGCCTAATAATAACGACTTTTAACTTACCCTTAATTCACTACATATCATAGTCCGTTGATCAGTCCTCTGAGTAGTACTTTATCATGGAATAATTTTAAGCTTTCGATCCAAAATACCTGCCCAATTAGCAAACACCAAACTTTTCATATCCAAAAAAAAGAGCTTTCATATTGACAGTCAATGTCTGAAATTTAACTCCATAATGGAATTACGTAAAACCATCAATCATGATCGATATTAATCATAAAGTCTATTCAATTAATTCACAAATTTAATCTTTTTTTTTTTGTTTTTGTTTTTTTTGAATTGACTATTGAAAAAAAAAAAAAAAAAAAAAATTTAACGCTCCACAATAGCACACTCCAAGCTCTCAATCACTGAAACAACATCCAAAATGGCCGCTTTATTTTTCAATTCCATTGAAATATTTTCCGCAAGAATCTCTGCAAGATATTCAATTTCTTCTTTATTTTCTTCTGCAAATTCAGAATCAAGAATAGATCCCATGGGTCCAATTTTCAAAAACTTTTCTCGTTCATGAGCCAAAAACTTAGGAATTGGCCGTCTTTGAGCCAGGATTTCGTACACAAAGTGGCGAGCAAACTTGACCATGGTATCATGTGAATAACACTTGAAACGTTCTTGGGAGCTTTGAGAAAGAAAATTTTCAATTGTCCTGCCAGCAAATAAAATGCAAAAATCGTTATCCTGGCGTTGGAGTCCTTCTTTGCTTCTAAAAAACAATTAGCAAGGTTTAAAAAAAAAAAAAAAAAAATATTAATACTTACACTTCCTGCAATGTTCTGCAAAACATGGACAAGTAAAGCATTTTGGTTGGATTAGATTCGTGACAAAAAATCTTTAACGAGCCATCCGTGGTACCCATAAGTGATATTGATTCAGGCTGCGAAAAAACTTGGTCCCATGAGGCGGTCGAAGGCGGGAAGCTTTGTGGCATATTGTGATGAAGAAGCTTCAGGTAATAAGCCGGAGCCCAATTGCATCTTGTGATTGACGTTGGCGGAGTGCCTGTGGGGATAGCATATGTGCGTTGTTTGAGATCATACGTTATTTGGCCATTCAACCGTACGTGGAACCGACTTCGGTCGCGATTCTCTATAAAGCTAGTGTCCTCGATACGGGCCACAACAAGAAGTGAGTCTGAAGTCCCGTATGCAACCTCTTGGGGTGACAAAACAGTAATGCATGTGAGCGCACGTGTGGACTCGGTCACATCAAACATCCGTTGTTTCTTTAGACGCTCATTTGCATCCTGGTCCACATAATCTTCAAGAACAATGACGTTCCGCTCTAAAAAAGTGCGATTAGTCGGACCCAGGGTCGAACCTTGATGTGACAAAAAGGGTCCGGTAACCATGTCGCCAACCGCAAGGTTCCATTCTCTTGGATAGAAGGAAAAATCAATAGGTCCCTTAGTATCCATGTCTACTACAATTGTGGACGTCGACTCAATTAGGTCATGATTCAATATTTCTTTCCCTAACATTTCAATGACAGTGTGAGGCGATAAGAGTTCAGAAACAGATATCAAATTAACAGGGAACCGGCGCAGCAACCCTTCATGTGCAATAATCAAGTTCCCATCAAAAAACTTGACGCTATTGATAGCACCACGAGGGAACTCCATCGTCTTAGCCCGAATGAGTTTGTCTTGGTAAAAGTAAAATGGTGCAGCATAAGCTATGTCTTGGGGGGGTTTTTCCAAATTAGAATAAGTCACAAAAATGGAAAAGTAGTCGGCATAGCGACAATCATAATTACCAAACCCCCAATATCCATTCGTCAAAACATTGATGTAAAACACTTCAAGGCTAGTGCTGATTCCTGTGCCGATTTTAGTCCGTGCAACCTCTTCCATGGTTGAGACGTAATAAATAACCATGTTGACATGGGGTTCGACTGTAAATCGGCCGTCAACTCCCTGCTCTAAATTCTCAGTCATTAATGCCACCAAATAAAGAGAACATGGCGAAATCTTAATGTGCGTAACAACCCCATTTTTTGTGGGACGATGCTCTGAAATCTTGCATCCAACCCAGCGAGTACTGTCCTTGCTCACAAAAACAAGTTCATTATCCATTGTTATAGCCGGAACACGCCAGTCACTCATCACTATGTTGGATCTCGTAGAGTAATCCATATAGGGTTTAGGAGAAACTAAAGAAACAATTCTTTTATCGGAAATAAGTCTAGGTTTGTTGTTATTATCAAGTGTTGGCTGGATGCTTGGGGCTGATATCTTGTTAATCTCAATGTCAAGGTGGAGAGGAATGTACTTCAATTTAAAAAGGGCTTTGTGAAAATCAAGATCTAGAATTGAATCTGAATCTGAATCTGAATCCGAAAGAGTATCAGAAGGCTTCTTAAAGTTGCTATTAGAATTAAAATCTGAATTGCTGTCAGAGTCACTGTCAGAGTCGCTGTCAGAGTCGCTGTCAGAATGATTTATATTTTCCGAGCGAAGAGGGAAGAGGGGTATTGATCCATCTCTAAGCTTGGAGAATTCTAAATTGATTGGTTGTTTTCTATCAGGCTCGTCATGATTGTTGGGCCCAAAAACAAGCATAAACAAGTCATTTCCACGTTTGACAAACGGTAGTCCGCGTCCATCAAGAGGAGGGATAAGAGTAACTATGCCTTCGCCAAGTTTAAGTCTAAAAGCTTCATTGTACATGACAGCAGGAGTACGTTTGTCTTTGAAATGAAGAATGGTAGCATATATTTTACCATGTGTGTTAGATTCGAAAACCATAGGTACTTTTGTTGGCTCAGCTTGGCCCTGATATGGAAGTTCTGCCAGGCAAAAGCAACCGCTCGAGATAGTAAGCGAGTTCATTGACATCATAAAAGTTTTTGTAGCATCAATAATTTCATATCTAGCATCGGACTTTATTTTTAATGATCCAAAAAATTGTTCTTTCGATTCAGCTTTTTTTCCTTCACAATTTCTAAAATTGTGCTTTCCCTTGCCCTTTTTCTTTTTTTTAGATTCTCCCTCGTCCTTTGTTTCAACAAGAGTGAAAAATAACGTTGGATTAGAGTTATCTTCCAGATGTTTATAGCCATAAACGATCCATCGGTCGTAAATCTGAAGATATAAACCGTCAGGGGAAAAAATGGATGTATATGAGTACTTGTGTTCAATGGGCCCAAAGTCTGCAGGAATTTGGAAAAGTTCAAGTGTTTGTTTCTTAGTAATTGTTGCAAAAAACCCATCTTTGCTATGTACATCAACAGCTGCTAAAGAGGCCTCGTTTTCAAACATTTCTTCAAAATAGATTTTACCTTGGGGGAAGCCGGCCAGCCGGACTCTTTGGTTTGTGATTTGAATGATAAGTGAATTAGAGGTAGTTCCAAAGCCATTGGTATAAATTCCTAGAGTAAGTGTAGGTTCATCTAAAATAAGATCTGGATTCAAGGAAGAAGAGTTTGAGACTAAGAAAAGCGCTGATTTAGTATTGCTTGATACTAAGACATCGCCGTTATTGTTAAGAGGGAAAAGTTTGTATTCGTTATCACCAAACCCGAAAATTTTATCAAGATTAATCTTATCAGTAGGTGCGATGGTTTTGGTAAAGAGTCCTGGAGTAAACTTTTTAATACGCGAAAACCCACTTTTCCCCATTGCAGCAAAAAACATGTCGTGCGTTGGAGATCTACACCAGAAACTATATTTATAATTCCCGTATTTGCAGAAATTTGGGTTTGCAGCAATGCTGGAAATTGGCCCAGTATTTTCGAATAGTTGGATAACAGTTATGAGAGGCTGTGGCTTTGATTTGTTGCGAGGGTCGTTGGATCGTGTTTTTTGTTTCTTGTTTGGAGATCGAGAACTGATGGAAAAAAGCATGGAATCGTCGACTTTGCTTCCTGCAAAAATGAGACCAGGCTCAAGGCATGTTAAAGAATGCGAAGGAGAGACCATTCCCAGATAAAGAATGTCCATTTTAAGATCAATAGTTTGCTTAGGATTTGTTTCGTGTAGTTGTTGATAAGCTATTAGCATGTAAAGACGGCCATCCATGTCGCATAATAGTGTACGGTCCTTGTCAATTGAGGTATAACCGATTATAGGTTTCTGAAGGGCCACATTTTGGTTAGCCAAGAAAAGAGAAAGAGCTATTTTATTTTTCCTTTTAGATTTTGCCACTTCTAGCAAGGGGAATAAAGAAATATTGAAAAATTCATTAGTTTTGTCTTTTTCTGCCTTTTCTGCCTTTTCTGCCTTTTCTGCTTTTTCCTGTTCAGTGAAATTGATATTTTCTTTCTTTGACTTTCTTTTATAAGGAACCTTCTTAGAGTCAAGCTTATCCATGTCGTGGGACGTTAATTTGTTGACAAATGTGTGGAAGGCTGGGTCTGTTGGAGGGTTTCGGAACAGCATGACATTATGTGGAGAGATGACGAAAAAGCCGCCAAAATCGCCAGGATTGGGTAAGATTTGATGTTGGAAGGGGATAGGAATGGTATAAGTTTCTGTTAGTTTGGTAACAGCTAGTTTTGTTTCCAGAGCTGTTTTTGATGTACAGGAAATGGTCAGAATGTCAATTGCTGTAGTTTCATAGTTTGGACTGCTGAGAACAGCCAGTTGTGAAGAGCCGCAATTTGAAAGAAAAATGAGAGCTTGAATGTGTGGGATGGTTGGATTAACAATGCATGATGTTGAAATAAAAAAATTTGAAGAAGTGGATTGTTCATCATTGCCAAAAATTCGATTTTCTGGTCGTGTGGGAGAGTTTTTTAGATTAAAGAGAGGCTTATCAAAGTTGAGCTCATAAAAATGAATTTCATTGACGTTTAAGGAAATGGCTAAGAGTCTCCCAGAAGGATCAATTGTCACAACAGGATTTTGATCAAGCAATATAGATTTTTTAAATGAATTTAATGAATATTCTGGGGTAAATGAAATGAAATAAAAGTTGGGTATAATGTCCTGGAGTTGCTGTAATGAATATTCGTCTGGGAAGCCATATGGATTCAGATTTAAGACACGGACATCTGATGAAGCAAAAACCAAAATGATCCAATTGGGTTGGTCAGTGATTTCTGGTGGAGAAGAGAAGAGAGCTATAAGAGGGTATTTATAAGGTAGATCAATAGATGCAATTAGAGTAAGTTCTTTTGAAGATGGTTTTGTTTGATCTTGATTTTGGTCTTGGTTTTGGTCTTGGTCATTGTTGAGATTGTAAATCTGGAGAGAGTGTGGGAGACCTACAACCAAATGTTTTCTATTGGGGAAGATAATATTATCGTAAATGGATCCGACTGTTTGAGAAGATTTTATGAGAGGATGAGAAATTGCACCATATGGAGCATGCAAGGGAGTGCAAAAATCATTGTGGGATTTTTTAAAAGGTCCCATTATAGAATAGGGAGCGGGGAAGAATCAAGTACTGCTAAGAAGGGGTTTGTGTGTGGCGGTGGAAACTATGATGATATATATATTTTTTTTTGTAAGGAGAGAGAGCATTGTGATTTTCTGGGGTCAAAAGAAAAAAAAAAATAGTTACATTATTTTTCTTTTTGTGTAATGTCATAAAATCTGACTAGATTTCAGGGCAGAGGGTTATTTTTTTTTTTTTTTTTTTTTGTGCTGCTTATAAGGTTTACTGTGGAGATGCTGAAAAAAAAAAAAAGGCAACAAAAGCAGCACACAGACAGGCACAGAGACAGGCACAAAGGCAGGCAGACAGACAGGCAGACAGGCAGCACAGAAGCAGCACAAGCAGCACAAGCAGCACAAGCAGCAACAACAACAACAACAACAACAACAGCACAAACAGCACAAACAGCAAGGCGGCTGTGGCCGTGGCGGCAACTACGGGAAACAGAGAAGAAAGCCAGCCACGCACCAAAAACAGCACAGAGTGAAATCACCACCACCAAAAAAAATTAAAAAAAATTAAAAAAAAATTAAAGGCAGGTTGCACAATAGTGGCTTTAAGAAAAGAAAAAAAAAAAAAAAAAAAATACTTGATATTTTGTCTACGCGGGACCAAATTAAATAGAAATAAATCTCGAGACTTTATAAGAATATTTTGACATCAGATTTAAAAAAAAAAATAATAATAATAATAATAATAATAATAAATTATCAAGTCAATTAAGAGTTATATATATATGAGTACAATGATGAGTAGAAGAAGAAGAATAAAGGGGGGGTGGAGGGAAAAAAAAATGCGTTGATGTCAGAAAAAAAAAAAAAATGGCGAATAGTCCAAATTTAAAAGAGTCAAAAAAATAATGAAAAATATGTAATAGGTAGATTAAGACATTATGTTAATGAGGTATTATGGATAAGATGATGTTGGATAGATAGATGGATGAGTTGAAATGGTATGGTATAGTTGGGAGGAGATTGTTGATGAACTTGTCATTATTTTTTTTTTCTTTTTTTTAAAAAAAAATAAGACGCTGATTTAGCAGACAACGTCCTGAGTGGCTCTAGAGTTAAGCAAAAGAGCAACAATGAGACCGTAAAGACCCAAGACTTCGGCGAAAATGAGAATAAGAATCATACCGACGAAAAGACGGGGTTGTTGAGCAGTACCACGGACACCAGCATCACCGACAATACCAATAGCGAAACCGGCAGCAAGACCAGCAAGACCGACCGAGAGACCAGCACCGAGCTGGATGAAGCCAGTGTAGAGAGCTTGTTGTTGTTTCAGGGAATCAGAGACAAGGACAGAAACGACGAGACCGTAAATGGCAATGATACCAGCCATAATGACGGGGACGATATTCTTAACGAGAAGGTCGGGTCTAATGACGGTGGTAACCATGATACCGACACCGGACTTGGCAGTACCGTAAGAAGCGCCAAAGCCTAGAGAAAGAGAAAAGCAAATAATGGATTAGTATTGAAATTTTTCAAAAAAAAAAAAAAATTGAAGAAAAAAAGTAGATTGAAGTTTGCTGCTAATTGGTGAGATTGTGGTTACATACATGTGAAGACAATAGCGGCAGTGCAGCCGAGGGCACCAAAGAAGGGCTAATTTACAGGTTAGAAATAAGAATGAGTTACAAATGCTGGAGATGAAAAGTGATGGTGGTGAATTGAACAAGTGATTATTGACTTACAGCGTAGACGGGGCTATTATCAAAGAAAAAAAAAGGGTTAGTAAGAATATAAAAAGAATTGAAATTTTCAAGAGATAGTGATAATTAATAATGAGATAATCTTGAGAAATATATATATAAAAATAGATATATCGCGTCGTAAAAAAAAAAAAAAAAAAAAAAAGGTCTCTCTTTTTATTTTGAAATTTTTCAATAAAGATATCGCGAAAAATTGATAAAAAAAAACTTACCAGAGATCAGACATTGCGAATGAAATTAAGGTAGTAGTGTATGAGCGATGCGGGCTATTTAGATGCTCCTAGAAGGAAATCTTATAAAGGATTGGTGGTGGTGGTGGTGGTGGTGGTGGTGGAAATGATGGTGGTTAAGTTTTTGTGAGGTAAAAAAAAAGAGAGAGAGAAAAGAGAGGAGGAGAGGAAGAGAAAAAAAAAAAAAAAAAAAAAAAAAAAAAGGGAGAAAGAAAAAAAAAAAATGCGTTTTGGTGGTTGGCGGTTTTTCGCTTTTCTGTTATTGTTATTGTTGTGTGTGTGTGTGTAAGTAGTAAGGTGCAGTATGTTATTAGAAATTTCTAAGAGGGTTTTTGGTTTGTGGTGGTGGTGGTGTTTATATAGGAATTTGCTATGCAGCCAAAAAAGCAGCATAGCAGCATAGCAGCACCCAGGCAGACAGCCAGCCAAAACAACCAAAACAGCCAAAAAAAAAAAAAAAAAAAAAATTAAAAATAATAAATAAAAATAACAACTAGACAGAGCATTAAACTGGCATGAAAAAAATATAAATAACAATAAGAATTACAGCATTAGTAGTAGTAGTAGTAGTAGTAGTAGTAGTAGTAGTAGTAGTAGTAGTAGTAGTAGTAGTAGTAGTAGTAGTAGTAGTAGCATAGAAAGATTTACTTTAGAGGTGTGGCAGCATTAGCTGAATGAACATTTAGACAAAATGATATATACAATATGCTTGTCAATTCAATGCTGAAGAAAAAAAATTGTATATACTTTTTTTAAAAACATGAATTGACCTTGTACTGCTGATGGACGTGAATTGCAAATAAAATTGACTTAAGTTATTATAGAAGTATCTACTATAGTTTCTCTTTATTTCATTTCATTTTGTTTTTCATGCGAATACTATTAAGATCAATTGTACAAGAGCTTGGAGATAAAGTAAGCATTAAGATAACGAAAATGAAAATAAAATTGAAATTGAAATTGAAAAATAAAACAAGTTTTTTTATATATATAATTGATGGAATTTTACAGTATTTTATGCTACAATTGAACAAGCTCATATTTTATTTCCTTTTTTATTTTTTTTTTTAAAAAAAAAAAATAAAATAAAAAGAGGAGAAAGAGAGAAATAAAGAAAAAAAAAAAAAAGGAAAATTGCATTAATTGAGCGGAAACCTGTTGCATATAAAAATTATGGAGGGGGAAGAAGAGAAATATATGCGCCAACTGAGTTGCAACAACTTGTATTACGCATTGAGTGCAGATTTTTTTGTATTGTTGCTTAAATGTGTGCTGCTGCTGCTGCTGCTGCTGCTGCTGCCGCCGCCGCCTTTTTTTTTATGTTGTGAGTATGTTTACGCCTCACACATAGCTTTTGCTTTATAATCGACCGGGTAAATGTCAATGTGACACGTACTTGACTCTTTTAACTTGTTATTTTTTTGAGGGTTGTTACATTTTTATTACAATTTAGATCTATGTTATACATATTTTTTTTTTTTCATTATTCTCCGATTATTGCCATAGCAACTTTTTTTTGTTATAGAGATATATATATATAATCTTATGAGTGCTAAATTACAAGTATATATATATATATATATATATAAATATTCATATAAAGTCCTTGTTTGATTTGAGACGTTCACAGCCACATAGTGAAGCCACTAGGCGCGGGCTTCTCCTGTGATTTGCCCGATAACCGAACTTTTGTCTTTCTTTAATAATTTTTTTTTTTTTTTTTTTCAACATTAACATCATCGTCATTGAAAAATGGATCAGATAATATTGTATTAAAATATATATATATATTTACTAGTAATATAAGCCTTATTATTATTTCTAAAAAAAAAAAACGGGTTATTAATAATTATGAAAAAATATATATATATTCCATCGGCTATTCTTCTCTTTTAATTTAAAGTCCACGACGCATCAAAATACCAAATGGCGGGACCTGCAGCATTTGCAACAACCAACATTTAACAAAAAAAAAAAAAAAAAAAAAAAATTCCATTCCAATCAAAATAAAAAAAAAAAATGAAAAATTGAAATAAACCAACAAAAGGAGAAAGAAAATAAAGAAAATGTCCTTTTTTTTTTTTCTGCAATGACGTCGTTATTTGTCCCAGTCTTGTCTTGTCTTTTATTTCTATCTTCAAATAGAAATCTTATTATTAATCTAAATAAATTAATAAATTAATAAATTAATAAATTAATAAATTAATAAATTAATAAATTAATAAATTAATAAATTAATAAATTAATAAATTAATAAATTAATAAATTAATAAATTAATGAATAGATTAATGAATAAATAAATTAATCAATTAATAGATTAATAGATTAATAAATAAATACATAAAAAAAAACTACTAGCTTAACTGATTGACTTATAAACTACTTAGCTGGCTACTCTAGATGTCTAAATGAACAATCATCCTTATTATCAGTATTTTCTAACCTGATTTTAATAGAAAGAAAAAAAAAAAATAAAAAAAAGAAGATCTATAATATAAATATATAAATCGTGTTATTGTCATTAAAAATTGACATGTAGCTGTCTATATATATATATCCATCAATAGTATGGCATGGTTTTTTTCAATATAAAAAGTTCCTACCACATATATTTTTATTTATTTATTTAAAAGACTTCTCTCTCTCTCTCTCTCTCTCTCTCTCTCTCTCTCCCCTCGATCCTTCTTTCCCCTTAGTATTTTTATATATAAAAAAAAAAACCCCCCCCCCCCCCCTTTCTTAATATATATCTTCTACCTACCTACCTACCTACCTACCTACCTACCTACCTACCTTCCTTCCTACATACATACCTACATACTATACTTTCATTCATTTCCTTCCATCAATATATACCCTCCAAACTCTACAACCATGGCCTCTACTACTGAAGTTCCTTACAAAAAAATTGAAAAGATCTGCTGCATTGGCGCTGGCTACGTCGGTATGTACCATTCTTAAAAAAAAAAAAAGCTTCAATTGTTTCTATATATATATATATACATCACTTTGGAAATAAACTACTTGTTTAAGTTATTAACTCAAAAAAAAAAAAATACTAACAAACTTCCCATTTCTTCTCGTTACAGGTGGTCCAACATGCGCTGTTATTGCTTACAAGTCCCCTCACATCAAGGTCACCATTGTTGATCTGAACCAAGCCCGTATCGATGCCTGGAACTCCGACGACCTGCCCATCTACGAGCCCGGACTCGATGAGATTGTCAAGGCCTCACGCGGCCGTAACCTTTTTTTTTCTACTGACGTGGAATCAGCCATCAACGAGGCAGACCTTATTTTTGTTTCCGTCAACACTCCTACCAAAAAGTCCGGCATGGGCAAGGGCTTTGCCGCTGACTTGGGTTATGTCGAATCTGCAACTCGCTCTATCGCCAACTTGGCCACGTCGTCTAAAATCGTTGTGGAAAAAAGTACCGTCCCCTGCCGCACCGCACAAAGCATGCGCCGCATCCTCGACGCTAATGGCAAACCTGGCGTCAAGTTTGACCTCCTTTCCAACCCAGAGTTTCTCGCCGAAGGTACTGCCATTAAGGACCTTCTTAACCCTGATCGTGTCTTGATTGGTTCTCTCGACACCCCCAGCGGCCGCTCTGCTGCTTCTTCGCTTGTCGATGTGTATGCTAACTGGGTCAACCGCAAGCAAATCATTACCACTAACCTTTGGTCTTCAGAGCTCTCTAAGCTCGTTGCCAATGCCCTCCTGGCCCAGCGTATTTCCTCCATCAATGCCATTTCTGCTATTTGCGAGGCCACTGGTGCCGATGTTGATGAGGTTGCCTATGCATGTGGTCTTGACACCCGTATTGGACCTAAGTTTCTCAAGGCCTCAGTCGGATTCGGTGGCTCGTGTTTCCAAAAGGATATTTTGAATCTTGTTTACTTGTCCGAATCACTTCATCTGCCTGAGGTTGCTACCTACTGGAAGCAAGTTGTCGATATGAATGAGTACCAAAAGTCTCGTTTCACTAAGCGCATCATTTCTTCGCTCTTCAACACACTTTCAGGCAAGCGTATTGCTCTGTTTGGATTTGCGTTCAAGAAGGATACTGGCGATACTCGTGAGTCTGCATCAATTTCCCTGTGCCAATACTTTAGACAGGAGCGTGCCACCGTGGCTTTGTATGACCCCAAGGTTGAGGAGACTCAGATCTGGCTTGACTTGACGGAGACTGCTCCCCAGGATAACCTTGAAACAATCAAGAAACAGGTCATTATTGCAGCTGATCCTTATGAGGCTGCCAAGAATGCAGATGCAATTGTTGTGGCCACTGAATGGGACATGTTCAAGGACACCAATCTTGACTACGAGAAGTTGTACTCGTTGATGAACAAGCCTGCATTTATTTTTGATGGTAGACTTATTCTTGACCGACCCAAGCTTGAGAAGATTGGATTCAAGGTTGAAGTTATTGGCAAGGCTTCTCATGACATTGGCTACGAGTAAGGTAAAGGGAAGAGATGTTGATATTTTTCTTTTCTTTTCTTTTTAAAACAAAGAGGAGGATGACAGGAAAGGGACTATAATATATTTTTGGTTATTAGAGAAGAATGAAAGATTTTAAAAGCTTTGTATTTTTAGAATAATAAATTTGAAAAAAAAAAAAAAAAAAAAAAAAAAAAATTACCACCAGTGTGAATTGTCTTTAGAACGGTGTAAGTGTATGAGCTGGAGGGGGAAGTTTTTTTTTTTTTTTTTTTTTTTAAGATCAAATATAATCAAATACCGAAAACTTTAAATAAAAAAATAAAAAATGAGGCGGATTTTCCATTTATTGGAGAAACAAATTCGGAAGAATAAGTATATATTAGTTAAAAAAAAAAAAAAAAAAAAAAAAAGAAACCTTTAAGGTTAAATGGGGGAGAAAAAAAATTGTCGGATAATTCCATGTCATGTAGGTCTCAGTTACCTCTAGTGTAAGAATTATTTGTTTATTTATTGAATTTGAAAAAAGTAAAAGCTTTTATTTTTTTAATTGAAAAAAAAAAAAAAAAAACCAAATCAATAAAAGAGAAAAAAAAAATAATGAGAGCTGTGGGATTCGAACCCACGTATCCGGAGATACCAGAGGATTTCAGTACAAGTAAACTGTACTTAGAAACAATTGAAATTTCCTTTGTTTCTAAGGCCAGCCGCTCGTTAATTTTAAGTGTTTTTCACCTAAATCTGGCGCCTTAGACCACTCGGCCAAACTCCCTTGAACTGTGGACCAATTTTGTTTTAAGGTCGTTTGTAGGAATTACAGCAAAATGTATAAAAATTCCAGGGTCCTGGTCTGGCGGAGGGGAGGGGGATAACCCTTGAATAAAAACAAACAAACAAACAGAGGGGAGGGGGAAAAAAAAAAACAAACTTTTGAATGGAAATAATTATTAGAATTTTATATCATTAGGTATCCGAAACTTATAGATTGAAACAGTAACCCTTATTGAAATGGTATTACCTAAAAGGCAGCAAACCATCAAAGTTAGGCAATTAGAAGGATATCAAAGATATAGATTGTTATATACATCTATAACTTATGAATGAAAAAAAAAAAAAAAAAAAAAAAAAAAAAAAAACTAAATTAAATTATTTAAAATGATTATTAGAAAAATAAAATAAAATAACAAGTAAAAGTAATAATTGAAATTGATAAGAAAGTTACTAAAATGTATGGGGAGAAAAAAAAAAAAAAAAAAAAAAAAAAAAAGGAAAAGATAAAGTTTAGTGAACTAATAGTGTAAGAGTAAATATGAAACTGAATAGCAGTAAAATTGATACTGAGATGCGGTTCAGGTGGAGTCATAAAAAATGGAGAGCCTAGTATTTATGTTTCTGTAGCAACGATGACTACTATATATATATATATATATATATATATATAAAAAGTGGCTTGTTATGGCTTGTTATGACCTAAAAAAGAAAAAAAGACGTCACCACCACCACCACCCATTTTTTTTTTTTTTTGTTTGTTTTGTTTTGTTTGTTTGTTTATTTTTAAAAAAATAAAGGCGGGGCGCGGCAGTGGTTATGAAGCCTTACAAAAGTGTGTGGCACCCAAGAAATTTATATATAAATATATAAAAAATACATACAAATATAAATAAACTTAAAAAGAAGAGAGTATGATTGATTATCGAATGAAATAATACTTATATATATATATATATATATAAACGCCATTAAAGAAAGTTAAAATAAAATAAAATGAAGAAGAAAATGAAAAAAAAAAGGTAGAAGAGAAGAATGATAGTGTAGACATATATATATATATATATATGGTTAAAGAGACCTGTTTTTTTTTATTATTAAAAAAAGAATTAAGAATTAAAGAAAAAGGGTCACAAGCTAAGAAAACCGAAACGTTATTAATGCTTGCTTTGTTAAATGCTGCAACCAAAAAAAAAAAAAAAAAAAAAAAAAAAAATCAACATTTGCACTATTTAAAAGAAAAAGAAAAAGAAACGTAATCTAATCATAATTTATAGTGTATGATGGTTGATGGTTAAGTAACAGAGTATTTATGAAAAATAAGAGAGTCAATTGCGATTATCAGCAATAGCAAGCAAAAAAAAAGTAAAAGTAAAAGTAAAAGTAAAAGTAAAAGTAAAAGTAAAAGTAAAAGTAAAAGTAAAAGTAAAAGTAAAAGAAGAAGAAGACTGAGAAGAAGTTTAAAGAAATACACATTAAGCTTAAGATATATACCATGAATTGGTTGCTACTGAGAAGTCATTTTAAAGTTATTAAAATTATAGGATTGGAAATAGACAATATAGAATTGAAATGAGTTTAGAAGAAAAGAAGTAGAAAAATAAATAAATAAATAAATAAATAAATAGTCACAATTTCTTAAATAATGTTAATAGAAAGAAAGATTTTGAACAATAAAGCAAAGTTGGTGGACCAAAAAAAAATAAAAAAATAAATAAATAAAAAATAAGTGGGGAGAGGAGATCACAAGAGGGAAAAGGAAATTTATATATATATATATATATTAAATGAAGAAATGAAATGGACATTTAAAGACAAAAAAAAAAAAAAAGCAAAGTAAAGTAAAGTAAATAAATTTTTTATTAGAAAAGAAATCACAAATAAATTCGAGTTTCCACAGAGAAAGATTTTTTTTTTATTTCTTTTTTGGTGGAAACTTTTTATATTTATTTATTTTAGTATAAATAAATAAAACACGCCGTTCTTTTTACAAAAAAATTTTTTTTTTATTTTTTAATTTTTTTTTATTTTTTAATTTTATAAATTCTTTCTTTCTTTCTTTCTTTCTTCTTGACATCCCACCCACAAATACAAAACACCAATAAAAAAAAACAACAACAAAGTCCAACAGAAACTTCTTTTAAATATATATATATATATTTTTATTATATTATATATATAAATAATGGCAGGAAGACCTATTCTTAACTCGATTGCCACGCTTTTTCTTGCTGGGTATGTGTATTTTTTTTTTCTTTTTTTCTTTCTCCATTCCATTCTTTAATTGCTCTTTTTTTTTTTTTTTTTTTTTTTTTGGGAGGACTTTTAAAAATTCAAAACAACTTTTACTAACAATTGTATATCTTTTCTTAATAATAATAATCATTGGACTTTCAAATGTCTATTTTATTTCATCTTTTAAATGAATCTTTTTTCCATCGGTTAGAAATTTGCCTTCAGAGATCTTTTACTTTCTTTCTTTCTTCTTCTTCTTCTTCTTCTTCTTGGAATTCCCCCACGAGGCTGTGCAAAATACCCAAGTCTTAGTACCTTCTTGTTTCCTTTTTATTTTTATTTTTTATATTTTTTAATATATATGAATCACCACGCCATACCATTCAGTACTAAAGATACTCACGCGCAATTTCTTAATCATGGACTCTTTATTCATCTATAGATTGAAAAAAGATTCACATTTGAAATTCATTTGATTATTATTATTATTATTATTATCTTGATTTTTTTTTTTTTTTTTTAGCTCCGCAGTCCTCCTCTTCTTTATTCTCCTTTCAGGTGTTAAAGATTCAAGCCCACTAAACAAGTTCTTCTTTATCGAATTCGAAACAACAAATATACAATCTTCCGAACCAGGCGTATGGATTCCTAACCCCGTCCGCTGGACTCCCTACAACTATTGTGCCGTCGATAGCAATGGCCACAATACCAATTGCACCAAGACTTCAGCTGCTTTTGCCTTCACCCCTCAGGATGCTTTTAAAACTACAGATGGTATTCCCTCTGCATTTATCAATAACCGTGATACTTATTACTATCTCTCGCGTATCCCCTTTGGCTTTTATCTTGCAGTCCTCTTTTTTGTCATTGTCTCGCTTTTTTTTACAGTTATTGGCTGCTGCTCGCGTCTTGGATCTGCCATTGCCTCAGCTTTCACCTTTTTTGCACTACTCTTTGGCATGACTTCTTCAGCCCTTTACACTGCTGTTTTTGTTTTGGGTCGCAACAAGTTTCACGATACTGGCGTCGAGGCTCGTCTGGGTGTCAAACTCATGGCATTTATGTGGACTCTTTCAGCTCTTCTTTTGTTTTCATTTATTATTCTTACTATTACTTGCTGCTCTGGTGGTAGCAGTAGCAGCGGCCGTCGTCGCCGTCAATCATCTTCTGCAGGTGCACCCAAGCGCGGCGGGTTCTTTTCGCGCAAACAAAACCCAGAGCTTGCTGGAGTTTCTACAGTTCCCCAGCCCGGTGTTGAGCATGGAGTTGTTGGAGATGATGGTTCCAAGAAGCCTGGGTTTTTCTTTTTCAAGCGTAATAGCTCAGCTGCACCTGGCGTTGACCCACTCTCACCAAATCCTCCAAAGAATTATGAATCTTCGTTTGAACGTACCGTTGACCGACCTGCTAATAATCACCCCATGTCGGCAGGATTTTTCAAGATTAACAAGCGTAAGGATGAAGATTCTCTCTATGCTGAGAATTAATTTGGTTAGTTTACGATGATGATGATGATGATGATGATGATTTTCTTTCTTTTTCTTTTTAATTTAAATTTTTTTATTTATTTTTTTGAGATATTTAATCTTTTATTTAATGTATATTTTCTCTTTTCTTTTAAAAAAAAAAAAAAAAAAAAAGCAAGCAAACTAATAATTTAATAATAATAACTTTTAATATATATAAAAAAATAATATTTAATAATAATCTAATGTGAAATCATTTTGTTTAATTCAATTAGAAATGTATAAAACAAGCATTTTCATTCAAATGGTTTAGAAATTAGAAATTCAAGGCGTGGGGAGAGAAGGAAAGAAATAATAAAATGTTACAGTTACAATTTGTTCTTGTAACTTCTTTTTCCCCTCGTCAAAAAAAAAAATAAAATAAAATAAAATCTACACTGTGTAATTGTTTATCTTATTTATTTATTTATTTATTTTTTTTTTATTTTTTTTTTTATTTTTTTATTTTTATTTTTTTTGCTCGGCACGCAGCAATCAATCAATCAATCAATCAATCAATCAATCAATCAATCAATCAATCAATTAAAACAAACAATTTCATACCATTTTGGTTACTTTAGGATACGTGATTATCAATGACCTTAAAATGAATTTTTTTTTTTTTTTTAAAAAAATGGCAACTTTATTAACAGAATTTTTTCGGTTAAGTTTTTATTTTGCAAGGTTGTTTGATATTGTTGTTTGATGATGATGATGATGTTATTGCCATCTCTTCTTTATTCATTTATCTTCTAAATGTATATATATCTAAGTATCTACGGATTCTATAATGTTAGCCAAAAAAAATCAAAATCAAAATCAAAATCAAAATCAAAATCAAAATCAAAAAAAAAAAAGAAACCTCTTTTCTGTTCACTTCCTCAGGATTCTCTAATATTGTCGTGTGACGTTTTGGCAGGTGTATATTTTATATATATGTGTAGACAATAGTGGGAAACATATTTAATTTTTTTTAATAAATATAATTAAATATAATTAAATATAATTAAAATAATTAAAATAATTATAATTAAAAAAAAAATAAAAGGGGAAGTGGAACGATACCATATGTCTTGGACCTTAAGACCTTGGAATCTTTAGTGAGAACAAGTTACAAAGCACAAGTCTTTGAATTCACAAATGTTATTTTATTAAAAATCTTCAATAATCAAATGTCTTGGGATTCTTAACCAAAAAGATGTATAATTAAATTCTCTTATAGGCCAAGACATTGGTTTTAGACTTTAATAATCAATCCTAATAGGAATTTTTAAGACTTTTTTTTTTTTTTTTTTTTTTTTTTTTTTTTTGTGGATATTCGCCTTTGTAGCTCATTCAACCAAGTTAAAAAAAAAAAAAAAAAACTGGGTAGTCAATATTTCGTTCTCTCTCTCACTCTCACACATATACACACACCTTTACACTAATTTTCTGGGCAAGGTAAATAAAGGTTTTTTATTTTTTATTTTTTATTTTTTATTTTTCTTTATTTTTCTTTTTTTCTTTTGCTACTCCATTAATTTATAAAATGCTATCACCAACATGGACCTGTTTTTACCTAAGTAAATCCTCCCCACTATCTCCCTTTTTCCATTATATTCTTCTTATACATATCATTGTAGATCTTTCTTTCAATTTATCCTGTTTTTTTTTATTGTAGTATTCTTTTTTTTGTTTTTTTGTTTTTTTGTTATAATCCTATAACTTAAGTTATATTTAAAAAAAGAAAATTTGTTCTTTCTTCTCTGTAAAACTCCCTAATAATCTCCTGACTTTATTTTTAGATAGAATTCTACATTTTTTTTTTAATCTTTGCTCAGTGAAATAAAAAAAAAAAAGAGCATTTAATTTTTCTTTAAATACACTTATTTCATTATTATAATTATAACTATTATTATTATTATGATTATTATTATATTATTATTACAAATACTTTTGGTTCAAGATATATTACTACTCCATTGCATGTTTCTCATTAAAAGAAAAAAAAAATCTCATCTCTTTTGTCATTACAACAAGGTTATCATCATCATAGATAATGGGTACAAATTTATATATAGAATATATTAAAGAGAGAGAAATATAGTAATCAAAAATAGTATATAAATGTACCACAACAAGGGTCATTAGAAAAAAAAATAAAATAAAAAGACGTAACAAATAAAGTGAATCAAAAAAAAAAAAAATTATAGAGTACACATCACACAAAAAAAAGTAGCCAATAATTTCCAAAGTGTTTGTTTTTTCCCACTTCTTCTTTTTTTTCTTCTTCTTTCTTTTCTTAACCAAAAAAAAAAAAAAAAAAAAAAAAAGAAAAAAAATATATATTTTTTTCAGAAAACTTCCAAACACTTACTTAATATCCAATTAACGAGAGCGCGATTGAACTTGCTGTGGTTGCTGGGATCCTTTGTTAGAATATGCACCAGACGCACCATTGCTAGAAACACTAGCTCCTCCTGCACCTCCAGTGGCTACTCCATTACTATTATTGCCACCAACAGAAGTAGCAGAAGAAGAAGAAGAAGAAGACGATGATGCTACTGCTACTGCTACTCCTGCTGCAGATGTTGAAGGTCCTGAACCAGTGACTCCAGAAGATGATCCTCCTCCTTGTTGACCATTCGCACCTGTGCCCACTGCTGCTGAATTGCCATTACTGGGCGGTGACCGTACCCCCAAGGGGTTCTTGCTAAATGATAACCGGATACCCCCCTTGACACTATTGGACAAGATGTGTCCATACAGTTCCTCAAGTGCACGGGTTGCCAGACTCACATCGTCAAATTCAACAAAACACATGGGCCCATTTGCCTTGGTCCGGAAACACAACCGCTTGTAACCCCGTCGAGTTGAAAAGAGCGTTTTAAGCTCTTCCTCATTGGTGTCAGGCGGAAGATTCCCCACATAAAGTGTATTGCATGGAGGATTCTGATCAGCTGGATTGGCAGCTGGAAGTACACGACTGCCTGTTTGCATAATGTGAATGGCATTGGCACCTCCAGGAGTTCCAGGAGCAAATGGAACAACAACAACCTTGGGGCCTTCTGCAAGAGGGCTTCCAGAGCCACCATTGCTCTTACCATTATTGTTACTGCTGTTGTTACTGGTAACATTTGATGAGCTAGCAGCACTGGGTCCACTAGGAACATTGCCAGTACCCCCTGAGTTTAAAGATAAGCTTTGAAATGATGAGCGAATATTAGAGCTATTATTGCGACCCTTTTTGCCATTAGTTGTATTGTTACTATTGGCCCCAGAAACAGAAATAACATCGCCATTCCAGACTCCGGATGATGATCCATTGCCATTTAAAACGCGGTTATTTCCATGCTTGTTATTGCTTGGGTTAGATACATTAGTGGTGCTGCCGTTGTTACTACTATTTCCATTGGTTGCAGTTGCAGTGCTACCAGAAGCTTTGCTTGAAATCTGGGACTTGCTCTTAGTGGGAGAAGAAGCCGTCTGAGAAGGCTTAGTAATGGCTGTACTAGTAGAAGGAGGAGAAGATGATGATGACGAGGATGAAGATGAAGATGAAGATGAAGAAGATGCCTGTTGAGATTGTTGTTGGGGCTGTTGCTTAAGTTGTTGTTGTTGTTGTTGTTGTTGTTGTACTTGAGAAGACGTCGAATTTGAAGAAGAAGAAGAAGAAGAAGAAGTTTGTGCTGAAGGTTGTTTTGGTACAATAGCCTGTTGTTGCTGAGGAGGCGATGATGGGGCTTGATGTTTATACCCTATAGGGGATGACATTTGATTTCCCAAGGAACCTTGTGAGAACCAGCCCACATCCTTGACAATATCATTATACTCCTCATCCTCGCGGCCTTGAGATTCCAACAAAAGAGACTTGCCAGACATGCGTGGAATATTATACTCTTCGGCTTGCAAGGGGAACATACCGCGAGGGGATGCAGGAGGAGGAGGAAAGCCGGTACCGCCAATTACAGATGCATCAAACATGTCACTATAGCTAGGAGGAATGTCTAATGGTGCAGAAAGAGGTGCATGTTGTTGTTGTTGTTGTTGCTGGTTTCCTGTGAAAACAAATCTAGAAACTGGTTTATACTGATTTGAAATCATTGAATTATCTTGTTGAGAAAGTTGTTGTTGTTGCTGTTGCTGTTGCTGCTGCTGTTGCTGTTGAACAAAAGCATTCATACCAGTAAGAGATGATTCAGTAATTCTATTTTTATGAAGCAAATCAATTTTAAGAGCAAAATGTGGCGAAGGAAGAGAGTTAGGACGCATAAAGATTTCCTTTGGAGTGAATAGATGCAAGTTGCGGGCAAGAGTAGTCAAGGCCTTAGATGCAGCAGAAACGGTTTTGAAATAAGCAAATCCAACGATAGATGCAGGAAGTCCATCGTCAGCAATAGTAGAGGTTTTCTTGAGCTCTGAGCCAAGAAAATCATCAGCAAACGTAAACATGACTTCAAATTCACGCTCGTGAATGTCTCTAGGAAGATTTAAAACCCGTAAACACGGGTATGCAGAGCCCAAATCCTGTTGGGCCTGATGTTGTTGTTGTTGCTGCTGCTGCTGCTGCTGCTGCTGCTGCTGCTGCTGCTGCTGCTGGGTATGCTGATCCGATATCATTGTATAATAAGATGGTGGCTGGGAAACAGACATATGCATAGATGTTGGAGAAGTCTTGAGTGTTGATGGAGCATAAGATGCAGAAGAAGAATTATTTTGAATAACAGCCTGAGAATATTGGGCTGGAATAAAAGGCTGGAATCCAGAAGCAGATGGGAAAAATGAAGATGAAGAAGACATTGTAGATGCAGAGTTGGATGCAGAAGAAGAGTTTGGTTTAGTAGCAATATTTGTGGTGGATGCAGAAGAATGAGGGCCACCTTGAGAAATGATACTGCTGTGAGTTATTGTGCTGTTTGAAGGTGGCGAAGAAGAGGATGAAGAAGAGGAGGATGATAGAGAAGAAGAAGAAGATGCTGAAGAAGAAGGTGAAGAGGATGATGGTAAGGATATCGAAGCAGCTGTGTTAAGACCAGGGATTTTAAGGTTTTTATTTGGTTGGTGAGGTGGCGAAGTGGCGATTGAGATTGCAGCTAGGCTTTGGCTAAAGGCAGATCCAATAGGGCCTGTAGGGATGGCTTGTTGTTGAGAAGAAGAAACTGGATTTCCTGTGATGCTATTGTTTGTATTACCGGAGATCGGGTTATAGGACACTGAGGGTCCTTGGAAAGCAGATGTAGTAGTGAGATAATGTTGTTGTTGTTGTTGTTGCTGTTGTTGCTGTTGTTGTAGATGATGCTGCAGCTGATAATGATTTTGCATTTGAGCAGACTGTAGCGGGAACGGTGGAGAGTTTGACGACCGGAAACTTATTGGAGGGTTGTAAGATTGTGACTTAAGCATGAGGAAAGTCAAAGAAGAGTTTGAATGGATTGATTAAGCAATTACGCGTTTGATTTAAATGAGATTTTTTTTATGAGAATCAAGAGTGAGGCTGGATAAACGCGTTTTTCAAAAACAAAAAAAAAAATTTTTTAGAAGGGTTGTTGTTGTTGTTGATAAAATAGAAAGAAAATATTTTTCAACAGATGAGAATCACACGGAAGAAAAGAAATAGGATGGTTGCAAAAATTAAATAAAAATTAATAAAAACCAATCAGTAGTAGGTAAATATGATTAATGAAATGAAATAGGCACGCGTCTTTGATTAATTTTAAATGGAATCAGAGATGGTGATGATTGATGAAAAGATTTTGAAGGTTATTATTGTTGGTAAAAGTGGTGGTGGTGGTTAAATGCTAAGAATTCAAAAAATAAAATAAAATAAAAATAAAAAATTTTGGTGGTTCGTGAAGTTTTTTTTTTTTAAAAAAAATAGACACAAAGGGGGGGGTAGAGTAGGAGGAGAAAAGTTTTGTAGGAAGAACAATAAAAATAAAAATAAAAAAAAAAAAATTTTATTTTATTTTTATTTATATTATAAAAACAAGAGAGAGTCTAAAAAAAATAAAAAGTTGAATGGTGACTTTTAAAAAAAAAAAAATAAAATAAAAAAAAAATAAAGAAATAAAATTTTTATTTACTTTAAAAAATTCCAAAAAAACCAAAAACCAACAAAATTTTGATTTGATTTTATTTTAAAAAAAAAAAAAATTAATAAAAAATAATAAAATCTGAGCGATGTTTAATAAAATAATAAAAAAAAAGTGTTTGGTAAGAAGAATAAAAAAAAATAAAAATAAAAAATGGGAGATAAAAAAATAAAAAAATAAAAAAAAAAACGCGTTTTTTTCTCTCTCTCTCAGTTTGCCTCACAAACACTTTTCAATAAAAGACTTTTTAACAGTCACTCACTCAAAAATTAAATAAAAATAAAAAAATAAAAAAAAAAGACAGATCACCACCACCATTATTACTACTACTACTACTACTACTACTACTACTACTACTACTACTACTACTACTACTACACAATAATAATATTAATAACTACAACAATTTTGGACCATATTAATAATAATAACAAAATTTTTAATCATAGAATAGTGGTGGTAGCACATCTTTTTGTTTTTTTTTGTTACAAGTCCACTGGAATGTTGTAATATATATATATATAAATCAAAAGGTGGTGGTGGTGGTGGCAATGACTAATTTTTTTTATTTTTTTTTTTTTGATGACGCAACTTTTTTTTTTTTTTTTTATTCTTTCTGATGACAGTATATACAAACAACACGCACCGCGACGCGCGCGCGTGTATGTTATGGCATAACCGTCTCAACGTTACTGCACTTGTGCTTTAATAACCGGGTAACTTTTAGTTAATATTTATTTTTTTTTTTTTTTTTTTTTTTTTTGTTTTTTTTTTTTTTTTAAAAAAAAAAAAAAAAAAACGCGCAATTTCCTAAATAAGAAATTCAACCTGCAGTCACTATGGTTACAGTTCCATTTTGGGAAGCTTTGCCACCCAAACAAAACAACTAACACTGTTGAAAATACGTGGGAGGGAAATGGGAAATGTCCCTAACAAAATGGTCGATTTCTTATAAATTTGCCAGAAAATTTGATTTTTAACTCCTCCTCGTCCTAATTCGATCATAAAAAATTACCATCTTGGGAATTCTTTGATAATCATCAACACAAACATTACTAAGATTGATTTAATTCTTACTAAAATCTAGCACAATCCTGACTAATTTATCACGTGAAACTTTTCCATTTTCCCACCCATTTATTTTCAAGTGTGTAAACAAAACAAATCAAAACCGCCACAATTTTATTTTATTTTTTTTTTTAATCGTATATAAATATAAATATATATATATATGATAAAACTGTCAATATGTAAAGTAAATACTGGTTGTATATGTGTAACAATGGACAATTTTAGAAAAATTTAATAATATCAAATATATATTTGTTCATCTATTGCAATCGTAAGTAATTAATAACCGTCAAACAAAATTTCCATAATATATATATGCTCTTTGGTTTATGTTGTAATTACTTGGAATTCAATCAACAAGTTAAAACATAATTAATAAAACTTCCACCTTAAATGTTATGCCATTACTCCTGAGATTCAAGTCTTTTCTTAGTTATATGAGTGATATTAATAGGTGCATCTTTTTATTAAAATTAATTAAGCCAAACAAATAAGAGAGAAAAAAAAAATTAATTACATTCTTTCTTCTTCTTTCTAATTTTTTTATTTTATTTACTTGCAAGATTAAAGCCAACTATTAATACCCTTTTTGATATTTTTCATTTAAATACCAACTTTGCTTACTACCCAAGCTCACATATAGAAACAAATACCCTGCTAAGCTTGGGCATTATCTAGACATTTATCACTTGGTATTCCAAGATACTCTGAAATTAAAAAAAAAAAATAAAAATTTACAATAACAATAACAGTAACAATAATAATAATAATAATAATATCCATCTAGATCTTCATTTTTACAAGGAATCAAAATTCATTTGGCATCAAAGTTGAAAATTTTAATTAGATTCTTACTTCAATCATCAAGTTAGACTCCCTGCAAATATTTATCATTATCATTATCATTATCAATATCAATATCAATATCAATATCATCGTCATAATCTTCTTCTTTTACCCAATTTTATTACATATTGTAATATTTCATCAGACTTTGTAATCAATGCAACAACTATTTTTAAATCTAACCGCACTTATACCCCTATTCTACACCAATACTCTTTTTTTTTTTTATTATTTTCTTTCTTCTTTTAATAATACCATAGCTCAAATGAAAAGTCTAATCTAAATGTAATATCAGGATCATCTATTATATATATATATATATATATATATATATATAAATTAAACGAAGGAAAAAAATAAAGTCTAAAAATATTTCATTTTATAAACTTTTTTCTTTTATTTATTATTAAATATATTATCCCAACCAAAATATACTACTGTTATTACATCATTTTTTAAAAAAAAAAAAAAAAATCCAACTTTGAACTTAATCATTTTGACTTTTTTTTTTTTTTTTTTTTTTCTTTTGTACATCTCCCTGCAGATAACTGTGTCTCCATTATATTTATAATCATTAAATACTTTTATTCCTGAAAAAAAATTTCATCATCACTTTAAGAATTATTCTTAGATAATGTTGCAAGATCTATCTTTTTTATACAATTTTTTTTTTTTTTTTTTTTTTTTAAGAAACCTCTATTGATTATTATATCTACTATCTTTTAAACATTGCTATAAGTCTTAAAATCAAATTTTCTTTTTTTTTTTTATAAAATCACTTTAAATTTGTACAAGGATTTTGACTTTCATACTTACAAAATCCGCTTTTTTTTCCTTTTTTTTTTAAATAAATAAAAAAATATAAATAAATCAATTACGCATGTCAAACTAACCAATTTCATGTTTGATTAATTCATAAACTTATTTAAAATTCAATCCCCAAATAAGAAAATGTAAAATCCATTTCATTTCATTTCTTTACTTTTTCATTTCATTTCTTTTCATTTTTTTTCATCTCTTTTCTTTTCATTCCTTTTCTTTACTTTTTCTTTTCATTTACAATCGTCAATGATGTATTTTTTTTTTGTAAAAATCAGCACCTATCGTCATATCCACTTATCCCGAATTAACCTACATAGCTTGGTTTTTTTTTTTTTTTTTTTTTTTTTTTTTTGTAAATCCATCAATCACATTGATTTGTGTAAAATTATATCTTTAAACTGGACCTCTTTACGATTTGTAATTGCTCAAAATTATTTTGATATCTTTTTTTTTTTTTTTTTTTTTCATTTTTCATTTTTCATTTTTCATTTTTCATTTTTCATTTTTCATTTTTCATTTTTCATTTTTTATTCTTAAAATCGGGACTTTGTACTCCGGAATATGCATCTTCTCTTTGTTTTCTAATAAGTCGTTGATGCCATTCAAAACTAACTAAAATTAAAGGCCCTTTTTTCTTTCTTTGTTTCTTCATTTCTCTCTTTTTTTCTTTCTTCATTTCTTTCTGTTTCCGTGGTTTCGGACATGGTTTATTTCGTGTGCAAGCTTTCATGTTGGAACACAGGAAACTGACATAAAAAAACTTTTTTTTTCAAATAATTGAATGAATGAATGTAAATAACATGCTGGAATTTGTTTTTCCTTGTACGACCAAGAACTGTTTCAAAAGATAACCTGCTTTCTTTTTGAACAAATATATATATATATTTTAAATTATATTCTAATTGTCTAATCTTGATTACCTTTCAAAACATCTTGATTATTGCTATGTTTTTTTTTTTTAATTTTTTTATTTACTTTTCAAAAGAAACAAATGAGAAATATTAATAAAAAAAAAACAATGCCTAATGAAATTTCATATTCATTATATGATGACACAACCTGTCTTATATAACCAAGTCTTAATATCTCAGACAAATTTGTGACTTTTTTTCATTTTAAATCTTATTTTAAATCTTATTTTTTATTTTAATTTTTTTTTTCATAAATATTTCTTCCCCTTATTATTCTGGTTAATATATCTTAAACATTTGTAAAGACTTTTTAATCTAAAAAAAAAAAAAAAAAAAAAAATTCTATGTTCATAAAAAATGAATCTCATACTTGTAAGCAAAACTCATTTTTCCCCTTTATTTCCTGTGAAGTATTTATTTTGCATACCCCATTTCCCCATTTTGTAAAAAATAAAAGTCGATATTGCCAAAAATAGCGATCATTTTCTTTTTTGTCTAAACTCCTATTTTCACAAAATATTCTTGTCCTAAGTTGACTCATAATTCTCTCATATTGTCTTGTTTATTTGACATGATCATGCACCAAGAAACATGGCGTCATAATTACCTAAAAATACAGTTAAAGTATTGAATCTCACACTTTCAAAAAAACTAATAGGAG